CTCCTATTTAGAATCCAGTTATTTTTTGATTCGCAACCATCAATTATAATAACCTTGAGTTGAACTTTTATCATTATTCATCAATATGCCCTCAGTTACTCGTTGTCTCTTGGCTTTTAGCTTGCTACCTTTTCTGGCAATTGCGGACTCAGATTATGCAGCATCATGCAACGGCGAAGAGCTTTTCCAACCTGGTTATAATGTGAACGACCCCTCCTATTATGTTATTTTTTCTGCGGACTGCGAAAAAAGAGGATACAGTTTACACCGTCGGGATTAGTATCAATCTTAGTTGGTGCTTTACCAACGACGATGGGACGCTTAAGGCTGAAGAGGAGTAAGGACCCTCTTCTTATAATTCTATTTCCAACAGCTGATATGTATATGTACTACTTAGTGGTCGCTTTGGAGCAACCTGCAAAGACTTGTCCCGTTCCGGTACTGTTATGAGCGCTAAATGCCTTAACACGGCAGGGACTTATGTTACTACTTCTATCAATCTCGGTAAGTCCTATTAACATTGATGATTCCTGCTAGTTTCATTGAATATCTTGTTTCCTTTCTACTGATACAAGTATAGATGACTATGTTGGAAACGACAACGGCGACTTGATATGCTATGGTTCAGATGGTTATTAACAGCCATATTATTATGAGGATTCTTCTATGATATTATTCCGATGAACCTTGACTACACATATACATGTATTGCAGTTCCACGCTAAATCGATCCGCAACGATATTCTTCCTTCAACTTTCTTTTATTTAGTTTATTGCTTTAACAATCTCTCTAGTCTTAGGCTCAACAATTCAAAGATGAGTGAGTGTTTGAAATCGAGATCAAAATATCTAGGGCTCGAGAATCTATTCCTGAAATGCCCGCCGATATGGCTCAAAATCCCCTATCCTCCTTATCGCCTGCCCAGGCGATCACAACCTTGGACATGCTTTTTTCAGTTTCTGCAAATTCTTTTGCCTTAGCAGAACAGTCGTGTCAACCTCGGGATCATACAGTAATATAGTTTTCACATTAGGCCTGATTTGGCCACAGTATCGAGGGCTCCCTTTTGAAATAATTTTAAACACAGTGGCCATGACTTCTTGCCCCGGTGATTTCTGGCAGATATCAAAATTATGAAAGCTGCCTATGCAATAGGCTCCGTAAATCGATTGCCTAAATTGACATGCTGATAATCTTAGAACATAGAGGTCGAGGGTCGACCCCCTCTAGGGCCATACAGATTCTGTCTTGATCTGCTCCAAAGATGGAAACTTCTTATCTACTATTGTACTTGCTTCAAAACGGCAATTGCGGCCATTACTATCAATGGTTCCGTAACTAATAACGCCAAAGTCGAGAGCTCCCCCTGGGACAACTTTTTGTGGATTAAATCCATATACGTATGATTAATTATACATAATCATGATTTTTTTGGGGCTTTATGTACCTACCCTACTAGCCACACCACATGTGACATGGAAACTACAGAACTCAAATACTTTTTTAAATCACAAGTTATCGTCTTTATTAAAGATATATACATGTGTGTATCGAAAAGATTTACGAAAAGGGTTTGAGCATAATGCAAAAAATTCCCATTGGAAGACTATACATGTCTTACCTATCTATGACTGTCAAAAATGGTCCCAGAGGAACTAACCCTCGACTTTGGCGTTATTAGTACCACACTCTAACCAACTGAGTTATGGAACCGCTTGATGTTCTAATCAAATGTTTTTATTATATAAAGTGAGTAGAATAGTAGGGCAGAGACAATAAGAGTATCGAAAGTAGACATTTACTCAATAGAAGAGCTGAAAAACACACATTCAATGTTCGTTTTTGCAAAAAATAAAAAAGGCTCTTTTACTATTCGAGTACTAGTTCATCCGATCAGGTCCATGACAGCTTCCAAGATTGTTTCTAGAAAATTGGAACCAGATCGTTGGTCTCCGGAGATTGGGGGTTTTCGAATTAAATCTAGCAGAGAAATAGGAATGTCCCCAGTTATCAATGATGGGTTCTCTAAGAGAGAATCTATCATCAGTTCCACCCTAATCAAACTAGTCTTGATGAATTATCAGATATATTATTAGAGTTTCTGTTACTTTTATTTTTGGTTTTCGGTGCTCTGTTATCCTTCATGTGGTAATTTAGTAACTCTTGCGTATTAAATATCTAGAAGATCTCAGTTGATAGTGGTGTGGTAGGTCTACGGGTTCCTGGTTCTATTTCATTCTTTCATTGCACGGTCCATGGGTCTCGGTAGAATATATTCATTCAAAAGCTGCTCTTGGAAAAAAGCCTGTCATTGACGAGGCTTTCCTCTCGTACTAGTACTTGACAGGAAATATCTAGCGTCGTAGTCTCGCTGCCTTATATAATGCCCTTCTAGCAGTTTGTAAATCTCCCAATTACACGATCTACCTCCAACTTGGCCCGGGCACCTGGCGCTTACATAGGTTAGAGATTTCGACCCATCTCCCGACCTTATCGATAGGTTGGGTCTGGGTTCCTATGGGGCCCCATGGTTTCTGCCGAAGTCTACGTGCAACAACGAGGAAGAGGGTACCCGAGAAGGCCAACCTCGGGTAGTCCCTGTAGCGAAGAGATTCTGATACGGGTTCCAATTCTAAAGACATCTCATGGGACCTGCGCAAACATCGTCCACGCTGCATGGGCCCTGGTGCTCTCGTAAATCACCGGCAAGCAAGATGTCGTGTTCGGAAGCGGCCACGCCAATCGAGACCCCGCTCCCTTCCCCGACTTGGATCACGTGTTAGGTCTTTGTATGAATTATATCCCGGTCTGAGCTCGACTCGACGCCAAAGCTAATCTTGGCGGCTTGGTCGTGCAGATCCAGGCCTGGGCGGTGGCCACGATCCTATATCAACATCTCGGTGTCTGTGAAATCATACAGACCTGCACAGATTGGCCAGGGTAGATACGGTTCAGCAGCATGTTGCTATATCAGAACAATGAAGCGATGCAGACGTTCGAGCCCGCGGTCAGATTCGGAGATGTCGATTGTACGGTTAAGGGTGTTGGCGGAGTGGGCTAGACTTTGGATCTGTGGCTTTAAGTCTTACCGTTGGCGTCTATGAAGAAGCTTATGGTATAGGTGTAGTACTTGTGACGCATTATTCCCGAAGAGAGAGCACAATCAATCACGCATTTTGTTCCAATCGGTGCTTGAATTAATGCTATTGATACTGGAGCGGCCGCTCTAGGAAATTGCTAAAACCTTCAATAAGACATTACCAGCTGGCAGTGTCACGGCTGATTTCGATTATCCTGGCTATCAAGTCAATAATGCTTTAACAAACGGTGCAGCATTAACGTCTACCCCGAGTACTCTTATAGTAGCTATTTTCTCGTAGGCCTAGGACAATATCGGTCTTATCGTACCTACCGCTAGTACTTAGATATAGGACAAAACGATAGTTGATGATCAGTCTATGTTCTAGGGTGGAGCCGGTAGCGCTGATTTGATCACTCTATTACTGTTATCCCGCTACTATCAGCGAAATGGGTATAAATTGAGTATGCAGGATCTTATTAACAATCCTACTCAAAAGGGGCAGGCAGGTCTACTTAAAGCGCCGAAAGAATAGATTTGGCCAGCAAGGGAAAAAAGTGGACAGGAGAGGGGGGGGGGACTGAAGTCGATTAGCCTCTTCGCAAGCTGCTTATGGCCTCAACATACTGCTGCGTTAAGCGGACAGCTACATTCGCCCCCTGGAGCATTGACGTTCGTACCAGCTTCCAGCAACTTGATAAGTACAGTGTGCAGTCCTGTAAGATGTGCATAACATAGGTCAGATCCTATGTCCTCCAGTTTACCGATATATCGAAAGCACGCAGACTGCTTGGTGGTGGAACATTTTTAGTATGGACAGAATTCCGGCAGACCACCCGGACTGCATCCAGCCCCAGTGGTCGGATTTAAATTTTGATTTCAGAACGTTTCAAGTTGGAGCACGCTCTACCATCTTGATGATTTTGAAGTCCTCCAGAGCTTTATAGCACGTATGATAAGTTCTTGATGGGGTACGACCGGGAGCGGCCCGCCGGTCAGTTAGTAGTATGGTGGGTGACCACATGCAAATCCTGAATGTTGTATGTCGGTGCTCACCGGTTTTTTTTTGATTCGTTGGGAAATCCCCCTTGCCGCCCTATTATTCAGGGTATTCAGGCTATGTTCAGGGTACTCCCCTGAATAGCCTGAATATTATTCAGGTACTGTTTTGTACCCGAAGACCGACCAATGTAAATGTAGCCTTCCCCTCCTTCTCATCTAGAGAGCTGACGTGTCCATTGTGCTTCCGCTGCAAAGCCACTTCACTCTCCCCCACGCAACCTCTCTGCATCCCACACACCCACAAGGCACCTCGCCTGAGAACCTTTTTGAACGTCAGCTGCATGAAGCTGTTGGCTGAGGACCGAATTCACTTTGCAAATCCACTTTTGATTGCCGATCTTGCTTATAAGGTGTATAGTATATGTTTTTGCTTAAATGTCATCGTTCGAGCTAACTTAATCCAGATGGCATTCTTGCGGGCCACGGTGATACCTCCCTTTTCTCTCGTGACGTTTTTTCCGACCGTGAAAAACACGTTGGTTTCGACTAAGGATCTTCTGGTTAAGGCCAAAGATCTTATATCGCTGGGAAGGGAAATCTTGCTGCTGGGAAGAAAAATTCTAGCGATAGCCAGGGAACAACAGCCCTGGGAGAAACGACGTTGTACCCAATGGACTCGGTCTAAACAGGCTCGGTCTCAATGGGTGAAATCATACACTAATATCTTGATAAGGACTAATTTAATCGTCTTTCAAATATCTCTCACAGCCACATGCAATAATAAATTATATTATACCAGCATAAAGCAACCTTGATATTTATATCACCTAGTATTAGGAGCTTTCAAGGTTATATTATGTATAATATTCCAATAGTCGTCAGTTTATTTCCCATAAACGGTTTGTCCCGGCGCTGCTTTCATCCGCGCTTTTGTACGTCGCAAGTGATATCTCCCACATCTAAAACCATCTAAATATTGAGAGCTTTTCTTCAAATTGGATGCTTTTGAATGGCCTTGCTGTGCTGTTTTGGGTGAGTTTATGTAGAAGGGGAGGGGGCGATTAAGATAAACTTACCCTCTGGATCAAGAATCTTCCTTGATATCATGAATTCCACATTAGATTCTGTCTCTCGTATGGGTGAATTAGGTTCCGATATGTAAGATGAAGGAGGAGAAGGGGATGGCGATTGGTAGGGGGATTGGAATTCGAAGATAGCGTCGAAATAGGGCGCAAGGCGGCTCCTCTTTTCAGGCTTCTTAGAGATCGCCCGGTCTAGAGCATCACAAAGCTCTAAATGATTGATCATGGTGGAACGTTGGTTGAATGTCAATATTTTCTGGGAAAACGACTGGTCATCGATGAAGATGGGAAAAGGTTATGTGATATTATCTTAGAGGAATTGCCGATCTATACTAAGCCGAGGTAGAAATCTGTAGATCATAATAAAGCCTAATATAGTACGCGCTAAGTTTATTGATTTGATTTGCTAATCCGATTTCGGGATTGTTTTATATACTTGCACCAGTTAAGTTTATTCTAAGCTAGAAAGTAATCTCATAAATCCCCTTGATTTTTCTTCCCACTTCAGACTCGGAGGACACCCAATCGACCATTCTTAATATATCTATAGTTGTATTACCACCACCATCACCAAATTCTCGAGGTGCAAGTACAGAACAAAATACTCCAGAACCAAGCAATGATACCAGTTTTGCAAAGCTTCTTCCCTTGAACCGTCTTGCTCGCTTAGCAATTGATGCCACTGCTCGGAGCGGCTCGCAATATCACGAGAAATTTATTGGCGAAGCAATTTTCGATAATAAGCCCATCAACTGCTTCGTTCTTTTACTACATAACATTCTCTACTTTCCACATATTAGGTGGAGGATCGGTCAAGGTCGTGATTTATTGAAGTATCGAGGTGTTGACCTTTACCTAAGCTTAAAAAATCAAAAAGAGACTAGGGTTGTAGGTCTTTATGTATGTTTTAATTAGGTCAAAGGAGCCAGTGGCTTCTTTCTTATTGCGGATAACAAAGTAGGAAAAAAGGTAATAATGGATAGAGAGCCATTTGGAACAGATCGATGTCTTATTCAGCCAAAAAATACTATTATGATCAGAGAGTGTGTGTTTATATTGTAATATACCTATTGTACTTTAGACAAAGAAGAATAATTCCAGACTGAACTATGTTAATTTTTCCGCAGCTTCTATGGTGAGTAACATCCTTTAATATTGCCTACTCCTGGTGAAAATGATTCCCGTTTTAAGGATAGGATATTCCAACAACCACTTTCGAGAGGCTTATTTAGTATTGTCCATATGGTGATTAATTCACGGATAGGAAGTCCTGCTGTAGCCAAATGGATCTTGAAATCGGACAGGAATGAGTATAGTGTGGATAGAGAGATAAAGATAGCCAGGCGGATTTCCGAGCTTATATATGTAAGTACTCCCTTTTGACTGTTTATCTTTATATTTTTATTTATATAATCAATAGGACCGGATCTGTAGCCCCTAAGAAATTTATTATATTGATCTTAAGCGGTCGAAAAACAAGATAGTAAGTATTTTTTTCTATGATATCAAAGATTCTAGTTCAATTTTGACTAATATTAGAAGTAGGATAGGATCAAAATGTATCTTGACGAAAAGTAGATATCTACAGCGGATAACCTTATAGCTAAATATATCATTATATCACTACTACTTAATACAATATTCCGCTCGCTATATAGCTCTAATATATCGATCACGGGGAGAGAAATTTTCTTCTTACAACTTCTAGAAGCAATTACCTTTCTTCACATACACAGAATCTTACATCAGGATGTGAAACCTGATAATATACTAGTGAGGAGTTACGATCCGCCAGACGCAATACTTACAGACTTTGGATATATATCTGATAAGGAGATTATCCTTTACGACAAGCTAGGAATAATCCTATATCTTACGCCGGAACAAGTAGAAGGAGAGATACATAGGAAAGCTGTAGACTATTGGAGTTATGGTATCGTTGGATCTGAGTTGATTCGCAAAAGACCAATTCCTACAAGGCTTCTACCTGGCAATGGTCTTGCTGATTACCGGAACTCACTTAGGGACTCCAAATTGGTAAGATGCTCTAGAGCTATATTGGAAGTTAATCTAGTATGCCGAATGATAGCTGCTGCCGCTTTGAAGTTTTTTTATACTCCTCAAGTGTAACAGCAGTATCTGTTGAAAAAGCGACCGATCGAACTTAGCCAAGCTTGAATGCCTCTAGTTTTATATTTAAGTGTAACGGCAACATCTGTTTAATAAGCGATGGATAGAGCTTAGCCAATTAAGTATCTGATATCTTGAATTAGATCTAATATAAGGTTGATTTAAAATCAAATTATGATTATATTTTAGCGTCTTTAAGTATCTTAGAACTAACTAACGTGATTCCCGGTCGAGCTGCGCACCCGGCCGAGCTGCGCACCCCATCTAAAATCGCGTCTTTCTACCACCCTACCTAATTCAAACACCTACCATGCCACCAATTCGTAATATTTCGGCCGAAAAAAAATGTCGAACAAGAGGGCAAGGTTTTATTAGCCTTACAGGCTATTCAAAAGGGCCAAATCAAGTCTCTTCGCGCAGCGGCCAGGCTATTTAGCGTGCCTGAGTCCACACTACGCAGTCGCGCGCACGGCATTCAATCTCGCGTCGATACACGCCCAAATGGCCATAAATTGACCCAGTTGGAAGAGGATCCGCTTATTGAATGGATTATCTCTATGGACTCCCGTGGAGCGGCGCCTAGGCCAGCTACTGTACGAGATATGGCCAATATTCTACTAGCTGCGCGTGGTAGCCACCCCCCACCAACAGTTAGCAAGAATTGGCCATCAACCTTTATAAATCGACGCGAAGAGATTCGAACACGCGTCTCTAGGCAATATGACTACCAACGTGCTCTAAACGAAGACCCTAAATCAATCCAAGCATGGTTTACAACTGTACAACAAGTTATCGATAAGAATGGGATCCAACCTGAGGATATTTACAACTTGGATGAGACAGGCTTTGCGATGGGCCTTATTTCAACACAGACGGTTGTAACACGGCAAGAATACTACGGTCGGCGAGCTATTGTACAGCCTGGGAACCGTGAATGGGTGACGGCAATTGAAGCTATCTGTGTAGATGGTTATTCATTACCACCATGTGTGATTTTTAAGGGAAAGGTTGCTATTGCTAGTTGGTTCGATAACCTACCAAAAGACTGGCGGTTTGAGGTCTCAGCTAATGGTTGGACTACCGATGATATTGGCCTACGTTGGCTTGAGAAGCTATTCATCCCATCAACAAATTCACGTGTCCGTGGCCGTTTTCGGCTATTGATTCTTGATGGCCATGGAAGCCATCTCACACCTCAATTTGATCGAATCTGCTCAGAGAATAACATTATACCTCTCTGCATGCCACTGCATTCTTCACATCTTCTACAGCCACTGGATGTTGGCTGTTTTTCTGTGTTGAAAATTACCTATGGTCGCTTTATAAGTGACCTTGCACGTACAGGCTATAACCATATTGATAAGCTTGATTTCTTAGCTGATTTTCAACGTGCCCGGCTTGAAGCTTTTAAACCAGCTACTATCCAGAATAGCTTTATAGCTACAGGACTAGTACCAATTGATGCTGAAAAAGTTCTTTCTAAATTGAATATTTCGCTACGAACACCTACACCACCAGGCACTCAACCAGGCAGCCGAAGCAGTCAATTTTCACCTAAGACACCTAGAACTGTGGTCCAGCTTCAAAAGCAAGCTTCAATGCTTAAAGATCTTCTAAGACAGCGATCAAACAGCCCTCTAAGCCCATCGAAATTGATGCTAGATCAAATCATCAAGGGACACTGTATATCGCTACACAACACTGCGCTACTAGCACAAGAAAACGCCAATTTACGTGCAGTGAACGAGAAGAAACGACAGAAGCGCAGTCGGTCAACTAGGCAGGTGCCATGTGAACAGGGCTTGACTGTTGAAGAAGGCCTGCAGCTACTCACGCAGCTAGAATTGCCAGTAGAAGCACCTGCGGTCGAACCACACACCCAGGTTGAATTGCCTATTCAGCCGAATCAGCCAGCCCCCAGGGCTCAGCCTAGGTGTAGTGGATGTCGAGAGGCTGGCCATCGGATCAATGTATGTAAAAATCGTATTTATAACTGAATTTATTCGCATTGGGTTGAAATATTTGAATTTGAATTTGTCTAATGGTGGTGGGTGCGCAGCTCGGCCGGGTGCGCAGCTCGACCGGGAATCACGTTATACTAATCTGACACGATACCTTTTTTAAAATGACTCAATTGGATACATTACACCATTTCAGTGGGAGGACGAAGCTTCCAATTTTGCCTTAATGATAGAGACATCTGGGGAGATATTCAAGATTGTCCCTCTCTGACCTAAGACTTTCCTCAAAATTAATCTTTATCGGAGAAATTTGGTATGCGAACCGTGCACCATATTCACTGTTCCTCCATTCTCTCGCTTTCCAATAGTTATCGTAGTGAACGCTAACGTCCTTCCAATTTTTGAAATCTTTCCCTCAATCTCCAGAATATCTCCCAATTGAGCTTTTGAGAGATACGTCACTGACAAATCAGTGCTGACACCTGTGACATCGAGGCCTGTAGATGCGATTGCCATTCCCACCGCCCAATCTACTACACATGCGGACAATGTTCCATGAACGGAATTTTTTGAGTTGACATGGAGCGACTGTACAGGCAGTATGGCACGTACGATTCCATGCTCAGCGTGATAAATTTCGATGCCATCAAGAAGCAAGGCATAAACGGGACTATTATTTCTTTGGTGGTCCCAAACGGCACAGACGTGAGAAATTGTGTTTTCCATATCTGGAGTGGGAGAATGGCGTCGAACTTCGGTGAGAACCGTGGAGGGGAAATGAGATCAAAGACTTCTTAGAATTCGTATTAGTTGATTGTTATCAGGTAACAAAGAGCGAATCAAAATCTTACCTAGTTTCAAGTAGATTGGTGAAAGACAGTTTTCGGCATTGGAGTAGAGGCACCTGGGCAATAGATAAATTGAATTTGGCTTAGAAAGTTCTTTCAGGTTTCTTTGAGTTGTAACGAAGCGGATCCCTTCCGTCTCTTCAAACGTTGAGACTTCGGATATGTACCGCGCATTGCCCCATTCAACATCGTCAAAGGTACTGTTTGTCCCCACACCGGGAAACAAATTTCATGATCCAAATATATAAAGATTTCAAGTAACTGGAAACATGGGGCAGAACAAAAGACTTTGCTTGAAACATGATGTCAACTTGAAGTGCACTTTGAAGCCCCAGCCGTTGTGGTTCAAGTTTGCCGGGCGGCTCTGTTATATGGAGCTGGGGGAATATCAGTTTTCGAAAATGTCTGCAATATTTCAGAAAACATTGAATAAATAACATTCAAACTGATATTTTATATGTACTAGTACTAGTAACAATTGATTGTGCACTCAATGATACTAAAATCTCTCTTACGGCTTTGCAGAATAAGGGAAATGGTTGAAAATGAAACCTTCAAGTTGGCTTGACTGTCTCTTCACGTAAGAAACGCGAAATCAAACTGCGGAAAGTGACGTTGATTTCAAATCTGATCGATCATTCTTTCATACTTTCTAGTATATGTAGTAACTTGAATTCACTCCAAGTTCAATGTCTCCGCACCCACTGCCTTTGCCTCCTCATTCAACCCATTTATCTCTGCCTGGGTGAACGGAATCCCATCTTTTAGTCGTGTATCTCGAGTGATCTGCTCAATTTCTCCAGGGTAGTAGATGCGGTCTACACGCGGTCTACACCTTTCATCTTGTCACTTCCCACTACGCGCTGGTACAGATAGTCCATACGCGACTTGAAATTCTCTAGGTCCATAAAGAGGTCGGGCTTGATTGCGACCAGAAAATGGCCAACATCTGCTGGCGTAGTTTGATCATGGGGATTTGTCACATGGCCTGCGAAGGCGGATCCAGACAGTACACCAGAAAACACGTCCATCATAATGGAGAGGGCGGAACCCTTGGGGCCTCCCATCGGTAGCATTACGCCCTTAAGGGCACGAGCCGGGTCATCAGTCATGTGCCCTTCGTTATCAAAAGCCCAGTCTATAGGGATCTTCTCTCCACGTCGCAGAGCCTTATATATTTTGCCACATGCGGCAATAGAGGGTGCCATGTCGAGGATGAATGGCCGTTCCTTGCCACCCGGTGCACCACATGCGATCGGAGATACCCCCATGAGCTTAGATCAACCGCCCCAGACGGGAAGAGCTAGAGAGGAGTTGGTGAAAACAAGAGATATCATACCTGCATTGACAGCTTGATCTACCAGCCAAGCAGACATGCCGAAGTGGTTGGAATACTTAATCGAGACCATGCCAATACCGAATTCCTTGGCCATCTCTATGGCCCGCTCCATACCCATGTGAGCCAAAACAAATCCAAATACATTCTTCCCGTCGACGGAGGCCACCACGGGGGTAACCTGGGTCAGCTGTGGACTCGCCTTAGGATCAAGTACCTTTTGACGGATTCGTTTCATATATGAGGGTATGCGGTTTGAGCCATGCGTGTCGACACCGCGCAGGTCCGCCATCAGAATATATCTGGCCACAGCAGTGGCATGATTGTGAAAGACACCATTTCCAACTAAAATGCCATGACCAAAGGGCTCAGGGCTGGAGGGCTTGATATAATGGATCTGTTGAGATGACTCCGCCATAATTGAGCGAGGATGGATCGGTGGAGATGAGAGCTTTGAACTTGGAAGGCAATCTTCTGAGCGCATAATTGAGTCTATAAGAGTGTATCTATTCTTGCGAGGAGTTTGGTTGGGCCGCCCTATACTATACGACATGGAGTGGAGAGTCCATATATGACGCGTTGTGCTTGGCTATTAATTACCCCACAACTTCATTAACATTGAGCATAACGGATAAGTTCCGATTGGATAAGACATAACGGATGTGGACTTTTGTCAAAATTACACCTCTCTAAGACATGATAAGCTCTCTTAGGGAGTAGTGCTATCGCTGATACTAGTGTGGATTTCTGGTCCGGTGCGACAAATCGAGTAGTGCATAGTATGCACTACATATACATTCAAGCGTAGTCTCCTGGGCAAATATTAAGAAGCCAACATTAACATCCACATGTGCAATAACTGTTATGCAATACCTCAGCAAATGCACCTCTCAAATTTCCCCTTACTTAAACACATGTGCACTAATACATCACCCGAGACCCTTATACTATTAAATGACTTTACTGCCAGTCGGTAAAATATTAGGTACAATTGAGACCATTCGTGCAGATTTTACTCTCAATACCCGATGGAAAAGGGTTGCACATCTCATCTACCCTATATATTTTATGAGAATCAAGGATTTAGCCTCTTCTAACTCGAGTTGTGTATAGTAATAAAACATCATAATTCAGCTATGTATCAACAGAAGGGCTCATCAATTAATGCAGGTTCATCTGCATAAATCCGCCCGCCTTTATTTCATCGCATATATTTTCCAAGGTTATCCAACTGTCAACAACGACATATATACTCGTCTTCGCCATCCACCTCAAAGTCAAATCGCATAAGGTCCTCCTTGTAAGGGAACATGTAGGTGGAGGTGACACTGTAAAAATTGAAGTTAGTCCTGTTCAAACCTTCTTCCTCACACAGATCACATGTACATACTGGTGATGCTCTGGGCTTGCCTGGTATTCCGACAGAGCTGCTAAATTTTCGTGGAAGCTGACCAGAGAGATCTGAAATCCTTTGCTGCGATCAATTGGGTCGGTGACACTAGGTCCCCCGACCAGCAACCGCCCTCCTTTCACACAAGATAAGTTCTTCAACTTTTTAAGCTCGGTGACGAATTTTCGTTTATGTTCCTCGGTTATCTCAGACCGAAACTTGAAGAGAACTGTCAAATCATGATAACATGTTAGAGTCAATGCCTTCAAGCTGGGACATTTTGAAGAAAGAACTTACCAATATGGACCAAAGTCATCTTGGGCACGCCAGAGTCGGCAAGTTATAGGTACAGAGTTGAAGATTAGAAGTAGTGAGAGCAACAGGGGGTAAGAGAAGATTCAATAGGATGTTTGTTGCGAGGTTAAGGGCACTTCTGAAGGCTGTACATGTGGGAGATGTCCTTTCAAGTCAATGTTACCTCATACTAGTCAGCAATATATTGGCTGCTAGACGGGAGCCCTGGAGACCTCCCGGGATACGGCCCAGGGTGCGGAGTACAGACGGGAGCGATCCGCAACATTCGCAACATTCGCATGTTAAGGCGCGACTCGAAACCTTCAACTTCAACTTGAAGTTGGAACGGATAATTACCGGGGACCTCGGCACAACTCTGAACTTGAAGCTTGACGTCAAAGCTTCCAGGATTGTACTGGCACTCGAAACAAATGGAATGTGTGTTCACGGGTCTCATCCGTTAGCGCAGCCAACTTGAATAAGACATTAATAGAATCACCCATACCCCACAATGACATCCTAGCTGATACCCGCCTCTTTTAAGGTTTAGCGCCTCTTTCAAAGTTTAGCCGTCTCCTCAATTCGGAACCATGAGTCAAGTAAATTCCAACTAGAAGGTTAGGTACTATCTAAAATCCTGATGTAGAAATTTGAAAATGCACATGTGACATCTGGACTATACAGCCAACTGAAGTGGAGATCAGTGATTAATCAAAGCAATATGTCAATCAAAGTCAACTAGTTATTCACGGAGTACATTTATTTGTGAAAATAATGAAACAAGATATGAATTATATCTGGGCAATATTCAATATTCAAAGATTAATAAAACTCTTGGAACTTTACAGACCGGAAGGTTCAAATGTTAGGTACAAGTAGGACATCAACATATATCTCCCCTGATCTATAATTTAGAGCATAGATCTTATTGATTCATGAATAGATGGTCAAGATGTCAAATCATGGTGTAGTATTGTTCAATGTTTCATAGTATTTCTAGTATTCGAGGATCCCGGGAAATTCCGTTCCGGGGCTGAAATTATGATATTCTACATAAGTTAAGACTCTGAATAAGGTATAGACAACTTCAAGTTAAGGAGTGCCAAATGATATAGTCTGAGTTTCGTCCAACTTAAAGCCTGTTGAGAATCGAGATTTGAAAATTACACTCGCCCCGTCGAGGATGTGATCCCACCATCTACCACCAGCTCCTGACCTGTGATATATCGCGACTCGTCTGCTACCAGAAATAAAGTAGCATTGGCAACGTCCCAAGAATCTCCCATCCGCTTCATTGGCACTTGATCATCTCGTATCTTTATATAGCCAGCTTCATCGCCACCGGGGGTATAGCGCTTGGCGAGTTCGCGAGTGTAAGGTGTGTAGATTAGACCCGGAACGACAGTATTCAATCTCACCTGTCGATCGGCATAGATAACCGCAGTTGCCTTGGTGAACTGCATTATAGCGCGGCCTTCGTGGCTGAGTATGTGACTTAAGGCTTTCCAATATAGCGTAACCCTGCAATACTCGAGACATTGACCACTGCGCCACCGGTCTCTTGCTTCTCCATGATCGGGAGAACAAAGTGCGTTGTAAGATAAACGCTCTTAAGATTCAGATCAACCTGTTGGTCCCAGACATTCTCTCGCATAGTAGCTGGACAGCCTGGTTCTAACTTGCCAACATTATTGATCAGGATGTCAATCCGACCGTGTCATTCGAGGCAACTATTTACCAACACCTTAACGGATGCTGAATCGGTGGCATCGGTTTGTTCAATATGGCAAATGCCTCCTTCAGCCTCGATTCAAGCTTTGGCTCTCTCAGCCGCGGTCAATGTGCGTTTTTTTCCAAAAATAGACGCGCCTTGCTGTGCAAGCTTCATCGCGATTGCCGCGCCAATGCCCCAACCATCCTCGGTGGTCTGGCCGAGACCGGTAATGAGGGCAATTTTTCCATCCAGTCGGAACATGATTAAAAGGTGTCGGCGCAGGGAGTAGAATTGAGTGATAAAAAAGTTGCTAAGATAATATGTCGGACATATACTTATTCTGTTCATGGTGAAGCACTATTTCAAGTCGCCAGTTCCGGATAACTCCCGTCGTGCGGAGTAGCTCCGTCAACAACTGATTGTTCGGTATAGGGCCGCCACTTTGCCTCCAGATGTCAATATCGAGCCAGGGAACTAACCAACATAAACCAAATGGGCTACTTATCTCAAATTATTGAATAGCTCGATGATCAAGAATCATTCTAACCTATGATTCTGCACCTATTTCGAACGAAATGACGACACCCATCAATCCCGAAGCCGACGCGGTTAAGAAAGACTACGATCTTTCTCAACCTCTAGATACGAGCTCAGGTCTTCGCCAAGGTCTTACCTCTTATGGAGACGCATATTTTTCCCTGTTCCTCCGCAAAGTATCTATTAAAGCACTTGGATACTCCGAAGATGCCTTACCTCGGCCTATCATTGGTATCATCAATACGAATTCCGGCTTCAACCCTTGCCATGGCAACGCACCCCAACTCATCGAGGCAGCCAAGCGAGGTGTTTATCTGAATGGTGGAATCACCATTGAATTTCCGACAATTAGTTTGCATGAGGGGTTTTCACACCCCACAAGCATGTTTCTGCGAACCCTTATGAGTATGGACACTGAGGAGATGATTAAGGCTCAGCCTGTGGATGCATGTATCATGATAGGGGGTATATTCTGCCTTCCATTTAGCAATTCGATATTAGAAGCTGGGTTTTCCTTCCAGGCTGCGATAAGACTGTCCCAGCGCAGATCATGGGAGGCATCTCCGCCAATAAACCCATCCTTCCGCTTATAACTGGGCCGATGATGCCAGGCAGTAATCGAGGCAAGCGTATTGGCGCCTGCACTGATTGTCGCAACAACTGGGCCTCTTTTCGGGCCGGCACAATCGACATGGAGGAGATTATGGGTATAAATGAAGAACTTGCTCCAACGGTATGCATTATGAGTCTTCACAGATAGCGACATATACTCACTATTATATCTCAAATAGATTGAACATGTGGTGTGATGGGAACGGCGAGCACTATGGCATATATCACTGCAGCGCTTGGCTTGATCCCTCTCCAGGGCGCCTCGGCCCCGGCCGTCTCGGCAGCTCGACTCCGAATTGCAGAGCAGACGGGCGCAAATGCCGTCGCGGCAGCTAAAGCTCAGAGAACGCCCCAAGCTATTTTGTCTGCTGAGTCTTTCTATAATGCCGCCATCGTTCTTCAAGCCATTAGTGGATCCACCAATGCTATGGTGGACCTAATGGCCGTAGTCAACCGTCATCCAGAGCTCAATGGTAATTTCAAGTTAGACAATTTGGATTCCATTGGGCAAACAACGCCCCTTTTGGTTGACTTGAAACCCAGTGGAGACAATTACATGACGGATTTCTATAATGCAGGTGGAATGTTATGTCTGCTCAACCGTTTGCGCCCGTTGCTCCACCTCAACCACAAACAATTACCGGCGAGACTCTAGGAGAAGTCCTCGATCGCTCTAACTTTCGCGACATTGAATACTCGCGCTCCATCATTCGAACCCTTTCTGACCCCTTGTATCCTTGCTCCTCCCTGGCTGTCGTGCGAGGGAATATTGCCCCCAACGGGGCGGTGATCAAGGCCTCTGCCTCTAGAGAGAAGAGTCTTCATCACCATCGGGGCAAGGCTATGGTATTTGAGAACTCCAAAGACCTTGCTCTTCGCCTCGATGATCCCGGCCTGGAAGTAATCGCCGATTCAGTTTTGGTACTCAAAGGTATCGGTCTGATCGGAAATCCAGGCATGCCTGATGCTGGAATGATTCCTATTCCGCGGAAGCTGGCCAAGCAGGGCGTGACGGATATGCTTCGTTTGTCCGATGGGCGCATGTCAGGGACTGCAGGAGGCACGATTCTACTGCACGTTTCTCCTGAATCAGGTATCCCTGACTCTCCCTTCGGAGTGGTGCAAAATAGAGACAAGATAGAGCTCGATTTGACTAACCAAAGTCTGGAGCTGCTGATTAGTGAAGAGGAATTGCGCCAGGGTATCACATTGCAGAAGGAGAGGCTTACAGTAGCAAATGAAGGAACGGAACCATCTGTTTGGTTGGAACGAGAGACTTGTCGCGGGTATAGAGGACTCTATGAACGAACGGTAAATCAGTCTCATGACGGTGCATATTTCGACGTGCTGACTGCGACCGGTCCGAAGAAATGAATTTTTTTCTGTAGTTAGCAAAGGGCCCAGAGAGACGTCTTTTGCGCATATTTGACAGAAGGTGATATCTCTACGGAGGATCAGGTGGTCTAGTATATCTGATCTCAAGAATATTTTATTTCACAAACATCTGCTGGTTCAATTCTGAGAGGAGTGACAGCATGTTATTGTATGATACCCGCGTAGTTAATAGAGAAGAAATTGTTGAAAAAGGAGAATGTGTTAATTTTAACTACACCAAGACAAGCGATTCATGGACTAGCCGTAAGCAGAGACATTGCATTACAAGTCCGAGTCTTAGAGTAATAAAATCAATATTATCTTGTTTGCAAATGTATATGTGAGCTGATGAAATCCAATAATATCAGTAGTCAAGATGGCTGGGTCCTAGTAGTGTGGCTCTAACGACAGAACGAGACTTTACAGTCTCCCGGCCTTAATCTAAGCAAATTCATTGTGTTCGTGATTTCCATCCTCATCTTTCTTCTCATTGAAAGCATCGGTTTCCACAGTATCCCCCTTTGGAATTTTCCTAGCCATGGGAACGATATCCCAGATAGTGGGAGCTTCGGAAAACACCTGATCGATAAGCTCAAGATTGCGACCCATTGTCTCAGGGAAGAAAGGCAATATAATCACAGGCATAGAAGCACAAGTTACAAAAAATACTAGGTAGTATTTCCAGCCAATACTTAACAGTGCCAGTAGGCTGATCATGGCGACTGTGAAATTCCACATCCAATGGTTGGCGGTAGAGACAGATGCCATAGCAACTCGAAGACGGACAGGGGCAATTTCGGCACAATAGAGAAAATTCCCACCGAAAAATCCGATTGGATAAAAGAGATTGAAGAGGAATATCATCACAGCAGATACAATTGATGCCGAATGGTTGGAGGCTGAAAGACTGTTTGTCACAGCCATCACCACCATGCACAGACACATTCCAGTGCCGCTAAAAGCGAAGAGTGAGCGCCGCCCAAGCCGGTCCACGGCTACAAATGCAATAAAGGAACACAAAAACTTCCAAGTCAACGAGGATGCGGCAACAATTTCAGGAATATCGCCTTGCAGATGTAAGTTGTCTTCGAAGATCGTGGTTGTGTAAATCGTGATGAGGCTTTCGCCGACTAACTGCTGTAGTGTCTGAATTGCGATACACAGAATAAAGCGATATCCAAGCCGGCACTCGTTATTGCCTCGAAAGATTTCGATAATTGATACTGAGGGAGTCGACTTAAGCGCGTGCTGGATTCGATAAATCTCGTTTTCAATATCTCTGTCATCACTTGTGACACCGTTCAACCGAGCGAGAGCCTCTTTGGCGTGGGATATTTGGTTCTTCTGGATCAGCCAGTGCGGCGACTCCGGTAGAGAATAAATCGTACAGCAAACAAGCAGGGAGAAAAGTACTGGAATCGCTAACGGAATCGCCACTGTAGAGGTGGAAAGGCGAATTTGCTGCAGCCGAAATTGATCCAGCTCGACGTAAAAAACCCCACGCAGATGAATATGCCCGACGTGATCACCTTACGTCTACGTTGAGTAGTATTTGAACTTTTGGCTTGCCAAACGGGCATAGTAACATTCAATTGACCGACACCGAATCCAAGAATAACTCGGCCTATGATGAGTTGGGGTAAAAAAAGGCAGTACACTGGAGAATCTGTCCAATTCCAGCAAGGATGCCAGCCAGGAAAATACTCTTCCTCCGCTCTAATCTATCTCCAATGATGGAATATGACAAGGCACCTACTAGTGCACCTAATTGAAGGCAGCCATTGACAAGACCTTCAATCGTAGAATTCGTTGATTCCTGGGCGCCGGTTGTGTCGATTGTGTCGATTTGGGGGAACAATCGCACGACATCTGGAAGTTTCAACAAGGCAGAGAGACCGGATTGATTATAGCCATATAGGATAAAAGCTGCTGCTGTAATGAGGGTCTGTAGCCACGATAGTTTCGCCGAACTTGAAAGCATGGTAAATGTCTAATCTGAATATTATGAACGATTTATTGAAACGGAGAAGTAGTTTAAACGCAAAATGAAAATAATAAGGAGAACCTTCGAGGTATATATAGCACTTGAGGTGGCTTCAGTAAATAATGCCCAGGTGCTTACTTCCTTTCTCCTTTCCCCCATCTCCAGATTCCCCGCATTCTCCACAATATAACTTTTTGCCACAGCCCACAAACTCCATCTCTCACCTTACGCAAGAATCAAGATATTAATTGTATGAGGTGCGCTGGTGAAGTAGATCTAGAGGGAAGATCGGCTCCGCTCCGAAGCGGTTTCGGGGAAGCGGCTCACATCCGCTTGGCATGGAATGTCGTGGCCCGTATGCACTGTTGTACTATCAACTTTCCGTCCTGTGCTGCCTGATCCAGAGTTATACATCGGGATGATGCCCTTCAGCCGTACTATTAACACTTCCGGAAAGTCTCCTCCTGCCTAGGTGTTTGGCTAAAATTCTTATCACACGTTATATTCACTTTTCAACCAGTTCAGGCTGGTAGTTGTTTAGGGCTTGCGTGAAGTTAATATCTGCAATTTGTGATATGATGTCTCTCGGTGACTCCAAAACGATAGTAATGACCGCAAAGGAGTGGACATCTCTTCCCTCTAACTTTCGCCCACTCAGCGACTCGGAGCATTCACAAAATCAAAAGCGTGGCCAACTCCTTGACTCTTTCCTCGAAGGGCCACTATTCGTCCCTCCACTTTCTTCCTTGCTCATTGTCGATATCCCATATGGCCGAATATTCTCGGTTGACATTGCTACAACGGAATGGTCTCTTGTGGTTCAATATGATGGTGAGCCTAATGGATTGGCCTGGCACGCGATCACCCAGAAGGTCATTATTGCCGACTTCAAGATGGGAATCCTTTCTCTTGACCCAAGAGATAATTCGATCAAAACGATCGTTGATCGCTATCATGGCGAACGTCTCAAAGGACCTAATGATATTTGATTGTCGACGCCAATGGTGTTATTTGTTTTACCGACCAGGGCATGACGGGTCTTCATGATCCAACGGGTCGTGTGTTCCGTTTATTCCCCGATGGCAGACTCGAATTGATCCTGTCAAATAGCCCTTCACCCAACGGCCTTGTTTTCAGTAAAGATAAATCTTCCCTTTTCGTCGCTATGACCAGGGACAACGCGGTTTGGCACATTCCTTTCTTCCAAGATGGATCCGTACAAAGAAGGGGTCGTTTTTCGTCATATTATGGCATCGGCGGTCCGGATGGGATAGCTTTAGATGAGGAGGGGAACGTTTTTGTAGCTCATTCGACACTGGGCACCATTTTTATCTATCTGCCCAATGGGGAGTTCATGGGGAAAATCAAGAGTCCGATAGGTCAAGGTACGACGAATTTGACCTGGGCAGGAGAAAATTTGAAGACATTGTATATTACCGAGGGCGAGACTGGAACGATATTGACGGTCGATTGGTATTGCGCGGGTTGCCTATGATGAAGCTCATCAGCTTTACGTCAAGAGCCATAGTGGCTTTGACCTCTCAACAGAGCGTACCCACACGGTAATATAGAACAATTCATTTCAATTTTTGTTCGGTCTTCTAGAAAGCAGCCATGAACCATATAGTCGTAGCTGGTCGATCCCCAGCACAGTGTCAAATATGGATGGCAGTTCGGAGTCTCTGAACTCTGCCTAGGTGAATTAGGCCCCCTGGATATGACAATACCTGTAAAAATAAATGCCCAATTTCCAGCCTGAAGCCGTTGGTGAGGTGCTAAGGGGTGTAACAAAACTAGTCTCAAAAAGGTGACTCCGGTATATCAGGATTTGAACTATCAGCCTCTATGATCGTAGCCTTTATCATCTCAGTGCGGGGGAACTTCCCATGATCAGCATTTGAGAGGACGAACACATCTCAAAGATCCAGATTGCAGCATAAATTTAGATTTTATTCGAGGTAATGTTGCGCGACCAGAGAATAGGGGAAAAATGAGAAAAATGAAAATAAAAACTTACCTCTAGATATTCTCTCTTATCAGGCCGCATCACAACCACATTGACGACTATTCCGTCAATATCTTGAGAAAAACATAACCTGATAAAGATGACAAAGCAAAGGCTGAGTCGCGAGTCCTATAGAGTAGGATGGATCTCCCCATTAGAGGTGGAACAAATCGCAGCGCTGCAAATGCTAGACGAGGAGCATGAGTGTCTTCCTCAATCAGGCGGAGATATAAACATTTATCACCTCGGCAGCATTAGCGGCCATAATGTTGTGATCGCTGGTCTTCCTTTCCCCGGAAATTGCCCTGCTGCTGCTGTCATTACACAAATGCGAATGACATACCCGAACCTGAAATTCCGCCTCCTAGTTGGCATCGGTGGTGGTGTTCCGAGAAAAACAGACGCCGGTATGCTTCGCTTGGGACATGTTGTGGTTAGTAAACCAACTGGTACACATTCTGGGACTGTTCAGTATGATCACGGCAAGGCACGTATGGGTCATTTTGAACAAACGGGATTCCTTGCGCCCCCACCTACAGCCTTGCTCAACATTATGCGGGATATCGCCATACAGCGTCAACTTGTCGACCATGATCCTATCCAGGAAAATCTAAAACGGATTAATACCAGTTGACCATCTCTGCGTCGATTTGGATTTCCAGGACTTATGAGCGACCATCTTTTCCCTGCGGATTATGCCCATCAAACTGCTGGCATCTTATGTTCAGATGGGTGCGATCTTAGTTGACAGATCCAGAGACAAGGGGAGGGTGAAAATGAAGGAATTATTGTACACATGGGCACAATAGCGTCTGGAGAGATGGTAATCAGGAATTCTCATGTGAGAGAACACCTAGCACGGGAGCATGACGTGTTATGTTTCGAGATGGAAGCTGCCGGCGCGCTCTCTGATTTCCCATGCCTCGTCATTCGTGGCATTTCAGACCATTGTGACTCGCATAAGAATGATATTTGGCATGGGTATGCTGCGGCTGTTTCCTCTGCATATGCCAGAGAATCACTCTCCCATATGCCTCTGGAGGAAACAATGTGAGTTCATCTCTATCAAAAAGCCCCTCACGTCGATTTTCCCTAGGATACTGACGCGTAATCAAGACCAGTTATACCGGTGAAGAAAAAAGCGACATCTAGCCCAATTCAAATCAACGCGTTCCTTCAGGCAGTCAAGGATGGGAAAATCGACGAACGTAAACTCTGGATCCCAATTGTGGGTCTTGATGCCCGGGACCCTCGCACTGGCCGCTCCGCACTATCGTTCGCGGCTGAAGGTGGGAATATACTGGTGGCCAAGATTCTTCTTGAGAATCATGCCTCAGTCAATGTCCGCCAATATGGTCGCCCAGGTGATAAACGCTATATCGGCCCTGAATGGACCAGTGGCCGGACAGAGTTGGGGTAAGCCGTGCATCGAGGACATACAGAGATGGCTGAGCTTCTTTTAAGACACGGCGCACATCCAAATAGCAAAAACAGGATGGGACATACCGCCCTTCATTACGCATGTATGCTGAACAATCACCGGATTGCGAGGGTTCTTCTTCAAAATGGTGCGGGTGTGAATTGCGCTCACAATGTATGTTTATGACACTCGTTTCTCTCCCGTGTTTTTGGATTAACCAATGCTGTTTAAGGGTTGGAGCATGAAGCTATCTTCCGAAATTATCTCGAGATACTCCGGGTTGTACTTGAATACCAGTATTTACTTGACGTTAATACCAATAGGTCTGACCGTAGGGTACTATTGCACTTTGCTGTCAACATGAAGAGTCTAGAAATAGTCAAGCTACTTCTTAGGCATGGAGCCTCTCCAGATGTTCAAATGACTAAATATGTTACTCCTCTGCATCTGGCTGCTGCAGGTGGATGGATTGAAGGAATACGTACTCTGGCTGAAGCCGGCGTATTGCTCGACTCAAAGGACAGGCTGCTTCTCGAAACACCTTTCCACAAGGCGGCACGAAACTGGGAGTCGGAAGCGTGTCGTGTCTTGATCAAATATGGATCCAGTCCTTAAGAGCAGAACATCGATGGCCAAGACTATCAAACTCTATTGGAACTTGCGCACCAGTACCCCAAAGATTGGGGAGTGGATCCCAAGAAGGTTGCCGATCTCAGTTAACCGTTTTCTTGCACAATATTATCAAACCTGGCCGGAGTCAATGTGTATATGGTTTCAGAAGAATAGAGATGAGACGGATTCGGAGTTAAAAAGCGACTGGCTTTTTCTTCGATCGGGTTTAGACATTCTACCTGGAATAATATCGGGTTTCAATGTTTAAGATGTACATATGCTTTTCTTCGGTCCTGACGATTTCCACTGAAATTTGGAGTGGCATCACTCCCGAGGTCTTTCCAAGGCTTCATGCTTCATATTTACTTTTTTGGTTTGCAGCCCCAATGGTTGGCAGTTTGAAACACACGAAACACCAAGCACAATGCTTCGAAGAAAACGAGAGACCAAATTATAACGAAACTCTGAAAATCACAACCCGGGGTCTAGATATCAATCAGGATCTCACACGTCTGGTACGCCGGTTGTGTCTTCGCCAAAATTGAAAATAGATTTGGGAAATCAAGAAGAAGCGAGGCCGATGCTGCATTTAGCAGAATCCAGGCTGCCAATATTCTGGATTTGCAAGAGGTCGGCAAAAGCAATGGAAGACTATCACAGACCACAAAGTTAATATGCGAGAAGATCCAGAGAAGAACCCACAATTGCAGAAATTGATACCCGCCAATGGGCCAATTCGGGCATAAAGCGCCAAATATGAGGATAGTGAACAGCGAGCTAAGTAGAGTCCAGGCGGCGGAGATAAGGATCAGAAGGCCCACGGTTCCGAGCGGAGTAGTACTTCGATGTAATTTCAATCTCACACAGAGGTTATGAACTGCTTGTAGAATAATGGGCCCCTGAAACAGTGTGAAAAAGACAAGAAATAAAGCCGTAGTTGAGAAAGAGTACTGCAATTCTTTTTCATCACTTATTGCTGTCAAAAGCCACGGATTGTTCAATATAGGTACGCTTGTGGGATTCCGAGTAATTATGGACCATTCTTCAGGTTGAAGGTCTCTGGTGAAAGCGGCACGAGCTTTGGTACTGAGAGTTTGGATGGAATTCATAATCATAGAATCCATGATGTCGGAGTATTGATGCTTGTTCCAAATGTATAGTAAGGTATCGGATCGGTTGAAAATTGTGAGATCTGATCTGCCCACCAATTCACTGACCAGCCTGTCAGAGGCTCCCGGTGAAGTGAATAACACTGTATGGTATAGTCTGCGACAAACCACCCTTTCCAAATCTGTTGTGTGCGAAAATTTGGAAATAGGTTGCTTAACTATGTTTGGGAAGCTTTTCCCCTGCAGTTGTATATAAGCTTTTCGGACAGATTTTCCTACAACTCCCTGATCGTAGTCGACGTACAGGATTTTCGCTTTGGAGACATCCATATCGCGCTTAATCAGAGAGCCTAAGGTCAATACGGAAAGCCCGAAGATAATAGCCTGCAAAAATCTCTGGCCCATGATGTTGGGGGAAAATCGTATTCGCTCGTGTGGAGGCGGAGGGTACTTCATCTGGTCACAAATCAGTAGGGAAACAGCAAATCTAGGTATATTGCGACTTTATATACCTCTGATTATCTGACGGTCAAAGGTATGATAAATCAATGCAAACGGCCCTGGTGACATGAACTGAGGAACGGAGAGTATGGGATGGAGAAAGCAATCGGGAAATGTTGTTATAAAAGGCCCGTTCATAAGCCAATATACTTCGGAAGGGATTTAGTGCAAGTAATAAACTTGAATTCATGTGGGTCGAAAAAACCGCGCTTGAAATTGATAGATCCATGCCCAAGTGGATGTATTGGTCGGATCGAATCTGAAAGCTAAGTGACAATGCGACACATATGAACCTTTAGCCTGAGAAGACGGCTGGAGGGAAGAGGGACCTCGGAAAGTCCGATATTGACCCAGAAAATGCTCCTTAGGCTAGTATACATTCGCTGCAGATCCATAGGGCATCTAGACCGACGCCTTATGGATCTAGTTCGTTGTTGGTACCAACCTTGATTCTGTTTCATATCAACCTTATCTGACGTCATGATCGATCGTAAAGTTGCATTTTATTCAGGTTTGTAGCACAACTTTAGAAGCATCAATACCCTTTTACGTTACGCAACAAGTATGCAGCCAGTACTGCTTCTTGGGAAGCCAATTATCACCCACCCGGGCAGTCAGTAACTCTCGGTATCTCCATTTATTTCCGAGGCTGTTGAATGAAAAGTACTATGCTTCGCTATGGCTTTTCCAATTATTAGAGTTTTAGAATGATCAATAATTCCGATCTTTAGCTCGCGTTGCTCTTCGTATGATTGGTCAGGGGATATGACCTCAGCCTCAGCCTTCTATAAGGTGACTCACGTACTCCATATTTAGTGTTCGCATGGATGACGATTCCGAAAGAAAGCGATTGATACGTGCTAGTACGGAGATAGAGCAATGACTATCTTGAACCGTACTCGAGGTATGCTCTTCTAAACCTTCGAATACAGGATGAAATTGCAAATGAGGGGGCGCCTGGCACCTGGGTAATCTTCGGATAGGAATGTTCAATTAAACATGAGAGTGCTAGTAAAATTCACCTCCACTTTCTCCGACATCATATTTTCCCTCCAAGTCCCCATGGATCTTCAAGTATCAATCCCCCTTGTGGGGTCGCGGACGCTAATAGTAGGGACCTCGCAGTGATACGGGTTTTACTCATAGTTCTCCAATTCCTTCTTTTTTTTCATTTCTATTCTTTGAAACACGAATGAAATAACTTTCCGCCTGTCCTTTATCCGTATATTCGTCTCTATCCTTCTTTATTTTTCAGTATTACCGTCCAATATTATCTCTGCCGAGTATACTACATTCCTACCCGTGGATAGTATGACCGTTTGACCTTATCCGAAACTATCGGATAGATCTTGAGCTGCTCTCGCAACTCAGACAAAAAAGTGGAGACGAATATGTTCATCCGATATCGCCAACATCATGATTGAATAGTTTAAGTGCAAATGTTTAAGTCTGTATAAAGAGCTACCGCTTTTGTGGTCGACAGAAATGTATACAGTAGTCTAGTTTTCAGGTATCAATCGCTTCCGAGCTTTTCCGGTAATATCATCAGATTCATCACTAGGTGGCAAGGCTATCAATCAACACATATCCAATTTTTACCAATATTTAAACGAAGTGAAGAGCAAAATACCTAGCTCCTAAAAAGTGCATATGTGAAGCTATCACCTCTGCTTAGAAATAGGGTCGCGGCGCCATCTAAATAGTTGCATCTCAGTCATGCCTTCGAGACGGCAGAGCCGAGGCTTGAAAACAAGAAATGGATGTGCTCAATGCAAACAGCGCCGAATAAAGGTATGATTGACTCTGCATCCTTGGGGTGGGAAGGTCTTCAACCTTAGCCAACATTGTTTATTCCTTATCTGGAAGGGCCCTAGATACATCACTAAGCAGAGTGGATGAATATAATTCCTAACGAGAGGTTTTGTCCAATTTACAGTGCGATGAAAAGAAGCTAAGCTGCTTCAATTGTAATCGGTTCAACCAGGACTGCAGTTTTCAACACACGGAGCCATTCCTCTTCATATCGCGTGCTCTCCTTCAACCGAATCTGTCAAATCCATCCTCGCATGTTGAATCAGAGCCAGAGGCATCACGAAAGCATCGAAATGACCAACTTATGCTACCGTGTGAACCCTCCTTCACGTTAGAGGATATGCGTCTGCTCCACCACTTCACCACCTACACCGTTGTGACTTTATCGGATCATACAGAGGCTCAGATGGTATGGAGTACTAGCATCGTGAACTGCGCGTTTCAGCATCCATTTCTGCTTCAAGGTATCTTAGCCATCGCTGCACTGCATCTCGCCGCTCGAGACCCTAAGAAAGAAGATAGGCTGTCAATTATGGCTGCCAGTAAGCAAAACATCGCTTTACACGATTTTCGCTCACAAATGGAACGAATCACGCCGGAGAATTGCGATGCATTGTTTGCTTTCTCCTTTCTCGCTAGCTACTACATCCCAGCGTCCGCGGGCACCGTGATCAACCCGTCGGGAAACTTCCTAAAAGAAGACATGTTCAATGCAATAGTATATTGGTTGCAGCTATGTCATGGTACAAGCAGCATTTACCATCATTCAAAGGAATGGATCGGAGAAGGGCCTCTGAGCAGTCTCTTTTGGCCAGACCAGTACTCTGAGATCGATCGATCTAGTGTGGTTTGCGAACAGGTTCCTGTCTCTGCACCCCACGAGCGGCGTCTAAGAGAGTTGGAGGACCTATGTCAGCAAGACCTGGGCCGAGAAGGACTCGATAGTGCGACGGACATTGAGGAAAAAGAATTGAATGCACATGCCCTCGGAATATTCATGAAACTCTTTCGTCGTTTGAATGACCAGCACAACAGACAAGATGTGCAGCCCTCCGCAAAATTGATGCACAAGTTACCCGAGCTTCAACGCGACACGAGGAAAAGACCCTCTGTCTTCACTTTGTCGCTGGCTTGGCTCTTCGAGATTCCATTGGGATTTATCGAGCTACTGGAACAGCAACGGCCTATCTCCTTGGTGATTTTTGCACATTTTGCGCTCCTGCTGCTTCATGCACCGCAATTCTGGTGGAATAAGCCTATTGCCATGAAAATTGTGAAAGCAGTCAACACATCTCTGGCTACCCGATACCATCGGTGGATCAAATGGCCTTTACATGAAATCATGCAGCGATATGACCAGATGGGCTATGCTGGAGTGAGCCATGTCAATAGCTCACATAATCGTGCGCATGTATAATACGTTTCATTCAAATGTTCCAACCTCCAAGGACTAGTTCAGTTATAGCGAAAAGTGCACATGTGCTGTCTTATGGTTCTTCACTAGGAATCCTCTAGAGAATTATAGATTGTCAGGGACGATATAATAGATTAATAAAGACTGAGTAGGGCCCTGCGGGCAAATTTACCTATTGCGACCGGCTGAATGGATGCTATTAGTATTTGTCATTATCGCCCACTAGGTAATATTTCGCACTGGGCAATCACAATGGACACTCTACATCGCTTATGCTGAAGGCACTTTGAAGGTTAATCTGAAAAATGAATTTATTCTTGTGAACGCAAGTTGAGTAATGAATGTGGAGTGATGAAGGTCAAGTGACTCGAGTCTAAATACATTCTGGTATGCGGAAAACAGATCTGTTCACCGATCCTCAAATCCCCCGACTCTTCACACATACAGGGAGATGATTAGGCCGCTGCTCTAGATAGAGACAGGGGCCTCAGAGTCGTGGAACTTGCCGAGCTTCAGCAGACGCTTCGCGTTGTCACGACCAATGCGACGGTAGTTCTCGACGCCACCGACAGCTTCAGCAATAGCCTTGGCTTCATTGTCCCACCACCCACAGGCATCCTCAATAGTCTTGTAGGGGTAATCGACACTGAAAAGAAGACGGTCGGCACCGATCTCACTGACAACATACTTCAGGGTCGCAGTAGAGAAGTGACCACTGGTGGTGATCCAGATATTGTGCTTGAAGTAATCGTAGATGGTCTTCTTGCACATGACGCGGCTTTCCTCATCGGCAATCGGCTTCTTAACATCCTCAAACCAGTGGTTGATACGCCAGAAGTCGAAGGGGATATGCTCACCCTGGTGGCCAATGATAACCTTAGCCTTAGGGAAGCGATCAAATACACCGTTGCTGATCAATCCCAAGATATGGAGGGAAACATCGTTGGCAAATGAGAGAGGGGGTCCAAGAAGGTAAGGACGCTGGGCGTAGAGCTTCTCATAGATCACACCGGTAGGAGCAGCAGGGTGAATATAGAGAGGGACATCCAGCTCAACCAGGACCTTCCAGAAAGTATCATACTCAGGCTGATCGTAGAAAAGGTAGGTCTCGCCGTCAGGGCCAGCGTGCTGGAAGTTACAGAGAAGGGCGCCATGGAAGCCAAGTTCCTTAACACAGCGGCGGAGCTTCTGGCCAGCTTGGACGGGGTCGTGCATTGAAAGACAGGCAAAGGCACCCATACGGTTACGGTGGCTCTTGATCTGACCAGCGACCCAGTTGTTGGTCTCCGTAGCAAGTCGCTTGGCCTCAGCCTTGTCGGTAACACCCTGGATACCAGGAACGGTCAAAGAGACAACTGTATAGCCGATGCCGTGGGCGTTAGAGAGCTCCACACGCTCGCCATTGATGTCGCTAATCTGGCGCATATAACGCTCGCGGTCGGTAGGAGCGATGTAGAGCTTGGCTTCGCGGATGGACTTCTCCTCCTGGCCAGTGCGCTCATAGGCCTCTTCGAGTGCGATCTTTCCGAGCATTTTGAATCAAACGGGTGAAGATTGAAGGGGAGGTTTTTGAAAGAAAGATATCTTGTTTGAATTTGTGTTGAAAGTTGATGTGTGATGAAGAGAATAAGGCCTATCAACCGGCATTGTCATGGGTTCTTATATAGATTTACTTCGAGCACTTGAGGCAATATGACACGGAAGTTGCGGCATTTTGTGGATAAAACGTAAAGAATGATCTAAGCATTTGCTATCCGGACTGGGCTACCGTATCCTGGATGGGAAACTCGTCGGATTGAAGATGCCGACGTATCTGAGAGCATATAGATTGAAAATGGTGGTGATTATGTTTGGATAGAGGTTGGGGCACGATTGATGATCTACGGGGGTGGAATTGTTAACCAATCGCACGATGAGCAACGCGAGGTTAAATTCGGGATTTCCAGTCGATCCCGAGGTCCTTTTCGGAAACTCTAATCATTTATCGGAAAATCTAATTATTGGTCGGAATGCCTCTTTATGGATCCCCCATATGAGATACTCCGTAGTTTTCATCCAATCAGCAAACAATCGAACCGGGAGCTTGTTGATTGGTTTAATGATAAATCTATAGACTCAAGCTCAGTATCCAGCAAGCTATCACTAGTGCAATGGATCTCTCGGCACGACAAGTCTAGACTACTGCCACATACACACAGGCAGTGAGCTGAATAGGATCCGGCTTATGTTGATAAGAGTGAAAATGTGAAATTTCACGCAGAAAATTCAAGTTGTGAAATCCAAAAAAGACTCCACGTACACGGGTAGTCGGCTGATCCAAATCAATGGCCACCCGTTTATAAAAAAAAAAAACTTCAAGTTAGATCCATGATAAATATCCCTAGCCACATTGAATGCTCATGATTTTATTTTGGAGGCCCATCCATATCTTTCAAGGATTATACCAACCTGAATTTGACACAGCTGGACATTGAACCTTCTTCCCATTGAAGATTGAAAACATCGGGGCAGAACAACAAAAATGCAAGCCTCTTTTCAGTATCGTCGTATCACACTCTCTGCAGAGCAGCAGTACCAACGATACCACCCCCTGAAAACAGTTCAGTCTGACTCTACCATCGTCATTGAGCCCGAACGATTTCCCGCTAACAGACCATTATTGGACGCCATATTCTGCAGGAAGCGATGAGGAATCCTTTCTAGCTGCACTGATAAGTAACCCGCTACAAAGATCTCAGGCAAGGTCAACACCTGTCAGTGGCTCGGGAGCATTGAATGGGGTAGCTTTACAGCCTGGAATTTTTATTCAACAGCATGGCACAGCCCATGATGGAGGTCCTGAACATGTCTTCCTCGTGAAGTGGGCTGAGGAAGATGGCAAAAACAACCCACGAAACTTCAATATGTGCAAACGGGTCGGTGCGACGCTGGTCGTGGACCCTTATCTTTTGTCGTAGGGATTGCTTCTTCTAATGATACGGCTATACTGCCACAGGCAAGTCAGGAGTTGCATGTGAGCGAGGTAGTGGAATCGATCGCAACTGGTAAGTCCTTTATCAAGCTGTCCCTTGGCTCTCATCCAACGATGCATATGCTCAAGATAAACCTTTCCCAAATCAAGGTTGCTGACATTATGAACTTCAGGTATCTACCTGCTTGGATTTGCACTTGGCTCGCTATTCTCAGGCCCTCTCTCTGAAGTCTTTGGACGTAACGCAATCCACATTGGCTCCTTGGGTCTCTTTTCGATTTTCATTATGGCCTCTGCGCTAGCCCCGAATATTGGTGCCCAACTTGCTTTCCGATTTTTAGCTGGAATTTTCGGCTGTCCTTCTCTCACTTGATGTGGTGGGACCATTGCCGATATGTGGGATCCGATGGAGAAAACAATCATTTTTCCTCTTTGTTCTCTAGGAGCTTTCGGAGGCCCCATTCTTAGTCCAATAATTGCTTCATATATCGGACCGAGTACACTCTCATGGAGATGAGCCGACTGGCTCACTTTAATCATGGCGGAGCTGTTAATGATTATTGTGCTGATATGGATGCCGGAAACCTATTCACCACTCCTTTTGACATGGAAAGCACGCCATCTGCGTGAGATAACGAGCGACCCGCGATATCGATCGATTCTGGAAGTTGAAGACGTTAGTCTTCAATCGGATTTTTATTACCTTCCGACACCAGGGCCAGCTGATAGTAAAGGAGCCTGTCGTTTTTTTGATTGCATTGTATCTTTCGATCGTGTGGATTGTTCTCTTCACATTCTTCGATGGTTAGACCTATATCTTCACTGACACTTACCATATCTCTCAGAGACTGACAAATGTTATATGGATTGCCATGTATGTTGGAGTCATACTAGGAGAGCTCTTGGTTCCTTTCTTGTACCGATCTCTAAAGAAAAATCCGCTCGCTTCTCGAGAAATTGGAAAGGCTTCAAGTCAAAAGATTCCCCCAGAGGCCCGTTTGTGGTTCGCTATGTTGTGCGGCCCTGCTCTACCCGTGAGCCTCTTTTGGATGGGATGGACAAGCTATGTGAGTTTACCTCTCCATGAATTTCTTGACATTGGGTTGAGCAAAATTATCTGACCCTTTGATCTTCTACCAACCGCAAGGCATCTATTAGCATATGGAGTCCTATTATGGCAACTACACTATTCGGTTACGCTATTCTTAGCATCTTTATCAGCTCATGCATGTATGTCATAGATGCATATGATATTCTCTCAGCCTCAGCTCTGGGATTCATGACCTTCTCTTGTTATATCACGGCTGGAGTGATGAGTATCGTTGGGCTTTCCTTCTATGAAAATATGGGTATCCAGTAGACCCTCACGATCCTAGCCTGTATCAGCCTTTTGGTGACTCCGTTGCCGCACGTGCTCTATCACTTTGGTCCACAAATTCGTTGCGGGAGTCAATATGCATTAAAGGACTAAGGGTGACTTTTTCAAATGTTGCAGATTAAAAGCAGCATTCTCCAGGAAAGATCACAAAACAATACAATAAAATCTTGCGACCAAGTGATCTTATTACTTGCGTGAATACTTGACTCCCGATCAATTGCCGTCTTTTTGACACTATCGTTAATCTTGATCCTTCTACTGCCAAAACCTAGGAACCTTGTCTGATCCCTGCACCGTGACTGTCTCGACACTAATGCGTGCCCTGGATACTTCATGTTCGGAAGCTTAGGCTTTCTCGGTTGTTGCGCTGGCCCCGGGGGTGAATTTAGGCAAAACCCCAACGGTGTTTGGAACCTACACGTCAATGTACTGTATATTAAGCAGCCATCGTCAAACTTGTCTCGATACATGAGATTGAACCATATCTTACGAACTTTTCTTCTTCTCTATGCTGCCTATGATATTTTCTTTCTTGATCACGAAGATTCCGTGTTGTTTGGTATGTGTTATCGGAAACTTTCAGAAAAGAATATACGCGTCAATACCGCGTCATACAGCGGAAACGGTTGATGAAGAAAAAATGGGTTCCAAGCCTGAGGTTAGTTCTAAACCTGTTAAGTGCTAAATTTATGAACCAATGTAGGGAGAGATGCGATTCCCGTGCTAACCATGGTGCTGCGTCGCGGAATCGAGCTCACGCCGACCGCTCACAGTGTGGTTTTCGGAACACCAAACTTGATTTGATGCTATTAATTTTATCCCTATGTCTAAACCTTGGAAGTTGCCATTAAGCTGAGCGTACTAAAACTCAATCAAACTCAATCAGAAATTGGAGGGTTTGCAAAGCCTAGGAAAGACATTGAATGTATTACGTCTTCTACGCATGTGTATTTTGTGTGACATCATGGCCCGGGATGACAAGGCTACTTTTTGAATGTTATAATAGAACTCCAGATCATACAGATGTCCATCTCTGTGCTATTCAGCACTCCCCAATTAATTGATTCACAGTATACACCTGAACCATCGCATCTCATCAACATGCTTGGCAAAGTTTCCTTCGAAGAAGCCTATGAGATTCCGGAGCTGGCCGACCAGAGTCGTGACCAGGCGGCTTTATACATCGCTCCACCCGATCTCGACCGGTACCTGCGTCAGATCAAGTCAATTTCTGGAGAGCGTCTGAAGGTTTCCGATGCCCATGGAATCGGCTACACAATCTGCTCCCTGACTGTCCCCGGCGTCCAAGGCATCACAGACCCAAAGACTGCCGAAGAACATGCCACCGCAGCCAACAACTATATCCACAAAGAGATAAAAGATCACCGTGACCGTCTTGGAGCGTTTGCAGCCTTGTCTATGCATAATCCGACTCAGGCAGGAAAGGAGTTAACACGTTGCGTTAAAGAGTTCGGTTTTCACGGAGCTTTGCTGAACGATGTTCAACATGCTGGACCGGATGGTGAAACCTATCTCTTCTACGATCAACCTATCTATGACACATTCTGGAAGGTTGTTTGTGATTTGGACGTCCCTATCTATATCCATCCTGCTGCACCTATGGGGCAATACTACAACCAGCAGTATGCTCAACGTAAGTATCTTGTTGGTCCACCGTTAAGTTTTGCCAATGGAGTCTCTCTTCACCTGTTAGGCCTGATCACCAATGGTGTCTTTGACCGCTTTCCGAAGCTAAAAGTTATTGTTGGCCATCTTGGTGAACATATTCCATTTGACTTCTGGCGTATCAACCATTGGCTTGAGGATGTTGAGCGACCCCTAGCTGAGAAGGCTGGGGACGTGATGAGCAAGAGGGATATTTACTATTACTTCAAGAACAACATCTACCTGACTACTAGTGGCCATTTCTCAACACCTACTCTCAAATACGTGGCAGAGTACCTTGGTCCGGAGAGAATTCTTTTCAGTGTGGACTATCCCTACGAAACCATCGAAAACGGTTGCGGCTGGTGGGATAAGGATGCTGAAAACATCAAGAAGGCTTTGGGCGGTCTGGAAGCTTATACCAATGTCGGACGTGAAAATGCTAAGAAGCTTTTCAAGTTGGGTGAATACCATGACTCGGAGGCGCCGGTGTTGTGAAGAATGTTATGGACCTACCATTCCCTCTGGCCATCACTACTACCTCAAATTATTATCTAATTTTTCTAGGAATAAAACCAGGGATCGTCCAGATGTCTCGCAATCAATTCCTATCAAGGATGAATATCAATATCCTAGTAGCAATATTGATTGACTCTTGACTCCGAGTCTGTAACCGTTCAAATTGTGGTTTTTTCTTTGCATTTGTATGAACGGATCTACCTCCAGGGCTCCAGGACTCCTGAGGTCCCTATGTACCAAAGGTAGTACTAGTAGTAATTAGTAGGACCGTTTCATGCGCCAAAATGCATGTGCTCAATCCCCCAGGGCCGAGGTCTGCAATAACTTGAAGCTGCAGTTTCATCCATGGTTGCACTGCTACTAGTAGTAATACTAGCCTCTGACATCATTCACGAGTAAAGTGTTGTGCAACTTCAAATGTTGAACATTCAAGTTCGTCTTGAATCCGAGCCTTGGAGCACGCAAGCTAAACACAACCTTGGAAGATGTTCTTCACCGGGTTATATCGCATCTATACAGGTTTCATTAGCCCACCAAAGGCGAGAAAGCAGGATGATGCCATTCGATTCGGCCTCCTTGGTGCATCCAACATTGCGTTTGTATTCCCATTGAACGGTCATTCCAAGTTCCACTAACACCAGTTGACAATGCAGCCCATTTTCCCTGATCGGCCCCGCAAAATCACACTCCGAGGTAGTCGTCGCCGCAGTTGCAGCCAGAGACCGTTCCCGCGCCGAGACATATGCGAAGAAACATGGAATTCCTATCGTACACTTCACTTATGAAGGTAATCAAGGATCCCAAAATTTTAGTTGGACATATCATGAGCAGCTTTCTTAACATATATTCTTGCAGACCTCCTTCAAGATCCCTCGATAGATGCCATCTATATCGCGCTCCCAAACAGCCTCCACTACGAGTGGGCCCTGCGTTCCATTCGCGCTGGAAAACACGTCCTGTTGGAGAAACCATCGTGTTCCAATGCCGAAGAAGCGCGCGCGCTATTCAATCATCCGCTTTTAAAAGCGAAGGGTGCACCTGTTCTCTTGGAGGCTTTTCATTACCGCTTCCACCCGGCGTGGCAAACATTCCTGGCGCGTATCCACGACGATCCTGAAGCAGGCCAAGTGAGAAATGCTTTTGTTCAGCAATATTTGCCAAAGGGTTTCTGTCCAGACGATGATATTAGATGGCGTTTTGATCTTGCAGGAGGCGCAATGATGGATTTCGGCACATATACGGTGAACTGTCTCCGACAAATTTTCAACCAAGAGCCGACCGAAGTGCTTGAGGTAAAGTTCCGAGGCCTGCCGGCCCCGCTACCCGATCTTCCAGAGGCAGGGCAAATAGACCAGGCGATGAACGCGAGTTACCGGACTGCTGATGGTAAATTTGGAACACTGGTGGCTGACTTGTCTGCGTCTGGAGAATGGCCGATGCTTCCCAGTTCATGGACACAAAGCCTGCCGCGGTTAGGCTGGCCTAAGTGCGAAGTGGAACTAGAGGAATGCGCGATCGAGAATATGGATGGACGTGTACACAGTGTCAAACGAAATGTGACTATGTGGAATCACCTGGCGCCTAGTCTTTATCATCGGGTTGATGTAGAAGACACGCATACAATTCGACTTGGCGACCGGGTGGTGAAGTCGTGGAAAGAGTTCAAGAAAGAGAAAGCGTACAAATGGCTATCTGGTGATGTGCGTGCGAATGATGAGCAGGATTGGTGGACCAGCTATCGTTATCAACTGAACGAGTTTGTTAATAAGGTCAAAGGGCGTGAAGGCTCAGGGGTTTGGGTTGATGGAGATGATAGCATTAGGCAGATGGAGGCTGTGGATGAAACATATCGCAAGGCTGGACTTCAAGTACGCCCAGGAAGCGATTTGAAACTTTAAACTATTCACGCGGTCATTAATTCCATTTAAAAATATCACAGCTCGCTACTAGTAAAATCGTCATCTAATGAATCGGAGCTTTGGGTTAATAATTCCAAGGTTAGTTACAATACCCTGTCTCGTGTCTCGCTTTATCTCTTCCATAATATGTTAGTACCATTCGATATTAGAAAACGATAAGGAACATAACAAAGATGAAATTTCAAGTTGCAGCCCTACAGGCACAGCGTTGCAAGTTCTTGTTATAACAAAAATCCATGGCAATTACTACTTCCTGTTTCACATGTGCACCTAGGCAGCCTAAGACATTCTAAGCTCAAGCATAGATAATTTATCATTGGCGACTAGGTAAAATTTGAACTATTAAACATGAAATTATACTCAATGTTACATGCAGCTGATTTTTGATTCATCTTTTATTCCGATCGAAATTGAAGATCAATATTTATTTTTTTCTGAATTATCCAATAAATTAGTGTCGGCATGCCGCTTAACCGTGTCCGGGTTCGGACCTCGGAGGCCTCGGAATGTCATCAACCTTGTACAACCTTGTACATACGCTTTGAGCTGAAATTGGATGAAATAATAATAAGAATAGAACATTTGAACCATTGGACTAAGTGGTGACGACGATCCATATCGGCCCAAGAAATATTGTGTGAACTATACATACCCAGGTATATATCTCAAACCTGAAGCCTGGAATATACTACTACCTAATATCCATCCGACTCGGAGGTCATCCGTTTTCATATCCCACACTACGAGTTCAAGTTCTGCAGAAACCTTGGAAGTCAACTTCAACCTCAACCTGAGGCTACAACTTCCTCAAAGCTTAATTGAAATGGAGAAGTACGTACTATGCAAACCTGAACACGCACGAACTTGTACTACCAATGTACTGTGCAGTTTGTCGGCAAGCAACCTTGGAAGGGTTCAAATGTGCTAATAACAAAAGAAGATATTTCTCATACAACACAATATGTACGACCGAAAGCGGAACAGAGCTTCCCCAGTATGATATCTGTCACAGCGTCACTTTCCGTGGGGTTGCACCTACGAAAACTCCCAGCCCTGCATCGCCTCTCGAGTACCCCGAGAGGGACCTGCATGTGAATGAACAACAGAGGACCAAAAATCACACATTCCTTCCAAAAGTGAAATGTACCGTTCAAGCACGTATCCCGACAACATTTGGCACAGATCTACGGCTGCACGTTTATAAGAACGATTTCGATGACAAATCTCATCTGGCATATGTTTTCGGTGATCAAATTCAGAGCCTGAGCTTGAATCTGAGAATTGAAGATGATACAGACTTAGACCGAATGATTCGAGGAGCCTATAAAGGGAGATTATGGCCTGGGCAGCTCAACAGTGAGGATTCACGGTTGGGTATCACACATGCAAAACCTCCGAAAGAAAGTGAGACATTGGTTCGTGTTCATTCAGAATGCTATACTGGGGAGACAGCATGGTCTGCGAGATGCGACTGTGGAGAGCAACTGGAGGAAGCAGCGCGTATGATGAGCACGTCTAGAAGCGGCGTAATCATATATCTTCGACAAGAAGGCCGTGGGATCGGTCTGGCAGACAAACTGAAAGCATACAATCTTCAAGATCTAGGATTCGATACGGTCGATGCAAACCTAGCCCTCGGGCACCCAGCAGACTCCCGGATGTATGGGATAGCGACCGCGATTCTGATGGACCTTGGCCTAGGGAACGATTCGGGCAGTCCCGGAATTCGTTTGTTAACGAATAATCCAGATAAGGTCAACACGATTGGAGGACCTAACGGAGAGGTCACCGTGAAAGAAAGAGTACCTACAATCTCTTTGGAGTGTGACTCTGACTCTAGTAGAAGCTGGGGATTGAATAGCCCGGAGCTTCATACATATCTAGAAACTAAGGTAGGAAATCCTCAGGTGACAACTGATTTCAAGGTTTGCATGATTCTTATTAATATCTCAATAGGTTCACAGAATGGGACATCTTATACTCGCAACTGCAGGTGATGGCTGCCGATAATATACAGGTTCAATTTTGGAGATGAAAAATCGGTCCTGGCAGGTGGGCAAGGCTTCAAATGTTATGTCGATCGTAGTATTTAGAATTTTGAATGTCCACGTGTACATGTAACCTTGGAACACTTTTACTTCAAGTTGCGAGGTCCACGGGGTTCAAGTTCTTCTAAGTTTACTCTGAGTCTTCGTACGCTTCAAGGTTTAACGTGCGTACATGGATATGTAATAGTACATACTATCAATTCAAATATTCACTAGTAATCATGATGACGGTTGAAAACCTTGGAACCTTGGAATTTTATATGAAACTTGAACTTTGAACTTGAATTTACACAATATTAGGAGCACTGACCTCAGGAATTCTAGATATCAAATATGTATTCAAGTTTCCGAGTCCCGAGTCCCGAGGTCTGTTTGAAGCCCTGGGGCCCTGGAGACGGATCGATTCAAGTTAGAGATAAATGCACATGTGCCCAGGTGGGCCTTCACCTGGCCTGACAGGGCTCGGGATATGCAGAGCGAACATTTCAAGTTGAACCTTGAAACTTGAACTTGAAGGAACCGTTCAATGCCCAGGTGTTGGCCTCATATACATAGGTACTAGTATTATTCAAAAATTTCTACCGGGTCCGAGTCATCATGACATCTGGACGTCCGAACATCTGGAAGGGCGGGGAGACCAGAATCCGTTTCAAGTTCTTCTGGTCCGTAGAACTTGAACCGTGACATAGGTAGTATGGCCAGCCCTGGAGGCAGATTAGAAGACTGGAAATTTCCGTTTATCATACCCGGGGCAAACAATGGGATAATGTGATTTCGAGGTTTTAATATTTCAATATTATTAGCATGAGGTTCGACTGATTGACCCTTAGAAATTAATTTGAAAGTTCGAGTTCGAGTTATAACTTGAATACTCCGAGTCGTGTTCATAATTTCAAGTTCTCATTTTCCGTTCAAATTCACACACACACACACACACATACCACCTGGGTAAACGAGACAAAATCTTCCCGATGTCCGAGTAGTAAATGTATAGAACGATACAGCCTACGCATTCCAGCACAATATGGTCGGAAATCAACCAAAAATATAGGAAGTATCCATGAATCATGCAATTTGAATCAACTTGAAGGTACGGAGTACATCATGATACTATATTGGTGACTGCACACAGGTGTGAGATTTTTTTAGATGCTCCATCGTGACGACGGCCCCGTGTCCTTAAGAATCATATACAAGAATTTCCAGATGTCCAAGGCCGCATCGAGCTATATGAGGTTTCCTAATGTCTCCGAATGTTTCCGAGTTCCGAATTTTCATTTTTGTTCCACCTCAGTTCAATTGTCCTTATGCATACAGAACACATGTGCATTTGAAATGTCTACCAGAATATACTACCTATGTGCAGTGGATATAATCCGGTTTCAATGCTAAAAGATTTCCCACACTGAATACCGGATACGTAAAAACTTCCCATAGAGATTGAATACGCTAGGATCATGATCACACCTCATCTTGCCCGAATACATCCGCTCTATCCGTACGGAGTACTCCGAGTCCGTATTCCGTGCTGGTATCAACCTGCGATTGTCCATTCTCCCAGTGGGTAGTCTGACGTGCTAGACACATGTGCAGTGTAGATCATACTCTATTTGGTTAGCTGATATAACTAGTATCTCTTAGTAATAATTTCGAGGAATTCCACTGAGGTTTGTGTACGATGAGTCTGTAACCTTCGAGGAACTCAAGGCCCCTCTGCCTAGAGGGAATTTTGAAATAAATTCAAGCTGCCAGTGCTATCTTACTCAGGTAGAACAAAAGTGGAATCTTCTTTAATAGACATCCAAATATATTGAAGTAGTAGCCTTTTACTACATCTCCACCTGGGCATGACTGGAATCAAATTAGACCTGGACATCTCCAGGGTTGGAGACTTGAAAATAGCACTGGAGAGAAACCTCAGCCGAGTATTATTACAGTATAGTAAAACGAAATACACCGTTTGGAGACTACCTAGGTACCTAGGTAGGTAGGTACTACTAATTAAAATTGCAAGCTTCGTACAACGTGGCGCCGTGGACGTATTTTTGGGCTGCAGCAAAGGGAGGAGAATCTCCTTTCAATGTTGTAGTTCTCGTCAATTCAGTTTTTCTTTTCCAGAATTCATCACTGACTAGACCTCTCCAAATAAAGAGCTTGACATTATCGTGATGACATACGCACCTGGAAGACGGGGATCAATGCGATATTTCTTTGCCCATGGAAACCACGAGCGTACACAGTTACTGGGCGATGTAGCTGTGACAGCCAAGATTGTCGTGTTCCACCGACATGGAAAGATGTAAGGTTGCCTAACTCACCACGGCCCTTCTAAACCGTAGATGCCGTACTACAGGGCTATTCTAATATTTGTACAGTGTATACGGTGGCATTGAAAATTCTTCCACATTTTGCTTCACCGATGGTGCTTGGAAAAATGAGAGTCCTCTTCCTGCGCATGAGTTTACTGAGAGATTGATAAGTCATGTCTCGGTACCTACACTAATTGTAGCGGAAGTCCCGAGGTAAGTTACTCCTCCAAACGTTTCAACATTAAGTTGTTCAACTTCGTTCGAGATTGGAATTTCAAAGCGAGATGAAAATATGGATGTGTGTGTAACAACCCTACCTAAACAGGCAAACCGTCGAAGTCGGATCCCGAGTAATGGATGAGTTTCTTTATATGTGAGTAATCTACCAGCTTTGGGCACTTGAGGCTCAACTAATAATCACAACGTTGAAGTATAGCCTGAAGCTTACCTTGAAACTCTAGGGCAATCTTGGTTGAGGGAAGAAGTGATCGTCCGTCTTGCAATCCTGACGATCGGTATTACTTGAACACGATGTTGGACGGATTTGTACCATACTTCATCGAGTCCATCTCTCTCAAGAGCAGTGATTACCTTCCAGGGGACGTTCACAACCTAAGCAAGGAGGTTTCTATCCATATGAACCTGCAAACACATGGTGAAGAATTTGCCGCATTCCTCCAGCTCTACCGACAGCGCTACTTCAGCAATCAGCCAGTGGAGAGCGCCATGGTTCTTCTTGCTTCATGTTTGTTACACATTTTAAAGATGCCGTTCGACTTTGAAACCTCAATTTTACAAGGCTTAATGTGACACCAAATCAAGAATCACTTGAGAGCAACATCTGGTATGTGTGCTTCATTCATGAGCAATTTGTTACTACTTAAGTTGTAAATCCACGAGCAAATCAATGGATATTCTTATTTTGAAAAGTTTGGAAGTTGTAACTGTTTGTATAACGCAATTGGATGATCTTGATTTCAGGACGCATGAAGATCTTCTGCGATCGGCAGATATAAGCAACATTTTGAATATTCAAACTGTTGGAATGTAACAAGGCATTCGGCCTCAGATGTTGTAAACCAACTCATGATGTTTTTATGCAGTTCCATTAGCATCGCGCCCTTCAGCAGATCTAATTAGCGAATTTCCAATTTTCAAGAAAAAAGCGGGAAAAAAAGAAAACTTGTTAGTGAGAGAGAAGTAAAAGGATGAGGCTTACATTCCTGAAGCTCCTCCTTTGTGAGAAGTCTCAGCTTGTTGATTCTAGGGACATCCTTAGCTGACCCAGTGAACTGACTCGCATCCTTGCCTAGCATTCCATCGCCCACAATAGCGTATGCTGCCTGTGTCGTTTTTACTCTGATCACCCCAATTCGTGGATCATCGGGCCCACCATCATGAACTCCATCGTCCAAGTCACCGAACCATGGTTTTAGAGTTGAGGAATAATATTTGTGGATTGTTTCTCGATCAGTAACAACTGACGCATCTCCTGAGATGGAAGCCCATTCTCCACGTTCGCCTTTCAAGAAAGAGATGTTCACTCGAGGATCATCCTTGAGATGCTCGGTTTTGGTGGACTGTGTATTCGTATGGAAGATCAAAGAGACGCCCGCTTGTTCCTGGAAATTGCAAAAGCAAGTATTATGTATCAGTTTGAGGAACCATCTTAGTTGTTTAGATAGATTTTATCATGCTTTAGAGAAGGGGGGAGAAGAAGTCAGGAATGCGGGAACAAAAAGGAGCCAAGATACCTTTCCTGCGACCGCCATACACCGTGACACCAGCGCTGGAGGATTACCTTTGGCGGTAGTCACCATGCACAATTCACAACTATCAATGAACTTGCCTAGATCCACAATTTTGTCTTTCAGAGAGGCATGTCTTTCCAGGTTGTTCTTAATGTATGAATCCTCGGGGGCTTTGCTGGCGGATGTATGGGCAAATCTCTTAGGAGAACTTGAAGGGTTCTGTTCTAAGGAGGCAAAGTGACGTGTCAACAGTGAACGGGCAGCGGGCGCAGCAACTCGGTAGGCGGAAATAGGCTGTTGACAAACTCGACTCAAGGTACGAGTTGCAAAAGAGGGAGATCTAAATGAGAACATGATAAGTTCCACAATTGAGCATTATATGCTGAATGGAGATAACAATTCTGCCTACTCCAGACTGTATCTTCCTCGGAGGTATTTAACTGCTATTCATGACCCTGCTTTCAAGATTTACATAGCCGTTCACGGACTAATTTTTTTTTGAACATTGGTGATCTAATAGAATCGTCATTTCCTATTTAAGTAGTCGTCATTGTTACAGGAGTTTATAGCAATTCGAATGATTCATTCCAAACCTTTATTTTCAGTCCTCTGCCGGAAACGTCATCGTCTGTTTCAACCGGATCCAGAGACCACGGGGAAAAAGCTATGTAAGGTCCATTTTTACTGCCCTCGTCGATCATACCCTAGAACGATTGACATCCAGAAGTATGTTGGTTTCTGAAGTCCCCTTGTCCTGGATTGGTGACTGCACATGTGGTTATGGAAATATTTAAATAGTATGCGGTCGGAGCATTTTGCACACGATTGATACCCATATAAAAAAGTTAATCGACCTTCCTCCAAGTTGACGATCGCCCCCAACTTGAACCCTCACGGCAGTCAGTCTCAATGTTGACCCATTCAAGGACTGCTTTTCGGAATGCCCCTCCTAGGCTATTCGGGCTGAGATATCTCTCAAACACCTGCTGTCGGTCCCTATCCTACGCTACAAACTCAGTCAGAAACAAGCAGCTAAGGGGGGTTGTTGCGGCGGCCGTCCGGACATATCATCCCACATCATCTCTCAACACATCGGAGGGTCACCGCAAGGTCATCTTGCAAAGCCAAGAGGAACGGCCACGACGCATTGTGGTTGGAATCACGGGTGCTACGGGAACTCTTTTTGCCATACGGCTTCTCGAAATCCTGCAAGATCTCGGAGTGGAAACCCATTTGGTCATCAGCAAATGGGCCATGGCAACTATGAAGTATGAGACGCCAACTACCGAGGCAGATCTTCGAGAGCTCTGCACTTATTTCTACGCCTCCAGGGATGTGTCGGCCCCAATTGCAAGCGGTTCATTCCTACACGATGGCATGATAATTGTGCCATGCAGCATGAAAACACTTGCCGCTGTACGTATTGGATACTGCGAGGATTTGATTGCCAGGGCCGCCGATGTTACATTGAAGGAAAATCGAAAACTCATGCTGGTCATAAGAGAAACACCTCTAAGCGAAATTCATCTTGAGAATATGTTGCATCTACGTCGCTTCGGAGCAACTATCTTCCCACCAGTTCCAGCATTCTACACGAGACCTGAATCGCTGAATGACTTAATTGATCAAAGCGTTGGGCGGATGTTGGATATTTTTGATATTCATACTAATGGCTTCGAGAGATGGAACGGGTTTCAAAGGGCTGCAAGGAAGACCGAAAGCAGTCCTGATAGTCATTGTTCAAAGTCAGCTGCATCAGCGACATAAATTCATGGATGTATAAAGAAGAGGGAGGACTCGACAGAAAAGCGCAATACCCCCTATATTCCCCAAGATTCTGTCGCTCAGGCTGAGACTTGAACTTTTGCACTTAACATTTTTCCGTCCCAACATTGACCGAGGTGTGAAGGCGTTGCTTCAAGGTCCGATTGCCCAAAGTGCGACCTCGGAGTCGTATATTGTATCCAGATTTATCTCTGTACATATAAATTCAAATTCACAATACTAGTATACGTGCATACTAGAGTGCTCTTGTATCTATTTTCATTGATAAAATTTAAATTCCACGTTTTGAACCATTTGAACTTGTTTTCACGCTTATGCCATTTCCAAGGTTGGATCAATTTACTGGGTTCACAACCTTTCACTAACATTGTGGGTATAGTAACCATATTTCAGTACAATAGCTCGGTATCCGCTCTAGCCCTGGAGGTCTAGGTAAAAATACATGACCTCGGGCCTTCAACGCCGAACCCCCAAGTATCCCGAGTCCCCCGAGCTACCGAGCTACCGAGCTACCAAAGTGAAATCTAGCCGCCGAACTATGAAACTATGGTTTTGAACTATGACTTCACCATTAATGCAGTTCTACTATCCCAAGGTTTGACCGCTATCACGGCTATTCGCCCCCAGATCGTGCTTATATACTGCCTCATCACCCGGTCAATTTTTTTTATCACGCTCCATCTTACAATCTCAAGTCTATACCAACAATTTACCCTCTTCATTAACGTTAGAGCATTCCAAATGGTTCACCACGGTGCTCATCATGTCCATGCGACTCCAGTACAGGACCTGCCTCATATGAACTTCCGCTCATATGTTGAGGCCCTCAAACAGGATAACGATCTTGTGGAAATTGACCGGGAGATCGACCCCGATCTCGAATGCGGTGCCATCATCCGCAAAGTCTGCGAAACCGACGACAAAGCGCCACTATTCAATAACCTCAAGGGGGCTCACGACGGCCTTTTCCGTATCCTCGGTGCACCTAACTCGCTTCGATCCGGCAAGGACAAGTATGGACGTCTTGCTCGCCACCTCGCCCTTCCTCCATCTTCAGGCATGAAGGAGATCTTGGACAAGATGCTCTCCGCCAAGAATGCTCAGCCTATTCCCCCGAATATCGTCAAGTCTGGCTCCTGCAAAGAGAACGTTCTGAATGCCGGAGAGTTTGATCTGACAAAGCTCCCGGTTCCTCTCTTGCACCAGGCTGATGGTGGAAAGTACATCCAGACCTATGGTATGCACGTTATCTCCTCGCCGGAGAAAGATTGGACCAATTGGTCAATTGCGCGTGCCATGGTTTATGATAAAGATCACCTAGCCGGCCTGGTCATTCCCCCTCAGCATGTTTGGCAAATGCAGCAGAAGTGGAAGGCTATTGGCAAGGATGTCCCTTGGGCGCTTTGCTTTGGTGTTCCTCCTGCTGCCATCATGGCTTCTAGCATGCCTCTTCCTGACGGTTGTACCGAGGCTGGTTACATTGGTGCTATGACTGGCCACGCTATTGACGTGGTCAAGTGCGAGACCAATGACCTCTATGTCCCTGCTAACGCCGAGATTGTTCTTGAGGGCACTATGTCTATCACCGAGACTGGTCCTGAAGGACCATTTGGAGAAATGCACGGGTATGATATCCATATCTTAAAAGTCTTTTTTTCCTCATTAAACTAATCAATCTTTTCCTCTAGTTACGTTTTCCCTGGTGACTCCCACCCTTGCCCTCTGTACAAGGTCAACAAGATCACCTACCGCAACGGTGCCATCCTCCCAGTCTCAAACTGTGGTCGTCTTACCGATGAAACCGTACGTTCAGACATCTTTCAACGTTCTATAAGGTTTATAAACTAATTTCGACTTCCTTTAGCACACTATGATCGGACCTCTTGCCGCTGCTGAGATTCATCAACTTTGCAAGGACGCAGGTCTCCCTGTCAAGGAGTCCATGTCTCCATTCGAGTCTCAGGTCACTTGGGTTGTTCTTCAGATTGACGGTGCTAAGCTTCGTGAGATGAAGACGACCTCAGAGCAGCTTTGCAGGAAGATTGGTGATTTGATTTTCAACCACAAGGCCGGCTATACTATTCACCGTCTACTCTTAGTCGGTGATGACATCGATGTCTACAATTGGAAGGATGTTATCTGGGCATTCTGCACTCGTTGCCGCCCTAGCTTGGATGAATACTTCTACGATGACGTCCGTGGATTCCCTCTGATTCCGTACATGGGCCACGGAAATGGTTCCCCTGTCCAGGGTGGCAAGGTGGTTTCCGACGCTTTGATGCCTACCGAGTACACTACTGGACCTGACTGGCAGGCTGCTGACTTCAAGAATTCCTACCCTGAGTCCATTCAGGCAAAGGTCAACGCCGAGTGGACCTCGATGGGCTTCAAGGCTGATGAGTAAGAACCTAGCACATGCCGGCTGGGGTTGACGGTGGCCAAGCACTTGTTTTTTATAAACTATGTAGCCATTAGTTAGATTGTCATCCATTGTTTTATATATTCAGAAGCATCAACTTGAATTTAGAATTCCTTCCACTTTCTAATTGTTCAATACTAGTAGTACCAGTACTAGTCCTAGCAAGTACTAGCACTTGAGTAACGTTTGGTCCTTTTCAAGTTAAATTTTGAACAACTGGCATCATTCCTAAATATAGATTTAGTATGCCTGCACATGCATATTCAAGATCCAAAATGAAGCATTTGAATCTGGACTGTTCATCTGGGCAGGCTTTCGAAATTCCGAATCCGAGCTTGAAAATTCGAATCACTCATGATGTTTGAATTCAAGTTGCGTTCTCCTTTGAAGCCGTGCCCAAAATCCGTGACTCGGACAGTTCGGCACTAAATTATCGATCGAAAATCAATATTTGCCAGTTGAGCATAGGGGCATAGATGTACACACGACCGATTGTTCGTGAAAATAGAAAGTACATTTTTTATTTCGCACTCTTTTCATTGACGCCCAAAGTTTGAGCCTATAACCTGTGGAAAAATTATGTAAAAAGCTCACCTAGATAGACATCTTCATCCAGATGTCTAGGCATTTAGCCCCCAGAGTCTCCATATACCTAGGCGGTGTCTGGTGCAACTTCAACCGTGACCCTACATGTACATATACATACACTTCGAACTTGAAGGAAAACACATGTACCTGGGTAATATGTATGTATATTGAGAAAACTCTAAAAACATTTGAATGTAATTAATCATTGATGTGTACCCGTGGGAACATGTATGGATTCATTCTCTCAAATCACATCAATAGTATTCAACGGAACATTTGCACATGTGAATTTAAACAAGATGTTGTGATCAGGGCATTCAAATGAATCCATTAACTCTGAGTCAGAGGCTACCAGTGTGGGATCGAGCTGTCCAATTGCGATTTTTCACGCCTAGCTCTACTGCTGCCCTGCCCCAGTCCTCACCATGGTTGTGTCCCTTCGCGCTTAACCCTGCCCTTTCAAGTCCCTGTTGCTCAGTGAGCAAAGTCAGTATACCGAAGATCACAGGTACCTCTTGGTCGAGCTGCGCTCGCATAAGGCCATCGGATACCGCATTGGAGATATATTCAAAATGCATTGTATCGCCTTTGATCAGGGCTCCAATAGTGATGACCACGTCAAACGGCCTCCCTTCTGCATGAATGATATCTCCACGTCTTCCTGATTTTTTGAGTATCCTTCATATGCAAAATGAAGTCAGTTGAAAGGTCCTGAACAAAGAAGAATAATATGGAAGGCTGAGCACTACTACATACATCTGGACTGCAAATGGAAGCTCATAACTCCCAGGCACACTCTCAAAAGAAATGTCCTCCTCCTTTACCCCGGCTAGCAATAGCTCACGTTTGGCGCCAGCGATAAGAGATTGAATAACACGATCATTCCACCGAGCATGCACAATTGCAATTCGCAGACCAGTACCTGGAAACCTTAGACCGGGGTCGCACATGCATAGGTAGGTACTATGAGAAAGGGTCGCCCAGGCGGAGGAATGAAACTTACCATCATAGTTTTGCTTAGGGCCAGGACTTTTGATTGAAGACATTTCGACGTTCAGGAATGGAAGAGAAGGTCGACTTTCTTTGAACTGCCCTGGAGCCTGAGCCCTGGAGCATCTTCCCAAGGTTACATCTCAAAGCATAAAGATACTATGTATTGATGATCTGCAGCGCCGAAAATCTTATTTTTTGTTGCTAGTTAGTGTACATTATTAGCTAATAATTCCAGTCCATCTATTGATTTTTGGAAATTCTGGAATCCGAGGCTCGGGGGACTCGGCGGACTCGGCGGACTCGGGTGCTGAGGCCCTGAGGGCGCTGAAGGTAACGCATAATGTGGGTACTTAGCTTCACAGTTCGAAGCGGTGAAAATTATACCTATGTAATATTCTGAACTTCGACACGTCACCATACCCCACTCCAAGATTATGATGAAATTCGAATCTGGGCAAATGCGGATTGGTCAGTTGCAGGAGAAAAGAATGCATGAGAGACATGTTTTTCAGATGACAGAGGGAATAGTGTCTAATTGAGGTGAGGTTGGCTGATGAGACGGATAAAGAAAGAAGAGCAATTGCACATCTGATCTGACTCTCTTTGGGGTAAGTAAAATCAACTTCAGTGAGCTCGAAATAGTATGAGCTAGTATGAGCTTCTAACGTTGAAGTTGTCAGAAGGGTGATGGAAGAATGTGCATACGTGTGTGTCATCTGTCTAGGAGAGAGGGAAGGTGATATCTACACATGTGCAGGGAACGTGTGGACCAGAAGTGGTCCCAACTTCGAACAGAAGTTCGGACATCCAGATGTCTTTAATTCTTTTCATCTCTGAACGACGACTGTGGATCATACGACTAGTAGTTTCACAATGCGAACTGGACAAGAAGAACAGGTCCCTGGGCTAAAGAAGTCATCGAACTAGATATAATCTGCCCCTCCAAGTGCCTTTTTTACTTCCTCATAAGTCAAGAAAGTCAACCATGTGCTCGGTAAGACGCGAAACAGACCAGGCCCCATGCCGCGATAAAACGAGATGATTCCTTCCTTCTTCCACATCCTCTGAGTCAACGAGATAAACCCCTGTGAATCTCCAAGCTGCATTCGAGAGCGCAGGACCTGGTAAGGGTATGTCAGTCCACCCGCAAAGATCCGCGACAGGCCTGATGCAACGGCTATATCAAGCGCATTGAGTTGTGTGTTACTCTGTTGGTGCCCTCGGGTACTTTTCCTTTCACGTAGCACCAGCTTCAATTTCTCGTAGGTCATGAACTGAAGAGCGCCGTGGATAACGCCGAAACTTGCAGGTAGGAGGCCACGGTAGAATCCAGCTATGCCCTCTTTATGGTAGATGGTGCGACCACTGGCTATGATGCTGGAATAAGCGTCGCCAGGGGTTGCAGCATGAGAATCGGTCAAGGGAGTAGAAGAACTTGAAGTGGTGAGCATCCGTGTCTTGACTACCCAAATCGGGTTCGTAAGGAGAGTTGTTATAGCACCTTGACAATTGTTAGTTCGTATCATCTGATCATCCTGTATGCTCCGAGCCTGGGGCATGCAGGATAATTTAAACGACTGAGAAAAACATTGATTGAAAATTCAATGCTCTAAGAAGGAATAGGTACCAGCAGCTCCAGCTGTAAAGAAGTATTGATACACGTTCAAATTGCCCGGTCTCAAATCATTTCTAGCCGTGTTGTTTGCCAACTGCTGTTTGAAAGAGCTGTAAAAGAGAAAATACGAGCCCAGTCCAACTACATTACCAAGTATATTTGGCGTGACGCCTCTATACAAGGTATGTAGCCCGCCTTCCCGTACAAGTTCACGGACCAGCCTCAGAGAATCCCCATATGTCGGAGACTTATGTGAACGCACTTGAAAAAGACAAAATTTAGCTCATATAATCAAGACCGTAGAAATCCAAATACTACCTTGAAGACGCGTCTTTAGTAAGTCAAGAGGGTGCAAGCAGATCGGAGTTACAATCCCTGCTGCCGTTCCAGCAATTGTTTCGATACCAGCCGTACGTCCGTTACCCATGAGGTTCAATTTACTGTCGAAAATGTTGGAATACTAGTAACATTCGAGGAAGTATGTGATATAGATTATGTGACGAAGGAAGCACCGGCATGTAAACCAACATTTGAAAACTTTTTACCGCAGTTGCTTCGACGACGTCATCATGTTGGCCTCCAGGGCTGTTTCCAACCTTGGAAAAGTCTGCATTTAGATTCAGAGCAAGAATAATAGGCCACGGCGGAATTGATATACATATATGTATTGATACTACGCACCAGTTTGTTACGATCGATAGAACAAAAACCTAATGCATTCAACTTGAATTTGGTCATTCTGAGTCTGAGATTCATTGGAAGACTTGATTCTAAATATTGCCAAACTAATCATGTTAATCTTCCTTGGTCTAGTGGTCATGATTTCCGCTTGTCATTAACACCGATAAGCGCGGGAGACCGGGGTTCGATTCCCCGAAGGGAGAGTTCTTTTTTTGGTTTTTTTTTCTTCTCATGATTATCACACAAAATAATCTGACAGAGCACAATGTACCATGGTGGATTGTTTGTGAGGTCTGAGTTTCTAAATTCAAATGTTCGCCAAAATAAGTTCTTGCATCGCCGGCCAAACCCTTCAACTGATTCAATACAGTCCATGTCCTATGGATATAGACAAACGCACAGCTGTACTTACTCAAACACTTCAAATATTTACTATCCAATCTAACATCTACATCAATATATACAGCGCCGGTGTTTCTATGTACGAATATGACAACTGATTACTAGCTCCAGGATGAAGCTTTACAACTAAGATACTGGAAGGCTCACACCAAAATCAATGTAAGATGGCAATCACCAATCAACCCGTCCACCACTTCTCCTCTTCAGAACAGATAACAAATATTTCTAGACAAAATATTGAGGACATCTCCGACACTTACTAGTAGAACATTACCCTCTCACCTTAGGTACTTACATCCAATAAACATACCGAGGATGTAACAGAAGTGACCCAATGATCGCGTTCTCCTCAAATTAAAGTGCCTCATATCAATGATGCAGACAGTGAGATCCTCCAGAACAACCACTGGATCGTTGTGACAAGGTGGGTTATTTCTCATTCATCAGCGACCGATCAATCGACCAAACGGAGAGATCCTTGACCCTCAGCCTTGTCAAGTGCATCGGTAACACGAGATCCATCCCCCTCGAACAGCATTGCGTCGTAAGTCGTTGCGCCGATGATACAACCAGCGATCGGAGCGAGAAGAGGAACAAAGAAATAGAAATTAGCAGCGGTGAAAACCTCCCGGCCATACAGGATTGCTGAGAACAATCGAGGACCGAAGTCTCGAGCGGGGTTGAGAGCCTGGAAATTATTAGCATGTGTTCACACTAGTACAAGAATTCATGAAACATACATATCCAGTCTGCCAGCCCAAAGCTGCTCCGATCGAGAGCAGGAGCAAAAAGACGGAAAGCTGTGGAGCCGGGAAGCGGTTGGAATTGCGCGAGTCCGAGATACTGAAAGAGCCGAACATTAGCACCGCCGATCCCAACACCTCAGAGAACACCGCTTCCCAGTTGGACTCGAAAAAGTTGGCGGGATAGGTGCAGAAGATTCCCGCGGAATGATGACCACTTGGACTCAGAATGGATCCACCAGGGATAGTGTATTCGGGATCCCAAGCATTGATGGCCGAGCGGTAATTAATATACACAAGGGCGGCACCGACAAATCCACCTAGGAATTGGGCAGCCAGCTTGCCTGGGATAGTCTTCCACTGTCCCTGTGATGGTCGAACCAGTGCCACACAAAGGGTGACAGCAGGATTGATTGTAGGACTGGGCTCAGACAAATAGCCGGAGAGGCAGACAGCAGACGCCCATGCCAAGTTGATGGACAACCATGTGCCGTACTGGTAATCGGATAAAAGGCATTGGGCGACGACTCCATCTCCAATGACAATTAACAGAGCTGTCCCAAGGAATTCAGCCAAATAAGGCTTAAGTGCCTGACGAGAGAACAACATGATTTCAATTTTCACACTGAGGGGCAATGGAGAGTCTCCATCAGTGGGTAAAGTCTTTTCAAATGTTTTTTTTTCTTCTCCTTGAAATGTGTTTATTTATGGGGGCCATGGAGTTGACGTCATCCTTTCTCGGAATTGCCTGATCTGGTATACCGAATGTAGATCCCGATCATAAACACATCAACCAGATGGTGCACATATGTGCACATGTGTGGAGAGATACTAGTAATAGATTAGATGTGATCTTCATTTAATGATAAGCATTCTATACGCACGTGCAGTAAGGAATATCCTGTGGTTCGTCAATCCACACACACCTCCAAGGTTGACCATTCACATGTGCAGTTTGACATCATGGGAGCAAGACATATTTGCATAAACAAGCACTTGAGCTTGCAGAATACCCGCAAATAGTAGGTAATAGTGGTTAACTCGATGCACTGGCGCATCCATGCTTCAAGTTGGTATCTTACATAGAGTGAAATGATTCTTTTTTTGTCTGAGAATGCTGATGAACCCAAGCTTGAACTTATACGTGGTCAGTCATAACTACATTTTCAAGTTAGGCTGTTCCTAGGTGTTGTCCAAGATTTATTCTAGTACACAACGCTCTATTTACTGATAAGGGCTTGGAACGTGGTATAGACTCAGTTACAGGATACCATGTGCTGACAGTTTCCTACAACTATAATCTCAAAATGAACATTCCGAACTTGAAATTGGTATTAATACGAGGAAGAAAAATCAAATGTGTATAGGTTGAACATACAATCTTGGAATTAATATGAGCGGTTTCTGAAATTCCTTATCGCCCCTTGCCGCTATCCTAGTATTTAACGCGTCTCCTGACGCGTCGAGAACTAATTTTTACCACCTGCAGACTGGACCACTCATTTACCCACTCCAACTAATTCACCATGGCGAACCGATGGCCCGATAATAACTTCAATGATTCCGAAGTCAGTAACGTGTTTCAGTTGGCCCAAACATTCGAGTTACATTGCGCCCAAGTTTATGAGCATGCCGCGAGCCATCCCGAAGATGCGGCCTCGGCCGAATACGTGATGCAGTTAGCATTACAGGCTTATCGGACAGTTCACAGCCTTCATATGCAAAAGCTGGAGTCATCCTATTGGGATTTGAGTACCGCGACCGCGCAACTAGAGAGCAAGATCTCAGAATTTCACAAAGAGCGCAAGTTACCATCCTCCGAACACATTTCACCTCTCGACGAACATCTCGATACCGTTTCCCCTCCATTGAGCGATCAGATCAATGGTACCCCCGATTCCACCCTGGGACGTGTTATTACCAGTGAATACGATGACGATGACGATGACGACGAGAGTGACTCGGATTGGGAAGAGTCCAAAGAGGAATCAGATGATGATTACTATGAATATAACGAGGGCTCTGATTGTGATTCTGAGTTGGACATCATAATGGAAGCAGATGAAGTAGATATTGTGGAAAATTCAGAGGCCGAGGAATTCACGAAAAACCCTGCCCCAGAAGTTTCCAATGGAGAAGAAATCGAACATTGCACCGAGGACAAAGAAGCACAATCTCCCGTCCCAGCCCTACTAGACCAAGCAGCTATGCATGACAGAATTACTGCAGCATTACGAGCAATGGCTATAAAAGAAGAAACTCCCGACCGAACCCCACAAACTCAACCCGAGACTCACGCCGACGACGCAAAACTATACACCGTTCCCACATCCACAGACGATGGCCACAGTGAAGCTACAACCGTGCGCCTGGATTCGAACCCAGCGGAATCACTTAAGACTTCGACAACGTTAGCAGGTGTGGGCGAAACCCGAACAAATATCGATGTAACCCATCTTCATCGAAAATTGTCAGCGCAGACCACACCCAAGGGAACCCCTCGGCGATTGAAGACAGTCTGTTACAAGTATATTCGGAAGGCGATGGTTCCTATCCGGGGCCAAGCTCATTAATAAGCGACCAAGAATGGGTTCACTAACGGCCAACGAGGTTGGTCGCCTTCAATATCCACAAGGTGGTCAGGAGAGATTCAAGTTTCTTGCCTGTCATAGCGCATGCTAGTGATTTGAGCTGTGCATATTATACCGACCATTATTGTTAGATCCTGTGTCTTGATTTTGTGATTGAAGTCGAAGAACAAGGTTGGAACCTTCTGAATGTGTCAGACCCAAGCCATAGACGCCAAATTTCAGTCCCGTGTCATACTATTAGACAGCTGTGTTACAGGGAATGCATGCGGCACAGATGTGGTCATCTACCTACCAAACACGCAAAAAGCCTTCAATTCTGAACCAAGAGAGGCTTTGACTGAGCATCAATGGCCGTTACAAGACGTCTGAAATTAAATGTACACCATGATAATTACCATACAAATGCCAAATAGCTCAAATGGGCTTATATTTAAGTATTAATTGAAGACAAATAACTGCATATAGAGAAGTCAAGGAATATTATCGAGTAAGCGCTGACTTCATATTACTAGTGGAAGTCAGGCGCTGCTCAGTTGACAGAGGAAGCCTGAACCCATTAAACCTTCTCAACTTCAGTGGCTTCAACACCCTTGGTCAGACCCATCTCATGCGCAAATGTGTCATGAGGCTTCCAAGCAGCCGAGTTAGCAGGGGTGGTCTCCTCCAGCATGCGATCAATCTGTTCCAAGGAAAGACCCTTGGTCTCAGAAACGCAGAAGTAAGCAAAGAGGAAGCAGAAGAACAGACATCCACCCCAAACGAAGAAGACCTTGGAGCCAAGGTTACCCTTGTCTGCGTCAACCATGTAGGGGGTGACAACACCGATGATCTATGATGATGAATGTTAGCGACAGGTCTGTTCTATCCAAAAGGTGCAGATGGGGATTGAAACATACGCAGTTCCAGAACCAGTTCGACGCAGTTGACAAAGCGACACCCTTGGCACGGATGGGCAAGGGGAAGATCTCGCCAACCAAGACCCAACAGGCTGGGCCCCAGGTTGAAGCGAATGCGGCAATGTAGATGCAGGTGAAGACAACGAGACATGTGTTGGCGGTTTTGGAGGTACCATCAGCGGTACCGACAATAGCCACGATGAACTCGCACAAGCACATGACTACAGCTCCGTAGAGGAGCAGAGTCCGACGTCCAAATCGTTCGATAGTCCAGAAGGAAACAGGAGTACAGGCAACATTCACAATGTTCATAATAGTGGACATGAGGAAGGAGTTCGACATTCCGATAGACTGGAAGAAGGTGGTTCCGTAGTAGACTATTGAATTATTCAGGTTAGTTCCAACACTTCCATTTCAAAAAGGAATATCATAACATGGCTCTTACAGATAAAGTTAACGCCAGTCCACTGCTGGAACATCTGCGCGAACACACCAACTAAGACGCGGCGCAAGTTGCCACTGGGGCTGCTGATACCTCCCTTGAAGCAATCTGCCCAGGTGGTCTTGGTTAGTTGAAATTCATACTCCCAGTTGGCCTTGATCTCAGCGAGCTCAGCCTGGATGAGGGGTGAATCCGCCGGAGCGCCACGAACACGGGAGAGAGAAGCAGCAGCATCTTCAATTCGATTGACCTTGACCAGATAACGAGGGGATTCTGGGAGGAAAAACAGGCCAGATGCAAGGATCAAAGCCCAAGCAAGCTGGATACCAATGGGAATTCGGTAAGAGCCAGAGTCATTGCGACCTGAGGTTCCCTGTGTCGCGCCCGATGCAGAGAGCAGACCGATGGTTACAGCAAACTGATAGAGAGAGACAAGCAGACCGCGAGCCTTCTTGGGAGCAATCTCGGAGACATACAGAACGACAGTAGCAGAAACACCACCGACGCCAAAACCCGCGATCAAACGACCAATTACCAGTCCAGCAACGGTGTATGAGGCAGTTTGACCGACGACACCGCAAGCGAAGATGAAACAAGAGACAAGAATAGTTAAGCGACGACCAATACGTTCAGCAATCTCACCACCAATCAGAGCACCAAAGAAAGTACCAACTGAGAGGATAGAGGTGATCAAAGAGCGCTGCCAGCTGGCCAGTATAAATCCAGAAGCATCAACACTGGTCGGCACGGCATGACCAAAGTGTTCCTTCACATATGCCATGCCCTCGACACCACTAATATATCCCGAGTCGAATCCAAAGAGAATACCACCGAAACAGGCAAATCCACAGATGAGATAGGCTCGAAGGGAGATCGGGGATTCAATTCTGCTCACATCGGAGCTTCCCATTGGGAGTTGAGACATGATGTTGGGAATAGGGCCAAAAGCCAGGTACAGAGTTGAAATTCACAAGAGGATCCAATACTGACTAGGACTCAGACAAGCTCAGATCATAGACCGTGCAGTGGGGCAAGGAAGAGCTTATATACCTTGAGACATACTTTGAACCAAGCTTCATCCTCCTTTTCTTCCCTTTTCTTTCTTCCCTTTTCTTCCCTTTTCTTCCCTTTTCTTCCCTTTTCTTCCTTTTTTCTTTTTTTTTTGGTTCTTCTCCGTCCATGGACTTTTGCACCGGGCCTATATCCAATGGGGGAAATAGATTCTTGATCTGACAATACGAACACTGCGAGTATGTTCTGGGCATTCTTGGCAAAAGGTTCCCCAAGCTACAGAGAAGGACGTTGTTCTCCGGGGCCCATATCTGTCTTGGTGATTGACTAAGAAGAATCCGGAAGTCTTCCAGAACGAACAGAGATTGGACGGGACGAGCGAAAAATGACTCCAAAGACGGAAATTTGATCTTGGCAATGTCTTCTACTCCGTCGATGTTGATATTTCGGACTTTCATCTCGTCTGATCTATGGCATTTTGAGCGCCACGACCACGTGCCGCGTACTATGAGCCTTGGCCTGAGTGCCATTTTCATTTTTAATTGGTTTATAGTGATCTTTCACCCCGCGTGCTTTAGCTAAATTGGGATATACTAATTCATTATAGGTTTGGCGTTGTCTGGGCTTAATTTTAAAGTACTGGACTCATCCTTGGATCCTCGCACCAATGCCGACTCGGTATCCCTTATACTGTGTACTCTTAATCGCCCCCACAACTTCGTTTATCTCCAAGTTATTTTCTCTCATCGAATTATGGAAACCAGGAAAGAATGTGGAGTGAGGAAACTTTTTAGATTTTCGTGGTAAAATGACATCTATGGCAACATTACACGTAGCACCAGTTGACGGAAGAAATAGAATTGGAGGCTTACTGCTGCCCCGCCATTATCAACCGTGGACCCCCTTTTTCCACTTCCCGTATCATTCAATGTGATCATTCGGGTTGGGGCACGGACCGAGAGATATTTTGGAAGGTTTTCAGAATGTCGTATCGTCTTTCAAGTCCGAGTCAGTGCCGAAGAATTGCCAGCACTTGAGTGTATGGTCGCAGACCTATGTGGTACATAATGCAGATGTCGCCTGGATATCTGTAACCAGGTGGAGATGTTATGATCATTATAGCAATCTTAAACATTAGTGCTCGAGAGTAGTTCCACAGGCTTAGCTACTGGCAGTGGCTGGTCAACTGGTGCAATTCATTTACAGCAGCGATGACTTGGTACATAGTTTCGAGGTCTTCGGTGGTGTTTCTCGTTGGACTTCTCAAACTCTAGGGACGAACAACGTACCTCCCGGGACCTCGTACTACCTCCGCTTACACAAGGATCTAAGTCACTTCAAGTTGACCCTTGGCACCCCGCCACAGCATTTTCCTCCGCATTGAACAACTTGTGGAGGTGGGCTGATTTCTAGAGGCGGGGAGGCACACCGAGAGACCAAAGCGGGAAAGGAATCTCAGGATTGATAAAGTTATATTCACTAACTCATATCAGCGCTGTGAGTGGCTGTAATTTAGGACACTGAGTTTAAATGGCGATTTTGAATAAATTATAAAAAGAATGATCGCTCAAGTTGAAAGGTTCGTCAGCTCTGGTCCCTTGTAACACAGATCATTCGCGTACTTTGTCACTGCGAAAACTACAAAGAAAGTTCAGTCAACATTACAGGGGAATTTCTTAGCGAGATAAAGTATACAGAAAACTCAAAGGAAAAGAAATAAGATCAAATCTGTCATCTGATGCAGGACAGGAAGCCAAGCCTCTAGTCTTCTGGAGATTTCTGGCCAATTCAGTGATTCCGTTGATAGCTGACTTTCTGATCTCAGAAATTTAGGGCTTACCCTTGGCACATGTGCAGCGTTTAAGTCGGTTTCCAGTGATTATTTTTTTAATAAAAAATATTCAATGTTCATCAGTCTAATATTGCAAGGGTGACCCTTTTTCGTCACATGTATAATTCCTGGGACCGAGGCTTGTTTAGGCTCAAAGCTATAAACTTGAACCTTCCGATGAAAGACACATAATAAGCTCAATTTGAAGATATGATCAGGAATGGAGGAGATATAGAAATCTCATCAAGTGCAATTTCCTCATGGCCTCCTCCAATGAGGACCTTAAAGACCACTGCCTATCAGGAATCAGGATACATAGCATCCACATGTGCAATCTTGATGATGGCGCTGCGACCGTGCCGAAGAGGTTCTTCCATCAAAAGAATACTACAATATGATCCGTTTCGGTTTCAACTTCATCTTGCATATCATACAACATGAAAATCCAGGTTTCCTTATCAGCTGGAATCACTCGATGCTTCGTCATTATCCCAGGTTCCGGGATCAACCCCGAGCCCCTCGGTGGAAGTCCGAAAGTATACACAAAACCGGCATCCTAATGTGTATACACAGCTTGCGGCTTTCCCACCGGACTGTACTTCAAAGTAGACTCGAATAGTGATCTTAGTTGAGGAAGACTTGAGTTAGCTGGGAAAAGTGACACAGAATGTCCCCACATGAGATACCCCCCCCCCTTTTGTTTTCTGTTCGATCCAAACTCCAACATTGAATTCAGAGATTCAACATCCGACTTATTAGCTCCTTTGTATGAATACCGAGATCCTATTCTTCCAGAAACTCAAACTGGCATACCCAAGCTCGACACGCCAGCATCTAATAGGTTACGAGGTCATCTAACTCAAGTGCTATACCTTAAACAGTATTCTGGAATCTTGGCATCAAATGGAGAAATCGGAAGCTGAGCATGTTGAGGGTGTCGAAGGTTTCGAGTCTCGGGTTTATCGCAGTCGGTGCTACTTATCAATATGCCGATGCTGCAAGTCAATTTATTACTGACATTATTCTCTGAGTTGTAGGCGAAGCATCATGGGCGAAATTGATTCCTGGCGGATACTCCCCATCTCGATGCATAAAGCTTCGTGGTAGACCAATGATTAACGCTATCTTGCTCTTGGCGGGAGTCTCAATCATGTTCTTTGGTTATGACTCTTCATGCATGAGTCAAGTTGATACAAATGACAACTATCTGCGTTTCATGGGAACTGACTCAGGCTCTGCTCGTGATTCTGCTGCCGTTGGCGGGTTAGTGAGTGTCTGGTTTGGGGGTTTTGGAATAGGTATGTGTTATGACTGACAGATGGATGGACCCGTCATTAACTAAACTCTGAGTATTATAGGCGCCATTTTGGTGGGCTCTATGGCAGATGATATTGGACGTCTAAAATGCATTCAACTTGGCTGTCTCTGGGGTATTCTAGGCGGCGCACTTCAAGCTTCTGCGCAGAACTTTACTTGGATGGCCTTTGCGCGAATTATTGGCGGCATCGGATGTGGACACTTGAACACTATTGTTCCCATATGGACATCTGAGCTGGCTGACTCTGGCGCGCGAGGAGCTTTTGTTGCCGTGCAATTTACATTAGCACTCACTGGTGGCACAATGTTTGTCTCTCTTCCTCTTGTCCAGTATTCCTCTTTAGCTCCCCTTGAGCTCATATGTCCATGTATCAGACCCCGTGGAAGCTTTGCTAATTCAACTTTTCATTCATAGCGTTTATTGGACCGAATATGCATGCCTCAAGACACAGAGTCTTGCTTTCGCGTGGAGATTTCCTCTTGCCATGCAGTTGATCTTTCTCCTCTTCATATTGTTCGCTACACCCTTCTACCCCGAATCGCCTCGCCACTTGATCAGGATCGGAAGACTCGAGGAAGCACGGGAGATATTGCAGAGAGTACGGGTAAATGTACCTGAATCCCAAATTGAAGATGAGCTGGCTGAGATTGTGGGAGCAATTTGCCTAGAGGCTAATCACCCCCCGGCTTCAATGTGGACAATAATGACCAAATCCGACAAGCTCCATACAAGACGCCGGATTCTCCTTGGTGCAGGGGTTCAGGTAATGCAGAAGTTCACCGGAATCGATTTCATTTCAACATATGCCCCAGAGATGTTCACACTTGCTGGATACACCGGTGACAAACCATCCTTACTGGCTGGAGGGAATTTCTTCAGCTATACGGCTAGCTTGGCTCTTGCAATCTATCTCTGTGATCGAGTAGGTCGTCGTCGGCTAATGTTGATAGGATCATCCTTGATGTTTCTAGTATTGATTGCGGGTGGTGTCCTTTCCCATGAAGTCATTTCGAAGGCTACCTCAGATCCATCGGTATCCTCTCGATGCGGTGGCGCAGTTGCAGCAGTGCTTTATCTATACACGTTTATCTATGGAAGTACTTGGCTCACCACATGGTAAGAGATTTCCGGGTTGAGAAAATTAATTTGATACAAGATTTTTATTAAGATAAATCGGGGAGCCTTGGAACCTTGAACAGTTAGAACTAACAATAGTCATAGTTGGGTCTATCCCACAGAGATTTTTCCCCTCGTCAGTCGGGCAAAGGGAACCGCAGCAGCCACGGTCGCCTTCTCGCTAGCCGGTGGTATAATCAATGAGATTGTCCCGTATCTCATCGACGCCATTTCATATTGGGTATTTGTCCTTTTCGCCCTTCTAAATCTTGTCATGCTCGTCCCGATATATTTGTTCTACATTGGTGGGTTAACCGTTCGCCGAAATCACAAATATCCTTGCTCTGGAGGCGAGCTAATTCATTGTGAGGATTACAGAAACAGCGAGCCGTCATCTGGAAGACCTTGATTATTTATTTGCGCATGAAAGTCCATTCTTCTGGCATGCTGAGCGCGCGTTCGCTCAGATGAAGAGCGAAGAAGGTAGCTTGGATAAGACGGGGAATCCTGCTCAATAAATCTTTGATATCTAACATATCCAAACATTGAATTAATGGTTTAGCCCCGAAAGGCCGAGCTTATGACCAACAATGTAGGACTCAAGTGCTGCCTACGATGTTTCAGATCTTATCACTGGCAGCATCTGCTAAATTCAAGGTCAAGTACTGAGCACTTAAACACCCATTCTTATCATTTGGAGTCGCATCAATTCCTCTGTGAATATTTGAGTGATACTATATGTACATTGGTAGCATGGCTTCAGGTTCCAAGGTTGCAGAACTGAGTCTACTAAGCGAGCTTGAAAACATACTGTATAGCTGGACGTGTCCAAGTCTGGGAACCTCATATCATTAACATAACCGACTACATGACTGGCCAATTCTCGTTTCCGATGAAATATAATTGTTTCAATCTAAACGAAGGTCTCTTGCTCAAGATTCTCAAGGGCAGCCTTGAGAGTCCAACCCGCCCATTCAAAGTCACTCTCATCCAAGTATATCTGACCGCTGAGTCGCACCCACCAACGCCCCTGAAATGGGAAAATAGGCATAAAGGTCTTCCAGTGTTCAATCAGAGCCAACTGCATCCAATCTGTGATTGTGCGAGTCTCAGTACTGTCCTTGCATTTGACAAGACTCCCTGTTCCAGAAGTGGGTCTCTCTAAGGGGAGAAGAATATTGATCATAGAGCAATTTGTCATGCAGTGACCGTTGTCCTCAAGAATCCGAGTCCCCAATATTTCCGCAACTCGTACTCCACCTTTCTTGCTAAGAGTTGTGCAATATTCCTGTATCTTTTGTTCTCCTCCACACACTTGCTGGCGCCATTTGATGGCGGCAGGAATCGTCAAGAATGCGATATTGTCGGTTGTCCCCACAAACTCAAAGTTGGTCTCAAACTCCGTCTTCTTTTGCAAGAAATCTTCTTGTTTTTTATTTCCCTGCTGCTCCACCGTATCACGCACAACAAAGCCGTGACTTGTTGGTAGTGTACTCCGCATCATCCCTTGATTGCGCGCAGGAACGTAGAATACAGCGCATCCGCGAGGGGTATAAAGCCATTTATGACAATTGGTTACGAGAAAGTCCGGATCCCTGGATGGGATATTAAGATCAATTTGCCCGATTCCATGTGCAGCGTCTACCAAGCTCAAAACATCTTCTTCGCGACATATGGCAGCAAGTTCTTTGAATGGTAGCCGAATGCCCGGGTTCGACGAGATGGTGTCGAAAATTGCAACACGCGGTCGGAATCCTTCATCCTTTGATTTCTGGATGGATTTTTGAAAAGTTGACACAATTTCCGAATTCTCCTCGGGGTATTGAAAGCCGACTTCTCGAGTGCGAACGCGTTGCTGGTTCGATTCGCAGATATACCTAGTGGTTTTCCCACAAGCACCGTATATGATGTCTAGTTGAATAATCTCATCCTTGCCATCTGCGTTCCAGGTAATATTGCGAAGAACAGTATTCACTCCGGTAGTGGCGTTTGAAGTAAAGACGATGGTAGACCGAGGAACACCGAGAAACTCGCTCATCGCAGCTCGGGACTCATCTAGAAGTTCCGGGAAGCGATATTTGATAAAAGGACACGGATTCGATTCACATTCGTCTCGTAGAGCATTTGTCCGATCGAGAATTGCGCGAGGAGATGTTCCGAAGGATCCTATATTTTAATCAGAGATAAGTTATAACAACATCAGGATATTCTCATCTTACCATGATTCAAGTTTCGATATCCTGGTGCGAAGTAGAAATGCTGGCGCATATCCTGACCGAATGGTGTCGGCTCCCAACTGTAAGAAGACATTATCACGTATCCTCTAATGGATAAAAATGGATAGTGTGTTGATGAAGGGGAGAGAGGAGAGGATGACGATTGTAAACAATTTTTGCCGACATTGTCGGTACCTTCAGGTCGGTCTCATCCAATAAGTGTTCTTTTCCTCATCTCTCGTGAGGGAATCTCCACTTGATCTACCCTTTTCATATCTCAGTACTACCATAAGATACAACTTCGGCGGGCTGTGGATATGGCTTGGACCCTGCAGGGTGGATCAAATATTCGGCTCTCTCCGATCAAGGAGTTCAAAGTGATAATTCCATGAGATATGAATGGTTAAATTGAACTTCATTTGCCGACTGTGGGGATTCGGGGTTCTTTAACCCACATTTTGCACGTAATACTGACATGATGTCTATGCTTGATCTTATTACCCCACGATTTCCTGTATCCGATATAGGTCCGTGCTCACCTTCTTTAATAGTATACCAAGTGTCAACCACAACATGTTCAATTGCAAATTCGACTTCACTCTCGATTGCTTTTCATAAGAAGATTAGAGGAACCAGATTTTAATTCGATATCCTCACATTCCGAACAATTTCAAATACCGCTCAAAATGAAAAATCAACACGATGATGACGAAGGAGACCCCAACAATCACCTTGAATGCGCCAAAGAGGAGTTCTCACAACGAAACATTCAAGTTGGAACTCTGCAAAGAAGATTGAAATCTCGACATATTCAGTTCCTCGCATTATCCGGAGCGATAGGAACAGGACTTTTTGTGGGCGCAGGCCAAGTTATATCCCTAGCTGGGCCATTATCTGCTGTGCTTGCGTATTTTATTACTGGCTTCAATCTCTATGCCGTTATCAATAGTATGGGTGAAATGGCTACTTGGCTCCCTCTTCCCGGTGCAGTCCCTATTTATGCCAGTCGATTTGTCGATGAGGCCTTGGGATTCACACTCGGTTGGAATTATTGGTACCAGTTTGCTATTGGCGTCCCCATTGAAATTAGTGCTGCGGCACTGGTGATTGACTATTGGCCAAATGGGGTCTCGTCGGCAGTTTGGATCACGATTCTCTATGTGGCAATCTTTGCGATCAACAGTCTTCCTGTTCGAGTTTATGGAGAACTGGAGTTCTTTCTTGGATCTATTAAAATCATCACCATAATTGGTCTTATGTTGCTTATGTTCATCATCACTCTGGGTGGATCGCCGAATCATGATCGCATCGGATTCCGATATTGGCAAAACCCAGGCGTGATGAATACTTATCTTGAGCCTGGATCTCTTGGACAGTTCTTAGCTTTTTGGAAGGTTTTCATTCAGGCAACGTTCAGCTATGGAGGCAGTGAGATGGTAGTCGTTGCGGCGGGAGAGACCGAAAATCCCCGACGAAACATTCCGAAAGCCGTACGTCGTGTGTTCTGGCGAATTGCCATTTTCTACGTCGGAAGCATTTTCCTGGTCTGTCTTTGTGTCTCTTCGCGAGATGGGCGACTGCTAAATGCCATCGGTTCCGGAAAATCGGGCGCGGGAGCAAGTCCGTTTGTGATTGCCATTGAGAATGGGGGAATCAAAATACTGCCTTCAATAATCAACGCAGTCATTCTTACATCGGCCTTGTCCGCAGGAAACTCTTTCTTTTATGCCTCTACTCGAATTCTTTATTCGACAGCACTCGATGGAAAAGCACCTGGGTTCTTGAAGCATGAAAAATTCGGCGTACCATATGCATGTGTGGCTGTGACGGCAGCGTTGAGTCTTCTCGTCTATTTGAATGTCTCTTCAAGTTCAGCAGACGTTTTCTTCTGGATCAGTAACTTGAGCTCGGTCAGTACCCTAATTGTGTGGACATCCATCGCAATCACCTATATCCGGTTCCATCGGGGACTCAAACACCATGGCATTCCACGATCTTCGCTCCCGTTCAAGGCGCCCTTCCAGCCATACTTGGCATACTTCGCTGCTATCTTCTCTTCAATTGTTGCGCTTTTCAACGGCTTTGACGCTTTCTTTCCTGGTCATTTTAGCGCCAAAACATTTGTTCCACCCTACATCGATATCCCTATCTTTGCGAGTCTCTTTCTAGGTTATAAATTCATCAAGAAGACGAAGCTTGTCAAACTGGATAATATGGACCTGTGGTCTGGGAAGGAGGAAGCAGATGAGCTGGAGAGCACATGGGAAGAGCCTCAGCCTCGAAACTTTCTTGGTATGGCGAAACACCACCATTCGATTATATTGAGACCAATTACTAACTGAAGCAGAGCGTATCTGGTTTTGGATAGCTTAGACGTATATCAGTTTAGAGACATTCATTTCATGTCTTTGTCTCTGCCTTCCGGTATCTTAAATAGTCATGATTCAAAAGACCAAAAATGATAGAAGTAGGTGAATTGACAAACTTGGTGGCTTTTTGTAATATGAAATATTCCCATTTTTTGATTGAAATAAGGTTCAACTAATTATAACTTGAACGTCCAGCGTGGCTCTTGATGTTGAAATTGAGAATAGGAAAATACGCCATATGCGACATCTGAATGGGGAGTATCAGGTGTGCGAAAGCCGCAGGAAGTCTAGGAAATAGCCGGATCGTTGACTCGGGCTTGAAGCATCTCAATATAGGAGGAGCCTTTCAAACTTGCCATAAAGTGGAAGACAGAAGCAAGCTCCGGCGCTTGAGAGATGGACAGGACGTACTTGGTCTCTTCGGCCAGCCCGTCTGTTTCCGTTGCGATCAGATAGCTCATTGCGGTCATCAATGGGAAAGGTATGAGGTGCTGGCGGAATGTTCCTGTGGATGAATGTAGGAATTTTGGTATACAGCGGATAATCCCCTGGCAGCAATCCCTTGGATGAATTTCGAGCCCTGTCGGTCCTCCTCCAAAGATGGTCCGGTTGGCATCATGAGCGAGTATGCATATCGCCCAGTATAATGTCATGACGTGAGCAGCTGTGATCTCCTTCACTGGAAGATTTTTAGGTGACTCCCAGTCTTTCTCGAAAATACATACATCATCTCTGAACCTTTCATTCCACAGAGACAGATTTTTAATGACCATCTTCATGCAAATTTCGAGATAAGCCTGTGACTTCGCTTTGGTTTCGAGATTCGCAGACAATATCCGGCTATCAATCTCTGCATAGATAGAACCGAACTCAAAGAGAATGTCAACAAGAAGATCCTTCGGAGTTTTCTTGTGATGAGTCCAAGGATCGCACATCCAGGCTGAGTTTGCTAGAACACACTTCTGCCGTGTCTTGATGGCATACAAGGCCTAGTAGGTAGTTGGGTCAGCATAAACTTGACCCTGTTACGGTAATACTGGACTTACATATTGCATCCTCCCATCAACGAAAAGGCGATGTGCAGGACCGGTGGCATAAAAGGATGGATCTTTAGATAGAACGATAGCTAAATCGCCCGCTTGGTGAGTGAGCCAGCTCAGTTGCTGTGTGGCGTGGCACTTCAAGTCATATCCGAATAGAGCCTGAGAGATGGTTAGCACCATTGTTCAGAAATGAGTTCCTCGCATGTGAGCATCGGAGCCCATATGTATGTTGTAGTCTACCTCGTAGAAGGTGAATATTCGTGCTGCACCAAGGATAGCCAGGGCATTATGCTTCCTAGAGGACGATGCCAATTCTTTGCTCATCTGTTCCAAAGCCGCCGAGTATAGTCTTATTCCTTCTTGTCTCATCCATAGAGGTGTGTCGGCCGCGTTTGACATGGATCGAAGGGCGATTGCACCGAAAGCAGTTCGAAGAAGATTGCTATCTGGTAATAGGTTTCGAACTGCGTTAATGGATCCACCAAGTGTAACTTGCGACTCGTCAAAAAGTGCTGAACTTAAGCCCTTGGGCATGTATATCTCCCAGAAGAAAGATTCAATTTTCACCTCGAGGCCAGCTCGTGAAAATCCCAGTGATTTCTTTAAATTTGTCACCATGTGTATTTGCGATGCACTTCCAAACATCGCATCCTGTCGACCTCTCCCATGATTGGGACTTGATTTGTCCTTGTCACCTTTCTGTTGACCATTGTAGAAGTGTAACTCAAGTGTTTCATTGTAGCCGTCGCAGCGTATGCAAGCCTTCCTGCATTGTCCGCATGATGGTCTTTGCTGGTCACACTTATTCCCCTGTTAGCGACCCCTTATTTTCCCCTGATAGCTGGCACTCATCCAGGGCTCGGAACAGCTGGAGCAGATGAAAATACTTACACCTTTCTTCCGCCTTTTGCAAGTCCGGCACGCTTGAGATCGACCTGGAATTCCCACCATAGAGAGATGTTAGTGATGAATAGGAACCTTGAAGGAGCTGCACCCCGCTGAATAACGTTGAAACCTTATCAAGCATTACATAAAAATGTTATTTTTAGTTGCCGAGGTCGGTTATCGGTATCTAGAGATCCGTTTTGTGCGTTGTTTACTCTGTAGAAGAGCCGAAAACTGACGATTCTCCATCGACTTATTATTACGGAGTCAGCAAACCCAAGATACTTAATTTGGCCCCCAAATAACGCATGATGACTCCACTTCCTCCATATGCGGTAGCGAGTGCGCTTCGCGAAGGACGATTTAGCTCATTAAGAGGCTTGCAAGGTTGTTTCAGGGGTAGTTTCATGGGGCTATTTTCTATTTTCCTCATCCGCGTGGAAAGAATAAGGAGTAAGCACGGAGATCTCCGTGAACCCCCATGGGGTCCACTATTTCACTTAATGTACAAATATTGTTTCATATTGCCGGGGCTCAAAGGGCGCACAATCGGCATTCATGATCAAAGCTGAACTAAACTCCATTTGGACCATTTTGCGCCGCCTGCATAAGAAAGACGCCGCAATATTTCCACGTGGCGTATAGGGCATATACTACACCCAATAACACATCTAAATCAAAAATTTGAACCTCTGAAATCTCCAGTTGAAATTATGCTTACTGAGATCTACAGGCAGAGCCCCCAATATGGGTGGTGATTGTGGCTTTTTCAAGCTATCAAAGGAATATATCAAATTAAAATTAGCCTGGGAAGAAAAACGTTGAACTCCGGCCGGAATGCCACTGGGAGGTATAAAAGGCACCTTCATCCAGGTCAAAAAGAAAGACAACTCTCACTGCAGCTTTCTTTCTCTCCTCTCTACAGCACACCTATTTCAAAGTCCTCTCTCTTCACAAAACCCTGACTCAAAATGAAGTTCACTCCCAGCTTCCTGAGCATTGGACTCCTCGCCCTGCTTGGCTCATCTGCTGCTGCCAATGATGACGCTTGTTGCCGACACGATGTGACTACAAGCAGTTACCACGAGCACATTCTCAACAACTACCTTTCCGTCTGGGATGGCGACCTGTCCCTCCTGACCTCCACATTCCACCCTGATATCGTTGTCTACTCCGACCGCTTCCCTTCCTCCACTGGAAATGGCAGTGACGCTACCGTGATCACCAACCGTGAGCAATTCGCTACTTTTGTCGAGAGGGCCCGTGATGGATGGCAGAGCTACACCTTCAACCCTATCACATGGGTATCTGGCGGCCACTCTGTTGCCGTGCGCTGGAAGATGGAAGGAGTTCTTGGAAGCAACTTTACCCTTTTCGAGACGTAAGTCACGCATTCTCCGAATATTTTCTTCCTTTTCATCCACTAACATATTTCTCATAAGACCACTGACGGCTGGTTCTAACGTCACCTACAACGGCACTGACTTCCTTGTTTTGGATGAGTGCACTGGCCTCATTAAGACCGACTACATCGCCCAGGACCTCGTCACATACTTCCATGCAATGGGGTTGGACTACATTAGCGTCTAATTTTCAAGGTTCAAACCGTCGCGCAATACCCATTCCTGCCAGATGAGCGTCATATATTGTACAAGTGCACCATGTTGAATATTTTTGTATAATTTTTAAAGTATGGACGATATGTAGATACCGTTGTGAATATTGAAAATATAATCTGTCTGAACTAAATACATCCCATTGAATCCAAATAGCCTAGATTTGAAATTTGCGGTCGGCTATTTTGCCTGAACTTTCAAAGACTCCGTGTGGAGTGTGTCCACTGGCAGATGAAAACCTTCCAATCAATGTTGGTGAATTGTCTGTGCCTGCCAAATTTGAAGTGGATAGGTCCACTCTTTACATACTAGGTCACGGGAAGTACAGTCAACTGGTAGCGCTTTCGCGGAAGTTCGGCTTGAGATTGATTGATTAATTGATGTGAATTACTAGTAGTATTAGTATAAAGACTGGTCGGAGAACTATGGGTAGAAAAACCACTGGCAGTTGACTTGAAGGATTAGGTGGTAACATTAATCATATTTTATTTCATTCGATAACATAAAATATCCATATACTACACATATCACACTGCATCTCACTAAGGGTCCTTCAAAAGTAATATGGATCCTCAGTGAGGGTTGTCGTCATTTTGATCGAAGTGCTCCCTTGCCCAAGGGCTGCGAAGACGAATAGCCTCTCCCTTGTAGAAAAAGATGAATGGAATTGGGACCAGCAAGATGGAGATAAATCCAAGAAGACTCGATGCCCACTCATATCCAAGCTTGTCATACATCTGGGTCGCGAACAAGGGGAATCCAGCACCCACCACATTGCGACACAGAATCACACCTGCCAAGGCGGAGGCAGAATATGTCTGGTAGCTGTCCACAACATAGTTGAGAATACTAAGAATGACAATATAAATACCAGCACCGAAGAAGCTGGAGGCGATGATGGGCACAATCCAATGCACGGAGCGGTAACTTGTCCATCCAAACCAGAACAGACTGATTGGAATCAGAATGGCTCCAACACGGGCCATCCACATTCGCGCTTCTGGGACACCCTTTCCATCGTTCTGGGCGACACGGCGAAGATAATACTTCTCTTGAAAGGGGTACAAGCAGAAGGCAATAACGGGGCCAATGGCCATTCCCAGGAAGGCCAGACCTTGCTCTCCGGTATTGAAGGGGTGTCCATCGGGAGCTCCGAATACCAAGGGGAAGGACTCGTTGAACAGATAAACCAGTCCATATAAGAAGCCGTTATAGATCGCAGAGAAGGTAGTGATGGGCTCGGAGAACAAGAAGCGGAATGGGCGAGTGAGGGTGATAGCGAAGAGTTCATGGAGACCCTTCTGTTCGCTGGCATGAATATCGGTGACCGATTCGGCAGATTTAAGATTCTCCTCCTTCATCTGCTTGCGCACGCGATTAACCTTTTTCCGCAAAACCGCAGAATGTCGAGTTTCAGGGATGGTCACGATAAGTAAAATCCAGACGACACCTGTCATCGCCATAAGAATCCAGAAGATCCATCGCCATCCCAGGTTGAGGCCAATGTAGCCTGACATGACAAGCGCTGTGGGGGGTCCAAAGGTACTACTCAACCCGTAGATAGCCATGGGGCCACCACTCACGTTCCGCTCCCAAAGATCACTGATAGTTCCACCAGTATTGGTCAAGGGGGCGCCTCCAGCGCAGCCTGCAATGAATCGACAAACGAGGACTGTTCCGATATTGGGCGCCAGTGCCAAAGGCAGCTGGAAGATAAAGAGGAGAAACCATGACACCACATAGACGGGTTGGCGACCGAAGTACTCGGACAGTGGTGCGAGGAGAACAGGTCCAATGGCATAACCCAATACATAGAGTGAGAGAGCCAAGGTAGTGACTTCCTCAGACACACCAAACGCGTCTTGGATGCCAGTCGCACCAGATGAGATTGAACCAGCACACCAGGTTCTAAAAACAAAGTATGTTTGTCAGCGGTCGATCATAGCCAAAAATATCTCACACGACAGGGGGCAAGGGATGACCCGGGGAGGGGGGGGGGGAGAAAAACGCCACTTACGTGAACACATTCAACATGCTAACAAAAATACTGATATACCACTTGCGCCATTTGGGCCAGTTGCGAGGGTTATCATGGTCGTCGGGCCCGAAAGTAATGAAAATGGGCAGAGCTTCATTTGGGCTACTTCTCGCCTTGGCCAGTGCTTGTTCTTCAGAAAGTACCAAGGATGAAGACTCGCGGAATGAGTCGCTAGTTTTCTCCACGTCGTGTGTCGCACCCAGGGGAGACTCTACCTCTGGGGTAGAAGCCATGATTTTCTGTGCTTCTTGACGCACTGAGCAATTGGGAAATTGCGAAAGCGTGCACGGTGCTTCAGGATATATGTATTAATCCGAAAAGAAGCAATCTGGGGGGGAAGACTAGGTTTAAAAAGCTCAGTGGCAAAGAAAAATGGAGCTGTGACGAACCGCTTCCAGATGTACCCCGATCCCGGGGATGAACTTCTATCCCACACTTCCACTACTCCAAAATTCTTTCCCCGAACCTGAGACTTTTTTTTTCTTTTTACTTTCTCTTTCACCGAGACCCGTCGGGCGGGTCGGCCTGCCGAGAAAAAGAAGCAATCAAGGGCCAATGCTTGGTATAACGCATCTCCACTTGGTCAATCTTAACCTCGGTGAACGAAGAGATTAGTCATAAAGACGATATTAGTATGGATCATCGTGGGGATTTTGATGATATGGGGTGTTTTCCTTGCTTAGTGTATCAATCTCGGTGAATTCCTTCAATCAGAGAGAATTCTATTGAAAATGTTGAGTGATAAGCCCATGGATGTTGCCCGTCATAGAAACCTGAGATCGCGGTCTACCTATAGCCGTGGAATATACCCCACATCATGATGTGCAGTTTCAACTTTCAGTGTTGGGCTTGAGCAACTTGGAGTTTCTAGAATATCTTTAGACCAATGATTCGGTCCGAGTCCTGATCGTTTCAATGTTTCTCCCATTTTCCAACTACATCAGTCCGATATGCCATTCAGATGGATACTACCACTGGCATCCGTACCTAGTCTATCATACTGGGATTTTAGAAAATTTGAACAATCGGATTCGCATGTGACTTGGGAATTTGTGTATATTCACAACCTTGGAAGTAACTACGGAGTAGTAACTTTGTTTCAAGACTCGGGAACTTGAATCTGCGCAGGTGGGAATGGGAAGTCCTGGTCTGTACTAGAAGTCACAGTCCCTAAGGTACTATCAATACTCCAGATTTGCCTGATGGTACCTTTTCGCCATTAGCACTGTCGTTCACCGGTCTAAACTTATCAAACTTTCAAATGGGCAAGTTCATTAAGGCACCTGGGAGTGCATCCTCGGGCCGCAAGTGAACTGCGACCGGTGTCGGCACAGATCTTGCAAGGCAGGAGATGAAAATTGCCGAGGCCGATCCTTCAACGGGAGAAGCATTCAACATTCCATGAGTGCCCAGCCCCTCATTGGGGAATCCCATGGAGACTCCATCTTTTCAACAATTCAGTGGAGAATCGTCGGGGCTTCTCCGTCGCTTCTGGGGATGATCTCCACTATCGGTTCATTTTCGGCTGATCAGGACTAGAATTTCCCGCGGTAAAATCAAATCCAGAAAAATGACTTCCGAGTCAGTTTGCTAGGTGCATTAGTCGGTTATATTTAATGCCGAACAAAAGCAACCATCAATGTTCCTTAACGTAAGAGTTTAAATGTGTTATATCAGATCGAACGGGACATCAAGCCATAGATTTTAGTGCCCGTAGCCTGCCGGTCGAATCAATCGAATCAATCCAATCAAGCCATTACCGGTAAAAATCACGGTAAAAACCAGCCACTTTTAGCCTATATTCACCGATGACGCAAATCACTCCAGATTCAAATGTTTCCACTTTGACTCAGTCCTTGCCGACATAACCTTGCTTTACAAACATTGAATATGGCACTGCATAATTTGAACCTGCATCTGAAATTGGAATCTCCTTGTCAAATACCGCGGCTCATTTTGCCGAAAATTCCGAGAGAAAACATACTTGGTAGGATGTGTGTAAATGTGGATTGGGCTTACGCATAGTTGAGGGAACTCGGAGATGCATTTGCCAGTGGATATGGCGCATTATGAATGGCCCTCTAAGGGTACTTTCCACATAGTTGGCTCCGACTCGGAGGCGTATATGCAGGTACGCGATCTATGCGGCTTGAAAATGTTCAAATGTTGGGTCACATATTATGTATTGTGGGGTTCAGCAGCAGTATGCAGTAGTAGTGGCGTCGAGTAGGATATGCAGCGGATAAATCTTCAGGACGAAGAGCATCATGAGATTAAATCTTTAGTCTGAACGATGGCGTGAGCTATAAGGTAATTTCCAACAAGTTGGGTCTGATCCTCCACCTAGATGGTATCACTCGTCACTGCTATGGAACATGGCTGCCATGACTTTGCGCCAAACTCGCTTTCTCTGTGAATCGGCCTTTCCCACAATCCCGATACAAAATAAATCCCCGTGGCGAGTGAGTGTTTCTGGTTTGTGATACTTGTGATATTTTTTGGTTGCATCGCTGCCGGCGGTTTGGAGGAGAACTATACACATAACAAAATCCATGGTTAGTTTGATCGATGGAACAGATTTCAATGTTCTCCCCACAAATGCAAGGTATAATGGATATATCATTGTGGTAGGTAGCAAACCTCCTCTTCCTCCTGGATGCGAGTCCAGAAATCTCGTCAGGTCAAACACTCTCCCATCAATAATCACCCACAGATCCTCTTCCTTATTGTGCGAAGCGACCTCGGATCGTTCAAAATTGTGCTTCAAACACGGCAGCTCACTGCTTGAAGTCATCAGACTGGTACTTGGTGCGAATTATAACGTGGAAAACACAGTTGCTATCGCTGAAACTTTTCATATCCTCCCACTGGGTGGTTATTAAAGCCCACCGGTGAATGGTCATTAGTCCTCATTTTTCCTTTATCACATGCAAGGATTTTTTTGGGGTGAACTCAAAAATGAACTTCCTGATTTGGAGTCTATAGCGTATAAGTTTTGTTTTCTGTGAGGAGATGGGGGGTTTTTTGCACGATTAATGCCGCCCACGGACCTCGGGTACTCCTGAGCTGGTAATGAGCAGAGGGGTTAGTTGGACCCCAAGCAACGTCGACTGGCCAAAAAACCTACATTTCTCAACTTGACATTCACTTTGAATGAGTAAATATCGCGAACTCATACCAGTGGTCAACTTGGAGGTACTAATTATTGATACCGAAACTTAGCATGATCATGAGCCTGAGGCCCGCCATTGCACATCTAGATGCCTATTGTCGATTCATGCACATGTGGTCTCTAATGGTACACTACGTAAAACTCTGAGGCCCCGGGCACTGAAGTTTTGATTCTATGAGAAAATTCACTAACTTTGGAATATGGATTTCTTCTTGCGCAGCTCTCAACGCGCGTATTTGTTCTTCAAAAATAGTAGTTTGGCAAATTTGACGGCTATGTTCGGCCACTTGCACCCGTAGACTGTTTATGCTTAGGATTCAGCACCGATCCTGGTGAATCTCAATTTTAAGAAGTCGTTTGAAACCTCCCAGCAATAGGCTAAAATTTCGGTGCAAGTTCAAGTTGTTACTGCATCGATAGTAGGGCCGAATTCAAATGTTGACTCCACGCGTAGATATCCCCGTCTCCAGACTCCGCGTTCTGCTCTTAACTTGTTCTCTCACCTAGCGCCCCTCTCTAAACAAAAGGACGTGTTTGTCCCTTTCCAAGAACCTTAATCAGCTGATTTAGACGGAATCGATCCCGGAGAGTGAACTTTGCCCAGAGAACGTTTACGGGATGAGATCCGCCGGAAGTATAACGGTGGATCGTTTGTGGAGTATAGGATCAGTTTACTCCACCCCTGAGACTCTCCTCGTTCAATGAAAATGCGGGGTATATAGGACGAAGATGGAAGATAAACTATAAGACGCGTCTTAATGACGGCCACCTGGCCATGGAAAAGTGTCGTCAGATCCAGTGCCTATATTTTTTCTTGAACTTCGTTCAATTGCTCCCGAACTCGTCGAGTGGAAGGCTTTCTACTTCTACTGTTCCATTTCATATTTCGCGTCGATCCTGACGCCCCTGCCCTTCCAATCCAAGTCAATATGAGCGAGATTGCCACGGACAAGTTCGATGATTGGAAAAAAGAAGACTCTTTTGAGCATCATGAACTGGCCATTGTGGAACAGCCCGTCAGTTCAGCAAACCAAGAATCTACATGCTCAAGTGCTCTTGACCTTCGTGATCCTCGTAATTGGCCACACTGTAAAAAGGATGTGGTCATTTTGATGATTTCATTCCATTCAATGAGCTCAACTTTCATGACCGCTGGGATTGTTCCTGCAAGTTCCAAGTTCGCAGTTTCTTATGGTGTATCTCTTGCTTCCGCGAGCTATCTCGTATCTATACAAGTGAGCGTTTTCTCCAGAAAGGCCTTGGATTATGACTGATAGCTATTAAAAATAGATCCTCTTACTCGGAGTTACACCCATATTTTGGGTAGTTGCCATGGAACGATACGGCCGCCATTATATACTGATATTTTCAGTGCTGGCAAGCATGGTATGCAACCTTGGTGGGGCATGGTGCACAACCTATGCTGGTCAAATGGTTACTCGTGCATTGTGTGCCACCTTTATTTCACCACCAATTGGCATTGGCAGTGTAATAGTCACAGAGTTGACTACACCTGATGAACGTGCTCGGAAATTAGGTTGGTGGGTTGTTATGACAATTCTCGGCACACCTGCAGGTCCCTTCATTATGGGATTTGTAGTACAGCACACTCAGGTCCGATGGATATTCTGGATATATTCCATCGTCAACTTTCTGCAGGCAGTAGCCTATTTGTTACTCGGAGCAGAGACGCTATATCCTCCGGTACCGAAATCCGAGACCCTTGAAGTAAAGGGCTCTGTCATGAAGACTCTAGCGAGGAAATTAGTTCCAAGAAGACTTGATGTGCGGCCGATGAGACTCCGAAACGTTCTAACTCCATTCGAGCTGGCAGCGAATACCCGTATATTGGTAGCAGCTATGGCCACTTCCATTAAATTCTGCTATGGAAATATTGTATATGTCGTCGAAATGCCACTTACATTCACAGAGAAACTTGGTCTCGATGCCCAGCAGACTGGTCATCAATTCGCTTCGGTAATCATTGGATGTCTGATTGGAGAGCAAATAAGTAGTCCATTATCCGACTACTTCATGAAAGTACATTCAAAGCGCAGGGGGGAATTTTTATCCCGCCGATCGTTTTTGGCTGACGTATATTGGCTTTTTCACTATAATTGCCGGCCTTTTGATCTGGGGATCTCGACTCGAACAAGCGACAACCTGGAATATTACTCCATGCGTGGGAATTGCTATTGCCAGTTTTGGAAATCAGATACAATCGAACGTCCTCACTGCGTATGCCGTTGATACGTCCCCCGACAAGTCTGCCCATATTGGAGTATTCTTCAATTTTATAAGACTTCTATATGGTTTTGTATGTTCAATCCCACATGATAATTTCGAAGGTTTACTGATCTTTTGTTATAGATCGCTCCATTCTATTTCCCATACCTGTTTAATACTTTAAATTATGCGGTCGCGGCCGGACTGATGTGCGGACTTGTGGTTATTGGTGGAATAATCCCTGTTTCAATTATCCAGCTCACAGCATCTCGCAAAGATCTCTCAATAGAGATGTAGATACAGACTCGGACCAGCTGAATGTACGGCAGTCATTTGAAGGTACTGTGGGTGGGAATTATTGTCCAGCTTGAATTAAATTTATTGCATTAAGCATCAATCCATGCCTGTTTCTATTTTTCTAGGGGATTGACTGGGACCTCCAACTCAAGCCCCTATCGCCAAGAAACCCAAATGAGTCTACTTGTAGATGTCTAAGTCAAATCGTAAAAATTTAACAGTGAGCTTAGAGACATTTTGATTTATGCGATCCATAGTTTGTCGCATAAAAAGTTTCTCTATATGAAGTGACGTACTTGGACTTCGGGTTAAACCCGATGAGGGGGAAGGATGCATTATGCCCAAGTGGAGAGCCGGGATGAACCCGGGGCATCTGGACAATTTACATTCAACTCAGGTCAAAAAATCTGAACCTGTCGCACATTTCAATTTATGATTTTTTATAATATTTCCACTGAATAGATTGAGAAAAAAATACCATACTAGGCGAAGGAGATATGACGTAAGGGTTTTGAAATGCAACAGCATTCAGGTGGAATCGAGATGTTTCAAAATAGCAAAATAGACAAATAGGACTTGGAATTCGTCTTTCAATACAAAAAATGGCAATCTGAAGCTTGGCTTAGTCATGCAACTGAGCAATAATCCACTGTGTGATATGTTGAGTTGTCAAGCTTGGCGCTCTCTGTGCCAAAAAGTCCATCAGAGGTCCATCGTGGGTTTCTTTATCCGCAATATAAGATGTCACGTTGCTTTTGGCTCTACACTTGAAAACATCAATCAACTGGATGATATGGTCCCTAAACACCTCCTCTTCACCTGTAGTGATAAGAATCCCATCGACCGAGTTCAGCCCTTCCCACCAACTCTCCGAAACATCTAGTGCCATTCCCCATCCATATCCTCGAGATATTTCATCTTGCCATGGTGAATCCTTGATGAGTAAATCGCCCCAGCGACTGACGACTTCCTTACCCAGGACATCGACACTGTAAGGTTTTCTGAATGACATCGTGTTCAAATTCAATGATGTGAGAGGTGATACCAGGAAACACCCTTTCACAGGCTCTGTCATCTCAATATCGTATATCGGATTCAAGTTCCGAGGGCGGGGGTGATGAAGACATGAGAGAAGTGATAAGGAAATATGACCCCCAGCAGAATCTCCTCCAAAGATAATCTGGAAAAGAGACACTTGTCAGAGGATCGAATAAGACACGACTTTCGAAGAGGCACTTACATTTCTTGGGGAATAGCCGGACGCTAGCAAGTGTTTCAATGAAAGAATCGCCTGCATCATTTGGCGTGGATACCTTGTACCGGGAATGAGATCTGTATGGATCATGTCAGCACCATGGTATATCCTACTATAACTCGGAAGTTATGTCACAGATTATGAAGCAATTGCGTACCATATTCTAAGACACACACATCTAGGGCTATGTCCGCTTTGGAGGCCTCTCCCTTGATGTGCGCCATCCAATCCAGATGACCTGGTGAGAGAGGCATGACATATCCACCACCTGTTCCTTCTGTTTAATTAAATACCGTGATGAGAGTCTACCTCAATCAGGAAAGTATGACGCACCATGAAAGAAAAGTAGAACGTTCTTTGCCTTTCTTCTTCCTAGCCATAGCAGGCGGGTCTTTCCATCCGATAAAAGCTCAAAATCTGGTAAACCGCCCACGGCTGTAGTCCATTTTTGATAGGTGTCAACGGTGGAGGGCAGAACCGCGTGTATTTGCTTTGGTGGAATGTTCGCCATCAAGGGGCGTATGAAAGAATTCCAAAGCGACGGCCCCAAGGGCAGCTCTTTAAGCCAGGCCCAGACTAGTGTTTTGCTCATGTCGAAGATTCCCCATCGGAGAGTTATGAGCAGGATATTGAGAAGAAAGGATGTCCATATTAGGGGGGGAAGGTCTTTTGTTAGCCATGGTTTCAAATTCTGCGTCAAATTTTGGAGTATTTAGATATTGACTGAACAGACACCTAACTTCAGTCCACGACCGCTCCAAGGTTTCTGATGAACATCGGATTTCGACAAAACATTTGAAAAGAAATCACATAATCACAAAAACGAGTTCACGAGTACCGAGCTATTCCCTAGAGCACTGTCGGGATCAACCCGGGCGCTGTAAAAATTGATTAACCCACGTGCGGAGGTTCCCCTCAAGTTGAAACCTCGGCAAAAACACCCATATATAGTCCACCTATGCACGTTAATGTAATACAAAGAAAATATTACGATATTCAAGCGTCAAGTCATGGAAAACAAACATCAAGTTATAGTACCATCGTACAGTCAGTTTGCGTGCATAGGCACCGGCATTAGTGCCATTGCTCTTGGTGCAACACTCCAACGATGGTATCAGATGGATGACATCCGGTTTTTTGAGAGACATGGGGACTCTGGTGGTACATGGCATATTAGCTCTTATCCCGGTATTTCTTTCCATTTCAAACCCATTTGAGGAAGCTTATCGACTAACCTTCAAAGGATGTGCTTGCGATGTGCCTAGCGCCTTATACAGCTTCTCATTTGCCTCGAACCCCGGATGGACTAAGCTGATGCCATCGTATCGAGAGATCAAGAAATACCAAGAGGAGGTTGCGGAAGCTTATTCTCTTCGCGATAAGATGCGATTTTATAAGCAGGTGGATGAGTGCATTTGGTGCGAAGAATCATCTCGCTGGTTGATGATTATTCGTGACGTTCGCACTGGCGAGATCATGCATCATGAATGTAAGATTTCTCTTTGCTGCGACTGGCCAGCTGGTGGCACCGCGCCCATGTGATATCCCTGGGGCATCCTCTTTCCAAGGTGACATTTTTCACTCTGCTCGATGGAACCACGATGTCAATCTCGAAGGAAAGAAGGTGGTGATTATTGGAAACGGATGTAAGCGATCTTTCAATTGCATCAGACCTATCAATACTGACAGTACAGGCACCGCTGCGCAAATTGTCCCGGCTATTGTGGACCGCACGGAGTCCTTGACACAGATTATTCGCAGTAAGCACTGGGTTTTCCCAGCAGGGAACTTCACCTATCCACCTCTTCTACAATGGATTTTCCGCTGGACCCCTTTTACGATGCAACTTCACCGCTTCCACATTTTTCTCATGGCCGAAAGATTTCCGTTTATTCCCCATGACCAAAGCAGCCGCGAGGCTACGCGAGAAGTATCGACAGCGAGTGAAAAGGTATATGCGGGAAACTGCGCCAGCAAAGTATCACGATATAATAATACCGGATTTTGACATCGGATGCAAGGTGAGTAAAATTCGATCGCAATGCTCAAGGTTTTCTCGTTCCTGTCATGCAGGAGCCATAGCTGACATTCATTCATACTTAGCGTCGAATCTTCGATTGTGGATATCTTGAATCGCTGAACAAAGACAAACTCCACCTGACAGATTCCAAGATTCTTGAGATCACCCCAGATGGAGTTCAAACGGCAGATGGTCAAATTCCCGCGGATGTGATTGTACTGGCTACAGGGTTCAAGACCAACAAGTTTGTCCCATTCACAGATATCAGGGGTCGCGAGCGTACAATTGATGAGCACTGGAAGCGCTGTGGTGGACCAGGGGCATATAACTGCTCAGTCCTAAGTGGCTTTCCAAACTTCTTCATGCTACTAGGTCCGAATGCCGCCACTGGGCATACCTCTGCCGTCATGGCTTCAGAAAAGTAAGTACTATTTCAAATTGGTGGGAGTCAGACGCATAGACTAACTGTTGAAGCTCGGTCAACTACGCTCTCCGAGTACTGAAGCCCGTCCTGGATGGAAAGGCTGTAGCAGTAGATCTCAAAGAGGATGCAGAAGTTGAATATGTTAATTGGGTACAGGAAGCCCTACGCCAGCGTATATGGAATGCTGGATGTGCTTCGGTGAGTCATGCTCCCAATGCAAGAAAAAATAATGATAATAACCAAAACAGTGGTACATCAACGAGAAGAAATGGAATGCGATGGCGTACCCATGGACCCAGGGACATTACTGGTATCGCAGTCTTTTCCCCGTTTGGTCGCACTGGACACAAAAGGTAGGGCATCTCGATTGAATCATCAGAAGATTTCAATATTGACTATCATGTAGAAAATTCCCAAACCTGTGAGCAGAGTTGGCAGAACAAAATTCACTTGGATGGCTGTCTTCATTATGATGTTGGGTGGAGCATTTGTTCGCTCACAAAGTCCTCAACTCTGGTCATCCATCATCCTTCAAGCAAGAAAGGCATACTTCCAGTTGATTACTATATGGGCCCATAAGTAGCACTCCAGGGGAGTTCCTTGTGTTCCTAGCCTAGGAAGGGTCATCGATTGTTATAATATTTCAAAGAGGGCCTGCATTCAAATGTCTTTCCTTCTTGAGCCCATAGCAGATATAGGATGAGCGGAGTGACACTAGGCAATCAAATCTCGTTTTGTCTAGAGCTATTTATCCCAACCTTTAAAACTCCAGTATATACGACTTCGAGTTTGGCCAATATGAATTTTGAATGTGCCCTGCTTTCATCCTCGTATAGCCTCGGGACTGCACAGATGCACCTGGAATTTTTGTTTTACATAATCCCCCAGTCGGAGTTGTCAATACGTTGTTTGACAATTTTCCTTCTCATCTCAAGAGATGCATGGATCCCAGCAAATTGCTTCTTATTCAAGATTCCCCGCGATTTTCCATCCGCTCAAACTGAACAGAAGCTCGGATCATGCCCAGGTATAGGTAGACTGTGAAGCTTTTTTCATTTCGATTCCCATCGATATCTGAAGATTCCTAAGTCATTGAAGGATAGTCATATTGGATTAAACTTCAATTTTCTCAGTACAATTCCAACTTGGGGTGACGGTCATCCGAGTCCGGGTCAATCCCAGTCCTCGGAATGTACCCGAAAGTACGTATGCTAGCTTCCTTGCCCCATATTCCTCCTCAGCTCACCCGAGGCATTAATCACGAGTCATGTATACATTGAATCCTTAAAGGCATCCGAGAATCCAACTCAGCCTCCTGCAAATGGGTAAGTATATGAATTTGTCTAACATTTTGAACAATATGAGCTCTCACCACAGACTGTTCCCAAGAGAGGGAATTTATATTGACCCAATTGCCCGGATGATAAAAAGGACCTTTCTGCACCCAGTATTCACGGTTAGTATATTTGGCTACATTGAAGTATTCAAGTCCCAGTCTCAACGGTCGTTTCTTCATTCTTCATTCTTTTATGGTGCCATGATCAGTCTCGCGCTGTGGATAAACGAATTTCTCAGTCGCAAGAGTGCTGACAATTGGACCACTGATCCGACATATGATTGGCGAAAGGAGATAGTCGTGCTGACCGGGGGAAGCAGTGGAATTGGTGTGAGCATTGTCAAAAGACTTATTGGAGATGGCGTGTGTGTTGTAGTTTTGGATATTGTTCCAACCCCTTCTGAGATGAGTGAGTTTACAGGTTACTTAATCAAAAGAATCCTTGAAATGACAGACTTACGAAGTCAAGAGAAAGCAAACTTTTGAAATAATATCACTGTGATCTCAGTGATAAATCCCAGATTCGAGATGTTTGCGATCGAATTCGAAAAGAGGTGGGACATCCTACCGTTCTCGGTATGCGCAAGTGTCCTGATCCAAGCCTCCGTAATTCCAAGTTATCTCACAATAATCACAGTGAATAATGGGATTATCCCGAGGAAGAACGATTTCTGAGGCGACATATCATGATATTACGATCACACTCAAAACCAATCTCATCGCTCCAGTCTTGCTTAGCAATGAATTTCTGCCCAACATGATTAAGCATAACCACGGACACATCATCAGCATTGCCTCAATGAGCGCATATCTGCCCCCTGCAGGTCTTGCAGACTATGGAGCCTCTAAGTCAGGATTAATAGCATTTCATGATGTGAGTTCGAACCTATATCTGGGCCCATATTGCTTCAAGCGCTCAAACGAAAGCTAGGCTCTCCGTCTGGAGTTGAAACATCGATACGAAGTCCCTAGATTTGGGAGTTCATTGGCTGTTCTCAGTTTCACTGAGACTCCTCTATTCAAAGGCAAAACAAATCAGTCGTCTTTCCTATTCCCTCTGATGCACATGGACACAATTGGCGATGCTGTTGTTGATACCCTGTACAGTGGATCCTCTCGGACGATGTACTTTCCAGGCATTTTCCGTTTCTTCGCCGGAATCGTAAGAGTTCCATTTCCTCCAAATTTTTCAAAAAAAAATTCTTCTGACCAGTACAGAGGAGAGCACCTGAATGGTGGCAAAATATGATTCGGGAGCAATCCAAGTCGTTGAAAGTGGACTTTCGGGGAAGGCAAAATATTGACCCAAAGACCGGCAATCTGAGCTCTCATAACTGATTGTCCGGTTTTATTTCGAATGTTGTGGCTGAATACAATCTAGTGAACCTAGACTAAGTCGAGTACATCCATAGTTCGCGAAAGAGAAAAGAATCGACATCTGGAGGTGACGGATCCGAGGTCCCATCCCGGGTCAATATTATGAACCCCACAATTCGGAATATGTATATCCCGTGAATCTATGATTTCCACCTGCTGTGTTCTTTCAAGGCTCTACTCTAAATACTGAGTCAAGTTAACTACCAATAAGCGAGTCATTTATAATCGGTGAAAAATTGCATGATGTGATGATCCCTTGAATGTGACCATCTACAATTCTCAACTACTAGACGCTTGGAAGTTGCTCCAGGCTCGCCTGTGACCAATATCCACCACTAAGAGGGCCATCGACTACTACTCCACGCAATTCAAGGTGATATTCACCGAAGTATCTGCACTACTTCCACCATTCTCCAGCAGTGCAAATGTGTATTCGCCCAGCTCGACGGTCCACGTATAGCTTCGATCCAGAATCACCAGATATCGACTCACATCGACATCCATGGTGACTATCTGGGACTCTCCGGGGGCGAGATAGACTCTTTTGAAAGCGACGAGCTGTTTCACTGGACGGGTGATCGATGATATACGACCGAGTTGGTAAACCTGAGGCACGTAGCTCCCTGCAACGTTTCCGGAGTTGGTTAAAGTGAGGGAGAATGTGATGTTCGACCCAGCATCAAACTCCCCATCACTTAATATGCGATTCGAATCTTTGATAGCGGCAGAGAAATTGCTTGTTGTGAAATTTGTGTACGATAAGCCGTAGCCAAATGGGTACTGTGGCCATAATTAGATGAAGATATCGTTTTGTTGAGTGGTAAACTCTTACAAGGGGCAAGTATTGGGTATCCGTATAATCTCTAGGGAATGAAGGCTTATAGCTGCGACCGGTCATTATCTTCCAAAAATTGTATACCCATGCCAGTCTTACTTGTAAAATGAAGGTAATGCACCAGCGTTGAATGGGACACTGATAGGCACTCTTCCACCGGGATTAATTACCCCGAAGATTGCGTCGGATATAGCCTGTCCACCGGATTGGCCTGGGAAGAACTAGATAATGGCCCAATGTCAGATCAATGTACCTGGAAAACAAATCAGTAGTCCGGATAATCGTAACTCACTGTGTTCAGAACTGCAACAGATTTGTTATAGTACTCTGGTACGGCGAAAGGACGACCCCCTTGCAGAACAAGCACAACGGGTTTGCCGAGTGAGTATATTGCGTCCGCCAGTATCGCTGTCAAGCTGTCAATATTGTATTACCGCATCAATTGACTCGAGTTCCATCTCAAGGCGACTTACTTTGGTTAGGAGAGAATCCCAAAGTTGCTCTGTCTCCAGATTCGCCGTCACTATTCCAGTTGGCACCAAGGGCTAAAATTACCACATCAGATTTCTGAGCCACTCCGACAGCCTGCGATCATGATTCAGCTCCCATAATTGCTTTAATATAATTTCCACTGCATGAACAAGACTTACTTGATCCACTGAATGGACAGGGTCAACTAAATTCCAGAACAGCAAGACCTGGGCATTAAGCGAATTGACGTTCTCGAATTTCTGAACATAATTCCATGCCTGGTACTCCAGTCTAATTCGATGAGTTGCATTCTTTCCAAATTGAAACGACGATGAGCCTTCAGGCGGCAGAGTTGAATTGACCTCGGTGAATGAAAGACCTGGAATATCAGAGAGAATAGTTCCAATCGTTGTAGCCGGAACATCAACATGGAGCTTCCCATCGATGTATAGCTTCGCAGAGGTATTGGCGTAAACGGCGACGCCAATCCAGCCATTAGTATCTGTCTCTACTGGAACCTCCAAATCACCCTCCCAGATAGCACTGAAATTGTTAGATGGGAGTCCATTCGGCGGATAGAGGCCCCAATCGAGGCTGGGAGTTTCAATCCTCTGCACGGTCGGGTCTGTGAAATTGGTTGTTGCATAGTATGTAGCCTGAAGACCACCAGCGGTGCCATTCACCGAGAGTAGATATGGAGGTATATTGTATTGCCCGTTATAATTCCAGGAGTTGGCACCCCAACTTGTAAGTAGGTTTGTGTCTGGAAAATTGCTTTCAAGGTGCTTCGTAAGACCTTCGCGGATTGTGCTAGCATTCCTGACGGGATATCCACCAAACTGGCCAGAATAATCTCCATAATTCAATGTATCCGCGAAAGGCCCAATCAATGCAATATTTTTGATTCCTTGTTTGTCGGGTTGCAACGGTAAGGTTGAATTGTTGTTCTCAAGCAACACAATTGCCTTCTGTGCTGCCTCTAACGTCAGGGGCACATGCGATTTAGTGATTGCTTGGATGTCAATGTCCTCCGCGATGTAGGGATTTTCGAAAAGGTTCAAATCGTACTTGACACTCAACACGCGCTTTGCGAGCGCTTGGAGCTGCGAGAGGGTGAGGGTTCCATTGGAAACTAATGCGACCGTATCCTGGTGGTTATTGTCAGCAATTGTGCTTAAAGGTGACTGCCAAAAGGCCTGTTGAATTTTTTAAAGGATTCTTACATCAACATATTCACTTAGAGGGAAATCATAGTACTGGATGATACCCCCGGCATTGTGCCATTGTGCTATGGTGTCCGCCACGGAACTAGTAACAAGATGAGTCGATAGGAGCATTTCAAGTCCTGTTTCAAAAATCAAAGTTCTGGTTAGCAATCCGATTTCAAGTTTCAAACAGGAAATGTAGGGAGTTAGGAGGAGAATGTAGTGTTGGATTAGAAATGGTCTTCTTGCGCCTACCTGCATCGTCTGCTGTGATGATACCTAGATGGAGGAGAAATATACATTAGTATGTTCAGTTGCCAGGATGAACTAGATGTAAGAAGTGTACCGTCATATCCCCAGTCCTCAAGTGCCTGGTATAGGAGAGGGTTGACCGAAGAAGGAACATCGTCGAACTCGCTATAGGCCCTTCAAAAACCGTCAGTCGCCGCAAGCCCATGATTATCGGCTATCGGCACTTACATCATAACACCTCTGACTCCACCCAGATCCACAGCGGCTTTGAAGGGCATAAGCATTTCCTGGAGGACTTCTCGTGTTCCATAACCCATGAAGGGGGCAGCATTATGGCCGGCTTGAGGGCTGCCGTGTGCGGCGAAGTGCTAAAGTATCATCGCTTCAGCAATCGAATAACATCATCATAACTCAACGTCCATCTCTCAACAGGATCACCAACCTTCATGATGGGAATGACAGCATCGGGATCACCCCAAGTGCTGTTTTTTGATAAGCCAGATGCAAATGCCACACCCATATGGGACGTGAGAACCATATCCTCGCCCCAATCCTCTAGGAACACCACAATGTTAGGTTCATGAAGGGCTGTAAAAGGGTAATACAGAAGGAATACCTTGGACTCGTCCCCAGCGTGGCTCCTTTGCAAGATCGAGTACAGGAGCAAAACAAGCATGGACGCCAATGGATCGTGCCTCGGTAGCAATCGCCCGGCCGACCCGGTGTACCAAGTTTGTATCGAAGGATGCTGCCATGGCGATTGCCTGGGGAAACATTGACTGCTTGAATGATCCAACTCCGTGCAAACATTCCCCAGTCTGCATGAAAGGCACGTAAAGGCGGGATTTCTCTGTGTTCAGTTTTTGAAGGTCGTTATACTGGGACTTGTTCGTGGGATACCAGTCATGCATAATACCAATAGGCGCTCCCGGCGCCACTTCCATTGCTTGGTCTGCATAAACATGGTCAGTCTGGCCCGGTCATGAACCTATGTGTGAGAATATTGGATATTGTTTGGGATTTCATACCATAAAGAGCATTATCAGAGTTCGGTCCAATGATGTTATCCGCAAACATCAAGTGCATCTGCAGAACTATGCTTCATCTTAGTATTCGACAAAACAAGAATAAGGAAGCAAAGACAACCTCAATTCTTACCAAGCTCAGGGATGGTCATGTTATTAATGATATTATCTAGAAAGGCGACTTTCCTCAAATCCTGGAGCTCCACGTTTGTCCGGGTTGCGTTGGATCCATAAGACCTGGCACCCAAAGTCTTGTCCGCCTCACATGGTCGAATCAAAGATAACACACCTAAAAGGACAAGCCCACGCCATATATCTTTTATTAAGAACATTCTTTGCGCATGATCTAAATTCTTAGCTGTTGAAATGTGTCACGCGAGTACTAGCTTGTCATAGGCGGTGCAAAGGGACTTGAAAAGCGAGATTTAACCTCTTTATGGGAAAGACTAGAGAATTAACTCCACGTCAATTACGAGAAGCGTAAGTAACCTTTTATCTCTTGATTTTATTAGGCTAAATTGAAAGTGAAGACTTATGTAGGTTATACAAGTAGCACTTGAGTAGTGGGAAGGTCGATGTAGGTGATATCAGTCTGAAGTAACCGTGGCATCTGAGAACGTAGATTCTCTACAACATCAATTCATAGCACTCCTTTCTCCCTCAATTCCTTCCTGTAAATGGTCAAGATCTGCATATTTTCAGTGATTCTGATAGTTAGCGTGCGGGGAACTAAAGCGGGGGATCCTTACTGCTATGTAGCAATATGCAAGCGATCGGCCGCTCTGTCCAGTGAAAAATATTGAAGATATCTACTCAATAGCCCTGCCCAATGTGGGATAAGTGAAAGAAAATTCGGATAATCAATGTGGTGGTGATGGAATATGTGGATAAGACAAAGCGCTTTATTTTTATCACTGCAGGAGTGAACCCGTCTCAAAGCACCATAATGTGAACATTTGAAAGTCACTCTAAAAGCCATTGATGGCCCACGCACAGTTCATCCTTCCATGACGTGTTTTGTACTATGTTCTAGCTATAGCTTTGAGCTATCCAAGGAATGGAAGTCATTGATTTTAGAAGTTTTTTTTGGGTATTTGGTAAGAATCAAGTAAATAAAAGATAAACCCCACGCCCCTTTTCGGTAGCGTAAACACCAAGCAAAACGGACCTGCCAACTCCCGGCCATTTTAGTTCGATGCACATGTCTCAAAGCAAACTTGGCTGCACCACTGGCAGCTTTCAGTTGCCCTTGTCAATTACTCTCGAGGAGCAACAACAAGAGCTTCCTCGCCATAGTTCGTGATGTCATACCCATTCTCCACCAGGTAAGCCTTGAAGCGAGCGTCTTCAGTCTCAAGCTCACGACTCATATCTGGAATTAGAAACCAGGCAGCGCTACCACCCAGCATGGCGAACCCCGAGCCGATCAGAAAGACAGCCCGTTGGCCCTCAAGTGTGGTGGAAAAGGAGTTTTGAATTGGGGTGAAGACCTGAGTGCCAATCGATCCACCCGCCTTGCCAAAAGCAGCTGCGAGTCCGAGAAAATGACCACGCAGAGGGGTTGGGAAGGACTCTGCAGCACACAGGAAAGTAGCGACACCGGGACCCATCTCTCCGAGAGCGAGGAAGATGCCATACATGACGATGAACAACGGAACGATAGTTTGAATGGACTTCAAAGCACCCCCCCAGAGTGAATCCCCATATTGCCCACGCAATGAACCCGAGGGTCATGGTTTGCTTACGGCCGATTTTATCCATCAGGTAAGCACCGATAATACAACCGGGGAGAAGAAAGAGATTGATAGCAGCCTGGGCGGTTCAACATATTAGCGACATTTAAAATGCAAAGGAAGCTCCAAAAACTAATTACCCCGAATCCAATGCTCTGGAAAATGGTGTTTTCGGTCATCAAATCCTGAACTATGGTCGAGGAGAAAAGGCCGAATGGGTAAGTCACGAAATCATAGCAGAACCAAGCCAGGGCTAGAGATTGATGATTAGAAGCAGATCAAGAGATTCGGTGAAGAGAAACTCACAGGTGCCGACCATTGGCTTCCAATAGCGCTTGAGCACCAGAAGGTACGGGTAGCGAGACTTGATTGAGTGCTTCCGCCACTGAGTGGAGTTGATCATGCGAACTCGGAAGAAGCAGATCACAAGGGGGAGCTGATGTGCTTGTTAGATCGCAGTCAGAAATTTGAGATTGGCTCTACTTACCACAAAACCCAGGCCAAAGCAGATGCGCCAAACACCCTTAGTTTCTTCTTTGCCGTAGCATGCGAGAACAATGACAGCAACCACGCCGGACGAGACGATTCCCTAAAGCGAGATCAGTAAGCTTCTTTTGAATGATTCTTTTCCAGACGTACAAAGTCGACAGCAAAGTCCGTGGTCATTCCGACCAGGAGTCCACGCCGTTTGCGCAGGCGATGACTCTCATCGGCGGCTTCGGTAGTACTGGTTCCACAGACAGGATATTCTCCACCTGCGCCAACACCAGCCACGCCACGCGCAATGATCATCATCCAAAACATGCTGTATGATTCCGGGTTAGCAGAAGCTCAATGACGAAAGGGGAGTTCCATATTGGAAGTCGAACCCTAAATCAGAGGTACCATGGGCAGCGGTTGCAAGGACAACACCAAGAACCAGGAGGATAGTGGCAAGAATCACGCCAGTGCGACGACCCATGCGGTCAATCAAAGCACCAAAAAGGAGCATGCCAAAGATTTCACCAATCAGGTAGGAGTTAGTAAGACGAGACTTGATAGTCGTGGTAAAGCTATCCTTGTAACTGCAAAGACCAATCAGCTCATTTTGTACACAAAGCTTGTAAAGATTATTTGTAGCTCACAGCTTGGTAAAGATGAGATCCATGTACCCAACTACCAAGACCGTGACGTTAGTAAAAATAGTATATCATGTATAGCTTTTGCGGGTTGCACATACCGATTTGAGCATTGTATCCATCACTGAACAGGGCAAGGCCGGAGATGATGATGTTGAGGACCTTTGAAGTTTGCTTCTTCACGGTCTGGGACACCTCCAGATCCCAGTTCTCCTGGGCTGGGCCCTTGTCCTCCATCTTCATGGCGGAGTCGGTTGGGGAGCTCTCCATTTTTTCCAAAAAAAGAAGAGAAAAAAAGGGAGAAAAAAAGTGTTGCAGTAATTTTTTCGATGATCAGGAGGGCTTAAGGGTCTCGTTCTGGGATCAGAATGAGAAAAGGAATGGTGAGAAAAGGAAGGAGAGAAAGAAGAAGAGAAGGGGGAAAGGGACAAGAAATAACATTCACGCAACAAGTCTAGGCGGGTGTGCGAGGCGTCAACCCACCACCAACCCTCCACCAAGAACGTGCTCGTATACGGTCACGTTTCTTTATTTCTTTATTTCCTTTTCAGCCTCTTCAAATTCCCCCACCAATTTTCTATAATTGTTATACATACCATGTGTCCCTCTTCAATGCTATTTTTTACCTTTTTTGTTATGAAAATACAATGCAACCTTGTATTATACTTTTATATTGGGAGATCCAATAATAAGCTCTTATAGACACACGAGCGTATCTCCTTCACGGGATGATCCGCATATCGGGATGAAGTGCGGTTCCTGGTCCCTGTCATAGTGAGATATAGTGGAGACCAACGATAACATCTAGACTATGAGATTAGACTGTCATTATGGAGTATGTGGAGTATACATATACGGAGTATACAACAAATATAGCGGAGAAAAGAGAAGTCCGAGCTTCCTCCACTTTTATGGTTTTGTGTTCCATGGTTCGTCAAGGGCGTGTGGGTCAAATCTATGGTGTTATCTCCACCAATCAATCCACCCATTCCACCCATGTGCCTTCAAAATGTTCCAAAAGGGTTATCTCGATGTTCCTTTGATTACTAACACTTAAGCTTGCACTGGAAGCTTGGACATTGTGGGCTATTTTAATGGGGCATGTGGCTTCGGGATCACTTGGGGGGCTTAAGTGTTTATGTCGGGACGAAGTGCGACACTATGAGGACTTCTTCCCTTGATTGAAATTAGCGCACGTGCGTTATCAGCATCATCTCTCGGGATCTATAAAAAGCCATGTCGATTCTCAACGTGCCCTCAACGGCGTTCCTATTCTCGTGTAATATAGTTCATTGATTTTGAATCTTTTACCATGGATAACTCTCATTACGCATTGACTCCCGCTCAGCTGCAAAGCTTCCGGGACAACGGATATCTCCTTGTACGCGGCTTCTTCGCCGAGACAGAGGCCCAGACACTCCAGACATGGTCTCAGGAGGTACATAACCTGCCGCGAACAGCCGGTGTCCCTTGGATGCCTTATGAGGAAGTTAATGCAAAGGGCGAGCGAGTTCTATGTCGTACTGAGAACTTCGTCAACTCGCATGCGGGATTCGATAGTTTCTTGCGGGGTGAACGGGCGACCAGCATTCTTCAACAGTTGGCCGGCGAGGAAATGCTTCTCTTCAAGGAGAAAATCAACTATAAGCTTGCTGGTAGTGGTGAGTTATCCTCCTTGGTTCTGCAAAAAAAACCATTTCTCTGCAGCTGACACGATCATTAGGCGGCTTTGATCCCCATATCGATGCCAACGCTTACACCCACGTCAAGAACATCAAACATCTCACTATTCTTGCCGCTGTAGATGAGATGACCTTGGAAAACGGAGGTCTAGAGGTTGTCGACGGCAGTCATCGAATGGAGATTCCTTTGGGCGGTGATCGCTGCATCGAGCCCGAATGGGTGAACAGCCACACCTGGACTTCTTGCGATCTGCTACCCGGTATGTCTCCGCAATGTCGTGAACAAACATTAACTATATTCCAATGAAGCTAACTGAATCCAAGGTGATATCCTGGTGTTTGGCTCATATCTGGCCCATCGCAGCGGTGCCAATACCAGCAGCAAGGATCGCCGCGCCATCTACGCAACATATAACTGTGCGGCGGAGGGTAACTTGCACGATCAGTACTATCTGGACCGTCAGAAGCTGTGGCCTGCGACGCATATGCGAGAGGAAGGTTTATTATACGAGGAAGGTCGTGCTCGCTATGCGTTTGGATCCCCTATGTTGACAGTGGATGGGAGTACGGTTTCTGCTGTTTAACGGGAGGGTTATATTCACCCACAATCTTTGAAAAAATTAGTTCTTCTGTAGTAGACTGTGACGAGCTCCGGATACCTCACATGTCATGAATTTAAATTGTAGAATTAAGAAAAAAAACCAAATAAGCAAAATGTTAACAACTAAGGTGTGAAAATCGACCCGACATTAGTAGTCTAAGGGTTGCGCCTGTGGGTCAGCATAGAGAAAACTCATAGTTCATAAATTTTTGTCAAGTGTACAACTGGAGGTCCGACTCTTCCCTTTTTTTTCCCAGAACCCTTGTCGTGACAACCCTTTTGTTAATCGAAAATTATTTAAACCGCCATCCCGCCCCCTCATCTGAAATTTATTTTTCTTCTCTTTCCATATATCTCTTCCATAACTCAAAACTTCCTTCGATTCAGCTCACGTAATGGACTCTGAATCCCCTTCAGTAAAGGCTCAGCTCCTCATCCGCTCTCTTGAACAATATGGCCAGGGAGATTACATTGGCGAGTCTATCAGTCAACTGGAGCACTGTCTACAGGCAGCCAATTCGGCACATCAGTCAGGTGAGAATAAAGTTTATTTCACGTTTTTGAGGCCTTATTTGACGGGAGGTTTCAGGAGCCCGGGAGGAGCTAGTTATCGCCGCATTATTGCATGATATCGGCCAGATCATCCCATTGGAATCCACCAAGGAAGTTCGCATGAACCTGCGGGACAGCACTGAGAATGTTGGCCGCATGGGCCATGAGGCGATCGGAGCCGCCTATCTTAAAAACCTGGGATTCAGCGACACAGTCTGTCGGCTTGCCAATAGCCATGTGGCCGCTAAAAGGTACGTAAATACAGCTACTAATCCCGTATGAAGACCTGAACTGATGAATATACCCAGATACCTCACTGCTGTGAATCGAGCATACTATGACGACTTGTCGTCTGCATCACAGAAATCACTCGCGTTCCAAGGTGGTCCATTCAAGGGTAGTGAGTTACAAGAGTTTGAAGAAGATCCACTGCGGGATGAGATGGTCTCCCTCCGCTTATGGGATGATGGGGCAAAGTTGGTCGGCGTTGAATCCACTACACCACGAGCATCCGCCTATCTGGAAATGATCACTGCTCATTTATCGCGGGCCGACGAGGAATGAGGGCTTCAGCTTGAATTTGGCATGTGATCTAATTCATAACGCAAGTCGAATTATGTTCAATTTCAATTTCAAGTGGATCGTGCCTAGTATCATGATAGTAATTGTATCCTTTGAAAAAAAATAAAAATAAAAATAAAAACCCATTTTGTCCCATGACATCTGGAGTGCTGGAGATAACCTTGGAATGATTCTATCTTCGGTTATCGGCAGTTACCGCGAAGTACTAAATCCATCTATGGAAACCAGGTACCGTTAACCCCGCACAACTTGAACTTCTCCAACTTGATCATCGGTATGATGGTATCTATATCTTCAGCCAGATTAAGAACGAAGACTGGTTGCTTGCAATGTGAGTCACTCTAAAGACTTAGATTTATGACAGTGCTCAATGTGACAGGTCGCAAGCGCCGCAAGAAATGCGATGAATCACGACCCCAGTGTACCGGGTGTACCCGTAATGGGCTTGAATGCGTGTGGCCTTCACATCAAACTCCTGTGGATAGGCGAATATCTACTGGGGTTCGAAAATATGACGCTCCCTGTGACACCAAGGCTATACAGTTGACTAGAAACTCCATTACCACTATACGAACAGGCCCCCCCTATTTCCATGCCATCGCCATTCCAACGACAAGAACACTGCTACCTCTATCGATACTTCGGCTCGAACATTCTACCACGTCTCGTACGGCGAGACTCCTTGGCTCGTTATGCCGATCAGTCATATATGCTACGCTTAGCGCTAGAGTTCCCACCTCTGATGGGAGCATTGGTCTCAATAGCCGGGATGCAGCTCGCTTCTCTAAATCGCTGGCCCATTTCCGAAGTAGTGGGATGCTATATTCAAACATTGGCTGGTCTGAGACAGACTCTGACTCGAACCTCTAATATTGACCCCCACGACGCATTACTTGCCACAGTGGTGACCTTGGCTGTATTTGAGGTACGACTGGAAGAAAGTGACTTCCTGTTGTCATGATCTTTCTCATTGATATATTCATGGTTCGTCAGCTGAATTTCATACAGAGCTCTCGTATAGACGCGGCTTTCTCAGTAGCACATCATGTGACAGCATCGGGAATCTTGGTCACCAAACGTCGAGTGCGACGGTCAAACTGCCCACAAGCCACTGCCGTCTTCAACCGAATATGTATTGAATCTTTTGTCTACCATGCCTCGTTGATGATGATCTTCGATCCATCACTTGACAGCCTCTCGGATACTCAGTGTCGACAAGAATTATCAAATTTTTTCTCTGGTCCAGAACAAAGTGACCAATGTGAACCTGAGCAGACACTTTCTACCCAGCCCATCCTACATGTCTCATACAAATTCTTCTTACTGGTCGCAGATGCGACAAAGCTTGCTCGAAAGACAGTGGCACTAACCAGCAATGAAATCTGCGAGTGGGTCCAATTACAAGAGCAGTCTTCGAAGTGTGTTGCGGCAATGGCGAGGAGTCAAGATCAATGCACAGTTCTGTATGCTCTCGCACTTCGAACCCTTCTGTTGAAATCACAGCCGGACATCACATTAGACCTGTTCAATGACGGAATCGATACATGTATCCGGGAAAGCAATAAAATAAAACCTCATATTGATGCAAGTCCATATTTCACTAGTTTCCTTCTCTGGCCTTTGGCAATCCTTGGCTCTGTGTCAACTCTATCAAGTGAAATCAAAGTGGCCCGGAACTTCATTTGCCTTCTAGGCGAGTCACGCCTAGGAGGCCAGGCCCATTGGGTTCTCAGACGACTGGAAACTATCTGGTCCTGGACTTCAACTGTGCAGCCATCTTCTGCAGACTGGAGAGTCGCAGGCTTACAGTCATTACTTGATGGAGAAAATCATAATCAAACGCTTCAACATCCGAAGCATGCATTTATGCGGACCTGCAGGTTCGATATGAATGTACCAATTGAAAATATCTAAAAATCACGACAATCTAGTATTCCCATAAACCCCGATATCATTTCCAAATATTCCAACCCCATCTCTATAGTAGACCGCGTGCAAACTGCACAGGGAGCGAAATTGGGACATTTAATTTCCGTGCAGCCGTGAGCACCCACTCAGGCTCTCGAAGGAACTGGCGGGCCAAGAGCACCGCATCGGCCTTGGGCTCTTGACCAGCAAGGAGTTCTTCCGTAGCAACTGCTTCATCTGCACCCTGAACAATCTGGCCAGCAGCTTCCGCCTCGGTAATCAGTCCAACAGCTCCAACCAGAGTTTTCTGGCCTGCCTGCTGAATCACCTTGCGCAGTTGACCTGCAAGATCGATTTGATAGTTACCGTGGGGCTCAACCTTCTGGTCTCTGTGGTTACCACCGGAACTGACATCCAGGAAATCCACTCCAAATTCAGGTAGCAGTTTCGCCAGTTCAGTCGAGGAATCCATAGTCCAACTGCCTGTCTTTTCCGCGACCGGGTTGCCTTCCAGCCATTCCGTAGCGCTGATACGGAGGAACAGAGGGGTTCCATCAGGAATAACCGCACGGATAGTAGCAGTGATCTCCTGCACGATTCGGATGCGGTTCTTAAAGCTTCCACCATATTTATCAGTACGGTGGTTGGTGACCGGACTCAAAAACTGATGGACCAAGTACCCATGAGCACCATGGATTTCAATCACATCAACGCCAGCCTGAACAGCAAGCTTAGCACTGCGCGCAAAGGCCTGGACAATTTCCTCAACTTCGCTCGTGCTGAGCTCACGAGGAGCCCAATATTTGACATTCCCAGGGGCCCACTTTTGCTCTTCACCACCAGCAGGACCAACGACATTAGATGGCCAGCCTCCAACACTTTCATCCGCTCTAATGCTACCCTTCTTTCCCTCCCACGATAGCCACGGTGCAACAGCGCTAGCCTTTCGTCCAGCATGACCCAACTGGATACCAGCCTTGGCTCCTTGACTATGGATGAAGTTGACGACGCGTTGAAGACCCTTGAACTGTTCAGAGTCCGTGCCTTCCTGCCAGAGACCAGAGTCATTGGGAGAAATTCTGCCATTTGGTTGCACTGCTGTGGCCTCGATGATCACAAGACCCACACCCTTAGACGCTAGATGGCCGAGATGAGCAATGTGAAAGTCATTGAGAGCACCAATAGCCGGCGAGGAGGGATCAGGGTTGGTCGAGTATGTACACATTGGTGCGACCATGATCCGATTTTTCAAAGTGACATCTCGAATTGTCAATGGTCGAAACAATGTCGGAGTGCTGGGGTCTTCTGGATTCAGAGCAGCTCCGCCATTGTTTGCCGGGGTAAAATAAGGCAGACCAGCGGCCTTGATTACACGAGGCGATTGAAACTCAGAGGATCCCATTTTTTATGTTTTGAGGTTTGAATTGATGAAAAGGAGAAAGTGGGAGGAATCTATGTCCCCGTGAACAACCTTGGAATTGTTATAAATCACACAATGGGGATCCGCTGACAAATCGAAATATCGTGCCCCTCGCGCTTCATCAGGGTTTTATTACTTCAAGGATTGATGGAATTCTCCACTTGAATGGCCTCATCATTTTCATATCGAGCTCAATAGGCATTATTAATCTGTAAATCAGGTCAACATTCTGAGCGTAGGAAATGACCCTGCTGCATGCTGCATGACTGAAAGTCGGCCTTGCTATGAGCCCCACATGTGCGAAGGTACCACTACCAACATTGAAGTATTGATGCTCCTCTTTAAGCTCAATTCAAGTTATTCCATTCAATTGTTTACGGAATAATAGCTTGAAGTACGAATGACAACTACACACTTGCAATCATCACGAGTCACTACAAGACGCCTTGATTCCAGAAAAAAGGTGAGCAACGAAAGATTGCATCAACCGAACATCGTAGGCTTATAAATCAAGTGTTTTGAGTAGATGTCCAATATAGTTCAAGAATATCAGCCAGCTGTCTCATAGTCCCATTATTAGTGGCCATCCAGAAAGCACGGACCTGGCCCATGAGCATCTCCTGATCATCCTGACGTTCCAAATGCATTCCAATAGTAAGAAGTGGCCAGCAGTAATACTCCGCGAAGTAGTCGGATCCCGGCTGCAAGTCTCGTACAGCTCTGATCGCCTCTGCCATCAAGGTTTTGAAATTTGAAGATGACATGCCTTTGGTTAGATACATGCGATGAAGAAGGATTCGACACCCACAAATGTATAGCCTTTGTCCAAGAAATGCGTACGATGACTTCTGCCTGTGGTTTTCCTTGCTGCTGTTTAGCATGAGATTGTTGCTTGCATCCTTCAAAACACTGCCAATCCTTTCAGATGATCCGTATGCAAGTTTTGGAACATGATCGCTCCATCTTTCAAGATCTCGATCCAGGCTTTGGCATAGTGCCTGATCCACTTCTTTAGAAAGAGAATCTTTGTATAAACGATATATTAGATAAATGCAACGAAACAGCTTAGGCGGAAACCCAAGCACCGGTGAGTTGGCATAAAATGAGTCTTCTGGTTGAAAGTGTGAGTAGACGGCTTCCTCAGCAAGCTGGAAGGCTGTTTCAATTTCTACCTGGTCGAGGTGACCTTGTTGGAAGGGCAGACTGGTTGCAACGTGAAAGATGAAAGATTCCTGAACAAGTCTATACATCGCGTGTTCTGTAGCTGAGAGACTGGATGCATTTGATTTGGCTCGGTTGCAAAGTTGAACCATTCTAGCGGCACCCGAAAGATGAATTTCTACTCCAGAAGATCCAGGTGCCTTTGATCGCTACAGTAAAACATTGGCCACTATTTGGTTGCCAGCCTCCTCACAGTGCACGCATACCTCATAAATACAAAGCATCATGACAGTCAAGGTGGTGACAATCCACTGGCTTTGAATATTGCTCTCATTCAGGTTTTTCCTAGGAGCTTTGACTGATTGGGTGTAGCGAAGACGTGCTAATTGTCGAGGTTTTGGTCCTGGGTAGGAATCTCGGCTCCACAGCATGCGAGCAGTGCATGCATACAAAAGGGCTTGTCCAGGGCCAGGAGCATAGTTTCTCTACTCAATGCATCGATAACCTGACTATCAGCGGCAGGTCTGATAAGTTCTGGGAGAAATTTCCTTCTGAGAAAATCGAAGAGATTCCCACTTTCAGAACTAATAGCCGGCGAGTATGCGATCAGTGCGCGGACTATCGATTCGAGGCGATTGAAGTTTCTCATATGAGGGACCGTTACGAGAGCTGATTGAAGTGAGGAATCATCTGTCATTTGTACTTGTTTATTCCCATCCTGGATGTGTATTGGCACTAGCTCGGGCATGCACAACAACCTGACTAAGTTCACTGAACTGGAGTCAGATTGCGTCTGACCTCTAGCGCCATGGACAGGATCCGAGGAGACTGCTATATATGGAGAGGAACTAGTGCGCTCAATGCAATCCGATTGCCAAACACATTCAATTGCTTTATGCAGTTCATACATCGCGAGCGGGTTTCGTCGCACTTCTTCTTCCGTCTCCGACCTGTGATTGTTTCAGTATGCAGTGTCAATCCTCTTATAGGGCCTAGTATTTAATTTCAATATTCAAGGGAGTCATACAGGTGAGTCATCCCGTCTTTGTTCGCAAGTGAGCTGGTCGACGCCGAGGTCGGCAATAGGTTTGGCGTGGCGTCGCGACCATCGGGGAGCATCTCAAGCGCCCTTAGAGTGGATGAACTTTGTATATTAAGAGGCGCATTTCCATATATCGTCAATCCGATAGTTAGTTGGACAGTTCACTACAAACCCCAGTCCAAGTGATCTAATATATGAGAGTTTGAAGAGAACTCGGATGATAGGGGAAAGCGGGGGACACCGTCGGAGCGGAACGATAACCGATACAACACTGAGTGTCAGAGTGACACATAACAGTTGAAGTGATGATTAGTATGAACTTGGATTTGTTTCTAGATTTAAGTGACACAGCCTTCCCTTGCATTACTTCAACCTTGACGCGGATCATATTTCGCTTCGTCCATTCTCCACTGAATCCTGAAATTTGAGCTTCTGAACCCCCTGAAAAGCCTTGGAAACCATGACTACCACGGTCTTCACTAATGGACGTATCTTCTGTCCAACTGATTCTAGCGATGAGTTTGCCACGGCAATCGTCATTTCGGGTGATCGCATTGAATATGTGGGGGGTGAGAAAGATGAGGTCGTGCTGCAGGCATCACACTCAGCTACTCTGGTGGACTTGAACGGAAAACTAGTCCTTCCAGGCTTCATTGATGCCCATGTTCACATTCTCAATTTTGGCCTTTCCTTACAAAAGCTCGATCTAATGCACTGTAAGTCCCTGTCAGAAATTCAGAAAAATATCCGGGATTACGGGACTGCAAATCCTCTAGAGCCACGGATATTGTGCCGTGGGTGGTCCCAATCCACGACCGAAGGTCAGACTCACGCCTCTGCAATTGATGAGCTTGACCCCCGACCCATTTATATCGAGGCCCTGGATCTTCACTCTACATGGTGCAACAGTGCAGCGCTTGAGGAACTTCAAGTAGAGGAAATCGATGATCCACCCGGCGGCCGAATTCATCGAAACGCAGACGGTCGGCCCTCGGGAGTGCTTGACGAAGCAGCCCAATTCAATATTGTATGGCCATTTCTGGATAAAGTGGCTTCTGTGGAAAAGAAGATGACGGCTATTGATGCAGCATTCACTGCCCATCGACAGGCTGGCTATACAGGTCTTGTGGATATGGCGATGGATGAGAACAACTGGGCAGCGTTGGAGATGTATCGCAGTCAGCATGGCGAGCCTCCTTTCCACATCGCAGCGCATTGGCTAATTCCTTACTCTCGCGACGATTCGGAAATATGCGATCATATTGATCGTGCGATTTCTATGCATCGCCAATTTAATCGCCAGAACTCGCCATTGTTCTGTATCAATGGAATAAAACTGATTTGCGATGGTACAGTCGATGGCTGTACAGCAGGCCTTTTGCAACCATATGGTGGCTGTTCAGATTTGACCGATCCTATCTGGCCCAAAGAAGCACTTTCATTGGCGATTAATCAGGCCACGGATGCTGGTCTTCAGTGTGCCCTGCATGCGATTGGAGATCGCACAGTCCAGGATGCAATCGATTGTTTATCTCAGTTACCATCCCTTCGAGAATGTCGACACCGAATCGAGCATCTTGAACTCACCACTGAGGAAGATGCTAAACGACTAGGCGATCTTGGAATCGTCGCATCAGTGCAGCCAGTACATTCTGATCCAGCGACTTTTGATTCATGGCCTTCTCTTATCGGTCCTGATCGCTGTAAAAGAGCCTTTGCTTATCGTGAGTTTTTTGATGGTGGTGCAACCCTAGCCTTTGGCACCGATGCCCCCACCGCGAAGCATTTACCCCTTCCTAACCTCTTCAACGCGACCACGCGCCGCTCCGCCCTCGATCCCGACATGCAGGAGACCGTCAATCCGGAATTTGCTCTCCCGTTAGCCACGGCTGTTTCAGCTGCTACATCAGGAGCCGCGTTTGCATCTTTCTCCGACTCATTCACCGGGCGGCTACAGGCTGGTCTACAAGCTGATTTGGCGATGCTTGACATGCACTGGTCACCAGAACAGTTACTCGAGGCAAGGGTCTGTCAAACATGGTACAGAGGAAGGAAGGTCTTTGACATCGATAAACAGGAAGTAACTTATGATTCAGAATGAAAGGAAAATCTTAACAGATGAGTTATTCGACTCTATGAGACATGAGGGTGTATACACATGCATATTCATTCAAGGGATTGTGGCCTTCATCATTCGAGATATAACAAAATATCATCATGACCATTGACCGATCGATATTATGATCGCTTATAATTGGATCAGAAGATCTGTGCAGAAGAGAATCGTCAGGTCTCTTCAAGTTCACAAAAATATACCAGATCAACAACCATGATCTGGTTTCTTCCTATCATGATGGAATTACCTTGAGCTCAGGATGTACTGTCATCCTCTCACCAGCGTCCACGCCCTCGACTTCCTCCTCCTCCACCAAATCCACCTCGATGACCTCCATATCCGGAGCTCCGTCCGTATCCTCCACCCGGCGGTCCACCCCATCCACCACCACGTCCATACCCTCCTCCCATTCCCATTCCACCGCCATGGTGATAGCGTCGGGGTGGTGGTCCAAATCCACCCATGCCCATTCCTGGATGTCCAAAGCGTTGACGACGTGGGAATGACATGCAGAGGCCCATTGTAGTAGATGCTGTTGAAGATAACAGAATTATATGGTGAAGAAATTATATGTAAGAGGTGGTAGAAGTATTTGAGTAGAATTCTTTTCGAATAGACTTACAAAATAATGACTTAATATGAATCAACAGAATATTCAAGTTCAAGCGGACTCAGATTTGGGGTATAAATAGGCTTAAGTAGTTTCTAGGTCGTACATCTCGGGATAAGGGTCGTGTGCGTCATAAGCAGTGTTCGTCCCATGGATCATCATAATCCATGCTGTACAATTCAAGATTCTTGACCACGAGATTTTGCCAGAATCAATTGGTACAGGGGCATCAACCCAGAATATCTTGAATCTGGAATGATTTCATGAGTAATTTGACTTTCGTAGTAGTTCCTGATCTAATAATGGTACTTGAAGTCCACTGCCCCATCTCCAGTATGGATTCGCCGGGTATCTTCCTTTTCTCCCCTTTCAATCTCATCCTTCGCCTTATTTTGGCGTCGCAGGTAAAGCCCATGACCAACAACAACGAATTGAGATGCCACGACAGCTCCCAATGAAAATGAATTACCAAGAACATATGGAGAAGTGCGATAAACCTGCCCGGCAACAATACCCGCGCAGTTCCCTATGGTCTGCTGCAAGCCAATTTCCAGAGCTCGTCTGTACTGAGGAGCGACATTGACATTCAACCATGCCAGGTTCAGGCCAACGGCTGTAAAAGTTGGAATCGCGATGAAGAAAGTGGCAAAATATCTCACACCAGTATCGCTAACTCCTAACAACAGACTATAGCCGATGATTCCAAACATATTCACAGCAAAGATGAACTGTTATAGTATTAGCATGGCTCCCCCCGAGTCTCCTGATATTTGCACATGAACTTACCGATGCAAATTCGGAATACCGATCAGCGCACACACAGTCAACGACCGCTCTCAGCGTGATCTGACAAAACGTTTTAACAAAACCGATATTGTTTGGACTGCTATCGAGAAACAGCTACAGATGTGGTCAATTCACTTCCGTCGTGGCAAGAGACTTACACTAAGGGTCTCTTTCAACTATGTTGATGATTGTACCTCTCCATCCACAGGCGGAGCGGAGAGAAAAGAGGTAGATATTCTGTTATGAAGAGGATGCTTGATGATCGAGATACCTAGCTAGATGCCGAAGAAAATGCATGCGGTGAGCATCCAATTTGGCGACGTGTTTATGCCATGATGAAGTGTGATTCGAGTGCATGCCATTTAGGCCCCTACTGTTGGCTGGATCCTGTGGGGAAAAAGCATTATCGACTCCACACTCAAACCCTCAGAAGGTTGGTTACCCACGCCGAAAAAGGTGGTGTGCTGGACTCGCATAAAGACGTTCCTGATGAAATCCAAGAAGAGCTATACATGGAGGAGCAACAGAGGCTAGAGAAAGAAAAACGGAAAACGGGTAATATTGCTGGGCCCGGAACGCCGTATCCACCTATCAACATCAATGTCTCCCGTCCCAACCTGCTGCAGTTGAGATGACAGCCCCGACTGCTGACCCGGCTGGCTCGAAGGATGTGGGCGCATTAAAAATCCCCGGGTTCAGAGACATTGCTGTCAAGGAATATGGTGAGTGGCTTGCATCAAATGTTTCCGATGAAACCCTCAAAGCTGCATTCCAACAAGCGTCCGACGTCACGCTTTCAGATGGCTTTGATCTTGATCACATCTACAAGGACCGAAACCCAGATTTCTTCGTTGGGAAGGGAATTAAACCCGGAATTGCCCGAAGTTTTGTAGAAAATATCCGTGAATGGGTAGAAAATATGAAGAAGGCAGTTCCCGTTGTTGAAACGGTGTAGGAGATGTGTGAATAGCAGCACTTTAGGGTTCGTTTGGATTTACTTGATTTGACTTGAATGATCTTGGATACACTTGTTTAGACAGCAGAGAAGGGCACTGCTCTGCAATAATTTCACAATATGCTATCTCTTTGGAATCAATTTGGTGTATGGAGAATATGAAGAACAGTACTGGCTTCTGGTGTTTCAGCCGCCATGAAGGATAGGCATAACGAGGTAGTCCAATAGATGAGAGGGCCCGGGCACCTGGACTTGCAATGGTTGCAACTCGAGGCGTATTCGCTAGTAGAGAATAGTTGGAGTGCATGACAACGGCATAGAGGGCCTTTGTGCAAGATGAAGATGGATGGCTCGAATTTGTACGCATACAAAGTTCTCCCCTACAGTATCAAGTCAAGTCAGTCTATGTTTTTTCGAGATCTTTCAGTGGTTTTAGCACACGGAGAGTGAAGAGGTAGGTTAAGCAGGCTTTAGGATAGCAAAACGCGTTTTGAGCAATACAAATGAGTCTTGGGTGGAGATCAAAGAAAAGCCGGCGAAAACAACAGTGGGTCTGGTCGATTCGATCCAATCCCTTACAAATATTCCACATTCGTGAACAACCATCACAGCGCACATTAATGTATTCTGTAGTGATCGCAGACCCTCTACGAGAGGCCTCAGGTCACAATCCTGAGATGGTCCGTTTTTCTTCATGGAATTAAAAACCTCACTTGTGGATTCAAAAAGTTGATGATGTGGGAGCGGTTGAGATTCAGTCTGCATTTAGAGAGTGACGGAAAACCACACATGAGCTAGTTACTGTAGTACTTGCCAAACAAAAGGAAAGAAAGCAAAAAGGAAAATAGAAAACTGGTCTTTTATTTTCATCACTAAAACACACCCGTAGACAGGTTCGCAGATATGGAACGATTTATTCGAAGAGAAATTCGGAGATTCTTTGCAGACCCTGGAGATCTCCTTCAGCGGTATCTGCTAATTCCTTATCCACCCAGCCCCTGGTATAGCCTCCACCAAAATCAATAAGATACGCATCAAATTGCGTATCTATTAGAACATTATCAGGTTTGGCATCTCCCCAGACAGCACCACACATATGGAGCCCCTCTATAGACCAGGTGATCTGGCTTAGCCATTTCTGTCCCATCGAGACATATTGGGGGTCTTTTCCCATACAAAGCAAGGTTTTATTATCCTTAGCTTCAATATATGAGAGAAGTAGACCAAAAATTCGGCCTGAGGAAGGGATATGAACAATTCCAAGTAGCCGACTTGTGTGAATAGGCTTGGAAACTAAGGCTGATTGTATTTTGGTATATGCTCCGAGTTCTCTGCATATGCTGTTCACATCCCCAGCGCCCACTGATTTCAAGAAAGCAACTTGAATATGTTGCCCCTGGATGTATACTTTGCGGGGAATAGCTGGTAAGGCACTGCTCTCATCTGATATTGAAATTTCAATTTGATCAGGGCGATAGATTGGAAAAGTAGAATAATCCACTTGCTCTGGGAGAAGAGCGCCAAGAAACCGCTTATCTCCAGCCTTATCTAGGAAGATAGGTGACAAGTTGTCTTGATGGACATCTAGTAAGTAATGGAAAACTTCTGGAAATAGACAATCATGGAGAGTGTATTTCTGATGTATATCCAAAGGTGGAATCCCTCGAAAGATTGGGAGGAAACATTCCAATACCCATTCAGCCAGCTCTTCAAGGGGGTCCTCTGAGTCAAATTCTTCGTCTGATTCAGGCAGGTAATCAGGTTCTAGATGTTCAAGATATCGGAGGTAGTCTGCCAGAAGTGTCGGTGACTTCTCAAAGTTGGCGGCTTTCAATTCGATTTGGAAATGTTTGTTGGAGACAAAAACATTCAGCTGGGAGTCCTTGTCATGTACACTGGACCGAAATGGCCCCAACGTGTAGCGGGGTTTATCCATGGTTGGAAAAGAATTGAGAATGTGTGTTGATAGAAATGAAATTAAGACAGGGAGGTTGAAGTAGTTTAATTAAGCTCCCGGAAGTGCAGACAAAACAAACAAAACATCGTCGATTGTTGATAGTACTCGAGCACGTAAAATATGTAACTATTGATAAGGCGACCATACTTTTTGATTAGGGTATAACATGAAAATGCTGATATAATCAGATTCATACCTATATCACACTCTTTAACTCTCTTTCTTGACCCCACTATCAAGACTTTAGCGTAAAAAATATATTAGGCTGGACGTATTGAGTTGAGGGGCCCACGGTTTAAATGTCATCGTGCAAGCTCGGGGAGATCACACCGGACCGCAACTTAATACGGTAGGCTCAATGAATCATCGACGCTAAGGCCTTGGCGGTGGGGCTAAGAAAGAGAGTTGAAGAGTGTATCTGCCACATTATACCGCTTTGGCCTACCCCTTGCCAATTTGGAGAACGACTGCTTAGGTGCCTAGGTGTATACCTAGGTATTGATAAGATTAGATTTATCATCTTTACCGCCAATAGTGGTGTTGAATAAGTTTGAAACTATATCGTAGAACAAAATGGTGGTAGAGTAAACTTAAGGCAGTCACTTGGGTGTTTTAAACTTATTAAAAACAATATCTGTGACCTCCCAACTTGGAAGGTTGGAGCCTTGGAGCTTTAGGGCGACGCGGTCCGACACAAGGCTCAATCGGTGCTCAGATCCACTAGTCCATGCTTCAGCACTCACTCACCTATGACTAATACTGTGTCACATGACTGAAGGCCCGCTCAGGGTATCCAGCACTGTGATAGAAACTACTCAGTGAGCACAATCCAGGTATGATCCAGTGCACCCTTCTAAAAGCGGCAATCATCCAAGAAAGGAAATTTTCCTGGCGCTAGATTTCCATATGATTATAGGTGCATAAAATATAGAAATGGCTGTTGAAAACTCGCTATCTGAGGCATGAATATCCTCAGGCATTCCAGCGACCTTGACATTGCCTGTATTCGAATTCCACAATGTTAGCAACAAGCTAATTTGAGATGAAGGGAAACGATTCATGTTCTTACCAATATTAGACCGATCTAAAAAGCAAGAAAGGTAGGCAAGCATGATGATTGGCACGAATGCGAAATCCAACTTCAACAACAGTTTTCTTTCTTTTTCAGGATCAAGAGTCATGTCCAGAGATTCTCCATTTGATGTTTCATCCATAGTTGTCAGCGCCTGGTCTACCTCCTTCTGAACTGAGAGTTTCTGTTCCAACGCGCCTCCGCCCGCATCATCGTGTGTTTGAGTGGACATGTGAACTCAGTGTTGGTATGGTACAAGTCGAAATAGAAAAGAATATTTCCACGTCTTCGATGAAAGAGATCAAGGATGAGTCTCAGATAATACGCGAATAGGACCGATCTAAGAATCGATAAGAGAGTAAGTAAAAGATGCGGAGTCAAATGCATGCAAGATAGTGTGAAGACCTTGTCTTATCTCTGATCCCTGTCGTCAACTTGGAATGTACACTCATAACTGTTATTATCATTGGTTCCACGATCGGTGGAGCATCGGTCCGATCATACTGTGATAGCCTTTGGTGAGGGGAACGGGATTCTACCAGCGTTGCCACTCTCAGACCTGCTAACTCATTATAGAGGTAACCTTGACGATCTGATTGAGATTCTTGTCATGACGGAAGAAATCCGAACTTCCCCAGATACATCGGGCAGTGGAGCCCGATGATAAGAAGTCTCCACTATAGAGTGTCAAAGAGGAGTCAAGAGTCTCAGAGATAACCGAGGCTGGATATGCTGTATATGGGAAGATAATCATGATAGATTCTCAAAGTACTGTTCAATCTCATGTTGATTCTCATTTACTAAAAACTTGATCAATATGGGCAGCATCGATTCCACATCACTCCAAGCCCGTCTACTATGTCGCGAGAATCGCTTAACAAACACAAGCGGAGTCGCGCCGGGTTATCTACAAGCCGACTTGCTGATATTACCAGCGAAACATGCTACTGATTTCCATAATCTATGTTCGAGAAATCCAGTAGCTTGCCCATTGTTAGGCATGACCTCTGTACCGGGAGATCCCCACAGAATCAAACCCGCAAATTGCATCCAATCACCAGATTTCGATGTTCGCACGGATTTTCCAAAATACAGAGTGTACAAAAGTGGTAAGCACTGTGAGAGTCGTCTGGATATATCGGACTTGTGGACACATGACCATGTTGCCTTCTTGATTGGTTGTTCATTCTCATTTGAAGATGCATTGGTTGCAGCCGGTCTCACTCCTCGACACCAAGAAACTGGATCTACCGTTGCTATGTACAGATCTAATATCCCCTTTTTGCCAGCGGGTGTCTTCACCGGGGGGTCACTGTATTGTATCGATGCGACCATACATTCCTGAACAAATCGAATCAGTTCGCGAAATCACCCGCACGTATCTTTCCACCCATGGTGAACCTGTCGCCTGGGGTTGGGAAGGCGCGAAAGAACTTGGCATCCTTGATATTGATAAGCCAGATTTTGGAGAGCCTCAGCAGTTCAAAGAGGGCGAGGTGCCCGTATTTTGGGTAGGTTCAACACAAAGTGTCAAACAGCAAGATGTACCCCTCGACTGACTCTGTTTAATAGGCATGTGGCGTTTCACCCCAGATAGCAGTTGAGGCTGCAGGAGACCGTCTCGATGGCCTCGTCTTTGCACATGAGCCAGGACATATGTTAGTCACAGATTGGACAGCTGGAGATTTGGAAAAGCTTCGGTCGGGTGGCATTTGAAAGATTCAAATATAGATTCGAATGATGGGTCCGAATTTTCCAATCAGCAAGTTGATACCTATCTTTCATGTTCAATACAAAGCCCAAGTCGTATATATCAAGGTCCAATTGAATTTCCCACAAATGATCAAAAGCAGTCTCTCATCAGAGTAGACAGCTCGCCTCCATAGTCAAACATGTAAGCCCCATTGGGCATTTGCTGCCAGGCTCCTTCATCCTGTATTGGCCCTGTGCCTAATCCCATAATCTGCTCTTCTACATTCCCGACCGCTTCAAACCACTCCATAAGTTCTTGCGTCATTTGTGCTCCATCAAGTGGCGTCAGACTGTTGACACTTGCATCAGGGGCTGGAATGGTTGATTCCTGTTCAGTTGCGGGTTCCGGTATAGATGCTTCATCATCGACAGGCCCGTCTGGCCGAGCCTTCTGCACGCTAAGACCAAGTTGTGGACCCAGTTTACGAAGACTGCGGATTGATTTCCATAATCTTCGCGAGATGTATGACTTTGTAGAGAACCCTTTGACTAGCTCTAATGCCCAGTAGAATTCCTCTTTGCAAGATACACTGAACTGGGATGGGGCTTGCGAGACAGCCAGGAACAGCACCGCCAAAGCCGATACCAAAAACCAATTGAACGTGACCTGCTGAAGCTGATAGATATCCGAGGTCTCATTCAAGTGGGTGATGAACCGAATAGTTTCTTTGGCAATACGAACAACGGTTTCAGATTCGCTGGGGTACCGAACAATATGACCTGCGGTATGCAGTACTGGTCGATGAATGAGCATCCGTAATTGATTCGCTCGCAAATACAGCATTGCGCGTAGTCTGCGAATACTTCTAGGACCCTCGGTCGCTGCTTCCGAGTCTGGAGTACTGGGATGATCCAATCGCAGTGAATCAGGGATCGTCTCGACCCAACGCAGAACTTGCCAGTCCAAGTAGTTCATTTCCTCTTTTCTTATCTCGTTCGTATTGTTGAATGTCGAGATAAATTTCCAGACTTTGGCGGCGATGCGACTGTAGCGAATCATCACACGGAGGTAAGGGGTTTTCTCCTCTGGCTCCGGAAGCCAAGGGTCAATATCAGTATCTTCAAGTGCAAAAGGCATACCCGTGCCGAAGCTCCAACGCATGTCAAGAATATAGATGGACCAAAATAGTCGGAGCACACGATCCTTTCCTATTGCCTCAATAGCCGGCTGATTCAAGGTTTCTCGCCTGTGTAGCCCTCTCTCAAGGCACATGCGCTCGACTATTCCGATCGTACGCCACGCGAGTGTCTCTTCATCCATTTGAAAATAGAATATGGACTGCAAAAATGTCAATAGGAAATATGGAATGAGTATTGGATATCAGAGCCCACTTACTACCAGAGTCAAGAAAATGATGCTCTTGATATCAGGGGGACCCCAGACACAGTCACTTTGAACTTCGCGTACGCTGTCAAAAAGAGCGATTGCTTGCTCACTTCGGCCACTAGCTTCAGCTGTGAGAGCACACGCAAAAACCAATCTAAGGATATAAACATCATGCCGCTCCAGGGAACTTTGTCCTTCGTCCGGAATGACGGAATTCATGCCGTGGTTCATCAGCCCATATAGTCGGTGCACCTGATCCAATAATTCTGGGAGTTCCAGAACGGGATACATGATTCCCATTTCATCCTCATAAACCTGACAAAGTCGCAAAGCTTCCTCTTTCGGAAGCGCCCATAGAGGATCCACCACCTGCCGCACCCCGAAATCATAATTTGGAGCAGATGGAGACGCAAGAGGAGATGGTTCCTGCATCATATCACCTTCATCGCCTATTTCATTGCGTTCCACGATGCCTCGCTGTTGTAGGCTAGACTTGGCCAAACCAAAACTAAACGCCGAAGTCGTTGGCCCTTGGAATGGTACTTCGGCAGTAGTTGATATTCGTCGCAGCGATCTTTGAGTGACTACTGGGCCATATGTTGCTGCAGCCGATCCGACCACGCTATTCCGCACACCAGGAAAAGGAGGCGTGTCACTATGTGTCACAGAACGAACAGCTGCAGATAATACGGTGATTTGATCCTGCATCGACCTCATTTGTTCAAATAGTCGATCAAAGTTTCTATTAAAAATGCGACATTTAGCGTTGGCTTTCCTGCTTCATATCCGATTGGGTATGCATGAAGTGGAAATATGCAGTCCTTCGGGGATGGATTGCGTACTGTTGTTCACCGACACTATCTTGCGGAAGATTCTCCACGTAAACACATTCGATATTTTGCCGACCGCATCGATGACATGGAGTCTCGCCATTGCATTTAATCTTGCGGCGCTTACATTCATTGCTAGTGCAAAAAGAGCTTAATTAATGATTTAAATGGGGCACGAGGGTCAAAAGCAAGCTTACCAAGCTCTAGCAATGTACTTGCGGCGCTTTTTCCGCGGTCGGTCATCCTGATGCTCAATTTGGGAATCATCAACGGATGGTGCTTTTCCCCATCCTTGCATCGAGTCGAGGTGGTTCATTTCCAAATGTGTGTCAAATAATGTAGCTTCACCGGGGAAAGCTAAGGGAGGAAGTGCGGGGATGATATTCCGCGGTTAAAGAGAGAATCGGGATTGGCGGACAAGCTCGGTAATACTAATGAAGATCACTTACTTTTCATAAATCTCGGAGTAATTTTATGGTGGCAAATCAATGAAAATAGTTGAATTGTATTATCTTGCAATTGTATTTATTGCTATTATTCATATATCCTAGTATCTCAACAATGTATCCATCAAGGAAGTTGGTATAATTCTTCAACAACACCACACTTCTCAGCCCAAGGAAGACCGCTCATATACGGTCGCGGATAGTCGATGTTGATAGATGCACTTCCATCAAAACTATCCCATGAGAATTTCTCAAAAACAGCCAGAGATCCTTCATAGCCACGCATTTTGAGATACTCCTTTGAGGGATTAGGGTTGCCTGTTCGGGCAAATGAGCCCCACATATCTTGCTGGAGATTTGTGTGACCAATGTCGTCAGCAGTTCGAACAGGCTGGTCAAAGATGTAGTAGGATCCGAATACTTCGTATAGATCACCGGAATGACAGCGATAGTAAGGTGTGTCTGGTTCGCCAACGGGGAAAGTACATGAATCGTAGGGATCATAATAAGACAGGGCATACGCACGAAGATTGTTGTAGTAATAGCTGTAAAGAAAAGAACATGTCAAAATCTGAAATTGCTCTTTTCATATCTCTTTTTTTGGAATATTCGAAGGGATTGACTTACTAAGACTTGAAAGCATTCGCTTCATAAGCAGCCTTGATAAATTGCTCACCAGGGCAGGTAAGATGAACCGTTGTAAATGCATTGATAGTGTTGTTGTCTGAGCATGAAGGTCAATTAAATCGAATATGCATACCGTTATCCTCTAGTAATGATGGCCAGGACTTACAAGCATTGATTGAATTCGAGCCATTATTCCAAACACCAGACTCTTCGACCAGAGGAGGCCAGTCATCGGGATACTGGGAGCCAGCAAGTGACCAGAGAGTTTCGTTAAAGTCGGTTGCATTCTGCAAAATCATCGTTCCAAGAAGTCTGTAGTTTTAGTCAGTATATCCTGCTCATTGCATTATATTGCAAGCTCAAGCTTCACTCAAAGCTTCCGCGAAAGATCAAGAAAGACGTACGACTCTCCCTCTTCGGGCATTGATCCAGACATAAAGTGCACAAGGTTGAGCTTTCCTTCCCTGGCAGCAGCCACACTCTGGCCAGCAATCCAGATACCATCAACAATAGCCCCAGTGTCAAAGTTATCGTAACTCTCACCAACCGTCCAGGTGATGTTGTTCATGAACTCATCGAGGGATAGACTTCGAAGACATGAAAGACGCTTCGCACCAATGGCATCTCCGCAGACTTCCTTCACAGCGGGCACTGGGTCCGAGGGATCTTGTCAGTCTCTTTAACTGAAGTGGGGAGGGATAGGAATAAAATGATATACCTGTGGCATTGGCGACCTCTTCCTGAGTCACGGCTGGCCCAAGAGCAGCGCTATGCAAAATTGCCGCAGTAAACAGCCCAGCTGCCTTCGGGGATCGGACCATATTCATAACACTTTCACCACCGGCACTTTGTCCGAAGACTGTCACACTATCGGGATTGCCGCCAAACTCCTTAATGTGATCTTGGACCCACTGAAGGCCAGCAACAATATCTGCGATGCCGTAGTTGCCGTCAACATAGCCGTCGTTGAAAGAGATGTCACCTAGATATCAAGAATCAGCTCTGGGATTCTCAGTAAGTAGAATATGATAAAGGACAACTAACCGAAGTTGCTACCACGCCAGTTGATACTAACAAGGACCACATCAGAGCGAGAGGTCAAGCTCGCGCCATCGTAAGTGGCATCAGTCGCAGTACCACCGCCGCCGTGCAGCCAAAACATGACCGGCTTTAGGTTTTCGGGCTCAGTATCCTCTTTGCCAGGCAGATATGGAGTGAAGATATTCATCAGAAGACTATTAAGTCGCTATGTTAGTACGCTGTTAGATCTAACAAAGGCAAAAGGAAATCTGAATCTCACCAGGCCTCTGAGTTACCCCAAGGATTCAAGCCGTATGAATTGCCATCAAAGTAGCCACCATTTGCAGGACAGGTCGGACCATCTATATTCCAATCAGGTCAACCCACTTTCTTGAGGGGTGAATTTGGATACTGCATACAAGTAGTGGTATTCAGAACGTAGTTTGTCTCGTTAGTGTACCACTGAATTGGGTATGCCAGCCGCAGCTCATTGATGGGTTGAAGGGCAAACGGAATGCCCAAAAATCGATATGACATATGGTCTCGCACACCCATATAGGTTGTCCCATTGCTAGAGACATTAGCTTTCGGAAAGCTGTAGAAGGGCGCATCGACAACGTCGACGAGTGGGGCGGAGTTAGTGCAGATGAAGCGTCGGGTCTTCTTTCGGGATATAATGTTTGTTCGTTGGGAGTTTGACCCCGATGTCCAGAATTGCTCATCGGGCGATATGGCACCGATATAGGCCTGATATTGCAGGGGAGTCTGGAATCTAGTTATTTAATGAGCATGATACTAATATACCGGGAATCGAAGTACAAGTATACTTCTTCAGCTCTTGCGCATTTAATAAGACTTCTCCATTTCGGGTACAAATCTCTTTGGCGTCGATTTTCGTCTTCGGATCAAGGAATAGTATTGAGCTAGGTGTCTCTGCATGCGCCTGAAAGTGAATTGTGTCAGATATGAAATGAAGATCAGTTATCTCGGTACCTTACAGTCCAGTTGCCATCGTTTTGATAGAGGATAGCCGATTTCAAGGTCAGAGAACCGACATTCCCCTCACTACTGGAAGTTGTAGATCCAGTGTACAACCCTGAGACATTCCCCGAGAGCAGGGCTACCAGTACCAAGAGGGAAAACATTGAATGGCGTGTCGCTCAGTGAGCTCAGAGGTTTAGACTGATCGTAGAGTGAGACGTTACAAATTGCTCCTCGGGATGTTTCCACTGGCAGCTATTACTACTAAATAGGGTCTTAACTTGAACTTATAGAAGAAATTGGTGCAAGACCCTTAATCCTTCATGTACCCCGCTGTGGGCTGACCGGATCATAGAAATTGTACTATTTCAAATCATCATGCAATACCGTAGGGTTCAAGTTCAAAAGGCTCTTCCTGTATTAATATTTGAATGTAGATTGTGGGGATTAGTTGAATAATAGACCCTGTTCTCCACATCGAACCCCGATAATTCCTGATTCAGTATTCTGAGCCGGAATAAGATTGGAATTTTACTCCGACCAGATATTCATTCCTGGTAATAATAAGGAAGATCTTCTTTTTTTGTCTGATCTTGCAGTTGCTAATCTATTAGAGTGTATACACTACCTAGTCCGGAGTAGCTTAGCATGGTCATTCCACATGTCTGACACTCTCTGAGTCTCAAGCTATTGAGTATCTCCGGTGGCTTCAAGTTGCCCCCACACTAGTCTAGAGCCACCTATCAACGAGTATTAGACCAACTTAGCTTCATGATAATCTCATCTTTGGCTGATCTTTCATCCGAATTGTCACTCAAATGTGGGGAAATTGTGGGGGAGTCGAGACCATTTTATTCACCTCATGTACATAACATCATTGAAATACATAAACCCACGGTGTTGGTACACAGTAGCCCATGAAGAAAAGGCAAATTGGCTAAAGTATGAAGAAAGAAGTAAAACAAATAATCAAAGATCCTTCGTACGTTCATCACTCTCCGCAATCCATCGCTCCAATTTCTTAGGATCCCGAGCAACAAAGCCGACCTTGAAAGGCTTAGGCTCAGTGGTGAGGGCAGTAGCGATGGCATTGCAGTCAATCGCATCCAAAATCGGAAGGTCACTTGCCTTTTGTGCTGGCTTCATTTGGAACGCGGTGATAAGACGGATGAATGCCGTGTAAAGTTCACGGTTCGCCAAATGAGACCCAGCGCACATCCGAGATCCGGCTCCGTATCCATAGTGTGGGGTGCCTGATCCTTCCTCAAGTTCGAGGTATCGCTCTGGGATAAACTTGTCGGCTTGCTTGAAATGATCCTCGTCGTAATCGGCGGCATAGGCGTTCTATTTTGACATGAGTAACTGATAGTAGGATTAAGAGAGCAAGGTCGGGAGTACTCACCATGAAGAATGTCGTTCCCTTGGGAATTGTTGCGCCATTCCATGTGATATCCTTGGTTGACTCGCGAGGAAGACAGATCGGGATGACTGTCCAGAATCGCAGAACCTCCTTGACCAGAGCTGTGATATAAGGCACTCTCTCCTCCACCAAGCACTTTTCCCAAGCATCGCCGTCGGGGTAGACGCTCATGATTTCATCATAGGCCTTCTTTTGAATGCGCTGACCATCCTCCGACGCCAAGTATGCAATACCCATGATCAGATTTCCAGGAACAGTGTCGAGACCGGCAGAAACCATGGTCAGACAAATCGACTTCACCTCGGCTATATTATTGTTAGTATGGATCATTCTAGATTTGCGCATTTTTCACCCAGGATTGAGCGGCGGGGTCTTACCATCATTCAACTTGGCCTCGGGATCCTTAATAATATTTCCAGTGATGCAAGGCTTATCGGTACCCTTGGCAATTCGGTCCTTCAGCATGTCCAGGAGATATGTCAAGTACTTGTCACGACGAGCGCGGAATTCTTGGGCCTCGTTATTCATCTTAGGTAAGAGCCGGAGCAAAGGAATATAATCCTGCCAGTTGTTTGAGGTACTGCGGAAATTCGAGACACCACGCTCCACATCTACAATCTCCTGCAGCAACTCGTCGTTCACATTGCCCTCGATACGGAATCCATAGTTCAATGTCAAACTGGTGTTAAGCGCAAATCGCTGGAAGTACGCCGTGGGGTTGATGTCGCAGGTTCCATTCTTACTATCCCGGTATAGTTCCTTGATACTGGAGTTGGCTTCAAGGTCGATAATCGGCATATAAGATTGCACCGCAGGTCGGTTGAGGGCCGTGGCTGCCGCCTTGCGACGACGCTTGCAGGACTCATCCCATGGGGAGGTACCAATAGTAAATCCCTGAGAGCTAGAGACAACGCTGTGGAAGGTATGGAATGTGGGTCGAGAGATCAGAGCCGACTGGTCCTTGATCCAAATCTGGCGCACGGAATCGAAGCTATTCGCGAAAACAATTCTCTACAGGAAGAGTTTGGCGCGTCAGATCATAAAAGTTTATACCTCAGGACAGTATTATAATCTCACCTTATTACCCATGCGCACTTGAAAGACTGGACCGAATTTCTTTGCCCATTTCGCGGCTACCGTTGCGTGTTGCTCGCCTAACTGCAGCAAGTTACCGAAGAGGGGCACACCAGGAATCTCAGGAATACCCTTGATCTTTGGAATATCAGTTCGATTGAAATAGCGGATGATGAAGTAAAGTGCCGTTACTACGACAAGAGCAACCGTTTGGAGAGTCATGATTGCAGATCCTCGTCTGTATGAAGCTTTGTCTGGGGATAAACTGGATGAGTTGGCATTTCTTATAACTTTGTCTCGGGCGCATAGGCGGCACTTTTCCGAAAGTTATCATGCATGCAAGATTCTGAGCAGGGAAGATTGACACTTGGCTGCATAATAGTGTAGCCAGTCATAATGGTCTAGATGACCAGTAGTCTCCACAAGCGGATGTCGGAACGCACCTGTGGAATAATGACAGCTTCATTCCGCAACGGTTTAACTCCGAGTCAGCCAACTGCCGGAATGTGTATAGTAATTTAGAACTGAGGTTCAACTTGAAGATAATATGATCACTGTGATAGCCCATATAATCATTTATGTAGTATAGGTAATACTTCAAACTCCTTTGTAGGTACTTTCGAACGGAATTACTAGTATAATACTAGTATAAAATATTCAATCCTTCTCAACAAATCCTCTTCCGTCTTCCCCGCGCAATTCTACCTCGGGACCCATAATGCTCCACATTAAATGCTTGAGTCTCATGAGTGGTTGGCGCGGGCATCATTCCGTGAATCCCGCGATGGAGCAAAAGAGCCCCATATGATACCCCCCCATATGATACCACTTCAAGTTAGTACTCCGATGTACAATGAGCACTAACATTGAAATTCGAGTGTTCAAGCTGCAATCACCAAGTTTCAAGAATGTTGAACATTGAATAATGTCACATCAATTAAAAAATAAACTCATCTATACGTAGATATAGATAACTTGAAGGACCTTATCAGGGCTCAATAGTAGAGCATATGTAGCAATGTCAACTTGAACCTATACTAGTATGCATCAATTGTATTACAGTGCAGTAGTGAGTTGTACTAGTAGTAAGGCTTTGGGGGCCGTAAATTTCGTATTTCAGCACTCAAGTGCTTGCGTCACGGTGCCCATTTATGTGCATATGCACATGTGTAGCCTGAGATTCTCTGAGTCCTGATGTCAACATAGAAATCCCAACATCAATCGATGTTTGCACATATTCAATTCCAAGTTCTACTAGTAGCTCTCAATGACAAACCAGCACTCGGATCTCGGGATGACCTTCAGATGTTGGGGTATCTTTTGTAGTTCAAGTTGAACATTTGAACAATTGAAGGATCGTAGCTCAGGTTCCAGAACCTGGTCGTACTACTCATAGCATTCAGAAATTTTAAATTCAAAAACCCTGGACATCCGAGAGTCTGGATGCAGTACATAGCTTCAAGTTCGTGGCTGCAAAATGGGCGCAACTCAGTGCCAGTGCTTAACAATGCCCAAATCTGCAGACATCACTCTGAAATAGGTATAATTTACTAAATCTTCAATTTTTCTGTCTTCACTGTAGTACTGCTAGTGCTACTATATGTAGTATTGACGTCACGGTGCATCCTGCCACGATTTGCTGCTGCTGCTAGCTAGGCTGTTGAACATTTAAATCATCCCGCCCTTGGGCCGCGGTGGATATATCACTAGTATCAATCTTCACAGGTTCAAGCTACTAGTATGGTCATTCAGGTCCAATTCAAATGAATTTATATCGAAAAAACCTTGTATTCATCAACAATTCCAAGTCCAATCACTAGGTATTTTCATCTGATATAATATGGATGAAAATCCTGATTGTGCCATGTTGGGGATCGTAGCCTGACAAATAAGGCATTCAGGGGCCACCCCAATTGCTTCCAACTTGAACGTTTCAAATTCAAACATTGAAAAAGCAATATCTACTGTGACCACTCGGGCAGTAGTCAAGAGAAGCTCAAGCTGAATTCATCATGTCGTCTGATGCATTTCTCCCATTATCCTCGTCCCCAGCTTCTCCCAGACTATTGCCGCGGCGTCCCAGTCTGGATCCAGAGCGGGACATTCTAACACCGCGCGGGCAACGTATCTGGACTTGGTTACCCAGTCGCAACTCCAGCACTGCGTTACGTGACCTCGATGAAGAATCGATTTCCCCCATTTTTGTCCGACGGGGCTCTCGGTTGATTGGACATAGCAATCCTCGATACGAATGGTGTGTGACCTCGTGTATAATCATGCAAGGATATTTTCGGACATCAAACTGACCATATTCAGGCAACGGTATTATCGATCACCAGACAGTCTGAAAGGTCTTCGCAAGCCAGTGTAAGTACTTTACCGTTAATTCATGAGTTCTTCTCATAGGGTGTTCTACATTTTGTCTCTGATTCGACCTCCGGAGCTCTGATCTAATATTTGTAATAGCCGACAATACTATGAGAATACCAACTCGTTAATCTCTCAATATCTATACATAGATCGACTTTTGGATTCTTCTCTACCACACAACCTGATCGAAGATTACAATGGATGTCACCACCATTCACCACTGGCACCTGAGGCTTCTCAGCAATCAAACGGGGCCTCTGAAGCTGAAGCTACTCAACCCGGGTCACAAAATGCCAGACTCAAGCGTACAGCCCATAACTTGTATCGAATTCCAGATGAAACAGCACCACTACTTACCCCACCAACTGAGAATGACAACTGTACTCACCATGACATGCCGGACATGGAGTCAGAGCACAGGATGAGCCCAGAAAAAGAGGAAAAACTCATCAATCTTGCCATTCGCATCAACTTCGCTGCAAATGTGATTCTCCTCGGCTCGAAAATAGGTATCATGGCTTTGACAAGTTCCATGTCAGTCCTAGCAGGATTGGTTGACGGTGTACTCGATTTCCTCAGCACCGTGATTATCTGGATTACGACCACTATGATTCGTCGACAAGACCGTAATCGATATCCGATTAGTCGGCGCCGATTGGAACCACTGAGTGTCTTGATCTTCTCTGTGATTATGGTCACCTCCTTCTTTCAAGTAGCAATTTCTTCGATCAATAGGTTGATGGGTCAGGATCAAACGCTTGTCGAACTTTCTCTCCCATCGATCGGACTGATGGCAGCAACTGTTATTATCAAGTTGCTGTGCTGGATATGGTGTCGTCTTATTCCTAGCCCAAGCGTGCAAGTATTGGCGCAGGATGCTATGACAGATGTTGTATTCAACACCTTCAGCATTATTTTCCCGTTGAGTAAGCAACCAAAATTGTCCATGTGGTCTTTCATTTACCAGGATTTTTACCTAACCATTCATTGATACAGTCGGATCCTTTGCACGCCTTTGGTATCTCGATCCTCTTGGAGGTGTTTTCCTATCAGTCTACATCATGTGGAACTGGGGTCAGACTGCAAGCGAGTATATCCGACGACTAACAGGTGCTGCGGCTTCTGCCACGGATCATAGCATCCTGCTCTACATGACTATGCGATTCTCGCGAGTGATTCAGAAGATTCAAGATGTCAAGGCGTACTACGCAGGCGATAAATTGAATGTCGAAGTTGATCTCGTTGTGGATGAGAAGACCAGTCTCCGTGACAGCCATGATGTGGGAGAGAGCCTACAATACATCCTGGAGAGTGTCCCGACCGTGGATCGGGCTTTTGTCCATCTGGATTATGACGAGTGGAATCTCCCCAGCCATATGAACCAACTGGATCGTTGAGATTTTCAATAGGCTGCGTGATGTTCGTCCACCTGGGCAGCTCCAGCCTTAACAAACAGAGCTACATTATTATATTATCATAGTTGGCAGTGTTACGTATGAAGTAGAGGAATAGCAAACAAGTTTTCATACATGTTACACATAAAGACATCATTTAATTGTACATAGACAGATAACAAATGAGAAACAAAAAAACAAGAGACACCGCCGACATGCTTATCATCATCTCTCATGACCACCTGGGTAGGAGCTAACGCCACACAGACAAACCAAAAAAGGCCTCCATAATGTACAAATAAGATTATTCCACCCCATTCCGCGCCTCACTGAAAAATGCAGGATCCGTTTGAAGATGAACTTAGGAAAATGAGAGGATAGGAATGAAAATAATCTCGAGCATATTAGACTCTTTAACGAGGCGGGTGGGAAGATGGGTGCAATGGCCCGGGCATTCCGCCTTGCAGCGAGCCCTGACTGTACACCCGATGGTGAGTTGGTGTAGACGTAGGATCGCCCAGCGAACCTGGTCCTGGAGGTCGTTGATGAAGAGTTGGCATAGTTCCTGCAGCAGATGGAGGTGGCGCATAACCCATTCCATTTACAACGGAAGAATGCATCCCCGAGGGCGGAGTGTAGGAACGTCCAAGACTGGACAATGGTGGCATAGATCGACCATTCTGAGCTTGCGGTGGAGGGGTGCTATGCCCGTAATGTGAAGGGCCACCAGTCAAGCTAACAGGTGTCGACCGATGAGATTGGTGGGAACCACTGACCAAGGTCTGAACATGTTGTTGATAGCTTTGATTAAGCGGTTGGACAGAGATGGGAGATGAAGTGACTGGAGAGAAAGAGGACTGGGAACCTGACTGGCGAGGCATGCTGTAAAGACTCGCCGATGACTGGACTTGGGCGGACGGCTCCTGTCGTGGAGCAAACACACTGCTTGCCCGTGAAGGTGGAGAGGCAGGTCGATACGCGGAGGGCTGGGTTGCCATGTCACGGGGATCGCGAGAATTGGAAGCTGCAGAGGTTTGACCAGCAGAGGGTTGAGCGAAGACAGACGAGTAGACTGGTCGCTGAGATCCTGGGGGTGGAGTTGGCGCAGGGGAGGGAACAGCAAGATTGTTCAAGGAACCTGCCGACTGAGGACCCGGAGACGCATAGTGCGAGTACGGGTTCTGGGAGGTCACAGAAGCCGTCGGACGACTGCTTGGCTGCGATGGGGGCGGCGGTTGGGGCTGAGACCCAACCTGCTGTGCTCGTGGGTCAAAACGCGCCATCCAGTCGTTATTTGCCGATGCGCCTGCACTACCCGGGGGAGGACCGTAGCTTGAGTATTCAGAGTAGCCACGCGATGGAGTCGGGTATTGAGATTGTTGACCATAGATAGAAGACTTTGATGATCCGCCAGTAATGAGACCCTCATCCGTGCGAGTCGAGCCACTAGGTTGGTACACAGGGCGTGCAGATGGGGGTTGAGGACTGGCAAAGCGCTTCTTGGGCTGTGGCTCCTCCGGCTCGTCATTGAGAATGCTCATGATATTGGAACGCTTCGCAGGCACCTTGGAATCAGGAGCCGGGGTGGCGCTAGGTCGTGGAACATCCTTTACAGGTGACAGAGCAGGATGAGGTGACTGAGGAAGCCCGAGAGGTTGACCTGAAAGCGAGTAATACTGTCTCTGGCCGAAGGGATCGCGGTGCACAGAAGCAAGGTCAAGTTCAGGTCGGGCTAATTGAGTTGGCGATGCAGGAGGTTGAGTAAGACTTGGGCGGCGCGAGTGCGATGAGCCGAGAAGAGAAGACGGCCCTTGAGTAGACATGTATGCTTGCGAGGATAAAGGATCCATTCGAGCCAACTCTGGGGGCATGGGCGCTCCGGGGGTGTGTCGTGGTGGGATGGGAATGTCTTGAGCACGAGGAGTTGAATGCGGTGGTAGAATTGATGGATCTCCTCGCCGGTCATCAGGAGTGAAATACCCCATGCGTGGACCTGGGATTCGTTGTGACTGAGCGGTCTGTCCACGCATTCCTCGGCCATCATCACCAAGACCTGCAGCAGCCGGTGGCAGAGGAGCAGCGGTAGAAGCTTGTGCTAGAGGTGGGTAACGATTGGAGCTTCGGTCGCCTTCTGGTAGTCGACCGTGCATTGGCATTGGTTGAGGAGACATTGCAAGTGGCTTACCCTTGGAGGAGAACCGTGCCTCATCTGCCTCGCTCAACATTTCACCATGTGGAGCAAGTGGGCGAGGAACAATTGCAGACGGCGTCGCCTCGTAGCGCCGCTTAGGGGCAACGCTAGGTACTGGGAGAGGTCCAGTCGGTTCACCACGAGCCTTCTTATCTTCTGCAGCCATCAGAATCTCCTCAAAGTCCTTGTGGCCTGAGTCGAGCCTGCGTTGGTAGTAGTTTTTGACCTGTGAAAATCATTATTAGCTTAATTCAACACACTGTAAAGGGTGAGGCGATCTCATACCATCACTGTTGTCTTAGTCTTCATGAAATTTGAGATACCTTCAAAGTCACGGCCAAAATGTGCAAGCAATCGAGGAAAGTCACGTTGTTCTGGAACAGACCAGTAACTTGTGGGCTGCAGGGATCCGTATCCACCTTCTGCTGGCTGCTTAGGTGGCATCGCTGGATCGATTTCTGTGGATTCAAAGACATAAACGCCATCCTTCGTCCTTCCACGTCCGGCTCTGGGACGTGCAATGGGCGGCAGGGGTTCTCTGTCCAGAAGGTCTCGATCTGGGGGCAAGGGAGATTCCAAAACTCCGTCAAGTGTGGATTCCAATTTGGGTAGAGTTGGCAACGGAGGATTCCCTGGCGGTGGGGGCAACGGTTGTGGTGGTTGAGTTTGGCCACGTTGGTCCTTTTCAGCAGTCTTCGTACGTTTCTGACCACGCGCAGTGGCAGTCCGGCCGCCACGTCGAGACGGAGGCTTCTCAAGTGACTCGGTGACCCTCGTAGTTTGACCACGGCGACCCGTCGCTGCCCCTTCTGGATCATTTGAATCACCAAAAGTGGGCGCAGCAGCGCGTCGGGGACGCCCCGTATCAGTGACCGCTGGAGTCTCCTCCTCTCCCTCAAAATCCGGCTTGACAACACCCAAGTCGGCGATCAGGGCATTCGACTTCGGCCGGGAGGATTTGGCCTTCGTCTTGCCCCGCTTGCTCCACCTTTTATATAACTTGGCTTTATACTTAATCTCTTCCTTTGTGAGATAATAATGAAGAATACACTGCTGGAAGTCTCGACCAGGAAGAGCCTCGGCGATCTTGCCCCATTTCTTCGGGTCACTCATGAACGCGTCTGTGAACTTGGAGTGCTCTTGCTCGGTGAAGTCATTCGGTGGCGGATGGAAGGCAAACACTTGCAATGCTTGGTCAGGATCCACGGTATTGTTCACATCCTTGAAGACGCAGGCCTTTTTCTCTCGAGGCTCCAGCATATCTGGAATCACGGCCTCACGAGACAGGTCGGGGCGAGCGGTGGCCATTTTGGTTCGTCGTCGTTCAAGTTCCTGTTGGGCCGAAATTTCAGATGCCTTCAATGCATTGAGGAAATCCAACTCGCTGTTGCCCTTGTACCGTCTACCTTCACGACCATCCACCGGCACAGTTGGAGTAACAGGAGCCGTGGGTGGCGGGGGAGACATAGGACCGGGAGTCATAGGCTTTTTATCCTTTGAATGATCTAATTCCCAGACTGCCATCCGCCAGGGTTTGTAGTGAGATATGTACTCCTCCCTCAGAGCGGCATTTTTGACCGAGATTTCCTGCTGGCGCTTAGAAAGTTCATTGCGGAACACATTCTTTAGCTGCTCTTGTGTGGAATCATTCTCGTGCCAAACTTCCATGTCCGAGAGCGGAGTTGGAGGGCCAGAGCTTAAGAAAGGAAGACCGTCGATATTGACATCGGGATAAGACAGCGCAGGTTGCATTTCGGGTTGAGAAGCTTCCTCGGTCCCATCTTCCCCCATGTGGGTATCCACCGTCTCAGTTTGCTCGTTGTTTGACACCTCTTCATCTTTTGCTTCCACCAAGGGAGCGGACGGCGCGGGTGTTGGCCCTGAGGTTTCTTCTTGGGCAATCTTGCCAAGTAACTGAATTCGGAGGAGAAGAGATACAATATGAGGATCTTCCAAAGGAGAAGGAGGCAATTCTGCTCGGAGGAGTTCCATGTCTCTTTCAAAGAGCCGTTTTCGCTCTTCCAGATATTCATGAGTGAAGACTTCAGTCTCTTCATCCTCATCGTCACTCGATGGTGCCAAATCGGAGATGAGAGCGGAGGCATCTTTACCTTCCTTTTTCTGATCCTTGGGGTGGTCTTCATCTTCTTCTTCTTCCAGTCCGTCTCCACCTGTCGATATCACTGGTGGACTGCTGCGAATGGGAAGTTTCAAGGATGGGGACTTAGGAGAAAGGGCGCTTGTAGTTTCAACAATGACATTCTGCTCTTTGGGGAGGTCTTCCACTGGACCAGATGAAGGTTCCTGGGATTCTTCCTGGGGTTTTTCGTCCTGTGACTTCTCGTCCTGCGGTTTGTCTTGATGGGGTTTTTCTTCGAAAGACTTCTCGGCAGGCGGAAGTTTAGTTTCCAGCTCGTCTGTTTCTTTCTTTGGTGGGGCAACAGATACAGATGGTGCCCGATTGAACACAGGACGGCTCCAAGGCTTATTGCCTTTGTTTGGGCCACGAGGTGATGAACCTGGCCGTGACTGATAAGCACGAGGACCTGTCGGAATGTTTGATGTTTGCATGCGAGGGGAAATAGATGGATCTCGCGAAAGTGAACGGGGTGGAGGTGGCAATCGAGAGATGATTGGAGAGCTAGACACCGGTGTTGGCTTTGGAGGTGGTCCGTGCGATTCTCCAGCGCCATGAACTGACGCAGAATCCCTTCTTGCCATGGCAGCAGGAGCAGTTGGAGGAGATCTATCCGATAGCTGCGTGGATGCCCTCGAGCCTCGGAACGATTCATCCTGAGATTGCCGGCTATCCAATGGTTGGCTTCGGGATTCTGAGATTTGCGGTGTTGGTGGTGGAGGTGGCTCAGCGCGTTCGGCCCTAGGACCTATCGGAGGGTGAGGTAATGGTTTAGGAGGTTTTTCATTTTGATTCTGATTTTTCTCTGCTTGGATAGATGCATCACTTGGCGTACGGCCATCGATTGAGCTCTTTGTTGGAGGTACGGATGGTATTGGAGCAGACACAGAGCCAAAGGCCGGAACTTGAGGTGCAGATGGAGGAGGAGATTGTTGATTAAGAGGGGCCACTTCCTTAGCGGGCTCGGGGCGAAGGGGCGGTGGAAGAGGTTCAGAACGATCACTATCACGTCGTGCCTCGAGGCTAACCGCACCTGGAATCATGGACGGTCTTCGGCTTTGGTCCACAGGAGTACTATTAGCATCAAGACGATCGGATCCGAGGCCAATGACGGTAGGTGGAATGTGAGCGATAGACCCGGTACGGCTTTCTGTCCTGCTTGGAGGACGATCTGCAGCGGCTCTCTTCCATAGCTCTACGGGACGATCGCGATCCTCTCGATCAGGTCGGCGAACATCCCAATCCTCTCGTCGATCAAATCGTTCCCGTCGATCGATAAGGTCTCGGTCTCGTTCTCTGTCACGCAAGATATCACGATCTCGGTCTCGGTCTAAAACCCGTTCATTGCGGTCCATTGGTGGGCGATCTCGATCCATTTCTCTCTCACGCTCGCGCTCAGCCAATCGATCTCGGCCACGATCTCGCCATGTATCACGGGATCGGCTGCGTCGTCGGAAATTTTCTCGATCATCAAAAAAGGACGGACGGCCTCGACCTCGACCACCTTCCCAGTCACCTCGACCTCGGCCACGCATTCCACCTCGAGGGTGATTTCCGTGATTTACATGGTTGCCGTGGTTGCCATGATTTCCAGTAGGTGGTGGACCATCAGGGCCACCTGATGAAGCAGAAAGGATACTATCTCTGGAGTTGCGTCGCATGCGAACTAGGTCAAAATCAGCTCGGCCGGGGAGTTCTCGCGTATCACGGAAGTCGCGCGGCGGAGACCTTGAGCGACCTCGGCCAAAACCAATACGTGTGTCTCGAGGATCAAAGTCGCGATCTCGGCGGCCCCAATCTCGATCCATGTCGCGACGGAAGGGAGGCGCATCGCGAGTATCTCGAAATTCGCGGTCGCGGTCACGGTCTCGTAAGTCTCGGTCTCGATCTCGATCTCGATCTCTGAATTCACCTCGGCCATAACCACCACGACCTCTGCCACCGAAGTGACCAGCGCGAGGCGAGTCGACTAAAGCGCGCGGGCCGCGTGGAGGTTCTCGGCCAAATGGAGGGCTGCCGTCGTCAGGACCACGGGGACCAGCAGGAGGTCGACGGTCGCCAAAACGGAGGGGGAACGGTCCCGGGAGTTAAACCCGGATGAAGGAGGAAATCTGGACGACATGACCAGGTCATGCTACCATGAGATGACCTGGGGTGAACAATCACAGTGTTGAATGACGGGTGTCGAAACAGGGTCCCGGGAATGCAGAATCCAGAACCCGCTCTCGGTCCCGACTTTGGGGGGGGGCTACACGTGATTTGAGCACAGACCAGGGTCAATATCGTTCAAGATGATCAAAATTCGGAGTTGAAGGGGGGGGTGACTTGACACGGGCAGGATGACCTCAAGATCGGAGGATTATGGGGTACTATTTTGAATGTTTCGGAGTTCACGAGAGATAAATAGAAGGGAAGTTGGATTGTCGAGGCTTCTAAGGTTCATCTCGAATGTCACGTGGTTTCAAGAGCAAACTCCATGAGGAACAGCGCCCCGTGCACCTGGAGCTGAGTGGAGCCCCTTTAATTAAGGGGACTACATTAATAGCTTGATACTAACCTTGTTAATGCCGGTTTGGAGAGAAGTATTATTTATTTAAAAGCTGTATCGGAAGCTGAATGTGATGGTTTCAATCTGGTTCAAGCATTGACATTGATCGAATGAATAGCTACAAGATACTAATATATAGATGCAGTACGGAAGTATGCCTAGATGTCATGAAAGATGCTTAGCGTTGGGGGTCTAAAACGCCACAGACCAACCAAGCATGAACATGAGCATAAATGAACAATTAAGATATTGAACAATTCCAGTGATTGTGAATTCCAGAATATATTGTCTTTTATCACAATAGCAGCAGGAGACAAAAGAATTCTATAATTGAACCTTGGACTATATTTCTTTGTCACGTTGAGGCCTCAGGCAACCACACATATGCACTTATAGGTACTGTGGCCTTAGGTGTCAGTTGATGCCTGATGATAATGATTCCCCGCCAACAAAAAAAATAGTTCCAATCTCGAGTCCCCGTGATACGCAAATCTCAAATTCAGCCACATATAACTCAATCTCATAAGGCCATTGGAGTGTGATTCCAAAGCCTTTCATTTGTCTCTTTCTTCTTCTTGAAGGTTTTCCTCTTTATTTCCCCACAAGTACAGCAGATTCCACAATGAGCCAGTCAGCTGCCCCCACCTCTGCGACCAACTCGGTCCTGGTGGCATCAGAGCCCATCCCAGAGGGAACTCACCAAGTGAGTGGTGTGGACTTTGATAAGTTTCAAGGCCGCGATATTACTGTGGCCGAATTGGTGGACAATTTAACCCATACGGGTTTCCAAGGAAGTGCAGTTACCGAGGCTGCCCGAATTATCAATGAAATGGTAGGTCTACATGAAATTAGAAGTTGAAGTTGAAGTTTAATACTAAATTGTTCCTTCTCTGAATAGCGCGCGTTCCGCGACCCCGAAACTGGAGCCAAGACCACCATTTTCCTGGGCTATACTTCGAACCTCATTTCCTCCGGCCTGCGCGACACTCTTCGCTACTTGGTAAAGCATAACCATGTCTCGGCTATTGTGACCACCGCTGGTGGTGTGGAGGAAGATATTATCAAATGCCTGGCCCCGACCTACATGGGCTCGTTCACAACACCAGGCGCCGGATTGCGCGCCAAGGGTCTCAACCGTATTGGCAACTTACTGGTGCCTAATAATAACTACTGTGCCTTTGAGGATTGGTTAATTCCGATCTTGGATCGCATGTTAGAGGAACAGGAGGCTGCCAAGCGTAAGGCTCAAGAGACTGGGGATGAAGAAGATGAGCTCCACTGGACCCCCAGCCGGATTACCGAGCGACTAGGTCTGGAGATCAACAATGAGGATTCCGTCTTGTACTGGGCTGCAAAGAATAAGATCCCTATCTTCTGCCCCGCTCTGACCGATGGATCCCTGGGGGACATGCTCTATTTCCACACCTTTAAAACATCACCCCAGCGACTCCGAGTGGATATTGTGGATGATGTGCGTCGCATCAACACGATGGCAGTGCGGGCCGCACGGGCAGGTATGATCATTCTTGGCGGCGGCGTGGTCAAGCACCATATTGCCAACGCATGTTTGATGCGCAATGGGGCGGAACACGCAGTCTATGTCAACACGGCCCAAGAGTTCGACGGCAGTGATGCAGGGGCCCGCCCGGATGAAGCTGTCAGTTGGGGCAAGATTAAAAGTGACGCTAATGCTGTCAAGGTGTATGCCGAGGCCACTGTAGCATTCCCACTTATCGTTGCTGCCTCATTCGCCCGAGCGTCGCCTTCACAGAACTGAGGGAGTTTTTTTTCTTTTCTTATTCTTATTTTTTGGTGGTTTGGGTGCTGCCGATATCCGGACGTGGAACCGGGGAACCTAGAACATGGCGGAGTCTCAACTCCTTCAACTCCTGCATGGCCCCCCATGAGAAACAAGGGTCTACCAATGGAGGGATCAAAAAGCACCTCATGACCCACATCCTCACAGATTTCAGTCATTTTGTTAATGACTGGATCAGCCTTTACTCTTTGATGTTGAGGACTTAGTCTAGTATTACCCTTTACTTCGAGTATATGAGAGACCGGCCTACGATACACCGCCTGGGATTATTGGGCTGAGTATTAAGGCACACATTGTACATATCAAAGATCACGGGTTACTAGAGGTACGAGTGGCAATATAGAGGGGAAATTTTAAGCCGATCGGAATTCATCCGTTTCAAGTGGCAATTTGCAGAATGTATATCCGTTATCAGTATTTTTTGTAATTTTTTATAATTATTTTTTTTTTTTTTTTCTCTTTAAGGTTGGGATCCGTTGGTTGCCCTGAGTGGAGTCAAGGATTTTCTCAATCTCCACTATCATGGAACACGCCTTCACCGCTGGCATCGAGTTAATACGAAATACGCATCCTTCGAAGTAAACGGAGTCATCTCTTTTGTTTGTCTCTTTTTTTCTATAAGAATAATGTAAAAGACCACTGATGTCATTGAATTGAATTAAAAAAAAAGACCAGTTGACTTGATCTTCCGATCATCTATAAATGGATTTAAAGCACATGGGGAAATCACGGGACTCGCATTACCGCGTGGACCGGAGTACGAAGAGGATCCTTGACCCACTAATCCCCCCCGGACTTACTCTTTATCGCCTTTTTTTTCTTCTCTTTTTTTTTGACTCATTCTTTTTGTTGAACTTTCTCTTCTTTTCTTCTCTTCCTCTTTACTGTTCTCTCTTTCTGCATATATCATCCTTTCAATAAACTACACCATCACTTCGGATAACCCTTATCTCTATATCAACCCGAGAGATCAACAAGATCAGAACAAAGAGATTCACCAGTACTAACAGTACAGAAACGCCCTTACGATCTTTTTCTTTTGAGAGATTTTTTCTCTCTCTCTTTCAATTTGCAATAGAATGGATTCCTCTCGAAACTCGGCCAACTCACGGTCTTCGGAACCCATTGATAGTCACATCGGATCTCAGTCAAATATCCCGGAATCCAATGTGATCCCGAACTCTACTGCCGATGCAGTGCCACCTACCCACGGTTCTCAACAGTCACAGTCCGAGTCGGAATCACAGAGTACGGCAAACTCATCACAGGCGAGGGAATCAGAAGAAACCGAACATGCCTATTGGGCCGAATTCGAAGAAGACAACTCCAGTCCCGATGAAGAGGAATTGAAGGAAATTGACTCAGCCGAAGCGGATTACAGTGCCTGTGACCGTATGTTTTACTTATCTTCCCCTCCTGACTTATGGATAAGCCTAGGGGGAGGCAAAAAAAAACAATGCAATTCGCGAATCACATTTGACTAACATATGATAGATACATACTGGGAAAGCAATTTCTTTCGAGATTTGGACGACCCGGAATACCAGCCTAGGGAAAAGGCTCGCCTAACATGGAAGATCAAGGGGGTGAGAGGAACACCCGAAGCGCCCAATCGTGCCAAAGTGATGCGGTCTCCACCCGCATTTATTGGTGGGTACTGGTGGCGAATCAAGTTTTACCCTCGCGGCAATAATGTCGGTTCAATGAGTATCTACGTTGAATGTTCGACAACTCTTCCCGCTCCAGATGATCAACTTCCCGAAACCGAGTTCACTGTTCGTCGCGGAATACCCGCTTCTGCCTTGAACGAAAACTCACCCGACACAGATCTGCACACACCCGCCACCAACGACTCCGCAGCATGGATGGAAAACTACAAGTCGCAATATCCTTCTGCAGCCTCGGCCCCCACACACGCCACGTCGAATTCTTCGGACCAATGGCGAACCTCCGCCCAAATTGGTGTGATTGTTTACAATCCCGATGAACCACGCACCGGATGGATGCAGTCTTCATGTCACCAATTCAATCCCAACAATTTGGACTGGGGTTGGACTTATTTCCACGGCCCATGGGATCAGATCCACACCCGGCGACGTGGTCAGCACCGTGCGCTGTTGAACAACGACACACTCGCATTTGATGCTTATATTCGTGTGATTGATGATCCCACCAAATCATTGTGGTGGCACCCAAGTGATTCCGAACCCACCTGGGATAGTCTCGCCTTGACTGGCTACCGTCCACTCGGTGATTCGGTGATCAATCATAGTGCCGAGGTGGCAGGATTAGCTTCATGGCTACACATTGCGCCCTTTTGCAAAATTATCCAGAGTGTGGATGTTTTGGAGCACCTGAATAACTGTGATGTGAAGCCTAAGCCTCTTTGTGATGCTCTTCAGAAGTTGCTCTGGCAATTGCGGAGTCGTACCCATTCACTTCACTATGTGGATACGGAAGGCATTACCTCGACTCTGCGCAACCTGCGCGAGTTTTCTGGAGACGTATCGGAGTTTTGGGAGCGCCTCCGTCGGACTTTGGAGCTGGAACTTTCAGGAACGAACGCCGGTCAGGAACTGGCTAAGCTGTTTGATAGCCCATCGCTTCATTCCCTGCCGGCAGCAATTGGCGATGCGGTCTCCATCAACACTTTGCCCGCGGGTTTTAATTCTCGTATTTGCATGCAAGCCGACCATGTGAAGTCCATCGGAGAGGGCATGAAGGACTATTTGAGTGCAAAGACTGGTCGTTGGGCTCTTCCCTCAATTCTCCATGTTGAGCTTAGTCGTCAGACCATGGACAAGAATATGCGCTGGCAATTGAACTTCAACAAGGTGGACTTGGACCAAGAACTGGATCTCAGCGAGTGGGTTCTGGACAGCCGAGGCAGCAAATATGTACTCTATGGCTACGTGGTTCACCGCGGTCGTCGCACTTCCGGCAAATTCTTCAGCATTCTTCGCCCTGCTGGCCCGGGTACCCGATGGTTGGCATTTGACGATGGTAGTGACAACCGTGTGGAGTGTTTAACCCAGAAGACTGCTCTGGGCCCTCACCTGGGTCTTGACGCTTCTCAGACTGTGGATCACAAGAAGGGCCACGATGTTCCTGTTGTTGCTATGTATGTTCGTAGTGACATGGTGTCCGAGCTTTTACCTGGTCCCCAGGGTCCTTGGGAGGTTTCCGATGCACTGAAGGAATACTACGAGACGGGCATGTATAACCCCGGTCCGCAGGTTGCAGACAAGCCAGCGAATGAGGACATTAAGGTTGAGGTTTATTCCTTACCTGATTATGATCAATTGGGCAGTCTCTTCGATACTTATGATCTGATGTCGCATGCGAAATCGAACAATGGCGTCATGTACATGAGCCTTCCCCGTTCTTCTCGTCTCGCAGAGCTACGTAAGAAGATTGCCATGTGGAAGTCAGCTGGCGAGGAAGCCATCGGTGCTGAGCGGGTTCGGCTCTGGCACATTGGTCATACTCGTGCTCAGTGCGGCCCAACTCTTGCATTCGATCATATCACCGATCTGAACACTCCATTGGATGCTTCTGCAGGAACTGTGCGATTCTGGATGGAGACGATCTCGGAGGATGATGCTAAGTTCTTCGCTATCCCTGATCCTCCATCGGCTACCACCGCGGAAGACAAGCATGGGGAGTCTATCGATGAGCAGCCAAGCTCAGAAACCACTGAGCTTCCAACATCAGTCAACGATGGAGACGCAGTTGCTAGTTCATCTGGAGGTGATGGCAACAACGCTGCAGAGAACTCTTCGCTGCCTGTGACCTCATCCGAAAGCGAGGAAGCCGCTGAAGAGCGCGCTGAGCATGATGCCGTTCTAGCTGTTGCAGCCGCTCATGACACCAACTCTGCAAACTCTCAGCCTGCTCCTATCACCTCATCTGGCTCATCGACAGAAAATGGCCCAGCTTCCTCAGAAGTAACTCTGCCCGTCGGACACGCTTACTACTTCATCCAAGTTTTCGACGCCGACAACCAAGTCCTACGCACAGTGGGATCATTCTTTTCCAAGCTCGAAGCTAACGTGAAAGCCTCTATTCGCAAGCACCTTCAGTGGCCGATTCGACGAGATTTCCTGATGTGGAAGCGAGTAGACGGAACAACGATCACCGCTCTATCGCCCGCCGAGAATTTCATGGATGTTGTGGTACCACACGGATCGTGTATCATCGTCGGAGATAAACTCACCAAGGACAAGCGATCTCAACTTGGAATTTCCGGACAATTCTCCAGCCCCGATCGTCTAGTCCAGTACCTCTGGGCCGAGTCCCGCGATCACCCAGTTCAAGGATTCACAGGTACAAAGACGATCGAGCCCACATTTACCAGCGACTTCTACAGTGGAGATTTCCTTAAAGGATATTACCACGGACAAGGAAAACACCTATCTGGAACCGGAACCGTGTACGAAGGAGATTTTGTATTCGGACGACGACACGGATCAGGCAAGATGTCCTACCCAACGGGCGATACCTACGATGGTGAATGGGTTGAAGATGTTCGTCATGGACAAGGAACGTACGTCGAGAAGAAGACTGGGAACAAATACGTTGGTGGCTACAAGGATGGAAAGCGTCATGGGCGAGGTATTCAATACTTGGAGGTTGCAGATGAGGAGATGGATCTGTGTCAGATCTGTTACTCTGAGGAGCAGGATGCTGTCTTCTGTGACTGTGGTCATGTTTGCGCGTGTGTGACTTGTGCTAAGCAGGTGGATCTTTGTCCAATCTGTCGCAAGACTATCAAGAGCGTTATTAAGATTTACCGAACATAAATCGGTGGGCGAAGCACAGCGGAGTTTTTTTCTTTCTTTTTCTTGAAGCATTTTCTGAGACTCGGTATTCATTTCTTTTTGTTAATTTTTTTTTTTTTTGGTTTCGGTGTTTATACATGATGCTTGGGTCGGGTTCATGAGAAAGATCCTATACGATTTTGTTTTTAGATGGCGAGAACAGTTTCAAGTTTACACTACCAGAGATGGATGACTGAGTTTGTTTTGTTTCAAATTGTTTCATCTTTGCTCTATTTCATACATACTAGTATTCTGCATGTCTATCTCTGGACATAGATCAGACATATATAACTACAATTAAAGATTGAAGATTGCACTTGACGCTGAATCATTTTGACATTTAAATAAAAAATAAAAACAATAAATCACAAGGTATATGTCCAATGCGCCATATCCACCCAACAAATGAAGATGCTTTTTCAAACTTGGCAATGCCAGAGCTATAGATACACAAGAGATGCTCGGGTGTCAACACATCATTTAGCAGCCTTCTTGGCCTTCTTTTCCTTCTTCTCCTTTGTAGGCTTCACTGTCTCCTTCTTAGCCTCCTTCTCTTCTTTCTTCTCTTCCTTCTTCTCTGCCTTCTTCTCTGCCTTCTTCTCTTCCTTCTTCTCTGCCTTCTTCTCTTCCTTCTTGGTCTCCTTCTTGGCCTCCTTCACAACTGGCTTCTCCTCCTCCTTGCTCTCATCAGAAGACTTCTTAGCCTCCTCGGGCTTCTTGGTCTTCTTCTCTTCGGTATCCTTGGTCTCTTCACTAGACTTGGACTCGCCCTTGGTCTTCTTGGGCTTGTTCAGAACACCCTTAGGGTTGATACCCTTGCGACGGAGACGATTACGCTCGGCACGGGCAATACGCTCTGCATCCTCACCCTCCTCGAAGGGGCCGAAAGATCCACCCTCGGTGTTTCCGAGAATACCCTCCTCATCAAAGATGGGTGTCCTGTCGATCTCCTCCTCGTCATCACTGGATTCAGCCTTAGCCTTAGAGCCCTTGCGGTGAGAGTGACGGTCCTTAGAGGTGGTACCATCATCCTTAGCAGTAATAGTAGGACCAATCTTCTTCAGCTTGCAGACGTAGAAACCGTCGACGTTCTCACGGTGAGGGAAGTAACGGCGGGTGAGAGCCATCTTGGCATCGAACTTCTTGCCCATGTAGCTGATGAAACCGGGGCTACCGAAGTCACCGAGACCGGTGTCAACAATCTTGACATTGGGACGCTTGCGCAGGACATACTGCACGACAGCCTCGTTCTCCTCGACGGTAACACTGCAAGTGGAGTAAACGAGGTATCCACCAGTCTTGGAAGAGTGGTCGACGGAGTCGATAGCGGCAAGGAGCAGTTGACGCTGCATGTGGGGGATGGCAAGGAAATCACGCTCGTTCTTGGAGGTCTTTACACCAGCATCCTTGGAGATAACACCAGTACCGGTACAAGGAGCATCCAGCAAGACACGGTCGAAACCACCCATGGCCTTGGGGAAAGCGGTACGGGCATCCATGTTGGTCACAATGGTGTTCTTGCAGCCAAGACGGTGAATGTTACCAATCAGACCCTTTGCACGGGGCTTGCTGGCATCGTTCGCGATGACACAACCAGTGTTGCGCATCAGCGCAGACAGGTAGGTAGTCTTACCACCGGGGGCAGCGGCCATATCAAGAACACGCTCATTGGGCTGGGGAGCCAATGCCATGACGGGGAGGAAAGAAGAAGCAGCCTGGAGAATGTAGTGACCAGCGAGGTACTCGGGAGTAGCACCAAGAGGAACAGCAGACTCGAAAACTTGAAGTCCGACCTTGGACCACTTGCCGACGGGCTCGAGGACAACACCACGATTGATCAGGGCTTGAGCGAGAGATCGACGGTTGGTTCGCAGAGTGTTGGTACGGATAACGACAGGGCGAGGGGTCTCGTTAGCTTCGAAGAAAGCGAAAGCCTCCATGGGTGTGAACAGGTTCCAAAGCTTCTCAGCCAGGTAACGAGTGTAGCCGTAGTATGTGCAAATATCGTTGAGAACAAGATCCACGTAATCGGCGCGGGACTTGTCAGGTTGACCGAGAGTCTTGAGATCTCCCAAGATGCGAATGGTGTCGGTAATACGCTGGCGGAGTAGCTGGAGATCGGGGGCAAGGCCAGCTTGGGCCTGGTCGTTAAAGACATCGGGGCGGTCACCGGCGATGTTGGTCTGCATAGCGGCCTCCTGCAATTCCAACTCGGCTTCCTCCTCCTCCTGCTCGCGAGCAATATCAAGCTTCCGGGAAAGACCCTCGATGTTGGCAGCGGTCAACTTCTCTTCGGCATCGGACAAGTCCTCATCGTCGGAGAACATAGCTTCGCGAGGGTGATCGGCTTCGTCGTCGGAGTCCATGACCGAGTCATCCTCATCATCATCCTCCAAATCGGAAAGTCCTTCCATCTCGTCCTGGCTGTCCAATGATCCATCACTGATTCCATCCAGATCGCCGAATTCATCATCCTCCATCTCGTCCATATCTTCATCGTCGTCTTCCGAATCCGACATGGGGACGGGCTTCTTCTTATCGGCCTTCTTGGGTTCGACCTTCTTTGCGCTTGCCTTGGCGGGAGCAGGGGCAGGAGCATTGACCTTAGCCTTCTTAGGGGCGACCTTCTTAGTCGCAGGCTCTTCCTCATCGGCATCTCTTCGGCGCTTCTTAGCTGCGACAGCCTTGGATTTTGAGTCGGCCGCACTAGTCTTTTGCTTCTTCAACATAGTAATCTTTGATTCATCCAGCGGGGGCGGAGGGCCCTGCTTCTTCATACGACGTCCGACACCCATGATGAATGATATGTTCTGGTTGACTGGTTGAGAGTTGCGGCCGAACTTTTTTTCTTGGACTTTTTTCTTCGGCAGCGGTCAATGGTGGCAGTAAATAAAACACGGCAGGCGGTCAGCTGACAGCTTGGTGTTATGCCTGAAATATAAGGCGTTAATATGGGACCCACGGCTCGGGAACAACGTACAAACAACAGTATCCTGGCATCTTGTACAGCTGACTCTTCCTCTCTTTCTCTATTCCTTGTAATATCATTCTCCTTTTTTCATATTGTGTCATATTTTGGACCCTGCCTAATTCCACTCCGCCATCATGTCGGAACTGAGCTTTGCCAAATCTTTTCTCTCCGCACTCGACTCTCGTCCCATCAAGCTGCGGGCTGACCATGTCTTCGACCCTGAACAAATTGGGCTGCGTGTGCCTGTAAGCACTTCATTGCCGTGATATTGAAATACTCAAATATGTGGTATAAAGTGTATCTATATGATCATGATTTAACAACGTCAACAGTACACTCTCCCCCGCCTTCAAGCCCCGCATCCCGAGATGCCCAAGAAAGCCAGAGCAGCACAAGCACCAGGCTCCTCCAAATCTATCACTGTTAACGTGAAGTCCGCTCGCAACCCCGCTCTCGAATTCTCTCTCCCCAAAGTTCCTCTCAGTACGACGTCTGTGCAAGACCTGAAAGATGCCGTCAAGCAGCGTGTTACAGATGCGCAAGGAAACCCTGTGGCACTGGACAAGATCAAGATCCTTTACCGCCGCAAGCCTATTCCAGGAACTGGAAAGACAGTAGCAGAGATTCTGGCAGATGAGCCGGAGATGTTGATTGGCGGTAAGGAGGTTGAATTTGGGGTTATGATCATCGGAGGAGCCAAGACAATCGAGATTGAGGAGGCTCAACCGGCTGCAGAGCCACGAGATGTATCTCCACCCAAGCCTGCTGTTGGACCTAGTGGTGCCGAAGTTGTGCAAACGGAAGCTTTTTGGAATGATCTCCAGGGTTACCTTGAGCAGCGATTGAAGGATGATCAAGAGGCCAAGAGATTAAGGGAATTATTCAAGAGCTCATGGAGCTCGAGTCAGTGAAGTGGGGGAATTTCATTCCCGAGTTAGACATCTCTAATTGAAGTGTCACATAATGACAAGTTTCATAATACCCATTATTGGTTAATTTTCAAATGCAATCTCCCAAGCCCAGGGAACTATTGATATATTGATTCCGAGTCCAATGGTTCCAAGGTTGTTATACACACACAGCTCTTCAGGAGGATGAAAAAAACAAAACCCACTTCCCAACTTGAAAATCTTGGATATCAAACCAGACGCAGAACACCAACTTGAAGGAGCAAGCTCCATTGGAAATCAGCCAAATAAGATCACAAACAATGCAGTCTGTCGAGGGCGGGCCATATCACACACCAAGGTATGCACCGAAGCAAAGGCAAAGCTAAAATGTGGAATGGGAAAAAAGAAAATACATGATCAGAAATGTACGCCAGAGAATCGTCGCGAGAAAGGCTTATTATCAGCGTCAGGTTCAAAAGTACACATGTAGAAGAAAGAGAAAACCACATAGAAGAGTACCATATGCCAGGAAGCTGGACAGGACACCTTTGTAAATGCTCAAAAAAAGAAATGGTCCGGCCAATCGCTCATCCGGTCCCGGGGATCATATCGCGAGAAGACTGAAGAAAGATACAAGATGGGTAGGGCAAAAAAAAGAGGAAGAAAAAGAAAATCATACAAGGCCATCGTCTCATCGTTCGTTTCATCTCGAGAAAACCTTGACTACACCGTCGCCACCACCGCTGATGACCCAGCGTCCATCACGGCTCCAGGAGACGGAGCATACACCCTCACCGCGCATCAGTCGGTGACTGGTCAACTCCTGGGTGCAGCTACGCTTCTCGAGATTCCAAAATCGCAGGCTAGCATCATGGCCAGCCGAAACGAGCTCACGTCCATCCGGGGATAATGAAAGTGAAGCAATTGCGGCTGGGTGAGCCAGCATTGTATACGTGCATTGACCTATAGATGGGGCATTGTCAGACTATGAATCGAGAAAAATTGGTAAAGAAATGAGAGGTGTCACTTACCACTGTTGGCATCGAAGAAGCGAATGTATCGGTCTTCGTAACCACTTATAATCACACCTTCCACACTACTAGAACCAGTAGCCCCGTGGACTACTTCCTCCTCCGCCATTGTACGGTTAGGGTCCAGATGAGCGGATCCGTCAAACCCAATGGTGCTGGTCACAATTGAGTTCACACCAGTTGAGGGAGTCCCGTCATATGTTTCAAGACTGGCCATTCCCACAATCTCCTCGCCAGTTCTTGTATCATATACAAGAACAGATGCATCGGTGTACGAAACAACAAAGTTAACACCAGCCAGAGACAACGGACTGATGCATGTGGGAGAAGGCGAATCGGTGCGAACGATATGATGAACGAGAGAGAAAATGGAAGGGCGTAGTTGTGGCAACACTCGGCTGTGGAGAAGATGGGAAATTGGAGCCAGACGAGATCGAGTTCGCACGTCGGCTTCCACCTTGGCGCCTTGAGCTAGCCTGGGGAGTGGAGACGAGTGGAGGGGGACTGACAGCCCAGATCAAAATGCGGCCATCTGCAGCACCCGATGCCAGCAAAATACGATCAGCACCACCATAGTGGCTGCATGAATCCCCGAAGACAGAACCTGCCGTCCCCGGGAAGCACACAGAGTCCCCACACGGCATCTGTGTGACCATCCAAGGTAGCTTTAGGATCAACCCGGCCACGCTCCCATACTCGGACACTGGCATCCTGCCCACCTGAGAAAACCCAACCATCGCCTAGAGCGCGACCACCATTGGAGATGTTCTGCGAAGGTGAGCAGGCCGCCAGTGAGGTGACTGCACCCGCATGACCTCGGTGTGTGAAGTAGCTAGTAATGTCCAAATCATTGCTAGAACTTGGGCCATGAGCTCCAAAGGTACCGTAGGTTGCCGGGATGATCCAACGCTTGATTGTTCCATCATCACTGCATGTGCATATTTCAGGCTCGGATGGGCTACCACCGCCAGTAAAGATTACAGAACGGATCACATCCAAGTGTCCGCGGAGAGCGAATCGAACTTTGAAGTTGGTATCCTGTTGGCCGAACCCAGCGGCAAAATCTCGAGTGTCCGAGGCTCCCTCACTCTTGCGCCGAGACCCAGAGCTCTTTCGTCGATGGGAGAGTGACCCACCACGAGAGGGGGATTTACCACGAACGAAGTTGGCGTTGGGGAAGGCATCGGTATCTGGGCGATGAGGTGGCATTGGCTCGGTAACCTGTTCGTTTTCTGTCGGTTCATCGAAGTTCCAACCGTCCATATCCTGAGCTCGCTCTTCAGTCCCCCTTTGCGATGGTAATTCTTCTTTCACGGCTACTTGGGGTCCTTGGCCCTCGTAAGGTGTCTGTGAGTCCATCGCATGCTCGTCAGACAAGCCTTGCTCGTACGCCTGCTTTCGTCCATCAATGGCAGCCATAGGGTTTTGCTGATCAATCTGTCTTCGGTCCATAGCCTCTCGAGGTGCCGAGCCGGGACCATATTGGTTAGTAGGCCGAGCCATGGGTCCATTCTCCGCATACTGGTTACCGACAGATTGGTGGTTTGGGAGCATAATCTCTCGCGCCATCATCTGATTCGCCTTGTGTCGTTGCTGTTGCTGAAGGTATGCTTCTTCCAGGCTGTGCTGCGACAGTTGTGGGTTCGCATAGAGGTGGCTTGCGAGATCAGGATCGCTAAGGTCCGGAGGAGGGTGAGATGTAGGAATTACATGATAGGCGATTTCTTGTGAACACTTCGATAGATAGACTCGCGACTTATCCCGCTCATCCTCGTGGCCGAATTCATTCAAGCTGGGGTCCTCTGGGTTCGCATCTACATTTGGGTTCGGCCGTTGTTCTGCGAAAAAAGCAAAAAGTATCAGTATGCAAACGTTCAACAAGAGACAAGAGAAATGTATTAAAAGTCGCAATGAACCACGTACCTTTTAGGAACTGCACGCTCTCGCGCGCGATCTCCTTAGGGTCTTTGGCATCCTCAATGCTCTCATTGTTTAAGAGCTGCTTCACCTTCTCCCGCTCCCTTTTCAATGCCGTTTCCATCAGTCGAACATGCTTGCCCAGAGACTCGTGAAGTCGCCGGCTAGTTCGCAGCTCTCCCTCCAAACGGCCGATACGAGACTTCATTTCCGCGCGCTCGATCTCCCAGGCATTTCGATCGCGCTCGTGTCGGTGCCATTCTGTTTGCAGAAACCGCATCACACCTGGTAACTCGCAAGTCAGTCTCTAGTCTCCAACCGATGGTTCTATGGGGGGTAAACTCACCCTGGAGCGTGTACTCCGTCCCCTGCGGGTGACCGCCATTGGACGGTCCGTCGCCCATTGCCGCGGGCATTCCAACTCCAGCCATGGGGGATTGAGATTGCCAGGCCATATACAGTTCAGACGTTCAGTATGCGATGATGTTGAGGTTAGACTGGGTGGGCGTAGCTGAGGATGTCGAGGTCGAAGCCGTCCGGTGGCTCAAGAGCGTCCAAGCGTCGGGGCTTGGGAGCTTCTAGCGTTCTCCTGACCCGTCGTATCCACCAGTAAGCGAAGATGGAGGTCCCCCAGGGGGGCGACAACGGCAGGGGGAACCGCGTTCCACGCCGTTCCGACCGGATAAAAGGATAGAGAATATCCAGGTAAAATATCAGGGAAAAGAAGGCCAATGATTTCCGGTAAAACGATCTAAGTGTCTCGTTTGTTATGGGTTCAATGTTGGGAGTGGCTTTTCGGGGGGGGCACACCCTCACGTGGTGTTCACCGCCTGCTGTCACGGGAAGTTAGAGTCCAGACCTTGTATGGAGTAGTAGGAATAGTAGGAGTAAAATGAGTTGTAGTAATAGGAAAAGATGAAATAAAAGAATGATTGGAGTTTTTGACTTGAGATTGACTGAGAATAATCATAAAAAATTGCATCAAATCAAATCACGACATTTCTACGTTGATATAAATAGTCTGAGACCTTCCAAGGTTCACTTACATAGACCTTATCCTTGCATGTTGGTGCCTTGTTTATAAGGCCGCAGATATCCCGTGATCCACCTTAAATACTATGATTCAAATGCGCAAGAGTCAATTCATGTGAGGTTTTTTTTTGGATTTGAGAGATATCTTCCAAACATTTACTATAATTGCACTGAGTAGAAATCTAATTGACTACTAATTGTAGTACTAGTGGTCAACTTGAACTTGAACTGTACATAGTACTACTACATAATAGTATTAGTACCTGCATAATTTGAACCCCACTCCGAGTCGCAGTACTATATATACTAGAACTGTGACTTGAAGTACTAGAACTTGAACTTCAAGTTGAAGTTCAAAGGTCCAGCACCTGGACATCGATGCCACACACTAGGTATGCCCAGGTGGATTACATACTAACTAGGTATTCGGTTTGATTTACTAGCTAGCATTTTGAAAGTTGCAAGATCACTTGAGATATCTTTCCATGTGCACCTGGAGGTCAAGTGTTTGAAAATTCTTGAATTAAATTATTATCATCAGCCTATGATTCACCCCCAATGAAACCATCCTCATCACGATCCTGTCCATACAAGACCTCGCAGACACCGCCGACCGGGATATCCATAACCGCATCAGTTCCTTCACTCCAAATTTCAGGCCAATTAACCTTGCGATTTTGAGGACCCATAATCTGATACGAGGTTGCGCCCGGCTTCATTTTCGTCGCTCCACCCGGTCTTCGTCGCGCTTTGCCATCAATGACCGCGACATTAGCGACATCATCGACAATATTCTCGATGCTGTTCATGGGCAATGTGAGATAGCCCGTGTTATAAGAGGCTAGCGCGATATAGATGTACACGATCGACATGACTAGCCAGGAAGGGATTGCGAGAGACCACCAGCGATTAGGATAGTAGTATATCCCGAGCTGATGTAGAAATGGGGATGGGAGGTATGACCAGAGGAGATAAATTACTAGAAGCGCGGGGAATGTTAGCCTCATCCACGTACAACAGCAATGGGCGCGAAGACACAGAGATGCCAATCTCGAAAGGGTTGTTCATGATTTTTGAAGACTCACAGAAAGCAAGGGAAGAAGCCAAGTAAAGCACAAATCCATAGTACTCGTAGGTTGGGACTTTTGGGCTTGCGCGAGGGACCGTAGTGGCCCTGCGGGCTGATTTGGCTACAGCGGCCTCCGTATCATTGGGAGTCTCCACATCCGAGCTATCGGGGGTTGTTGGACGTGATGTTGTAGTAGAGAATGGCGGTCGGAGAAGGGATGTCAAGGAAGGTGAGGGTGGTAGTGGCGTGGGTGGCCGATTGTAAAAGGGGGGCGCAAAGGCATTAGGCCCGTGAAGAGAGCTGGATGACTGACGAAAAGGATGGTGTCGGCCAATTTCGTCCGCAGAGTTCTCGGATTCGGTATCGGAAAGAGACTGAGGGTCTAGCGAGTAGTGAGATTGGAAATCCGCATCGTCTTCTACCTCGATCTCCTCGTAGCCGGGTGAGGTGACGCTTTCATCCTCTGGGAAGGCGCATGGATCTGTGGGCGAGACCAGCTCGTCCAATAGAGGCGGGAATGGCTGCTTAGACTCGAATGAAGGCTCAAGCCCTGGCTCCTTTGAGGCTGAATCCTCATCCATGGGAATTTTTGATGAATATAGTGAAGCTGGGAGCTGTTTATTGCCGGGCGGCGCAAAACCCGGGGAACGGGACTCACCAGTTGACATCACTAAGAATGCTCTAATCTTCTTAGTGGAACCTTGAGTGTAAGAAAGTATACTAAGTAGGCCTGAATAATGATTAAGAGTTCATATACAAGAGACGTGTTATTTGTTCATCGTTCCTTCAAAATCCAACCGCAGGTATAGTATACATTTTCAGTTTAGCTGACACCGTCCGAATCATCCCCTGTATCTTCTTCGCAGAAGGGAACTTGGTAGAAAATGCCTCCAATAGTTCGATTGCTAGATCTAGATCATCGAGAGCCCTGCTATGATCTAATACCAGCGTATATTCGTCTGCTTGAGCAGTGGAGGTGTACATAAGTGAAAGTGCCGAGTTAAAGATGGCCACAAGATTCAACCAATTGTAGGCAAAACGACGCTGCCTGTGAAGATTGATGGCTTGACGTATTGCCATACCTGATGCTTCAGCCAAGATTTTCATCTTTGGGAGATCTAAATTGGGGCTTAATGGTGATGGTCGATAAAGCATTATGACATGAGTGTAGTAATTCAGATCAAACCAGCTCGTACATAGATGAGGTACCTTCGATTGAAGATCAGGTAAAGGGAACGGCATACTGCGACGCCATTCCAGTAAGCGTTTATGGAGGACCTGAACAGTTTTCTCTCGAGCCTCTTGACTTTGATGATGACTATATTTTGGAGAGTGAACTTGGGTTCCAATGTCACTAGCGATTCTCCGGAGAGCGAGTATATGTAATGGCACAGCCATGGTAGATGGCTCCAAGGTAGCGATGGACGATATGCCATCCGGTTTGATATTTTCATCATCCACATCAGCAAAGGGCTAAAGAAATGTTAGCGATGCCACAACACGATTATATGACAGAAACAATTTTACATACCTTGACAGTAATATCAATATCCTGTATTGCAAAAGGACGACCCAGAGCCAGAGAAACTACTCTAAATGGAAATTAGAGTTAGATATGCACGACAGAAGGGATGAATATCTTACCTGTCCATCATATAGAGGCAGAAAAATATTCTCTTCTGCTGCTCAGCTGCATCCACAGTTAGTGATTGATAGACTTCTGCTGTATGAAGCCCCATTCCAATTGCCATTCGAGCGGCAACCCCGACAAGAAACCAAGTATCTGTAAATGCCCACTTTGTTAGAGGTTCTATTTTAAGAGAATGGAATTTTTTAGATCTCTTGTACATACTGGGTCCAACTTTATTGAAGAATGAATATGAAACCTGGAGCATCAAGACTTCCAGCCCAGCCTGATTCAGGCAAGCATTCCCGAGTCAGAAGTGTGATTTAGTGAGAATTTAAGGGTTACTTTAGGTGGTTCTTACCAAGTCACCACAGCCCATTGCTGATTCAAAATGTTTCATGGCCTTGTTGAAAAATTGCACAGATTCCGTTTCATCCATGAGGGAGACCGAACAGTAAGTTGTGGAGCCGATTGCCAGCACCATCCAGATTCGGAATTGCCACAAAGAGGACTGCGCGAGGGGATCTAGAGGGTCCGCGTATATTCTCCAAAGTACACTCTCGAATTCGTTTTTCCTGATCATCGGATAAAGGGTATGAGAATGAGCAAAATAAAACTCCAGAATATAGCTAATATGCGAGGGCTCCAGTAGCGTGAGATCACTGGTAGTTTGTTCTCCGAATTCCTCAATCGTCGTCTCTTCCAAGATGGAATTCAAGGGCAAAGGGCTGGTTACTGAAGGGTGCATCTCGAAGAATATTGGATTGAGATTTGACGTATCGTGGTCGGCTGTATGATTTTGTGGCTGGTTATCGTCAACATCCCCATCAAAGATGAATCCATCTTGATCTGGAGATAATCGTTGTAGAACGGTCTGTGTAAGTTTCGCAAAGGAGAGGCCCGAGGAGGAGCCTAGGTATCTTTCTGCGGCGGCTTCTAAAGAGAGCAGCCTGAGCTCTTCAGATAGGTCGTTCGTTCTTGGCACAGAAACACGTCCGTTATAAGGTGGAGTGGGTATTGGATCAAACCCGGGAGCTGCATTTCCATCGGATGGAAGATGGGGAGATAGATTTGTGCCGTTATCTGAATTTATTAGGTCGTCACCAAGCTCTGTCAACTGAATCTCTGCGTCGTCGTTCCATGAATACGGCGGCTCGTTTTGGGTCGTTTTCCGGGTCAACACTTCGGCGAGTCTCTGCTCCAGTTCCTTGACTCTGTGTTCAAGTTGACGCACATAACTATTGAAATTAGTCTTTCAGAATTCGAGCTGGAAAATGGTTATTTCTCACACAATCGGGTATGACGCTACTTGAGCTTCGTCATTCAGAAAGCTGCACGCGACTTTGGCATGTTTACAGGCATGACATTGAGGGAGAGTTTTGTCACAACGCTTTTTCCGACGATGACATCGCTTGCAAGAATTCTCTGCTCGGGCAGCTGATTCCAGCATGACTCTCGACATGCAAGGGGACTGGGAAAGAAGGATGGCGGGGAAGATAAGGCCAAAGTTCGTATGCTAGCGATTGACTTATCTTGGCTTGTTTAGCTCAATCTTTGCTGATGATGCGTCATATGTCTGGTGTAATTTAACAAGACGATCAAATGCTTTACATCAGCATCGAAGTTAAGCCTTCCAACTCCTCCATACGGAACATACAACGTTGTGAAAATTCCAACATCAACTCCACAAGAGTCAAGAGTCACAAACAATGGACCTCGTGCGGAGATATTCCCAATAATCCAATCAGAATACAACGATTTATCATGAGTGGGGTAACTGCTAGCGGATGTGGGGAAGCATCTTGTGTATGTACGAAGTCAACTGGTTTATTGTCTACAAAACAGGGATTTTGGGCATTTATGATCCATGAAGTATTGAATCATCGATTTCTATCATACACCACGAGCGCATAATGGAGTTTGCTAAGTATTGCTTGCGGCGCAATTTATGCCTACTTGAAGATTCGAAATCTCGCAAGCCTTTAAAGTGGGAAGCCCGTGGAAAACACAACAGTCCTGCAATAGGGGATTCCTTTTTTCTTAAACGGCAAACAGGAGTAAGAATAAGATTCCAGAAATGGATCCTTGGAAGCTTTGGGTGAGCTTACTTATGTTTTAGAAAGTTTATACCCAAGTTTTCAATCGCTGACTCGGACCTTCGAATGTTCGGCCACGCCGCTCATCATCATGATCTCTTGGCTATGGTGGTCGGACGATGCGACGCGGCGATCAAGCTTCAGAGAATTGCTAATATAAATCAAAAGAACTGAGCTCAGTTCGGAAAAATTCATCTGGTCGCTCCTTTGGCGAAAACTGCTCCATATTTCCAATCATCCTTGATATCGAAATGTCATCTAACGGCCAGTCTTTCCTCCTCGACCCCGAGAAGCGTACAGGGGCAACTCACTACTCTCACGCCCGAGTCGTCAAACCATCCACTCACCACACTATCTATGTCTCGGGAATTGCGGCAGTCAAGCCAGACGGAACATACGAAGGAGTTATCGAACATGCCGACGGAAGTTTTACAGCGGATGTGAAGGAACAAACCGCTGCTGTTCTGCGTCGAATCGACAGCATTATCCAAGGTGCATCCAACGGCAAAGCCAATCTTTACAATATCGTTGACACTACTGTTTACATCTTGGATATGAAGACTCAATATGCGGGAATGAATGAAGAGTGGAACAAAATCTGGTCGGATCGTGCGAGTGCCCCAAGTCGAGCAACTATCGGAGTCAAAGAGCTTCCGGATCCTCGTTTTATGGTTGAGATAAAAGCAACAGCAATTTTTGGGGCATAGAAGCCTTGAAAACCCTTGAATTCAAGTCTTGATGAATCATTCGAGGATTATCCATGCATGTATGCATTCAGAGGCTCAAAAGGCTGGCTATATTAAGCATCAATCGATTTATTACCGATTTCGCTCCTGCCTTACTTCTAGAGACTACTTCTTACTATTGGATTGAGATTTAATATGCATATGACTGTCGAGTGCGTGCCTATCGAGTCTCCAAAATTGTCTCAATATTCCAATGTTTGGCCACTGCCAGTAAAGATTTAGTTAATGACTGACTCACTGTTTAGTACCTACCATTTGAAGCTGAGTCATTGAGAAGCAAAGAAACATTGAAATCAGAGAGATAGGATGTAATTTCTAATATCAAACAGACATGAGTCATGAATGATTAAATTGGGTGCCCATGATAACGCTAATCAAAAGTGGTTTCGCGTCATAAGGAAATCCGAGGCGTATAGATAGCAGTGTCGGACAGTCCGACAATGAACATTTCACCTTTCAGGTTCAAGTTCCGATACGTTTTTGTGTGCGTCAAAAATCTCAACAGCTTTAAATAGATCCAATACAGGAGAATACTTGCACAAAAATCCATCAACTTCGAGCTACTCATCCTTTTCTCCCATCATGACTGAAATCAACATCGCCGATCATTTGAGCCTCCCGACACTAGTGTCTGGGAATTATCTCTTGGCGTTGATACCTTTATTTCTATACTTCATCTACAAAGTGAGTCTGAATGATACTCATATAGTAACTGGGTCAAGACTGAATATGTCAACAGTGTACCCTTGCAACGGATATCCCACATATCAAGGGCCTTCCGGAGATTCCCGGTGCGATCCCAGTCTTTGGCCATCTCCTCAAGCTGGGAGATGATCATGCAAGCGTGTGTGAAGGCTGGTGGCGCCAATATGGCCACTCAGTCTTTCAGATCAAGTTAGGCAATACGCGGGCCGTGGTAGTTAACTCTTTTGAAGACTGTCGTAAAATGCTTCTCGGGCATCAAAATGCCATCATTGATCGACCTAAGCTTTACACCTTTCATGGTGTCGTGAGTAGTACTCAGGGATTTACGATCGGGTCTTCACCTTGGGACGAGTCATGCAAGAAGAAGCGCAAGGCAGCAGGAACTGCCTTAGGTCGACCAGCTCTCCGCAACTATTACCCAATGTTTGATTTGGAGAGTTACTGTATTGTGCGAGATCTCCACCGGGATAGCGGGAATGGCAACATCGAGTTGAACGTCCGCCCATACATCCAACGGTTCGCGCTCAACACAACCTTGACTTTGTGCTACGGTATTCGCATGGATGCTGTGTATGACGATCTCTTACGTGAGATCCTTGAGGTTGGCTCGGCTATTTCCCTTCTTCGTAGTGCCTCGGAGAATCTGCAAGACTATATCCCTATCTTACGGTACATGCCGAACAACGAGAAGACTGCTCGATCAAAGCAGCTACGCGACCGTCGGGATGCTTATCTGAATCTCCTACTGGATAAAGTGCGGGAGATGATCAAGAAAGGCACTGATAAGCCTTGCATTTCTGCGGCTATTCTGAAGGATGAAGAGACAAAGTTGACTGGAGTGGAAGTATCTTCCATCTGCTTGTCATTGGTGTCGGGTGGTTTTGAAACTATCCCTGGTACACTGACATCGGCTATTGGTTCCCTTTCCACTCCTGAAGGGCAAGTCTGGCAAGACCGTGCCTATGAAGATATTAAGCGATATTATCCCGATGTTCGGGATGCGTGGACCAGCTGCATTTCCGATGAGAAAGTGCCATACGTGAACGCCATTATCAAGGAGGCTGGCCGATACTATACAGTCAGCTCTATGAGCCTGCCTAGAAAGACGGTCACGGAGGTGAACTGGAATGGGGCAATCATTCCACCAAAGACGATGGTGTTGATTAATGCCCAGGCAGGGAATCATGGTAAGTACCTAAAATCTACCTTGAAATTAGTTAAAGTTTGTCTAACATTTCAACCTAGATGTGGATCACTTTGGATCAAATGGAGGCAAGTTTGATCCTGAAAGATGGCTCAAATCTCTGGACCCTCCTGAAGAAAGTGAAGTGAGCGGTTTGCCTCACTTGAGTTTCGGATCCGGATCTCGCGCTTGTTCTGGCCAGTTCATTGCATCCAGACTGTTGTATTCTGCACTTATTCGACTTCTCTCCTCCTACAAAATTGTCGCCAGCGAAGTTAGTCCACCCAACACGGACTATGTGGAGTACAATCAGTTCAAAACTGCATTAGTTGCCATTCCCAGGGATTTCAAAGTGCGATTAATTCCCAGAGACGACGCAGTCAGATCTGAATGTTTGAACCTGGCCGAGATGAGAACTAAGGAGCACTACAAAGAGTAATTTTATGTGATGAACTGAGTATTTTGTATATCTCAGGTCAAAAATTGAAGTTGCGTCGCAGCGTTTCTCGAGTGCTCAATCTCAATTCATGATAATACTAGTAGCTATCTCAAACCATATTTATCATCTCAGACCAGTTTTAATGTGCAGATATTTCAGCATTTGAACCGGTCTCCTCTACATGTTCACTCCTGCCCATTTGCCAGTAGAATTCGGCCACCATCTACGCAAAGGGAAACTCCATCGACATAAGCCTAGTAGGTATATCGGTAATTAGTAGAATTCTCGGTGTGGTACTTCTGGCTTTACTTACCCCAGCTTTGCTCACTAGGTATAAAATTGTCCCAGCAAGATCTTCAGAGGACCCAGCCCTCTTTGCGGGTACTTTGTCGAATAGAGAACTGAAAATGTTTCCTTCTGCGCCAACTGGGTTCATATTGCTTGGAACAACTGCAGTAGGCCAAAATGTCAATGACCAGGTCTTTTGAAGTTTTAAATGATCCAGATATCCACTTACACCCAGGATTAATGCCCACGACTCTCACATAAAATCGATTATACTTAGCTGCCAGCAATCTTACCAGATGATCGGTCGCTGCTTTGCTTGTAGCATAGCTTGTTAGATCAACATTTGTCACATTATGCATACTTGCACATGAGCTTGTGATCACGATCACTCCTCTTCCTTCATCTCTGCCCTTGATCCCCCCATTAATCGGCTTATCAGCTGCTGCGGCCAGTAGAGGCAGCAAGGCGATACTGAGGAAGTAATGGGCGGTCGTATTGACACGAAATGTGTTCTCCCAGTCTTCTTGTCTGATTGACCACATAGAGGCTTGGAGTTCCTCTATTGAGGCAGTCAACACATTGCAGGAATGAGGAGGATCATGGCGAATCCCAGCATTGGAGATGAGCATATCCAAGGTGTTCTCCTTCTGGGATATGGTCTGAGCAAGGTCTTGAATGGAATCTTTTGAAGTCAGATCACAGGGAATTCTAGCAGTTGAATATAGTCAGCCTATGAATTCATTCGAGATAGTTTGGAAACTCGCTTACATACCCTTCAGCATATCCCCCTGCTTCTCGTCCCAGCTCATTGAGCTCATTGACCACCTCAGTGATTGGATCACTGGGCAATGACACCACGTACACTTTGGCTCCATTTGTGACTAATCCCTATAGGGGCATTTATTCAGTCCAAATGATCGATCGACTTCAATTTATGCACTATAGCCTATACTGCGGAAGACTCACCTTGGATATCATCAATCCTATTCCACTGCTACCACCTGTGACCACCGCCACACGTCCCTTGACATTGAATAAATTCAAAGCAGCTAGTGAAGCCATTCTGTAAATGAGTTCGAAATGGAAGTCGGCAATGTAGACCGATCCCGAGGCTTATAAGCGGGGTTCCCATCCGATACAGAAGTGGGGGATTATAATGACCGGCGGGCGCCGCGAACGCGCCGTGAAAGAACAAGATAGTGGCGGGTAGAACGGCGGCATGCCCGAAGGAAGCTCCAACTTGAACTTGGTGCCTCCAGATCTCCAAATTCTTTTCTGACTCTGTTTTTGATTTCTTTTTTGATTTCTCCTTCTCCCTTTACTTGAAGTAAAAAATCTCAGCTCTCGCCTTCACAATGTCGTTGGCATTTCTAGTTGATAAGACCCAGTACGTACGGGATCTGCCTTCAGCTTACAATGTTTTCGTCTAATGCGGAGTAGATCCAAGGTCACAGTATCCGATTTGAAAGATGCAGCTGCAAGTCTTGGGTTCAGCGTCCCAGATGGTCAAGACACTGAGGATTACCTTCAGATGCTGCAGTCGACAGAAGCGATCGTGAATCAAATCCAAGAAGCGGAGGACTATATCCACCCCTCACTGTGCCCCGCGCCATCGACTAATCAAAGAGAATTTTGGGAACCGAAAAAAGAGGATAATATTCTGAATGCTTGGAGACATCGCTGTGATATCGTAGCAGCCAGTCCGACAAGCACTTTACTCCAAGGAAAGACGATTGCAATCAAAGATAACATCTCCATCGGAGGTCTTCCGACAACAGTGGGGACATTCACCGAGCTATTGTGTAAAGATGGTCAACTTCCTGTTTCTCCAATAGATGCATCTGTAGTCTCACGGGTGCTTCTGGCAGGTGCCACTATCAAAGGATCTTCGACATGCGAGAATTACTGCTTATCGCCTCTTGGTTATGGCTCTGCAACAGGTCCAGTTCATAACCCTCGACTAGTAGGATTTACCACGGGCGGAAGCAGCAGTGGCTCAGCAGCACTTGTATCTGCAAACACGCTTCAGGATCAAGAGACCAAACTTGGAGAGACAGTCGACATTGCGATCGGTGGTGATCAGGCTGGATCAATTCGAATCCCTGCCTCGTATTGTGGAGTTTACGGGATGAAGCCCACACACGGTTTGGTCCCATATACTGGAGCTGTGCCCTTAGCTCCCATGATTGATCATCTGGGACCGATGGCTGGAAGCCTTGACGATATTGCCTCATTACTTCAAGTGATGGCAGGCTATGATGGGATAGATCCTCGGATGACTCCTGAGAGTCCATTACGGCATCAAGTCCCAAACTACTCCAAGATTCTGGAAGGTTTTAGAACCCGCACCCTTGAGAAAGGTGAATTCATTGGATCTGGATTGAAAATTGGCATCCTCGCGGAATCCTTTGATATTCTTGGGTTATCGGAGCAGGTTCACAACACTGTTCTAGACTCCGCTCGACGTTTCTTTGCAGCCGCCGGGGCCGAAGTAATCGACATTTCAGTCCCTATGCATCGGATCAGCAGTCTCATATGGACAGCGGCCACCCGCATGTCAGCTTCCGAAACGGCGTGTCAAGGCAAGACAGGTGGATTTCTCTCCTTCCTCCCGCCGCATATTCAAGCTCGGTGGCCACCCGATCAAGAGATGTATGAGCTATTGACCGGAACCAACCCATCTGCTCTGAACGTGATGCTCAGTGGTCCATTTCTACAGGAGAAGTTTGGTCCAAGCGTTGAGGCTAAGGCCCACCGTAAAGTGTTTGAGCTCCGGGCGGCTTACGATGAAGCTTTCACGCAAGTGGACATCCTTGTTACCCCATGCGCACCGACCGTTGCTATGGGACATCCTAAAATGCAAGGTGATGCCGAAGGTCCGAGGTCTACTGTCATGGAAAAGGTCTCTCTAGCGGTCGGAGTGACTACCAATACTGCCCCCTTTAATGCTACTGGTCATCCGGCGATGAATGTACCCTGCGGATTTGGTCAAGATCCAAATCAGCCTGAGGTAGATTTGCCGATTGGCATGCAGCTCGTTGGAAGGAGATGGGAAGAAGCGATGATTCTTAAAGCAGCGACTGTGTTTGAAGAAGGTCGAGCTATGTCGATGGCTGGTTAAAAACATTCTGCTTTATTCCATTCAATCGCTATTCGTTCGATTGCATGCATTTGGAGTATGGAATTTCAGGCTTCTACATATTAGATACTACATAGTACAAAGTTCCGTATCATGATGCATCATTCAACCTAAATCTCCAATAATTTGTCTATTTTGTCGTTGGAATGTAGATCTATAGGCAACTTGAATCTTTCAAAATGTTGTACTACGTAGTTCTCTGTAGGTAGCATGCATTACCACAGAGATCAAGTCCGAGAATATTCCAATAACTCATATATTCCAATCTATTGGCTTATCAAGTTAAACGGCAGCAATCCTTTCTTAAATCAGATGGAGGTGCATAAACCCAGACTGCAAACTGCAGTTGCATGAAGTTCGTGCTTCACACACTGCACATATCCTGGTAATTCGAATCAAGGCGCTAAGATCTTTGTCATACCTCATCTCCGCATGGTTGTTACACACATAACACGTGTTGGATAATGCTTGGAAATTAACGAATTCAAGTTTTGGTGTCTGCGATTGTATGCGATTGTATGCGATCATCTGCAACTGCCGTGAAACTTCAGCCTTAAGGCACCCTTGGTGACACGCGCGTTCAAACCTCTCAGTCCAAGCTTGTCACCGGTATGCGTTGCAGCCCAAGTCCCCTGTCAAACCATACCAGACTTGACAGGGCTGGTACCCCTTGCATTCGGATTGCTATGTTCCGTTGAGAAGGTGACAGTCTGCCCCGAATTGAGGAATGAGGGTCAATAGTCTAACTCGATTAAAAGATCCGATGGGGTAATGTACGAAGTACAAGGTTCATCCACACCTTATCATTAACCTGGAAGAGAATTCCAGATGTTGTACGAATCTGAGTTGTTGAAGTCTATTATGGAGAGTGAGATCCTACCAAAGGTACACGTCCGTGCTTATCACTGCTTCATCTTGCTACCGAGGTTCATAACTTGGATTCAGCTACACAAAACATACCAATGTGCGTCACATAAGAGTTTCCACTCGTGAGCACGAACCACGATCCATGCACTCAGGGGGGTGGGGACAGAGAAACAATCCCCGACGCTGATCAACCACCATCTCCACTCTAAGTCAATAGTTTGATTCTTAGAGGGTCCACTCAATCTTGAGATCTTTTGTGTCCGTGTCTTGTGTCATGACTTTGATTTTCTGCCGTCTATGACAGAGATCAACTCAAGGTATGTAAAATCGAGGATTCAGTACCAATTATAACTAATTTGACTCCAGAAGACGAGGCACATTGCGTACGCGAATGTACTTTTGTGGCGCACAAGATGAAGAGATCGACAGACTATCGCGTTCCATTCTTCTGTGAATGCGACCCACCTATCACAACACGCCGCTAAACTATGTCAATCTCATAATGTGATGACAGGTCCAAAATGCAAAAGACCCGCTCACTCTAGACTTCTTAAGAGGTTTAATGTCAAGAAAGCGGGCCGTCTTTTCATTTCTGACGGAGAAATTATGGATACTAATCTTTTTGGACCAGCCTTTCAAGTCAAACCCTTTTAAAATATCTATTGGCCCCTCCAAAAAAGATCTGGTTCAGGAACCAGGCACCTCACTCACACCGCTTCATCATGTCGAATTTGACTGTAAGTGATCATCCTAGAATTTGATCTCACTGTCGTGTGCTGTACAAAGTGTGTTGTCCAATGTTAATATACTAATTTAAACTTAAGGACCCAAATAATGACCCGAATATCGGTTCCTCGCGTGGGGATGCCTCCTCCACCTCCGGTGATGTTGTCAGTGGTCTTACTGGAGATACAAGCTCATCCTCATCCTCGGCGCTACTGATGACCTTTCTGCCCGCCTTATTCTACGCTATGTTCTGGATTGGCCTATTCCTGATCTTTCGAAGGACTCAAAAACGATGGTATGCGCCCAGATCTCATCTCCCTGATTTGGCAGAGCATGAGAAGAGCCCCGAACTGCCATCTGGGTGGTTGAACTGGATAGGCGATTTCTTAAAGATTGAAGACAATCACGTTTTACACACATCATCCTTAGATGGATATCTGTTTCTACGATTTTTACGGGTTCTCTGCGCGATATGCTTCACCGGATGCGTTCTTACCTGGCCCATTCTATTCCCCATACACGCTACAGGTGGGAATGGGAACACGCAGTTGGATGTACTCAGTTTCAGCAACGTCAAGGACCCCAACAAATACTACGCCAATGTTATTTTAGCGTGTGTCTATTTCAGTGAGTCCTCTCGAATCGCATGTCCCAGGAAATTTGCTTATCAAGTACAGCGTTTGTGTTCTACGTTGTGGTCAGGGAAAGTCTGTATTACACCAACCTTCGACAAGCATATCTCAACTCACCGGCCTACGCCTCCCGCATATCATCCCGAACTGTGCTGTTCATGTCAGTACCGCCAGACTACCGAAACGAGAAAAAGTTACGACAAGTATTTGGCGAGTCAGTCCAGCGAATCTGGATCACTTCGGACTGCAAAGAACTGACTAAATTGGTCGATGAGCGAGACAAACTAGCGTTCAGGCTGGAGGCTTCTGAAACAAAGCTGATTCGACGAGCGAATAATATTCGCGCAGAGGCTACGAAGAATGGCGAATTTGGATCCGATACCTGCTTGGACTGCGAATCCAGCAATCCTGCATCGTCCCGTCAGGTTAAGCGGCCTATGCATAGACTGAAGTTGTTTGGCAAGAAAGTCGACTCTATTCACCAATACCGCGAGGAGTTGGCCAAGGTTACCGAAGAGGTGGAGAATCTTCAACGAAAGCATCAGGAAGGCGATGCAAAACAATTATCTGCCATATTTATTCAATTCGCGAGCCAGGCCCATGCTCAAGCAGCTTATCAGACTCTGTCTCACCACCAACCATACCACATGACACCACGTTTCATCGGAATTTCCCCGGATGAGGTCGTCTGGTCAGCATTGAACCTGAATTGGAAGCAGCGTGTTATTCGCAGATTTGCTGTACAAGGCTTCATTGCGGCGATGGTTATCTTTTGGTCTTTCCCGGCTGCGCTCGTCGGAACCATCTCTAACATCACCTACTTGTGCAATCTCATCACCCCTTTGAAATTCATTCTTGATCTGCCCAGTCTTATCAAGGGTGCCATCGAGGGTTTGTTGCCCTCAGCAGCTCTTGCGCTCTTAATGTCATTGGTACCAATCATCTGCCGAAGTATGTCTTCTTCTCCCCCTCTCAACTTCGTTCAAGCAACTAACATATTTTCTCAGTTTGTGCCCGACGATCCGGCGTGCCATCTCTAGCTCGTGTGGAACTCTTCACCCAGAGCGCAGTTTTTGTCTTCCAAGTCGTTCAAGTATTCTTGGTCACGACATTGACATCCGCAGCGTCTGCAGCAACATCTCAGATCATCTCAGATCCATTATCTGTCAAGGATCTCCTAGCCCAAAACCTACCCAAGGCAACCAACTTCTATATCTCTTATTTCCTTCTCCAAGGACTGAGCATGAGCTCGATGGCTCTTGTGCAAATTGCCAGTGCGCTTGTCTTCGCATTTGTCACTAAATTCTCCGCACATTCTCCTCGAAGACTCTATAACAAATGGGCTGAGCTGGCTAGTCTCAGCTGGGGCAGTGTTTTTCCTGTTTTCACCAATATGGGTGTCATTGGTACGTTCTCCCCAGTCAACAATTCCCCAAATTTACTAACTCTCGCTCCCAGCATTGACATACTCCTGCATCGCACCTTTGATTCTCGGATTCTCCTTTATTGGCCTTTACCTGGTCTATCAAGCCTACCGATACAACTTCTTTTTCGTATACAAGATTGAAATCGACACGAAAGGCCTCGTGTATCCACGAGCACTGGGTCACCTATTGACAGGACTCTACATCGCAGAGATCTGCATGATTGGACTCTGTGCCATTAAGGGTGCAGTCGGACCAGTGATAATCATGATTCTATTCATGATCCTGAACGTTCTAGCCCACATCTCTCTCACCGAGGCTTTAAGCCCACTGAATAGCTTTCTCCCACGATCCCTGGATGCAGAGGAAGTGGATCTACAGGAGAAAGAAGACATCCGAAACGAGATCAACGAGCAGCAACGATCACGGAGCCTTGCATTTTGGCGGTGGTTTCATCCGAGCATGTACAAGGATTATGCTGCACTCCGACGCAAGGTGCGCAAGAATATTGCCGAGGTCTTTTATACACCCGAAGAACTCCGCACTGCCTACTTTGAGCCTTGCATTTCGTCGCCGTCGCCTACTTTGTGGATCCCTCGTGATAAGTTTGGGTTTAGTCGATACGAGGTTCTGGAGACGGATCCGATTATTAGTATTACGGATGAGGGGGCTCATCTTAATGAGAAGAATAAGATCATTTGGGATAAATATGATCCTAAGCTTCCGACTCGGGAAAAGAAGGCGTTATATTAGTTTATTGAGATTCCTTCAATTTATGAGAATGATAATATTTAATGATTATTGATACCTTCACATATCCCGAGTAGAATTCCTCAGTGCCGCCTGTATGAGACTGATTCCAAGTTTTAATATCATTTGGTCTAATCATCCATATATTCGCTACCTAATAGTATTTAACCTCCCTTACTACTAAGGAAAAGCTGAGAATTCTAGTAATTCATGTAGTAGCTACTACTAGTACTAGTTTTATACCCAAATTCACAACTACTAGTAGAATGCATTGGAAGAGTCAAAAATATGTATTGGCATCATAGATTCATTACATCGTGAGGACACTAGATCTACAGGGAAAAGATTGAAAGAAAATTTGAGGCATGAAAACAGGAAAAGATCGCTCCATCAAAAACATCACATCAAGATACAATCTCTGTCTCTATCTCTCGGGTTGATATTGGGATTGTATCGGTTTTCCGGTCGACTTCCCGGGTTGGAGTTCGAGTAGCGACCATTACGCTGAGTTCGATTTCCAGGATACTGATTTGAAGAGTATTCGCTAGGAAATTCTGTAAATTGGGATGGCCGCTCTCCCGGCCTGTACTGGGGTCGGCCTGCAGCTTGTTCGTAAGGGGGTGGTGGAGCATTGGGATCGTCAGTGTCGGGTTCAGTATGTGGCTGGCGCGCTGGTCGAAGACCCACGACATTTGCATTTGCGCTCGCGTTACTCGATAGGCGGTGGTGGGAGTTGCTGAGGCGTGGTGGAGGTTCGTTAGAAGGACGAACAGGAATTGGACTCTGGATAGGTGGGCCCGCTTGCCCCTGGCTGTTTCTTCCCTGGCTTTGTTCCTCTTCCTCTTCTTGGAATTGTAGAGACAATGCGTAAGCATAGTCTGCGTCGGCTTGTTCCTGCGGGGATAATCTACCCGGTGACGTATTGCCTGGTGCCAAATTGTTGGGAGATGGAGCAGTTGATGTGCGAGGACCAGCAGGGGTAGTAGGACCGGCAGAAGCCGATGCATTATGGCTCACAGTGCGGAAGTCGCCAGCGAAAAACTCGGAGTTGAAACCGGTCACATCAACAACGGATTCCCAGACCACCTCGGCGTGGTTAGCATAGCCTGCATCAGTGACCAGGGTGAAGAGCTGATGAGATTGAGGATGTTTGTAAAGAGTAGAAAAATGATCGTTGCGAAAGAATATGGACACTGAACCGGGAGCAAGCTTTGAGCTCAATTGGGTCAGCCCGAAGGGACTAAGCTGCGTCTTATTTTCGATATCAACAAAGTATTGAATGGTCTGTATGTCTGCCATCCTGTGCTCTTCATCAGGTGAAAGAGACTCGCCCCTCATAATGCGTTCTTCGAGCTCTTGTTTGCGGAAATGTAGCAACTGAATGTCCTCATGAAATTGGGCAACTCGGGCCATGGCGTCATGAACTGGGCTTGACCACGATGCAAGCCACCCATGAATCAAAGGAACGCCGAATGTACTGTACAGCTGGAGGTCGGGGGTTTGGAAAAATGTACCAAGTGAGTCCACCGTCTCCTAAATAAAGGTGTGAGCTGGGATGTAATATTCTTGGCTAATGTATTGAATTCTTACCAGGGTTAGACGGGGATTGACGTTCATGCCAGTATGCAGAACTGTCAGAAATTGGGAAAGTGCCTCAATATCTGGGAAGGAGTCTTCAGGTCCTAGGCGTGTGATTAGCTCTTCAAATAGAGCCTCAATCAACAATCCCAGAGATATTTGTTCACGGGTTTGCAAGGCCTTTACAATTGGCGGCTGCACCGTTGAATCCGCTCGCAATACCAGGGCATTGATAAGTGCCAGTAGCGGACAAGGGCCATTTTTATTCTGCACCAGGATTGGGGACTGAAGTATTTTTCCCGTGCGGTCCTTCCAATTGATCTGCCGAATAGAATAAGTTTCCGCGCGCTGTTCCTTTTGCTTAGCCTCCTCGGCCGGTGTCATTGGGGACCGGGGAAGCGGCACCAATTGGGGCTGAAGGGCATCTGCAGGCTTCAAGATCGGTGGGGTGTTCGGTGGTGGTTGAAAATCAGACGCATGATCCTCTAACTTCCCATACGACCCATCGAAAGAGTGAATCGAAGAGCCAGCCTGTTGAGATCCAGCTTCCACACCAAGATGGTCCGAGGGCTCCAGATCGATCAATTCGTGTGAGGTTGCCGATGTTGCGCTGGAGAAGGCCGAAGGAGTGCGTGCACCAGTATCTGAACCCAATCTGCCGTGGGGGTAAGGCGGCTGTAGGCCATGAAGATCATCCGCTGAACCTGAAGGTTGTAACACCACCGGTGGAGCATAAGGATTAGCTTGACCACCTTGTAAATAGATTTCTTCCGGTGCTGATATTTTGATTGAATGCTGCGATGCCCACGGTGATTGGTCCTGAGGTATATTCGTTGGGATTGTGCGATTCGGTTCCAAATGCGAAGTTTCATGTTCTGCCCAAGGGGATTCTTGGTCATCAGGGTCTAGGAGTGATAACCTAGCCGTCATGGGAATATATCCGTCCGCTGAAAAAAGCGTCAGCATTGCTATTATTTCTTTGAGAATGCATGTAAATCAACGCGCATACTTTGGCTCAAAGCTTCACTATTAATAGTCGCATGAGAATGGCGATCATTCCACTCCGGCTCTGACGATTCATATGCAGGAACTGGTTTCCTTATTGGTTTCAAGAATGGGTTGTTTGATTGAAGCTGTGCTGGCACTTCTTCGGGTGTCTTATCACGCTCATTGTGCTGCTTTGGCGTATGATGAAACTCATGTTCCACAACCTGCGGTAAGCCTGACATTAGAGCCATAGGCAAGCGTTGCGCCGTCAACACAGGGCCTCCAGTGTAGTTTTCGGAATTGGGCCGAGTATTGGCTATCCGGGGCTCTCCTTCTTCCCAGGAGCTCGGCGGGCGGTTGGTCGGCGAGCCCACCGGGGATCTTTGAGCTTCCTCCAGCGGCATTAGGTCAAAGGCAGGAGACATATGTAGGTTAGGAGAGTATATTGAATTGTCAGATGGTACTCTGTTTAACTGTTGACGCTGGGGCGAGGTTGCAGATGGGGAGGTCTTGGAACGACTGGTCTTATGATTCCCTTGGTGAAGATTCTCTAGACGTGGTGGGGGCTGTTTCCGGAGCACCATGAAGATAACCTAAAGTTAAGAGGAATAGATATATTTAGCATGAATTTCATGATCGTAAGCTAGGCATCTATTGTCAGGGTGGATTGATATGTGGAATACATACTGCGCTAGGGTCGCCCGGCTTCCCCAGATATGAGATAGAACAGCCTCACTGCTTGTAAGATTCCACGGGACAAGAAGAAAGAAACTCAGAATTCATGCAAAAAGACTGCCTAGTGAGAATTGTGGTGAAGTGGAGTCTTTCCAAGGATGGGGGCGATGATATCAGAAAACTTGATCCACGCGTAAGTACTTAAGTAGTTGGAGACTCGTACTTCGTACCTTGTAGCTTATTATGGCGGAGTAGGCACCCAGATTCCCCGCCGATCAATGGGGCAGTACTGGTATTACAATAATCAGCCACAATTCACATAATAGAAAGGCAGTTATTGAGTACTGTACTGTCATATATGATACGACCTCGGAGTGCTGATGTAGCTATATTGTCGGGATATAATTAATCCGGAAGCTCCCTCACTGGGCGGAGATCAAAGGCAGAAAAGTGATAAAGAATCATTTTTCATTCATATAAAACTTATGAATGAGCTGCACGTTTCACCATGCATTCTCATATTCGCCCAAATCAGTTTTGCGTCCTGCAATTACCCTCAGACCAGCGTCGCATTATCAAACTTGAGCCTAATACGTAAGTTTGTATAGGGAATTCTATCGAAGAATTCATTTAATCGTGAAAAAAGGTGAAAAAAGTACACTACTAACACCTCCTTAGGACAGTACACCTGGGAAAATATGGCAATTTTGCAGCGAATCAGGTTATTGGCCGACCATTCTACCTGACCTTTGAAATCCAAGATACTGCCGAAGCCGATGGATACAAGTTGCGCGTTGTCTCAGCCACCGAACTGCACGCCGAAAACCTGATTGAAGAAGCGGAGGGAGATGAAGATGGAGATAAAGAAGGTGATGGGGATGAATCAGGCGAAGGGACCCCAATGCGCACAAATCAGACCATTGTCGATAGCAATTCCACACAACGGTTAACATGGCAAGAGATCGAAGATTTGAAGAAAGAGGCTGGCGGGTCCGGCAAAGACATTATCGCAAAGATTATGGAGTCGCATTCGGCGATTGACCAGAAGACCGCTTTCTCTCTGGCCAAATACACCCTCCGCAAGCGCAAGAAGTACATCAAGCGATTTACAATTGTCCCGTTAGATGTCAGCACCCTCGCAAACTATATGCTGCACGAGAAGGATGCCTCGAAGACCATGGAGATGCGTGACGAGCACATTGGCTTGCTTGGATGTTTTGGTAATGTACACCACAGTGGTGGGTCTCCTCTGGAAGTGGTCCCCGACGTGAAACCAAACGGTCGATACATCGTGGTGGACGAGACTGGCGGCCTGATTGTTGCCGCCATGGCCGAACGTATGGGAATCCTATATCCTCATGACAAAGATAAGGATGAGGAACAGGGCTCAGCAGTTGAAGAACAAACCGAAAACCCCGAGGAATCAAAAGACACCCGCCGGCAATACATTCGACCGATGTCAGCATCAAATAACACTCTGACCGTGATCCACGCACAGACACAACCAAACCTTTCACTTCTGAAATTCTTTGGTTATGATACAAGTGCGCCTGATGAGTCTCATCCTCTTCATACTCATCTCAAGTCTATCACATGGCTCCAGCTGGTAGATCCTTCTAGAGACCCTATCCTTGCTACTGAGCCACCCGTCATTCCTGCCGAAGAACTAGCTGAAATGAAGACCAACAAGCGCGCAGCCTATTACTTCAAGCGCAATCGATACCAGAAGGTCAAGTCCGTATCGGACGAAGCTCGAGCCGGTGAATTCGACGGTCTTATCGCGGGTACCCTGTTCGATCCCGCCAGTGTCTTGAAGCACGTCGTTCCATTACTCTCTGGTTCATCCCAAGTATCCATCTACTCTCCATACATTGAGCCTCTCGTTCAATTGATGGACTACTACTCTACGGGACGACGAACCGCATGGATCAACAAGAAGCGAGACCTGGAATCTCGGAAATCTACCGATGGACCTGTCGATCTGTCTTCCCTCTACGAGGAGTTCACTGTGAACCCGACCCTACTACTTCCCCCAACATTACACCACGCTCGCGTGCGAGGATGGCAAGTCCTACCAGGACGAACCCACCCCCTGATGACAGGACGAGGTGGCGCCGAGGGTTATCTATTCCACGGCACGCGAGTTATCCCACATGAGGAGGCTATCCAAGCCGCTGGTACATTCCGCAAAAAGCGCAAGTTGGAAACATCCACTCCCACCAGTGATCGGGATGTAGTGATGTCATAATTTAATTCCTCCTTTTCTTCAACTCTTTTGCATTGGTCTTGGAGTCCAGTTGGATCAAAAAGAAATAGATGTACTATGAGTGTTATGATAATGCGGCTTGCAAAATTAATCATCATGCATGTACATGAACCAACTCGAACAATACACAAAACATTTCATCCCATATCAGTACTTGGAGCAGTCAACTGTTGGAAGAGTTTTACTAGCTACTATATACTTGTCTAAACCCTACATATATACAACCTCGCACCGACTTGGATAAACGTTTTGAGCTACCTCAGGCTGCCCAGATCCAGCCCCGGCAGCTAGGATCGCAACTTGAACACGATGACGTATCTAGAAGAAAGAAAACAGTCGATTCATGCGCTGAATTTCAAAGAACAATATACAACCAGCTCATCATCTACAGGCTCTTCCCCATGAACTTTCGCTTGGTGAAGCTCAACCAGAACTAGTGAAAGGTCAGTAATCTAGGACATATATAGCAGATATAAATAATCGGATCTAACGTACCTTCGACGGGCCCACTCCACCGGGGTATAATCTCGCGTGTAACCGTACAGCAATCTCTTGTCGTACTTGGGAAACATATCTAGTTCAACCACCTCAATTAGTTTTTGATCAAGAAAATAGGGAATAGATTAGAACATACGCTCGCAAACTCTCCGCATCTTGGCGGTCGCGTGGGGGCTCAAAGGCCTGGTTAAGCGGGAAGGACACATCACCAGGAATAGCGAAGCTTTCAAGCGCAGCATTGATCAAAGCCTAACAATAATTGTCAATGATTCAAATTCCCTTCAATTATCAATCTTTCCATGCCTACCTTCTCCGCATCACGGGCACTCATTGTTGGCTTCACCTTCCCGAGGCAGTCGCTGACGAAGAGAGTACCATAGATGAGCATTCGGTCAGCTGGACCATTGATCTCAAAGTTTCGGAACAAGACGTTGGCGCGGAAAAGCGATAGAATCTCATCAACGCAGTCGTAGGACTCATTGTCTGGGGCAACATCGATGTCGGCAGTATTGGGGGGGAAGTGCGGGCAAGGTGTATGCGGGACCACGAGTCCGAGTACGGAGGGGCAAGATAGGGAAGTTCCCTGTCACCCATACATGTCAATTCTTGAGGTCTTGCAGTCTATCGCATTGAGAGGAGAGAGTAGGGAGGTAAAGTGGGAGGTTGTTGTGATTGGCGGGGCATTCATACCTATCACGGGAACATCCCGGTCCTCCAAGAAGATAGAGTGATATGCCTGGAATTGAGATATCAGTGAGAGATTCCAATAATAAACCCATATCAATACATACAGGCATTGTAGTAGATCAAAGGTTGGTGGACGCGGAGTTTGAGTTAGGCAGTGAGGATGTCATTGAAGTGGAGCAACTCCCCCAGCGGTACAGGGCGGTATATAGGGCGGTGAACATGGTAGCTAATGACCGTATTCGATCTCTTTACGCGGAACGCGTCTGGATTCTACATTTCGCGATCTTTTTCGTTACTATCAACAAATTCAAAACTCACATCTTGCGTTCATTTCCAACTTAAAAATGTCTGACTACGAGGATGAGATGGACGTGGATGCTCCCAATGAGGTCCAATTCAGCTCAGATAATGCTGCAGGCAAGAAGAGAACAGTGGCCGACCTACCAGTGGAAGCTCAAGACAATCTCCCTTGGTATGGATTACGATTTTGATATGAGGATCCCTCTAACAATTTGAATTAGGGTCGAGAAGTTTCGCCCCCAGAGTCTAGATGATGTCTCTGGACACCAGGATATCCTAACAACGATCAACCGGTTTGTCGAAGCGAATGTATGATCTCCGTCCGAGTATGTGATTGCAGAAATACTCACTATAGTAACAGCGCCTCCCTCATCTCCTCCTCTATGGCCCTCCTGGAACCGGAAAGACCTCAACCATTCTCGCTCTCGCAAGGCGGATATATGGTACCAAGAATATGCGCCAGATGGTGTTGGAGTTGAATGCCAGTGACGATCGTGGTATTGATGTGGTCCGAGAACAAATCAAAACCTTTGCCAGTATGTCAACAGCTATCTTTTGGATATGTCCTTATATTGATTCGAAAATCTAGGCACAAAACAGATCTTCTCCATGGCGCCCCAAGCCGGCAGCACCAACCTCGCCGGCTTCAAATTAATCATCTTGGACGAAGCAGATGCTATGACCTCTACTGCACAGATGGCTCTTCGTCGTATCATGGAGCGCTACACAGCCAACACTCGATTCTGCATTATTGCCAACTACACACACAAGCTTTCACCTGCGCTCTTGTCCCGTTGTACGAGATTCCGATTCAGTCCTCTCAAGGAGGCTGATATCCGTACCATTGTGGACCAGGTCATCGAGAAAGAGAATATCAATATCCAATCCGAGGCTGTAGATAGCCTTGTTACCCTTAGTAGGGGAGATATGCGACGAGCCTTGAATGTTCTTCAGGCCTGTTACGCGAGCAGTACGTGGTTTCGTAAATTTCTAGATATTATTTATCTATTTATTCTTTGTTGGTGCTAACTGGAGTAAAAGGCAAACCTCTTCCCTTGCGTGATGCACCCGATGCACCTCTCCCAGAACCAGACACAATCACCAATGCCACGATTTATGACTGTATCGCGGCCCCTCACCCCTCAGATATCGAAGAAATCATGTCTACTCTCCTCACCACTAGCGATGTCACCTCCTGCCTCAATACCATCAATACTCTCAAGTCCACAAAGGGTTTGGCCCTAGCAGATATCCTCGCCGCTTTGGCCGAGCAACTGCAAAAGCTGGAAGTACCAGCCCAAACCCGGATTACTTGGCTAGAGGGACTTGCCGAGATCGAGTGGAGACTGTCCGGAGGTGGATCAGAGGCCGTTCAGACCGGCGGATTAGTGGGCGTGATGCGCAGTGGATGTGAACTGATGGGAGATAAGGGAATTGCAGTATGAAACGACTAAACACTAATTGAGAAAAACACTATGGTTTCTTCCCTCAAATGAAAGCAAACTATTTACGAGCATCAATTTATTTCCCTTCTACCTTCCAGTTCCTTTATCTAGACATTTTACCCAGGTGTGCTTGGTGACAGATACGATATCGGAAAAGACGGCAATACTTGCCCTACTCCCACTAAAGCGCTTACAAAAAGCAAATAGAGATACGACCTCGGGACTCTACAATGTAAAGAATCAACAATCCCCGCGGGGTGAAGAATTCCTAATCAGTCAAATCTCCACAATCTCGCATGTACGTCCATGCGTCTGACAACCAATCCCAGTCTAATCAGAGTCTCGCGAGTTTCGTAAAAAGGGTCTAAAAGGGTCTTTGGTATCCACCGCGGGATTATTCCATGTCATCGACCAGAGACTGTCCTCTCAATTCAATTACCTAAAGGTTTAATGCATTTCCTCGGACTTGGCCTTGCTTGGCCCACAGTAGCCTCTGTTCCCTCCAGATGAGGATAGTCCATGAGTGGTTCACCGGGACTCGCCGTTCACAATGACCATTAGACTTTGTTGGCGGGGGAGATGCTCCCTCTAATCCGCTGTTTTTGGGCTCTAGAACATGTAAGTTCACGGTAATTAACAAATTAAAGTCAGAGCCCGCTAATAAAGAAAAAAAAGAATTATATAAAATTGCTTGTTCCCCCCTCCCCCCCCCCAGATCGAGCCTTTTGTTCTCGATTCCTTGCAGGTTCAAGTGCTTCAAACTTCCTCTTTTCGGAAATATCTCCGTTATGCGTCCCTCTTTGCAGTCTAGCCTACTATTGGCCTCTCTCGTTTCACCTACTATCTCTGCTGAGCGTGTGCTAGGAGCCTATATCTTTGCGCGTCATGGTGACCGGACTGCTAAAGTACTCGGAAACACCCAATTGACTGATTTGGGTTACCATGAGGTCTTTGCGGCCGGTTCTTACTACAACAAGCTCTATGTCGACTCGGATTCAGCCAAGCAGATTGAAGGAATCAGCGACCCCATTGTGAATGCAAACCAGGTCAACGCTAGTGCTCCTTCAGATGCTGTGATACAAAACTCGGCCACAGGTTTCCTCCAGGGTGTCTATCCTCCTGCCCAAAATCTGGCCAACACCACCCTAGGAAACGGCACCGTGGTTGATTCTCCCCTGAATGGATACCAGTTGATCCAGCTGCAAGTTACCTCTTCGGGTGGTAGCAATGAAGATGCTAGTTGGCTCCAGGGCTCCAGTGACTGCTCCAAGGCAACCGTGAGCAGCAATAACTACTATGCCTCCGACACATATAACGACATGCTCAAGAGCACGGCGAGCTTTTATCAGTCACTCTCGCCAATTCTGAACAGCACTTTTTCAGAGGCCGATATAAGTTTCGAGAATGCCTACACCATCTTCGATTATCTCAACGTCGGATATATCCACAACTCATCCGCTGAATTCCCTGGAAAGGCCAAGTACATGACCGCCGAGAACAGACTGCAGCTCAGCTCGCTGGCCGGTAACCACGAGTGGAACCTGGCATACAACTCAACAGACGCAGTGCGCGCCATCAATGGTGCAGTTGTGCTGGGTGAGATTATTTCCAACTTTGAGCAGATCATCAACACCAATGGCTCAAAGTCTATCCTGAATGCCCAGTTTGGCTCGTATGGAACAATGATGTCCTTCTTTGGCTTGATGCAGATGCAAAATGCCTCGGTCAATTTCACAGGTATCCCCGACTATGCCTCGTCTATGTCCTTTGAGCTCGTGACGAACGCCACGGGAAGTGGTTTCCCCTCGACCGACGAGATCAGTGTGCGCTTCATGTTCCACAATGGCACCATGACTGGCTCTGATGCACCCACCGTGTATCCCATGTTCGGTCAATCCAATGATCTTCTCTCTTACTCGAAGTTTACATCATATATGGAGGCAGTTGCTGTCACCTCCACTAGCCAATGGTGTGATATGTGTGGCAATACCGATGGTACCTGCGCATCCTTGACTTCCAGCTCGAGCTCATCCTCTAGCTCCGCGGGCACTGGTGGCTCCGGCGGAATTTCACGCGCTGTGGCTGGTGTCATTGGAGCCATGGTGACCCTCGCTGTCATTCTTGGACTGGAAGCTCTCTTCTTCCTGGTGGGTGGATTCCGCATTGCTAAGCGGAACAAGGCTGTGCCTGAGATGGCGACTTCATCTGATCTGGCCTCGGATAAGGAGTCCTAAGTTAGTGAAGAATATGTGATGGATATTCCGATGTATCGGCATTGTATAGAGGACATTGCCGAGGTGGCGGGTATCTCCCTGACTCTGAGACTTGCTGTACGTTGTAATGACTCAAACGGGTAAACATGAATAATAATAAGATTCCCCAATCAATCTCATTCTTGCTTTTCAATTGATCCCATATACATAAAATCATATAATAATTCGTCTTGTAATTCTGTGAATCTGTGATATCTTTGTGGAGAGAACTCCAGATTCACCGCCTTAGCTGTCATTGTCTCCATGATTCCCCCACGAACTCTCCACTTTTCTCCTTTTTATCTCCCACAAAAACAACAATGCCTCGTCAACAGATCAACCTCGAACCATACCGAGATGAGATCATTGCTTTATTTCAGCACGGCATCAGTAGCGACTCAATCAGTCGCACGTTAGAGAGCCGGTATAATCTCCAAGTCAAAGAACGCACCATCCAGTCCCGGTTACGAAAGTGGGGTATTCGCAAGCGACACCGAACCACTACGGCAGATGAGACTCTTCATGCACGAATCAAATTGCTGTTTGTACAAGACAGACTGACCGACAAGGCCATGCTCAAGTTGCTCCAACAAGACGGTTATGCCATCTCCGAACGTACCTTACGCCGGCTACGATTTCAACTAGGGCTCCATGCCAGAGCTTCACTAGAGCATGATCGAGCCGACCGAGTCCTAGTCGTCGCCCAACAAGTCATCCCCATGGTGTAACCGGGGTCTGAGAGCCCTCCAAATACCTACATATCCACCCCCATCGCCCTTATGCGCCAACCATGATGCTCTGGAAGCCATGCTATATTCTTTCCCTATGCGACAAAACAACAAGCCCGATTCTCCTTATGCGACACAAAGACCTTCCCCTATGCGATATACACCGAGGATTCCACCCACCTGGATTATGAGTAGTCGATCAGTCATCACTGGTTAGAGTAATGCTTCCAAGGCCATCTTTTAACAAAGAACACAGGTTTGACCATTTCCACCAACTAATCAACCTTTTCCTTGGAAAAAGTAAGCCGAACGGAGCATCACTCATACCAAGGATCTATATCATCAAATTGAATTGACGCCGGGACTTATTTCAACAACTCAATCCCAGGATCAATCCTCATCCACCCTGACTTCTCCACCCTTTGCGACATACCCATGACGAATCCCAATCAATGCCCATTTATTTCGACATGCATCCGAAGCGAATATACAACCCTTGGAACCTGACATCATGAACCCATACGGAATTTGTGAATACCTGGACGCACATTCTTAAGATACCCTGGATCTGTTTTTGTCCCATAGCGTCTCGGAAAATGTATCTGTAAATAGAACCCAGTGACGCCACAATGAACATAATCGTCTCATGGTATAAACATTGCACATAGAGTCTTGTTTATATATTCAAATGTTCAAGTTCAAGTTCTCAGGGGTAGAGGACATATCCATGGATGTGATAAATTATATCATGTGGATCCAAGTTCCCAGTTGCGGCGCTTAAGTTCTTTCACCCCACCAAGTACTCTGGTCAGTGCTGCACGTCAACTTGAAAACGTGAACCTTGGAATGGTCAAAGCTTCTGATCTCAGATCTATAATAATTTATTTGAAAGATCTCATAGTGGCCATAACGTGAAATTGATTTCGATTTGCCATGGATGAACAGGATATCTCCTTCGCCAGCTTCGGCCTTGTGGTACTCGACGAGATCAGATTTCCGAATCAGATACCCCTGACAAACATACTAGGAGGATCAGGAGCTTATGGTCTGTGCTTTTTAGCTCTTTATACTCCATACTTTGACTTGTCATTAATCTTCTTTGTAGCAACACTGGGTGCACGACTATTTCTGCCACCCCCAATGAGCCAGGCCTTAGCCTGGCCACTCCATATTGGGAACGATTTCCCAACCTCCATCAAAGATGGATTGCAAAGTTGGGAGACCACTTTACTCATAAAAGAGAGCTCAGGAGATCTATCAACGAGGGGCTTGTTAGAGTATAAAGACACAACCTTTGGACGTACGCTTTCAAGTTACAGATATGGATGTCTGAGCCTTTGAAGATTTAAATATTAGTGCTAACTGAGTTTATAGCCAAAGATTTCAAATACACCACACCAGTTTTAAACATCGACGAAAACAGCATAGCGGAAACACACATACTCGCATCAAAAGCCTTTCACTACCTTGCAACACCCCAGGATATCCAAACTCGCGTATCAAATCTTCTCAGTCTTCGACAAAAGGCTGGTATATTGAGTCGCCCTCTGATTATCTGGGAGCCAGCTCCTCTCTCATGTAACCCAGAAAACCTTCAAGTATTTCTCGAAGCAGCTCATCATGTCGATATCCTAAGTCCAAATCATCTCGAACTAGGAAGATTCTTTTCGCGAACATGCAAGGATACATCTACAAAGACCGATATCGAAGATTTAGCATCCACAATCATGGGTAACGGTGTTGGACCAGATAAAAAAGGCATAATCCTGATCAGGGCTGGCGAGCAAGGGTGTCTTATACAATCATGGGATTTACCTTCAACATGGCTACCACCTTTTTATGACTCGGAGTCGAGCTCTGGACAGCAGGCGGTCGGAGTAGTTGACCCAACTGGAGCAGGGAACGCATTTCTGGGTGGCTTTGGTATCGGCTATATCAAAACAATGGATGCTGTCACTGCAGCCTGTTTTGGAACTGTTTCGGCGTCGATGGCGTTAGAACAAATTGGAATGCCTACGAAGACTCACAGCGGGGATATGGAATTATGGAATGGAACTAGTGTCCAGGAGAGACTACGAGACTATATGTCCAAAAATGCAGTTGAACGGTCTTTAGGAAGAGACCAAATACCGCAGAGTTAATCATTTATCATCATTAATGTACAATGTGAAGATCCATTACCATCATTCACCGTGAATCTCCTACCGAGTCTTACAGTAGGAGCAACCACACCACGAATCGCTAAAATCCAAAGCTTCCCAATACTCCAGCCATAAGTCTTGATTTGTTGAAGCAGAAGATCCCTTGGTGCCATATAATCTCTGAAGTTCCCGAATCTCCCGATCCATTGCATCCGCAGAAGGATCAGCAATGTGCGAGCCGACCGGTTTAATCCTTCCAACATGTCTGCTTATCATGTCAAAAATAGCGATGATTTCATGTTGCGGCTTGTCTTTCTCTAGGATGAGTATTTCGCGAAGGCTTTCCAGACGGTTCTTGATTCGAGAGATCCGTTCACGAGCACAGAGAGGAAGGCGTAATGTATGGCCTGAATCCGAGATCATGGTTCGAGTCAGAGAGTCGATAATTTCAGCATCCTCTTCCAATGCTCTTGCTATCTCGCGATAATATCTGGTCTTTTTCTCCATTATATTGTCACTATACCCCTCTAGATGATGCACGATGTGGGCTCGTGTGTGGGAGAATCGCTGGGTAAGCAAGTCCATGGTGGTGGTATTTGTGACGCTTGGAATTCGATCGGTGGATGAAGAGAATGGACTCTGACTCCATTAGATCCAAGTCGTCAGGAACGGAGGAGAGGGAGTTCAAATAATAGTGTGATGCCGCAATCTATACGGGGCCACGGGTGAAGCTGAAAGAGATCTGAAGCAATGTGAAGCATTCATTGAAAGCGGCAATGTAACAACATTTTCACGGAACAAAGATTGTATTTATAAGGAGCTATAAATTGTAGAATATTACGTTGACTCATGCACAATGGTTATTCTTAGTATCTTCTTAGTTTTAAGGGTACGTGTGACGAAAACCTGAAACAAAGCGTAGCCGCCGTGCACCCGCGAATCAGAAGTCTCGACAAGAGAGGGCGAATCAACTTATTTTCCTCAAGTGCTACAACTACCTATTACGCAGATCAAACTATGATTAATAAACTACTATTAATCAACTATTATGTTCTGCACACAGGTTTCAACTGAATTCTTAAAGCAATAAATGTTGGATGGTAAACTAGGCCAGTAAATTTCAAGTTCTAGTAAATGCGCCAGATGAACAGAACTATGATGCAACACCTATAATTCATGGCAGTTAAGAATGACTCAAAAAATTCAACAGGCAATACTTACATATTTCAGACACTCTTTGTATCACTACACTTCCACATGGGGCTCATTAGGTGAGAGGCCCTGCTGCTGCCACTTAACAAAATGATTATCGGAATCCGCATGCTTCTCTCGCACATCATCAAAATCAATAGTCCACAGACCTTCAGAATGTTCCTGTGCATTAGCATCACCCTGAGAAATAACATAATCATGCGCCTGTTGCTCCATACGAACACAGTTAGTCACAGCGGCCCGAACAAGTTTCTCACGATAATCCCACATCTCAGCTAGGGTAAACACATCCTCGAGTTGCTTCTCGCAGAACTTCGGGCGGACGGAATAGACTTCGTTCACTGCAATAGGACAACGGGAAGAGGAAAATTCTCTAGAATCCCAGTAAACCATTTGATAGCGAGACGCTGAAGGTTTTCCATCTGAAGGAATCGAGCGGCGTGAAAGACGCCAAGATGGAAACATAGGGCTCGGAAGGTATCGTTGCAAACTCCACAGTCAGTCTTTTGACCTCGAAAGTTGATCTGGTATTCTAGGAAAGCTTTGACAGAGATAGAGTATTTTCTAGTGTAAAGTAAGTCAGCGATCTTGGACACATGCACAGGTAGGACGGGGCTCTTGAAAGTAAACGTATCGTGGTCTTTGAGTGTGTTCTGTTAATGATGTTAGCATGCCACACATGCATACAGGGGGTGACGGTCTTAGTCATTTTGTCAAACTTGAATCTCTGGGTATCAATATCAAGAGATGAGAATTGCTGTAGAGAGACTTAGCTTCCGGTTGTTCTGGATAACGATTGATTTGTGTGATTGAGAAAAATTTGAAGAGATATCTGGACGGTGTTAAAGTCTGTCGAGGTGAGCCACAACCTAAAGATAGACGTTGAATTATCCTGAGATCACCATGTTAATTCTTTGATCCAATATAAAATAATGCTCAAACTAAGAGTAAATAGATTTGATATGATGAGACAATTGAATTGAGAATTCATCTTGAAAGGAATTTGTCCAATCTTAGGACTCGGAGGCAACATTTTATCATAGTCAACAACGGCCGTCACAATGCTCGAATCCTACGTTGAAGCATGAAGCAAAGCTTATCAATAAATTATAATAAGAACAAAGATCATTTGTACGTTTCATGCTATTATTTCCTGACAATTGCACTATAATTGTCCCTATACATAACTAAGAATCTCGAGTCCTTCGAGAGGCATCTCTGTCCCTTCGAGTCCGTGAAAGAGCTCGAACTATCAATTCACACCAAAAATGAATACTCCTCAACAAGATCCCTTAACAATAAGAACTGACACGTCATGGCTCTCAAGAGAAACACTGTGTGACTTGTGAACACATCCCAAGTCTTTCCCAGACCAGGCATCGGTGACTCGGAATGAATTGCCTTTACCCTTCAGCTCGGGAACCTCGCTCCACACGGCTGTCCTGGTGGATTTCCTTTCTTCTGTATTGAGCATGAGAATCAAGGTAGCCTTCATAGTAGATGAAGGGCCAGACCAGTACTCTGCAGGGTGAACTGGATCAAAGGTCCAATCTGGGTTATATCCCCACTTATAGGGATGAGCAGAGCGGCCAATGAGCGGGTCTTGGGAGAAATCGATGAGGTATTTGTTTGACAAAGTGGCTAGATTATCATCACTGAGCTCATTCAACTGATTATTGGGTTAGTTTCATTGCTGCATCAAATGAGGAGATATAACATACCGCAGTTCCGATAATCAAGGGGGACTTCATGATTGCCCACAGAGCAAAGTGTGCACGGTTCTCTGCAACAGTGAGATTTCCATTACCAACTTCAAGCATATCAGGATCCGGATGGCCCCAGAAGCCAACATAGTTCATCAAGAAACTATTCTCATTTGCAATCTGGGCAACACGGGACCAGTAGGCTAGAATTGCCCGTCAGCTTTGCTATAATTACAGCGTTGAGAGAGAAGAACAAACCTTCAATATCCCCAGACATGCGCCATGAGTTTCCAGTCTCGTTACCCCAAGTGTTGACAGCGGCATCACCCCAGTCACACAGGGAGAACAGGATTGTCCGATTCTGATCGAGAAGCGCATCACGCATACGATCATATCGAATAGAGGTATTAGAATCTGCCCAGTTATAACCTGGGGGTGCAGGATCCGTAAGATCAGGACAAGTGCCATTGGGGTTGCTTCCAATAGAGTCATCAGGAACACAAGCGTTATACTTGTCTGTCCAGTTGGTTGGAACACCGCAGTTGTCATATTTCAGGTCTGAAATGTTAACAATAAAATAGTATGAAAGTGGCATAGGTTGAGCATACAATCAATTCCCCAATCAGCAAAAGCCTCCGCATCGACTTGCTCATATCCCAAACTAGCTGGGTATCCTGCGCAGGTAGTCTCTCCGGCACCTGTCATCAAATTTAGTATAACCTGATTATCTCTGAAGAGAAATACTCGTAGATTGACTCACTGCTGTATATTCCTATCTTTAATCCCAAATCATGAACTTGGGACGCAACTCCAGAGATTCCATCTGGGAACTTGGTCGCGTTTGGGATGATACGTTGAGTGGTCGAGTTACGTTCATCAATCACAGACCAGCAGTCATCGACTAGTAAGTCATGTTAGACGCTGATATGAGCTTTTTAGTACATATGCTGGAGACATACTATTCACATATTCATATCCGAGATCCTTAAGACCAAGCTCAACAATCTCATTCGCTGCTGTGAGGATGGCACTCGCATTCACATTACATCCGAATGCATTCCAAGAGTTCCATCCAAGCGCAGGAAGTCTTCCCTATATTAAGACAGTTAGCATCCAAATGTCACCATGACTTTTGTATACACTGCCAGAAGGGAACATACCACACCATCCGGTCTCACAAGAGCATCTGCAGGAAGAACAGCTGCAAGCACAGCCAACGTCAACGAAGTTAACATATTGATCTGATCAATTGAGTACCTAATGAGGAGTAACTCGGAATATTCGGCAATCTGGAACAATGAGATCCGATGCTTATATAGATTTTCCAAGTGCGGGGAATTTTTCAAGGAATCTGCAACCCAGAACAACATAGACCAGACAAAGCAGATGCTGATCCCTGCAGTGGCGTACTGAGGGTGCATTCGCGTAGAGAATGACCATTCTTGGACCGGAGTTAAAGAACGTGTCGAATACGAGTATAGTATGTTGAAGAATAATTAATTGGCGAGTCATGCCATAAAACGTGGAACAAAGTACTTGAAGATATCCAACTGGACCAGGTCATTGCAAGAGAAGAAAAGATCTACGGGATCACGGACCTCCAATCTATTGTTTATAGGGACTCAGACCTTTAATTATTAGCATAAAGATCAACAGGGAAAAGTACTACAGTAGCAGTGGAAACTTTGCAACAAGCTTCTAGCTCCATCATGATACATTGGTCTATCGTGAGATCGTTACTCATACACTATACATGCATGACCTCTTTTAGAAAGGCCTCGTTTATTTTATTTTGTCTCGCTGCCCAGAATTAAAGCACGAGCCTGACGGGGGTCAGTGCCAAGTACAGTGATGAGATATTCAATGCTGGAAAGGTAATTAGTGATGAGACTCAAGTAGAGAGGATAGTGAAATACATACCTCGCGTCAGAAGCAAGCCGACGTTTCTCATCCTGGAACTCCTGTTGACACAGATCCCATATCGCAGCCCGCTCTCGGGATTGAACCGTCTTAACGCGAACCTTGAACGTCGCACTGACGGGTCGATGATCAGACGCACGAACCTCGTGTCGGCGGTAATTGAGCTGTTTGACGCGACCAGCGCCGCGGTAAAGAACGCGATCGCACCAGGCGGGAGAGCGTTTTTTCTCGCTTGAGTCATATTCATCCGTGCCGACATCATATTTGTAAGTCGGAGCAAATGTGATAGGAGCTTCGATAAAGCTGCGCAGTCGGAAACCGGGGTTCTTGCGTCGAGAGGCTAGAAGTTGGTCACGCTCAAGCAGCTTGGCAAGGTTGTTTTGCTGGACAGCACTGATGATGACATTGCGGGGCATGGAATCGATCCGGTAATTCAAGTCTCCATTAAGGATGCAAATCTCATGGTCCATGATCATAGAGCCATCACCTCCACTTGCATATTGGTCGCTTCGCGCCGCGAGGCTGCTTTCCACAGGCAATGACTCCGCTTCAAGAATAGCTGCGATATCATTGTTACGATGGGCGGTCTGCGTTTGACCGGCTGCTAGATGGCAGTTCACAAAACACATAGAGCTGTCATCAAGAACAAAACGACAGATGAGAGCACCCTATGTAGAAAGGTTAGCGATGAAATGATCTGATAATGGATGATGTAGATAGGTGTCACGAACCTTGTTTCCGTGCATTCCACCCATTCCTCGCTTGATTTCCGATGCACTCAAGTTCTTGATTTTCTGGCGTTCCTGGTGTTTAACAAAGATGCAAGTAAAGAGACCAACCATATTGGAAGTGTGAAGAAGAACATAGGACTCGTCAAGCGGGATACACTCATTAACAGTTCGAGTCAAGTGATCAACCCAGACTCGGTACTGTCGACTCATATGTTCTTTCTCGCCGTTCTCTTTCTTCTTGCTGCCAAGTAACAAGCTCTCTGTTGATTCACGTTAGAAAAGGAAAAATGACACATAAGGAAATAGCAGGCTAATACTGACTTGCTGTAATCTTCTTATTTTCAAGGTCGACCAGTTCCTGGAAACCAAAGACCACAATGTCGGGAGGATCGTCTGGATTAAGAGCCTCCTGAATAAAATTGGATGTTCGTACACTACCGGGAGTAGAAGCGCCAGCGTTCCATGTAAGAATGACAGTCTTGATCTCCCGGAAGCTACAAAACTCCACATCTCTGTTTTGCATCCGAGCATCTGCGATTTGTTAGAAAACAAGACCACTAAAGAAAGGCATGACACAAAACTCACCCAACCAATCATCCTCCAGCATACCATCCCAAAGACGAATACAATTGTCAGTACCGATCGACGTTACTTGCAATCGATTCATCGTCCAAACACTGCTCGTGTCCAGCGCAAAGGCAGAGACCGGACTGTCATGGGCCCGCCAGTCCTTCTTCACAGTCCACGGGTTGGTTCTGACGTCGTAAACGTAGATCATACCCGTTTTATAAGCTGCCCAAAGGTAGTTTCCCACAAATCCGAGACAATTAATCTTGTAAACGCTTACATTGACCACGGCTAAACAAGAGTAATCAACGGAGGAGTAGACAGTGACTTTACCGTCTGCATGACCCAGATAAATTCGACCACCATCCCGGGTGGTATACGTACCTGAAGTCACGTCACCTGAGTGTTGAAGACCTAAGGGCCTTTTGAAAAGCTTAAAGGAGGAATCATCACGCGCATTCGGCCGGTACACATGAACGTCCTTCCCAGTGGCCAACAACAACTTATCACCCACGACCATGGAGAATGTGTGGCCGCGTGCTACACGCTCCTGGGGACTGTGATAGCTATATTGCAGGTTCGGCACACCGGTCTCATCTGGCATCCAAACCAACAGTCGACCTTCATCGTCGAACGTCCACATTTCCTTCTTGTGGCGTAGGATCTGAATGACCTCACGGCGAGATGGATATGAGCGGGTCGCCACGATACCTCCAGCTTGAATGTCTACTTCATGGAGGTCGCCATTACTGGTACCTAACCAAAGTCGCTGACCTTCCTCTTCGAGTGTATTACCTGGCTTGAACGCGAGTGAGAGGGATTTTACAGTCTCGCCGTGGCTCAAGCTCATGACCTGTTCACCAGTAGTGAGATCCCAAACACGTGTGATATACCCAGCAGTACAGACATACTTGCCGCACACGTCAATCAGCCGAGTGTCATATCGAGTGAGTATCTCCTTGGGGCCGGTCTTGAGGTATGGAGGTCGTCTATTGGCCTGCGAAGCGTCAGGATAATCGGTTCGAGAAATTGGCGGCTCTTCGGCGATTGTTTCCTCTTCTTCGGTATCTGTTCGTGGAATGCGACGCTCTTGGTATGATGATTCACGAGACAAAGATTGCTGCCGCCTAATTGGGAGAGGTGGCTGGGCTGTCACAGGTGTTTGAGATTCAACTTGATGGTGATAAGAGGGAGCAGCCCGTGGAACTGACATCATCGGAGCCGGGCTAGCTACCGGTGGGAGGTCTCGCGAAGGCGAAATGCCAGCTCGCCGAGGATGTGCCGAGGATGGCCTAGGCGGAAGACCTGGTCGCTCGCGTGGGCTATCAGTACCTCGAAGTCTTTGTGCAGACAAAGGAGGAGCGGTAGATGCATCTGCGTAAGCTGAAGGGTTGGCCGGGATTTTTACCACGAGCGGTTTGGTACCTCGGCTAGACTGTGGAATCGGATGAGGCCGAGGGAGACTCAATTCTCTAGAATCATTTCGCGCATTCAGAATTGACATTGGAGGTCTCTCATCAAACGAACGACGTGGCGGCGGTTCTGTTGTAGGCCGTGCAGGAGGAATTCGTGGAGGAATCTTTTTAGCAGATGTTGGTTTGATCGGGGTCTTCTCCGGGCTACTGGGAGGAGTACTGAACGGCGATACAAGCTCTTCGGATGACGCCAGCTTAGTCCGTGGAGCCAACGAGTTCGTTGACGACGTATCTGGGTGAGAAAACATAGCAGGCTTCGCTGGAATCTTAGGCTTCCCTGCTCGATTCGCCGGTGGTGGCAATGAAGCACTCTTTAGCTTTCGGTCTTGTGGGCTTGTATGTCCGTTCTGTCCGTTCAGAGGGGGTCCTCCAGGTGATAGTCGTTGTGTGATCTCTGCCATAGGAACGGAAGATCCCAGCCTTGTCGGGGTGATTGGACGAAGAGCAGGGCCTGGGGAAACTCCCGCGGACACGGATTCTCTAGAGCGATGGGTTGAGCTCCTTGGGATTCGGTCTTCCTGACTAGTTGATCGAATGATTCGCTCCTGGACACGCGGCGGCGAGTGGGGGGCATGGACAGTGAACGTGGGAGGTAACTGAGGGGATGCGCGCTGGAAGTTTATAGAAACAGGCCGGCCATGTTGACTTTGACTTCCCGGGGATCCACGAGGTCGTAGCTGTTGCCCATTCACTGGCTCATTACGACGACCTGGCCTTTCCTCGCCTGACGTATTCCAAGGAGAGGTTGGCCGGGGGAGGTCTAAGGAGGCTCGAGTCGACGACTGAGGCTCCTCGCCAGGTTCTGGAGTCCTAAGAAAGCGGTTTGTGGGTTCATGGGTACCGGAACCAACTCCTACTGTAGATTTGGTTTTGCGATGGGACAGGGTTTCGAAATGGGACAGTAGGGAGGACACTGGTCTCTGTTGACGGGGGTTAACCTTGCCGCGTGGCATATTGGGACAAGTTGCGCAAGCTTACAATAGGAGCATCATCCGCATTCTCCGCGCCCTTCGCATTTCCCTCCATGGCCGTAAATGCAGATCCGTCGCCGAAACCAGTCGGGGAGATCGATCATAAGCGTTGGAACTTGGTGATTCCGTTGAAGCAGTAATGTGGGAACTGGTATGAGGCTCCGTGGGGGAGTATGGTGTTGATTGGAATTGGAGAGCAGAGGGGGTAAGTTGGGGTTCAGAGCAAGACAAGCAAAACAATGTACTTCGAGGCAGTACACAAGGCCAAGTAAACAATAAACCTGTTCGCAAGGTCTTGGAAGTTAGGAGAAGAAGTAAGTTGAGATGGTTGTGGCGGGGAGGAAAGTGGAGGATCACGGGAGAGTAGTTGATCAACTGGTTCCTGCGCAACCTTCTTCCCTCTTCGGAGCCTCATTGTCTTCTGACACCTGCACAACCCCGCTTGAAAACAGTTAGCATCATGTGGTAAGTGATTGACGACTATCTATGCTAGTTCAGACTTGCTATTCTTCCATTGCGAAAGCCTAAAAATAAGAGCTAACACCTCACTTTACAGTAAACACGTCCTGAATGCCCAAGTGGCTATCCGCTCCCCTTGCTGTATGTCAAACGAATATCCCCTCTTGATCAAAAGCTTACCAGTGGTCGTACATATTAGGTCGCAAGTGGTTTGATTGCGCCGAGTGTCACCAAGAACAGGAGTCGCATATGCTGCAGAAGGCTCAAGAAATGGTGTGTCCCCGCTAGTTCTCCAACTTTCCGACGCCACGGATTCTAAATGTCGATACACAGATTTTCGCCTGCAAGAAGTGCAAGAAATGCTTCCGCAAGGACGCCTCTGAGTTTGAAGACAGGTATGTATTCCATTAATCTTGGCTACGGGGCTTGTTGAAAACTAACCCTGCTTTCTACTCTTCTCCAGTGACGAATACTGCCCACACTGCGATAATCACTACGTTATTGATGCCGTCACACCAAAGGCCAATCTACAAATCGAGGGTGAAGATGCCCGCATGGACAGCCGGTATGTTATTTGAGTCAATCGTCATTCTTAGAGGCAGATGCTGACCATAACCAGAATGCTGAAGGACGACCGTGTTCGTGCTGATCAAGAGAAGTCCATTTTCAACTTCCGTGATATCTCCGATCGCTTGGGTTAGAGTCGAAACCCCCGGTGCATGTTATAATTTCATGATGTTGACGATATGACGGTTCCTTTGCTTTCTACATACACCTTTTCCCGTCGTTCTTAGCCCTTCTTAGCGGGTTCATCCTTGTGTCGGTGATAGACCAGACAACAATACCCTGCATTTTTGCCAATTTGTTTTTTAATCTTTTTACACTGTACAGTACGATCACAAAGGAACAGGAGAAATAAAAGTGGGATAGGTCGTGGTTTTGAGTTCTCGTTAATAAAGGAGACCAACGCTACGGTAATTCGGCCAATATCAAATCTCCAGCCCTTGGTTTAAATGGCCAGATACTCTCTTATCTCCTTTAATCGGTCGATTCACCACCGGGTCGGGTGAGGATGGCCGTGGTAGTAGTACTGCCACGAGCAGTCTTCTTCTTAGCTGCCTCCTCCTGCTTCTCAGTCTCAATGCTCTTGACATAGGCCTCGATTTGGTCATCTGGCAGCATCTCAACCCGCTGACCAGGGGCCATGATAGCGACTTCAATGTTCTTGGCACCTGTCTGCACGACCTCCAGCAATGACTTGATAGTCAGCTGGATAGTCTGCTCCCGGTCCATATCCTCCTGGTGGTTACGCTCAAGGAACTCCCGGACCGTCTTACTGGATCGGCCGATGGCATTGGCTTTCCTATAATTTGAGCAATTGATGTTAGAAAATCCTTCTGGTTAGGATTCATAAATAGGAATGGTTAAAGACTCACCAAGCCGAGTAGATACCTGACGGCTCAGTCTGGTACAGACGCGGTGTGCCGTCATTCTTGTCAAAACCAACGACCAGTGTACTAATACCGAATGGACGCACACCACCACTCTGTGTATATCTCTGTTGCACACTGGCGATGTATTTGGTGATATATTCGATGGTGACGGGGTCCTCCACAGTCAGGCGGTGCGACTGGGCTTCTAAACGAGCCTTGTCGATCAAGATACGAGCATCGGCATTCAAACCAGCAAAAGCCAGGCACACGTGGTCATCCACCAAGGCGATCTTTGAGGGGGTAATTCGGGTATCTTGGAGTTTGAGGGCGGAGCGCTTCTCGCAACCGAGGACGACGATGTCCTTGCCTTTGACACCAACGGCACATGTTCCTATGTAGTCAGTGCGGTTAGTCACTGAATTCAAACCCCCATCCACTAATATTCAAACGAAGCAATGTGGTTGACGTATCCGATCGGGGGAGATGATGCTTGGGATCTTACCTCGCTTCACGGCCTCCATCGCATACTCGACCTGGAAGACGTGCCCATCAGGGCTGGAACGGGGTTAGATAAGTTGAGCAATAGCTGGAGACTCCAATAGATAGGGCATACCTGAAGACTGGAGGGAATTAGTTTCATGGTTCCTGTACTGAAGACGGAGCAAAGGGAGCTGGTTGGTGAGGAGCTAGCTGGCTTACCTGAAAGAGCTCGGTCGTAGCCGGACATTGTGAACCAGGATAGGGTAAATCAAGCTGGCTGTAGATTCCTTAAGGTCGGTATGATCTTGATAGATCACAGGAAATGGAGTTGGGATAAGTTCGAGGTGGAAAGGCACTGAGAGCAGAGAGCACGATGATGTTGCGGCAAGCAATGACGGGATCTCAGCAGGCGGTGGGACGCGAATGCCCATGGCTGCCTTGGCGCTGCCGCGCGGTTACATGTTTATACTGATACCATTTACCAGGTATAGACTGAGATTACTTGGGCATTTATTTAATGAGTGACCCTAGAATTCGTTTACAATTACCGGGATAATAAGACCAATTTTTTTCCATCATGCCCAAGTAAACCCCTAAGTCAACCAGTTCCTCTGGTATTCTTCTATATCACTTGCACCAGTTGACATCTTTTCCCTGGGAATATAGAATCTATTACTGAAATGTTTAAAATAAGATTTGTTCTACATTTTTGTCATCTGTGCACTAAAATTGCTTAAACCACTCGTATTCCAAGGTTATATGTAGTTCAAAACTTGAATGTTTGCTCAACTCATCCCATAGTACTATGTAGTGATATCTAGTGTTCAATATATAGTAGCACATCCAGATGTCCGAGTCCGAATGAGCTTTCATCCGAGTCTCAACTTAAACCTCCGAGTCAATCCACAATAGCACGTAAACTATAGTACATCATGGATACTACCTACCTATCAACCTCTTGAATTAAATTTTTTCGAAGTACATATGTATCTCCAGGGCTTCCAGCTATTCTTGAGACTAAACCTTTCAGGCTTCCCATCTTCTCTTCCAAGGTTATTATCAATCAAGATCTACTAGGCTTGTTTTGGAAGGTGGGATAGAAGAGGGGTTAATCATCTTATCAGAATAACTCATTTATACGATTAAACACATCTTTCGATGCCTTTTTTATAACACCAAACTGACTCGGACTTATTTAACCTCACATCAGAATACGGGATATCCATGTCTTCCACCGAGCGGAGTTGTGGCTTTCCAGCCAAGAACCCCCCTATCCTCCTACTGGTTGAAGAAGCCCCATCCACTGGCCTCATTCAAGTCTTCAGAAAGTGTCCCCGATCAATGTGATGTAGCTATCATTGGTACTGGACTAGCAGGTGTAGCTGCAGCATACCATATCCTCTCGGCTTCAGATTTTGGGACAACCAAACCCACTCTTGTTCTCCTCGAGGCCCGTGAGGCTTGTACAGGAGCGACCGGGCGCAATGGTAAGAATAATCAGATATATTTCAACTATTTGCCATCAATTACTAACGATCTCGGTGATAAGGTGGCCATCTCAAACTTGCACCATGGGTTGCGCGGCGCATGATGACAGACTTTGGCCCTGATGATACAGCAGAGATGGTTGCTCACATCTTCAATCAACTGGTCGCACTGGAAGATGTCACTAAGAAGGAAAATATTGATTGCGAGCTTCGTGTGACTCGATCTTTTGATATCTACTTTGATGAAGTTCATGCTTGTGAGATGAAAGAGTTTGTTTTAGCTCATAAAGCTGATCCATGGGCTGAACACATGAGATGGATTGACGCTCCAGAGTCAGATCAGGTGAATTGGCAACGTCTAAAATTCTGAAAAATAGTATATGCTAATGAGTTATTTTAAACAGATAACTGGAGTTAAGAACACCAAGGGTGCTATCAGTGTCCCTGCTGTCTCTCTTTGGCCATACAAGCTAGTCACAGCTCTATTGGCCAGAGTATTAGAACTCGGTGGAAAGCTTTACACTCAAACATGCGTTGAAAAAGTTGAAGAATTTGCTGATTATACAACTCTGACAACATCGAGGGGTGAATTAAAGGCCAGCAAAACAATCTTCGCAACGAACGCCTATACAGCAGCTTTACTACCCCAGTTTGAGGGCGTCATCACCCCCTTCAAGGGACAGAATTCGCATCTTGCTCCCGTATCTTCTTTCACTCCCGCAAAGAAACTTGACCATACTTACAACTTGCATTTTAATCCGCGATATGCAAACTATCTTAACCCAAGGCCCGATAACGGAATCATTCTCGGGGGTGCCAAATGGACATACGAAGGCAAGATTGATCGGAATGAATGGTGGAATTCCACTGATGATACAACATTGATCAATGATGCTGCTACGGAGCATTTTAATTCAGTGATGGAGACGCATTTCCAAGGATGGGAGAATGCCAAAGCATACCATGATGCAATTTGGACTGGAAGTAAGTTATCTTGTTCAAAAAAAGAAGAATCTACTAGGTACCTTTACTAATTGAGATACTTGATAACAGTAATGGGCGAGACTCCAGATGCTCTACCACACATTGGGAAAGTTCCAGGCTCATCTAACCAATGGCTGTTAGCTGGGTTTAATGGGGCTGGAATGATGTTGATATTTACTGCTTCTCAAGGTGTTGCAAGAATGATTGTGAAAGATGTTGATTATGAGGACACCGGTCTTCCAAGACTGTTCAAATCGACCTCGGAAAGGTTGGCAGTTAAAAATTCTGGCTTCTTTTAGTCTCAAAGTATCTCAATAATATTGTGTACGGTAAGCTCTCGTTAGGAGACGAATTTTTCGATGTCTAAATCCATCATTTCCGACTTGAACTCAAAGCCCAGTGCGAACAACGTCGTCTATGGACTGTGCAACATATTTGACATTATTTTCGTTCACTAGAATTTGCGGATCAGTACTCGTGTCACCATCAAGGCGGAAATAGTAATCATGATACTATTACTTACATCCAGAGATTGATATACGACCAGATTTAAGCATGTAGATATGATGCCTAGATCGAATCTCCATCACTTGCGTCTCCGATAATCCAAGGTAGGTAAACATGCCAATCTGTTTGCGTCAGTTTCTAATCAATTCTCAAAAAATCTGGATCTCTAGAAATCAGTCACTTACCTGCTTCAAGATGTGATCCCATTCTCCCGGTGTCTTCAACCGAGCCAACTCATCATATAGAGCCTGTCTCATTCGTCGAATCCTCTCACTCATTGTCACCAGGTCATCAAACCACTTATTTTTCAGACCTTGATCTCCTAGCACGGTTCGAACTATCTCCGAGCCTCCTCTTGGAGCCATAGAGTATTCTCCCCAAACAAGATGGCAAAGGGTTCCGAGCAGGTTCTGAGAAGTCTGATGACTGGCAGTGGAAGTAACAACATGTAAGGCTCCTACCCGTTGTCCATACAGTCCAAGATTCTTCGAGAAGGACTGTGCCACACAGAATTCCAGTTTTGGCTCACATCTAAAGAAGTGACGGATAGACCATGTATCTTGCTCGAGATTCCCAGACGCAAAGCCTTGATAGGCAAGATCAAAGAAAGGAATCAAGCCTTTGGCCTTACACAGCTCACTTAACGCTTTCCACTGCTTTTGTGTTGGGTCTGCACCGGTAGGATTATGTGCACAGGCATGAAGAATAATAACATCATTTTGCTTTGCTGATTTGGAAAGAGTTCGAACTGTGCCCTCAAAGTCAAAAGACTTTGATGCATTGTTGTAGTAAGGGTAAGTCTTCCTCTGAACTCCAGCCAAATCCCAGATTGTATGATGATTCGCCCAAGTTGGATCAGGGATCCAAACACATCCTGGCCGGATATTTCTAGCCAAAAGTTCCGCACCAAGTCTGTTTGCGCCTGTGCCAGAGACTGTTTGGATGGATACCACTCGGTCTCTGTCTGGCCCGGCTACAAGTTGCGCGCTCTTTCTTGCTTCAGACCCAAACACAAGATCTGATGCTAGTCTCAGGAACTCTTTATCTCCTTGGATGGTGAGATACTCGTGTCTATGCACGTTCTTTACTTCATGAAGGCGCTCTTCAGCATCTTCGACAACTCGTAATGGCCATGGGAGTCCGTCAGCTGTGCGGTAAACTCCAATACCTAAGTTGACTTTTTGAAGATCTTTATCTTCAATGTATGCTCCATTGACTGCGAATGGCTCATCTGGGGGTGTTGGTGGGAGGGAAGTAAATCTAGAGTTCTTTAGATCACCCTCCGTCAAGGCTAATGGGTCAGACAATGACCCCATAATTGTATCAATTCAAAGACTCTAGATTTAAATTTGTCAAGGTACCTTGAGTGAACCTTCATAATACCTACATTTCTATGGCCTATTTATAGTAAATCTACAAGAGTTCTTTTGTTCACAAAGTGTACTCAAATACCCGATGCCTGACTGAAATACCCGGCTTTATCCGTCTGGTCCCGTTAACCTTGAAAACTTGGAAGACAAAATCCACTTCATAAATGAAGAAATGGATGATATTAGCGCCCTTTGTAATGAGCCACTTGTCTGCTCCGAGCTTTGGGTGTGGCGTAGTATGGACATTTGAACATGTGGTGCGGGTGTGAAACCATAGATCCAAGGTTATCTTAGAACTCCATACCAGTGGTTCCAACATTCAAAGTAAACAGAAAGAGAATACTTTAAATAATGGTAATGAATTCTATGAGTCACTGGTGAGATATAATTTAATATTTCTCTTTCAAATTCTGATCTAGCTAATCTATTTCACAAACATCTGTGTGGACAATTAAACATTAAATGTTTGATATACAATATTCCAAATTTACATATCTAACAGAAGGTAGTTTTCCTTCTGCTAAGGAAAACTCTAATATATAGGTAAATTTGGCAAGCCATGTCAATGTTCTGGGGCGGTGGCCAAGTGGTAAGGCGACAGATTGCAACGGTGTATTGAATCATATGTTCCATATAAACAAGTTATCTGTAGATCCCGTGTTCGACCCACGGCCGTCCCTTTCTTTTTTTCAATTTTTTCCATCTTTTTATTTTTTTTTATTTTCTTGGTGGATCCTAAATCCACTGGCGGCAGGCGGGTCCTTATGACCCAAAACGGCATGTGTAGCCTGTAGGTTAGGTATCTTATCAATGACACCTAGGTGTGTTCAATTATTGGAGTTTCAAGGGCCTCGGTTGATGAAGAGTTCAATAATGTTATCATTATTATGATAATTTTTATTGTTCATTGTTCATTGTTCATATTCATATAGACTACTACTATGTACTAGCGATGAGTCTACAACGTCTAGTAGATGTCTAAAATGTACGGAGTACTACTCCAAATACCTTCGTTACTCCCGAGGTCATCACCTTATTTCTCATCACAACATACCTAATCCTTTCTATCTCTTTTTACTCATCCGCCATGGCTTTCTCAACTCTTGATCTTCTTATTTGCTCAACTTGTGGGATTCAGTATGACGTTAATGCAGGATTGAATTCATGTAAGATCTGTGATGATCCACGTCAATATGTACCTCCAACTGGGTAAAATACCCCCGCCTTCTCCCCTCACATGGAGTCGACGGCTTTCAATCACCACCAGAATTGCCTTGGGCCACGAGCTAACTCTGTATTCAGCCAGTCGTGGACGACACTCAAAAGCTTGCATTCGTCAAAGGAGAAATACCACAACGTCTTCACCACCTACCCGGAGAATCCCAATCTAATAGCCATTCACACTGCTCCCAAGCTGGGTATTGGCCAGAGAGCTTTCCTTTGTCTTGGTGGTGCAGCCACTGGAAATATCCTATGGGACTGTATTACCTATCTTGATGAGGAAACGATTCAGCGCGTAAACTCACTTGGGGGAATCGACGCCATTGTGATTTCGCATCCACACTACTTTTCCACCAGTATTCAATGGGCTGAGACCTTCAATTGTGACCTGTACATATCCGCAGAAGATGAGGAGTGGCTCGGGAATTGTGGTGATGGTCAGAGACTGAAATTGTGGAATGGGCAGAGACTTAGCTTTCCATCTTCAGGCAAATCTGATGGCAATCAAGATGCATCGGATATAATCGCTGTCAAGACGGGTGGTCATTTCCCTGGGAGCTCGGTCCTTTGGTGGAAGTCGGCCAAAAAGCTCTTCATTGCCGACACCATTATGATTGTTCCGAGTGGCCTTTACACCGTCAATCGCCCACCTGGCACTGCCTCTTTTGCGTTTATGTGGTCGTATCCCAACTATGTGAGTCATCCCCACTGTGTAAGATTTGAATTTCACTGACAGTGTTTATAGATTCCTCTTCCTCCTGATGCTATATATGATATTTGGAAAGCGATCAAAGACCTCGATTTCAATGATGCTCACGGTGCATTCTTAGCACAGGACACCAGAGGCAAAAGCAAAGAAAGAATCCTTGAAAGCGCCAAGATTGTCGTCAAGGCATCTGGCTACCTTCAACATCCTTTGCTGAACGAAGTATAGGAGACACTCATAGCTTACCTTTGGTTTATCTCGATTTCTTATCTCTACTAGTAGACATACTTTCCAAGGTTCAGATGTCGAATCTAGCCTGCCGTGGCTGTTCGAGACTTATCTCTACACACATGCATGCATCCATATAAATTCTACTAGTATTGTCATTCACTGCTTTTCAGGCACTTGGGACCATTCGGCAACGATTTGGAGCGACTCGGACTGATTGCTCACCCTCAACCTTGGAAGTGCTTCAAACTTTGGTTGCTCCAAGTTTCATACTTTGTAACTTACACATGTACATCTTGTATAAACAGTACAATAATCCATTGTTTCAAACGAATCAATGTGCCCAAACTTGAACATTTACAGGGTTGTTCAAAATGCTGTACTTCCTCCAGAACTCAGTAGTTCGCCTTCTGCCCAGGTGCCCAGCTCTGGAGGTGGTAAAGGAGGATTACCAACTTCAAATGTTGAAGACATCTGGACAAACTTGAACTTGAATAAAGCACTGGCAGATCCATCGTTGGTCCCGAGGTCCGTCCCGAGATCTTTCCAACCTCCAGGGCTTGGAACGTTTGAGATTTGACGCGAACTTGAACTTGAACTTGAACTGACATTTGGTTACGTAATACAAAATGTTAACTAACTAATAGTTAGTTAGATTCCAAGCTTATAAGTATTAATTATCTATATTCAGCTTGATAATACCTGGAGGGGTATAGATATCAAAACAACTTTTTCTACAAGAACAAGAAGTAATAGAATTAAATAAAGAGTCACACGGTATGAACTTATTCCAGTCATCAAGTTGACTTGCTGGCAACAGCAGTATTATGCAGTGACTCACGAGGATCATCGAATGACTTCATCCAATTGACTCCATCTTATTCAAGTTCTCTAAACCTCCCCGCTTCAACATCTCCACATCCCTCCCCCACCATCATGTCTTGGGTTCAAAAAAACTTCACCCTGCCTGCGCGCAGTCGAGGCTCCTACCTAATCACCGACCATGTATTGTCCGAGGTTCCCGAGATCCGCGATTTCAAGGTCGGCATGTTGAACCTCTTCGTTCAGCACACGAGCTGTGCGCTCTCGCTAAATGAGAACTGGGATGATGATGTTCGCGCCGATATGAGTGATGCTCTTGATCGCATTGCGCCTTCTGACCCCAAGGGTAACCTGTACCGTCATTCTGCTGAGGGAGACGATGATATGCCGGTGCGTATGACGTCTATTCTATTCACATTTGCTTCATACTTCTCTACATGTCTATATCTTGTTCTTCATTGCGTAGTTGAGCTGATTGAAGTTGATGCTGATTCTATATTTACTTGCCAGGCTCATATCAAGTCTGCCCTCGTTGGTGCCTCGGTCAATATCCCAATCACGAACGGTCGTCTGGCGACCGGAACATGGCAGGGAATCTGGTACCTGGAATTCCGCACAAGCCGCCACTCGCGCAAGGTTGTCGCAACCATCCAAGGCCAGAAGGTGTAACTTAAATAAAAAAAGAAACCAACTATGATTCTACCGAGAGAACCTATTCATGATCTATTTTGTTCTGTCACTATAACCGAAGTATTCATGAGCTTCCTCACGAGTATAGATATCATTTGAATAATCCGGGTCAGGTCAGACTTTTGGAGTATAGCAGCAGACACAGAGAACAGGCTCAAGATAGTCGTAAATCTCTAGAGCCTCATATTGGGCAGAAGGCATATCCAATTGGTCGATATTTCTGTACATGGCCTCGGGCCCAAAAAAAAAGGGAAGATGAAAAGAAACTAGTACTGGAACACGCATAAAGTAAATCAACGCCGACAAAAGGAATCGGATGCTAGTCGTTTACCGCTGCTCCAAACCACCGGTGGCGGGGGGAACACGCTGGGACTCGTTCACTTCAGCTGGGTGGCCGGTGGGCTCGAGGGGGTAGCTGGTAGCAGGCAGGGACTTAAGGTAGGCTTTGTGCTTTTCTTGGGCCTGTCATGGGAAGAAGTTAGCGGGTGTCTATTGAACAAAGAGCTGTTGTTGTAACATACGAAGGGCAGACCGCAGTAGCCGCAGGTCGCAATCTCGGGCTTGTCGGTGTTGATGAAGACCTTGGGGTGACCAAGGGGACCACCACCACCGTCACAGCTGACAACTCTGGACTTGGTCCATCGGACAGGTTGCTTGTGAATGAGCTCAATGGCAGCCAAGGGCCGAGGCTATACAAGGGATTCATTAGTCGCAAGTTTCCGGGATGCTGTGCTATCAATGGCTCGAATCATAGCTGTATCAAGTCCCACATACCTGAGTCTCCATGATAGTTTGCTCGAAACGGGGACCAGTCATGGCCTCCTCACGAGGCTGTTGGCTGGCAGCCCAGGTGGTAGATCGGTTCGGGGCCTGGAGGGTACGGATTTGCTCGCCAACGGCAGGGTCCTCGACATAGGTGTTGTCCATGTTCAGCAGGTCGGCAACTGGGGCAGTGAACTTGGCCGGGGCATCAGACACAGAGACACTGGGCTTCTTGGCTGGCGGAGAGGGGTCATTAGGTTGCATGCGGTTCTCGTGCAGACGGGGCACAGTGGAAGAGTAAGCACGGACAGCAAATGGGCGGATAGATGCCAGAGATGTGAGGCGGCGGCTACAGGACATCATGCTGGGCAGATTGAGTCCCGAGGACAGGAGTGGAGTGGATGTGAAAAGGAAACAGGATTGGGGATTGAAGTTCAAGATACCGCGACAGTGCAAACTGAATAATCCAAGAGGTGTGACTGGTGGGTACTGACCGCCTACTGGATATAGCTTGGAGTCGGTATCTTCGCCGGTTTCTGCCACCACATTTTATTTAACTCTAATCAACTTTCTCTCTCCATTTCAACCTTGGGAAAAAGCTCGCGTCAGACTCCATATTTTCAGAGCTGAAGCTTTCATTGCCCATCATGTCGTCTTCTCCAGCCAAATCTGGTAAAGTAGACAAGACCATGTCGTCCCGTCTTCTTACTATGAAGGTATATCAGCTTTATTGTTGCGCGTGAGGCATGGCAGAATATCAAGCTAACATCTTCACAGTTCATGCAGCGTGCTGCAGCTTCAGCCGCAGCCAAAGAATCTCAGTCTTCCGATAGCGATCAGCACAATACTAAGCGCCAACGCAAATCACTGGACAATCGCACCTCTGCAGCGCAATCCGATCTTGAGGCTATCTCCGCAGCACTTGCCGAGGAAGAGAAGAAGCGCCGGGAAGCTATGTCGCAAACGGCCGCTGCATCTGGCGAGACAGAATGGACTCTTGACCTCCCTCCTGCGGCTCCTCAGTCCCAGCCCTGGGCTGTCGAGGTCGATGTATCACTTGATGATGAGGAGCTAGGCGGCCGGAGATCATTTGGTGGTCACAAGCGCAAGGAACTAGAGAAGCCTGTGGTCAGTATTATACATACCTTATTGATAGGATTCCTTTTCTAATACTCTATAGGCACCCGTGGAGAGCGACCTTACAATGAAATACAGAAGGATGGTAGAGGAGGGCACGATGACCCAAGCAGAAATGAATAACAGGATGGAATCAAAGAAGCTCAAGCACATGAGTGGTATTTCCGGCTCTGGTGGCCAAGGCATTCACCACGGAGAGGGGAAGAAGAAGAAGCGAAAGAGTGGCGATTATTGAACACGGCCGCGGTATTATTTCTTCTCTCTCTTGTTGCATTTTCAAATATCCCCTCGGTGTTCATGTTGGGTATGGGCGTTTCTGCATAGTTCCGGCGTCTCGAGCAAAAGTTACGGGTTCAAGTTTCTTGAAGTTGCAAGATGTCCAAAGATGTACTGAAATCAAATCTATGGGCAAATGAAAGTGAAAAGTTTACACATTCCTCTATTAAGACTTAAAGACAAAGAGTTCCTCCATCTGGTATATACAGTAGCGTACAATTCAATCACATCTATGATCAACTTGGACTTATCACCGGTAATGATATTCGTCAACCCTGACCTGGGTTAAATCTACAATTTCGCCTTCTCCTCATTCTTCTTCCTCTCCCAACCCTTCTGCGTCGCGAAATTAACGACCAAATTCCACGCCGCGACCCCAAATCCAACCGGTGGCGCAATAAGTAAAGCCCAAGCCCACCAACGTGGACTAGTCGCCCTGATACTAGACATAGCATCTTTAACCGCACGCTCCAACTCACTCCTATCAGCATCATTCCAAACCACAACGCCACGCCCCGAAGCCGTTCCACGGAACTCGGCCTGTGCCGCCTTGACCCTTATATCACCCTGGGAACGGACACGATTCTCCGCATCTTCCGCGGTAAGATGTGCATCGCGAGCTCGGAGTCGGGACATTTGAACAGCGGGGTCATGAACACCGACGACGATAACAGTTCCACAGATAAGATCCATGCCACTTTCGAAGAGAAGAGGGACATCTAGTACGACAGCCCATTGACCACGTAGGTAGTGGTAAATAAGAGCCTTATAGACTTCCCATCGTACCGCGGGGTGAATAATGCCATTTAGAACCTGGCGATCGCGTTTGCGCTCTTCCGTTGAGCCGAAGACGCGCCGGCCTAGCGCGGGTCTGTTAAGGGGTTGACCTTGTGGTGTATTTGTTGCAGGGTCATCGAGAAGGAGATTGGGGGTATTAGGACCGAAGTAGTTGACGATTTCATTGTAGCCTGCTGTGCCTGGTTCGACAACTTTGCGGGCTAGGATATCGGCATCGATGATAGGGAGGTTGTAAGGTTGTGATGAGAGGATCGTGGATACTGTGGATTTGCCAGTGGCTATTGAGCCTGTCAACCCAATTATGAGCATTTTGTCGAGGTTATGAGGAAAAGAGTGGGTTGGGTGAGTTGAAAGTGGAAGATGACGATTAAGAATGAATGCGGGGAGACTAGTACCTCGGTTCGCATGCAAGTGTTCACACTGGCAAGGGATATACGACAACCTTGGAAGCATAAAGGAAGCCTTTTAAGAATAATGCAACTCTTTACTCTGAGTAATTGAAATCAATGCGCTAAGTAACAATGTAGATTTTGACAATGCGCCAGTCAAAGCAGATCTCATCCGCCTATTTACAAAATTTCCTTTCATGCATATCGTGTTGAACTCGGAGATAGCAATAGCTTCAAATAAGTCCATTCTGTTCCTTACACAGACAGAACATCCAGCTGAAACAAATTCATTACTCAAATAGATGTCCATCCTACTCAGTTTCTCGCAAAGCAGAGCAATCCTTTGGGCCTGTCGCTGGATGTTGCCAATACATATCTGTAGGTAGTAGATTCCTAAGAGAACATGTGAAACTGTGATTTGACCCATCATTCAGAAACCCGTGGACATTATGAGAGACATGTATCATCAAATTTCATCTTAAGATTGGATAGTTTCATGACTCAGGAAGTCCATGAGTTGGGTCCTGTTCCTGGCCCTTCCACCCGACAAAAGGCCATCCCTTTGGTAGCGAGGCGAAAGGTGGAAGTACATAACGATTGTCGCATGCGCCATCATTTGGACAGTTAAGATTGCATAAACCGAAAACATTACAGTAGCATTCATCAGCATTTGGGCAGTGAACAGGTGGTTGTCCGAAAATCACTATAAAAGATGTCAGAAAAGTTCGCAGGATAAGAAGTGAAAAAGAGGGCTTACTATGCCACGAGTATTCCATAATTCTTCCACTGAGATCATCTCCCAGCGTTGTGGTCGCAAGCCAATTCCGGAAGTGCTCGTAATCGCTCTTCGGTCGTTGCTGCACCTTGTCGCGGGTGACACCGAATTGCGCACAGCATGATACGCCTACCACCCGTGGAATCGGCTCATCTGGGAATAACTCTGAAAATCCATTCAAAAAGTATTCACCTGCGTGAACATCGTCGCGGTGTGTATCTGACAACGGATGAATCTCCTCAGGACAACCCAACATCCAGACGCAGCGGAGATTAACGTATCCCATTTTCTGTAGATAGGGAACTTGAAAGTTGCGGAGCATAGGGACGCCGTCGTAGTAAGGATCATCATTGTGCCATTGGTAGCGCGTCGAGTGGATAAATAGCATGACATCGGGGAGGTTATCATAGTTGTCAATAATGTACCTATCAATTAGGATAGTTAGTACCACAATACCAATAAGGCTCAAGCCCGTATATAGTCCAAGTATAGCTCACGTTAAATAAACCATTGACTCCCGCCCCTTATTTTTCATCACAGTCAACGGCGCCTTTTTATCATCCACCACGTAAATGCTCCTAGACCAGTCTGGGAAATACTCTGCTAGCCAAGAGGTATCATCACTCTTCATACTAGCAACGATCATATCCTTTCTTTTGCGAATCACAGGACGAGCCTGCTCGTCAATGTTTGCTTTTGGGGTTGGGCGTTGCGCATAACTGGGTCGATCATGATTGACGGATTTGGTCGGGGATTCAGGCCCGGCGAAGAAGAGTAAGTAAAGTGCGATAACTATTCCCATGGTACAGAGAATAGCTTTAATCCGATTACGGCGGCGCGGACTCTGGGGTCCGCTTGGAGCGAACAACATGATTGTGGAGGGGTTCAAGCATCGAGCACTTGTTGGAGGCGCATTATACCGTGAGTTGAAGGGTGAAGCCTGGAGCTGTTAAGCTGAGGCCGAAAGCGGTGTCGCACAAGCACAAGTATTAACGTGACTTGGAACTACCTAGAGGATATGATATTCCGTGTATTATTTGAATAATGAAAGGGTGAAATGAATAGAAAAACAAAATGAAGTTCAAGATGCACAGAAAGGGAATACGTGTTTGCGGTAATTGTTCTGCCACAACTCCAGCCACAGGCCGATCGGTGGGTCTATTACGAGTACGAGGTAGATACTGTATACCACATAAACATTGATTTCCATTTCTTAATCTAATGAAATTCCAGATTTCAAATAAGAAACATTAAATCTCTCTCATATACCTCCAGGGCTTACGCAGATGAGCAGGCAGTGATTGCCTCAAAGTACCACTTGTGTGCAGAGATACTCAAGTCCGACTCGCCAGCATTGCCATCATCGGAGTCAACACCCACAATTTCCTCGATATCGTCATCAGTCACAGCCACATCGTCGGCACTGGTAATCCAGTACTCAGGGCTAGCGTGAGCGTATCCAAGAATCTCAGGAGGGACTCGAGGGACAACATCATCAGTGTGGGTGGTTCGCCAGAGGCTACCCTGGTCAGTCATGTAGTCAGCCAGGGCCACATTGCCAACACGTGGCTGGCCATAAGTGTACTAGGAAGAGTTTTAGTTTTACTGAAAAGGACCCAGAATGGTACAGAAAGATTAGAGTCACTCACCAGATCCAGGGTATATCCAGAGTTACGCAGGTCAGTGGCAGAGAGAGCAGCAAGAGCAGCACCCAAGCTGTGACCGGTGACAACAAGCTGATAGTCAGGGTATGCGGCCACTGCAGACGCAAGCTCAGATGTAATATCATCAGAAACAGTCTGCCACGACGACCACCATCCACTGTGCACCTCACAGCCATCACAAAGGCCAGTATCATCATTAAAGGTAAAGTCCAGGTTGGCAAGCCAGTTCTCGATATCCTCACTTCCTCGGAATGCCAGAACAATGAGCTCATTGGTCTCATCGAGGGCAATGTAGCCGGTAGCATCGCCATAATCATTAGTTCTGGAGAGGTTAGCATATGTAAATATCCTCATGTATCTGCCGACTTGTCGCTTACTCATCAAATTCGTACAAAGTTGTAGTAGTCGCAGACTCTACATCAGGACAAACATCATCAGAGCAAGAGATGGCAACGCCTGCGCTGTTATCATCGTTCACTGTACAGTACGCAGCTGCAGAGTACTGAGCAAACAGGTAGAGATTGTCATAGGTGGTGGAGTCAACATCTGTAGATGATCAGATCAATGTTCTTCAAGTTTCCATCAGAAAGAATATGAATCAATCATACCTCGTTTCTTGATCTGACGTGGTGCTGGCACCGCAACAGCCAGTGTTGCGGCCGCAGTAACAGTCAGCAGACGTGCAAGAGAAAGCATTGTACCGAGTATCTCGTATAGAGCAAGGACTGGAAGCAAATCTCGAGGTGGTCTGAAGGAGTCAAGACCCGTGGTAAAGGGACACTGGAGAGCAGGATGGATCTTTGTTGACCGGGTCGATGGATGCTTTTATACACACGACGTAGTACTCGATTTCGAGTCTCTGTGTGCCTGAAAAAAGAAAGGATTCTGAAGGATCTTCCATTCGGCCCCAGTCCTTCCGACTCCTGGCCATCATCCTGTCCCGGGATACCCACATCTATTGAATTTCACATGGGCCCCAAACCTGAAGCATCATGACCACGGGACCTTGCGGTGTAAATTCATGAGCGGGGTTGACGGAGAGCCTACGGACTCCCCAATTTAACTGCACGCTTGAACAAAACTGGATGTGTGACCGTTAAGGCGTTGCTTGTTCTGCAGGAACGTTCTTCTTTGAGTGGTGGGGGAAATTCGGTCAAATGATCCGCTTTCATGCAGTTCTTCACAACAGGGAATGGAGCCAGTCAGCATGGATTTCAGCCCTCCACGAACCATGGAAGTTAGCGGGGAATCTCTATTTAATCGGGCATCATATCCGGGTTGGTCGATCACAACCTTTTTTGGGTAGACGGAATTCGGGAAGTTGTAGTGGGATCAGTTTCTGTTTTCAGTACAAAGGGAGTACTGTAGTATTCCCTGCAGGGACAAGAATTGTTCCACGGTAAATGTATAGTGGGGTTTAAATATTGCCGAATAGTTAAAAAGAAGAGTCATGTTCAAGTAAATATTCGGTTAGTCACTTTTGCCCTGTACTATTTAGAGTATCACCATTCTGAAAATGGCTTGAAGGATTTAGTGTGGCCCCGTTAAGATCCTCTCGGGCGAAGTCTTAGCCCAAGTTTCTTCCACATGAGGAACAATTGAAATAGAAACACTGAATTAGCCGTATACAAGGAAACTTGAAATATCCGAGGCATTTTTGGGTTTCAACATTAGACCAGAAATAGATAGCAACTCCGTGTAGAAATCCCGCTAGATGATGCCGACAATGCCGATAATAGCAAAGGGTATGCAACAACTCAAGAAATGAAACAAAATAAATGAAATGACAGGCTCGTGGTCTTGTTCAGCTCGTGATTGGATTCATGATAATTGATTCAGATTCTCCTTTACTCCGTACCTATGGCACACTCCATACACACTCAATACTGATACAGCCTAATGGCCCTTCTCTCCTTCCGCCCCAATATCGATCATTCCGGTATCCTGACCATCATCGCCCCCAGCAAGAACAATGGTGCGAGGGATCTGGTGGCCGTCGAGGGGAGTGCCAGGGGTAACAGCAACAACATTATCATTTTCGTCGACAAATTCGAAGTTGTATCGGGAGAGGAGATGCGGGATAGCAGAGAGCTGAGGTCCGTAACGGGCTGTGTTGTCGTACAGCTCAAACAAGGGAACCGCCAGCAGCTTCATGTTCTTGGGTACGGAGAGAACCTCTATAAGAAAGAGTCCATGTAAGTAAATAATGGGGGGTAGGAGAATAGAGGACCCCCGAGGTACGATCCGAGGTACAACTTACTCTTCTTGGGAAGCTGAATAAGGTACAACTTCTTGCACTCCTTAGGGCGCGTAACGTGACCGGGCAGGAATGGATACATAAAGGTCTCAAAGTTGGGTCGCCACCATTGAGCGAGAGTGTCGCCGATTTCCCAATCCTCGTTGACACCTTCACCAGAGAATTGAGAACCCACAGGAGCTAGGCGCTCGTTCAATCGCTTTTTGAATCCCTCAACCTCATCATCCTCATGGTGCAGGTAATCGCCTGGCCTATATAAGGAAATCGGTTAGCTGCGTTGACTCCAATGCATAGTATTTATATATGGAATCATACAGCTTGAAGAAAGCGTTGGCAATCTGGAGCATCAGGACATGGGGGTGGTTGTGTTCATGGCAGACCAAGATTCCCTCGCAGGTTCGGCGCATTCCATGAATATCATAATGTTCTTCCAGACGCTTCAGACGAGCGAGCACAGATGGATCTTCCTCGGGTTGAGTTTCTTTGGTTCCGAAGGTGTAATTGGACAGCGGGTAAAGGCGAATGGTCTCGGGCTGTTGAGCGGAGAAGTCCTTAGGAAGGATTGGACTGCGAAGGAAGATCGGATGTTAGTTTACGATTAAAAGTTGAATACGATCAAAGCGTATTTGACTTACGGACGACCGCTCTTAATGGCGCTTGCCGTTGTGGTCGCCATGGTGATTGATGTGAAGCTGAGGGCGCGAGAAAGAGAAGGCGCGTTGCGCAACGTCAAGGCAGATGTCTTATCGCGATAAGCGATACTAGACCGCCTTCCTGAGTGATCAGTCACGAAGCAGCATCACAAGAGTAGGCAAAGAATAATATGTAAAATTGGATTAATTCTTGTGAATTGTTTTGAGTGATTTATGGTGGTTGAAAGAAGTGGATAATTCCTATAAATGGGCGACAATGTGCTTAGGTAGTTCAAAGAATCCATTGTATACTCCGTACTACTAGAACATACTAGTAGTAATCTCTCTATAAACGACTACCTAAATATGATCTATGGTAGTTTGAAGAACATTTGAATTGCATAATCCCCATCAATGGGCTAACTTGAATGAGATGATCACTTTGAAGAATTGGATAATACCTACATGCATTATGAGAGATAATTGTCTAGGAAAGTCATGCTCTTCTACACTTGACTCCATCTTTCAGGATCCATACACCACAACACCACTCCACAAGATCCTCAAACCACCCCCAAACTCCTGAGTTCACCTCCAATTACAGCTTTGCATCAAAATCCTCAAACTGAGTAAGATCAGAAACAGCCACAGGTCCGGCGCTAACAGGTAGACGAGCCTTGAAGGTTGGCACATCACTGATGACAATAGCCTTCTGAGGAGCAGGAGTTCTATCAGTCTTTCCATTGACCGCTGGCTCGAGTCCAAGCTGCTTCAGCTCAATACCAATATCCTGATCCAGCTTCTCAATAACAGGAGTGATCTGCTCCTGTGACAGACTCATTTCAGTAGCCAAGAAGGTCTTGACAATGTACACGATCTGTGGGCCGTCGACCAGGGACATATCAAGTTCCTCAAATGCAGTTGCGAGGCGAACACTGTCAACAGCGAACCCAGCTGCTGTCACTTGCTTGTTCACCATCTCAATGACACGAGTCCGCTTATCATTCGCGGTAGTGTCGCTAGCTGGGGAACCACCCTGGGCATTCAGGTGAATAGATAACTTCGCACGAGTGGTCGATTCAGGAGAAATGTATTGATGGTAGAAAGCAATCAAATCCGCCTTGGTCAGTGTTCGCACATTGGCTGCATCAGTCTCATGTTGCAGGAAATCGAAGTACTCCGATCCAACGTGAGACCAGTATCGACCAGTCTCGGAACCCAGGTTCTTAAGCTTCTCCAGTCGCTTGTTGATGACACTGCGCTTGTGTCCTTCGAACTCCTCATCAGGCATGTTCTCCAATTTCGGGCCAAACTCGCGCAGGAAGGTCTCGATACGGGACTCCAGGTACTTGGCAGTGCGCTCACTCTGGATGATAACACGGTAGCCCATGGTAGTCGCATTGTAGCGCGAACCACTCCAGACAACATAACCAAGTTGCTCCTTGCTACGGAGCTGGTCAAAGGCAGGCTCATCGGTCAGCTGGGAGAAGAGCTGCAGCTTGGCTCGAATGAGGTCGTCCGAGAAAAGACCAATGTACAGATAGTACTCAATACAGTGGTTGACATTTGCAGGGTCCTTCAAGGTACGGGGGTAGACGAAGTTGCTACCAGGGGCCAGTACCATGTTACGACGCAGGTACCACTGCGATGGAGGCAAAGGACGACCCTGGAGAATCTTCTCCACGGAGTCAGTCATACGGAGCGCATCCTCCTTGTACAGGTTACCGTGTGCCAAGACCTCGATGTGGGTTTGCTCCAACAACTGAGGGAAGAAAGTGATGATGTCCTCAGCTTGGATGTGCTCCAATTCCTCAATGTACTGCTCGTTGACCCAGCTACGCTCAGAAAGCAGATAGCGAGTGTAGTCACCGACCTGGTAGAAGGGCTGCTGGTATTCAGCATTGCGGAACGCCCGGGTGAGTCGCTCCTTGATGATATTGAACCGCTCCTGGTTAACAACTAGGTCGCGCATAGTAGTCAACACCTTGTCCAAAAGGACAGACATCTTGTCATTGTAGCCACCAACAGAAACATCCAGACCCAGGATGTTAGCAGCCAGATGGTAGTCCAAGCCCGCAAGCTCGGCATCGTACGAGTACTCATCCAGAGAATCGCGCACAAGCTCACAGTAGAGCTTGGTCTTGATCAAGTTAGCTGGGGTTGCCCACACCAGCGGATTGCGCAGAGTCACATGAACAGTCCCCTTAGGCACCCAGAAGCGATCATCCTTCTTAAACCATAAGCGCACACGCTCATCATGGCGAATAAGCTTGGGTGTCTTAGCAGGCTCAGCAACCTCCTTCTTTTCTACTGAAAGTCGGGTTGGCACGAACTCGTTGCGGTGAGGCATGTGCACGTCAGAAGTGCGAGTGGCCTCGGTAGAGTCCAGAGCACTCTGGATGCCAGCCAGGAAGTCCTTGGGGATCTTCTCCACCTTGTACTCAGTGCCATACCACTTCTCCTTCTGGTCCCATTGTCCCGGGAATTCCTGAGACACAATGATCAACCGGAAGTTATCAGCCCGCAGGTATGACATGGCATTCTTAATCAAGTCGGCGTCGAATCGGCGCAGCAGAGATCCGCTGAGCAACCATTCGCGGGGCAAAGACTTCTGCATAACGCTGCTCAGACGGCTTGTGAAGCGACTGGCAGGTGTCTTCTGCTTGAATCGGAAGTCCACCTCTGCCAGGTTCTTCATTTCGTCAAAGATCCACTGCTCCGGCTCACGCTCCTTGATCATAGAGATATATTCGAAAATAACCTTGGCGACCGCCTGGTATTGGTTCAATCCCTCCGGTGTCAGACGCACAGAGATAGTGAAAAAGGCAGAGCCAGGACAGATAGGCATGGCACCAGCCGACAGACCATTAGCCCAACCCTTGGCCTTCAGGAAAGAGAGGACACTGCCAGGTCCTTCATGGCCAATCAGATGGCTAATGTACCGACTAGGCTGAGCATCAAGCATGTCTTCCTCATCAACGAATGGGAAGTACATATCCATGGATCGTGAATCCATGACGGGCTTGGCGAAAACCTGAGTACACATGTCCTCCTCGGAGAAGGGTTGCACATCGTCCCAACGGTTCTGAGCCAGCTCCTTGTTCTCAACATCCGCGAACAGCTCAGCCACCCATTGCTCGAGAGTGTCCAAGCTCTCCCGACCCAGTACAACCAGTTTGGCGCGATTGGCGGAATAGTGTTTCTCATAGAATCGAATGAACTCGCTACGGATCTCCAGACCGCGTTTCTGCGGGTCCTCCTTGAGAGTCTGCAAGTTACCAGTAGAGAAATGATGATAAGGATGTTTGGGGTTTGATAGAGACTTGTTCAGTTGCATCAAGCGCCACAGATCACTCTGAAGATTCTTCTTATTCTCTGAGTCCACCGCCCGCAGTTCACGATCTAATGTGGACTCGAGGAAGAGTGGGGCGACGAAGAACTGCGCAAATCGATCCAAAGCTCCATACAGGGGAGACTTGCCAGTCAGGTCCCCATTCGAAGTAGATGAAGTCTCACTGACTGTGCCATTTGTTCCATTGGCTGATTCAGTCGGTGTGTTCTGTCCTGTAGACTTGGGCTCGGTCGAGTCCCCAGTAGCGGAGACCTCAAAGAAATAGTTTGTCTCAGTAGCAGCGGTGTATGCGTTCGAGGAACCGGAGTGAGAGGCAAGGTATTGGTTGTAAGCGTTCTCCTTGGGGTACTACATTATCGAACACAAAGTATCCTTGTCAGCATCACGAGCCTCGGGAAGTCTGTGGTCTCTCCACCCGGGTTTCTTTTTTTTGGAGGAGTAACAAGCTTACCTTTTTTGTACCCATGAAAAGAAGATGCTCGACCGCGTGGGCCATTCCTGGCATATCATCTTCATCGGAGAAGTTGCCAACATTGACGTTGACCGCGGCACTCGCCTTATCGGTATCAGGGTCATGCACCAGAAGAGCTTCCAGCTTATTTGGAAGCCGGATTACTCGATAGGAGCGATCATCTAGTTCTGGCTTCTCCAGGTATTCTGTGATGCGCTCGATTTGAGACATGGTTGGAGGGAGGGCGGGTACGGATAAGTAGGAGGAAAGGGAAAACGAGCGGGCCCAGTGATACGGGGGGAATGAAAGTGGATTAGGGGGCGCCACAGGCTTGATGAAGACCGGGGATCGCAAATATGGACGAGCGGTTGGATTGAAACTTGAGAGTCTTCTGTACCACAACCTCGATACAGCGGAGGACCTTGCGGGCATCAAGGGTTAATAGGACAGAGAGTATGATAGAATGGAAATCCCACTTTTGGATCCACTCAATGCGGGTTTAAAGATCCTAGGGTCAATCTAGGATGAAATTCGGCCCCCAATATATAATAAAAAAAAGGAATCAAGATGACGAGAAACGAATCAATAATTGCAAAGTCAACCAGGAGGGGGGAGAATGTCCCGCAGTTGTTGATAAATTATGGGTCTGGGCGGTGTAAGCACTGTAAGCAATAAGCACCTACTTAAGCACTTAAGAGTAGTACAAAGTGGAGAGCTTGTGGACACTTAAACTTGAACTTGAAGTGATACTCATCACTTATATACACACATGATCAACTTCTTGTTCATTCCAGACATCTGAATAATTCCAAGGTTGAATGCTGATCCAATCAATAGTCGTTGTGATGCATCACCTGGATATGACAGATTACGCCTTCGATAACAATTGGAAAAGGGAAATATACCCGAAGCAATATGACCAAAATACCATGAATTCAAGATCAAAAAGAAGAGAGGTGCATTGTCATGACGCATTAACTAGTCCTCATACAAAACACAGGAGTACTTATCAACCAATCCCGAGGTCTTATGACTTTCCAAGAATGAGGCTCTTGTTTCATTCCACCGCGCATAGACCTACATCTGGTCCGCACTGCCCCAGCCACCAACATCCAACAGGCAACAGTCCACAAGTTCCCAATTCTGAATTCCAACAAGAGAGAAAAGATCGAATCAAGATCAAGAAACGGAAATAGCCCCCACAAGGCTCAAGCCTTAGTCGCGCACAGAGTCAAAGTGACGCTGGCAGCGGAGGTACAATCATGAGTTTGACTGCCACTAGGCGAAACACCATTCGACCACCAGATATCAGGGCAAGTAGCGACAGAGGGATCAACCGCCAATCCATGTCCAGAGAATGGGTCTCCAAAGACATCTGACAGGTCATACCAAACCAGACTACCATCCAAGGTATAAGCGAAGTTGGTCTGGGCACTACCGTCGTAGAGACCATTCGAAGAGGTGGTGATCTTAAGGGCGATTCCACCAGAGACGGCATCATGGCGCAAAACTTCGGAGTATTTCTTGCCTGGGGCAATGGTCTGCATAGCTCCAACAGAGCTTCCAACAGACCAGAGGTAGACGGTATTGGCGCAGTTGTTCTTCACGATGGCGTTACCAACGGCGCTAGCCATAGGGAGCAGCGCGGCCACGGAGGCGATGACAGCAGTGGAGAAATGCATTTTCGTTCAAATGAGATATACTAAGAAGGATATCGAAGTGGTGGTATAATTTCAACGGAGAATCTTCTCAAATATTCAAGTTGATCAAGAGGATATTGATGCCGATGAAAAAAAAGGCATTCTCAGACCGGAAGACCAGGACGCTTTATACTCTTCTCCCATCTACGACCTGGGTAGGAATGCATAATTCGAGCAGCCGGGATTCTTTCAAGATTCTCCTTCCGAAGACCCTCGATTGGAAGGCCGCCTTGAATCCAGGATCGCCTTGGAGTGCTGCCAGCACCGTGTTTACCAAATATAGGGCTCGTATAGAGCGTCCTCGGTTCTCTTGCCTGAGACATCGCTCTCAGTGGCCAAACAGAAGAAAGAAAACATCAGGGATAGTTTACTAGCTCCCTGCTTGACAAACCTGCCCACAGAGCCCGCATACTAGCGATATACTAGTCCAATCCTACTAGTCCAAGTTCACGAGCCCCGCATGAGAATGGTCATAGTACCCACCAATACTAATGATTAATTGAACCTCGGAACCTTGAACCATGGCATATATCAATTGACATATACCAGTAATAAGTAATATCACTTTAAAAAGCAAGTGGAAACTTGAACGAACATTTTGAAAAATCATGACTGCAGAATGTATCAGGCGCCCAACCCAATTCTCGTATATACTAGTAACATGACCCTCCAGATGTCAGAAAAAAAATGAACCAAGTACTAGTAGGGTAAGCGATACGCATCAACCTTGGAAGTTGCTATGATGCACGCCAAGGGATCGGAAGCCAACACAACTCATCCCGTAGACCCTGAGTGCCATGTCAGCCCGATTCTGGGGTAAAAGGTCTGAGACAGTTACATTCCAGGGACGAGCTGCAGATCAGCAGCCACAAGGTGGATACATAATTCCGCTCGAAGATTTGAACTACCAGTTAACGGAATTTAGTTCATCATCCGAGATCCAACGATTCCGCTCGGTTCTAGTCACCGCTAGTCAGTTTAATCCAAGGTTTATTAGTAGACAAGTTCGTGGTTGGTGGTGTCTCACTTTCAAGTTCCTCTTTACTAACTTGGATAGAGCATACACGATAAGTATACCTACTTGGCGTTTTGCGATTTGACATCAGATTACTCTCTGTTCCCTAGTATAGAGGGCGCCTGACTCTGCCAAGTGCTAATTGATGCGGAGACTCAGAAGATGCACTTCAAATTTTTTTCTTTTGGGAATATTGATTTAAGGCACCAAGTTCAATCTATACGAAGAATCATGATGAAGTGTGCTACCTAGGTAGCAAGAGTAATAGCAGTTTATCATGTCTATAGTAGCATATGATCATGAGATGCGACGCCACGCTATTTTTACTATTTACGATGCGGGGAACTCGGGAATGAACCATGGACCCGATGAGCCACAGGATAAGAATGAGAAAGAAATACCATGTATGTAGTAGTAAAATAAAAAAAATGATGGATTCAATTGAATCAATAAGGCAACTCCTCCATGTCTCTAGCTGACCCGACCGGTTATCGAGAGAAAACTGCGGGCCCTGGTCTACCAGTTGATAGATAGGTCGCCACAAAAACGGGGTAAGCGTATCGAAGAAGAAAAAAAAGAAAGACTAACGCCACACCCGCTTCCAATTCAAAAGATCAAAAAAAAGAAAAGAAGAAAGAAAGGGAGAAGAAAAGCTCCAAAGACTCCGACTTGAAATGTTAAAATCCCTCAAAGCTCTTCGTCGCCCTCGCCCTCGCCCTCGGCTTCACCATCCGACTCATTCTGAGAAGGCTCATCCGCACGTTCAGAGATCCATTCAAAGACCTCTTCTTTGTGCTCAGAAAGCATCTCATTCAGTCCGGACTTGGGCGAAGCTCTAAGCATTCCATAGCGCTTGGATGGCTTACGCTCCCAGATTCCGTGCGATCCCGCAACAAAGACCAACGAATTCTGTAGATAAAGAATGAGCTTTGAAACATTCATAAATAGGGAATATCATCCACTTACCTCACGGTACCACTTGGACAGCCAAGTCTGAGTTGCCGAGGCAATAGCACGAACAGGGTTCGCAGCCACAAAGGAGATACAACCGTTGACACGCTTGTAGAGATTTTCTATTTGGTCGAGTTAGTAAAAGTAGTCTTGTTTGATTGGTTGAACTTATACGTACCGCGTTGGATGAGTAGGTTAGCAACGCCACAGAAGGCACTTCCGATTCCCATGAAGAAAATCTCGGTAGCGTCATTAGGCCTGTTGAATTCATATTAGTATTCTAAGCCTCCAAGTCTTATTCCCAATTTGTGGATCATACTCGATGTAGTTATCCCAAAGATAGGCCGCGAGCTCCTCTGTTGCCTGGGGACGCTTCTCGTCGTCATCTGCGTAATTGCCGGTATCCTAGAGTTTGGCTTAGTTGAAGTACAACATGAAGAGAGGGAGAGAAATAGAAAGAGTATGTGACTTACACTCTCTTGGGTGATATGCTTGGGGATGTTCACATCAATCACGGAATATCCCTTGCCGATGAAGAATTCAACGTATTCAGCCACAGAATCGGCCTTCAAGGTGTTAGTGTAATCACAATTTAATGATCAATTCTGGTGAGCTTACAATCCAGCAGTTATGAGCATCCAGTTGGTTTGTCATCGGGTTCGGAATTCCAATGAGCTCGGGACTAGAAAAGAAAGTTGTAAGATGAGTGGTGCATAAATTTTTGGTATCCGAGTAGGTGACTTACGGGTCATGGAACATAACAACAAGCGGGGCGGCCTTGTGGTAATTTGGACTATAATGGAATTAGTTTGAGATTGACCACTCTGCAAGGCTCTGTACTGACCTGGCAAGAACCTGATTTTCAAAGGACTTGGAGATAGATGTGCGGTAAATGTAAAGAGGAGTGAGTTTCGCGGTCCGGTACAGATTCTTCGATTGAACCTCGCGGAGGAGATCTTCCATATTGGTGAGCTTTACAGATTCGTCAAAGGCTGGCAACATGGGCATACCGTGAAGTCGAGTCGACCAGAATGGCTGAGAGGGTGGCTTGGGATACATGCATCCCCAATATGCCCCTTGGATGTTCATGACGCGGCGAACAGTAGCAATTCCAGCGCTGGATGGGTCAGCATCACGCAGGCGCTCCGGAGGCTCACCCATGAGGGTCTTGGTCACAGCCAAAGCAGAGACAGAAATAGAATGAAAATTGTACCCTCCCTTTCACGACCCCCGAAGATTAGTTTTGAATTCAACCATAAGAGCCAAGTTATTACATACCTCCAGACAAACAGCCAATTTTCCATTTGCAAGAGTCATGAGCATGTGAGTCATGTGAGAATAACACGCAGGCGTCACAAAGCAGCCACCCAGGACATCTCCAGCGGCGGCATCGAAACCAGATGCAACTAGGACAAGTTAGAGATAAGAGAGACATTTGAAAGATCTGAGGAATCCTATATTACCAATGACCAAGTCGGGGTTGAACTCAGACGCGATAGGCATGATGACTTGCTGGAAAGCGAAGAGGTAGTCCCCGTCACCCATGCCTTGGTCAGGCCAAGGAATGTTGATATTTCTGATAACACTGTGAGCTCATGGAATTTCATAGGAATGAATAAAAGCCCTTGGCCAAGACTTACTTCCCAAGACCAGCACCTGCGCCGCAATGATCCCAATCTCCCTCAGGACCACCAGGGTAAAACTTACCATCTTGGTGGACATGAAGAGAGATGTAAAGAATATTAGGGTCATCATAAAATGCCTTTTGAATACCGTTTCCTGGAGCCGTGTAAGTATATTTGCCCAAGAAATCGGATATGATCTTGCATACCATGATGAACATCCCTAGAGATCCAGTCAATAACGAGAATGGTAAAGAAATGGAAGCATGCTCACCAGTCAATGATCAAAATCTTACGACAGCTTGGACCAATCTTCTCTTGACAAACACGTGCGGCGACAGCAACATTGTTAAAGAGACAGAACCCCATGGCCGTATCGTGCTCTGCATGGTGACCCGGTGGACGAATCACGGCGATAGCATTCTTGACCTTACGCTGCGCAACCGCAAGACAGGTCTCGATAGCACCACCAGCAGAAAGGAGGGCCGATTTAAAAGTCATACGGTTAAAGTAGATGGAATCACGAATCTTCTCCATCTCAATAAGTTCCTCAGTAGTCATCCCTGGAAAAGCCTTAAATTAACAAATAGACCAAGATGAATCTCCCAGTTTGGATGAGACTTACATTGGGTGCTGTGAACAAAAGCGTAATGGGCATTTGTGTGGACAGTGGACAGTTCAGCTTCGGTGGCATTTCGAATTGGGATTCTTGCCAAGGGCTGACTGGCAATAGGGCGGTTTGACTCAGGACAATCAACAAGACCAGCGTTGCAAAGCTCATTGAAGATGTAGTAGATACGTCTGGGATCCTCAGGGTGGACTTCGGTGGATTGGCGAACCTCACAGTGATAACGCATACGGGCATCATAACAAAGACCAGTAGCTAAAGATCCCACTGGAAGACCATGTTTCGAAACGGGATCTTCAGGTTTCGGAGCGACATCTTCATCAGACCAGTCTGAGTTGGGCTCAATCAAGCTGTCCCTGCGGCCTCCAGAGTTATCAGCCGAGGTACTTCCCGCCGATTCACTCAGCCTGAGCTTGATGCGCAACGGTGGAGCCATGTCCTCCGAAGGCTTCGGCTGTTGGGAGAAAAAACGTTCGGATTCAGAAGATGGAGATTTTGGAGCAGTCTGGGGAATCAAAGAAGATGCAAGAATGGGGTCTGCTTCCTGATGGGTTGTGGGAGAAATCAGGGGGGTTTCCAGGGAAGGGTGGGAAGGCAACGACCTCTTGGAATCATCTCCCATGATCACGTCTTGGTCTGTGTCCATGTTTGCGCACCGTATTAATACGAAAACGACAGAACGAAGGACTTGATGAGCTTCTATAAGCCCTTAACCGAAAAAGAATCAATGTTGGAATTGTGCGCTTAGCGTCTCATGACAAGATCTAGAATCAATGCCTCTTGTTTTAACACATTCGATTTCCTGTTGATCTGATTTATGAAATTAAATCAAGAACAGATCGATAATCCTGGAGACAATGAAGCACTAGACCAGCAGTGCTCTTTAATGTAGTGCAATCTTTTGTGGTTCTAGGACCTCGGGAGTTTCGATGCTGGACGTAGTCCTAGACATATAAAGGACGTCTTTGTATTGCCAGACAGCTTGATTTCACAGATGCGCACAGCCTATATGATGGTCAATTTACCAAAACTTCAAGGAATTTGTAGTTCAATCCTGATCAACTGACAGTTTTTGCTTCAATAACTTGTTCTACCTGCGAAGTCGCCGTAGCGCAGGGTTGATGGGAGATTAATGGATGTGCATGTTGGATCCCTTTTAGGCCGGCTGTTCTTACTGCCAGACATTACATTACTGACCGCCTTTCTATACCGCCTCCTGATTTAGTCTAGCGTAAAGTTGAAGAAGCGGCTGGACGGTTTTAAGTGGCTGACTCATCTACTCTATTTTAAGGCCCATGTCCACGCGTGAAGGCCCAGAATACGTGACAGTACCTGGGCAGTAATCAGTTGATATTAATGATGATCATCTTGTAGATAGGTAAGCCTTGTACTTAGACTGTAATGATTATTTCCAACTTAAAGGTTATAACTAATTGCCATCTCCGACACGAAACTGCAATGGCTTTCAAGTTGGTGCAAGTTGGAGCAACTTGAAGTTTACGGAAAAGAATGACTAGACAGATATAGAAGATTGACAGTTGAACGTAAAGAAATTTATTGGATTCATTAAAATGACGTTATTTGTTTAGGTTTTTTGCTTCCTTGCAAAATAGCGATTCATCCTCCAGGCTTACATCACAGATGCAGCCTGGCCATGACAAACTTGCCACTTAGAGAAGACTCCTGACCTCAGGACGTGCTTTAGATAGCTACTGGCCATCAACGCCAGCGATGTAGGCTAAAAGATATAAATGTTAGCTAAAGTTCAAATGACAATAATAAGTAGAAGAGATTCTTACCAATGAGGTCAACAACACGGTGAGAGTAACCCCACTCGTTGTCGTACCAGGAGACAAGCTTGACGAAGTTGGAGTTGAGGGCAATACCAGCCTTGGCATCGAAGATGGAAGAGCGGTCGTCACCGTTGCAGTCGCTGGAAACGATGTCCTCATCAACGTAACCGAGGATACCCTTGAGCTCGTTCTCGGAGGCAGCCTTGACGGTAGCCTTGATCTCCTCGTAGGTAGCGGCCTTCTCGAGGCGGCAAGTGAGGTCGACAACGGAGACGTTGGCGGTGGGGACACGCATGGACATACCGGTCAGCTTGCCGTTAAGGGCAGGGATGACCTTACCGACAGCCTTGGCGGCACCGGTGGAGGAGGGGATAATGTTCTGGGCCGCAGTACGGCCACCACGCCAGTCCTTAGCAGAAGGACCGTCAACGGTCTTCTGGGTGGCGGTGTAGGAGTGGACAGTGGTCATGAGACCCTCAACGATACCGAAGTTGTCGTTGATGACCTTGGCGAGGGGAGCCAGACAGTTGGTGGTGCAAGAGGCGTTGGAGAGGACAGCGACATCCTTGGTGTAAGAGGTGTTGTTGACACCCATGACGAACATGGGGGCATCAGCGGAAGGAGCAGAGATGATGACCTTCTTGGCACCACCCTTCAAGTGAGCGGAGGCCTTCTCGGTGGTGGTGAAAACACCGGTGGACTCAACAACGTAGTCGGCACCAGCAGAGCCCCAGGGGATGGCAGAGGGGTCACGCTCAGCGAAGAACTGGACCTTCTTGCCGTTGATGATCAGGCCCTGGTCGTAGATCTCGATGGTGCCCTTGAACTGGCCGTGAGTGCTGTCGTAGCGGAGCATGTAGGCCTATAGAGATATCTGTTAGTCCATTGATTCACCTGGAAGGCTACGTCGCCCCAGCTGATATGAAAGGTAGATGAATTACGTACAGCGTAGTGAACCTCAATGAAGGGGTCGTTGACGGCAACAACCTCGACAGTACCGGCGTTGATGCTGTGAAACGCGTTAGAATGGTAATCTGTACGACACATAGGGACTCATAGAGCTTTCACTTACGCATTGCGGAGGACAATGCGGCCAATACGACCGAAGCCGTTGATACCAACCTGGGGAACCATATTTGCGGTGTTGTGAGACTGAAGGAGCTTTGGTTAGCTTTGAGATATGAGGATGGGCTGATGGTGGGGTAAGATATGTATGGATATGATAGATCCAAAGGAAAGAGGGAAGATGAAAGATGAAAGATAGAAGGAAAGAAAGAGAAAGGGGTAATCATAAATTGGAAATAAGAAACTCACGTTTTGTGAAAGATACAACTTTGAAAGAGGGATGAAGAAGAGAAAGAGAAAAAAAAGTGGGAGAGGAGATCAAGAAGTAGTTTATTAAGTGACGCAACAGCGGCTCACCCCTCCTCCCCTCCCTCTACACCGAACAACAAGACCGGGGGCTTTTTTGGGAACCTTTTTAGATCTGGGGCATTATCCCGACTGTTACCGCTTGCACTAATTCCCCTCAACCTTTTCCGGTTTCATACACCGGGCAAAGCAGGAAGAGTCACGATATTCGCTGCCTGAGTTGCCCCTCGGTAGCTCCCGTTTACCCAATTAGCATCTTCCGATCCTCGTCGGCCGGGTCCTTAACCCTTGACCTCGGATCTCAAGAATGTTTTCCCAGACTATTTCGGGTTGTATTGACATGTTCACGATAATTCTACGATGATTTGCCGTACCGTTACTTTATTTCCGGGAGACCGAGCTATGACGATGAATGCCGGGGGAGAGGGGGAAGAGAGAAAATACATGGAGGGGCAGAAAAGTGGATGATGCCACCACTGAGGGGCAAACACCTATACACCCACATAGGTGTACGGAGTATGTGCAGTTTGGTTTATACGAAGTACATATGGGTATAGAATTGTAGCTCCATTCTCTCCGGCGATAAGCACCAGTCACCTTTCATTACTTTTCTATTGCCTGATGGATCATATTGGATCTTTATGGGCTGAGGGACCTGAACCATGCCGCATATGGTCTACTCCTTGACGTATCCAGCGTTTCGGTGGACCAAATCCATCATATAAGGTCCCCGCGTCCTTAAAAGAGTCACCGGGACGGGATCATGCAGATTTTTATTTTGATTATTTTGATTATTGAGAATTATGAATTAATTGATGATTTGCTATTTCTATTTAGGTTGACCACGACCACCTGGGCACCTGAGAACCTTATAGAAGAGACATGGTATTGCAATATGTGGAACGGGTGGCAATATCAGAGTCTAAGCCTCCAATCCCAATTATAAATTATACATTATAAATCTTTCGATGATTCAACTTCAAGTTTCTATTTGCCCTATTCCCCGCCTCTGAGATTATTGTGGCAATGGCAATGGCAATCTTCAAGTTGAGTCACTCTTGGGAGGTCCAAAATCAGCTGGGCTACGGTTAGACCGGCATCATGGATTTCCTTGATGGAACCCGGTGGAAAATGATCATTGTGACAAGGTTGATGGATGAACAACACAACACGGACCATTGAACCACCATTGAACCCAATTGAACAGAATTCAACACGTTGAGTACATTGGGCACCTTGTTGGACAATCACCTATTTGGACAGGTGCAGCAAGGGATGTGCCAAGCTCTACTCTACACGAATCATAAATGAAAAATATTTTTATAATTAATATCCAGCTCAGCTTCAAGTTCTACATGCCATGAAATTTGGAATTAGAAATGGGAATATAATACAATTGGAACAGAAGCAAAGCAACGTGGTCTATCCTCATACTGATCATTTCAAAACAGATGAAGAACAGATTTCACTAAGCCAATGTCAATCCTCCACATTGAATGACGGTTTTCTCCCCCCAATTTACTCCTCCTTGACACCACCACGGTAGTTCTTCTCAGCCTCCTCAATGGAAGCCTTGTCGCTCTTGGGCTGACCCTGGGACATGAAGCCACCAGAGCTCTTGAAGGGACGGGCGAGGTCACCAGTGGCGGGCTTGCCGAACAGGTGGATCTTGACCAGGTTGGCCTCAAAGGCACCCTTAAGAGGGATGATGGACTGAATGAGGAGAGGGTTGGTGTACTTGAAGTAGAAGTGCATGACAGCCATCATACCAACACCCATCAGCTGGGTGCGGAACATCTGGCGGATCTGACCCTTGTCGTAGTCCATGTTGGTGGTGGTGACGGGCTTGCCCTCCTCGCCGGTACCCATAGCGGCAGGCTCGACATACTTGAGGGTGGTCATATCTATATAAGATAAGAGCAGAAGTGGTTAGATATATATTTTAGAGATAAGCCTCGGGAGGCCACGCGACACCCCCTAAATGATATGCGACATACCCTTCTTCTGGCTGATCTTGGCCTGAGTGTACAGGTTGATGGCCAGGATAATGACGTTGGACAGAACGTAGATTCCGCGCACAATAAGCAGCACATCGGGGTTCTCGAAGGGAACCTTCTTGGCCAGCTGCATCATCACCAAGATGATGGCCAGGTTGGTACTGCACGATAAGAATTAGTTCAACCGTTTAGAATTTCAATGTACGAAAAATGTCGATCGTATCAATTTGAAAGAAGAAAAACTCACACTTGAGCGGAAACCATTTTGACGAGTTTGAACCTTCGAAAAACCTAGGAGATGGAGGGAGAACGGAGTTGACGGAGGGAAGAGATAACAAAACTCGAACCTCTTCTCTGACCTTCTGAAGTGGAAACCACGTATATTATTACTGGGGGCCGGATCATATAATCTTCCGGATCACGGGACCTCCAACTCCGCCTTGAATCTCCAAATGCACCAACTTCCCCATGTTAGACATGCATCAAGTTCAACTCATTAATATGACTTGGAAGAACCGTATCCAACCATGACTGATATGAAACCATCCATCAAAACTCGATTTTTCATCCCGGAAAAGAGAAAGTCTTAGGATCGTGGAATGATCAAAGGAAACTGATAGACTGTGGTGGAGGGCCCGCAAGCGGGCTCTACTACTACAGACACTCGACAACCAAACTCTACATAGCTAACCCCCACCATTTTTCATACCGTCAATCTTGACTGATGAATCATGGCAAGCGATTTAAATGGATCTCTGATTACTTTGATTTACTACTGGAATTATGATGTGAGTTGGAAGGGGGATTTCTAACATGCCAGCGCCTGAACAAGATGTTCGAACGAGGACTTGGCCATGGCATCCCGATTGGGACTAGCGCCGGATCCGCGGTCGCAGTCTTTAGCGACTGGTCCCGGCTGCGACATTTCTGACTTCTCCATCCATCAACAACGCGCGTGTCTGCTCACTTTTTGAATCGCTTTCTCATCCCACTTTGTCTCGGATCGTCCGCGACAATTTACATACGCGCCCCCAAATCACTTTGCGACTCATAATCATTCAAAATGCCTGGCGGAAAGGGAAAATCTATCGGTGGAAAGGGCGGTTCTAAGGACTCTGCGGGGAAGGCCCAGAAGTCTCACAGCGCAAAGGCTGGTCTGCAGGTTAGTGGGCTGGTTGATCGCCTAGGTGATGTCGACTAGTCATAGGCGGAAGATCACGCGACCTGAGGGAGTTCATGGTTTGATGAAACGGGATGGCCAGACGCGTCGTTGAGGGGGGTGAACCTCCCCCTCATCGGTTTGATCTGAGGGGCTCCTGAATTCTCATACCTTGCGGTCGCGTGTTATCTCTCTCCTCAATCTATGACTACGCGGTCGCCTGATTTAGGTCAACATATACTAACACTTATCGACCTTTAGTTCCCCTGCGGTCGTGTTAAGCGTTTCCTGAAGAACAACACCCAGAACAAGATGCGTGTTGGTGCTAAGGGTATGGGTTCCCTTCTGTATCGCATTAACTATTTCCCCCATATACTGACCGTCTTGAATTATAGCTGCTGTCTACGTGACCGCTGTCCTGGAGTACCTGACTGCTGAAGTGCTGGAGCTTGCCGGTAACGCTGCCAAGGACCTGAAGGTCAAGCGTATCACCCCCCGCCACCTGCAACTCGCTATCCGTGGTGACGAAGAATTGGACACGCTCATTCGGGCCACCATCGCCTTTGGTGGTGTTCTGCCCCGCATCAACCGTGCTCTTCTGCTGAAGGTGGAGCAGAAGAAGAAGGGCAAGCCCGAGCTGTGAACTAAAAAATCCTGAGACATGGAACTCCGGCACGATCAGAAGTGATTCTTCCTCTCTCCTGACGAGCCAAAACTTGCTGCCCTCCTGACTGCTTTACTTTTGACTTTACTTAACGGCGTGTGACTTTGATGTTGTCTGTCTATTCCCCGGCTTATTCTGTATTTCTTTTTGTCCTTCTATTCTTTTTTATTCTATGTTCCACGATCATTTCGAGTTCACAGGGCGCTGTAATGGGAAAATTGGGGATATCCTGGTAGTGTGGGAAATTATTTTACTTGATTCTTATCTACTTCGCTTCGTGCGATTATGGGAGATGATTATCTCCGTGTATTAGTACCTGCAAGTCTTCTTGCTTGAGTCTCCTTCTGAATTACTAGTTACCTACGAACTCGAGCACACATTCCTCGTGAGATTCACTACGACGCCGAGGGTCACCTTCGGTATTTCGGGTTCTATTGCAGCTCTCGTGTTACCCACCTGAACTACCTGGTCACTGTAGCTAGAATTGAAATATACTTCTGGTCGTTGAATTCTTACGTGATTTGAGAATTTGAAGTAGGAATATAAGTACCAATTTGAACTAGTAGAGAACCATGACATTGCATTTCTAACAAGCTCGGACTAGTAATCGTAAGGTGCAGTACGGGGTGATCGACAGGGACATGCCGCATGTCAATCATAATAAACAAAACAACGCCTTGGCATTACCGGAGTCTTATCTGGAATAGACTAATCCAGTAGGAGGTGTCTCACATTCCTAACATCTGATATGATCTACTCTAGGCTACTCAAACTCAAGTGCTACTTCATACTTGTAAACTAGCACGCAGCTACAGTATACTAGGCTGGCATAAGATTTGATCTACGAAAAACTGAACTACATACTGGAAAAAATAAACCTAAAAACCCATTGAAACAGTAAAAGGTACATTGATCGTCAAAATCGGAGTACAACATAAAAGAAAGCCCCTAGACTTGCAAAAGATACCAAACATGAAGAGAAGACACCCTCGTTCAGATGAAAGGCAGATAGATGAAAAGAAATTGGGCAAAAGAATCATGCACTGACAGTCTAAACATCGGAGATGAAAGAGGACATAAGATATATCAAACGATATACCATAATCCTCATTCAACCTCAGAGTCCAGACAGGTTCAAAGGAATCTATTCAGAGACTCCGGTCTTCACCAAGCATCGAGGAATTGAATCCTATGCCAAACCAGACATCAAAAAGAGTCAAAATCACGCAGAGGCAGGAGAAAGAGAAAAAGAAGAAAACGTATAATAAATAGTCATCGTCCCCGGGATCAAGGCACAAAGGCATTGGGACCATGTGACATGATAATATTAGGAGATGAGATTGACCGAACAGAAGAAAAAAAAGGGCTAGAACAACATTAGATGCGAGTCGCCCCATATACAACACTAAAACAGGCAAGAATATGCAAATGCTGATATTGTCGTGTCTCCTACCACAGTGGTAGGGTCTTTTTGGTCATTCTTCGTATGCATCCCACGAGCACCAAAGCGGCGGGTTCATGATCCGCTCTAGTGTTGCGGAGGAACACAAAACAACTGGGATTTGCATGCAAAACAGCGCCCGCAGAAATTCCAAAACAGAATCAGAAGAGAAAAAAAAGGAAGAAAAAGAATAAAAAAAAAAGGTGCCAGAGTTTACTCAAAACAAAATGGAGAACCCATGGCGGAAATTTCTTGAAGAAAAAAAAATCAACAACAAAAAGCCGCTTCCAACAAGGCGTTAGAGTGCAGGTATGGTAATGATAGGTAGTGTGGTCTCTGTGAGTGAATTTGCTGGGCTGCCCCAATATAAAAAACGTCTAAACTTTGGCTGGATCAGCGAAACAATGGATTTTTCTGGTCTTTTTTTTGGTTGTCATCTCGTCATCCCTCATCGAATCGTAAGCCGGTAATTTCGCAGAACAGGGCCTCGTGATACAAGTTCGTATTCGTCTCGCGGCAAAGCAGTCGGATGCTGGCAAAAAAAGGGTGGGGGATCGCCATTTCGTTTTTCTTTTTTCATCGCGCTTCAAAGGTTGAACAAATAGGAAGGAGAAAAAGTGGAATAAAATGAGGAAGAAGAGTGGTGGTGGTGATCTACTCCACGATGATCTCGACCCCGGAGCTGGCGCGAAGCTCGTCACTGCCGCGAGCCTGGTGACCGTTTTGGCGCCGGAAACCGGGGCCCTTGTCGGGAGTCGGGCCACGCGGTTGGCGAATCGGCATGCGCTCCTGCTGAGCGGTGTCAAATCCACCCATTCCACGGTTGCTGCCAATGGCGCCGGTGGCAGAAGGTTGGCTGTCCTGCTCCCAGGAGAACATACCACGGAGTCGTCGAGGGCTGGAGTTGGGGCCACCAATGCCTGTGCCCAGTGAAAGGCCACCCAGGCTGTTGACAAGCAGGTTATCATCACGTTGCATACCAAGAGAGGAGCCGGAGGGGGCGGAGGTCAATGTCGGGGTGTTCGAGGCACCGGTAGGAGCGCCTTCGTACTGCAGGCGAGTTCCGTTGGACTGCAGAGCAGCAGGGAAGCTAGCGGAGGATGGAACAGGGGACGGGGTGTAAGAACGGAGATCAGCGAAGGATTTGGCGGCGCGCAGGTTCTGAGTGTTGTTGAAGTTGCCGGGCGAGTCCAAAACACCCAGGAAACTAGAAGTCTGACCCCGGAGGGTGTTAAAGGCACCAGGACCACCTTCGTTGCGGGCCTCACTAAAGTCAATCGTGGCAGCACGGTTTAGTCCACGGCGAGAGCTGTCCGACTGTCCCGCAGGAGGAATGGGCTGCAAAGGCGGGCTCACGTTGGTACCGGCGGCAACCTTGAAGACCTGGACCTGGCGTTGATCTCCACTTCCTCGGGAGGCATGGGCCAACCCCATGTTGTGAGCCAGAGTGTGAACCGTGCGTCGCTGAGACGGGGTCAAATTGGGGGGGAAAGATAACGGAATCGCGAGCAGTGTCCTCCTTAAACAGAAGCAGCTGTGAGTAGTACTGGAGGGTCTGGGTGTCATTCAAGTCCACATCTATGTAGCAAACAAAAAAAGAAAATCAACTAGTTAGTCACTGCGTATTGTTGTTGTTTTCACCCATCTCAAAATCAGAGGAAAGAAAAATTTTGCTTACCGAGTTTCTGGCCACGTTGTGAGACCGGAGAAGGCGAAGTAGCTGGGATGTGCGAGTTCAGAGAGGTCATAGAACTCTGAGTCTGCAGTTGAGAGGAAGGCATGGGTCGGTGCTGCTCTTCCAGTTGACCGCGACGCTCACGCTTTTCCCGTTCAATCCGTTCCCGTTCCTGCAAAGGAAGCATCTTCTTATATTCCACGCGCAATTTCCGACCCTGAAGTTCGAAGTGGTTCAACATCTCGATCACGGTAGCCGTTTCTTCCGCGGAAGTAAAGTTGGCGAAAGCCAGACCACGGAATACCCCATTATCGAAGTGGTAGTTGAAAGCGTAAGGCAAAGGCAAGTTCAACTCGGTCATCAGTTGCACCAACTGCTCCTTCTTCACAGCAAACGGGATGTTCTTGATGACGATCGCGGTAGGAATAAGTTCGTCATCTCCGTCGGATGAAGCCGATGCTTCCGGGCGCATCGCAGAGCTCTGAATAGGACCAGGGCCTAGGTTGGAAAATGCGCTAGGCATTCCTGGTTGCTGATCAAGCCAAGTCTATTATTTTTTACATATTTTGTTAGAGAAAAATTTTCTTCGTCTTCATTTTGGGATTAGTTCACTATGGTGGTCGAGGACAAGTTTGAGACCGTGAACTCGACCACAGGGGCGGGGAGGGGAATATCCGCAAGAAAAATCACGTACAGTAGGCAAACCGGTTCTTCCCCGGGCGGCCGGCTTCAAACTGGCCGAAGCCGAGCGAATTCCTCCGAGGGTTTGAGCGTTTGCAAATCCATTTGGATTCCAAGTCTGGGAGCCGGAAAGATCGTAAGAGTAGGAGTTGTTGTTTTGCATCGGCGGGTTCAACCGCTCCAACCTGGCGGACTCGTAACGGGCCATCTGATCCTCATATAGGTTTACAGGCATAGGACCGTAGGCATCAAACTGGCGAGAAGGTTGACGGTGCAGAGGTTGTTGATGCCTCTGGGAACCAGGGGATCGCGCGGAGGGATCGTGATACATGTCCGGTTGTTGATAACTCATGGGGGGAGGAATCCTTGGCGAAGACCCGAGGAATGTGGGCTCGTAAAATCCACCACAAACAACGCACGAGGTCGAAGGAAATACCGTCGCACTGAAACTATTGGGACATGGGCGTGGGTGGGAAAATCAAGACGACACCACGGTAGTGCGGTGTGGTGGGAAGAATAGGAAGAATAAGGCGGAAGGAGAAGAAAAAAAAAGCAGCAAAATCGCTCACGGATGCAAAGTCGTGCACGTTCGGATCATGAAAAGGGGGGTAAAACCCTTATAATTTGTTCTTTTTTTTCTCAACGCAGTTTTGAACCCCAAAATATCTCCAAAAGGTTGAAAGATCTAGTTCTTTTTTTTTCCGAATAAGATCTGGACCTTGGGGAGGATATGGAAGAGGGAAAAAGGAAGTTGGGAACACGCAAGGCCGGATGTGGGAGAGTCCACTCAAGCCGCCAAGAACGGGGGAGTAAGGAGTTTCAGCACGAGATGTGTTGAAGAAGTTGAAAATGTACTGTAATGTAGTACTTCCAAGGTTGATTTAAAAAAAGTACTGTGAATAGAATGAGTAGAAGAGAAGAGAGGAATCAAATCCAGAAATTCTTAGAGAAAAGGGATTAGTGGAGGAAGTTATATAGGAAACTAAACTGTTAATAATAAATCTCAACTCAATTTTTAGTATATAAGAATAAATAGAAATAAGAAAAATAAAAGAAGAAAATAAAAATGAAAATCCCGATCTTCTAGTCCCTTTTGCCCCTGGATCGTAATAGTAAAAGTACATTACTAGTAGTAGTTGCATTGGTGGGACCAGTTGACCCGACTGATCACTTATACAGTACTACAGTACCTAGGTACACTATAACTACATACATCATCTATGAGATGAATATAACATTCTTAAAATCTCCATTTTATCAGACACCCTGATTCTATTCTTAATAGATTAATAAATGGATGCATCACTCTGTACTATCCTCCCTACTCCATACTGTACTGGACATATCTCCCCTTAACCTCTACTCTAGTGCACTTGACTAGATCGCCCCTGATGCACTGCAACTGCACCGGCTCCTTTCTGACATCTTAATCTCCAATCATCATCCACTGCGCCTCACCAACTCGGTTCCCATTCCTTTCGCGTGCTTCCCTCCCATTTTAGGGCGTGGGACCCTCATATAGTGTCAACTTGGTGTGGATGAAAGGTATCCGCTGCGGATATCGGATAGCGCAATGCGTAAGAGTTGATAAAACTTGAATCCACCATGAACACGAATCATCGTCGGGCAGTTCTATTGTTTCAGCACCTGTCAGGTTCCAAAACCGACAAACCCAAAATCCAAAACCCGTGGGGACTCTCGCACGAGCTGTTTCATTGACATCTAGCCCTTGCGGTTCGCGCACTGCCTCATGCTCCCGCCACTATACTTGACACCTGGGTATATTTGCCTTGGGAGAAAAGGAGACTATGGAGTACATCATAGTTATTCAATAGAAGCCCATTTGAAATTAAATAATAATAAAACGAAGTCTTTGACTTCATCTATAATTGGCATGGGAATTGATGCTCCTATTTTTCTCTCTTCAGGGGATCTAATTGTCTCCATCACGGAGTAGCGCGTACGAGGTTCGCCACCATTATGATCCTCGATAGGAGAATTGCCCCTTTTTTAATTTCTTATTTCTTAATTTCTTTTTTAAACAATTTGATTTTTTTTTCTTTGTCATTCTTTGCTTCTTTGATTCTATTCTATTATTTCTTTTTCTATTCTCTCACATTTTCTAATGCACTCCTGATATTTCTTTTTCCCTTTGTTCCGAACCTCAACTCAGAACTGCAGCCTGCAGCTACCAATACTCCCCGTACAAACTATCCGGGATCCCGACACAATAAAGCTCCCCTGATTGACGGCGCATGAAGCTATGTCACGCCAGGCCCACATCTTGAAATTGAACTCAAGCCGGAGCTCCACGATCCGCGCCTCCCCCGTTTCTAGCGGCCTCGCGGAACTTCTTGGAAGCATTCCTAGCCACTCAGCTAGAACCCGCTAGAGGCAGCTTAGAACTTTCTGGGAACGTTAGACTCCGATGTGTCTGCAGCCTATACTCCTGTGGAGCCTCCCTGACTATTTTTTTCTCTCTCAGCTTTCTCTGGTGGTGAAGCTCGTTTGGTCATTGGCTCTGGATCCTCGGGATTTGGCGTAATGAATGGGGAAAGCTCCAGAAGAGGAGGGGTTGAGGGGAATAGCTTCCCGGGGATTTAGAGGTCCTTTCCGAATGACCCCTTTTTTTCTTGTTCGTAAACTGGTTCGAGCTACCGTGAGAGTTGATTTTACGAGTACGGAGTACAAAGTACTCGTTGGTGCAAGGTTTCCTCGAGTCAGTCTTGTCAGGAATACGATGCCTACACGATGGATCCGATTGATAAACCCCTCTACGGAGTCCCCCTTTCTCTCCATTCTATGTACTCCGTACGGAGTGCAGTGACGATCATGGTCTCTGCACGCCAAGATACGAGCATCGACCATGCAGGTTGTTCCTGAAGGTCAGGTACGAAGGATGGAAAATCTCATACATACGGAGTACAGAGTACTCCGTACAGAAACACAAATTCCTATTTATGGGAAACACACGCTACCGCTAGTGGCTGGTGGATAGGGCTGGATCAAGACGATGAGCAAATATCAAGCCGTCACCTTGGCATGTCAGGAACAGATGTTCAGGGGGTAAATTCCCATCCCCGGAAGTGGAGTCAATTCGCAAGTAGCCTGGTGTCGGGAAATTCGCCCGTTTGTTAACTGGACTTGGAGCTCAGGACGATGATCCTGGGACTGAAAATTTGGACCTTAATCCTGGCATGCATAGACCGTGACGCTATGGTGGATCAACTGGTAAAACATTTCACTATGGTAGATACAGCCCCCGGGGAGCACGTAACATTTGAATGGGACATTAATCAATGTTAAGAGTTCTCCGGATGTCCAATGATAGCTCCTATCTGTGATGTTCATGTAGTATAGAGGTCTCATGCATAAGTGGCGAGTGTTGCGCGAGTGGCTTGCACTGTTAGTCGATCCTTATATTCCAAGTCGCTGATTGGAGATCGTTGTTGAACGATCTGGACCAAAGGCCACTCTAAGGCCAACTGGTGTAATCGGAGGCAGCAACGTTAGATCTGTCGAGAAGGTCTACATGCACACTCCGGGGGGAATGTGTAGGCATAGCCGGAGGACAGGCCCAATCAACCTTGAATAAGACCAATCGATACAAAAATAAATTCAACACATACAGGTCCAATAGTCTTGCAAGTTATAGCCCGCCAAGACTAGTAGCCCAGAATTGATTGACAGATCATGTTAGTTATTACCCCATACTCCCCAGCACTAGGAGTATTAATGTTTAAGGGAAGTGGGTTCAAGTTGGGAGGGGATCAAGATTTATGAAGTAGAGAGAAATAGTTAAAAATGACTCTTCTCTAATTAAGGACCGATTTTGTCCATTCTGGATATGATTTTGTCTATAGTGTTCTGTAGAGGATCTCTTTATACATGTAACATGCCAGTGTACGGAGTACATGCGTGACTATTGGATTGTGCTCATTGAGAACTATCGTCATTAGGCTACACTAGCGTGTCTAGTGGACAGCCTCGTGCTGTCGATCTACAGCTTAATAGGTTCAATAAATTAAAGCGCTTACTAGTAATGTATGATGTATGACATCTCAACTCCGTCCTTCTCCGTCAATTATGTATAGTAAACGGAGTCCGATGCATAAAAAAACAATGAAACTCAGATCTGCACTCCTGAAATAACATTAATGACTTCATCCAGAGAACTGTAGAGTTTCGTACCTGACCCTGGAACAGAATAATAAGGTATGGGTCGGTTAACTAGTCTTAACCTTGGTGGCGGGTTGCGATCGTCTCAAGCCAGAGTGGTCTTTTCGTCCCGTACCCCAAAACCGGCGTCTGGAGTTCAATGCGGGCGATGCAATGTACCAATAAGAGAGGGATGATGGCAATGAAGAAGCCTGAAACAGGACAAAAACCCGCTTCAACACGAAATGCTGACGAGTCAAGGACCCACTTGCAACACCCGGATTGAGAAGTGTAGAAAAACCGGGTCCTTCAGACCCTGATGATAATGATCATGATAGATGAAAATGTATCCTTTAGAGTCAGATTCTCCCTTTTTTTGTGAACTCTTTATCTGCGACCATGTCAAATATCCTCAATCAGTCAGGATTCTGACACCACGATCATCATAATTTCCAACCCGATTAAGATGCGCGGCTGAGGCGTCGGGAACGCAAGACGTGGTATAGTGGGGCCGATCCAGAACGCCCAGAAAAAAGACCGACGCCTTTAAAGCTTCTTCGTAGCCCTCGTTCGTGCAGGATTTGCAGGCTCCGATGATGCTGGTCACTTTTCGCGTGGCCATCGCTGTCGCCTTGGTCTTCACGATATTTCTCGTGAAGAACCATCTCAATTCCCTCGATCAATGGTCGACTGATGGCAATTCTGGGCCTGATTTTATTCTCAACGATGCGGGCGCCCATATTGAGCTGGTCTCGGGCGATGACCATAATCCGGAGTTCCCGGTTGAGTCGGGGGTGAGGAATGCGTCGTTAGAGTCAAATGTGTCGAGTACACCGGTGCCGACTACCAGTAAGAATGTATGGGAGAAACCTACAGGAGCGCCGGTTATTCCGTCCAAATTCAAACCGAAGCAAATTCCTGTTGATGTGCCTGAAGATACCTTTGATCCATTCTTGGAAGACTTCTATTATTTCGGGGATGAGGAGGAGGAAAGGGAGGATTCGCATTATGATATGGGTCGATTTGATCATAATCAAATGCCGAAGAAGAAGCCAGAGCCTCCAGAACCTCCAAAACCACCACAAGTACCCAAGTTGACCGATCGCATTATTGTACTGGGAAGAATGTCTTGGGAAGATTCGGATTGGTTGGACTGGGAATTACCAGAGTAAGTACTAAACTGAACCTAGCATCCTTGTTCAAGTTATTCTTTATTCTTTGATATCTTGTTCTTCAACCGTTATCATGTGCAGGATTCCTAACATACTACTTCACCAGATGGCCAAGCGCAGTTTATGTCGTCGACGACCCAGAAGCCGAATTCCATGTCCAACAAAATAAAGGAAAGGAGAGCAACATCTACCTCCAGTATATTATAGATCATTACGACAAACTACCCGAATATATGGTCTTCTTACACGCTCACCGAACCAGCGCACACGTTGAGTTTGACGAACAGGACAATGCCCTGACTGTACAACAATTACAACTGGACTATGTGCGACAAGCGGGATATGCCAATTTGCGCTGTGACTGGGGTCCCGGATGTCCCGATGAAGTCTACCCATTCCGACAGTTAGCTGGCCGAACAACAGAGATCGCATTCGCTGGAGCGTGGATCCGAATCTTCAACAATACCAATATCCCCGAAATTGTCGGTACACCTTGCTGTGCGCAATTTGCTGTGACGCGAGAACAGGTGCATGCTCGTCCACTGAGTGACTATCAACACTTTCATAGCTGGCTCATGGAGACAGAACTGGACGACGAGACCAGTGGACGTGTTTTTGAATACTTGTGGCATATCATTTTTGGGCAGGATCCCGTCTCGTAAGTTAGGTTCTCAGTGAAACTTGATTTGAATATGGCTAACATCCTCGCCAGATGTCCATCCAAAGCTCAGTGTTACATGGATGTATATGGCTTAGAGTATGTTGAGCCGTCAATCGATTGGATGTTTGATGAATCAGAATATGATGATGAATTTTGGGGAGGGTACGACTACCCTGGTGAAGAAGTCGAGGACGACGAGTTTATGGAGGAAGATGATGACCAGCAGGAGGCAGAGGACTCGGAATACTCGCCAAAGTTGAATGGGACTGGCAAAGCAGAGCCAGAAAGTTCTGATAAATTCGATGTGGATGATTCCCTTGAATTCGATGAGTCTGATCTAGATGATTCTCCTGAGGGATCAACAAAAAGCCACTCTGGCTCCGACTCGGATCAGTGGCAGGATTTAGAAGAGGAGCCTGAACAAGTTCAAGTTGACAGCACAAGCAGCTCGCAGGAACTTGATTCTTAACAGCCAGTGGTGCCATATTCCAACTTGAAGGTTCCTTTGTCCCTGTCTGTATATAATGTATGATATTTTGTGTCCTGTTGATTCTACACATCTTGACGAACAGATACCCCTATATGCCTGCGCTATCTGGACTAGAAATTGATATTCAATGTTCCTTTCTTCTTTGAACCATTGATACAACTTGAAGCACAGAACAACATTTGAACTAGTGTCTGTATATTGATTGGAAGCTGAAGAAGCCTGAAGAGGGAGCAGAAGAGACATTTCAGCCACCAGGAGAATGTCATTACGAGATGCATCTTGTGCGGCGTCTCACTTTGCCTGCAAAATAGCGAAATTTATCAATCGTGACCTTGAAGTCACTCTCATTTTGCTCTCTTTCTTGCTGGTAGAAGGCTTCATAAGGTAGTTTGATCTCACCACTAACAGCTCCACAGTGGATAGATAGTCTGAAAACAGACTATTTCTCTAGGGCGATGTAGATCTCTCTGCCGTGACTCCAAAGTCATTTGGCCGGTTCTGATGATATCCACAGACGGTACTAGGTAATATCACTTCTAATCAATGTCTATTGGTGATTTATACCTCACTATTTGGCCAGCCAAAGCAAGCTACGTATACATAGTTCAGTCTCAAGGCAAACTGTTGAGATTCGATTCGAAGTTCTTAAAAGGGAAAAATACCTAACAAGAGAAAATCCCTCAGACCCAATCTCATCTGCACTGCATTCCACCACCACACCCCTTCTCTCACTCCCACTTCCAGCCCAGGGCTTCATTCGTACCCCATCTTTGAGAAAATCTTTCTGTGGGATGAAGGTGGTTCCCTCTCTCCTTCTTCCCCTTCGAAATCATCCCAGTCGTTCATTGTAGGCGGAGGCTTGTCACTCATCTTGTACCCAGTGAAAATGATTTCCTTGACAGAGAAGTGGGGCACCATCTGGCCTGTGAAGGTGAGGAATCTTTCATCATCAAATTGAATGATTCCGGGTCGTGGGATGAAGAAGAGTCGTTCTTTGAACGACTCGTAGCATCTGTGTTTGAAGAGATACCTGAGATGAAGCTGTTTGGTGGCCATCGTTTGCTTCTGCCCCTGCTGGACCCCTTCTGCTGGAGGCTTCTTCTTTGCTCCCCATGTAGAGCTCTCCTCCAATTCATTTGCTGGAATGGTGGTGCCCTGCTCATCCACTGAACTATGACCAGGACTGATTTGATCCTCAAATTCCTCCAGAGCACGCTCATCGGAGCTCATCATCATAATTCCTTTGAACATTTGGAAATCAAAGTCAGCCTGATAAAGACCAGATGTGTTGGTTTCGTAAATGTCAATGATGAATTGTTCTTCTTGGTACTTCACTACCGCCTCAATCAGTTCAATTCTGACAACATAGCTGCCGACCGGGGTAAAGCCGTTTGTCTTCAGGCCAATGCTATCAAGGTAATCTCGATGAGCTTTCTGTTGTTCCTTGTCTCTGTTCGGTGCCAGGTTTGGGAGCTCGTGCTCGTTTCGATGAGCTACATACTCCTCATGGTAGTGCTTTTGAACTGCTACCTTGACGACTGTCTCATCCCAAGCTATGAAAACCGTTCGTGTGACGAATCCCGAGCTCTGCATTGCATGTAATCCTGAGACATTTCCCGCGGCTTCTTCCAGGAGGCGAGGGAGGCGTCGCGATGATTTTGGAAAAGGTACTGCAAGAAGGGTTCTTGTTTTGGTATGGTCGGGCACACCATTAGACAAGAAATACCTCTCAAGTAACCAGCGTGGCTCCGTGCCTAGTTGTTCGATAGTGCATGTGTTGATCCACTCTTGGTGCATGTCGGCTTGTAGCTGGAGAATATGTGCGGGGATTTTGTTGAGCATCCCAGCTTTCATAAAAGTTTTCAGCAGCTCAAGTCCGTTGCCAGAAATATCACTCTCCTCAAACTCAACACCATAATGTGTGAGTTGAGCACGGACAAAGTCGGGGTTCTCTAATGCTTTCTTGCCTGCAGAAGTGGTCCTTGGTAAAAACAGCTTCTTAAATTGACCAGGTGCAACTGCGATCAGGTTGCCGACCTCTGTTCGGAAAATGCCATGGTCGGAGGTAAAGCCATCACGACGGACTGTATCAGGAAAGCCATCATTGTCCGACATGATCGTAGACATACTGTTGGCGTTTTGCTGTACCAGTGGGACGCGAAGAGGTGTGACGAGGATATGAAGAAGATATGATTAGGCGTCAGAAGATTTTGAAAGATGTGAAGATGTGAAAAAAAAAGTCAAGGATCCAGGAGATGGAAAGAGGAGAACTTATGAGGAGGAAGAGAAGAGAAATATCAATGGTAGATAAATTAAGAGCAACACTGGATTAGGCGTCACCAGGCGACCATGATAGTATGTACTCCGCGACTTCAGACGCGTTTGGATGATAGATAAACAAAATGCAACACTAGGCGTCACTAGGCGACTATGACAGTGCTTCGCAACTTCAGACAGGTTCTGAAGTTATGAATGTATGGGTCACCTTGGAAGTGACAAAGGCCCAAACCCATCTATTGTTTACATGCAGCTGCCAGTGGAAAGCACAGTCACAAACAATGCGGTGCTGCTCTAGTGAGAAGATCTAATTGTCTGCAGAAAATGGGTCTAAGTCCATATGGTTCTATCTACTCAATGTATATACTAACATTTGAATCTTAGATGTTTGTACGCTGCTTCAGACTTCGTTCATACTCAGGCAATGCCCACTTAAGCATCCACTCTGATCGAAGAACTTCATCTGCAGTAGGTCGCCTTTCTGGGCGATACACAAGCATTCGGCGCATGAGGTCCAGAAAGGCAACCTTTTCCTCCTCTTCAATCTCACTTCCCTGCTTCCGCCTCCATTCTTGTACTGCCTCCTCAAACCAGCCATCTAGCGAAGGCCACTTGTTCGGGATGTAAGAGGCAGTCGGCTGCCCATCTTGTGTGAAGAATTAATTTCGGGCTTCCCATTTTCCCCACCAGTCGGAAGGCATCGGTCCCAGTATATCAATATGCTGTGCCACATCTTCATCCTCGGGAACAAATTCATTACTGAAGATAGGTTTCATCCCTATGATTTCCCATAGTGCTGTAGCAAGACTCCATATATCTGATCGATCAGTGAGATGTGTATCCGCTTCGAATTTGGCCTCTGGGGCCCGAGAACATTGTGAGGTATGACAATCTTTCCCAAGCCTGACTTCTAAGGCCGGATTAAAGGCTTCGCCGAAGTCATTAAGAAGAATTTGCGTTTTTGATACCTCGATCTGGTCTATATATCTCCCCAGGAGTAGCGATCGGGCTACCTGAGCTGGAATGTTGGGTGGAAGTGGGCTCTTGCTGCCATTTCTCTGTGTAACAGGAATGATTTGGGGATTTCCATATTTCTTGTAAAATTGATCCACAGAGAGGTTGTCAAAGTTTGATAATGGGGTGAGTAAAACATTGTTCAAATGTATATCTGAAAAGGAGACAAAGTTTAGCATGACTACCTTGATAATCGGATAGATGCTTACTAGGTAGTATTCTGAGCTTTAACTTACCTCCGTGAACATATCCTTGCGAGTGAACATATGCTATTGCCTGAGTAAGGTTATAGCAAATGACTCGAGCAACACTTAACGGAAAAAGAGAAAAAGGAAGCTCTCTTCAGTTACACGCAGCCAGTGGAACTGTATAGCATGTATAAATTCCATTCGGACCCTGTACTTTGAACTCATCAAGAAGTTCGGGAATAAAACGGCAACCAGGAGTATTACACAATGGTGCAGATAGAGCTCTAAGCACCTGTGTCTCGCGCGAGACTGAAGATGCTATATTAACCTTCAGAGCTAAATAGCGTTTGAGAAGATTGTCGTATGTAAGCCAGACCATTGAGTAGCCTCCATGGCCCAGTTTATCCACGATGTTATACCGACCACCCTGCAATGTCTCCCCGACTATCAAAGGATGATAACCGCCGGGCTCATAGTCTGCAAGTTCTTCCACGCCGCGGATCCAGTCGTACTTAATGCGAGGCTTACCCGCTATTCTTTGAGATAATTGTGCAAATGAACGAGAATTTGGCAATCGTGTATGGCAAGGGGATTGTGAAAGTGACAGCAGTGATCGTATCTGGAGCGACGGTACGGGCCTGGGGATATAACGAGCACTTATCCTGGCGTAATTGTGCATGATGTGTTAGGAAACAGTTGATATGACGTAGCAAGTGATCAAAATAGGTCTGACAAAGAATAGGGGAATGGTGCTCTGGAGTGGCCCAGGAGTGATGTAAAAGAAAGAGACATCTACGGCGGCGGATAGCGGCCACCCTGGCCCCTTTACACCTGCAAGGTTAAGATAATAATTATTTTTTGAAGTGAACATTGCGATTGAAGCTAAGGCAGTCTCTCGGGGAAATATTGAACCAAGAACGACGAGCAGTTATGATTTGGATCATGCAAAACTGTCATCGGAACTATATGAGACCTTTCCATCTCATGCCATCATCATATGAAATATGTAGTGAAGACTTTGTCTTCAGGTATTAGTCTCTGGTCTGACATAGCCTCAATCTACCGGTGTTTCATTTTTGACATCTCTGACTCACCTAACATACAGGTACCCTAGTCTGGCGCTATCCCTCATAGATATTGAAGAGGGGAACACCCTAGGCTGTGTGCTCAAAGATACACGGGTCGACCTAACAACAATCACTGGCACCAAACCAACATGCTACCTAGGTAGGTACATACCTAAGGCGAGGGAAAGCTGAGTGGAGTGCGCTTGAGAGGTCAAAAGATGGCACAAAGACGACTTTATAGATGCCTAGAAGACTCAGAGAGTCAGAGTGGAGTTCGTCCCTATACTAATACTTGTAACATCAAGTTGACACGCACAGGTGGTATTCACATGCATAGTATAGGAACTATTTCAACCCTCATATTCATCAAAGCCTCTGAGCAACCTGAATCCCAATATAATTCAATATAGCTATACAGTATACTACAGTATACGGTATATCTATTACACAATGTGTCGAGTTGATGAATATTCTTTATAGTGACACTCCGCCTTATCGCTGACTCAGCTAATCCAGCCAATCAATGCACAACGCCCACTCTGAATTGACCTCATCGTCAAGCGAGAAGCGCAAGATTTCCTGTTCTCGCGCATTTCGTCTTTCACCCAGATCGCTGTGGGATCATCCTCTGGCGGCTGTTATACTGGCTGGATTGGTGCCTTTTTTTCTTGGCCTTTTTCGCTCGAGCCTCGAGCGGCTCTGAATGCTGCTCCCTCTCAGCCCGCTGCTGATTGTGGTTCAAAGATAGTTCTTTCGCCCAACAGCCACCTTCACTGCTACAGGCCGATTTTTCACCCAGCTACATTGAAGCGCCCCATCTCAAGTATTGTCGAAGATTGAATACTGTGACTCGGGAGGATTCTCTTTCCGCTCTCCCCAGTCGGCCTGTTTTTTGCCCGAATTCCTGGTGGACCCCAGCAATTTGAGTGAGTCAAGACGCCAGGGACGATACCCACGAATCGACATTGAATTTTCGACATTGAATTGCCCTCAATATCATTCACCGATACCCCGACCAAATTGATACCTCTTTCACACGCGTCGCACGCTAGCCGATATATTTTCTTCCTAAACCCCGCTCATTCTGCGATACCCAGCACGGACTTGAAACGTCAGATTAATTTTATTAATCTCACCATGACCTCACAAGGCATGACGCGCAAGCGACCAGCACCAGGCACGAACCCTGCAGCTCATCCCCAAATGGGCGCGGTCCCGAACTACACTCCTCCGAACCCGGGCGCTCAGTTATCCAACGATCAGTTCTTGCAGTGGGGCCAAAATCCCTCGACAAATGCCGTGAATACATCTCCATACCAGGAGAACACAGGGTATAATCAGGGATATGCAAACTCTCATGATTTGTCTGCTACGGCCGCGAACAACAACCAACTTGCGCGTCGCCAGCAGCCAAATCAGTTGGTTAGCCGAAATCGCGGGTACGAACAAGCGCCTGTCTCTTATTCTGATCCTAATGCGGGTGGTACTAATGGAGAGTCGGGAGCATGGGGTGAAAGTCTGGAGGAACTGTATGCGCGCGCGCTGACCGCAAAAAGAGAAGCCCAAGCGAAGAGAAAGCAGATCCCACCTTTTGTACAGAAGTTGAGCAGGTCAGTACAAAAGAAAATTCGCGAAAATTTGAAAATGGAAGCTAATCAACTATATAACAGTTTCCTCGATGAGTCTAAAAACACCGAGTTGATTCGGTGGTCCGACGACGGCAATTCCTTCATTGTTCTGGATGAGGATGAGTTTGCGAGGACTTTGATTCCCGAATTATTCAAGCACAACAACTATGCATCTTTCGTACGGCAATTGAATATGTACGGATTTCACAAGAAGGTTGGCCTCTCTGATAACTCCATGCGAGCCAGCGAGCGGAAGAACAAGAGTCCTAGTGAATATGCAAATCCATACTTCAAACGAGGCCATCCAGATCTGCTTTGGTTGATTCAGAAACCGAAGAACGCTGCAGGGCATGCCAGTAAAGGAAGTAAAGGAGGACCCCGTGTGAAGACCGAGGATGTTGATGAGAATGAGCTAGAGGAGTACGGAGATGAGAGTGTGCCTGCTCCTCGTGAGAACCGGCCACGACCTCAACAACTATCTTTGCTCACAGATGGACCCCCGCAATCAGATCAGCTATCAGGAGTTTATCGTGAGCTGCAAGCCATTCGTCAACAGCAGCAAATAATTTCGACCACCATTACCAGATTACGAAAAGAACACGAGCAGCTCTACGCTCAAGCCGCAAACTTCCAGGAACAACACACTCGCCACGAAAACTCCATTAACGCTATTCTTACATTCCTGGCTACTGTGTATAATCGCAGTCTTCAAGGACAAGATGGCAATCAAAACATTACCAACTCCTTTGCTGGTGCTATATCTGGGGATCAAGGGAACATTGTGGACATTGGCGAGGACTTCCCTCTGGGATCACTGGCCGGGCTAACTAGTCCAACTGGTCAAAGGACAATGAAAAAGCAGCCACTGCTTCTGAAAGCCCCTCCTACAACAGATGAAAACACCCGCACCAATACCATTCCCCCAGCACCATCAGCCGCTAGTGGGTCTTATGAGACCAGATCTCGGGGCCATGCTCGCCAGCCTAGCGCCAGCCAATCCGGTCATGTCGAGGAAGTCTTCGATACCAGTCCTCGGCAGAGCAATACCGCTCCGATGGGACAAAAAGCAAATGAAGGCTTTCCTCAGCAGGACATCATGTCCGTTATTCAAAACTCCAATGCACGTAACGGTGTGCCTACCGACTTTACGGATTTCCCGGGCGTCTTGACCTCTCTCGAAACATCCGGCGGCAATGTTCCTCTCACGGCGAATCAGCGGGCAGACATGCTCCGACTAATGGCTCACGAGACGAACACGGCCGACCCTACTGGTCAGGGATCCTCAAACAATGCTCTTATGACACCGACACCACCACCTATGCCTCACAACTATACCAACCGCCTTGCCAGCACCCGTCAAGAGATTGACAACTTGGTGAAAATGCAAGCCGAGCAAGACCGATCCGTCCAAAACCTCACAAATCTTCTACAACCTTTGAGCCCAACGGGTGCTATACCAGGCCTGGATGCCGATGGGAATGGAAACCTTCCCCCGCCTCCACTGGATCTCGACACCATATTCAACAATGACTATTTCACGGATATTGGCGACACGGACAATGACAAGAAACACATGAACTTGGGCGATAATGGTCAAACTTCACAGTTGGGTGGAAACCCACATGAGGCGTTGGGCACAGGTCAAGGTGTTGATGGAGATACCAATGATCTCTTTGATTTTGGACATATCCCGGGAGATGGTGATCTATTTGATGGAACCAACCATGGACATGATCACTACAACTATGGATTTGACGCTTCTGGCTATGGTGGTGAAACAGGGAACATTGACTCAGGGCGAGTGATTGAGCAGTTAACTGACAGCGAAGCTACCAGTCCAGCAACAGCCGAGGATAATCCCGAAGCTGATGATGGAGGAAGTGCGAAGCGGCGTCGGAGGGTCTGATTGCACAGCCCAGCAGAGAGGAGCCAAACTTGGCTCAAACGGAGAAGATTCAAAAAGGTTATCCACGGAGGATTATATCCCAGGTTATCACCGGCGTTCTTATTGTTCATATGGGATTTAGTTGGTTTTGGGCGGGAATCAGGTTGGAATTATGAATTAGCTCGTGGTTAAGCTCAACACCTCAACACCATATGCCGTTCAGTAGTACCTTTCTGCTCCGACATAAACATGATTTTCGGACGTCCTTTGACTTGGACTGACTTTTATTCCATCTTTATCCATCTACACTGTTTCCTCGTAGTGACTACAATGTAACTTATTAGCGCTGATAACAGTCCTATTCTCAATTCACTGAGTATGCTCGGGTGTATATCAATAATCATGGATGCCTCTGAGCAGTTACCGTGGCAACTCGAAATATAAAAATACGGTAATTGGATACAGATTAAAGGCTTGGCGAGTCCACAAATTACCCGATTTGGCTTACTGAGAACCTCAAAGTCAGTACTTCTCTCAGCTCTATCAGAAGATGTTACCATGATATTGATGTAAAAAGAGAGATAAGTATTTCGTTCTCGTCATATAAATCAAGGCTATCCTTAGTTACACTCAAAATCCATGAGGATATCAATTGTTATAATGCCATTCTTGTAGGAAAAAGAATGAAACCTCCTGATAGGTCTGAAATATTACAGGCTGTATTTATCCGTAATTATGATAGGCCAAATTTAACCCTTCATAACATCTCTCCGCCTTGGGGTACAAATCAAACAACATCTGTGCTATTGACCACAGAAGCATTCTGAGGGCAGTCTCACTCAAATTGAAAACGCAAATTTACAGTATTGGGACCATGGCGACTAAGGCGCTTGAGGCTCGCTTCAGGCATATGTCTGTTCATGATGAGAATGATGGGTATGATAGAAGTCATTTGCAAAAAATCAAGGTACGAACATTTCAGGCTCAAGCAGGTATTGAGCACACCTAATGCCCGGATCAGGTTGCAACTGCCAGCACACGCCCATCAGAGAGCACCACATCTGTATATAAACAGAAATGCACAACCGCAGATCCACCAGCTTCACCAGAAAACGGAGGAAGGTCTCTCCGAGCTCGAAAGCCTCTTTCGGTTATTTCGACACAGATAAATGACGATGTTTCCAAGGCGGACAAACACCGAAGCCCTGATTTCAAACGAGGTGCTGAAGACAAGAGCAAAAAAGTCACTTTGCAGGCTCGACATCCCCTTTCCGTGGTTATAACGTCGACATCAGATGCGGAGTTCAAGGCAGAAGACCGCGATGCTGGTGATGTAAAGACAAGGAGCATGGCCACCAAAACCACTGCTTCCAAGCTCGCACAATCAGGAAGTTCTCAATCTTCGTCTCTAGCTCGACTTGCCCTCACTGCTACTCTTCCAGAGAGGCCCAAGGCAGCAGTGACAGAAGAACACCACGTTCCGTTGATAACACAACCTTCTCCCAAGGCATGGCATCTAGGGATGTTTGAAATCGGCAAACCCCTGGGGAAAGGGAAGTTTGGCCGCGTCTATCTTGCTCGAGAACGAGACACAGGCTTCGTTTGCGCGCTGAAGGTCTTACACAAGAATGAGATCCAACAAGGAAGAGTCGAAAAGCAAGTCGCACGTGAGATCGAGATCCAGAGCAATTTACGCCATCCCAATGTCCTCCGACTGTTCGGCCACTTTCATGATAAGAAACGAATCTTTTTGATCCTCGAGTATGCAGGCAAGGGAGAATTATACAAGCATTTGCAAAAAGCAGATCGGTTCCCTGAGTGGAAGGCTGCGCAGTACATGTCACAGATGGCGAGTGCTCTGAAATACTTGCATCAAAAACACGTCATTCACCGAGATATCAAGCCTGAGAATATCCTTGTTGGTCTTCATGGAGAGCTGAAAATGTCAGATTTTGGCTGGAGCGTTCATGCACCAAGTGGGCGTAGACTCACACAGTGTGGAACTCTAGATTACTTGCCCCCAGAGATGGTCGATCCAAAGAGATGTGATAAGCCTTATGATGAGAAGGTGGATCTATGGTCGCTGGGTGTTTTGATGTACGAGTTCATTGTGGGTAGGGCGCCTTTCGAGGACACACCTGCTATAACACAAAGACGAATCGCTAGGGCGGATATGACGATTCCTTCGTTTGTTAGCCTCGAAGCTCAGGATCTTATCAAAAAGGTGAGCCTCCACTCGTTCCCAAAAACAGTCTCAATCCCAATACTAACTATGGTTCAGTTACTTGTGCTTGATTCAGCCCGAAGAATTTCTTTAGATAAGCTTCAACAACATCCCTGGATTCTCAAACACTGTCAGAAAGCTGGAAGTCAAGAGGAGTCTTGACTTACGATATCACGATCTAATAAATCATGTACTATTAGTTTTGCAGCATTTCCCTGGTTAACTCCGGCGCATAGGGGATCCGGATGACATCTTACAATAATTTCAACAACTGCTCCTATACCTTTCCAAGGTTGCTAGGTATGCTCAAGCGTAAAACTCACTTTATTATTTTAGTTTTTCAAATAGTAATAATATTATATACAAGAATTTTAATACAATGTGTTCCCCAGAGGTCATAGAGAGTCTGTTTTCAACATCTTTATAAAAACTTAAAATAATAGAGTGTAAGAGAGAAAATAGATGCTATATCTAGTGATTATAGGTACTATAGATAAGGATGAAGTAAGAGTAAACTTGAAGTTATCAGAGAGAGTGAGTGTGAGAAGGAGAAGAGCAGTATTAGTAGGTAGAGGTGGTCTCCAGGCCTGACTTACCAAATAAGAGTCCATGCGGGAGGTCTGGGACTTTTGAACATGCCCCTAACACAGTGTAGACACAGTTTTGAAAATTGAATAGCGGTAATACCGTTCGAAGCGAAATTAACGTGTTGGTATTATTTTCGATGAAAAACACGTTCTGATGCCATCTTGGCTTTATTGATATGTTTTGGAGATAAAATATATGTTGAAGAGCTTAATATGTTAGACTATTAAAATATTATTCTATTTTAGAACTTATTATAGGTTAGAATATGGCACTAAAATAGATGTGGCCTCTGATATGGCTATAACATAGCCTAGAAAACACTACTATAGCCTCTAGGGCTGGAAAATAGCCTGTGGAATTGTCTGTGTTGAATTGCCTGTGGAATTGCCCGTGTTGAATTGCCCGTGTTGAATTGTTTGTGGAATTATCTGTGGAATTTCTTTTTGTGGAATATATGGTCTGTATAAGATATAATCTAGGGTGTGAAGCTGTTAAAATAATGTAGATGGTGTAGTTGGTAAACTGTAGCTGTAGTGTTGTAGATTGTAGCTTGTAAATCGTAGATTGTAGGTCCTGGGCTCAATTCTCCTGTAGATCAAAAGAAAAAAAGAAAAAAGCTGCATTGTAAAGCAATAAGAAAGGAAGGAACTAGAAGTATGAAGCTATATAGATAAAAGTTACCAGACTCAAAGTTGGCCTGTACCAGCGTGTACCAGTTTTTTTTTCAACACATTTTCTATCTGAACACATGCCCAACACATTTAAATAATTATCTAATATATCTACCCTAAGGTATGTGTTATAAGTGCTAAAATATCTTCGGTCCCAACACTCTACCACCGCTCTTTAATTTTTCAACACATATTTTATTTTAAATAGTGTCTACACTGTGTTGGGGGCATTTTCAAAAGTCCCAGACCTCCCGCATGGGTATATACCGAGTATGTAGGTAAAGAACTAAAGTGCTCATTCAATTGATATCACCCTTGAAATTGATACCTACTATCTACAACTACCCACTATATCTCTTCTCTTTCTCTCTTTCTCTCTCCGAGTCTTTCTCTCCAAATTCTACTGCTTCCTTACTAGCACCTACAGCCTTCGATATTCCTACCGCCTCATTGATCTAAGGGTATTACCAAATCCCATCATGATGTTGACCGAACTTCCTCCGGAGTTGCTCGATGCTGTGATTGAACAAGTAAGTCACCAGTGCCCTTTTTCTCTGATCACACCAGCTTACGATTGAAGATTCCGAGCCGCAGAGACCTGGAGCGACTTTGTGAAGTGTGCATTTGTCTCTATGGTAGGACTATGCCATTTCTCTACCGGTCTGTGGTTTTATCCACACAACCTGGTTCATTGGATGAAGTAGCTATGGTCCTGCAGCGAATATCACAGGGATGTTCGCAATACACCAAAGAATTCGGCTTCGAACTTCTCGTTAACCTGGATCCTCCAGCTTACTTCAGAAAACCAGGCTGTCCTCACCATTTCCATGGGTTTGTAGGTCACAACATTTCTCTCTGAATCTTTACTATGGAAAGAAATATGGCTAACAAACCAGCACAGGACCGCAATTCAGATCCTTTCTTGAAGTTCAATCAGACATTAGATCTTATGAGGTTTCCAGACAATCAGTTACAGAGCTTTCGGTAAGTACTCTGGGTATTTCGTCTAATGTAATTTACTAACAGGAACTTAAATCCAGATGGGACTTAGCAACATGCCTCCCCAGCATTATACTTTGCAACAAAGACTCGTTTCTCGGAAATCAAGGAAACCTCCGATCTATTAGCTTGATCACAGATGGCGGATGTGTCGAAGATACACCGAGCCTCGTTGACCGTGACCTTGTCCAGCTCAAGAAGTTGCAGTCCCTGAGATGGGTAGGACTAAATCAATATCTCGATTTCGAGTCCGTCAGTGCTTTTATCAAAGCCTATGGCCATCAACTTAAGTCCCTCACGCTTGACCTTTTAGATGGATTCGGTGAAGAGATGTGGACTCGTGGATTTCTACCCCATGGACAGACCTCCGAGCGCGAAAAAATTCCCATTAATTTTTTCGCGGAAAGGGTGATCAATGTCAACCCTGGAGACCGCAGGCTAGTTTTTGATTCTCTTGAGAATCTTGATCTGACAGCTGTGTGGTGTTTTTATGGCATGGGATATGAACTGATTCATGCCTTCAATATCGAAAACTTGAAGAGTCTCAGGTTGCGGCGCTGTCCGGGATCTTTGAGGTGGCTACGAAAGATCCTCAAGTCAGGGAAATCGATGAGCCTAAAATCCTTTGAATTTTCCAGTCATACCCAGTCTGAAGAGCTTCTTCATGAACTTAAATATCTTGGTGGAGATAAACTTAACAAGATTACAGAGGTCATCAGCGGTATCATTCACCACAATGTTGACTTGGAGAGTATTCACTTGATGCTTCCTTCAGGTATTGATTGGGCCACTCTTGCAGATACACTACTAGTATCAGGTCATCATCGTCTCGTTGATATCGTTATGCACCCCCTTCATATCGCATCAAATCCTATGTCGCGGCTTATGGTTGGATCAGGGCATATCGTGGATGATATCTTATCATGGGAAGGATCCAGCCTGAAATCCTTAGTGCAAGGAAGCCGATTGACCTGCTTCGGATCTACCGCCATCCCTCGAGACTTAGTATGTAATTGATAGCCAATCTTGAGTCTGATATAATGACTGACTAATACTAATGAACAGACCCATCACTTCCAAAAGATGGAGCCAAGGCCATCCTTTAAAGTACTGCATCTGAGGGTCAGCGAAGTGCTTCTTAGTTATGGACCATCAAGCTTTGACTGGCACTCTAGGTACAAGAACATACAAGATCATGCTGGGTACTTTTCCATGAAATTCATTAAGTCTATGAGTGACCTTTTGGGTGAGGAAAATGGTAAGCCAGCCTCACTACCTAGTATCACATAGTATCATCCAGACAACAGTAAAAAGATTAATAAAAGCTGACTCCATTACCACGTGCAGATTTCGATGAAGATTTCCAAGTTGATTTTCGAGATGACCCCAATGAGATTTTCAGCTTCGCAAAATGGGCCTTTGGCGTTGATGGCCTGCCAAACCTTCAGGTGATTGCCGGAGGGGATTTCGCATACCAGGGCCGCTACTCGACGGTCAACATTATGCTTTGCAGAGCAGATAATGCCTATGGGTATGAAGTTCTGACTCCAACCAGTGAAGTCTTTCAGGGATATCTTCAGGAGAACATGGAAATGCTGGGAGCTTGTCCGTGGAGAGATATTATGTAGCTTGGCACTGGGAGATGATACTAGGTGGTGATGATTTGGACTTCTACTAAGTTGCAGACACATAGCATGATTTGAACTTCAATATTCTCGACATCCATTGACCGTGATGCAGACATTTTAGCAGCAAAATTTGAACTTTTTCAAAATGTTGAAATACATATGCATAAATTCCAGATATTTCATGTGTAGGATTACTTGACGTAGTAGAAACTTCAAGTTGAACATTTGAAGGGCTGGGGCATATATGCCAGCGTTGGTAGCTAATAAAACGTCAAATCACCACTGGTTGCTGTCTACATGGTCACTTAGATCCTCTTTTTTGGTATCTTCAAACTTCGAATTTCCCACCTCTTAATCAATGTAAGAGTATTACCGAATCTCATAATGATGTTAACCAACATCTGAACCCTTGGAAACTTCCTTTGAAGTTGCTTCATGATGTGATGACGTTTATCTCATGTCTCCACTATTGAAAGAAAGATGATTGACAAACCAGCACAGGGCCCCTAATCCAAATCCTTTCTTGAAGTTCAGCCGCATATCAAATCTTTTGAGGTTTCTAGATGACCAGCTACAAACATTTGAAGCTTTTGATATGTTTCTAGGTGTCTATTTTAATATAATCTATTAATACTTTTATTAGATATTTATGTGTTTTATCATAATAGAGAGTTTGTTCTCTTTACCTTGATACAAAATTAAGGATAAAATGTGTGTGTGTGAGAGAGAGAGAGAGAGAATATGTGTCAGGTAAATATAGATACTAAAAGTAAAGATAAATTAAGTAGGAAAGAGAAAGAGAGTGAGATTGAGAGTACGAGAAGAGGATAATTTGGAAGAGAATAAGTGGGGTTTAACATAGCAAATAAAATTAGACAAAGAACAAAGACCTGGAGAACTCGTTCAGTCGATACCTACCTAGCACCTATAATTACCCACCGTATCTCTTTTTTTCTTTCTCTCTTTTCTACTTATTTTATCCTGACTTCTAGCTCTTACAACTACCTGACATATCTCTCCTCTCTCCTCCATACCCAACTGATTCCTCACCAGCATATACAAACCCAGAAATTCCATCACTTGATCAATTCGTGAGTATTACCCAACCAACATCATCATGTTGACCAAGCTTCCATCGGAACTGCTAGATATGGTGATTGACCAAGTAAGTCAAAACTAGTATTGCATTCTAACCTTATTACACTTCCTGATGATTGAAGATCTCCAGCCGCGGGGACCTAAAGCGACTATGCGAAGTCTGTGGGCATCTCTATGGAAGGACGATGCCATACCTCTATCGCCGGTCTCTGACCTTGTCCGCACCAAACCTCTCATTGGATGACTTGGCTGTCGCTTTTGAGGGCATATCACGCGAATATTCACGGTACACGAAAGACCTCGGCTTCAATATTCCAGCCCATCTCATTGCTCCAGGGTATAGGGAAGGCTTTCCTCGTTGTGTCCATAAAAGCAGTGTGAGTCATGAAAATTAATTCAAAGCCCCCATTGATCAAAGAATTTGCGTTAACAGGCCAGCACAGGACGGTGTTGCAGACCCTTTTTCAATATTGAATCTTGCGTTGAGTTCTCCGAGTCTGAGATTCCCTGCTGATCAGTTGGAAACTTTCCGGTGAGTTCAAGTTTGCCGCGTATATCTCACCATTACTATACCTACTTACACACTGATAATTCTAGATGGGAAGTACCAACATGTATCCCAAGCAATCTCTTTTGCGGCAACGACGCGTTCCTTAGAAACCAAAGAAATATTCGATCCATCACCTTGATCACGGATAGCATATGCCCTGCAAATGTAATGACACAGAACGCCGTGGATCTGGTTCAGTTCAAGAAATTACAGTCGCTGAACTGGAAAGGGCTGAATCCATTTGGCAACTACAAGGCTCTCAGTGCATGTATCAAAGCCCACGGCCATCAAATCAGATCACTTACGCTTGACATTTTGAGTGATATTCATGAAGATCATAAATGGCTCCGTTCATACCTCGTCCACGAAGAGGGCCTCACCCTGCCTGCCGTGTATCCCCCCTAACTTTCTCGCGTTGAAGGTGTTCAATCTTGAACGAGGGAGTCGAAGGGTCATTTTTGATTCTCTTGAGAACCTGCATCTTACATCTGTATCCTTTGGCAACATGGAGCTCGAAATGATTCATGCTTTCAATATCGAGCAACTAAAGAGTCTCAGGTTGCGGCGCTGCGGGTCATCCTTGAAGTGGCTACAAGAGATACTAAAATCTGGGAATTCAATGAACCTGAAATCCTTCGAATTTGCCGTTCGTCCCTCGTGGGGGCACATCTCCCGCCAAATGGGGACTTTCCAGATTACAGACATTATATGTGGTTTCATCCGTCACAATCCTGAATTGGAGAACCTCTCTCTAATGCTTCCTGAGGATTGTGATTGGGCCACCCTTGCAAATACGCTATCAAGTCATCATCATCTGAAGCACCTTGTTATGCACAAATTGGGTGTTGCCCCTTCAATGCATTTTGGAAACACAAAAGTCATGGACGCCAGTATACCATGGTCTGTCCCTCTGGAATCTCTCTTAAGTGGAAACCAATTGACTTCATTTGGATCTCCCACCCCTCCTGGAGATTTGGTATGTATCTGTCACCAATATTTGAATTGAAACAATTATTAACTAAAAAAAAAAAACAGAAGTTTCACTTTCAAATGATGAAGCGGAGGCCATCTTTGAAGCTGATACATTTTAGGATCAGCAGCGTGTTTCTGAAGAGTATAGTATCATGGTCTGAGCCCGACTGGCACTTTACGTATAAGAATCTACATACTTCTGAATACTGGGGTACCTGTCGCGATGGTAAGTTCGCCCCTTTACTACAATAACAGCTGAGCAAAATTCAAATATGGATAAAAACTAATGGACGTGTACAGGCTCCGACGACGCTTCTGAGGAGATATTCAGCTTCGCAGAGTGGGCTTTTAGCGCGGATGGGCTTCCAGACCTCCAGATAGTTGCTGGTGGTGACTTCTCTTACCAAGGCCGCTATTCAAAGCTTAACATCATTCTGTGCAGATCTAATAATACCAGAGGCTATGAAATTTTGACTCACCCCAGTGCAAGTTTTGAGAGATATGTACACGAGAACAGGAAGATGCTATCAGCTTGTCCTTGGGATGAGATATTGTACAATAAATCGTGGTGGTGGGATGATTGATATGGATACCAGACACATGGGCACGCATAACTTCTTACAGGGTTAACTCATTTCTCAAGCGTTGAAGTTCCAATAGGTTAAGAATAAACAATTATGACCTGCATTGATTTTCGACGCATTGCACACATATTGACTGTAGCTCAAGCCTTGAGCTGTTCTCGGCACTTGGCCCCCACATGGTCTCAGCGCTTAGTCTCCACTATAATTGGAGATGTTTCAGAAGACCCTGAAATGATAACACTGGATGAAAAGACTCAATTATAATTTCAAGTTATCACTAGTATTTCAGGTTTAATTGCCCAGCTTTTTAGTGGCGGGTGGCTGCTATCTATATAGCTTAGCATAATCTATACTCCGCATACTCTGTGAAATTGATAACATTTGAACATTTGAATGCTCCAGCTTAGGGGCTGAAAGTACTTAAATAGATGTCAACTGGCGAGCGCTAATGTACTCAATAAGCCCAATCACACGAGGGAACACTACCTCGTGGGGGTGAGATCGCCAGATATTGCCAGGATTTCACTTCGCAGTTAACTAAATTAACTAAACTAGTCTCCATGTATGTAGTCTTTGTTAAATCCTATGTTAAATCCTTAAAGAGAAATGATTCCCAGGGACAAGAAATACGGACTGGACTCGGAGACTGGACTCGGATTCTTCTGCGTTCGTCCTACTCCGATTTCGATTCCGCGTTCAACTCGTTTACGTCAATCCAAACTTTCATTCATATAATCCCTGAATCCTATTTATTGTCATTCTGTTTTATAATTATCATAATCCCCAGATTCTCACAAATTGTACTTCTTATCACTTGGGCATCTATCACTAATATAAATCATGCCCAAATCATGACCTGGTCGAATACAATCATGCGCCGGGCCTCTGAGTCCGGCGCACCCACCCGATCCCGAATATTCATTTATCTCGCCCTCGCCGTCATCACCCTCCTCTTATCATATCAGCTGGTTCTGAATCACGACTCTCTAGGTGCACTAAGCCCCTGGAGATCATCCACCGGATCGCCATCCGATACAACCGCAACAGCAAATACCGAACATATAGATGGATGGGCCGGGTCAGCACTGAATGGCACTTTACAAGATGCAGTAAAGGCAGCGAGTGCGGGTGCAAGCGCAACTGCGACAAAAAGCGCAATAATATCATCACCACCATCATCGATTTCCGAACCACCAATTCAGGGCCCCCACCCACTGGCAAATGAAAAGGAATTGGTCATCGCAGCAATGCGTAATAGTGATATGTCTTGGGTAGACCATAATCTCCCCGATTGGCCTAAGAATATCTATCGCGCAGATGTACCACCTGGTGAGGCTGAGTTCACAGTTCCGGAGAATAAAGGCAATGAAGCGATGGTATATTTAACGTAAGACCAGGAATCCTGGATAACATCGGGCGCATGATTGAACTAAAATAAAATCTATTAGTTACCTGATCGATCGGTACGACTCCCTTCCAGATGTGATGGTCTTTGTTCATGGAGGTCGATATCAATGGCATAATGATAACCCCTTATACGGTACGTACCAAGAACCCACAAACATGAATCCATACTGATAATCATTAGACTCCGTCATCTCAATTAAAGACCTCCAACTTCCATTCGTGCGTCAATCCGGATATGTGAATCTTCGATGCGCCTGGGCAATCGGTTGTCCGGCCGAACTCGAACCAGCTCGATATCTCCGTGAACGACCCGATGATGTAGGTCATCCGACCGCGATGGAATTCCCGAACGGATTCATGGAATTATTCCCCGGAGAAGAAGTACCTGAAGTGGTTGGAGTTCCATGTTGTAGTCAATTTGCATTATCGAGGGAAGTTGTGCATGCAAGGGGGAAAGAACAGTATGAGCGGATGCGGAAATGGTTAATCGAATCACCACTGGATGCGGGGACAAGTGGTCGCATATTTGAATATGCTTGGCATAGTATGCATTCCATTGTGATTCCAAGGTTACTGTGGGATTATGCTAATGATTTTCTTTAACAGTAATGTTTGGAAAACAGTCACAGTTTTGCCTTGACATGGCTGAATGCTATTGCAATACTTATGGTTATTGTGATCTGACTCCAGAACAGATCGCTAATCAATGGGTTTGGCGTGGATTGATCTTGCCAGAAGGTTGGCCTGGATTATCAGAGCCCGAACGAGTGCAGGAACCAGAATGAAAAGTCTACATAATTTACTATTTACTGTATATTAGTGGGAGGATTCTTGTGTACAGCTAACCACAAATATCAACATATATTGAAATCAAAATATGCAAATCGCAGATACATTCATTCATGAACTGCATCTTTCCAACTTGAGTCTTTTGATAGAGAAATCACCGCCACAAATCCTGTCGACTCGCTCGCTTATAACCCCCACTACTCTTCGGTCGATCATCATCTTCCGGTACAGCCAGGAATCCACCAAACCCATTACCCACAAGCACACTCTTACGCGCTTCACCTCCCCAGGACCGGTTCAACTGAGCTTCCTGGAAGCTCACCGGACGGGTCCTGGAACTATGATGACCCAACCCAGAGTCCGGCTCATATGGAGTAAAGTTCCATTCCAGTTCATCCAGACCTTTACTATAGACATTCAACGGCTGGGAAAGTCCACCAACCCTTCGAGGACCACTCTCTCCACCACCAAAAAGTCGGGGAGGAGGGGCGAGCAAGAGGGTATCGGGGAATTGTGCGTCGCGGACATAGATATCACGGAGTGAGGGTAAACATCGAGACATTAGACATGAAATCAGATATGTATAGTAGGAGTTTGCTGCTGGGGGTAGCCCGTGGGTCTCTACCTCAGAGGTAATTTCATAATGCAAGAGCCGCAATGATTGCGATTTTAGAGGCGGTATTTGCTCATTGGGGAACGAGCGAGAGACTTCCTGCGTGATAGAAAGATTGCGGAGCTGCGGCGCCGCTGCAAGAATACGGTGAAGGGTGGATGGGAGCACGCCTGTAGACACAAGACGGAGGTCTTGCAACGCAGAGCGAGTACTCGGTGCGGAGAGGAACGAAACGAGCCCATTCGCTGTGAGTTGGGGCGTTTCTCGGATGGTGAGTAGCTCCAGTGCAGGAAAGGGAGGCAACGTTGAATTAGCTTCAAAAGCAGAGTCATCAAGCCATGGAAGATCTTCCAAGGTGAGGTCTCTCAGCCTAACGAATGCTGCGAGACCATTGCGAAGGATCCCCGCATCGATGTGTAAGCCCGATAGCTCTAATTTCTCCAAATTTGTCCAGCGCGAAGCTTCATGAAGTCGCGCAAAGCTTCCTTCGGCTCCATGTCTATAGCTCATTTGTCGCAGGTCCGGACAAGAAGCCATTAACTCTTGCTTCAGAGTTATACATGACGCCTCATCGCTAAACAGTCCGGTCGGGAGATCGACATAGCGAAGTAAAGGAAGTACCGAGATGGTTCGGGCAATATTGGGCTTATTGGCCTCGCGGGTCATATAGGGCATTCTAAGGGATAAGACCAGCTTTCCCAGATCCCGTGATTCACGAACGGCGCGCATAAATAGCTCGAGGCGGACTTGGGGTGCATCGACGTCGCCATTACGGTCAAAGAAAGATCGTCGTTTTCGTTTCGCAGCTAAGGTGACTTCGAGCTCGCAGTAATGAACTGTGTCAATTCGGACATTCGTATATCTTTTGAAACTCGATGGTTAATGACTCGAATAAAGGACAACAAAGAAGAAAAAAAAGCGACGAGCAGCTACATACAACAGTAAATGTGCCTCAGGATACCAGTGCCTACAGACTTGAGTGCAGTGTGCCAGATCTCGCATGTCACATAGCATGCATCCATCGGTCATCGAGTCCTCCGAAGTCTCATAGGAATAATCGAAGGCATGGGGACAGATGAAACCAAATATGCGAGCCAACACAGCGCGGGGAAGCTTCCTAGTAACATCGCGACCGGTAGAGTGGGGCGGAGTTGGCGGTTCGGTCGCAGGAGTCCCTGCACTGCGTCGACTACGCCTGGGACTGGACTTGATTTTATCGAATAAGCCCATCCTGTATAGTCAGTGTGGTTAGAAGGAGAAGATGAGGAGAAGGGGAATTGAAGAAAGGAGGAAAGAGGGAAGAGATGACAGAAACGAACATCGGGGCATGAACGTTGCGATTTGATGCAGGGCCCGCTCCTGAGCAGGGATGAAACACCCAATGAAAGCCGGCGCGGGCGCTTGATCTTCTGTGGCGCCCATGACTTTTTTTTAGCCGTGTTTCTGCATGACCATCACACTCTTCTCCAATTGTGTACGAGTAAGGAGTATGAAGAGGAAGATATAGAGCTTGATGTTCAATGATGAAGTGGGCCCGGCGTCAGGCACCGCCCAATGAAGCTATGAGAAGAGATCCATCCAGACTGCTTTCCCACTGGTGGAACCAGAAGCCAGAACGATCTGGATTCTTTGGCATCAGGGACTCGGGGAGTATTAACATGACATCACTAGATATCACTAAATGATGATAATATGGGGTGTGAGAGTGTTTAATGGGAGGTGAAACAGGAAAGGGAATTCTAGATGGGATAAAGATATAAGTCACGCGAGTCATAGTATTGGCAGTCTGAGCTAATAGTATTGCTCTACTCTACCTAGGTACACAATTTTGACATTTTCAATCCTGACATCATTGATCTCAAGTTTATAAAATAAATTGAGATTGATCTTGATTCTCTTTGATTTTTTTGAATTACAATCTCAAGGGCTTACTCTCACCTTCTATCAAATTACCATCATGGCTGAAATGGGCATTTGCTCTACCGAGAATTCACTCCCTTCACCAGCTTTCACAAATAATCCATCAGAGGATACTCTACATGGGGAAGACTGGAAACATCGCCCTCCATATCATATCCAAAATGAAAAAGAATTTGGTCCCGTCAAATATAAAGGATCATGCCAATGCGGAAGAATCACCTATGCCTTGAAACGCGCCCAACCATTAAACTCCAAGTTCTGTCATTGTCGAGGATGTCAAGTCATGCACGGAGCACCTTTTCAATGGGCAACAATCTTCCATAAAGAAGATATCTCCTTTGCTAAGGGCTCAAGTGGTCTTGCTTTCTATTCCGCGGGACATAAATCTCAAAAACATGAGACTCCCACCAAAGTGTCGTGTGACTTCTGTCATACCCTCATCATGGATGAAGGACGCAATATGTGCTTGCTTTTTCCACAGTCTATTCGATTCCAGGGCTCATATGACGAGCAGCGAAAACAACTGGAGGCATTAAAGCCCTCGTGAGGACCTCTCTCCATCATATCTGGGAAGCCTGTTGCTAATAATCTTCAGGTGTCATATCTTTTATGAACAACGTATGTTTGATTTCCCAGATGGAACTCCCAAATGGTCTGGGATGGATGGACATAGCCAGCTACTTGATGATGCTGGTCAGCCGATAAAGCAATAAAGGGGGATTCACATTCTTGAGACGACGTGACGAGACAGTATAGAACATGTTGTTCATTTTTAGATCAATTGAAAAAGTTCCCAAGTCATTTATTAAATCAAATGATGAGAGTCTTGAGACTGGAAAGATGGTGTTAAATTTCAGCTTTATGCTAAGGCGAGTAACGGGTACCTTGGGAATATGAACCCTGAACTCTCTCAAACTCCACCAATCCACTATACATTCCGATTATTCCAAGGTTGCCAGTCTATTTCGTTGAAGGGATGACCTCCTATCGGCCACTCCGTGCTAATGTACCACCCCTTCAACGCGATGTGACCTTTTCAACTCATAATCTCCCAAAGTGGAGAGACGTCTTCCATTATTCCCTCGGGAAACTCTCTTTCGCAACCTTCCACCGAATTTGCTTTAATACCCTCTTGGCATCACCCTACCCTCGAACCAGGAGCTACCCGTGGGCTTCACCATATCTAATCACTCTTTACAGAACAATGTGGCTCAACTCCCTAGCTTGCATCGCCATACTATCTGGCCCAGTCGCTGCCCTCACGCAAATAACTGATGATGAGATGAACTATCTCCTCGACTCCGATGGGCTCGACCTCGCTAATCTCTATGCTCCCATATGGTTCTTCGGTCAAGCGATGGACCAGCCCCCTTGCTATCCAACATGGGCATTTGGTGGATCACCAACCACACCCGATATCTATAACAACGTCTCCAAGACACCAGCAGCACCACAATGCGAGTATCCCAATGTTGGATGTCATTGTCGCAATCCCGGTGTAGATATTGGGAACCCAGGGCCTCCATTTCCAATCTACTACACTTTTCACCAATGCAACGACACAGAAATCCGTGTGGTCTACAATCTCTTCTATGAGAAGGATGGTGCAAAAGCCGGGTTTATCGAGACAGGCCATAATTAGTAAGTTGTGGTAAACTGTGACTCGATACAAAATCTCACATTCTTGAAGTGACTGGGAACGCGTGATCATCATTCATTCGCGTGACGACAATGATATGTGGGCACCTTCGCGTGCACTACTATCTGCGCATAGCGGATATCATAATCTAGCTTGGGGTCATATTCACAGTACTTTGAGCACTGATCAAATCAATGCTGGCCAAGCGAAGAGCCCAGATGGTATCCGGAATGAAGATCATCCCAAAGTCTATGTTGCGTGGTCAAAACATCCTAATTTTGATACGCGAGAAACAGGATTTAACGATCCCATCAGTCAGTCGCTAGATGATGCTTTTCGCAGCGATGATTGGTGGCACTATGTTGACCCTCAATATTATGTATGGACAAGCCCCTGATCAAGCTATAAGAGATTCACTAACTGAAGAGATAGATCCTATCTGACAATAGCACAGAAGCCGGACAAGCGCTTGGAGCTACGAATTGGGGAAGTGCCACGAGTAATCCACCGCTGGTTCAGGCCCATGTCTGTCATGCTTCATAAGAATGATAATATTAGGATTCATGAGTTTAAACAACTTAAACAACTTGAACAACATCTAAACACATCTTCTTAGACCCACTTGTGAAATAATTACACCCCGTGTTGACAATATATTAGACCTCTTTTACTCCTTGGGTTCCTACACGTTTACTTATCGAAGGAGAGAGGCAGAATCAGCCTACAGCCCTGGAGCTTATCTCTAGGGCTGCCAGTTGCCTATATCCAACTATTCACATGTAGCAGCTAACCTTCCTTCCCCTTCAGGTAACCCCGTACGTACTTACATAAAAAGAGATGTAGGTCATCAGTCACCTCTAGACATCTGGGTGCTTCTGACTGCGCCGTACTTAATTATGTGAACACACCTAGCCAAGTACTTCCAAGGTTGAGCACTTGAGTGCTTGGGACATACCTAGGTATCTTTCCCAATTTCACTAGTACAGTGCGTGGGGTGAGGACTTGTTAAATAATTACATCCCTGTTGGAAAGGATTTAATATCATGATATTAAGTATCCATCCGCAATCTCAACACATAAATAATCTTAACGTTCTAAACACTTTCTCCCCTTATTTAAGCAATGTCAATAGTCAATAGTTCTAAGATTAAAGAATTAAACAGTTAAACAGCACTTTAAACAGCCCTCCAGGGCTCCAGTACTTGAGGGCTGGAGTTAAAACACCCTCAAGTTTTTGAGACCCACTTTCATCCCTTTTTTAAACACTTTTAATCTCATTTCAATACTTTTAATTAAACAATTAGACACTGGCACTTTCAAGTGTTAAAAAAAGAAAAGAAAAGAAAAGAAAAAAAAGAAATTCTGAATGGGGAAGGAATCAAACCCCCGGCTGTCGTCTGAGGAGTATGCACATGCAATAGGTATTAGCCACTGGCACTACACAAAGAATCCTTGTACTAGATTTTGAATGTAGAAAGGTTATGACGAGCTCCTCGAAGCCTCGAATGGCTCTTGTAATATTGAAAGGTGGCATAAATCTGTAGCATTGGAGATCGCTGGTCATAATAAGCAACTGACATCTGGATCAATCAAGGTATAAGTGGCTAGCTATATGGCATATGATTCACCCCGTTCCAAGGTTCAAGTTGCTCCAGATGCCACTATCCATTGAAATACCATAAATCACAACTTAATCTGAGCCTTCGTTTCAATATTATATATCTTAGTCCAATTAATTCAATTGGACCACCGAGAAGAAAGCAATTCAGCTTGAATGGTCGACTGTCGAGGATACCTCAGTAAGCATACTTGATTTGACCGTGAGGAGCCTTCTTGTTCAACCGTCCGTAATATAGTCGCATGAGAACACAAGTGACCGAAACAAGAAGAAGCAACGCCGCATTTGTCCAGTGACCGGTGGGATATCCTCGTTTCACCTGATCACTCTTGTAAATCCAGACACCAACAATCTGGCCAGGTGCTCCGAAGGAGATATTCAATGCAATGGCCAGTCCAATCTCAGCGGACGAGTGAATATTGGAAGACAACCAACCTAAAAGAGGAGGGATGCAAGAAAACGCCCCAGAAGCAGCAACTATTAAACATCCATATCGATGCTGATTGAATTAATAGTTAGTAACTATTCAACTTTTAACAATGATGGTAGTCAAGAAATTATTTACCAGGTAAGCGTCCGCTGGGAGAACTGCTGAGGCTAGGAAACCCATGGCACCAATGAATGCAAAAACTGCGGAGTGAATGCTGCGGCTGTATTTGACTATTATTAGCATTGTCACATATCATCACAGAATTCCAAATTTGATGAGAGGAATGGAGAGAAAATCTTACGCGTTAAAGTGGTCTGCAGACCAAGAAACTGCAACAGTTACGACGTACGCCACCGCATATGGTGGAACAGTCATCAATTGGGCTTCAAGGTTTTCGTAGCCTAGACCAGCGACAATTGTGGGTGTGAAAAGTGACAGGCTGGAGAAGGGGGTGGAAATCCCAAAGTAAATCTAAATATCTGTCAGCTATCGTGATTCGTTTTGGGAAATTTCCATCAGATGTCCATACCAGATAATGGGCATAAAGTCGCCACTCGGTCAAGACAGACTTAGCGTCGCTCCAAGTCATCGACTTTCTTTCACTATCGGTCTCCTCCACAGAAAGTCTCTGTGCTGCTAATGCCTTTTCCTCGGAGGTCAAGAAATTGCATGTCTCCGGATAGTCTGGGAGAATGAACCAAACAAGGAATGCAGATGCACAGGAAGGAGCTCCCTCAATGATGAAGAGCCATCGCCAGGCAGAGAGACCACTTGCACCGTTCATATGACCCACTCCATATGCAATAGCTCCTCCAAATGCTCCCGCCAAAGTGGCAGAGGCCAAAATAAGAGCAACTCTCAATGATCGCTCTGAGGCTGTATACCAGAAGGTGAGATAGTAGACCAGACCTGGAAATAGACCAGCTTCAATTGCTCCTAGGAGGAAGCGTATACCCGCTACCTGACCAAAGCTGTGCGTGCCTCCAAGACCCATGGTGATTGCTCCCCATGAGAGCATAAGAAATGAAATCCAGCGCTGAAATCCTCAATCAGATTCACGGTCAATGACATTAAATGGTCAGGAAGTCTTACACTTGGTCGCAATCTCTTCAGCAAGTAGTTTGAAGGCACTTCGAAAATTGCATAGGCAATCAGGAAAACCATCAAAGCTATGCTATGTTTAGTTAACATTGTGATATTATTTCTCGGAGACACTACTAGTAAATCCACTTGCATGTATTGATAATCCGTCATGTTCGTTTCCTGAAGCAGGTCATTGCCTGTGTCATTGTTGAGAGTTTTCGCATTTCCTGTTTTGATAAAGTCAGCCAATTAACTAGGCCACGAATGCATTTCTCGCATGCACACCAATATTTGACCGATCCAGGTAGCAGAGAAGATAAATTCCGGCTGACAGGGGCAGGATACGGAGATCTTGCTTGCGAACAAGGAGACGTTCCTCGAAGGAGCTGGTTTGGGTATCAAAATGGATGTTCTCCTTCTATCGTGAATGTAATTGTTAGCCATTGGATGTTCACAGCAGCAGGTGCATAACTTGAAAGTCTTGGAATAAATACGTGATTTGCCATTGCCTTCTCCATTCCTTCCACTGCCAGTGTATCTGTCGTAAATTCCTTGTCTTGCATTTCGGGGTACTAGCAAGTTTGACTGTTCGCCAACTTCAAATAAAAGGTGATGCTGATCAATGTATAAATAAAACAAGGACTCGGACTCGGAGAAGTGTGGGGAAAATAAAGGAAAAAGTCCGGGGAAAGCTGGATCCAAGATCTGTAAATGTACTGTTGCTTGAATTCCTTCATTTCCACAATTTTGCCCCAGATACTCGGTACTCCACACTGGCATCTATTGTTTATGGTCGGAGTGGCGTCTCCGATCGGAGGAGCGGCAGTTGGTCAAAGACTCACAGTTATCAGGGAGAATTTCCTTCGATCGGAGCCTTCGTCCGCACTCCACATTGACAACACCTTCCCACCCCACCCATATTCTGGACACAAACATCCAGAACCCAACAATTATGCAAGCCTGTGATCGTTGCCGTAGACGGAAATCCAAATGTGACAGGCTAAAGCCAACATGTCGCTTATGCAGCAAGACTGGTGCTACCTGCGTGTATACTGACAGAACTAAGGAGCCAACTGTCCGACGCGATATCGTTGAGAAACTGGAAGTTCGTTTGCTCCAGGCGCAGCAAGAGAACCGAGAGTTGAAGGGGAGATTGGAGGCACTCAACTCTAACGTCAGCAATGCCAATACCCCCTCAACTGCAAATGAGAGACGAAATGAAGTTTCCGATGAGGTATCGTTTCTTTCCCTCAATGCCGGAGGTGAACGACAGTATCTCGGATCTACAAGCGGGTTGCTTCTCGCAGATTTACTCAAGTCCACTATTGAGGCCGATAAGTCCTCCAGTGGAACACTGAGAGCCCAGAATCTGAGGCCCGTACCAGTGTCCGCTAAATTGCCTACATCCGTACAAGGCTCGACCTTGATTAACGAAGGATCGTCATCTCCACCAGAGAGCTTGGCTCGCGACCTTCATGACGCTTTTTTTAAACATGACCATATATGCTATCCGATTCTCTCCGAGGAATTGGCGATGGCTAACCTCAGTCAGGTCTATGCGGATCAATCTTTATTAGAAAGAAAGCCATTCGAGTCTTTCATTTTTTATATGATTCTGGCGATTTCCACCTCACATGTTCAAAAGCTTCATTGGCAGTCCCTACCGGAAGCGAAGATATACCAAGCCAAAGCTATGTCAAGACTGAGCAACATCCTATCTCTTGGGGGCCTAGAGGCTCTTCAAGCGATTCTACTTCTTTGCCAGTACTGGTTAACAAGCTCCACGCAAGAAACATCTGCGAGTTTGTGGCATATGGTTGGAGTTGCAGCACGAATGTGTTTTGAGATGGGTCTTCATCGAGAAAAATCTTATGAATATCAAGAAAATCTCGATGTTGCACAACAATCGATCCCTATAATTCGTCGAAGGTGTTTTTGGTGCCTCCTAGCTATGGACCGGTAAGTTCAAATTTGCGTAAAAAAGCAGAATTGGTGGCTAATTTTGAGGTTTTTTGTGTAAAGTGTGGTTAGTATTACGCTAGGTCGGCCGCTTGCCATCCATCTAGAAGATGTACATCTGGCTCTTCCTGGATGCGACGCTGCGCAATTTCCGACTCTCACAGAACAAAATGCCTTGATCTCGAGCGAGCATCGACAACGGATAGCAGCGTTTGTGCACATAACTCGATACCGAATTATTTGTGGCAAGATCATGACATCCTTGCACCAAGGCCGCCATGATCATAATGAAACATTGGCACTGAGCAGACAGGCGGATCTATTCAATGAGCTGGGGCGATGGAGACTTCAAACGGGCTCATTGAACCTCAATCCCTGTGCTGGGATGTCCACTATATCTTGGTCTTCCAGCTTTCTGACCCCAGAGTGGTACGAGCTGCTGTATCATAATGCTCTTCTCATGTTATATCGACCATCTCCAGCTCTTCCGTTGGACTCGTCTCGAGCAAGCGTTGTGTTACCGATCATATATGATTCTGCGAAGCAGTTGATTGGTTTCTATGCACACCTTCATGGACTTTCGAGGATGAACTATACCTGGATTACATTGCATAGTGTCTTCATGGCAGGTCTTTCGTTCCTCTATGCCACTGGACGACACTTTCGCTCCAGGAAGAATCAGCGTCAAGGCTATGACTTACCGAGTCTGGGATCAGATCCGCCGATTCTAGAAATCGTCAATATCCTACGTTCATGCTCCAATGTCCTGGTGGCGGTTTCAGAACGTGGGAATATACGTCGCCAATGCCATCACGTTTTCGATCAATTAGGTGATGCCGTATTAAAGGATGCAGTTGATTACCACACTTCACATGAAATGACAGCTGGTCCACAACAAATTTCACCCTCCTCTCCTCCCCGCCCTTTCTTGAACCACAATATCGCATATTCAGCAATACAGACCCCGAATTATACAACAGACAATGCTCCAAGCACTTCTGGTGACTGGTCTCTACATAATACAGGGGCATCCTCTCTTCTTGCCGTCGATGATGCTTTTCGGGGTTGTTTCGAGGATTTACAATATTTTCATGAGTCCGCATTTGGTGAAGATCCTATAGGTCAGCTGTTGCAGGATTGGCAGGGACAGATAGATGGCATGCCAGAACATTGAAATAATGAAATAATGTGATAATGGTTCAACACGACATACGGCCCTGAAGAAGTATCAAATTTAAAATAGGATTGGTTCAAGAGACTAGTGAAGTCGATGCATTTCAATATTCTAAAATTCTTAGTACATACATAACCGAAAACACCTTCTAGAGCAATAACAATGAATCAAATACATCCTCTATCCAAGAATTGAACCGGAATAGGAACCACCCTGCTTCTAAGATATTCTCCAATCCCTTTGCCCAGACCATCAAGCCTGCTAGAGCTTGCGATTCCTCCGTCCAAAAAGTCCATCACACGGAAATGAACTGCCAGGATATTTGGGAACTCACATCTCTCTACCCTCCTTGTGGCACTATTTTCCCACTTAGTCCAGTCATTCGCAAACAGAGCCTTAAGCTGGGAAATTGTCAATAAATTCTGCAGCCAGGGGTATTCATCCTCATTTCGGACAAAGAAACCAATATTGGAGTTATCCGCTTTGTCTCCCGATCTTGCATGAACAATACTGCCAAGGGGCGCCATTTTGGTAGGGCCAAATTTCGCGAGATCCACCGGGTTTGAAGTCTCATATGAATTGCGAATGACAGGATACTCCGCCGTAACAGCAGGTGGATCGATATGAATCTTGTCTGTGATCACTTTTCGCGTAATGTGAGTTTCCTGTCGCAGGCTTCTCATAGAGATGGTGATGGGGAAGATCTCCATAAACGGTTTTGGGTCCATAGTTCTGAAATCGAGGTTCATATGGTAGCCTGGGTAACTCTGCATTCTCAATGCGTATATTGGGATTTTGAATTTGTCCGCTGAGATGTCCTCTAGTCGTTTTGCCTGGGCGAAGACACGCAGAAAGACAGTGCCTGCCTGCTGACTTTGAGGATCAGTTGCACTAGATCCATATAAGTCGATGGAAAATTTGCTGAAATTATGGTCACGGAAGATATGTAGAAGCTGTTTGCGCATCATCTCTACCTTCGCGTCGACATCAAGTCCGTTGATGTAGAATGTGGCTTCGGCTTGATATCCACCCTTAGCAGCAATCATGGCTTTGGTTGTTGATGGTGGAGGTGATCCTGTAATTCCTTGGACTTGCACTCGATTGGGAGCAATCTGGCTGATTCGTACATTTTCAAGGTTGCCAACCACATCTGGGTTCAGGTACTGTTCACCTTGAAGTTCATACAAGAATTGCGCGATCGTGTTGTGTTGTGTCACAGCTCCCGCATGCCCTTCTGGCTTTGTGATAATACACATTCCGTCTTTGCTTATTTCTGCCAGGGGAAATGCAAGATCCACCAACTGAGGAAGCAATGATTTGAATCCTGAGAAATTTGCCCCTGTGACATAGGATCCACACTCGATAAGGTCTAGTTGATTATTAGCTGACTATGTTTCCATCGGTTTATTTCGACAGGTAAAGGGTAACTCACGACCGGCAATTAAAGCACCTGCGAGGGAATTCCAATCATCTTTGGCCCAGTCATACCACCACGCTGCAGCTCCAATAACGGGAGAAGCATCAGTCACTCTTCCACAGACAACGATGTCTGCTCCAGCTTTGAGCGCTTCCACAATACCCCAGGCTCCTATGTAAGCTACTCCGCAATGTGGCTCCAGGTGCCACTCTTTGAGAGCCCATTCAGAATGGTCGATATGCAAGAGATTTTCCCGCTGAGCAGGGTCCTTAATGAGGGTTGAAATGTCGTCACCCAGAACCATAGCAATCACCACATCATTGTGGCCTCTTCGATGACACATCTCCTGTATCTTGATTGCCAGTGTTTCTGTATTCAATGCTCCTGCATCAGTGACAACCTTGATTCCTTTCTCCATAATTGTGTCGATTGACTCAGTCAGCTGCGCCAAAAAGCCAGGCTCGTAGCCCAGGTTAGGGTCTTGATCTTTTGCTATTGAGTTCCAGGCAATATTCATCTCTGAAAGCCAATCTCCAGTGATCACGTCCACGTTTCCATCCTGTGCCATTCGCCTCATAGCGTACGGGCAGTCGCCCGTGGCACCGGAAACATTTCCAACACGGATTGGGCGCTTGGAGAGCATTTTTGCCAGTTGCCAGTGATAGTGATCTTCAAGTTGAAACTCTTTGAAGAGAGAGAAATGATAGCAGGAAGAATCAGCAATGTGATTGTACTAGCTGTTGTACCAAGTAATTATACAGTCTAATCACATGTGTAGGTGGGCACCGGGGACCCACCCCGACAACTGCATAAAATGATCATCCATCGGAGTTCTTGGTCCGAAAAATAAACCTCCTCCAAGGACTTAGATTCATGATATCCACACAGATACGTAACGTCGGCATTTCTTGTCCAATTGGCATCTACCTCACAACAGTTGAATATACCCGACAACCCACCTAGGCCAAAAATATCACCTAGTATCCCCTTTCAGCTCACAAGTCCGATACAACTCGAACCCCCTCCTTCAAAGTTTGAGAGCTAAACTACCCCTCTATCATCTGTTTCCAACGTTCTCGACCACAAACTCCGAGTCGCTCAATTAATCAGTGAGGTGCTTCAAACCCTCATTTCCACAACAAGTCACAATTCTTCGCCAAAATGGGATTTCCGTCTTCACAGGAGTTAAAAGATTTGGCTAAAATCGATCCCGAGATCGATGCCATTATTAAATCAGGAAATGCAATGGCTTCTTTATTGCCACAAGGCGGCGATCCGGAAGAGGTCCTTCAGAAACTGATTCCAATGATGAAGGCTAACAAGCCTGTCATCCCCTCAGTACCTGGAGTTGAAGAATCCGAGGCCCTCTATGAAACTAGAGATGGCGCTTCTCTGAAGCTATGCATCTACAAACCGGCAAATATGTCAAGTCCCGCTCCTTTATTGGTGTGGTACCACGGAGGGGGTGGATGTGTCGGATTCCCTGAAATGAACAAGCCCCTTTTGCAACAACTTGTTCTGCAACACGGCTTGGTTGCAATCGCACCTGAATATCGTCTTGGACCAGAATTCAAATTTCCTGTCGGAATCAAAGATAGTTGGGATGCCCTGAAGCATATTGCTAGCCATGCATCTGAGTTCGGAGCTGATCCCCACAAGGGATTTGTCGTGGGTGGAGAGAGTAACGGGGGCGTAACAACCGCTGCATTGGCTCTCCTAGCGCGGGATGAGGGCATCTCTCCGCCATTGACAGGCCAATTTCTATCCGCTGCCTCTTTTGTGCCACCGCAGGATGTTCCTGAGGAGTACAAAGATCACTACACTTCCCGGTTTGATCCAAATTGTTTGAGTGCTCCACCCCTCAACGAATTCTCCAAGAAAGTAATGGACCTTGGCTACGGAGGAGACTACTCCTCGCCACTATTTCGAACTATCCTGTGGCCAGAAGGCCACAAAGGTCTGCCACGGACATACTTCCAGTCATGTGGACTTGATATCAATCGCGACGACAGCTTTATCTACCAAGATGTATTGAATAAGAATGGTGTGGAGACTAAGCTGGATGTTTATCCTGGTGGTGTTCATTGTTTTTGGCTCATGTTTGCAAACACAGAGCTTGCAAAGAAATGGAGGCAAGATACATCTGAAGCCATAGCTTGGCTTTTGCAAAAGAGCGTTTAAGAACATCCGAGTCCCATCATGATGGATCATCAATTGATGATTCCGAGACGGTGCGTACAACAGCACTTGCACAGGAGTGAATTGGAATCCGATGTTAGTCAGAATATACTAGTACCTAGATACTGTTTACCAGAATACAGTCTAATTTTTGCAGATGATGCTATAATCTACATACTTCTATAACAGTGACGTTCTCATGCTGCCCTATTGCCAGTGTGACTCCAACATCTGAACATTGAAGTTTTCTTCCCAAGAACTTACTAGTAGAAGGGTTCAAATGTGCTTAGGCACACACACAACTTGAAGGTATATACTATTTGTGATACAAAAACACGACATACTGACAAACCTTCTGGCTTAGCTTAGGCTAACTTGAAGATCACCTCCAGGGCTGGCATGTGCCTAATCCATGAGTGCCGGTGTGAACATTTGAAGGATCTGCGCTTTGAACCCCGCATTGCCGTGAACACGAGTACGAATACGAACTTGATCGACATTGGATGGGTTCTACGCGTGCTCCTGAATTGAAGTCAGAATCGACGGAGCCTCGGAGCCGATGTCCGACCATGAGGCCAATGACCTTTAGGTCCACCACGATTGGCATAGAGTCCAACTCATCTTCATTGTGGGGTTCGCGAACCTCGCCAGGCTCAGCTTGTATACTGTGCCTTGATTGTGCTTCCGGCACTCCACCCCCACTCCCAATAAAACCACCAATTGATAGACAGCCTCTGACTAGACACGTGAACTCCTCAAGATTTCTTCAGGTTATGCAATCAGAAACCCCATACCCCATACCCCACATTCACCCCACAAAAACTTCAGTTTGGATCGGAGCTAGTTCTCCGACGAAATCTTTTGATCCTAAATACCTGTTTCAGCATTGGAATGTGAACGAGCGTGCCGTGTAGAGCATAACTTTAGTATTAGCTTGGTATTGGGTTTGGCTGTGAATGAGGAGTCAAATGGCCTATATATTGACCTTGAAAGTCTTTAAAAAGTGTGAAAAACAAAACCGAAGACTTAGGGACATCAAAGCAAGTCCCGCCTTCCATCCTAAGGTTGATTGTTGGCAAATCCTGCACTATGGGCTTTCTTCGTTCAGGCATTCTCGTTTCCGCGGCTTTGGCTGCCGTCCATGCGAGATGCGTCCCTCGGACCTCGATTGATTGCAGCAGCTTGGCCGGAGTATCATTGGGTGCGGGTTACAGCATCACGAGCGCGGAGGAATATGCAGCGGGAGAAGTGATTGCCACAGATATCATCAATGAAATCAGTCTTTGTCTAGTGCAAGGGACTATTTCATATGGATCTAATGATGTTCCTGTCAAAAATGGCGCCAACACTCTTACTTGGAACCTCTATCTGCCCCTTGCTTCCGATTATAATGGAAGGTTCATCGTTATTGGTAAGTGTCCTCCTTTTTTTTCTTATATGTGCATCCTATCGACATGATACTAAGACTTGAGTCCGCTAACATGCTTGGAAAATAGGAAACGGCGGTTATGCTGGTGTCATCGATAACGGGACAATGATGGAGCAGCTCAATTTGGGCTATTCAGCTGCTGGTTGTGACAGCGGTCATTCACTTGCTGCAGACGGAAACGGTACCTATGCTTCATTCCTAGGGAACACTGCGGAAGTAGAGGCCTGGATACACAATTCCATCGCTATGACCACTACTCTTACTCGGGAACTGACAACGGAGTACTACGCAACGGCCCCGGAATACAGCTACTATTATGGATGCTCAACAGGTGGCGCCCAGGGATTCGCATTAGCTCAGTTTTACCCAGATCTGTTTGATGGAATCTACGCCGGAAGTCCTGGAAATTGGTATAGTCATTTGGTCCTCAGCTTCCTCTGGAACGGGCTGCACACCGCAGGCACTGGTTATATGAGTCAAGATGCTTTGAATTTCATCACTGCTAGCGTTATCTCCGCATGTGATTCCATAGATGGAGTTGTCGATGGGTTGATTGAGAATCCTCTACTCTGTGACTACGATATCACTCAACTCGAGTGCACAAGTGGTCAGAGTTCTACCGATACCAATGGCACGGTTGTATGCCTCACTTCAGCTCAGATCACAGCCGCGGAAGCTGTTTATGCAGGCCCGAAGAACGTGCTCACAGGCGACGCAGTGTATCCTGGGCTCAGTTTCGGATCGGAGAATGGTTGGATCTACCAAGAAACCATTCTCTATGAAGACTTTACCACACTCATTCTGGAGGAAATAGTCTTCGATGATCTCGCATACAATGTGTCCAGCTTTAACTGGGGCTCGGATGTTTCCAAAGTTGACAGTATCGCGTCTCCTTTGATCGATGAGATCTCGACGAATCTCTCTTCTTTCCAAAAGCAGGGTGGGAAGATGATCGTAACTCAGGGCTGGGCGGATCAGTTCAACGCGGCCACCTGGCCCATTCAGCACCTTGAGCAGCTTCAGGCGGCAATGGGCGCTGACACAGTCAACAGTTTCTTTGAGCTTTTCATGGTCCCTGGAGGTGGTCATTGCGGTTCCAATCCTGAATACACCCACGTTCCTGGTACATACAATGTATTGGATGTGCTTGTTCCATGGGTGGAGCAAGGAATTCAACCTACTCAGATGGAGAGCATAACTCCTCCGGATGGGACAAACACCACGCGTAAACTTTGTCCTTGGCCGAAGACTGCGCACCATGTGAAAGGCGATGTTGATGACTGGACATCATATACCTGTTCCGAGTCTTAGAGAGTTGCTAGTCATACTAGACCCATAGGTCCCCCGGGGAAAACTTGAGAGGACCTAGTTAGCAACTTGATACTTGGAAATCATTGGATATCTGAAAGAACATATGACCTTCAATGTCAAAATCTTAAAACCCAAAGACACATTACTCACTGGCACGTAAAGGGGTTGATTGACAAATCGTAAGTGAAACATTTTAAACAATTCAAGTTTAAACACCCTCAACAACTTGAACTTGAATCTGAATCTAAACACCCGTGCACGGACTCTAAACAACAATTTAAACACTTTAAACTTTAGGGCTTCCAAGGTTCCAACAATCTACATAACTACTGTTAAACAATTCAAAAAATTTGAACTTACTAGTACAAACCTTGGAACAAAAGTGAGTACCTAGCCCCTCAGCTTATTACATATTTGTTTATCAGCATATCATCCTATACCTAGTACTAGGTAATATCCATCGTCAAGCTCAAGTTATTCTTAAAATCCCTCTTCTCCCTCCAAAAATTGAATTTGGATCATTTCCATCTTCCACAAGTACTAGTATCAGTCCTACCTATTTCTACCCAGAACAATGCCGAAGTCAGAGCCTAGAACTAGTGTATGTTTCCTTACCTATCCAACGGATGAACTGGATCTAACAGATTATAGTATACTCGTAAGAGTATAAGTTCTAGCATGTCCCCAAAGATCAGACATGAAAAAAAGGCGGATCTTCGCGCTAAATACGAAGGTTCTCCAGCAGGTTGATATATTGGAGGACGAGGTCACGAAAATATTTGAGATCTATGAGCAAAAATTTCAGGCAAAGATCAAGGAGCTTCAGGAACTCCAGGAAGAAAAGGCAGAAGCCACCGCACAAATTGAGAAGCTCGAAGGCGAACTTGCTAGTCTTAAGCAAGGACGCCAGAATTCTCATGTCCAGGATGTGAATCTATCGCCCGAGCTTCTGTTCGCTTTCCTCGCTGCCAACGATGCATGGGCTTCATTCTCATCGCTCTTTGATGCCCATGCCCAGCGGCGCACTGTGGAGTCGCGGCTTGCATTCGACCGTTTTTTGGCATTGTCAAACCCCAACGATGTCCGTCGCTTCCACCGAACCCATTCTATTACGACAAAGCACTCAGGCGTATCTGCAAGCACCATTTAAATAATTTCAACCTTGGAACACTTCAACATTTCCAAAGTGAATTATTTAAACACTTTCTATGTACCCATTTTTGAAACGTGGACCCCCCCCCCCTCCCAAAAAAAAAGGGAGAAAAAAAAAGAAACTCCGAATGGGGGAATCGAACCCCCCGGCTGTCGTGTGAGAGACGACGATGTTAGCCACTACACCAATTCGGAAGGCTTGTGAAAGGAGTGGCCATTTTTGACATCATTAACCCAAATTAGTCTGGTCGCACCTTAGTCCAAGTACCGACTAGATAATGTACCATTTGAGGCATCAATGATTTGTGATACATACCTGCGCAAATTTTTCTCAAAATTGAATTTAACTCGGCAATTCTTCTGAAACTAGAAGCTCAAGACACATGCAATCACTGGCAGTAATTCCAAATCAAAATAGTACTCTACTACCTGCTAGTAGTACTACTACTAGTACTAGGTACCGCCACGACCTCCGAGTCGGCCTGAGAATATATAGTAGTATGTAGTGCGTAGTATCAACATCCATTCAAGTTCAAATGTTCAAGGTGGAACTTGAATATGGTCATGATGGATTGCTAGTGATCGCTCACCCGTAGACGATCTTGATTTTTCAAACAAGCCTTCAAGTTCAAGTTACTACCGCTATGTATCAATGTACACGGTACTAGTTGTGAGGCCTTCAATGTTCAACCTTGGTTGAAGTTCCAAACATTTTGAAGGTTCCCTCCGAATTCCAGCCTCCAGCTCTGGAGGGCTGTGGCAGGGCTTCCAGCCCACTTGAGTGCTTCAAAAAAATGTTCCAACGCATATGTAGTATGTGCATGTGTGACAGATAAACGGAAATATATTCACTTTGTATCCAGGGCCCTGGTCTATTCTATTTACAATTTCGTTTCCCGTGCCACTTCTAGTCAGATAACATTCTTCAGCTGCTGGCCAGCCAAGTAGCGACGCAGATTATCCGCAATCAGCTCAGTGCACCCCTCAGGTCTTCCACCAGCAGCATGAGGCGACACAATAAGGTTAGGAGTCTTCCACAAACGACTCGACTCAGGAAGCGGCTCAGTCTTAAACACATCGAGCGCAGCACCCGCAAGCTCACCCTTCTCCAAAGCATCCGCCAATGCATCCTCATCAACCGAAGTTCCGCGACCAACATTGACAAGCCAAGCATGCTTTGGCAGCAACTTGATGCGCTCAGCATTCAAAGCATTGTTCGTGGACTCGGATCCAGGCAGAATCATAACCAGCGCATCGGTCTCGGGTAACAACTCGGAAAGCTTATCTTCCCCGAAAACCTCCACACCATTGCGCACACCATGGCTACGAGCAATACCCTTAACTTCAGCACCAAGTCCAGTCAAGTAAGGCGCAAGCTTCTTCGCAATGCTACCAAACCCCCAGATAAGGACACGTGAGTTACGTAGAGTCGTGAAATCGCTTCGAGGGAAAGATCCGCCCAGGTGACCAGGCCACTTAGATTGTAGCTGGTAGTCGCGCATTTCGTGGAATCGACGCGCGCCGCTCAAAAGTAGACCGAGGGCGTGTTCGGCGACAGGACCATCGTGGAGGCCGACACCTGTGGTGACGATAACTTTGGAGCGGTCGAATCCTGCGGCGAAGACATCGTTCGGGCCTGCGGCAAGGGACTGGATCCACTTCACGTTCTTCATGCGCTGTGCGGCATCTTTCAGGTTATCGCCGGCATTGGCCCAGGTAACTAGGATTTCAGCGTCAATGAGATCCTCTGGAATAGGTGTCTTGACGTCGTAAGGGTGGAGAGAGACTGAGAAGCCTTGGAGGCTCTGTACGTCGAGCTTGACGGAGGTGGGGTATAGGAGTTTCATGATGAGGTGCGGGGAGAGGTATTTATGAAGAGAGAGTTATAAGGAGAAAGGAGGAATTACTTTGAATGAATTGAATATGAAAAACGGTTCGGCATGATGACCAAGTACCCCCACCGATTGACGTATTTTTACACCAATCTCCGAGTCGCTGGGGAACGTGGGGGTGAGGTTGAACCCCGCACTTGATATGAGAGGAAATTGGGAGATTGATGATAAGGAACCATTGGAATGAGGAGATTTATTTCATTATAGTATTGGCAAAAGTATTCCAGATGAATGCACTGGACTTGATTCTTGAATCTCTTCTTCAAAATGAAATAGCCATTAGTTCTTCCTAAACACTATTTACATGTCCTTTATAGTGTCCGAGACTCGGAGGCAATATTGGATCAAATAGTGACCTATACTTCAATGGAAAAACTTCGTCACTCCTTGACTGAGGCGTAGATTGAATAGCCTTAACAGAAGCATCTGGCTACCTCATTGCATATTTATTGACGTATATGAATGCACCTAACTGTTCTATCATTCTCTTTACACAGACATCTAGAGTGCGGATACTAATAGAAATGGCAGAGTATTTGACTGTATATGAAAATGTGACCAGATCTACTGTGTGAGTATATGAGGTACCGAAGCAAAACCATTCTTGAGAGTAATGAAGGGATGATAATCCCCACTGAGATGCATTGCATCTGCAGTCAACTGGTACTTGAGACTCAAGATGAATGAATTGACCAGAATTGATCAGTTGAGGGGAAACCTCGGGACTTTCCAAATTTGGAAATCACCGCGGAGATGACTAATCAGGTACGTGCCACGTGATGTCCAGTCTTAACGGACTCGAATTTAAAGATTCGAAGAACTATACCATATACCTCATTCATAGATTCATTATGCATTTTATATTCTCCACTACTCGAGCCCCAATTTTCTTGAGATAATACATATGTAACACTCCCTCACCAAGCCCAATTGATCTTTCCCCTCCGTGAGCTAAAGCATGGGCCCATTCTCGGTGGGATTCTGACAGGGATCCACTTCCGGTATGCTCGTTCGTTTCTCGGAATCCTGTAGCGAAGGACTTTGGAAGATCATTATGAAAAACCAGAGAATCTCCAAGTTGTTATCGAAGCTTGTCCCTATACGAGTAATGGGTGTACGTAGTCGGGGGAACAAGGATCTGGCCCGGTTGGGGTTGCACGGAAGCCCCCGTAGGATGTCGAACAAGTAAAGAAGGAAAAAAAAGAGAGACGACCAAAGACTCAAATAATATAAGGGGGACATTGAATACAGATAGAATGTTTGATTTCAGTTTTTTTTTTTTTATTCTATACCAATTAAAAAAGTAAGAAACTTGACTAGAATCAAGTTGATTATAATTCATTATAATCGATTATAATGATTATAATCCTCCAAGTTAATCTCCCGTGAACCCGAAACTTTTCTCTTTTCTTTCTCAAAACTCCACCTCGAGAGTTGGCTCTTTTCCCTCTTTTCCCCTCCCCCCTTTCTCTTCTTCTTCTTCTTTCCCTCCTCCCCCCGGGTTTCTCCTTCTTTTCACCACGACAACCATTCCCCCGGTCGGTCGTGTTTAATTGTCTCCTGCATTCCTTGCAGAGACAATCCCTTTCTCTTCTCCACCCGGGACTCTCCCCTGCCGCTCAGTGGACAAGTCAGCGATGGCGGCTGTGACAGCACCCACCCCCAAGCTGGATCGCTACATTGTGATCCACGTTGCAACCACCTGTGACGAACATGGCGTATATGTCACCAAGGATTCTGCCGAGGTCATTGAATTGGGATGGATTCTGTTGGACTCCAAGACCTGCGAAGAGGTACACACACACAAGCCCGCCCCAACCCATTCCATTGACGCCCAGCGCGCCCACTTACCCCCTCCTCCCCCGAATCACCCCGAAAATTTTTATGTACAAACACGAATTCATCCAGCTCACACCGGACTTTTTTTCTCTTTCTAGTTGCACCGTGAGAGCGTCCTCGTCAAGCCAGTCAACACTCCTATAACACCGCTGTGCAGTAAGCTTTTTTTTTTCTTCCTTGCTACCCTACCCGGCCCCGAAACCACCACGACCGAATTAAAAAAACCTAAAACAAACCAAAAAAATACGCTGGTCTCACTGATCAACATGTAACTAACTTGGCAATGCAGCGAGCTTGACAACTCTTACCTGGGAACACGTTCGCTCAGCAGGTACCTTCCGGGATGCCATCTCCCGATTCGATGCTTTTGCCACGGAACACCTCACCAGCAAACAACTCGAGTTTGCCTTCGTGACCTTGGATTCGTGGGATCTGCGCGTGCAGCTGCCCCGCGAGGCCCGTGACAAGGCTGTCGTGTTGCCCGCATACCTCCAGCACTCTCGTACCTTCGATCTGCGCACCGAATATCAGCGCTGGCAAACCCACCACCCTGAGTCATTGCCATTTGGCCCCAGCTCCCTCTCCAACATCTGCGCTGCTCTCGAGGTCGAACCCGTTCAGTCCTCCGCCCCTATTAAGCACAACCTTCCCTTCCATCTGCAAGCGTTGGCTCCCGCTTCGCCCCGTCGTGCTATGGAGGAGTCAATCACTCTGGCACGTGTTCTGCGAGGCCTGATCCGCAAGTCTCAGCCTCCCCACGAACACCCCGAAATTCTTACCCGTCCGATGGATGCCCACGCCGATGTCCGGGCCTTCCTTGCAGAGCGGAGCAAGGTTCTCCACCTGAGTGGTCTGCCTCACGATACCACTCAATCGGAATTGGAGAGCTGGTTTACTCAGTTTGGCGGTCGACCCATCGCTTTCTGGACTCTACGAACTCCCGATCAACACAAGCCCACAGGCACTGGATTCGCCGTTTTTTCGTCTCACGAGGAGGTACGTTTCCACCCCACTTAAAACAACCCTTTTTTCGCCATTTGCTCGAGAATGGAAACGAATTGCTGTTTTTCTGCCATTCTCATGTAATCTTTATTTTGCTTGCTAACGATAATATAGGCTGCGGAAAGCCTGTGCATGAACGGCCGAGCCCTCAACGAGAAGGCTATTGAGGTTTCTCCATCTTCGAGCAGGGTTCTGGACCGGGCCGCCGACATTCTCACACCGTTCCCCCCTTCGAAGAACCGCCCTCGTCCCGGTGACTGGACTTGCCCCTCATGCGGCTTCTCCAACTTCCAGCGTCGGACTGCTTGCTTCCGTTGCTCGTTCCCTGCTATGGCTGCTGCACCCGACCCTATGGGATACGGCTACGGCTACGGGCCTCCATCGATGATGCCCGCTCACATGGGTGGACACGGTCACGGTGGTATGGGTCACTCGCGTGGCATGGGTGGTAACGGTGGAGTGGTTCCCTTCCGTGCTGGTGATTGGAAGTGTGGATCAGAGGGTTGCGGCTACCACAACTTCGCGAAGAACATCAACTGTCTTCGCTGCGGTGCACCTCGCTCTGGTGCTGCCGTTGTGGCTGACTCCGCATTCCCCTCGCCTATGGATCCCCCTTCACAATTCTCCGGTATGGGACCTAACTCCATGGCCAGCACCCCTGCTCCGGGTCCATTTGCCTCGACCGCTGGTGGGTTTGGTGGATTTGGTCAGCAGTTTGGTGGACCCCCCTAACAACTATGCTCTCCCCCCTGGTGGCCTGGGTAACGCCCAAGCTGCCTACCCACCAATGGGTCAGGTGAACCAAGGCTACGGTTCATCCAACACCTCCCACTCCGCTGCCTCTTTCGCCAACCCAGCGACTCAGGCCGCTTTCACAGGAGCTGACCACGGTGTTCCATCCACCAGCGCCTCCAACGGAGCTTTCTACGGCTCTGATGGCTCCAGCGACCCTTTTGCTTTCCTGTCCAGCGGGATTGGTGGGTTGACCGTTTCTGAGGATGTCCACCCTCGCCGAAACGGCGCTGGTGCTAACAAGTCTCCTGCTTAAATTATAAGGAGCCTATATTTAGTACCTTGAGTACTTCATCTTTTCTCTTTTTTTTTCTCATTTATTATTTGAAGCCCGACAAAAAACCGGGCGATCACATCACACTTACGTTGTCCATATTGCAACCCTGCATTGTGGCAGGTTGATATGCGTTGGTTGATATTCGTTGATACGCATTTGTATAAGGGATTTCTGCGGTTCCGGTGCATCGGGTTGGAAGGAGCAGGCGGGCAGCGTTGTGGTTCCGGATTTTTCATCGCCTCGCCGTCCTGTTGTGGGATGTTCTTCTTATATTGTCTTTTTTTTTCATCCTTGTGTTTATTTTTTTCCTCATTTGGTCGTTGGAGCGGTTCCCGCCCTGGATTCCATTTTTTCCTTCAGCTTTTGGTTGTTTTTTGATTTCTCTGGTCTGTTTAATATCTTGTTTTGGATGGCGGCCAACTTCACCGTTGTCTTGTGTGGGTTTCGGACGCGAACGCATTGTGAGCCTGGGTTGCGCACTCGACCTGCTTTGCATTTTAGATCTTTGGTCCCTTTTCTGCGTTGGGTCATGGCAAGCGTCGGAGAATTCACGGTATTGATCTCACGGGTGGGATGTACAATGGGTCGGACTCCGTTGGGGGGTGTTGGGGGATTTCCTTTTGCGCTTGCGCCGGTTTCCTATGGATCGAGAATCCCTTTCTTTGAGGTATATCCGCCAGGCACTGTGAATGCAACAAAAATATTGTTCTATGTTTCAAATGACTTTTCAAGTATCTTCAAGTTGGAGAACCCTCAACTGCTATTGGGGGTTACCTGGTATGATATAGAATTCGGATACAGTATATTTGAATGGAGAGATTCAAGTTGGCGAGACAAGTGAATAAAAATCAAATTCTTACTATATGACCCATGTGCATTAAAGGCCCAGCTAGTAGATTCTCCAACTTGAATTCCGCAAGATGATGTTCAGCAAGGATCGAGTACTATGCTCTTGGGAGAGCCAGTCAGAACACGGCGGTAACTCCAGAGAGAGAATCCAATCTCGGGATATAACAATTTGCGAGATGGCCATGGCTTCATATGTTGAAAGTGAAGGACTCGCATCTGTTTCCTAGTTGTTATATCACATTCAAAATTGGATACATCCCTGTCATTCCCTCAACCTCGACAGACATGGCATTACTCACGTCCACTGGCAGACATCATTATGTATACTAGAAGCCATTTACTAATAGAAGATATAGATCCTTTCGATAAACAGACCGGAAGCTGATCATACTCTTGAAGTTGAGAAAAATGAGAGAACAGTATAAGAGAATATTATTATTAACAGGGTTCACTACTACTCAATGCCAATACTAATGAGAGCTTCAAGTTAGTGTGAGCCATCGTTACTATACTTGCCTCTTGTGATTTGCTCCGAGTCAGGTATGATCACCTTTCCTCCCAACACTTCCGACTTCCTTCTTACTATTACCTCTTCCTTCTCTTCAAATATTGCTTCTACCTTTTCTAATCATATTCCTCTTCCCACTCGTCTTCCCACTCGACTTCCACCATACATATCATCTCCTAACTTGACCTCATCCAAATCTCCATCTTCCCCAGCTGATGAAAATGAGCCATTACTATTCAGGCCAGCAGTAGCTATCACTCAAATATATCTCTTCGCATCCCATCCTATCTTGGAACGAAATTCCACACTATACAACTCTCTACTCCAAGTAGAGGGCCCTGACCATCACCCTCCACACCATACTTCTGCACTGCTGCCAGGAAATTCTGGATAATCTTTTTGAACCTATCAAGTTTATAAGGTTCAGTTTAAATCATCTGGTTATCAAGTGGGAGTACTGATTGCAAAGATAATGCTGGAGTACTGAAATCGCATACCATAGTTCTTTTGAAAACAAAGAGAATACTTTGCAAGCGAGTCAGGCATGAAATAGCCACCCAGAACAATCCATATCGACTGTGACAAAAGAGATTACTCAATATCACCAGCGTCAGCCTCAGTACATACCACAAACACGGCGAATCACTTATGAATCGTCATTGAAATGGACCTGAGTGTTAGAATCACCAAGGTGGCACCTTTAATCCCTACCATTTCCAGCTACATCATGATTGCCACCAGAATCGATCTCCAAGAAGCCGTTCGAGGTCGTCACAACGCGATTACGTCCAACCCGTGAGAGAAGAGCGAATACACGCCAAGGAAGGACTAACAAAATGCCGCTGTGCGGCTACCTCCAACCACCGGATTTTTGCGAAGACAAGGTGCGAGATTTAGTCTTTGCGATGGGACCCTGAGCAGACTGCTGACCGTATTCAAGGCAAAGGAAATTGAATGGCGGATGGCAAGGGTTGCACAGGAATTGGAACTGATCATTCAGGAACGATTTTACACTGCGAGATTCTAGACAAAGAAGTGGATGCCTCATATGAACCTCGAAATCGAAAAATTTCCAGGGACATGTTTCGTGATTGAAGTTGGCATGTCGGAAACAAAGACATGCCACAACGGGCAGACAACGCCGTAAACGTCCAATAGCGAACCGCTCTTATCGGAGTTGTCATGTCCAAGAGATCTCTCGGGGGGAAATGAAAGAGGAAAGCTCATAAGCAGCTGATAACCTTGAAAAAGATGCCAAAGGATGGCTGCCGTATTGGCGCTGGGGATGGAGCTTGTCACACTTTGAAATCAACGACAATCAAAACACACAAAGAAGCACTCTAGAACAGCGTATTCTGTCCGGCGGACCGCCATAGTTTTCTACAGCCCTGACCAGGCCCCGAGAAAAAACCGCAGCTGCCGGAGATACAAGAGGAAAATTCAAGTCACCGGTCCATTGCGCTTCTTGATCGAGCATCTCATGAGAAGACTACCGGATGACTAGGGAGAACAATATCATTCTCTCACGTAAGTTGCTTGTATGTAGTAGGCTCGAAAATCATGACAGAGAACCAAAATTTTGACCACTACCTACCGGGCGGTTGATTCTATTCGAGCGCAGCGTTCCAATTTTGGCTTGTCAGTTTTAATTGGGCGTTCAATTTATATGTGTCCACGGCGTTTGCTACGATGTTTGTGGCTATTTATATTCAAGTGTTGTCCAGTACGTGCGAGACTTCTTCGTTGGATCTTACATCGGGTCGACCTCACGGTGGGCGTTGTCTGTTTTGTTGAAAAGGGGACATACGTGTATGACCATACAAGGCAGCTGTATATCGACCTCGACTCATCCAAGGAATCCGGCCACGGAGCCTGCGCTTATCATACCAAGCCCGAATGGACTGGACACCAATCTGGGTCATTATCTAAGCCACCGCCATCAACGATGATCCAGCCGATAGCTTTCTTCAGCCGAGTCTTGAATAAAGCCGAGAGAAATTACTGGCCAACTGAGCTCGAGGTATCCTGCCTAGTCTGGGTACTCCGCAAAGCAAGACATATGATCGAAGCCGCGGAATCACTGCCAGCCATCGTTTATACAGACCACAGCAGTACGGTAAACATTGCAACAAGTTCAAATCTTCGCTCGGCAAGCTCGGAAAACCTCAATCTCCGCCTTATTCGAGCCTCCCAGTACATCCAACAATTCAACCTTAAGGTCTTCCACCGCCCTGGCAAGTCCAACAAAATCGCGGACGCCCTGTCAAGACTACCAAGCGCCAATTCCCCTCACGAGGATGATAATCTTGACGCTCTCCAGGCAGAACCTGAACCAGACCCAACAGAATCTCGACCGGAGGTCCCTGAGGCTCGACTGAATGTCCCTGACACTCCCTTGTTGAGTCAGGCGACGCACCGCGATTCTTAACTAGTTCATTGAAAATTTCGGAGAGATTACCGACAAGCAGATTTTATGAACTAACTGAAAGCCTCGTCTCGAGTCTCGAGTCTGAAATGGTGGAGAATTGCGGAGAAGTGGAGTCTCGGAGACATGAAGTGCATCATGGTACATGTATCGAGGGGCTCAAATAAGGAGCGAATAAACGCCGTGGGTATTCATTAAATTTAAGTACCCAGATCAATTCATCCAAGTTACACTTATGCTGTTCTTGATTTAATCTACCCATCAATATGACCAACCTTTCCATGAAACTGGCCCAACTTGAGGCTACCGGCAAACCAATTCAAGTCGGCATCATCGGCGCAGGGAAATTCGGGTCCATGTAGTACGTTATCATACAGCCCCCAGTGCCCGATTCCTGGAAAGCATGTGCCGATCCTCAGGAATTGTTGATACTAATGAATATCTATAATCAAGTATCTCGCAATCTCACCGAACCACCGGGGTCCGATTGGCCTGCATCGCAGACTTATCAGTTCAAAGAGCCCTCGATGCATTGAAACGAACAGGTTTCCCCGAAGATAAAATGACACCGAGGGAATATTGACTCCGGAGAATGGAATCAAAGAAAACAAGACAACTATCACTACCAGTGCTGAGGAGTTGATCGCTACGCCAGGGATCGATGTTGTCTTGGAAGTTACAGGCAACCCAGCTGCCGAGGTTCGTCATGCTCTGCTAGTAAGTCTTCAGAATCGGAACCAAATAGTTAAGCTATTTGTACCTCATACTGAACTCTTATACTACCACGGCAGTGCTGCGAGCATAAGAAGCATACAGTCATGATCAACGTCGAGGCAGACGTCCTAGCCGGACCACTTCTAACGCGTAAAGCAAAAGAAGCCAGGATAATTTACTCGATGGCATACGGAGATCAACCAGCATTCATTGCAGAGATGGTAGACTGGGCACAAACAGCTGGATTCTAAGATCTTGATCGAATAAGACGAGAGCAGTTCTAACAATCCTTTAGTGATGTGGTCTGCGCCGGTAAAGCAACTAAGCACTTACCAGAATACCATTACTCTACACCTGATACCGTCTGGTCGCATTACGGATTTACCGACGAGCAGCTTGCATCTGGTGACTTCAATCCACAAATGTTCAACTCTTTCCTCGATGGTACGAAGTCTGCCTTGGAGATGGCTGCCGTAGCAAATGGTTGTGGGCTTAGCCCCCCTACTCACGGACTTGCATTCCCTCCTTGCGGGACTCATGATCTGCTTAATGTTCTCAAGTCCATGTCTGAAGGGGGTCAACTTGAAAAATATGGTACGGTTGAGGTAGTTTCCTGCTTCGAGAAAGATGGTTGAGCAGTGTTCAATGATTTGCGCTGGGGAGTTTATGTTATTATAGAAGGCAAGTGAATAGATACATGAGGGTGACAAGATAGAGTCATTACTGACAAATAATAGCACCGGGTCCATATCAACGCGACTGTTTCGCCCAATATGGACTTAAAAGGGATAAGCCTGGTCGCTTCGCTGCCCAGTATAAACCGTACCATCTCATCGGTCTTGAACTTGGGATTTCAATCGCCAATATCATGTGCAGAGGAGAGCCAACTGGCCAGTGCCGGACTTTTGCTGCCGATGTGGCTGCGACTGCGAAGCGGGACTTGAAACGTGGAGAGAAACTTGATGGTGAAGGTGGCTTCATGGTTTCTGGAAAGCTCATGCCCGCACGAAACTCCCTTGCCATCGGCGGATTCCCTATTGGCCTTGCTCATGGGATAATCTTGAAGGAGAATATCAAGAAAGACCAAGTACTCACATGGGCAGATGTGGATGTTTCACCAGAAGGTACATCTAGCTGGAGTGAGAGTACTAGGGCCGCTATAGCTTTTCGCCAGGAGATGGAAAGGGTTTTCCGAGGCGAATTTGAGAGTGGTGATGAGACCATGATCCAGTAATCAAGTGAGACTGGAAGGTCTAGTTTCGAGTACATGAAGTTTCCAGAAGTGTGAATTCCAAAAATCGGAAAAACCGTAAAATAAAATCAACATTGAATCATGTACAACTTGAATTATAGCAAACCCATTCCCATCCTCCATCTCCATCATTGACACCGTCATGATAATTCCGGAATCCAATCACAACGCCGAGACCACAGAAACTTGAATATGATAACAATCATCACTCGTCGACTTCGTCCTTGATCACTGTCCCTCTGCTGGTATCATGATCATCTTCTTCATCTTGCTCCATAATGCTGGGCTCCATGGAGGGCATGCCTCGTCTAGCAGCACCTGAACGACCCTCAACAGATGGACGTACACTGCCAGAACGGATCCGGCTGGTATTCATCTCATCCTCGTCTTCCTCCATGATGCTAGGTTCCACAGAGACTTGACGACGGCTGAAACCAGATGGTTCAACGGATCTTCGGACGCTGGCCGAGCGAACACTTCCGGCATCACTTTCAAAGTCCTCTGTACCAGCACGGGGACGTATACTGGCTGCACGACCATCTTGGGCAACGGCAAGAATCTTGAGAACGGAGTTCTTGGCTTTCACAAGTGCATTGCGGCTAGAAGCTTCTCCAGCAAGGCCCTCTTCAATGGTCTGGTCAAGTAATTCCTTGACTTCCTGGGCTAGTTGAATGTTGTCGGGTTCAATCTCCACGCCCGTCGCACTGCGGATGCTCGTACGGAACTGATCTTCACCTTCTGGAGCACGCGATCCAGCACGGGACGGTAATGTAGGGGCAGAAACGTACAGTTTGCTCAGCAGGGAGAAGATCAACTTGCGTTCTTCCCGAGAGCAACGGTTGGGACCAGCACTGACACCGATAACACGCTCCAGAATGTCTTTGACGAGAGCGAGGTGCACCCAGCCACAAGCAGATGAACTGGCAGTGCCACCAATCAAAACACGCTCACCTCCCAAGCCAACAACACGGCGTTCATCGGTCCATTCTGCCAGCATTCCAATAACACCGGTCATGAGCGCCTTAATTTCGCGCTCGCCGATGCTTTCATCAATTTCACCGTCACTGTCCTCCTCGGCCTCGAGAGAATAGTGCTCTTCAGCGGAATTGATAACTGCACGAATGACTGGAACAGCAATACGGCGCATATGCTGAGTGTTCTCCAGACGTGAATGACAGTACACCGGGAAGAAGTAGGCAAGAGATTGCCTGAGGGCTGGGTTATCTTTTGTTCGTGGGTGGAAAAACGCCAAAACCAGGGACTGTAATAATGTTTCCACGGCACCCTCATTAAACTCCTGAATGGCGAGGGGAATATTGGGACCAGAGGGAGTGAAAGTGTTGGTGAGCAATAGCTTTGACAGAGCTGTGGCAGCAGCGGATTGCACGCTTGGAGGAGAGTTTGCCTTGAGAGCACGCGAGAAAACCTTGAGTAGAGGCTTCTGAACCGGAGGAGTGGTGACCGTCTCCCCGTCAGCCTGAGTTACTGGAGTGAGAAGCGAAGGGTGGGTTGTGACCATATCGCAGATGATCTGCAATGCTGTAACCTGTAGCCCTTCGTGGCCCTTGCTGTAACAATGGATAAAAAGTGTCATGTTTTCTTCGGCAAGGTTCTGGAATTAGTCCGTTAGAATAAGTTCTATCGTTTTCACTTAGGAAAGGGGGTTCTGACCTTATCAAGCAAGCAGCACAGACCCAGACATAAGAGACCACGCTCACGAATAGGAGCTTCGTGGCTTCGAACAGCAGGGACAACAAGATTGTTCAACATGGTGACAAGATTCATATTTTGCTGCAGGTTTCCCTCAACATTTTGAAGCATACACTGAGCGATATGAAGACATTTCATGTTGACGACAATCTCTCTGAGAATCTTAGCCTTAGCTTCTTCTTTGTTGAATGGCGTGTCCTCCTCTTCTCCCGGAGTCTCAGATCGATGGCGGCTGCTGGCATCATCACTGATCTCAGACTTTGCAGACACGAAACTATCCTCGGTCATGATGGTATCGTGTACTTCCGCAATGGCCTCGAGTACCACGCTACAGAATTCGCCTTCACCGGCACGATCAGGACCGCACACACACCGTAGTGTCTCTACAGTCAACTTAGTGCTGTCTTCTGGAAGCTCCGGCACTGCCAAAGATTCGCGAAGAAGCGCAAACATCTTTCGTCGACCAACTTCATCACTGTAGTCCTGGGTGATGGCAATGTGAAGAAGTTGCTCCACAATGAATTCCTGCTCAACTGCATCCTCATCATTTGCCTCGCCAGACTCCTTGGAAAGTTTCTTGCGTTGCAAAAGCTCGTTCATGTATTTGGCGAGGTAGTAACCAAGCGCAGTAACTTCCGGCATCTTATCATCCGCGAGGCTTTCGTATTTCCCATCATTCTCAACGCGGCAAAAGTCGTTGAAAGACCGCAACAAGAACGCGGACTCTGCAGTGAGTGAGTCCCAGAATGAGTCGTCAAACGTGACCGCTTCCCGATAATCAGCTCGGCCTTCCCAGAAGCTACGCATAGCCTCGTGGGCAATTCCGCTTTCAATTCCGGAGTTCACAACGTCGATTCTCTCAAGTAGCTCAAGAAGAGCATTGATATTCGGAGGTGATCGCTGGCCAGTCGCGCCTTCATTATCGCCATTATTTGTGCCGGCACAATCTTCCACCCAGCGGTCGCAGAATAACTTGCCAGTCGCTTTACGGACACTTTCGTCGCGGTCGCGCAAGCCCCAGCGAAGGAGCTTTTCTCTCATAGATAGGGACAAGTGGCGGAAATCGCCTAGAGTAGGTAAAAGACGGGCATATAAAGTTCGTCGGGTTGGTGCATCGAGGTCGCGAGCTCGTTCGAGAAGGTAAGGGAGAGTAACAGGTGCTAGAGGAAGGTTGGCAAGAAGGCCCTTGCGGACATCGGCGCTTGTATCATTTTGCATAATTTCGATCAATTTCTCCAGCAGCGCAGTGGAATTGTCACCGTTTCCATTGCCGTCCTCGTCCTCATCATTACCGGCTAATCGTGCAAGGCCTAAAACAGCCTGTACCCGAACGGAGGACTCCTTGTCTCGGATTCGTTTCAGAAGCCCCTGTCGAATGGTAGTGTATAACTCGTCGTCAATTGACTCCAGAGTGTTGACGACGTGCGCCAAAATCTGAGTCGAGCGGAATCGCACCATTTTATCTTTGGCGGCAAGGACAGGTACGATCAAAGAGACAAGATTTGATGTAAGGCGCGAAGTCGGGGTTTCGAGTGAAATCTGCATGTCATCCTCATCTTCTGCTCCAAACAGCTCATTGTCCTTTTCTGAGGCATGGGCAAGGAATGTGTCCATAAAACGTATCACCCGATCGCCAACGGGTTCCGATTTCTTGATGGTCAGAATTCGAAGCATGCAGCGGCTAAACTCCACGTTGAACTCCTTCTCCGGAATTGTCTCTTCTTCTGGGAGGTCGATCTTCTCTTGCTCTTGGTCTTTTCCCTTCTTGTTCTTTTGGAAGACTCCGCAGCTGATTTCTTGCAGCTTTCGCAGACGAACTACGAGCTTACGGTGACCCGTAGTCGAGCGCTGCGCGTCTGCAAAGATGGCGCATACATCACGGCGAAGATTGGGTGATGCTTCAGGAAGAGGTGGTTCGTCGGGAATCGCAAACGATGGTGTCACGGAGGGGGCGCGCCCCGCAGAGGGTTGTTGCGATGACCTGCGCGCGGTCGCAGAGGATGAGCGGGCGGCAACTCGGCCGGGCATGGTGAGTGTGGATTATCGAAGGCGCGATTTAACAAGAGACAAAACGCATGACAGGTCGCGCATCCACAAGGTTGAAGCAAGGAAGAAAGGGCAATTGCGGGCGGTAAACAAACAGCCCAAACGGGGAAGAAGCGATAAGAGGTCACATGACACTAATGGCTTATTCATCCCGGTTATCGGAGACCCATCCATGGCCGATGGCGTGCTACTCGTCATTTGCGGCATTACTTGCTTTCGCATTGTTCCTCTTGTCGCAGAAAAAAATGTTCCGTCAAAGCATTAGACGGTTTGGTACGACAGCCATTCGTGCTGCTGCCAACGAGGGTCGTTCCGCGTACACTTCCCGGGTGTCTACAGCGCAGGGCGTTGTCAATGGCCTTACGGAAGGTATGTCAATAGCTCTGATACCGTTCCGAAGCAACAAGCTTATAACCGAAACTACGTTACACAGCAATTGGAAACACCCCTTTGATCCGGTTAAAGCGACTTTCTGAAGAGACCGGCTGCAATGTTTTGGGCAAGGCAGAATTCCAGAACCCTGGTGGTAGTGTGAAGGATCGGGCTGCGCTATTCGTTGTGGAGGATGCCGAGAAGAAGGGACTACTCCGACCTGGCGGTACTGTTGTTGAGGGCACTGCAGGAAACACCGGCATTGGTCTTGCACATGTTTGTCGGTCAAAGGGCTACAAGCTAGTTATTTATATGCCCAACACTCAATCTCAGGGTAAGATTGATCTGCTTCGTTTGTTGGGTGCCGAGGTATACCCGGTCCCAGCCGTCGCATTCGACAACCCCGAGAACTATAACCACCAAGCGCGCAGACACGCCGAGTCTCTGGATAATGCGGTTTGGACCAACCAGTTCGATAATACTGCCAACCGTCAAGCCCATATCGAGACTACTGGCCCTGAGCTATGGGCTCAGACTGGCGGCAAGATTGACGCTTTTACCTGCGCTACCGGCACTGGTGGTACTCTAGCTGGTATCACTCGCTACCTCAAGGAGGCCAGTAATGGTCAAGTTAAGAGTTTCCTGGCCGACCCACCTGGCAGTGTGTTGCACAGCTACATTCAGAGCGGCGGAAAGCTAATTGACCGATCCGGTGGTAGTATCACTGAGGGTATTGGCCAGGGTCGTGTCACTGATAACCTCCAGCCTGATATTGATCTCCTGGATGGCTCTCTGAACATTAGCGATGAGAAGACCATTGAAATGGTCTACCGTTGTCTGGATGAAGAGGGTCTCTACTTGGGAGCTAGCTCTGCTCTGAATGTGGTGGCTGCTAAGGAGGTTGCTGAGAAGCTGGGCAAGGGCCACACTGTTGTCACCATCCTGTGTGACGGTGCCTACCGATATGCCGACCGCTTGTTCTCGGCCACCTGGCTTGAGAGCAAGAAGCTTCGTGGTGCCATCCCTAAGCACCTTGAGAAGTACATTGTCTTGCCTTAAGTAACTTCCCCATATAGTGTGAATATAAAACTGTATTTGTGTCAGCTACTATAAATCATCATCTTCTTCCCTGCAAATCTTCATGCAAATGTGCATGTTGCCGGGCCGAAGTCAAACTTGGGCATAACACTGATTTGGACAGAACTACTGATACAACAGTTCCTGCATTCACAAGAAACTGGGCAATTTTTCGTCACCTAATGATACATCTTGCTGATATAAACCCCGGATTGTAGTGCTGAGAGCGAGGTGAAGGGCCGTTGACCCATCGCCACTGCTCTTACTACCAGCCGTGGCGTGAATATCGATGTTCGACTCGAGCAGAATCTTGGGAATGGTGGAGTGTCCACAAATTTTGGCCAGATGAATAGCCTGAAAATTCGGTATCTGGGTTTTATTCTACACAAGAGCTGGGCTGGATGAACTGGCGGCGGCATGAAAATCAGCTCTATTTTTTTTTATACAAACACGAGCAATGCTTGGATGGCCCCTTGAACGCGACATTAAGTTGGTGACAGCCCCAGGGATCTGATGCCTTAATCAATCCGGGCGCCATGCATCAACAGCGTATGAGGAGGTGGCAGAGCTTATTTTCCGCCGCCCAATAGATCACAGATGTTCCCTCCACCGGGGCTATGGTGAGTCTCAATTCGGATCCGAGTATATGCCCGTTTCTAACAGATGTGCCAGTATTCGCTCATTGCGAGTGTTGATTGCACGACTCATCAACCGGTGACTATTGATATATAGTCCCCTCTGCTCTGCAGCATGAGAATATAACACTGGTCAGATGCTAAGTGGTTCAAGTCGGTACCTACTGGACCACCAACTGAGTTACCCCCTGGATCATCCACTTGGTCACCGAGTTATCTAATGCGCATTTGAGGAATATTTGAACCTTGGAACTTGAAGAATTATAGATTCATGCTATTCTGCTTGAAGTTTCAATTTGGGGAATATATTATCCATCAGCCTTGGATCCAATGGATGGCTATATGCCCCTCAGATAAGCCCGCATATATGCACAGACATGACTCAGAGCCTTAGCGTCAAATGGGGGTTACAGCTATAAGTACAACCCTGTCCCTTCCAAGGTCACGGTTGACTTCCAAGGTTCGGAAGGTAGTTTGAAGTGTAAGACTCTGCCCAACCCGGTAAAAACCGATGCGGCTCCCACTGGAGATACTTGTCTTAATCCTACGAGAGGCAGTCGAGATCATATCACTCAAGGACTTGATAAAAGCACGACTTGTGAGCCGTATGTTCTACAGCAATTTGCATATTTTGACCCGATATGGTTCTTCTCCCTAGGTCTAACTAAAGAGTCAGGATTCTTCGCCGATGAGATTCTCCTCCTCCTGACGAAAGATATTACCCGCCTGGAAAATGAAATCTTAGGCTTCAAATGCGCTTCATATAGGAGGGCGGTGGGACACGATTCAAAATGGTGGGAGCAGCTCCCTCTTGACTTCAAACGAAACTATCTACACCAAAAATTGCAACTTCATACAGAAAGTCCATGCGAGTTCTCTTACCACATTCATGAAATACTGGATGTCCCACATGAAAGAACCACATCGGAGGAAACAGAAATAATCGTGGACAAAGTGATTGACGCATTTCTTTGCGCCACTATTTCCGACGTGAGGGAACTCTTCGATCCCAAACGACTTTATCCAGATAAGATCAGGTATTACACGCAAACAAGCTGGAGTACAATGCCGTGTACATGGGAACCCGCGGAGAAAACACTTAAAATGGCCCTCGCCACCAGCGCGATAATTCGAGGTGATGCTAGCGAGCTAGAACTTGTTCATGCACAGGGCGACCTTGAGCTGAATACATATAGCACCCGGCTCTGCTTTCATCCGGTGGGAGCTGCAGCTCGAAGAGGCAACGAGCATATCATCAAAGTACTCACAGATAACTCCTGGGGCTTGAATAAAGAGCATATCATTAATGCCAGTCGAAATTCCTCGTCTGCCAATGCAGCTTCAATAGCTGCGCGACATGGAAATTTGGAGCCAATGAAGTATTGGCTCAAGCCCGAGAACATGGAAGACTATCAAATGCCAGAATACGTCCATTTGTTTCTGAAGCGTGCGATCCGGGGCGCCATCGAAGCTGGTAACATAGGCTACGTTATCTATTTACTGGGTGTGAGGGATAGTGTACAAGTCGAAAGCCCAGGACCGCTGTTCGACTTCTTCATTGATGCCATAAAAGCCGGTCACCCGACGATTGTCAAATACTTCCTCGATTTGAAGTGCTTTGACATCAACACTCATACCAGCTACTGCCGAAAAGGCTCATTGCTTACAGCTTTGCAAGATACGCGACCAGATAAAAGATTGCCGGTTCTGAATCTTCTTCTTGAATATGATGCCCATCCAGATGGGATACCTGAAAGTTTCTTAATATCTCGAACACCCTTTCAAGCAGCTATAAAGTGTGGAGATACCGAATCGGCGGCCCTCCTAGTCAAGTTCGGGGCGGATATACACGCAACAACTATCTCTTCGCCACGAGGGAAATCCAAGCCTTTGTTACTACAAGCTATCCAACAAAAGTCTGCTCACATGATTGAGTTCTTACTGGCCCAGGGAATTGCAAGAGAATGTGACTGGAAAAAGAAAAGATACATCGTACATAATCGGGCGCAGCAGAAAGAACTGAGAAATGTATTGCTGCGTCTGGGAGGCACTAATGACCTGGAGGATGCTGAAAGTCATATACGCTACTGTGTAACAGTCGAGCGAATCCGCCGTATCCCAGACTCTAAGTAAACTATTTGAAGTTGAACAGCGAGTCTCACAAAAGTCTCACTTTATTCATATTCCCTCGCTTGATTCTTAAGATTATCTTTATCGAAGTCCCGAGTGCTTGGAGTCTAGCCCCTCGAGAATTCCTTCAACTTCCTTGTCAAGGACTTGAAGTATGTGCTCCGGTGGGTACTGTGGCTTCCAACCCAAAGATTTCCCATTCTCTGCTGTATAAGTCGACCTGCAGATAAAATTCGAATTTTAGCATGCAAATCCATCCAAGAGGAGTAATACATTGAACATACCTTCCTCCAATTTTCACAACTACACACGAGGATGGAACCTTTTGAGCCTTGGCAATCTTCTCAAGCGCTGTGTCATTCATCAGATGAACTGTTCCATCCTCGATTATAGCGCGGCGGGCAAGTGCATCTGCAATGCCGGTATAAATATCATGCCAAGCAACCTTTCCGGACGATGCAAGATAGAAACCGTTCTTCCCATGACTAGGGTTCTTATCCTCTAGGATCGCGGTAAGCAAGGCGAAGTAGAGAGACACAGTATCAAGAATGTGAGCCACAGGCCAAATCTGTTCAAGATTAATTTCCACGTCTTCAAAAGAAAGCCTTGGAAGATTTCAGATCTTGCATTACCTGTCCTACTCTATCAAATTCATAAACTCGACCAGTCGCCTTCGCAGCAATCACGATGTCCACAGTTTGGATGGATATCTTATTGCCAAAGCCTTCTCCCTTGCCGTCTTCATTCAATGTTAGCTTGAATCTCATTATCACGTTGGGTATACTCACAAACAATACAAGGAGACAGCATGTAAACTCTTACCCCATGCTCGACACCGGCCTCCACAACTGAGATATTTGTGTTGGTTGCCTATTATCGATCGTGAGTATATTGGCAAATATGTGTACCGGTTTGGAATACATACTATTTGTAACTCCGGAACAGTCGCTTTTTGTGCCTTGTGAATCTCGAATAGCTCAGGATCATTGTCGAGTAGATCTTTATCACTGGGAGCACCACCCATATCCGAAAATTGCTTGGTTCCGGTGGTCTAGAGAAATGTTAGAAACCTGACACGGAAAGTTTTAGTAATATCAAAAATCACGCACGTAGATGAAGTGAACTTCTTGTCCTGTTTCCTTCTTAGCTTGAGCAAGGGCCTTGATAAACTGAATCTGATGCTTGAAATAGTACGCATCAATCAGGTACAGCACAACTGTGATCTTATTTGACACAATAGCCTTTTTCACAGCCTCTTCATCTTCCAAATTGATCCTCAGTGGCTCAACGCCGTATAAATCCTGAGTTGTCTCCGCTTGAGCGTCTGTTCGAACCAAGCTGAATAGCTTCCCATATTCTGCAAGTCCTGCCTCTTTCCATCGAGCCAAGAGGGTTCCACCAATATAGCCGGAACCGCCCGTGAGAAGTATGTTATGCAGCATGGCAGAAGAAATTTGTTCAAGAAGTGTCGTGCAATAAGTTGATACTGAAACTTGAAGTAAAGTAGTTGGACATGTAAGGGATATTTAAGACTTCCATAGTCTGAGGGTAAGAAATCCTCACCGACAATTCCCCGCTCATAATTCAGTTTTAACCAATCGATAGAAATGGAAAGAAACAAAGATCCATACCTAGCATCATGGAAATCAATCAATACTCATCAATTCCGCATTAAGAGCATGACGTTAACACAGGCTTGGTGATACAATAGTGTTTTTAATAACCCGGATAGCCATTCCCGACGTTCCTATTGGACGGATGGAGGATTAGCCCCATATAGGTGGACCCCTTTAAATCAGATCTTATGCAGAATCAATAACCTTGTATCATAGCCCTGGAGCCTAACACGATGGAACAGATTGATATACCCCGCGACGAGTTTATGGCTTCTTAGGGGTTAGATCCTTGGAATCTACCTGACTCGCCCAATGAATTATTCACCTTATTCCTCACCTACCAGGTTCACTACTGGATTTCCTAATAATCAAACAAAAACTAAAAGAGCCATGATTTCAGTCATTTTTGATTTGGATGATGGATTTAATTCATTAAGAAAATACAGACTCAGAACGGTTGCAAGAAAGGAAAAGTGAATGATCTAAGCACATGATCAGGAATGAGGAGGAGAATCACGATCCAGATCCCTTTCATCACACTCAGTAGATCAGTGACCTCGATTATCGTCACGGTTTCACTCTTCTCTCACTCACGTCTCATCCGCATTTGTGCTCCGCAGTCCCACACCGCTCATCTCGATAGCCGAGAACTGCGTCAGGAATTGAGTACAATTCGATCCACGGGACCTTCAACTCTCCAACGAACTTCGGGGGTCTTGTATCAATTATTAAAACATCATCATTGCGCGAGCCAATCAAAACCATCTGTCCAACACGAAAGCAAATCGCAAAGCCCATCTACCGTCATGCTTTCTGGCACTAAATGTGCTGCTTTAACATCCGATGAGGGCCATTCACCTGTCAAATGGCAATATCCGTTGGACTCTTCCACGTGATTGGCGACGGTTTTTCGAAAGTTTGCTTGGTTGAGCGTCTTCTTCCACTGTTTTTTTATTTGCGGACATGACTTTGGGAACTATCGTATTTGTATACGCCCTCCCAGAAGCCCAACAAGAGGGTTCGCCCAATCGAACTCTTTTGTTTGCTTCTTCCACAATAATTCCTCAATGACCTTCTTCTGTCGCATCACTGTGCTTTTTTCCTTTTGTGTACTGACGACTCCAGCTTGAAATGCTTCTAGTGTCTCAAAGTACTGGTGGGATGTAAGGCCATTATCACAGGCCTCGTTAAGCCCTGCTTTGGCGCATTCGGTGTATCCGGATTCGCAGTCGAATGCATGGACTTTTGCTTCGAGAAATTCAAAGACCGAGCGGGAGCTAAGCAGAGTCGTCACTATGGTCGATTGTCCGATTGATCTTTGTTGTAGATCAAATCGGATCTGCATATTGATCAACATGCGTTTTTTGATGGGCATGATGGGAAGCTTGGTTATTTTTGACTCGGATTTGAAAAGGAGTAAATGAGAACCTTGGAAGAAGTGAGAAAAATAACTTCAGGAACGGCCGTTTGGGATGGGCTTGTACTAACTGTAGTGTTGAGATCAATCTTCCTCAATGATTTCCGTTCCGCATAGGAACGCTGCCCTATGTCTCGTTTTAGTAGAAGGAGTGATGAGCCTTAGAAAAAGTGAGAAAAGTAACTTTGGAAAAGCTAGCTGAGATGAGTTTGTCTTACCAGTAGTCTTTTGTATGCAAAGGTGAGGGGAGGTTGAAGTTGATCTTGAGAGGAATGTTGATGTAGGATAAAGGTTTAAATGTTCACGCGGCGAATTCTAACTTGAGTCTAAAGATGGAAGGAAGTGCTAAACATTAAGGGAATTTGAGGAAGGAGAGAGACAGATTACTAGTGATAGCGTCACTTTATCACTGATAAGATTTTCAAATATTTCCAAGATCTAGTATTCTCTCACTTAACCTGAAACAAATACTTCTGTCGGATCCATAAATGCCTCATTGACCTCATTGCAATAACTTGACCAGGCATCCAAGTTGACCAAATCGGCCCAATGCCAAAACAGATCCGCACCCGAGTCTAGTAGCGAATCCGCTTCATTCTGAATTGAAGGTCCTACTGTATCACATGGCGATTGAATCTCCGGGTTTGGGAGAGAAGGTAGCGATGTCGGGGTGGGTTGTTGATTGACATTGAGAACTTGAGTCAAAGTATCAACTTTAGTACACAAATGGCGAGTCAACGCAGCCGCTCTAGTCGCAGTGGCATTCTCCTTGTCAGCTGAATCAAATATTTCAAGAGCGAGATGAATGTATTCCCTTGCTAGCAGACACCGGTGACACCATGGGCAGGCGAGCATAAAACCGATTATTGTTATGACTGCATTCCACTGATACTGGTATAACTCAGGAAATCCATGGAAGAAGTCATGGACTGTCATCGTGTTATGTGCAATTCGGATCATGGTCAGTGCATGGTTGAGCGCTGTCACGGCGTGGGCGTCTGCTTTCGGGGTTGATTTTGGAACGAGTGGGTAACTGGGGAACTGTATAAACACACGATGAAGGCCAATTTTCACATTGTGGTATTGTAATGATAGCAAAGTTCTCAAAAGGGTGGCCATTGAGGACTGCTCAAGGCCTTCATATCCATCTTTGGACAACTCTGTAGGATTTGGTGGTACGTCGGGGACGTCGAAATGCAGGTTCGCGAAACAGTCCTCTTGCGGCAGCTCGTCACGCCATTTTTGAAGATGATATGAGAGATCCGAGAGATTCTTTGCTCTTGATTCGATATTTCCGACTCCAACTATTTCACTCGACGAGGTACGACGATCCATGGACTCATCCATGACCAGAGCTGCAGCAGTGAGTCGAAGAGACTCAGTATGATACAGGAGGCCATTGGTATAATGGATATCTTGTGGCTCTCTTGTCGGTCTGACACACATCAAATCATTGATCCTAATGCTAACAGGCTTCCCCAGATGTCTAGAACAACGAAAGTCAAGGTGAATTAAAGTCCACCAAACACGTCGAAAAAGCTGACAATCTCGATATCCACCAGTTCGCGCGTCCATATAGTTGAGGGACTCGGCAATGCGAAGGCCTAGTCCGACGATATTGTACGCTGCTTGATGATGCCCTAGATCAAGCAGGTAGAGTGTCATGTAGCAGTAGCACTGCATGACGGAGACTGATGGACCTGCAAATGTAGCCAGCTTGGTAACAGTCGAGAGACAACGCTGAAAGTAAGGCATGCCGATGGCAGCCTTTCTTGTTTGAAATTGTGGCCAGTTCAGATTCACGATTCTGGTATTGAGGCCAGAGTGATAGATGTGATTCAAAGTGTATGCGATGACGGCATCTTGCAAAGGCGAATAAGGCCCGTGAATGTGCTCACTTGAGTTTTCCAGATCTTTCAATTGCACAATTGGCATCTGTGGTCGAAGACGAGACCAAAATATTCTCATTAGGTGTTTGATCTGGATTGGAGATAAATCAAATTCTCCATTGGCGTCGTTTAAAATGCTAGCCGAAAAAAGAGAGATGGATTCTAGGGGCGGATCACTTGCAGATGGAGTGGAGGTAGAGAAAGTTTGTGACATATGTGAGCAAAAGACCGTTATTCGGGCAATGAAGCCCATAATTGAATCCGTCTTATGTGAAGTCCACGCGAGGTTCGCCTCTGGTGACGGTATTGGCTCTGAGGCATCCACTGTTTGAGTATCTGTGTTTGAGACAGTGTCTCCCAAGACTCCATCAATGACTTCAATATTTGCATCATCGTAATTTTGAGATAAACAACTCTTTCGAGAGGTACGCTCTGGACGAGACCGATGGCAGGTAATATTGTTGGCAATGCATGGTGGACATGGCGTGGTGGCTTCACACCGCACACGGTGCTCGCGGCAAAAGTCGCAGGCCTTTGCAATCTTGCGACGCCTTGGAGTGATTCCAATCCCTGAAGATGTGTTTTGAGGCATGTCAGGTAGTTTCAAAGCACAGCATTCCAACCAACAAGACAGGCCGGAAGAAACAAGGGGAGGTTCAGACGGCTAGGACGGATTGAGCCAATCGGAGTCGCTGGAGAGGCTCAAGTGGGTCAAACACTACTTACTGCCCAGGTTTTTTGACCGCCCAGCATTATGCCAGACATTGCCAGTTCCAAGGTTCCAAGTTGACCCCTTCAGGTTTACAATACTTCTATTTTCCTCCTTATCCACATGTGAAACTTCCAAAGTTATACAGCAGTTCAAATGTTAGTCTGCACCTAGGTATCTTCTCTTTCTATCATCTAGATACTCCTGTAGGTACTCCTGTAGGTACCCTTGTAGGTACTTATACTATATACATAGTGAAGAGGGGAACGTACCTTGGAATAGTACATATGTAATTAATTGGTGACGGCTCTTCGAAAACTTGATTTTTTTCCCTTGTTTGTCATTTACGGACATGATTTCAAGTTTAGGCGCTATGATGCTGATATAGGCCCTCTCCAGAAGGCCTTTTGAGGGCTCGCCTAATTGGATCCTCTTATTGGCCTCTTCAGATTTTCAATAATATCTTCCTCAATAACTTTCCTCTGGCGTATGACTATATGGTCTTTTCTTTCTGCAACCTGGCCATGCTAGCCAAAAATGGCTCTAACGCCTTGACATATTCGTCCAGTGGAAGCTTTACATTTTCGCGGATTTAGTGAAGTGCTTCTTTTTCGCATTCAATATATCTCGAGTAGCAGTCAAAAAACTGAAATTTCCCTTCAAGGAATTCAGAGATAGACTCGGAGCAAGAGCTACCAGGAGGCATATTCAGTAATATGGTCGCTTGCCTGATTGATCTTGTTCTTAGAATAATTAATTGGGTCTGCCTCTCGATGGACTTGCGTTTTGTGATAGTATAAATCAGAGTTTGGGGTAGCTCGACCATACTAATGAAAGATGCATGTGATTGAAGTGAAAACATTTGAAAGAGCAAGGTTTAGACAGGATCTTACAGTCAGAAGATGAGATGATTTCGGTATGACTCGGAATAGCTTAATGCTGCGGAAGGATTTATTATCAATTGATAACGCCGATCCCAACTTAGTTCCCGACCCCTATATACTAGTAGCATTTCCATTAGATCTGATACCGTATGTAGAACCATGGAAAATGACTAGAAATCCTTGAAAGATACTATTGGCTAACCTTAATAACCTTAGTCCAGATGTCAACCTTGGAACAAACCTTGGAAATCCTTATTTATTCTCCGACGCCCGTGCATGTGCTTTCTTGATGACTATAACTAACATTTCCAGAGCTTTAAATGAAGCCATTAGAACTTGAAAACATAGCTCAGTCAAAACCTTCAAATTGTAATTCTATCCGAAGCTTTGTGGCTGAGATTGGGTTCAAGTTGTTCATTAGTAGTAATCTAAAATTAACACATCCAATCTTCATTTCTCCTTACCTGGAAATAAGATGGTTATGAGCATTGCCGTTGAAAAGTTGATTGATGGTTTTCCAGTTCAAGTTGAAGTTGTTGATGAGTTCGAAAGCTATGGCGAAACCTCATTGTCAATTTTTTCAAAAGCGGATTGGTTTACGTATTCTTGTGCTGGGTTGCAGCTCCGGTATTGACTACGTAGAGCTAGGATGTCAACCAGGTTGAGAATTAGAAACAACTAAGAGCTTGAAACTTGGAAATACACACTCGTATTCGGCATTTTTTCCATGTTGAGTCTTGACCCACAAAGTGGATCTGACTAAAATTCATATTCACCACCTGGGCACTTAGAATAGATTCCTGCAGCCTATAGCACTCTGATATGTTTGGAATGCCTTCAATCATGCAATCTCCTAGTATTCATTTAGCGCATTATACCCACCAAATATTTAACCGAACAAGAATAAAAGAAAGTCGCAGCTTAGACTCCTTAAATTGACTATAAAGAGAAGCCCAGAGTCCCCTATTCAGCAACGACGCTTCAGCGTATTCTTTTCCTCGTTCCCTGCATACTTCTGTAGAACTTGAAGAAAACTATTACAAACCGACAACCTCCTTTCCGGCAATAGTAGCAGTCATGGTTAGCAACACTGCCATTATCATCATTGTGCTTGTCGCTTCACTCGGGTCCGTGTCACTGGCGGCTGCGTTTTTTGGCAGCATAATTGACAATGATTATGTTGTTCGCATGGATCCATCAATGGAGCAGCGTCAATACATGCGAGACGCTCGACTGAGAAATCTACTTCGACTGGAGGCGGAATTCAAACCCAGACCGTGGAGACCAAAGTAAGCTTCTTTCACCCAATCCGAAATTTTCACTGACAGTTCCAGGTCAAACCTGGTGGATATTGAAAACGAAAACCAATCCACAATGAGCGAGGATATGGAGGAATAAATAGTCCGCTTCTGGGCTTCTATAATATCCAATGTTCACATTGGGAAACTTGAATCTTTATGCGTGAGTTTCATTGCAATTGCAGGAACAGGTGATCTTGGCTCTAAACTCTCAACAAAACTAGTTTAGTCTGCCATTGTCGAGTGGAATTTCTTTCTCTCCGTCTCTCTCATATTTTGAATTGCTAGATAATAGACGCCATACACGTGGCTTTGAAATTAGCGCGATTGAAGTTAGGACAAAAGATCAAATATAAAATTCCAGGGGGGGGGGGGCTTGTTGAGTGGAGAATTCAGATGTTTGATGTTTGGTAAAGCAAGTGGACCTGATAGAGCTCTAAGACATGATCTGCTGTATCCAGATCTCGAGCTAAATTACAATTATTAATGGACTAGTGGTATCCATGGTTCAAATGTTGCTCCTTTCTCCAGTTGAGCCAACGCTGGAAATTAGTAACGGCTCGGTTTGCATCAACGCTCCTTAATCTAGATAAGGATTGGCCCTGACATACTAGACCTCAAATGGTCAGACAGTGCGTATGCTAATCGGTAAAGTACAAAATTTGCGACTTAGTCTCCAAACTTGAAGCTAGGCTGAGGCGTTAAAAGGAAAATCCCTAATAATAGGCACCGGGGACATATGTACGGAGTACTCCGTACGTCTCAGCCAACAGGGACAACGGCTTTTTCTTTAAGCGATATAAGTGGATAAAAGTGGAGAACAGGGTAAATTTGCGGCCTTGCTGGTCATTCGTGCGCGTACCCGTATTTCTTTCCGTATCCGAACTTCAATTTTGTCCAAGTGGAACCTTGGAAATCTATGATGCAGTCACTGCGGTGTAATATACAGAGTACGGAGTACCACCTCATGTGCCCAGGTGGGCTGCATGCTTCCCCGAATAACGTTATCGCTCACCGCCCGAGAGCACATTCAAGATAGCCACACCTTTGGCATCAATACCTTATATTCTCTTATGCCTGGTGCATAGCCAAATTATCTTGCAGCTCACTTCTTCGATTATGCATTATGCACCGTCGCCGACCTCATAACAAGTCGCGCAATGGGTGCCAAAACTGCAAACGCAGGAAAGTGAAGGTACGAAAATCATCCGCCGTGCGGGCAACAGTCTGCTTTTTCAAATCTTCAAGTTGTTATACAGCCAGCTGTTGATATATTTGCGCTGATGTATCGTGATAGTGCGATGAGGTACACCCAGTCTGCAGTAATTGTAGCGAGCGACAAGTCGAATGTATTTTTACTATGCCAGGGCCATATCTCTGGACGGATCGGTCATCATCGAAACCACGACGAAGCAAGCAATCACTACCCGATGCCGATACTCCGAGTACCTCCATCATTTTCAGTGGTGGAACTCCCCCCTGAATCAACACACAGCGATCAGGCTATCAATCCGAGTCCTGCGTCAACCGAAACCCCGGTTCCTTTGCATATGGAACAGCTAGAACTGATGGTGCAATGGATGAAGCATACACACAAAGATTTTTTGAGGGGGAGGAGACTCGAAAGATTATGGAAATCTCGGTGCTCGAAGCTGGCTTGACCGCACCGTTCCTGATGCATGGAGTCATGGCCCTATCCGCCCTACATTTATCACACCAAACTCAATCAGATCAAGGAAGACGAGGATCGTCATGGTTCACAATAGCAATGCATCACCAAAATGCAGCGCTCTCGATTTTCAGAGATCAGTTGAACCAAATAAATGAGAAAAATTTTCACGCTTCGATGATCTTCGCTGGATTGGCAGCTGCGTTTGGCTTCGCAAGCGCTTTACAGGCGGAGACAACAGAAGAGATGCCGGGCTTAAATACTTTGTTGAAGATTTTTGACTTGGCGCGTGGCTTAAAAGCCGTTCTTGATTCTACTAGCCATTTCCAACAAGAGAATGGCTTGAACCCCCTCTTGGTATTTGAGGTTCCCGCCGATGCAGCCGTCCCTAAATTTACTGAATCGGCTTTTGATCGGCTTGTCGAATTGAGCGAGAAAATTGATTATCATACCGAATTTTATAAGAGAGCGATTCAATCTTTGCGATTCTTGTGTTCTATCTCATTCACTGGGCCTGGCTCGATGACTTTATCGGTGGGGTGGGCCAATCTGGTTCCAAGAGAATACCTTGAAGATCTTAAATGCAGGAAACCTTTTGCGTTGGTCGTCTTAGCTCACTATTGCGTATTTCTGCATATGGGACAACAGAATTGGTGCCTAGGACGCTGGGGCTATGAAGTTCTGATGGAGATATCTCATATACTAGACTTAGAGTGGAAGCCTTATATTGCCTGGCCCCTTGAGCAAGTCTTCCAAGTGACTACTCTAGTATAATTGTTACTTATAATAAATTTCAGACGACAGTTTATGCAAACGATGGTATCAAAACATTTAAGTAGTAACACGTAAATCATGAAAGAAAACTATGGAAGTGAGACAAGAACAATCCCACAGCGCAATAGTCTAGTTCAAAAATCATTCAAATCCCATATCAAACGTCAAGTTGAACCCCCTCCTTTTGACTCTCGCTAGGAGACACTGTATTCAGCTCCAGCGACGAGCTAGGAACATATTCAATTACTTTGAAGACGTTCTTGGTATACTTGCGACCACGACCGATCAAGCAGTTAATTTCACTGGGGTGAATGAACTGAAGACTCATGGTAACACCAAACATCAGAAGCGCATCAAAGACATAGATGAACACCTCGTGCTTCATCAAATAACCTTCATAGCCCTGGACGTATTCCACCACACGAACAACAGATCGGATCAGAACAAGGATGCTGGCGGCATAGAGAGCAAACATGTGGCGTTGCCAGCGCCTCTTTTCCTCGATAGAACGGGAAGTTGGGTTCTTTGCGATACGAAGTTGGAAGACGATCGCGGTAATAGTGAAGAAGCCGAAGAAAACGATTTGCGCAATCAGACCGCCAATAATGACATCTTCTCCAGTGGACGGATTGTTCGAGTTCGAGACCATGAGCCCAGCACCTTTGAAAAGAAAGATGTTAGCGGAATATCCCATTGATATGATAGGTAGATAGAAAGCTTACCAGATGCCTGCATTAAGAATGATAAACAATCTCCGAGGACGAAGATCTTTGTGAGCCACTTAAGCTTGATGATAGAGCATTGCTCTGCGTCAAGCATTTCGATAATTCGGCCCAAAGTCATGTATACGCTCGCAGCATAAAATGCTGGGGCGATCAGGAGCAGTGTACTTTGAATAACATAGGGGACCATAGCAAAATTGGGTGACTGGAAAGACGAAAGTATGCGACCGACATAGCCAATGGTTTCGACTAACAGAGTAAAGAAGAATGTTAGATATAGATCAAAGAGAGAGATTGTGGGTTGTCTTACAGATTCCTCCCACTAGGAAGGGGATCATAAACCAGGTTCTCGTCCGTAGGAGCTGATAGAAGTGCATAACACTGCTCAGACCAAAGAGCACAATGAAAATAGCCGCGGCGGCTGTAGAAGGGTCATAGTAATAGAAGACCCATGTGAATGCCATTTTCTATATGCTGGATGACTCTAAAGTCAACTTCCAAGGTTGGCAAAGTCGTACTGGTAAAGACTGAAACGTATAGTGAAATTCCAAGGTTGACACAAGAAATTGATGAACTTGAAGGACTGAAGAACTTGCATTTTCTTTTGTCTAGTATAGTGGCGCCGATCAAGTTCCCCATATCATGTAGTTTAAGGGTTCATACCCGTCGTACTCGCAACTTCCTAATACATTCGGCTCTCGTTCCAAGGTTAATTTATGGGTAAAACCTGACCCTGTTTGGTGGGTCCCCAGTATTAAGGTTTCGGGACTGGATCTTTGAGACTAGTCCCTTTTGGGTCGTACTCGTAACCTTAGCATCATCTAAGGTTTGATCTTTTCCTCTTTAGGTCGTACTCGTACTAATTCAATTTAAAAATATAATGATTAAATAATTAGTGGAGTGAAACGACCCTGAGATAATGCGGCAACCTTGGAATAGACCGAATAGTGCCGTTTAGTGGCTTAGTTGTGATCCACATAGATTTTTCGAGTTTTTTGCTATATGCTGCGCCCTTATTTGCCCCGGCTTCTTTTGCACATTGTAGTAAGGGGACTCAATCTGGTCGTATCCACGGAGATGCCACGCAACCCTGTTCCATAGTCTAGATATAGATCGGGTATATGAAGTTCCCTGAGCCTTTATTGGTTGATTTTGAAATGTTTCTTCATCTCCATAAAACAATCAATGTTACTAGTGATATTCAGGTTTTGTTTACGAAATGAGACTCTCAACACATTTCACTTAAAGGAAACACCCCATCGCTCCTTGGACATCATCTAACTACTCTCTCTACTTTTTCTCTTTTCTAATTCCCTCGTTTGAACGATTTTTCAAGTTTTTGCCTTCAAATTTATACCAGCCTCACGTTCCAGCCCTTGTTCACCCCCAACCAACGTTATGTCTTCCGGCTACACTCTTTACAATTATACCCCATCGGTAGCAGCCGCGGCCGTATTTGTCATTATTTTTATCATTGCCACCGGTGGTCATATGTTCCTCGCTATCAAGAATAGGCAGAAATTCTTGATAGCTTTTATCGTTGGAGGATTTTTTGAGGCTATTGGTTATGTGGCCCGTGCAATCAGTGCAAACGAATCACCAAATTACTCGGTTATGCCGTACGCGCTGCAAAGTCTTTTTATTCTTCTCGCTCCCTCTTTATTCGCGGCATCAATTTACATGATCCTTGGTCGTATCATTCGCCTAGTCGATGGTGATTGCAATTCTATTATTCGTGCCACTCGATTGACCAAGATCTTTGTTTGTGGTGATGTTCTGTCATTTTTAATTCAAAGTGGAGGTAAGGAAATCTTAAATTTCAAAAACTTAATCTTTAAGTTCTATTTTCTAACTCTTTTTGAATTACCTGAATAGGTGGTGCAATGCTGTCTATTGCTAAGACCTCAAGTAGCCTACAACTAGGTGAAGATGTGATCGTTGCCGGCTTAATCGTTCAAATCATATTTTTCGGCTTCTTTATTATCGTCTCGGTCATCTTCCACAAGCGCATGAATGAACGTCCGACCGCAACCTCGCTCAGCTCTGCAGCCCAATGGGAAAGATACATGTATGTGCTTTATGCCGCTAGCACGATGATCATGGTTCGTTGCATCTATCGCGTTATCGAATACATCCAGGGATCGACAGGTACTCTACAGAGTCATGAGTACTTTGCGTATATCTTTGACGCTACGCTTATGTTCCTGGTGATGGTGATTTTCATCATTTTCCACCCTAGTCAGATTCTGAAGAGAGGAGGAAAGCAATTAGATGAGACGGAGCTCATTTATGGCCGATTGGGCTAGAGAAGATGACTATGTTTCCACGCCTTTTTCTTTGTTCTTTCGCGTTATCTGAAGGTATTATTTGCCCAGGTGGTGGGCCAAGTGCAGCGCATTCCATCTTACAGGATTCCAAGCTCTGAGTCCTTAACCTCTAGTATATCAAAATGAAAGTGAGGACTAGCAAAAGCTCAACAAGATCATTATTCAAGAGCAAATCAGTACTTCGAGAACGAAACCAAATAATTGTATGAACCAACCAGAGACAAGGAAGTTCGCGCGGCTAAGACGCATTAAGCCAATAGGAGTCACTGGAGAAGCTAAAGTGGGTCAAACGGAGTATTCTAAGGTTTAAGGTTACTTGAATCTGACTGTACATATGTGGCCGCTAGCCTTCCTTCTCGGCTAAAGTAAGAGATAGTCAAAGTAAGGGATGGTTGAAGTGAGAGATGAATAAAGGATAAAACTAAGAGATGTTTAAGTTAAGAGGAATATATATAGTTTTCCTAGCCATTTAGCTATGTAGCTATAATAGGCCCCTATAGTACTAAGGATATACCTTTCCTAGTAATTTTGATACTAGTGCTCCCACTGGCAGGTGCCTAGTTTCTACCTTAAGTCCTCATTTTATCCCCTTTGGTCATACACCATAGGCACGGACCCTGTTCTTACATCATATTTCGTCACTAGTCGTTTACTTTTTGTCCTGCGTCATGCACAGTGGAATTCGACCTTCCCTTCGAAATGCCTTAGAGGATCTAATCACCCAACCATGGACGTCTTCTAACCATCACATTCTGAGACAGACCACTCAGAAACAAGTGGTTTTAGCGTCATCACGCATATCAGTGGACTCAACAGCCTCCGACATCTGGACTTCCTCACCCCAAGATCCACGCCATCAAGGACGATAAGACTCATGCCAGCCATGTAAAAGCTGGTCTTGACGATGATGCCCACTCGACCGATGCCTTCAGCTCCGCAGAGTACAGAAAACAGCTTGCCCCTTGATCCAAAAGAGTCCAACAGAATACCCGTGGACGCAAACACTCCAAGTCTTGAAAAGACAGCGAAATCTGCTCACAGATGATATTGACAACGCTCTAGAGAAATGCCAGAGAATCAAAGGTCCACTTGATAAGGGCTGCCTGGAGAGAGCGTACCGGGACACCATTCTACCACCTGGGCAAGGGTAATGGTTACATCTGGTAGACAATCAGATTCTTGAGTGATCCACGAAATGGTGAGGTTTTATCACCTTTTACCCTAGTCAATCTTCTAACAAAATGAACAGCATCATTATTACTATACCAGACTATTGAAGAAGGCCTTCACACGGGAATGGTTGTCAGAGTGCCAATATTGGATCAAAAAGAAGATCCTACACAGCCAACACGGTAGAAATGTGTTGTTACAAACAAAAGTTGCCGAAGGAATATGATTGCTCGATGTGTGGGGCAGAGCTTGAGATAGGAGGTATGTCGCTCTTGGTTTATTCAAGTTCTAAACTTCAAAATATCATGGATGGTATCAGCGTATACATTTCCAGGATATTCATGGCAAAGAGTTGAATTTCCTGAATGAAAATCGGCCAGCAAGAACATTCCTTTACTTTCGGTTCATCATCACATATTTTTTCATGGAAAGACATGGAAAGGACACTTCATTTGTGACACTTCAGAGAGCACCCCCTTGTGAGCTAGTCCAGGAGACTACCTAAGAAAGTCCACGTTGAGAACATTGGCCAGAAATATATCTGGGTATGACCTACCTCCGTCGCGGATAGACTCGAATACTTTCCCTGATGAAGACTATGCGGCGGAGACAGCCAACTCTGCGTGGCAGGAGGTTGGAGCTGAGATTAAGGGTACTCAGAAGCCTCTGGACCGGGCAGATATCATCTCCCGTGTTTTTCAGCAGAAGAAGCAGCAGCTCTTTCGCAAAGTCCAGGAGAAGGAGATTTCGAGACGTGCACTGGTCGGTTCTCAACCATTGAGTGCCAGAAGCGTACCCTGACGCATGTTCACCTCATGGTTTTCCTGGCAAACTATCTGAACTTCGTGTCACCTGCCACAGTGGATGAGTATATCTGTGTGGAGATTCCAGATAAGACACAGTTTCCACGTCTACATGCGTTGTCTACATGCGTTGGTATGCAAGTTCATGATCCATAAATGTGGTCCACAGTGTACGATGAAGAAAAAGAATGGTGATACGTACTGCAGCAAGAAATTCCCCTTTCCCTTCTGTGAGGAGACAATTATTCCTGAGAATGGCTATCCTCAGTACCGACTAGCCTCCAGGGCTTCCGCAATTTTCAACTGATTTGTTCAGTCAAGAGCGTCGACATCTGGAAGAGCAGTGACTGTGAGACCAAGGGAAATATTCTGTCAGGCGAGCACTAAGTCGGACTAATTTGATATTATTTTGATTTTCCTCAACTATCCATGCTCTTCCTCCAGTCTTAAAACCAAGGTTTTTAATCTTGTCTCTATAATCATATAATGCTTTACCTTGATTAAGACTAAGGATGATGAGGAAGAGCTTATGATTCAACAGGAACCTTTAGATCAGTCCTATATGTAGGGTCATTATTACCTAGATCAATATTATTGTTCCTCTTCCCAAGGTTGTTCCTCTTGTTCTTCAGTATATAACCTTGGAATTAGATGCAAATACTGTGTGTAACAACAAGATCGTTCCAAAAACAGCAAATAGACACTGAGAAACCTGTACATGTGAACCTTGGGAGAAATCAAATACCTGTTATAAATCAATAAGTACCAGAAAATAAGATGCGTATTTCTCTTTCTTCATTACTTTTTCACGAGCGAAACTTTGAAACGCCCATATCTTTACTTCTGGCACGTCAGGGTAGTCAATTTCTTCAATTATGGTAAAGCAACAAGTTCATATCAATAAGGAAGACGCTGCGGAAAATCCTCGCAGATATTGAACATACTCGACTGTTGAATCCGATTCTGGATCCAAGTTTGATGGTACTACCTGCTGAAGCTTCCTGATCCCATTTTCATTCCGCTCGCGCGTCCATCTCTTCGCAAAGCAGCACACGTGGTACGGTGCTTCGTTGAGCCGCAAGAGCCATTTGAAAATGGTGATCCTTGGGATCTTTTTCTTTAATACCCGGCACAAAATAGAATCTCCAGCATGCTTCATTCCACTCCTGTATTTTTTGCTCCTTCCAGCCATTGTGACGAAGCCATGTGCTCTCGAATTCCATGAATTTTTCAAGGCAGGTGAAATATTCATAACAGTCCATGTCTGTCCACTGCTGTTCCCGAAGTTGATCGTAAATGCTTTTCGGAATAGATTGGAGACTAGCAGGATATTCTGACGGGGGTGCGAAAATGGGCACGTTGGCCTCGATGTAGTCTGTGAATGGAAAGGGTAGGTCGACGACTTGGATGTGAAATACCGGAGCCATTGAAACGTTCAATTTGTTTTCTGTTTGAGATTTTCGGTATGGCGAAGGATATGTAGCTCAAGTGCTTGCCGGGGAGAGTTGTGTTGTGGAAGAGAGGATATGGTATACGGCGATTCAAGTCATATACAACACCTCCCAGTCCAACCCTGGAAGGTTCACATACACGTAACATTCAATGTTTGAATATTACGCGTATACTTTCGAACCACGGAACCCCGTGGGAAATGCACTGATGGTGAGTCTTCCAAGGTTGACATCCTTTTTTTTCTCGTTCGTTCACTAATGACGACAATGAAAGCTCTTGAGACCCTCCTCGAATCTACTCCTCGGAAGCCTCCAGAGCTGGAGTGGGACTATTGAGTGTTGAGCCAACCGGAGTCACTGGAGCAGCCAAAGTGGATATAGCAGAGTATAGAACGAGATAATTTCAAATCAATACTTTGACAGAGAGATCTGGAGACAGAAATATCTGGTATAAATAGAGACATTATCTCTTCTGAAAAAGATCATCAACTACTATTCTCTCAAAAACCAAGGACTTTCTTCTCCACCAATTTCCCACAATGCCTCACCAAACCGTCTTCCGGTTTCCAACCAGAACCGCCTTCGAGGACCTGACTTCGTACCAAGAAGAGATCCCAAAGCCTCGTGGACATGAAGTCTTAATCCGAGTTCGAGCTGTGTGTCTCAACTCTCGAGATACTCAAATCGCCACCTCGAATTACCTCCTACCCATCAAGGAGAATGTCGTTCCAGGATCTGACGCAGCGGGCGATATCGTGGAAGTGGGTGATCTGGTCGATGACTTCACCAAGGGAGATCGAGTTCTAGCATGCTTTGATTACACCAGACTTTATGGACCAACTCAGCACAAACTATCTGGTCAGAGCGGCGGTGGTGCAGATGGTGTGATGGCACAGTACATTGTCCGTCCGGCTTCTGCTGTCACCAAGATTCCACCTGGATCTCCACACACATACAGTGAGCTAGCCACGCTTGTATGCACTGGAGTTACAGCTTGGAATGCTCTCTATGGAAACAATCCTTTGGTCCCGGGTCAAGTAGTCTTGGTACAAGGTATGTTCAACACCATCATCCTTATATGCTATTCATTATCTAATGGTGTCCAATCCTAGGTACTGGTGGTACTTCCATGACTGCCCTTGTTCTAGCCAAAGCAGCTGGCGCCACAACTATCGTCACATCATCCAGCGATGAAAAGTTGAATTTCGTCAAGGAAAAGTTCAACCCCGATTACTGTATCAACTACACCAAGACACCCAACTGGGGCGCAGAAGCAATGAGACTCACAGGAGGTAAGGGTGTGAATCATATCATTGAGATCGGTGGTTCGGGTACCATCGTGCAAAGCCTAGCTGCACTTGCACGGGGAGGTGTGATCACTGTGGTTGGGTATCTTGCCAAGTGCGGTGACAAGATCGATTCCGATATCTTGCTGCTTGCTATTGAGCGGGAAGCCGTTATTCGTGGCCTTATGATTGGACCCAAGTGCATGCAGGATGATCTGGTGGCTTTTGTGATTGGAAGACAATTGCGGTTCCACGTTGACAAGGAGTTTGGGTTCAGTCGGGAGGAAATTGTCGCTGCTTATCATGCTCTGAATTCGGGGAAGCACATTGGGAAAATCTGCATTGTGCATGAGTGATCGGATCCAAGCCAGTGTGGAATTTGAGCAAGATACTAGTACATGTATCAACCATAGAAATATTGGGAGTGTCAACTTGAAGTTTTGTCTAGATTTATACTAACCTCGAATGTGGAAATACAAATACAACATAGACCATGATGCTTTTCAAAGGGGAGATAACTCATATTGTAAATCAGAGCAACTAAAAGGACTAGCCTCTAAGTCACTCCGAGGATATTATGTGCAGCGAAGGCATAACACATGAAAAGAAGAAAAATGCAACCCGAACGCCCTCTATGCTCCCATCTATCCACAAAAATGCGCCGAAGTGCCATAATAACAAGAAAATGATCAAAATAGAATACAGGTTGAGCTTTCCGCAAAAAGGGAAAAAGGTATCGAAAGTCGAGATCGAAACAAGCCAGAGAGCACATAGCACAAAATCAAGATGAAATTTAATCATCTGACTCAGGCATACGCATGTACGCATCAATAGCAGCACTGAAAGCCGCAAAACCAGCACAACCAAACGCAGCAGCCTGAGGACCAGCCTTAGCGCCCAGGATACCACCAGTCATACAACCAGCCGCAACACTGTTGGTAAGATCGTTTTTCGCACGAAGACCCTCGATACAGCACTCAGTTCCGGAGTAAAGCGCACCGACGATTCCGAAGTTCTTAGCAGAGGACCAGGATCGCGCACCCATATCCTTGAAACCGCGACGGACTTGTTCACGCCAGGGGAGATCGGCGATGGCTCGGCCTTGAGGGGTGAAGGATGAGTCGTAGGACATCTGATAAGATACTCCATTAGTTGAACTCCTCGGGAAAGGCGAGTGATATTAGATGAGACTTACACTGGCCATGAAGAGACCGAAAGCACCACCAAGACCGAAACCCATGGTTCCTGAGATGACTGTCTTCACGGGGCATGACTCCATACCAGCTTGCATCTATTCGAGGGAACCCGTTAGTTTGAGATCTTCACTGTCATAGTTTCTTCCTGGTGCACGACATGCCATCTTGACCATTGCCTGTTCCTGCTCGTTCATTCCAGCAGTTGGGTCTCCTCCCAAGCTCATCGGCTTTGCCATGCCCATACCCATACCGGGAGGGTTCATTGTGATTTTAGGTAAGAGAGAGAGGTGTTCAGGTGTGTGGTATGAAGGAGTGAACCCGTAGGTAATTTCGCAGCGAAGATCGAGAGAGAGGGTGAACTTTTGCCCGGAAAAAGGAACAATCGCGATCAAATCAATGGAACGCGGAGACTCTTGCGGAGGCGGCGATTCACGCAAATTTATTTTTCGCCGCCGCAGAGCAACCAACTTGGCACTTTATCACGTGACATCCATCGATATGTATAAAAATCAAAATAGGGAGTGAGAAATATTTAAGTCTACTTTAAAGAGTAAGATTCTGTTTGGTATTTGTATTGGTATTCTCCTTTATCTGGTTTATCAGGTTCTGGCCAAGTGTAGGAAAAAAAGTAACTAAAAATCAACCAAGACGCTCCGCGTATCAAGACCAAAAAGAAGTAACGCTCTCGTGGGTGCTATGTCGTGCCAATTCGTCCAACGGAGACCCGCGAGAACGGGGCCGAAGAAGGAAATGGAGATAAAATATGTACATAAAGAAGAGGGAAAAAAAGGAAGATAGACAAACCATAAGAAACAGGGTTTGGTTCAGTCATTTTTGCTGCTTTTGCCTGAAGATGAGTCTTTTCGTTCTGGGGATGGTGATAGACTTCGTTCCCACTCGGCCATAAGGTTGGAGGCAGTTCGCTGGAGCTTCGAAGGTGCCAACTTAGTGATCGTAGGCCAGGGGATGGTTTCGGTATTGGATTCAGGGGCGGCGGTCAGGGGGTTCCATTCACCAAAGCTGGGGCAAGGAGAGCGTCAGCGCATGACAAGATTGTCATAGATGAAATCAGAGAAAGTCGAAATGTACCTAGCACTCGTTCGCGGACTACTACCCCGGGTCGTGGGCGACTGGTCACGCTTTGACTCGACTGTCGATCGGCTAGACGAAGGTGTGTGCCTTGTCTTGCTTCCCGACAACGGTGTATCCCACACATCCCAATTATCGGCCGTATCATCATCCTCCATGTTGTTGACTAGGCTGCCGGAGTGGTGATCGAGGTGGTCGGGTTCGTTCTCGCCCCGAGGGGTCGTGGCGTCGGCGGTCTTCTCGGAAGGGTTGCGGCGAGCGCCGGGAGACTTCTGCGCGGGTGAATCAACACCGAATTCATGCCAGAACGAGGTGGCGATGTCCGCCGGCTTGGAGTCTTTACCGGTTGTAGGCTCGGCCGCTTGCCCTTTACCCCGCGATGATGACGATGATGATCGCGATACACCCCCCACGACTGAAAGTCGCTCCCGGCTCTGTGATTTCGCAATAGAGCTTCGTTTACGTGGATTTGACGATGATAACGAGGAGTTCGGCGGTGACATGGTTCGAGATTCTGTTCCGTTGATACCTTCTTCGCCCACTGTAGCTTGACGAATATCCTCCAAGAAAGTCCACAAGCCCTCGCGCAGGTCCGAAGCCATTTGTTTGCCCGTACGCATGAGTGCCTCCCTGGATGGTGGGGGCATGGTCTTTCGCCACTGAGACAGCAAGTGCTCCGGCACTTGACTCTCGTCAATGGGATTGATCATCATGTTGGTAGCAGCGTTGTGGTTATTGTTGTTATTGCGTTCGACGGATGGCAATGTAGCTGACCTCGGGGTACGACCCACACGTTCGTTATCAGCAAAGCTAGGACTTGTGCTAGAGGGACCAGTAACAGTGACAGGGGAAAGAAGAGACAGAGTGCGGGTATGAGAGCCTTGGAAAACGCGACGACCATTAGACGAGATAGAAGTACCGGCTGTAGCAGCTGCACGAATACTCGAGCGTCGCTCCCACTCCAGCTCCCGACTAACTCGGCCTTGAGGCACCACCGAGCTACCAACAGAGCTCATGCTTTGTTCTCGGCGGTGTGAACTCGAGCTTGAGCCGGCCTCTGTCCCCTTCAGATCCGGGGATCGTAGTGGTATCAGTGGCTCAGCGTGGAGGTTGATCTCGGTGCGTTTCTTTGACTTCTCAGACAATGCCCACTGCTTCTTCAGGGTGGACAGATCGGACTCGGCCCGCTGCAGCTCCTCACGAAGCTCCATCACCTTCCGTTCCTGCGAGGCGATGGCGCGCAAGAAATCGTAGCCATCGTCTTGCGCATCGAAGGGGATGGAACCAGCGGGGAGAGCGGGGGACGGGCGAGTTGACGACTGTGTGACGGGGGTCATGGATCCCGGCGACGCAATAGTGCTGTCGGGGGTGGCGGTTGGGGTTTGGTTCAAAGGAAGATTGATGGGGAAATTCAAGGTCAAGCGTTTGGCATGTCGCGCCCCGGAATGGGCACGGGGTATTGACTGTTTATTCTGCAACAGTGATGAGGAACGAGAGAGACCGAATGACTGATCGGATACAGGATCCGAGTCCAGCAAGTGGGATGGGGAATCGACATTATTGGAATTCTGGGACGCATCCGGCGGTGGACCGTGGACGAGTAGATCCCCCGTTCCCGAGCTCTCCATGATGGACCAGCCAGCAAGGAGTCAAAGAAAGTTATGTGGGGACAAGGAAGAACATATGAGCCACGAGGTTCAAAAGGGAGATCAAAGAGAATATGTACAGGAGTTTGAGGAGGTTAAAAGAAAAAAAAGACGAGAGTCTGGAAGTCTGGAAGTCTCGTTCTCCTGAGAGTCCACAAAGCGGGTCCCTGGACCGCGCATCTTTGCCACGGGTGTTTCAGGGGCCCGAGGTCAAGAGTGATTGACATTGCATTTCTATATACGGAGTAGAATGGATTTAATGAGTTTAATAAATCAGCTTTAAGAGTCTCTGTGAGTTATACAGAGTACTACATGCATTAGACAGATTTGAATCATAGTACTCCATATAGGAGTACACTATCTCTTCATCATAAACACTAGAACTTCAACTGGGGCCAATTGATCGACATTCTGACTTTCCTATATGATTCGAGACAGAAAACTATTGGATGATTAACTTCCGATGAGATGATGGATTGTACATTCTTTGTCTATTTATGGAGTATATGGAGTACAATGGTTAGAATATTGACCATTATACTCAAGTACTACTGTGCTACATAGAACTTGAAGGGTCGAGGCACCTGGGATTATGCACTGCCATGTACTCCCTCCTTTGAAAGAGTTGATAGTATTAGCGTCAAGCTTCATAGTATAGCTCTAAAGCTTCAGTTTAGTCACAGAGTACAGAATTAAATGGATCCAATCATGGATATTTTTTCAAAGCAGCTGCAATCCTAAATAGTAGACAAATTGCTTCTATTACATAGTAGAAGTCACACTTGGAGTTGGTTATACAGTCAACATTGCCATATGTACTCCGTACCTAGTACGAAGTAGCCCTAGGTACATTATATCCAGTTTGATATGGTGAGAGCCCCCCCTGACCTAAATAAGCCAGAAATAGAATAAATACGTATCTTCAGTCTTAAGAACTCGAAGATGCCCAAATTTTGTAGTTCTTATTAAATTACCTACTCTTAAATTGGTCAAAACAAAACACTCCTATACTCCACACTTCGTCTACTCCACAGACACTGCGTGGTCAGCCCCACTACACTGCCGAGCTTGCGCGAGAATCGGCGAGATATGCACATTGTTTTAATCTTAATCCAGGGGTTCATTAGGGGTTTTATCCAGATTTCGAATTACCTCCAGGGCTGTGTAGCGGATTCCTTGGTGTTTATCCAAGTATGTAACTTCAATGTTAAGTACATCCCCCTATATGCACACGCATGCTGGTGCAACTTGCAAGGAAATTTTACATAGCCTGATCTAGACTTGCGCTTGGGCACCGGCAGGAAAGCTCAAATACTCGAGAAACATTCAGTGTTGTCTGAACTTTACATATGCCCAGGCGACTCATCTATACTAGATAGGTAGTAGTGGTATACGGAGTATAATCAGTTGAAACCTCTTCGACCAATTCCAACAGGGCTTGAAGCTGTTTTATGTACATAAACGAGTATCTCCAAACTTGAACTTCAATTTTAAATTGGAAAGAAAAATATGTAGTATCCATCACACGAAAGAAAAACGTATTCTTAACAAATTTTCATACAGATTGTACACTTCATCAGTTGACCCCTTACAGACAATGCACATGTGCAATCAGGTAGGGGTTCGAGTAGGGGGCAACAAAGCATACACCCGTGGACGTGACATAAATGACATGGAGACAACAAAAGCTATCTATGGAAAAGAGACGTGTCCAAGTATTGGGTCAATACATGCAGTAGACACTGGATGAGAGAATCGAAATAAAGACAAAGATATTCCAAGATAGGAACAAAACATCGAGACATGTGCATGGAACCAATCAATATTACACCAGATGAGAGAAACTCCGAAATTCGTAAACCGTAAACAAACATATTCAAGAAAGAATGGACACCAAGGATGCAAATGAAAGTCGCAGACTCGGATGGGAACGCAAGGAGGGGGTTATACAACACGTTGGGAACGCCAAAATGGTTTATACAAACGAATGGAAGAAGAGCCCAAGAAGGGGATTCAATGTAGAGGAAGTAGGGCTAAATGAGATGGGAAGATTTGAGGATCTGAGGATGTGAGGAGGAGGATGAGGAGAAGGTGGAGTGGTTTAGATTCCCCAGCGGTTGCGGAGTCCTTTCGGCCCACCGCGAGTATAGAACATCAGACAATTGTTTGGTGTGCTCCATACCCGAGGCATTTTGGCCTGGAAGGTTGGAAAGAGGAGAAGGGGGTTGGGAGTCGACGACACTTGATTGACGTCGGCGGTGACTTTTCAAGTGGGGGTTGTTTTGCGCCAGCATAAGTCGTGGACGCCCAGGAGAATCTGGCTGCTGAGGAGATGAGGGAAGAAGACTAGACAGTCGGGGATCTGCTTGGAGTCTCTCGTTCATGATCCGCACAATATGGAAAAGGCCCTCGGGATCGACCATTTCTAGGTCACTCCAGGCTTCGGCCAGTCGAGAGATAGCTTCCCGTTTCTCACCATCGCCAGTAGTCGCAAGAACTTCCTGACAGGAGAGTCCCACGGCTCTGCTGTACGCTCTCCGACCTAGCTGGGCTTCTTTGCTTGCCGAATCCGAAGCCAGCACTTTGGGGCTATTATTCTCGTCAAAACCGGGAGGAGGCTTGATTTGGTTGTTCTCGTTGGGGACCTTATCCGAAACTCGGCGGAATTGGCGGACAGTGGATGGGGTGTTGCCAAAACTAAGATCAAGACCTAACGGTTGCTTGACACCACTAGAGCGGCGCTTGGTATTTGCCCGACGGACAGATGGTGATCGTTCGGCGTTGGTTGCGCGGCGAACAGTGGAATTGGCCTGGTGTTTAGGCGGCGGAGGTGGTTCGGAGATGTGCATATCCTCCATCAATTGGCTAGGATCTTGCTCCTCCCATTCTTCATCCAGAGTGCTCCAGTCTGTACCCTTAGGTACCCACATGGTTGGGGCCTTGACAGTATCGAAGACCCAATCTTCGTCATCTTCTTCAGTGGGGAGGTTGGTAATGGTATTCCTGCAAAAAAAAAGCCGTTAGTGAATGGAACCTGGATATAATACTCATTAATAGCGTACAGTGACTCAGCATAATATTTCACATCCTTGGTCACCCCTCGACCAGCATCCCAGTCTTGTTTGCGATGGATCAGCTCCTGCAGTGCTTCGGTCTTGCCGGCATTTCGGATGAATTTGTGACGCAAAAGGTCTTTCGCGCTAGGACGGCGATCGGGATCCTTTGTTAGACACTGCGCGATAAAATCCTTAAATGTATTGCTGTATTCGTTGCCCTCCAATCGAGGGGCGGGGTTCTTCGGAATCAAAAACAGAACTTTCATCGGATGGGTGCTTGCATGCGGGGGTTCGCCATTGATCATTTCAATCGCGGTAATACCCAATGACCAGATGTCTGCCTTGAAGTCGTATCCAGCCTGCTGGATAACTTCTGGCGCCATCCAGAATGGGGTGCCGACGAATGTGTTGCGCTGTGACTTGATGTTGACGAGCTGTGCGGCGACACCGAAGTCGGCCAATTTCACTTTTCCGGTGTTCGATAACAGAACATTGGCCGCTTTTACATCGCGATGGATCTTGCCTTCGGTGTGAAGGTAATCGAGACCAAGAAGTAGTTGTTGACAGACAATCGCCACGTGCGCTTCGTTGAAAACCCCTGGTTTTAACTGCGGCCAGGGTTAGCGGTCGCAAACAGGAGATTATTGAATAATCAGGGGGTTATCCTCCGACGTACCAGGTCTAGACATGAGCCTCCTCCCAAGTATTCCATCACAATCCAGAGCTTATGTCCTTTGAGAAAGCTTGCTTTGTATTGTGTAACAAACGCACTGGCGCAGGTGGCCAGCACAGAAATCTCCTGTTGAATTTCTTGGATATCATCTTCGCTGGACTCGAGGTCAATCTGCAGCAGAACAAAAGGGGTCAGCTAGGTGGTCGGTAGGACAATTGGGAGCAGGTGGCTACGTACATGTTTGATAGCGACGATTTCACCGGTGGTTTTATCAATTGCCTTGTAGACGGTTCCAAAACTTCCACCTAATGAAAACAAACGCGAAAACGCGGATCAGTACATTGCGCCCTGCAAGAATCTTCCAAAAGAAAGAGGTATTGATTGAAAACTCACTGCCCAACTCCTCCATCACTTGATAATGACTCGCCATGTCGTCTGCCATGGTTGCGCAACGGTCGGCTTCAAACGTGAACGATTCCTATCGGACAGAGCTGCAACGGGATTCACAGGGCTCATCCACGGGAATTGAACTCGAGCTTGAGAGCGGTAAAACAACGAAAGCTCAGGAACCTTGGGGATAGCAGTTGACAAAAAAGAGTGGAAAGCAGTTAAAGGGGTGGAGCCCACTATACGCATTGTCCAGGCTAAACAACAAGCTCCGTTTCGCATGGCAACGGATGACACCTGATACCCCAGGCAGAAATGTGGGGATACACCATTCCCTTTTCGGCCTCAAGGTAAGGGCCCAGGGGTCTGCCAGTGGTTACATGCGACTCTCCTTGATGCCATTTCTGTACGGAGTACCTACTACATATTACACTGCTTACTATCCAGCATCATCCAGCATTCAAGTTGGTCTCTGTCGAATTTTTGGCATCCTTTCTATAGCTGGCCACATGCATATCTTTTGGTGTATTACAGTCCTCAAATATATTTAGCCCCACATGCACGCAATGCTTTACCACTCAAACCACCTGGGCAGTGTGCCTGCCACCTGGGCACAAACGCCTTCAAGTTGATTTCTCCCGAGATCCCAATCTTCTCGCAGATCCATATGAACACTGCAGTCGTGAACTTTAAAAGATCATTGATCATGATATTGTCCTCATAAACTAGCTTCCGTTCCCAGCTCCTGTTGCTTCTCACAAGGATAACAACAACTGCACGAACCAGGGCAGAGAAGCCGGTGCAACTTTCCCAGCCTAGTTTCACTTCCCATATCAATACAAAAATATTTGATTTCAATCGGAGAGCTTGGTGAGAACTGCAACGGCGTGTCGAGTTTGTCGAGAAACCCGGAGGGGATGCTGGCATTGTAGATATAAAGGTCACCGCCATATGATTCATCAAGCATCAGGACCTGGACCTGTTTAAGATATATCAGAGTAGCCTGAGCCTATATGTCCCTGAGGTATATATAGCTCACCTTGAAAGAACTTGAATCCACTGTGTTTTGATTCACTTGCTCTCTGCTTGAAGATAAAGGGTAACTTGTACTTGGTTCTTCAACCCTCAATATGGGATTTGCATCCACCTGTTCTATCTGATTCTTTGTTATGACTGTGTCATCTTGTTTCTCAGATCCCTGATGCTCCTGAGTTCGCTGTTGACGCCGTTTCTCCTGGGCCAAAGCGATTAGTATCGACGCGATGTATGGGTCTTCACGGTTGTTCGGGGGTGTCATAGCATTTAGCTTTATCCTCTGAATGCGGTCAACAGGATTATTGGGTTTGGGTTTCTTCTTGTCAGGCCGTGCGCAGACTTGTCCCTTGCGACGTAAGTTTATTGCATGGCAAGTGATAAATGCAAGGCTCGGAGCCCTGGGGTTGCATGAGAAAATACGGTCTGTTCGGAGCTTCGCAACAGGTCGGCCATTAAAGTAAAAGTATAGGCGATCATAGCTAGAACCATATTAGCAGTAGTATAAATTTCATAAAATTTGGTTTATTTTACCTGACCGGATGCTCCTTCTCAAAAGGATGAATGTTGTAAGCTTTAAGTAGCTGTTCCATAGCGTACTGCTTAACAGGCAGATCATCATTCCATACTAGCCGGTTTGCTGCTCCGATAAGTTCCTGACTCAGTTGTAGTTCCTTTGGATGAACCTGTGCAGGACTGTCTGTGTCGCAAGTCCCCTTGATATGGGGACCAGACTGTTGAGGCTCTGGAGGTACTGGTTTCTGGTTCCTTTTGCTCAACATCTGATCGAAGTGGAATCCCAAAAGCTGCAGTTGCTTCTCGGTCCACGCTATCGGATGGACATACAGTCGAATTCTGTAATTTTCTTTAAGGATGGCCTGGATTGAATCCAGTTGGGCAATTTTCCTGGCTGTCGGAGGTTGATCTGCGGACTCAGGTGCGGAGAGGCGGAGTCGTCGCACTGGAGGACTTGCCATATCGTTCCCGGCCTTTCGCTTAGAAGCATTGGTTGAAGAAGAAGGCGAGATTAACATTCCATTGAAGTAGTGATATTAAAATAGGTGGAATTCAGGGGTAGCGCGGCTCAATCAATGTTTTTATCAATGCGTATGGGTAGTTACATGGATCATGTACCGTGTTGACTCTGTACCTTTATCTTTTGCCTTAGATTGCTGCCCCCCTAGTAGTCGGCCCCACATACACGGATCACCAGCCACAGTTGAAGCCACAGCCCTGGAGCTCTAGCCTCATCTCCACTATATAGGTATCTAGCAGCCCATCTTATTTTCTGCTCGTAAGTGTCTTTTCACACGTGTGCATACATCAATTAATCCTATTGCATCATTTTAAAAACTCATACCTACTTAGGAGCAGTACTCCGTCGATATTGTTTCAATGTTGAGAATACTGGCCAATTGCCCTCATTCAAATCATGTTCCCTGGACTCGGAGTTCTGCTGCTATTTTGAGCCTTATATATAAGGCTGTCATCAGCCTCTAGCCTCATCTGCTGTCAATATAAATGCCCAGGTGTAGTCTTATCCTATTTAAGTAGATTACCCCTCATTTCCAATAAGCAGTAGTATGATACTAGTAATCTCGCAAAGAAAAGGCCGAAAGTACTTCTCATCTCGAGCCCCTAAACACCCAAAAGTCAAATGTTTGAATTCTCATTCATCTTTTAAATATAATCATACCTAGTATTCTCCTATTCATACCATCAAAGCCTCCGCATATTCCTATCCATACAGCTCGCAACCGAGCCGAGTTTTACCACCTGTCCGAGGATAATGGAGGCTTACATGCCTTAGCACAGATAGACGAGACTGAGTTAAAGCTTTCTGCTAGCAAGTGGACATTTCGACATTTACTCGGCTTTCAACTACTCACCCTCCCCGTGAAGCCCGTTCTGAAGATCTTTGCAAATGATCACCGAAATCACTGTCCAATGTGCAGACCTGGGACAAGCTCTCAGAAAGTTGACAACTACTGAAAAGATGTCCTCACATCGGATTGTCAACTGGACTTTCTGAAAAGCTCGGACTCTGAGCTTCTACGTCTCCCAGGTGGTTTCTTTTGGGTCGCACTCGCACGAGTCGCTCGTTCTAAATCCATTCCCGTGCCACGCTCACACCCCTCACGCGATCGACAACCCCCCAAAAATGATGGTTTTGTTAACTCCTCATTTGCTATTATCGGCTCATCATCTCCTGTGGTCTCCTCTGCGTCCGAATTTGAGATGGACCTTGATGATGTTGACGAGGATGAGCATGATGCTCGTCGAATTAAGCCCGAGGAGATAACAGTGCAATTTGTGATGGCTTTTCTTCAATTTGCTTTGAGCCTCTGCCTATTGCAAAAGAACTTGGAGCAACGTGGAATGATAGAGATCCAGGCGCGTATTGATCGCCGAACATCTACAACGAATATATCGAAAGGACTCAGCGATGTGAGCGCGGAGGATGATGGTGGTATTTGTAAGGTGTGTTTCCAGGGAGATGGATGGGCGATGATAGAACCTTACTTGGCTCTTCTGGAGGCAAAGAGAGCGTTTCAGTATATTAAATTTGACGAGCGTACGGGTCATAATACTCTGTTGATGTCAAATGCGGTTCTGGCTCAGTACCTCGGCGAAGCAGTCATAGCGTGGAAAGAAAGGCATAAATCTCTGGGCCAAAGGTAAATCTCCTATTCTTCTCAAGTGCTTGTACTTACTATTAAGTTTTCTGATGCTTCTTTTTTACCATCCCGATGGCTGATCCCATTTATAGTATCTTCTTGATCGCAGCTACAAACACGTTCTTGCGTTTCATCCATTTCGAATTTGGTTCCGATTATCACGAATACATCGATACTGGAAGCGAGAAAATCCAGAAGCGGCTGATTGATGACGAAAGCAAAGACACATTTGTCTATATTCGTAGTACTGAATGGTTCAATCTTCAATCATCCGTGGGGCGAAAGTCAGCCCTATGTCATATTTTGGCGCTGGTCAGATGGCATGAGGAACGATCCACTCCGCAAAGTACGAGGGTTGCGGAGAGTGACGTGGCTATGGAAAACGACAGCTACTATTAATCCATTACATGACGGATTCGAGTTCGAATTGGATTTGAAGACTAGGAGCCTCCGAGTCGCCAGTAACGGAAATTAGCAGAGTCAACACCTCAAGTTACTTATTATATTTGAATGTCAATCTGCACCCAAATGGCAGTTTTGGGATCTATTGACCGTTTCTTAGTAGCCAGTAGCTATAGGTGTTGCACCTGTGGACTCAGAGGGGCCCGGGATACAGGAATATTCGTTTGAAATTTTGTATTTAGACCTCGGGATTAAACTTGAAGCCACAGTATTTGAAAATTTGGTACGCTTAATTTTCCAATTTCGATGATATTTAATCCACTTTCAAGTTGAAGCTTGCAGCAAGGCTCGAAAGTTTGAAGCATAGACTCGACTAATTAAATTTCAGTGGCATTAAGTCACTATGTAGCAAACAACGCCATAAGAGTTCATTCATTCGGATATGTATACTCGTGAGACGTACTAGCATTCTGATTTATGAGGCCTTCAACTCTTCCTTTGCGATGATCAGCTCAGAGCTCTTGGAAATATCAAAAGAAAAATCATTCGAATCATGATATCGAAGGTGCTCAACCTCATGGCGATGTCCTTCCTCTTGGTCTGCGGGTCGCTTTTCGTACATCATCCACCCTGAGATTGGCTGAATGGAGTCCAGCCCAGCCTCTTCTGTTGCAGGGGAAATGGTATAAGGGACCGTCAGAACCTCCCATTCACTAGTAAATTGATATGAATCTTCTCCCTCGTGGTCTCTCTTGCCATCCAACATAGCCCCGCTTGATGTGGCCTGAATGCCAAAAAGCCCAGCCAACATCATAGTCTTATGTATAACTCCATTGTCATTGACGGTGACAGGAACAGAGACGACACCAGATGGAATAGAGTCTGTATCGATTTCGCGCAACAAAGCATCCTTCAACCCTGATGACGAATGTGCATCAAACTCTCGGGAGCCGACGGGATAGATTGGCTCTCGATGAAGCAAGTCTCCCTCTTCACTCCAGAAACAGAAGACCGAAACCCAGCCACATAGATATTCCGGGCCACTACCCATACACTCCTTATGGGCACACCTGCTCCAGAAATCGAGTACGTCGGGGGCTTCTGGATTGTCAAAGCAGGCAACAAAGTTATTGAGAATTGGGCGAAGAAGCTGGGCAAATCGGGCTGGCTCGTCTCCCAGTTGATACATCATGTCAAGCCTTTCTGTAAGTTTTTGCCAGTCCTCTCTTTCTCCTAACAAGGTAACCGAGGGTATTCCACACAGCAACATCACTGTATAAGAGAAGTATTTCTGCATGGAACCCATCATCAAAATTGCCGCGACCACATTGTCCGTCTCAGTTGTAGTGCTGAAGTTTGGCATGATCCATGTTCGTAGGTCTTCAACCAAGACATTCTTTTCAATCTCCTCGGTCATATACATAGCCACTTCGCCAAAGTCAACACTATGGATCGTTCCCACATCAAAGACTTTGAGCTCTTTCTGCCCTTCGTGTGCCACAAAGAGGGATCGAAGTTCTTCGCTATGCGCATTGATAAAGAAGGTGAGTTGTGTCAAAATAGAGAACCAGACATCTTCAGGTCGAATAATCAAATTATGATGGTGGCTATAGGCGTCAAAAATGGACCAGACGAATCCGTTATCAGAGGCGGAGACATGAGAATCGCGAAAAGAGCTTTGGGAAAAGGAGCTCTGAATTAGATTTTGGCTTTGGCGTTGGTCTTTCGGGGAGGAGCGTGCTAGTAGTTCCTCGGCTGTGGATACATTCCGCTTCTCCCATTTGCGAGGTGGGTGTGCGGCTGTTGTGAGAGTGATAGGCATATCGTTTCAGGGGAGCTTTCACAGTTGCTTGAAGATAGAGGATTGTGTATGGGGTGAAGATTGTGAATGGTGTGGGAATAAGTGAAGGTATCCCTGCAGTATAAGTAAAATAATTCAGCAGGCACTACCTAGTACCAGCCCCCTCAGTGGGGCAAAAAACCCGGGTGATCCAGTCCGGCTGAAAGTCTAACCTTGGAACTTGAAAGTGGGGGTAGCACAGCCTGTACAGGTATGTCGAATATTTGAACACTCCAGGGCTGTATATTGTACCTGGATAAAGTCCGTAGGTAGCCTGTTGCGAAAACATGGATGCATGCATCATCGAGTTTCCACCTGGGTGGGCAGGCAATAATCGCCTATCTCGTAAGCTGAAAAAAATGAAAAAAAATGAAAAAAAATGAAAAATGAGAACAAGGCATGATGGCTCATATATTATTAGCAGGGAAGTGCCCACTAGGTACCGTAGTAAAGTATGGGTGTATCTATTGGCCAAGTCAAGCCTGAGAATGACTGGGTTCAATGAGGATGATCGAATGATTGGGCATCATAGCCCCAACAAAGTCAAACAGAATTGATCAGGCACAACCTTGGAATGGAATAATAAAAAGTCGAAAGTAACTGAAAGTATGAATAGTATTTTCCAAAGTTCTCGATTAATCAGTTAGGAAACCCTAGTCAAACCAGTTGATTCTTTTTGTTTTAGTATGCTATGCTATTGTTATTGACCACTCAGTTAAATAACCTAGGGCCATCCGCTTGAATTAAAAGCACCCTAGGTACAGTGAGATGCCATATACTGACTTGGATGTGATTACTTAGCGAAGAGGGGAAGCTGGAGGTGGAGTAGGCAACAATGCGATGTGACGTGGCTGAGCAGGATACATGCATATAAGCCCTCCGTGCATCTCCATGTATAAGATTTGAAATGAGCGTCCGAGTCTTTCTCCCTCTCCACATCTAAATACATTTAGTGGTGACTATACCTGGATCAAAAAGACTTATACAACCCCAACGCAGATCCAGGGAGGTCACTACATCAAGCACCTAGTCGGTACGCCCCAAGAAAATAGAGTGGCGAAGCAGTTGTTAGTTGGTTTACCAATCGACTATTTTCTCGATTATCATATTTGCTTTTCGACGGAAACAAAAATGCAGTCAAAGATACTCAAACTAGGCATGCGAAGCAACGCAGCCACTGCAACGCAATCCGCAGATCTCCTTGAGCGTGCTGCGATAGAGAACAAGCCTGAGGTTATCGTCGAACTAGTTGAGAAAGGGACTGATGTTAATAAGAGACTCGCAAATGACTGGACGGCACTGCACATTGGCTCTGCCCACAACTACTCGAATCTCGTGGGTAGATTATTGGAGCAGAATGCCGATCCAGAGCTGAGTCTGCCAGACGGATCCACTGCTCTGCACATATCCGCTTTAAATGGTCATCACCAAGTCGTCGAAGTGCTCTTAAATCATGGAGCCAAGCCCGATACAAAACGGGAACATGATGGCTTAACACCTCTGCACCTTGCTGCAGCAAAGTCCAGAAAACAGGCGCTCCAACTGTTGCTTGAAGCCCAAGAGAAATATGGCATGGATATTGACCAGCCAGCGAAAAATGGTGCAACAGTCCTGGAATGCGCCTGTCAAAGCAGCAGCTTGGAATGCATAGAGATGATCGTGTCTGCCGGTGCAGATGTTGATGCCATTGTAGATTTACAAGGGCGGACACCGCTCATGATTACTGCAACTACGGATAATTATCAAGTCGCAGAAATCTTGCTCAATGCAGGTGCTGAGATTGATCATGTCCATGAGCACAATGGAATTCCCGCAGTGACGGTAGCTGTATTTTCCGGAAGTCTGAAAGTGCTTGAAACCCTTATCTCAAGAGGCGCGAACCTCGACCTGATGGGAAAAAATGGATATGCACCACTCCGGGCAGCAATCACGGGAAGTAATTCAGAAGCAGCCATGATGCTGCTACGAAGCAGAGTCAAGGTTAACACACAGTACGATGACCATCAAGTGACAGCTCTGCATCTTGCAGCCTCGCGTAGCCTGTACAATGTGGTCGGGTCGATCATCAAAATGGGAGCGGATTTAAAAGCACTCGACAAGGATGGCGACCCTCCTCTCCAGTGGGCTGTTCATCGAGGGGACCCTAAGATGTGCGAGATTCTGCTTTCTCATGGTGCTGAAGTGAACAGGAAGAATGAAAAGACAGGAGAAGTGGTACTTCACTGGGCCGTAAGAGCGGGCCATATAATGGTAACGGAATTCTTGCTTGCAAATGGAGCAAATGCATTGTTTGTTGATTTGACCCAAATCAAAAAAAGCGAGGATGCGGACGAGGAAGACTTTGAGATTTGTAAAGCCCTTCTTGAGACAGCCCCTGATACAAGTGATCAGCCAGATGGAAAGCGACCAGGATCACCGACTCTTCCTAATCCTGAAGTGAAGGGTTCTGATAACTTACTCCAGGGAGAGAATGTGAATGTCAAAACTCCAATCGGTGATTCAACAGAGGTGGTGCCGTCCGCAGACCAAAAAGATCTTCCTCCTCAGATTGAGTCATCCAAAATCTCAAATAGCTTTCCCAAAAATGACGATGAGTCTACTGTTGAACCCTCCCTAGATGCATCGTCTCGCAGCGAGTTGCAGTTTTTGCTGCCAAATGGCACCACCCTGAAATCTTCAGTTGAGAAGTCAAAATCTGAAGCCAGGCAGCATCTCCGCATCCTCGAATCAGATATCAGATTTTCGATATACCGGGCCAGGAGGAAGCAGCAGAAAGTATCTTCCTCAAGTTGGGGAACGCATTGTATCACACTGGTGTCACTTGTGACGGCCCTCTTTGCACAGATAAGAAGATCTACATCCAAGGAATTCGCTTTAAATGTACATACTGCGAAAACACAGACTTTTGTCTCGCCTGTGTGAGCAGCTTCCACAACAATCATCATGCTGGTCATCCAATGATCCGGTGTCTGCTCCCAACTGACTTTCAACTGATCAAAGAGATCGATGCCGATTCAAAAAGACAAGTCATTGAGGCTTCTGGAGAGAGTTCCACAACAGTTGAAGATGTAATTCACATAGTGTACGGAGTGATAGACATGGAGGACCTCAAATCGCAGGCTACGTCCGTTTCAACCCATAGTATCGAGCCTGCTGAGCTGGATGAACTGCTAGATGACTTAGCCCCAGTCTTCTTCCCAGTGATACGTCCCACTCCGGGACACGCTCCTGATATCCGAAAACCTGGCATTATCAGAGATGAGATTGATAAGCCGGAAGGTGTACATTCCTACAAGATTGACGAAGTTGGAAACGTCAGAGTCAAGCAATATCATAAAGATGTTGATTTGAAGACAACCCCAAGAGAAAACGATGTTTTGTTGCATCATCAAGATCCAGACTTGATGCTTAAAGTTATCATGGGACAGCTGCAACATTATCACTACGAACAGGACAGACAATTTCATCAATGGGCAACTGAAGGTCGCCTTGTGACACGCCTGATAGATATCGAGCCTGGAGACTTGGACGATAAGATGAGAATTGCGATACGTATCGTGGACTTGAAACAAAGTCCTCATTACAAGGCTTTGTCCTACACCTGGAAAGAGACAGCATACGAAAGAGCTATTCAACCACAGTGGTCACCTGATGATGTTGAAGCGGCTCGAAAAATGGCAAGGGTTCTCCATGCTGTCTACTGCGATGACCCTTCGGGAAACGAGAGATTCCTCGAAATCAATTGCGGGCTTCGAGATGCCCTGCGGCGGTTTCGCCATAAATCTGAAACAAGGACATACTGGGTTGATCAAATTTCAATTAATCAATCAAACCCTTCGGAGCGTGCCTATCAAGTCTCTGGAATGCAGTTCTTCTTTAACCGAGCAAGCGAGGTAACACTCTGTATTGGGGAAGAAGAGAAAGACACAAGTGAAGTCTTTGCTGTCCTGGAAACGATTGCAAAAGAATTCAAGAGGCTTGGTTTCCCACCTAATCCAGACCAGATAGTGGCAAACCCTCAGTCGAACTTGCCCCCCTTTGAATCTCATGTTTGGGTGTCTGTTCTAAACCTGTTTGATCGGCCCGTTTTCAATCGTTGTTGGGTTATCCAAGAAGTGGTTACTGCCCAAAAGCTCATTCTTTATTGTGGAAGCTTTTGCATCGAGTGGGCAGACCTATCAAAGGTCGGTCAAACACTTTGTCAAAAGTCTTGGTATCCGAGACTGCCACAGGGCCGACTACGAAACAAATATACGGGGCTGATTACATCGTCGTCCGACCCTCAACCACAGGGCATCGAAATGCCTGGATTCAACACTGTGGTGGTGATGAATGATCTCCGGGATCAATTTCATACTCTCAAACGGAATCCTTTGGAAAGTCTCCTCTACACCACCTTCACATTTGAAGCCTCAGATCCTCGTGACAAGGTGTATTCCCTCCTTGGAGTAAGGAGCGCAAGAATTTCATCCAGCGATCCCCATTGGATCAAAGCAGACTATGAGAAATCTGTCAATGAAGTGTTTCTCAATGCAGCAAAGGTTTGCATTTTAGAATCATCTTCTTTTGCAATCTGTGGCATAAACAATGGACCTTCCAGCAGATCAATAGATGAACTTCCGTCCTGGGTTCCTGATCTGACAGCTAAAGGCATCGACCACCTGACATCATTTTGTCGACCACATCCATCCAGCCCATATAGTGCTTGTGGGGATATCCCCATTATTACTGCATGGCCGTACGAAGAGCATCCTGATTTGCTGGTCACATCTTCATGCAAGATTGAAACCATCGCCTCTGTCTCAGAGCACTTCTTTGAGGACATGGAAAGCTTTTCAAATCTTATTATGGAATGGAGTTCCATGGCATCACGTATCGGGCCACGGTACCCTACAGGGGAGTTCACGCCTGATGCTTTCCGCAGAACATGCGTCGCCGATGTCACCGGTCCATATCGTTATGGCCCAATGCCCGAAAGGCTCAATATTCCCTTCATCAAGTTGATTGAGAGGTTCTTCTATCATCATATTAGTGTGGAGGTTGATCGCGGAGAGAAAACTTTGGATGATATCTTGAGTGAAAGCTGGAATCCGGTGATAACAGATCTGATGACAGACCTTTTTAGGATGGAAGACGCATTGAAATCAATTGAGGAGGATTCCAACGAGGGGTCTTCTGCTGATGACGTTACAGCTGGTATCGCCAACAGATTTGGCATGCCAAGCTCACCCATTGATAGTGCTCTTCTGGAGGATATTGTGTTGGCCTGAAAATCCAGACGTTTCTTTGTGACGGAAAACAATTTTATTGGTCTTTCGTCCAAGGATATACAGCCCAGGGATGAAGTTCATGTACTCGGCGGCACGCGCGTACCATTTGTTTTGCGAAAGGTTCATGCTGTGGAGGGATCGGACAATGAAAATCATCTACAGGCAGGGAAACTGGTAGACCAAGACTGTTTGGGACTGTATCAAATGATTGGAGAGAGTTATGTCCATGGTCTTATGCAAGGTCAGGCTTTAGAAAGAGATGGCGCAGAGTGGGATGGGATATGTCTTTGTTAGAACTTAAACCTTGGAAGATTTAGGCTTATTCTCATTATTAAAGTTTTTATACCATGATAACAAAGTAACTGATGATAAGCTAGGTGATTAAAATTCACTATGGAAAAATGGGGTTTGACCTAGCCGTTATAGGCCCCTATACCTAGGCCTGATCGGATGAAAATCAGCCCGTTCGGTCACTTCTGACTAAAATGATTGCTATCATAAAGGAGATCCTACAGGATTCATTAATGAGTAGTTTGATTTAAATCACAAGATTCATAATGCCAGAAGCATATCCATTTCGTTTCCTTCAATAGCATATCGATCTTTTGTTTCAATAGCAATTCACAAAATAAATTCCACTCAACATGAAACTTTTCTATAAAAGATCCAATAATGACGCTTTTCGAATTGAGACTTTAACACTTGGACGAGAAATTCTCATGCTTTTCACTATTTGCTCTGCGCAGGGCATGGTTCAAGCCGCTCTCGCCCAGAGCTTTATCCCTAATATTGTGATTGGAGAGTCATTTCATGCCAAATCTCATGATACAGCATGGTATCCTGCAGCCTATGGACTGACATGTGGTGCCTTTATGCTGGCGTGCGGCCGCGTGGGCGACATAGTTGGCCACAAAAAGCTTTTTGTAGGAGCTTGGTTTTGGTTTTCTCTATGGAGCCTCATTGCTGGTATTTCATCTTACACTGAATCCCAGGTTTTCTTCGATGTTTGCAGAGCATTCCAAGGAATAGCCGCCGCTGCATTGGTTCCGTGCTCCCTGGCTATTCTGGGGACGATATACAAACCTGGACCACGAAAGAATCTTGCCTTTTCTCTATATGCTTCTGGGGCTCCGATTGGTTTTACTCTTGGCGCTGCTTTTTCTGGGCTTCTTGCTGAACTAGCAGCGTGGCCTTGGGCATTCTACATCAGTTCTATAGTTTGTTTGATCTATGGATTGCTGGCTTTAATTTCTGTTCCAGATTTGCACATACACTCTGCACAGGAAAAGGGATCATTTGATTACAAAGGGACTTTTATCATCATACCTGGTATAGACTTGGAACATCTTATTCGCAATATTCAAATGTGGCTAATACAGAAATAGGGCTTATTTTGCTGAATTTCGCTTGGAACCGTGCACCAGAAGTGGGATGGGCAAGTTCACAATGTATTGCACCACTCATCATCAGTCTATTTTTGATTACGATATTTTTCCCAATTGAAAAGAAGGCTACACATCCTATCATACCTGTCGCTGAGATCGACCGCAATGCGACATGGATTCTTCTCATCGAGGGACTAGGGTGGTCCTCCTTTGGAATACTCTGTTACTATTCCATCAACTTCATCATCCATCTCCGTGGCGATAGCATGCTTTTAGCTGCTGCGTATCTCGCTCCAGTTCCCCCAGCGGGTCTCGCTGCCAGCATCTTGACATCAAACCTTCTTTCCTGCCGGGTAAATCCCGCGGCTATTCTGGCTTTCTCACTTATATGGTTCTGCGTTGGCAACATCATCCTTGCAACCATGTCAGTTCATCAGAGTTACTGGCTAGGGATATTCTGGTCCTATTTGCTCAGCCCTTTTGGGATGGATATGAGCTTTCCGGCTGGTACCATTATTCTTAGTGACCTCATGGCTCCCGAGAAGCAAGGGATTGCGGCAAGTCTGATTGCGACGATTGTTTATTACTCCCAAAGTCTGGGACTCGGTTTGGCCGGGGTGGTGGAGAAGGATGTCGCAAATGGTTCTGTCCTGCAAGGTTATCGTGGTGCATGGTACCTGGCAATAGGTCTAAGTGGACTTGGGCTCGGAGTTGGAACTGTGTTCGCATTAGTCTCAATGTCAGGAGGCAATCCGGGATTTTCCTTAAAAAAGAGAGATCACAAATCAACTCAAGAATGCCCTGAAAGCCAAAAATGATAATTCAGAACGAATGGCATTTAATGTATCTATTCGCATTGGGCGTAACATGAATTTGTGCAGTCATTGGATTCCATGAGGCAGACTTTGGATTCATCAATAGTATAGTACACATAGAGTGATGAACAAACTTCAAAAGAGCCCACATGTGCATGAAAGTACATATTTTCTAGTCAATGTAGTCAGAAATGGTGCACGATTCACCCATTTTGCGACGGGAGTTTTTCATCAATGAACATGAGTTCATAATTGATTTTCATCAAGGACCTGTGAAGCGGCTCCTTTTAACCAGTCAGATTGTCATAACGACACGTAAAGCTTTTCGGATAATATACTGATTGGAAACTCTGATAGATGATAGCGGCTAGCTGCTTCTTTCACCGGAGTCTAATTAATCGGAGCGTGCTTCTTAAGCCAGTCGTCCAATACTACTGTCGCCGGGTAAGTAGGATCGCCGAGTCGGAGCAGCATTTGTATATGCCCTTCAAAGCCTTGGCCCTCAAAGACGTACAGAGCTGTTTCAGTACCTGCGGCGTTGAGTGCTGTAGCTAGCTCGACTGCCTGACGAATATCACCCTGCCTTTGGACATGAAGGAGCAAGAAAGCACCGGCATTAGGCGCACGAGCGTGGTAAGTCGGCGACATCGCGCGCAGTCGCTCCAGATCGGTACCTAGTGCGTGTATGGTGTTCTGCGCTACCGGTCCAGGACTATCGGTGATCTCGGCTGGTATATTGTAGTTCGAGCCGTCCAGCGAAATAACAGCTTGCACGACATGGATGCTGATTCCTGCACGATCCAAGTACTTTGTGTCAGTTCCGAGTAGGGTAACAACATGTGCTCCGGAGCTATGTCCCGTCAGAATGACTCGATGAGGATCAAAATGAGCTAGTCTAGCCACGTTCTTGAGCAAGAAGCCCAAAGAGTTAGCAACCTCCTGTACCTGCTCTTCCACAGTCACAGATGGAATAAGTGTATAGTTGACGGTAGCGAAGGCATAGCCCTCTTTAAGCAGATGATAAACCTTGACCGAACCAATAGAGTCCAGATATGTCCCTGATCGCCAACTGCCTCCATGAACGAAGATGATAACTGGAGCCTTGGATGATTTCGCCGTCCATAAGCACACACGCTGGGCTTCCTCATCCCCATATGCCACGTCGATACCACCGGTGGGTTCATCTGTGTTCATGTCTGAAACGAGCTCATTCGCTCGGGCTGCCGTGATGTTGTCTTCAGAGTCTGTTCTTTGAAAGATATCCAGTCATGTGATCTCCTTCCCTCTGGCTGCTATCTCGATGGGAGGAAGGTCAGGAACGGTTGAAGAATCAACCGTGACACTAGCGGCACATGAGCTGGCCTCGAAGCCGGTATTGGTGTCCATGATCTTGGTTGACGAGATTGACGAAGTTGTTGACGTACAAGTCAGCAATACCCCCTCATTCCTGCAATGTTAGCCTTATCTATAAGGCTGCAACAGACTAACTAGTAGCCTTGGAGCTGCCTAACATAGCTAAGTAATTCACGGCCAAGTGGCCATCAATTGATGATGAAAAAAGAGGATAGCGGCACTTCTATATAAGGTTTGAAGACAAATTGCAAATTCTCTGAAGTAGTCCTGATTCATGATTTTAAATCTATTTGTACACTAACGATACGCTTCATATAAACACTCAACCCAAGCTCGTCTAGTATAACTTAGATGTACTTGTAAGGGTTCATGATGCCATTCTGAAAGGGGAAAACTGATATTAGCACACAATTGACCGCCTGAGGTATAGTACTGTGAATAAAGGAAAGATAAATTACTCACCGGATCATAAAGCGCCTTCAGTTGCTTCATCAACTTGACCATTGTCTCATTCTGGCTGTAGCCAATGAACTCCTTCTTAGCAACACCAAGACCGTGCTCAGCACTGATACTACCGTTGCGCTTTTGGATCCATTCATAGACCCAGGGCTCAATGGCCTTCTCGACCTCCTTGTTATACTGACGCACTGAAACATTCAGATGCAAGTTGGAGTCACCCATGTGACCGTAACCAACAACCGCACGCACGGGGAAAGAGTCATCATCACCGACGAAGCCCATCTCGGTCAGACGGGTCTTGCAGTCCTCAACCAGCAGGTACAGATCAGACAGAGGGATGGAAACATCATACTTGTAGGTACCACCGAGGTGGCTCAGAGCCTCTGTAATACCCTCACGCCAGCGCCAGAGAGCCTGGAACTGGGTCTCATCCTGTGCCAGGACACCGTCAGCAACAATACCGTCGCTCATCACACTCTCCAGGAATGATTCCAGCTTCTCCATGTCGTGCTCTGCATTCGAGCCGCTGGTCTCAACCAAGCAGTAGAACGGGTACTCGCCCTCAAGAGGGTGCTTGTTACCAGTAGACTCGATGACCAAGCCCTGGCTACGACCGTCCATCAGCTCAAAGGCAGACAGGATCTCGGAGAGTTGACCCTTAGCAGCCAAGTAAGCCTGCTGGACCTGCTCGAAGCTCTCCAGACCAAAGTACGCAACATTGACAGCCTTGGGGCGAGGCGGGCAGATGATAGAGACCGCAGTCACCAAACCAATAGTACCCTCAGAACCAATGAAGAGCTGCTTGAGATCGTAACCGGTGTTGTTCTTGCGGAGGGTGGACAGAGCATCGACGATAGTCCCGTCCGGCAGGACTGCCTCGAGACCCAAAACAGTGCCGTGAAGACTGCCGTAACGCAGCAGACGCAGACCACCCGCATTGGTGGAGACATTACCTCCAATGTGGCAGGAACCCTTAGCACCGAGATCAAGGGGGAAGAGGTGGTCCCGCTCGGCGAGATACTGATCAGCGACCTCGAGAATGACACCAGCGTCGGCGACAAGGACACCGGAGGCCGGGTCAAAAGAGCGAATCTCGTTCATCCGCGAGGTGTTGACGACAATCTCGTCGAAGACAGGTACCGAACCACCCACCAAGCCAGTGTTTCCACCTTGAGGCACAACGGCCAGCTTACGGTCATTGCAGTATTTCAGTACCTTGCTGACCTCCTCTGTGTTGCCAGGCTTCAGGACCAGCTTTGTGTGACCACGGTACTTCCGCATCCAGTCTGCATTGAAGGGCTCGAGGTCGTCTGTCGCATCAGTGGTCACGCCATCAATGACAGCGGACTCAGAGCCGAGGAGCTGCTTGAAGAAAGCGACATCTTCAGCGGAGATTTCGCCAAACTCGGGGTTTCGCTTGAGGTTGGGGTAGGCGTCGCTGGTGTACTTGATTTGCTTGTCGGCCCGGACAGTGGAGCTAGCGCTGAAGCTACGCAGCACGGTGGCACATTGTGATGTGGGGAGGATGGGACGGAGGGCGAGACGAGGACGCGGGAGTCGAGCCCGGCGCAGAGCCGCAGAGATATTCCGAGCACCAGACATGTTTTTTTTAACGGTAAGAATTAGGGAAGGAGGATAAAATTGGGAGGAAATTAGGAATTTGAGGTTAAATTGCGCAAAAGTGGAGATCCCGCTCCGATCTCCTCCCGACGGCTGAACGATTCTTCTTTTTAGTGCTTTTGTTGCCTCGGTGATTTTCGGCTTTTTGTCGACACATATTGATGATATTATTAATGGAAGTCTGGATCATTCAGGGTCTTCACAAGTATCAAGTCTCGTTTCTTTGGCTTGAGAAGTCCAAAACTGACTAGTGACTGCACATAGAGCCGACTTCAAGTTCCCATTATCACACTTAAAATGGAGTAATTTTTACTCAATTCCTTATTTTCGACTACTGGTAGCAATCTATTTCAAGTTCAAGCTTGAGGTTCATTTGGGATTTTCTATCATTAGACAAACTCCCTAGTTTTATGTATAATGACAACTTGAACATTTCTACTAGTACTAGGTAGACTATCGAGAGTACAACTCCATAATGGGCTGCCTTCACGTCACCACCAGGACTTCAAGTTCTAACATTTGAATATGCAAAAGATACTACAGAAGGAATTTCGCAGTTTATTGATCTCAAAGTTGTTGTGTTCAAACCAATTGGATCAATTGAGACAACGCAATTCTACTTTGTACTGAAGATCAAGCTGCCAGGGACAACTTTAATTGAGGTTAATTCAATACATTGACACCAACCTCAAACATTGAATCACCTAGTATATGCCAAATGGCAAACTTGAAGCTTCAATACTTTTCAATTGATCAAAGCTGAATTTCTCTCACTGTACTTACTCCAGTCCTAATGCGGCAAGCAACAACTGGAGAGTCGGTTACGTCATGGTATGATAGCGCCCCGCAAAATACCACAGGAAATTCTCACCGACGACAAGTCCTAGAGCTTCTCCTATACCTGCAACAATGACTTCTGTAGTTCTGGTTACCGGTGCTAGTGGCCTATTGGGCCGCCAATTATTCAATATCTTCCAGCGCTCCGGGGTTCTTGTGGTAGGACAAGGATTCACTCGCGCTAACCCGCCTACTATCCTGAAAGCGGATCTGGAGAAGAGTGAAGATATCAAGGTTCTTTTTGATGAAGTAAAGTGAGTGATTCCCAAAATGAAAGCTGGATATTACCGAGTGAAACCTGGGGGAATTGCAGACTAATGCTATGACTCTCACGGTGAAGACCCCAGATCGTTGTTCACTGTAAGCTCCTAACCCCTCCATTCTAAACCCAACCAAGCTAACCGTCGGACCCGTAGGCGCCGCAAACCGATTCCCCGACCTGTGTGACAAGAATCCCGAGCAAGCTCGCAAGGTGAACGTTGACGCTACTCGTGCATTGGCCGAAGAGTGTGCTACTCGCGGAGCTTTCCTGATCTACATCTCCACCGACTACGTCTTTCCGGGAGTGGAGGGTGAAGCACCCTACGAGGCAGATGCAGAGACCAAGCCACCAAACCTGTACGGTGAATTGAAGCGTGATGGAGAAGTGGCCGTCCTGGAAGCTACCAAGGCTACTGGTCTAGGTGTTGTCCTCCGTGTGCCGGTGCTATACGGAACCGCCAAGAGTAACTCCGAGAGCGCCGTGAATACCCTGGTGGATGCTGTTATGAAGGCGCAAGATGCAGATGCCGGCGTCAAGATGGATGACTGGGCTCAGCGGTACCCCACCAATACAGAGGATGTGGCGCGTGTCTGTCGAGACATTGTCATCAAGTACATCAAGGAGAAGCAGCACCTGAAGGAGCTCCCGCATATCCTGCAATTCAGCTCCGAAGATCGTATGACCAAGTACGAGATCTGTGAGAAGCTTGCTCAAGTGCTCGGTTTCCCGTTGCCTGGTATGATTCGCAACAAGGAAGGGAATGATCCAAATGGTGGTGTTCAGCGACCTTATGACACCCATCTGTCTACCAAGGCACTGAAAGACCTGGGTATCGATGTTAGAACTGTCGACTTCGTGACATGGTGGTAAGTCCTCATCCTATTTTCTTCTGTATTGTTCAATTATTCACCGCTAATCGTTGATGCAGGCGACGAGAGCTGGGTGCGTATAGGAAGTAGATTGTGATCGCAGAGAAAGAGATTGAACATCTATGGCATGAACAGCCCGCCGGCATGTTTTGAAAGTGGGATTATTAAAAAAAATGAATAGAATATTACTTTGAATATCAGAGCCTCTTGATATCATTCTAGAGGTAAATACTCAGACTCTACTGCAGGTGGGATTCTTGTAGAAGGATACATGAGTAGCTCAAATTTGAAGTCATAACAATAGCAAAGTATAGGATGGGGAAAAGAGCAGTTGCTGATAATCAGGTTCAATTTTCTTGGCCAAATTGGACTTGCACGTCTGCTATCTCAGGAATTGGATTTCATCATCCTGTTATCTTCGGCTCGTGGCGGGGGCTTTGAATGATCCTGTCGGATCCATTAACATCAACCGGGCACTCCCATATGTATTACAAATCAAAACGCGCCATCATGAGATGGATATAAAATAAAAAAGACTAGTTGATGCAAATTTCTCCGCACCAAATTTGCTTTGTAATGCTTCAATTGGTCAGGCAAGCCAAGGGGTATAAAATGACTGGTGTAGCTTTCGCTTTGCAGTCAAGTCTCACCACCCCTCAACCCCTCTTTCACCCCACCATAAGCACTCAAAAAATGTCTGGCATACAGAAAGCTGTTATTATTACTGCGCCCAAGACGGCAGAGCTCGTCACAGATCACCCTGTGCCAACTCTCCTGGATGACTATGTCCTTGTGAAAACTGAAGCAGTTGCCCTGAACCCCACGGACTGGAAGTTTGTGGCTAACAATTCCCTTCCCGGTTGCCTGGTTGGCTGTGACTATGCCGGCGTGATTGAAGAGGTTGGCAAGGATGTCAAGAAGGACTTCAAGAAAGGCGATCGCGTGTGTGGTTTTGCCCACGGCGGCCACAGATTGCGCCCCCAAGTCGGGGCTTTTGCCGAGTACATCCTCGCCAAAGGCGATGTGCAGATGCCGATTCCCGATATTCTTAGTTTCCAGGAAGCCGCCACACTAGGCGTTGGTACCGCAACTGTTGGACAAGGCTTATACCAGAGCCTAAAGCTTGCATTGCCGACCTCGCCGTTGACAAGCCCTGAGCCACTCCTTATCTACGGTGGTTCCACGGCGACCGGTACACTGGCTATCCAATATGCGAAGCTATCAGGGTATAAGGTACTGACGACATGCTCACCTCACAATTTTGAATTGGTCAAAAACCTTGGTGCCGACGAGGTATATGATTATAAGGATGCCACAACAGCAGCTGCGATTCGAGCTGCAACAGGTGACAAACTGAAGTTTGTTTTCGATACAATTTCCACACCAAGTTCTGCGGGATATTGTGAAGCTGCGCTGTCCACTGAGGGTGGTGAATATAGTAGCTTATTGAGGATACCGGTCGCTCGCGAGAATATAAACAGTCGCGCGACTTTGGGATATACAATCATGGGCGAGGATTTCATGCTTGGTCCTATGCGCGTCCCGGGTAAGCCTGAGGACTTTGCCTTTGCGCAAGAGTGGCTGCCACAGGCATTCAAGTTCCTAGCCTCGGGTCAAGTTAAAGTGCATCCTTTGAAGGTCAATCCGGATGGCTTGAAGGGTGTCCCTGAGGGGCTGAACTTGATGAAGGAGGGTAAGGTTAGTGGTGAGAAGCTTGTTTATAATGTCTCGGAGACTCCTTAGGAATCGAGTTAGCAGCTCCTATACTCAGAGACTCGCTCTTTATCTGTGAGACTTGTGATCGCGATCAGTCTGAGGAAGAAATCCCAGGACCAGCTTGTACTGATGCCTTTTCTCCCTGAGAATATGAAGATATGTAGAAGCATCCACTCCGTTGTACTGCATTCTATAAATTACTCCAATATTCTCAGCACTATTGATTTCCCTGAGGATATTATTGGAGAGTCACATTTGATATAACCTGATTTCAAGGCGAAATACTCCATACTGCGTAGATCTTATGAGTTTGGGTGTTGGGAGTTGAAAGAAGAATTGAAACATGCCCAGACATGCACGGCGCTATTGATATGTAATTTCCGAAAGAAACTTGGCAGATCAACAAATTGCATTACTGATTAGGTAAAGAAATCAGACAGGTTCATTTCTAAAGTGATGTATGTACTTCGTGGGATAAGTTCCAAGTTTATTGTATTAGAAGAGGATCCCGATCCCCCACTATAGTGGACCACAGTGAACCACTAGGGGCAATGTGGATCCTCGATTAAGGGATTTTCAGGGTCCGATGCAGGTGATGCAGAATTGATGCAGCTCAACATTTTGGAATGATCTCAGGTAAATCTGCAGAGAAACAAATAACCCGTTGATCGTGGTACCTGAACCCAAGCAAGAATGTTCTCTCTCTCCGGAAACGTCTTCCCGTTCATCTCCACATCTCAAATCCTCAATCTGAAATCAGAGGGATCTCCAGACTCCAATATGCACTTGAAGTGAGTCTGCATCTAAGTGTTATATTCCTCATCTTAAATTTCCCATTCCCATATCACCATCCTTGTCCCCTACAGTCAGGAACATTTGAATAGATTGAAAACTTGACCGTGGCTCAAAGAATTCAACTGAGTTCCGAGGCGCATTCTATTTCAGCCCCATGCCTTGGCGCCTGATTCCACAATTTCTCTTGGTTGGTGTAATGTGCCTTTCATGCGCTTCATTTCCCCCTTTCTCTTATTTTAACCCTACTTGACCTCAATATGTCTGTCGCGATTGTGGTCAATATGTGCTGACCCTGGAGCTTAGAGTTGAACACTAGTGACCTCCACCATGCGATCACGCGAAAAGACAAATTCTGGAATAGGTGATTCAGTATTGTGCGCACTTGGCCCTCTGAGGGGCTCTGTCAAGACTGATAGCGATCTATCCCTTCCGATGGAGAAACAACCACCCTCCCGCCAACCGTCGCGATATCGCTCTACACGCAAAGGCACGCGCCCTGCAACAGACAAAGTATGCGCCCCAACAAACCGCCAACCTGAGCCTTCAAGCGCACCGCCAGAGGACTCAACCCCGCAAATCTCAAGGAGTATGTCTCGATACCGACGCTATCGACGCGAAATTGCGGACGATGAGAAAATGCCGGCAAAAACACCGAGTGTCTCAAGTTGCGCACGTGCTCCACCTGCGGCTCCCCTCCCAGACAAAGCGAAAGTGCACCACACGGTAGAGGAGGAACAAATGAGAGAGAAACACAGACTGGATACAATGGCGCAGTTGACAGGAGGATCGCATGAAGTGAAAGCGCATAAGAGTTCTTCGCATGTAGCCGCACAACCTGCGCAACATGAATATGTGGATGACGGCTCGAGACTACCAATGCGAGCCCGACGGCCCGAAACAAACAATTCTGACAAAGAACATCGTCCTTCTTCAAATCCTTCGACAAATTCGAGTGGGCGCAAGTCATTTCTCCAAAAAGTCAAGCTGTCCAAAAGCAAAGGATGCGCCGAAAAAGAGTTATCGGGGCCAAGATATATTGGAGTGGGAGGAGGTGGAATTGTACCGGGAACAGATGCACCAATCTCAGCTGTTAATGCTGGAGAGCGGATGGTCAGGGTGCAGTACAGTGATAACTGCATTTCGCTGCCGGTCACCCCATCAACCTTGGTTTCCGACCTACTTTTGTCTGCCTCTGAAAAGCTTTCCCCGGATATTGATGCGGAGCAGTTTATCATGCTCGAGTCATTCCAGCAAGTAGGATTGCAGCGGCCTTTGCGTAGATATGAGCACATCCGCGAAGTGATGAACTCTTGGGCTCATGATAGCGACAACCGTCTCATCGTCATTCCTCCTTCCAGTATTGATATCTTGGATCAAGTGGATGCTCAGCGAGTTCCTATCGAGAAGCCAGTCGAGACCACAGTCTACCTCTACTACTCGCAACGACGTCGCAAATGGGACAAGCGCTACGTAACCCTACGAGCAGATGGGCAGATCGTGGTTTCCAAGAAGGAAAACTCGAAAGATTGCACCAATATTTGTCATTTGTCCGACTTCGATATTTACTCTCCGACTGCTCGAGCAATTGCGAAAGATGTGAAACCACCAAAGAAGATATGCTTCGCGATCAAAAGCTTAGAAAAGTCTTCCATGTTTCTGTCCACCGAGAACTTTGTGCACTTCTTCAGCACCAATGACAGGGCTACTGCCGATCAGTGGTACCGCTCTGTCCAACAATGGCGGAGCTGGTATCTGGTAAACACGCTGGGTGCTGTGAAGCCTGCTGAGACTGAAAAGAATATCCCAAAGCGGACTTTGACGAATAAGAGCGTGCGAAGGATGTCGATGGATGTGCCTGAAGTTCCCCTGGTAGATCTCATCCCAAGTGACCCAGAGCCGCTCACCAGAGTTCGGCCATCAATGGATCAGACCCGGTCTCCAGCTCCGAGGGATGGATTTGCTCGCAAGAAATCTACTCGAGAACATGCACCACCGCCTTCAAGACACTTCCCAGAGACACTATTACTCAACCTCCACATCCCAGCCGGTGGCCACGATGACAACTCGATGATACAGAGTCTCAACCCCGAGCAAGACGAGGAGGAGACATTTTCTCCAACGGGGCTACTGGGGCGCACCTACACCCAAAGACAACACATAATGCGCGAGCGACAAGAGAACGAGAAGCGAGCAAACCAGGAAGCCTTCATTGGCACTGGTCTGCTAGCAGAGAGCCAACCACATGTACCAATGAGCACGGCACCAAGTCAATCTCCAGCTATGCCTACACGGTCAAAGTCGGTCAGATCAGTCAAGTCAGTCAAACAGACAACCAAGCCCCTCGTCGACCTGACCCCAGTCTTCCAAGAACCCCCACAACATATCCGCAAGGGTCGTGGGGTTACCGTTGAACCCGGCGTACTACTCATCGACGCTGCGACAGGCCCGGAACTCGCACCAAGCTGCATGTCAATTCCCCCAGCCCTTGCATGGCGACGTCCGTCTGTTCCAGTTACAGATGTCCCACCCGTTCCACAGATGCGACACCGTTCTAATACTGCTCGCAGTGTACGCCACGTTCCGACTGGTACCAATGTAGTCGGTCCAAGTCCTAGTACACCCGCTATGCCATTTTTACCGAACAGTCTTCTTGCGAATGCTCGATCCACTAATGCACAGAGTGAACCTGTGGGCCATGGTGTTGCAACTGGAGATCGGAATGCTACACGTCCGATGTTGGATATGTCTCCTGAGAATCCCTTTGCAGAGGGGAGTCTCCTTCATCAGCTCTGAAACAGCTGGCTCAATTCCTTCGATCATCTTCAGTGGTGATTTCTCATGATTTTTTTACGATCTGTTTTCTTTACCCATAATATGCATCAGCTACCAAAACACCGAAAAAGGAAATCTAAAAAAAGAAAAATGCAGGCATGGAGTGACGATAAGACCAGCTATCATATCCTCCGTTTGGCCTATTCTGTCTTGTTAGATACCCCAATTTTCGTTGAGAATGAATGAAGCATTTAAATTTTCTTCCCAAGCTTGCACCAGTACTGTTCTGTTTTTAGCCTGAAGATCAGATTGTCCTCCGTATAGTTGACATATCTTCGTGGAGGTAATTCATATAACGAAGCAATTCAATAAAAGTTGTCATTACACTAAAACTTGAAGTAATATAAATAGACAGTCAACTATGCTTGGATATCAGATATCCACCAAGGCAAAGCAATTCAAATGTTCAGCTCAAACAGGCTTAGAACTTGAAATAGTGCGCGCAGATCTAACTGGGAGGGTTTGGCTGCAGCTGAACAGTAAAGTTACCATCTGTCCCATGAGTGACAACAGCATATCTGTCATGCCGACCGGTAAAGTCGATCTCAACCTTAGCTCCAATTTCCGTAACATTAACTACTTGACCCTTCGTGAAATCGCCAGTCGCGATATAAAAGTTGACGTGAGGTGTCACAATGAATGTTGCTTTAGGATCCGCTTGCCAACAAGCAGCGACGCTGACGCCTGGAGTTGTGTCTGCGTCAGAGTCTCCAGCGCTTGTCTTGCCGAAACCACACCACACATCAGCTATATATCTGTTAGAGAGTGAGAGGACATGTGTTCATGATGGAAAGCAATGACATACGATATTGGACTGCGTCGTATGCTCCAACGGTGATCTCAAAGCTACCAGCTGGAGAGCCAGCGGTGCAGGTACCAAACATTGGGCCTCCATTCAAAACAGTGATTGGAGCTACTTCGATATTGCTATCACCGTCAAGGGACATTGAGACGTTGGAGTGACTGGACACTATAGCGTTATTCTTGATTTAGGTGTAGCCACACATAGCAAAGGAATCGTCGGTGATGGTGAACTGCTGAACCGATCCGTCATTGTTCACAGGACGACCGGCCGCGAAGACATTGCTGTAGGGGTTGGAGGTAGACGACGCGCCGCTGACTTCGGGTAAAGCGCAGAAGACATAATAAGTCTGGACTTTCCAACTGTTGTTGGTGACGTAGATGCTGTAGGTCGACATATTGACTGCTGAAGTGCTCTCAGGGTCCTGTTGTTCAGGAGAATGAAAATAGGTGCTGGATGGAATGATTTCTCGATTTCACAAGGCCTCTTTTATATTCTTTCAACGACGCCTTCCAATGTTCAAAACGTTCTCAAAGTTCAGACGAGGCTCTTGCTCAGCCGGGGATTGATCCAGCAGAGCTGTCACTTGGTCTATCCATTCAGCCACTTCTCTCCCTGGGGAGAATGCAAGCGATAGTTTCCTTGAGCGACGTGGTGATAGAGATACCCTTGGGCTTCAGCTTCTCACAAGTGAACTTGACTCGGCGAAGTCCGACATTGCCCAGGTGATGAGACGATGTTGGTGAGAGTCAACCTTGGACTTTGCGGGGATTGATGGCTAGTCTCTCATATTCAGGCAAACTTTACAAGTGGCTGATCTAAATCAACTTAATATCAAATTCTTCACATGCATGGTCGCATCTTCACAACATACTGATGCCGAAAGAGTAGGTAATTCCCTCCACTCCCGTATCGCTGTAAGCTAGTCGCTAAATTTCAACGTTTGAACCCGCTCACTCCATTATGATTTAACTCTATTGTACTGAAAATCAACTGGAGAATGTTATGTGACGACTCGCTAAGAATTTCCATTCCTACAACTTGAAATGGGATATCCGCCAATCACACCACTAGTACTAGTTTAGCCATCTCTGGATGACTTGATATCACACTTGGGCCCTGCAATACCTCACTCACTTCCACCTTGTACCTGATCAAAACCCGTAGTACCGATATCAACCGCAACTGCGAGCTTGTTGGCTAATTGTGGAATGATGCGCTTCATTTGAAGCTTATCCATTCCAGATTCTGCTTGATCGATTCGGACGAAAAGAACATCATTGTTGTTTTTGGTATCTTGATCAGTTACAATGAACTGGTAAGGGGTTGCGCCACACGCGTCGCCGCATTGATCTCTCAGGGCTCCAGCCAGAGCTAAAGGACTGGAGCCAATAAATCCACTTTGAAAGGGAGGTACATTGAGTGTTGGCTCCGCATCAATATCAGGCATTTGGTTCGGCGATTGCACGAAATATAGACTCCATTCGTCTGGAGGAGTACCTGCGTATGCGGCTCTGAAGAATGTTGTCATCCACTATAGAAGAGTTAAATGTCATGTTGAGTAATCCAACTGTCAACATTCTTTGGTGCTTACTGACTTGTTCATTCACACCAGCGACAGTGCAGAACACTGCAAGCAGGGGAGTGATGCTGAGGACCATGTTTCGTGGAGACCGAGGTATAGGCTTCAATATTGTAGCTTGGTAAGAGTACTTGGGATTAATCAGCTCAAACAGCCACTGGCACTTATATCTAATGTCATAAAAAGTTATCTCGGAGTAGACTAATAGACCAACGTACATATCCCACATGTGCAGTAAATGACAAATCTCTAAACAGGGATTCGATCACGCTCACTTGGAAACCAGGGGTATGGTAGTTCAAATTTGGAATAAAAAGGCGAAAGCCGATGCTAGCTACTTGAATCTAGATAGTTCTCTCCGACGCCTTCGGCTATAGTTGCATCGTATCATATAAAACTGTGGTTAGTGAGACGCCTCACGATGTGTTTACAGACCCATACTAGTAACGGGATTCATTCAACCGACTCTTACCGAAATCTTTAGCGATCGCCTGGACACTGGAACTTTTGTCCCTGGTCAGTCTGAAGTCAAAAACGATATATGCCAGCGGTATTCAAATATTATGCTCGTTGAAAAGTTCGATTGGAACATCATTCAACATTCTTCTCACAATAGACCAGCTATAATGCATTTCCAACGTCTCCTCCAGATACTCATTTTGTTCATATATCCTCTCACTCACGGTCAGTTTATCGGTCTCTTTGCTTGGGATTGTACCAATACACCTCAAGCATGTATGAATGCCTGCTATGCTGCTCAATGCAAAAATGCCCCCACTCTGCTATTGGAGCTGTTGGCAGCTCTACCGACCAACGAAAACGAGCAGGCTGTGCAGGTTCTCCATGTCGGGCCCTGCATTTCGCAAATCATCCATCCTGCGATGAGTATCCTTTTGCAAGTTCTATAGAAGGGGGATACGACGCCTTTCTCTGCTGCATACCCACGCAAGAGAGTAATCGACAAGGTGGTTTTCTTGCAGGATTCATGCGTCGGAATCGAATGGTCCCTGGTGAACAGTACTACACGTTCCTAATGAACATCGCCAATATGTGAGCTGAATTAAGCCCATATCTGGATTATGGTACTAAACAAAAATACTAGTAACTTCTGCACTCAGCCTGCCACGAGCTGCCATAATGATAATCAGCAATTCCAAGTACAAAGACTTTTCAATAAACGGGGCGTCGAGGAACAAATCCCTATGATCATTCCAGACTCGGAGAATACAACCATGGTTGGGACTAGAATGCGGGAATTTTGCGCACAGAACGGGATCACTCTATGGCTTCTGGGGGCTGGTATCACTGCAGGCTTTGTAAACAGGAATATTTATATTCCTGGTCTCGGACGAGAGGTGACAATCCTAGCTGAAGTTTTTTAGACATGAAATTCGACCATCTCCTAAGTGAATCGGATAAATTTGCGTGATTTTTGTCAGGTCTCGTTTAGGATGAAAACTTTCCAATGTTGAGACTTGAGAGTGATCATCATGATGATCCTGCGTTGAAGTCAAAAGTACAGCGGACTCCGGAGATTGAATTGAATTGAAGTGCCGAAAGGGCCACAGCCTTATTTCCCGCATAGAAAGTACAATGAGTACCTTCAATGTTGTCATGCAGAGAAATGTGAATTTGTGACTTTGTACTAGTATTCATCCCAATTGGGAAACTAATCTCTCATTGGCTAGAGTCATCATCATCACCTGCATAATGGTCGGACTCGGAGATAAGCAGATTCCTTTGCATGAGAGACTAACCAAAAGAGGTGCAAAATCTCTCATTGGTCAAATGCAAGCAGCTGTAACCAAGTGGCGTCAGGTTCATCAAATCAGATCCTGATGTATAGCATCGTCTCGGGGGCTGGCACCCATAAACAACCATACGATCTGCCTCAATTTGGGAGCATACATTGATGTATTCATCAGTATACCCAAAACTGAATATAAATAGCTTGATCTTTTCTCAATTGCCAGAAATTCACCAAGATTCTATTCATCCAGCTCAAGTATCACTTCTTCCACTGCCACGCACTTCATATTATTGAATCAATCCAATATGGCCGCTACAACCTATGCCGACTTCAATGCAACCACTGAAGGACTCGATGTTGCAAAAACATTTTCGGACAAAGTCCATGGAAATACCATCCTGATCACAGGCGTGAACATAGCTGGAATTGGATTCTCAACAGCGCAGGCTTTTGTAAGTCGAGTCAACCTGTTGCCTCAAGTGGTTACTTGAATTCATTCTAAATCCATATAAGGCTTCTCAATCCCCAGCTCACCTGATCATCACCGGTCGGAGTCTCTCCAAGATTGAAGAAAGTGTGCATTCTCTTCGAATCCAGTTTCCAGGTCTAGACTGCCGTGGTTTGCAAATCGATCTATCCTCTCAGCAATCCGTCCGACAGGCAGCCAATCGTCTGATGGGCTGGACCGATATACCCTCAATTGATATTGTTATCAACAATGCCGGGATCATGTGTATCGAAGAGCGAACCCTATCCTGTGATGGCATTGAACTTCACTTTGCAACAAACCATATCGGTCATTGGCTTTTTACCTGTTTGATCATGCCAAAGTTGATCAAATCCGCCAAGGCTCATTCTGAAGGTACGACTAGGATCGTCAACGTGACTTCTGCCTCTCCCACAGTATCTGGGATGCGCTGGAGTGACATGAACTTCGATGTTAAGAACAAAGATCTTCCAAAAGAAGAGCAACCAGTGGGTGCGTGGTTTGAGGCTTGGGGGTATACAGATCTGGATAATCAATCCTATAATCCCCTTGATGGCTACAATCGCAGCAAAGTGGCTAATGTTCTTTCTGGGATTGGCTTGAATCAACGCTTGTTCGAGAAGTATGGCATCTTCTCTCTATCTGTGCATCCAGGAGTTATCGGTACTACTGAGCTGGGTCGAAACTTTCCCTCCGATTTGATCGAAGCTGTTCAAGCCATGGCAGGCAAGGGTCTTTTTGATTTCAAGACCGCGGGTGCGGGGGCTGCAACAAGCGTGGTTGCTGCACTGGATCCTGCACTGGCGAAAGGTGTTGGGGATAGTAAGAATGGATGCATTAATTGGGGCTCATATCTTGTGGATTGCCAAATTAGTGATCAGGCTTCACCACTGGCAGTGTCTAGTGATCAGGCTGAGAAACTTTGGGAATTGTCGGAGAAGCTAGTTGGACAGAGCTTTTCGTGGTAAATAGAATGAAGATAGTACAGGATTCGAGTATTTTCTGAATTCAAATTGGCTTGTTCAAATTCATAAATTTCAATGCTTCCAAGAAACGCTCAGCGACCGGGGACCGTAAATTCGATCTTCTCTTGATTCGCTTGCGCCCGAGTCCAGAGATCATAACCGGGCTGATCATGTAGCCCATGAATCCAGGGGAACATGCACAATATGCTTCGAGCTTGATTCCAAGTGGTTATGCCTTGTCGATGAGTCGTCTCCCGTATAGTACAGATAGCCCAATCTCCATCCTCATCATTTGCAACCCAAATGCCCCCAACCATAAGGAACCAAAAATTTAAATGATCCTGATTGCCATAAGATTGAAAACGTGACACCTCTTGAAGACAGGTCGAGAGAAATCTGTGACTGATAATCTTGTGACGGTCAAACTGTAAAAAGGTTGACATCGTGAAGACTGTTAATCCCAAGTGGAACATAGAATGTATGTCTGGATTATTCTTCAATTCGTTCAATGAGCGGAATTTCAATAGTCTGTAGCAAATCGAGATTAAAATTTCCTCAAAGCCTAGGAAGTCGAGAGAGGTGGTACGTATCTCTGCGTTCATCATGGCACAGAATCTCATCACATCGGAAAAGATCTTTTGTAAAGTTGAACCAACATGGTAGTAGCCACTGGCGACTGAGCCTGGTATCATAAAAGGATCGAAGATCAACTCTTGCTGAGTAGCAAGGTCCGGCATATTATCTCGAAAGAATATAGTGGATTTTCCCAGTTGCAGGGATAGCATTATATCGCTTCTAGAGTATATGCCATTAGTAAGTGGATTGAGAACTTTGCAATACAATCTATGTCACTGGTACTTACTTGCAGACTTGTAATGCAAGAGGAAAATTCCCTTCAAGTGAACTGATTCCTCCCCGAAGTCGAACGATTTGCTGGAGTCCTCTGGCGTGAATTTCGGCATTCTCAAGTTGGTTCCCAAGTTGCTCCTGGCTAATGAGAGACACAATCATTGATATGGAAGAGTCAGCGATAGCATCTGGACCACTCAGTCTCATCTGAACTTCATTCATTGTTTGAGATATATGATATAATGCTTTTGCTGAGTCTCTACCGTCACTGGTGCGCGAAAATATGGCATTGCAGGCCTGCATCAATCCCACATTGCAACGGTAGCCTAAGGAATGGTCAGAGATCATGCACTACTGAGCCTTGAGGGGAATTCATCGATGCAAACTCACTGGCATCATCCACAAATAGAATCTGAAGGCATATACGCTGAACATCTTCGAAAGAAAAACCAAGACTCATTGGAAAGAGACGCTTGGCTGTGAAATTGAAATCTGAACATTAAACATGGTCAGATTAGTTTCGATCTAGTCAGGTAAAGAGTGCGACCTTACATTCGTTAATTATCCTCGATGAATATGGGGTGATTTCCATCCCAGGAAACAGGATAGTGAATTGGATTGGATGCCCCAGATCACTACCGCTTGAGCACAAAAGCCCAACTCTGAGGTTTTTAGAACAAATATCCGGTCCCTTTTGGCGAGATGCCGCCGAATTTCTCGAATTGTCAGGTTGTGAGAATTGGACAGAAACTGTCTGTTGCCTTGGCCTTGATTTTCGCTGAATCGTCTTGCCGACATTTTTGCCCTTCATCACATGGCGGCGACTCAGTCTTTTGGAGCGCTTGTCAGGCTGAAGGCCGTCTATGAAACAAAACGATTCACACATAGTTCAACCTATGCATGAAGTGATCGCTGAAGAGTGATAGCAATCTGCTAGCTGGAGCGGTGAATACCCCGTTCTGACCAACTTGAAATGGGGGCCACGGCCATATCGGGGATAAGAGTGAGTCTTAACAACCTTGGAGTGACGACATTGTGCATCCCAACGCTGCCAGTGCGCAGAGAATTCAAACGTGATCATCATCCCCCGACTTCGTAACTCGTACGAAGTACAAAATACACCAATGGGAATAGTGATGATCACTACTTTCCTGGAATGTGTATGACGATCTCCGCAATCGGACGAATGCAGGGTTTCGCATGGACACTCGGGTCGGGCCAATACAAATAAACAAATACAATACGAGTATATGCATCTGAATGCAGAAATCGGAATAATACCGACAGATGGATCTGATGTTCCAAAGTCGTTCCAAGGTTGTTCCAGGTAAATTTTCAATATGTATGTCCAAATGGGAAATAGACCACCAAAATGACAGTTTAAATCCACAAAAATTCAAAATAACGCCGCGCCTTTCTATGAGTTATACACAATAGATCACAAGTACATCGCAAATATATACGGGATGAAAAGAGCCAAGTGCTCGTTACCTGTTCGAGCGAATTGTCGCAGAACGATGCGTGAGGGCTTCGCCGTTCTGATTCTGCCAATCGTGAGATTCCATACCAGAAGCCACACCATCTGCACGAGACCGAGAGAAAGTACGAGATGGACGGCCCATAGATGCGCCGCCGCTCAGATTGGAGGTACGGCGGCGCATGCGGCGCTCATCATCCTCCGCTTCGTGTCGGTTCAGCGCATCGGAGGGTAGAAGGACAGCACGATCCAGGGCGTAAGGAAGACCACGGTGACGTCCACGGATCTGCATAGCAATGATCACCAGTTTCGAGACCACGTTGAACTGACCCGAAAAGGAGGTATCAACGCCAGGGTAACCGAAAGATAAACCGACTGTACCGTAGGCGGAGACAACTTCAAACAAGACGGTGAAGATTTGGAAGTTGTATTCGCTTGTATTTTCGAGACGGGTACCCTCGGCAATGGCGATGATGAACACTCCGAGGAAAACATACCACAAATCGAAACTCAGTTGACGACGCAAGTGAGCTCCGATGTAACTGGGTGCGGTCTGGTTTTCCTCATCGTGATCTTCGTCGACGTTGCCATAAATGCCCAGACTGCGTTCTTCGTACACGTTGGTGCGACGCATAGAAATGGCGATGGGGAACACGGAAATATACATCATGATAAGGTAGGACACCTGGATTGCGGGATGGAGATCAGTAAGACTGATGATTCCAAATCCAGCAGTTCGAGTGGCGGCAGCTTGAAAGAATCCATCAAGGACGCGAATTCCTGGTGCGAACTGTGTGACAGCGGAGTCGTTCAACTAGAACATAAAATGTCAGTATTTCTTGCGACGATAGATTTAATCGAGCTCAATATTCAAAAAGGGATGAACTCACATCGAGAATAATGAAAAATATAACATCAATTCCGTTCAATGCAACAAGGATCGCAAAAAGCCACCAGGTCGCATTACGCGGAAAGAGAAGAGTAAAGCATCGACGAGGGTGATCCAAAAGGAACTTCAGCTCTTCCCAGAGAGCAGTTCCTTGACGTGCGAATTTTGACAAGATCCAAATCATCAAGCGAAGCATACAAGGGAATCCAGTATTACCAATGATGATCAAGAATGCCAACAGAAGAAGAGGGAAGATGGCGGTCTGAAAGGAATACATTGAATCAGGCGTGAGGGTGAAACCGAGATCGTTAAAAGCAGAGGCAGCTGTGAAGATTCCCCACCAGGGACGGCCCACACCGTCTGCTTTGACAACATTACCCCATTTATCTTCTGTCATGATCCATCCAACCATACTGAGAAGACCAAGCAGATGGAATCCAACATAGTAAGAAATCAAAACGACCGCCAGGGTCTTAAGTGCGCGATACTCAATACCACCGAGCTCATCACGTTGTTCCTCTGTCAGATCAACGAAGTTCGAGTTTCGGGCAACAGTAGCATTCCAACTGAGATACGGCTGGGTGGAGCGCTCTTTCTCCTGGGTGATGGATCGCCAGATTCCACGGACTGAATGCTTGTTGGTTGAGGGTCCCATCCCAGCATCATCATCCCCGTCGTTGATATCCTTGGTCATGGTATCCCGCATGGTAGGGCGAGTGTCCAAGCGACCAAAGGTATTATTTCCCCGAGTGCGAGTGCGATTGAAATCAGGCTCGTTGATGGTGATATGCGGGCCGTCCAAAGGACCGACCTGGTCAATCTCGGAGATGACCGAGCTCTGTCTTCTGGCTCGTGGGCTGACCGGCTCATTGACGTGGTCATGGTCTCCCCCGTCACCCTCGCCATCCTCCAAAGCTTCTGGCACCCCGCCGCGATCGTACTCGCGCGGACTAGGGATACGCAATGCACCCGTATTCCTTCGCTGGTTTTCCACGAATGCGATGTGATGTTCGGGACTCAGTTGGGTCGGGACTCGCAAGTTGCCGAGGCTAAATTTTCGAGTCACTTCATTTTCAATGTTTCCTGGTATTGGGTGTTCCATCACTTCCTTCCCGTTCCCGCCAGGGGACTCGGAATCCGATGATGCGTCAACTTGTAGCGCAGCAGGATCGGGGAGTCGACTCTCGCGCGCATCGCCCGAATTATTTCGGAGCACCACGATCTCGCGACCCCCAACTCCCAGCTCCGCACGATTGATATCAGAAGTGGTCTTATCCTGGGTCACCGTATCCATACGCGAGCGAGTTGATCGCAGCGCCCGCGCATCCCGAACAACATGTTGAAACCGCTTCTCAAACCAGTAGAGACGAATAAAGACGAGGGCGCTATGAATAAAGATTGGTGTACATAGGCATGTAATAAAGTATAGAACAAGCTGCTGATATGTGTGAAGTTCGTTCAAGTTGACAGTGTTTAGACCACTTTGAGTGGCGGCACCGACCGACAAGAATAGAGCATCAGTGTAGTCGATGTTTTTGGCCGGGTAGAGAATGATCGACCCAATAATTCCCCATGAGATGATATAGATATAGTGGATGAAGATGAAGTTGAGGCGTAGCTGGTTTAAGAACGGCACGCGCTTCTTAATGCCGTTGACTCGGCGTATAAAGGCTGAAAACATCCTCAGTGGATGTAGACGGCGGAGCCAGCGTTCCCTGGCGAAGGGTTCAGTCTGGGGAGGCGAGACCCGTAGAAAGATTTCTCTCGAAAGGGGAAACTTGTCGGTCCTTTTAATAAGTTCATTGTTAATTCGTTGGTGTCTCAGATCATAGGGGAAGGAGCTTTTTTTTTTTGGGCCATACATGGGGCACGGATGATCGTTGACCAGTCGGGAATCGTGCAGATTGGAGGGGCACGGGCAGCGCCGGGGTTAGCCGCGAGACATTGAACAGCGCATAAGGGATAAGATGGAGGACATTATAAGAGGAAGGAAGAAAATGGGAAGAAAGAATCGAGTCCCAGCGAAGGCGAGCTGGAATTTGGCGTTGAGATGAAAAAAAGGCGCAAACGGAGTGGAAACGGCGAAACGGTAATATTACAAGCCTGTAACGTGGCCGTCTGCCAAAAACGTGCACTGTCGATCTCCACAGCCCTGGAGTTCAAATTGCATGCGTAAAAGTGTGTTTTGCGTAAGAAATAAAGTTTTGAATTGTCACATGCAGACAATACGATACAAATTTAAATTACCTAGTATAGCCCTACAGACTTCAAGTGTTGATAGCACTAAGTATTCAAATGATTATGGACATGTGAATGTTCACTATGAGCTGTATCTCATTCCAAGTTTCCTCGGCCCACAGTTAACTAGTTCCCGGCCAAGCTTTTTGCTCAGCTGTTTTTCGGGGGCGAATTGCTGAAGTCCCGGTTACGCCAAACCCACATGCCCAGATTGCGGTGTTATTGGTGTATCCACTTGTGAGTTGAGATCCCGACTGCGTCAGGGTGCAGATGGCGCATTCTTGACCGTTCATATAAATACAAAAATATTAAGCCAATTAAATATTGGTTAATGACACCTATAAGATCTTTAATATTGACGATTGACGTGGCGTAGAGGCTGTGTACGCCACTGGTACCATAGTTTATTAGGGTCCAGGTTCCCCTTTAGTCTTAACTAAACTGTCAACCATAGTTCAATCCTATCAATCAACATTTGGTTCGAATTAAAATCTGCACGAGATGCCTCCAAAATGAAATTCTCAAACAAAAAATTGTAAACACATAAACAAACGCAACTATCTCAACGAAATACTCCCGTTAAAGAGGGAAGAGAGATCTTGCAGCCCACTTTTCATTCCCACCCATGTCGTGGCCCGTCCCTAGGGCTTTCCACTTCCATTTACATGGCCTTGCATAAAATGCCAAGTTTCAACACCTTGCCAAATTACAGAATTTAAACATGTGGGAGGCCTAGAAGCATCTTTCGTCATGATTGGTTGGTTCATGTACTCTCCATTCCACCGGAATTACAGCCCTCACGCCTTTGATCGGCAATTCAACCCTATTCTTATACTTCAAGGGATGATCCTGGCTATATAATGTCAACAGATATCCCCCGGTGACCAAGGATAGCTGATGACCCTCGGCTTGAAACATTGTATGGTTGCAGGCGACTATTACTGTATCCAATTATGGCGTTTATGGAGTATTTATGCACAGACAATCAGCAAGGATCTTCGGGCCAAGAGATAAGCTCGGTTTCACCGACCTCGGGATGGATGCGCGGATATCAAATGATCTTACTGGGCTTCAAGTTTCGAGTTCCAACATTGAATACTATGTTGTATTCAAATTATATACGGATATTGGAATTCAAAGCTCCTGTGAATGACCTCGATCTCGTACAGAAACCTGGAATAATCAAGATGTACACTCGTATTCGTGTGAACTGGCCTTGGCTGACAACCATTCAAAACGGACTATGTCATAGCTGAACATTCTCAATAAACAAATCGTATTTCAACAAGCTCACTCGTAGTATCTGAGCAGAAACTACCTAGGTAGATCCCTAGCCACTTACCTGGGTACCCATGGTGGTGACCAGTTGACCTCAATGTTTGTTTGTCATGGTTCGTGATATAGCCCTAATCGGAAAGCCCTATTTCCTATTCGGGAAATTGAAGCAAACTCACGCGTCACCAACGCGGACCGCGCTAATCCATTCAGGTGTCTAGTATCAGCCTGTTGATCATCGCCATCAATCCGTATTCGTTCAAGCGGTTGATAATCATGGCCAATATCCAGGATCTCCCAGTGGAGCTCCTAACACGAATTCTCGAATTTGTGGGCGAGTCCGTCGAGCCTAACGATTACGACTTAGAGCTAGGCCCCGAAACCTTCGGGGCTCTAGAGGTATGGGATCTGATCGAAGCATGTTTGGTCTCACGGAAATTCCGAGCCATAGCTCAGCCACTCGTTTTCCGCATCTTCGAAGATGATAACTTGGATGACCTGAACAAGTCCATCTCGTTTGCCAATACTCTGTGTCTCCGTCCGGACCTTGGGAAGTATGTGCAAAGCATTTCCATGCTGCCATTGGCACCCATAGAGCCAGGAGCCTCGTTGAAACCGGATGAGGAAGACCTCCTTCCCATTCGAAAAGCCGTCAAGAAACTTCAGCTGGGTCCCAACGAAGAAGTCTGGCAGAAGACGTTGGCTCTTGGTGACCCCAGTGTTTTTGCAGCAATAATCACCAGCATGACACCGAATCTTCGATCTCTCACCCTCGCGGGAGGCATAATTTACGACACGCCCTTCAGTCATCTCTTCCTTCGAGATCCATCGTTTCTTTCCAAATTGACCACGGTCAAAATTGAGGGCAACGAGGAATTCGGCGGCTACAACATTTCATACTACGAGGAGTTTCTCACCCGTCCCAAAGTTTCAAAGGTGTTGTTTCAATATGCGGATCTCTGGGAAGACAAATTCCCACAGAGCTGGACGCGTGGTTCTTTGAACGTAGAGGACTTGGAGTTCGGTCATTGTCGGTCGGACAAAGCCTCAATCCAAAAGCTCATGAAAGCGTGCAAGAAACTGAAATACTTCACATTCTCAAGCCTGACATTTGATCCACGCAAGGCTCGAGATCCCAACCCTATTCCCGATTCCCAGTTCAATGCTCCCCAGGTTCTTGAAGCTACCTTACTCCACAAGGAAAGCCTGGAGCATTTCCAGGTGGAATTTGAACGATTCCCATGGGACCTGGAGAATCCAGTGGAATATGTTTCTAGCTGCATCAAATTTGGTTCATTCCGCCCATTCAAGGTCCTCCAAAGCATCGCAGTGCCCCACGCATACCTTCCCGAACACCCTCAATTCCCCACCTCGGTCAAAGAACTGAATATCACCGATTGCAACACGTCGGTTCGTACCATGGTTGCCAATATCGTCACTGATATTAAGGGGGGTCTCTATCCAAATCTCAAGTCATTAAAGTTCCATGCTCTCGACATTACGGCGACAGTCAAACTTCCTGATCAGAGTCGACCACCAGGCAAAAGCCCAGCAGATTGCTTCCTCGAACTCCAGGATATGTTCATCGGTACCAATATTCACTTCATGATCTGTCCTTACCGAGGCAAGCGTCTACCGGGATTTGAAGAGCCCACTCTTGATCATTTTGAGGACGAGGATGAATATGGATACCTTGGTGATGGACCCATACCCAACTTAAATCAAATGCCCAATCTATTCAATATGGTTATGGAACGGGCTCTGCAGGATCCTGACTTTGCGCATATTCGTGCTATAGCAGAGCAGGATCCTGAATTAATGCACCTTCGTGCTGCTGTAGCAGAGGAGCAGGCTTCACGCCAGGGTTCAAATCGGGGTCCACGACCCCCACATCGAACTTCACACCGAGCTTCACGTCGTAACACTGCACCGAGCGATGATGAATGGGAGACGGATGAAGATTAAACGAGTCGTGTTTATGTGCGAGATGAGATTTCGGCTTTATGAAACCTTGGAACGATAATGATTAAAAATTACAATTGGACGGAAAAGATGTCAAGTTGAATGGTTTCTATGAGCTTGAAGTTCAATATCTCTAAGGCGACCCCATCGACTCGACTCGACACTCTCGCCTTGAATTCTGTAGACCCTCGAGTTATCAATATTCAACTTAAGCTTGGTCCAGCGACTTAACAGTAGGAGGTCTAATCATATCAGGATAATCCATCCTCGCAGCACCGACCAAGAAAGTACTATTCTTCGGATGCGCCTCCTTGTTCTCACCCCGGAAAAGGAAACTCATGGGGAAGCCAAGGTCAAAGTCATAAGCAGCCTCAATCTCATCAATATCCGAGTCCTCAAGCTGCAATCCCAAAGCTTCAATATTACCCAATAAATGCTCAACCTTCCGTCCACCAACAATGGGCGAAACATACGGGAACTTCTTCATAACGTACGCAAGCGCCACACTTGTAATAAACGTGTCGTGTCGAAGGGCAACTTTCTCGAGTACGTCCGACACTGCAATATCAATGTCCCGCGTGATCCCCTTTCGACCTGGATTTCCATGCTCCGCAATTTCTTCACGCTGGGATGCGGTTTTGAAACAGCCGCTGCCGAGGGCGCCCCAAGGACAGAGACCCATGCCTTCGGATGCGCACATTGGGATTATGTCGCGTTCGAAGTCACGACGGGCGGCGTTCCATTGACCTTGGTATACGGAGAAGGGGCGAAGACCCTGATCACGAGCATCTGAGGATTTGTTAGCCAAAAATTTCAAATGCGCAAGAGATGTATTCTTACATTGGTTTGCTTTGCTAACGACCCAGGCCGGAGTATCGCTGATACCCAAGTAAATCACTTTACCAGAAGTGACGAGTTGGTTGAGGGAGGTCATGACTTCTTCAATAGAAGTGCTAAAGTCCCACCAGTGGACATAAAACTGGAGATCAGAAGTATAAGCCTAACGACCCAGTGAAAGTGCATATTTACACAGATTAGATTAAAGTACTGATGCGAGACATACCAGATCAATATAATCAGTCCTCAATTTTCGCAGACTGGCATCCACAGAAACCCGAAGACTCTTCGCATTATTTCCAACGAAGTTGGGCTGCAGTTTGCTCTTGTTGTATGCCTGGAAGCTGGAGGTGTATTTAGTAGCGAGGACGATTTCATCTCTCACTCCACGACTTTCCATCCACTCGCCGACCCAGGCTTCGGATTCTTCGTTTTGGTACCCATTTGCACTATATGACCTCAGTCAGGATTGAAATTCCACAAACTCGGATATAAGATGTCCAAGGGTACATACGTGTCGATAAAGTTGCCTCCATTCTCATAAAATGTATCCAGAATCTTGAAGGACGTCTCCTTGTCACATTCACCAAGTCTTCCTTTCCTGAGAGATATTAGTGTTCTGAATGCCGACTGTGGGGGTAGTGCGGGGTTAAAACATATGTACCAACTCTCACCGAAATTCATTGCTCCCAGGCATAATGGGCTGACCTTCACCGCTGCTGTAGGAGCAAGCAGGCGATAGCGACCGAGAAAGGACTTGGGTGGTGGAGCGGGCTCGTGAGACATATTGATGGATTTCCTTGCGGTATCTTTCTCTGGGAAGCTCTGGGATTTATAATTCAAATCAATTTGCAAAATTGGATCGAATTGCGGCAAAGAGAGACCAATTTATAATCTCTCAAGCTGCAGGAAATGACCTCAGGGTGCATGATGGACGAACTATGTAAGATTCCAAGGTCCTTATCTTCCATAATCTTCAAATGCTCGTCTTATTAAGCTTGGAATTGCCTAGAACTCGAAGGGTTACATGATCACCCTGCTTAACCCCGCCCGATTTGTTCAATATGCGCGGCGTTAAAGGTTTCATCATCCGAAATACGATGCTGACACCATGATGTGGTTCCAAAAATCGGTTAAAATCACTTTATCTCCGAAATAAGTAGGTCAACGGAGATAACAATTGCGAATATGTAGACATAAATTCAAGAAATATCAAGATTCCTCTCTACAACAACCCCATACCAGTGCCGTTGGTACAAAGCAAAGATATACGAGAATATTGAAAAATCAGGCAAAAAGCTCAGCGCTTCGCACAACACCAAATCTATATTCAAATGCTACTCTTTTAATGACGCAGGATCCGCGACAAGAAAGACATACCAATATACTCCAACTCATAAGGACGTGGGAAAACCCGAGGTAAGTATTCTGGCCAGTCAGGCATCGGTGTCAAATGTCTCAGAGCAAGAATATAATCCCAATATTCCGGATACCAACCAGCATACTCCCAATCAAGAATGGCAGTGACATGGCCACCATCAACCAGGATATTCCTTGGCGCAAGATCACCATGAGTGAAAACAATCCCATGGTTATCGTACAGCGCAAACCTGCAATGCTCTCGTAGAATTGTCGGTGCTAATCTAACAACATCTCCTAGGATAAAGTCATTGAACTCTTGTTCTGAATCAAATGGACCACCTTCAAGTGATGAGATTTGGCCAATTATCGCTTTTCCCCGGTTAAGAGCCCCGAAAAAGTCTCCTTTTAGCACACGAATTTGATTGATGTAGGAGCAGAGTTCGTCGGCGATGGATTTCTTTTCATCCATCCGGATTCAAAGTCTCCCATGCGTCGTCAAGTCGCTGCCCGGGCATGTAATCCATAGCAAAGGATTCAACACGATCACCCTCCCAGCGAATATCATGTACTTTGGGAACGGGAATGGTTGTGTGTTTTGCAATGAACTGGAGTGTTTCGACCTCTTGGTTGCGCAAGTGACCAGACTTGATAACAAGATTGTTGTCGACTCGGACGACTGTGCGACCACTTTGTGAATGGAGAATCTCTCCGGTTTGGCTTGTTGAATTTTCCATAGCCGAAGGTTTGTACCTTAACTCGGAGTCCGAGCTTTATCAGAGATCTCACTTAATAAGAAGTTGATCGGCGCGGGTAAGAGAAACAGGGGACATGCAGCTGGAGCGGCAGTTATTGTACCCGGCACAATTGTTTCGCCCTGCCCGTGAAACTGGGAATCAAAGGAGAAGCATAAATGGGCTGAATTATTGATAAGGAGTCTGAAAATTGCGACTTGATGTGAGAGTATTTCTATATCAAGATGTGAGTATAATTTAATCTAAAGTTACAAAATAAGAAACAAGAGAAAGTTCAGAACCTTGGAATGGATAGAAAGAGGTTAGAAGATAATGTGTTAAAAGTGAGAGAAGAATAAGGTCTCAGAGATTTGAAGTGAGGTGTAAGTGAGGTGAAAAGAATAAGGATATTGTGCTACTAGTATTAATATGAGAATCGAAGTTTATAAGGCCTCAGACTAATAGCTAATTTCGAGATTAAAATAATTTGATATCAAGTTCCCTTTTGCTATTACTAGTTAGGTAAATATTGAGTACATATGTAGTAGGAAATTTGGCTAGAGCCTTGAACCTGAAGTCGAGTGCTAATATAATATTGATATTCCTCTGTCTAGTCTTAAGTGTATTATACTCAGATGTGAACAAAAAGCTAAGTTGATCTCTTATATCCGAACTTGAATCTTCATTCCGCTCACTTTAAACAGCTAGACTCAATCTGTATATGATTCAGAATATATCTATCAAATATCAATATTAATGTATGGGGGTGCCATGTACTAATATCAGTGTCTGCCGCTGCGTTATTGGTCAATGCCTTACTCAACCTTGGATTCGCGGCTGAGCCGGATATCACTTTCAGGCCCTTCTCATCTCATAAACTCATCTTGCTATCATCAAAGAGCATATCATTTATCCTTTACAGATTTCATATTATCTGAGATCGGAATACTTAAAATCTATTTTATCTATTTGACGTTGATTCTATCTACGGCGAAACACCGACTCACATACCCCGGTCTCATGTCTACTGGTATCATCACACACTGGATCTATCGACATCGAAGAGTGTTCTGGGTATTAGTCGTGGCTGCAATCGTGATACTACAAGTCATTGTACTCGGAGGGAATCATGATGACTGGGATACAGCATCTGCCTCGTTGCTGTACGGCGAGATGCATCCCACAATTGCGACTCAAAACTTCACCCCGCCGTTCCACACACAGGGTCGACACATCAAGGACGTCCAGGACAGGATCATCAAACTAGCCAGTATCAACTGGTATGGTGCCAGTGACATCGATTTTGTACCAGGTGGACTAGAAGTGCGGCATCGCGATGAGGTCGCCCAGTTGATCCGTGCACTAGGGTTCAACAGTGTGCGATTGCCGTACGCCGATGAGCTGGTCCATCGCAACCCACTTGTCAACCAAAGCAAGATCGCTGCGAACCCAGATCTCATCATCGATGGATTCTCACCTTCTGCACTCGATGTGTATCACGCCGTCGTGGAGAGTCTCACCTCGGCTGGGCTACTGGTCATCGTCAACAACCACATCACAACGGCGACATGGTGCTGTGGCATCAACCCCTGTGATCTTGACTGGAGCAATTCATGGTTCGGTGGAGAACTGCTCTGTCCTGTTCCACAAACAGAGGAGCGATGGATTCGGAACTGGGAAACGATAATGCGACCGCTCGTATCGAATGAACTCGTTATCGGGGCTGATCTACGCAACGAAGTGCGCGGTCTCTGGGGTACTATGCACTGGGACGATTGGGCGACAGCAGCTGAGCGAGCCTCGGAACGATTACTCACATTGAACCCGAACTGGCTTATGATAGTCGAAGGGATCTCATCAGCAAACGATCTCTCGGGGGTACGTTCACGCCCAGTCCAACTGAGTGTGCCAGACCGAGTAGTATACTCATCACATGTATATAAATGGTCTGGATGGGGCAGTTTAGCACCATTCTCAGGACGAACATATGAAGGGTTTGCAGATGAAATGAGGAAGAACTGGGCGTACTTGATAGAAGAGGATATCGCGCCAGTATGGGTGGGGGAGATCGGCACGAGCGAGTCACCAAGCGAGGGAGATAAGAATTACTGGCGTCATTTGATGCGCGCTTTGGGCACAGTGGATGCCAGTTGGGGATACTGGGCGCTCAATGCGCGTAAGGCATGGGGAGAATGGGAGAGCTATGGGTTGGTGGGGGATGAATGGGATTGGGAGACGGTCAGATGGGATTATCGATTGGAAGATTTACGAGTTCTTGGCTTGAACTTGGGCTTGAACTTGAGCTTGAACCCGAACTTGAAGCATGGGACATGAACTAGTTTGAGAGTCAGTTGTAATCATTTTATGGTCAGGGACCTCAGGGTTCAACCACGCCTGTTGAGTGGAGATGATGATTGGTGTCGATCTTGATAGAATGGAGTGCAGTAAATTAAGTGTTCTGCACCAATAAACAGAGCACGCTCCCGCCAAGCTTTAGTGGGCCCTGTCATTAGTATGAAGAAAAGATTAAATTGAGTATAGAGAAAACATATGAAGTAGAGAAATTAAAATAAAAGAATATCATTGAGAGCCTTGGAATACTCCCTGGAATTTATAAGGATTCAGATGGTTAGATACTCTTCCAAGGTTCCCCTATTAGGCACCAGAGTAAACACTCGACTGTGGAGCACTAAATATCAAAAAAGTCACCTACGGTTAATTCTATGTTTTAATCTTAGTAACTTAATGATGAGGGATAAATTAAACCCTCCAGCTTAACTCATCTTCTTGTATTAAACTCTACTCCTCTGATTCGCCCTCTATCCCCATACTGGGTCAGTTAGGTAAAGCTTACCAGATCAAAAGGGAAATCAACTAGAAAATCATACGAGAAAATAAAAGTAAAATAGAATAAAACAGCAAATAAAAAAACAGGGTACAAACTATATCATAATCCCCATGATCATTTCCAGGAGGGGCTGAATCCCTCGCTTCCATGTAAATGCTAAGCTATTCCCCCGTCGCTGCTTTTCATGTGCTCCAATTTGGTCCACTCTGTGGTTGCTTTATAAGACCGAATTCCTCTTTCCTTTCCCTCCCATTTACTCATACCTTTCAATATGTTCGGGTGGTTGACTCGATGCCTGCCAGGGTTTAGTATTCTAGCCTTGATATTTCTGCTGATATGCGCCTTCTCCAATCTCATGTCCTCTCGAGCCTGGAGGGACATCTTTCCACCATGGGTTAGCCAACCTCTCCATGAAGGTTGGTGGATTGGACTGAACATGGCACAAATTATCTTTGTCATCTATGCCATGCTCATCCATTTCCAGATGTTTGCCTTCACTCTTCGTCTGGGATGGTCAATGTTGCGGGTGACAGCCAAGACAAGAGAAGCTCTAGGAAGGCGTCCTACGCCAAAACGGGCTGTCTCCGTATCTTCTGCTTCCTCTTCCTCCTCTTCCCCTTGCCCCACCTTGGATGAAGGATACGAAAGTCAGTCCCTCTCGCCAGTATCCCTCCCATCCCCAAACCCGTTTAGCGAGAAGCTATACTCCATCACCGGATCCAAAGTTGAGGAGGATGAGTTGATCCATGCCATCATTTTACCAAATTATTCTGAGGATCTCCATACGCTGGAAACAACTTTAAATGTGCTGGCCAGTCATCCACGAGCCAGATCACAGTATGAGGTGAGTGCTTAACCAGCGGGATGCAGTACTAGTACCCACAGTCACTGACGTCCGTGCTCAACAACAGATATACCTCGCCATGGAGCAAAAGGAAGTCACTGCGTTGGATAAAGCAGCCCACCTTGTATCCAAATTCGAACACTCCTTTCTACATATCCGTCCCACATTTCACCCCGCCGGTATACAAGGAGAGATTGCGGGCAAGAGCTCAAACGTTGCATTTGCTGCCAATCGAATTGTGGAGATTCATCATGCCGACTTGAATGGAGATTCTTGCAATATCATGGTCACGGTTATGGATGGTGAGTCAAGTCATTTCAACCAACCTAACAAATTTCTAACTCAAGACAGCGGACACCCATCTCTCTCGCGATTATTTCACAGAGATCCGCCGATTACACTACACCCACATAGATGAAGCAGATCGCGCACTATACTGCTGCCCTATAATATTCGATCGCAATTCCCATGAAACTCCACTCCTGGTCCGATGCGCAGACCTACTCTGGGGCTTCGCGGGTATATCTACCATGTACCCGGGAACAATGATCTCCATTCCAACCTCAGTCTATTCCCTCCCACTTTCCCTCGCCCAGAAAGTAGGTGGATGGGACAGTGACCCCACAGCAATTGGCGAAGACATGCACATGCTCCTGAAGTGCTACTTCGAGACAGCCGGAAACGTAATCTCCCGTGTGGTCTACATCCCAGCGAGCCAATGCAACGTCTCATGCGACGGAGAACGAGGCTGGCGACGGGTTCTAGGTACTTGCATAGCCCGATACCGTCAGGCACTACGACACATGTGGGGAGCTCTAGACTCCGGTTTTGCAGCACGTCGCACACTAAGCTATCTACGTTTTAACAAGCGATGCTCATTCTTCAGTCCCAGACATTTCGCCCTTATGCATCTTCTCTGGGAAGCGCATTTCTTACCATGCCATATGGTGATTATCATGATTTTCTCGGTACTATATACAATCTTCCATCCTGCACTGCAGTTACACCCAATTCTCGCAAAGGCATTTTTCTGGAGTGATGTTCTCCGAACGTCATCATTTATCGGAATGAATGTTTGTTTATCTTTGTATGAGCGATGGCATTCTATTTGTGTCAATTCGCGAATGCAGGATATGCACGAGGCCAATTTATTGGATACTGGGTTTTCGCCTCGGGTTTGGTACAAAGTCCAGCATCTTGCTGAGCGGATCTGTTTCCCAATCGCTGGAACACTATACGGTGCCATTCCGGCATTGCATGCTGTCTTTCTTCATTTCTGGACAGACCGATTGGTGTATCGGGTTAGCCAGAAGCCGACCTTTAATCTGGAGGCTGTGAGCTTGGCATGATGGAGTTATTATTTATAGATATTTTGTTGGGGTTTTCCCTGTTGTGACAGCCTAAGCCCAAAGGCTGCTCTTAATACATATGTATGTGCTTTAGTCTTACTATGGCGACGGTCATGTTAGATGGATACCTGTTACTAAGAATCATATGCGGTAATATTTAATGAGAATATCATGAACCTTCAAGTTGGAACCTTGATTTGAATTGATAGTATCGCTGTCTAGTAACACTATCTTACTCTGCTCAAGTTGCTAATCTAACACTCTCCCGAGCGGGATCCATTCGTTCAATGGATATTTACCTAATTCAACACGAAAAATACACTCGCATACTAAAATTTTGAACTTGAATGCATATGATCAATACTCAAGCTTGACTCTTGTAACCAGGATCAAGCAGCGGTGTACAGTCATGTGATTGATCACTCTAGCCCCAGGGGTACGAAGTAGACAGGCCACACGACTCCGTATCCATCGTCAGAATAACATCGACATCCAATTTCTCAATCTCAATGGATCCCCTGGTCTACGACTCGATTTGGAAGTACCCAGTGATACGCCGACCAGAAGGCGGCTCTCGTATCATCGGCCACGGTACTACAGGAATCATCTGCCAGAATGCGTCTAAGCCAGACCAAGTCATCAAGGGACCCCTTACACATTAAATGCGCGGGTGCAGCAAAGAGGTTGTTGAAAGAACATTGGACGAGGAGAAGCAAAACAAGGAATGCTTTGAACGAAAAAAGCTTATCTATAAAACCCTCCTGAAAGACAAGAACATTCTCGATTGCATCGAAATCACGGACAATTGCCTTCACTTCCCCTATCTACGACTCGGAGATCTACACGAATACCTTCTAGATCACAACGAGTCGATCGAAAGCGAAGTTCGAGAAAAATGGATCGAATCAGCTATCGACGCTGTCACTGATTCATAGCTTTGGCATAGTTCACGCCGACATCAGTGCCCGGAATTTTCTTGTTGCTGATGATATGTCAATCAAAATGTGTGATTTCTGTGGGTCGTCAATCGATGGTCTCCCCTCACTTGTAGTGGAGGAAACTCGATACTGCATGGCATGGAGTACGCCAAGATCCGTCGCCACTGATATCTTTGCACTTGGATGTTTAATCTTTGAGATCACGACCGGTCTTCGCCCATACCATGAGATCCCCGACGAAGAATTGAGGAGGTCAATCGCCGATACAATGCTGGGGTGATCCCATCTCTTGAGGGGAATTCTTACGAAGGTGTCATTCATAAGTGCTGGACGTCTCAGTATGCAAATGCCGAGCAGTTGAAGCATGACCTAAAGATGAGACGAGAAGAGAAATGTTTGTAGTCGTGAGATAGTATTGGAAATCAGATCAAATGCACGACAATCAAGTTCAAATGCACGACAATCAAGTTCAAATGCCCGTTATTTATGCACATAAAAAGAGCATCAGTTTACTCCAAGTCTGTCGTCATACTAGTGATCAATTGATATTCTCAGGGATCACAATTCACATGTGGTATCAAAATAATCAGGCAGTCCAATTTCGCATCTACCTTTAAGACGCTATGTAGGGACTTGGATGCATTTTCCAGGATAAATCGCTTCGCCGGTCACTGCCATGTGTCCGGATGCTATGCTCCGGGTCATGATCCAATCGATAATGGTATAAACCACATTTCTTTATCTTGATAGCCTCTCTGAACTAAAGCCTTCTCATTTACGCGCCAGAGTCCATACTGGTAGTTCTAGGTATTCTTATAAGTATTCAAATGTTGGTCATATTATCAGATTTATTTCCAAGCTGTGGTTATATGAAGAGAGAACACACCTTAACACGGAAGTTTAGACTTTGAATTAACGGACAGACAATTCTTCACGCTGCGCTTTGCGCGCCGGCGGCACTGCCAGTGAAGTAGCGACCATTTGAAATTTGGAGAGGTATGTCCTCAGCACGCGAGTGCTTGGCTAGATGTGTCCACATCCTCTCAGACAGGGACCTCGGGATGTTCCACATACATAATGACTGACCTCGGGACATCTCTTTGTATATAAGTACCTACAGGGTTACCTACATGGTTACCTACTGGGTTAGTACTACCTATATGAGTACGTAGAGGGGAAAACTAGCTACTATATAGTTAGATATAGGCAACTGGTAACCTCACAGATATCTAGAGCGAGAGATATCTAAAGTAGACGTAAGATAAAGCGGGATATATTTACATGTGTATGTTTAGATGTGGTAATAAACAAAAGAAAAATATAGTCTATTGATAAATCTATGGTCTCTGACCTCGGGAGTATTCTACCAGACGGTGAGAAAACTCGAAAACCCACTGTAACCCAAGTAGAACAAGAGGTCTACACTACTAGGTATGGTTCATACTTGAACTTGAAGTTTCAATGCTGGAAGGTCATCCTTACTACCTAGGCTATGCTTAGATAGTCGTATCCATTGATGGATGTGAATGGTAAACCTGAAACCCATCGACATACCTGGGCACTAGCATACATGCGAGACATCAACTTGAAGTCACAGTTAAGCTTAAAGTTACAGTTCTTGAAGTCACAGCTGCACTTGAACTTGAACTTGAACTTAAAGGAGGAACGATCAAAATTGCAGCTGCACGTGAGCTTGCCCATGGCTCATGTTTCAAAGTGGTATATTTCCCCTCTTTCAACAATCCACCTGGCTGGAGATAAATAGCCTTTGATAGAGGGATTATATTGCCCTGTTTTAAAGAGTTTACCAGTCGCGTCGGTTTTGACCAATACACAACACGTCCTCTCCAGTTCTAGAGGTAGGTTAGATATGAAAGTTTACCTATGGGTGGTTGAATTATACATACTGAGTCTATATTCATTTCTTTCTTCAGATAGTATAGATTCCTTGCGAGTGAACTGCCACCATAGTGCTTTATTCCTTGTTCGTCTTCACTGGCATTCACAAGTTCCGCTTGAGTCTCAGGTGATTGGTTTCCAGACTCTTCTGGTGGATGGATCATATGTTTGATCTCACAGCGAAGGAAATCGGCCGCTGGGGAAAGTTCGAGAATTTCCATTTGAGATCCATTAAGTGCTGGAGTCAGATCGAAATTTTTAGTCTAAATCTTAAAGTTTTTAGTGATGAAAAGTTTCAAATTTTCGCAAAGTACTCACGAATCAAAAATAGCATATCATGCTTAAAATCGATGATACGGATGTTCAAGTTGATGCGCCTTGTCTGGTTGTCTGGTGGTTAAGGAGGGGTAAATAGTGGCTGAGGTACGTGTCTCCAGGCTTCTGGCCGACATGGATCTTTGCGCTTGGATGCCTAGTCTTTGAGATCACAACAAGTCTTCATTCCAATAGTGAAGTCCCCTAAGATGAAGATGGGGAGACCTAGCGACTATGCGATGCTGGAGAATTTCCATCTCTCGGGGGAAATACTTATGAAAAGTATCATTCCAGTCTTTATAACCTTGGAAGTATTGGACGTCTCAAAAACAGATACCGAGCAGTTGAAAGATAACCTAAATATGAGATGTGAAGAGAAATGGTTGCTGTCATTGGGCGTCGGAAATCAGATCAAATACACTGGAAGGAAATGCGAGCCTCATACAGGAAAGAGCACTGGTATACAGTTTAAATTCGTTTTATATCGAATTCCAAGGTTATTGAACATGACGTACTCCCTACAGGACTGTGATTGTCGTGGGGTTGAATCCACTTTCTCCAACTTGTTGGAGTTACCCCGTTACTCCCTGTGGAGACTATCAAGAACCGGGACACAGTATTGGAACTTTCTTTACCTTTTGTCACTTTCACTTATTGCCTGAAGTGATGCTGGTTCAAATTGATCAAAATGTCAACTCGCCGAGTCGCAATCATCCAATGGCATATCAAGGTAGACATCCACCCACTTCTAGCCAATACGCAGATACCGCAATCTATGACGCAAATGTCTACTCCGAGAGCTATCTAACCAACTTCCACGCAGGAACTCGCCATAGAGGAAAACCACGCTACAGCATGCAATTATATCAGGGAAGCAGCATCCCAAGGAGCTGAATTAGCCGTTCTCCCTGAGTGAGTGTCTTACCCAATTACTGGCAATCACAAACACGCCAGCTCTTTTGGCTAGATTGCCACCCCTGCATTCATCCAAACTTGGTAATCTGACTCAAACAGATACCATCTAAGTGGCTGGGCTCCGACAGATGAACTCTGGTCCACACAAGCTGGGCAATCATCCCAATACCTCAAAAACTACCAGTCGCTTGCAAAGGAACTCAAAATTTGTCTGGTACCAGGAACAATCATCGAAAAGGAAATCGGAGCCAATAACAGCACACTCTTCTACAACACGGCGTACTTCATCTCCAATGATGGGACTATCCTTGGAAAGTACCGCAAAAAGAACATCTGGCACCCTGAGCGCCCACATCTAGTATCTTCGGGATCAGAGAGCCACGCGGCGATAGATACGCCAATTGGGCGAATCGGGATGCTCATCTGTTGGGACTTGGCATTTCCTGAGGCATTTCGGGAATTAATTGCTGATGGGGCGGAAATTGTTATTATTCCTACTTTCTGTACGTCTTTCGGTCCCTTGCACCTCCTTTCAAGTCTCACGACTTTGTGGCTTACTCGTATAGGGACTCCAAACGATGCATCCGCTGATGCATTACGGCATAATCCCGCATCGGAGGCTTTGTTCCTCTCTTCGACCCTGACATCACGCTGCTATGAGAATACCTGTGGTATCATCTTCGTGAATGCGGCTGGACCAGCAGAGAACTTCCTGGGTATGTCGCAAGTGACCCTACCGATTGTTGGACCAGTAGCGAAGATGGGAAATGAGGAAGGTTTTCTTGTTGCCGATATGGATTTGGGATTATTGGATATTGCAGAGAGGAATTACAAGGTTCGGGAGGATATTCAAGCGGAAGGGTGGCACTACGTGTATCGGCATACATCAAGTCAGTAACTTAGTTACACAGGATCAGTTGAAAAAAGTTTTTGAATAAAGACGCAAAATGAAGCCCAAATTGGGCAGCTCCGAGATATGCAAGAATGGAAGACAACATTTGCCACTGGTATTGAGAACAGTAGAACGCTGAAAGATATGGCTTCGGAGCGGATTCGTCCGTGTCTCAGGATACGAATCCTAGTGTTTTTAGACAAACACAAACGATGAGTTATTTTTCTCAAATGCGGATGGCAGCATAGTGCTTTCCAAGAAGCCCCGAAGCTGTCTCATAGAAGGAGGAGTCGCCTCCAACTATGAACCCCAAGAACTCAACATAGGATCAAACTCTTTTGCCAATTTTATTGTCAACGCCATAGAACGACGCTCATTCTCCTTTGTCGACAATGTGATTGCAAAGTACACTCATAGCATACATACCGCTGTTGTACATGAGACTCAGTTTCTACACCAGCTCTTCCTCCTACTCCTCCTCCTCGTCGTCTTCGTCTTCATCGCAGCCTGCTACCTTCTCTTTTCCCTTTCCTTTTTTCTCTTCGCGTCTCTCTTGGGAGGTTGGGATGGTGGGCCTGGGTTCGTAAATACTTGATGGAACGTATCGCTCACCAGCCTTGATGTCTAATACATCTTATAAAAGCCACCTGCATCTGAGATTACACCGATTCTGGAGAATATTACGAACTTGAACATCAGAGAAGGTAAGTTCATATGTTCCAAAGGTTACAGCTTCGCTGGGAATCTCTACTCATCCAGGGAAGGAAATTCTGCTAAGTTCTTACTGTTCATCATAGGCCTCGATTCCTACTTGCGGCAGCCTTTATACAACCGTTCCAAGGTTTTTGACGCCCGAAACAACCGATTGGCATTGTTGGTATAATGAAGGCGTGGGATCAAAACAAACTATTTCTGTTGGTATTGTTATTGAGATGTTTTCTTGGTCTATACAAGCAACGATCTGGCACAGTTCAAGAGTCAATCTCTCAGATTAACAGACTACGGGGTCGTATAGAAGACGATCAAGCTTCCATCACGGAATTGCTTCCCAACCACGACAGGCCTTAGCTTTTGATTGTGAATAACACCAGTGATGGCTGGTGTAACCAAGACCGTGACCACTGGCATTACCCATAATCATAAGCCAAGGCTTTTCGTGGTTAGAGAGCCATTTCATCGTGGAAGCTTGGTCTTCTTCTCTGTTAATCTAGGAGATTGACTCTTGTTTCATCGATGCTTGCATTGACCCAGAAAACTTCCCAATAACTATACCCACAAGAGATTGGTTAAATCCACTCCCCAGTCAAAGATCGTTGTCGTGCTTGCTGAAGACTTATTGGTGGTTGGGCAGGCGTGTGTGCTTATGTGGCCGAAGATGGTGGTTGTGTTCTTATCGGGGTGGTCTTCGTGGTTGAGATGTCCTCGCTGTTCGCGACTGAGGTGTGGTAGCCACAGTAGGCTGTTTTGTAGTATTAGAGAGTTGATAGACAAATTCACAGTATCGTTGCTAGCCGGCCCAGCGAAACCTAGTACATCCGCCATTAAAGTTGGCTTCAGGCTCTATTGCGACGACACAAGAGACCCATGGCCCATGTTGGTCTACACATTGTTGACATGGAGCTTCTGCGAGTTGGCCAGTGATATGTGCAAGGAAGGACTCAATGTATGTCACATTACCCGATGTTAGTCTTCGGTGGACTTGAAGCCTGGCCGCGTCAATACGAGGTGTGGATGTCTTCCGGACGAGAGTGAGGCCTAACCTTTCATTCCCAACGAGATTTGTGACTGCCCGGTGGCACCAAAGCGGCATGCCACTGGCCGTACTGGCATTCGTTGAGACCATCTGACAGGGGGCTACCGAGACATTAGGTAGTTTAGTCCCAATACATATTAATAATGCCAGTCAACTTTTATGTAATAAAGTACTATTCATCCAATGTATAACAAAGTAAGCCATCAAGCGTAGACAAATCATTATTTGATACAGTCGTGATCTAGGAGAGGCTCAACGAGGAAAAGAAAACACAAGGAAACGGTATCAAGCTCTCAAATTCGGCAACAGAAAGCAAGGCGGAAGAAAATAATGGGGGATAAAAACTTCTCCGGTGGAAGCGCCTCAGAGAGAAGGAAAAACAAAAAAAACGATATCATGGCATGATAAATCCTGATGAATCCTACTCCTCCCGGAAGACGCACGGATGGAAACAGATGAATCAGATCTCCTAAACCCCCGCTAACCAGGATAAAGACCAAGAACTAACCGCTCTAAGGAAAGAAAAAGAAATCGGATCTAGGGCGGTATGGGGTCAGGAACTTTGCAAGCGGAGAGATGATGCGGAAGTACGAGATGTAGTCGAGAGGACTCGGGTTCTTGGCAAAGACACAAAGAGAAGTATGTTCAACTCTGTCAATGCGAACGAGTTCAATCGTATAGTCGATACTTCTCGTGATTTTCCTCTCTCCGGTCAAGAGAGATCCCTTACTGGACCTGGCTGACGATCTCACTAGCGCGAGACAGACTCTCAACCATCTGTTGGCACTCCTTCCGTCGGCGAATGGTGTAGTCGCTCTCCTTCAGAAGATCGTCCAGCTCGTTGCTGCGGTACATGTACTCGAGCAGCTCGGCCTGCATGGACTCCTTGGTGAATCTACATAACTATTAGCGAGAGAAATAACGAGGCATATGAAGGAGAACATACTGAACCAAAGTGTACATAACGGCCTTGGGAACCATGTCAATCATTGTACGCTTCACAATGTTAAAGTAAGAAGTGATGAGAAGTTCTAAAATAAGTATCAGTACCGAATAAACATAGCGAAAGATAATGCTCAAACTTACTGATAACCTCAACCTCGGTGGCTTCCCGCTCGGACAAGCTGGCAGAGGCCTTGAGGGTAGGAGGAGGGGCCTCCATGGCGGCCATCTTCTTCTTATTCTTGGAAGCCCAGAAGCTGCCGAAGAATCCGCTGCCGTTGGGAGACTCTCCGGTGGTATCCAGAGAGGGACTCTGAGCGCGAGCCGGGAGGGGCTTGCCGGTCTTAGGGTCCACCTGAGTGGGCTTGGCGGCTTGCTGGCGCTCGTTCACAAGAGTCATAGCCTAGAAATAAGTCAGCTCAAGTCCGGAGTCTGTAGAGTATGAAATTTAGATCTTACGCGGTGTCCATTGAGAAAGTCGGGGTGGCCAGTGTTGATGTAGGTAGCTTCCATGGCAATCAAGTCCTTGACCAGCTTGTTGGTAGGCTCCATGCACTTCTTGAAGAAGGCAATCACGACACCGTGGAACTTCTCCTTCAGCATAGGATAACGACGGAAAAGCTGCTTGGTCAGCAATTGACCGAGGATGCGAACCAGCTCGTCATAGACGAGCGAGATACACTTCAAGCTGGGCTCCTCCAGACGCTTGATCTGCTGCTTAACGATCAACTCGAAGGCAGTGGTGCCAACAAAGAGAGCGGGTGATGAACCAGATGAGTTGTAAAGAATGGTGCGGATATCGATATCCTTGACGTGGTCGAATGGATCAACGGCCTTGACACCGTTGGAGTAGAGCTCATGGAAGACAAAGCTAATACGAGCACCACCAGACAGCTCAATGCTAGAAAGCTCCTGGTTGTTACCCTCCAGGACAGTACGGTACTCGTTGCTGAACTCGGTGATAATGTTGAGAATAATGTTCGCGCTGTTGCCAAGCATCGAGTCGCCGAGTGATGAGAGCTCGGCAGTGTACTTCTGAAGAGAGGAGGAAATGCGACCCTTGATATCAGGCAGGGTCTGCTTAATGTGCATCATGAGGATCTGAAAATAAAAAAAGGTGTTGTTAGTACTGGATTTCTATACTCTGATCGCACTGCCAGAAATATTATTTCAAAGCTTACCAGGTTCAACTTGCGAGCCAGATAAGGAGTTCCGCAGTAAGAGGCTTTGTTTCGGTACGCCTTGTGATTCTCAAAGAAGTTCTTCTCGTTTTCCAGAGCCGCAGCAATGGGCTTCTTGTTCTCGATATCACGTTGACCACGGTTGACGACGGGGACATAACCCAGACGCAAGGGGATAATCCGTCCAGCGAGAATATCCACCACGTCGGTACCTTCATCCATAAGATCGACCTTACTCAGAACACCGATGGTGCGCTGTCCCTCTGGGTCCACCTCGCGTGCCAGCTTCAAACCGTCGGAGTTGGCCAAATCCTGGTTGGCTGAGGTGACAGCCAAGATAATTGCGTTGGGCTTGCTGATGTACTTGAGAACCATATCCTTGATTTGGCGCTCAATATCCTTGGGCTGGTCACCCACGGGAACCTTGGTCAGACCAGGCAGATCGACCAGGGTCAGGGTAAGGACATTCGGCGAGTAGATGCGCAGGTTAATGGGAATGGGCGAGATTCCGGCATTCTTGCCGACCTTGGACTCTGTCTCGCGAACAATTTCATCGCGGATCTTGTTGAAATCGAAGAACTTCTCGCCGGGAAGGTGTAGGAATTCACCGTATTCATCGATATTGGACGCACTGTCCGTCGTTTCCAACTTGATGTCGCCGTTCGGTTGGTTGGACGCGGGCTTGTTAATCAATTGAAGGATAAGAGGTCTGCGGGTGACAATTCCTGATCCACGAGGCAAGCTATATGTGACAAGGTAGGTAATTAGCAATGGCTGACGACGCCGGCGGAAGAGGCCCCGCCACCGCACCGCAGTGGGCAGCTGCCAGGACAAAATTCCACCCTCGAGCAGGGTTACAACACATACAAATCACGGCCAACAATATTCTCTAGTACTGAACTCTTTCCACTGGACTGCGATCCAACAACGGCAATCTGCGGCAGATCGATCGGGTTGTGCACCTAAAACCATATAGCGGCGGTGTCAGTCTTCTGGCGCGGAGACTAGGGGTTGTGTAAATTGTAGATTGGAGCGCAAGGCTACTTACACCGACGGTAGAGAACACATCCTGGAGCTTGTTGACCAGCGAAATCAAGCTAGGGTCATTAACATTTATGCTGCGCACGAGGTTAACTAGACCGCATCGGAGTAGAGAGGACAGGGGGAGCCGGGAGAGACGAACGAGTAGCCGGTGGTCGGGCTTGCCATGGTTGGCGATATGTAAAGCGGGACGGAAGAATTTCAAGTTTATTTCCTTTGAAATAGGAACTCAAGAGGTAAAGCAATCAGAGCCTCGTGGTGTAAGAGGCGGCAGAGGTCAAATGTTGTTTGTTGGTGTGTGAGAGCAAAGGCGGTGATGAGTGGCGGGTCAATAGGCCACAGTGTATGCACATGTGCGGGTCTGGGCTTATCACATAGTAAGGTATCCGTTAGGTAGAGAGTCATCTGGTACTAGGCATCAACAATTAAGATCAGATTCGATTTCTTTTTTAAGTCTGAACTATTTATGATGGACACCTGAGAAGGTACAGATAGAATCCATGAATCAGATGTGCATTCAGATAGTTAAATTATTTCCAAAAATTTGAAAGATCATATAGTATATCAAAAGAAATTGAATTCAGTGCTAAACTGCTAATTCTGGATTGGATCTTTCTATAGCAACAAGAAAAACAAATTTGCCCTAATGAAGAAAATTGTTTGAACATAACTACAGGGTAATGTGCTGATGAAAAGCGAGGGAGAAAAAAAAATACAAACTTAAGATGCAAAGTGTAAAATGATACCGTCTACTCATCAGAGACAGAGGCAAATCGATCAGACATGGACTGCAAGATCTTCTCATACTTGCCAGAGACCTCCTCCTCATCGGTGGGAACCTCGAACTTCATGTTCCGGAGAGAGTTCTGGATATCGCTGGTGGCCTCACGGACCTTGCTCCACTGCTGGCCTTGGGCAACAGCCTTTTGAGCCTCATCATGGTAACCCATGAAGGCCTTCATCATGTACTCAGTCTTCCACAGAGGGCAGAACTGATCGTAGTCACTGTAACCGTTCTGCTGGAGGAAGTCTTCCTTCAGCATAGCAGCGACGTCCAAAGTAATCTTGTCTCCGTCACCCAGAGCTGCCTTACCGACCAACTGCACAACCTGGTCAAGATCCTCAGACTTGGACAGCAACTCACGGATCTGATCACGCAGGCGAGGGAAGTCGGGGTTGTTCTTCTCGTAGAACTTATCCAGAACAGTGTTGTACTTGCTGTAGGAGATAGAAGTGTTGACCGAAGGGAAATGCTTACGTTGAGCAAGCTTCTTATCAAGACCCCAGAAAACCTGGACAATACCCAGGGTACTGCTGGTAACGGGATCAGAGAAATCACCACCGGGCGGTGAGACAGCACCGACAATGCTGACACTGCCTACACGCTCGGGGCTACCGAGGGAGCTGGTCTTACCAGCACGCTCGTAGAAGGAGGCGAGCTTAGCACCCAGGTAAGCAGGGAAACCCTGGTCAGCGGGCATCTCACCCAGACGACCAGAAATCTCACGCAAAGCCTCGGCCCAACGAGAACTGGAATCAGCCATCATAGCCACATTCTTGCCCTGGTCACGGAAGTATTCGGCAATGGTGATACCGGTGTAAATGGAGGCCTCACGAGCAGCCACAGGCATGTTGGAGGTGTTGGCAATCAGGCAAGTACGCTTCATGATAGGCTCCTTACGACCGTCGATGGTAATAGAGAGCTAAGAGTAGAATTAATGTGTCAGTAAAGACGAACAGCCAGCATAGCATTTTCCTAGGGGTGGCTTACCTCGGGGAAATCCATCAGAACTTCAGCCATCTCGTTACCACGCTCACCGCAACCAACATAAACAATGATATCACTGTTCGAGAACTTGGAGACAGACTGAGAAATGACAGTCTTTCCACATCCGAAAGCACCAGGAATACAGACGGTACCACCCTGGACACTGGGGAAGAGAGCGTCCAGCACACGCTGACCGACAATGAACGGCGCATCGGCGGAGAGCTTGTCGCTAACGGGACGGGGCACACGAACAGGCCAGGTCTGCATCATGCCGAACTCGGTCTTCTTTCCTTCGAACTCGACCTCCAGCAACTTCTCCTCGACGGTGTAGCTACCGGCGGCAGCTATGCGGGTAATGGTACCCCGAGCACGTGGGGGGAGGAGGATCTTGTGGTCGTTCACCAGACTGTTCTCAAAGACGGTACCCCAGACGTCACCACCGGTGATGTGGTCGCCGACCTTGAAGCTAGTGGGCTTGTACTCCCACTTCTTCTCACGGTCCAGCGCATTGACGGCGATACCACGGGGAATGTAAATGCTCCCCGACTTATCGGAGATGGCTTTGAGGGGTCGTTGAATTCCATCGTAAATTGTTTCCATCAAACCGGGACCGAGCTCAACAGAGAGGGGCTTGCCCGTTCGGGTAACAGGGTCACCAACTGTCAAACCAGCTGTTGTGCAGGAAAATCATCTGTTAGCAATGGCATTGAGGGTAATCGGGGGGGCAACCGGGGGTATACGTGGCCCAGAGACGGAATCGTACCAGTTTCCTCGTAAACCTGAATTGTAGCTTTATCTCCATCAATTCGAATAACTTCACCGACCAGCAAATCGTGACCAACGTGACACTAAATGAGAACGCTCATGATCAGCATTGTTTCGGGGTCCGGGGGTGGGAGCTTCGGGGAGGTCTTACCAACTCGTACATGGCACAACCGATCATATGTTCGGCCACAACGACAGGTCCGGAGACCGAGAAGATTGCGCCATGCTCCTTTTGCTCTGCCGAAGCCATCGTGGAGGTCTTTGTTGGGACTGAGGAGGAGACTGGGGAGGTGGATGTGGTCGAGTTGGTTAGAGTGGGTGAGTCTGGAAGCGGTGGGAGCTCGGGCGGTGGAGGTGATGGCGCACGCTCAAGCTCACCTCTGCTAATCAGAGTGAGTAAGGATGGCCGGGTCTTCAATCGAGGTCTCCCTAGACCTAACATTCGCTCAAATGGGATAGGGAATAAGTGAGGGAATTCATAGAGATCTGGGTCGATTGTCTTCCTGGGGAGCTGACACAGTCAATGGATTGACTAGGGCGCTGAGCTCGTGGAGTCCCCTAAACACTGTCATCCAATCCTCTCTCATTGTTCAGCGGGATTGGCGCTTTCCAGGCTCCGATGTATCTCCTAATTGAACTATCAATGCAGGTTAAGAAGTTCAGTTTGATATTTCATCATCACTGGAGGAATTTGATGCGTGTTTTCCAGCTTGAGATGACCACAAGCTGAAGATTGCAAAGGAATTGGTATCAAATTGTAGTATCAGGGTTTGAAGGTTCGACTTGTTTGTATTTCTTTTTATTCAAATATTTTCTTTGTGATCCACTGTATCTGTTTAGTTCAATAATTGATGTATGTGATGCTTTGCAGACTATTTTGGGTTGACACTCGATAGCGCTGCATAACATGCATAGTATCGCACATGTCTACTCTGCTCCCTGAGAACAGAAGCAGATGGCTATTGGAATTTCCCTATTGTCTGTTCTATTCTCTGGCAATATGAATGACTTGGAATTCGCACTTTGATAAATTAAAATATTGAATGTTTCCCTCATGGTATGGTTAATATTCCAAGTCTTATGCATATAGTGTCAACTGGTCTAGCCTTGAGGTGTTCAGAGTCCGTGCTACCACCAAACGGGCAGCTTTGAAATCAGCCATGCTTGATTATCTTGCATATTTCAATAATTTTGTCTTATTATTACTAGGGATGAGACTTCTAATTTAAGCTACTTGGGTAACTTTCGGACATTTTGAGTATCCTGAGTCCAATCTTGATAGCTACTAGGTACTACTGTAGGTATATCAATGCTATTCCGGTTTCAAAGCGGGAAGCAGCATTGTGGCGTTTCCGAATGACCTTCAGGAATAGTGACAGGTTTAAAAATACTGGATACTGCACACATGCCCAGGTGTGCAGGCTTGATATTAATATGACTACATGGACAAAGCGTCCTAATTAGTGATAAAACTCCAATAGTTCCTAGGTAATGACGTTGACATCTTAAAATGCTACTACCTCAAGCCTAGCGGAAACTCACGAATACGACTACATAGTATCACTGACAGTTATAACAAAAGTATCATTCTTTGACTATTACATGGGATATAAAGAATTGACATAGCGACAGAAAATAATCTCACATTTTCAAAAGAGTTGAACTGAAACCGAGCCGGGTCAGCATGGATGGTGGTCCGCTGGTCTCCATCCTATACGGATTCCACTGAACAACTTGACTGAAATCACAAGGAATTTATTTCTATTCTCTCATAGTCAGCTGAATTAGATTCTCTGAGACTATTTCGGTTCAACATACTCCGCATCCCTTGCAGGAACAGTTACCACTGGTGCAAGTGCAGCCCTGAGCACCGGTACAGGAGCAATTGGATCCACAGCCACAACCCATGATGTGTGAACAGAAGCGTTAAAAGTGGTATAGAGATAGCTTGAGGGTAAGATCAAACTTGAAGATTTTTGTTGGAAAATATTATGCTGCTAGAAAGAAAGAGATCCTCTCTCTTCTTTATATGTGATTGAATACCTGTAGTACCAGAGGCATCATGATGTCGTCAGTGGAGAAGATGAACCACTCTTTTTTGTTGAATGTGTTCAGTATGAGAACTTCAATGTTGAAGTAGAACCCCTTAGGGTACAGTCATGGCTCGTGACCTCCAGGCTTTCGTCTCAATATCAAGCTTGATTAAACTCTTATGAGATGTGCCAGTTATCAACAGTTGAAGGGGGAAATGAAAAGTAAAAGAGCTGTTGACTCTCCCGAGTCCCTTATACTACATACTATATAGTATACTAGTAGATCCAGAACCGACCTGCGATGATCTACAACTACAACTATAAAACTCGAGATACTTCTGAAACCAAGAGGACCAATAATAGTCCTTATAGAACACTAGTCATGCCCATATTAAATAATAGGCCGCGATGTAAAATCGTTTTACAACGTAGCCTCCATTTCCTCAATATGGTAACAGCTGGTCCATAACGACTAATCGCCGAGAAAACACGTAAAGACTTGAATTTCTTGCAACTTGACCTCAGCTGATAACTCTCTCTTTTTCCAAATCACACCCTCTCACATCCCCACTCGCATTGAGCAGAAAATCCCGAAATCTGCATTGATGTCCATCTCGTGACGCGGGCTACTGACTTTCTTGTGACCCGAGAAATCGTCCCCATCACTGGCCCGATAAGCGTCTCCGCCCAATACATGAGAACGTAAGGGAATCAACTTTCTCAAGTGTTCACATCTCAAGATCTTTCGCTTCTGAACCTGACTCAAAATCCTTTTCCAAACACCATATGACCAAATCTTCTTGATTCTCCACCACTCCCGACTCAAGCTCGCAGCTTATTCCTTGCTGTTGGAGCTACAACCTCCATCCTCCGGGGTTTCTCTAACCATTTCTGGTCTGCTCACCTGGTTCTTTAACAAGAACCAGGGAATCGGGCAGATCTCAAACAGACAGTCGACCTGGCTGACAATCCAAACCACCCATCTTCCACTCCCGACAACGTTGAGCTTTCTCTGCCCCACGAGTCCACGGGTTCCAATACCCTGAATCCGGACGACCCCCCCATCTACCCAGCTCTTCTCCGCAACTCCCCAACCTCCACCCGCCAGGCCCGTCAGGACTACCTCCCCACAATACCTTTCTCCAACCCATCGACGACGCCTTCCTAGACAAACCCGTGCTCCTGCACCTTCGCCAGCAGGAACTCCATCCCTACCAGACGTCAGGCCCGGCGAAGCTGCGGCCCAGGACGAACACGAACAATCCGGCCAAGCTGACGACCGTTCCCCTTCTCGCAAGCGCAGGCGCCTGCACAATATGCGACCCGATGGGCTCTCGAGCAAGAATGGCCTGTCACAGGTTTCCAACGGATCTAGTACCCGGAAAGCCAATTTGAAGGGTCAGGCGACCGCAGGTGCAACTCCCGAGTCGAATTCAAGGGAGACCACGAAGGCACTAGCAAGTGCCACATATTATGGGCATAGTCGAGAGGAGGTGACTCGGATCTTGATTCAGAGTCTAAATGAGCTGGGGTACGGTGAATCGGCCGCAAAGTTGAGCGAGGAGAGTGGCTACCAGCTGGAATCGTCGGGCGTGGCGACGTTCAGAAGTGCGGTGTTGGGTGGACGTTGGCCTGAAGCTGAGAGGATTCTGGTTCTCTCATTCCCGCCCAGGAATACTCTGCAGACGAGACAAAAGACGGAATCGGAGGAAATGCTGGTGTTGGGTCAAAATGCAAACAAGGCCGAAATGCTATTTCACTTGCGACAACAGAAGTTCTTGGAACTCCTAGAGAGACGTGATCTGGTTGCTGCACTCGCTGTGCTTAGGCAAGAACTGACACCTCTGAACTACGATGTCGAGCGTCTTCATGCCTTGTCCAGGTTAGTTACCCCTCCATCCGAACTGCTGTATATGTTTCTGACCTAACAACTATTTAGTCTGCTCATGTCTCCACCGGAGTCACTCCATGATCAACCAGGCTGGGATGGTTCCGTGAAAGCATCTCGAGAACAACTCTTAGTTCACCTCTCCAGTAAGGGACTCGACCGACTTCAAAAATCATACAGCTCACTAATGTGTCGTTAGAATCTATCTCCCCCTCTGTCATGATCCCCCAACACCGCCTGGCTATCCTGCTAGACCAAGTGAAGCAGGCCCAGATCAACAATTGCATGTACCACAATATCGCCCACCCGCCTTCTCTGTATTCAGATCATTCCTGCGACCGCAGTGATTTCCCATTGGAAATTGGTGCTAGTCTGACGCAGCACACGGATGAGGTGTGGCATTGTGGATTTTCCCACGATGGAACCAAACTGGTCACTGCGGGCAGTGACAAAATGGTGCTCATTTACGATACGCGCGATTTCTCCATCATTCACAAGTTGCATGATCATGGCAGTGGAGTCGCTTTTGCCAGCTGGAGTCCGGATGACTCTAAGCTAATCACTTGCTCCCAAGACAAAAAGGCCCGAGTCTGGAATGTCGAGGTAAGAATCTCCTATGCCGCTCCCAATATCGGACAATGACTTAGTACTGACTGATTTAATATAGACTGGCCGTTGCATTCTGACCATGGATCATCATTCTGAGCCAGTCACAGCTGCAGGCTGGGCGCCAGACGGAGAATCCTTTGTTACGTCCTCCTTCGACCCAAACTCCCCAATCTGTCACTGGAGTTTACGTGGGTCCTGTCTACACGTCTGGAAAGGTGGATTCCGCGTGCAAGACTGCGCTATCAGTCCCGATGGACGGAGATTGGTAGCAGCAGACACAGACTCAAAGCTCCACGTCTTCGACTTCCGCACATACGAAGAGGACTACTGCCTCTCCTTGTCTAGCAAGCCCACGTCTCTCGCAATCAGTCGAGACTCGAAGAGTATGCTTGTGAACCTGAAGCAAGGTGAAATCCACCTTATTGACCTCGAAACCACTGCGGTGATCCGGCGCTTTAAGGGTCACAAACAAGCCGACTGGGTAATTCGCAGTACCTTCGGTGGTGCCGGTGAGAACTTTGTTGTTAGCGGAAGTGATGGTAAGTTTTTTTTTTGCACTTGAAACAGTATGTACAAACTTGCTAATCAAATTTCAAGATTCTTGTGTCTATATTTGGCACAAAGAGAACGGATACCTCGTTGAAACCCTGCAGGGGCACGAGAAGGGTTGCGTGAACTCCATTTCATGGAATCCAGCTGATCCTGGGATGTTTGCTTCGGCCGGCGATGACCGTGCCGTGCGAGTGTAAGAACTCTCTCCATTTTTCTAAGTAAATTTTATTGACAAGCACCTTCAGTTGGACTCGAGAACGCGATCCCCTCCGTGATCCTTTACGCTATGCCGGTGGTCTCAGTATGATTGGCGGGGCTTCATCAAACATCTTCCCTCGCACAAGTGCTCTGCGAACAACCTCCCCTCACGTCCTTTGAGATCATCAAACCACACTCCCGACAGCCGATGATTACTCGATTTATTATGGCTTCACGACTCGACAACATTTTGAATTATCCCCCGCTACTTATCTGTACCACGAATCAAGAAAGGCACTTGGCGCTACGTTCTTCCGGATGGCTTGACCGATAAACCTGGGTTTATGCAGGCCTTTCTTATTTTATTTTTCCGAGATCCATCTCTCAACATCGTTCCCCTTTTATTGATTTTCCCTTCTGCTACTTGATGTCCTTTCGTTATCCTATTCCCCTTTATCTTGCCCGCCACCCTTCATGCTTCAATCTATCCTTTATGACATGCCCCTTACCCTATTACCATCCTTCTTTATCATCCATCCCAGACAACCCCCCTTAGCAGTCTTCTTAGAAAGCATCTCATCAATACAGGAAAGGCGTCTTTCGACCAATTCATCCTCGGGGAGCTTTGGTCTTCTTGTTGTGCACGGTACATGTTAAATACCGCTGTATGGGTTTGGCTATTGATTTGTCTGTTCGGTATTTTGCTTAGTGGCGTTATCATGAATTTGAATTAGGAAATGTATCTTTTTTTTTCTGATCTCTCGTGAAGCATAGTGGTAAGCATGAAATCTACTACTAGTATGGACCTCTGCTCCGAATTTATAACTGATAAAGTCTAATTTCGGGACTTTATCAGTCCAAAGCTGTTATATGTCCAAAGTAGCACAGATAGGCGTGATAGTTCTTGAATTATTTGAAAAAAAGTGTCAAATTTTGTTTGAATTCCATCAGTCGTAACTCCTAACACACAAAAAAGTAAACCGGGTAAAGAGTAAAGTCCAGCATAGACAGAAATAAAGATATTGCTCAAGCACCCATATTTCAATGTTCAGAATAGGTAATATCATGAGTGCAGCTTCTACAGGTGCAAGGCGTTAGCGACTAAAACCATCATCTGTAGACAACATTTCCTCACTGAATCAAATTGTTTTTCCCTTCCCTCCACGCGAGATTTTGGCTTTGCATCGATTTACAAATCGAAAGCCCTATTTTCCGAAACCGAACACAATGAACGGAAATTTGCAGGAAGCAGAATATGCAAGAGCCGTGCGGGAAATGCAGTAAGCAACAAGGATGTTATTGATTTGAGTCGTTGAAAGGCGAGGGTTGAGTACATGGTCGTGGCAAATTATGAGAGCAGATCGGCAACTGTAGAAATTTCATTAGTAAAAAATAAAGCCAGAAGTATTGAACTTGGTTCGACTCACCATTCATAGGCATCTCATCGATCTGAGTAGAGTAGTACAACTCAATATCACGCAGAATGCGAACGTCATCGCTGGTGACAAAGTTGATAGCAACGCCCTTACGGCCGAAACGACCGGATCGACCGATACGGTGAATGTAGTTCTCACGGTTGGTAGGCAGATCGTAGTTAATAACGAGAGAAACCTGCTGCACATCGATACCACGAGCCCACACATCGGTAGAGATGAGAACACGAGAGTTACCCTGACGGAAATCCTGCATAATGCTATCACGCTCCTTCTGAGGCATCTCACCGTGCATACTAGACACAGTAAAGTTGGCTTCACGCATCTTGTCGGTTAACCAATCGACCTTTCGGCGAGTATTACAGAAGATCACAGCTTGGGTGATCGTCAAAGTGTCGTAGAGATCGCAGAGAGTATCGAACTTCCACTCCTCCTTCTCAACCGCAATGAAATATTGCTTAATTCCTTCCAGGGTCAATTCGTCACGCTTAACCAGGACGCGGACTGGGTCTGTCATAAACTTGGTAGTCATATCCAGCACATCGTAGGGGAGAGTAGCCGAGACAACGACAACCTGTGTCGCGGGAGGAAGGTATCGGTAGACATCGTAAATTTGCTCGCGGAAACCTCGGTTGAGCAGTTCATCGGCCTCATCAAGGACGAGCATCTTAATGTGACGGGTGCGCAGGTTTCGGCGACGGATCATATCAGCGACACGACCAGGGGTTCCAGAAACGACGTGTTGACCGTAGTCGAGCTTGCGAATATCTTCACCGATGTTGGTTCCACCAATGCAAGCGTGGCATTGAACGTTCATGTAATCTCCGAGGGCCATAATGACGGACTGAATCTGGGTTGCAAGTTCGCGAGTTGGGGAGAGGACCAAAGCTATAAATCTAGTGATTAGTTTCAGAGCAACCACTGGTGCTGAAAAGAAATATTCCTACCTTGGGTCTCGCGCACAACGGTATCGATAACCTGCAGAGTACTAATCGAGAAGGTTGCTGTTTTACCAGTACCGGACTGGGCCTGCGCAATGGTATCACGACCTTTGCAAATCTGAACAATGGCACGCGACTGGACAGCCGATGGGGACTCGTAACCGTAGGCGTAAATTCCACGAAGCAGGCTCTCCTTCAGGTGCATATCCTCGAAAGTCGGGGCCACAGTGACCTCCTTGGAGGTGTTAAACTCCATGCGCTCTGGGACCATTTGTTAGAACAGTTCATTTCTCCACGTCTCTGGGAAAGGGCGCATACCTTCAGCGCGTCTGTCGATTCCTTCCGCCATGATGAAAATGGAGGTATCAAGAGTTTACCAAAGGGTAAAGCAAAAGTCTGGGGTATTGAAGTACGTCAGGTAGAAGTGAGAGTTCAACTTTTTGCGATCGAGGCGGTCGAGTCACATGACTGCCTTCAAAGCTTCAGCTTGGGATCCGCGAACTTCTTCTCTTCCTACCGCGACTGATTTTAACGTCCACTTTTCTACGTGCCGACCGTTTAATACGCAGATTTGCGGTCGCATATTAATCATGATTCTGGAAGATCAGCGATTTATCCACGAGGATCTGGAGCGATTGGAGCAAGCCATCGCCGATCGCGTGGCTGAACAACCTCGAACTGTAAGTTCCGCCTTCTACTGATAAACTGGAGTATTGGTATACTAATAAACTGTGCTTGGAAAATATAGCTCCGTGAACGTTTAGCGAATGAACATGAGATCGCGAAGTTTTTAGACCGCATCGAGGTCCAGTCGAAACGATTGTTGGAGATCTACAAAGATGCGGATGGTCTTCGTGAGAAAGAGGTGCAGTCGATCTCAACAGGCGATCAGTTCGAAGAATTCTACAAGCAACTCGAAGGAATTAAAGACTTCCACAAGCGATACCCCAATGAACCAGTTGAGAACCTCGAACAAGCATACAAGCCCCGTCAACCTGGAGATGTTGAATCCATGGAGATCGACAATATGTTCACCGGCGAAGAGCGTTTCGGGAAATTCTTCGATTTGACCACCATTCACGAGCAGTACCTGAACCTTCCTGGAATCAAGCGCCTCAACTATGTCGAATACCTCGGCGTTTTCGATACCTTTACCCCGCCAGCCATGAACGTCAAGCGAAAAGATAAGGTCTCTGATAAGTATTTCCGCTATGTCACCGAGTTGGCTACCTACCTAGAAGGATTCTACAAGCGAGTCAAGCCCCTGGAGGACTTCGATGCACTGGTCGCTACTTTTGATGAGGAATTCGACAAGCAATGGGAAGCAAAGGAGGTTCCTGGGTGGACAGAGGAGCAGGGCAGCAAGAGCACAGCAGCAGGTTCAGGCGAAGGATTGTGGTGCTCAGACTGCGAGAAGGAGTTCACAAACGAGAACGTCTACCGAAACCATTTGACCGGCAAGAAGCACATCCGAGCCGCAGAGGCCAAAAAGGCTTCTGGCACAACGACTCCGGCTCCTCAACCATCTACAAACCAATCATCTTCTCTCGCAAAGGATTTGAAGGAGCGCGCTGTCGCTGGACGAGAGCACCGCGTGCGCTGCTTAACAGACATACTTAAGGACGAACGAGAAGCTACCAGACACGATGTCGTCCGCCGACAAGGCCTAACAGAGCGTGAGCGCCGAACAGATTGGGAGGATTTGATGGCTGAGCATGAGAGTCGTGGTGAGGGTCGTGCGGGTGAAGAGTCTGATGATGATGACGAGAGAATTTCGAACCCGCTGAATGTGCCTCTTGGATGGGACGGAAAGCCCATCCCCTACTGGCTTTATAAATTACACGGGTTGGGAGTCGAGTACCCGTGTGAGATTTGCGGAAACTATGTGTATATGGGTCGTCGGGCATTCGATAAGCATTTCGGAGAAGCCACTCACATTTACGGACTGAAGTGTTTGGGAATTACCTCCAACACTAACCTCTTCCGTGAAATCACTCGCATCGACCAGGCCATGCGTCTTTGGGAGAAATTGGAGCAAGACCGCAAGAGGGAACGCGACTCACGGGATAACGTTGTGCAGATGGAGGATGCTGAGGGTAATGTCATGCCAGAGAGAGTCTACTATGATCTCCAGAAGCAAGGCATTCTCTAATGGACAGAATTTCACTATTCTCATGTTTTCATTTGGAACGGGGAAACGCTCATACAAAAGCTTGGTGTTAGGCGAATGGCAAGGCTCTTTTAATTGTTCTGAAAACTGTTGTATTATCATTGGTCTACCCCAATATGATTTCATTCATCAATTATATCACCCTCACTATGTTCAAGGATATTTGCAATAACCCACCGCTATTATTTACAAAACTCACGGGCCATGACGGGCAGCCATCTGGGCAGGGTCTTCAAGTTAGAACTAACCAAAGCATCCCATCAATGGACCGCATGTATGAGCCTTTCCGCCCCATGATCGCCTGTTGGCTCACCGTCCTTCGTCAGTGTTTGGCTGAGAAGCCATCTCTTCTGCTTCAAGTATTTACTCTGTATGTCCAGGTGGCCCACAGTCTCGTTTCCAACGCTAGTCAAGTCACACCGCATGGTACTATACCTATAATGATACCCAATCTTCAAAGTTTGGGATTGGTACCTAATGGGCACATGATGACATCCACAGAAACAGGAGCCAGTGCCCCGGGGAAACCCCCACCTGCCTTGGGTACGTTTATGGTGCACCTTCATGTGTGGGCCCTCGTCGGCACCTACCTCCAGGGCTACCCAGCTAGCCACCCAGCTAGCTACCTAGGCACCTGGGCACCTCTAGTGCCCAGGCGGCTGCCTAGGCGATGACTAAAGATTTCCATGCATATAAGCTCCAGCCCTGGAGGACTTAAAAAGATCTATTCCAGAGCTGTTCAAAGACTTAAACTCAGACTAGATCACTTCTAAGGTTCTTTTATACATCAGCCATCACTGGCTTCTCATCTCCAGGCTAATATCTCAATCATTACCAAAGACGTGTTTCACATCAACTTCTTCACCCCTGTACCATCCTTCTCGTCAGAAACGATTCCCCTTCCACGTTGCTTTCCAGCTTTCCACCATACCGTACTTCCACATTTTCCTCGTCTCCCCAAAAGTACAACGCAAACATCGTGATGGATTTCTCTCTACGCACTGAAGATCATAAAGACCGACTACAACCATCTGCTTCAGCTTTCGAGCTCGCAATAAAACATGCGCGGAAATACTGGTTCACGTTGGCGGATGATGCCATTACACGTTTAGAGAGTAGTATAATTTGCAAAGTTCCTGCCTTGCCAATCAGCCGACTTGTGCTGAACGAGGTAATTATCTCTGAATCCGGCTCAAAGGCAATTTTCACCATGGCATCGTCTACTTTTCGCCCCACCAAGACGGAACATGACAGCACTGATTCGACAACTAGGAATGCCAAATCAGCTTTGTTGATTGGAGTTCAATCCCCTATTTCCTGAAATCTGACTGGAGCTAGCTTTGGAAAACTCGGCCTATATGAGAAAGAGGACCGAGAAGTTTCAAACCTTACCGGCATTGTTTCACTTGCATGGGCCTATATTTTATCAAGTTGTCTGGTTGAGCTGCAGAATCAAAATGGTGCAAAGATCTCTTACACCAAATCCACTGCGAATGGGCAGCATCATGACGGGCATCACAGGACAAAAGATGGCACTGGCATTCAGGTCGATATTGGCGAGGTCGATATGAGCACTGCCCGACGGTGGGCAGCTATTTTAGCTCCGGAGCGTGGGTGGAAAGCAGCTGTCAACGAGCAATCAGGTGAAGTTTACTTTTCACCTTGGTCAGTCTCTCTAGATAATGCCCCTGAGTTCAGTATTGTTTGGCAAGATATTGGCTTCCATCACTCGGTATCTGTTACAGATCCACCATCTTCAAAGACTGCCTTGAAAGCTCTAGCTGAGTTTTGCGCGTTTCATGGCCTAATGGATCAATTCTATGCATCTCTTTCTGCAGCTTTAATGTTCCCCGCCCACCATGATTGCAAGACGACTATTAAACTGCCATTACCGATGATTACTCAAAACCGGGTGCCCCAAGCTTTAAAGACGGACCTGATGGACGAATTTCTCTCTCTCAGTAATGAGATGGGCTGTTTTATTACCTTGAGTTGCAATCACAGGGTTATAATGTCCAGTCTTTGTGGGTCATTTTGGGAGTCTGATGCTTCATGTAATCTTGTCAGTCCATGGCTACATCCGGTTTTAGAAGAAATACCCAAGGCTGCCTGGACATCTGACAACCCAGGTCGATATCATGAGATCGTTGCCCTTATGTCTGATCAGCGCCGCCCGAGTCTTGCCATTCTTTGGATTGGAGCTGCCTTGAGCGGACTTGTGCCAGAAGTCCTTCAATATACTGCGAGTGGGATTCCTCCTCTTGACCCCAGCGGCTTTTCGTGGACACATGCGCCCCAATCATTCATGGATCTTCCGGGATCAGGGCCATATTTCTATACAGTTGCATCGGGAAATAAAGCAATCAAACGAGTCAATGTTTGGAGACTCTTGTATCATCCAACCTCAGAACATGATGATCTTCACTACAACAACCTGCCATTTTCTCCATGGCCCCCGGTGGGAGAAACGAGCGAAAATAGCTGTGCGTTGAGAGTCCGCGCTCATATTGCATGTCCGCGGCACCGCCTAGTCTACTCTCATTGGACCTGGCAATTACAAGATGGTTATTTCTTGCCGATATATTCACCTGATGTCCCTTGCAGCCAACAGGCAACTCGTGCCTTGCTGCCGCGGCAAAATCCCATCTTGGATTATCCCAGCTCTTTGACATACCTATCACAAGATGCCTCGCGTGAGGCTTCATTCGAAATCTTTCGCTGGGAGTTGGCAAATCACGAAGGAAAGCCTCCTAACGAGTCAGTATACGATGACGAGTGGATTGCGGGCTGCGACGACAGTGAAGAATATTGTTCGCCAATCCAGGGTGATTCCAGCAGTCAAAAGGGTTATTCTGACAAGGAAGAATCAGCTCAACGGGGTCGAAACAGCGATAGGAATTTCAATCCAAGCTCAACTTCCCAGGATAGTCACATTATGGAGTGGATGGCAAATAATAGCTGATTTAATTTTAGATAAACATTTGAAGCTGTGACCGATCATTAATTCTGAATTCATTCACTCCGTTTTATCCTCTTGCCAGATATCTACAGCACAGTCGTTCAAATAGGATCTAGCAGCCCGTGAAGAATGTCAATTGTTCTATGTGCGTCTTCAGATGTTGACGCGAAAAGCGTGTCTCTTCTGAGCAATGTAGATAAATGTTACCCAGAGAGAACTTTCAATGCAGCTTCCGCCAGGTATAGACTTCCAGTGACCAAGATATGCGCCCCCATACCACTAGAAAGTTCCTTCGCCTTATTGATGCCCTTTCCGACATTATCTACAGTATGAATAGAACATGGCCATTTTTCTCGCCAAAGTTGAGAATATTGCTGCTGCTGCTCATTGGTAACTGTGAAATGAGTATCATACTCGATCTCCCGGACGAATATAGCATGTCGAATAGACGTCTGCAAGGAATCGCCCAGCGTTGCGAGTACTTGGGACCAGTCATGGGTGCGCTGGTGTGAGAAATGAGCAAAGATCAGGATTCGTGTAGCACTGTTGATGTGTTAGTAGGGTCAAGTTCTGTATGGGTAGAGGGAAATTACGCTCTTCATCAACATACTTTGCGTCTGCCATTCGCTCGTACCAATTTGCAACCACTTCCATACTTGATTCGTTATGTGCTCCATCCAAAAACCAACTGTTTTCATCAGAATGTACAATATCAAAGCGCCCTGGCCAGCGACATGTTGCTATACCGACTTGAACATCCGATCCACTAAGCGAGTATTCCCTAGTCTTCAGAAACAGACACGCAATTTGTATGGCTAATGCAATGTTTTCTCTTTGTTCAAATAGGACTGTTTCCAATGTTGTGATGTCCATAAATTCGAGTAAAGTCCGATTCACGTCAATGAACCTCACCCACACGTTCTTTTTCGTCTGCTATGCGTTTCATCTCATTTTCAGCCTCCAATAATTGTGGGACCGCCAGTGCAGGAACGCCTGTCTTGAAGATGCCACTTTTATGCCATGCGATGTTTTTGATAGACCCTCCCAGGTTATTGACATGGTCTCTACTAATCTTTGTGATAGCAGTAACCACAGGTCGATCGATGAAATTTGTCGCATCATATTCACCCCCATGATGGGCCTCACAGATAACGACATCAACACCTTCTCGGATAAAAGTGTGGAATGCTATGATGACCATCATCTGCAGAAACCCGGGAGCTCTAGTGTTTGGCGTATTCTCGAGAGAATCGAGACATAGTCCCTTGGTTACCTCACGGAACCTTTGTGAGAAGAATCCTCGGACAGTTGATTCCCATCGATTTGTATTCTGTTCTGTGGCCAGAGGCTTGGTGATGTGTATAGCCCAATCTTTCGTGAAACTCCATTCCTCTGGTCATGTTCCCGTAGAAGCGAGTACACATAAGCGCATGTACTGCCTTTACCCTTGGTCCCGGCGATATGGATTACATTCAGATTGTCGATGTCTGCAGCCTAATGCCTATTAGTATTTTCAAAAGAGAAAGAGGGCGCTTTTTAAGACCTACAGTATGACCAAGCTGGAGAAGCCAGCTTTTCATTCCTTCAATAGGAGCGTGGCCCCTCAGATCCTTTAAATTTGGAGCAATTGGCAACTTGTATGACGTTGATGTTATTGCGGGGCCAGCGGGGAACCCCCCTGCGAAAGGTCTTGATATTATCAAAGGCACTATACATGCATCCCTCGGTCAGAGTGAGTAGGAGAGAAGGGTTCACTTCAAGTTACCTCATGATTTCCAGTAAGGGATCTTCTTAATAGTTCTGTTTTGCTCTTGTTGCAGAACTCAGGCTTCAACGCTATGTACTGATGGATAAGATACGATAGACGGGATAATAATACCCCGCAGATCTTTTTTCTAGATGGCAAAAGCACAGATTTGATAGTTGCTTCAAGTTACTTAGTGGTATCTGAATCTCCAGAGCTATGTAGTCACTGTAACGCTGGACTATACAATGGACGTTTCAAGTTTCTACTTCGAAGTACTTCCAAAATTGGGTATACGTTCCATCACGCGCTTCATATGCTGATTGCTGTGAAGGTGAACCTTGAAGTTGTCCACAGTTATGCCAGGACCGGGGCTGTACAGCTCGTCGGGGCAGTCGTGGCAGCGGACTCGGGGTAAGTATTGATATTTAATTTTCTGACCTGCGTTCGGGTTCGCTACAGGGGCGAGAGTTTCGAAATCGACGGTGAAAGGGTGCATCACACCTTCGAAAGAATTATTTGGATAGCCCTGTTTTAATCTTTGGACTGCATCTGCTCCTCGGAAGGGGGGCTCAAAGGCTCAAAATCTGCAGCCTTTTCAAAGGACCCGAGGCCAGTATTGTTGAATTTTCGTGCTTGACCGTCGGCTGTGCTCTTACCAGGCAACTGAATAACATTCCTAGAAGGTGCCTTCACTATGTTTGTTCCAGCTTCCTGCTTTTGCTCGGGAATGTTGCCACTCTTATTCTGTAGATGACCCCTGCCCATTGTACAGCCGTGGTTTAACAGCTTTTTTGGTTCATAAAAGTATTCCCCACATTTTCCCCACTCTAGGACAGGCCTCGTTTTCTTTGAAGGGAAAAGATCGTTCTCTTCCTGTACTGATTAGTGGCTTTGGGAAATGTGCTTCTCGAGTTCCTTCTGCGTGGAAAATCCAAGGGTAGATCTTAAGCACCCCGGAAAAGAGCATAGAAACGAATAGGTGTGCTTTTTTATATGCTTTTCTCGTTGCTTTAAGGTGTGAAAGCCATGATGGAAAAAGTCGCAGCTCAACCGGGGGCATTTGAATAAATCAACCCCGTAAAACGTGCTGCTCACGCTAGGAAGGTCACTATGGGGGTCAGCTTGGGCTTCTTCAAGAACTTTTCGAATGCGTGCAATAGTATCGGGTATTTCAATGAGCATAATTAACCGCTGCAGACTCCCCGAACGTGCGAAATTGCTCATCTGTGGCATGAGATACCTGCAGAAACTGTTCAAAATTCGGCCACTGGCGGAGCTGTAGGAATCTGAATGCTTCACGAGTCTCGTTTGGGACTTTAATATTTGCTCCAGAGCTCCGGTAGTGCATAGACAAAAATTGCTGTAGAAGATTGATCACTGATATCGCGCCCGCCTCGTCAACGCTATTTGTCAACATGGATTTAAGATGGGATGTCCAGTAGCGCACTGCATAGTCCAGAAAAGCGTAATATCCAAGGCTGAGTAGATCTTTGACTGATTCATCACCAAGGGAGCCATAGAACGCGGGGAGGGATAAATAGCCTAGACAGAGGGATGCCATTTTGAGCTCTTCATGCTGTACGTTGACTACGCCGAACTGAATAAGATAGCTGCAGATTGAACTTTACTCAGTCTTCGTTACAGCAAATCCGCCTTGAAGAAAGGAAAATATGGTAGGAAGAGACTCACAGTCTGGCAGTTGTATGGACCAGCTCAAGAGAGCCATCAGATCGTAAGTGTATAAGTGATCCACAGAGATCTTTCGAGTCAAGGACCCACTGACGATGTTGGAAGTCCACCGACATACGCTCGAGGTCGATTGCAACTGCCCCTTGAACTTCGCGCCATTTTAATTGACGCTTAGCACAGACAAGCCATGACAAAAGTTGAAGAGCTTCATCGCGCGAAACTTGATCAAGAGCCACTGAGAGAACACGTGAATAGCTAGTTATGAGGGTCAGTATTGCAATATATGCAAATAGTTCTGGATATTGCCGAGTTCTTACGCCTCCTCAAGTCCATTCGGTATTCCCTTGGAATGCAGTTCCTCGAGAAGCCTCTGTTGAGAGATTTGCGAAGACAGGCTTGCCATGACAAGTTTGGCAAATAGAAACATCCCTAGGAGACGAGGTATACATAAGCCTGGCTTTCCTTAATATCAATGTCAATAAGAGTGCTTATGGGGCTGAACTCCTGCCTTCTCCACCACAAGGTGGGTGATTTGTTGCAAAAAGTCCCCTGAGAGTTGGAACCTATCCATGAGATTGACTCACTGCGAAGAAACAAATGCGAGAATATCGTCATGATTGTGATGAGGCTTCATGTCTATGTTTGGAAGATTTTGGAGGGCTTTGGATGCAACCGCGTCAGACTGTGAAACGAAAACACATTTGGTGGATTTCTGGTGCTCATGCCCCGAGGACTTGATGGTTGACCGTATATAATCTATGATCTTCTGTTCTTCCTTTGAACCACATTCATCAAGCCCATCAATGATAATGTGAAGCCTTGTGGAGCTGTTGAGAAATGTTTCTAGCAACTGTTTTGCTAGTTCTTCGGATGAGAGTTTGGTTTCACCTCTACAACACATTTTGTCGTATATATAAGGGAGAAGATCCATATTTTGAGCGAGAAGTTTAGATATCAAAGCTCTGGCTAGTGCAATGAAGGTGTTTCGTTGATCGTCGCGATGCTTGCAATAGAACCATATTGTAGTATTAGACCTAAAAGTTCGACATTGATCAATGATAGTGATGCGAGAACCGATTTGCCTAATATGAAAAATCAATGAAACAGGTTAATACACTGTAAAATCAAATTGATATGAGTTTTTTTTATGAGAGAAGACATACCAGCCCCTGGTATGCCACTTAGCCAAAGCAGAGGATCCTTAGTATCAACTTTTTTGCCATGCTCGAAACAAATCATTTTGAAGAAGCCACTGGCCGGCAGCCTGATTCGTAGATCGGACTTCTGACACATTCTCATGGTCCACCTGAGCGTCTGCGCTATTCAACCAGCACTGGACCGCCCGGTGTGTAGTGCTTTCATCATCCTTTCTTTGTCTGTCTGGCTCTTCGGAAGTTTTTAAGCTATGAGCGATGACTGTCTCGAGCTGTGTGAAAGTGATTCTTCCTTCTACTAGCTGCTTATGCCGCGTCAGACTTTCAATAATGGGACCGAACTTGGTCTTGTAATTCGGCCATGTCTCTCGAAATATCTGTTTCAGCACTAACGCTTGGTTAGGAGATCTGACTCTTGAGGGGCAAGTTGACCTTACAGGGTTTGCGAAAATATCTGAGGGCTTGATGATGAAAATCAAGAATATCATAATAAATAGACACAAGTGCCTGGCAAAAATAGGGACTGCTTTCGAGAAATCCACGACACTTATCAAGCATTGGGAGGCTTTCTCCAATGAGTTGATAAGTATCCAACAGGCTGGTAAAAGCTTCGGAGAATGACCCGACTATCTAGGAAGAGCGTGATCCAAGTTGAGTTGCATTTATCCACAGAGCTTAAATTAGTAAAAAGGCTCAATAAATAGGTGGATACTTACTTTTAAAAGGAATTTCATCGGCCCCTAGTGTCTGTCAGTACTAGTGCTTCCAAAGTTGGTCACTGAATATTATGGACAAAGAAATTCAATATTACCCAAACAAATGCGAGGATATCACTCATATTCAGGAAAACCTCAATAACCTGTCCGTAATTCTCCATGGCAGCGATGAAACACTCCAGTCGACGCATATTCTGCACTCGTCTTTCTGATACGTGTCTGCGCTGGATAGCTAATATTTCGCGCTTCAGATCCTGGAGGATGTCATCTGAAACTCGGCGAGAAGATTGGGATCATCAATCTGGGTCTTGAACGACGCCAAGGTCTGCTGAAAGAGGGAACTATCTTTTGTCGCCATTGCAAAGAGAGATCTGACAAGCTTAGAGCACTTGCATAGAAGTTGAGATCAACACCCCTCCAAATGGACAAGGCCATTTGGAGATTTCTGCAAGAAGCTTAAGTGCTACTACTAGTAGTACTGGCATAATCCATGCCAGTGGTATTTTCATGTCAAACTTGAAGAATCTACTTCACTTTCATCCCAGATATCTTCCAAGTTTGAATACTGCCTCAACTTGTGTCTACCATTCTCAATGTGGCATAATTGCTTCTTCGGAACTCACGTGCTTTCGTGTCCACTGAACCAAATTTCGCGTTTCCACTTCACGAACTTGGTACTTGGTTTTTACCTTGAAGATCCCTCATCTATTTTTATTTTTCATTTTCAACCTATTCTTACTATAGGAAGAATTTCTATACTTACAGTCTCTATGTGAAAATTTCACTTCTTTCCCAATGGGATTAAAGTTCGCCCTTCTGGGCGATCTTCTTCTCGAGTGTAGAAGACAACCGAGTCGTCAACGCTACGTCAGTCAAAAAAGACGAGCCGGATTCCAAGACCATTTCGAAATGGTTTGCCCGAAATAGCTCTCACATCAACAACGCAAACACAGATAAGCTGGCCCTGCTCTCATGCATGTTTCCGGAGAGACGCACAGATCGGGTATTCTGGTTACAAGCCACGTCACTTGCACGCGTTATTGGCCGCTGCTTAGGCTTAGGCTCGTCTCGATTATCCGAGCTAGAGCAATGGAAAAAGCCCGGCGGGCCAGATTTGGGTCAGTGTGTTCAGAATGTGATGTGTCAAGCCGAGAACAATATTCCTGTCGGCCGCGAGGTTCTGGTTGAGGAGATCGATGAAGCTCTGGGGCTGATTGCATCAAGATGTCGCTTCTCTGGCCCGCAGGTTCGTCGGCAACATACCTCAGTGGATGTGGACACTGTGCTTTCACCTCTTTACCGTCGACTAAGTAGCCGTGATGCAAAATGGCTGACTCGAATGATTCTCAAGACCTATCTCCCTGTTAGCCTTCCCGAAAGATCTACTTTGGCGAAAATACACTTTCTCCTGCCACACCTCTTACAGTTTCAGAGTACCTTCGAAGGTGCTCTTCAGATGCTCCAATCTGAACCAATGTGCCATTTCCCACCGCGACCGGATCCAAGATCCGCAGCAAGCTTTTGCACTATTGCACTCGATCATCTACGTCCGAGAACAGGAATCAAGATCGGACGCCCAGAGTACTTCAAAGCGCGAAGCATAAAACACTGTGTTCAGATGGTGGGTGGTCGCCGCATGAGTATCGAGAGGAAATATGATGGCGAATACTGCCAAATTCACATTGATCTCACCAACAAGCAAAACCAAATCCAGATATTCTCCAAAAGCGGGAAAGACTCGACTGCAGATCGGTCTGGGATAATGACGACTTTGGGAGAATCGCTTCAGATTGGCACTCCTGAATGCAAATTTACTCATCGGTGTATCCTCGAGGGAGAATTACTCGTTTACAGTGACAAGCGAGAGGGAATCGCAGACTTCCATAAACTACGCAAGTTTCTCTCACGCTCTGGAGCTTTAATTGGAGTTGACAGTGATTCTCCACCCCAGCCATATGAGCATCTGATGATTGTCTTCTTCGATCTCCTTCTTTTGGACGATGATGTTTGCTTGAGGAAAGCCCATCGTGAGAGGCGACTCATGTTGAAAGACGTTGTTCGTTCGATCACTGGCCGGGCCGCTATTGCTGAACAGGAGGTAATCAGATTTGATGGACCCGATACCTATAAAAGGCTGGAGGTCGCTTTCTCAGGGGCAATAGCTCGACGATGGGAGGGCCTTGTTCTGAAGGCTTGTGATGAACCCTACTTTCCTATCCACTCTACAGGAGTAGACAATTCCTTCGGTCGATGGATTAAGTTGAAGAAAGACTATATCCCTGGACTTGGAGATACCGTCGATCTCACCTTGATTGGAGGCTATTATGATGCGCAAGATGCAGCAGCTTTCTCACCTACAAGGCCAATAAAATGGACGCACTTTTTAGTTGCATGTCTCATGAAGAAGGAAGATGTTCTCAAATCCAGCACTCTTCCTTGTTTCAGAGTAATTGATGTGGTCAACCGACATTGTATGCACAGAAGTTTGATCCAGCATCTCAATCATTTCGGAGAATTCTTCGCTCATGATCCTGATGATATCGATGACTTCACTATTGAATATGGAAATGCGACATTGACCCGGGCATCCAAACTATTCAAGAGGCCATTCGTTGTCGAGATGATGGGTAGCGGGTTTGAGAAACCCTCAGGTGCCAGATACTTTACCCTTCGTTTCCCGCGCGTTCTCAAAATTCATACAGATAGAAGTATCACGGATGCTGCTTCTTTCCGAGAACTGCAAGTTCTATCAGAAGAAGCTCGGGCCGTGCCCACTGAAGATTTGTCACAGGAGAGGGAGTACTGGTGCAAACGTTTAAAGGTTGGCAGCAGGGCTGACCAGTACATCGGACAAAGCGCACACAGTCCATCATCGGATAATTCCAGCTCGAGTACAGAATCAGAGTCGGATGGCACTTCATCTCCTGAGAGCCCAGCAAGTACGGAGACTGATGAAAAATCCTTTAATCCTTCGCTTACAAATATTCGTGGCCATCAAAATTCTTCACAAAAGTCGACCGGTGGGGGAACGTCTTATCATATGAACAGGTCACCCGTGGTGTTTCTCGACGACACTGCCACGGCATCGAATAGCGAGCCTCCAGCTCCAGAGGCCAAAGTATTAACTGACAACGAGAACCTCTCTCAGCGGTCAAGTCATATCCAAAAGAATCTCACTCCACAGCAGGCTGAAGAATGCCATTCAAAGTCGGCAAGCAGCCTCATATCTCTTCACAAAGCCCAGGCCACTATTGAGGATGAGAAACCAAGAAAACTATCTCGCAAGTCTCCATTGACAACAATTCCAGTATACACATCTGGGACCTCAGCGAAAGACCAGGCGGTCGAAAAGCCAGACAATACCGGTCTGATGCAATTCCTAAAGTCTTTGGACACTCCTCAGTCGAAGGCCTCCTTACTAGAGTCCAACCCACACGCTGCCTCTCAGGGTCTATCATTCGGTATCATCCTGATCAACCCAACAGAAACGCCACTGGGTCAAGAGATCAACAGAACATCCAAAGCTATTTCTGATGCAATGGCAAATGGCATCTGTACATCCAAAGGCAGAATATTCTTTTTGGACTCTCTCTTTCTGGAACAAGATTTCTGCCCAGAGGATCCTAAGTTCTGTTTGCGCTCGACCTGGTCTGAGTTGGGCAGAAAATACTACTATGCATGTCTTAAATGGGGTAAATCCGTGTCATTTGACAAGACTAAATCAAGACATCAGGTCACATCTGATCACAAATATGCGAAATGGGCTTCTTCTCTTGCGGTCAGCTTTGATCGAGGTGAAGTATTGGCATTGGGAGAGTATTGATCTCTCTACCGCGTCCATCAGTTCACTTGCGGTACTCGACACACAATGCAAATCAATTATAAAAAATAATGAAAAACCAAGACTCCAAGCGAGAATTCCTGAATCCAGAATATCTTTTATTGACCAGGATAAAACTAAATGCCACGCTTCATGACACCAAGATAAAACGCCATTGACCACCAAGATGCAATCTGAACCACTGGATACTATAATCTGTTTATCCACCACCCTCTCTCCTGGCACGAACATCACTCATTAGTGCTCGAGCCTCTTCCACCTCAAATCCATCCTGACACAATTCTCCCGCTAACTGGTCCGCGCGGTCTAAATCACCATGCCGTAAAGCATATTGTGCCAACCAAAGGCGCGCCCTAGAGGTAGTCGCAGTAGGACCAGTACCATGATGCCACGTCTCACTCGCAAACGAATCATCATTCTGCATACTAATTGATGATGTTCGCGGACGAGGCTTACGACGTCGTCGCCGATGTGAATCTTCAGCATTATCATCAGAATTGCCAGCCTCTGCATCACTATGAGCAGCATATTCAGATGCGGAAGAATATTCTTCATCCGAGTTTTCTTCTTCATTGACCGGAACACCTCCACTTTCTTGTTGAAGTGTTAACTCCATGTACGTGCAGGCGTCGTCCTCCTGACCGAGTCGCTCGTAAAGTGTTGCAATCTGGTGAAGGGTTTCTGAGTCCAGGATCTTCCGAGTACCAGGGCTTGCACCGCCCCCGTGCCCGCCGTCTGCATTGTAAGCACCAGCGGCAAGGGCGCGTTTCAAAGCTTGGATACTCTGCTCGATGCGACCCATCTTCGCATAGCATGAGCCCACCGCTTGCCACATTTTCGGGTCGTATGGCTGTAGAGCTGCTGCTCGCTGGTAGTAGAAGAGTGCGTAAAAGGACATGTCGAGAACCTCGTAAGCCTGTCCCAAACCGTACCACGCACGGTAGTCTTTACGGTTGACATCGACTGCACGGCGATATGATTCAATGGCGGTATGAGTATTCTTCATTTCAATGTATTCATGGCCCATAAGAGTCCAGGCAGACAAGAAGTTGCGATCGAGTGTAAGGGCTCGCCGGAAGTACATGACCGCTTTCTCATGTTCAGACTTCAAGGAGTAGTAATTGCCCACCACGCAACACGTTTCTGGTCGGAATTTGTCCGTCGCGGTTGCGACTTGAGCGACGAATGCCAGTTGGGGTCGTGCACCCATGACATACAGAATATTAGAGTAGTGATCAAGGCTGTCCAAGCGATGGGGGGATGTAGCGAGGATTTCATTAAATATCTCGGCAGCTTTGTCAAAGTCTGAATGAAGTTAGTGCCGCGATCCGGGGAAATGGTTCTGTCTCTTTGCTGACCTTTATCATGGTAGTAGAGCAGAGCCTCTTGAGTTTGGAGAAATGCATTGGTCGGGAATAAGGCTTGCAGCTGATGAAGATCTCTATACGTCTCTGGTGTCGTTTGGTAGAGCTCCTGGCTGCTGTATGTGTGGAAAATTAGGGTCATAACGTTTTCAGGCAAAAGATCAAGAATTTGTTTCAACTGGAAGCAATTGTTAGTTTGGGTGCTCGAGTACTTCGAAATGAGCCGATGTCTTACATCTTCGTTGTTTGCCAATAAATCCCCCAGTTCTTGCCATGCGCCCCAGTGGAAAGGATTTCGATGCACACTTTTGATGAGCCACTTCTTCGCTAGTTCCTCGTTTCGCCCCTTCAGCAAAACAACCGCGTAAAGGTATTCCAACCATCCTTGTCCCTGGTCCTCAAGCCCTTTCTCACTGCGCTCCAGAAACCACCCTTCTAAGCCCCGAGCAAGATCTGGCAGCTCTCGATTCACCGCCATGCCACCATCTGCGGGGCCCAAGACCATTTCCGTCTCTTCATCTTTGCGCTTTTCGCCTGCAATGAACTTGGCATAGAGTGCAAGAAAAAGAGACTTCTGGCTGAGCCTTGGGTATGGATTTTGGCGGGGTTGTCCCTTCGATCCCGGGAACAGTGTCGACTTTTCTTTGCCTTTCAGGGATGTTCGGGGTTGCTTGGATTTAGCATTCGGTGAGGTCACGGAGAGAGGTACTGGAGGTGTGGTAGGAGGGAGGAAAACGTCAGCGCAGCGGTCGTATTCTCGAGTGTCGAAGTAGGATTTAGCGAGGAGGTATTTGTGAGCTTCTTGGGCTTCAAGAGCCTTTTCAATGGGGTCCTGAGGTCCTAAGTATGGGTTGATAGGTGGCATGGAAGGTTCTGTATCCATTGGAGACTCTAGATCGGTATCTTCATCGTCAATCGGTAAAACTGAGTCCAGCATCTCCGCCGCCCTAGATACAAGCCGACTTGTCAGCTTTACTTGCCGCGCGGTTCAGAATAGAGGGTTTTCGCGTGTACCATTTTGACGATTGGTATAAACAGCGCTCTGAACATTTGATTGCCGCCTCTTCAAATCGATATCTCAGTTCTTGGATGACTTCCTTGGTGATCTCCATGGTTGCCATCTCCGGCGGGGCCTTGCAGTAGGCAGGGCACTGTTAGGGTTGTTGTATGTTGTGTGGCTTGATGTCAGACCGAAGATAGAGGTTGAGATTCAGAACCGGTATATTTTCAACCGGTGTTCCGTTTGATCCGTGCGATCGTATTAGATGAGTGCCGCGGCCACAACAATCTCGGGATATTGGCGCGTGCTAAAGCGTGGTGGATCCTCCCAAATCTCGTAAAGGGCAATGATATCTAGAGTATCGTGGATGATGAATGAAACTCAATAATCGTGACTGGAATTTCACCAGACTGCGTCCCACTATGCACAAATGTGACTTGTGACTTGTAATGCGCAGATGATTCAAGTTTCTATGAACTCGGTTCCAAGAGCAACGCGGAGCAGCTGCAGCTATCGACAAGACAAACAGAACAAACAAGTCAGGCGGGGGAAAATCAGTGGAAAATCAATTAATGCTAAAATACAGAGGGAAAGTATCTAAGTCAATTTCTCCCTCCTTTTAGTTTCCCCTTACTTCTTAAAATTCTCTTGTCATAATGGCTTCCACTACTAGCCGTGCCGACTTCGAGGCTGTCTTCCCTAAACTGGCTGAGGATATTCTCGCTCATGCTAAGAAGTACAACCTCCCCGCTAATGCTCTCGAGTGGCTCACAAAGGTAGGACAACCCCTGTATACACCAATTGGACTTTACCTCTTTACCACTTTATTTGAAATTTCCAGCTCATTCTTTTTTCATATAGAACCTGAACGTCAACGTCCCTGGTGGAAAGTTGAACCGTGGTCTCTCTTGCCCCGATACCGGTCTCGCCCTTCTCGAGAAGCCCCTGAGCGCCAAACAATTCGAGGACCTGAGCGTGCTGGGATGGCTCACCGAGCTGCTCCAGGCTTTCTTCCTGGTTAGCGATGATATTATGGATAGCTCAGTTACTCGCCGTGGCCAGCCCTGTTGGTACCGTCAGGAGGGTGTTGGCATGATCGCCATCAACGACGCCTTCCTGTTGGAGTCCGCTATCTACCTCATCCTTAAGGAGCGCTTCCGTTCCCACCCCGCCTATATCGATCTCGTCGAGCTCTTCCACGAGACCACGTGGCAGACCGAGCTGGGTCAGCTTTGCGATCTGATCACCGCTCCCGAAGATAACGTCAACCTCGACAACTTCTCCATGGAGAAGTACATGTTCATCGTTACCTACAAGACTGCCTACTACAGCTTCTACCTCCCTGTTGCCCTCGCCCTGCTCTACCTTGAGTTGGCTTCCCCCGAGAACCTCAAGGAGGTCCACGATATCCTGATCCCTCTGGGTCAGTACTTCCAGATCCAGGATGACTACTTGGACAACTTCGGTGACCCAGCTTTCATTGGCAAGATCGGTACCGATATCCAAGACAACAAGTGCTCTTGGTTGATCAACCAGGCCATCCAGCGTGCCACTCCTGCGCAGCGCGTTGTTCTCGATGAGGCCTACGGCCGCAAGGACGCGGCCCAGGAGGCCAAGGTCAAGGCTGTGTACAACGAGATGGAGCTGGAGAAGCTCTACAAGGAGTACGAGGAGAAGATTGTCAATGAGCTCCGTACCAAGATCGCCGCCGTTGATGAGAGCAAGGGCCTGAAGAAGGCTGTCCTTGATTCCTTCCTGGCCAAGATCTACAAGCGCACCAAATAGATGGAATGTCTTGTGGATAACGTGGATTAGAAATTGATACCTGGACATTGGAGGTAGATCACTTCCCCTTTCTATATGATGCAAATTCGAGCGTTTGAACATGTTGCTATCTATGCTAGTATAGAGTTAAACGATTTAATCAACAAAAAATAATTTTTTTGAACATCCTAGTCACCCATGGATACTAATCACAAAAACTAAGACTTTAAAAACTTTCCACCTGAACTATATACTCTAAAGGATTGATCGACATACATATTGCATATCAGTATGCGGCCTTATAAACGCTTCAAAGAGCAGACTTCGGACCCCACTGTTCCCTTCAGGTTAGCGCAAGGCTAGAGTCAAAACAAGCCACATCACACGAGAATCCTTCCCCCTCGGTGGACGATACTAGATCCACTCTAGTGCCACAATCAGACCCCTAACGCCGCAATAGCCCCATCACGGGTTTCTTTGTTCTCTCCTTCGGCCACATAAACCATGACCCCCCCCCCCCTCCCCCGTCCGGCAAATATTACCATTTCCCGAGTACCTTTATTCTATGTAAGGCCACTAGGGCAAACCCGACTCAAAGACTGAAAGACTGAAATACCGTCGTTTCCTCATGGCGTTCTCGCTAACTGCGAAGCTGTGGGTCGGACTTTTCATCGCCGGGACCGCAATCGCGGACCAAGAGAATAGGTTCCGCTCGGAAAAATACGCACACGCGCTCGAGGGACAGTACGTAACACAGCATTACTCTTCATTTGCGCCTCCAGGGCCAGTATTGAATTACTGGGAGAAGAGTCCAGCATGTGATGATGGGTTATATACGATCATTTCCCCGCGCGGGGGATCAGTTCATCATTCCGGACCGATGATCCTGGATAATGATGGACATATGGTTTGGTTTCGGGATTACAAGTCAGCGTATAATGCGAACGTGCATACATATAAGGGAGAACGATATTTGACATTCTGGGCTGGAGATGATCTTGTTCGAGGACACGGTGAAGGGACATTGTATATGGTGTGTTCCTGTTCCATATGTGTTCCATGGTTCTTATCCAAGTGGAGACTGATGAGAACAGCTCAATTCGAACTATGAAGAAAAATACAAGATCGAAAATGTACAAGGTCGCAGACCGGATTTACACGAATTCCAAATCACTCGTGACGACACTGCCATTTTCACCGTTTACGATGTTCGTGGGGTGGACTTAACCTCCGTTGGCGGAACCACGGGAGGTTTCGTTTATGATAGTGCGTTCTATGAGGTTGATATCGAGACCAACAAACTTCTATTCGAATGGCGAGCCTCACAGCATTTTGATTATTCCGAATCCCTTGTCCACCGCGGTGGGAACGGTGATGCCCATCGGCATCCATGGGACTGGTTTCATATTAACAGTGTTGATAAAGACGAGTACGGAAATTACCTCATCTCCTCAAGATACCTAGGCTGCCTTATCTATATCGACGGGAGCACCAAGGAGACACTATGGAGACTCGGTGGGCCGAAGAATTCATTCACTGATTTATCTGATGGCGGCGCGACGAATATCAGTTGGCAACACCATGCACGATTCCATCCAAGTTACGATTCCAATACAACGAGGGCCGTTTCTCTTTTTGACAATGGATCCCGAGGAAGAGAGGCACCTGAGAATCCTAGTCGAGGATTATTCCTCGATCTCGACTTGGCGAATATGACAGCCTCGATTCGTGAACAGTACTGGAATCCACTGTTGATTAGCACTCAGTCACAAGGCTCGATGCAGATTATGGACAACGGACATGTGTTTGTCGGGTATGGGTATGATGCGGCTTGGACCGAGTTCGGGGCTAATGGGGAAGTATTATGTGATGTGCACTTCGGACCGAGAGATGGGTTCGGTCGGGGAGCGGTGATCTCGTATCGAGCGTACAAACAGGAATGGGTCGGTCGGCCTCTCACATTGCCTGATGTTGCACTCTCCGGAACCACGGCATCTGTTAGCTGGAATGGAGCAACAGAGGTAGTGACATGGGTATTGCAGGGATCATCATCCATCAAGGGAGAAGACCCCAGCCCAATTGTACTGGATACAACAGATTGGGATGCGGATGGAAGACATCGGATTCTTGGGGGATTACTCAATCATGGAGGCGGGAAAACTGTACAATCCAGTCGTCGGGATGTTGATTCAGTTCATCTCCTTCACGATAAGGACTTCCAGATCATCACCGCTGCTCCGAAGTCTGGATTCGAGACTAAGATTCCGATTCCGGCAGAGACCCAGTTCCGAACATTGCGGATTGTCGCTCTGAATAAGGATGGAACTGCTCTTGCTGCGACGAGACCGATGAAATGGGATCCAGTGAGAATGAATGAAGAAGTCGCTGTGTATCGTGGTGACCAGGGCCAGGATGAGGATGGCACATCTTCATCACGGAGTAGACTTGCCATCATGTTCGGTGTGGGATTCATAACGGCTGCGGTGATCTTGTTGTGTGCATGGATTGTATACAAGTACATACCATCTGGATTCTGGTGTATGCTTCTTCAAGTGAACAATCGCCGTGAACAAAAATGGCAGCCAGTGAATACTACCGAAGAGCTGGATGCATTGAATGAGCTGAGTAATCTGGAGTCGGGGGAACCAGAGAGCGAGGACGCTGCATTATTAAAAGGACAAGAAACGGGAGAGAAAGAGCAGGAGTAAATACTCAAGGTTCAAATATCCTGCTCAGGACTTTTGATTGTACATTTTGTGATCTATATACGTGTACTATTTAGGTGTTTGGGACTGCATGTATTCATGCTTGAATTTTTATACAATTTTGATACCAAAAATTGAAGGGAAAATAAGAACTTCAACCTGCCACCTCCGGTCACATCGAAGACATCTGGAGCTTCAAGTTACAGATTGAAGACCAACCCTTGCAAGGCATTACTTCTAATATTACTGATCAATACTGGCATATTATCACAATGCAGAAGCAAAGTACTTCATTCAATCTTCGGCGGTCAGACTAAAAGAGTGAAAGCCTCGTAGTATACTAGTATAGCTCGGAGCCATGGAGCATCGCACTTGATATGCACGATGATGCTTCGTAGACTTAAGCAGAAGCACTAACTTCCAAACGCTTAAATCCACCCTTAGCAGCAATCTCCTCCTGAAGCACAACCATACGCTTCTGATCACCAGTAGGATCAACCGAATCAGCATCCAGAGTCCAAGAAAGGAACTGATTGGTATAGTTCGACTGGAACTCCTCATCCAGGATACCAAGACGCTTTCCGTAACGAGTAACCTTCTCCCAATCACGCTGAACATTCTTCAAATCACGACTGAAATAACCATAGGACCGCTCAAAGATCTTCCGGTTAACAGGAGTTCCCATAACCGGTTTCACATCAATATACTCCTCATATATCTTAGCAGGATCAGCGAGAACATCATCCGTAGCACGCTTAACAGCACGCATAAACTTCGCAACCTTCTCCGGATTCTCCGCAATGAACTTATCATTTGCGATGTAGAGAATAGAACAGAAACAGCAGCAGCCAAGTTCAGCGAGCTGGTCAATGCGAAGCATCTGCACATCTGAACGAGGACGACCCTGTTCAGCTAACCATTCTGCCAACTCGACCATTTGAACATTCTCAAGACCGATTCCAGCGTCGATATCGCCGCGGATGATGGCCTTGGATACGTTCATTCCACATCGAACGGCTGTATAGTCCGATGTGGTCATACCGTAGTATTTGGTTAACTCGTCGATTTGGATCTTGCCGAATTCGCCGACGTAGCCGATGCGTTTACCCTTCAACGAGCGGAAGTCTTCGGTAATACCGCTGGACTTTAGGTACACGACTCCGGTAAAGGGCTCGTCGAGGAGGGAGCCGATGGAGGTAACTGGGAAGTTGCGAGCCTTGGCCTGTAGATGGATTAGAATGGAGTTTCAAGGGGGATCTTGTTGATGTACGTACGGCCAGAGTGTGGATCATAGCTTTGAAACCCATGTCAACCTTGCCACTGCCGATGATCTCGGTCACATCGGATGGGTCGTTGGGTTCCAGGAGGGCAACCTTGAGGCCTTCATCCTTGAAGTAGCCGCGGGCCTGGGCGAGGTAGATGGGGGCGTGGTACGGGGTGGCGTGCCTAAGGAATACTCAGCCTTATCCTTCATAACATAGAGCAGGGCTCAACCTCCAGAGAGGTCATTTCAATGTTAGCATACCAGTTGGTCAGGAAAGTGATCTTGTCAGTGGCCATTTTGACGGTACAAGTTCAACTATTGACATTGATCTAGGTTAGTATTCCGGGATCAAGATCTCCACATGCAATTGACTGGAATCACAGGATAAATCCAAGTGATATCAGACAAGTTGCACGTAGAGACCAGGAGAGAAGGGGGAACAATCAAGTCACGCATGTCCTTTCGCTAGTATTATCTAGATCAAGTTTTGACAGTATAATCTCAGAACGATCAGTCCATTTTACCACCTTGACTTTCATCAAAGTATAGAATAGACTGATCGAACACCTGTCATGCGAAGCTGACTGTTATACTGAGTACAAATGGTACCTTGACCCTAATGACAATGACCATAGCGAAAGCAGTCCAGCGGGATCCGCTGGGAGTACCCGAAACTAGGACGTGCGCAGCTCCATTGTAGAGAGTCGTACCGAAGTAGACTAAATCTGTAGATAAGAATGAATCAATTGAAGATTTGAAACAATGTAGAAAGAGAAAAGTGCGAGAATCAGAGGAAATAAATACCCCGGAGTGGGGTTCTCCGTTCAGAGAATCCAGAATCCAGATTTTGTCTCATCGTGATCACACCATGCATGAAATCCCCTCATTGAGTTCAAATTCAACGGGTACAGTAAATCACGTCGATCATCCTAGCTGTTTAGGAGGAGAGTCCTCCGTCTCCAAGACCAAAGTACCCCAACGTTTCTATGATTGGACTAATGTGTAACTTTATTAAAGAATATCCACATACTTCCGAATCCAACCGGTTGAGCACCGAAACCGCAGAGTTCGAATAGTAAGACTAAAAAATAAGTGTAAGATTGAAGTTCAATTCGATTCACAATGAGTTCAAATTCGAGTAAAAGAACATATGACGGCTTCAAAATGCATGGATATGAAGGGCAAAGATCAAATTACAAGGTGACGTCAAGTGGAGAGATTGTTTCTCTCCACTCTGGAAGGACAAAAATAGTAAAGAAAAGAGAAGAAGGCAACAAAATGAAATGAAAAACACCAATGCAAATCCCAAACTGGTCAAATCAGACATCACAATCTCAGTGGCATAGAATTATCACTCGGCCTCAACCTCAACCTCAGCATCCCCGTTAATCGATATGCTATCGAGAGGAGATTGAGGTCGCTCTCCAGTCTTCCGAGTGCGGAGCGTGAGTGGGTAAAAGTGGTCATCGGGCTCTTCCTCTTCCCTGCAGGTGGGTTAGCGAGCTGGGATTGATTTTCCGAATTCCGAGACCGATCCGGTTATGGGAGGGCAACTTACGGAAGCTTCCAGGCAATATAATCCTCTGTGCTCAATCCCTCGCGACCTTCTTGGAGAGAGGCGAAATCCCCGGGAGTCATCATTCCAGATCGATCGCGGGGAGAGCCAGGGACAGACAGTGGGCGGGAAAGCTTCTGCTCGGTACCTCCAATGATGTCTCCGAAGTAGTCCTCTTTTCCATCGAAAGAGGTTGGGTAGGCTGAGAAATATTAGCTATCACATAACTCCATCACAATATAATGGGGGAACTGCATCTTACCTCGGCGCAAGGCCAGCTGTCGAGCCTTGACGTATTCCAGACCCATTCGCTTCCAATCCAGCAGATCACTCAGGCGCTCTGTGCGGTTACGCTGGTTGATTCGCTGACGTCGGCTCTTTGTGGTAAAGTTATACATGAATTCGGTTAGCTGGTTGACCGAATCGTCGACTCCCTTTGTACGGCGATCCACAATGTAGATACCATAGTCGGAGGAGTTCTCAATGAGCTCTTCCATGTAGCATCCGAATCCAGAAAGATTGGTAGTGATACTGGGAACACCCATTACGGTACACTCAGCTGGGGTATAACCCCACGGTTCATAGTACGATGGGAACACTCCCAGGTGAGTTCCACGAACAAAATCATCGTAGTCAAGGGGCAGTACCGGGTTGGAGGAGTTCAAGAATTCAGGGTGGAACACGATCTTGACACGATCGGAGGAGTTGTTGAACATCTCCACGCGACGGAGCTGGTTCAAGATCGGATCCTCGTGATCGTTGACCATGTTGTGAGTGACAATAGGTGGGAGACCATGACGTTTCATCGCGAACAAGCGACGGCGCAGAAGCACTCGATCTTGACTCGTGATGAGGTCCTTCTCATCAGGCATGTTGTCACCCTCCTTCCATGATAGACAACGTTCGTACATGCGTTTGCCAATACCCTTTTCAATGTTCTCAATTGTATCGCGTAGAGACTTGACAACTGCCTGTCCCTTCAATGACTCGACTGTCAATGACGATGTCTGCGCAGGCATGATGATAAAAGCTACCACAGTCATGGTTGATCCGCTGGCCTTCAGTCGGCCGTTGAGGCGGGCCAATCCCTCGATAAACATGTCAACTCCCTTGTTTCGGTACTCGTACCGACCAGCGGTAAACAGGTAAAGAGTGTTGTCCAAATCAAAATCATTGTGACCGTAGAAGTGCCCTCGAACGAAATCATTGATCTTCTCCTTAGCTTGCGAGTGCAAGTTTTGGAACTCGTGCATAGCAGAGAACTTTTTGACGTTCAGACCGTTGGGCAGTACACCATCGGGCTTTCGTTTCAGGAGATGCTCACTTTCAAACGCGGTGATATGCGAGACTGTAGTAAAGACATCGGCACTGTGGGCAGCAGCACGCTCAATACAGTAACGGTGGTAGATTCCGCGCTTTCCAGCTTCGGCATCCACATCAAAGTACTGCAAGTTGTTGTAGAAGTCCACCGAACCAGCACAGAGATAGCGGCCCAACAAGGTAGCGTGTGTTGTGAAGATGGTAGTGAGATCCATGTGGCGCTTCTTAGTCAATGGCAAGGCCACACCAGCCAGCCACTCATGGAAATGGGCGACCACAGCACGACGGCGCTCATGAGCAATGTACTAGAATAGGAGATATGGGTCAACACTTGGGCCACAAGCCTCCAACTGGTTAAAAGGACATCACTTACCTCGCCCAAGAACCATGCGACCAAGTATCCAAAGACGATTGCCTCATTAGTCTCGTGATCGGCAGCGGGGGACGGGATGCCGGAGTTGTTCCACAGATCGCCCTTCCACTCGTCCAACCAACGGTAACCCGTGCCCGTATTGATGAGAAGCACTCGTGGAGCACCTTCAATCAGCCAGCGACCATAGACAATCTCAATGCCGCGTTCTTTCATGGAGGCGATAGTTTCGCGCATGGCAGGGCTCGCCGGCGTGAGCTCCTCCACCTCGACGGCGGCCGAGGCGCGGTTCAAAGGACCGATCAAAGTGTAGCGTTCACCATACTCGGCCGTTGTGACGGGAGCTTTGGACTTGAGGACCGAATAGATACCACCGACACGGTTTGCCACTTCGGTAGCTACCTCAAAGAGGACATGGTTGCGAACATCGCGCTTAATGGGTTCAGTACCATTCTCGTCAGCCATGATGAAGCTCAAGCTCCCAAGCTCCTTGAAGAGGAAAAAAGAAGAATAAAGAATTAGGAGAAAAGAGAAAGGAAGCTAAAGGGGGGGAGAAGAAGAAAGAGGGGAAAAGTCTTGACAGGAGCTGGGAGGGATTGAGCTCCGGACTCGGTCTGTGCGGGGGGGGGGCGCGGGATCCCAGTTTTCTTGCTTTTTTACCTTCCCCGGAGTTGGCTAGGGAACAGAGATTTAAATTAATTATATTAATATTATAGGTACTTCAAGTACTTCTAAGATTATGACTATTTCGTCTAATGGTTAAACTATTATCGGGTTAATCCTCCTATTGTTACGCGATTAATGCAGGATGGAAACACAGTGTTACTTCAAGTACTTCATTTTAGTACAATGATCCATGTATAGTACTAGAGTCTAATAGTATTCTACTCAACTTAATAGTTCAACGGTTTTTGAATCCCTAGGTAGTTCTTGATTAACCCGAAATCATTCACCGGTCAATTATGTTATATTCTAGAAATTCTTCCATTTCCCTATTCCGTTTTATAGAGTAACAGTAATCATTTTACCCCTGACCCTGAATGTAACACTACTAGTAGTATCATTTAATGAGATCGGGATACAATTCTCGGTCAAGAGTGTTCGGCCCGTAAATGTCGATCAATGTCAATGCAATATGCACTCCAGTCGTTCTTCTTAAATTCATTTGTCAATTTTTTTCTTCTTTTTTTCTCTTCTTTTTTTCCCATGAACGCCACCAAGTTGAAGCCGGTTTATCAAAAGTTGATCTGGGGAAAGCTGGGTCCATGATGTCATATAAGATCCACTTGATCAACACGGACCAACAAGACCCATAACTGACATGATATTGGTCAATGATGATTGGAATATCATTGGAGTATCATTGGAATTATCATCTGGATGTAATATCCATCTTCCTTCATACTAATATCAGGGAAACGGGGACCTGTAAGACCTGAGGTACCGGGGGACTTCCGATACTCCATTTCAGCCCTGAAGAACCTTTCATTTAGAAGAGCAACCTATTCTTAGACCATTTTAATTCCTAGGGGACTGATTCCAGTTCATTCCAGTCTAAGATCTTGTCTAAGATCTCGTATCTCGCGACTTTGAGGATTGCTGTCTCCTTTGTTCTTCATCAAAGAGGACTCCCTAGAAGAACAATATGATTCTTTCATCACTTTACTTGGAAAGATAAAGCTCCGGAGCTGTCATTGAGAAGAGCTTTTTGTATTAGTCACTCGATGTCGACTTTTCTTCTCCATAGAACATAAATTGAAGGCCAAAGCCAAATAGGAGGTGTCTCCAATTATTTTCTCCAAATATTTCTATAGCCGAATCTCGCACATCTCAAAATAATGGAGAACCACCCAGAATCCCATCTCCTATTTCCCTTCAATATTGTCTCTCAAATTTGGCAGCGGATATGGTACGGATTGTTATGTTTCCACCAGCCGGATGAATCTTCGCCTCCCTCCAGTCCGAGACCAGCCAGATTTCCACTAACCCCAACCCCTTGCTCTTCCAGTGATAAGAGTGATAAGACACGGAACTCCTCGCCAAGTTTCCGACGATTCTCTTATACCGAAATCACTTCTCTCCTAGGAGTCGACTTTCTCCGCGGGGCAATCAACAAAGATGGGGTCTCGCAAAATGGAAAGAGGCACTCTCTACATGTATCGAATCCGGATATATATGCCCACACCTCCCGCACAGAATCCCCTCCTGATTCAATCTATGGGAACCTCAGGCTGAGGCGAATGTCTTCTCCGGCACTCCTACGATCCCCGTTTACACTAACTCCATACCCACTCATCACTGCCAGTGTAGGACTGGATCCCGAAGAATTGCTTTCGAGCTCAACTTTGTTTGCAGAAATCACTGGGGAAAATGTGATTGATGGAGAACCCAGCCTCTCGACCACCGAGGAAAATCTTTGGGACTACTTGGAGCGATGTAGATTGAGACCGCTACCATTATTTACCCAGAGCCGTCTATCCCGCCGCAATGGACTAACAAGAGCTCTAGGACTTTTCATGCCATCTGACGCTCCTCCCAGTACTACTGATGAACCTGAGATGGAAAGCTCTACTGATGATACTGAAATACACAGGTCCAACGCTCCTGATCCGATTCCCCCGGCCCAGCAAAGTCGTCGCACCTCCATCTCCACTTCCAGACGACCTTCTGGTATCATTCATGCAGTTGGTTCGATGTTCAAAAGACGATTCTCCCAGGTTGATGATGAAACCGCAACTCCATCCACCCCATCTTCATCCACTCCACCTCCATCCTACTCAGCCAATACCTCTCCGTTAAGTCGCTCAACTGAATGGTGCACTCCAGCCAGCCGATGGGGTAGGGCAATGGGCACTTCATCTAATAGATCACCAAGTTCAGGTTGGTCATTCATGCCGCAATATCCTGGACGTCGATCACCTATCTATGGGAGTGAACTTGATTATCTCGAGATAAGCCTGGCTGCGGGACTTGCTGCACAGGAGCGCAGGAAGACAAAGGAGGGCGAGTAAATTGGATAGATCGATGTTATATAATATTGCACATGCGATAGGCTGATTCCATTCCAAGATTTAGAAGGTTGTCAGAGAAGTAGAATTCTGCGAGCAATTTTCTTTACCTAAAAAATACTATTTTAACTACCGTCCTCCTTATGACGTTTGGAACATATAAGGAGCCACCCGGCATGGCCGCATGGAATCGAATTTGGTGATTCCAAAAAACTTGAATTGATTACCCAAATATCCCCCGAGATCCTATAAGTCACCTAGCTAGTAGTCATTCCTTTCCCCACGCTTCCCCGTGCCAGTGAGTCCTTCTGACGTAGCATCTTATTGTCCGGAGACACGGTCATCAAACCTATCATTATGCGCACCAGCCCGCTCCTCTTCGTCATTGCCACGAATGTTTGTCAAGTATTGTTTAAATTCTTGAGTCATATTGCAGACTTGCTCAAAGTCTTGTTGGTCCAGCACTGGGCCATCGAACTCAGTCTTGTCGGTCTTCCGCGAGAATCTATATTCCGCAAGGGCAACAGCAGTTTGGAAAACTAGAGAAAATATTTCATCAGCATAGGATAGATTTCCTTGTAAGGAAACACTTCTTTACTATTGCGAATTTCCCTTCCATTCCACTCCATCTCGTTGAGTGCGTGTTGAGAAAGTATGTATTTCTTCGCACGCATAGTAACTTCAAAGTCTTGACGTTCATCAGTCAATTTCGCGAAGAAACGGGACCAAATAGTCTTTCAATCGTCAACCCCGAGACTTTCGTATCGAATAACTACATGGATTCTAGAAACAAACGCGTCATCGAAATGACCGACTCGGTTCGTGGTTAGGAATAGAATGCCTTGGTAGTATTCCATACACCGGAGAAAGACTGGAAGGTGAATTGTTATCAGAAGTCAATCCCGAGGTGTATATCCAGCGATCGCTTACCGGATACCAAACTGTTTCTCTTAAGATCAGAAATCTGTCTTCTCTCTAAAAAGACGTCCGCCTCATCTAGCAGCATGACTGCGCCCCATTTCTCTGCCAACCGGAACCATTCGGATAGCCTTTGTTCGATCACAACTTCATCTGTACCAATATCACCACAGGTGAGAGATAAGAGAGCCCTTCCAGTAAACTCTGCTATACACTCTGGTGAGGGTTAGTATGGGCACCATAGTTCATCTGAAATAGAGATAACTTGCCAGCAGTCTGTCACAGGAAGATTAGCTTTCTGGCTTGAAAATAGTAGATATTGACACATACAAAGGTTTTTCCAACGCCAGGACCTCCATGGAGCAAAAAGATCTGACCCTCGCCCTTGTTCTGGATGAAGTCGGCTCCCCAGGATTTTGAGCTTCCTTTCCCGTGATTCACCCTTGAGAACTTTTCCACGAGAGCTTTGATCATGACCTTTCTGTCTTCTGGCATTACCAAGGACTCCATAGCTTTTAAATTCGGCTGCGGGGGAAGTAAGCACTCAATATCAAGTTTCTCTGTTTCTCATTAGCATTGCAACTCTGTCCGGAGAAGGAAACCCTACCCCATTTTTTTGACTTGAGAACAAATCCGTAAACAAACCCCTCGCAGATTAAATATCGATGTCGTGCGCCATGCGGCGATTCTTCATCCACCAGGCTTTCTGTTACATCTGGGTCCAGGAAGTCATACTTACCCCAGGGAAACTGAACAGGGGGATGTGGTCTGCGACCGTGGCATTGCTCGCACGGGCACTTGGCGAGACCTTCTCCGATATCATCGACTTCGCCAACATCAGGTCCATTACCGTGTTGCGAGTAGTACGACGAACTGTCGATATAGACACGGCCAACGAGCTGGTGGCAATTTTTAGCTTTGGATCCCGAAGCGAAGTAGTCATTTAGGATTGAAAATTCATACTGTCCCTTTGGATGGACTCATGATGTGACCATTGTAATACATCTGTGCCCCTCGAAGAAGTCCATACCATTTCTCTCCACTCGCTTCCAGTTTCCGGCGAGTCTCACAATTGTCCTTCTGATCAAGGAAAGTAGAAGGAAAGACTTTCAACGATGTGATACTGCGCTCCCCTTCAAAATGGGAGATGTAGACTTTGAGATTTGCCCTTCTCACGAAGGTCCCGTCAAAGGCGAGATTCCATACGGTGATTGTGTATGGATCATACCGACGACGATCCGGTGCCATGATTGAATCATCTACCTGGACTGATTGGACAACATAAGCAACCTGACGCCCACCAGACTCGACATAAACAGTATCCCCTGGCTTGAAAAGTAGCCAAAGCATCCGAAAGGTGCATAGAGACTGAGCATGTCGCTTCTCCTCCTCTTCTATCTTATGTTTGAAGACATGCTCTTTCACAAAGTCGATAAGTATGCCAAGATGTTCAACCGTGTCTTTGTTGCAGGTTGGAGTTGACGGCACGTCATCTTCGACGGTGGTGGAATTAGGGGCTTTGGTTGCATCCGTCTCATGGACCTCTGCGCAGAAGGATTCGAGATCTTTCAGGCAATGCGCAATTAATGTGTATGGCGAGCTCAACTCGATATGTTCGGCATCAAGCGATGCCGATGGATAGTAATGAACCAAGCGGCGTATGGCTCCAATGGCTGCCTTGGAGAAGAGAGTGATCTTGGTAGAAACAATACTGACTGCGATATGGCGGTTGTTCAAGATCCCAGCATCCAGTATATTCCTTACTTCCCTTGACGATCGATAAGTTTCGCTTTTAATTGATGTACCCAAAACTGTGAGGATCTCCAAAACACTGTTTGAACTACCCGGATTGGGGATCCGTTTCTTGCCCCCTGGAGATCAAATGGCGTAGGCCATGTGTCGGTGGTGATGGTGTTACCTCCTGAGTCCCGGAACTCAACTGCATGTTCCAGTGTCCTCCTCCTCCTCGTCTTCCTCGCTGAATTCTGATTCGGAGACAGTTAATGATGTATCCGAGTCCGCCGACAATACTTTGACTGTCAGATCCTGGTGACATTTCAAACAACGATCTATTCCAAAATCTAAAAGCGTCGAGTGCAGCCTTCCATTTTTCGGACAAAAAAGACTCGCAGGTTGTTCCAGAAACAAGTCCGGTTCCTTTTTGTCGTTTCCTTCAGCACTTCCTTTACCTTCCTTGAGATTCTCTGTCATGGTTTCAAGAGTAGGGTTATCAAGAGATAAAGAAGCCTCAGGCTCATCTTTCTCCACAGATTTGCCCGTGACTTCCTCTTCCGACTGGAAATTGGAGATCAAAGAAATGTCCATTTCTGGGTTGGGCAAAGCTGTGAGTGACAGAGAGTTGGTCACAGCATTCACAGCAGCTGCTGCGCCTTTGATGTTGTCAAATGACATCTTCTTGGAGATCAGCAAATGTGCGGGGCTGTAAAAGCAAATTCATAGATACCCCCAGAAACCAACAGCCAAGGGGACACTCAAGAACCTTTTATTCCGAGCTCACAGCGTCTAGGCTTGGCGTTTTGCTGCATTTCAGCTCTCCCCCACACTTGAGTCATATTCTATCCACGTATTATTATCTTACCAGCAGGTCGGAGCATGTTCGGGCTTTGGCGTCCACTAATCAGATTCACGCTATTACGCGCTAGCATAGCTGGCTGACATGGTGGTGTTATTGTCAGCTTTTCCCACGCCTGACTAATGTTTGCTTCACGTCCTATCACACTAGTCACAAACCAACAAGGGGATATGCAGTTTCCCGGTTTGACTAGGAACATGTTCGGGCTTTGGTTTCCAGTCAGCCTGGTAGCTAGCTCCACGCTGTTATGCATTAAAATGCACCTTGACCCATAATTGACGTGGCGTTGTGCCGGGTGGTCCTGTGACGATGTTAGATGACGAGCCCATGTCTCTGAAAGCCATTGTAAACCTCCTATAGACCATTTTCTCCATCTTTTTGTTTTTCCCCCTCTGCAACCGTCGGGAAACATGGCTCCCAAAGGCAAAGGGACAATATTTTCATTGCTGACACGTCAATACAGTTGGAAGAAAGATCAAGAAGGTCCACACGACACGATCCATGAATCCCTCAGTCTCAGTATTCAACAATCAGACGAACGGGACAAAAGGATTGACGAGGAGATCTCCAACTGGAATTGCTGGCTCAGATCTAACGAAACTGCCAGGTAGGTTTCCCATAGCCACGCTTCATACAGTGTTAAACAAGTAGGTGTAGTGATGATGTTACACTCCGTCTCGAGCGCCAGAGGGGAGTGTTGATACATATATGGCAGGAATTCCAGAGTCACTCCAGAGTCAAAGACGCAAGCGCTCCACAATATTCAAATACTATACCAACGATTGAGGACTTGCAGGCAGCTGTCAGCGAGGCACAGAAGGAATGGAACCAAAAGCATGAAAAGGGGCTCGGTAAAGCCAAAATTCGTCTGTTCGATTTCCTAAGTCTCCATGAATGACCATTCATATTTCTTCGAATTTGTACCTACCAGTGATAAGTATGTCAGCCTTATCACAGGCGTCTTATCCTCAGTTGTTAAGGTGAGGGATAATGAATTCACTTTGCAAACTCTATCACTGACAAAATCTTAAAGGCTTCAGTGAACTATCAAGAAATTGGAGGTAACCTTTCCACGGGCCTGGGAACAATACACACATATTTGAGGTCTGCCAGACAAAAGCTTCAGCTATGGCCAAGCGCTGTATATATGAAGTCCTTTGACTGTTGATCTTTATGTTCAGATCTTTGACTTTCTCTGCCATGCTATGTCATGGTTGACTCTGACTGGAAACGGTTGAAAACTTCATTTGACAAGAACTATTACAAAAAGAAGATACAGCCCACGGTAGAGAAGATTCAAGAAATCGTGGAGAGCATTCAGCATGAATCCGTACATCATACAGAGGCCGCAACACTGGACAGCAATCTCAGGCTTCAAATTATGGAGCAGAGCATTGGAAAGGTTCATGATAAGCTGGATACGCTCGAACGGATGGGGGACAGATTCCGCAAATACAGCTCCGAAGAGTTGCAAGAAATTGCCAGAATTCTAGCTGGAAGATTGCTCAACGATGCCGAACTTCAAGTCCAGTATCGGCGCAGTGGTGGGTTCCCCATCACTATATATGGTTTAACATATGAAGGCTAATGGTGAAAAGCTGCAGGAGAAGTAGTTCAAGAACTACTAGTACGCAAGTCATCAGCTGCGCATCATAAAAAGGAAAAGCGAGATAGGCTGGACCAGACATCTTCACAGAATGGTATACGTTCTTCCGTCTCCCCAGCGTTTTGTATTCACGCTAATGAGTTCACTTTATAGAATGTATCAAGCTATGTTCGCGAAAGGATATTCAATCATTCATCGAACCGCTTATCCCATACATGGAAGATGGCCGTGAAGAGATTTCCAGAAGACTAGGAGGACTAACTGGCCAATCCTTACCCGGCGAGGTATTGGTATCGATGCAAAAATGGCTTCAAGTCCCCTCTTCTAGAATGATTTGGATTGAAGGTTCTTCTCCGGATTTCTATGCAAGCAATCTCTCCTTAGCTGCGCTGCGACTCTGCGCTATTTGCAACAGCAGCGAAGTGCCCTCAATATTCGTCTTTTGCAAAAACAGGTACAAATTCCAGAAATCCAGGTCAGCCTCTGCCCAAAAAGAAGCCTCGCTAGTGGTCCTACTGTACTCGATCATCTCGCAATTAGCATGCTTGATTCCACCCGAGTTCGAAGCCGTAAAAAAGCTCGATGGATGGCATTTTAACCAACTAGATGGAACAATCGACTCTGCAAAACTTGCGTTAGACATCATTGAAGCTTTGGTATCTCTTCAACTGCCATCCTTGATTTGGATAATCGATGGACTCCAGCTCGCGGAAGACCGGAACAGCCGTTCATATTTAACACGCTTGGTGACTATTCTGCGTAGTCACCAGGACGGTAATGTATGCTTCACAACCAATGGCAGCAGTCGGGCTTTAATACAGACCATCAGGAAATCCGAGCGGGTAGATGCTTCACCCATGCTTCAGGGGAGAGGGGGACGGGTTTTGAAGGGTGGACTTCAAATTGAGGGATTGACAGGTCGTTTTCGATAAATTAATTTATTATAAAGGCTTTGATTTCCGGTTAATCCCATCCTACGCTTGGTCCTGAAGAAGTACTTGTATAATTCAGTTAGCCCAGCATGTGGTATGTATTTGGATAGGATATACTTTGAATGTTTCAAATACCTCATCGTGGGATAGGTCACAGTGTTTGGTCAGCGACAGCGTAGCTTCTAGGAGCAATTCAAATGTTGTGATGGATTGATGACCAGTGATTGCGTATTTCGAATTTGGGCCGGAGAGATTGAGATGGCTATAATTTTCAAGTTCGAGCAGTGCTCAGGCTGGCGATAAGGGGACCAAAGCTTTCCAAGGTTAAGTTCAAATGTTGGAAGAAATTAAAGTTAACCCTCCAAGGTTGGAACACTTGAAAGCAACCTCAGGCTTGAATTTCATACTATTAACGTTTTGTATAATTGTCGAGGATGGGTGAGTGTCTCTACGTTCGTTTTCCACTTCATGTAAGTAGGGATGCAAAGCCTAATATGATTGGTCCATAATCAGAAAATGACTTCACCTTCCGCATCACCTCACTTCATCGCCCCTATGGCACAGACCTCACATCAGCCAACACCTCGTGTAGATCTTTCTATACAGGCATGCGATATATGCAGGAAGCGGAAAGTTAAATGTCTTCTCGCAAGCCCCCAGACCGGTTCTACCGCAGCGCGATGCAAACGATGTGAGAGACTCAATCTGTCTTGTACATTTTTGTCACCCTCAAAAACAAGGGGACCCAAGAAACGGTAAGTGTGTTCTGTAAATAATTAACGATTGCATTTGATAATTTTCTGAAATAGGGCAGAAATTAGCAATGAGGCAACGAATGAATCCATTCCCGGTACAACCTACTGGACAGACGATATTTGCGACCGTGGTTTGTTTCGCGAGATTATGAATGATTATTTGGATTATGTGTACCCGATGGTACCCGTAGTACACCGTCCATCATTCAAGAAAGCCCTATGCGAGGAGCAGGATGAGGGATTCTCTGCCTTGACCGTCTCGATCGCCTCGCTAGTCGTTGCGACAATGGCGGGCAGGTTCCAGACGTACAGGAACCACAATACACCCCTGAGGTTCTCGTCTCGGAAAGAGATGGTGCATTTCTGTTATCGGAAGGTGATATCTCTGAGGAATTGTTCTTATTTTGAACATCTCAATTTTCAGAAATTTGCAATCTCGTATCTGTTCTACGCTGCGTTCCTGCAACTTGGGGACCATAATTGGTCGCGGATGTTGAGTGTTGAGGCTTTTCAGTTGGCGAGGCTGTTGAATTTACATCGAATATCTGAGTACAGAGGTCTGAATTGCATTGAGACGCAGCTTCGAAAGAAAGGTTTTTGGTTGGTGTTCTATTCTTATGTGTGAGTGGACCTGTTGGATTTGTTCCGTTTCTTTTCATCGTGATGTTCTAACGAGGCGGCAATGCTAGTCATGCGAATCTGCAAAGTCTTTTTGGGGAACGTCTATGTTACCTTGACTCAGTCATTTTGCATTCGATTAACCCAGAGGACCTCATGCCACTGGACGTACCGGATGAATCAATCTTTGAGAATGAGGTCCTCGTACCGCCAAATTCAACAATGTGCTTGGAAAGAGGCTTCAGTACTCATTCACGAGTATTCTGGACTGCAATACGACCTCTGTGCCCTATATCTCAAGCTGAAGAGCCATGCCCGTGTACTCTTGCTCATAATCCTCTGATCCGGATCTCATATTTCAAGGAGCGCCTGGAAAGCCTGAAACATCTCCTTGATGAAATTCCTGATGTTCTCAGACCGTGGGAGCTAGAGAACAGCCTCGATAAAGATTTGGAAGTCCAAAATCCGAACTTGCTCCATACGCAATTTGCTGCCATGCGCGTGAATCTCCATGTGACCCACTTGTGGCTTCAAAGTCTTATCATGGATCAACTGGAGGCTGCGCAGACTCACCATCAGGGCCAGGGCTGGTCAGCAGAAGCATTTGATCAACGAGAAATGTGGAAAGATAGAGAAGAGATCTGTCGTCGATTATTCTTTATCGTATATAATGTCCCACAAATCAGCCTGGAGGCTAATGGATTACACCTGGCTACCAAGGTGCGCGATATCTCGACTAGCCTACTGGCTTGTCCCTTCAGTTCCGATGATCCTATATCTAAACGGGTGAGAGAATATGTCGGCCAATCTACGGAGATCTTGTCGCGATTGGATCAAAGTGAAAGTCTCAATACTATGTACCTCCAAACATGGGTGGATACCGATCGTATCGGGAATGCCAACGGTTAATATCTAATCGGAAATTCATTTATATTCATATCTAGATGGAAGGGAATGTTACAGAAATCGAACTATACCTCTTTACCAGCCACCAGACCAGTATTCAGTTTCGCTCACATCCACAGATCCTTCCAAGAATTCCCCACGGCTACTGGTTCCCACCATGATCTTGTAGGTTCCCTCATAGCTGCACCAACTGTCACTCTTCTCATCCCAGAAACTTGTCGCACGAACAATATCAAGCGGGATGCTGATCTCTTGTTCGCTGCCAGCTTCAAGTATAACTTTCCGGAACTCCTTGAGCTCTTTCGTCGGCCGTCTGATTGGAGGCGAAACAGCCACCACATAGACTTGCACCACCTCGGCACCTCTCCTTGATCCAGTGTTTCGAACCTTGCAGTTGACCTGCAGCATATTTTCAGATTCTCGGTTCAATACCAGATCGGATAATGTGAAGCTTGTGTATGAAAGGCCGTGTCCGAATGGGAACAAAGGTTCAATATCCAGTCCATCGTAGTAGCGGTATCCTACATACACGTCCTCTCCATAGAGAACTCGGCCACCTTCACAACGGAAGTTGAAGAAGGTTGGGTTATCCTTCACCTTGCGTGGGAATGTGAGAGGAAGCTTGGCAGACTAAGAAATCATCAGTACCTGCGCCCACCAGATCAGACGAAAGGGGATATAAACTTACAGGATTCACATCTCCGAAGACCACATCGGCAAGACCATTGCCTGTCTCATTGCCGCCATACCAAGCATGCAAAACAGCCTTAGCATCATTGATCCAAGGCATCTCCACAGGGGTGCCACTTTGCATCACAATAACCGTATTGGGGTTCACTTTCAAGACCCTCTCAATAAGCTCATCTGTATAAGGAGGCAAGCTCATATTAGCCCGATCCTCTCCCTCGGACTCCCACTCCCCACTCAACCCGGCGACCAGGATAACTTGATCCATGCTTGCAGCCACTCGAACCGCCTCCTCAATGCCAGCCTGAGGTGAAAGCTGTTTGCAGGCGCCGATGCGGAATCCTCCATGGCCGAAATCAACCACACCAGGAACTCGGAATGTGCTCGTCTTCCCGCAAGCCCACTGAGTCAGGATTTGGTATCTCTGTCCAGCTTTCAGTTCGAGAGAGGCAATCTCCTCCAGTGTGCCACTCCCAAAGAAGCTCGAGCCAGCCCTTTGCTTATCTGTGTTGTTGATAACAAGCTTTCCATCTACGAATAGCTTGCCCGTACCGTGAACTGTGAGACCGAAATCATATACGCCCGACTCTTCAGGGACGAAGTATCCCTCTGCATCTGCATACCAGATGGGCTGTAGATCAGGGTGGTCATAATCCATGAAAATGATCATCGAGTCGGTCTCGTGGCGCTCCTCAAGTGGCTTCCTTGTCGATGTACTCGGTGGTTCATTGAAAATACTCAACTTGAATCCGGTCTTGCCATCCTCAGTGCACATCCGCTTACCCAGAAGTGGTAGCATCTGATGCGCATACACGCCCTGGGAGAATTCCACTCCCGCCGCGGCGGAGTTGGAAATTCCTTCAAAGGGTGTCACAGTGTAGTAAGGATTCAACGCAGCGCTGCCGCCCCCGCAGTAAGCCGCGATTTTGGCATTAGGACCGATCACAGCGACTTTCCTATTCTTATCGAGTGGAAGAATATTTTCTTCGTTCTTGAGCAAGACGATAGCCTCGGAGGCAATTTTTCTTAAAAGTCCTCTGTCTTGTGCGCGGTTCAACTGTGTCTCTGGGGCTCGTTGAGGTATACCGGATTTGCTTGCTTTTTGGACCAGTTTGAGGACCGCGCGTACTCGGTCGTTCAATGTATTCTGTGAGATCTTGTTCGACGTGATAGCGTGGGCTAGCGCTCCGCCACGCCATCTGGGTGGACCGGGCATCTCGAGATCGAGACCTGCCTTGATCGCTTCAGAGGTACTGTAAGTTCCAAACCTATACAAATAGAAACCTTGTTAATAAACGGAGCTTTCTTGACTAGCTCGAAAATGCGTTGGAACATACCAGTCACTCATCACTAGACCATCCCAACCCCACTCTCCGCGCAAAATACTCTGAAGGAGCTCTGGGTTTTCAGCCGCATGTAACCCATTCACCTTGTTGTATGCTGTCATTACAGCATCTGGCTTTCCAAGTGCTATCGCGATCATGAAAGGGAGAAGATAAATTTCCCTAAGTGCCCGATCAGTCACAATAGAGTTGACAGCCATGCGCTCATGCTCCTGGTCATTACAAACGAAATGTTTAAGAGTTGCGCTAACATTTCGTTCCTTCAATCCTTTGCAATAGTGACCAGCGAGAATACCCGACAGATATGGATCTTCAGAATAGGATTCGAAGCCTCGTCCACCTAATGGACCCCTTGCAATATTGATTGTTGGACCCAAAATAACATGCGCACCCTTGGCCTTTGCCTCGGCGGCTAGTAGATGGCCGACTTCCAGCGCAAGATCGCGGTCGAAGGTCGCTCCAATTGCTGTTCCACAGGGCAGACAAGCAGCTGGAACACTGCTGAAGAAATGTGTTCCTCGGACGCCATTGGGTCCATCGGAGAGTCGAATCGATGGGATATTGAGTCGTGGGATAGGAACTGTATGCCAAAAGTCCTCACCTGTTATGAGTTAGTATCCTGATTTTTCTTTTGAGTTAATTGAACTGTAGAGAATCATACCACTGAGCAGAGAAATCTTTTCTTCTTGTGTCAATTGCTTGATAAGCTTCTCAATGTCGGCATTTGCGATCTGCGCAAACGCAGGATCAACCTGAACAGGTGCAACATCTTCCATAGTCATCATTGCTTCTATCACACGAAGAGTACTAAGAGTGAAAGAGTCAAGAAACATGGAAAATTACCCGGGGGCTTTTCCTCAAGTTATGATCCACCCCGTGGAGCCTGATAAATTTGTAATCGACCAAGTATTTTCGCGCATCCATTATCGCGTCCGATCTTCGCGTGATCCAGGTTTTATTTTGCTCCGAAATCGTAACGTGGAGGCGGAGACGTGGACCGCGTGGTATGTTCATCCCATACTAAAGAAGTCTAGAGTCTAGGGAACGGGTCCAGTGGAATCATCTCCACCTCGTTGAACGAATCAATTCCACGGAAACAGCAGATTTTGTCCCGACTCCGTTTCTCCGTTTTTTCGTTTCTCCGTTTCTCCGTCTCAGTCAATGTCGGTAACAATCTTGAATTATTGTCCGACCCCGGCATCCCCCATAATCCCCACACAATCATCCCACAAGCTAGTCATTGACTTGCAGACTGGGGTTATGGAGAAATCCACGATAACCATGTGACGAAGTATCGGAAGAAACCATGGATTTCATTGGTCCAATTCATTTTTGTCGACTCATTCAATCCGAGATTCTACTTGAAATCCCGTGAACTCGCGACTAAATTAACGTTTAGGGGAAAAGCCTGCCCGGAAAGAAGAAAATTGGACAAGAAAAGGAATTATATCGGCAACTAGAACGTATATCGGGAAATGCGTCTGTTTCTTGATTCTGGCACATAAATCCTTGCTGACCCCTGCTCGGTCTTCAGATGTGAATTTTTTTTTATCTGTCCTTATTTCATACAAATCGCTCATCATGGGTTTCAGTGAGCGCGAGGCTACTACTAGCAGGACATCTACTTCAGAGGTTGATCCTCTTGCAGCAGTTCTTCCTGAGAATGCGCTACCATGGTATAAACAGCGTCATCTTCTGCATCTCAACTTCATCATCGTTTCTCTGGTGATGTACTCATCTGCCAATGGATATGATGGATCTTTGATGAATGGTCTGGAAGATCTTGATCAATGGAAAGCCTTCATGAATGACCCTGCGGGAGCATGGCTGGGATGGATCAATGCCATCTACTGGCTTGGCTGTGGTGTTGGTTATCCAAGTGCTTCCTGGATCGCCAACAAATACGGCCGCAAGCCTGGCGTCTTCGTTGGCTATTGTTTCTTAGCTCTTGGTACTTCTCTCCAATCAGCCGCTCCCAATCCCACTGCGTTCATGCTCTCCAGGTTGTTTCTGGGAGGTGCTTCCGCTTTATTCGGTAACTCAGTCCCACTTCTCATCAACGAGATCGCCTACCCAACTCATCGTGGAATCCTGAACTCTCTTTTCATGTCGGGATGGTACGTTGGTGGAACTATCGCTGCCTTTGTTGTCTTCGCCTCCCGAACATATGGTTCTTCTTGGGCCTGGCGACTACCTGCTCTCCTTCAACTTCTTGCACCACTTTCCGCCCTCCCAGGTTTCCTTCTTGCACCAGAGAGTCCTCGATGGTTGGTCTCAGTGGGACGGGAGGATGAGGCCCACGCTATCCTCATCCGATACCATGCCGCTGGGGACGCTCATTCCCCGTTGGTCAACTATGAATTCCAGGAGATCATCTCTACAATTCGTGCCGAGAGAGAAGCAGCCAACAACGGTAGCTATCTTGAGATGATCCAGACCCCTGGTAACCGCCGTCGCTTGATGATATCTATCACCCTTGGTCTATTTGCTCAATGGGCTGGAAACGGAGTTATCTCATACTATCTATCTTTGATCCTCGACTCCGTCGGTGTGACAAAGGTCAAAGATCAAACACTCATTTCAGCCTGTCTTCAAGTTTGGTGTCTGATTTTCGCCTGTATCGGTGCCTTCCTCATCGATCGGTTCGGCCGTCGACCACTATTCATGTCTTCCGCTTGTGTTATGTTCGTCAGCTACGTGCTTGTCACAGCTCTTTCAGGCACATACGAAAAAACTGGTAGCGCGGCGACCGGTGGAGCCGTTATTCCATTTTTATTTATCTTCTTCTCCGGATATTGTGTCGCATTGTAAGTTCCCAATCACTTCCCTGGCATTAAAACACCTACTAATTAATCATCTTCTACAGAACCCCTTTCATGACCTCATACCCTTGCGAAATCTGGCCCTTCCGTCTCCGATCCCGTGGTTTGACAGTAACATGGTTAGCTACTATTGTGGGAATGTTCTTCAACACATTCGTGAATCCCATCGCGATGGACGCTATCGGATGGAAATATTACTTGGTGTTCGTGGTTGTCTTGGTGGTGTTCGGTTTAACAGCGTTCTTCTTTTACCCCGAAACCAAGGGCCATTCTCTCGAACAAATTGCAGTCATTTTCGATGGCGAGGATGCTCTGGTGAGTACCCCAACTCAAGTTGTGAAGCAGCTCAAAGAGGGCTCAGCGGCTGTCCATGAAGAGGCTGTATGATAGATATTCTTAGATCGTCAATTATATACGACTAATACATATGACCGTTCAATCATCCCTTCCAAGGTTTCATCATCTTTTTTTTCTCGAAACACTCCGCCTTTGCTAGGTATAATTTCTGAATTGGTGCCTTATTTCACGGGCGGCAACGTCCGATCGGCGGCGTTGGGAAACCCATAATCAACGGCTAAAACAACCGAGTCAACCTTGGAAACCTTGGAAAGGAAACATTTGCCGTATCACAAATTTCTTGGAAATGAATCACATATCATGTTGGCAGGTTACAATTCCAAGATCCTCACAGAATGGTGTGTAATAAAAGGATGATGTTCCATGAATGGCCTGGGCCTGTTTGGGCGCCTCCCGGTGTAGATACCCACCGGGCACCCTCACTTCCCTCTATCCATGCTGCATACAAGTCTCACCATCAGTATCCCTCACCAGCTACAAAGATTATGACATCTTTTCTCCACTAGTCCAAGACCCTTATGGATCGATATTTCAGATCAACTAAAGATCAATGGGAATTCGACGATGAAGTCATGTCCCCACAATGACTTCATGATGCTGTCACGGCATATCTATCAACTCCATAACCAGGTATATAACACTTGCTCTGGAGATGATAGAACATTTATTCTTCACCAATTCAATTTATCACTCATCTGAGTACGAAAGTGAGCATCCAGCTACTCAATCGGTCCAAAGGAATCCAAGTGTCATATCAAAATAACAATTGCTCTATAGTTCAAATAACTTTCTTCAATCCTCCATACTTCACATCTCACATTCACAATGGTTCGCGGTGCCGACTACGATAACGGAGTTCCCCAGAGTGACAATCCCATCGAGCCTGGCGTCACTAAGGTCCACGGCGTTGGCAACGATGTAAGTCCAGTTCATCCTGAGCTAAATTCCATAGCGGCTCATAATAACGAAATGTCTAGAATGCCCCTCTAAGCCACACCCAGAAGATCGCTCCCATGCCTGAGGTGACTGGTTCCCAACGCGATGTCTTCGGTGGCCTCGCTCATGCCGGCCCCAACCACTCTGGTAGTGGAAAGGGTGGCCACGAGCCCAAGAGCATGGGTGAGAAGAAGGGTTTCGGTGCCCAGCCTGGTATTTAATCAGGTCAACTGGCTGGTTCCACGATCTTATTATATTTCATAAAATCCAATCCCTTGATGGGATAACGTGAAGTACCTTGACGGCTCAAGGTAGTACGAGTTACGCATCACGTTTCTTATACTCGATGGATTCTGGATATTCTCGGGTGTTAGTTTGCACAACATTACAGAATAATGTAAAAGTACAACTTGAACTCAATTTTCCCTCTGTGTAGTGTAGATCATCCCGTATTCCCTAGTCTCATAATTCCAATGTCATAAAACAGTTCGGACCCCTTGCCACATATCCCCCGTATGGACCACAGTATTCAAAACCCGATTTTAGATAGAGGGTCCTAGCCTGAGCAAACGCTTCATGAACCCCCGTCTCCAGGTACAATGCCTTATATCCCTTTTCTCTCGCTTGAATGATAAGATGGTGCAGTAGAGTACGTGCAACTCCCTTCCGAAGATGCTCTGGTGCCGTTCTCATAGATTTGATTTCTCCCGTTGTTGGTGATAACTCCTTAAGGGCAGCGCAACCCAGTAGTTGGTCATTATCTCTCGCGGAGTAAACTGTAATTTCTGGTTTTTGGAGACAGGTGATATCGAGGACGTAACAAGATTCCGAGGGGCTCTTATGTTGGAGGTCTGCCACGTGGAAGGCAAGGAGGGAACGGATATCTGAGGTGGAGAGGTCGTCAATTTGGATCAGCATTTTTTTCAAGTGATATAGTATATGAAGTTCCTGATAAGAATCAAATGGCACTAATTATGAATTTGACTTCAGTTGTGCGTTGAGATTATGAATGAGTCATAGCGCGATTTTCTTATCTACAATGCCACTATCACTAACACTGAAAGGAGCATTAGACTATCTTCAGATTGGACCTCATTATTATCAGTATCAATCGGAATTTCGGGTCTTGCTTTTTAATCTCTGATTAGATGATAGATCAGATAAAAGAAGACACCGCATTGAAAGAGACCTCGGCAGTCGACCCCTGGTGATTAATATACCCAAAGGCCTAGGCAGAACTAGGACATGGAGGATAGTCCACAAATTATTGCTTAGCTGCCATGCTTGACTTGAAGTTGCATGTGAAAGGCTGCAGGAATTCCAAAGGTTGAAATGAGGAACTTTTCAGATTGAATTTATGCTAAACCCTAGTTATAACGGATCTGGTTACAACGGATTTCTACGTTATAACGGATTTTCCGGCTGTCCAAAAGGTTCCACCATAATAATAGCGGAATTGTCATCATATAGCGGAATCCGTTAATTTTTTCACCTCTCCAATATTAAATCCGCAATAACCAACCTCATATTTTGCCACTTCACGTGATCTAAACCCCCTTTTATCCTATCGATTATTCTACCAAAATGGCCCGCCAGTCAATTCCAATCAGTCAGAAGCAAGCTCTTCGGCAGCAACGCGCAATTCACCCAAATTGGTCTAATTTAGACCTCCAAAAGTGATTTTCTACCACATTTGGGCGTGATCTTTCCACTTCTAGCACCTCCGATATCCTTTCATCCCGTTATTCACACCTTGACGAAGATAATATCAACATACATACAATCCAAGCAAAACGGCAACGTACAGCATACTTGCCTGAGCTTGAAAACGCGCTTTTACAGTGGATATCCCACGCAGAAGGTCAAATCCCTATAACCCAAGAGGTTATTCGACAAAAAGCGCGTTTTTTTCTGGAACAAACTCCCGATGTGCGATAATAAAAAATTACCAGCATTCAGTAATGGCTGGCTTACAGGCTTCCAAAATAGACATGGAATCCATGGTCACAAGATGTATGGGGAGTTAGGCAGTGTACCCAAAGATGCTGCAGAACAAATGAGGCCAATCATACAAGCTATTGCTAAATATGATCCTTGTGATATCTTCAACTGTGACGAAACGGCACTCTATTGGAAACGAGTTCCAGATAGAAGTCTAGCTTCAAAGCCTCTACCTGGGAAAAAGCAGAATAAACAGAGGATTACAGCCCACTTTTGTTGTAACGCTGACGGTTCTGAGAAAATCCAATCATGGTTTATCGGTACTGCAAAGAAACCTCGGGCGTTTTCTGCTGCGAAAATTAAGGTTGTTAACCTTGGTCTTCATTGGCGATCAAATAAAACAGCATGGATGACGGGTCCTATCTTTACTGAATGGATTCGTTGGTTTGATAATCTTATGTATAACCGAAAGGTTGTACTTCTACTTGATAATTGCTCTGCGCATGAATCTGCAATAGAAGAGATTAATCAAGGTCCATCCCCATTACAAAATACCTTGGTTCTTTGGCTACCAGCAAATACAACAAGCATAAATCAACCTCTTGATCAAGGCATTATCCGTACATGGAAAGCATATTGGAAGCGGCAATGGGTTTGCTTCTTATTAAAGGAGTTTGATGCTGGCCGAGATTCAATGGTATCGATGAATGTGCTTTTGGCAGTTGAATGGGCAATTCAAGCATGGCAATTTGACCTTACCCCCCCCAGACCATTCAAAACTGCTTTAGAAAGGCTGGAATTAGGGGTGGTATCAATGATATAGATAGGGATAATGAATCTACTATTAGCCCTATTATCACTGATATCACAACTTATATTTTATGCCTACATCAAGCTTCTTATATCAAAAGTCCTATGGATATTGAGCAATTTCTAGACCCATCTGATGAAGTCTATGAAGACCGTCTTGAAGACTTAGATGATATGATTATTGGCCAATTTTTGCCAGAGGAAGCAGATGATGATCTGGATCAAATCTTAGAGGAAAAAGAGGAGATCAAGGTTCATGAAGCAATATCTGCTCTTGAAAAGCTTCAATTGTTTGAAGAACAGCAAGAAAATGGGAATTACGCGTTTATTCAGTCTCTTCTTAGGCATAAGAGAGAGCTTCTCTCAAAGCAAATCAAAGTACGAGAACAGAAGGATATTAGACAGTTTTTTCAATAAGCAATATATATTTCTTGATAGTTCTACTAATTCATACACTCTTGGTTGTTTTTCCCGCGGATATAATATTAGTCCGATCTCCAAGAGAAAAGTGGGGATTTTTATTATAACGGACTACTCGTTATAACGGATAACGGATAATTTACGTGTTTCATTTAGTCCGTTATAACTAGGTTTTACTGTAGCGGGTTTCATCGCAATGTTAGAGCGGTGCACAGTACTTAGTGTCGAGGAAGCCCCACTAGAGTAATGACTTCCACAATTGTTGATACTAGTAGTATGAAAAGAAAACTCGGAAACTGAGCTAGTCCAAAGCCATAGTTCGCACGCATACATCCACTTTTCTTCACGCTTTGCTTACTCACATATGAAAAGGCGTCGGGTCTCCAACTCCAGTTAGATGAACACCCAACACCAGGGCATAGGACTTGGAATACAAATTAAAGCTCAAAATGACGACTTAGTATACTCAAAACGCGAATCCCGTCTCGTTCAACATAAACTCTCATCCTATTATTTCATTCATTCTGTCATACGGCCGAAGAACCGGGGTTACTTTACTAAATGACCGGTGTCACAACTGGCCGAGCATCATGGATCTCCTCGAACAAAAGAATAACCCAGATGATTCGAAACGGTTAAACTGAGGGGAAGAGAAACTAGCGCACGTTAACCAAGTTAAATCGAGATGCATAGATGGCCTTACAACCACCACTGGCAAATATGTGCCACCCTAGACGTAAGGTGGGGCCATCCTCAACTCAGGTCGGTACATCTGAGCACCATTTCCTAGGCTTATGGCGGTTAAATTAAAAGAAAAAAATCGATGAGTAGGGAGCTACGTAGAGAAAGCATGCTCATGCAAGCATTGAACTCTGAAAAGCAAGGTGGAAAGGCCTATGAGCAAATTATCAGATTCAAAGCGTGCTCATTAAGTGAGATGGAGGTTACAGTGTAGAGTCCAGAGCCTCTTAGAGCTCCCCACATGCTCCTCCACTGTCCCCGTGGCCCCTCTTTTGTCCCTCCACATACGCCAAGGGCTGCTTCTTAGGCTGCACTTGGTTTGCTGACGGTAGCTAGGAGCACTGGCCCCCGGGACCCGCATTCACCACATCTGATCCACGCTGCTGGTAGATTTTCCATGGTGGATACAAATGGGTTTCGTCTCAGCTTCCCCTCATCTGGTTCCATAGGTGGGTTCCCCTGCAGGTTGTAATGTTGAGGATACGACAAAAATACTACTCAGAAGTACGCCAGAACTTGAAGGGCGCAATATATGCTAGTATTCAAGTCACCATTGAAAGCGTCATAGAGCATCTTGGTCGGATGTACTGCACTCCTACAATACTAGTACCCTTAGTTTAAATCTGGAGCGGTAAAAATCAGATGATTACAGTCAAAAACAAAGGTACGTGCCCCCTAGCATGGCATCGCCACATTCTAGAAAATGAGGCCAAGCAGAGATTGGTCGACGAGAAACCTTGACCAAAAAGGGTTACGAGAAGACATTATGTTTACAGTATCGTATACTGTTTCAAATACTACACCCAGACATTAGAAAAACAGGTTTAAACCTGTTTTTCGTTGCACAGACATCTCCAGAAGAATGCCAATGCGCATGCAAGCAGTCTCCGCAATTAAATATGCACGCGGGATCATACTACAACGCCATTGGCGCTGTAAAGTACATTGTGCATTGTTGTCCCGCTGAGTGTAGGATTAGGATTAACAGGGCAATGTAGAGGATCTCTAGATCTATGATATGGTGGTATGATCCCGGGGGAGGAAACGCAATATGTGTGACGGAATATAAGTCGGTGCTAAGATCGGATATTCGGCGGATCTTAAGGATTTCATTACTCGCAGGTGCTTTTTTTAGCTGCCGTCCGCGCAGTCGGGGGAGTCCGGGGATCATTATCCACCGACATCATTGATCGACGACGCGGTCTCTGTTTAGGAAGGATTCGCGAATAACCCCGCATCCTTGCGTATCACGCAATTATCCGGCTTGTACGGGAAAATACTAATACATGTACCAGCGGGTGCATGTGAGTTTCAAATGGTATAAGAACGAGGTTTTGTACGTGCGATGAAAAGAGAGAATCAAACTAAATCTCATTGAACTAAAGAATATCTTACTAAACTCCTCAACTCTCATTTACAAAGAAGGCTCTTTCAACACCTTCAAGTTCTACTTTACCAATATGTCTCCCGCGATCCCAGCTCCGGCTCCAGCTCTATACCTGAACCAGGCTCGAAACAGCCCCAGTGTTCAGGAATGCATGTCCATCTACGATAAGTGGGCTGCAACATACAACGATGAGGTGGGAGACGAGGCTCAGAACTACGTGGCTCCTGTTCTTGTTGCTCAGGCTGCTATCAAGTTCGAGAAGTCGAACGGTGCTGCAAACAGTATCATTCTAGATGCTGGTTGTGGAACTGGTCTGGTGGGTCAGGCTCTGTCTATTGCTCAACCCAAGGCAATTGACGGTATTGATCTGTCTGTTCCCATGCTTGCTGTTGCCAGAAACACTGGTGTTTACCGAGATCTGGACCAGGCAGACCTGAACCAACCTATCAACAAGCCCGACGGAACATACGACACTGTTGTATGCGTTGGTACATTCACCCTCGGCCATGTTGGTCCTAACCCTGCTTTGCGAGAACTGCTCCGTGTCACGAGGACACACGGTGTGGTTGTCGCTACGATTCTTGATGAGATTTGGATCACACACGGCTTCAAGGAAGAGGTTGCGCAGATGAAGGAAGAGGGATTGGTGAATTCATCTGAGGAGATGATAGATTATGTAAAAGGACATGGCGACAAGGCAGTTCTTCTGATCTTGGAGAAGCTTCCCCAGGCTTGAACAACCCAATGCGACTGATCAACACCCAACGCAACAACTATGATCCACGACCCAATGCAACTATTTAACGATCGATCGATACGACCCTGAAGCACTTCGGTATGCTTCTCCGAAGCGTGTTCGGAATTTTTGTATATTTTCTTTTATTTTCTTTTATTTTCTTCGTGTAACTTTCTATATTTCTTTTCTCTTTCTGTTCTTAAAACCGAAAATTAGTACAGCCCTGCGCACCAATCTGCCGATTCTTCTTAAATTGCCCATATGCACAAATTACATACCACGGTGTAAGCGATCGTAGATAGTGTAGATCCTATCTTCTTCATATTACCACTAAACCTGAGATGAATCAACTGTAGCTGAATTCATTTTATCCAAATCCTTTCATTCCATCTATGAGTTGCATACTAGTATGAAGATTATTGGTCGGATGGTACATCTCCGTGGCTACCTATTACCTTGAAGTCAACTTCGGAGTAAACAGTGGCCACTAAAAAGAGTGCTAACACAATATTGCTAAGTTTAACCAGATTAATCGTTACTATTTCTTTTTCTCGATACTTTAAGATAAAATATTAGCTAGTTCAAATTAGTCATCTTGATATGTTATTCCAAGGTTGAGAGTTACATGTTTTGTATAAAACATGTTCGACCTATAACATGTTTTACATATGACATGTTTTGTACCAGGTCCCAAGTGGGGTTGATAAGGGACCGCAACGTTAAACAGGCACCGATTTCATCTATCAGTGTACCTTGTAGGGCTGATTCGATCTTATCATTCCCAATCATTGTTCCAGATCCTGTGCCAGGGTCCCGATGTCCTCCGAAGCTTATCCTGATGATCGACCACGCCTATCTGCCAGCTTATATGAGGGTACCAAGTCACTTTGAGTACCTTGTTATCTTTTACGCTGAATGTAGATTCTTTGACCTGCGCATTTCCAAGCGGAATCTGATTCTATTGAAGCACTTGAGGCTTAAAGCTAGCGCCCGGGAGGGCTAAGATCAACATCATGATGGAGTAACAGCCAGTGCCAGCGAGAGGTGAGGTAGAGGGTATGTTCAAAAATTTCAATATTAAAAATGCACACGTGATATGTAATAAATGATCCAGCAACAGACAGAAAAACGCCGGCTATTTCTAGAAATGCATCGTAGATAGGCTATGTAGTGAGTATACATGAGAACAATTGTAAAAGCGGTTCTGTACAGCCTCTAACAAACATTGAGATCATATCAATCGCTGAGACCGGAAGAAAAAAAGGTGTATATATGAGACAGTCATGACAATGGAAAATGTAGAACAAAGCAACTTTCTTATGACTTGGAAGAGTCAGACTTCTTCTCCCCTTCGGACTCTTCTTGGGTAGGTTCAGGCGATTCGGCATCGAACAATGACGCAGAGACGGTCTTCGCTTTCACCAATTCAAGTAGTTTGCCGCCAAGGGTGCCTGCGCCGTCAATCTTGCTAAGCTTCGCTTGGAAGTGTTCAATATCGATTTGCATCCTAGAAGAAATAGAGATAATTAGTGAAAATATACTGGGATTTCAAATGATGAATAAAACAAACCTCTTCTTTCCAGTCTCTGACGAGACATGAGCCTCATCAAAAGCCCTGAACCATTGATCTCGGTAACGATTAAACACAGGTCCCATGATCATGTCCACTGTCATTTCAGGCAAGTGTTTACTGAGGACGCGATGCAGAGTCCCTGTCTCCTTAGCCAAGATCTCCATGTAAGGATGAACAGCGGTAGATTCAGGTTCGGAATCCCAATCAATCTTCTTCATCGAATTGACGGCAAGTACGGAGCGCGAGCTCATGATATCCACAAGCTTTTCGTGGATGCCGTTTTGATGCTCCTGGCACAGTCGTTTGACCTTGTCAAACTCGGCCATTACTTGGTTACTCTGTCCATGCCGACGAACGAACTCCCGAACATATGGGACTAAGGAAACAACGAAGCTCAATGCTTGGGACGAAAGTGCGAGGTGCTTAGTTGTGATATTCTTCAAGCCAGCGCTTTTTGTAGCACCGGCGCCGAGAATCAGCTGTGAAGATCGTGAATTGAACAGCTTCAGTATCTCCAAAAGCTGGGGAGCGATGTCCTGGATCATATTAGGAATATTCGCCATCAAGAACTGGAATTCTTCGATGCTGCGCATTATAGCAACAGCGGACTCCGGTAAAATGTATTTTTGTTCATCAATTACCGCACTGCGAACCTTCTCTTTGCCTTGGCCATTGGAAGTTGGGTTTTCCGAGTTTTTGGACTGTATCTCATTGGCGGGGAGCCATATTTTGGAAATTTCCATCCATACCTCAATGTCCCTGGTGCTGGAGTCCAAGATACGAGTGAGGATCATGACTTCCGGATCTCCAAAATCACGAGCGTCCCACCGGTCGGCATCCATAACCTTGACGATGCGATGGCGCTGTGCCTCACTGAAACGGGTGATGAAATCACGGATCTGGTTACCCACAATTGTCCGGAGTGCGGTGCCACCTCGGCCGGAGATCGCCTCACACTCGTCAGCGAATAGGCGGTTGAGAGTGAAATACTTTAAGAACTCTTCCTTGGGAAGTTGCGCTGTCTGCTCTGATCGGACTTTGAGTACTTTGGTGATCTGAGACTGGGCAATGTCCACCGCTTGCCCAAGAAGACTTGACATATCCAAAACTTGTAGTATCTCATCCTGAGCCATCTGAGCAGACTGTGATAGTCTTCGGTCCGAGGGAATCCGCGGGGACCTGCCACCGACAGTAGGAGGGTTTTCAAGACCACTGGCAATATCTAGAAGGATCTTGACCTGGGTGCTCAGCCGACGGAGACATTCACTAATACCAGTGTAGACTGCTAATAGCATTTGATATGCGTCTTCAGAGTCGAGAGCCCTGAGATTCCGGGCAAGGATAGAGGATTTCTCCTGCTGACTCCGCTGTTGACCACCAACTGTAGAAACGGATACCATGGATTCATTGTCATCGTCGCTTGAGCTGGGCAGGTGTTTCCGGATAAGTCCTTTCATCTCTCGCAGTACGGCTCCCTTAAACGAAGTAGCGGCAGGGGTAGTAAAGCGAGCCTTGGCGAGACCAGTAAGCTGAATGTGCAACTTGGAGCGTAGCTCATTATCGAAATTCATATAAGCTGGAGACACCATTGATACTGGTCGGTTGCCACCACGCTGCCGTAGGAAAGAAGAGCCCCAGCGCTGCAGCGTAATGTCGGAGGAAACATTCTCAACATGCTGACGCAAGTCTCCTAGCAGGTCATTCATGAACCGGGTCTCGTAACCCATTCCAATCCGTTGCCTTAGGTGGGAGAGATCTTCAGCAGCGCCATCAAGAGCCTTTAGCCTTCGGAGATCGATCGCTCGGCGTGGACCCGTGTCTTCAGCTTCAGTCGGTCGTTCAGAAACTTTCTCGCCGGACATTAGTCTTTCAACTTCCTCAAGCTCATCAGAAGCAACTTCTATATCGCCCTGCTCGACCAACTCTTCACAACGAGATACTGATTCAACCACGTCACGCAGCTGTGCCACGGCGGCAGCTAACATGCGCACATTTTCACGTCTTCTTCGAAGGTTAACAATTTTCAACCCCCCAAGAGCCATTTCTTTGTCGATTTTTTGTAGGTCTCGCCGCAAGACTTGAATTCGCTCCACCGAGTCAGCCGCTTCCGCATGTAGTTCGCGTAATGAACCCAACGCCGTGAAAAAGGATTTGGAGGCAGTAGAAATAGAAGAGATAAGATGGATTTCCACAGTGTCCATGTACCAGGAGAGCTTTTCCTGGAGAATGGCATTAGTAGCCAAAGCTTTCCTTCCAGTGTGGACGGGCTCCAATGGAGCTCCGTTGGAGTGGTTGTCATCTTTCACAGGCGGTCTAGCTGGTCGTACAACTTCGGATTTTTCCGATATTACATCGAAAGTCCGAGGGTTCTCCAGGCGAAATTCTTCTTCGAAATAAACAGGCGGAATTGTGGATAGCGGTGTCACTGCGGGACCACGGCCTCGCAAAGCGGAAGGTCGTCGGCCTCGTGGATCGTACGGCGATGTTGGTCGTGAGTTGGTGGATATTGTTGAAGACCTTCGCTCGGGGCTCCATGGCATCAAAGATTCCATATCATCTGGCTTAGGCGACTTCACCCTTGGTGATGCCTGGCCTTCCTCCCCAGCATTTTCCTTTGATTGCTGGAAAACGTCATATAGCGAACCGACTTGCGATAAGTACGGCTGGAACACCTTGGAATCCACATGAGTGATGTTGGTCAAGGTGACTGGTGGAATATCGCGAGACGACGGGGGTTTGTATCTAGTAGTCGATACGGCGGTATGTGGTGTTAATCCGGTTCGGACAATCGGTGGCTGTAGGAGGGTCGAAATCGCTATCAAACCATTACAGTATTAGTAAACCTCTATTCATCATATTCGTGCCGTTAAAGATATACCATTTTGGCCTGACTCCGCAATGGAGCCCTGGTGTTGTGCAATATCTAATATTCCTCCAATGCTCACAATGGAGCTCGCCGTGGATCCCCTCCTCAGGGGGTATCGTTGAGGGGGAACTCGAGGCGACTCCAGTTGCGTCATAGAATAATGTGAGATGGATGGTGTCGATGCGCCAGATGCCAAGCTATCAATTGACTTGCGCGGGCTGTTCGCCATTGTGGTGTTCACGTCCGCACGGCGGATGCGACAGCCACCGGGGAGATCGTTGGGGAAGCTCGGGGTTGTCTGATCATGACAGATTGATCACAAGGGCCCAGAACTCAGGGCTCAGAGAACAATCCCAACCACCAAGTTCGGAGGGCGTAATCAGCTTTGAAAATCAAGCAAGTTTCAGATATTGACTCGCTTCTGGCATCCAAATTACACCAACAATGGTACAACAGACCAGAGGACTTGGAGCAGCAAGTACGTAGCCAGCCGCTGGGAATAATGATCTTCCGGGTATGGTTGTTGTCCCATGAACAAACAAGACAAACCCCACTTTTCACTCTATACAGATCAGATAGTGGAGCACATTTGACCTACATATTATGAATTTATGAAGCCTCCCAAGTATGAATTACCCAGCAATATCTCACTAAAGCTCGTAAGATATTGGGTTGTACTGTACTACCTAGGTACCTAGTGGTTTTCGTTTCTTCGCCACCTAGTATAATACCCTCCAGTTTGCTATATTTCACAAGATGTACCTGAAGGCACTACATATGTGGCTACCACTTTTACGATAGGGATATGGGGTAATACTAAAATCTTGGTATGATTCATTATTTAAAAAGTAAATTTTGGTGTTTTATTTTTTCTACACATGATATTGATGGAAATATAAGGAATATACTAAATAGTGGAGAATTATCTGGTTAAACACCATGCAAGGAACCAGAGCTCCTTTATATTTGGGTAAAAGGGTCCCTAGGTAACTTCTCTGCTCTGCTAGTCTAGCGGTCGGCGACCCTTCTGGGGGACAAAGGTACTGAAATGCGGACGCTGGACCCATCTTCAGTGGCAGAGACTTTACCGGCGGGTGGGAGGGTATCTGGCTTCGGCCAGGGAATAATGCTTTTTTTGGAATTTTTTATATTTTTACCTATCATACCTCTAGCTATTCTCTTTCTCTTTCAATTTTTAGATTCTTAAAATAAAAATAATTGAAGGAGATAGAAGGGATTATGTGATGGGGATGGATGCATCAAGTGAGAGCTGTTGAGGCTATTCACGCCTTTCTAATTTTGGAAGTCCTGGGTTCGATTCCTGGTGTTGGATTTCTTTTTTTTTTCTTGTATTATCACTACTGTAGTAGTAGGTCAACTTCAGTATACCACCCTATTATTTATATACTAGTACGGAGTAGTAAGTACCTCTTATAACTACTACCTAGTACTCAAGTACTACCAAGTACTAGTCCATAGGTAGTACCAGTAGATCCAAGACTCAAACTCCAAATCAGAGAGCCTAAGGATTGGAAAGAACCTGAACTTGACCTGGAAAGTATTAATCATATAACCTTGAGTTAAAGAATCATATAGAGCTAGTACGGATAACATCAAGCAATGAAACAGATAGGAACATTGAATAAAAGAACATTTGAATACGTTGCGACAATCACTGGGTAGTATTTCGCTGAATCCAATATAGTCTCCCAAATTCTACTAGGTCTTCCTTAGTCAAAGTAATACTATCCCCAAACTTGACATTAGAACCACTCAGGAACTGGTATCCAGTGAAAGCCACCACCGGAAGTCGGATCTCAGTTGGGATCAGTTTGGGTGATGTATGACTTTTGAATTGGACCACAGGATCAGGATGGCCCCGGGTTATGGTTGCTATCTCAGTTATGCTCGCAGAAGTATGGCTTCTTCGAAGCTGTCGGCTGGAGTTAAATGGATGTTTTGGGCGCCATATTGAAAGTGTGATTGTATCGGGATTGCTGAGCTCAACGACAAGGCAGATCTGGCATGATGATCCAGGATACTCAATCCAGTCTCGAACTTCATGTGCAAGTTCATTGTCTTTCTCTGACTTTCCGACCTCAGCAAAAACTGTAAAATCTTCATTGTTCAGCGGACGCCAGCATGCATGCGGTTGAGCTGCGACATTCCCAAGCCTAATCGAAGGCGAGAGATTTGGCAGACAAGCAATATTGAGTAAGCCCGCGGATTTTAGCTTGTCACAACTAAGGAGGAAAAGCTGCGTAGTAAGACTATCATGAAAGTTGTCTGGTATCTGGACCCGAAGCTTTTGCTCCTTGAAATGGTAAAAGTAATGGAGATGTTTGGTAGTTTCGTAGTCTTGAAGATGGTAGAATTTATCTTCGGTGATATCTGAGAACCATAGATACCCTGGATTTTCGCGGACGACCTTGCTCTCGATTTCCTTGGATTTTGGAGCTTGGGTGGCCATAGTGAAAATATCTTGAGCTGTTAGGTAGGTGTGGAAACGTCAAGGTGATAGAAAGAAGGTAGCGAGAGCGATGGAGCACTGTTAGATGCCAGTGGGTACCTCAGTTATTATAGATGAACACCCTGTGTCCCAAATAGACTTAACTTATGATTTAGGACGTCCGCAGACTTGAGCGGATAATCATCGTCTGGTATCCATGGGTAGAATATTGATACTAGTACTTAGTTGGTCAGACCGGCAAAGGCACATATGTATGCCTTGGCTTTGTTTAGGCACCATGTCACTGTCATAGCTAGGTACCGGTGCCTGGTTTTGGTACGAGTAGTAGCTTCCATGGGGTTGAAATCATACCTAGTGACCTTCTTTTACTCCAGGGCCACAGTGGTGTTTCATTTCTTCACCGCCTGGCAGAATACTCACCAGAAGGCCCACCAGTTGGTTACATCTCATAAGGCACCACATAGAGTATGTACCACTTTTACTACGGAGTACTCCAGGGCTATTATGTAGAAGTACCTAGTCATATTAAAATAATTTGGAATAGATTGATTATTTGGAACTTGAATAAAAAAAATAATTGATATTTAAGTACAAGGCCCAAGGGATTATAGTAAATAGACAGTGTACGGAGTAGAGAGTCGACCATTCGAGGAACCATATCTCCCTTGTATTTGAGTAAAAAGGTCCCCAGGTAACTTCTCTGCTCTGCTAGTCTAGCGGTCGGCGACCCTTCTGGGGGACAAAGGTACTGAAATGCGGACGCTGGACCCATCTTCAGTGGCAGAGACTTTACCGGCGGGTGGGAGGGTATCTGGCTTCGGCCAGGGAATAATGCTTTTTTTTGGAATTTTTTATATTTTTACCTATCATACCTCTAGTCATTCTCTTTCTATTGTAGCTTTCAGATTCTTAAAATAAAAATAATTGAGTGAGCTAGAAAGGATTCTGTGATAGAGATGGATGTATCAAGTGAGAGCTATTGAGGCTATTCACGCATTTCTGATTTCGAAGGTCCTGGGTTCGATTCCTGGCCTTGCTGGATTTATTTTTCTTTTTTGCTGGATTTCCATCATGATAATAATCCAATTTAGAATAGTCAATATGATTTTCACCTAGTATCTGTATACTCCTAGTGTCTAAAAGGAACTACCTAATATACTTCCAAGGTTGATCCCGATATCCGCTTACATAACCCAGAAACCCATTAACGCGGTCGCGTCGTCCTAATCGGGTACGTGTCGAAGTTCGCGTCGCAAAAGGATCCTCCCTTAATTGTGTGTTCACAATCTTTCCGTCCCCTCCACACCGCAAACCTCATCCCAAACACCATGGATAGACGCACTCCTTACACCCTGAGCGTTCTTGCGCCCAGTACCAATGGTGCTGAAGAGTCCCGAACGACTATTCAGAATAAATTAAAAGATTTCGTCCTGGAATTTCAGCTGGACAATGCATTCATCTACCGGTACGCAATTTACAGATCTTGCATTTTCTTGTGGGGCTTGTATCCAAGGCTGACTCGAAAAATTCTCTTAGTGATCAACTACGCCAAAACGTGCTAGTAAAGCAATATTACTGCGATATTGACATTGCTCATCTCATTTCATACAACGAGGAGTTGGCGCACAAACTCACCACTGAGCCCGCCGACATCATCCCCTTGGTGAGGACGATGATCTCCTCGATCAGAGTATTAGCATTTACTAACCCTTCCTAGTTCGAATCAGCTCTTCGAGACTGTACCCGTCGCATTGTCTTCTCTGGCCAGCGCGAAATCACACTCCCTTCTCATCAACTTCTTCTTCACTCATCGGCATCCCATATCTCCATCCGCGACCTGAACGCCACTAATATTTCTCACCTCGTCCGCATTCCCGGTATTGTCATTGGCGCCTCCACCATCTCTTCCAAAGCAACGGAGGTGCACATTCGCTGCAAGACTTGTGACCATGGCGAAACTATTTCTGTCGACGGTGGATTCGCTGGCTTAACCCTTCCCAGACGTTGCGGTCGTTCCAAGGAGCCTGGTGATCAGCCCGGTGACCAGTGTCCCCTTGACCCTTACGTTGTTCACCACGAAAAATGTCACTTCGTGGATCAGCAAGTCCTCAAGCTCCAGGAGGCACCTGATCAAGTACCAGTGGGCGAGTTGCCCCGCCATGTTCTGATTTCCGCCGATCGCTATCTCGCAAACCGTGTCGTTCCTGGTTCTCGCTGCACCGTCATGGGTATCTTTTCCATCTACCAGGCAAAGGGCGGCAAGAAGGAGGCTGCTGTCGCTATCCGTAATCCATACTTGCGAGCTGTTGGTCTCAACACTGATATGGATCAAACTGCGAAGGGAAACTCTGTTTTCTCGGAGGAAGAGGAGCAAGAGTTTTTGGAATTGAGCCGCCGTCCTGATTTGTATGATGCTATGGCTCGCAGCATTGCGCCATCTATCTACGGCAATGTTGACATGAAGAAGGCGATTGTATGCCTGCTCATGGGAGGTTCAAAGAAAATTCTTCCTGATGGGATGAAGCTTCGTGGTGATATTAACGTTCTCATGCTGGGTGACCCTGGTACTGCCAAGTCCCAGTTGCTGAAGTTCGTCGAGAAGGCAGCCCCGATCGCCATCTACACATCCGGAAAGGGTTCTTCGGCGGCTGGTTTAACTGCCTCTGTGCAGCGCGACCATAACACCCGCGAGTTCTACCTGGAAGGTGGTGCCATGGTGCTTGCTGATGGAGGTGTTGTTTGTATTGATGAGTTTGACAAGATGCGTGATGAGGACCGAGTGGCTATTCACGAAGCTATGGAGCAACAGACTATCTCTATTGCGAAGGCAGGTATCACAACCATCCTTAACTCGCGAACTTCCGTCTTGGCTGCTGCTAACCCGGTCTTTGGTCGTTATGATGACCTCAAGACCCCTGGTGAGAATATCGACTTCCAGACCACTATCCTTTCTCGTTTCGATATGATCTTCATTGTTCGTGATGATCATGAGCGGGGACGTGATGAGAGAATCGCTCGTCACGTCATGGGTGTGCACATGGGCGGCCGTGGTATGGAAGAACAAGTCGAGGCCGAGATTCCGGTTGACCAAATGAAGCGCTATATTAGCTACTGTCGCAGGTGAGTAAAAACTGTCCATCACATTATTGGTAACTTTCCAAGATTCTAATCCAGTGTTCCCTAGCCGCTGCGCTCCTCGCCTCTCTCCAGAGGCTGCTGAGAAGCTCTCTTCTCACTTCGTGTCCATTCGCAAGCAAGTCCATCGATCTGAGATGGAGTCCAACACTCGGTCATCGATCCCCATTACTGTCCGTCAGCTTGAGGCTATTGTCCGTATCACCGAGTCTCTCGCCAAGTTGTCACTTTCCCCAATTGCTACCGAAGCCCATGTCGACGAGGCCATCCGACTGTTCTTGGCATCTACCATGGATGCTGTGACACAGGGCGAGGGTCAAGGCAGCAAGGAGCTTATGGAGGAAGCATCCAAGATTGAAGATGAGCTCAAGCGTCGCCTTCCTGTTGGATGGAGTACCAGTCTTGCAACCCTGCGTCGGGACTTCGTTGATACTAAGAATTATAGCGAGCCGGCCCTTAATCGCGCATTGAATGTGTTGCAACGGCGGGAAACGATCCAGATCCGCTCCGGTGGTTCACAAATCTACCGCAATGCTGCATAAATGTTGCCACTATGACGATTTTAGAATATTCAGTTCATTATACCGTTTACGCGCTATGGATGGTTTTGGCGGCGATTCATTTTTGTCTTTATTTCTGTGGCATTTCTTCCCTGGACACAAGGCATGGGAGTTTCTATGGAGTTTTGGTGTACGATATCAATTGAAGGGTCATTTTGTTCTGCCCAGTGCATATTTTATCTATGATAATTCCAAGATTAGCTTGGTTTCAAATACATCTAAAAAGAGTCCAACTGAAATGACCTCCAGGGCTTGGGACTTCACTGCACCGCCGACTATTATTAAACTAGAATTAGTCGCCCTGAAATTTCAGCTCAACTTGAATTTACAAATAGGTGCCAGTGAGTATGAATCTGCATAAAACTTCGAACATTCAAAGGATGGAATTATTAGCCACAACATTGATGCGAGATTACGCACAACATTTGAATACTACTAGTACTACATTCTTCATTCCCCTGTAGTTTCAGTCACAGTCAAATTCAATCACAGTAGGCGATCTACGCTTAACTGACATCTCGAATATCCAAATTGTTTTGCACTGGGTAAATCTCAATCTGGCAAGTATTTCCTTTATCTCTGCGAGGAACCAGACATGGAAACAAACATTTGAATACACTGTTCATTGCCACCCTCCAGGGCTCTCGCCACCAATAGAGTAACACACCTGGGCAAATGACCAAAGATGAATTGGTTTCAAAGAAAGTACGGTGGAAGTCATCCTGAAATCAAAGATGATTGATATAAAAAACCTCTCCTCTTTAAACAATAGGGCTATATCATCTTACAGGTTTTCGATCCTAAATCTCCCGAACACCGACTCGGAATCAAGAAATTCATAACCTCTTTTGAAGATTTAAATAGAATAAATGTTCGAGACCGAAGTCTTACCTAGCACTATGATGAAAAGATATTTGGAAGTATCATTACTCTTGCCCAGAGAATTTTGGGTGTATTTTGGTCCGATTTAATTGCCATACTGATATCTCCAATCCACTAACATCCCCTGGCATGTAGTTTCTCAGACCGATCAACCAAAGAATACATCATTATCACCCAGCAAGATGAGAAACTAGACCGAATCAAAGTTGATTACACTTACAGCAAGCTGCATCCTGTACCTCCAACATTTCTAGGTGGAGAATGGATCATCCATATACTAGACACTGGCACTGGTCATCCAGCACAACTACTAGCAGAGGATACGCTACCGCTGACCAAACACCGTGACCTATCCCACGACGAGGTATTTGAGACATTCAAGGTACGTAAATACTATTCAAATACCACATCATAGGCTAACTAAATTGTACAGCTACGCCAAACCCCATCCGAGGGAAATCTCAGTACCTGGGCTATGATCCCAGTTGACACACTCCCACAGGTTGAGCCGTTTCGATATATGAGTGATAATATGGTTGCAGCTATGATTAAGTATCAGCCATATAATGGGGGGTTTGAAATTTTATATTTCTATATGACCCGAGCAAAGCCAGTATTTCAAGTCGGACGAACTTCTTGCACATGTGTTCAGTCTCGTTCCAAGGTTCCACATGTGCAAGGTTTATACGTGTATACCAGATTATAAGTACTACAAAATTTGAAGTCCTCGCGCAGCGCTTCCCGCGGCACTGCCAGTGTATATCAGTACTAGCAGCGACCTCGGGAGCATTTGAAATTGGAAAAGATATTGGTACATATCCCCACCTGGGCAGCACTCAAGTGCTTGGCCAGGTGTGTTCATACCTATACATACTTAAGTACAGGGCTCAGTCCGAGTCAGTAGCATCTACAGCCTGAGGTGACTGATGGCCGACCCCTCTTTGTGTGTTGGTACCTAATACATGGTTAGTTACAGGGTTAGCTGGAGGGTTATCTGGAAGGCAAGGCTACTATGTAGCTGTTGTATTGTTGGATATAGGCAACTGGTAACCCTAGGGATAAGCTGTAGGCTCTTAGGCTCCTTGGGTATTGTCAGAATAAAGGCTTATTCAGCAGCATGTGGCACCCAATGGGGTCCAATTGTACAGATGTGTGTATGTGTGTTCAATTCTGCTAAATCTAAGAGGTAAAAATAGTTATTTACAGTGTAGGTTTACATAATCTCAGGCAGTAATGTCAGCCAGAACCGGTCTAGCGTGATCAGGTGACCCGGCAGAATTTGCATGTATCTAAGGACGCGTTACGAGAAAATAGAAAACCAGACATATCGACATCATCAGTGGAACAGACCGCTTACTACAACCAGACAGCGAGTCTGACAAGTAACTAGTTAACTAAGGCCTCTATCCGACAGGTATCAAAATAGGCGGTGAATAAAACCACTGTAACCCAAGTAGCAAAAGAGCCCTAAAAAAGGTCTACTATCTTGAAATGTTCAATATTCATCCGAGATCGGACTGTCATCGCATAAGATTCATGAATTCTGCCGATGAAATACACTTTAACCTCAATTAGCAACCGGGCGAGTCCGTTCAACTCCACCCAGATACTAGGCATCAAGATTATTGAAATTAACTCATAGATTCTACAAAATTGTTTTACAGCGTACCCATTCACAAATCAACTAGACCAAGAAAGAATTCTTGGCTTGCAGCTCTGGTGCAACATCATGACCGCGCCAATCTCAACGTTATGCGTGGCTATAGAATAGGGCTGCATATGCGCCACTTCGGATCGCTGTGGCATATCAGAGGCTCTCTTGGCAGGTATTAGTGGCATGATCCTATGTTTCTCAGCCTTGTCACTCTCTCTCCCGAGGTCCTCGTTTGAGGATCCTAGTTGGTCTGTATTAAGATGCATCAATCAACCCTAGCTATACAAGGGTGCCTAGTTGGCCAAGAGCTAACTCTGCGGGGATTCAGTCTCGCGTCTTTTTGCCAAGTCCACTGCAAATTGTCAGCTAGATCAAGGGTTCAAGGTGTATAAAAGGGTCTTTCCTTAATGTTCTCTTTAGACCCATCCACGAACCTTGGAAGCCAACTCTCACCTTGATCCTCTTCACCGAGCTACAAAATCTCAGCTAGTATCTTTCTATCAATACTTGCTTGGTCTTCTCCGAACAATGAGCTTCCACGAATCATCAGTCAGCTTCGAGCTTGAGGATGACCATATCCTCAAAGCAACACTTCGCACGGATGATGAAGAGGAGCAAGAGTCTGTCCTAGACTTGAATAGCATAATTGGCAACGATAACGGTATGCTTCAACCATCTTACCATATCTCCAGACAGAAGATACTAAATCTTGAGTCTTACTAGGTCATTTCTGTTGGGGTGGTGTGAACTTCCAAGACTCTGCCTCCAGCATTGAGCTCAACACCGAGGGAGAGGATGATATCCCTGTTCTTCGAGCCAAATTGATTTCCATGGAGGGAGAAGAAATCGAAGCGGATATCAATCTGGCAGAGCGGATCTCAAATGACAACGGAAATCTAGTTTTTTTGTCTGAGTAGATCGATCATGTTGTCAAACTGCCTACAATAATATTGGAGATTGAAATGCTACATCCTCGTCTTGACTTTTTGCGTAGCTCATTCTATCATAGGACCTCGGGAGATTGTAAGCTGGTATCATCGCAAGATCATCTGGAAAATCTGGCAAATAGAATCAGCGAAATCAAAACCAGACAAGTAGAAGCAGGCCAGTGCTAGAGGACGAAATTCGGATAAGCCATGAATACCCCCATCTCTCCCAGTATTGCAATTGTCTAAAGCTGATGTGTTCAGCGGTTTTAAAAACACGATTCCTTCTTCACTACCTGCCCAGGTGGCATAATACCCACCAGTTGGTTTTGTGTCGTAAGATGTACCTCAAGGCACCGCGCAGAGTCACGGTGCCAGCTACCACTTTTAGCATAGGGAGTTTTATAGGAATACTAGTTAATAATATCAAAATCATTCAGAATATGTTAATTATTTAGAGCTTGAACTTTGTTTGATTTCTTTTTAATTTCAATTTCCTTTTTTTTGCTATTTAGGGAACCACATCTCCCTTATATTTGTGTAAAAAGGTCCCCAGGTGACTACTCTGCTCTGCTAGTCTAGCGGTCGGCGACCCTTCTGGGGGACAAAGGTACTGAAATGCGGACGCTGGACCCATCTTCAGTGGCAGAGACTTTACCGGCGGGTGGGAGGGTATCTGGCTTCGGCCAGGGAATAATGCTTTTTTGGAATTTTTTATATTTTTACCTATCATACCTCTAGCTATTCTCTTTCTATTCCAACCTTTAGATCCTCTAAATAAAAATAATTGATGGAGATAGAAGGGATTATGTGATGGGGATGGATGCATCAAGTGAGAGCTGTTGAGGCTATTCACGCCTTTCTGATTTCGAAGGTCCTGGGTTCGATTCCTGGCCTTGCTGGATTTCCTTTTTCCTTTTTTCTTGTAGATGATATACGCTAATATCTAAGTGACTGGGTATAAAGAGAACTCAACCCTGGAGTGCCTGTTAAGCTGATTCTAAGATAATATCAAGTTAATGTAGAGGCGCCTAGGTATTAAGTATTTTCCTACTGGGTAGCTGATTGATTAATGTTATTCAACTTATCAGTAGCTGATACACTTTGTGTGGTTAGGTGGTAAGGAGCTCTTGAGTAGATTATTTCTTGGCTGGAAGAAGTGTAGTTGACGGGAGAAGAATAACCATATATTATTACACTAATAAAACAATATTGATACATCCAAGATTCACCATGTCAGCTTAACTCCAGAGGTGTGAAAGAGAAAAGATCAATGGTGGGAAAGCTCTCAACATAGTATGGCAGGAAGATTGGAGAATTGAGAGCTGATGATCGAATGGAAATGCAAGAGGTTGAGCTACAGCCCAAAAGATAACCGGGTACTCTCTCTCGCCGCATTATGAGCCATTGAATTTCCTTCAACGCCGCTGTGGCCAGGGACCCAGTGTAGCTCCACCCGAACTCCCATTGCCCTTAGTTCGGCATACGATTCCAGTAATTGATCAACCCAGGGCCGAATGAAATACCAACCACGCCTAGCCCCGCGACTACCTATCCAGGCACTTCTGACAACACGAACTGTAAAGGTTGAGTCTGTGAAAATGAACACTTCATCCAGGAGAGCCGTGTTTCTGGTACTTCGCGCAGTTCGCACTAAGTCGACTGCCTTATCCATTGCCATGGAGACCGCCATGACTTCTGGGAGGTTGCTGTCACTAGTTTCAAAGTTGATTCGACGTTTGAGGGATTTCCAATCGTCTTCCGGATGATTTCTCCATACAACAGCCCCCCCTGCCCTTCTTCCACCCACGAGTGAACCATCCGTCCACAGGGTGTGGCAATGGGTATGTCCATCGATTGGAGGCCGCATCATCATATGCTCAGCAAATACCCTGGCTCTAAAGCGGGATTCAACCACGGTCCGCCCAGTAAACTGAGTTGCAGCAGAGTAACGAGCATCTCGAACACGTCCAGTTGTTGACTCATTTGACCTAGGCCGGATAGCCTCATCATCCGAGTCATCTTCAGTCAGATCGATGAAAATACATGTTTCCAAATTCTGCGACCGAACTCTTTGAAAGTCTCCTGAGGTTTGAACACCCGCAGCGGATACGGGAGGTCTTGGAGGGAGGACAGCTTCAGTAGGTATGAGAGGATTTGAAGATAGAGCAGGTGTAGTGGATGATACGGTGGATGCATCAGGCTTCGGAGGAAGCGGATGAATTTTTTGAAGGATGGTTGGGCGGGCGGGTTGAGGGGTCAGAGGAGAAAGATACTGGGAAATGATTCCAGTGACGGGCTCAGGACGGATTCGCGAAACAGGCTGTAGCACAAACTGGGAGGTGACTTGAGGGAGGGACTGGGGGATTGCTTGGGTGATGCGATAAGTCTCAACTTCTGATTGTCTGTACCTCTCGGGTGAAGAATGAAAAACGCGATCCCTTTGTAGATCTGAAGCTTGACACATGACTCTTTTTTCAGTCCAAGATGCAGGGTCAGGGACTTCCAATCCAATCTGATGCTTACCTTGGATAGCCGGTTGAGGAACAGAGGCTTGGTGGATGACAACAGTCTGTTGGGAACCTACTCTCACGCTGGTGACTTGATCATAGACCCGGTTTTCTGACGCAGCCTCGGGCTCAGGCTCCGGAGTGGTGAGATCAATAACAATTTTCTCTCGTTCAAGTCTTCCTGGAGAGTAAACAGTGGTAGTGGAGGCTGTATCTGGCTGTTGAATCAGGGGAGTTCTGCTCCGGTAGTGTGTCTGTACTGGAGGTGGATCTGGAGAGGGGGATCTGGATCTTCGTCTGTGTAGTTGAGCGCGTTCTGTTTTGCTCATACGTGGGCGCTGAGGATATTTCACGCTGACATATTGATATGGAGGGATTCTTGGCTGTTGAGTGTAGGGCCCAGGATTGGAGCTGTTCTCAACGCCGGAATCCTGCGATATCATTGCGGGTAGCTTTTGGACATCCTCACCAGAGGTGGGATGGTAAAAGTACCCGGGCATGATGGCAGTATGCTTTCTTCTACATTGGGGGCAGTGAGAGGGAGATGTTGTGTTGAGGATCGAGTGGGGGAGGAAAGTGGAAGGAAGGTGAGCGGCGCGTTCAGATGTTGAGATCAGGCTGCGCAGGTATCAACGCGTTCTTACCACCTGGGCAGGTTTGTTTGATCTCAGTTTTAGGAAATACCTTGGAACCCACTCTTATCGCATACCTCACTTCTCTTTACGCCGAATTACTAGTATGGTGTAGATTCCTTCTGTGCTCTTTGAGTATATCTAGATCTTCTATACAGGTATAGCTTGACGTTCGGAAACAAGGGCATGGGAGAATGATGAGTCTTTTAGTAGAACTCGAGTAAGCCTCCTGTTAGTGCTGTAGATGATATTGAGTGTACTGCTAGATGCGTCTCTCTACGATTCCAAGGTTTTTAATAATACTACCTACTCATGCACATTTTGTAGTCTTATGTCTTACGGTGCAGGATCAGTCGAGCACCGGCGATCTAATATACCCCAGTAGACCCCTGGGCACTACGATTAGCACTTCCTAGCATACATACTATGAATGAATTGATAAAGTCTCTTGTTAAGTACAAGATGCAGCTTTGTATCACTAAAATCTGGCGATAAGGCATTCCTAGTCCAGTAAAGAGTCAATTTTCTTCCCATCGGCTTGTAGATGTTGTCTCGGTAGCTTTCCTTTTTGGCTACTCTAATTGTTGGTCGTTTGCTCCAGCGGCAGTTTCTTCATGCCTGAGTTCTTGGTGGACGAGATTGACATATTCCCACAGATCCTTCTCTGTAAAAGCAGATTCGTCATCCTCGATCTCCTGCATCGTGTATTTCCACCTCATTTTCAACACGGGCCTACTGTCTAGGCTTCCGATGACCTTCTTCATAACGGTGCCGGGACTCAAGGTGGGTGGGTGATAATTCAGACGTACAGCGGTGCTCATCAGATTATCAATGTAATCCGAGATGGACGGGAAGTCGGAGGGCGTCATATGAAACCAGTTCCAGATTTCTTCGCCGTCCGTAAAGGCGTATTTCCCTTCGACAAGTTGAACAATCGCGTTGTACGTGGTGTCGGTGAATAATAGCTTGTTTGGGTGTGTCCTTCGTTCCAATTGTTGTCGTAGATTGTCGCTGATATTATCCTTCATCCAGTGTGCCACTGCCAGTGATGTCTTCATCCAATTATAACCATTGTAAGCATCCGTCAGGGGGCGTGGGACTTGGGAATTGATAATGTCGATCAGGCCATCTTTGAGCAAATTGCCACGCAAGTCTTTGTCTCAATCATAAAACTGATCGTCGTTTTCAAGGGCCTTTCGTAATTTTCCGAGGGTGATAGGAGTGGCAGGCAGATAGTCTGCCTGCGTTCTGGTGGGGTCGGTAGTATTGAAAACCTCAGCTACTCAGCCGTCAGGGTCGTCGTGGTTGTTGATTACAGCCATGGCTCCTCCTGCTCACAACTTTAAGACTCAATGAAGGCAACTCGTTGCCAGGCTAAGATTAAAGTTTAGCTGAGATGAGTCTGTTGATCTCGTTTCACTTGGGGTCGGCTCAACGCAGGGAGTCAGCGAGATTCTTTTTTCTTTTTCATATCACGTTGCTCTTGGAGATGACCTCGGGAACCTTGGAAGAGTTATTCTTCAAGGTGTTGAGAATTTATAGTGGGAACAAGATTTGGGAACCGGGAGGTGTTATGGGGGAAGGTAAGGAGGAGAAGTTCACGTGTGGCCAGAGAGCTATCTAAACAGGCAGGTGTGCTGAACCCACGAGTCAAACAGACTCAAACAGACTCAAACTACCTGTTTAGGACCACGACCCACTACCTAACATCCATAGCCTCTTGAATGTTGCTTCCTGAAACAAGAAAGAACCATAGATGTGAGGCTAATGGGGTATGGAGGAAGGTAAGTGATCAATTGGCGTTTATCTACGTGGTGCATGGTCAATCAACACTGACACTCTAACAGTATCTAGAAATCCGAGGTGAGTATTGACAACAAGAGGCTCAATGAAAGCCAAGTACACAAACCACTCAACTCCAGGCCCTTGAAACATTTGTTTCTTTTTCTGACTTCTGTATATCGTCGTTATTACTGGCAGTCGTCTACTAAACCCCTATGGGCAAAGTAGAAGACTGTACGTAATAATTTCGAGTTGTCAACATCACATCAGATGGATGTACAAATGCTCGTATATCTCGTCCAATCATGTCACAGGGGAAACAGCAGCCTGTTGAGTGACTTGAGTCACTATTCATGCGCTCCTTATAGAAATTCTCCTATCTTGAATTCGAGTAAAGGTTCCTCGCGTTCATTATTCCCAGTGAGCTTATTCCTCTATTATATTCATCCTCCATCGCTCCATGTCTAACATTAAACTAAATGCAGGGACTCGGAGCAAAATACTTGCGATCTGCACATTCCGTATTCCGCACGGATGTAGCTAATCGGGACGCCACTTCATTGGACTCGTTACTTTCCGTGAAACCACCTAGCGCTGACATCTTGCAGCACAGTCTCGGATCCGGCAGAGTCTAATTGGTCATGAACCTCAGTGATAATGGGGCGAAAGTGGGGGCAGCTCCAACTGAGTACCCAGGTGAAATAAGCAAAAACAGGGTAACAAAACATTGAGGCATGAATGCCGACTCGGATTATGTGGTGAGTTTGAGACTCGTGCGGAGTTGAATCGCAAAATTCCACCCAGCTCTAGTCATCATCCTCATCTTCGGCCCGATTCTGGGAGATCTACTGGGAGTACTTGTATAATAATCTTCCGACTCAGACGCGATCAACCCGGACTACGAGTTTGGCATCATGGCGGATCCTGGAGATGCCCAGGTCGGCGTTCCGTCAGGGGAACCGCGAGCAAGAAGTGGTAAATTTATACTACATCCCTCCCGATCTTCCCTATATGTTGTATATTAAAATAATATTTTTGCAGTTCCCGTCAATGAGACACCTGAAGAATTGGAGAAGATCCGCTCCCAGCTCAGGGAGTTCATTATCAATGATTCTTATGCAGAGTTGGAAGCCTTGTTGGCATCTAGAAAAGATCTCCTCGAGACACCGATGGACTATGAGCTGACAGAAAATAAAGAGACAACAACACTTCACGTTACTCCATTGATATTCGCAGTTGGCCGGAAGAGGACGAGGAGTGTAGAGCTTCTCCTCAAAAACGATGTCAATGTGAAAGCGGAGATTCCAACCAAAGGGGGAACAGCTCTGCATATCGCTGCTAGATTTGGTCCTGCAGCGATTGTCGCTCTCCTTCTTGCCAAAGGAGCAGATAAAGATTTACAAGATAAAAATCTCTGGGCCCCTCTCCACTTTGCGGCCAAGTATGGCCATGTTCAGATCGCATCTTATCTCCTGGATGCCCATGCAAACCTCGGTGTTTGCGATGATAGTGGAAGCACCCCATTTTTAAGGGCTGCTAGTTTTGGATATTGGAAGGTCATGGAGGTGCTATTTGCACGAGGATCAAAAACTCAACTGGAGGACAGAAATAAATTCTCAAATCCACCAGTCTGGGTGGCGGCTTTGAATAATCACTTGGATACTGTGAAATGGCTGCTGGATGTTGGAGCACCCGTTGATCAACTGGGCGAGTCCGAGAGTACCGCCTTGCACAGGGCGTGTATGTCTGGTCATGTTGATGTCGCCCAGCTGCTCATCAAGCGCGGAGCAGATATGCACAAGAAAAATCAACATTCAAAGACTCCTCTGCTACTCTGTTGCTTGAATTCCCAGTTTGGAACTTATAATTTGTTGCAGACGGAGGGTATAGTGGTACCCTCAGAGATTGATCAAGCAGGCAACAACGCTTTTCATTCGGTCCTTCAATGCAAAAAGCCATTTGGAAATGGACAGGGCGAAATAATGAACAAGCTACTTGGTTTGGGGGTAGACATCAACGAAGCAAATTTTCTGGGACTCACGCCTCTGATGCGGTCTTGCAAAGACAGGAAAGTAGAGCATACAAAGCATCTACTGGATCTTCATGCTGATATCAACCACCGGTCGTTAAAGACACAATCCACTCCTCTCTTAGAGGCCTGCTGTAATGATAACGAAGAGCTCATCGAGCTTCTCCTGCAGCGAGGAGCTGATACCACGATGACGAATCGACATGGAATGAACGGCCTATTGTTTGCGTGTCTCAATAAATGGATCAAGAATGTGCGAGTTCTTATCTCTCATAATGTGGATGTCACTGCTCGAGATAATGTCCGGATGTCAGGGTTCCTGATTGCCGCCCGAGACGGCTCCGCTGAAATCGCACTCGAGTTGCTCAAAACCCAGGCGTACTTTCCCATCAATCCCCTTCAAAAGATGGCTTTCCGGGATGAATTTGATCATATCCGAGAAAAGGTGCTAAAAACTTTGAATTCGGGCTTTGATAAGAATTTGTACGAATCACAAGAGTCATTGCAGCCTGTTATGAACTGGGCTGTTGTCAATGGATGCTCGGATCTGATCAATATGTGCATTCAGAAGAACCCCAAGGCTCTCCAATGGAAACGAAGTGGCGCTTCATGGCTACACGTAGCCACTCAGCACAGTCAACGAAAGATCATGGAGGAGTGTCTTGCAAAGATCGATGCTTCTTGTGAGGCTAGCGGGGGTAGATCAGCTCTGCATATTGCAGTTTCAAATGATGATATCGAAACTGCAAAGGTTTTGCTTAATCTGATAGCCAGTCAAACACCTGAAAAGCCCTGGCGAGGCAAAGCCAGAGAGATTGTGAAATTGAATCATGATGATGAATCACCTCTCACTTTCTCTATCAGCCAAAGAAAGAAAGACCTTGAATCTTTATTCTGGTCAGAGTTGAAATCTTTCGGCAATATCGACCAAACATTCTATCAAGATCATCCTGCTGAGGCTGCTAAGATTCTCGACGTGTTAGCAGAATGGGAAAAACCAGGCAATGAAGTTCTGCTCGGACATCTTTTACAGCAATGGTTTCCTCGGCCAGCCAATCCTGCCTTGGATGCCACAAAGTGGACGACTCTTCACTGGGCAGTTTATCATTCTCAAGCCGTTGTGGTCTGGTGGCTTCTCTCAAAAAGAGGCTATGTCAGATGGAATGTCCTTGAAACCGCTCGGACTATTGTGCCAAATACTTCTGTCGGGAACTTGATCCTGAATCTTCTACATCATCCCCCTCCAGCGCTGGACAATGTCGCTAATCCGGCCAGTCAACCTCCTGCTCTTCCCACTGAGCCAACGGAGAGTGAAGATGCACTCAAGCGGACAGCTTCCATCGTTGATGTGTATTCAGACGGCACGAAGATTACCATCCCCCATGATACCCCTAGTGTTCGTGACTTGATCTACAAGCGGGGTCCTGACTCCATCATAATGGCAGCCAGTCAGTTGGATCAGTGTGATTTGGAAAACTTCAAGAGAGAATTCAAGAGGGCTAAAGCAAGTGAGAGAGGGGTATCCACCCCGACTGGTCTTCAAGTACCAGTATCCCCAACGATGGACAACGATAATCACGTAAAAGCCTGGTCAGATCGCACAGCAGGTAATCTCCAGTTACGTTGGATCCATCTGCCAGTCAACGATGTAAGATATACCCAATACTCTCAGCTCTCAGGTGCTCCGTCGCTAACAATAAATCTCCAGCTTCAACTTAGACGAGTAAGTCCAAAGAGAATGTGCACCTCAGTTCAGTTTCATCCTAACATCCCCGAAGGACCTTGTCACGCGACTATCCCATGACTCAAGTCATCTCGAAATGGACAATCAAGCTATTATGAGACTGTTTAATCGAAGCTGGACAGAGTTGGCAGCTGGTGGGCAGAAGCGCTATATGAAGCCGCAGTGTCTTGTGGGTGGTCTTGTCTCCGTCAACTGTATCTCCATTAGATACTGACAAGTTCATGCACAGCGCGATAAAATCAAACTTTCAACTGGTCGTAAAGACTGCATGGCCATCTATGTAAGAAATTTATCTGACAAAATTTTCAATTAACGCTGATATAGATAAATTATAGATGCCATATATCAAGTTGGGTGAGTATGTACAAAAGCTCAACCAAGCCAGTTCAAGCCCAGATGCCTCTGCTCTTGGCGCAGCCGTCAATGATGCTGGAGCGCCGGGTAGTTTTGAAGAATCGATCAATAGTAGGAATTTGCGACGGATCATCCATCACCCCATGACTCTGGACCAGTACTACTATCCGACACTTTCCAATACCGATCAGCGAGATGACGATCAAGTGCTTTCCAAATACATTGAGACTCAACAAACAAAAGAGCTTCAGGGAAAACAGACTACGAAAGAGAGACCACAGACAGAAGCAGAACGAACTGGCAAGAAGAAGATTCTAACAGTGGATCAACTTTGGATATGGATCATTGACGAAAGTATGGATAACAGATGCCAAATATGACGAGGACTTTACTAACAGTTCTTCAGAGACAATCATCACAAGCACTACTGAGACTTCTGATAAATCCGATCCTAGCAGTCTATTCCAGAATGCTCTCGATAACATTCGATACGGAGAAAGCAAGAGTCGTTTTGAGCGACCCACTACCGTCGAAGCCGTCATGGAACTAATCCTAGGCGTCGCAACCGGGTTCTTCATGCAAAAATGCGTAAAAGTCACCGAAGGAATGAGAAAGGCTCCCACAGAAGTGTTCCGCGAGTCAATTCGAGAAGTGGTTCGTATACCTACCAAGTAAAGTCACTAGTACGAATACTTATTCAACGCGATACAGGCCGACGAAGAGATTCACACATTCAGAGACTTCCTGAATGACCTGAGAGCACAAACAGAAAAACGACAAATCAGCAGAGAAAAGTCGTCAGGTGCATCTTCTATCCGAGAAACTCCTCAGAATCCCTATCACATCATTTCTGATGAGACGGAGCTACTCGATAAGATACGAGACATTCGTGATGAGCTTCACATGCTTCGATCTCTAGCAGAAGACCAGGAAGTTGTTTGGAAACAAGCATTTGAGACCAGTGAGCTTCGAAACTGCTTCCAGTATAATCATCCCTGCACGCCTACGGAAGTAAAAAGAAGTTTGGATGATATGAATTTGGAAGCAGAGACGACCCATAACTCCGTACGTACCACTTCGCACCCTCAGATAGGATTCTAGTTTAACGGGAGACTATAGATCAGTACGCTTCTTGACCTGAGACAAAAACAAGCTAGTCTTGTTGAAGCGGAATTCGGACACTTGCAAGCAAATGATACGGCCAGACAATCAAACAGTGTTTTTGTCTTCACCGTGATCACCATTATTTTTGTATGACAACCTACACTCAAACCCCCACCATTTCCTGCGGTGTACTAACTACTTGTGTTCTAAGCTTCCGCTCTCATTCCTATCATCCCTGTTTGCGCTGAACATTACCGATTTCCCTCATGAAGGAGGTATCTTGACATATCAAGGATGCTGGATTTTCCCGATTCTCTGTGAGTCCTCTCAAAAACACGAGTTAGACCATTTACTTACACAGTTTCAGTTGGAACTACGGCTATTGTTTCAGTACCGGCTATCTTCTTTGCTTGGAAGGTAAACTTGATTCGGGACTGGTTTAGATCTCAAGCACCGAAGGAACCGACAACAATCTCAGCAAACGCAGTGCTACCGCCGCTACAAGGTCGGGATCCAGAAGGCGAGTCTCGAAACCAGTCCTCAGGAACGGAGGGTAGTATCTTGGAAAAGCTGCCGGAAGCAGGGCTATATGAGAAATTGAGGCGACATTATAAGAAGCGGACAGAGGAACTCGTGTGATAGAGTTAGGGGCTTGTGATAATTCTAGTCATCGATTGATTGAACTAAACTAAACTATACTAAATGGCGAGCTATCTGTATATCGTGAACCCGCATCAGACATGACAAGACTCATTAATTAAAGTGGACAACGAATGTGCAATCCAAAAACAGGAAACCAAACCAACTTGCAGGATATAGCAGGGTATTGCAGACCAAAATCAAAAGAACTGAAAAAGGGCGCAACGCCATGACACCATTTTCCATAAATCATCATCATAACACACCAACCACCCAAAAGACGCCAAACTGAAGTCAAAATGAAAGAAATGAAAACGCCAATATTAATGCAATGCAAGAGATGACAACTATGAATCAGCCTTGTCCTCTTGAGAGGGCACCGACTCTGTCACCTCATCATCCCTCTCGACAGACTTCTCCTCAGGAGCAGGAGGGAGAGCCGTCTCAAGAAGCGAGGCAATGGAAGTAGAGATCTCAGGTGAGACAGAGATAGCCTGGGCAGGGAGAGCAGATTTCTTCTCAACATGATCATCATCATAGATGACCGCATAAGAGAAAGCATTACAATCCTCAGGATAATAATCCGAAGCCGCAAGTTCACCCAAAGGCGCACGATCCTCGTCCATTTTCTCCGCCTTGCGTGCAGCTGCAGCGGCCGCCAAGGCAATTGATTCAGGGGAGCGGGGTAAGTCAAGACCTAGTTCAGAGGGGGGCACGTTCTCCTTGCCTCGGCCATTAGCATCCGAGACCTTACCCTCATCGTCACTGATATCCAAAACACCAGTGGAGTGTTGCATGAGGTTTGTCATTTCCTCTTGCTCTGAGTCAACGTGGATATCAAAGAACCAGCCACTAGAAGCATTGGACTTGGGCTTTGGAGCTGGAACCTTGGTCTGTGCGAGAGCCGTTGCCAGAGAGAAGGGACGAGCAACTGCTCGTCGGGCAGACTCAGGTCTTGACTTTGTGATAAGTGATCTGCGACCGAAGGGCTTCAGAGACTTTGTAGGAGTGCGACCAGCGGGTTTGAGGATAGGTGCTGACTTAGGTGTAGCAGCAAAGGTCTTCAGTGGGGTTGAGATGTCTCGAGGAGAGAGGTTTGATGGTCGGGTAGTAAGGGCGATACGGGAGGTCTTGAGAGACTTGGGAGAGCCCTTTGAGATCTCATCGTCATCGAGGTTACGCTTGCGCTTGGCTGATAAGCTGCGAGTATATGGGTCGATGTTCTCGGTATCCTCGTTAATGAGGATGGAGCTTTTTTGGGATAGGATGGCACCTAGAAAGGTTGATACGTCAGCTTTGGCTTCGGCGGGATATCAATCAAAACAAAGGGGTTTGATGCATACCACTTTGCACGTTCTGGCGATTTAACTTGGCTCGCATGATCGGTCGCATTCGCGGGGTATCCAGACTCGCGAAAGGCTGACGAGTGGGTGTCATGGTGAGAGTCGCCATCGTGTAAGAAGTCAAGCGCGTGAATGGGTTGTTTTGGCGTTGCGGACGCTAAGTGGGGGAGTTGATTGGCGGACTACGCTCAGACTCGATCGTAGAATTATAGATCGAGATAGAGAATTTTGGCCTGTTCTTGATTGTGATATGATAATCGAGAAATGATTATCGAGTTGACGTTTTAAAAGGGATGAATATTGGAGAATCGGAGGAGAGGGGAGAGGATGAGATGGATAGAGTACTAGTTCGTACTCAATAGAGACCTCTTGAGAGAGGGAGATGGATAGATATAGGGATATGAGGATATTGAAAAGATAAAATTAATGTATCAGAATATGATATAAGATATACGGTGTACAAGGGTTTCTGACTAGGAAAGAGAGTAAGGAGGTTGATGGGGATGAAGGGTGAAGGGGGGGGGGGAGGGAAGATATCAAGTACACTCTCAACACGCGCTCTGTCTCGCGTTCCAATGCAAGGCTTCCTTGAACGAGGCGATTGGATCATACCAGACCCGAAGTGGCGCTCATGCATGAACACAATCCAATTATACCCTTGGATACCATGTATGCAGTAGTCACAGTTACCGGAATGCGGGACGCGACATGACATTCTTAATTATAGATGAGTCTGTCAAAAGAGAGATGAAGTATGATATACTACTTTATAGTATAGGAATCTCAAATTGCTACAGAGATGATGAATAGTTCTATGAAAAGCACTTGATAAAATACATTAATAGACTCCCAATTCAGATCAAAGTGGAGTTCAAGTTAACTCCTTTCCGACGCGTCAAAATGAGTAAAAGTACCCGGTACCTTAACCAGTTGGCTCCTTTAATACCAACCCACTCCATCCTTCATGTACCCAATACATCTACGCGCGACACGCTCTCGCGTTCAAAATTTCCCCTCCCTTACGGATTTAGTACGCGAACTATAAGCCCCGATTGCCAACGCATCCATTCTCCATTGGCCCCGAGATCATTTCGGTTAATGAACGAAGCACCTTGAAACGATGGGTTGCAAATGGTGCACACCGTGTTTGAGTGGTGCAGGTTGGAAGCATCTCTGCCTATTTCTAGTGACACATGAGACCGACCTATAGTCATAGTTGCATCAGTTTACCCCAGACTAAGAACCTAGAACCAGGGAGACTAGTAAGAATAGGAGTTGGAGTTCGCGATGCAGGATGTATGGCCCATGAGGCAGAAGGCTGGACTCCTGGAGAATGCGATCTGCCAACCTCCCGTTTCCCTAGGTGTCAGGTATCTAGGCGCTGTAAAACTTGAATGTAGAGGATGGGAGGAATTCCGAATTACCTGCATAAACCTGCACATGGGCGCGTTCAAGTTCCATGTAAGTCTTTTTTTTACGCGCCTCGTGGGCTGGGAACGGAATTGGCCCCCTTTTACTCGTCATGATCCAGCATTTCGCCTATTGCACATACGGACCACCGTACAGTGCATTCCTCACGTTAGATCCCTCAGCTCTGACCCGGGCGCCACTGTCCGTGGCCTAGACTTACTTTATGGGGGAATCTACAATGCTGATCGAGGAACGAGGGGGCAGAAGGTTTAATGATTCTATTATCGATCATGCTTGTCCACTCATGGTATATGGGTTGACTCGATATGGCGAGGATGCCCGACCATTACAGAGTTCGTACACATATCCGAGTCCTGCTCTGCATTTCAAAAGCAAATTGTACTAATTCATTCATTTGTCTAGGCTCGTTCATGCGCTTAGAAATACATACTCGTAGCACATCCAAATGCACCGTAGAAGGATCATCGCAAGTGTAGTTATTCCAAATAACATGAAATCATGATCATGATCATCCAGTTCATTCACAGCATACCTTTAAATCTCATCCTCAAACGGGATGCTATCCATGGCACCCTGTCGCTCCACAGCTCGAGCGGACGCCCGCGCAGCCAGCTGCATAGCCTCGTCCATGAAGGTATTGTACCGATGCGGCTTCTCGGCATCCGTAATATCCTGACCAGACTTTCCTTCCACACGGCGCTGTTCACGCCACCTCGCCACCTTGACTGCATAAGCCCCCACAAATGTATCACCCGCTGCAGTAGTATCCAACACTTTAGAAACAGGGGCAGCGGGGATCTCGTTCGTGAAGCGTCGGGCTCCATCACTGGGCCCAGAAGTACCTCCATCTGTAGCACTGTACCAAACACCCTTTGCTCCGAGCGTAATCAGAACATACGTGACGCCCAACTTGTGGAAGTAACGTGCCACCTTCTCCTTACTCTCCAGCCCCTTCGCTTCGGGAACAACGCGAAGCAATTGCTCCATAGGCGGTGTCATTAGCTCTGCTTCAGTCTCATTTAGGATCAAATGGTCCACGGCGTAGTAAACATCCTCAGGAAGACCGCCTGGTGGCGCAGGAGCCGGGTTCAGCATCACATCAGGACCACGCTCAATGCCTCGCTTGCCAGTTGTGCGGTTCTTCGTCTTGAATGTCGCCACCTCACGGAGAATCCAGATAACCGTATCGACGGGTATCTCTCCCTGCATGACAATCACATCCGGTACAGGGGCCGCAAGTGCGGCTCCTAGTACCTCGGGGATAGGCTGCATACCCTGATAGTTTGCACCGGGGGAGAACAAGATGCGATTCTCGCCGCCAGCTGAGGAGTCGACAATAATCACTGCCACACCGGTATAAGCATCTTCAATGATTCGCACGCGTGAGGGGTCGACGCCGGATTTCTCGAGGGTTGGCTTAAGGAGCGCGGAGAAGTGGCCATCCAAACCGCCAACAGCTCCGACCATTTCGACAAGTACATCACTTGAAGTATTCAGACCTGTTGCATCTGATTGGGGCTTGGATCGTGACATGCGGCCACATGCGACGGCTTGGTTGGCACCTTTGCCACCAGCGCTTTGGAAGTAGGATGAGGCGGTGATGGTCTCGCCGGGGAATGGGAAACGAGGTGTCACGGACACCATGTCGGCATTGAGGGAGCCAATGACTCGGATAAGAGGGGCCATGGTGATTATTTATGAGAGGAGGTAGTTGGTGGTCTTTTTTTCTTTAAACTTGGCCAGCTTTCAAGCTTGTGGTAAAATTGGAGTCGAGTCGGTGAGCTGTCGTAAGTGGGGATGTCGGTGTGGGGTAAGGAGCTCAATTGGGTGGGTACACAGGTTAATTGGGAAGAGGAATGGAACGGCGATCCGCTATGAGTAGGTAAAGTCGTGTAGAGTGTGTATTCGTAAATTTGAGTGGTTGCGTGAGCTGAACAGTGGGATGAGGAGTTTAAGTTGAATGACATTGAGTTCCGCGGGGCCATTCATATGGTGGAGCACACTATAAGCCCCACGATTCCAACCTTGGAAGGTCCGGGGTTCGACCAAATCATTTTTACTACCAAAACTTGTATCTCATTCTATCGTCTTAGAATAATGTAATATTGGATTTTATTCAAGTTCGTTTAGATTACAGGACGACAGGTGCTCCTCATGCAGAAACTTGAATGGCCAGATAGATACTACTAGCGGATTTCATCTCGATCGATATGCTGTCAAATGCTATGTAGTGAAAAATTAAGCTGGAAGCAAGAAACAACAGTTTGCTAGTACCATATGTTATCTCCCTCATTCATAATCATCCTCATCCGAGTCGTCATCATCATCGTCATCTTCATCTTCGTCAAAAGCATCGCCATCCTCTTGATCCGGTCCATCATTTGCCTCATCCTCAGCAGCCTCCTGAGCAGCCAAAGCAGCAGCAACCATCTCAGCCCTCTCCATCTCTTCCTCTTCACCCTCACTCTGTTCCATCTCATCCATATCTTCCTCTCTGTCTTCCTCGACTGCCTTTCTCTTCTTCGAAGTTGTCGCATCTTCGCTCTTGTCCTCCATTGGATTCTTTGAAGTCCCAGTCTTCCTACCAGTTCCACGAGACCAAACAGGGGAACTCCTAATAACAGCTCGAATCTCTGTTGCCAAAGAAACCTCCTTGGGCGATGAGTTCCTGATATCGAGCTGACAATCGGTCATGATCTCATTTTCCGTATCGACGAAGTTCGGGAAATTAGCGATCGTCCAGAAATCATCATTTGTAGGTTCTTGGCCATCAATCAGAGAAGCAATCTTAGTGCGCATGATGACCTTCACTTTGGCCAAAAGACCATTACCGAACCAACCGTCTGAGACCGGTTCACATGTTTCCCGGAGATAAGGACCTTGGTCAAGTATTCTTGGGTCTTTGTTCTCGGACGGGAAAAGCAGGCCTCTAATTAACGGGTCAACAATATCGCAGATCATCCAAATCCGACCGTCTGCACGAATAGGCAAGTTTCCCGTGAAGATATAGCTGTCCCTCGTTTCGCTCACTGGAAGAACCTCAGGATCTAACCGTGTCCAAGGATTTCGTCGACTACCACTATCACGATCCAGCTCGGCTTCACGGGGGAGAAGACGGAACATGAAAGTCTGGTACTTTCGGTACTTAGGATCAGTGCGTGGGTCGAGCCCCAGCTTGACGATTGCATCACGCCATGGCCCGGCACGGAAGATGTATCCCACGTAAGGAATTGCAAGACGAAGAAGGTAGCGCTGCTCATCTGATTCAAGATGATTGCGGATTGCGCGGCGAGTCCAGGCTGGTCGTTGATCGAAGAGCTTTCTCAATAAAGCAATCGTTGCGCGCAGACCAATATCAAGAGTATCGATTGGTGGGAGACTCTCTTGAGGCTTGCTGGGAACTTCAGTGACATCGTGTGAGATGAGATGGGTGCGAACTTTCTCGGCTTGTTGGGTGTTCACTGTGATCATTTGGCCAGACTCGCCCATTGTCTGTTTGACACCTGGGTTTTGGCGGTACCTGAGCATCGGTTAGATATCAGAATTGCTTTTATATGTTTCTTTATAGAGGAGTGTTTCAGCTTATACATACATATAGAAGAATGGGATTCGTTCGTTGCTCAGCGAGGGTGGCGGAATGAGATCTGCGTTTGTTGTAGCGCCTTTCGCCATGTCGATATCGAATCCCTTCAATTTTTCCACTATTTTTGCATTAGATTTCTTATTCATATGTTATTTTTCATTTGACTTACAATCATAGGGGATGATATGATCTCGAAACTTCTGGGTGAACACGCTGTTGGTGGTCGAATGAACAAATTCCGGCATGTCTATCAGATGTCAATTTTTGTGACCAACATTGAAGATGAAAGACATTATCATTGTCTCAATTGCATGAACTTACTGCGAAACACATGAGTGCGCCCAACCTTCCCAATCGGTTCGATCTTATACTTGGAAGGGTTGTCACGCAAACAGTGCATTAGTTCCTTTGAGCTCTGTCGCTGAGAGTTCGAGGCATCTCCCGGGGTGGGAACAGTAAACGGCTCGTTAGAGCCTCTCTTGCGTTTTCGGCCAGTCCGCTTTGGTACTGTGATCTTGAGCAGGAGGTTGTTAGTTGCGCTGCTAGTGGACATCAAGGGTCGCGACAGAGCATCTTCCGGTCGCAAGACTAATCTAGCCGCAGTCTCAGGCCTCCTTGGGTTCATAAACTATTTTCAGATTAGTCATTGCGCGTATGTTATTTTCACAATATCACTCTTCTTGCTCACAGTGTTGATTCCTGCATTGCCCCCCCAGGGTATCCACAGCCTTTTCAAGGTTTCGAATCACCGCAGGGTGTTCCACGCTGACCAGACGCCTTGATGGTAGGTGGTATGTAGGGGCTGTTCTTGCTTCTCGAACAGAATCCATTTCTTCTGTTTGTAAATTTGTGCGGTTGGTGTGCTTTCTAAACGGTTGGCGTTGACCAAGTTCCAGGCCAATGAAGTTCCAAGTTGGTGTGAGAGCACCTGGGCAGCTTGCAGATGTGTTCTTCTGCCGTGTCCGGTTCTCTTGTTATCGCGTTGGTTCTCAGAGCCCTCCCACAAGTCTCTTATCTCTCACTCAATCAATAAATGCTCAGTTCAAAATCATTGATGACAGTCCTATTCTCCTCTATTACGTCTTTCATTCTTCAAACTGAGCGGCTTTGGAGAAATTGGGATATGCTGACTAATCCTTCCATTTTGCGCGGGATTTGAGACGTCGTAAATGCGATATCAGCCGGCGGCGATATGCACATGGATTGTGGAGGAAATTGCCTCAGGCTGAAGGTATTTATGATCACGATCCTCTTTCGTTTCAATTTTTCATTTAAGTCATTTTTCTCTGTCTTTGAGAGCTATAATAGTAATTAAGAACTTGAACAATCTGGCATATCTGAATCCATCTGAGATACGTCTACAGATAAAAGTATATATCTTGGCCTAAGCTTAGCGTCCCACTCTCTGTATTGCCACCTGCCTGTGGACACGCAGGTTTAAGCTTATTTATAGCCTTGAAGCTCTCTAATAGCCAGAATGACTATAATTTTTGAAACAATAATATTCTTCCTACTAAAATCACAATTTAAATTATCTCAAAATGGGAGGTCAACTTCTAATATTCTTCGTACCCCTGATAAACACGTGATCCATGACATAAGCGTCAAGAAGCGGGAAAACACATACAAGCAGAGAGAGAGAGACCGAGGGGGCGAAGAAGATCAGTAATTATAGACTCACTGGATCATTTATCTTCGTGACTGGATTTCATCCATACAGTTCACAAATCTAGTAGAACCATTAAATAGACTATTTATTATAGTTTGTAATGAGATTATGTTTTAAGCCCCAAAATGAGACTATATAATAGCCCCTCCCCTATATCACCATCACACCCAGGAGAACCCGCCTTTCGACTCTACACCCGCCTCTCCCTCTTCAACCTCCTACTCAACCACGTCACATCCAACGTACGCCCTTGATTTTTTGATTCTCATATCCCTGCTGTGATCTATCTTCAAATCAGCTGACCCAGAATTTGGTCGTGGGTCTACAATCGGGTGGCTCTGGCGCTTTCGAGGTCCCCCCCCCCCGCTCCCAGCCTGCCACTAAGCGACACGGAGTTCCTTCTGAGCGGATCAAGCAACGTTCACCCCATATCGACCTCCGTCCTGCCATTTTGTCTACTTCATCTTTGACACGTCAATTGTTCTATCTTAAGCCAACAGAGGTATGTCTTGTTTACTGTTCATGGTCGCTTGACCTTTTGCCTCCCAAAATATCCAAGCGTCTTGCCCCGTGCGGTGCGCGTACTGCGACATCGCCCGTTCGGGGCGGTCGACAGTGGCCGTCATTGAGGCTCGACTAGACTGGATTAGAATATATGGAATCCAATCGCATATACCCTCTCTACACTACCGATGAATACTCTACTTGATTCCCCATGACCAGAAGTGCTCATTTGTTCTCCTTACTAGATCTCAATCGATACCAAACACCACTTCCCCCCTCGTCGTCTCAGTCGAGCCGCTCTGGCGAGAGTGCAGCGCCTTGGCTGCACCGGCACCGTGAACCTTAGCGGAGTACATGTGGCTTTCTTCACACAGCGGTGAAAATGAAGGGTTTCAGACAGAGAGTGGTAGGTTACCTTACTCCGTGTGCTCCTCACCGCACGATCATTCACCCCCCTCTGCCCCCACCATGCAGGTGGTCGATTTTCCATCCCCCTTACTCCCATATAAGCTAATAAATTCCACCTATTGATAGCATGAGCAGCTTTCGCGGGCGAAGGACAATAAATCGTCCAAGAAGAAGGATTCATCCAACTCTACACCACAGTCCCTTGGAGTCAACCCTACACAGCAGTCGGCATCCCCGAACCAAGGTACCCCGACCTCCTCAACAACCTCTTTGAATGACACACGAGGAAAATCGCCCGAGAATGCATCTCCAGCAGGAACTCCCTCGGGAGGCGCCGGCGCTCCCGCTCAACACTATATAGCGCAGGGGGCTGGAGCGGCCGGTCAGCCAGTGAACAATGGCCCAGGCACCCCGACAAGACAGGGCCAGCCCATAGCCCCCAGTGTGGTCATTAGTCCTAGTGGTCCTGTAAGCTCATGATGCCCGAAACGTATATCCGCTTCCACATTATACTAACTGAATTGCTTTTTTCTCCCCGCAGCATGCCCCTCCTCCAGGTGCCGCTGAGACTATGCCTGGAGATTTGGCGCCCCCGCGGAAATCTCATGTGTTCGACCGTCTTCAAACCACCCCCAAGGACATGTCGGAAGGAATTCGGACCCCCAAACGCCAACACTCATCTCGATTTGATATCTCAGACCAGCGTCAGCGAGAGTTGGAGAAGCTGCCTGGCTTCCATGAGGTTGCCCCGAACCGCCGTCAGGACCTTTTCATGCAGAAGATCGATCAGTGCAACATTATTTTCGACTTCAATGATCCTACCGCAGATATGAAGTCCAAAGAGATCAAGAGGCTGGCTCTCCATGAGCTCTTAGATTACGTCGCCAACAACCGATCCGTGATCACCGAACCTATGTACCCTCGTGTTGTTGAAATGTTTGCAAAGAACCTATTTCGCCCAATTCCCCCGCCTATGACACCCCAGGGCGAGGCTTTTGACCCGGAGGAAGATGACCCTGTTTTGGAGGTGGCATGGCCTCATATTCAGGTGGTCTATGAGTTTTTCTTGAGATTTATTGAGAGCCAAGATTTCAACACGAACATTGCAAAGGCATACATCGATCATCAATTCGTTCTTCAGGTATTTAAATCATTTTCTCGGGATTGCAATTGTCGGAGATCTCTTATGGCTAACATTCGGCCGTCACAGTTGCTGGATTTGTTTGACTCGGAGGACCCACGGGAGCGTGATTTCCTCAAGACTACATTGCATCGTATTTACGGCAAATTCCTGAATCTGCGATCATATATTCGCAGGTCCATCAACAACGTTTTCTTCCAATTTATGTATGAAACTGAGAGACACAATGGCATTGCTGAGTTGTTGGAGATTTTGGGCTCTATCATCAACGGCTTTGCCCTTCCGCTGAAGGAGGAGCACAAGCTCTTCTTGACTCGGGTTCTTCTTCCCATGCACAAGGTAAAGAGCTTAAGCATGTACCACCCACAACTGGCCTATTGCATTGTTCAGTTCTTGGAGAAGGACTCAACTCTCACAGAAGACGTACGCATTCATCCTACCCCCAGCTCTTTTGATTTACGCAGACTAACTCAGTTTTAGGTCGTTCTTGGATTATTGCGTTACTGGCCGAAGACGAACAGCACAAAGGAGGTCATGTATCTCAATGAAGTTGAGGACATTTTCGAGGTCATGGACCCTGCCGAGTTTGCTAAGGTGCAAGAGCCTCTCTTCCACCAATTAGCCAAGTCGGTTGCCAGCCCGCATTTCCAAGTCGCCGAACGTGCTCTGTACTTCTGGAACAATGAGTATTTCTGCAACCTTGTCAGCGATAATGTGGAAACCATTCTTCCAATTATGTTTGCTCCCCTTTATGAGAACTCCAAGGGTCATTGGAACAGGTATGTGTCAACCTTGCGGACATCATTGTTAGATAACCAACTAAGTCGACTCACTTTTTTACTAGGACTATCCATAGCATGGTTTACAATGCGATGAAGATGTTCATGGAGATCAATCCTCAGCTTTTCGACGAGTGCTCCCACGAATACACCGAACACCAGAACAGTGCAGACCAACGTGAGAAGACTCGACAGGATCGATGGGACTTGATCGAGCAGCGAGCAAAGCGACAGAATGGTGCCCCAGTGCTGCCATCGGCTCCCAGCCTCAATGTCCCCGAGCCCATCGATGAGGTCGAGGCCATGACCAATGAGAGCCAGAAGCGATTGAATAACCTGAAGCTTGATGAATCTGAAACCTCCAAGGAGCGACCTCCTCGGGAAGGAACTCCGGTGAGTCCTGTGCAACTATAACATTGCATTGAAGCTATCCAGATCACCGCATCCCTTCCACTTTGATCCTATGCGCTTCTCTATCTTCTTTTTTCTTTCAATACAACCCTGGATTCGTTACCCTTGAATGTCTGTCCCTTGCTAAATGACCATTTCCGCCCATGTACAGCCAGCGTGATTCTAACGTGGAAACGTCCGTTTGCTCCAGACACGACGCCGTGGCTCCATTCGTGGTTCTCGGAGACGACGCAGTGGCAGCGGTAGTGAAATTCGCCCTCGACGACGCTCGGTCGGCAGCGGTACCAGTGCAACCAATGTACAGATCCTACATCGAAGCAACTCTACCAAATGATTTTTTCTTGAAGTGATTGGAGGCTCGTGCGGTGATGGATATGTGAATTTCCGTTGATTTTCTGCAACCAAATGGCATAGCGAACACGGGCTGCAACGATTTTTTTTGTGTGATTTTTGACTTGCCCGAATGATGCCTATTGTGCCTCTCCATATTTTTCTTTTCCTTGCCTTACTCTTAGTTTACTTTTCCTTCCTTTCTCTTATTTGTGTACATGGATTTCTTTGAAATTTCCCCTTCGGTGATCAATTGGCCTTGGTCATGATCAGTGAGCGGACCTCTGAGTTGGATCCCGTCTTAGAACCGTGTGCGGGTATGGAAAATGGGTGCGAATGGCGTTTTAACTTGCCAATCTATGATTGGCAGCTTTTTATTTTGTTGCCAGAATTCATTCTAGACCACTGCAGTACCGAAGACATAATATCGCCTTGGTCAAGACTTTTTGACAATCGTAGTTCCACTAGTATTTATTTCGTCCTCTTCAAGCTCAGGCCGCCGGCATTACATGAATACATGAATACATACATACTCAAATTGTTGGAACCAAGACTTTACATTAGTGTACCTGCCACATGGCTACCTACCTAGGTCCCTGGGCAATAACATTTGAACCATGACTGTCTCAAGTGCTGGGTAGCAGCATCTTTCATAGTAGTAGTTATAGATAATAGTAACATGAGTGTTCCAAAATTTCGAGCTTGGAGCTCCTTTAACCTGCTTGAAACCTTTCAACTCCAGATCCACAGGTCTTTCAAAGTTCAAGTTGGATTCAGTCTGAAGATATATCAGGGTGGATAAAAATACGCCATGCCGGATGCTGGCATATCACCGTGACGGGGATCATGATGCTACGTCACCAACTTGAAGGTTGGAAGTCGTGACTGGGAGGGCTTTGGGAATCTAGACTGAATGTTCTGATCCTGTGATTGAGTTACAAACTTGAATGAATTCTTTGATTCAACTTGAAAGAGTCCTGAGGTATACTCTGTATACACTTCGTAAATCATTAGCCGCGCGTGTACTCGTTTACTAGACGCGTGTGCCCTGGAACGGATGAACCATATGGGGATAGATCACGTGCCTTTTCAAATAGGCTGGATCACGTGCCTTTCTAAATAGGTTGAGTTGACTGACGATATAGTCTATGGTTTCTTGATATGAGGAAATATTTTCATCAGATTAAGTTATTGGTCACAGTGTAGCTAGTTTGTTTTATCTTTCATACACTCTTCTCATATAATATAATAATTATACCGGAAATTTGCGCTTTCAGTAGGAGACTTGCCGCCTGTTTTACTAGGCGCCTTACTAGGCGCCAGTTGCTATACGGATCAACGTTAGCCCGAATTTCCTAAAGCGGACTAGCTCGCGTCTGCTTTCTGTCAGGCCAGGGCCCCAAGGTCTCGCGCGCTCTGCGGTCTCCGATTCTAACACCCTTCTCTTACCTCCTCTCTCTTCCCCCACGGGGTTCCTTAAACTCGCCTTTTTTCTTACCTGTCCATTCTCTCCTTTAAATGGACTAAGCTTTCTTTCTATTTCGCAATTAAATGACCTGACGAACGACTCCTACTTCCTCCCCGTCTCCGTTCGATCTTTTCGAGATATTGCACGAGCCAGTTGAGCTTCACCCGCAATCCGCGATCCCGCACATGCTACCCCGATTTTGATACCCAGAACGTCGCGTGGGCTGGAACAATATCAGCCGGCCACCGGGCCTGGCCGTAATTGCGATTTCATTTCCTTCGCTGGCCCTTCTGAGAGGGTTTGATTGCGCCTATCATGGAGCGGAACATCGATATCTATGCCACCAAGTTGGGTGATGAGAGGCTGGGTATGTCACGAAAGTGGAAGAATTGCTGATCCCATACTTCTCAAGTTGACTTTAATTAACCCTCTTTTGGCGCAGATGTGAAAGTGCGAGCGAATGTCGCGACCGAGCTGCGAGACAGCATTGAACCATTATGCTCAGGCGCAAACTACCCCATATTCCTCTCTAAGCTATGGCCAGTCTTCAAGACTATCCTGGGTGGAGACCCCGTCTTTTTCAGCATGTCATACGAGCAGGTGAGTTAGATGGATTGAATAATTGAAGGCGCATACGACCCCGATGGATGCGCCCCTCTGAATACAAATGACTTTCTCACACATGCCCAGAAACTTCGCAATTGCATTCTCGAGACCCTTCACCGATTGCCGACAGCTTCGCCCGACGTTGAACCTTACGCTGCCGACATGGTGGACCTGCTTATGGAACTTGCACGAATCGAGAACGAAGATAATGCGGTCTTATGTATGAAGACCATCATGGATCTGGAACGCAATCAAGCGAAAGCAACTTCCGCACGAGTGCAACCTTTCTTGGAACTTATTCAAGAAATGTTTCAGACAATGGAACAGGTCGTCCGTGATACCTTTGATACCCCCACACAAGCAACTCCGTCTGGCATGCCATCGACACCAAACGCGAGCGTCCAGAACTTCCAATCACCGAGACCCAGTTCACCCGCAACATCCGTTTCAGATCTAGGCCCCGAGCAACAATCTAGCAATGTTATCTTGAAAGGCATGCAGTCATTCAAGGTTCTTGCAGAATGCCCGATTATCGTCGTTTCAATCTTTCAGACTCACCGCGCCTCGGTTGCCGCAAATGTCAAGTTGTTCGTGCCTCTCATTAAGACCATTCTGCTTTTGCAAGCGAAACCTCAAGAGAAGGCCCACGCAGACGCTGCCGCGCAAGGAACCATCTTCACCGGAGTTTGCAAAGAGATCAAGAACAGAGCTGCATTCGGAGAGTTTATCACTGCGCAAGTGAAAACAATGAGCTTCTTGGCTTATCTCCTCCGTTTGTATGCCCACCAGCTCCAAGATTTCCTCCCCACTTTACCATCTGTTGTGGTTCGTTTACTTCAGGACTGCCCACGTGAGAAATCTGGCGCTCGAAAAGAACTTCTTGTTGCCATTCGACACATCATCAACTTCAACTATCGCAAGATATTCATTGAGAAGATTGATGAGCTCCTGGATGAGCGAACTCTCATTGGTGACGGCTTAACGGTTTATGAAACGATGCGTCCCTTGGCCTACAGCATGCTTGCTGACCTCATTCACCACGTACGTGACCACCTTAGTCGTGACCAGATTCGCCGCACGGTTGAAGTCTACACAAAGAATCTCCATGATGATTTCCCTGGTACTAGCTTCCAGACGATGAGTGCTAAGCTGCTGTTCAACATGGCGGAGCATATCTCTAAGCTGGAGGATAAGCGCGAGGCTCGCTATTTCCTCATCATGATCTTGGATGCTATTGGTGACAAGTTCGCTTCCATGAACCACCAATTCAACAATTCCGTTAAGGTATCCAAGGCCAACAAGGACACGCGGAAGGACAACGAGCCATGCCCGGAAAATTACCTTGCTGAGAAGGACCAACCTCCTGATTGGGATGATATTGATATTTTTTCTGCATCTCCAATCAAGACTTCCAGTCCACGTGATCGTGGTGCAGACCCCGTCTCAGATAACCTCTTCCTTTTCCGTAACCTGATCAACGGCTTGAAGAACATTTTCCACCAGCTGAAGAATTGCAACCCCGATGATGTCCAGATTGACCCTAATAGCGTTCCTATCAACTGGTCCGAGGTCTCATATGGATATAATGCTGAAGAGGTCAGAGTGATCAAGAAACTCTTCCACGAAGGAGCTCGTGTCTTCCGCTATTACGGTGTCGACAATGCCCCCCCCCTGAAATGAATTACGCCTCACCCTTCGATTTCCTCGCCAGTCAATACACAGCGCCTATGTCACGCGAAGAGAAGGAGCTCCTGGAGAGCTTCGGTACCGTCTTCCACTGCATTGATACCGCGACCTTCCATGAAGTCTTCCACTCCGAGATTCCATACCTCCATGAGCTCATGTTCGAACACGGTTCTCTGCTTCATCTCCCACAATTCTTCCTGGCTAGCGAGGCCACCTCCCCCGCATTTTCCGGCATGGTTCTGCAGTACTTGATGGAGCGCATTGACGAAGTTGGAACTTCAGACATGACAAAGGCAAAAATTCTCTTGAGAATGTTCAAGCTCTCATTCATGGCGGTAACTTTGTTCTCTGTCCAAAATGAACAAGTCCTCCATCCTCATGTGACAAAGATCGTTACCAAGTGCATTGAGCTATCAGTGACTGCCGAGGAGCCGATGAACTACTTCCTCCTTCTACGTTCCCTTTTCCGCAGCATCGGTGGTGGTCGATTCGAGCTCTTGTACAAGGAAATTCTTCCGCTTCTGGAAATGCTTCTGGAGACCTTTAACAATCTGTTGATGGCAGCTCGCAAGCCCCAAGAGCGTGATCTTTACGTCGAGCTTACTCTCACTGTCCCGGCACGACTCAGTCACCTTCTCCCACACTTGAGCTATCTCATGCGCCCAATTGTGGTGGCCTTGCGTGCCGATTCTGACCTGGTTGGTCAAGGATTACGTACCCTTGAACTTTGCGTGGATAACTTGACGGCTGATTATCTTGATCCGATTATGGCTCCCATCATGGATGAGCTTATGACCGCTCTATGGGATCATCTGCGCCCCCATCCATACAACCATTTCCATGCACACACCACAATGCGCATTCTCGGAAAGTTGGGTGGGCGTAACCGCAAGTTCCTTAATCACCCGCCGGAGTTGTCATTCCAGCAATACTCCGACGACAACCCCAGCTTCGACATCCGTCTTATCGGTCCAAGCGAGAAGCGGCCTTTCCCTGTCGATATCGGCATTGATCTGGCCATCGGCAAACTCATGGAGGCTCCCAAGACAGATTCTGCCAAGTCTTCCGATATCTACTACAAACAACAGGCATTCCGAATGCTTAGTTCCCACTTGAAGCTGCAGATTGGATATGAGAACCTTCCCGATGACCTCGCGTCTTTAATTCGGTTACATGCCAACGATCTTTTCGACAGCAAGGTCAGTGCTATGGTGGATATCCTTGAGAAGTCCGAGCGATCGGCCTCTGTTCCAAAGAAGGTGGCACAAGAAGCAACTGTGAAGAAGCTTCTGAAGGCATGTATCTTTGCGACTACCATCCCCGATCTTGAGCCTACCGCAAGTGCATTTGTCGCGGATGTTTGCAAGCATTTTGCTGTCGTTGAGGTCGGCCGGGCTCTTGCTCAAGCCCGTCATAGCCGCAAGCCGTTTGATGTTTCCAATGGAGAAGGTCCAGTTTACTTGGATTCCCGTACTCTAGCTGAAGCGATTGTCGAAACTCTCTCTTCCGACAACGCCCATGTCCGAGACGCCGCCGAGCTGGCTATGCAGATCGTCAAAGAAGCCGCTGGCGTCATCTTTGGGTCTCCTGAGAAGGCATCGAAGCTTCCATTCTTCCAGCATCTTGGCCGCGTGTTTTGCCACAGCTGCTACAGTGAGGAGTGGTTTACCAAGGCTGGTGGAAGTCTAGGAATTAAACTCCTTGCTACCAAACTCGACCTCGGGGAAACGTGGCTATATGAGCGTCATGTTGATTTCTCCCGGGCTCTTATGCATGTGATCAAGGACACGCCTGCAGATCTCCCTGCATCCACACGAGGTCAGTCTCAGGAGACTATGACTATGATTCTTCAGCGGTGTGGAAAGGCCATTCCCAAAGATGACTTGAAGAACGAGAAGAGTCGTCTCTTTGCTCTCTGTGGCTTTTTTGTCTATGAGCTTGGTCATATGAATAAGCATGTTCGTGAAACATCCCGTCGTTGCTTCGCAACTCTCAAGGAAGAACTGGGCTGTGAGCTCCATGAACTCATTGCCCCAGTCAAGGACCGCTTGCTTCAGCCAATCTTCAACAAGCCTCTGCGTGCTTTGCCATTCGCAACTCAAATTGGGTTTATCGATGCTATCACGTACTGCCTTGGTTTGCACAATGACATTGTCACTTTCAATGAGCCATTGAACCGGTTGATGCTGGAGTCGCTCGCTCTTGCTGATGCCGATGATGAATCGCTCGCCTCCAAGCCGAATGAATTCAAAAATGCGGACATGATTGTCAACTTGCGTGTTGCTTGCTTGCGGCTTTTGTCCATGGCTATGAACTTCCAAGACTTTGCCAACACACCTCAGAACACTAGCCGAGCTCGGATAATTTCCGTGTTCTTCAAGTCTCTGTACTCTCGTTCTCCTGAGGTGATCGAAGCTGCAAATGCTGGTCTTAAGGATGTTCTCACTCAGACCAATAAGCTACCCAAGGATCTATTGCAGAATGGCTTGCGCCCTATTCTCATGAATCTGCAAGATCCGAAGCGCCTGAGTGTCGCTGGTCTTGACGGCTTGGCTCGCCTTTTGACTCTTCTCACCAATTATTTCAAGGTTGAGATTGGTGCCCGTCTTCTAGACCACATGAAAGTGATTGCGGATGACGGCGTCCTACAAAAGGTCTCGTTCAGCCTTGTTGAGCAAAACCCTGCTATGAAGATTGTTGCTGCCATCTTTAATATTTTCCACCTTCTTCCCCCGGCTGCTACTTCATTCATGGAACATCTTGTCAACAAGGTCCTGGATCTTGAGAAGAAGCTGCGAAGAACGTCACACAGTCCCTTCCGAAAGCCCCTTGTTAAGTATCTCAATCGGTACCCCAAGGAAAGCTTAGCCTTCTTCTTTGCCCGGTTCAAGGATGAGCGATTCGGTCGTTTCTTCGGCCAAATTCTGGCTGACGCGGAGAGTGAAACCTTGCGAAATGCAGTGGTCGCTGATACAGAGACCTTCCTTTCAACCGCATTCGGACAGGATGGTGCAGATGGCAAGAACACTGCCGCCATTAATGGAATTTATGTCACTCATTCTATCAGCTCCTACTCCTCTACTAAGAAGTGGCTGGTCGAGCATGCGGATTTGAGAGCGAAGCTTCTGTCTTCTGGGCGGGACCTGGAAAGAAAGCTCCGAGGTGACAGCTTACCTCCTGATGAGCGCCTTAGAGTTGAACAGGCTGAGGATCAGTTGATGGACATTTTCACCACCTACCTGACGGAGGCATCACACGACCTTGACTTCTTGTTTGAGGTCATTGATGGTCTTTCGGCGGACGAGTTGAAGCGCACTCTTGCTCTTCCCAAGTTCATCTACAGCCACATCATCACCAATGAGTCCATCGACTATCGCCGCTCTGTCATCATGCGCTGTCTCGAGCTCTACGGCCAACGGGCTTGTTCCCAGAAGACCAAGACATATGCATTCCGCAATTTGGTCAACCCTATTCTTGCAATGGATGTGCAGACCACTTGGAAGAGTCCACCCAACACTCCTAAGTTGATGGATAAGAGCATGACTGAGTCTATCCAGAGCCGTCTGTGGAAGCCACAACTCGCAGATCTCAGTGAAGAGTCTAGTCAAGCCGGAGTTGACCACTCGCGCATGGAGCTTCTACAGTTGTCCGCATTGTTGATCAAGTATCACTCGCAGACCGTCCAGGACTCCCGCAAGGACATCATCAAGTTTGCTTGGAATTACATTCGCCTCGAAGATATCATCAACAAGTATGGCGCTTATGTTCTGATCAGCTACTTCATAGCCCATTACGAGACGCCTTTCAAGATTGTGATACAAGTCTACGTCGCTTTGCTTAGAGCCCACCAAAACGAAGGCCGTGCGCTTGTCACTCAGGCACTCGATGTCTTGGCTCCTGTGCTACCCACTCGAACTGCTGGCAACCAAGGTGCAGAGGCACGCTATCCATTGTGGGCTAAGTGGCCTCGTCGTATCTTGGCCGAAGAGACTGCGAACTTGCAACAGGTGATGAGTATTTTCCAGTTCTTGGTCCGACAGCCTGACCTCTTCTATGAGTCGCGTGAGCATTTTGTGCCCCTCATTGTTCCGTCTCTCATCAAGATCGCTGGTCCACCAAATACTTCCAATGACAGCAAAAAGCTGGCCCTTAACCTCATTGGCTTGGTTTGGCACTGGGAGGAAAAGCGCTCATCAGCAGAGGCAGGCATCAGTGGTGCCAATGCCGTAACTGACTCACCGAATACCAAGAAGCGCAAGCTAGAAGAGCCTCAAGAGATGGCTTCTCCTGCTTTGGCGCCTCCACCAAGCAGAGGAGGATCGGATTACTCTGTACCGGTTGAACTTCGTGCCGCTCTCATCAAATACCTCATCACATTCATCACTACCATTCCCGAGCGGTTCTCTGTTCCAGCTGCCCAGATTCGTGCAAATTCTGCCGCGAAGCAGGCGCAGACTCCACCTACTTGCGAGATGATCAATAAGGCTATCTATCTTCTCAGAAACCTGCTTTCACCAGAATACTGGGGAGATCTTGATATCGACCTCTACCAGAAGGTAACAGAGCCCATTCTTGCAGGCGAGAAGGCCGACAAACCCGATGAGAAGCAGATCACTGCTATGGTGAATGCGCTTCAAGTCCTGCGTGTTCTCATCGCGGCAAAGCCGAATGAATGGATCTCTGCTCGTCTTCCGGCCGTCCAGAAATTGCTCGAGAAGCCATTGAAATCGGATAATCCTGAGATCCAGGACTGTCTCCACGGCCTGGAGGATGAGATGGAAATCTCTATCAAGTTGCCACCACCTGTTCGTCGGGTTCTCGAGGCTATACCGGACGAGGCACCTGACGATGAGGATGCTATGGACACCGAGGGCACTGCGTCTGAGTTTGCCACCTACTTGTCTACTATTGCAACCGAAACACTTTCTGCCAGCAATTACGTTTCAAGTCTGAACACACTCTGGACCCTGTCGAAGCATAAGCCTGCCGAGATTGACACGCATATTCCTGCTGTCATGAAGGCGTTCTCGCAAAAGCTTGCTAAAGAACATGTTGCGGCCTCCACGCAGCAAAACGGTGCACAGGCTCAAAATGGGGCTGCTACTCCTGCCAAGCCTGCCGAAGGTGTTCCAGAACCGCATGAAATTGAACTTGGTGTTGACCTAATCTTCAAGACGATCGAATTGATTTCGGTCCGCATGTCTCACCTCGGTGACCAACGCCGCCCGTTCCTGAGTGTGCTGGCATCTATTGTGGAACGATCGCAGAATACCAAGCTGTGCACTAAGGTCTTGGAAATGGCGGAGTCCTGGATTTTCCACTCCTCCGAGTCATGGCCAACCTTGAAGGAGAAGACAGCAGTGCTGCACAAGATGCTTCTCTTTGAATCTCGAACGGATCAGACTATGCTGAAGAAGTTCCTTGACCTTGTGATTCGTATCTACGAGGACTCAAAGATCACCCGCACAGAGTTGACTGTCAGACTGGAGCATGCTTTCCTTATTGGTACACGAGCCCAAGATGTTGAAATGCGCAACCGGTTTATGACCATCTTCGATCGTAGCTTGACCCGCTTGGCAAGCTCTCGATTGAGCTATGTGCTCACCTGTCAAAACTGGGACACTCTCGCCGACTCTTTCTGGCTGGCCCAGGCCTCTCATCTGGTGCTTGGGTGTGTAGATATGAACACCACCGCCCGTCTGCACCAGGAAGACTTCACACTCTACCCACTTACCTTCCTCTTTGCTGGCGGTGAGAAGGATTCCAGAATGGGAGATATCATGGTTGACAGCTCACTTGAGACCTTCGTCGCTGAACGCAAGCGCTTCATGTCTGAGGTTGGTGACGTTAAGGTTCGTGATTTGATAGAACCTTTGTGTCAGCTCCAGCACACAGATCCAAACGTATCCTACAAACTTTGGACTACTCTTTTCCCCATCTTCTGGTCTACCTTGCCAAAGGACGACCGCATTGATCTTGAGAAGGGCATGGTTACTCTCCTTACTCGCGAGTACCACCAAAGACAATTGGATAAGCGCCCCAATGTTGTGCAAGCTCTTCTGGAGGGTGCTGTGCGCGCTCGTCCTCGATTCAAGATTCCTCCGCACGTCATGAAATACCTTAGTCGTACCTACGATGCCTGGTATACCGCCGCGACCTACCTAGAGGAGAGTGCTATTAACCCGATCATCGACACTGCCACTGTTCGTGAAAGCAATCTTGATGCCCTGGTCGAAGTTTATGCTGGTCTTCAAGAAGATGACTTCTTCTATGGTACCTGGCGCCGCCGTTGCAAGTTCGTTGAAACCAATGCAGCATTGTCGTATGAGCAGCAAGGCATGTGGGATAAGTCCCAGCAGCTCTACGAAAACGCGCAAATCAAAGCTCGTTCTGGAGCAATGCCATTCTCTCAAGGTGAATACTTTGTTTGGGAAGACCATTGGTTGATCTGCGCGCAGAAGCTCCAGCAATGGGAAATTTTGAGTGACTTCGCTAAGCATGAAAATTTGAACGATCTTCTCCTTGAGGCTGCTTGGAGAAACATTGAAAACTGGCAGAGCGAGGGCAATCGTGAGCAGCTAGAGTCACTGATCAAATCCGTTTCTGATGCTCCTACCCCGCGACGCACTTTCTTCCAAGCTTTCATGGCTCTTCTTCAGTACCACACCAAGAAGGAGAACATGCAAGACTTCAACAGCGTCTGTGATGAGTCTATTCAACTGTCTATTCGCAAGTGGCTTCAATTGCCCAAGCGCATTACTAATGCTCATATCCCCATCTTGCAACACTTCCAGTTGCTGGTCGAACTTCATGATGCCAGTCACATCTGTGGCAGCTTGGCCCAGACCAATGAGCGTAACCTTGATACCAAGTCCGCTGAGTTGAAGCTTCTTCTTGGAACCTGGCGAGATCGATTGCCCAACCTGTGGGATGACATCAATACCTGGCAAGACCTTGTTACTTGGCGCCAGCACATCTTCCAGCTTATCAACGGTACTTATCTCAGCCTTCTCCCTCCTCAGACCAACAATGTCGCCAGCAACTCCTATGCCTACCGTGGATACCATGAAACTGCTTGGATCATCAATCGCTTCGCTCATGTTGCCCGCAAGCATCAAATGCCAGAGGTCTGCATCAATCAATTGAGCCGTATCTACACACTGCCCAACATTGAAATTCAAGAAGCTTTCCTCAAGCTACGTGAGCAGGCGAAGTGCCACTACCAGAACCCCAAGGAGCTCAACAGTGGGTTGGATGTCATCAATAACACCAACCTCAACTATTTCGGACCCCAGCAAAAGGCTGAGTTCTACACTCTGAAGGGAATGTTCCTTGCCAAACTGGATAATGTCAATGACGCGAATGAGGCCTTTGGTGTTGCTCTCTACTATGATCTTCGTCTTGCAAAGGCATGGTCAGAATGGGGACAGTACAGTGATCAGCGCTTTAAGGCGGACCCGGCGGACTATGAACTCGCCAGTAACGCCGTCAGCTGTTACTTGGAGGCAGCCGGTCTCTACAAGAGTGCTAAGTCGCGTAAGCTTCTTAGTCGAATCCTTTGGTTGCTGAGTCTGGACAATGATGAGGGTCAGATCGCCAGTGCCTTCGAGAACTTCAAGGGAGATACACCTGTATGGTACTGGATTACCTTTATTCCTCAACTTCTCACCAGCTTGTCTCACCGCGAGGCGCGTCTGTGCAAGGCTGTTCTCGTCAAGATCGCCAAGTTGTATCCACAGGCTCTCTTCTTCTTGCTCCGCACAAACAGAGAGGATATGCTGAGCATCAAGAAACAGCATGATCAAAAGCAGGAGAAGTTGAACCGCGCCAGACAACAGCAGCAACAGACATCTTCACCAAGTCAGAAGCCAAATGGCGAAGCGTCACCCGCTCCGAAACCTCCAACCAGTGTCCCTGCACCTAGTGCCTCCCCAGCAAATCAAGCCGCCAATCTGCCAACTGCTCAATCCCCTGCTCAAAACCCGTCCGCCCAGCAGTCTCCTGCTCAGCCTCAGAATCAGGTGCAAGCTTCCCCGCGACCTGCCCAGAACCAAAGCCCTGCTCCTGGTCAAGTTCAAGCCCAACCCCAGGGAGTTCCAGGACAACAGCAAGGTCACTTGCAAGTTCCAGGTCAGACTGGCACACCTCAACAGCAGAATCAAGTTCCTCCTACCGCCACTGGTACCGAAAAGGAGCCTCTGAAGAAGCCATGGGAATACTCGGACGAGATCATGTCCGGCCTCAAGACAGCTTTCCCACTGCTTGCTCTGTCCATGGAAACTATGGTCGACCAAATTCATAAGAACTTCAAGTGTCCACCAGATGAGGATGCCTATCGACTTATTGTTGCTCTACTGAACGATGGACTGGCCTATGTGGGACGTATGCCTGGATCGTACGCGCAGGATTTCAAGCTACCCGCTGCGACAGAAGCCAATATCACTCGATTCGCAGAGACGATTCTGCCTGCCCATATTCGCAAGTCTTTCGAGGCAGACTTCGTCGTCAAGAAGCCTACGATGCACGAATACATCCATAAATTGCGTCGCTGGCGTGACAAGTTCGAGGAGAAGCTGGATCGCCGCCCTCAGGCTGGAAATCTGGAGAGCTACTCGCCTCATCTCAGCGAGTTCCGTTTCCTCAAGTTTGACGAAGTTGAAGTTCCCGGGCAGTACCTTCTCCACAAAGACAAGAACCAAGACTTCGTTCGCATCGACCGCTTCTTGCCCGATGTGGACCTGGTTCGTGGTATTGGTGTTTGCCACCGTCGCCTCAAGATTCGAGGACATGACGGTAGCATTCATGCTTTCGCCGTTCAGCACCCAGCTGCACGCCACTGTCGTCGTGAGGAGCGCATTCTGCAATTGTTCCGGATCTTCAATGGTCTTTTGGCTAAGCGCAAGGAAAGTCGTCGCCGCAATCTTTACTTCCATCTCCCTCTTATGGTGCCATTGGCGCCACATATCCGTTTGGTTCGGGACGACTCTTCCTACATTTCTATGCAAGGAATCTATGAGGATTACTGCAGACGTGTTGGCATGAACAAGGATGAGCCGGTTCTTTTCACCATGGATCGAATGCGGTCGCTGGCAGAGACAAAACAAAATGTAAGTCATTTAACCTACCATTCCAGCTTGTATCCAATTAACCATGTCATCCAGCGCACGGCTGATCAGCAACAGGTGCTTCGTACTGAGATCTTGACTGCCATTCAAGACAAATGGGTCCCCAGTACCGTGGTGTTAGAGTTCTTCCAGCATACATACCCCAACTTTGCGGACTTCTGGCTTTTCCGCCGACAGTTTGCTTACCAGTATGCTGCGGTTGCTTTCATGACATACGTGATGCACATCGGTAATCGTTATCCTAACAAGATCTTGGTTTCGCGCTCAACCGGTGATATCTGGGGTGCGGAATTGATTCCCACCATCAACCCTGGCAAGGCGATTTTCTACAACCCAGAGCAGGTGCCATTCCGATTCACACCAAACATCCAGACATTGCTGGGTCCTATTGCTACAGAGGGTCTGTTTGCCTGTGCTATGATGGCTATTTCTCGCTGTTTGACTGAGCCTCGTCACGAGTTGGAGCAACAGCTCAGTATCTTCGTCCGTGACGAGATGATGTTCTGGTCCACTGCTCACCATCGTGGTGTTTTGCCTGTGCCTCAGCTGCGTGATCTTGTTAACAACAATAGCGAGATCATCGTCAACCGCGCTGTTAGCCTGGCTAGTCCACCCGAGGGCAACTTGCCTGCCAACCAAACCACGATCGATTTGATCTCCAAGGCAGTTAACCCTCAGCACCTGGCATCCTGCGATGCGTTGTGGATGCCTTATCTTTAAGTGCGTCGCTGCGTTTTACGTCTCTTTGCTCTAGCTCTATTGCTCTATTGCTCTTCTCAGTTCGAGGTGGCTTTTTTATTTTATTTTTGAGTTTTGCATGGGCAGCCTGGGTATGGGTTGGTTTCTATTTTGCTTTTAAGCGTGGCGCTTTGGTAAGGAAGTTCAAAAATGACTTTCTTTTGACTGGGATGAAGTTATTGGACACCGTTTTTTCAAATATTTTCGCTGTATGTTTTAATATTATGATGTTCTTTTCAAGTTATTCCAAGGTCCATACCATGACCTAGTAATGAACAATTGTTCCAAGTAAGCTACTGGCTAAGCGTGACATGAAGGTCGCGAATGTCAAACACATGAAGATGAAACTTGATAAATGCAACTTGAAGATACATAGATCAAGATAGCATTCCAGATGACATTCAACTTGAATGTTGTAACTACTAGTAGTCGTTGAATTTCAAGTTAACCTTCAAGTTGGAATACTAGCACATATGTACTACTATCATTCCAATGTTTTTTATAGATTCAAATTAATGATAAATTATTATCTAGTACAGCAAAAGGGATAGGGCACCCGGCTGTCATATCTGAAGAACACATGTACAGGCTACTACCAAAAGTATTACATGCTAAAGGACATTTGGATGCTTTTGTAGAAGGTGATCTCATACTACCTAGAATAACTAGGCGTGGCTAAATACACAAAGGCCACATGAAAAGGAGTAAGCAGTCATTAATTCCACCGAACGCCAGCGCCAGTGCTATTAAAACATAAGTCATTAAACAAGAGAAGGCTTCTTCTTGATCCCCAAGCTTGTCAAACTTGGCTTCTTAGCCTTCTTCACCCGCGCAAACGATGTAGAGGAAGGAGGCGGCATCGAAACCGAAGAAGACTTGGAGGGCTCAGGCATAGCGGGAATAGGTTCCTCTTCCTCGACAATGCGCTTGACTCTTTCCCCAGTGGACGTCATGAACGCTCGTCTTGCCGCCTCCTCGTCTTCTTTGTCCTGTAACAGCTGAACATCATCCTGTTCATCTCGTACAAACTCCAGGGCCGTCTCCTCGCCCTTCGCCTCGTTACGCTGGATTCGTGCATTCCTGGTGCGAATCTCGTCAAGCGCATCCGCAATAGCCATTTCTCGCTTGGAGTCCTGCATCTTATCCTCCAGCTCCGCCATCTTATCACGCTCTAGCTGCTCCTGCTCCTCGTTTTCCTCGCGCTCAAGTCGGTCAAGAGTTTCCTCTTGTGTTTCGTTATACTTTTCATCCTTGGAGTCGCGCCAGACCTCGAAGTTTCGCTTGGCGCCTTTTTCGCATTCGTAGTCCATATCTGGGATATATTAGCAGATGCACAGCAAGCAAAGACAAAAGGGAAGGGAAATCATACTCTTTGGATCTGTACGAAAGGTGATCTCTCCACTGCATCGTGTGCACCGAATAAAGAAGCGGTAGATCGGGATGGATAAGTACTTCTCCTCAAGAGTCTGCTTGCGGGCATTGAACTTGCGACCTCGATAGATGTATTCACCACAGTTGGTACATTTCATCGGGAATGGAGCCATCAGACGGACTGTGATGACTTTCGGGCCCTTCTGGCGGAGGTGCTTGGGTGTACGCCCGATCGCCGATGGATCAAAATCCGGGGGGTAGTATTTGGTGAGAACCTTTCGCTCAGACATGGTGACGGTGGTTCGGGCAGTTGAGGTGACAGAACTCAAGAAGAAGTGGCGTTGTAATGGAAAGTTGAAATAGAAAGTCCAACGCCCATACAGATATCACCACGTGACAGTGTCATGTGATCTGCATGGAAGTGTACAAGGGGTATAAAGCATCCATGACCAAGCAGAATTTTAGAGCTTCATTTCGGGTAGAGTAAATTATGAGATTTTGTACCAAAAATATTTCATACTGCTCTTTCCCCCCATAAATTCTTTAGTTTCGTATATAACTTCGAGTCCAAACTGGGCGTTTCCAATCCCACCTACCGCCCTTTTTCTGCCACTTTCGAATGTATAGAGTAGAAATATCAAGGACAAATTCGATATATGGGATTCTCTTACTTTTTCGGAATACTGTAATAGTGATAGGTATGATAGACTCATTCCCTCAGATTTGAATTCTCAGGCTCTCCTTTAATCCCACATACCCATATTGAATCTCCCATTCAGTCCTGATCTATAGATCATCTACCTCAAATGACAGGCGGTGAGTATGGCGCTGAGTATGCAGCGGTCGAGACTGCCCAGTCGCGCTATTCAAGATATTACGCACGGGCCACTGTCCACAATCCGCGACCCGCTCATGTTTAGCTTGGACTGCGGTGCTGGAAATCAACTTGCCTGAAAAAATATTTCAACCTCTTATGTTGGCGCATGCTTATGAACTTCTTCTTCCATCACCTGAACTGTCCAATTTGTGGTGATGGAACGGTATCTACGATCCTGGCGGCAGGACGCGTTCAATCGCGGTCAGCATGAGTCTGCTATCTACATTGGAGACAAGGTTCTCGCATTAACTAGTTTGTCGCTCCCCTGTCGCAACCAAAAGGAATGACTGTTCACTAACATATACCCTAAAGATAGTGATAACGATGCATTCTGGTTAGCGCAAGTTCATTTCTCTAACAATAACTTCACACGTGCATTGGCCCTTCTCTCCCGTGGCGACCTTGTCTCTCGAAACCCCGCCTGTCGTTACCTTGCAGCGCACTGCTACATTAAACAAAACCATTTTGATCAAGCACTGAATATCCTTGGCGAGCATAATCCTACAGACCTGATCCGTAATCACCACACTCGGAGGAAGATTCAGCATCTTAACAGCCAAAGCCATGTGACTTTACGAAATGCGAAGGCAGGAACAGCACGGGGGGGAGCGTGGCGAGCGCATTGAGCGACGAGAAGACCGAGAACAGGAGGACAGCAGTGATATTCGATTCGAAGCATCCATGTGTTATTTGCGAGGACTTTGCTTTGCAAAGCAGAATGCATTTGACCGCGCTCGGGACTGCTACAAGGATGCAGTGCGTATTGATGTGCAATGCTTTGAGGCATTTGATCAACTCATGAAGAATTCCCTTATGTCGCCTGCAGAGGAGCTTGAGTTCCTTGAATCCCTGGATTTCGACTCAGTCTCATCACCAGACCCAACGGTCGCCCAGGAGGCAGCCGATTTCACAAAAATGCTCTACACGACCCGTCTTTCCAAATACTCCTCACCTACAATTCTGTCTAATGCTACCGAGACTCTCTCAACACACTACAACCTCTCTCAGAACCCAGACATACTCTTATCGCGTGCCGAGACATTGTTCACACAATGCCGATTCCCAGAAGCTCTCGAATTGACCTCTTCCATTCTCTCTAACGCCCAGTCGAACGAGCTTGCAGTTGCCAGCAATGGAATGCCTGCCCATAATCATTTAGGCCATGCCCCAGGTGTCTATCCCCTCCACCTAGCATGCCTCTATGAGACAGGTGCCACAAATGCATTATTCCTACTCGCACACTTGCTGGCTGATCATGCACCGGAAGAGTCTTACACATATTTGGCCATCGGCACCTATTATCTTTCCGTGTCCAAGATCGCTGAATCTCGCCGGTTTTTCTCCAAAGCTTCTTTACTTGATCCTCACTCAGCCCCTGCATGGATTGGATTTGCCCATACTTTTGCTGCCGAGGGAGAACATGACCAGGCCATTGCGGCATACAGTACAGCTGCCCGGCTCTTCCAGGGTAGCCACCTGCCACAGCTCTACCTGGGTATGCAACATCTAGCATTGAATAACATGTCTTTGGCCCATGAATATCTCTCTGCCGCTTTTGCTATGTCAACAGGTTCCGCACCAGGTACTGCATATGTACCCACACCAGACAAATCACTTCCCATGCCTCTAGGTGGAGACCCTCTGGTACTGAATGAGCTCGGCGTTGTGTATTTCCATCAAAATAATCTCACTCCCGCTGTTGAACTATTTCAGCAAGCTCTGAACCTAGCTAATTCTCTTCATTGCGAACAAGGCGCCTGGGTTGCAACACGTGCCAATCTGGGCCACTCTTTGCGCCGGATGGGTCTCCATCGCGAAGCTCTGCTGGAATTTGATGACTGTCTTCGAGTGGGTGCTGGAGGTAACAGCATGGGCTACGCACCCTTCTTGGGCGGTGGGTCGGGTGGCTCTAATTCAGTCGCGAACGCCTCCAGCGTTGGGGGCTATGAGGACCGAGGACTCCTGGGTTCAATCCACACATCTCGAGGCTTAACCCTTTTGGAGCTCGGCCGGGCTGGTGATGCTGTCGCAGCTTTGCATGAGGCTGTACGAGTATTGGGCGCTAGTGGAGGTGGAGAGGCCGCAGGAGGAGCCGGTACTGCAGGAACGCTTCTAGGTCGTGCACTAGAAATCTGGGCAGAAGAAGGCCGTGAGCAGGATCGGCAAGTAATTGAAGAAGAAGAGGAAGAGGTAGAGGAAGTTAGCCAACCAACGCATTCACGCCAGGGAAGTTCATCCTCTCGTGCTCGCGAAACTCGCAGAGAACGTCCAACTCCCGGTGAATCACGCCGACGTGGTGGTCGGAAGGAGGCTTATCAAGAGCAATGGACAGATGAAGTCACACATGCGGCTACTCCACAATCGATGGAGCCCACACCCCCGACTATGGAGCATCAAACCGAGATGGATCTAGATGGGGAGGCAGATGGATTACTGCGTCGTGCTTTGGATCGCATACGTCCGCCTCGTAGACGCCAGGCTGTTCCACCCCACCCAGACACAGTGATGAGTGACACTCCTGTGCGTGCTCGGGGACATCGATCGAACCGGAGTCAATCCCAACCACAGTGAGGCGGAGAAGCAAACCCAGGGATAATGATGATTGCTTTTACGGAGGGCTAGTTTTGGTTTTGGTTCTTTTTGTTGCATACATGGCAGGCGTTACGACGGTGCAAAAGTAAGGAGACCAATAGAGGTCTGTGACCTCAGGTTTCCTGGTGGGATGATTGTGAAGTAGCAGAATGCATGACTTCTTTTCCTGTTAATCCATAGTCCATAGCGTGCGAATTGACTCTTTTCGCCCATATCAATGAACCAATTGAACTAGGAGTCGAGAAGACTAGGATAGGATCTTCGCTAGTATGCCCAGACCTGGGAGTAACCTTGGAATACTTTTAGGAATCATCTTGACGGGACAATGAGATATCAGTCGGCCGGGCTATGACATCAGGTCTGCTCTGTGGCCAGTGGTGCGCCCGTGGTCCTAGATGTGTACATTTCTCTACATTCATAAAACGGAGTTACGTCACGACGTCAAAGTCCGACAAATTGCACGACTCACAGCCCCTGTGGCCAAGTGGCTAAGGCGCTTCACTTGTAATGAAGAGATCCCCGGTTCGACTCCGGGTGGGGGCACTCCTTTCTTTTTTTTCCTTTTTCTCTTCTTTTACTTTCTTTTTAAGGATGCCTCAATGTAAATGTCATATAAAGATCCACGCTGGCAGTTCGTGATCGAAAAAGCCATGGTTGACGGACCCCATTAACAACAGGCATTGATCCTTCCAAGGTTATTTTCACTTTTATTTTTCTTGGCTTTCATAGTATCTAGAGCCCTGTCACCTGGCACTTTCTTTTGCTGTCTTTTCATTTGTCAGATCGACATTGAAAACTGAGCATGCATACATGTATACTCCGCCAGTACATACTGCAAATCGTACTCTAAGATTCAATTCACTTGCATCTCACAACAGACGTATCTGTGCCCAGGCATTCGTCTATGTGAGGATGCAGTCCAATGGATCTAACAGCAGATGCATCCACATATCCCACCTGGACAGGGCTCCCATTGATCCACTCTCTTCAGAATATTCCATTAAACAGGTCCATCTCCGGCACTTGGCCTTGAATCTTGACTGCCTGATCTTGAACTGAGTCTCCACATGACCCTAGAATGGATAAAATTGCCGCTGCTTATCAGTGCTTAAATTCTCTAATGTTAGCTGCCTAAATTTCAAGAGGATTGAGTACTAGCCTATCCTCGTGTTTGCCATTAGAGTTTGTTGGATATTGGTCGCCTAAAGTGTCACGATATTCCCGACATCAGACTAATTGGGACCCATTAGGAGATGATTAGACGGTACTTGGAGTATCTCAAAACTCATTCGACTGTCGATTATGGTCATGGGGTCTAATCTCGAGTCAAGCCTTGGAGGTCAAGCGCATGCATATATTGGAGCTCAAAAGCCTGTATGGGTCCCGCAGGGACACATAGGTTAAACTTGTCAGATACATAGTACTATCAAGGGTCATGGTATGTGCCATGGTCAGCACTCAAATCATGTTATACTTCCCAAGGTCTTACAAGGCTCTCACGTACTAATCTGGAGTCCACGAGCCAACATTGAAGTTATGTGTTAATTTAGTAAGTATGATATCTGGACACATATCCTCCAAATGCTTCACCGGTACTTAGATGGATGTCACTAGTAGACGCACTACTCGTACTTAGTAGCTTAGTGCAATTCCGAAGGCTTCAACTTGAAGCTGCATGTGCTTGTGTAGTACTTCTGGTTGCCTACTATAGCCTACCTAGTAAGTATTAGCCCAAGACCATAAATACGCCTGCCTGAAAATTCAAGATTTCAGCTAAAATTGCCGAACTACTACACTAGTCAGCACCGGACTCTACACCAGAAGGGGCCAGCGGGGCCACACATAGGGGGCCATGCACATTTGCTTATTGGGTAGTGATTTGAGGCTAAATCACTTTTTTTTTTTAAGTATTCAAACGTTGGGGGTTTGGGGCTGAATGTGACCATGTGCAATTGAGATGGTATCCAAATAGAGGTATACACAATGTACATCCATGGATAAAGTATGCAGGTGATGAGATATTATTAGAGTCCTGGCGACGTTTATTTACGGGATGGCGCACCACTAGAGACTAATTAGGATTAGCGTCATTCAAAACTGGACCCTGGACACTAAACTGTATTAGGAAGGATTTGTTTGATTTGTTTGGATTGCTTGAAGTGTTTGAAGTGTTTGACACAGTTTTAACGACCGAGAGAAGATATAAACTCAAGAATTGGTTAAAGAATCATGTAATTGATCCAGAAGTGGCAGATTACTTTAATCTTAATTAAGAATCAGCGCATGAAATGGTCAGATGGCAAATTCTGCACGGTCATTTCATAGCCCCCGGGTCCGACAACCAGGTGTACGTAGTCCTGGCCACACTGACGCTAAGTGGATCCTCATCGCCCAGGCACCGCAAGGCTCCCAGTTAGTGTGATGGAGAATGACGCTACATGCCCCACTCTTTTGCTTCCTGAGGCTCTATTGAAGGCCAATCGTCATCCTGCGACGCCGCCGATCTGTCGGGAAGCTTGACAATCCTCTCCCAAATGAAGGATGTGGAGTACGAGTTTCAGGCTGTGCGTTTTTGGGAACTGTATTCCTATTTTCTCCTTTTTCCTGCCCACATCCCACATGTTCCCCGGAGAATTCCAGAAGGTGTTTTCCACTGCATAAGATTCTCCCATCCCCGATCTCCAGCATGGTTTAGATTCCTGAGGAATTTCACTTCTCGACTGTTTGCGCGACATGACCGCGAACTGCAACTCCCCCTTAACAATGCCGCGTCGTGGGCGTGCCCTAGCGCTGCTTTGCGTCTTCGCCGGCTTATCATGTAGTCTCATTCTCGTCATCTGGTATGGCATGAATTCCGACCGCGACTACATCCACCCCGTTCTCACTCAGCTTCTCCCTGCTGGTCACTGTGCCTGTCAAACCTCTACTACCTTTCAATGCTCCACATGTCTTGCCTGTCCCGAAACAACTCTGCAAAAACCCAGCAGTCTCTCTAATTGGCAGTGGGATTACCCACGCGATGCCTCAAACGAAGCCCTACAGCAGTCTCAATGTAGTGCAGCATTCCCAGGACTCTTCGAAGATGTGGTTCGCGCAGAACGACACTGGCTAGGCCAGGGTCGCATCGCCACTGAGGACCTAGATGAAATCAACCTGGAGCAAGGAATGGTGCGCGCCTTTATCTCCCGTGGTTATTTACATGTGGTTGCGGCACGAGCGAAAGGGGACGATCACCGCCGCAAGATCATGGGTGTTCTAAGCTCAATCCATCGTGCGCTGGCCGCCGACCAAGACCGCGCACAAAGAAATGATATCGAGTTTGTGTTTTCAGTAGAAGACAAGGTGGAGGATGTGACGAGTCCTGACATGCCGGTTTGGGTCTTTGCTCGCACTCCATTGGAAAAGGGAGTGTGGCTCATGCCAGACTTCAGTTTCTGGGCTTGGGATAACCCAAAAAACTACATTGGACCTTACGATCAGGTTGTTGACCATATTCAGCAACTGGATATTCCGTGGGATGAAAAGAAGCCCCAGTTGGTATGGCGTGGAAAACCGAGCTTCGCCCCCAAGTTACGTCGAGCCTTGATTGAAGCTGCCCGTGATAAACCATGGGGAGATGTAAAGCAGGTGGAGTGGAATACAGGCAAAAACGTATTGAAAATGGAGGATCACTGCCGCTACATGTTCATCGCGCACGTCGAAGGTGAGTTTAACGATCTTTCCCCTCTTGGATGCGAGCATCATAGCTGACTTTTTAACCCCCGGTCAAGGTCGCTCATACTCTGCGTCTCTTAAATACAGACAGGCGTGTAACTCTGTCATTGTCGCCCACAAACTCCAATACATCCAACATCACCATTATCTCCTTATCGCCAGCGGACCAAACCAGAACTACGTCGAAGTCGAACGTGACTTCGGCGATCTGGAGGAAAAGATCCAACCCCTTATTCAGGATACCGAAGCCGCACGTCGCATCGCACTGAACAGTGTGAAGACATTCCGTGAGCGATACCTCACGCCTGCCGCAGAAGCTTGCTACTGGCGCTCCCTTTTTGATGGCTACAGCAATGTCTGGAACACCAGCGCGACCCAAAGAACCGATCAAGACGGCAAACAGCGCGGCCTACGATACGAGTCTTTCATCCTCCTAGAAAGCTCTATGATGTACGAATTCCGAGCAGATCAGCTGCAATTTGGACCATGATAGTCGACTCCACAACCTCACCTCCTATCGCACCACGCCATTCTTTTTATCCCTGAGAACTCTACCCAACTCGATCTACTTTTTCAACTTTATTTCTATTTAAGTTTGCATAGAGCGAGCGCCATGACGATATCTCAAACCCATTCTTTGATACATGTTCTATCTCATGCACTGTCCCCTTTTTCCAGTTGGAAAATTTGAACTTATGGGGTTCTCGGAGTGCAGGCATGTAGACGATACACTCTTCGTTTATTCATTACTGGCAACGGCGTTCAATGGATCTTTGTGATACCACAGCATCATCGATTGATGTATATTATTCATTTCTTTTCACTACATTTGAATCTCGTACATAGAACAGCATGACGAGTCTCCGGGAGCCGTCCAAATATCACGCTACTACTCAAGCATTTGAATCTTGGAATAAACTAAGAAGATACGTATACCGTCAACTGGGTTCAAACTTGTGCAGGAAATCCAAGTCAGCACTGGCACTATTGACCCCAAGAGACAGGGTTGACCTTGAAACTTGAAAGGTGAAAACATTGAACCTTTGATAGGGAATCAACTCCAACTTCCTATCTCCAAGCCGCCCTTGCATTCGAGTTCGAATATTCGGATCCACAGACTCCACCTACTCCACACTGACAATGCTTCCCGGGACGCGTGGCAGTCAACGTATATCAATCTCGGGTAATATAGCGGAAACCTTGAATTATCTTTGATTTAATTCAATCTAATGAATTTTAACTTCGAATCTATCGTCCTGTTAGTGATACGCATATGGAAAACGGAGAACTTCGTGAAAAATGTTCATATAGTATCCACACGTTTATCCACACACAAGCTAGCATGACTCGGTGATACACAAGGTTGTGACTGCTCGAGTCATGCAGACCCATTCAATCAGACGAGTCATAGTAGCCGATTTCTTTTGAACAGCCCGGGTCATTATTTCACGTTTTATGGCCCTGAGCTAGTACTAGCATTTTACCTAGGTAGTAATCAGTGCACACTTTTCAAGTAAGAGCAATTACACGCACGTGTGTAATATTATTGCTGGCCCAAGGCAGTGATCATCCAGGGATATGGATATAAGCTCAGACCAGTGCTTAATTTTCATAGAGTATCAAACTTGAAAGTAAATCTACATTTATATAAGATGCTAGTAATCAAATAAAATCCCCCACATCCTGCCCGTTCTTCAGTCAATTCTTCACATACTAGCACGGGCATGTACTCTCTGCACATGTGTCATTATGTCCATCATAGTTGATGAACTTGAAGTATCCATGTCGGATAACTAGGCCATCATCCCAAATAGGCTGGTGCTGAATCCATCCAGATGTCCTACAAACTGGAACTCACATATGGAAGCCTGGATTCATTGTTGGTACAGTAACCTTGGAGCCAGTAATAATGTTCTTCAGTCAATCGTAATCCTAGATTCATCATATAATATGTAAATTTGGAATCTTTCCTAGGGGTACTATGCTGGCCCAGCTTAATATAGCATTTGAACAGTTCCAGGGCTCTTTGAGTGGCGCCTGGTCACTTTCCTAGAATTAGCAAATAGTAATTCAAAACATAGTTTGCTCTTGGATGATTAAAAGTTAGAGCAGCCTAGGATTCTTTTTCTCCTACTGGCAGAGGGCTCGACTTGACTGCAAATGTGCAGCCTGAAGGTAAACTGTAGGATTCTGTAGCAAACAACCCATCAGGAGATCGAAGCGGAGGATAAAACCAAACTATAATCGAATGAAGACACCATTAGGCTCAAAAAACACATATTACTAATAATACTCTATGTTTCTGTGTCACATTGATGTAAGGACCCGTGGACTTATAGTATTAGATTATGCAGGATTTCATTCGGCTGTCTACCTGTAGATGAGCCATCTTCCTAAGAAGCTACCAAAAATTGGAGCAATTATGCCCAGCTTAAGCTATGGGAATACTTCCTGGAATTATGATAAGCTAAATAGTAAATATTGAAATTATCAAACATGATTGATCTATAAATCTGAAGAACTTTGAGTAGTAACACAATCCAGATCCCGTGATATGGTCACTGGAGCTCCTTCCCTCTTTTGATACTTCGATCTCAGTTTGATCTTCGACCTCATCGTCTCTCATTACCCTTCGATCCTGTTTGAATATTACCTATTCATCTCTCACTTTTATCACTTTCAAGAACATATTCTACTTCAACTTCAAGTCCTTTATCAAGTTCTTAGATTTGACTTTCCATTCAACGAAATGGATATTGAACTCACTGAACTTCCCAAGACTGAGCCAGAGGTTGAGGCTACAACGGTCGCAATCCCGGAGGACGTTGACTTTGTTGAGGACAATGTGCAGTCACGCGTCCCAAAACCTTTGGTACGCGTCACCAACCTGCATGACCTTTTACTAGTACTTATTGTGCGCCTTTCCAGTGGCTTCTTATAGTTCTCACAATTCTATCTTCAACCTTCCTTTTCTCGCTCGACAATACAATTGTTGCTGATGTACAGTCTCCTGTAGTTGAGGCGTTCGGCGACGTCAACAAGTTAAGCTGGCTTGGTGTCGCCTTTGCCCTATCCTCTTCCGCGACAATAATCACTTGGTACCTTAACCCTTCACCTTGATCTCCGATAGGTAGACCAGTCTAACATCTGGGTTTTCAATAGGGGCAAACTCTATGCAATTTTTAGCGCAAGAACCATCTACCTTGGCTCAATTGTTCTATTCGAGATTGGCAGCACTATCTGCGGCGCTGCTCGAAATATGAATGTCTTTATTGCTGGACGCGCCATTGCTGGCCTTGGGGTATGTCAAGTTTGAATATCTTGCCTTGATAACAAAGAGTGACAAATCATTGACATCACCAGGGCGCTGGAATGTACTTAGGATGTCTGACTTTGTTATCCGTCACAACCTCCGTTCGTCAGCGACCGGCGTATATGGCGCTTACAGGAATAAGTTCGCTGCTTGGTGCCTCGTAGCTGGGATTTTGTTTATACTAATATGTTAATAGCCTGGGGAAGTGGCACAGTGCTGGGCCCCATGTAAGGAAATGCCCAACAATATATCTGCTCTGATTGCGAGTATGATGAACTGATTTTATGTCTCATATAGTGTCGGCGGCGCATTTTCTCAAAATGTTAACATGACATGGAGATGGGCCTTTTACATCAATCTCTGTATCGGAGGAATTCTCTCACCCGTCTTTGTCTTTTATCTTCCTAAAGGAGACCCTCAGCCCGAGGTCCGCCTCAAGCGCAAGCTCTTACAAATCGACTATTTGGGAATTCTTTTGAACACCGGGACATTCTCGGCACTCATAATGGCAATAAACTTCGGAGGAACTCTTTTTGCCTGGGGAGCAGGTCAAGAAATCGCCTTGTGGGTTGTTGGTGGTGTGTTGCTTATAATGTTTGCCTTACAGCAAAGATTCACACTTGGTACCACGGAGGGTGAACGCATCTTCCCAGCAGATTTTCTTTCCAGGCCTTTGATGTGGCTCTTGTTTGCAGAGATGAGTGCAGCTGGAACATGCGTCTTTGTAAGTCTTGGTTGACGTTCAAGTTTTCAGCTTTCAACACTACTAGTAATAAGCTAACATACAGTACAGATCCCGACTTACTACATTCCACTCTATTGTCAATTTGTTATTGGTGATTCCCCTCTCACGGCGGCTGTCAGACTGCTTCCATTTATTTTATTGATGGTATTCTTTGGTCTTCTGAATGGAGCCATGATGATGAGGTTTGGGCTTTATATGCCTTGGTATCTTGTTGGTGGTATTCTTACCAGTGTTGGAGGAGGTTTGATGAGTATGTCTTCTTTCCGGCATTGAAGTTCATTGATCAGCATTGTGCGACGATAATTAACTTATGGAAATTAAAGGCACAGTTGATGAGTTGACACCGATTGCCCGCATCTATGGCTACTGTGCTCTTATTGGAATTGGCTCAGGACTGTTCATACAAACGAGCTTCTCGGTTGCGCAAGCCAAAAACTTCCGCTCCCGCGGATCCGACGCCACGTCATTTATCGCTCTCGCTCAGAATTTAGGAATTGTACTCGCATTAGCTATTTCCGGAGCAATTTTTCAGAATCAAGCACTGGGAAAGCTCGAGAAACTTCTCCCGGACTACCCGCGGGAGGTCCTGCAAGGTGCGCTTATGGGAACGAACAGCGACCTCCTGAAACATATCCCCAAGGAAGTTCAGCGTGAAGCACTCCATGCCATTGTGAACGCCATGTCTCACACCTATTATCTTGTCATTGCTGCAGGCGTAATGGCAGCTGTGGGATCTTTGGTCATGAAGGTTAGCTGAATTCAACTGGATGGTGGAGAGTGGAGAGTAAGCTAACTATCTGACAGAGAGAGCGAATCTTCATCCAAGCCGCTACAATAGCCTAGGAGTAAGACCACGGGCTCCACTTTGAGGTGGGATGAGGTGGGAATGGGCTACGTTTGCCCACAATCCATGAACCAGCGCATCTTAGCTGTAAAAGGATTTTCATTACTTATCGTGCATACGATATCCAGGAGTTGAAAGGTGCTTTAACAATATCTTGAGGTGTCATGGAAAACAGAACTGTATTTTATTTTATTCCAATCAAGCACTCACTCCTTATCTTCAGGAACTTGAACATTCAAACCAGTCAATTCTCTTTCTATAGTCCTTCTAGAAGAGTTGACGACAGCGAGAACCCATACCAGACCGTTGCTACCAGCGCAATGGCATTCAGGTGGATAGACATGGCATGATTGCGTGAGAAGTTTTTATTTGCGCGATGAACCTTTCCATCATCAGGGTCCGCCGAGTCATTCTCGCTCTCTGCCAATGTTGAAGATTATTAGCAAATTCCGAATGGAAATGGATAAAGCAAAACACATACCGGAGGACTTACCTTGCAACGCCCGTCTAACCAACGCTGTCGTCGTAGTCTTCGGTCCAAAAACAAAGTAATTCAACGAGCTCATCACAATAACCACACCAAGCGGAACAGCGCTCCACACATTCTTCACCAGTGAAACAACACTATAGGGTGGGTAGGTCGCTGCGGTTAGGGCGGCAAGACCAATCTGACAGCCAAAGTAAACGGGGAAGACACGTTTCTGGAGGAGGAGGAATTCTCGCATGGGAAGGTGATTGTAGCAAAGTTTTGTGTTGACAAAGCTCTGATAAATGTGTTAGTTGCCGTATATCTCTAGGGTCATCCTGGCTCTAATATCCAGAAGGATCAGTACTTCATGAGTGTGATCTGCTTACCTGGAAGAGCTCTGTGCCTAACAGGGTACCATAAGAGAGGATATGATAGGGAAGGAGACTTCCCGCTGTTTTCAAGATCGTATCCATGGTGATTGGGAAGTGGATGAATGAGGGAGGTCAGAGCAGAGGTGCGGATATGTTGTTGAGTTGATAGAGTAAGAGAAACAGAGGCAGATAAACTGCCACCCAGGCTTGTCAGAATTCCGCTAGGATTCCTCCAAGTATTCAAATGCCCAGGGAATTGTAATTTGGTGAGTGATAGACAAGGTTGCACTGGCGGAGAACCGTGGGGATACTAGAACTCGGGTTGCCCAAATGGTGTGGGGGCTGTAAGCTAGATTGAGCTGATTACCAATTCTCAGATGATTATTCTGCTTACTTTCTGAAACAAGCTGATTGGGCTTACTTGACATATTAATTATACGAGGTGAGAGCTACATTCACCAGGGATATCATTCAAACCTTGGAATGTTGTGTCAAACAGTACATGTGCTGTGCAAGACTTAGCCCTCACTAGTAGTATGAAGACTTGAATGGATTCTCAGGCCTCCTGGGCTTTGGAATATCTTATATTTTCAATCCTTATTCCAACTCTTCAAAACTCCTAAATCCAAGCTCGAGAGTTTTATTTGGTGTTCAGATCATGTCATATTCCCAAAGGTGAAGTTGAAGTTGAACTGACCGGGACATGGATTTGGAACAGCCGATAGGTATAAAATAGCAAATCCCAGCACTTGAGGTGCCCCTTCCCTCAAAAGTGTAGTACTTTTGAACCTTGGAACAAACCTTGGAATCATATTCAAATTGGTGCATAGACCAGAACTCGGGTCGCACAAATCATTCTACTTTTAGACCAGTACAAACATTGAATCGACTACTCCGAAAGTCTCATGTGCATACTACAATCGGAATATAATGCATTGCCCATTTCAGTCCACATGGCATCAACAAGTCAATCCAGGCTAGTTTGCAATGAACACCATCAAGGGAGCTGTACTATATGTAAAGTTGAAGATCTTGAAAAGGATGGAAGTATACTGCATCATGTTGTCGGAAACTTCCGCCTTGATTTACAACTTGAATCTGGGCTACCCCGGGGGATATTCGTGTATCGGCATTTTCATGCTTTCTAAACAGCCGAAAGCTTGTCGAGATCAGAGGAATACGAGCTTGTTGAACATTGACACTTCCTGGATGCTCCTGGTACTCTTTGGTGTATACGGATTGCCTTCAAATGCACATGTGTTGGATAAATCTTAAAATATTGGGTACGGGAGCTCCAGGACTACAAGAAATCGATCAGAGTGTATTATTAGACAAAGCAACCGTTTCATTTACCTCGAAAATTTGAATTCACTTCAATGAGAACTGTCATGTGCTAGTGGACCGTGGTCTTGATCTAGACGCGGAGCACTTCATGTATACATACGATATCAGAACAGAACGGATGATTCCCAAAAATGGAGTCACACAAATCTTGCCACGCAAGATAGCTACAGAGATTCAAGATCAAACAGAAGACAGCAGACAATCAATAGATTCCTCACCGATCCAATGTGAAACGATGCAGTTCAGCTAGCCAGGCACCGGAGCCAGAAGAAGCAGACGAGATCAAGAATCAAGCATGAAGACTCGTGGCGATGGCTACACATCATGAGGGGAAACGGTCAAGAAGGAGATCCCCAAACTCATGATACACCAGACTGGCGGTGCGGTCTCGTGGAACTCATCTCTTCATCCAATGGGTTGACTAACAAGATACTAGGATTATCCAACTCCAGATGCATCTCCTGAGCTATTGATAATGCATAATGTATATCCAGCCAGCTGGGAGAAATGAATACAAAGAAGGGACCTCTCGTCAGTCAGTCAAAGGGCCCCGATATAATGTTCTTTGATGGTCATTTTCAGACCGACTCGACCTTTTCTCGGTAATTTGTTCCACAGGCGCGTGTCACAGTGAGATTGGCCAACCTGATCGACAAATCTCCCACATGGAGATCGAAACAATGATCATGAAAGATCATAATGTTTCAATTCAGCCTGGGATTTATAAGAAGTATGCCTGAGGTGGGTCGTGTCAATGAGCTATAAATTTTCCCTGTGTCTCGTATCTTGAAACACTTGAAATCCCTCAGCGTACAGTAGCTGGACAGAGAAATCATGAGAACAGAGAAGAACTCCGAGTCACAACCAAGCCACGAGGACTCACCCCCTCAGAAACAGGATCCACTAGAAAGGAGAAGACAACAGAATCGGCTGTCACAAAGAAACCATCGTTAGTTGCCCTTCCCTTTGGTCATTGCCGTTGAGTATTCTGACAAGGGGGTATATCCATATCAGGTCGCAAGATCCGAGACCGTATAGCCAAACTTCAAGAACGTGTCATTGCAAATGAACTTCGGGCAGTGGCTGCCTTTAATGGATGGGATAATCCATACGGAGCATCATCGCTGACATCTTCCGTTCAATCCTCCTGTTTGCCATACCTGGATATAGAGCTTGGCCTAGGCTCCTCAGGTCCTCCGACCACAACACCAACCCCACCATTCATCCCACCCAATGAGTTATTAAGCCCACCTATGTGTTCGATGGACTCCAATATTTCTCAACCAACTTCCCTATTAGAGGAGCCTGCTCATCTCTTCGACGCGGCCACAGACTCGCCGTTTCTGAGTCCAGTCAGCAATTTTGGTATACCACTGGCTATTTATGATAGTCAGAATAACGAGCCGGTTCATGATACTAGAAGTATTGTCGAAGAAGTGATGAGCAGCCAGCCTCTTGAAAATTATCCAAAATCTGCATGCTCTATCAGCCCGGTGCTTCTTTATGTTGCTGCAGGTACGATGCCACGCCCACTTACCTATCATTCGTAGCCAACGAGACTGACATGGAATAATTGCGGAAGACTGTGGACTACCTCAGATACTCCAAGCTTTGAAGATGACAACACCACAGTCAAAAATTATTGTTCTTGTGCCTCCAGCCTCGATACCGTTCCTTGGAGATAACGCAGAGATCCAAAATGAGAACATCCAGTTTCCAATGACTGAGTATAAAGAAATGGAAAAAGTCTTCTCCATACCCTCCAATAAAATATGCCAGCACCAACGCCAAACCCCTAACTTATCCACCCCATCTCCAAGTTCCCAAGTGTCTCCTCAAGTCTGTCAGTGGAATAATGGTTTCCCTCTACCTGGATGTGACTTCACAGGACACCCACCATAGCCTAAAACAAATAAAATTCCAAGTGAGCACTTGAGATCTTTATAGCGATGCAAATATAAAAATTTGAAGGACTCAAGTATGAATATCTGAATAGGTAGAGCCCTGTCTCATATTATTGAGAGTCGTTTCGGAGTCTCTTGGACAGCAGGTTGGTTGAAGGGCATAAAAGCTATTGGGATAAAACTTGGAGTCACTGCAGGGGAGGTATTGATGGCAATAATCAATGAAGTTCAAATTTTAGTATTTATTTGAAACCTTTTACTTGTATGCAGCCGTTGAAAATAGTACCCTCTTGCCTGTCCTTTCAAGCTATGTATTGCCTAAGATTCAAATCGATGCAACATTTAAAATGCTATAGCTGAAGGCGCGTCACAATTTGTTCTCGAGATAAGCTATATGAACAACTTGAAAATAAAGAGATAAACTCAGAAACGAATGATGATTTCCTATAGAGAACATTTGAAGGAAAGGAAGATAAGCAAAGCTCTGCAAATGAAATGCCGCAAATATGATCAAATCCATTTCGCTGCCGTATACTTAGTCGAAATGAATGCGCCAAAGTTCCCGATCGCAGTCACTAACATACCCAGTGCGAGTATGTAGCATAGCCGTATTATCATTGATCAAAAGATCGCCCTTCTCCCATTCAAACCGGAGACAGACACGATGATCATATGTAACACGGTCAATAACGTCCACCAAGGTCGGGTCCTCGTTCTCAACCCTCACAGCACAAGTCGAGAATTTGGTCTTGGTAGAATCCCACGGCTGATGCCAGCGCAAGCAAGGAAGCCCCGAAACAGGATGCGTCACGGTCAGCGGTAGATTCTCAAGTTTCGCATCCCAGAAACCATCATTATCCATTGCCCATGTAACATTTTCAAGACGCTGAGCTGTCCATGGTAGAGGTAGATATCGGAACAAGAGTCGAGAGCTAGCGAATAAAGTATACCCGCTTCCTTTGGGTGCAGTAGCAGGACAAGTGAAGAACTGGTAACCGGGAGGTCGCTGGACTTTCTTGGTCTCCCCAGTGATAGGATCAGTGAAATCTTCAAACTTGAACATTCCATCGAAATGCATCGGCATCGCTTCATTGGAGGTAACATTATTACCCATTTTATCGGAGCGGCCTGCGTCGCGCACTTTTTGAATAACACCAAAGCTCCAGGAAGAATTTTGCCAAGCTCAGATCCGGCTCTTAAGTAAAGATCCTCGTTGACAGTCTCTGCAAATCCACGAAGAATGACAGGAGACATTGTGTTCGATAGTTGCCGGACTTTGTGCATGGGAATCGCAGTGATAGAAGGTGGCGGGTTCACGTTGTCGATATCCGAGGGACGGATAATAAGACCGCATGGATATAAATGTTCAAATTTGACAGAGAGACCATCAGAAGCCCAGTCAAAAATATCCGATTTCTCGCGGAAGAAATATGGTCGTCCATTTTTGTATACGAGGTCGTGTGTTTCGCGCACATTCTCCGCATGGACGGTGCGATATGTTCCATCAAGCCCAATAGCCACAGACGCATGCCATGGTGTAAACCCCAGAGTACCTCGAGCTTGAGGAATCAATGAAACAGATAATTTCTTCTCGCCAGCAGACTCGTGGATGGAGAGTCGCACATAATCCTTGCGATTTGCTCGGATGGCGGCTGCGAACATCTTCCCGCGGATGATCATCTGACGTGCCGTGTATGCAATTTGAGCCTGTCTACCACGTTTAGAGAGCGACTCAGGCTGTTTCTGATGAGCCAGATCCTTGGTCAAGAACTTGATGTACCCGCGATATGTCAGACATGTATCATTGTCTGTCTTAATTGCCTCGTCTGCGTTAAAAGTTGGGTCGCCGAAGACAAACATCAGCTCGCGACGAAGACAGCATGCATGTGATAGATAATAAGACTTTGCTGTTTCTGGGCTATCAGTTTTAAACCATGGATGTTCAAGTAGCTCGAAAAGGCGAATAAATTTCACATGGGTCAGGCCTTTCTCTACGGCCATATGTCGCAAAGTTTCTCCATAGTCCCAAACGACCTCGTCTGGGACCCCGAGTAGATCTAGAAAAGTAGTCAATATAAAATTCAACGTACAATGAAGGTATGGCTGTACCATTATAGACCAGCCCATCCGAGCTAATGTATACATCCGCGCCAGGTTCGTATATCTGCGCGATATTCTCACACAGTCCATTCAAGTGAGCAAGAGCCAATTCCTCCCCAAAGTCAGGTAAAACACCCAAGACCTTATCACGAGAATTGGGCGATTTAAAGGGAAAAGCAGGAAGAATCATACGAATTGGTTCCTGCTTCTCGACCTGTGCCATAACAGTGGGTACGAAGGACTCCAGCCCCTTCCAGGACGCACCAATTTTCTCATAATCAACACCATAACTTTCAATTACTTTCAAAATATCGACGGCCATTTTGCGCAGATTTGAGGGGATTTCAGAGATTGTAGTGGATATCTCGTGGCCATTGACTCCGTTTTCTTTCTGTTGTGTAGATGCATTTCCGTTTGCGGTAATCACCAGGGGGGCGACCCTAGTAGATTCCGAAGACGACGCTAAGTCCATTGCGTCAAGAATAATTGGTGCTTTTTCAGCTGAATGACCTTGTTCGGAGGCAACAAACTGATTCATGATGGATTTTTCCGGGTATAAGGCAGGAACCATATCCGCAATAGGTGCAAGGGCGACCATGATGATTGATTCAAGTTGAAATTTTCAAATCACGCGGAAGCCTTTTCCAAGGTTCTCTGTGCTTTTATTTGATGTTTGTTGAAAACGACGAGCAGATAAAGGAGGGCAAAGATAGTTTTTTCCTTTTTGGTTCGTGAGGAATATAGTGAGTTGGATTGTCGGAATGTCTCCACGGTAGCTCGATTCTCCAGAAGCCACATGGCACTATATACCCGACGAAGGCATGAAAGAATGGCTTGGCATGTTGTCGGGAACCGAGTGAAATCCACTAGATGACTGTATCATCCGTTGCGGACTCAGATTTCGGGAATGAAGCTGAACCTAGAAGTCCAAGGAGGCGGGTAGTCATTGGTTCTGTATCACCTGTTGCTAGCAGTCCCTATCCTCGAGTCAAGGAGGATTCCAAAGACAGGATGGTCTCAACATGGAGCAGTGCAAAAGTGGCATGTTCGTGAGGGGGCTGAGTCCCAGATTTGCTGTTGAAGGACACAGAAACCGGGTATGAAGAAGTGACATGCTTAAAATCTGTGTCAGCAGAATTGTATAAAGACTTGAGCCAATAGCTTCGGAGAGTAAAAGGGATAGTCCTAGTAACTTTGCCAACAACCTTAGAAATGTGCCATAACAAATGACTAGCTCTGCATTCATGTACCACTTCTAGACATCTGAGAGTGATTTGTAAGAACATTTGAAGCGTCAATGCAGAGACTGTTGACCGGGTCGGCTCGAGAGTCTAGCTCGCAGTGTAAGCTCTAGAGAGCTAAAGTCAAATCTTGTCGAGTCCAGTTATTGACACATAATATTCGAATATATGGATCAGGCAGAGTGTAACGTATAGTCACCTGGACCTTGATCATGATGCTACTTGCCTTACTGAACTTGTGGACACTCTGTCCGAGACGCAATACTGAAGCACTTTCCATGAGGAGAGTGTTTCAAATCATATCAAATTGTGAAACTGGAAACCCGGGAACTGGAAGCTGAGACGACTCAAGATGTCGTGCTCAACATCTCACAGATCTACCATTGCTAATAAAGCAAAGCCGCGGTGTAAAATGAGCAGATTCGGGAAAAGAGGACCAATTATTCTTTGTCTCTCAATGACCTGCCTCGCCTCAGTCCGATCCCTATAGCGTACCAGAAACAGACAAACTCAATCATGAAGACACGAATAGAATAATCTAGACTGAGAGATAACAGACGTTCATGTTACTTTCGAGCTCACCTCTTAAGCTCAGTCCAATCATACTCCATCACTCGAGATACAAACGCAGCCATGTCGGAGCCTGCAAGCTCGCGCACGATATGGAACGTGGCATCTAGACCCGAGCTGACACCGCCAGCTGTGAACAGACGAACAGTATCCCCTTTCAAGTAGCCCCCGTCGATGTAGCGCTTATGAACCACAGTTACCGGATGATCATTTTTCTCGCTAAATTGAGCACATATATCCCGAAGCATATCAACGGCACGATGATGTGTGGTGGCAATCATGCCTCCCAGAATCCCCGCGCCACCTAGAAGCAAAGAACCAGTGCAGACTGAGAAGAGAATCCTAGGTTTCTGCGAGGATGACAGAGGCAGCGCTGAGAATCTGCGGATGACATCAACCTCGGCAGAATCACCCTGGAGAAGAGGTTGAACTACCGATGGCGGTCCACCAGGAACGATCAGCATGTCATACTCTGTGAGATCATTGATCGCATCATCAAGCAGTCGGTCAGCCTTCACAGTGAGTGAGCACCCTGATCGAATAGTTGGCGTGCGAGCCAGAGTTTCAATTATAAACATTGAATCGGGGTCATCCGGGTCACGGTTATGCAGGACATGAGAGAGAACCTCTACTGGACCTGTAAAATCGAGAAGATCGGCGCCATCATACAACAGGACTGCAGCCTTGGCGTACTGATTCTCTGGTTGGGTGGTCATGATTTCAAAAAGTTCAAGCGTCTAGTATAATGTTTGTTTGGTTCGGTGAAGTGGATGCAGGACCAAGGTTTTCGGTGTCGATGGTTTGCAATTTCAGGTACTGATTTGTGAAAGTGAATCAACAGAAAAAGAATTCAACTGGAAAGTGGCTAAGTTTGGGCTTATTTCTGCCAAACGTAGTCTCTCAAATACAAAATAGGCGATGGTACCTTCGCGGTGGATATTAGTCTTGCGTTGATTCGAGTAAATAACGGCCCGACGTTGTATCACATCGATAACTCTGCATGCGCTCATTTGAGCATCTTAATAAGAATTGATATATTGCGCATTTTTCAATGGAAATAACAGGACTCTGATGCATTTTCTCATGCATAACGCAGTCAGCGGTGTGTGGTTTAGGTCTAGTGGCGCGATCCAAGTGCTTGCGTTATATTTTCAGACTCAATAAGATCCTGGTAGTATTGTAAAGCGAAACCTATCCCATAGAATCAGCTTTTGGTTCCCAATTCATTTTATAAAATCATGTTCAGTCAGTGATGTCCCTTAGGGTGAACATCGGGATGTGGGCTGAGTCCCCCGCATAGCTTAGTCTCCTCGATGGACTAGCGGATCCATCGGTCTCGGGATAGTGGGGGATGCAGAAAGGGTGCATCCGCCTACATATTTAAAAACAAGGCGGCTGGTATAGTCTCTTTTTGCAATAAAATAAACTGAATTGACAGACAGGGATTTTGGAATCTGTAAAAATCTTCATCATGACTTCACCCGAGTACAGCAGTCATTTCTCGCTTGCGAATATCCCATTTGGAATCGCATCCTCCGAGGCGCACACCGATCCACAATGTGTGACTCGACTAGAAAATACTGTTATTTTCTTAGACGTATTACATGAGTCTGGTATTTTTGATGAAGTGTCTGATCTGCCAAAGGGGATCTTTGCAAAGTCAACTCTCAATGAGTATGCGGCACTACCGAAAACGATCCATCGTGAAGTACGCAGAATTCTTCAAGCAAGGCTGAAAGACACTCTTCCAGATAGAAGTACTGAGAATATTGGCAATGTCACCCTTCATTTGCCCGTCGCTGTTGGCGGCTTCACAGGTATGTCATGTTGTGCTTCTTCTGATCACAGATTCAGACCTGACCTATATCAATCTGGTTAGATTTCTCCTGCAGTGTCCATCACGTCCGAAACGCTGGTCGATTAATTCTCAATGATGAAACTCCTCCACCGGGCTTTTTCAATTTCCCAACTGCATACAACGGTCGTGCCAGTACTGTATTGGTTTCTGGATCTCCGATTACCAGGCCAAATGGTCATTTTTTCGACCGACAAGCACCCTCGGAGAAGAAACCAATTATTTATGGTCCCTCGAGAACGTTAGACTGGGAGCTTGAGCTCGGTTTTATTGTCGGTCAAGGCGTTCCACGTCTGCAAGGACTGAATGCGAAGGATGCGGATGAGCACATCTTTGGTCTGGTGATTTTGAACGACTGGAGTGGTAAGTTTTCTTCCCAGTGATGATCTTATGTCAATGTATAAATGTTGACCAATACCTCTCCTCCAGCTCGAGACATCCAAGGATGTGAAATGGTTCCGCTCGGACCCCTGAACGGAAAGGCATTTGGAACAACCATCTCGCCCTGGATAGTTACGTTGGACGCCTTGTCTCCCTTCGCTGAGCCGGGGTCCAAGTTGGAGGCCTTATTGGCACCACATTTGAATGACGTGGCTAAGCCCAGCTACGAAATAGATTTGAAGGTGGAGCTTATTGTAGGAGATCAAGTTATCACGGCCAGCGATTCCAAAGCTCGAGACTTGTACTGGAGTGGAAGGCAAATGTGTGCCCATCTTGCGAGTACAGGAGCTGATCTTCAGACTGGAGACATCCTGGGAACAGGTACAGTCAGCGGTCCGAATGAAGGGAGCCTGGGATGTCTCCTTGAGATAACCAAGGCAGGAAAGGAATCATTGGAGCTGCCTGATGGCTCCAAGAGGTTTTTCTTGCAAGACTGGGATGTCGTTCGGATGACAGCGGTAGCTGGAGGTTCAGCTTCTGGAGTTGGATTCGGGGAATGCATTGGCCAAGTGCAGCCGGCAAGGCAGCTGTAAAGTATTCGCAAGATTGCTTTGAAACTAGATAGATGATATGGAGAGTGCATAAAAGGTTTCAAATGTTTCAAGGATATTGTCAAAAGTTTGGTGACTAACATATTAGTAGTAAACAAAATATGTACGTTAAATAATCAATGCCCACCGCCAACCCATAACCCCAGCAGCCGCCAGACCAACACCATAGATGAAATCAATCAAAAAGAACCAACGCCAGATAAGGAAATGCATTGCTGATGTGCCGAGGTATCATGAATTCAATGACCGAATACTAGCCCCATAATGGCGGATGAATGTATTCTTGTGCGCGGTCAATGATGTTAGGCAGTGACCATTCTCCACTGCCCGAGCTTTCGGGAGTCGGTGGTGGAAGGGAGCCAACACTGGGGGTCATACTGGCCGAGCCAGGGGCAGCATACGCGCCCATGTTGACAGTGGCCGGATTGTGATTATGTTGAGTCAAATATGCGGGGCTACGACCACTACCAGAGCGCGAGCTTTGGTTTCCGAATGCAGCAAGAAGCTTTTGAAGGGCACGATGGGTTTTTGCCAAAGATTTCGCCCATTGGGTCTGGGTTTCAGGGATATTGGCAGGGGAAGAAGCATCGATATTGGGTGCACCGTAGTTTGGGGGGGTTTGGTGCGCCCGTGATTGGATCATATGATCCTATGCCCTGAGCTGGGGACGTCATGTTGCCAGGAGCGTCGTATGCTCTCTCGGTGCTAGCCCTTTGGGCGATGATGCCCTCCAACTGTCGCAGAAGATGCCAGACCTTGGGCTCAGACTTTGCTTCCTCAACGACGGCGAGCAAAAATGCAGAACTGATGGCTCGTTGCAATGCAATCCACGATCGAGCAGCATGTTTGCTGACATTGTGTAATTCAATGTAGGCTTCCACAGTGATCATGAGGTTAGTCACGCAGTCTCTGCGCATACTGGCGGTATCCGAGTCATTGGGATCAATCGTTGGTTTGAGCGCTGGCCGGCAGAGCTCAGAAGAAAAGTATGACGAGTGTAATTTCAAGACAACCCGCTCGAGATGTTCCGTCAGGGTAGAGCACCACTTTGCGTCCCGTAAATGGGGCTTTGCTTCAATCAAGATGTTCTGGATTCTCTCCTTGTAGCTTTGAATGTTATCAAACGAGATCTGTGCATGAGGACTCAGCATTCGAATGCGAACAACCTCTAATGCCAAAGAGATGACCCGACATAGAGTTTCAAAGTATGTCAAGTCACCAGCTTTTGAGCCCTCTCGGTATGCAACATCAGGCTGGCTGACGGCGGTAGTGGAGGGCCGATCGTAGGAAAGTGAGAAATGGCTGTCTTGCCAAGCCATGGACCACCTGGAGAGAGTTAGCATCTCTCGTACAAAGAGCAGGAGAAAGGAATGTGTGACTGCAAGCACTCACCAAACATATCGCCGGCGGTACCGCTCAGCTGGCAAAAATCGGCTTGACTCCACATGAAGACCAAGAGCCAGCCCCATGCGAAGAGTCATTCCCAGCAAGACATATGATATACCGGGGTTCATATTATATGAAAGTACATTGCCGATCACCAAAAGCGTTTGAATAGCTTCAATCGTTGGCTGAGAAAGAAAATTTGTCATACGGAGGCATTGATAGGAACAGCATACTAGGATTTGTTAGTCAGGAAATTTATACCCTCGGAGAAACAAGACATACCATAGACCTGTGAAGTCAGTTCTCGTTCTTTGCTTCCCAAGTCTGATGATTGGCAACCAGATGCCAGGACTGCAAACAATAGACCCAAGTAAGCAATGCTCACTCCGAATGGGTGTTGTGCTTCATCTGTATCTTCTCGATATACCCCTCCAGAAGCTGCTCGGTTTGATATGAGCAAGTCGAGGTGATTTTCAAAGCCCAGAACATCATCAATGACAGGGTATATCGCCCCGGAGATGTCTCTATAATAGAAAAAAAAATCTGGAAAAACAAAGTTAGTTTTGGAACTTCGGAAAAACGTGATACTAATACTAACTCTCGGCATTGGTCATCTGCTGGAAGTGCACTGCAGACCGCACTGATATCAAATGTTGACATGTCCGATGACCACAAATCCACAAATGGATAAGTTGCAGACTCGTTGTCAAGTCCTAACTTCGGTAAAATTCCTCCCTCCAAAAGAGCAGAGAGCTGATCATTCCCCGTCTTGTTGTTCAATATGTAAGCTAAGACAGAACGGGATCCCAAATGAATAGTACCCTGGCCGAGAGTATTTGTAGCATGAATACCCTCGCGTTCTGGTGAGTTCCCCTTCGACCGGGAACCCACATCTCCGCTCTGCACACTTCCGGATTCTAGTGTTACAGCGGGTCCTTCTTCAGCTCTTTCAAGTCCCATCCGCAGGGAAGATATAGTCGACTCCATCTCCCGTAGTCGGTTGCGTACATTATCCCATTCGTCTCGTGCAATCGATACTCGGCCGGTGGCGTTAGTTCCATTGGATCGGCTCGGAAAAGTCTCGAATTTCATTTGCCGGGCATGGTCATCGTAGTTATAGAATGTGTTCTGATCCACTGTTGCAGGCACCGAGGTACCACCCGCAGGACTTTCGTGGAAAGCTTGAGATCGTTTCTTGGAGGGGCGTTCATAGGAGCAAAGATCTGCATGGTCGCGTTTCACACATCCATCGCACGGTAGATTCCTGTCGCATTTTACTTTGCGCGCATGGCATGGATAGCAAGCTTTTGGTTCACGGGCTTTGCGTTTCGTGCGGATTATGGCATCCACTTGGGCTTGTGGTAAGTCAGAGATAGATCTGTTCTGTCCCCCGGGCAGATCGGAAGGCGAGATCGAGTTGGAAGCAGGGTAGGGGGAAGTCATTGCGCTTTTCATGTGCTCCATTGGACCCGATCAATTTGTTGGGGGTTATCGGTGCGTCGGGTTGGGTATGCGCGTCAATGCGACTTTCAACAGCATGGGACCCAAAGCCTGGGAATCTGTCAAGACGTGAAAGTATCCGGGCCTCACAGAGCACCCTATTTTTTTGATGAGAAAGAAAACAAAAATATATGGATTAGTCCATCATATTCGTCGGAGTGTATCACTGTGATCGATTCAAGTTGTGTCGAATTTGAGGCAGTTGGGACCGAGTCCACGGGTATCATGCTTATCTGCCAGTGGTGCACGTGATGTGGGGCATCCAAATGCGGAAAGTGCTTATACCGTATACGTCAGTGACGAAGTTTACAATTTATTACCTAGGTAGACTTAAATATTTAATTATTGAATCATATACTAAATATCCCTTAATAGGATTATCTCACTTCAAATGTTGCAATTACGTCAAGTGGTTGTAGTATTATGGCCCAACTAACCTACCTAGGTATTGTAGCCTCAGGCTCTCAAGTTCAAGGTTGCTAACATTTGCATAGTACGACCCCCTACTAGTATTTATATTTCTCCTCAGAACTTCAAGGGACTCGGATTCTTCAATGTTGGACTCGGAACTTCAAGTTGAACAAAAGCAACCCAGAAACTTAAACTTCAACATTCAACTTGAAGTTTGAAATTTTCAAGGTCAATTTCTCACATGTGCAATTTCTCAAGTTCGAAAAGTCCACATACTTCAATGTTTTTACTAGTCGTAGGCTACATCTTTGCTGGAAAGAATCATAGATAGGCGGTACATAGTGTCTCTATGGCAGGAGGATACAGGGGGGTATAACTAACTGCTATACAGCCAAATCCTATTTCAAGTTTCCTTCAATAAAATTTGATTACTCACATGTGCAGTGTACTGCCTGTTACTTTCAAGTTATTATCGATATATAAAGACTCAATGATATATAAGGTTAAATTAAGATATAGATAAAGTAAAAGATATCTAAAGTAAGAGATAGTTGATATGTATAGTTTCTTTTTTTTTCCTGCCTACGTGCTGGCCATATATCGGTTTTAGCCATATGGCTGTTATAGGCACCCATATACAGGGACCGAAAAGTGTTCGATAGTAGAGACCTTGGGAAGTGGTACAACATGGCAGAATCAGTCTACTTACGTAAATGACCTTGTTATAGCAGCGGCTTGGAGCTGGTGCAACTAGATCAAGGCTAGCTTCTTGCTGCTTTGGAGTTCTAGTGTCGATGTACTCCGTACAAGCGCTGGATAGGCAGTTGCGTTGCGGACAATGATTACTAGAGCTTGGTGCTAAGATCAACCAACCCTTCAATAAAACTTGAAGGGACCTCGGGAGCCCAGGAGGGACCAGTAAACAGTGCTGCACAATTATTAAAAATAATTTGAAACATTAGAATTAAACAGTCTAAAACGATTTAGGTACATATAACTTGAAATTTGATTAAGACATGGACACCAGCACGATAAGGCAGCGGTAAAATAATTAAGCCTTGACGCCTTGTTCCTCATCATCACTGAAAGCGTATTTGGAGAACCGACGAATTGCTTCTCCCTTGAAGTAAAACACGAAGGGAATGGCACAGCAGGCTAGAGCAATGAATGCCAAGAGAGAGCTTGCCCATTGGTATCCCAGCCGGTTGTACATTTGCTCGGTGAACAATACGGTGGAGGCACCCCACATAGATCGAAGGAAGGTTTTGGCTGCAAGGGCCGATGCCGCTTGGTGTTGATAGGTATCGACTAAGATGTTGTTAGCACTTAATCATTGTGCATATACCAAGCATAATACATACCGAGATAGTTGTTCGCAGAGTTGTACAAGAAAATAAATCCAAATCCCACAGGCCATCCAGCAATACAGGGCCCAAACCAATGAACGGTAGGATATGAGGTCCATGCAAAGATGAAAAGACCGATTGGAATCAGCCAGCAAGACCACATCATAGGGATGAGGCGCATTTCAGCTGGGGGTTTGCCATTCCACTGTTCGGAGATCTTGAGATAGTGTTTGTTGACAAATGGCGCTCCAGCAGCGCTCATCAAGACACCGATTGCCATCGGAATGAACATGAGACCTGTCATCGAGGCACTCCAGCCCTTACCAGACTGATAGACAATCGGATATGCGACAAAGAACATGTACAGCAATCCATAGAGAACTGACATATAAATGGCAATAAAGAAAACGATGGGCTCCAGGAGGAGGAGCTGGAAAGGGCGAAAAAGGAAGACACGCAGCTTCTGTCCGAGTGATCGAGGGTCAAGTTCGGTTTCGGTAGTATATTTAGGATCGTTCTCAGTCTTTCGGAGTTTGGCAGCTCGCTTCTTCAGTAGAATGGGTGCGTATGTCTCGGGTACAGTGAAAGTGATCAAAACCCAGGCGACAAAGGACAAGATGAGTTGGATCCAGTAAAGCCATCTCCAGCCGCAGTTATCAGCAAGGAAACCGCCTACCAGGGGACCAATGGCAGGTCCAAGGAAGGGCGCAGCACTAAAAGCAGCCATAGGAACGCCACGTTCTTCATTCTTCCACAGGTCTGCCAATGTGCCTCCAACCAAGGTCATGGGTGCGCTAAAGGCGATACCATCGATCAGACGGCAGACGATCAAGGTTCCAATGTTCTTTGAAACAGCACAGGGAATAACGAAGATGACCGCAAGTAGAAGAGTAATGCCATAGATTGGACGTCGACCAACCATTTCTGACAAAGGCGCAAAGACCATTGGACCTGAGCTCATATTAGTAACTCGACAAGCCCTGATAGAAGATTTGTGAGAACTTACCAACACCGAAGCCAATAACAAACACTGTAACAACCACATAACTCACTTCACGAGAGACCCCAAAGGCGTCCATTGGTCCTGTCAAGTCTGCAGTAATAACACTGCTGCCAAATGCAACCACAAAACAGGTGAAGGCAACGACCATGGTGCAATACCATTTGTAAACTTTCGACCAGTTCTTGGGGTTCTCGGGATCATCGACAGTGAAAGTCACCAATTTCCAATCTTCCATTTGGCCGTTGACATTGGACTTGACAGGCTTGATGATTTCACCTGTACGAGTCTCAGTAGTGTATTCTCGAAGATCCGCATCGTCGTTCAATTGTCGAACGGGGAGGTCGACATAATCCATTCGCTCACCAACAGACCCCATCGAGGCGGTCCGACTGGTCAGTGCTGTTCGGGTCTGCTCTGAGCAGGGTGTGTTCATGTTGCTTCAGGTAATATAAGGTAGCCAGGCAGGTGTGAAGTATGCGAGTGATGTGGCTCAGATAATAGCTGCTCGTGTGGTGGTAGACAGGCTTGTAGTAATACTTGGATGTTCTTCTTGTTGAACTAAGAACTGTCTCTCACAGGGGTATCTGAAGGTTTTTATACCACACTCCCATGGTCTCATCTTATCAAAATCTTAAAAATTGGGGCAAAAATCCAGGGCAAACGGCATGATCCATTGATGGATAGCTTCCGATGATTGTATAGTTCCCAAGCTTTGATATCGGGTCCACGGGAGCGCGGCCCCACCATAAAGGGCACGGCCGTTGTATGTTACCTGATATGGACGGAGTGAACTAGCCGAGAAAGGGAATATGCCACGATATTATATTCATCCCAAGTTGCCAACCCCAGAAATCTGCGAAAAGGGATCTTTGCATTTTATTGGAGGAGTTATAGTATGAGAGACACTTGTTTCATGGGCGTGCGGCAAATCCACTTGATTTGAAAAAAAATATGTGCATATCATCTGTCCTTACATCTACAGAGTACTATGTAGAGTCTTGCATGTGTTAACGGTCACCCTGAGTACTAAATAACACTGAGGCTTGAAGTTTCTAACTATTGACCGTTAAATTGAATTTGAAGCCCTAAACAAAGAGAAAAAAGCCCATATGTACTACTTGTGAATGTAGTCCCTCATGCCACCACATTGAGTAGCTTAGCTATTTACAGATATCTAGTAGTAGTTGTGTGACTGTCCACAGGTGGCATGTAGCGTCCATGCCCAAACTCGGGGGTTTCCGGCCTGTAATTCCTAGTTTAAGTCTAGATGCCGTCCATTTACCCTTTAATCTAAATATTGTACCAAATTTTGAATGGCCATATGATCTGAATTAACAACTTTCACATCAAAAAAAATGCTCCTCGGACCATATTACCACTTTTGGAAGAATGCACCGTCCCCAATTAGGCAATTAAGAATATCACGCCAAGCAGCTGAGTGGCTAGATGATTCGATTCAGATCATTGCATAAACATTTGCATCTATGCATTTATTGAAGATATTGGTACTTTGTACTCCGTAGTTCATTGGAATTTGTGACGTGCACTGGCAATCACTGCTAATCAAATCTACTGGGATTTTGGTCCTCATCTTCTGGGCAACAACATGCACCTTGTCCACGGGCAGTATCTAGACGGCAAGGTTATGGATGGTTTATTCTCTGGTTGACCAACCTTTCGTCTCAATGTATGAGTGACGTTGCTTTCGGCCTTTCTAAAGGCCTCATCATCACTTCCAAGGTTGTGGTCGTCGCCATACAACTGCCTCCAATGCCCCACTTGCTTTTCTTTCCCGACGGGAATGAGTTAAGATCAATAGTCTACCGGAATTCCATGTGGTTTGACTTATCGGTTAGATAACTTGATGGATCTCTTTGAAAATACAGCTTTTACTTCAATGCTGATTTTTTCGGCAAAAGTCAATGTGTTTCTTTCGATAAAGCCTGAAAGTGCTTGAGAGAATCCTTGAAGTTATAGATGTTGGGGACTGATAAGCCGATAAACACCCTTTATCATCATGTGACTCTCACGATAAGCACCGCCTTCGCCGTAATCGGCATAGGGCGGGGCCACTCATGGTTTTGCAAAAAAAGTTGAAGAGTCATCGCGGGGTTTCTCTTTTGCTCAAGCCAAAAACTTGAGAGGCCCAATCCTCCCTTCCTTAAGGAGGGTATACACTCAATTCGTCTCATCGGGAGAAGTATTCCTTCACCATGACTTCCACCGATTCCTACATTGCCATCCCGGGCTCAGTGGCGTTCTCCCACTCCCGTGGCCAGGCGGTTGCTGCTAGCTTGGGTGTGAAGGAGGTTCGGGCCCAGTGGGTTCACTACGTCCACACCTCCCAGCCTTTGAATGATGCGCAGCGTGTTGTTCTCGAGCAGCTGTTGCAGTACGGCGACATCACCGATATCCCTCCGACCTTCAATGCCACCGACGGCCAGTTTGATACCTACTACATTTTCCCCCGGACCGGAACCATTTCGCCATGGAGCTCTCAGGCTACCGGTATTTCCCACGTCTGTGGCCTCCGTCAGTCTGTCAAGCGTATTGAGCGCGGTATGAAGATCTCTTGCCTTCGGGACGGAGCTCAGGACTACAAGCCCAACTACCAAGACCTTCTGCATGATCGCATGACCCAGATTATCAGCGAAGAGGAGCCCGACCTCCAATTGATGTTCTCCGAACACGCGACTCTTCCCCTTAAGACCATCTCTTTGCAGGGTGGTGATAAGACTCCTAAGCAAGTTCTCCAGGAGGCCAACAAAGAATTGGGTCTCGCTTTGGATGAGTCTGAAATTGACTACTTGGCGGAGGCTTATGGACCTAATGGTGCCATTAACCGTGACCCAACGGACGTTGAGCTTTTCATGTTCGCTCAGGTCAACTCCGAGCACTGTCGCCACAAGCAGTTCAATGCCTCGTGGGTCATCGATGGTAAGCCGATGCCCAACAGTCTTTTTGCTATGATCCGCAACACACACAAGAAGCACCCCGAATACACAGTTAGTGCCTACAGTGATAACTCTGCTGTTCTGGAGGGCTCTGAGGGCGCTTTCTGGGCTCCAGACCCCACTACTGGCGAGTGGACGCACACCAAGGAAGTTGTTCACTTCTTGGCCAAGGTTGAAACTCACAACCACCCCACTGCTGTTTCTCCTTACCCTGGTGCCGCTACCGGTGCTGGTGGAGAGATCCGTGATGAAGGTGCTACTGGTCGCGGCTCGCGCCCCAAGGCTGGTCTTTCCGGCTTCTGTGTTTCTGATCTTTTGATTCCCGGTTTTCGCCAACCCTGGGAACTCGATGTTGGCAAGCCCAACCACATTGCTAGCAGTTTCGATATCATGCAGGAGGCTCCTATTGGAAGTGCTGCTTACAACAACGAGTTTGGTCGTCCTTGCACCGGTGGTTATTTCCGTACACTCCTCACTGAGATCGATGTCGGAAATGGCCAGAAGGAACTGCGCGGTTACCACAAGCCCATCATGATTGCTGGTGGTGTCGGTACTGTTCGCCCTCAACATGCCCTGAAGAACCCCGATATTGTTAAGCCTGGCTCTTTCCTTGTTGTCCTCGGTGGCCCTGCTATGCTTATTGGTCTTGGTGGTGGTGCTGCCTCCAGTATCGCCTCTGGTGAAGGTTCCGCAGACCTTGACTTTGCCAGTGTCCAGAGAGGTAACGCCGAGGTTCAGCGACGAGCTCAGGAAGTCATCAATGCCTGTGTCGCAATGGGCAACAACAACCCCATCAAGTTTATTCACGATGTTGGTGCTGGTGGTCTGTCCAACGCTCTTCCCGAACTGATCCACGATTCCGGCCTTGGTGCCAAGTTCGAGCTTCGTGAGGTTGACAGCGCCGACAAGGGCATGAGCCCTATGCAGATCTGGTGCTGTGAGGCTCAAGAGCGTTACGTCCTTGCTGTCGGAGAAGAGAGCATGAACAAGTTTACCGCCATCGCCCAGCGTGAGCGCTGCGGTTTCTCCGTCGTTGGTCGCGGAGGCGGCACCTCCGAGGAGGAGAAGAGACTGATTCTCCTTGACCGGGATTCCAAGGAATACCCATCTCCCATTGATCTCCCCTTGTCTGTTCTGTTCGGCAAGCCGCCGCGCATGACCAGAACCGTGGACTCCCGCAAGCTGACTCTGCCTGCTGTTGATTCCAGCCTGGCCAAATACCTGCCTTCCCTTTCCACCAAGGTTGAGCTTGTTAACGAAGCCGTTAACCGAGTCCTCTCCCTGCCTGCGGTCGGTTCCAAGTCATTCTTGATTACCATTGGTGACCGTACTGTTGGTGGTCTTACTGCCCGTGATCAAATGGTTGGACCTTGGCAAACCCCCGTCTCTGATGTCTCTGTCACTGCCACATCTTTGCTCCAGGGTGTCAAGTCTGGTGAGGCTATGGCCATGGGTGAGAAGCCTACTCTGGCTCTGATCTCTCCTGCTGCTTCGGCTCGTATGGCCGTTGCCGAGGCTCTGATGAACCTTACCGCTGCTGATCTGGTTGACCGTCTCAGCCAAGTCAAGCTTTCGGCCAACTGGATGTCTGCCAGCAGCCACCCTGGTGAAGGCGCTGCCATTTACGAGGCTGTTGAGGCCATTGGTCTGGAACTGTGCCCCAAGCTTGGTATCAGTATTCCTGTTGGAAAGGACTCCATGTCCATGAAGATGAAGTGGAAGGACGAGGCCTCAAACGAGGCCAAGGAGGTTACTGCCCCCATGTCGCTCGTCATTTCCTCCTTCGCGCCTGTTGGAGATTACCGCAAGACTTGGACTCCCGCTCTTCGCAGCTTCGAGGAAGTCGGTGAGACTGTCCTTATGTTTGTTGATCTCGCTTTCGGTCGCAAGGCCCTGGGTGGTTCTGCTCTTGCTCAGGTCTTCAACGAGGTCGGTTCTGAGTGCCCTGATATCCGCAATGTTGATATCTTCCGTGACTACTTCGATGCTACCCAGCAGCTCCAGGAGTCTGGCATCGTGCTGGCCTACCACGACCGTTCCGATGGTGGTCTGCTGACCACTCTCGCTGAGATGATGTTCGCTGGTCGCTGTGGTGTTGAGATCATGACTGACAACATCGCTGCATCCTTCCACACTCCCGATGTTGTTGAGGCTCTCTTCAACGAGGAACTCGGTGCCGTTTTCCAGGTTCGCAAGGAGCATGAGATTCAGTTCCGCTCTTGCTTCGCTACCTGCGGACCTCCTGCCGGCCTGATCCACAAGATTGGTCGTGTTTCTGAGAAGAAGAAGCAGGATCTTGTTGTCTACCACAAGGCCTCGCTAATCTACCGTAACACCCGTGCCAACTTGCAGCAGACCTGGGCCAAGACCTCCTACCACATGCAGAAGATCCGTGACAATGCCGAGTGCGCAGAGCAGGAGTTTGAGAACATCCTGGACAATGCCAACCCTGGTCTGTCTTGGAACGCCACCTTCGACCCCAAGGACCGTGGTCTGCCTATCATGACCAGCCTGTCCCAGTACTCACCCTTCAGCAACAAGCCTCGTGTTGCCATTCTGCGTGAGCAAGGTGTCAACAGTCAGGCTGAGATGGCTTTTGCCTTCAACACCGCCGGATTCGCTGCTGTCGATGTTCACATGACCGACATTATCTCTGGTCGTGTCTCTTTGGCCAGCTTCGCCGGTCTTGCCGCCTGTGGTGGTTTCTCCTACGGTGATGTTCTGGGTGCCGGTCAAGGATGGGCTAAGTCTGTCCTGCTACACGACAACTCTCGCAAGGAATTCCAGGCCTTCTTCGAGCGCCCCGATACCTTCGCTCTGGGTGTCTGCAACGGTTGTCAGTTCCTGTCTCGTGTTAAGGAGCTTATCCCTGGTGCTCGTAACTGGCCCAGCTTTGAGCGCAACACCAGTGAGCAGTACGAGGGCCGTGTATGCATGGTTCGCATCTCCGACCCTGATCCTTCTCGCCCCAGCGTTTTCTTCCACGGCATGGACGGTTCCTCATTTCCCATTGCTGTCGCTCACGGTGAGGGTCGTGCCTCGTTCGCTGGTACCCCTGGTACCTCTGCGACTGACTTTGTCCGTGAGGGTCTTGCGCCTGTTCGTTACGTTGACAACGCTACTCTCAAGCCTACTGCTCGTTATCCCTTCAACCCCAACGGCAGTCCCGAGGGTATTGCCGGTGTGCGCAGCCCTGACGGTCGTGTCCTGGCTATCATGCCCCACCCTGAGCGTACTGTCATGAACGGCATTGCCAGCTGGTTGCCTCCTAATGCTGAGCAGTGGGGAGAGATTGGTCCTTGGGGACGTATCTTCTTCAGTGCCAGACGCTGGGTTGGTTAAATATTCCAAAGCTACTTTGGAACATTGTTTCTTTTCCTTTCGAAATTCTGGCATTATGCTATGTTTCGTTTGTTTATACTTTTTTTTTCTTGGTTACGGCAATTTGGAGTGGAACGGTTTTTGAAAAAGCATTTACGAGATACAAATCACTTGAAATGAGATATGACTAGCAATGCTAGTCTTCTATATGGAAGATAGTCAAGATATACCAAACTTTATAACAAAAATTTACTCAAGTTTCAAATAATCTGCCCATTCTTCCGAATAATAGTAACCATTAGCACTAGCACTCAGCTCTAGTCATGCCTTCAATCAATTTTCCGACGATGAACTACCACTCATTATACTCGCTATAAAGCTAATAACTTGGGTCTTGAAATCTGGAGCAGTGAAATGCTTAGCCTGTCAAATTTGATTGCTGTCATCAAAGCTAATGCAATTTTTAAACTTAAAATCATAAAGTCATGAGCGTCTCCTACTCGGAGAATAGCGAAATCCAAAAATGTCCATCGATGCACGATTTCAAATGCCATGATGAGTTCAGCTCTTCCTCCACTCCAACCTCTCTGCCAAAATATTCCAACTAGGAAGTCCTTCTGCGCGAGCAACACTCTTCAAGCCATCCGCGACAAAACCAACCAAGTGGTCAAACTGACCCTTCAGGTTTCGTATGCGAAGATCATACGGGGACTCTCTGAAAGAGATCGTCAATGTCTGTTCATGATCTAAGACATCATCTTCATTATTGTCCGAATCGCTATCAAGCTCGTCAACTGGCTGTGAGTGTCGTCTTGATGAACTTGGAACAAAGCGGGAATCAGAAATTCCATCCTCCAGCGCAGCGAGCTCGAATGCATGAGCAGCCTGTAAGTCTGCAAAATAAATGCAAAGGTCTAAGATGTTGATAATGACCTCATGGATTGGAGATAGATTTTTGGAAAGGAGACACTGGTCTTCTAGTGAAGACAAGTATGATTGATGCGCGGTGATCATAGCATCGACGTCTTTGGCATGTGAGAGTGTAGAGCGGAGTGATTCGTTCGCGGTTGAAATGACAAGGTAGGTGAGATGTGAGTAGAGGATATCGAGGAACCATAGAAGGTGGTGGTGGAGACCATGAACGAGGCTGTGCTCTGTATGATCCTTGGGTATACGTGCGTCCCGTATGCGCTGTCTGACGAGTGCATATTTAGCACGCCGTATCTGCATGAGGAAAGTAGCGATACGCTGGAATGAATGAATGGCATCATCAGTAATGATGTTGGCCACAGGCCATGGGAGAACGTAGTCAATTGATATTGACTCAAGGGACCGAACAGATCGGTTTTGGTTCTGTGGATCGCGTTGTGAAGATCCTTCGGATCGAACCACTAGCCTTGATGGATCAATTTCAGGCAGAACGCTGAAAGCTGTTCTTGCTGATTCAGTGAGCAAGAACTTATCATCCCACGCGCGGCCACGGTCCATTAGTTCAAAAATCTTGCTGTCAATCGTTCCCAGTATGCTCAAGTCTTTGCCAAGATAGACAAGTTCCAGGGCATCTAGAGAGCTCAACAGACCACATTGTTCGTCTAGCTCTGACCGTAGTATGCCTGCACTGACAGAATGGTTTGCATTGACTATTTTATCGAATGTGGAGTCCACCAGTGCAGAAAATGGAAGGCAGGATAGGGATGAATCAGAAGATTTGAGATCGTTGAATATGGCCTCTGGTTGTTCAGATGGTTCAGAATCCTCTGGGAGAGCATTCAAATGACGTAGAAAGACCATGTTCTTTCCTGTGGTGAAGACTTTGTTGACGGCAGGTTCCAGGAAGTTGGGGATATTTTGTCGTTGAAATCCCTCATCCAACACATACCAGTCATGCCATAGAAGTCGCAAATCCCCGTTCATTGAATTCACTCTCACAAAAAAGGCACTGTCCAAGGGGTCGACCTGCCCAGTCTCCATCCATAGTTGGATAGAGCGAGTGTAGGTCTTGAAGCACGAGAAGAAGAGCGTGGCAAGCATCTTCGATGTGTTATCGTCACCTAGAGCCTCTAGTGTGCAGACTGTGTCGAATAGCAAATCGAGACACAGCATGGGCTGCGAGCTATTTTGACTCGCTTTGAGAATGAGTTCTGCCAGTAAATCTAAATGATGGGAACGAATTCGAGTATCGTGCAACAACTGAAGAAGGCTGACTGTGGATCCAGGAGAAAGGTATTGACATTGAGTTCGGGAAAGGAATCCGTCAAATTCAAGTAATAGAGCCTCGAGACCTCGGCTGAAGGTCTGCATATAGGGGATCGTCTGTGGGAGGCTGGCAAACTGTCGGACAGTATCTAACTTAGACCCAATCTGAGTGAAACCATGTAGTAGTGATGAAAGGGCTTCGGTGGATGAATGTGCAAGGTTATATCTGCGATCCACCACGATATCACCTTCGAGGCGCCAGAATATGGAGGTCGGCAGACCTTGTAGCATGAAGATAACTTCTCTGGCTAGCTGCAATTCAGTTATAGCTCTGGAATTCTCTTCTATCCGTCGGGTTACCAGAGCATGATTTCCTGGTTTCCAGAACTGGACGCTTTCTATAGAATTCATTAATTCTCGGTCTTCTCCCGGTACGAAGACTTCATCTGGAATGATGTAGTCCTCTTCCGGGATCTCGGGTGTACGAGGTATAATTCGATGATGCGATTCTATGCTGGAGACAGATGCAAATTCATCATCGGAGGAATCTGCAGCAAAATCGACTTTCTCCCAGATATCTTCGTCACCGAAAGGCCCGCCTATGCCCTTCAAGTCGGACCATGCCAATGATTCTGGAGCAGGTGCCTGAGTTGGCTTTGAAAGATTGTCCACCTTGGATAAAAGAGCTGGACGATCAGAGAGTTGTAAAAGCAAGCTCAGGATCTCTGGTGACCATGATTTGCGGTGATCCTCCAATTCAAGGAGACGATCATGCAGAGCCTCTGCCAGTTCATCTCGATTGACAACCTGAAATTTCTCCCGCAGGCCATTCAACTGACGAGTCACAGCAAATTGATCCGTCAAGCCATGTACACCGGGGCGCAGAGCTCCTTCTACACGTCGCTTCAGATGTGCGACGCGTGCAGTGTCCTAATACGGGTAATGAGCGCCAAGTATCTCACCAATAGATGGAAAAACAAAAAACACATAAATTACACAACTCACCCTTTGATCGGCGGGGATTCTTGCAATGGTGGTAATCAGCTCATCAGTCAGGGAACTCAAGGCTGCGAGAGCCATGATTAGACCCTTTAACCCTGAATTTGAACCGTGAATGAACAATCCTCTAAATTGATGTGGTTAAAAGCAACTTTGAAGAAGTAAAAGTGGAGTAGATAAGAATAACCAGTGGACTACGGAGTAGAGCCAACTGGATGACGCGGCGAGCGCCCAGACTCAATGGAGTAAAGTGGCTCCGGAGTCCATCAACTGTTCCCTTTAAGCTTCTTTTCCTCCCCCTTTCACATCTAATTATTTGCAACCCCTAAATCGCTTTCCAACATGGCGATTGCACGCCCCATTCGAATGCTGGGCGCAGTATGTATTCTACTTACTCTATTTCTCATCTTCAATATGCGCTCGGCGCCTCAAAAACCATCCACAAAATTAGTGAACGGCATGACTCGGGATCCCCTTCTAGACCGTGCGTCTCTTGCCACTCTATCAGAGTCAACTTTCCAACACCCAACACATGTACTGATATTAGGATATAGCGACGGGTGAACCGGAAGGAGTTTTATGGCGAGCAGACGAACATGATTATTCCCCCGATAGCGAAAAGCCAGCGCGCACCAATGCCGCCCTGATCTCGCTGGTGCGCAATGAGGAGCTTCACGACTTGCTTAACACCATGCACGACCTCGAGCGCACTTGGAACGGCAAATTCAACTACCCCTATATTTTCTTCAACGACGTTCCCTTCACCGAAGACTTCAAGCAGAAGACTCAAGCTGCCACCAAGGCCAAGTGTCAATACGGTTCGTCGTATAATGCGTTTCCAGTCTTCCGCATTTTCCCCACCTTATCTCCTCTACTCCGATATTAGAATACATCTAACTTATTTGGGCTCACAGAATTGGTCCCTAAGGAGCACTGGGAAGTTCCTAGCTGGATTAGTATGGATCTTTTCGAGGAATCCGCCAAGAAGTTGGAGGAGGAGAACATCCAATACGCATCCAAGGTCTCCTATCACCAGATGTGCCGCTGGAACAGTGGCATGTTCTACAAGCACCCCGCCCTCGAGAAATTGCGTTACTACTGGCGTATTGAACCCAAGGTCAAGTTCTTCTGCGATGTCGACTACGATGTGTTCCGATACATGGAGGACCGTAACAAGACCTACGGCTTTACCATCAACCTATACGACGCGCCTCAGACTATCCGTACTCTCTGGCCTACAACCAAGGAGTTTTTGGCCGCCAACCCCACTTACCTGAGCGAGAACAACATGATGGACTGGATTACCGAAGACAAGATTCGCCCCGAGCACAATGAGATCGCTAACGGTTACTCGACCTGCCATTTCTGGTCCAACTTCGAGATCGGTGACCTGGACTTCTTCCGCGGTGACAAGTACGAGTCTTACTTCCAGTATCTGGATCGTGCCGGTGGTTTCTTCTACGAGCGATGGGGCGATGCGCCAGTTCACTCTCTGGGTGTTGGTTTGTTCGCCGACGCTGACAAGGTGCACTGGTATGTTTAATCTCGTTCTTGTTGTCCCGCCTGATACATACTAACGTTTTCCCCCTGAAGGTTCCGCGATATTGGATACAACCACATTCCTTACTTCAACTGCCCCAACTCACCCAAGTGTTCCGGTTGCCAAACCGCCCATTCCTACGCTGGTGCGGACTGGCTCTCGCAGGAAGACTGCCGCCCGTCATACTTTAAGTATGTCGGAACTCACTAAGTGATGGACTATGAACGGCAATATCCGTTTCAGACCCGTCATCTCATGACTTGTTGAACTTCGCATTTCCCCTTTGCATTCCCGATGAGTAGATCACCCGACACTCGATGGTTTTGGCTTCCGGCGTTTTGAGCGGACACATACCTACTGATGAACTCTTGTGCCCAATTTTCTGTTTGTTTTTCTTTTCTTTCTGGGGGTTCATTTTTGATTATTTCTTGAGGCTTTGCTCACTTTCATAAAATATGTCCCTGGTTGTGGATGCTTGCTCCTTTGGGTACTGAAGCAGCCTCGTCTTCTCTGTACTTATATTGATTGCACATTGCCAAATTTCCTTGGATGTGATTGTCTTCTATATATGCGAGCTTTATGGTCTTCTCTAAGATCATCTTCGGTTGTTTCAAGTTTTTCCTGTCTGGAAGATGTTTTTCTGAAGAATATCGAAATAGACTCTTTTTTTGCTTGAATCATACATATGTATAGCTTGAGTGACCTGATGGAACGTCATTTTATACAGATCATGATGATCCGAGTCAGAACCGGAAACGGTATGAACATTTGAATAGATCTTCAAGTTGTCACATCCCAGTAGTTTACGCGAGCTACAAAGTCATTATGAAGAAGCAAGGCTATCATGAACAAGAGAAGATGAATTAAGCACCAATTCAGGTACACAAGACCCTTTCCAAACAGCACTAACAACACAGGAGATCTCTAAAGTATGTATACAGCTTTCAATCTTCTACCCGGTCAGCGCCCCAGCCAACGCGAACGGATGCGCATGATCACAGCCATCGGTGACGGATGGAGAGAGAGATTTCGGGTACGGTACGGAGTATGAAGAAAAAGCGATGAGGCGCGGGGGTGGTTTGGTGTAAGAACACAAAATGGAAGAATTTCAAGACGCTAATTTACTCCTCCTGGGGGTAGAGCTCTTCCCGGAGAGCAACGCCCAACTCCTGGCGCAGACCCTCAAGAGCCTCGAGGTATTGCTTGTACTGGTCCTGGGTCTCGACCTTAGCCTTGATACCTATTGAACGAGTTAGTTATGACTCTGGTCTTGATCGTCAAAGTTGATTTTTGAGAAATGCAATAATATCTTTATCATTGTGTTTCGCCTTGGGGAGTGCGCATACCCTCGAAAACACGGACGGCGGTGGGGAAGTCGTTAACACGGCGGGCGGCCTTCAGGGCCGCGGTGAGGACCTCAACGGAGGGGACGAGATCGTAAGCGAAGCAGTTGTTCAGGTTGCGCTGAGTGAAACAGTTAGAGTCAATTATTGATTTTTGCTTTGGGTGGTGAGATATTCATGGATGGGGATTGGTGATCGGGCAAGATCGGCGAACAGATATCGCATCAGTTCTTGGGGGTCTAAGATAGATTAATGCCTTACCTGAAGCTCGAAAACATCCTGGACACCGTCGAACTCCTTCTCGAATCTGCGATTGAGTTGTTCAGTCAGTATGGGAAGGAACAATATTCTTCAATTCGACATATAATAGCACCGATACGAGACTCGAGCAAGACGTGTGGGCGCAGTGCCGAGACCTCGTTTCCCCCTCTTCCTATGGGTTCCGCCGCCTTCAATGGCAAGCAATAGAGATCGTACCGGGCGGAGAACTCCTCGTATGTCTCATCCTCGTGACCGGAGAGGAGCTTGGAGGTGGTGCCGAAGCTGCGGGCGCGAGCGGCCAGAATGACTGGGGTCTGCACTCGGGAGCGGACAATAGGAGCTCGGACGAAGCTGGCAGGGCGGACGGCGCGGGTGGCGACACGGAAGATGGAAAGAGACGACATGTCGGGTCTGTAGGTTGGGACCGAAGTCAATTGACAGGGAAGGTGGTGAGGGGAGAGTGGATGTAGACGGGGAAGGGAGGAGGACGAAGTTGTCGTGTACCCGGCTGGATTTTGCGGGTGGTGTGGTGTCGGTGCCTGAGGCTATAATGCTGAGTCATCGCCGATATGGCCCGGGGCTGATTGATCTCAAACACTCATATGTGATTGGTGGAGCCGTAGATGGCAGCTCCCGAGTGCATTAATTGATGTCATCTCTATATGCATCAAGAGTGGTATAAATTCGGATCATGATGGAATTGGCTCTTTAACCAGTTCAAGTGAGTGAACGTTTTGGAAGCTGCAGTAACAGAATCGCTAATACTAGGACTTTGTACATTTGAAACTTGAATCAAATCATATCGTCCAACCGGAACCACCCTACTAGTAATCAATTCGAGTATGGCCATAGAACAGATGGATCACTCAATTGTTCCCAAAGTTGCATTGATTCAGCTTAAATGACATTCAATTTCCGAGTTTGGAAGATAGCATATTGTGCTATATAACAATTTGAAAGATACAATGTGTTCATATTCAAGTCTCCTGCTGTCATTTCCTCTGGTCTCGACTTGAAATTTCGCATCATCATTGCATGCATCAATCTGATCTGACTCATGTATCAATTTTGGCATAACACACAGGCTCCAGCTTCCAGATGTCCCCAGGTCATACTACCGGACTAGAAATAGAACAACTTCAGCTGAATGTCCTTTGCAACCACCTCTCCCCCTTTATTCGACATTGACAATGTTAGATTTTGGCCAGACAACTTTCCTTTGAACCTGTATAGTTTAACACTTTATTAGTCAATATTAAGTCCAATAGGAGTTGGGTATTCACCAGTAATAACTAATATCTTTCTCAGATGGAGCGGAAAGTAATTCCAGCTCTTTTTCACCCGAACTGTTCACGACGATATTGCTAACAGTTCCATGATGGTTGAAGTGGGCCTTGGCTTTTCCACTAGCATCCTTGGTCCACTGAAGTATCACAACCACTTTGTCCCCATTCTGGACGTTATCACGGAAGACGACGTTGATTAGCTCTTCGGAAGCGTAAGGAGAGTATGTGACTTTGCCAACGTAAATGAGCATTTTGCCTGTTTTCTGAGGTAGTTTTGAGTTGATTCAAGTCTTAGTGAAAAGATAATGTTCAAGTGCTTTTTGGTGTTAGTTGCTGGACATATGCCTTTTTATAAGCAAACCCTTGCCTGTTTGACTGGCAGCGAGTGCTAGTATCCCAGATGGTCTAAGCATAGTCAACCAATACTACCTAAGTAAGTTCAGATGTTGACTAGTAGCCCTGATCTGTAGTACGGGAAGTGAAGTTTGAAATTCACAATGTCAATTGATGCACATGTGATTAGATGAAAATTTTATTTTGCTGGTAATAATTATCTCGTCTGTGTCTATTCCGAAGCTCCTGTGAATCCGGGATTGGTTTTATTCTATTACTGGCTGCGTCCTTCCCATGGAAGCCACCTGGCTAAAAAGAGACATATCAAATATTGTGATACCAGCATTTCATCTTGAACCCAATCTCGCAATCTGGAAGGACTCGGATCAAAAGTGTTGCAGTCCAAGTGATTGCTTGCAGCGAACTTCTTGTATTCCCTTAGTCTCTGACGCCTCTATGTTGCCATCGATCATTGATTGTCCTAATTTAGCATAAACATTTGAAAACGTACACATGTCACCGAGTATATTAGTATGATATGAAAGTATAGACCACTTGGGCACTATGCTTAAAGAATCATGGTGCATTCAGATATAGAATAGTAGCACCATATTATATTACCACTACTAGTATTAGGATAAAGCTATTTGGATGTCACCAGCATTTTGAATATTCAATTTACAACCAGTGGCACCAAACGGTGATTTTACACATTCGGTTTGCTTTTCAAGGTTTTAATTTGAATGCGGGGGAGTTCCAAGTTTTAGAGAAGTTTGCGCTACACATAAATGATCAGCAGATTGATAGTTATAGTATGTATCATAGGGTAGTCTATTTATTCTTAATATTAGTAGCTCACGTGCCTAGTTTACCTGCTTCGTCCCGAGTTGCTGCATGTCATGATATGCCAGAAAAGACTCAGACCGAATACGAGTCAAACTTGAACCAGCTTGAGATATGCATACTACGACTACCTAACTCAGCTCAGGCCCTGCCTTCAAAAAAAGAAAGAAAAAAAAAGGACTACACATAAATCGATGGATCTGTTGTTTAAAAAGGGAATTCTGACCTGGAACTCTTCAAAATCTTCTTGAATATCATATTTTGGGACTAATTTGGACGAATAAATAGTTTCAAGTCTCTTCTCAAACATTTGCATAGTTACTCATACTAGTAGCACTAGCTTAGCTAGTGTCGACTCCACATAAATCTCATTATGCAATATTTTTTTCTCCTACCCATCATTCAAATGCCCAGGTGTTACATGGTCAAGCCTGGTCCAACTATTCAGAGCTACTTCAAATCTCAAGCTTCAGCACCTGGGATATCACACACCTTTTATAAAGTGCACCAGTTGACGTGTATCATGTTAAGCCCTATGCGAGAATTGTGTGCAGATCAATCAATCAGAGTCTAATACTGATTGGGACTAGTTTGCAGAGAAAGATGCGAGCTGCATCAAAATACACTGGGCATTGTCCATGATATTTTGATGAGCAAGTTGATTAAAAATGGTACAGTGATGATCTATGACCATAGATCCTCCCTTTTATACCCTTTCTGAGCCCTAGAATCCGGGGCAGATCCAGTTCCAAGGTTCCAAGGTTAGAAATTGGTGGAGCTCAAGTGGACGCTGTATTCTCTGCCTGAGGTGTCTAGAGGGTTGCCCAAGTTAATGTTATGAAGACCTCAGGCTGTCAGTGGGCATAGATATAGTATGATCATTGGGCCTTGTCATCGGAACATTACCTTAATTTCTTGGTTATACTTTCTTATATAATTTTAAATATATGTCTGACATTATTTTGTTATGATGGATTTTTGCCCCCTTCGTATTACGGTCCACACATAAACCTGAAGGCGGTTCAGAAGAATAGAGAGAGGAGCTAAGAGGCCCAGCCCGCTTATCCGATTTGTTTCTCTTTTTCCCAACTGCATCCCCATCAACACGCGACCCGATTCCTCTCCCACTGGGTCTCTTTGGATTGAAAACCTCTGTTCTTGTGCTAGGGGCTTCGTTTCTGTCATTTGTTTCTGGGTTGTTATCATCTAAGCATACTCAAGACCACACCCCGCCACCCGATCTCCGCGCGATCATATCCCCTCTCCCTTCTACCACCCCTCCCCCTCCCGCCCCTTACTCCGGTCCCCGAGTCTCCCACAAATATCTCATTCAGAGTCAATAATGGATCGGAATCTTGCGCGCGCCGTGAGGGAGAAGAAACCGGTCCCTGAGATCGATTTCTCCCTACACCAGATGGAGGATGGTTCTCAAGTGTCCACACTGGAACGAGTCGTTAAAGGTAAATTGGTCCTACCGGATCATCTATCACTTTTGACTGGAATCTCATTGCTGATGTCTGGTATGAACTTATAGAGGTCCAAGCGCCGGCCCTGAGCACCCCTCCCGATGACATGTTCTGGTCTCCCGACGACCCTTCCAAGCCTAACCTTTCTTACCTGAAGCAGCATCTGTATCGCGAAGGTCGTTTGACCGAGGACCAGGCGCTATGGATTATCCACGCGGGTACAGAGATCCTGCGCTCCGAACCCAACTTGTTGGAAATGGATGCCCCAATCACTGTCTGCGGTGATGTGCACGGACAATACTATGATTTGATGAAACTGTTTGAAGTCGGTGGTGACCCGTCAGAGACGAGATATCTGTTCTTGGGTGACTACGTTGATCGCGGTTATTTCAGTATCGAGGTGCGTCTTGGGTCCGACTTGTGTTCGCACAAAAATTTCGGTTGTTCGCGCGGCGCTAATTTTGGATTGTTATAGTGTGTACTGTACCTCTGGGCGTTGAAGATCTGGTATCCGGATTCCCTTTGGTTGCTGCGCGGTAACCACGAATGTCGCCATTTGACGGACTACTTTACCTTCAAGCTTGAGTGCAAGCACAAGTACAGTGAACGGATTTACGAGGCCTGTATCGAATCCTTCTGCTCTCTGCCGCTGGCGGCGGTTATGAACAAGCAGTTCCTTTGCATTCACGGTGGTCTCAGCCCGGAGCTGCACACCCTCGAAGACATTAAAGCCGTATGTTCCCTCTTGCGCTCCTTGAAACTACGTCGTGTCATTATGACAGCCTACTAACATACTGAGAAGATTGATCGATTCCGCGAGCCCCCTACTCACGGTCTTATGTGCGATATCCTTTGGGCTGATCCATTGGAAGAATTTGGCCAAGAAAAAACGGGCGATTTCTTCATCCACAACAGTGTTCGTGGCTGCTCTTATTTCTTCTCCTACCCCGCCGCTTGCGCCTTCTTGGAGAAGAATAACCTGCTTTCTATTATCCGTGCACACGAAGCTCAGGATGCCGGCTACCGCATGTACAGGAAGACGCGAACTACTGGATTCCCAAGTGTGATGACCATTTTCAGTGCTCCGAACTACCTTGACGTCTACAACAACAAGGCAGCTGTTCTCAAGTACGAAAACAACGTCATGAACATTCGTCAGTTTAACTGCACACCTCACCCTTACTGGCTTCCCAACTTCATGGATGTTTTCACCTGGTCCTTACCGTTCGTTGGTGAGAAGATCACGGACATGCTGATCGCAATTCTCAACACCTGCTCAAAGGAGGAATTGGAAGAAGATGACACACCCGTTTCAGAGAGTATCCCCGAGACCATCTCGGAGTCGGCGGAGTCGGGACCTGTTTCGCCACCCCTGCCAGTGGATACCGAGTCCAGCGAGTACAGACGACGTGCCATCAAGAACAAGATTTTGGCCATTGGTCGCCTTTCTCGTGTCTTCCAGGTTCTGCGTGAACAATCTGAGAGTGTTTCGGAGCTCAAGACGGCGGCTGGCGGTCGTCTTCCGGCCGGTACACTCATGTTGGGTGCTGAAGGTATTAAGCAGGCCATTCATAACTTCGAGGATGCCCGCAAGGTTGATTTGCAGAATGAGCGTCTGCCACCTAGCCAGGAGGAGGTTATGAAAACTACCGAGGAGAACCGCCGAGCCGCGATGGAGCGTGCTGAGCAGGAGGCTGCTAACGACAAAGGGCTGGCAACCGTTGCCCGCCGAATCAGCATGTAAGTTCTTTTCCACGATTCTTGATTCATTATAGTGCAAATCTGACATAATATAGGTCTGCTGGTTCTGGCCGCAACCGTCGCCAACGCGATAGTCAACCCAAGGAGGCTTAGGCTGACTGTGGCTTTGACTGAATTGATATCATGACACGATCTATGCCTTTCCTTCCTGCCCTCAAGCGCGCGTACACACGCCCTTCTGCCTGATATGATCGACACGATACCCTATCTATCTGCTTGGTTCCACGCATTGCCTGACTGTTCATTTAAACTGATGGTCAAAGAATGGCTTCAGTCCACTTTAACGTGCATCTCCTGAAAGAGGGAGGTAGTAGATCTTTGCCCGCTATAGTTGGACTGAATGCTGGCGTACGGGATTTCAAGGCGAGAAAAAGAATATCATGTAATGGAGGTTTTAATTTTACCACAATTCAATTTTTTGCAAACCAACCATGATATAATCCAACAAAAATCAATGTAGATTTTATAGTTTCTCGTACCTTTTACCATGCGTCATTGCATATACGGGGCCGAGTTGCCAAGCCCGATTGCCCGCTCTCACTTCCCGATCTTTCAAGCCCTTCGTTAACCACCAGCCAGGTCCCCTCGAGGACACAATTTTATTCCTCGCTATTTAACAGACCAAATTATGCCTGCCAGAGTACGCAGCTCGCTCCAAAGGAGCATCGCGCGTCCCTTGGAAAGGGCTAGCACCTTTCCCTCCAAGTCCCCTTCAATATGTCGCCGAGCGCTGTCGACGCGTACCGCTCCGAAGACCTCTAGCATTCGCAGGATTGCGCATGCGCGCCAAAATGCTTGCCTTGCTCCTTCAATCGTCTCGCCATTTTCTCGCTCCTTGACTACCTCTACTACTATATCGACGGTCCCATTGCGGTTCAAGGAGCTTCACGATGCGCTGAGCGGAGTGAAGGATGCGGCCATTCAAGAAGTTAGCGTGAGTCGCTTACAACTTGCGCTGCGTGGATTGGAGTCGGAGGAACCTTTGATTCGTATCGCAGGTGAGTAAGCCATCGAGTCTATGCTTTCTCCGTACCAGCCTTCTCCGGTGGATTGACCGATTGACTGACCTGCTTGCTATTCTGTTCTAGTGCTCGGTCTTGATAGTGTGGATTCTGCGCGGAGGCTTGTTCGATTGCTCCTTGCTGATCCCTTAGGTCAGCGCGAGAGCTGGGAAGATATTCTTGATGGTTATGAGGGTGATCCATCTCGTGGGTTACTGATTCGGTGAGAAAGCTTGCAACATTCGTACAACCATGACTGTGATGCTAATTTTTTGGTACTGATTCATAGATACGGCGAAATCTCAGAAACTATTCATAACGACCTCATCCCCACCGTTGCGGTTCGATCACCTATCTTAAAGAATGGCAACCTTGAGATCCTTGTCAGCTCTATTGGCTCTGAGTCGAATTCCACAGGAACGGCTCTCACAGCTGATACCTTCCTCGTCCCCACCATTACCATCCCAATATCACAGACGGGACGCCATAATTTTATCCGGTACCCAGTTCACCGAAGCATTATCTGCGGGAAGGGAGCAGATGGACTTGTCGCATTCAGTTCACTTATTGGACAGTCAGATTTAAAGAATGAGGTGGAATCAGTGCGCGGTGCTATAGAGCTCTCTGTAGAACAACAGAGCAGTGGCGCAAGGCTGTCATTTGTGGATATTGAACGGGCAACAAAAGCATTGGATGCCATCCGGGAATCCGTACAAAATGCCACGGAGTACCAGCGTGGTTGGAGTGGAAGTGGAGTACAGCCAGTTATCGATTGGCTTGCATCAACTTCCCAGACCACCAAGGAAAACGAGCTGAATCCAGCATTGGTCCCCCTGGTTGAGTCTTTACTGAATGCCGCGGACGAGGGAATTACCGCCCGTGATTCCAAGGCTCTCCAGGATCAAACAGTGGGTGTTGCCTCCCAAGAGGTCCGCTCCGAGCTTGATCGTAGTGTCATGACTTGGGCTGAGCGCGGACACTCTGAGCTGCGCAGCTCCCTCGAAGCAGGTTTCGCTGATTCCCGTTGGCGGGGTCTAGCATGGTGGAAGCTTTTCTGGCGTGTGGACGACGTGGGCATGATCACCTCCGAGATTCTGGAGAGGCAATTTCTCCGTCGCGCCGAGCGAGAGGCTATCTGGTCTTCGGGCAAGTACCAGCAGGCTGGCCTGCTAGACGAACCCCGACCATCTCCTGAAACCCCCTCAGAGTCTACACCTACCACACCGCAGTCAATCATCCCTCCATGGCCAACTCAGATCCCTGACATGCGCACCAAACTGCTCACTACTACCGTCCCTGCTCTCCAGGCTCTTGCTCAGCGCCTCGTGCTCTTCAGTGTGTCTACCACTACTCTAACCTCTGCCCTCTCCGCCCTCACATATCTATCTGTACCATCTGCCTCTGTGTATGAATCAAGTACTATCGCTGCAGTTGGTCTTATCTATTGTCTCCGTCGCCAACAGAAGAAGTGGGCCGCTGCCCGTGAATTCTGGGAAGAGGAGGTCCGCGAAGAAGGCCGCACTTCTCTACGAGAGACCGAGGATATGATGCGGAAGATCGTCCGTGAGGGTGGTAAAGAGGTGGAAGATTTAAGAGATCATCGTGCACGAGAATCTGTTTCTCGTGCCCGCGAGGCTTTAGAGAAGATGAAAGTTTGATTTCTTGCCTCTAGTGGGATATCCTGTATATGTACCTTGACTCCATGATAGAAGTTTATCTAAATGTACAATCTACTCTGTTATGTGCGAGCATTTGAATAATGGACATGAATTCCAACATTGAACTTGAATAGAGGTGATACTGTGGGGCCTGGATATATCCATTCAAGTTGGTGCGTCCTAGTATACAGTGTCATTACATCAGATGAATAGCAGTCAGAACCCACGGACACAATTACCCGGGTCATATCTAATCTCAAATTTGAGATTCCGGAGATCTGATGCGCACTGGCATGGAACAAATTGAACTTGAACATTTTTTGGCACGTTCCCTCAAATACCATTTCTAGGCAACATTTCAGCATATGCTGTGTGTCCAATCCGGGGCCATCGCAGGGGCAGTCTTGTCCCTAAATCACAACCCTGAACTACAACTTTCATCTCAATCAAGACCCACTGTCACTGCCATTTCAAATACTATTTCTTAATGGACATTCAAGTTGTTTCACTTCCAAGATTCCACCTCCAGTACTACTCAATCTCTCCGAGCCTCAGGCTCTTTCAAATTGTCACCAATACTTCCTCTTCCTATGACTCGGAGTACCCACTCTGAGTTGGATAGTATATATTCGAGTTCACACTGGCACTTGAATCTCAAGTTAAACCTGATGACATCTGGAAGTCGCGGGCCACTGGCACAATTCATCTCATTTCCAACTTCAACTTACTAGTAAAAGCCGTGAGGTCGCCATCGCAAATGTACCCAAGTGCACATGTGGTCGGATTTCCAATTCATTTCCCGCACGAGCCTACTCAATATTGTGACGTTTTGCGTTGACCCTGTGGAGATCAGGACCATTGATATCGTGCCTTCTAGGGATTGGTCAAGTCTTCATGGAAGGACTGTACCCTGAAGAAGATCCTATCACCCTATTTGCGGCATTTTCCCCAGCTGGCAGTGGCCCTGTATGTCTTCATTTATCTTAAGTTTTATACTGGAGGAGCTTCCCCTTTGTCCTTCTCTCATCTCGTTTCCCCTACCCTTCTTCTCGTTGTATACTTCAACTTGTTCCTGTTTATCATGATATAGAACTTTGAAGGTATATTCAGTCACTCCTTGCCCCGGCTGCTTTTTGTTCTTCCTTTTGTCCTTCAACGCACTTCACTCCTTTGAAGGCATTTAAACCAAATCCTTAACTTTCAGCGAGAAGCCTTGTAAGAGCCCTGGGGTTCCTTTATTCCATAACAGATCGCTCTCTTATAACTTTCTGTCTACACAGATACAACCTGGACACTTGAACGAGGGACCGTCAATAAGATCTTGTTTATTTGCCTACGTCATAGAGGACGCGTCCAAACTTGGAAGATATCACGGTAAGCTGCATACCACGATGGCACTCTCCCGCTATCCCCGGGGCCGTATCCCCCTTTATACAGGTGTCTACCCTGACCAGGGGTGGAAGCCCCGAAGCAAGGGATCATTCCGAGCAAAGGGTGGCTCCATTGGATCTCACATCCTCTCGAATGGAAACCCTTTCAATGACGCTTGATTGGGCATTGGAATCCCACTTGGCAACCTGCCTTCAATGAATTACGGCTTTCAAAAATGCGCGTGGGGCCCTGATTTTGATTTCCTTTCCAATGCTAACATACATCCGACAGCGACGCCCTCGACAACGGCTGATATACAACACACTTACCACATAGCGCCACTCAACCTCGCTTCCGCAACGCCATACCGATTGATTCGGTGCTCCTGGAGAGTTCAATTGGCATTCAATCCCTTTTTCGTGGAAGTGTCACTCGTTTACAACCCCGGCTGGTTAAGCTAGTCCATTCCTTCGTTTCAAAATGCATCACATTCAATTCCAAGCTGCTCTTGCAGCCTGTATAGCGATATTTCCGCTCTTTACTAGTGCTTTCTGGCGTCTGCCATGTCGCGGGCGAACTGGTCTTGCCCGGCTGGATCCTATCATCGACCCGGGACAACTATCATCGCATGTACATTCCGTTCATGGCGGCGGAAGTGAGCTATCCCAAAACCCTGCTCTCTGGGGAAAAGATGCTGACAAGAAGTTCAGACTTTGGCATGGACTCGGATATGCAGATCCTGAGGGAATCGAATTGTACCTCGTGTGGTGTGTTACAGGATATGTCTGCCTATTGGACCCCGGCACTATACTTCATGCATACCAATGGGACTGCTCAAGTGGTCACTGAAGTTGGAGGCATGCTTGCGTACGTTTAAAGCTTCGTTCCCTTGTTCAAGTTATCAAGACTTCATACTAACACCCACCAAGCTACTACTTACTCTACGGAGAGAATATCCAAGCATTCCCAAACAACTTCCGAATGGTTGCAGGTGATCCCTTCCAGCGAAATTTCACTTGGCCCATCCCCGATCCGCCCAAGTCCTCATGGTCTGGTGCACAGGTTTCCCAGGAGGCACTACGCCAGAAAGCGATAGGTTTCAACTGCCTGAACTACAATGAAGCCGCCGAAGGATCCCTCATGCGTCATTATATGCCAAGCAAAGAATACCTGGATGAGAACTGTGTCGACGGTCTCCGCCTGGAATTGATGTTCCCATCCTGTTGGAATGGCGAGGATGTCGACTCCCCAGATCATAAATCCCATGTTGCGTATCCCGACCTGGTCATGACTGGGACCTGCCCAGAAGGATACGAGACGCAACTGGTCTCCCTTTTCTACGAGACAATCTGGGACACCTACGCATTTAAAGATGTAGACGGGTATTTTGCGCTGGCGAATGGAGATCCCACTGGATTTGGATACCATGGAGATTTTCTTTTTGGTTGGGAAGATGGCGTTCTACAACAAGCCGTGGATACTTGCACAAGTGAGACCGGCATTGTAAACGATTGTGAAATCTTCGATATTCAGGAAGAAGAAGATCAGCGTCAGTGTTTCTTTGAGCAACATTCCCTGCTCCAAGATGAGAATACCCAGGTGGATGCTGCCGGTTTACCAGGTGGTGTCCCTATTGAGTGGGGGCCTGCCTATGCATCCCCCAAGTCTACCTCATCATCCTCGCCTCGTCCAGTCTCTACTCCACAGGGATTCCCTATTGATATCCCTCATTTCTCTATTCCCCACCTCTCCTTTGATTTCTCGATTCAGGCAAGTGCAGATACCCCAGATGCCCCAGATGCCAATGGGCAACCTGTCTCAACAACTACTCCGGCTGCGATCTCTACTTCCGCTCCCAGCCCAACACCAACACCCACAACCTCTATTAAAATCGATCCTATTGCTGAGGAAATCATATACCTGGAGCAAGATGTTGTTGTCATGATCGACCACGATGGCGCTCCATACTCTACCAGCAGAGGAACTATGCGGACTGTTTCAACTGCTATAACTACCGCCAGTGAAACATCTACCGTTGTTTCATATGTTGAAAGAGACACAATCCCAACAGAACCCGAAGACCAGGATCAGATCTTACACCACGCACGCAGACATGTCCACCACCATGGTCATTTGCATCAGCGAAGAAGCTATGGAAAAACATTCTGATCAAAAACAGTCGGCGGATCGAGTCTGCGCTGGCGTAGGTTTCGATCGCCAATGTAACTCTACCGGAGTTCCAGCAGCCTCCTCGCTGGGTCATTGGACTGCGACCGGAACATTCCATTCGTGTACATGTTTTCTATTGCCTATATTGGACGCTTCACATCGGGTATTTGGGATAGTCTTGAATGATTATAGTGATATTATTCCTGCTATTTGAAATAACAGAAATTAATATGACCTGACCTGACCCAAGACACACATGAGGCTAGACCCCTTGATCGCCTGATTCAAATCAAATAAGCTTATTTGTAATCTCCGACCTTAATTGAGTATATCCTCGCGGCTGAAACTGATCTATGAGGTATAAAATTCGAGGGTGGAACGACAGCAAGAATGTCTTGCCTAGATCGGGCTAGACGTACCATAATTATAGACCGCGTTTCATACTACCACAGCACCAACAGCTGCGATCACACTCAGACCACCTCAGCCGATGTCTTAGAACCAACATCTACAAAAGAAAGGAGCTGGGAGTGAGTTCTCAGTACTGTGTGACCCTACAAGCGGGACGGATGAGACACAAGAAAGACTTGAGCATGCGGTGCAAGAACCATCAGAAAGGACCTTAACAAGCTCACGCACCTAAAATGGAAGTACAAATTTCAAGCTTCAATAACATCCCCTGTCTCGAATAATCTCCAACGAACCAGAATATTCAGAGTTGCAACGTGCTTATTTTCCCTTGCGATGGGCCATGGCGACAGGGTAAATGGGTATGTAGCACGCGCGATAGCACGAGTTGTAACGAACTTATCTCCCGCCAATGGGTTCCAGAATGAATTGATTTATGAAAATGTCACTCTCTGTTATGCATTTCTGCGGCAATCCCGAGCCCTGCTCACCCTGCAGTGCCGTGGAAGGTTGTTCTCGACCTTTCATCCCTGGCACGAGTGGCGAGTTGACTTCTCTATTGCCTCATTGCTATTTTTATAGCGAGGTCAGTTTATCACACCATCTATTATTGCTATAGGCCTTTGGTGATGGGTTACATATGGTGTTATCTAATTGCTTTGTTGTTCAATGTCTCTGATGAGGAAGAAGAGCTTATGCTGAGCTACGGCTACGATGTTTCTGATGCATGATGCTGACGATAGGCTGCCGTGAGAACGTGGCATTCATTCAAATGTTATGAGCAAGGACGAGCAGCTCATTTCAGGTGAGAGAGATGAGGTATATAAGACCCGAAGATCTCGAGGAAAGAAAGACTCCGATCAGGCTTCCAGACGTTTTAGAAATCAATCAGTTCACTCATCAATCCTCACTCTTTTTATTCCAAATCAAACCAGGCAAGATGGGCTCACGTCAGATCTTCATTTCTTTCCTGTTGCTATGCACCGCTATGGCATTCCCTCAAGAAACTGCTGTACACGACCAAGCGCAAGCAACTGTGTCAGTCACCGAGGCCGCTGCTCCAGGTGTGACTGCTGCAGCTGTTTTACGCTGTACTGATGGATCGACGGTTCTCCATACAACCGATTGCACCATGGGAACCCCGATATCGTTCTGCCATAAGAAAGCGCCCCCAATCAAGTGCAACAAAGGGTACTTCCCTTCAGTCTGGCATCCAGACCATTGCATGGAAGAGTCGACCTGTTTCCCCCTGAACGCAGAATGGATAACCACCGAGTGTTCCAATGGAGGAATTGCGTACTCGACCAAGACCCTCTTCGACGGGACACTTCCAGGTGGAAAGTCGACTGTTATTAGTGGTAAGAGAAAGGAACCATTCTTTTGATTTGGATATGATTATGCTAATCCATTGATAGCGGTTTCCTGCTCCTGTGCAGAGGATCAATGGTATAGCATGGCGCTGCGAGAGGGTGGACTGGGAATGGATACGTTCTGCATGCCATATGGGGAATGTCCACCTGGCATGATTACTTCTACTAACACCAATGACTACTGTGCCACGGCTACTGCAAATGAATGTGCAAATATTCCTGCAGAGACAGCTTACTGTCAATGTGCTGATCCGACTGAAAGACCGATCTATCCAGATTGGCCTGGTCTTCCTGCCATTGGCTGTGAGGAATGGGACAAAAATCATTAACTGTGCACTCAAGTTGATACTAGCTTGAGTCTCCGGTATACTTGTTTGGACTTTTGGTCTTGGATTTGGTGCTTGAATGAATTATTAGGTGGGAGATTGCTTGTTTCACAAGTTTAATGTTTAATGTGAGCTTCTGAGCCGTTTCGAGGTTGAATTTGGTAATTTAGTCCGGGGTCAGATTTTTTATTTCAGACAGAATAATGCAATGGACAGGTGGTATTCATTTCTTAGTGGAGTAGTCATAGTATTATTATTAATTCAAATCTATGTTTTGCTGATGGAAAATGTGCTAGACGAGAACGAATAATGCCCATTTTGCTTCTGGAATAATAAAAACGATAATACGATGTAAGTGTAAGACTGGGCTTAGAGTCCAATTCTCAATAACCAAATTATTCAAGTTATCCTGCGAAGAATTCATCCTTGACACATGGATGAGATTGAGGGGCTAGCTATGATACTATACAAGATCTGCATCGGCTAGACTTCCCTTTTGGGGTTGGCCCTCATACGCAATCGCGGCATTTCGGGAATAATGGCATCGGACACCACCCACACGTTGCTTGACCAGGATTCTAGGTACCATGTTGGCGGAGATTTAACCGATAACAAAATATGCGGCGAGCCCAACGAAGGTCCAATGTCCGACGGGCCAATGTCACAGCTTGCACAAGGTGCAGAAGCCGAAAGCAGCGGTGCGATCAAAGAATCCCGGCTTGTTCATATTGCGAACGCGCTGGCGCGGAATGCGTAAGCACCGATATAGATGGTGATGCTGTGCCCAGAAGGCTCACTTCGAATCTAGTACCTGGCCTTAGTTTTGACGTCGAGTTAATATGGTTCCATTTATATGAAAAGTCTCGAGGATCGTGTTGCATTTCTTGAGGCGCAACTAGGGTCTGTTGGTGAGGTCCATAACACTCAAACAACATTTTCAGATCTTCCATTGCCTACAGAATTGAATAGCACTGGAGACCCTTTGGGATTGTTTCACAACAGAGTGGAAGAATCTACGGACTTGGTTGCTCAACTTGCAAGCGGATGCCTGCAACAAGAACATTTTGGTACAGAACATAAGAGCTGTGATGGTTTATCAATGATTCAATCACCGCTTTCTGACGCGGTTTCCAGACTACCAGTGACTGAAAAATCGCATGGCCATTCTATTTTGGATGAAATACCATCAGAAAGAATAGTCGCTATACCGAGTCGAGAATCAACCATCAAACTCCTCGATGTTTATTTCGAGCACTGCGATTTCTTCTCTCCGATTCTATTATCTAAAGAACAATCTTTAGACATGCTTGAGCCCCTTTACGGCGATCACACACCTGATCCGTCTCTAGTGAATGTGCATTTTCGCGCGCTCGTCGTATGAAGGACATCCATATTGCTCCTTAACCGGGTCGATTTCACAGTCCCACTTTCCAAATCAAAGAGCTATTTCAATGCTGCAATTCATTTACTTGGACAGAAATCTCATATGATTTGCACAGGAGATCTGAATCATCTGACAAACCTGCTTCTCATCGTCCAATATTGTTGCTTTGCAGCCAATATAACCGCTGCGTGGCATTTTCTTGGTCTTGCTACCAGACTTGCAATTGAGTTGAATCTGCACAAAGAACCTACCTCGAAGTCATCGCTTACGCAGACCGAAAGAAACGAGAGACGTTGGTTGTTTTGGTCTATGTACACATTCGAAAGAAATCTCTGTGTTATCATCGGTCGGCCATTCTCCCTTCCAGATGGAGCCATCGAGACACCTCTTCCAGTACAGGATACTGAAGAGCCACAGCGCGAGCTTGCTATCCATTTAATCAAGCATCGTCTTTTTGAATCTGAGATATACTCAATAATCTACGAGAAACAATATGCCACAGACGGTATAGCGTTTGACAGAGGAAGATGGAGAGAAAGTATGCATCAACGACTCCAGGAATGGCATTACTCTTGTCCCAACCCACATAAATCAACACACCTTGCGCCATATCAGATATTCAGTGGCCACCTGTTTAATGCGCTGGTCCTGCTTTATTATCCGTCGCGGTATTTTCCAAGTCCAACTGCCGTTGATCTAATTACTTTAGCTTTGAATGCGACCGATGCCATTACCTGGTACAAAAAAGGCTTTCAATCAGGAGAGCTACGATTTTACTGGCGAACAATACACAATCTCTTTCGAAGTGGCGTTGCACTCTTATACTGTGCTCAGAGAGATATCGTATGGCAGATTCCCAATCTTGACTTTTGAAAGGGCAAGAGCATCGATCAACTCGTGCTCATCACTTCTCTGGGGAATGGTTGAAAGATACCCAGCGGGAAAAGTATATCGGGATGTTTTTGATAAATTATCCAATGCAATGTTGAGCCAAAAGGAGGAAGCCAGATTGAATGATGGCCATTCGCTATTTCAGTTGTCTACAGAGACTGACTGGAATTTCGATGACTTGGATTTTGAATCCGATGCCAATTTTCTTGCATCCGGTGCATTTGATACACTGCCATGGGGGTTCCAACCCCATTCATGAGCCACAAAGAAGGGGATATGTACATAGTGGAGTGACATGATATGAGTCTAGAACTGCTTGAGTGGATCCGGGGGCGCAGGATCATATTTCAGACTCCGGTCGAACTCAAACTTGAGTTTCATCATCGGCTGCAGCACCCAGGTATTGAATGAAAGAATATCCGCTCCTCTTTGGGGTCTCGCACAGTGTTAAACAAGTACGGACTTTCAAGGCGCCCGCTCGACTGATTGACCTTGGGCTCCCATACAAAGTGCAACTTCCAGTCTTTCCACTTGATAGCACGTAGTTCCTCTTTGAGATAAAATGGGAATCCGGTTCTTGGACATTTGATTCCTTCAGGATCTTTAAAAAACGCAGTTTGATGAAGTCCGTCAATTGGGCAATCGGATGGGACTTTAGCCCCCGTCATAGATAGAATCGTTGTGAAGATATCGGTGACGTGCACAATCTCGTTGGAGGTCGCACCCCTGGGCACCTGATTTGGCCACCGGATGATGAAGGGCACACGTAGACTACCTTCCATGGCAGTGTGGTATGTCCCCGACCAAGGGCCTGCTGTACCTCGGTATGGCTCTCGAAATTCAGGACCGTTATCAGAAGCGAAGATCAGAACGGTGTTCTCGCGGACACCAAGCTCATCAATGTGGTCTAGGATTTGTCCGACTCGGTAATCCATCTCAGCCATTGAATCGGCAAAGTCTCCCTGTCCTGTCGTTCCCCTGAAGTCATTGTGAGGGAGTGTTAGGAAATGAAGATGCACGAGAGGGTGATAGAGAAAGAATGGCTTCTTCTCCTCGACCTTCCTTGTAAGCCACTCCTTCGATCGATCAACCAGCATCTCGTCGATAAGCCGGCGCTTCTCCAAATCATATACGCATACATTCTCTGAGGCTTCACCAGAATTTCCTTTTATTGTATGGGAGCTCACCAACCTCAGGCGTGTAACCCAATGCGGAGGTGAATTGTGTTTCGTCTGTTGTCCTCGGGATACCGAACCATTCATCAAATCCGCGATCAGAAGGGTATCGACCCGGAATATCACCAAGATGACATTTCCCATGATGGGCAGTAGCATAATAATTTGTCTTAAGACACTCAGCAAGGGTCTTCTCCCATTCAGTGAGGCCTTGCGGGAACCCTGCTGGGACGGATTGGCGACAGCCGGTACGAATTGGGTGTCGTCCAGACATCAGAGCGGATCTTGTTGGGACACAATCACTTTCAACATTGAAGTTATGCAGCAAGAGACCTTCCGTTGCAAGCTTGTCAATGCGTGAGGTTGCAGCTCCGCGAAGAATGCTACCGCCATAGCAGCCCAATTCACCCCATCCTAGGTTATCGGCAAGAATGAGTACAATGTTGGGCCGACTTCCGATCAGTTGACATGATGATGATGATGATGATGATGATGAGTTTTATCTTCAACTATTACACAATGAAGTGGTGGCCACAATTGAGATCATTTCTTAAGTAGTAGAGAGCTATCGCTCACCTCCGATGCTCACTGCCGACTTTGCATTTCACTCATCGTTTAGCAGTCTTCGGGGATGACGCCGTCGCTCACCTCCGACCTTGAAGCACGCAATTTGGATTTGTATTATCGTGACATTTTGACATGACAGATAGGAAACTGCTATTTATTATAGCTTGAGTGATAAATTTTCTCTTCTGTCTGATTTTTGTGTCATTAGCAATATTTTTGGACCATTTGTCAACTTCCAAGATTAACATGAGACAACTGCATACAACAACGAACCTGGAATTCACTTTGATAGCCTCTAGAAAGACCCACATTCAAAATCCTCAGTCAATTTCAAAACTTCACCGCCACTACTGACTAGTAACTAGTATGAAGCCGCTCAACATGCCCCGCAATGCCAATATCCCCATTAGGACGCCGAATGAGGGGCATAGACGTGGGCCACATTGTTATGTGGGATAGCTCCACATTTCCAGCCTGCACCAGTTCTGTTTCGCTGGAGTTTGGCATATCTCCGTTGCTTTGAAATCAGATTGAGGGGCACCATGTTTCGCTTGTGGGTCATCGAAATTATACCAGAGCTCCTGCACGGTATCTTACAGTGCACACTGCAGGGATGCTTATTTTATCTTGCATTATATTAATAGAAGTAGTATACTGGACGTGCATCGGATGGAATGGAGTAGATCCGTAATTATGAGCTTGCCAATGATTAAAAAGGTTACAATTTGAAGAAATTCACCTAGGACAGAGTGTTAGGAGTAAAGAGAGCTCTTGATCTATTTAGCCGGTATAAGATGATTCAATATAGCCATGTTATGATGAAATAAAGTTGGAAACTAACGTGGACCAGTATAGAAGTTGAGACTCGAAATTGATTCCATAATATCATGATGTAACTCTGGAGATGTACCACTGTGAGTGATACATGGGCCATCTTATGCCAGTGTGAAATAGTACCAGATATTATCTTCGAGATCAACTCCCTAATGACCACATTATGACCTTCCAGATACTTCTACTCCTATCTTGGTGAAAAGCGTCAACTTCCGCCCGAAGCCCGTGCGAACCCCGCATCGGCCCGTGTTATGTGGTATGCAAGTTACCTAACAGACCGAACATTGAAATCCCGGTGTGAACTATTTAAGTCCGGTCCACCCACTCGATTCCTCAATTGCTGGTTAACACCTTTATTCTTCTCCAAGTAATACCTCCCTCATCATGTCTGACGCTCTTCCTGAAATGCAGTACCGCCATCTTGGCCGGACTGGACTGAAGGTTTCTGTTATCTCGTTGGGTAGTTGGCTCACATATGGTGGCCATGTGGGAAATGGTAATAATAGCTATCTCATGAGTCATGATTGAAGAATATCCAGCTAACTCTCCCACAGAGACTGCATTCGAATGTATGAAGGCCGCATATGACGCTGGCGTCAACTTTTTCGATACTGCCGAGGTTTACTCTGCCGGTCAATCTGAGATTGTCCTTGGTCAGGCAATTAAGAAATTTGGATGGAAGCAGAATGACCTAGTCATCTCTACAAAGGTAAACTTACCCTCCAGATCAACTTCTCAACTTATTCTAATCCCTTCCTAGATTTACTGGGGTAGAGCCAACGGCTCCAACCCTGATAGACCACTTAACAACGTCGGTCTCTCAAGAAAGCACATCATTGAGGGAATGAATCTCTCACTCCAGCGTCTGGACCTACCATACGTTGACATTGTCTACGCTCACCGTCCAGACCGTGACACACCCATGGAGGAGACCGTTCGCGCCTTCAACTACCTTATTGATACCGGCAAGGCCTTTTACTGGGGTACATCTGAGTGGTCCGCTAGCGAGATCGCGGATGCATGGCGCGCTGCCGATAAGCTCGGTCTCGTTGGACCTGTTGTCGAGCAACCACAATACAACGTTCTTGTTCGCGAGCGCGTTGAGAAAGAGTACCGCTGGCTGTACGAGGCCTACGGTACTGGGTTGACTATTTGGTCTCCTCTGAAGGGTGGTGTGTTGACTGGTAAATACAATGGTACCTCTGCGCCACCTCCAGGCTCTCGGTTGGCTGAATCGGAAGATGGATTTGTGAAGAGCCTGCGAAAGACTGTTGGTGATGATAACTGGACTCGACACTTGGAGCAGACCGCAGCTTTGAAGCCTATTGCTGATGACTTGGGTATCACTACCACTCAGCTGGCTTTGGCTTGGGTTTTGAAGAACCCAAATATTTCTTCTATGATTACTGGTGCCTCGCGCCCTGAGCAAGTGCGCGATAATGTGCGGGCTTTGGCGGTTATTGAGAAGTTGACTGATGAGGTTATGGAGAAGATTGATGAGGCTGTTGGAAACCGACCTGTTGAGGAGAAGCGTCGCTTCTAAACGTATACTAAGGATTAAGAGGATATGTAATTCTAGATGAAAAGTGGACAGGTTTATCCCAAAGAGAATTGAAAGCCAAATCCTAGTCATCGTTCATGTACTTGTCAAATACATCAGCATAAAACATGCGTCCCACATCCTGATGGCTTCGAATCTTAGTCCGTAGCTGACTTTCTCCCCAGGTATCATATTTCCCACGCAAAAATGCCGAATCGATACTTGCCCCCTCCGCCGCTTCAAGAGATGTAATTTGAGGTAAATATTCCTTCAGAGTATGCAGTGCCTCATCCTTGGCCAAGTCTCTTCGCACGCCCTGGAAGAATGGCACACTACACCGCTCCCAGGGTTCAGATAGAACTCGATGAGTAGTCGCTTTACAGACTCCGTGTGTAACCACTTCGAACGCTTGCCCGATGTTCACTACAAAGGTGTCCTCAATAACGGGAATGTCTATCCACTCGCCAGCTTTATTCAACGCTTGTAGGCCTTTCACATGAGGTGGAGATGCTTGAAGTAGAAATGTCCACCACCCAGATGAATCTTTGTGAGGCCCGACGCCTTGTTCAGTGGATCTTTTGGGATCCGAGGGTGGGTAGTGAACTAGTTTGAGACGATGCTGATCAGAGAGAAGCGAGAACAGAGTCTCATGGGGAATTGCAAGAGCCTCTGAAACAAGCTGAAGAAACCGTTCACTAAGTTGTGTGAGCTCTGCAATGTATCTCTCAATGACAACGCGGATCTTCGCATCTTTCCCTGGCCACTGAATAGATGTTAAGTATAAATTCAATAATACCGAATCTGTATGTCAGGCTCACCTGATTTGGACCCTTAAGTCGCTCATATATTGGTTGCTCTGCATCCCATGTGTCGACCAGCTCTGTTGCAAACTCAAACTGTTCCCTTTTATCTTCCAATCCCGCGGTGGTCTCAGAGCCGACATGACTGTATCCTAGGAAATGCGGGGAGCGGTGCAGTGCGACATCCTCCTTGCTTTTGGAGTCAAGGGAGAATAGGATATGGAGTATTTCCTTAAAATCTGAAATGGTTTTGCACGGGACTCCATGATTTGAAATATATAGAAAACCGACTTGCGTGATCGCATGGTGAAGCTGTCTCAGGAGCTCAGGGTGTGAAGTTGATGACTCCGCTTGAGAAAGGTCAATTATTGGAATAGACTGGAAGCAGGATGTCATCTTCACGTAGCGCAATTCTATCTCTCTGTACGGATGAAGATAGAATCTCGGTGTTCAGAATATCATTAGTCGTGAGTCGCGATGGCGTAATAGGATAGGTCCAGATGCGGGGTATGTGGAAGTTCAATCTTGAAGGTTCAATGTTTTGTGAACAATGCTATTAATCTGATAAATAATCTACATATCTCTCTATATAGATTAAATGCATTTTCCACCATCAACTACCATTTCAGTACCATTAATGAAACGACCCTCATCACTGGCCAGGTACAGACACATATTAGCAATATCATCCGCCTCTGTGAGGCGACCTAACGGTACATTCCCGATGAACTTTGCCCTATTCTCAGGAGTATCCTCCATTCCGGTAAACATGGAGAAAAGTCCAGTTCCTGATAGCAGGGGCGCAACACTGTTCACCCGAATATTCTGTGGACCATACTCAGCCGCGAGACCTTTAGTTGCCTGCGGGATAAGTCAGTATCATTTAATGAAACCTAGACTGCTCCATAACTCCCTATTCAAATGACATACATTTGTAACTGCACCCTTGGATGCATTGTACCACACCAGTCCAGGTCGAGGTCGACTCGCACCAGTCGAAGAAATATTGATCACCGAGCCACCGGATCCTTGTTCGATCAAACGGGGGATCACAACTGTGCCAGCAAGATAGATACTCTTGACATTGACCTTGAAGACACGTTCCCACTCATCCTCCGTAACATCGACTGTGGGCTATGAATGTGTTAGTCAACAATAACTAAAACCAAAACCCAAAATCACTACTTAAAATGATACTGACCTTGTTACGGTATGAAGTTCCCGCATTATTCACCAGAATATCCAATCTCCCAAATTTAGAGAATGCAACATCAACAACAGTTCGCCATGCATCAGCTTGTGTGACATCGGTGTGTTGGAAAACGAGGTTGGCAGGATTCTGTGCAGCGACTTTCTCCCCTCCTTCAGTGTTGATATCGGCGACGACAACCTTTGCGCCTTCTTCACCAAAGCGACGGGCGATTGCAGCACCAAAGCCAGAGCCACCACCTAAAAGGGTACACAGAGTTGATCAGTCTGCTTGATAGGAGTAGACTTGAAGGATGTAGCTTACCAGTCACAATGGCAACCTTGCCTTGAAGTCTAGAGCCTTGAGCGGACATCTTTGAAGTAATCTGGTTTTTTGGATAATCTTCAGCTGAAAAGGAGGAGTATTTATAATTTGAGACTCTACAGATTAAGATCAGATTCAAAGAATATCTGGAGCACTTGAGATGAAGGTCACTGTTAGAGATCGGACTATGTTCCGTTTCCCCGCATTGTTCCCCTCTCTGATAAACCTCGGAAAACAAGGCACCATGCTTCTACTATATGGAAGAAACCGAAATAGATTTAATCGGCGTTTCAAATAAGTACCAGTAGTAGGTTTCCTACCTAATCGAATTCTAACTTCTCCCTGATATGATCTTAGCACTAGTGCCCCCGCATAACTCATTAGCGCAAATAACATTTGAATCAGACTCGGAGTTGAGATATTTAGACCAACCACAATCTCAAATGCTTCAAGTTGTAAGAGATTTCCCGGATAAAACAAAATTATATTTCTAAAGTCTCGCAAATGGGAAAATGATAAAGCATTCTAGCAAATATTGTTTCAAAGCGTTTTAAACGCAGAAAGTAGACCAGGGTCGCAGGATTTCATCGAAGTCGGAATGCACGTCCGACTGAGCATAAGTATGAGCGACCAAGTTAATATAAGATCCTACATTCATCACCTGGTGTGACTCGGCTCCCCGTGGTCAGTATGAACCTCAACCTCCTCAACAGTCTCAACAGCACCCTTAGAATCAATGAAATGCGTAATACGCTCATTAGGGAGCCAAGCATTCTCCGGCATGATGAAGTATGAGATCAAAGCAAGAATAGTAACACCAGCCATGATGATCGCGGCATCTAAAGAATATTAGCACCAACTCAAACCTGTGAAGTGAAGAAAGTGGATACGCACAATTCAAGTTGCCTCCGGTAACGGGCCACTCATACGGCGAGAACAACACAGCAACTACCCAACCGTTCCAGAAAACACCAATAAACTGAAATGGCTTGCTCCAACGACCCAAACTCCATTTGGGCTTGGGGAAACGCTTCGGGGTACAGAATAGACGACCCAGACAGATGAGGCCGTATGCGGCGGCGCTGGGAACACCTGCGGCTGAGACGAGGGAAGTGAAAGCCACGTTTGATGGGAGAATGGTGCAGGTAATGAGTGCGGCAACACCCCAGACTACGATAACGGCGTTGCGTGGTTGACCGTTATTAACCTTGGAGACCCAGCCGGAGAATGGAAGGACTCCATCACGGGCGACGGCGAATACAAGACGGGAGGCGGCGATGATGGCAATTGCGGTGTTCTGAAAAGGTTAGTATACAATCGTATTGGTTGTATGTGGGTCTCGTCTTACCAGCCATAGAGCAAGAATGCAGACGACGTTCATGACAATGTGACCGCCTCTGCCCAGAACAACAGCATACAATGGGACGAAAGGTTGTGGGGATCCAAAACTCATCAGAACATCCGGGGTGGGCTATACAACTTGTCAGTAAGTCTCATGAGCCGCATGATATATTGTAGGACTTACTGCGCAGAACAGGAATAGAAGAATGGTGAACAATCCACCAATACCACTGGCAACAGTACTCCAGAAGATACCACGGGCAGCAGTCACCGAGGCGTTCTTGGTCTCCTCGGCAACGTGACCCGAGGCATCAAATCCAATCAAGATACCAGCGGTAGCCAAGTAGGAAAGACACCAGTTCCAACCATCTGGGGCACCGGTTCCGTTGTAAGTGGTCATAAAAGCCTCATGGGCAGAGCGGAAACCCCAAGTGTTGGCAGCTCCAATGGGCAACCAGATGAGGTTCATGAAGAAGTCCAACATGACGAATCCGGCAGATACCCAGAAAACGTACTTGAAGTAGCGTGCTGAACTAATATTAGAGATGATTATCATAGAGAGCGGATAAGAACATACGAGGCAGGAAGTTCAGAAGAGCAGCGAGGGCGAGCAGAACCTCTGTACAGATCCATTGCACAGCACGGAACTTGACACTGTCAGTATCTTTGGGAAAGTCGACATTGAATACAGTTAATTCCTGGAAGAATTGTCAGCACGATCACGTCATCCTTAGATCAATTCTTGAACATACGGCAAGCATATAGTTAGCCGCAGCCTGGGTGTTACTAGCACAGAAGGTGGTCCATGCTGTTGTACTCCACCACGCAACAGTGAAGCCAAGAAGACGACCAAATCGAGGGCCACCAGCTTCGGCTGCCCAAATATAAATGGAACCAGCTGAGGGAGAGGCCGAGCAAACCTCCGCCACAACAGCAGCAGTGATAAAAGTGAAGACCAGGGTAACCAAGTAGCTGGTCCAGTAGGCCAAGTTTCCACCAGCTGCAATACCAGTACTATAAGTGACACGCACACCACCGACAAAGTACAGCGCAGCTAATTTGCATCAGTTCATGTTCATTCATGGTGGTTAATACAGATTCTACTTACCAAAAGTAGTGGCAAAGTTCTCAAACAAGGTGTATGTTCGATGAAGCACCTAATTCACATCAGCCTGTCAACTGCCGATCCCCGGAGCTCATATCAGATCAAAAGACCTACCGGCTTATAGCCCATGGTTTGCTACACAAGATTGGAAATTAGCCCAGATCATTTTTCAATATCAAAATAAGCACTTACCAGTAAAGCCGCATCATCCTTACCCTCTAATTGACTGCGATCACCTTCGCCCTCAACAGGTAACTCGGCATGATCCATAACGAGGTCTTGTTGCGCCATTACCGCGGATTAAGCGACCCGAAGACCCGATTCCCAAATTGAAAAAATCGAACAGGGCGAAACCGATCTCACCCCGTTTATAGAAGCGGATATAACCTCTCTATATGGTGAAAAGGATCCAGAATCTCAAGAGAAAAAAAAATTCCCCAATTAATTTTCACTCCGAATACGGTTACGCCGTTTTGCGCCCCCGGTCAGGAACAAGGTCAACCCCACTGTGCGGGAAGATTAGGGAGCCCGCAGTGCAGTAGTGGAAATAAGTACTCCGCAGGAGAGCTCAAGTGTTCGTTGAATCGATATTAATTAATCTCGGTTATATCGATTCAGACCTGCTGAGAGAGAAAGTTGTGATCGTCAGCATGAATCCAAGTACGAAGTCAGAGCGGGGATATCCCTTACCAATGCAGATCTGATAAGCAGAGAAAAAAAAGGAAAAAAAAAAGAAAAAAAAAATTGGAGTAATTAAAAGTATAATTCAATGGGAGATAAATTAGTCAAAACAAGAGAATGACTTGAATCCACTTGAATCCGGAGCTGTCTCGTCCGTAATGTAGAATGAAAATTTTAGATTCTCGTAGCCTTAGTGGGAACATTTGAACTTGAACTTGAACTTGAATGGATTATGGGGCCATGGATAAAGTGGATATTCTCTAGGATCTCAATTCTAATCCGTGGTTCGTGGTAGTCCAGGTAGTGGAGAGCTCATAGGAGGTCAGTGCAATTAATCATTTCTCCGAATACTAGTAAATCATTAGCGCATCGTATTCTGAATGGGCTGGAAGTGTGTATATTGCGCTTTTGCTAATTTACCTTAATCCCCAAAACCGGTTCCTGTTGACTGGTAAGGCCCACTTACGGGCCGTAGAACTGGTCTGATTAGTGTCAGGTGAGCTTCAAGTTCAAGTTTTTCTTGATAATTGACTCATATTAATATGACCTCAACAATTTTGGTTAATTATTGAAAATTAAATCATACTGATATGAAGTATAAAACTTGAAGTTCATGTCTTGTGCTATTCTTGTCAGCATCGAAAAGGTTGACACCATATGACTTCCCAATGTTGTTTGGATCTGAAATGGAAACTTGAATAGGCAATCTTGTATATGATGTAGTGTCCAGCACTACCATGAGAATTGCTGCAATTGAATCTCGTAAAGGATAACATGTACATAGAGTGAACTATATTGGTATAATATAAGAAAAAGTTATAATGTGACCTAACAATCATGTTAGATCTTCATCAGAAATGAAAACTCCACGCAAAAATGTCATCAGAGTCAAGGAAGGAGAATGTTCGACTTGATCTCATCCAATGTCTCTGTCCAGCCCTCAGGAAAAGTACGTCGCTTGAACCATACCGCCTCCAAGGTTTCCAGACCTTTATCAACATTCTTGAATCCAAACAGCTTCAGCTCCTCCATCGTTTGACGAACATATTGCTGCTCAGCTTCATTTCGGGTTTCCTGTCCAGCAATGAAAAGAGGCCATAGGATCGCCAATTGTCCCACACCCTTCGATAGTTTCCGAATCAAGGTAAGGATACGAGTGATGAGCATATCCAAATAAGCTCTATCTGTGATCCAGCGCGGACGACCTGCACCCGCGACTTGATGAAGATGCACAAAGGTTGCTTTCTCGTAGGCTTCAACACACCCAACATACTCCAGCATATCCGGGAAAGGGAATTGTCGGAGACTTTCATCATCCAGTCCCATATCTCCAAGTAACTGAAGACTGATGGGTGTACTAGCTCGCCAAACCACCAATTGGTTGAAGATTTCTTTATAAACCATGTCTTGGTGCTCTGGAGACATCCATTGTTTATCACGAGCGAAAGTACTAATCGCAGCTTGCACCTCCATCATATGCGACCATGCATAACGTAATTCTACCAATGTCGGGTTATCCGGGGTTGCTGGTGATGACAGGCTGGGGGTTCCAAGATTGTACTCCCACCCACCTCCGAGGGTCTTCCAATAGTTTCCCTCCACAACTGTGCCACCTGGGGTGGCACATGCACCGGCAACATCCAGATAAGAGAGTAAAGACACAAGAAATGACCGGAGGGGATGGTTACACTCGGCGACTCGCTGCTCCTCCCGAGTAGAGGTGCGGCCGGTGTGCGGATAGAAAAGAAGGTTGTAGATCTCGCGGGCACCCTTGAGATGCACGGCCCAATTATGGTTTTGAGAGTCCATCATCTGGCGCTGGTCAGCAACAATTTCGCTTACATTTTGATCATGATCTTGATTCACCTCAAACAAACAAAGTAATAAGCATGTTGCGAAATCCGTCATTCCAAGTTGTTGAGTCGTTCGTCCATAGCGGGCGCGAAACAGCTGTACCACCTGTCCGTATTTACTCATAGCGTGCTGAAGATGTGAGTTGCGTTGTGGTCCCAGAGAGGTATTGGCTAGATGCAAGGCGCCCAGTGCTTGCATAGCACCGACCATGGAAGGAGATGAACGCGCAAAATCGGGGAAGTAACTCCGATAAGGATTGATATTCATGGAATTATCGTAAATAATGAGGAGGGTCGACACTCGATCGATAAAGTGCATGAAGTACCGATCATCTGTTTCTTCAATAGATGCAGGAACAAGACGGGACGGCATGGATTCTTGGAAACGAAAGCTCCTCCATTGTGATGATGCCGTACTTGGAGAGACCACTATAGCCTCAGATGGCTCTGTATCTCTTCCATGCTTTATAGCAAAAGTTCCTGTGCCCGGTATGGTATCGCACGCGGCGGACTCGGTAGCCTTCTTTCGCGTCTTGGAACCCTTGGATGGCGGCTCTTGGTTAGGTCCATAGACCTTAAAGGTCATTCTCCCCTGAGCACCATCACACTCGAGTCCCAATCTCGTACAGTTATTGCAAGTAGGCGAGGCCTCATCACATCGAACATGGCGACGACGACAGGTAGAACAACCGGTGAAACCTCGATGATGCCAGCGGCGGACTCGTTTACGGGGCGGGGCGGACTGCGGGAGGGAGGGCGATTCGGACGGGACTGGTGCGCCCGCAGGGCGAATCTCCATCAGGGAGTAAAATATGGGGTGAAGACATTAAGAACCTGAGGTTCAACACATGGTTCTTATGGGAACTTATAAAAAGGAAAGCAAAAAAAAGAAACGAGACAAGGCTGAGGAACTCCAACTGCGCCAAGGGCGTCGGGAAGCTTAGTGAATATTATTTGGTGTGGCCTGGGTCGATCTTCTCTAGTGGTTGATCGTCCTTCTTCTCTCCACCCAGCCACGTCGCTAGCTTGAACCTCTTTAACCGTTCTACAGACATTTCCTTCAACAATGTTCTTGTGAACATCCACCAAATGAATTCATTTACTCCAGGACTGAGCGATATTCTGTATTTGAGGTGCGGCTCCCGCGGGTTTCGGGTTTGGGGTCGAGTTAACCGGCGCTCGGTGCTCGTCCGATCACAGGATGCACCATGTTGGAAATACAGTTGCTATGATAGGCCGGAGTGCTACGTTGATGACAATCTGAATTTACGGATTCAAACTCCAACAACAAGGGTAGGCTGGCATGCCCCGGTATTGAGGCGAAGTCGTCTCCTTACTTTGTACGGAGTACGAGGCAACTACCTAGTACATACTAGGTGGATATGCTCTTGCAATCGTCATTCCTGGACCCTATGTTATACGAGGAAAGGGACCTGGAATCTAGATATTGATACATCTATTACCAAAGGGATATTGCCATATTCCTAAGATTGCTGATCGGGAATTCGACTTATTGCGAACCATAGCAAGTGAAGCTCAGTCTGTTTCAGCACATTATAATGGTGCACGGCCTGCACTTCATATGGTTCCATGCATAGTCACCAGCGCCATCGAATGACAGTTCTGCACAAAAGAGCTGCAACGTGGCCGCCACCTGATCATATCGCAAATATAGACAAGATCTACCTGGAACCCGGAATGGAGGGCCTGTGTGTAGATTGGAATCTGCTCACTGCTCGGGTCTCATCAACACATTATGCACCTGGCATGATTTAGTAGTGGCGCGGGACGCTAACTGGTGTATGGCGTTTTGTTGCAAACTTAAGTGGTAATCTTAATAACTTGAATATCCGTGCCATAACGAATCACAGTCAACTAATTGTAATGAATATTGTCAACATCTTTGAAGTTCATATCCCATCGGATTCTTATGATCCGAAGATGTACTACATACCACGGTCCACGGATAAAGCTGGAGTATCCACTATATGGACCTGGTGACGTTGTGGCTGTTAACCTGAACTGTGAAGGTGATCATAGCTGAACATGAAAATTCAATGTCTGATATGGTAGTGATAGTATCTGAATATTGAATTAAACACCTGACATCATGACACGAAGACCCTCTAGTAACTCCGAGTTAAAGTTGACTTCAGCTTCCATATGGCCCCGAAACAGCATTGCCAGCTTTTTGGTTGACAATCTCCATTTCCCTCGACAATGAAGAAGAAAGAGCCCCAACATCAGTCATAACGTTCATGAAATCATATCCCATATCCGCGAACCGCTTTGCCTGAGTACCATTCCCACAGAAAATACCCGCTTTTTTACCCGCGGCATGGGCAGAAGAAAGAATTTTCTGAATAGCCTGCTCCAGCTCAGGGGCAAAGCTATCTCCCTCAACAGGATGACCAATATTGTTACCTAGATCGAAGGGACCAACAAACAAAAGATCAAGTCCATCAACAGCTGCAATCTCATCGACTGCCTCCAAAGCTTCACGAGTCTCGATTTGAACAGAGAGAAGGATATTGTCGTTTGCTTCCTTCAAATACTGAGTGGCTGTCACATGCGGACCAAACCGGTCCATGGGGAATGGAGAGCCAAAACCTCGGCGACCTTGTGGAGGGAATCGCGATGCTTCTACGAAAGACTTGACATCTTCCACGGTTCGAACAAGAGGTGCGAGTACTCCATGGGCACCTGCATCAAGAGCACCTGTAAATTCAATTAGAGAGCGCAAGGAAGCATCGTATATGGGATGAAATAATAACGTTTAATCATCCAAGACTGGAAGTCTGGAACTCGGACGATTGGACTACATCCGTATGAAGTGATAGCAGGGATAGCTTCGTGCATTGCAGCATCTGTGGAACGAAGTCAGTGGATGCAGTTCCCATTATAGTATATTCCACCTTACCATCAATATTTCCATGTTCACAGTCAACGAGAACCCAGTCATATCCAGCTCGTGCTAAGATACGAGATAGGTTGCTTCCAGGTAAGAGCTGCCAGACTCCTAGAGCAGGCCGTTCACCCATGCCGAGGACTCTCTTGACTCGGTTGGTCCCGTCCATTGTGTAGTGTTATAAATCAAGATTGGATTTAAATTTAAGGTGAAATCTGCAGGCGACGAAACTTGAAGTAATTTGAAATGAAAAGGGAGATGAAACTGAAGTTTCGATAATGCCCCGCGTCTTCCAAGTTATACTGGTGGGTCTGGAACTCGGATCGTCATATTCCGGACTCTGCCAGTAACACGGATTTAGATGCAATAATGCTAACCAATTTAAAAAGCATTGAATTGCTATAAATATGAGACCTGTTCAATTTATGAAGTTTTGTCGGTGCTTTAGAGCCCGTTTTCACCCTTCAGACATTCATCAATTTGTTTCGCCATCTGTAGACACTCTTCATCCTGCATATTCATAGTGAAAAGTTGTATAGAGGTAGGGGCGCCTTTAAGCTGTGCGAAATTGTCTAAGATAAATTAGCCTGGTTCCATCATTTGCAGTACATATGATTCAAGAGTAGTAACTCACAATCGGGAGCTATCTGGCCCTCTTCAAGCTTGAATTCCTCGTTATCCAAGTCATTCACCTCCCCAAATGGCAAAACACAGGATGGATACTAGGAGGGAAAATTAGTACAGTCTTTCTTCATGAAAATGAAATCTTGAAACATACATCCAAAGTGTTCAAGAATGTTGCATAAGGCGCAATGCCGGAAGTATCATGCGGGATTGCGGTATTCTGAGACAACGGAGCAATGCAGATATCCAGCTCATGTCGCAACCAGAACTTCCGGTAATTCTCACGTAGCTTCGCTCGTCGCACGTTGAGGAGAGCTAGATTCCCCATTCGATCGAGTCCACTTGTTTCTGGCTGGGACGGCGGGAACATCCGCATCAGAGTCTCAATCCGGTTCATAATGATGCCAATAGCAGGCACAACTGGCTCACCAGCTCCAACAATGAGATCTCTAGAGCCCTGATCTAAGTTGAAAATATTCCAGGCTATGTCATTCGCTTCCAAAATTTGAAAATCTTCCTGATCCAGGTGGATTATCTGATGGCCCTGAGCTTCCAAAAGGCTGACTGATTCATTAAGTGCTTTCCGTATAGGCGGATGAAGAGGGAAGAGGAAGGTCTCATGCATGACTCCAATTCTCAAGACTGGTTTTCTTGGAACATCTCTCCAGGGAATATCAAGAGCCGTTGAGTCATACAGGGAAGGCCGTGCACTGAAAATTGTTTTCAAGAGAATCTCGATCCCATCCAAGTCCAGAGAGAGTGGACCTGTGGTTGATAAGATGAACCTCAAGCCCAGTGTCGTGCAAATTCGCATCCCGCCGTTGGGTATTCTAGATGTACTCGGCTTGAAACCATAGGTTCCGCAGAAACGGGCAGGGATTCGTACCGAACCTAGTATAGTACCGTTAGAATGATCGGGTATGGAATGATCGAGCAGAGGGTTGTCTTCGTTTCATACCAGCAATGTCCGTTCCAAGGCCAATAGGGGAGCCTCGAAGAGCGATCAACGCGCTCTCACCACCGCTCGAGCCGCCGGGCCCTAGTTGGGTATTCCAGGGGTTCAGAGTCCGCCCAAAGACATTATTATGAGAGTCAGATGTCTTCAGGGAGGCCAGTCTGGAAAATGAACTAGAAGTAGTCGGATAGATTTACCATCATTGTTTGAGGAACATTGGTTTTGACATATAGTACTGCTCCTAGTTCCAAAAGAAGATCAACAAGGGAAGTATTTTCGGTGGAGACCTCTCCTAGAAACGAAACCAGTCCAGTAGTCGCTTCTCTTCCCTTAAATTGGAAGTTATCCTTGATGCTAACAGGGAGTCCATGCAGTGGACCTGCTGGTTTTCCCTGCGCTTTCAAGTCATCAAGGTATTGGGCTCGCTTTTGAGCCTCCTCGAACATGGTTTCCGTGAGACAGGAAACCTACTCATCGTGAGTTCAAAGTCAATCATATTCATACTATCAGGATTCATACCAGTTGCTGGGCGACTGCAGCACGCTTGCAGTAAGCTAGAGTGACCTCAACGGAGGTAAGGCTCCCAATTGCCAATGCGGAGATCAATTCAGCAACTGTGTATTGCTCGGTGATTTTCAGTTCACGCGCTGTCAGAATTCCAGATTCACGGATTGCCGCAGTTCGGATAAAATCGTTCTTGTTTTCCGACAATGGTGCTGAGAATTTAGCCATGAAGCCATCAGAAAGCTTCCATTCGGTTGGTATTCTGCTGGCACATTCCTCTCGCTTTCGTGCAGCTTTCTCCTGCCAGGAGCCGGGCTCGTTGATACTAGGGTCCATACCGATGATCAATACGTTTATCAAAGATGAACACAAGTTGAGTGAAAATATTGAATGGGGTCGAATATGGTCCAGCTAGGAAACTTCTGGGGAAAATAAGACTCCAACAAGCTGAGCTCATATCAGGAAATTGGAGGGGTATTATACCTGTTCAAATCGCCAGGTGATAGCCTTACTTGGAACATGCAGAGACGGACCTCGGGAGTAACCCAATTCGGCCAACAGTGCGACGGCTAGTGTCTAGTCGTGAGAATACGAACCTGAGCACTATAATAGACTGATTCACTACAAAGTTCCTTGGTCTGAGCTAGAATCACCGGCAGTTGATTTTGATAATCTGGCTGCTAGCCCACCTAGACCGATGACAGCAGACGGCAATACATCACCGAATATGAGGCGTCCACCTACGCAATGTTATCCCCTTGCAGCCATTAGCCCCGCCTCCGCAAGCTTTGCGGCTCTCCGACCGAGAGTTCTATACGGATTATGTTTGGTTCGCCCAAAGATCTTCTTTGAGCTTTTCATGGGGGCCTTACTTCCACTGGCATGGGTCCGATTTCCGATGCCCACAGTACCCCGGAATCCGTCAAGCGAAATTAAATTCATGGTATTGTCGACTCCCTTCTGCAGTGGTTCTCATTCGTTCATCCATGATCCATGAAGGCTCGAGCTTGGGATCAATTTTTTGACAGAATCAAATGCCGCCACTATATAAGCTGACTAGACTGTTACCCTCCGAAGTTGATCTTCTGATTTCAGGTTGAATTTCAAGGTTACATTTGATGATTGGTGAGCAAAAGTTCTGGCCGCTGGTGCAAGACACCTATTGCACACCTGAGCATCAGGGTTTTCGAGCAACTGGAGAGAGAGGGCCCTCGTAAAGTCCTACAGTAGGACCAGTTCCCCAGTGCTCTCATTGAATCTTCGTTTGGAGGCTCACGACCCTCACTGGCCATACCATGAGTTCGGACAACTCAGGGCTCCCAAACCTGGCTACCACCGTATTTATCTTGTTGATTTCCATGCGAAATCGACCCCCAAGATACCAGAGCTCATCCAGTAGAGCAATCAGAAGATAGAGGTGTGCAAGTATAGCAAATGATAACCCGGTAGATATATCAGGACTGTTGTTCAAATCTAGCGAAGAGATAAAGGTTTCGGGAACGAGGTATGGCCAGGATGAAACAGCCGCATCTTCTATCTCAGCTTGCATTGCACGATCAGAAGGGAATTCGATTTGTGGTAGCATTAGTACGTATATGGTTCGCATATACATCTGTTCAACCACATCGATTGTCTGATCCTGTGCCGCATATATTGAATCTGGCTGGGGTGTTGCATTGGTTTCGGGGCTGAGCTGTGATGTTGACTCTGAGCTAGGAATATCACCATGAACGGAACTCGCTGGCTGCTGAGAGCTTAGGCATTCTCTCAGTCTCAGGATTGCTCGTCGCGCACCCAACGCAAAGTCCAAGAGACTTTCCGACAGTCCCTTGGCTAGGAGCCTATTTTCGAATGTCGGTTCCGGGCCGAGTAGCTTCCAGTCATCGTTGGCATTGTGGTAAAGTAAAAGAGGTCTTAATCGGCTTAGTTTGAGGGTATCCCAAGACTGCTGCACAATGGAACCGACACCGCGCACTAGGCGGAGCCAGTGTATTTGAGGGATGTCGGAATTGGAGTTCGGGGTCGGAGAGTGCCACAACGTCTGAGAAGATGGATCTAGTGTTTTGATTCCAAGTGAAGCAAAAGCAAAAGCAACAACTAGCATTGATCCCGCAAGCAAAGCCTCCGCATCTTGGTCACCAGCCGCCGCCAATGTCTCCTGGAGTCCTTGTAGACCCTTCTGATGGTGTTCAACCAGGGCTTCAAGCTCAATTTCGTCTGAAGCCAAGGATCTTGAATTGATTGATCCAATAAAAGATGGTGAGTCGTTAATCTGAGGCTCCGTACCTCTGAAGCTGTCTGAGCTTTCTAATGTCATCATATCCAGACCGGCCAGTGCTAGGAGCAGGTGCATGAGAAAGGCATTTTTGGTAGCGAGATCTGGAATCACACGCTCCCATGCCAAGGTTTTGCGAGTATTCAAACTCAAGGATTTGGAAGTGTGCAAGATGTAATGTTTCAAAAGATTCAAATCTTGCATATTAAGGCAGCTCTTCGATTCTCCATCGGGATTTGATGGTCTCCTGGGTGGTATATTGAAATTAAGCGGATGAATGCGATCCGCATTCACGCCTGGCAGCATCACTGGATAAGTTGCACTATGAGACAATGTCTCGAGGTTGGGATGAGGGTGTCTTCTTCTTGTCTGTACATGTGGAGAACATGGACGTGGAAACACGCATTCATCACCCCGGACGGAGCAAGCACCACAGACGGGTTGTTCTTCATCACACTGCCCTTGTCAGTCCTTGATCATGAAAACAGGAGATTCCGATGATTTTCCCATACCTTCACTCGACGCCTTTTGCATGTGAAGCAACCTTTTCTTGATTTGGTGTGTGTGATACGTCTCACCCGAATTTGCGACCTGGGCGTTGAACCAGACACGGGATTCGTAGACCCCCGAGACGCGTTGCGTGCCATTTCACGTTGCGCAATATAAAACCAGTCAATATCAATATTCCATTATTGAAATGAAAGTCACGGGTAGTTTGACTCTTTCGGACCGGGTATTAGAGCAATAGCAGAGGTTGAGGCGGAATAACCGGAGTTCCATCTCAGCTGTTTTTCGGCCACCCGGCGCGAGCCTTCGACTCCATCCACCCCGAGGCCGCTTACAAAGGCATGGAATGAAGCCTCCTTTCCAAGGTTGGAAATCGGTGAAAAGTGAGATGGTTTCTATTATTTCATTCTAGTATTTCAAACGTTATTTCATAAATATTATATCACGGTATTTACTGATATGAGAAGAAACTTTGAACTTCCGTGCTTTAACTTCAATTTGGACGCACATAGTGCCTATAGTATCATGATAGTAGTACTATCTTCAAGTTCTTCAAAATATTCCTTCAACTCAGAGTCTGCCATGTGGAAGTACTGCTACTACTAATGCCTTTCTATCGGATAAATGAAATTGGCGTGAGTCTGTAGACGACTTCAACGTCTTCTCTCCTTAGCTTCCTTGAAAGGATCTAAACCTGCTCTCAAAAATCCATTGCGATCACATATTCATCAGACTCCAAAGGCAACTGTACGAATATGAAAAACCACGAGGAAGATAATTAAAAAAGCCCTAAAGTCTGTTGCAAATGCGTCACCCCTCGGAATTTGACTTTGGGCGAGTAAATCCGTCTTCTGTGAGTGTGAGTGGAAGCTCACTATCCCTCTTGTTTTCACCGCGACCCAAAAATGAGCCCGGATAAACAACAATCAGAACGATCCCAGTCAGGGACATGAGGCAAGCGTCAAAAATGTATAGAAGATACTCTCTGTGCATGATGAAGCCATCATTTCCTTCAACGAACTCCACAACTCGAAAGACCGATCGCACGAGAATGAGCAAACTGGCAACATAGATAGCCCACATGAGCGATTCCCAGGTTATTTGGCCCTTGGACTCGATACCATATGACCTCACACTCTCGCAAACATGGTTATACTGCGGGCGCCGCTTCATCCTCCAATGCAACGATGCGGATAGGTAGACGAAGAACCCGAAGAAGAGAAGCTGAACAACCAGACCACCAACAACAATATTGGCGCCAGTGCTCATGGCAGATAGTGTTCCAACGGCCATAAAACTACCGCCTATTGACGAGTCAGATCAGTACTCAGGTCCAATGAAGACAACTGGAATGGTACCACAAACCTCCACATTGCAGAAGAAACGATACGACATCCCCAATAACAAAGATCTTTGTGAGAAACCAGACGGGAATGATGAATTTCTCTTCTGCGCCAAGTTTGACAACAATTCGACCCAGTGTCATGTAAATAGAGGCGGCAAACAGCGGGGGTGCAACGAGGATGAGCATGGTTTGAACGATATACGGACCAAGTGCCATTGTATCGAAATGTGAAAATATGCGAGCGATAAAGCCGGCGCATTCGACTAATAATCTGTTATTAGGACAGGATAATACCCGGCTTAAAGATTCAAATGTTTGTGACTCACATAGCAAGCCCACGATGAATGGAATGAAGAAGTAGTGGTGGTTTCGAAGCAGTCGAATCAAATGTAAAAAGGAGAGAAGTAGAAAGATTCCGGCAAAGACTGCAGCTGCTACAATGGAGGGTTTATAGCGATAGAGGGCAAAATCTATTCCGCCATTGTTATTGGTATCAGTCGCATCTTGAGACATGGCAAACAATTGGGATGTGTTGAAATTATTAGTATCTTAAGAGCGTTCTGGGAAAAGAATTGAGCCCATAATTATTGGGCAGCTTCTAGCTTTTATATCGAATTTCTTCAAATGTTCAAACCTGACTGACCCTAATACAGGAATTGACCCTGAAAATTTGAATCTATATTGGTATCCATGGATCTATTCAACCTTGCTGGATACATACGAGAATGCGAGAATGCGAGCCTCGGGTGGGTCAAATGCACCCCACAATTCAATAGATGTCCAACCACCACTCTGTATACTTGCCCATACTCTCGCATTCTCGCACTCTCGTACTCTTCGCTACTGGTACAACCTTGGAAATCTTGGAACCGATGCTCCTTCTTACTCCACTCAGGCTCGGCAGAAAGATGTACAGAGCGCCATGAGCCAAGCCTGAGTTCTCTGCGATTCCCATGCATGGCACCATGAACCCTGTGTGGTTGAATTTAAGCGCATCCACTGCCGAATTGCTATTTCTTTCACTGACAGCTGAACTGATGATGATTATGTTCTGAGCCTGACAGTACTACTAGTACACCTGCAGTTCCACAAAACACACCCAGAAACCACACACATACCCACATTCGTCCTTGGAGGCGGCTATGAAGAGACTACATTTCCGCACTGCAGGTTGCAGCGACTATGCCTGTCAATATCTCTATCTCTCTACACACGCGTGCCCCCGCTGCTACCAACCTACCCAGTTGGACTCTTACGGCCAGGCATTACGGCCAGGCACTGAGAGACACTGTCGAGAATCTCCAATACCTCCGAGCAGTACCGTGAAGAACGTGATTTGCCATCTTTCCTTAACCTCGTGGAAAAAGGTCGGGCCTGCAAAATGTGTCTGGTCTTGCACATTCTCAGTCAACTTGAATATAGCCTGATCTATGGCTATTAGGACTGAAACCCTGACACTCTACGCGAATATGCGACGACACTCTGAGAACTCATTTATCTCGGGCTTGAATGGAAGAGATCCGATGGCTTGAAGTCGAAGGAGGTGAGACCAGACTGTTATGTAACGGTGATCAAGTGCAAAACAGCATATGCTAGGCCTCTCAACTGTGGAAGGCACAGCAAAACTGACTACTAGTACAGCAGGAGATTAACAGACCCTTTTTACACCTTGAACCTGGCCATGCATAACCCCAAAATGGCTACTCTTATAGATGAGAGCATCATGCTGCTGTTAAATGAGGCCCGAGGGAGGCAATTAGCAGTAGTAGGTTGAGGCAAAAAAGCCGACTTCGTATATGTACCTTTGAATTTCATGTTCTCTGCACCTTTTCTCCTTCTTTACCATACAGATCATGATACTTCTTTTATATAAAGTCTATAATTCATGTCTGTTGAACTTGACCTCGTAAATGAATATTGCCGAAACCCGGCAGAATCATCATCTTTCTCCGCATCAAACCGCCATGACCTATGATCACGAACTCCGGCTATCGGAATTTGGCATCAATTGTTTGTGGAGAGAGGTCTGTGAGACCACCAGGTTCTAGCAGGCTTTAGAAAAAGTAAAACAGCCTTCATCACTTCCATTGGCTCTTAATATGCCACACATCACTAGGAAATTGCCGTGAAGTGGTTACTCGCTATTCAAAACCAGTGTGTGGAGAACAACGCCCGGACGATCCGAGCTCTCCCCGAACTCCACCAACCCCGCGGGGAGAAACAATTAAGGCTGTGGCTTTGGAAATACCCGGGGAACCGTGATTGAAAGGGGCGCGTACCGTTTCATCATAAGGTGGGAGTCCGAGAACTCGTGTCCTTGTTTCCTCTTTCCTGCTAAACTCCTCCCTTTAAACCCCCTTCTTTTCCCGTAACTCCTTGTTCACCTCGTCCTCACCAACCCACCTCCTCAGATGTGCTTTGACAATCTGTGATCCAGTTTGTCACGAGCCCTTCTCAATCATGAGTGTTTCGCGCTCCCTGTTGTCTGCGCTGGGACAGTGTCGAGCGGCTCCCAGTGTCAGAGCAGGGAAGTCTGTCCTATCAGTGACACATGCAGGTAAGCTGCTTCTCATCCCTGCATGGCTGCATGACCCCTCAAAAATTTTGCTACCGCATTCTAATTCCTGTTACCAGTCTCCCAATTTCGTCAACTTGCACTACTTGCGTCGTCGGATAAGAAAAATGCGCCCAGTCCTCGCCAATGGCCTATCCTCTCCAAACGCGCCGCATCGACCACCTCTCCTGCCTCAGAGCTTGTACCAACCACCCCTTACTCCGAACTCACTGTGGGTGTACCCCGCGAAAGTCACCAGAATGAGCAACGAGTAGCCATCACACCTCAAAATGTGGCTTTGCTTCTGAAGAAGGGCTTCTCACGCGTGTTAATTGAACGTGGTGCTGGTGAGGGGGCACAGCTTCTGGACGATGCGTATGAAAAGGCTGGTGCGACGGTGGTCGATCGTGATGCGATATGGTCGGAGAGTGATATTGTTCTGAAAGTCCGAAACCCGCAAGCGGAAGGTCCATTCAATGAGATTGAAGCTCTTCGTAAAGGCTCGACTATTGTGTCTTTCATGTACCCGGCTCAGAATAAACCGCTCGTGGATGCTCTGGCTGCACGTGGTGTCACTTCCTTCGCGATGGATCGTATCCCGCGTATCTCGCGTGCGCAGACCTTCGATGCTCTAAGCTCAATGGCCAATATTGCAGGATACAAGGCAGTTTTAGAGGCCTCGAACCACTTTGGCCGTTTCTTGACTGGTCAAGTCACGGCTGCCGGAAAGATTCCTCCTAGTAAAGTCCTGGTTATCGGTGCTGGTGTGGCCGGTCTGAGTGCAATTGTAACAGCACGTCGAATGGGTGCCATTGTTCGAGGCTTCGATACGCGTCCCGCTGTCCGTGAACAAGTCCAATCCTTGGGTGCAGAATTCATCGAGGTGGACTTTCAGGAAGATGGCGCTGGACAAGGTGGTTATGCAAAGGAAATGTCCAAAGAGTTCATTGAGGCCGAGATGAAACTATTCATGGAACAGGCTCGTGAAGTTGATATTATCATCACAACAGCTTTGATCCCTGGAAGACCGGCTCCGAAGCTCATCACTAAGGAAATGGTTGCTGCTATGAAGCCAGGCTCTGTTATTGTAGACCTTGCAGCTGAAGCGGGTGGTAACTGTGAAGCTACTATCCCTGGCCAGCTGTCTAGCTACAAGGGTGTGACTGTCATTGGCTATACTGATCTTCCATCTCGTCTGCCGACCCAATCCTCAACCTTGTACTCAAACAACATCATCAAGTATCTCCTCTCCATGGCTCCCAAGGACAAGTCCTTTGGAATTGATTTCAAAGATGAAGTTGTTCGAGGGTCTATTGTTACTCTCAACGGCGAAATTATCGCTCCTGCTGCCCCATCTGCTCCCCCTCCGCCTCCCAAGCCTGATACTCAAGCTGCTGCGGCAAAGAAGGAGGAGGCTCTGGCGATTACACCATGGCAAAAGGCAACTCGGGACGTTACTGCCGTGACAGGAGCTATTGGCACCACATTAGCCCTTGGTAAGGCAGCAGGTCCGATTTTCATGGGCAATATGATGACTTTTGGTCTCGCGGGTCTGGTAGGCTACCGTGCAGTTTGGGGAGTTGCGCCTGCTCTTCACTCTCCGCTGATGAGTGTCACCAATGCAATCTCCGGAATGGTTGGTATTGGCGGTTTATTCATCATGGGCGGCGGCTATGCTCCAACCACGATTCCCGAATATCTCGGTGCAGCCTCTGTCCTTCTGGCTTTCGTGAATATCTCAGGTGGTTTTGTGATTACCAAACGCATGCTAGACATGTTCAAGCGTCCGACAGATCCCCCAGAGTACCCGTGGTTGTACGCGGTCCCAGCAGTCGTATTTGGTGGCGGCTTCATCGCTGCAGCAAGTACAGGAATGTCTGGTCTGGTGCAAGCCGGGTACCTGATTAGTACTATTCTCTGCATGAGCTCCATCTCTAGCCTTGCGTCACAGCAGACTGCACGTCGTGGAAACATTCTCGGAATCCTAGGTGTAGTCTCGGGTATTCTTGCCTCGCTTGCTGCAGTGGGATTCACCCCTGAAACAATGGCTCAGTTTGCCGGTGTCGCTGGATCCGGTGCACTAGTTGGTGGTCTGATTGGCCGTCGAATTACCCCGACTGGTCTTCCCCAAACAGTCGCAGCATTGCATTCCGTTGTGGGTCTGGCCGCTGTCTTGACCAGTATTGGCAGTGTACTAGTCGATATTGAGGATATTACAACCCTACACATGGTCACTGCGTACTTGGGTGTGCTCATCGGAGGTGTTACCTTTACTGGCTCGATCGTCGCTTTTATGAAACTCGCCGGACGCATGTCCTCTAGCCCGAAGATCCTCCCTGGTCGCCACGTCATCAACTCTACATTGCTAGGTAGTAATATTGCAACGATGGGGGCGTTCATCACCATGGCCCCTGGAAACCCCGGTATTGCAGCGGCCTGTCTGGGTGCAAATACTGTACTGAGTTTCACGAAGGGATTTACAACAACTGCAGCTATTGGTGGCGCTGACATGCCAGTTGTGATCACTGTTCTCAATGCTTACTCTGGATTTGCACTAGTGGCTGAGGGGCTAATGCTCAATAACCCACTTTTGACTAGTGTCGGGTCTTTGATTGGAGTAAGCGGTTCGATTCTATCATACATCATGTGTGTTGCAATGAACCGTTCTCTTACAAACGTGCTCTTCGGAGGGCTTTCCGCCCCGGCGCAGTCCCAGAAGAAGATTGAGGGTGAAGTTACTCAGACAAGCATTGATGACACAGTCGAGGCACTAAGTGGAGCCGAGAGTGTCATTATTATTGTTGGGTACGGTATGGCCGTGGCCAAGGCACAGTATGCTCTGGCTGAGATCGTCAGTATTCTGCGCTCTCGTGGCGTCAGTGTTCGATTTGCTATTCACCCTGTGGCAGGACGTATGCCTGGCCAGTGCAATGTGCTTCTTGCTGAAGCATCCGTGCCATATGATAGTAAGTTATCACTAACTATTTCCCCATTCCGTTATGGTCAATCCTAACTCGCTCTAGTTGTTCTTGAGATGGATGAAATTAATGAGGACTTTTCCGACACCGACGTCACATTGGTGATTGGCGCTAATGATACAGTTAACCCAATCGCCATGGAACCTGACTCTGCCATCTCTGGAATGCCTGTTCTGCATGCATGGAAGAGTAAGGAGGTTATTGTCATGAAGCGAGGAATGTCAAGCGGATATGGTAAGTTCTCATATCACAAGGTTCTTTTTTGGGGGTTTTCATAGCTGACCAAGTATACAGCCGACGTGCCGAATCCCATGTTCTTCATGCCTGGAACGAGAATGCTCTTCGGAGATGCTAAGTCTTCGTGTGATGGTAAGCTTTAATCCGCGATTCACGTCGTATCCAAACTAATGTCTTTTTCTTCCTTTCAGCTATCAAAGCTGCCCTGGAGGCACGCAAGTAGAGGTCTTCCAATGATACCTCTTTAGCATAGTTATCTCAGTTTATCCAGCCATTTATGCTTCCTGCTTTCATGTTTACTCTTATGGCTTGGCTTTTCTTTTTACCCATGATGCACTGCAATATACCAGTCCATTGCTCTAGCTATCAAATCTCTTCTCCAGCTTACACACAGTTACTCTTCTGCTTCTGGAACTTCCCGGCTCGAAATTGAAATTATCACAAGGCGAGAGGGTCATAGTGATATTAGTAGGCGTAGTTCGGACAAGCTCGGTCTTCAGAATTCGGATCCTGAATATGATCTTCAGAACCGGGATGGTTCAAATGTTTAACTTGGCACTGAAATTTACCATAGGTACCTACCTCTTCTTGATTGTCTAGTAGTATCAGGTTTGTGAGAGTAGAATGCGAGTCATCGAGGAAAGAAAATTGAAATAAGTAGAATCCAGTCCATGGAAATCAAATTGATGCACCGCAGCAGTGTGAGGGCAGAAGAAAAACAAGTAGACATTATCCAAGCCGGAAAGAGTACCTAAGAAACCAAGAACAAGCCACCAAGCCGATAATCAAGAACGCCATGAAAATAATCAATGGAACCAGCTATTGCCATTATAGATAGGCGAATGAAACCACCATTGAAGATTGCAAGGAAATCAAAAACACCAATCAAACAAGATAAGAAAGAAAAAAAGTACCCAAAGGGAGAGAACCCGCTCGATAAAAGAATCGAAAAAGGGAAGCAAAAAAACATTAGATTAGAATAGGTCGAGTAAGTCACGAATCAGACTTTACTAAAAGCCCTCTTCCCAAGCTTCAACCCCATAAATCCACGTCCAGATCCAACAGCCGAACTAGCATGTCTAGCATGACGTCTCTGACTAGCCTTTCGCACTGGACGAGTATCATAAGCAACTGTATTGACAGACTGAGTCGAGGCCGAGAACACAGAAGAGTGTACATGATGCGAGGACGGGAGTTGGAGATCCATTTCCGAGCGAAGACTACTCAGAGAATGAATACTAGAAGCAGCGGAATGCTTTCTAGTCATTCGACGCATCATCGGAGAACGATTCGGAAGGATATTTGATGAGGTTCCATTGCTAGATGGAATGGGTCCCCGTTTTGAAGAGTGAATGTATTGGTATTGTTGTGGTGGGGAAGATGCTGATGAGATTGGGCTGCAGGTTCTGGATGGTAAAGCCGGTGTTCCTTCACTGTGATGATCCGGGATGTAATTCCTTAGCATCTCGTCAGTTGGGAATGGCGATGCAGGGCGTGGAGGTAAACTGGTGTTGCTGTTACTGCGGGTTGAGGGTGGGCGTCTGATTGGGTCTGTGGGGCGCCGGGAGGTACGAGTTGTGGTTGAGGATGGTTTCTCGCATCCGGATGTGCGGGGCCGAGGGCGGAGGAATGATGCGGATGCTTCTTGAGGGGATGGAGGGAAGTATGGGAGAACGGGGATATCAGAAACGCAGTTGATTGTGGCGCTCTGTCGTAGGGAAGTGCGAGTATCTTCCTGCTCTAATTGAGCCAAGTAGGGGGTTGAGTTCGTAGATTTCTTGGGAGATTGGGTTTGTTCAGGGACTCGTGGCGATGATGTGTACTTGACGTCTGTCAGGCGTGGGACTTGGATATTTCCTTCCAACTTGCCGTCGAAAATCCGGGACTCGCGGTTTCGAGCATTCCCACGAGTTCGAGGCTGAGTGGGCCGGAGTCGAGAATCTTTGGATCGAGTCCCCAAGGATTTAATGAAGACGAGAGTAGGACGTGTCTGTGGCTCCATCAAAGTGATCTTCTTTGCAACGTGGATCTCTGCGTTTTCCAAACAGAAGACGGACGACGGGGAGGGTGAGCGAGACCGTTGATGAGTCGTGGGTGGTGTATTCGGCGAGACATATATAGATGGCTGCAAGTAAAGGTCCGATGCCAGCTCAGGAGGACTTTCCGGTAATGGGAGCTCAAGAACCAAGTCATCCTCAGGATCGAATACACGGGTGCTTTCCACGAATGTTGCAGTGCTGTTGCGTTTCACCGTATCCATTGATACAGGTCGTGGACGTTTAGCAACATGGTATGAGGGCAAGAGACGCTCTTCCCGGTCAGAATCAGGATCAGTATGGGAGTTTTCATCCGCACTCAGATCCGAATCGATAGTTCCGGCTCTCTGGGAGCCCACCAGAGAGGGAACAAAGTCCGGTCCGCCGGCATCAGATTCCGATACTTCTTCTTCTTCGGACTCGTATCGTTTCTGAAGGCTTTGCCGGCTCAGCCGCTGAAGGTTCAACGCGGTAGCAGGCTCATACATGATTGCTGATTGTCAAATTATGCTTCACAACTCTTAGCAGGATGGCTGTTCCTTGATAAGAAATAGGAAAATAAATACTGTTCCAGACAGCAACATAGAGAGCGAGCACAGGAAAAGAACCAAGGTAGAACCAGCCCCAGATCAGGAAGAGAATGGAATCTAACGAGTGGCAGGTTCCTAGTCCTTAATAGTAAAAACAATAGAATCCCCAAGGTAGAAGAAAGATGTGCCTCTTCTATTATGAGTCTACCACCAGTCTGTGGAAGAAGATCTAATCCTTCAGCTCCGGGGTGATCGGGGTGAGAAAAGGTGATTTAAGAGTGGAACCGGTCCAGGATAATGAACAGGGGAGCCGCCCTCGATTCTATTCAAGGTGCCGCAAGTATGAAGAAAAAGAAAGGTCCCACCCGTCAGGAATTGATCCACAACAGGAGGGGCGGGGAGGGTTCTTTTTGACCTCGAAGCGCTATCTGCAGGAAAGAGGGGACAAGTCATTTTGGATCCCTGTCCACGTGTAGTTGATGCCAGAATCCTGTAAAATTGGGCTCCATTCAGCGTACATCAGAAGTCCCTGACTGAATGTGGCTCGTTTTGGCTTTTCTTTTTCCTTTTCAGATAAAAAAATCTGGTTTATTTTTTTTTTCCTTGGTTGTTCTTATGCAGGAAGAAGGAGTTCACATCCTGGATTGGTCGGAAGTATGGCAACTAGTCCCCAGCTAGTGAATCCTCCCATTGGATGAGGATATGGATGCAGGATGTGATTGGTGATAGAAGGGTAAGAGTCCATCACCCTTGCAGCTGAGACCAGTTTGAAGAGGGGCGTCCCTTTTCCCCCCTATGGACCGTTTCACGATTTCGGCGACGCGCATCAACATCGTGGCGAGGCTGGGAACTAAACCTGGCTGTAACACCGGAGAAAAATATGATAGATCAACGTGAGCTGTCGTTGGTCTGTTGGCCCATGCGCCTAACGCTGGGGCTGCAGTAGGTTCATAACGATAAGATCTTATTGGCTTGACGTGTCACTAGAAGGAGGACTGGTGGCGGCAGCTAGATTGGCCCACGTATGACAACCCTGGCGGAAGAGAAGAAAAAAAAATAAAAAATAAAACTCCGTAACGCAGGAATAAACTGATCCTGGCAACAGTATACACGGCTCATAGGGGGGGGGAAAGACTGGGTAAGCCAACGTTGGAAGCGCCCACGGTGGGGATCAAAATGAAGATTGACAAGTTAACCGCTGTGGACTGAGTGGGTCAAGTATAACTCAAACACGCTACTACGACGAACTCCTTGGGGGTTTTTGCTTGAAACGAGATCGGTGGACCCGGTATCTTTACCGAGAATTCCTACACTTGATTTTTACTATTTTTTTTTATTTTTTTTTCCCTGCATAACGCGCGGTCCTCATATCATGCCAGGGGTGGACACCCCACAAATCTACCTGCAGGTACACAGGACACAAGCACAGAACACAAGCACAGGCACACACAGAGGAGTCCCTGTAACCCTAAAGGGTCTAAGGGCCCAAGTACTCCGTAGTAGAACTTGAAATATTCAGGGGTCTAGGAGAACAGGTGGCCTTCATTCCCATCACTATAGTAGAAGAACCTTAGTTCCTCGTTAAGTACAGGAGAATTCCTACTGATTGTACCTAGAGTCCTGGGATCCAGTATATGCCAGTTCGTAGGGATCCCTAGCGACATTGAATGTTTGAAGGGGCTCAAGTGCTCTATTGATCATACTGCATTGCCAATAAAGCACTATACGGAGTACGGAATGATCAAAAGCAATATAAGAAAAAGAAGAAAAAAGCAAAAAGCGACACGCTCCTTGCTCCTTGCGTGGATGATTATCGGTTAATTCTCCACATGCATCAATGCTTCCGTTGCGCGCTATCGTTTCGGTTGCGATTATTTATAGCTGCATATATTGAAAATCAAACAATAAAACAAAACCCCAGAATTTTGTAACGGAAAATTTCAAGTTATTGACGTTATTCATCCAAGTTATCCCCAACGCAAAGAACCCAACCTCAATCTACAAGGTGATGCATGATCAGGCAAGGATAGGTTCAACTTGAACATTTCAAGTTTGTACTCTTCCATCCAATTCAATTCATTCAATCACGTAAGCTTCAAAAGTTGAGTTTACAGTTCTTATCAGACCTTGGAATAGACCAACTTGAAGTAAGACATGCATTGAAGAGTCCAACTGACAGCGGCATGTATTTCCATATGTAGTATTCTATCTCCGTTCCGTTTATGCGGACTACCGCTCCTCAGTGTTGACGGATTATGGAGTAAAAATTATAGGGTCAACTTTCTTTTAACAGATTAATCCTTAGAATTGTTTCCAATTATATATTGAAGTGGGTAATTTACTCAAACTTGAAACCAGCTAGGAGAATGACAGAATGTTAATATAGAGACTTGCACGGAGTAGATGGAACCTCCCGAGGTAGTCCCGAGGTAATACATCCATGGATGAATGCATTGCATGAGTTATGCTCTGTCTCAGAATTTGAAGAAATCTTTAGAAACTTGAACACGCCATTTCAAAGAAGTCCTTTTCAACAGACAAGAATATTGGCTTGTTCAAGATTCCAAGGCTTTCGATATCAACTTGAGCACTCACATGGCTTCTCCAACTCGACTCCAACTCAAAGCTGGATTCACAAGATCTCTTTCAACTTTTAGGTAATCCGATTTCAGGTAAGAAGTCTAAAGACAGCTTGGAAATTAAAATTGCAATGGGTTCACTCAGTTTGAAATCAACCTAGTCCACACAGAAACGAACACATGTTGACGCCTTCCCATGCCTTCGGCGCCACCCTTGGTTTGTCGACATCGTAACTAGGAACTAATTCTATTCTTCCCCCAAGTCTTTTCTTTTTCCCCATTTCCCTTGCACTTTCAGATGTCTTTGACGCGTTGGTCCTGTTGAAAATACGTCTGAGCCCTGCATACTGAGTTATTTTCAGGAGCTCAATTGTGTGTTTTTTGACTGGCTATCGGGGAGATACTCAAGTAGGGTAAAGCTTTGATTTATTTCATTGAGTTAACCTTGTCACTTCAGATTAGTCCTCAAGTCCCCGAGCTCTTGGTCCGAGAACATGTTCCATAACCGGTGATTGCTCGTACTCAGCCTCTTATGGGTCCATGATCTGCAGAATATTGAATATCCCCGGCCACGTTAACGGATGGCTGGAGAAAAAGCTATACGTCCCATGCGATGTCGATCGACCTGTCACTCCTCACTTCACCATACTGCACCTCTACACCGTACAGATGTACATGTACACATGGACCTCATATCGATGGCTGGAAATACTAGTTATTTGAAGAAGGCTGAACGAAAGTTCACAACCTCACTTTGCGCGCAGCCCTACGTCGGTCTCCGACTCCGAACCTCCCGAGCTTCATCCCTGAGAACCTGAATACGAGTTACTCAGATGGCTGGACGTAATTGGAAATTGGATTCCCGGCCACGCTTTGATGATCCCTATTTCCTTTATGGAGTCGTGGATACCCTGATGTCATTTCCATGCCATCATGCTAGTTTGACAGGTCATTTTGTGGCGTTTGTGCGCCGTTACACCTACCTCCTTCTCTCTGCATGATCTACACCCCGGGTGAGTTCCTGCATCACGGTGGGACCTGTTAATGTGATGCCGCACATTGAGCTTCGAAGGTTCTCCGTTTCCATATCAACGTGTTTTATTTGTTTTGGTTTCCTGGTTGGAAGTGACTGTGGTTGACGCGCTTGTTCGAGAGATAGCAGTAGAGCACTCTACCTCGTACGAGCACTTGAGATATCCATCCACTCCAACAAGTCATTCTCTCTTACCCCTTCTCGCAGTACGGAGTATGCAGGACTAGTTATTTCTCTTGCCACATGCAAGTCTACACGCGTCTATAGCAATGTTGACTGGAGTCCTGCAAATGCCATGCTGGTATTGATGTACCTTGCTTAGTCTTCGAAACCCAACCACCTCGGCACCAAATTCGAATTATCACTGTCTACTATGACGATAGAAACTTCTCATGAATGATTACATTTAACATGATATGTGACCTGGGATCTATAATACTAACAAATAAGGGTGAAAGGGGAACCAAAAATGCCTGCCACCAGCAGGCTAAGGGGGTAACAACGACAAACATGAACAGAATGTGACATTATAGAATACAACCGGCTCAAAACTGTCCGACAGTCCGCTCGGGTGAAAAGAAAAGAAAATAGAAAGATAATGTCTCCTCCGGGGACTATATTCTCCCCAATGCATGGCATAAAACCCCATCCATACCATTCCTCACAACCGGAGTCCATGTCGCATAGACAACCAGACCGTCGAATCTGGCATCGTGAAAGGTCGTTTATTAAAGGCTGTTATAAAGTGAATCATCATGGGGCAACTCCCGCGCCGTTCTGCGCCTGCGCCCATGTTCGAATACAAAGATGATCGAATGATTTTTCTCCCCAATTTCTTGGAGATTGATTCACAGCATTCTCCAGTAAAAGAGGATAAATCCAATATTTTAAGGATAATGCCTATCTTGTGAAGCTAAATGGACTGAGTAAACAGCCTCACATAGAATCACCGGAAGCAAGCCATTTAGGCCTTGCGGGAACGAGTAACCGGGCCGTTGGAGCGGCCGGTAGAGACAGCAGCACCGTTGGAGGGCTTGGCAGTGCCATTGGCACCAGCAGGGGAGGGGATCTCGAAGTTGCGCATGTCGATGAGAGACTTCTTGCCAGTGTTGCTGCGGGGGCGGCCAACCTTGACCTCCTTCTTGTAGGTGGCGATGTAGAAGCCGATGAACAGGAAGAGGTAGGAGGTGATGATACCGATACCAGCGAAAGCGGCGAACTCCTCACCAGCGCACTTGCCCATGTTAGGAGCCCAGGGGAAGTAAGCGGAGGAGAAGTAGGTGTAAGAGGCGAAGTAGATGAAGCCTGCGCAGATAAAAATTATTAGCATATGAGTGACGAACCTGTGGGTCGGATTCTAAACATACCGACGTCAATGACGAACTGCAGAATCTGCAGCATGGTGATGTACTTCTTCCACCAGATACGGACTCCACGAGCGCTCTGGAAGTAGTACCAGTACATCACAACGTGGACCAGCAGGTTGATGGTGATAGGAACCCATTGAACGGCAGTCAGACCGATGAGCTGGGTGTAGCACAGGAGAGCGGTGGCACCGTGGTGGTAGGTGTGGAGGAAAGTCAAGGGCTTCTTCTTGAGAACGAGGAAGAGGGTGTCGATGAACTCCCAGTACTTGTTGAGGTAGTTGAGCTACAGGCGAATTAGAATGTTAGTCGCGTCGTTATTGCCAAGTGCGTTCGATTGGATACTCACGTAGTACAGAATGACGAGGGGTTGAGTCCAACCACCGTTGTGGTCGCAGATGGTGTAGAAAACACCGTGGTTCCAAAGGGTGGGGATCAGCTGCTCGAGGAAGAGCACCAGCAAGACACCACTGATGATGGTCAAAAGCAGGTTGTGGAGCATAAACAGAGTGTTCAGCTTGAAAGCGGGGAGGTTCTTCATGACCTCACGGCCACCGAAAATGATAACGTAGTATGTCACGAGCATGATGGCGGTCTCCTTCAAGGTAGACATAGGCGTGACACCCTCCTGGAAGTTGAACTCGCTGGCAGGGTAGCCCATGACCTGCTCGAAGCCCTTATCAAAGATAGGCCACAAGTGAACGCCAAATGGGCGATCAATGGTTGGGAGGGGCACATTCTGGAGGAATTCGGACGCCATTATGAAGTTGGGGGGTCCAGTGGACAAAGCTTAGAAAAAAAACAACACCAAACGCAAGATTAAAAAGTAGGTATTGAAAAAAGAAAAAGGGCCGAAGCGACGTCTTTCTCCTTCTCACTCTGTTTGGTGATTCAAGAGCGCGACCAAGAAAGGAATGATGGAAAGGACCGACGATATGGAGGAAAGAAGAACAGGAGAAGAGTGAGAGCAAGGGACTTTTTGCGGTCAGCGAGTTCAGACCCCCAATTAGGATTAGCGTCAATAAAAAAGGGGGAAAACCCGCATAAGCCGTATAAGCCGTGACCTTCCGGAGATCACAGTGTGTACCCTTGATCATAAATCAATTTAATACAGCTGTGATTAAATGAGTCAACTGGTTCAATTGATGTTCATTCAAGTTCTATTCAACACTTTGATATCTGTTGAAATTCTATGGTGGAAGACGAAGTGTCACATGTCCGGCTGTTTGCGGGCAAGTCTTAACTTAGTGTAGTATTACTATAGCCCTCTCATCTACAATTATTCAAGTTATGAGGTAGGATTTTCTTGATATGGACTGTCTTATACCAGGCAATTGATTGAGATTGCCCCGGTTGTTTTAAGATTCATATGAAAGGGTTGCAGAAGCAATACTGTTGAGTGTTGTGTGCAAGTATACTCGTTCAGCCGAGGTTGTCCCCCCCCTTTTTCATACACATCCATTTCTTAGATTAAACTGCCACTATTACCCTGAGGCTTGAATCAATCCCCACATATATTAATAATCATGTATTCTGTGTCGTGGAACTGTTGAATATGGAAGTGGAGTATACGCTTCCAGGCACGGAAATTGCCCAGGTGGACTCTTTCGTCTCTAGATCCTATAGCTCTTCAATGTAGTGAAGGATATTGAAAATTAAATAGTTCGATCAATCTGAGGGCTTACAACATTTGAATACTATACAGGTGTGAAATGAGGCCCAAGGAAGCCCCTGAAGTACAAAGAACTTCCCATAAATGTGCAAATTTCATACTGATATTCTTGGTTGACGGCGTAATTGGCGGTTTCCCATTGGTTGATCTTTGAACGCCACCAAAATGAGATGTAAACATTGAACTTCGGTTTCCTCCTACACCAGTTGACTTGGTAAAAAAAAACATTGAAACCCCTTCAAGTTCAAGTTTAAGACACTTACCTAGGTACCTGAGTAGGTATAATTCAAGTTTGAGAATACTACACATGTGCATATTCGAACTGTCCACGGGTCTAGTTAGGTAATATTAGTACTAGATAGTAACAGTTCAACTTGAAATAGATTTGCACCTAGGTAGTATGTATCCCTTGAGGTTGAATTTATATATTCGGCTCAACATTTGAAGACATTAAATTCAAGTTCAAGTTCCAAGGTTCCAGTTTAACCTGAAGTTCAAATCTGTTCAGACATGGACATTCAAGTTTGTGCACACATGTGCATGGATATTCACTTCAAGCTTTTGGCCGAACGATGTTGTGAAAGGCGTAGTATGTACATACATAGCACTTGACTACCTCGTCACGCACGTGCAGTATACGTACGCTCTTATGCTGATCAGGAACCTTGGAAGACAATATTATGACTCGAGTCGGATGTATTCGCTGTCAGTCTTGGAAATTTGTTGAAACATCATGATTGAGAGAGTAGACGAGGGAAGCCCGAGAGAGACAGCTCTGGCTCAGTGAGGACGTTGCTTTATGGTATAGGCAAGGCTATGGGTGGCACAAGCCAAGAAGCCCCTAATGCATGATACAAGGGAGCCTTTTCGCAATTACTATATGTGGACCCCGAAATCAATCCGGGGTCCGACGTCCGGGGTTACAATGACACCATCATGGTCGAATCAAGTACTCAAGGTTGCATCTATTCAATGAGACACTAGAGTCCAGACAGTCTACGATTTCCAGACGAAAGCCATTGACAATGGTTATATCCCTACAGACAGATAATGCCTGCTGCAAAGACTGATTATTGAGAATACTACACGCATACTGTCTAACTACCGCATAGCGTAGAACCAGCCAACTTGACGATTTCCGGTAGTTTCGCGAGCTATATCAAGATGATTTTACATCGTCATCACATCATCTCAATATTGTCTGCCTTCCTCTGGGGAAGTGATGCGTATCTCAAGCCATGCATTTATCAAGCCGACAAATGTGGCTATACATTAATGTCCACATACGGTCAGTATCAAATCAGATCAAGCAAATTAATTTACTGAAGTGCTTTATCTTAGGATACAACCTGAGCGAACTGATCACCGCAGTAAACTCGACGCTTTCAATTCCCACACTCACAGTGCAGCAAATCCCCCAAGTCATATTTCACTGCGATGATATTTACGGGAACATTACAGGGAACTCATTCTGTATAAATGGATGTCTGGCCTCTACCAGCTTGACCGTGGATGATGAGTGCCAGATTGCTTCCGGTACGGCATGTCCTACGACAACGACAATCACTATTACAGCTGGGCCTCCTTCTCCTACCTGCTTCAAACAATGTCAAACATGGTGTTTTGGTGGACCGAGTCCATCTATGGCTTCAATCATGCATGCTGTTCCTACAACCGTGTGGATGTAAGCCAGGAGAAACGGATTGAATTGTGCGATTTTAATATTGGATAAATGTTGCTTTTGTGTTAAATCAAGCCTGGAGAAGCTTATACAAGATTTAAAAAGTCATGCTTGAATGAGAACTTGATCAACGACATCTTAGGTATCCTAAAACTGTTAAAGGTTCAGATTGATAGAATATCCTTACCTACCAAGATAAGAATGAAATAAAAAATAACCTTGGACTACTAGTAGAACTTGAACATTTGAATACTTCTCGTGGAAGAGCAGATGTTGGTCTCTTTTGTCAATTGATACCCCGGGACCTTATCATTCGAAATTACCATGACTACGATCCAGATGTCTGCACAAGGCGTCTGCAATCATCCTGAACTATTAAGTGAAAAGACTCGGATTAATCTACAATGAAGCTTTCGACTAAAGTCTTTTCATTATTTGCACCAAGTATGTAAAGAACATCGTATAGACACTGCCAGCAATGAGAGAATACCTCTTGCCCAGTCGCCGGCGACAATGACCAGCTTAGATATGCTAAACATCATAAAGAGGGGGTGCTTGGCAATTCACAACATGAATTGATAAGAATTGAAACAAGAATGATCTGAGCATCTAGGAAATTGCCTATTGAGAGACATGGAATGGATCATTTATGATCCATCTCAATGATGCGGAGATCCTAGTAACCGATTCTCTTACAGAATACATTGGTCATTACGAGTACCAAGCTTGGTATCACAGCCAGCAAAGCAGTAGGCATTTCCAGTGATCGTTCCGAGAATGTCTGTGCAGTGGAACAGGGTCTGGGAGAGTTGAGCGATTGAAATGACTGGAATGGAGGTCGTGTCATTGACAGCAGCGACGAGTTGGGCCTCAGTGTAGCCTAGAATTTTGATTTAGTATGAAAATCACTCCAGTCCTCATCATAATGGCAGATTAGCTGAATATGGAATCTGAAGGTCTTACTGTAAGGAGCTGCCAGCAGCACGGAGCCGCACTTCAAGGACTGGTACTCGCAGTTGACAGATTGCTGAGCCTGAACACCAGCAAGGAAGAGGCCGAAAGACAGAACTAGTTTGCCGAGCATTTTGATAGATTTGGGATGCTAATAAACAAGAAATTGATCTAATTTCGTTTTTCTTTTGGTCCAAAGAACTTAATCTGTTCGGATTGAATGGCCCTTGGGACGAAAAGACCTATTTATATCTGTTTAGTGAATTAAGATCTCGTCTTTTTAGAGATTTTCTCTCTTAATTTGTCGGCTGATTCATGAAAATAACCATCCGTACATCATGGGGATCTCGGGGTGGATCACACTGCTGATCCATGGATGTCCATACTGGATGTGAGACACAGATCATAAGAACAGAAGGCAAAGGTTATTATCGGAGGGTCTAGCTGAAGCCTTGAATTTCAATTAACGAGTATGATGTAAGTTAGGGTGAGAGTAACCCTCCACTGGTTCTAGATTTAGCTGTCTCAGGTGCTGCATCCCGGATCCGAGTCTTGGGATGACACTTAGCGCAAGCTCAACGTTTCTTTGCAGAAGCTTTAATTTAACCTTTAGTTCCTGAGAGAGTTTACCGGCAGTACATTGAGATACAGAGCATCATGTTCCACAAATATCATGAGATTCCCCCCGGGGAGGAACTGGTAAATGTGTCACAGCCGGGTTTCCCCTCAAACCATAAGGGGTAACGTAGTATTTGCCAGCTGTCATTCCTATGCTCTCATGAAAAACGTTACAAATCGGATTGACATTCAGATCTTCAAGATTCATTCACATTAACTTAGACTTCTAAGGCGCCCCTCCTACGAGATGGTTCACGCTGGCTACTACATCTATAGGCAACAAACATGAACCACATGTGCATCTCAAGTGGAATAGTCATTGTCATGATATCATTTAACGCTAAACTTGAAGATATTTTGGAATTTATTTTAAAGATCAAGGTGATGGCTCAGCTTTAATTATTGAATCTGCCCTGGTATGTTCTTCCAGTGGTCTCCTCGCCCATATCCTCGTCCTATTAAGGCTGTTAGTCAAACCATATAACCGCCACGAGCAGAAAATTCTGGGAAATTCACGACTTACGCTCTATGATAGCAATGGTTCCGTGGGTTTGAGATTTCCTTCCGCATCTGCGCCACATAAACCAGTACCTCGTCCTTTGACCAAGGTACCGGATCACCATATCTCGTTAAAAGCCACATAGAATAGCCATCCATTCCATCTGCCCAGTGATGAAAGTTGACCGAACCAATCTCCTTTAACCGTTTATCTCGAGGCCAAGGTCCGACAGGCAGTTTGTATTCTTTTACATGAATATCGGTGAACCCAGCCTTTGCAATAGAGTCGCGCATGGTATGCATTATTCCGAATCTTCGACCTGATTTCTCGGCGGCTTTTGTTAAGCGGGGACCCCAAGTTCGAAGAATACTATCGTCCGCCACGCTTTCGTCGTCGCATTCGAGGAAAGAACTCATTTCTAGTTGTTCAATCCATCCACCTGGTTGCATGTGACTATGAATCAGAGTATATCAATAAGCATTGCCCTGCCCATGGAGATGTACATAATTGGAGTGTCTAGGAACTTACTCGTAGCATTGCTTATAGACATTTTCAGTTTCTTCGGAAGTGAATGCACAATCAAGGATTCGAAGATGAATCAAGTCAAATGGCTCTCGCCATGTCCAATCTTCGAGGATGTCATCGACTTCTAGAATGCAGTTGGGTGGTAACCAAGACACGGGAGGAGGGAACAGATCTACTCCACGAACGGTTGCTGTAAATGAAGATTAGAATTGACAAATATTGAGACAAAAATGCTTTTCATCTCACTTTCTGGTAGCGTATCCGCAACTTCACTATTTATTTTGAGTTAGATGCTGTCACGATCTTGATTGCCATAGATAAGGGTGGGGAACATACATCGCCCATGTGCCCTTTCCAGTACCAATGTCAAGTATGTGCTACTAAATCAGATTAAATGACATATAAAGATGGCATGATTAACCTTACCAACGGTTTTTCGACGATAGGTGCTTGGAATAACGAATTCTCCTCTTCACCGGAATCAGAAAGCACGGCGACTAGATGGCTGTGCAGATGTTGAGATTAGCAAAATTCCGCTGGTTTTCATCTCAAGTTGACGCTCACCAAGATTCGTATGTCTCAAACATCCTCTCATCGGCAGGAACACTTGAAAAGTTAATATATTGTCCCTTATTCATTCAGATGGCTCAAGGGTTGAATGACTATTACTCACTGAACACCGGCTTGGCGAAGAGTCTGGTATCTGCATAACCGATAAGCTTGAACAATTAAAAGGAGCTGAAGAACCATGAAAGCCTACCTTCTACCATTTTCAATCAATCCTTGAGTGATACTTGATGCAAGAGACGTTGTTTCTCTATATCCCAAATTTCAACAACTTGCTTCCTCGAGCCCAGATAGCCGTGGGCACATACGATTGCCAGTCATCTGGAGCCTTATCATCATGAGCGTAATACAAATTCGAATCCTATTTAGAGTCAAAAAAATAGTACACAAATTATGGAATTTTGGGGGTATACTAACAGGCACAATTTGTTCATTGCCCGCCATAATTAGCAGGATTATCAGCGCCGCGAGGCTGCGAGGCTGCGTGACAGCCTTGAATAATTAACAAAGAAGTGTATGAAAGGAGAACTTGAAATAGAAAAATAAAATCAAAATCCTGCAGACTGCAGTCAGTCAACCCAATTTTTCCCACAAATTCTTTTCTGACTAGTACAATTCGGACACAATCAGACACTTTCTGCGGGGCGGTTCAGAATCGTCTTACAGGGATCATATCCATTTTGAGCTGAATCTGCTGCAGCACCACGGCTGACATGACGAATAGCAAGAAGCGCAACACGCGGAATTCTTCTCCACCGAGCAAGTACGAGGGGCCAAGGATCCTTTTTTGTTTCCAAAGTGGATCGGGCCAATTATGAGAATCAGAATACTTGCATCTGTACGGACTAGAGCACTAAAAGCTTAAACAAACGGAGTTTGGCTGCAAACAGTTAACACAGCTTGGACTCGAAGAGGGGCTCCCACGGACATACATCAACGGCCCGAATCCACTTTATCAACGGTTCTGTCAATGTCCTTTGTGCATGCTTAAATATCACTCTTCCTGGTTTATATTGTGGCTGGAATTGTGGCTTCTTTCGTTTTGGGTTTCTTGCTGAACCGTGTATTGGAAACCAAGAGCTGAATTGGAAATGAATTCATATGCATCAGAACCTTCACGGTAAACCTGGTCCACTTAATGGCTCCACGTTAGCGTGGCAACTCCGCTCAACGACGGAGTATTAGGCGGAATAACGGGATCTCTCGCTAGCGCTGGTCGATCGGTGAATGGTGCAAAAAGCAATTGGAAAGAATTGAGCCGTACAAGCCGTGGGAATACCGCCGGAAATGTATTCGATTTGATTGTGCGTGGAGTCCTGTCCACATCGTCTGCTATAGCTTGATTAGCATGATGCATTCCTGTGGTTTTAGAATCCTTGGAAACTTCCAAATTTGATTGTTGTGGCAGCCAAGTGCGAACCTTGGAAACTAGACTAAGATCAGTTAATCAACTGGGGGCGGTACTGCAAGGCGGTGATGGCTTCTCCGCATCAGTCCACTGGCACCGTCTGAGCACCTGAGCACCATTGCCTTCCTTTAGTCATTACTTCATTACTCCTAGGCAACTTCCTTTCCCATCATGTACGAATCTTATCGTATGTTCCAGTTCCAGGTTAGACTTGATTCGAGCCAGGCTAATTCTACCTAGGCCCCCACCTCCTGTTAGCTCAGGTACCCCTCACCGTCTCGCCGTTCATCAACCTACCTTCCTCGGTTACACTACCTTACACCTACAAGTCGGTTCCTTCAACCCTTATACCCTCGGTGACAGTCGATCCTAGTAATCCCGATCTCAAGGCTCGCTACGTGGTGTCTTCGAGTGGTGAACATGCAGCTCACCCAGATGAGATCCTCGCTTCATGCAGGTCACTCGAGCAACATCTCAAGAAGACACGGGATGATGCTGCCAATGCCATAAAATCTTGGGAAGAGACAATTCAAGATAGGGAGCTCGCTGAGAAACGTCGTATTGCGCCTGGGTGGCTTGATCGTGAAGAGAAACTACTGAAACCGACCCAATTGACTTCATCTCCCGAATCGAAAGGAAATATTGAGAGCTTGTTGGACAGCTCATCAGCGGACCAGGGCTCTTCAAATATGCCTTCGATGGTACTTCGGGATGAAGGAGAAGAATTGGACCGGGCATTTGGTGGACTGGGAGTGAAATGAACTCCAGAGGCGCATCACATCAATAAACCACCGTATTATGGTTATCTGTGTGATTTATTCATTCAAAGGCGATAGGCTTGAAATCAGGTCAGTGGAATCAGGTTACAAGCTGCTTTCCTGGATGTGCGGGCCTCAATCGCGAGCTCTTGGACAGTCATGAAGCTGCAAGCATGTGACATGTCTAACGGGCCGTCAAGCGCTGGAACATCGCATGCTCAATGAATCTTGCAAGCAGCATCATTTTTTACATTACCTGTCAGCTACGCGCTGTCAAAATAATGAGTGAGCGGGCAATCATATACCAATTTTGCCATGACTATATGCCTTGAGGCCCATTGGGTTAAGCAGCCCCTTCGGCGGCTATGGAATGCTCCCGAGATCAGTGCTTGAGACGCGCTACTTGTCATCCCTACATTCCAATAATGAATGCCGTCTCAAAACATAACCTCTTTTAATTTGCTTAGGCGATATACTGCAGAATATCACAGCGCTCTTCCGCCTATGTACACTGGTGCTACCGAAACCTTGACCCGATGCCTAAGTAGCATACACTGTTAATATTTAATTTGAATTTACACACAGCCCTGGAGGCTCGGGGCTAGTATTAGCACTACATACTAGCACTGGCAGCCGGCAGTATGACATATCATGATAGGTATCCTACCTAGCCCTGGAGGTAGTACTACTACTAGTATCATAGTAGTATGTACAAGTAGTACGCAAGTTGTACTATGTTTGAATTTTCTAGTGGGGACCGTGAACTAGTCCTATGTAGTGCCTAGGCAGTACCTAGTCTGAAGTAGTAGTAGCTAAAATACTAGTATTCAGATGAATGAACTTCAACTTGAAGTTCAAGCCTGAAGTTGAAGTTCCACTGGCAAGTTTCAAGTTCAAGTCGATGCTATCAAGGTGCCAGCCCTGGAGTGGATGATACTAGTAGACACGGGTAGTGCTAGTATATATCTTCAAGTTGACCGCTGCCCTCGGGAGCCCTGCCCAGGTGGAGGTCCACAGGCCATCAAAGTTCCAAGAGGGCCCTGCGTTCTCAGATCCTGTTGTTAAAGTTTTATTTGCAATAAAATGTAAAAAGAAGAATACGAGGGAAACATATGCAAAAAGAAAACAAAAATTATTGAAAGGGCCCGGGGCCCAAGCCCAGTCGCGGGATCGAACAGGGGACTTCGTAGTCAGTATTAGTGTTCGGATGATACTGCCTGTACCCGGCGCTAACCAAATTAATTTCAGTTCATCTTCAATATCGTGCCAAGCTTAACTGAAAGCAACATCTCTCACTACTCAAATCCCCAACCCTCGAGATAGCTCCAAATTCCTTGAGAATCTATCATTATGGAGCCTCTCCGATCCGCACCAGAGGCCGATGCCTTTGTCCCTATTGCTGAGCACCAAGCCCGCACACCAAGCTCTTTCTATTCTGGACCTCCGGTACTGCACTATCACAGCCAGCGATGCAAGATCGTGATTCTGGAGCGCGATCTGCTGGCTAACCCCGCTCTTAACGCGCTGCGCGCGCAAGCGACCACAAATGGCACCGCTGCGGTGGATGAAGATGCAGAGGACAAGGAGATCGCCATTGAGGGTGTGGACACATGGGTTGGATCTGAGTGAGTCGCCCTTGCGATAATCCTTCTGATTTTAGTCAATAAGGAAGGATCTGAAGAATCGCATATCATTATCGATCTCATACCAGACCGTATTTGATCAATTTGAAGCTTTTTATCGATCCCAAGAGTCTCTGAATACCAAGCTAACCATTATCCCACATCTAGGAAATTCCTTCTCTACTCCCCGACAACCTCAGCTGGAGTCTCAATTCCCTACCCATCAATCTCTCTCCACGCGATTCAGCGCCTGTGCGTTCCAGGCGACGACACCGAAGTCCAGGGTCTTTACATGCAAATCGCGACACCCACCGCACCATGCGAAGATGACGAAGAACAGTGCATCACTCTCACTCTCGTTCCACCTGAGCCATCACCTGTCTCCCAAGAAAACCACACCGACGACCTAAGCACCGAGGACGCTGAAACCGAAACACCTACCCAACAACTCTACAATGCCGTTTCTGCCTGCTCAAACCTCCACCCAGACCCCGTGGAACCAGGCGACGAGGATGAAGATGAGACTAATTTCCCTTCTGGTGAGGACCTAGGCATGCACCAGCTAGATGGGGATGGGGATCTGCCACCTCCTGTTGCCGGGAGCTCGGGCTGGATTACAGCGGATAATATGCATGAGTTCTTTGATGAGGATGGGAACTGGATTGCGGAGGGTGAGGCACCTTCTTTCCCCCTGGGACCGGGAGCTGGCACTGTCCATGGACGTGAGGATGAGGATGGATATATGGATGTCGAGAATGAGGGAAATGATGATACGAAGTGGCGTCGTACTGATTAGTTGCAACCGCATAACTGGTTGCTATTGATGGATTATGTACTTGTGGATTTATTCGACCCAGTGAAACTGACATTGAACTGATCCTAGTTCTGAAAATAAAGAAATACAAGAAATGTCTATGAAATATTATTCGACTAGAAGTATGAATCTGGAATAAGACGATATTATGTCAATTGTGATTACTACTACTTAAACCGCCAGGGATATCAAACATGATACACGTTACATATCAGAGGAGGGAGAAAAGAACATGAAAAGTAAAAAGGGGAAATAAAACAACAGATGCGCCAGGCGAGAACAAAGGTATAAGGCTTTTGAGCATAGATCAAGAAAGAAGGGATCCAACAACGCCTTCAATGATGTCCCAGGAAAGCAAGGAGGGAAGAATAGAAAGAAACCACAACCAAGAAATAGGAAAACAATTACTCTCTCAGAAACCCATCACCATCATACAAGCTGACTGGAGTACCTGTACATCCAATCCCGAGACCAAGAGCTTTACCAGTAGGAGTTGTCATACCTCGCCGCATAGAAATGGGTGTTGGCGGTGCTCGCTGGCTGGAGGTACGAGTGGGAGAGTGACCATTCTTAGAAAGGGTTCTAGGAATGGAGTTCTGCGTACGGAGTGGCGAGGTATTATTATCGGAGACGGTATAATTTCCCGTGAACTGAGCACCAGATGCTTTCGGTGGAGATCCACTTCGATTAGCATCTTCCCAGATAGTGACGCGGTCGCGAACTGTTCCACTGCGTTGTCGAGTAGTCTTCGGAGATGGAGAGATGGCCATTGAGCCTAGAATACTGGCAAGAGAGCTATCCGTCGCATCTGTTGATTTCCGCCAGTCACTGCCTTGAGTACCCGTAATCAAGGGAAGTCCTGTTGGAGAACCAGGACCTAGGAGTGGTTCCATGGGTTTCGGGGTCGAGTTGCTGCGAGAAGATCGACCGGGTTGGCTTCGTGGACCCTTAATGGGCGTACGACGGGGACTGCTAGTGCTAGACATGTTCTCGTGCAGAGGCGAAGGTGCATCTTCAGGGATTGTCCAGACAGGTGTGTTATACTCAGGGGATGGAGTGTGCGTGAGGTTGCCTCCATTAACAGGTGGAAGAGAAGTTAAGAGCTCAGGCAATTTGGGTGCCTTATTGAAGGGATTGGTCAGAGCCAGGGGAGAATAATCGTCGGAAGTACTCTTCTTTTCGGGACCCTTATTGCTTGCTGGAGCAGGTTCTTCGGCCAGTGGACCCAATATGCTAGGGGCAGGCTTGTTGCGCCGACTGCTGCGTTTGGAGAGTGGCGATGGAGATGTGGTCACGATGGGAGGAGGCAACGCTGGCAGGGACTGAAAGTTGCCGTTGATGGCACTCCCACGTAGATCAAGTTCTTCCATGGCATCAAGATCTTCAGGTTCCTCTTCGACTGTTGGAGAAAACGCAGATCCACCGAAGGTAATAGGAGGGTGAATGGAAATTCGCACACAGTTTTGACGCCGGTGACCTTTCCGTTGTGAGTTCGAACCCTTCAGAGCGGATTGCAAAGGCTGTTGGCCACGAAGAGAGAGACTTGATCGTTGCATTGGACTGGGTGGCATTGGACCTAGGCTCTGCCCAGGTGATCCGATAGAGAACAAAGTGCCCGTAGATTGGGGGGGACCCTCCGTAAAATGGGTCATTTTCACGGTGCTCACCTTCCCATACAGCGGGCTGCTGCATCTGGCTGAACCCTGGAGCGAAAGTCATCGACGAGTTGGAGTGCCTCCAATTGATGGCTGGTCCAGTTTGGTAGCCACCATTTATTGACACGGGCGTCCCACTTCGCAATGAGCCGCGACGTTGAGGATGAGGTGCAGGATCATTGTTTCGTGGGATTGGGGTAAAGCTGAATCGATTCTCACTGGAAGTGCTTGGGTTTCGAGAATTGGTAGTCATACTGCGACGAGGAGAACCATTTGGCTCCAATAAGGAAGAACGTCTTCGTGTTTCCGCCGTAGACGAGGATCGGATGGGGAAATTGTGGAGTGGCATCATTGAGGTATTAGCTGAGATGAAACTTCTGCGGCCATTCTTCACTCCCACATCGTTGGCACTAAATGGGACGGAAGTGCCACATGATGGGAAGATGGGTGAAGTGAGATCGGTATCAGCCGATCTTGGACCATTTCGACTCTCCTCTAGAATTGAACTGTTTGTTGTGTCTAGACTCATTGACGATAGACGCATAATCGAATCGTTTCTCAAATAGCTCATTCGATCCAGTGGAAATGCAGTTGGAGGTGGTGGGGGAATGGGAGCCTCTGGTGCCATTCCCGCATTCTGACTGGCGATACTTCCTCCTCGAAGTCGTGTTGGCGATTCTTCAATTATTCGGCGTGGAGGATCAAACATCTCTTGTGAAGTACGACTCTCCATAACGGGAAACAATCCAGATCGCTCTTTGTGAGAAGGCAGAGGCCATCCAGGTGACACTGGTCGCATACCCAAATGGAACCCAGGCTCTTCATGGCTCAGATCAGGAGTTTGTCGAGGAGTTCGCTCCGCTGGTAGTTCTAAAACACCTTCGACAGCCGAGAGAGGAATATCCTCTTTATCCGAGTCCTTCGAGGGCGTATGATTCAGCACAGTATCACTCGCCGATGCAACGGAGCTCATTCGACTATGCTTGTTGGAAGATCTTGATAGTCGCTTGGAACGAGAACGGGATATCGAATTGCGGAATGAACGTGCCTTTTGGATCAACGGGAAGGTCGAATCAGAAGGATTCTGTGATTGTATCAGGGTCTCACGAGAGGCTATTTGACCCCATTCTGTTGGCTTTCCATAGGGTAGACCATGGGCTCGAAGAGCAGTTCCTTCTTCTCGAGATAGCTCTGTCAATGTATCCCCGGTGAAGCCTATGCTGCGAGTATACTGGCCATGCCTGAGTCCCAGCAGTCTGAGAGCATGACGCTCCTTTCTCACTCTGACCCAAACGACGACGCAAATGACCGAAAGGACGACGATCGTAGCCGCGCCCGAGGCGGCGATGGCGACCAAGGTTCCCAGGCTCAGCATAGCCGCCTCTCTGGCGCTTCAATTTCAAGGTGGTTGGAAGCCAGGGCGCACAATTGGCGATCGTTCAGCACATCCGTCGGGGTTTCGTTGCGAAAATGCAGTTCCTTCAAATTGTCTGGAATATTGGTACTATTTTCTTCGAACTGCTGAAGTAATTGTTCAATATAATGAGCCTCAAAGAACCAGGTATCGAGACTTGTATAACCAGTACAGGGAGGATGGAGAGAAGAACTTTTGCGAAGCTTCAAACCCAGCATTCCCGCTTGGGAGACCTGGTTTGTTATGGGAACATTGATCATTGCTCAGGAATGTGGCCGCATCACCAACGGCAGCCGTGAGGAATGCTAGTGAACACTGTCTCCATCCCTTCCACTGAACGATGATAAAATCACCGGGCAAATCACATAGCATCATGATCCTTTGGAACATCCGTGTGAGAACGTCAAAGCGGGTTGGAATGGCATACTGTGTGGCATCAATTGTACATAGTAATGATCAACATTATAAGAAGGTCTCCAGAATGACCCCAGGTAATTCCCAGTATGTCTGGAGGACCTGTCCAACGTTTAACTATTAAGCAGAGAATATGACCTCTGGTCTCCAGGACTTGCATCAATCAACATATGGCTCTCACAATCGGCCTATGTGGTATACTCAATCGCACCGCGCGAGGCATTTCTATCGAGGGCCTTATAGTCATTGGTATCTGAAAGGGTATGGCATATGAAACAAGATGCTTTATGAAATATGAATTCTGTGAATTTTGAGTGTATTTTTTATGTCCACTGATCAATGAAAGACTGGCAAAGGTCTGGAGAGTTCACATTACTGTTTGATGGTTCGAATCTTCCCTGATCGATATCGCGCCTCCTTGCTTCGTTGGGCCAGTTGGCAGGTCTCTCAGCTGAGTTATGACCAAACTGGCAATTTAGGATGAACATCAATTAATGGAAAACGTGGACTACAAAAAAGCAATCGTAAAGTGACTGCAGCAATCGAAAGTCAGCCTCTTGTCCTTTTCCATAATAATTCGATGTATAGGACAGGCGAATCGGAATGGCGACCCGGTCACCTCCACTACACTCCTCATTGAAGACATGATTCCCATAGCATACAAATACGACAACCGTGTAGCCCGACGGTATCGTATCATGTGCTGTTGCGCTTGAACAATAGTACCTTAGACCGAGTACCTGTTGGGCAGTCAAGACGGTGAATGAACGCCGGGTTTTGTTCTTTTGTTCGATATCTTCCTCATATCTTCCTCGTCAGTACGCGTCAGGGCAGCGAGCAAAAAAAATCAATGGATGCATTCTTCTTCACTATTGAGAAATAAATGCGGATCATTTGATGCCAACGGCGATCAACGCGAAGAGCTAAACGGAGATAGTGAGTGATATGGAGGAGAAGAAAAAGTTATAAGTGGTGAGAAGAGCTATTTGTTTGGTGCCATCAGATAAAGTAAGCCGTGTGCCATCGTCCAATATTACCTAGGTCGAATAGTTAGATGGAAAAATCGTGAATTAGCACAGTGCTGTCGACGGGACGACAGTGAGGTGCACGGAGTATGGGGAAGCAGGAGAGTATGATGGTGGTGTCATCGAATAAGGGAAAGGTCACCTGACACCAATCCAGTAACAGGTAGGAAGAATAAGTCGATAGAATCCAGAACTTGATGGTGTTCCAAGGTTCGCTTTTTGTCATCGGACAGACCATAAGGTCCATAACAATGAAGGGGTGGGGCCCATTCCCCGTCACTGGGCACACGCCGCACACCACTCCTCGGTACCCGGTATAGGGTCTCGGATGCCGATGACCCCGAAGATCAAGATAATAAATGCGAGAGAGAGGAATCAACCTTGAAAATGCATGAATTTAAGCGCTCATACCGCCATGTGCAAATCAAACAATGTCAAGTAATTCGGGGTCACCGCTACTACCCAGTGATCGTATCACGGGTCCCCCCGCATTATCTCGGATGACCGGGCATGGACAGATCTAATCATGTCAGTTGATTGTACTGCGCTCAGATGTTAGTAATAGATCTCCAAGGCTTTGGTTAAAAGAGATAGACTCGCAGTCAAAAAAAAATCCAATTCCAAGTTCCTCACATTGTCATCATTGCTATTTCGGTGATACAAAGACCGAGGGTATACTTTGTCTAATATTGTGGTAACTTTTGGTTTCTATAATAAACTTCGCCCCGTCGGTCTTAAATCAAAGGATTTTGTGCAGTGAATGCCGACGGCAAATGCTTGGGGTGCTTTCATCAAGAAAATTCAATGGATCCTATTGTTTTCCTTGGTTTGCTTGCGAGACATTCACTGAGAGCCAGTTCCAACAAATAAAATAATGTTTTCTTCCTCAACTTCAACTTACCTACGATACCCCTCAGAACAACTTGAAAATCCGCGATCTTGAAAACACAGCTTCGCCCTGGCCTATTCAGCAATATGACTTCTCTCAAAGTGACCAAGAAGTCTCAAATGAAGGCCGCTCAATATGACACCGACTCCCCGGAGCATTTATGGACAGCCGCCGAGGAAGCCACCTTCCAGGAGGAGTGTTGGGTAGATGCCGAGGAAGGTTCGATGGTAAGAGTCACAGTGTCAACTTGGAATTGAGCTCAGGATCTGACAGATTTCATCATCAGTACGAGTCAATAGAGGAAGCGCTTAGCTGTCAAAAGTGCACTCTCTGCATCACAGAAGACATCATGCGCGTTGACATTAAGAATGGTACATACGACACAAGCAAGTACCCGCCATCTTTCTCAAACCCCAGCACACGAGATGATGACATCTCACCATTTGACACCTCCACTCCAAAAAACAACCTATCCCACTGGACAGTCATCACAATCCCACAGCACCAGCGATACTATGAGCTCGTGGAGAAAAACTTGAACAACAGAATTGATGCCGAGGATACTGCTGATCCAGAGCTCGCAATCCTCTTCGCTCATTACCAAGTCGACTACCATATCCAGCAACACTACCTTGCACGCCGGGGTATTCTAACAATGTGCCGTGATTCGAAAGACATGCGCGCATTATGGAAATGGCAATGGCAGATGAGCATGACGGACGCCGGACTTGAGCAGAACAGTAATGATCAACGACCCTGGCCGAATGGTTCCCGACGGGTAGACTGGCCCAACGATGACAATCTGCAGATGCTTCATGCAACAATTCTATGGAAGAAATCGTGGAGGGCGAGAAAGGAGCACTTGGAGCAAGTGAGGATTAAGTGGGCAGCGATTATGGAGGAGAGGCGGAGACAGAGAGAAGCCCTACTCGCGAAGCAGGCGGCATCAATGATGAGAGTGAAGCTTTATTGCGGCGGAGAATTGATCGAGGTGAGAGAGTTGAAGCGGATGGCTTCTTCGGAGCGTATCTTCCGAGCCAAGAGGAACTTTAGTTTGTGGGTTTAATGGAATTTCGAACTCTGGAGCTCTGATGTTTCGTTTGGCATTGCGTGGAGAGGCGTTTATGTCCTGCATTCGAATATTGAAGGCTCGAGGAAGAGCTGGTCTCACCGAGAGCATGATAAAATGATGGCGCCATGAATTGAACAATAAAAACTTCAAAGCTTTCTCCGAAATCCATGGGTATGCTGCATGCATGAGTATGTATGAATGTCTGGTCTTTCCTAAAATAGTTTGTCGTCCTCAATTTGTGGGCCATAATACTAAAGCTCGGTTTCCCTCGGATTTGTTACATTCATAATGTTGTATTCAACTTAGAAGAGGTTTACTGTTTACCCGCTTCTGTGCTTCATGATGTGCGGGGATGGTCACACAAGATGCACCCCAGGATTTTGAGCCAGTCCACTGATTGGCAGAGTCGAATCTCCTTGATGATAGTTCCCTGAAATTTTGTTATAGTTTCTATACTCGCAGGGGCAATCTCGGTCGAGAGGGAGGAATGAACCTTTTTGGTATTATCCGAGACATAATTTTGATTCAGGCAGGACTCGGAGGATATTCCCCAGAATTGAGAGTATCATAGCTTTAAGCGGAGCCTTCGGCGCATTCCCTCTTCCAATGTGAGTCCGTGGCTTTTGTCTGATGGGGTAGCTGGTTGAGGTGTAAGGTAGCTATTAGGGCCGCAATTTGCTCAAGCATAGAGTTCAACTAAACAAGCCATGAATGCCTAAGCAGCCAGAAGCTCCATATTGGAATTTAAGGGACACTGAGGCACAGACAGCTCACTCATCATACACATGCTCCAATCAACTTGGAAAGGAAAATATCCAGGACAATGAGTCCAGGGTTCCAGTTCTGGTAAGTTGCAGACACTGGGTAACCATCATAGTTCAAGGGGCATATTGAATCTCACGCGCGGAACAAAAAGCATAGTAGCTGTGATAGGCAAATGCAAGAACAGGAACATCACAGTGGGACAAATAAACCACTTGATACCACATTGTACTCTCGATTAAAGAAATAATTGCTCAAAAATTCTTCCAGGGCAATTTTACCAGAATCTCAAGTACTATAAGAAGGATCGTCGTATCTGATAAATCAACCCTACTATTATCAGTTCAGATATCAACCGGGTTGCAATTAAGCATTTTTGACATTGGCCCACAATGCATTTCTCAACCATCGTCGCAATCCTTTTTGCCACCCTGGCTATCGCGGCTCCTTCTGACGCGACTTCCAACACCGATGCGTCTATAAATGGTGATGCAGACCATAGTCGATGCCGGCCACGGTATGATGAGTGTATCGAGGTAAGTTGAGCAAAGACGTAAAGCGCAACTGAATACCATTAGTTTGATCATTTCTGATATTTGATCTCAAATCGCATAGGAATGCCACCGAGAGCATCGAGGTGAATACTGTAGAAAAGTACGTCTGATAAACACCCTTACATCTACGAAGAAATGGCTAACACTGCGACAGCGGTGCTACGAGGACTTCTGTGGGCGTGATTAAATCTACTAAATTACAGGCGTAGTTTTCAACAAACTGCAAGCCTGCCATCAAGAATTGGCTAAAGTCTGGTGGCATCAAGTTTGAAGTTCAAGTCTGAGGTTCAAGGTACCTGTACAAGCGTGGATGAGAACATCTGGAAATGATATGGAGAGACAAAACGATTGGTCGGATCTTCAAGTCGGATCTTCAAGTCGGATCTTCAAGTCGGTATAAGCATTCATAATCTTGATCAAAGTTGCTTCAGAACAAGAATTCATTTACGCCGCTGAAATCACATCAAATCTTGCAAGTATTTCCATCAGTAAACGGCTCTCCCCCACTCCGGACTGCATACTCGAGATCGTAACCCATGATCTCGTGAGCCATGATGATCATGTCCCTTCAACCCCGCTATCGATCACCAACCCTGGGGTATCCCCACCACACTTCACGAGATGGCTGATCGCATGATTTTGCGGGGTTCACAAAACTCATGCAGCATTCACGTTCAGGTCTTGCATTCCCGGTGACGCTGATTTCAGGAGTGGGGTGAATACTTAAGATCACCATGCATCACTACTCAATTGAGAAGAATTTCCAGCCTTTCCCGCCAAGTAACCTGACCCCACTCACCCCTCAAATACTGGGGGAAAATCACGATCCCGAGAAAAACCGGACCAAGGCAACGAGGAGTCTGAAATTGCAGGTTCGCAATGCTCAAGAATGGGTCAAGGCACAGAAGGGGATGTCAAGAAGAGGTTCAACGCCAGGCACCGATCTCCCGCCGCCCAGCTCGGTTGTGGCTGGGAAAGCCTTCCCCTGCTGTGCAATGCGGTAATTACTAGGCCTCCGATTTGTTCATTCCGATGGCCCGGTGTACGAAATACCGAGGACCACCTGTTTCACAAGACTGCATGATAAAAACCATCGGTACGGAGTAATCAGGGTGAATGTTCCTGATCCCTCTCATAGCCGCATTGTCCGCAATTTCCCTGATTGGTGAGAGCACCATGGACCGGGAAATCTCCGTTTTTTTTAGTCAGGAGAGGATACCCAGTGACCATGGGCACCAATATACCTCATGACTAATCCCGGTGTGCCAGGTGCGTTTCGTCACAACGAACAGACAGATCTTCGAAGCACTTGGGTGTTCTAGGTCTCCCTTTTCCAAGGACATTGTGCCGATCCGAAGATCGCTGACGTGGGGGTTTGAAAATGAAGGAGAATGCAACTTTTTTTTTCATATGTATATGCACAACGAATGATACTCTCTCGAGCTGCGGCCACTAGGAGAACAGTGAAGAAGGTTTTCCGCATGGAAATTGGCACTACTAGTATTATTGAAGCTAGTCCTACGTAGCCCGAAACGTGACCCGTCCCTGTACTCCGTGCTCTGTGATGATTCGTTCTCCTGACTTTTTTAGACAACATGATCTTGTTCTTTCTGTGGAGTATTGTCTACTAAAGAATTTCATTTTTTCATGTTGATTATTTCAATATTCAATAATTGAGAAGTATTTGGTCTCGCATAATACGGAGGACAGAGCACCGCAAACATCATAATTATTCAACCGGGAAGCCGCAAAGGACATGACGTAAGGGTAGAAGACCCGATCCATGTTATTCTGTTCCCGAATCACCGGCCCGTAGGAGGCGAATTATAATAGAAAGAAGGGGGGAGAAATAAATCTAGTGAAGCCGATTAATAGAAAAAAAAGGGGTGTAGATTGGAGGATATATAGTGAAATTTAAGTGAATTGTCCTCAATGGTCGATCGAAAATCATACTGAAAAATAATAATGACGTCCTTTCAACCGATGTAAAATAAATGAAAATCCAATAAATCTCCCCTCAAACGAGGGGAACCAACATCCACTCTATGACCCACCATCGTCCACTCCGGATGGGAATGAAAGTGGGTAGCCCTTTGGGTAGTCTCAACTGGGAGACTTATAATGTTGAAGTGTCCGAAATCCTTCCCCGATCTTTCTTCCCTTTCATTCTTCCCTCCCCCCACCATCTCTCACTTTTCTCCCTCCCCCACAAAACCATATACTTTTGATATCTTACGAATCTAACCGTCGAGACTTAATTTTGCCCGCCATCATGTCGAAGACCAAGGTTCTGTTGGTCGGCGCTGCGGGTGAAACCGGAGGTTCCATCGCAAATGGACTGTTGGAAGATGGAAGCTTTGTATGTTATGACCTCCAGTGTTTAGGCGCTTTTGTCACCAATACTAACGATCGCCATTTATTTTTATAGGAGGTGATCGCCTTGGTTCGTCCTATTTCTGTGCACAAGCCTGCTATCTTGCGATTGCAGGAACGGGGTATCGCCATTCGCAAATGTGATTTGAAGGCTCCAGAGGAGCAGCTCATTGAGGCGTTGGCCGAGATTGAGGTTGTCATCAGTTGTGTTGGTCCCGCGGAACAACAGGACCAAATCCCGCTGGCCAAGGCCGCAAAGGCAGTCGGAGTCAAGCGATTCATTCCCTGTGGTTTCATTACTGTCGCACCCCCAGGTGGTGTGATGTGGCTACGTGACGAGGTACGAATTGTGTGGTGGTGGTGCCATTCCCCCAAGACCGAAAACTAATCAGGTTTGGCTTGATTTAGAAAGAAATTGTCTACAACCAGATTCGCCAGCTGTGGCTCCCTTACACTCTCGTCGATGTCGGTTGGTGGTACCAGCTTTCGTACCCCGTCTCCCCTCCGGACGTGTTGACTATGCCATGACCTCTGGTAACGACGAGATTATCGGTAACGGAGATGTCACAACCGCTTTGACCGACTTGCGCGACATTGGTCACTACATGGCCCTGATCATCAAGGACCCACGTACTTTGAACAAGAAGGTCCTTGCGTACAACCTCGTGTCGACTCAGAGTGAAATCTACAACCTCATGGAAGAGCTCAGTGAGGAGAAGATCGACCGAAACTATGTAAGTCCTGCCCAGTTTCTTTGAAATCTTTGAGAAATCTTGGAAGGATTTGGGGCTAATTGATTTTTTTCTTTTTCTTTGCCGGAACACAGGTCCCCGAGGAAACGATCTGCAGCAGAGTGCTTGCGGCCCGACAGGCCAGTGAAACATACCCTTTCGACCCTATCAAATTCATTCCCCGCTACCTCGCCGAATATCAATACTCCTGGGGTGTCCGAGGCGATAACAATCCGGAATATGCCAAGTACCTTGGTTATTACCTGACTCCGGAGCTGTACCCGGAGTACAAGCCCACCGATTACCGCGAGTATCTTGAGTCAGTAATCCGAGGTACCGCCAAGGGCGTCTACACGGACCGAGTCATTTCCCGAAAGCACCAGCGACACTTTCCCCGCACGGAATCCAGTGATTCGTTGTACACTCGCATTTTCCCTCGCACCGAGTCGAGTGATTCTCTCATGTCGCGATGATTTGAACGCCCATCTGCATCTTTTTTTCCCCGGGAGCGACCGTGCTCCAGGTTGACGCCAACCGTTCCCGTCCTTCTGTTGTTCTTTTTCGATTTTCTTTTTTTTATCCCCGTCTTCTTGCATCGAAACAAATTCACGATATCTCCCCTCCCCCTCATAGAATGAGGGCCGGTTCGTTTGGGGGCGTCTCGACAATTTCCGGCGTTTATGATCATTACGGCTTCAAATGGGGAACATAGACAAGGGGCCAATCTGCCAGCCATCCTTGATGGAGGGCTTGCCATGGCGATGATAGAAAGTTGCTGGCATACAACCTGAAATGTTCTGCTTTATTTCCACCATGTCTCCATGTTTCATATTTTGTTCTTTTTTCGAGTTTGATCGTGCTCCACGGAGCCGGTTCCTGTTGCATATAGAAGAAATTCATAAGATCTCGATTCCACTGTTCCTTCCTTGTTCCTCGCTCCTGCCTCGTGCGGTGCGGCGTTATTAATTACAGCTCCCACTTTTAACTCGTCATTTCTAGGCCCATTGCATCTTTCTTTCGCTGATCTCTCATGAATCACTCATTGCCATCTGTCTGAATTTTTCAGATGGAGCTATCAGAACATCCACGCCGGAGAACTCGATCTTCGCAACATGAGTCCTTCCAAAGCCTAGGAGAACCATCCAATGCGTCCGTGACAACTGCCTTGGAACACCAAGCGAACGATATAGTACCTCTTGTTCCTCATGGCGATCATTCATTGGGATTTGTCGACATTTACCAATCCTTGACACCGCGACAAGTCGGAGTTATTGGTTTGTTGTGGAATCCATCTGTCATATTTCACATACTAATTCCTGGGTTTAGCAGTCGGATCGGCGATCGGAACAGGGTTGATGATTGGGACAGCACGGGCTCTGACAATGTTTGTTACATGCGACGTATGATCGTGTCTTGCTGGTGCGGCACACTAACTTGCAAGCAGGAGTGGCGTAAGTGACCGGATGTTGTGCAGACGAGGACGATCTAACCCGTTGATTCGACTTAGCCGGCTGCTATGATGATTTCCTACACTTTCGTCGGATTCGCGGTATACCTGGTGTTGCTCGCCCTGGGTGAAGTGGCCGCGTGGTTACCAAGACCTTACACTGTGGCTGATCAAGCTGTGCGATTTGTTGACCCAGCTCTTGGTTTCAGTGTGGGTTGGATGTAAGCTCTGCTTTCTCTGGGAAACAAAGAGGTCATCAATTTAGATATCACTGACATTTTGCTTCTAGATACTGGCTCAAGTATGCCATTGTCACGCCTAATCAGTTGACAGCCGCCGCACTGGTCATATCGTACTGGATTGATCCTGAGTGGATTAATCCGGGCATTTGGATCACAGTCTTCCTATCTGTAATTACCATTCTTAATTTCGTTTCTCACGGACTTCCGAGCCAGGTCGAATTCTACGTGTCCTCGTTCAAGCTCCTCGTCATGTCAGCTCTGATGATTCTGTCTCTGGTCATTGCTTTGGGCGGTGGACCAGACCATCACCGTCGAGGCTTTAAGTATTGGAGCATGTCACCAGAATTCACTGCCTCTGGCGTTCAATTTAATCGAGGATTGTTGGAGAAATTCTTGGAGATCTGTGCAACTATGTCTTCAGCTACGTTCGCGTTTATTGGCAGTGAGCGATCGGGGCTTATGGTCCGGGCGCCCAATGTACGGAAGGCTATATCTCGCGCCATCAAGCATACCTTTTATCGCGTGTTAGTATTTCATCTACTGGGCATCACGCTACTAGGTATGCTTGTGCCCCGAAACTCGACCAAACTGGCCTTTTCCAGGGAAATGGGGAAGCGAACCTCTGGTACAGCAGCTTCTCCCTTTGTCGCTGCCATCTGGCTGTCCGGCATAGCCATTGTGCCTGATATTCTGAACGGATGTATATTATTGTTTGTGCTGTCAATCGCCAACTATGATCTTTACCTGGCTACCAAAGCCATGTGCGATCTCTCCCTGAAGCACCGTGCCCCTGCGTTTCTCATGCGCACCAACCGCCGAGGAGTTCCAATCTACGCTCTCATTACCTGCTCGATAGTCTCCACATTAGCGTATGTCAACATTACCAAAGACTCCCACCTTGTCTTCGGATACTTCGTCGACATGGTCACCATGCTAGGTATTCTTGTTTGGGCATCAATCCTCATCACCCATATTGCATTTGTGCGTGCGCGCAAAGCGCAAGGCATCCCCGACGAGAGTCTTACTTTCCGCGCCCGCTTCGGTCTCGCTGGAACATGGCTCGCATTGGTTCTTTGTCTCTTCATCGCCGTGACGCTTGTCGTCGGTTCTTTTTGATTTAGCCGTGACGGAAAATTGAGTTTCCATTATCCATCCATTCTGGCCTCCTACGTGGGTCTCCCGATATTTCTGATTCTGATCCTTGGGTATAAGGTCGTGGCTCGCAGTAAACATGTCAATCCGAAAGATGCAGATATGTGGACAGGCAAGTTGGATGTTCGAATCACGCGACCGGGGACAGATATAGAGATTGTATTAGAATAGTGGAATTTGAGATCAAAGTGTCTATATTCTATGCCAGTGTCTAGGTGTTCAAGTTATCTACCAGTGCTTTATTCGGTCAATTGACACCACTAGGCCGGTCACGATGCAGTACCTAGTACTAGTATTGAAGAGGGAACGCTCTCTGCTGTACGGAGTAAACTCACCTGCAACGGTGCAGGGGTCGTCCAGCCACAATGGACCAAACCATAACCACCACCACCGTGAATCTATCATACTAGACACCAGATCGTCCGAAGGGCCAAATCAGAGAGGAGAAGGGGAAGCATTCAATGTTTGAGGAGTGTGTATTGTGACTATACCAGAGCTGATACCTATCATCTAATAGGAAGGACAGCAGTGCAGTAAGGATGGAACGGCAGAACAGCAATACATCCCCGGAAAGAACTTGGAACATCCTAGGTAACATTTACTATCCATGACGAAAATTTGAAATGACAGCAACCTCGTGGGAACTGGGAAGCCCTGGAGACATCTCTCCCCGCTAGTGAAATAGATCCATCCAAGCCCAGGTGGCCCGGGATAGCATTTGGATATGCATAATATGAGTACCTAGGGGAGTGCATAGTACAGCTTGAAGCTCGGTATACATGGATAACTATGACTCGGAACCCTGCGCATCTATAATTGGCCCCATGAGAAGCTCTATAAGCTATAAAAGGATTGAGTCAGTCACAGACAAGAGAAACCAACCTGAAAAAAAAGACAGTAGAGCAACATTTTAACATACCCATTGTTCAAGCCTTGCACCATTAGTGTGAAGGCTTTTGAATTGAGTATCCAGTCGATCTATACAATGTGTGAGCAGCATTCCAGTAAATGAATCAGAAGACTTACCACTCGTCACGTATAGAACATCTTTAAGCTCAAGGTCTTCGTCCAGAATTTTCAAGAACTTCTTCGCCTTTTTGTCGTCCCCTATCTGGCTTACTTGAAAGCGGACAACTGCAGTCGTTAGTCATTTGAAAGTACACCTGGGCAGCAAAAAGGGATGCGGAAAGCAAACGATCTACCTTTTTCGCTAAACCCATAACTTTTCAGTTTTTCTCCACATTCCTGAATGACTATCTTGAGAGTGTCGTCACGCTCAGGTGAATGACCTGGTCCAGACGGGTCGCCATCTGTAATTATGGAGATCAATACGGGGCGCGATAGCCTGTTGTTTTTAAGCGGCTGGTAGACATTTTCCTCCAAGACTTTGGTTCGTAGGTGCGTGCCAATTTCGGTCCACCCATTAGACTGAACCCGTTTCATGATGCTGTCAATTACCTCTAAGGATGGTCTTGACATATCATGAGTGGTTTTCGCGTTGATAAATCGTAACTCGATCCCATTCTCGTCTGGGACAACCCGGGTGGTAATGCTGGCAATACGCTTGACAAGTTCGTTCTGATGATCTCTTCGTTCCCCGGTTTTCATCGAGCCACTGTCATCTAGATCTTGTCAGTATCCTCATTCAATTCAAAGTCGATTCATCTTACCACAATACAAGACTGGCTGATAAAGAGCCAAATGAGTCAAATCCTTCGGGTCTAGCGAGTTGGATGGATTGGTCTGGTCCAAATTCACAGCCCTTTCCACTAGTTTTCCCAGAAAAGGGTCACCCTTTGGGAAGAAACGGTCTAGATCATACTCCTTGATGACTTCATTCATCCTATTTGTGAGATCTTGCTTTTCCTCATCTTTCGCGTCGTCGAATCCCTTGTCCTCTGGGATATGCTGCATGACCTCGATGATAAGCAAGCATTTCTTATACGAGAAAACCAGACTCTTACCTTTTTCAATCGTTTATCAATACTGCCAGTCATTCTGAACCGGTTCCAAATGGCATCTTTCGCCACCATGACGGCCCCAGCGGTGACTGCCACTGCGGCAGCCACCATGAGATTCTTATTTACCCAGTAAACCGCCGTCAACAGGAACCCAGTCACCTTGCCAACTTCCAAAATCCGATCAGTCAGTCGCTGTGATCTTTTACGCAAGGCATTCTTCATCTCAGCGCTTTTAGCCAGGTCATTCGCCGATTTACCCTTGTTGTCCTTGTCGCTCTTGAGGCCCTTCACGTCGGGATCGGCACCATGATCGACCAAGTACTTGATAATATCTGTGGACTTGCGAGTGTGAACAGCCTTCATCAATGGTGTCCAGCCTTGCGCGAACGGTACGTCAGGCGAAGGATTTGCCTTCGCCCCATGGTCGAGAAGCAGTTGAATGAGACGCTCTTCGACGTTTTCCTTTGTTCTTCGCGAGCCGCAGAGGAACAAGAGGGGCGATAATCCTTTTCCAAGACAGTCGGGGTCAGCTTTGGGGTCGGCTTTGTGGTTTAAAAGGATCTGGACAGCTTTGAAATGCTTGTTGCGTACTGCGATTCCGAGGGGGGTTGTCTGGTCTTCGTTATCAAAGTAGTTGATATCAAACTTCGGGCCTTTTAGATCATCCTCTTGCAATGTGCCATTTTTGGCACGATTGTAAATATTCTCACTCATTTTTTCAGCCTTTGTGAGTGCGATATGTTCGCAATAATTTGTGATGTGCGTTTATCTATTTCAATGTGATACTAGGGAACTTTAAATACTACTAGATTGAAAAAGCCCAACATTGCTTCAAGTTGTTCTAATATCCTGACAATCACATTCATGACAGGAGTCAGGCGTGCTTGTCATATCAGCTAGCCACTGGATAGAAAAGATTTCATGCATTTTCAGCTCTGCAAAAGTACTCTATTCCAAGACTAAATTATTGAACTAACCAATCTGGCATCCGCAGGAGGCTTTGCGGGGCACCCACATGGTTGTTTCGCCCAGATGCCCTCTGGCGAACCATCCATGGATGATGGAGGCACCTAGGTCTGTGCTTTCTGGTCTGTCACTTCGACTGTATCGGGTGCTTCTTAGGCAGTGTGAGGAAGTGGACCTTCACAAGGCCCAATAGGCACTGCATGAGCAGGTCTAAGCGACTTGATCAGGCTTGTAAGCCTGCATATTTCCGCTTCACTCTACATATTGGCCCAATATTCGATTGTTTAGGTGATTCACTCAGATTGAAATTTTCAGCTATCAGACATTCCCGTTCGTGTTCGGTTCAACAATCCATCACAATCCTCATTAATCACCAACCCCACATATGCAGGACTGCAGTTGTATCACTTGGGAAATACCCAGGTACATTATATAGCTTGTGGGTCAAAATGTTTAATAGCTGCCGTGTTAAAACGCGTAGCCTTCCGCCCTCCGTGCCTTCAAGTTCAAGTTGGGCTGAAAGCAACACAAATATACTCCGTACTTATCGTGCTACCACCTGGGCACCTCATCACGATTCGCAATAGCCTTATCATCGACCTCAGTAATTCTTAATTAATTTAAATTAGAGCATGCAATTTATGTCCGGGTATAGTCTGTTGACATGAAGAAATATCATTTTGTCAAATGTAGTGTATACTGTGAAGAGGTTAGTGCAGGAAATGGCGCATATGCCCTACATGCACGTATTATTATCAATGGTTGTCAAAAAGTATGAACGACGAGCTTGAAGCAAATACACAATACATACTAGATACGAACTCCGCATAGCACGTCATGACATCTCTGTAGGCTCTGCCTGCTACCTGGGCAGCATGTGTAGTAGGCTAGTTAGTTCCCAGGTGGACCAGTCCAGAAACTTGAAAGTGGCTGCGCCAATTTCCTTTTTTCAAGTCACGGCCTTACTAGTAGCCTATCCAGATATCTGCCCAGGTGGAGCGGCTGAATCTATTCCACGTCACCCACATGTGCATAAATACGCCACGCACTAAATATTAACAACCCAGATTCCCGGTACGGGATCGTGCATAATACTACAGCATAGGTACGGTCCTATGTATATACTGTGACCGTCAACATCGCTAAACTATTGATGACTTCCCCGAGATGAAGATCCCTGTGTACTAGTGTAAAATTAGTTTCAGTATCATTATACCTCCTGCCACCCGCTGCCTCCATCAACTACACCTGGGCACAGCTATGATGAGATCAGCTCCCCACCCCCGCAATGAGTTCGGCAACGAGGACGCCGCCCAGGATCTCTACGGCCTGGGAGTCCGACTAGGCTTCTACCTACAAGCGCTTGCTATGATTTTGTATCTATATGGCGACGAGAAAAACTATGGCAAAGGACTTAAGATTGCATCTGGAAGTATCACCGTCTCTATACTAGCATCTTGGTTCAACTATGCTGCCGAGGCCGCTTTTTCGCCCAGCGAGGCAATTGTCGTGCTTATGATACTCATGAGTCTATCTTTCCCTGCCAAATACACGCTTCTCAATCCACGAACAATTATGGACGAAACGATTGGAGTCATCACACTACTATTGACTGAATTGGCCACTTGCACGGCGCTTTTGTGGACCTTTTCCAGTCTTGTTCATACCCTTCCGCGACTGGGGACCCCAAATGTGATGTTTTTCTTCTCTCCTGTTTCGCTGACAGGTTGGTTTCGCTACTTGGCTCTGGTGTATCTCGTTATTGACGCTATCACATCCCTCTATCTCGCGTATCGAATAGTGTGCGTGTTGATGATTGTCTGGAAATGCTACGCCGCCAATCGCCGCGAGCTATATGAGGAAGAAAGTGCTCAGATTGTTAAAATAATCAAGTGGAGCGAGGATCAGTTCATGCTGACTATCATACTCTGGCTGGTTTGGGTATTTGCCATCGTGGCCGTGGAGACGACTCTGCAGTGGAATCATTTAACGCCATTGAATGATCTGCGGTCACCGGGACAGTTGATTCCGTTCGTGACTGGGTGCATACTACTGATCGATAGTATCTCAGTCGCGGCAAGAGAGCATGTTCCATCGTATGTGAAGATCTTCGGACCGATTCGGTTCCTTACCTCCTTGACTATTTCACCAGTAAGGCTGTTATTGAGACTTCAAGTTCCTGACTTCGTGATACGTTTGGCTCGGGAGAAAAGGGCATTGCAGTCAAATGCTGATTTCCCTGCGGGCAATGATTTATCTATTGTATAGCTGTCAAGTGACAAGTCTTTATAAAATTTCAATTCTTTCCTCCATAGCAGGTATCTAAGACTTTGGAAGATCGCTCCAGGAAAATGTATTATACTGCGACCATTAGCAAAGTACTCGTCAGGACCAGCAGAGAACACACCTTGATTGGTATATTAGAGCTCCTTTCGTCTAATGAGACTCCTGCACCATCATAAGTTCCCATTTGCCGATCCAGATCTGTCAGACCATCGCTATTCAACACCAACTGCCACAATTCCGATTTTTTCCCATCCTTGGCTCTGATTATCACAGAGAACAATCTTGTCTTCTTGAATTGATTAAGCTCCACAAAGCAAAACTGCTGCAGAGTATCTGTAAGAGTGACACCCTGTGTCATCACATCCCACAATACCCACTTCTGGGTTTTTCGATCTTCCGACCAGTCAGATGGCGGGCAGTGCTGAAAGACATGCAGCATGTTGATGGGCGCAATAGGAGTCGATGCATAGGCGGGGAATACGTCAAATGCAGTGTCTAGTCCGTCCTCACCCCAGTGGACCCATGCGTACTCTTCATCGGACGGAAAGTGCAGATACAATGGATCAGGGTGAGGGTCTTTTTTGTCTGCTGAGTCCACCTTTAGCGCCTTATTGTGTTGGATAATATCAGCCCACTGAAATACTTGCTTAAGAAGATTTGCATTCAGTCGAGCTCCACTGCTTCCTTTCCCGCGTTTGACGGGACCATTGTTACTAGGTAGCGAGAATCCATGTTAGTTATTGTCTTTTAATTTTCCGGATTGTATATAGAATCACGATCTGGGCACTGACTGAATCGCTACTACTGTCTCATGACTGTTGTAAGGCATAAATACAGGCGACCCACTCAATCCTTGAGCAGTTTCAATCCTATAGACCAGGTGGCCGTCTTGGGCACTCAAACAGTCTCCACTACAAGTGTCTAGCGACTGCAATTCTTTCTTGTCAGATTGCTGCTTCTTACCATTTGATCTTCCGGCTTCTTCGTGAGGATAATACCCGCTCAGCTCAAGCTTCTTCTCACGTAGCTCCTCATAGCCCAAGTTCAGCGCAAAGCCAAACCCAAGGTCCGAGTCACTGGGTTTCTTGTCCCCGGCTTTTTTAAACTGTCTGGGGATCAGAATCGCTCCGTAATCATACTCTGGAGTATGCTGGCCGTGATATGATGGACAGATGAAGACTTGGTTCTCAATCGGCTCCAATGCTTTGTTCTGTCCGTGGCGATCGATTTGCAACTTCGTTGAGCGGTTCCCACTTTTGTCAACAATATTATGTCCAGCAGTCAAGATGATATAAAAATTTGCCCCAGGAATATTGAGAAAGAATCCCGTGCCGAATCTTTCTTTTTCTGTTCAAGTTTCTTTTCAGCATACACCAAGTATTGAATCGCAAAACAGAGAAGAAAAAAGAATCGATACCATCGTTGTCCTGTAGAAAACGCAACCTGACGACCCAGTCTTCCCGGGCTTGAGCTTGGGCGTTTTTGTAGCCCCCTGTTTCTTCTTTCTCGGGTAGTCTACTCCACGAAGGATCCCACACAAGAGGGTTGAGATGAAAGTCGTCGTTATCCGCAGACATGACATCTGGATGTTTGGAATCAAAGTGCCAGTGGAACATGTGTGATAGAGTATAGCATATGTATGCTACCTATACATAGAGAAGGGGGCTTTTATAGTAATCCATTGATATTACAATACACTCGGCCAGGGGGGTCTTCTGTAAGACAACAATATACATACCCGGGGCCACGTCAGAGTGCTTTAGCTGAAAGTATGTCCCGAGATTTGCTTTTGGAGGGCTGAATCTGATCACGCCTACATATGCACATGTGCATGTCGCATTCAAGTTGCATACTAGTATCAAAGGTCAGACGTGTCAGAGGGTGGACCCCTTGGGCAGTAGCGTCTGCCCCTCATTAACCAACTTACTAGTATCAATCTATCCCATGTTGCCTCGCTCAACATCCAGCCCAAAACTGAACAATCTCACCTCAGAGCACTCCAGCAACAAATAAATCTCTTGAAGCGGATATGGATGTCACACTCAACGAGATCGCCTATCTTCTTACAGTGCCTGCGGGTGCACTGTCACTAGATGAGTCGACACTTTATGCCGTCATCGAACAAGATGGCCACCTTATCGAGAAGCAATGGGTCGGTGATGAACTGAAGGACAACATATTCATCGCGTCGTGTGCGGAGGGCTCACCATCGGCCAAGTACCTTCTGAACGAGGATGTTGTAAGCACAGACTCCTCCAGGGCTACATCCATCGTACCAAAATACCAAAAACTGATCATTAACCTAAGCGCCGTGTGTTCTTTGTGGATGTCGATCACGTTCTCCAGTGTTCCGAATATGACGAGTCGGACGAGGAGTGGAATGAAGTACCTCTCGAGTCTGAAAGTCCTATCATTCTTCACCCCAAAAGTCAAATGAGCGGCTGTTTCGATGACCAAAACAATCAGATTATCTTTTTTCAAACCCCCTCCGGTCAACTACAAGGCATACGCGTCCTGGAAACTGGTGAATGCAGCCCTTTGCCTGAGATCTGGCACGAGTTTCAAAATCACACAGCTTTTACATCGGATAATGGAGCCATTCATTTCATGTTCATTGACGATGACAATCAAATCCATAATGTAATGTTGGATTCAAACAGCAACACATGGCATGGTATGTTCCTTATCAACTATACAAGTGCTATACTAACAAATCGCTAGACAAACCTGTTCTGGGAGGTGGATTTGGAGAACATGACTTGATCCGTTTTACGGCCACCTCGACAGATGAGGCAGATCTCGGATTCCTATCCGTCTCATTGGAAGGGAAGGTTTTATATCTGAGTCCTCAAGGGGAGCTACGCGAGCTTGGACACCTCGATAATCAACGGTTCTCCGCCAAATCAAGTGAGGAATGTGTGATTGAAATTGCCAGGGGAGGGAAAAAGCTTGTGAAGGCCATGTGTGGCTCAAAACGTTGACAGCATTATCCCTTGAGGACCTTAAGTGCTTCCGATATGTAATTGTGTAGACCTCGAAGGTTACTTAGTAGTCTCAATAACATCCCCAAGCATCGAAATCCCAAGCTTTGACTTACCAAGAAACTTCTCTTCATCAGCCGCAATCCTCGCCGCCGCCTCGGGTGCATAAACCTTAGCACTAAAAGCCTGAAAAGCAGCCTGATCCACGAAAGTAAGGTCCGCATAAGCATCGAAATCGAAATCCGTCTGTTTTCCAACTAGGACAGTAGCAGGTGTCAACGCATTCCGTTCACTTGACCCCTCGATGAGTGTTTCAACCGTGGTACGTGCCATATAGCTTTGTTTATGTGAGAGGGGGAAGTCCTCGCCAGCTATTTCCTTAAAAAGCTTACATGTGCTTCATAATGAGCTTTGAATTCTTTGAGGGAAAGACCGGGTTTTCTATAGGTGTAGATGATGGCTTTCACGGACATTCTGATAGGTGGGATAGTAATTGGAGGTTCAAATGAACAGAGTCTCTGTAAGAATCAGTTTTCTGGTAATGGTGATTCAGATTCAAAAAAAAAACAAAAAAAAAACAAAAGTTGTGCAAGATTGTATTCAGGAAGTTGAGATTAAGATGGTCAATGCTACCGAGAGGAAAGAATATCCAGACAACATTTGAAGGTGGGGTTGAAGATGTAGGTTTGGCCCCCAACGGAGATTGTATAGTCTGTGCCATCTTGCATACGGAGTATAACAACATGACATTATATGTCAAGGATAATTCCAAGGTTGGTTCCAATCATATGTAGCGTACGCGTCTCCACGGCGGCTTGACATCCGGTAGACGGCGAACGACAGCCATGTTTGTCTTTAGCGCGACAATGTGATCCACTAGGGCGACTTAACTGGTGTCTGGGTGGTTGGGGATCGCAGGGATGATAAATCCAATTTTTGAGCTGGACGATCCGACATCCTCATTGTGGTATGTCGTGTTTTTGGCTTGTCCGAGTTAGATGTCCTCTGTAGACGGCGTGGTAATCAACTGGACAGTGAATACCATGGCAACCGATGGATCAACCCTGTAAGTGATTAATCCCGTGGATGCCTGAACGGTCAGTGAAATCCTTAATATCCAAGCTCAGTATAAAACTATAGATCGAGAGCTAGTTAGACACCTTCTTTATACTTGAGATTGAAAATTCAATCAACATGAAAATCCACATTTCTCGTTGTTTGACGTCTAATCTCCTAGCCGCCGAACTGAGTGGGCTGGAAATGCCATCGTCGCAATCATTCCCTCATCGTCTGCACGCTGCCCATGAGGGTAATCGAAATGATGGTGGCTTGAGGATTTGCTTTTTCCATGTCATAATCCCTGTCTATCTCCCCTCGTTTGTCGTGTCCCCAATCCCCGGACCTGTCATTTTTGACAGTTTGACTCCGTTGCCCAGGTTGTTTACCTTTCCCCCCGCAACACCATTTGGGACTCCCATGAATGTTGGTGTAGACTGTTCTCGACTAATACATTCTTCCTTCATCTTCATAGAGAAATCTCCCATTCATTTTGAACGCTTTGTTGCTGGTCTAATTGAATCCAATTTGCTTTGGTCGGGCATGGAGGGGGAGGAACATAACCAAAATTCCAGAATGTGGAGATTCAGACCAACTGGTCAGAAAAGTCGACAGTGGAAGGAATTACGGGAACTGACAAAAGAAACATCTCTAACCTCACCTTTCTCCAGCATTCCGGAGTCGGAATCTGCATGGAATCACCATGGAGGTTCTTACAACACCACAAGGGAACAAATTCGATGAGTTTGCCGCGCTGATAAGCACTCTCAACACCAATTACGGCCTCGAACTTCCCGAGAAGAAGATTGACTGGTCACCTCAGGCTTGGAATAATGATGACTCGAGGAACGGACTATCATGGCACAGTCTACGAAAGCTTCGATACCTGTTCTTTCGCAACAAGGATAGCGTCGACAGAGCAGTCGAGGACTTTAGCGAATGGGTGGCGGGACAAACGTTACCAGTTCCAAGGAGCGAGAACGGACCGGCCCGCGGGTCACGACTTCGACTTCGAACACGGCAACGCAGCGAGGAACCAGTCCTAAGTGACATTGAAAAAGATAAACGACTCAAATACTTAGTAGAACTCGTTCGTCGGGAACTCTACCTTTTGGAAAATGACGCCTCAAAACGAAATCCCGATACGACCCCGCCGTCGGAGAAGAGCAGAATCGCCTCGCCAAAGAGGCGGCGACTCTCTGAGGATGAGGATGAAGATGATGAGTTTCATACGGCCCCAAATTCGCCCATCAAGATGAATGGCCATGTATCTCAGGCTATGCCACCACCATTAACTACTAGTTAGATCTAGACCGTCTGGGCCAATCTTTCAGGCCTGCTGACTTCGATTCCCACGACCAGCGGGATACCGATCCGACCAAGCCCATGAGCTTTTTGGACAAACTCACGCAGCATCTGCCACAGCCAAATGACCAAAGTCGGGTCAATACGAGCTTCACTACGAGTCTTGCTACGCCTATGGACTCTGTCTTCCGGCGCATGGCGGGTACGCAGAACGGTCTTTCGAGACTGATGCCACAGATACGCAGTCCACATATGCAGACTCGATTTTCGAGGTAACGTTTAATGAGGCTGCAAAAACAGCCTCCGACCCGGAATTCATTCGACGAGATTTCTGTGACAGAATCACGGAAAAATTACAGCAAAGAGGGCCTTTCTCCTGGAGTCATCCTTTCCCTAACACCATCTCCCTCCTTCATCGGTATGAAATGGAGCGAATAGGACGGGCGTGGGATGTACGACTGGAGGATTTGTTTCGTGGCAAGGAAATGCCTTCCACGTTCAATGACTACAATCAGTTCTGGGGTCTGATTGAAACGTTGGATTGAAACGCATAAAAAACGACGGGGAAAACCTATCCCAGAGAAACCCTCGCGCAGAGCATGGGATGCTGCGGTCGGTGATTTCAAAACGGACAGACACTCCGAAGTTGTAGTCTCAACTGGCGAACTAAACTGGATTTCATTTGACGAGGGACTCTTCGACTTGAAGCTGAATCCTCCCAAGGCAGAGAAAACATGTCGCTTTCATCGGCGCTTTGGGTCTGATCGATTTCTGACGCTGACAATATCCACCTTGTCCCGTCCTCCATTTGAAATCCGTTTACCATCCCAACCATCTCTTCTCCGTGAATGTATTTCTGCATGGCTCATTCTCAATGAACATCGATGCCTTGGACGAACATGGAGACCGTTCTTTGTCGAATAACTCAAGAACAAGAGCAAGACTAAATTAGTCCCTCGGTTCCGAATTGAGTTCCTTGTCGTTGATGGCATAGATTTCTGGTCCAAAACTTTCGTTATGTCACCGTGTTGCACCACCCCGTCAGCCAAGTTATAAGCACTCCTCAATGACATTGTATGACCTACTGGAGTGGCACATGTCGAAAAGCCACAATGCCAATCAAAGCAATTGTAAATTGTTTCAGCGGATATCTCTTGGCTTGTCAAAGACATTCGCCTCTAACGCTGAAACCGACCCAGGTTCTCCACAAAAAGATGACCCTAGATGGGTACGTGTAATGAACGATGGTTGTGCGCTCATGTCCAGGGCTCTGGCACAGAAAATTTGTGAGACTCTGGGAATAACTGGGAATGGGAACAGATACATCCCAAGCGCCTTCCAAGGTCGAATTGCAGGAGCCAAGGCTCTGTGGATGGTCAACAAGAACCAGTCTAAATACCAGAGCTTCTGTGAGGATGATGGGGATGATCTTTGGGTCGAGATTTCTGACTCGCAGCTGAAGATCTTCCCCCATCCTCAGGAATGGACTGGTACAATTGACGATGAGAAGTTGACTTTTGAAGTTGTTAGTTGGTCGAAACCTTTACATCTTGTGGAGTTGAACATTCAACTCCTAGTAATTCTAGCGCACGGTGGCAATGTAAGGGATTACATAGCCGAACTGGCCAGAAGAGGTCTTGATAAGCTGGCGGAGGATCTTGAAAGTGTTCTAGCAGCTGATAACAACCTTATGTGTCTTGGTCTGATGCAAAAGCTAAAGCCTCCAGGCGAAGCTAAGTATAAGTCCCGTCAGCTTGGAAGCTGGGTGCTTAATGACGGAGAGTTTGTGAACCGTCTATGTCAGGCAGGTTTTACGCCACAAAGCTTCTCTCCTCTACGAACCCGGCTACAGAAGCTGTTCAAATGGACCATTGAGCATCAGGTGGAGGAGTTGCACATTGAGGTGCCACTATCAACGTATGCGTACTGTGTTGCCGATCCATATGGAGTCCTTGAGGAAGATGAAGTCCACTTTGCCTTTTCAAGCAACTGGCAAGATTCCGACGGGAACTTTCAAGAGTCCGAGCTGATGGACACAGATGTCCTGGTCGGGCGTCTTCCAGCACACGTCCCCTCTGACATTCAAAAGCGGAGAGCGGTCTACAAATCCGAGCTGCGGCATTTCAAAGATGTGATTGTGTTCTCCACAAAAGGGGATATGCCTCTTGCTCACATGCTGTCGGGCGGAGACTATGATGGTGACACACCTTGGATCTGCTGGGATCCTATGATTGTGGACAGTTTTCGGAATTCCGACCTTCCTGAAACAGAATTCCCCCCTGAGCACTTTGGTCTTACGAAGCATTCAGTGCCCATGGCAGATATTGCATCAACGGACGATTTCCTCTAGAGTGCGTTCGAATTCAATCTGACCATGTCAAACCTCGGACGATGCACCCAGGAGCATGAAAAGATCGCATATGACAAATCGATCGATTGTGCTGAAGCCAAAGAGCTTGCATGTCTGCTGAGCCACCTTGTAGATGGACGCAGAGGCGGTGTTCATTTATCTGAAGACGCGTGGCAGGAGTATCGCAAGAAGGTTAGCCCGCGTTCTCGCGCCTGGCCGGCCTACAGGGAGACATCATCCAGTGATAAGGCTGTCAAACCAAAGAAATCGAATATTGTGGACTACATAAAATTCTTCGTTGCTGAAAAGCACAGCAAGAGCATCCTTACTGAAATCCAGACAAAGTTCCCTGAAGGTGAAGCATGGAGGGCTGTTGACGATGACCTCGCTCGTCCTTGGAGAGGGACACGAAAACGCGCGGACGCTGAACGTGCCACTGGCGGCGAGCTGGACCCCATTCTAGAAGATATTTCATGCTCAATACAGAAGTTAAAGAAGGAATGGAGCGAGTCAGATACCGAAGAGGAATCCTACACTCATCGAGCACAGCAGCTGGCTGACAAGGCTTCTCTTCAACCACCTACCTCCTCGTCCCATCCACTCGTACACACTTGGCAAAATAGTCAAAAAGAGTGGCGTCGCCTGTTAGCTTCATTTGCATACCAGCGATGGTCCAGCTCCAGTTTTGCTTGGTTAGCATTTGGAGATGAATTATGTGATCTGAAGGCGGAGACCATGCCATCGCGCAGCATCACCAATAACGCCTTGTCTTGCTTCAAGGTAAACCATAAATTAGTATCCCAGTTGACGGCCAGTGACGTCGCTGTGAACATATCGGAAAGCGACGAGTTCAGCGATGACGACTTCAAGTACGAGGGCGAAGACGTGATTGAAGCACTGGTGTTGAGCGAGGATATTGGTTATTTCAATAGATTGGAGGATGGCCTCTCCATTCAATGATGGTGCATCTCCTTGATGTTTCCTCACGCGTTCCGGCACCTTAATTAACCTCGCGTTCGGTTCATCACCTACGGAGGAATACTGCATACGCTCGCATCTGACTCCCTTGACCGTTTTCTTGAAATGGTTATTGTTGGGTAGTTACTTGCCCCTTGCAGAGACCTGTAGCATGTATGTACATGTATCTATGCATAAGTCCATAGTACAAATATCCAATAATTTACACATAAATTCAGTGTTTCCAAATTTCGGCCTCGACTCGCCAAATCCTAATCTACGGACTCGGAGTTCACCTGGGCATATCATTGAATTCGAGAGTTTACGCACTCACCAATAACCTCGTCGAGAATTCCTTCGTAGCGCCGAGTGGAGAAGACTCAATCCTTCAAAGCTCAGCCGAACCATGACCGGGTCGTGGCACAACCTCGCAATTTGATCCCAAAAGGAGTTGGGTCCCCACATCACATGCAGGTCGGTATAAAATGCGTTCACTAGTAGCGGGACGCGCACGACCTCGTTGAGTTGCCGGTGGAAGTGTGATTAGCCGTTTAGGCTCAGACCTGGAGGGTACTTTGCTGTACCAGTACCGTTTACTCCGTACTCCGTATCTGTGTTGATGCAGATATCGGAGGTGTATAACGGCAAATGGTATTCCGGCTCCAGGCTGAAGTTCCTTCAAAGCGGTTAGGATGATGGACATGTGATATTCGGGATAGTCTTCCGAACTATGTATAGAATAGGGTATAGAATAGGAAACCAGTTTATACTCTGGGATATGGTTTACTGTGGTCTTTCGGCTTATATGGGGTTGTTTTATCATGTTGATTGCCGTGGGGGTTCCGAGATAGGTACTTGTACAAGATACATGGTAGTACATTGGGTACATCAGCCAACTGGTAGAGAGGGGTACATCTCTCTCGGTTATAGAAACATAGAGTGCAGAAATAGACTGATCAGCAGATGTGAACAATAATATTGGCTGTCTCCGTGAATATCATGATAAATTGTCAATCAATCATATCAAGTACATAAGGTAACAGAGTGTAAGTAGAACTCGGTTGATTCCGTTGGGGTTGACATGTGATCCCTGGTCCGTGACACTTCACGTGAATCTCTTGCCACTGATATCTCTCTCCGCTTTATGATCTCCAGAGACGCCATGGAGTCTTTAGATGATCGTGCTCGTCGAGCTGCTAGTGTTATCTCCATGGATGACCTAGAGGCCGCTCAAGCGCTCGAGGGCCTTCGCTCCGGTACGTGCTGAAGTCCGAAGCCATGTCAGATCGCGATGCGACTTTTCTATGAACATTCTCAACCTGGAAACCAGCGAGGATTGTCGCAAGGTTGATATGCTAGCAAGAATCACCTTTACAGCTACATCCTGATATGTCATGGTGGGCGAGGGATCAAGAAGAAAAAAAGAACGAAGGGGTGGAGGAAGAAACTGATGAAGGCCCGGCTAATTCAATATCTTACAGATTTCGGACAGTCACCTCGAGCGTCACGGCCGAATAATTCAACAAGTTCAGACCCTCCACAGCCTGAACCTCTTCTCTCCCTCCTAACTTCATCCCATCCACTTATATCCTCCGCCATCAACGGATCCGTATCAGCATACGCAACCTCAAAGTCATACTCCGCGCGATTCAAGTCCGGCGCTGAATTCATTGAGCGCAATATCGGGTCCCCAGTCGCGAATACAGTTGGCACGGTGGGTCGCAAAACTGGAGTGGAGAGTGGTCTGCGCTGGGCGCTGCAACGACGTGATTCTGCGCGGGACGCAACACATTCCAGTAAGCGCCGCAAAGTAAACGCCCAGATGGCACAGGATATGGATGTGGAGAGAGGCCCAGAGGAAGTCGAGAACCAAACCAAAAGTCAAAGTCAACCGCGTACACGAAGTTCTTCTGACCTCTCGATGACCGAGACACTTCCCCCATATGACGATATGCGATCACCTCGGTACGAGGAGAAACCAGGACGCCAGACACCACCAACATGGCAAAGTCGCCTGGTTATTTCAACCTCGGGTCTCAGGTGTAGCTATGAGTGAAGAGTCACTGCGCAGTCTAACATACTGCTTGACCTGGCTGCGCTGGGCAAACGGTCGACTCGGCAGGGCGATTGTAGCGCTTCAGAATGCGTTGACAGAGTGGGATAGTCACAAGAAGAATCAGTCGCAACAGAACGATGAGGGTGGTGATAGTTCATCACTGCTAACACAGCGTATCCAAGCAGTGAAAGCAGATGTTCTCTCGACACTGAAACAGGTTGTTGATGTAGTATCGAAGTATGCTGGTGGTGCGTTACCGGAGAACGCCCGCCATCTAGTTCGACGCCATTTGACATCCCTCCCACACCGATTCCAGATGGCGAGCACATCGCAGCCACCTCCTGGTTCCGTGGAAGCCTCCACAGATGCCACAGTTGGCGCGCACCGCATCCTGGTACTGGCTCACGAAGGTCTGGATATCCTCGGCCAGGTTAGTGGTGTCGTAAATGATACCCTTGTCAGCGCAGAGCACTGGTGCGACCGTCTTGGACGTAAGCGTCCTGACAATAAATCCGCACCGGATGCGGAGAAACAGAACACGCCCGGTCCTATGGATGCTCAGCCGTATCCTACGGATATCAAGCAGCCCATTTTGACTGAGCCTGCGTCTGCTCCCCAGGAGGATGTGCAGATGGCAGGAACCGAGAAGGTCTGATTCATTTGAAATCTATCTGGAGTGAATGATTTGTCTTTCTTTATGCCCATTTTCTATTTCCTTCTGATGTCGGGTTTTATTTTCTTGGTTCTATAACGGTTCTTGATGATTGATATCCATTAGTTGTTCCTTTTCTTGAATTGGATCTATCCAGGAGGCGTTTCGCGCTATCCTGAAAAACAATCTTTCTTTCGGTCTTTTGAGTATACTATTTCTTTGTGATAGATCTCAAATATGAAGATTCGCGGAGAGTCCAGGACAGCAGTCTTGAATCTGCTGGATGTGATTTCGGGTCTGCTTGATTTTTTTTTGATATTAATTGCGACTTTTTTGGTCTTGTATTCCAAGCTGTGAACCTGGGTAGTCTCAAAAGCTCAACTCCTATCTTAATAAAATGTCTCAATACCCGGCTGCTGTTTCGCTATTCACATAGACCCTTTCTAAAGATGAAGAGAACCCGTTGAACTTCGTTGCCGTAGTACTAGTGTACGCTAAAAGCAGTCAGCATTATGGAATGACAACAATCAAGCTCTGGAAGGAGACATACCACCCATATTCGCATACTTCAACCAATCCCCAATCTTAACCTCAACTCCAAACGTCGCCTCCTTTGTCACACAATCAATTCCATCACAAGTTGGACCCCAAACCGAATATCGATATCTTTTCTCTCCCTCGCATGTATCATCTCTTATCCCAACTCTGCTCTTCTTACTATGTCCATTCCCAACTAAAACTGGAACCATGACCTCCTTTTCCATGATAACATTCATAAAACTACCATAAACTCCGTCATTCTGATAAAGCATATCCGGTAATCCTCGTTCCAAAGCAGCGCCTATCTGTCTCCGTCGTGCAATAACCCTAGATACAAGCGTATATGCGTTACGCGCATAGAAGCGGCCCGGTTCCGCGATGGTGGTCACACCTTCTGGGAAGGCAGAGCGAATAGACGAGAGGATATGTGAGGATATGCACTCGAAACTACTATCTTCAAATCCGCCACCGATATCAACGATACATGGTGTGAAGCCGAGCGATATAGCTTGATTGAAGACGTGGCTGGCATGATGAATCGCATTACTGAATGCAGTAGCGTTTTTCGCACCGGTTCCTGTATCGCTTAGTATCTGTACTAAAATCCCACATATCCATCGATAGATAAAGTATCATCAAAGATTGAATCAGAAAGTGAAAAGAAAAGAAATTCCTACCAACATGAAAACTCACCCCCACAACCTCAAGTCCCAATTCCCTCGCTCGAACTAGAAGATCTCGGGTCGTATCAAGCGGAGCCCCAAACTTCTCCCCAAAACAAATCAACGCACTATCATCATTGGCGTAGATGCGCAGCAAGAGCTGTGATTCGGGCATATGCATCTTGATTGTATCGAGTTCATCAAGATTATCAAATGTCGTTCGAAGAATACCGACTTGTCGAGCGAAAACGAGCGATGCGGCGGATTTGCATGGGTTCGCGAAGAGGATTCGGGATGGATCGATTCCTAGATTTAGCACTGTGCGCATCTCTTCGATTGAGGCACAGTCAAATCCTGTGCCGAGCACTCCAAGGGATTTTATGAGGGTTGGGTCTGAGTTGCATTTTATAGCTATGTGTATCATGTTAATGGTAGTTCAAATGGGTGTGGTGTATATTCACTTCACGCAGTAGGTCCGGCATCATGATTGATTGATCTATTCTGTTTCGCACAAAGGCATATAGGGGGTAAACATACCGTAATAAGGTTGTACACCGGGTAACCCCTGCATCCATCGTCGATGTTGTTTAGTAACCTGCCCCAGATCCACAACGAAGAACGACTCATCACCGCCCACGAGTCCCCGTCTATTAATGCGAGCAAGATGGTGTTGAATCGCAAGATCGATCAGTTCTTCCGGCGTGAGATTGACGTAGGCCCGATCTGGAGGTATCTTTCTCGAAGATGTGCCAGCGATTGTTTTTTGGACCAGGATTGGAACGGGCGTAGAGTTGGGGAAGGGAAAAGGGAATAGATCCACGATTGCTGCAAAGATTCGACCTAGCAATATAGGTGAAGTAGGTATATTTTTAAGATGCATCATGAATGAACTTATATAAATCTCGTATAGGTCTACTCTTTCGGTGAATCGGATCCCGCAGCGATTGTGAGACTTGGTTCGTACAGCGGAACTAGGGTTTGGGGATTGGCACGAATCTGGAATGGATTAATTTTTAACGATTGATCGTACGCGAGATCTTTGAGCTTTCTCTTGAAATTGGAGACTGGATTTGATTATATGGCCGTGTTCGTTTTCTGGGCTGTGCAATGGTATAAAACTCCAGCTTTTCTCCCGGACAGGGTAAGGACTCGAATGTAGCTCTGGAGCTGACGGGTTTGTGTGCGGAAGATGCTGCATGTTGACGAATCAATATGGCAGTGTAGTAACACAGGATGAGACCGTTGTCCGAGAGCAGATGACATCGGCAAGAGGTGAAGGAGGTGCATAGAGAGGAGATATTGGAACCGGTGGTTGGAGATGGTCTTGCAGGGTTGGGCGTAGATAAGGAAGCTAGCACTATTCTTTGGATTTTCTCTGTCCATTCCACAAAACAGTAGCTTGAGACGCGAGTGAAAGGTAGATATTAAGCCGGACAACCCGATCTGACCGTCTTCCGGTGCGAACGAAGCAAGTTTGCATTGTGAGCTGGGCTGGCAAAGAGCGCCCGTCACACATGTACCTAGGTACTTTGATGTCACTTTTCTAACGGTCTGTGCTCAGCATATATTAAGTGAGTAATTCCCGCAATTCCGTGGCGTGTAGGGAAAATCGGTACAATTGTGAGATGAGGCTGATGCTGACCTCGGATAGAGATAGATCTACAGAGATTGCGGATCCAACTGAATATGAGGCCAACCACTTGATTAGCGTATCAAGTGAGATAGAAGAGAGTACCAATTGGTTATAATTCATGAACGCCAGATTTATTTCTCAGTCTCTGTTTGTAGGAGCTAGATCCAAGCTTCATATTGTCCGTGATATTGGTTTTCATCCGGACATAGCGTGTCTGACTCCATATTGGAAGGTAACACAGTTCAAAATCCCGAGCGTTGTTAAATAGACGCGCTTTCATAAATTTAGATTAGCTTGTACCCATCCCTATACGAATCACGGGAGCCCTGGAGGTAGTAGTAGCTCCAAGCACTTGATGTTGGCTAATTTCTGGGCACCTACCTCAGTACCTACTACTTCACTTATCCTTCTAGATAGGAGGCTTAGAAACTTGAATTGGAAGAAATTCATATTCTCGGTAACCTTGAATGAAAGGTACATCGTTTAGCTGATTGATTACCCACTTCAGGCTGGGCAGGGACCCCGGGCCTTGATGTCCACGGGTATCGGGTATGTATGAAAGTGTGAAGGGTTTTCAGGGGTTCCATTGAATAACACTCAAAACCCCCTGCATGATTGAAAATTAAATGAGAAGAAACAATTCGGAGGATGGTCATAAAAGCTTCAGGCTGCTTATTCGCGAACAATATCCTTGTTGGGGCATGCCTTCGTATCGATAGCTGAACTGCCATTGCCTGCTTTGTCGGAAGATCTGGGATAAAGAGACAGAAGAGTAAGCATTGCACTACTTGTAAAAGCCTCCAGTTGGAATCAGAATTCGGATAAGGAATATCTCATAAAGGCCCCAATCATTGGAGCCATCACGGACCCTGTAAGACATACTGTATTCCAATATTAGCAACATATTCCATGGAACTTTTTCCTGCCACGATTCCTCTCACCTCGATTCTGACTTTAAGTTCATGCGTTCGCTGTTGTTGCTGATCCAACCACCGGCGGAGGTCTACCCCAAGCTCTATCACATTATCCAACATGACTAGATGACCTGCTCCCTCAATCACAAAAACCTCCTTCGCATTCAGTTTTTCTTTGAGTTTCGAAGCAGTCACAACATGATTCAAATGATCCTCATCTCCCCAGGCAATTCGAACGGGTATTCTGAGACCGACTTCGGGATACCTATCTTCAACCTCATCCGCGTTGTGCTGGCTCGCACGAATCATCTGTCTGATGAATGCCTTATTCCCTTCCTCAGTGGAAACCCATGGGGTCTTCAAAGTTTCGATAAGCTCTTCGCCAAGTTTCGAAGACGTAGAACCCCGAATAAAAGCTGCAACGATTTTATCGAAATCTTCCAATGTAAGCGACTGAAAGAAAGATTCTGCATTCTTAAACCGCTCGAAATAGGGATGTGGAGAGGGTCCCAGTGTAGTGACATTAATCAGGTAGAGGCTCAAGAACTGGCAATCGTGCAGTATGAACGCTCGTAGACTCATGAGTGCGCCAGAACCGTGCGCAACTACATGTGCGTCTTTGGATCCCCAGCTGGCCTTCCAGTGGTTGTAGAGTGCGGCAAAGACCTCGGATTCCTGCGAGAAGTCTGCATCGAGCTCCGCTTCTTTGCTGATAGCATGGGATTTTCCGGGTAGTGGTTGACCAAGTGGACTCGCACCGAAGGTGGGGTTGTCAAAGAGGTAGACATGGAAGTGTGAAGACAAGGCTTGCGCGTGGGCGTACCAGATGTGGGAGGACCATGGCGTGCCATGGATGAACACCAAGGGGGTTGAGGCTGGGGCTCCGATAGATGTCCAGTGTAGAGTGTAGGCGTGGGTGGCTGTGGAGTGCTGGAAGATTTCATTGAGTTCGATTGTCGAAGGTGAAGCCATTGCTCCAGACGTGTGTTGGACTAGTAGTACTGGGAACTTAAAGAGGTAACAGACGGAAAACAAGGTTAAACTTGTAACCTTGGAAGGCCCGGGTTAACGTGAGGTCGAAGTGAAGTTGAAGTATGAAAATTTGAAGCAAAATCATGCCGAGGTAATATATTCAATAGGTAACTTCCTTCCAAGGTTATTTAGACTACCTAGGTAAGGTTCCAAAGTTGGCAGCTTTCCCATGACCAAGCCAAATAAACATCATGATCCTCCGAACCCCACCAGATCTCGCTATCTCTTGCATGTCACCACCTATCTTTCGAAAATCACACTGAAGGGTAAAGGCCCGACAACTCACAATGAGCACAATCAAAGCCGGAGAAAATACGGAGACAGACAGATTTAAGAAGTGGAAGATGGCATACGCGGCGCGGATGAGGCAGATTGTACCTGGACTCGTCCTCGGAAATGTCGAGGCATCACACAAATGGGAAATGCTTCAAGAAAATCGCATTAACTCAATCGTTTCACTTACTGATGCTCGGTGGGTGTGGTGGAGCAGCACTACGAGACAGGCGGGCATTCCGGCAGACCGTCACAAATGAGTCCAGTGTGTGGATTCTTCGACCCAAGATCTCCTCGTTCATATGAGTGATATTTGCGACTTTATCGATAAGATGGCATCCCCCGCTCTTCCTTCACTATCCTCCTTATCCGTCAAGTATGAACACGATGCAGATGACGGGTCGTGTGAAGCACCTCCGGAGGTCATATTAATACACTGTGACCTTGGAATATCCCGCTCGCCAACGATTATCATTGCCTACATTATGCGCAAACTATGCATGCAGCAAGCAAATGTATTAGAATTTGTTCAGTCTAAGCAAAAAGTCAAACCGAGCTCGAATCTTACTCGTCAACTTCAGGTTTGGGAGGAAGTTAGATATGAAGTATGGGAGGACGAAGACAAGGCTGTCCCAAAAGCGCCCTACAAAGCTTTTTTAGAGGATCGCGCTACCCTGTTGAAAAAATGGCTTACCGGAAACGAATCGCTTGCGCCTCTAAATCTCTGATGAGTAGATCCACGGTAATAAACCCGAAGGCTATGCTACAGACAGCGTAGAAGCTCCCATATTCAAAATTGAATTGCATTCCTCCTATAGGTGACCCAAGTATCATACCGAGGGACACTGCGGTATCCATGGAGCTAGATGTAGCAATAGTAGGCTTGGAGTACGGAATCTGCCCCATAAAATGATATACTGGACCATTACGTGATACCGTGAAGAGAGATCTGCCGTCCTTGACCTTATAAATTCCTCCATCCTTTTAGAGTAAAGAAGTCCACGAGGTTCTGAAACAACCTTGGCAGTGGCATGCATGGACTGACGCAATATGCGTGGAGTTCTTTAGCAGATTTGCTTTTTCATACCGGTCTCGTGAAGGAAGTGTAAAGCGCACATGGCGAAGAGCTTGCCCACTCGACGATTTATCTTGAAGCACTTATGACTTTGGGTCCTCTGCCACTCGAACCTACATGTTCCTGCTCCAATCAGTGTCCTCACTTTGCCTAGCCTATCTGAAGTCTAAGCAACTGTGTAACAAGGGACCTGCTTCGGTCTCATGGATAATTTATCCTGTGAGCTTTCGATCTGGCGGTGTACGGAGAGCCGTTGTGCCATCTGCAGCGGCCGACTGCGCCACTACGTATGTGCAGGTACTTGCATACTTCGGCTATACGTCAATACACTGGCAGCTAAATCAACCTTGGGAGTTCTCAACACTGACAACTGAAATTTCTGTTCGGGGATGGTTATAGAGCATCGGAGGGAGGATTCTTTATCTTTTTGAAGACTCGAGAAATCCACCTCATTCACACAAGGAAATATAATGACGGTACCTTTCTCCCCGACAGTTGGTCCCACCGAATACATTTCCGGTCAAAATGGCTTGTGAGGCTTGATCAAGGTGGGGAATCTCCTGCAGATTCATCACAGCGCTTTTCCGACATGGGACTAATGAAGTAAGGTTCGACTCCATTCAAGTTCAACGTGCATATGCCCCTCTACCGCCAACCCGCCGATCCCTTACTTCCCAACTTCCGGATTTTTATCGATCTCGGGGATTTCCTATGACTTCTAAGGTTCTCTGCATGGATTCCCAGAAAGGTGACAAGCCACAAGCATGACTATGCGCCTACCTAAATTATGTGTTGGCAAGCGATGCATTGGATTCAAAGATCCGTACACACCTGGTTGCATATGCAAAACCCGGACGTTTGTCGCATGGAAGTGACTCGGGGTTATTCTATTGCAGTCCCTGCTTTTTGGATCTGCAAACTGGGATATTGAGATACGAGAACTCATTATGGCCAAACGATCCCTGAAGGCAACTGACGAATTTGCAAGGATGAAGGTGGAGATTTATGGATGCAATGAGTCTATCAATCTCCGATGCCTCGTATTTCAAGCTCCAATTGAGATGCGCTTCTGATTCGGAGGTCGCTTCTGTCTTTTGATCTGGGTTGAAACTCAGCTTACTCGTACCTTGATCCGAATTCATATGGCAACTTGAGAGATATTAATCGGGCAATTCCAGTCTGAGCATGTGGAAACTCTACTTTGCGGGTGAAAAAGCTTGGTCAAAAATGTCCATCATACCATTCTTTGTCCTTGTAAGTGTCTTTTTGTGGTTTCCTGGGTTCTATCATTGGCTTTCTTCTATACTATGTACTCTACTGTCGTATCGGATGGTGAATTTTTATTTTATATCCTACTCAGCTACTAGTAAACAGGATAATCGGCAAATAACCTCTGCAGCTTAACCCCGAAGACTTTAATTTCCGGGGAAAGTGAACCAGGGAGACCATGCCAGCTGTTCCGATGTGCATATTCTCTACATCAGCCACTGTGAAGTATACTACAGGTACACTACAAAGTAAACAGATTCGACATCAATTCCATGGAACAGATTAAGTCAAGACAGGGATATCCATGGATGAAACCAATATTTGAGCCAGTGAAATGGCGTTTCAGGCACCGTAATTTACTAGTGGGGGGAAAAGCGCCGATAAGCAGTCTCTTCCAAGGTTCTACCCCACATCACACGCTACGCCCCACCGAGGTTCAAGGAGAAACCCTGAGACCTCATGTATTACGCGTCTCGAATCCTCTGCATTTTGCGTGTGAAAGGTCACAAATCACTGTATAGAGTATCATCATCTGGATATGATCTATACCCAATTGGGTCCCCGTACCTCTCAAATCCGACACGGGCATTCACCAACGGAACATGCCGCCTGTGGACACCACGATACCGGGGTTTAACCGGGGTCTAGCCAGGGCCTCGCTTCTAATGGCACAGACGAACCGTCACAATGAGTCATGTGTGAAAATTCTTCGTTCTGTCATAGGGAGAATAGGAAATTTGCTCTGCAGAGTACGAAGTGCATATCACAACATTGCAGTATCACCGCTCATGCTTGACCACGTGTAGTTATAGTGCTTGCACGCTATCAGTAAATTTGCCGCTCGAGAAACACTGGAGCCGGGATATGTGGAGCCGAGTGGACAATCCAATGCAATCCTTTACGGATTTAGGAGTGTTAGTCCGTGGAGATTTCTAAGCTTTCAAGCTTGGCTTGGACGCTAATTTTCTTTTTTTCCTTGGTTGGGTTGGCGTGGTCTCTTTTTCTTTTCTCTTTCTTCTCTCGTAGTAACTAGTTTGTGTTTGTCACCTTTCCCCAAATTTACTGCTCCTGGTTTAGGAATTCGAAGGATATCAAACAAGATTCCTACTCGGGGGGCAGTAGACAAGGCTTCATTTGTCGTTGGTACCAGAATTCGAACAGGTGCTAGGCATCATCTGCGAATAAAAATGGAGAAATCATCGGATATCGATACCACGGATGAGAAGTTTGTGACTCCAGATGGGAGCAATCACTCTGATGTGAGCTCTCTCAGATATGAAGAGCTTCGTGAGGAAATTCGAATCGCGAACCCGCAGGGTGTGACATTTGTACAGAACGGCGTCGATGTGGAGCAAGCCGAGCAAGACTTTTCAGACTTGAATAGACAATTTTCGCATATTTCCCACCAAGCCCGTCAAGTATCCAAACAAGCGTCCCGAGTCTCTAAGACAGCCACATTTGAAGATGTAGAGAAAACCGGAAGCTCTGATCATTCTGACGAGACCTGGGACTTGGAAACTACCCTTCGTGGTAACCGTGCCGCAGAAGAAGAGGCAGGCATCAAAGACAAGCATGTTGGTGGGTTACTCCATGAATAAGTCGTTGACGATAACTATATCTAACATGATATCAACTAGGTGTGATCTGGGACAACCTTTCCGTTCGAGGACGGGGTGGTGTCAAGACCTTCATTAAAACATTTCCAGATGCTATCATTGACTTTCTCAACGTTCCCCAGACAATCATGAACATCTTCGGCTGGGGAGGAAAGGGCAAAGAATTCAACATCTTGGAAGGGTTTCGTGGATTGACTCGACCAGGAGAAATGGTCTTGGTCCTGGGACGACCTGGCTCAGGATGTACAACATTTCTCAAGGTCATTGCCAATCAGCGTGCTGGATACACAGGCGTCGATGGCGAGGTCTTGTATGGTCCATTTGATTCCGATGAATTTGCGAAGAGATTCCGAGGCGAGGCCGTTTACAACCAAGAAGACGACGTTCATCACCCAACACTAACAGTTTCCCAAACTCTTGGATTTGCTCTGGATACCAAAACACCAGGCAAGCGTCCATTTGGTGTGGGAAAGGCGGAGTTCAAGGAGAAAGTGACCAGAATGCTGTTGAAGATGTTCAACATTGAGCATACAGCCAACACAGTCATTGGTAATCAGTTCATTCGAGGAGTAAGCGGTGGTGAGCGCAGGCGAGTGAGTATCGCGGAGATGATGATCACCAGTGGTACAGTCTTGGCTTGGGATAACAGTACCCGTGGCCTTGATGCGTCCACCGCTCTGGACTTTGCGAAGTCACTCCGAATTTTGACCAACATCTACAAGACCACTACTTTTGTCTCGCTTTACCAAGCATCTGAGTCGATCTACAATCAATTCGACAAGGTTCTTGTCATCGATAATGGTCGTTTAGTATTCTTCGGCCCAACCGGTGAAGCACGCGCCTACTTCGAGGATCTTGGTTTCCGGCAAAAGCCACGACAGACCACTCCTGACTACTTGACCGGGTGCACGGATCCCTTTGAGAGAGAATTCAAAGATGGAAGAAGCGAGGAAAATGTTCCATCCACCCCAGAGGGACTTGTTCAAGCATTCGAGAAATCCGTCTACAGCAAGAGACTTGACGAGGAGATGCAGGCCTATCGTGCGCAGGTTCAACATGACAAGCGAATCTACGATGATTTCGAACTCGCAAATCAAGAGGCAAAGCGAAAGCTGACACCCAAGTCATCTGTGTACTCAATTCCATTCCATCTTCAAATCTGGGCTCTGATTCAGCGGCAATTCTTGATCAAATACCAAGATAGATTCGCTTTGACAGTATCATGGATTACGTCAACCGGTATTGCGATTATCCTTGGTACAGTTTGGCTTAAGCTGCCAAAGACTAGTTCAGGCGCTTTCACTCGAGGTGGTCTTCTTTTCATCAGTCTGCTGTTCAATGGATTCCAAGCATTTGCAGAACTCGCATCAACCATGATGGGCCGCTCAATCGTCAATAAACACCGCTCCTTCACATTCTATCGTCCTAGTGCACTCTTCTTGGCGCAGATATTCGTGGATACAACCTTCGCAATTTTCCGAATTCTGATCTTCAGCATTATTGTATATTTCATGTGCGGACTAGCTTTGGATGCCGGTGCCTTTTTCACGTTCGTCCTGTTCCTCTTGATGGGATATCTGTGCATGACCGTTTTCTTCAGAACCATTGGCTGCGTTAGTCCTGACTTTGATTATGCGATGAAGTTTGCTGCCGTTATGATCACTCTTTTCGTATTAACATCGGGCTATCTTATTCAATGGTCCAGTGGTCAGGTCTGGCTTAGATGGATTTACTACATTAACCCATTCGGTCTTGGATTCTCATCATTGATGATTAATGAGTTCAGTCGCTTGACCATGAAATGCACATCAACCTCCTTGGTGCCCAATGGTGCTGGTTATGATGATATCGCCCACCAGGCTTGCACACTCGCGGGTGGTGAATCTGGTTCCGACATTATTCCTGGGTTGGGCTACCTCGGTGACACTTTCAGTTACTACAAATCTGATCTCTGGCGGAATCTGGGTATTATCATAGGTATGTGAACGATGTGTTCGGATTTATTCGGGGAAGGTGAAAACTAACAAATTAATCTCTAGCTCTCATCATCGGCTTCCTCTGTAGCAACCTGTACTTTGGAGAAATTCTACAGTTCAATGCTGGTGGTAGAACCGTTACTTATTTCCAGAAAGAGAACAAGGAACGCCGGGAATTAAATGAAGCCTTAGCCCAACGGAAGGCCAATCGACAAAGTACTAAAACTGTGGATGCCGAGTCGAACTTGAAAATCGAATCCAAGTCCGTGTTCACATGGGAGGATGTCTGCTATGAAGTACCTGTTCCATCTGGAACCCGACGTCTATTGAACTCAGTTTACGGATATGTCCAGCCTGGCAAACTGACAGCTTTGATGGGCGCATCGGGAGCTGGAAAAACAACTCTTCTGGACGTCTTGGCAGCTAGAAAGAACATTGGTGTCGTGACTGGAGACATCCTGGTAGACGGAAAGCCTCCAGGCACTGGGTTCCAGCGAGGTACCTCCTACGCCGAACAGTTGGATACACATGAAGCAATGCAAACAGTGAGAGAGGCACTTCGATTCTCCGCTGACCTTCGTCAGCCTTTTGAGACGCCTCGATCCGAGAAATATGCGTATGTCGAGGAGATCATCGGCTTGCTTGAGCTAGAGAACTTGGCCGATGCGATTATCGGGACCCCAGAAACTGGACTCTCTGTCGAAGAAAGAAAGCGAGTCACAATCGGCGTGGAACTTGCAGCAAAGCCCGAACTCTTGCTCTTCCTGGATGAACCCACCTCCGGTCTGGACAGTCAATCCGCCTTCAATATTATTCGATTCTTGAAGAAGCTCGCCACAGCTGGCCAAGCAATTCTTTGCACGATCCACCAGCCCAACTCCGCATTATTTGAACACTTTGACCGACTCCTACTTCTGCAGCGAGGTGGCGAGTGTGTCTACTTTGGTGAAATTGGCGACGATTCTGAAGTTCTTCGGGAATACTTCCACAAGAATGGCGCACACTGTCCAGATGATTCAAATCCAGCTGAGTGGATGTTGGATGCCATCGGCGCGGGCCAAACACGACGGATCGGTGATCGCGACTGGGCTGACATTTGGCGCACCTCTCCTGAACTGGTACAGGTCAAGGAAGATATCATTCAAATCAAAGCTGATCGAGCTCGTGAAAATGACGAAACTGCCACGCAGGTCGGTAAGAAGGTCGAGAAGGAGTATGCTTCACCTCTATGGCATCAACTAAAGGTGGTTAGCCGTCGAACCCACTTGGCATTCTGGCGATCTAGGAACTATGGCTTCACCCGGCTGTTCACTCACGTTGTTCTTTCTCTGATTGTTGGACTTGCTTTCTTGCAGCTGAATGACTCTCGCTCTTCCTTGCAGTACCGAGTATTTGTCATTTTCAACGTGACCGTGCTTCCAGCACTGATTCTCCAGCAAGTTGAGCCACGCTTTGACATGTCGCGTCTGATTTTCTATCGAGAATCCGCTTCCAAGACCTACAGCCAGTTCGTCTTCGCATTGTCCATGGTCCTTGCCGAAGTTCCGTATAGTCTTCTCTGCGCTGTGGCTTTCTTCCTGCCACTCTACTACATCCCTGGATTTCAAAGTGCATCCGATCGTGCTGGATACCAGTTCTTCATAGTTCTGGTGACTGAGTTCTTTGCTGTGACTTTGGGCCAGGTGATTTCCGCACTGACGCCCAACAGCTTCATTGCCTCCCAACTGAACCCGCCCATCACCATTATCTTCTCTCTCTTCTGTGGTGTGACAATTCCAAAGCCGCAGATGCCCAAATTCTGGCGTTCCTGGCTATACCAACTTGATCCATTTACTCGTCTCATCAGTGGAATGGTTGTTACTGAACTCCATGGTCGTGAGGTACAATGCACAAGCTCAGAATACAATTCTTTCACCTCACCGAGCAATCAGACATGTGGAGAATACATGGCTGCCTTTTTTGAACGCGGTGGAAATGGATACATCTTGAACAATTCGACGCAGGATTGCCAATATTGTGAATACAAGATTGGCGATCAGTTTTACGACGCCTATGACATGAACTTTGATAACAGATGGCGAGACCTGGGGATCCTCATTGCATTTGTGGGCTCTAACTTGATCATTCTCTTCTTGGCGGTAAGTTCAGTCCTCTAATGCCCATGGATATAAGTTTCTCAGGTTGCTGACTCGACTCTTTTCGATAGTCCCGATTCCTGAACTACAACAAGAGATAGATTTTCCAACATATCACAGAGAAAGAAGGAGACTGCTAATAATTTGAGGGTGACACAGCACTGAACAGACACGAAAAAAGCGAGACAACTTCCAGCGTTCATTTCTAGAAAAGTGTTTTGACACACAAAATCAGCATATGCTAGCGAGATAATCAAAAAGTGATTTGTCATTTCTATCTGGAACAGCATACTAGTAATTTATACACTTATCTTAACATGCTGGGCTGGCTTTCCCTATTTACTATTCAAGTTCAGATCGGAACCTTCAAACGTTTGAAACTTTCTACTTCAGGTGCCAGTAATGAGCACGAAGGGACCAGACATTCTTTCTAAAAAATGCCTTCAGAAAGGAGTTCCGAGTCCAATGTCGCGAATTTGAACTTCAAAGGGATTGGATGATTTTCTGACATAACGATTACTGGAAGAAATCTGGGGAGACTCGATTGGATATCTTAAAGTCATGACTTTCTGATATAATGTACATGGCATTTCATCGCTCATTTTCGTATTTCATCTATATATCGCATCAATCACGACGGACCTTGTTGTCCTTCCCAACATTAGCTTGTTGTTTGAAAGGCGAGTCTTCGGGCCTCGTCACATCAGCGTCTATTTCCCGGACTTTAGCATCAAATCCAACCTTGAAACGGCGGTCTCGCCAAACGACAGTTACACCACCATAGACTGCCAAAGTCCAGATAGGCAAAGCGAGTAGTTCACGACCTAGCCATGCAGCGAGCCATTGTAAAAATGGGCGACGAGTGATCGAGGAAGAACCTTGGCGAACGGGCCTTGCAAAAGGCGGGGTATCTGCGTCTAATTCTATAGTCTTCGCAGAATGGAGCCTGATATACAAGGTCCAATCCACCATGATCCAGAATGCAATGCTAAGGGCAAATATAGCAAAGAAAGAAGCCCGTGTGCCGAGATAAGACGCGAACTCAAAGCCCTTCTGTTCAAGATACGGTGCCAGTGCCGTGCTGATACCAAAAGCCCCGTATATAGAGCACAAGAAAGACTCGGTACCGGGCTCGACGAGGGTTGCGAGAAGCACTGTAAATTTACGCACGCGAAGCCACCTAACTCGTCGTGCAGTGTATGCTTGAACACGCATGTTCGACACTGGTTGAATGGCCAGGTCTCCAAAAACCATGGCATGTTTGCCCCAGTTTTCGCCAAGTTCTTTCTCTTCGCGTACTTTCTTTTTCCATAGAAGGTCGCCGATTAAGTGGTCTTCGCAGATATTGTCCGAGAAAAAGTCGATACCAGGATTGCGTGGATTTAAGTCCGTCGGCGAAAGGCCAGTAAGATAGTCCAAGTGTGAGCGTCGGAACATGTTAGACTTCCCTACAATGCATGGCGCAATGAGAACAGTGTTGATAGCAGTGTAAAACTTCGCATGCGCCGAGGAAAGGAACAATTCCTCAAGACGGCCACCGCCATGCTCAACCATGCTGGAGAAATCGTCTTCTGGGCGGCTAGTTGACATTGCATCATTCGCGATCGCAGCATCGTGAGAAGCATCCAGGAGTGTTTGCCGCTCTTCGGCGAGGTTCTTCTCGCCAGTAACATCCACAACCACGGGCAAATGGTGCACGAACTTGTACTTCTTGTCTGACGTCGCTCCTGTGCCACAAAGCCTGTCGACCATGCGACCGCAGACACCTTTGCCGATCCAGACATTGCAGTCAACAATCCAAACGATATCCCCCTTTGCCTCCCGGTATGCACGACTCATATTGCGGATCTTAGGGTTCGGGCCAAGGTGGTAGTGATTCGAGTCGTTTTCCTGGAGTAGTGGATCGTCTTCCTCCACCAAGACTCGCGCATCGACATCTGGGAAATCCGCGACCAGTTTGCACAGTATTGGGTAGGCTGGATCATCGCGAGTCGAGACACATAGACAGACAGTCAATTTGTCGCGCGGGTAGTCTTGACGAAAGGTCGCAGCGAGACAATCATAAAGATGGGGCTCGAGGCCTTTGACAGGACGAATAGCAGTGACATGGGGGGGCGTCCTGGGTCGCAACGAGTGTAGAAGGGTTTGGTTGCCGTGAAAAGTATCGCCAACTGGATTGATTATGCAGTTAGCAAGAGTCGTAATCGGGGACGCTAGTTTGTGCTTTGTTTTTACTGCTCCTCTCTCTCCCCGCCTTCTCCAATTCTCTCCAAATGGGCCACCTTTAGGCTTTCCAGTAGAGGTAAAAGAACAACGACAAGAGTTCGAAAGTAATAGGTACCTCGAGCTTTGGGGGATAGAACCTACATTTGCACGTAGCCCAAGGCACACACCGCTAGCACGATAAAATACCAGATCAGCGCAACCCAGCCCGCTGCGACGGAGATGGGAAGATCGCCATGGCCGAAAGGCGACCTGTCGAGACACTGTGAGATCAACTCTAGCATGGGAGACTCGATAACAATAGCGTAGATGAGGACATTCTAAAGCAGAAAGGTCCAGTGCCGGGAAGTGTGGTATGAAAGGGCGGATTGTGGGTTGGGTCGATGTGGAGCTAATTCGGGATTGCAGTACATTAGCAGCTGCAGGTCTCGGGAAACGGATACTGCGGCTTCCTCAAGAATGGGTCCTCTTGCGTGTATACCTTGCACTAAGCGGTGCATATTTTTGCATATAATTAGCTGAAACGTAAATGGATCCTTGATTCCAAGGTTTCTTTTTTTTTCTTCGCAGACCTTTTCCTTTTCTGGTATGGCTGGAGCCACTTACATCAGTTCATCCCCCCCAGCCACCTCCAAGCCTTCAATGACCAGCCCCATACCTCGTATACTACATGTTGACCTAAATATTACGTTTTGTTTGTCTAACCAGTTCTACTAGTAGTACTTACTGGCAGGTCTACTCTCCCTTAGGGACGAGCTACTAGCATAGCAGTATGGAAATTAATCAAATTCAAACATTCGACACTGACCTTGCAGCACCGGAGATACATAAAACCTCGAAATTTGAAACAGCATTTGAATGTTAGATTCAATTTTAGAACGCCAATATAGTAAGGCAAAATCAGCCTGAAATTCATAGATTCTTTATTCATGTCTTCTTCTTCTTCCTGACCAGTCCAGCACTGAGCACATTAATAGATGCTGGTGGCACTGGCGTCGGTTGCGTGGCATCCTGATCACCAGGCTGCGCCGAGCTAGCATCCGCATCCGTATTAACAGTGGCACTGGAATCACCAAGGATTTTCTCTGCAGCATCGGATTTCTTTCTCTTGCGGACCAAACCAAGGTCCAGGATGTGGTTGGTCGCTGTAGGTTCTGTAGAGGTCTCTGCTGGAGAGTGGGTGCCAACTACCCGCTTGCCCCAAGTGAGTTGATCAGCTAGGGATGCTACTTGATCGACAAAGCTCTTAGTACTGGCGACGACCTCCTTTTCATCATAGAAGTGGTCGAGTACTCCATCCATCATAGTCTTATAGTCTGCTTCATTGAGAACGACATCACCTCGACCGGCTTCAGGCCAGAAGAAGGGATTGGTGTCTGTAGACGATGCCAATGTGTGAATTTCAGTTAAGAATTCGGCGGTTGGACAGTCAAAAGATGCGGCTGGCGGGTCAGAATGCGCGAGTGTATCACCTGAAGACTTCTCAGTGGTGGCTCCATTGATATCCTTGGGGAGTGGCTCGTCGACGAGGGCCTTGGATGGTTGTTCGTGTTTGGATTCGCTCTTCGCCTCAGCAGGTCTACGCGTCTGACTAGCCATTGTGGTAGAATTCATCAGACCTGGAGGGTTTATAACAAGCCAAAGGAACCCCACGAGCCGACCAGCAGAGCATTCCTGTCGGAAGGACATCATTTCCCAGAATTGATCCAAAGACTTCACACTGCGCCATTGGCCATTATGAGTGGTGGATTCTACCCCCTCGGTACTTGCTGGAAGCTCATCATCCAGATCCGTCAAGAACCGTGTCTTCGGGTCATCAGGAAATCGGGGAATTAAACATCGTGGTGGAGCTGAGGGATTCTGAACCATTTGCTTCAATGGATAAGTCGCAAGCCATCGTGGACGATCCTTTGCATCAGACTTGGCTGAAGCGGGAAAGAAGTTCCGGGTTTCAAATCGGTCGCATCCAGGGACAATCAGGTGTGCAGTTGCGGAAGCCTTAGCCGCCTCGACGGTTTGGTCAAGAGGCTTGGTCTCTTGTGAAACAGACTCAGGTTCATTCTCGCGTAAAATGGGATCTACAGCCCGGCACCACCACTTAATCAATCCGCGGTCATCAAGAACATGTTTCTCGGCATTTTCGATGCTCCCTGGGAATATATATTGATTTTGTGCTCGAGCAAATAATGAGACAATCAAACGCACACCGGGTCGTTGGTGTGTGCGAGCTATGTAAGACAAAAATGTATGTGAAACCAATCGGAGAATCGAGACCTTCTGGGGCAGTTTAAGCAGATGCAGGAGCCCGGTGGAATCAGCTTTGGAGACAAAGATGGTGGTCAAGTGGGCGGAATTATAGACCAGCACCTCCATTCCAAAGACAATGATTTCGGCGCCATCATCCTTAGGTGAATCAATGGATACGGATAAGAAATGATTCTCGCAAAAGGTGGCATCGGTTTCTTGACCCGGCGCCGCGGCGAACAGCGCGGTACATGGGGAAGGAGTCGAAGAGATGTGACGGACTGTCAGGGCAGCACCCGTGGGGAGCACCTTGGCTAAAAGATCGCCCAGATCACCATCTGGCGCCATTGTTCAATTTCGACCAATAAGATTGGGAGTTGAGTACTGTTGGACTGAGAAGTAGTGGAGCTCTGATCTTGGAACATTTTTGCCTGTCGTAGCAGGTCACGTGCAATGCACACAATGCCTTGAATGGCATAAGATATTACATAAATGGAAATATTATGGATATAAGAAGGGAAATATTAGAATGAGAAATGAAATGGGGAAAGAATAGGATATTCTTGATCATTAATTGATTATCGAATGCAGAAGTTGCGAAATGCCTGTTTCAAGTTGTATTTGGACAGATGGTTATAGAACTGAGACCATGTACCAGTCACAGTGTAATTACATCCAGATGTCAAGTTCTAACAAGATTCCTTCAAGAGATCATCTATGCCGCCCAAATACCTAGATACATGTATGAAGTCGAGATATTTGCACCATGTCACATGTACCCTCTATGTCGATTAAAAGTATGCGGCCACTGCATCAAGGTCATCAGCATTGAGAAGAGTGACTCCCTCACGCATCAGTGTCCTCCAAACAAGATTCCTGGTTCTGATAGGCCAATGAGGAGTATCCCAATATCTTGCTCCAATTCCGCGAGAATTGGCTGTGGATATTTGCTCTCGGAGAGACTTTAGCTGCTCGTCGGTGAGAATTGGGTCTGTATCCGCGGTGATCTTGCCCACTGCAGCTGCAAAGTTTGTAGATGCAATAGGTGAGATGGTTCCATCAATATGTACAAATTCTGGATCATTGAGATTCGCAAGAGGACCGTCGAAAAAGTAGTCCCGGTCGGAGACAGGAGCTACCATATCAAGTGGAGTCTCACCCGTGCCAATGATGGTGACTGGGCCGTATTCCACAATTCCGTCTTTGAGAGTGGAGAGATAGCCCTTTTTTCGGAGGGGCTCAAGAGCCTGAATCACAGCCTTGAATGTCTCGGGACCAGAAGTCTTCACGTCAATGAAGAAGAATAGTGTCTGACCTGTAACAGTATCCCAAACACCACTGTTTTTATTGTTGTCAGCAGTTGAAGGGAATTCGTTAGGCAAGCATTGAAGACTGACTTCTTAGTTGGCTCAGTCAAGAAGGGACTTGCAGGGTTTTGGCGATCCAGGACTTCTAGGATGGGATTGATATAGAGGCTTTCAAGTGTTCGGTCATGTGTCAAGGACGATTGATCGTGCCCAACCTAAACAGACATCAGTATAATGTACCACAAAAAATAAAGGGCTAGAACAAACATGTAGAGTTCCATTATATAGCCAAACATCTGCTTCTGTAGATGTACATCCCTTTGAAAGGCCTGAGGCAGATGGGTTAACCAAGATCAGAGGAAAGGGGTTGAAATGAAGTACCTGTCCAAAAAGGCTTTTCTCTCCAATAATCACTGAAAAACGAAAAATCAGTTATACAATTACATTGCGAGCGAGATTTATCCCTGGAGATTCTAGTTGTGACCTACTTATGGGAGTGAACGGGAATCTAGGGATATGACATTAGCAAACATTGAAATTTCCTGGACGCCAATTGAATGGCCAAATAGTATTCAGAGCAAGTTGATAAAAAATTGAGATGCAAGGACCAAAATACATACCGGCAGAATATCTCGAGTAATATCAGTTGGGTACTCGTATTCTTTGCTACCGTGAGTGTTCTTCAACACATACTGTAGGCTGGAGGTTATCGTTCCGACAACCGGTTCCGGACCGGCAGCCAAAGCTAGGGCTACGGCTGTAACCAACACCGAAGAAGAGACCATCGTTGCTATACAAAGGGATCCACGGAACATATGTTTAGCTGCCCAAGTGATCTCAATTGCGGGTGTCTGAGTAAGAAGTGAAAGGGATGGGGCGAATAAGGCGGAACTCGGGCTTGACCCTGCACGTGGTCCGAATCGCGTAAAGTAGGCGCTGCACTTTGTAAGCCAGAAACACCGCATTTGGCAAGTTATATTAGGGGCTATTTAGATAAATCAAGATGTTTTTGATCCGAAATACAAATTCTAGAACTCTACTATCGTGTTCAACCAAGAAATACGACTCGGCTTGACACGGGAGGTGTTTCAAGAAGGCTAGGTGATTGTGATGGAAACATGGTGAATATTGACAAATAATAAAAATACATGCTGATATATGCTAATAGAAACACTCCGTGCCGTTGTACACTTAGTTCTGGCGACGGCCGCCACCCAGGAAAGCCCGCTTCTGGCGCATGTAAGAAGCCACAAGGTTCTCCACGCTGCGGCGGTCGTGCTTGCGGGACCTACAGAGAAAAGATCAGTCAGTAAATTGCTGCTATTTGCAGGATATAAGGGAGTCGAGGGATCAACGCACCGCATGTAGTACAGTCTCGCGCGACGGACCTTGCGCTCGGCGCGCTGCACAATTTCCACACTCTGCACATTGGGACTGAACACCTTAACAGACATCTCAACACCAACACGAGTAAGCTCATTTCGCAGCAAGACGGAGGTGTCAATGCCGCGCAGCTTAATGCTCAATGCCACACCGTTGAAGGGATCGCCATTCTTGAATGTCACACGCAGAATATCACCGGGCTTGACACTTCGGGGATTCCGGCGGTAGTCGAACAGGGCCTTGCGTTCACCCTTAGGATCATGGATAGCCAGTTGCGACTCCACAACTCTCTCGACGGGGTTTTTGCATACTTTGCGGACGGAGGGAGGAGCAGGGTAAACCTTAACTGGCTTGGGGCCTGTGTAGATCCTTGTTATCAGTACGGCATCCTACTGAGCCATTGAACGTGAAGCTCCAGGTAACATACCGTTCTGTGGTTGCAAACGAGTAGGTAATTGTGAGAGGAATTGCTCGGGGAGGTTTGGAGGGAGAGGGACACGCTCGGGTCTCTTAGAGTACGCTGTTGAGATGAACCGGCGGGTAATCTGTGACTGCATCAACTCCTGGGGCCTGATCAGGGATCGCAGACAGCCCAAAGGCCGCATTGTCGGTAACGCAGCCATAATTGTTTGATATGGTGATATGGATCAAAAGAAAGTCGGCGTTGAGATTTAGGATTTGGGCGGCCGGCAGAATTCCTTGCCAAGACTCGAGATTCTCTTTTCGACCGCCCGGACTCTACCACCCGCGCTTCTTTTTCGGAGGTGGACTTGCTGTACACAAGACGAAATATTGCAGTGCTTGCGGCTGTTTGCTTTAAATAATACGGTCCTTTTGGTCGGAGACTACCTAGTCAATTCACTATGGCGCAGCTTGCTCTGGGTCGGGCCTTCCAATGGCAAAGCACATCGCGCCGTTCGTTAGCTGCCTTTTCACAAATTCGCAATGCCTCTCAGTCCGGTATGATATATCTCAATGGTTTCGATGATCGGGAGTCAACCTTGCTAATGTATGCTCTATAAAGCCATTCCCTCATTCACTCCCACAGCCTCCGATGAATTGAACCAGGCTCTCGACCGCTGGCGACAAGACCTCTTCATTCCATTCGGCCTCCCAAAGCGACAGCGAACAAGCATGTTCAAGGAGAAGCACGCCCGTCGACTCGAAGATGAACCTATCACAGTGAATATTAGCGAGACCGAGCAGTACACCCTACGACCCTTGAAATTGGCCGAATTGCCCAAGAGCAAGGAGATTATCGACGTTCTGCGCCTAATGGAGGCCGCCAACGATTACAAAAACCTCGTGCCGTTCATGAGTGGACTTTGGAACTCTCAGATGACTGTCTCCCCTCTCGGTGGCAATACCTCGTCCGCAAGACTGGAACTATCGGCCGGATCGCCCTCATCGTGGAATGCGCCAGACAAGGAAGCCGCACCGGACTCTCTTTAGAAAACCAGGATATCACCGAGCGTCTGTTTTTCGAATTCCACCGCATGGCCCACGAGGCGGACTTTAAGGGACCTCGGATTGCCAAGGCTCTCGCATTGGCCAAGCAGACTGCGGATATCATGGATAGCTATCCCGCGGATGTATCCACAAACCCGAAATACCAGCCATATGTCATTGGAACACTTCTGGAGCTCAGTGCTGCGCGTGCGTTGGATGCATTTGGTGGCAAGGATGAGGCCAATGAAGTCTTGAACTACGTGCGTAAGTTGATTGCCTCTTGGCCTTTGGGCAAGTTTGATGCCCCTGAGTCCGGCGAATTTGATGCGGCTCGTGTGGACCAAAAATTGCTTCGCTCCGTTGCTGTCTACAAGGGATTGAAGCTTAGCACAAAGATTCATGGATTTGCCAATGACAAGACTCTGCAAGGCGCCGTTGCACCTCGCCTTACTGAGATGCAGAAGTATATCTCTAAGCAGTTGAAGTCAATTCCTAAAGGAAGCTTCGATTCGGTTTCGAGTGCTGAGCTTGCGAAGGCTCTTGTTGGGCAGAAATAAGGAGATGAATGTGGAGGTGTTTGGCTGTCACTTGTATTCAGGAGCATACCGGCATATGTATATTACTATTTTTTCCCCAGCATCTTGGAGCTGATCTGTATTTCAAAACGAACACTACTGCTTCAAATTCTTTTATTTCCTACTAATGGTGGGCATTTCCAGAAATATGCTCGATGTCATTGTAAAATTTGAGATAATCGTCAAATTGCCCATGTTTCAAAGCCCGAAATGCAGATATCAACGCTTGCAACTGAGATGAAGTCAATCCCAATCAAAAATAGCATCTGGCAAGAGAGTTTCAAGTGCAAAGCTCCACGGTGTTTTCTTTGCTGATACGGACCCGCGGAACAAGGACTGTCTCTCCGCCAACAACAGCAGGTCCTGAGACTTTGATCTATAGAGGAGACTTAGCGACTCGATCATAAACACAACTGAATCCAAAATTCTCACCTCGCCTTCCGGTTGAACTGCGGCTGCGGTTTCGGAAACACCAGTCAATGTGATTTCAGTACTGCTGAGGGGAGCGCCGAAGTGGCTCGGCCCATCCCCGTGTCGATAATCAAAGACATTTGTCTGAGCAATAGCACCAGCAATACCGGGACCAGTCAGAGCGTAAATGATACGCGCGTTAGTGAAGATCCGGAAATGTGTCAGCTGCTTCATGGTAAGCTGAGCCGAGGCAGGTGCATCAATGCGATGCGAGACACAAAGCAAACGTAACTTGTCCAACGAAAGCTCTGATGTCGGGCCAGCACGAGCCAGCTGGCTGAAGATGTTCTTTGAGGGCATGCTACCAGAGTCCAGGGTTCTTTTCTGAACCCATCGGCCCAAGGAAGACAAGAGCCCAACTCTGGGTTGCATGATACTGTCATGGTAGTTCGAAATAGTGCGCGAGGAGGCCACAATAACCGTCGGAGAAACACCAACAGTTGCCAAAGCAAAATCCACATCCTCACCAGTAACAGAGTTCAACGCAATGGATGCATTGGAGAACAGTGCATTGAAGATGATGCAAAGAGGGTAAGACCTAGAAAGAGAGTCGATTGACAAGACAAGATCCGACGAAGAGAGTCGCTGGTTTCGGGGAAGTGTAGAACCCAAAGCAGCTACAGCAGCCACCAAATTCTAGAGCAATGTTAATATTCTGACACAACCGGAAAGGATACGGTTCTCTCACCTCTGATTGAAAATCGATGATTTTACCAGATTGAGAATCCGAGGGCCACACAGTACTGATTCCAGGAGCCGGCTCTTTGGGATCATATTCAGGGACATCCAAGCCTGCCAGGTCCTTCTTTTCCTCTACCAACTCATGCCAAACCTCTACCTGCATGTCACCTTCGACATTATCAGGAACTCCGTGCCAATCCATATGACGGTTTCCTTCCTTGGCAACCCAGATGACTTGCGAGAGCTGCTTATTATCCTTGGAAGCCACTGAGAGATCGACAGATCCAGCTTCGGCAATCAAAGCATCCGCTTGGGCCGCCCGAAGATGAGCTGCCAGAGTCTCCGCCGGAAGGTGGTGAGGGACAAGAATAACCTTGAAGCCGTAGAAGGCACCCGCTATATAATTATGTTAGCATATGCTTGAACAGAAATTACACATTCGAGGATCAGTAATACCGAATATAGAAGCCAGCAGCTCAACAGAGTCAGTCAAGCAAACGGCTACGGTTTTGACCTTGGCCTTCTGGAGATAATGACCGATCACGTTGATTTCCTGGGTGACTTGAGATAGAGAATGTTCAACAGCCCGTTTCCCGAGGACAGTATAGATCTTGCTTCGTGCCTTGGATGTGCTGCCATCTTCGTTCAGAGCTCCGTGCACTGCTGTTCTCCAGATATCACGTAGGTCGCCTTTCCTACCTGCGGTCCACTTAGGAGCCCCAGGATCCTTAACATTCAATCCTGCTCGCAGAGGGAAACCATATGGGGTTTCCAAGCTGCGATATGTTGCAGATTCGCCTGACTGGCGAATTGGAGATGAAGTGGATTGACGGGCAAGCAGAAACGGGTGTACATCTGGGTCCTTAGCTGATACTACTGAATAGATCGCGAAAGTAACCACAAGGCCAGCAACAATGGTAGTGTAGATATTCCAGTCGGCCAGAATATCTGCCACCACAGTATCTAGCTTGTTAAGCAACTGATCGGACATTTTGAACACGAGGCAGTGTCAACAACTCGAAGCATGGAACCTTGGAAGGTATGACGTGGGAGTAATCATTGAATATTGGGGGTCGCAGCGGGGTCCGGGTCAACCTTTCTACCGGCGTCAAGCAACTTTCGCGTCTAAATGGGCGTTTCTTTTCACCAGCCACGACCAGCAACACCAAAACATTCTCCCTTCAACAACGCCAGTTGGGAAGACTATGCTGCAACCGACAACTAACTAGTCATCTTTCTCCTTCGACCAATCTCCCCTCGCCAGGTAAGTCTTATTCTACTCCATTCAACAGGTAAGTCCCCTGCTTCCCTTTTGAGACTCGGCCTGCCTCTGACCTCGGAAGCTGCAGTCTTTATTTCCAGGCGATTTCCGACCTTTTTTGATATTGCGACTATTCCTTTACTTCGGAATTCCAATTGCTTCTTAACAAATGGCCACATCTCTTCCCTCGACTCCCAAACCTGCGCAAGCGGCAGCTCCCTTCTCTGTAGAGTCTGGGACACCAGGAAAATGGCGCCACCCACATCTCAATGAGATTGTTCGGCGCCAGAATGCTGCGACATTTAGCGACAAGAACCTCCGCAAGGTCATTTGGAATGGCGGCGCTCTGATCTTGACCTGGGTCTTCGGAAACGGCCTCAAAGCTAGGTCGGTTAGCGAAACCACAAACTCTGCAACCCATGAGCTGACCCATTCCCTTTCAAGCTCTCGTCCAATCTTCGATAAAAACTCGACCTATTCCGAATTCACATTGCTCTCCGTTCAGCTGTTCTTTGCCGTCAACGTCCTAATTGCTCTCTACCCCCTCTTCCGGCCGAAGGACGACCTCTCTGACATCCCCCTGACACCTACACAACGAGCACTCTTAGGATTGGACCCGACGGCTACACCCCCGGGCACTCCTGGAACGACATATGTCACCCCGCCGAGGTACCGCGTGTCCACTTCGCGTAAGGGTAGCCCTGCAAGCCAAAGCGGCTCTCCATTGTCCGCCACACCAACCTTCTCAGAACGCCGCGGATCGTCGAGCACTCCATTCTCGCCCATTACTAGCCCATTGTTTCAAAAGGCAGTTGCCAACGGAGGAAGAGAAACTAACCTGCGACAAAGCTTCGGGTCTTCCTCGTCCTTCGGACGAAGCAATTCGTTTGGCGAGTCTACCATGTCTAGCATGTCTAGTATCGGTCCTAGCAGCCCTTCGCCTTTGGCTGGCAAGCGTACTAGCTTGGGATTGAGCAACAAATGGCTGTATGAGCGGAGTCGGAGACTTTCCGCTAGCAACGGTAGTCTCTGAGATCTAAGCTAAATGTGGTACCTTTTTGTTTTGATTGTCAGGGCGTGGAGTTTGTAAATCAGGATCTCTTCATAGCGGGGTTCTTTTTAATGAAAATCAATTATCTTAATTATAATCATGGAATTAAGCATTGTTCAGTATTCAACTTTTGTTGGATTTGCTGTGATTCAAGAAGTAACAAGTGATGTACGGGCAACAAAGGCACCCTATGTCATGGCTGTTTAAGCCGAGCTCGGTAGCTAATACGGCCAACACTCCGCAACAGGAATGAACGTAACACCAACTACACCCGCGCGCACACAACAACACTCAGGCTTGAATTTGAAGTTTTTCTCTCTGGTGATACATGACACTCGTACTGTGAGGCACTGGTCTCTTCAGTAATGGGGGCCTCGGAGTCAAAGCTTGTGTTCAAGCAGGGCATCTTCCGCCTCTCCGAGGAGAAGGAGATCCCCGCAGACGACCCCTACTGGACACGAGTATGTTGCAAAGCAGATAATACTTCTATATGAAATGAAGATATATCACATCCGCTAACTTATCACTCAAGTTCTGGGAACTGCCCGAATCTACCGAAGACGTTTTTAGCCTGTTCACACCAGCTGACATCCGACGCACGCGCGACCATGCCTTATCGAACTTCGAAACGCTCTTACTCTCAGTCTCCTCACGGCTGATAGTTCTGAAAAACCATCCCTCATTTCCCGATCCCGACCTTGCCCCCAATCGTGATGCGCTCAACTGTATCCGTGTCCTTACCCGGCTACTGCCCTTTGTCTATGAAGCCGAACACTTGGAGGACTGGGAAGATAAGTTCTTCTGGACGCGTCGAAAGAGGAGGACTAGACAAGCGCAGATCGCAGGCGAGGTAATTTTTGATGAGGCACAGCCAGATGATCAACAAGAGCGGTCGTCTCCTTACGGGGAGGAATACGAAGATGTGAAGCCGCTTGGGGAAGAGTTGATCGATACACTGCTTGACTTGCTCTTTTTCGCCGATTTTACAATTCCCGTACTACCAACAGCTAAGAGCAAGATCTCGTATTCGATATGGCAAAGTGGTGTTGGTTGCAATACGGCTATGGGGTCCAACAAGACTCTCGAAAACAACCGCTGCGAGATATTGCGGTTACTGCTAACCATGACCGGAAAGGCTATGTACATGCCAGCAAGTAAGTTTGCCTCATTTTGGATGTGCCTAGCTGAATAAACAATTAACCATTCTAGACACTTTGCCCGTACAAGGCGTAAAGGCGATTACGTACATCACCACTTGCCAGGATAAGCAGGCCGTTTTGACAACTCTGTGCTCTCTTCTGAATACGGTACGTCTACGAGGTTCTTAAGTCGTAAAGAGGTAGATGCTGACTCGTACAAAGGCTATGAAGTATAACCCTGCCTCTTGGCGGGTTCCATATGACCATGTTGTTTGGAAGGACCCCAAGCAGATACTAGTTATCTACTGCCTCCAACTTCTCCTGGTTCTACTTCTGTACCCAATTCCAGAGGATGGCCGTGGTTCTCCACCGAAGAACTACTACCGCCATTACTTTGGTAGGTTGCATAGGCCGCAAGATTTCCAGTTTCTTGTAGAGGGCATGACAAGGATTCTGAATCAGCCTGTAAGTCGTATACTGACTGAGCTGATTAGTCCAATACTAATAACAGATTATAGATGCAAGCCACCAGCACATATCTCCCTGGAAGCCAGAGATCTGTGAAGTGGGCACCGGAAATCTTGATCTTATTCTGGGAGACCTTGCAGTGCAACAAGCGTTTCAGGTCGTTCATGATTGACTCCAATCGTTCACATGACTTTCTGGTTCTTTGCATCTTCTATGCCATGGAGTACAGAGCAGACCCATCCAAGCAAGGAATGGTCCGCATGTGCATCTTCATCCTCCAGACACTAAGTGCAGAGCCCACATTTGGGAAGAGTCTCAACGTCAAATTTGAGGGACAAGAAACTTTACCTCAGTCTATCAGGTTGCCCAAGTTCCGGGGCTCTTATGCTGACTACCTCATCATGGTTTGTTCATTTCTCTGCCATCTCTGCATATGATTACCTGCTAACATTGGTTTTACAAAGTCAATTCATACTCTGATGACAACAAGCAAAGGCAACCTCGACACTGTCTATCCGGCCCTTCTGGTAATTCTGAATAACGTGGCGCCTTACGTGCAGCATATGTCGGCGGGTGCGTGCTCCAAAGTCATTCAGCTCTTTTCCTCAATGTCCGCTCCTAGCTTTTTGTTGGCCAATGAAACCAACCATACGCTTCTTGCATCTTTGCTTGACTTCATCAACGCTATTCTTGAGCATAACTTCACCGGTACGTTTCCAGACGCTTTATTCATCTGTTCAATGACTCTAACGGTCTGTTAGAAAATCAATATCTGGTCTATGCCATCTTGAAGTATAAGCAGCGATTTGAGGCCATCCGAGCTTTCACTCTTGAAAGTGGCCAACAAGAGATTGAGCAGCAGAGAGAGAAGCGAAAATCTGGAGATGCCTCAAGTGATGCGATTTACAGCCCTTCACTTTCTCATTCCGAGGAAGACCTTCACACTCCATCGGGTGCTCGGTCTCCCCTAACTAGGATCCCCGAAGAGAACAGTGCCTTTGCAATTGGAGATGATGATTCAGACGACGAGGGGCAGAATACTCCATCTCAGTCCTCGCCATCAGCACAGAACTCTCGCAGACCCTCGTTTGCCTCCGCGAATGATGAAAATGCAACGCAGCAGTTGCGAGGTATGTCTGAAAAAGCACGAGGAAAAATGCCTGCCGGACGGCCGTCTTTCTCTCGACAAAACAGCATGACAAGTCAAACAAGCATGTCTGCTTTATTCTCCGGTTCCTCAACTGGTTTCATCCCAACTGTATCCTGGGTAATTATTCTTCTCCTGTTTACATAGTACACATTCCGGATTGCTAACAGCCCCACTAGTTGGAATCATGGCTTCCAGAGCTCCCTCTGCATACCATTCTTACCATAATATCTGCTATTGCTCCTCATATTCCGGAAACAGCTTTACAGTCAGCTGTTAGTCCCGATGCTCGTACTCTGATCAGCAATCTACCATCTTTTGCTGAAGAGCCGCAAGTCAAGAGTATTATTTCAGAGCCCACTCCGGTTCGCGCCCAATCTTTTGAATGGTCGGCCCTCTCTATGGGCTGGTATGAGTCTCTTCTCTGGGGTTTTATCTTTTCTAGTGAGATGGTGGTGGGGTCCGCTGCTGGTGCAACCCCGGGTACTGTCGGCGTGTGGAACGGCACCGGAATCCGACTTTTTAGGGTTCAAGAGGCTGCTGCCCAAGGGCCAACTCTTCTTGCTCCGAAGGGTGCTGTGGATGCAGTTGGTAGCAATTTGGTCCAGCGAATTGGGAATCTCAGTCTACGTGGCAGGAACTTGACCTCACAAGAGCCTGGCAGTACCCAATCCCCGAGCATGAGGGAGGTCTAGGATAACATACGAATAGGTCGTGGGTTCAGCGACGTACATAGGAACTTTCTTTCTCATGATCACAATTTTCTTTATGACAACTGATTCTCTTTCTCCTTCATTTCTCTTCTATTTCTGATCATATTTCCATAAACATGATTCCAAATCTATCTTCTGGTCATTAGATCATGTCTATATCTTCACTTAAGGGTGAAACTCAGACCAATAACCGCCGGGCTTTCAAATATTCGTAGTCTGGCATCGACTCCGCCACAGAAGTCTCAATTGACTTTGCAATCTCATCCCCAAACTCAGCCTTCCACTTAACCAACTCGGCGTCAATGTCAACATTCATGGGCGTCTTATCCTTAACAACACCCGAAGAGTGCGTCAATGTGCTGAGCATAATATTTGCGGCGCGAATGTGTCCGCCTTCCACATCATTGCCGGCACTGGCCTTGGCTTTATCAGATGCCCAATTTTGAGAATTCTGCTGTGCATCCCACTCAAACTGCAGGACATTGGGATCTAGCCCGATTTTCTCGCAAAACTCAGCCACGGCGTCCCGGTTGTTAATGAGGTCGTATGCATCCAAAATAGGAGGTGGCACAACCCCGGTACCTTGCTCCATATACCAGTCATACAACACTCTGGGCCAACGCATAGCCATACTAGTCACAGTTGTTCTCTGCAGACCAATATTATCAAGGATTCCTTCCTGAGAGAACTTCAACATTGCTCGCCAGTAAGATGGCCAGGCAAGAGCGGGGTGTCGGATAATAAACACCATCTGCCAAGAGCGAAGATACTCATCTGAGAAGATGGTCTCGTTGGACAGAGAGTATGTCGGAGAGCCGAAACTCTCAGGCATCTTGACACGGAATGCGTTGAAGAACTCCTCATCATGTACGCCAGTCACCATTTTCTGGAAAGAAGCTGGACAGAACAACCAGGATGCATGCTCTTTCATGAAGATCGTCTTGCCTGCTTCGTTGGCCTCGACGGCACAGTTATCAAGCTTGTCGAAACAGTCCTGGTATATAGCTCTGACTTCTTCTTTTTGCACTTCAGTCCATTTCTCAGGTGGCATCTCTGTGTAGCCACTCCGAGCGACATCGACAAAGGCCGGGTAGAAGAAATAGCCTCCTTTCTCATTGGTGGTGACATTTGGTTGAGCAGGGATGTTCAAGATTTTCAGGAGGAGGTTTGATGCGGTTCGAGGAAGGCTCACAAGAAGGATGCGCTTGGGGCGAGTAGGCGCAATGCCATTTCCCTGGTGGGTATCAGGTACGGTCATTGTGATGGATCTCGGGACGGGAATGCCGCTATACTAGATAAGCTTAAAGCGCAATGGAGCAATGAGAGAACTAGAAGATGACAGTATTATGGAGGCAGATGGCGTGATTAATATATGGCAAGTCCTGGAGAACCGGACGCCTAAGGGCGACGCCTAACGCAGATCATTTGATTGCGGCTTACCATGGAATCTACATCCTGTAGTAAGCACCGAATCAAGAAAATAGTGGACCATGTGGATATGGGTTGCTATGAGAAGCCCTAACTTAGCATCGATATGTATTCGTGCTACGTAGATGGCTTCGAAAAGTTGAATGTATTCCATGGTTCCTTCAATGTTTTCAAGGTTCACTAGTAGCAATCATGATCGACAATTCTTACTGACATAAACGGAGGAATGTCGATCAGCTGAGTCCCTTGTTTGAATACAGGAACATCACTGGTCCTTTTTCTATTGATGATCAATCCTTTTTTCCCCTTTGGGAGGATGAGAACTCCACCGTGACATGGCATGCAATCAGCCCGGAGCCTGAATCATGGAACAGGGCCGGGCCGATCGGTATGATCTTGTCAAATGATCAATTGATCCTTTCTTGCGAACGTTAATACACAATCTGTTAGTATAAATATCATCAATGGCGTTTAGCTCTCGTTTCTGAGGCCTCATTCGAAAGGAACGGGGAATATCATGCATGAAACCCGTACGAGAGTCAGCGTTTGTCAAGTGAATAACGTCACAGTCAAGTTCAATTGGTCATGACTTGGAGTTCATGTAGCATTGAAGACAGAGACCATTGAACTGTCTCTGAGTCTTCTGATCAGCCTGAGAATAACCGAGGATTCAGTCACGGTATCCGCTCCCGGAAATCATCGATTATTCGACTATCCAGCGATATTGTGACCAAGTTTGCCAGGGTATTCTTCCTTTTTGCAACATAAAGCATTAGTGTATCCATGAATCTTCGAGTGCTTAAGTACTCATCATGAGAAATGCCCTTACCTAGGCAACGGCGGCAACACATTGATGTGCATGCATAGGTAAGGGGCTAATTCTCCGTCCTCATGCTGCTGAGTTCCAACTTCAAGTTACTTATTGGCAAATATTCAGGCTTAGCTCAGAATGAAATACTATATGATTCATAATGTCACAACAATGTCACATAGCTATTCAATAGGATTGAAATCAAATTTTTGTGTTGGGCAAGTTGATCATAATAGTAAGATGGTGGCTTTCAACTTGAATCCTCCACCTAGGCAAGGTTTGATACATCCGAGTCATCCGTCAGGCCCTCCATATTCTATCATGTGTCGATCAATTAGTTCATTGAACCAAGAGGTATGAGTCCCCTGACACCTTTCACCCTATCCAGGGGCGTAGTTTGGACCACTTTTACTGTTTTGATAGCTCTCGCTGCACCTAGAATTTCACCTCCTCACGCCTCCACGGAGCCCTTGGTTTTCCCACACCGTGTTACCCACTACACATTCTCGAGGGATACAATTCTCACGCACATACATCAAACTCCGACTGTCTCTTCCAAGGTTCCTACCTTCTTATTCCCAAAACACCGACCTCTTACTCTTGAGAAGCTCCACAAAAAGATTTACCAAGGCATCCAAGGCACGGTCACAGATTTGATAATGAAATACGACTCGTCCTTGCAAGTGACCACGCGTGGTCTTCACTCCTGCATTCTCAGCAAGATCCGCAAAACGCTCTTCATCGATGCCTGTTGGTTCCAGGTCCAGCCAAACCATATTGGTCTCTGTCGGATGTTGAAGCTTTCTACCCAAACTTAGCCAAAGCTTGGAAAATTGCTGTGGAGTATCTTGACTTTGTCGAAGGCGCCCACCAAGGAATACTTGTTCAACAGCAACTCTCGCTGGAGCGCACAGAATGCCTGATGCACGGATTCCTCCACCCAGGATCTTTCGCATCCACCGGGCCCGCTTAATAAAAGCTAAGTTCCCAATGACAATTGATCCAATTGGCGCACCAAGACCCTTGGTGAAGCAAAGAGACACACTATCAAAGCATGAAGTGTACTCCTTTAGGGTACCTGCTCCAGCATTTACAGCCTCCCACAGACGAGCGCCGTCTAGTTGCATGTGAATTGGAGGGGTTTGACTACGTGCCCAACTTGAGATTTCACGAGTATCTTCCATGGGCATGATGGTTCCTGACAGTGTATTTTCTAGACTTATTATTCGCGTTGGATAGTCATAAACATCATCCCGAAGATTGGCGTGCTTTTCGACATCCTTGAGGGTGAGATGGTGGCCATTGGAAGGAACCACTCCCCAGATTAATGCCCCGCAAAGCGAAGCGGGTCCCCCCCGCTTCCATTCCAAGAACGTGGCTTCGACTGTCACAAAGGACACTGTACGGCGGTGCCAGGAGGGCTGTTCGGAGAGCAACCCGGTTGCCCATTGTTCCAGACATGACCAAGAGCGAATCTTCGTGTCCGCTCAATGTTGCAATGAAATCCTGAAAGGAATTTGTTGTAGGGTCCTCCTTCATGACATCGTCCAGAAGGGTCGTGTTGATAATGGAGTCAAGCATAGCTCCATTAGGCGACGTAACGTAATCGGAGCGAAAGTCATATGCTGCCTGACCGCGGGAGTATCCCAAGCTGTGTGGCTCACAGCCAAGGAATCTGTTGCAATGTAATCTGACTTCCAAGGTTGTCCGAGTTTCGATAGGCCTATGCAGGAAGTTCTTGTTGGAAGATGAGATCAGTGGGGCTCTCTTCAGTTCGGAACTTGAATTCAAAATAAAAGAAGGCATACTAATGAGAAATATACATTCAGGAATCGATGAGGAGGATTGATTCCAACTTGGAAATTATGCACTGGCATGTGAGTCAATAATGAATGCCACTGGCAGTGGCTACCTAGTACTAGTATTCCTTCAAACATTCAATGAACATTGAATGTTCCAACATTTTTGAATTTGCACATGTGCCAAAATAGCAATACCAAGAGCATGTAGATTATGTGCAATTGATCCGATGGATCCAGTATACCTAGGCAATAGTATTACAAAACTACATAGTGATTGATTGTGCAATCTGACGAAGGGGCCACAGCCTGAGACAGACTCGGATCGAAGGTGTCGGATAATTTGCAAAAGATTGCTACTACTAGTTCAAATGTTCAAGTTGTGCATAAAAGCACTTGAGAACTTCCAAGGTTGAAACAACATTTTTGATCTCAAACCTTCATGTGCTGGCAGCCACCTGGGCAGCTGGCTATTATAATTTACGTATATATTATGTTATGTTTCTTATGCCACATGTGAATATTCCGTTATGGATGTCAACATTTGCCAGTGGACTCCAGGGCTGGTCTATTTTTGTATATACAACTTGAGGATTACTATGTATGTACTAGTGCTGATTAGTTAAGAATTTCAAGTTACATTCCTACATCATGATACTATATCTAACCTTGGAAGTATCATATACTACCTACTATAACCCTACAACACTTGAGGCTACAGCTCATCCCCAGAGTTCCATCATCCATGTACTACCATTTTGGACCTTGGCTATGTTTGTTCAGTCAGTCAGTACATATAGCTAGATCAATTAACTCATACAATATGTGTATACTGCCTTGAGTGTTCCCCTCTTTAATAGATATTGTAGTGGGGGGGCCATCCATGTCCCTCACTATATTATACTGGTTCCAAGGTTGTCACATTTCGATTTTGCTTATGTCCTTCTGTTATTATTGTCACATATGAAATTGCCTGTCCTTACTAGTTTAGAATAGACACTCTTTCACCTCCCTGACCATACCCTTAGGGGTCATCCTATATCATTCATGCATTAGTATTTTGGTTGTTGGTTGTTCATTGTAGCTGGATCGACCTATGCATCTTTGAGTACACTGCCTAGAGCATTCCCCTCCTTAATAGCTAGTAGGCATTTCATATGTATCAGTCCCTTTAACCTTATAAGTAATTTGAATTTAGATATCTCTTAATTTAGATACCTCTTAGACTCTTATTTGAGGTATCTCTTACTTTTACTTTGGATATCTCTTACTTGTATCTTCTATCTAGTATATAATACTTTAGAATTAAACAGGAGTAATAGTATAAACAAAATACCTGATGTAATAGGAAGCCTTCTCCTATACTTATTAGACCAATTAATGGCAGTTATCACATTTTGGGATTTCTTATATCATATAACTGTTTTACACTTACTATACATATTCTACATAAGTATAAGAATATATGTCCTTACTAGTTGAGAATATACACTCCTTCACATCTTCAAGAGCATCCCTATGGGTCACCCTGGTGGTCTTTGACTCTTTATACTAGTATTTTAATTTTTCATTATGGTTTGTTCATCATAGCTGAATCGATCCATGTAACTTGGGTATATAGTATACTATTAGTACACCTTATGTATACTACATCGAGCGTTCCTCTCTCTACTAATTAGGTAAACAGTAGCTCAGGCTGATTTTTGTTATGGCTATAATTGAATTTTCCAAAATTAGGCTACCTATATGGTAATTAGGTAAGATACCAGTTGACTATAAAGGTTTTATATTATGGTGGGTTATTAATATTAATTATAGGAACATCATTGAAAAATAGATTCAGGTTGGCTATAATATGTATATATGTATAGCCATTAGCTACAGCTTGAGCCTGTTACAGGCCCTAGTAACCCCGGGCCCTTAGGTAGGTAGTAGAGGATTTTAAGTGCCATTTAGCGCCTCAGGAAGCATGGTTAGGTATTGAAGAGGGGAACGCTCAAGGCAGTGCACTGGAAGATGCACGGGTCGATCAAGCTACAATGAACAGCCAACAACCAGAATACTAATGCATGAATGATATGGGGATGACCTCGTAGGGGTACGATCAAGAAGGTGAAAGAGAGTGTATTTCTAAACTAGTAACGACGGGCAGTTTTGTATACGATGATAATAAAAGGATAACATACTAAGCAAGACCTGGGATGTATCAACCAGTATAATATAGTGAGGACAGTATGACTTCCAAGGTTATGACTGAAATTAGCAGTCATAATTTTGTCTGAAAGTTCAAAGGGCTAACGGATATTTCGCACGGTTTAATGTTATGGATCAACTATGAACTATTTGGTATTTCTAAAAGGCTTTAGTTCCGAGTCCCAGGTACACTAGGTAGCCTGCCAAGGGTTTGAAGTACAGTGGCATGACAAAAGTTTGCGTTATGATTTTTAGGTACCGCCTAGATTCCCGCCTTAATTGGGCTAGCTCCAAAATAATGGATAGGGAGAGATAAATTATGTAAAAACCACAGGCGTAGTTTTATCTGTCAGCCAAAATAACGTGATAAACTAGGCCCAATTGGGACGGTTTTAACACGATTAAATACTGGCTTCTGATTGGCCGAACCAGAATGGATCACATGATTAGCCACGTGATCTACGGTCGCAGCAGACGCTTATTCGTGTAAATTAGTGTTATGGGAGAATCAGACCTGTTGATACGTCCCATTGCGACCGCCTACTGCATTAGACCTTGTAGTCTGACATTATCTACCTAGACTCGAACCTTGGAACCATTCGATAGCGGCTTATGTAATATTTGATAAAATGTTATATAAATTTAGAATCGACAGACAGCTAGCCTCTTTGGGACTAGCTCCCACGGGGAGACCTAGCCCAGAAAAAGATACTTAATCTCCTCCTGACCGCCTTATATTTCCCCTGACTACCTTTTAACTACTAATTAATACTTTAACTAGGGATTTAGCCACCAATTTCAATGATATTTTGATTTTTTAAAAAGGCCCTTGAGAAAAAGAGGAGATCTGAGTCAGAATCTCAAAAAATCTGACTGAAAAATATAAGTGTTTGATAGCGAATAAGCTATTTAGGAAATCTAAGTTCAGTATCTTGATTTTGATTTTCCAAGACTGGCAGAAAAAGTGGCAGATGTATCTTTTTGGTGGGGAAGTACTTCCAAGGGCGCTAGTCCCATCTAGGACTAGCGCCTATAGATTTAGCCCTTCCCTAAATTTTGTATACAATTCGAACATTTGAATAGTGTATGAGTTGTTGAATTTATTGACTTGCCTGGTAGAAAGATAAATCGGCAGAGTAAAGGTGGTAAGCAGCATAATGCAGAGTTTTGTCATGCCAGTCCTGATTAGGCAGTTTGACTACTTCCAAGGTTAGGGGCCAGGGATATAATTTTCCTGGGCATCTGGGATGATAGGCATGTGAGTCAATAATGGCTACTCGTGAGACGGACTGTGTCCAGGTGCCTTTACGTGATTTCAAGAAACGGCCTTTTCCCCTTTTTCCCTCTTTTTTTTGAGAGAGAGAGAGCCTGGAGAGAGAGCACCTGGGCAAACATTGCAGCTTGAAGGTCCTTAGTAAGTGCTAAGATTGAAAGGTTGTTTGAAACCTTCAAGTTGGAACTTGCCTACATAGGTAAGCCTTGGAAGGATGCACATAAATACATTTGAATACTACGTATGTAGTCACCAGGTCCACTATATACTGTACTCATATGCTATTCAAAATCTTGGAAATGTTGCCTCCAGGCCCCTTCCCCTGGTGAGCCTTGCTCACACTCATGAAATAGGTTCTCAAATACATAGTAGCTCATCTACATTGATCATCTATATTCCAACTCGATCGATCACCTTCAAGATCATGATGACAACCTTCAAGATGACAACCTTGGAACCTCAACTTGACAATCTTCAACCTGACAACCTTCAACGTGATCAATTCAACTTGACAACCTCGGAACCTCAACTTCACAAACTTCAACTTGAAGTAAGTTATAGACTTATAGTAAGGCTCCTTCACCTCACTTTACCCTGACTCGGATGCTCGAGTTTTTAGCTTCCGGACCAGACTTTCTTTTCGCTACCCAAAGAAAACTTGGAAAATTTCTCGGCCTTTGAACACTGAACTAAGTCAAAACTTCACATTGGTACTAGCATGTCTATTCAAAGAGAGACCTCAACAGTGAGAGAGCTTGAGAATGGCTCTATTCAGAGCGAGAAAGTTCTTGTGAGTCTGCATCCATACTTTTTGAATCATGCTTACCACCAGTCGTCTATTATAAAATGTCACCTGGGAAGGTGAGGGCGATCCCGAAAACCCGAAAAATTGGACCTCCATGAGAAAATGGAAAACCATATTCGCTATGAGCTCATTTGTGTTTATGAGTCCATTATCCTCAAGGATTGTCGCACCAGCATTGCCCGCAATTGCGTCCGACCTGAACATCACACAGCCAGCAGTTGAAAAAATGGTTCTTTCAATCTTTCTTCTTGGCTTTGCGTGCGGCCCGCTGGTGGCAAGCCCACTTTCTGAAGTCTATGGCCGCGAGAGGGTTGTCCAAACATGAAACTTGACATATATCGCCTTCAACGCAGCCTGTGGTGCCGCGCACACAAAAGAATCCATTATCATACTACGTTTCATGGCAGGTCTTTTTGGAAGCGCAACACTTGGTGTAAGTGCAGCATCTGGGTCAAGTTCTTCATTTTTTTTGTCAGTGCCATCTAATTTCCTACCACTTTTCAGATCGGGGGCGGTACTTTAAGTGATCTTTTCCGTGCGCAGTATCGCGGGAAAGCGGTTGCAATCTATAGCTGGTCTCCAATTCTCGCCCCGCTGGTTGGTGCTGTCTTAGGCGGCTTCATCTCACAAAACACAACATGGCGGTGGACATTCTATGCTTCCTCGCTTTTGAGTATCGTCATCCAACTCTCGGGTCTTATTTTCCTTGAGGTAACATACCCTCCACTCTTGCTACGTCGGAAGAAAGCCAGACAGGCAAAGGCGACTGGAGCCGACGACCTCTACACCGAGTACGACCATCTAGATGAAGGTCGAGTGCAAGTTCTATCCACGAACTTGTTCAGGCCTTTCAAACTGCTTGCCACCCAGCCTATCATCCAGATTTTGGCCCTTTACAATGCGTACTTTTATGGCAATATCTATATATTGTATGCCAATTACATCGATCTATGGACCAATGTTTACGGCGAGTTTATTGAGATTGCGGGACTGAATTACATTGCGATCGCTATTGGATCTTCCATTGCCGCAGAATGCTGCACGCTCATAAACTACGCAATATTTCGGAAACTATCGAGCCGAAACGGAGGCACAGGTGTCCCTGAGTTCCGAGTCCCCATTATGCTACCCGCAACACTATTTTTTAAGTAGTGGGATGTTCTGGTACGGGTGGACTGCCGAAAGAAAGATACATTGGATTATGCCTAATATTGGCACCTCAATCTTCATAGCTGGAGCACTTGCATGCACAATCTCCCTGAATGCGTATGTCATCGATACATATGGAAGGTATTCGGCAAGTGGACTAGCGGCTGTCTCTACCATGAGGTGTATTGCAGGGTTTACATTTCCGATGTTTGCCCCCTATATGTGAGTCCTCTGTGCAGCTATTTGACAAGTAGCTCTTACCTAGCGCACTTGATATCTAATCATCAATATTACAGGTACTCTTCACTAGGTTATGGATGGGCAGGAAGCACTCTTGGCTTCATTGCCCTTGTTATCGGCCTGCCCGCCGCAGTTCTACTGGGGATTTATGGGAAGTTTCTACGGAGCCAAAGCCCCTACGCTTCCAACGGTACTCAAGATTGATTGGTTAAATTTGGTTTAAGGGTTGATAGCCCAGCCAAGGAACTCGCGATCTTCTGAGAAAATTTACATGGCATTTCCTAGCTCATTTTTCTAATTCACATATTGATGCATGATACCAGTCACGACGAAATTAGTTTCCTTCTTACAGCTTATGGCTTGAAGTTGCCAGTGTGTTGAGACTAGTGTGATATGGATATCACGTACGATGGAGCTTGAATATAGCAACAACCCTTCAAGCGCTGTTAAATGAACGCTCGAAAAATGATAAATGGATACTATCTTAGCCCAATTATTTAGGCTCAGCCTATACACATCCATACACGCATATACCTCATGATAGCGCTGTAATATTGTCACGCCGACTGGCACTTGGAGATGAATTCATATCGACAAAGGTGTTTCTATTATCATATATGCCCAGCTCCCTGAAGAACTGCAGCAATTCAAACAGACCGGTATTGATAGAAGATTCATTTAGTAGATATAGCGGAAGCTGTTCACCACGATGTCAGCACGATAGTTCTTAGTGGTGTCAATAAAATGAATACTCACTTCAGATTTTCTCGATCTGACAGGTCCAAGAAAGCAGTAGCGTCCAAGTCTCTGCCTTCAAGTCCGCCCTCCATTGCGGACTGAATACGATCACGCTTCTGATTTTCCCATCGAAGAAGGAAACCCAGTGTAACAATCAGACACGCTTCAATAAGATGGCACACAATCATGGACCAAATTCCCAGGGTGTATGTTGGTCTAGTATTTTGGTTAGTTGAAGCCCAAAAGTAGAGCACCAGGCTGATTGAAAAAAAAAGAAAAGAAAAGAAAAACTTACGATTGATCGGTCTTATAAAAGAATGGGCCAGCGATATTACCTGTGCAATATCCAAGGAAAAGAACTGCATTGGTGACCACTTTCTTGGTATGGCCTAATGTAGAGAATCAGTAAGTAGTACTTGTCAAAATGAAGAAAATATATAAATACCGGCGGTGTTGGCAATCTGCATGCTGAGAATAAGCACAAAAGCAGCATTATACGGCCCGGTTAGATAGTAACAAATAAGTCGACCAACGTGTTGGTGTGTTGGCACAAAGCAAAGACCAAAGGCACCGGCAAGATTTGGAATGAGGAAGATTAGTATGAAGACACAGCGACGATTCTCAAATCGATCATTCAGAAAGACACAAGTCAAGATCGACATTGCAATAATGCAGCCATAGGGAATCTAGCAACATTGTTATTAGCATAACGCATGAGGTAAAATATGGACGCATGTCAACTATTTACTTACCTGTAAAATTGTTGTGATCAAAGTGGAATAGCCAAAGCCTTTGATAATCAAGGTGCCGAAATTGGAGATACCACCATTTGGAATATTGCCTAATTGATAGAGATTAGCTGATCTTTTCACCTCGTTATTTGAGCTGCTCAAACTTACACACAACTCCAAGGGCGTAGAAAATGTAAAGCTTGTAATCCATGAAAGCCTCCAAAATCTGATAGGGCTTTAGGTGCTTATTCTCCACGCCAGTCTGATTTTCTCTAATACGGTCCACAGCGATCCGTCGCTCTCTTTTGGTGAGCCCGCGAGCTGTGACAGGGGAGTCAGGAAGAAAGGTAAACATAACAATGCCCCAGGTAGCACACAGAGCACCACTGGAAGGTATAATTAGCAAACTATGATCAACTCAAGGGAGTTGAAGCTGCTCACATCACAATAAACTCATATTTCCATGACGGTAGCTTTCCTCGAATATGACCGATAGCATAGCCCAGCAGCCCACCGAGAGATATTCCAATCCCATTCGCGGTGTACCATAATCCGAGTCGTACTGGTTGTTCCTTTCGTGTATACCACATACTGGTTATGAGCATGAACGCGGGATCCGAACATGCTTCGGCGGCACCACCCAGAGCTCGAAGTACTGCAATCGTCGCGAAGCTGTTGCAGGCTGCTTGAATCATGAGAAACACTCCCCTATTATACGCCACGATGTCAGATTCTGATAATGCTAGTTTCAAAAGTCCCATACTAACCACATGAAGATATTCGCACCGAGGTATTTTCCTAAAAGGAGATTGTTAGCAATATAGCCAAAAACGAGTAAATTTCCTCGAAGTTTAATACCGATTGGTAGCTTCTGCATTAAGAAGTTGGTTGGAAAGGCCCATGCCAGAAATCCAAAATAGAAGATACTGCTCAGCCAGCTGTATTGAGTACCATGTAGTGACAGATCTTCTTCAATTCCGAAGATTGCGGCATAACTCAATGTTGTCTAGGAATTTTTAGTACGAGAAAAGGAGCGGATTTATGGGTTCTCTGGAAACAAACCTTATCAATGTAGAAGAATGCATAACACACAGCTAGGTAGGGCAGGATCATGAAATCAATCTTCCATAATATCCTCCGGGCCTCAGCAGGATCAATTTCTTCATGCAATTCGTCCGCGTCGTCGAAAAGAGCCATCGCAGTGTCTCCGTCTTTAGACTTGGCAGATTTCCATTTGGTGTGACTTATGCTCGACTCAGCGTGCGTAACAGTAGGTTCGTCCATAATGTCCGCTTTGGAGCCATGTCCTGGCATTATCGAATGGTCTTCTGCCATTCTAATGGAAGGAGATAATAGTGGACCCAATTATAGAACAACAATGAAAAGCCGAGAAGATGATGAGCTCAAAGCTGCGGTGGCAGGGTACTAATAACGACTCGAAGTGCTCCTCAGCAGGGGTTCAGCGGTCTGTGCTTGCCTTTGGCACCCATCATTTACTCCAAGAGTCGTATGCATTTTCCCAGTCTTCAAGCTTTGTGAAGCAGACTCAAGGCATACCAAAAAGTGCGGGGAAGACCCATCTACCCCACAAAAACGCGGAATGGTTGTATTAGAGGAAGATCATAAAGTGGAATCATACGAAAGCTCCCTATTGGCTGACGAGTAGAGGGATTCGGATCATGTCCGTGGCGCTGTGTGTGAAAATGATCAAGTTCAATTTGTTCCGGTGGAATCTTGCCAAAACATATAAAATCTGCAGAACAGTTAACATATCAGTTTCATTATACTACCTTTGCTCTCAACTTTTAAGACTCACTTCTTGCTCTGTCTCACTTACTGCTCCTGCTGTCTCCATTTCTTTGTGCAAAATTCGAGGTATCTAGGTTGCATTTTCTGATCATCATGTCAGAGACAACACCGGTGAATTCGGACTTGAGCCGGTAGTCGGTGACCTTGCCGTCAAAAACAAATAGATATCAGCAGATGTATAACTGTTGGGCACATTCTTGGCAGCTTCATAGGTGGAAACAACCTCGGAACAAAGGGACACCTGGTCTAGATGACGATCTGTCAGAGAATCGTAAGCTTGGCTTTCTTAGATGGGACAAGTGACGTGAGGGTCGTGGGGAATCCGGGGTCCGTGATGGTGTTGATGCGGGGAGAAGTCCAGTCGAACCGATGAGTCCGGGGAATAAGGAGATACATCATGATCGGATGCCCAAGAAAGACCAATCGGTTGGTAGTACTCGTATTCTTCCAGATCGTGAGATCATGGTCTGCATAAAAGATTCTTGCAACATTGTGCTTTCCAGAATTTTGGTTAAGACCATTTGAGACATTCTGTGGATGACTTTTATGCATAGAAAATCGGGTTGGTACCTTTGTGCCTCCCTATAGTGGTCGAAATTTGTACAGATTTCTTCAAGATAAAACCAAATCGCTTTTGTCTATACATCTTTAAAACTTTTAATTCATAGATCCATAAATCACATCCCACCTGCACATCTCAACTATTGAATGTATCATCATATAGTAAGTCTTAAGCCGAGGCACTACCCTCATTAGCACCACTCTCCAAGCTTCCCGCCTTCTCGGAGCTCAACAGCCACTCAACAACTTGTCTGCCCGCAGACATCTCACCAGGACCCTGGTCCTCACCACCGGCACCTTCTTCACTCTCGCCGATAGTCATCTCGATCTCCTGGTTACCCTCTTCATCCTCCTTGACTTCCTCCGCAGAGGCAGACCAGGCAGCCCGCTCAGCAAGGAAGACAGCATCATGTCCAGCACCGTTCTTAATAGCAACATCCGCACCAGCCTCAACAAGGGCCTTAACACACTCCAAGTGTGTGTTCAACGCAGCCCAGTGCAGAGGGGTGTTACCAGAGTAGTTGCAGTGGTTAAGGAGAGCCGTGCGCTGCTCCACATCCGCAGCAGCCAACTTTTGCAGGAGAGAGTTGAGGATTTCTGGGAAAGAGTCAGATAAATGACACCAGATCGATTGAGTCAGGATTTTACGTACCAGCGCTTCCATTAGCAGCGGGGAAATGCAGCACGCAAGATCCGGAACCGCCCTCGCTCTCCTCCTCGAGATCAATGGCCGAAGCTACAATTTGCCACTCGGGACAGTTGTGCTGCGTAGCAAGAGCCGCAATGTCGGCGTTCAGAGCCTCGAGGTCACCAGCTCGGGCATCGTAGATGAGGTCGTCAATTGACTCGGAAGACAGAGCAACCGGCACTGTGGGCTTGGCGGCCATTATGTATAAGTTGATCGAAGATTGTTGAAATGGGATAAGTTGAGTTTTTCTCTTCGTCTGTGTTTTCTATAAGCCTCCGTATTCCTCTGATAGCGGTATATTTCCGTGAGAGGAAGAATTTTATGTGCTAGTGGGGGTGTTAGTAAAATGGTCTAAAAATCTTTCATGTAAATGAAAACACAAGATATCAAGGCTATAAACATAGTACATAAATCACGCATGGGATTCAACTCAAAATAAAAAATAAAACACGCAATTAAATCATAGCGTCTCTGGATTTGTGCAGTCTTTGATAGGCGCATTGATCAACGACGCCATGACACCAAATCAGACCACCAGGGTATTGGACAAACTTCAATATTCGGTTCAAAAAAACACACACACAAAATACGACAAAATTATTCAAACAGACTTCCTTACCTCTGCGTTTCTTTTCTCTCGAGTAGATCCGGCTGAATTCAATGTTCGCCGCTTTCGAAGAAACTTTGATATGGAAGTCACATGACCCGACAGTGGGGTTCTCGGTACTATATGACGAGTGGAACAACCACTGTAGGTCGAGAGGAATGAAAAGGGTGCAGAACTCAATGATATAATACAACCCCGCTGATAAATTCTGTTGATAGTAATACACATGCTATTTGAACAAGAGTTATGTTGGTAGCGCAGCCAAAAAGAAAATAAAAGAAAACTGCCTCTATGCACAATGCCAGGAACACAAGGTCCCAAGAAAGAAACAAACACAAAACGCCCCGGACCAAGCCCTTATGATAATGATGATGCGAAGAGAAGAGAACTGGCAAGATGACTTTTCTCAATCCCGCAGCCAAGCTCTGCGTTTTTCCTCCTTCTTCTCTCGTCGCTTCTCCTTGAACACCTTTAGCTCTTTCTTGCTCAGTTTCTTTGCACTTCGCTCAGCTCGCAGACTTCGACCATCGTGTGAATTTGCCGCAGCATCGACATCAAAATATGCGTTCATCTGTCGGCCAGATTTGTTCTCATCATTGTGTCTGTCCGCGTTGATCGAGTCCGCTTGCCATCGACCTGTGAAGCGGTTGAAGCTCCCAGCAGCTGCGTAAGCAGCTGTGGGATCTACCGCAGCGGTGCTCGTTTCTTCTTGTTCTTCGTATTGCTGTGCATATGACGCAGTTGGATCATAGTCTCCGTGAACGGCGGGGTTGTAGCCACCCAGAACAGGAGACTTCTTCCGTGGGGGTTCTGGGGCTGTCTCTGGTTCCGGAGCTGTTGATTCGGAGATTCTGGGGTTATCCCACTGAGAAACACCCGTAAAACGATTGTAGAAATAGTATGCTTGTGATGATGCCTCCCATACGGGTTCCCATCCGTCGTCCTCGGCTTGGCCTGGTGGTGCTTCGTCGGGGAGGGGCGGAGGGATCTCGTCGGGTAATGGGGGTGCGGATGTGTCTTCTGCGGGGTTTTTATCGGAATTGTGAGTTGGCGATGAAGTGTCCTTCTCTTTCTGCTCAGTCGCGTCTTGTTCCTCTTCTTGTTGTTCCTGCTCAGTCGCGGTGTCGACTTGGTCGTGTGGCGAGTTCGAGGCAACTGCACTGTCCTCGAGTGCCTCTTGCTTCTGTGCAGAATTAGGTGACTGATCCGACATCCTGGCAGTTAGCGCTTCCCCGTTCGAGAGAGTCGAACGTTGAGGTGTGATGCGCCAGCTTTAGCGCATTCGGAGTTTAGGCAAAAGAGGCGCAGATTGACTTCCGCTTCACCGCCTAACCAAAACCGGAATCGAAGTATAAGACCTCGAGAGTGTTTACTATTCAAGACATGTCTCATTACGTTTCTTTTGTATATCTTTATTTAATTCTTATGTCTTACATTGAAGAAGAAAATTGAAGTCTACGGGTACATAACACTTATTTCTCCTTTTATGCGACTATCCGTCCAGACATTAGTCGACCCACCAACTGGTCAGTTTGAGTCCCATTCAAAACATTGCTAATTAAATAACGAGAGAATAAAAATTGCCGCAAAAACGTACATGCTTGCCTAGTAGGCTTTTTATCACATGATTTGATATACCTTCTGGACATGTCTCACCTGATAATTTGGGGGGAATCTCAAGGGCTTGAACTACACTGCGACCATACCACTTTAGTGAACATAGCTGGAAGACACTAACACCTCTTCATTATATGAATAGCTTTGAAATCTTCATTATTTCTCACAGGCAGATGGTATCATTAGAGTTTTGTTAAACGATAATATCAGCAATACTTACACATAGAGCTGCAAAATCTCATCTTCCCCTAGCACGACGAATCTCAACTTCATGATGCCCATAGGTTCCACAAACTTCATCCCAATAAACACCCAGCGCAACCTGATTGTACATTCCAGGCGCCTTGAAGAGCAATTTTGTATCAAATGGAAGCCAAATGCCGCTCTTCAAATCATCACTCCAGTTTTCTAGAATCCTGTCACACGCTTGAAGCAGATCTACAAAATCTGCTGAGGGAACGGGTACCTGAATCGACAGAATCGGCTCCCAAATCAGATCAAGATCTTGTATACCGTCGAGGTTTGCAGTTGCAGTCTCGTGAGTCCTCCCGTGGAGTACGAGTTCACGAGCAGTTTCGACAACATCCCAGTCCGACTTGCCCTTATCTTGCTTGAGGTTGAAAACGAGATGAACCCAACACTTGGTACCGAGAGGGAAATCAGTATTCATGGTATCAGCTATCAAGTTCGGTATGGTTGTAGGAAATATTGATCTTTAATCTCAATATTGATTTTTAATCTCAAGTTCTTCAAGTTGGGACCCTTTGATGGTTAGGTGCTATGTAGTGGTGGTGCTGAAACTTAAGGTTTGGAACTTGAAGGATCAAATACTTAATACTTTTATATACCAGACTAGAAGGCTACTATACTATTGTAGTTTTTGATAATAGAAACGACTTGAGCGAATTAATCAGGACTTTGTCAATGACAAAGGATTCCAAGTTCTTTTATCAATTCTCCTTTGTTAGTATGCCACCTCAATGCTGATCTTTTAAAGGAACAAATGCGTATGTGGTTTCTTTCATCTAATTTTAGCGATAAGATGTATTTCATTATGATTGACTTGATGTAGTACAAATCTGCCAATTACTCTTTCCGGCTAGTTTTCCCTATTTGAGTTCAGTGCACCAATAGTACGACATTCTGATTCCCCAGCCACACTTTTCCATCAGCTCTCGTTTACTTCTCCTCTCCTCGTTCTCTGTATCATTCTCGCACATATTACTTGAGCAAATTTAAGTAGGCCCACTTGGAAAATTTGAACGAAAAAATGCTTTAAAATGTGGGCAAATAATCTGACTTCTACAGTGCCATTCCCCAGAGATTACGATTGTTTGGTCCGATGAGATGGGTTCAATAAAGTCAATATTCCGGCCTGATTTTACCTGGCCTCGGCCAATGAGATCGACCATATGCAAGATCGCACCGAGTATCCCACGTTGTCCTGGAAAGCTCGAACTTGGAGCATGGGGCCTACTGCACAGGGCCTTATATCACATATCTGAATGGTACTCTGAATGGTATGGCATCAACTTGGATGCCCGAGTCATGCAATCGCGCTTTGGTCTTATACTTAAGTGGTCCAATCGAACCAGCATGGAGGAAGTCGCCGCAATGCAAATGGCACGAGCTGCCGGTATGCCTGTTCCCAAGGTCCTATCTTGTGGAGAGCATCCCAATGAGCCATATAACCGTCTTTGGTCAATATTGATGACAAGACTCCCGGGTATTCAACTCGAGAACTCATACGACTCTCTCCATGTCGAGTTGGAGGAGCCATGGCTGCTTGAACTCAAAACCTGCCTCACTTCCATGCGTGAATGGACCTCGCCTTATGATAGGCGTATATGTTCTGTCATTAACATGCCTATGCGGAGCGCCCGAGTACCAGATCATACCATGGGTCCTCTTGCGAACGATACTGAGTTTCATGAGTTCCTGATAAGTCCTGCCTCGGGACACGGCTTTGATACTACTGAAAAATATCTCGAGGCACGGGTCCAAGCAAACAATATACGCAAATTTCAACATCGGATCACATTCACCCACGGTGACACAAGGCTCACAATATTCTTGTCGGAGACGATGGCCATCTTTCCGGGTTTCTCGACTGGGAGTCAGCTGGATGGTTACCTGAGTATTGGGACTATACAACTGCTATGAAGTTCGGCGTGAAAACTTGGTGGTTCCAAGTGGCGTCTTGGATGAGTGGGGATGAGTATTCTCAGGAACTAGTTTGTGATGTTGCGTTGAATTCATTGACCGTTGACTCTTACATAGCCTTCTAGTCCTAGAGACCTTGATGATATCAACGAATGTCCACAAGACAGAGTTTTGATTTTGTTCAACTTGAATATTCAAGTATGAATAAACCCTAACAAAAATCTAAAGCGGGTGTAATGAAACACCGCCTGGGAAACTGGTTTAAATCGAAAGAAAGATGATATCCGATTTGACTCTAGGGCTATAATAGGGGCCCTGCATGAGGCTCTATTTAACCTCCCTTACCTTGAATGAGACCCTAGCCAATGGATCTCCAGGGCTCTTGATCGACAGGGCTATTGTATGAGATTGAATCAGGGTCTCGGCTAGATTACCGAAGCGATCGAAATCTGGGCTGCATCACGATGCTTCTCCGTACATGTGAATCAAGCGGTCCACAACTTGCTCTGATCTAAAGATGCTACCTAACCACATGTGCAGCACTTGCGATGGCACTCAATTGATGGCCTGTTTGCTGAGGCACTCACAGCACTTGAGTTACCCCTTGTTATGGTCAATTTTGGTGGGGCTTTGTAGATCTATTCGGGCCGTCATAGGCTCATAGCCGTAGAGCATCTATACTAGCACCAGGCTTCAAAACAACCTAAATACGTTAACACAAATTTTTATTTAAAGATTTGAGTGCTCAAGATAATATGCAATTCAGTTAAGCAGGTGATCTCTCATAGTAGAACTCATGCGTACACGCAATACAACTTCGAGTTCAAGTTGTCATCTCCAGATGTCTCGATTGATGCTGGCCAAGTGGCATGCTAGTGATACAGCCATGTATATATATCATTCCAAGTTGTTTCATCCGAACTTCAACTTCCAACAAGTTCAAGTTCAATTAAACATTTGAAGGTTGAACTTCAGATTGATCCTCAATTTAAATGACTTGTTTTGATCTCAAAATATAGATTTGAACAATTGCGAGTAAAAGTTTTCAATAATAATAGTACCAAGTACCAATTCATGAAACTCGTCTACGTCGAGGGCTTCTAGATCGACATCATGCGATTCATGCCTACTAAGTACTGCCAATATCTGCATATCCATACATTGATCTCACTGTGAATTCTAAGTAATTTACTAGAGCACTACTATGAGAACTTGAACAAAAATTGAATTACTAGATGTATGTACAAAACGTAAGCAGTTTAGAGGCTTGCCCGGAGCTCCGGCCGTGGAGGACGGTGTAAAGACTACCGTAGCGCGTATGAAGATTGCTCAGGTGGTGTAGGTATGTGATACCTTCCAAATGTTAAGACTCGGGCTCAGTTAGTACATAAGTTGAAAATTTAGAAGTATTAAAAATAACTACCAGCTTGTGCCCACACAACAGCACCGGGATTGCTTTGTAACCTTACTCAAATAACGACCATTGATGATACATGAGCAACTAAATTGTGATTTACATAGAATGGATTGCTTTAATTTCAATTTGTCATTCCAAGCAGGGAAATCAGAGCTAAATCTTGATAATGTGATGCTATGACAAAGTAGGTTGGAACTGAAGCAACAGCGGATACAAGGATGCCCAAGCAAAGGGGTGTCGGATTGCTTGGCCTCAGTAGATGCGGAGCAGTCAATCAAATGTCTAGACAGTACGCCTGGGAACTCCTAGAGTTTGCCAGCTAGTAGGCTAGTCCTTGGGCTTCTAACCCACCTACGCCATTGTTTGGAGAATTGAACAGAAATGCCGATCGGGGAGTTCTCGTGGAGAATCGTACATTTGCAGCGTTGCGATCTCTAATTCCTGCTCGTGGCTCAAGGGCGCGAAACAATGAAGGGTGACTGGAGCTTCCGCTATGAATGGGGGAAATTAACTGGTGGACAAACTATCCCTTGCAGCATGATTTGCCATGCCGTCACGCACTCCACGGTGTTTTGGCCCAAAACAAGACTCGCGCTTACTAGAAATTACTACTAACTCTAGGGCCTTTCATAGGCTGGATGCATGATTTAGTGCCCGAGGTGCTGCAGGGACCAAAACAAGACCTCGGGGTTTGTTGAACTTATGCCCCTTGTGGGGCGTTGGTGGCTGGGTCCGAGTCAGGAACAGCAGATCATTGACCCACTCTCGAAGTGAATATTGATAGCTAATTCTTTAACAGTTTATGAGTAATGGAATTAGAATGGTGAAATTTGATTGAATGCGTCATTACAGTGCATTGATTATAGGCAAAGTTCAACAGTAAAATATCATCATGGGATCATATTAGCTAGACCTCGGTAGAACATTACAGGATATCCCATCAGCAGATGCATAACGGGGGAATTGTGGAGTCGCGAGGATCTGACTTGACGAACCAAGAAGTGCCAGGGCAATGGAATGCTAGGATAGACGCTTGACTCGCGTGAAAACCATACCCTAGGGCCAGTAGATCCATACCAGGGGTTGAGGAAGGAGGCCTAGTTGGGTCGAAAGCCCTAGGAAAGTGGAGTGATCTACTCGCTCCCTTTCCTTGTGGGCTGCATTCCGAGGAGAAGAGTAAACATCCTTTGACTTGGACTCGGTGATTGAGAGGGCTCACAGACCTCCAGTGATTTGTATAAAGGACTGCCTGTTCATCGCCCAAACTATTCTTTCTTCATCACGCATCACACTCTTTAAGCTTCTCTTCTCATTCTGAGTTCAGTCTTCATTTCAAGATTTTATAATCTCCGAGACCTTTCGTTCAATCCCAAACCCACACAATGCAATTCACTCTGTCTGCTGTTCTCGGCTTTGCCGCCCTCGTCGCTGCTCTGCCTCCTGCTCCCGCTGCCGGTGGTATCGGTAACGCCAACGGTGTCAACAACAAGGGCAACACCGATGTCCGCTTCCCTGTCCCCGACAGCATGACTGTCAAGCAGGCTCAGGCCAAGTGTGGTGATCAGGCTCAGCTCTCTTGCTGTAACAAGGCCACCTACGCCGGTGACACCACCGATGTCAACTCTGGCATGCTCGGCGGTACCCTCAGCAACCTGATCGGTGCTGGCTCTGGTGCCGACGGTCTTGGTCTCTTCGACCAGTGCTCCAAGCTGGATCTTCAGAGTAAGTCATCATCTCATCACTTGGAGATCAATCAGATACTAACATATCACAGTCCCCATCCTCATTGGCATTCCCCTCCAGGACCTTGTCAACCAGAAGTGCAAGCAGAACATTGCCTGCTGCCAGAACTCCCCCTCCAGCGCCGTGAGTACCTCATTCATCTCAAGTACCCAAATGACATATACTAACATTCGCTCAGAACTCGGACCTGGTCGGCGTTGGCCTTCCTTGCGTTGCCCTTGGCTCCATCATCTAAACCTCTTCCTTTGTTATCTGGCATTATGCGAGAAGCACTGGTTACCATGTCTGGCCATCGGGCCTCGGCTCTTAGCTCTTGACATGATGGTGAAAGTGGACCGTTATCGATCATCAGGGATGGATTCAGGCGCTTGGTATTTGTTTTCAATAGTTGGCTACCTGCATCGCAGACTGTGTATCATTAACTGTGTCGTGTGGCACCCCCTCGGAGAAAGAAGACTGTTTTTGTTTCAAGTTTTTTGTTTGACATGGTGCTTTTGCTTCTTGTCTTGTGCACTGGATCCGTTGTGAGCTGTTGTCTACCTCGGTGTTCTCTCGCATATATAAGTTTAATTCATTAGATTTGCGCTTTACATCCACACTCGTACCTTCACCTGATTCTAACCAAGTAATCATCTTATTCAACCTTAGACCTCCTGCTGTATCTATTCCCATTCAAGGTGCATTGAACACCGAGAAATTGGAAACAACTTCAAAACTTTCCTCTCGGGTGGCTTTCGGTTATACTCCCAAGTCTCTAACCTTCTCCAACCCATCAGGCTCCTTGATACTTTTTAATCCAACTTGAAGTCATTTTTTTTGTTCAAAGTCCAATATTATGTAGGTACACGTAGCTTCATTTTTTTTGTTAAGCCAGCATCATCTGGACCTGTCTCTATGTACAATCTTGGAAGTTATCACACACGCCAATAATTCCATTTTGTAACCTCTCTTCAAACTTTTAACTATGTACTAGTAGTACCAAGGATGTCCGAATTCATTGCTATGCCAAATCCCAAAGTCCAACCCCCGATCATTCAATCCATTTAGCTCCAACCACTTCAATTCCGCTTTCTCGTCAAAAGAAAAGTTGTCTTCCGTAAGACTCACTCGATCCAAGTCCTTCACTGGTGTTGATCCCCGTAACGTCTTCAACGACAACGAAGACCGCGGAATCTTCAAAGAAGAGCCCCTTCTCAATAAACCAGTCATGGATCTCTTGATCTTCGACCCTGGCTCGATTATCCCAGAACTTTTCATACCCGACTTTCCACATTTATTTCTGTCAACTGGAACTCTCACACTCTTTGATCTCCGGGCCATATTCTTCTTGCCACTCCATTTGTCACTCGTATCAATAGGATCCTGCAATTTCCTCTCCGTATAATCCGATGGTGATTGCACTGTATCCATCTGCAAGACTGGATACTCAGGCAAGGTGAATGCCCTCACTGCATGGTTTGTTGCAGGATTCAACGCTTCTGCATTATCGAATAGTGTTTGGAGATTGAGGTCGGCGGGCGTAAGTCTTTTCCGGTGAGTTGGCGACTCCGTTGGAGTAATAGGTTCTTGGTTCGAGAGACGAATTGTGGAAGCAATACTATCAACTCGTGTGAGAGACCCAGTGTTGGAAGAGATCTTGATCAGGTCTTTGGAGTCATCGTAATGAGGGTTGTGTGGTTTCGAGGTGGATAATTTGCGGGATAGTTTGTTATTGCAAATCGAGCGAGTAAGAGACGAAATGAAGCCCATGGTTATTGGTGTATGGTATTTCCAGCGTTCAAGTATTGTTGTTCACTAATAATATGAACATGTAGATGCCAGTAGTGGAGTATAAGAGTGGAGAGGTTGCACTAACGCAACTGAGGGAGTGATAACTGATAAAGAAATTACGAGTCAAATCTGGGGCAAGGGGGACCTAGAATTCTACAATTAATGAATTACATACTGCATTTTGTCTGGGGCTAAAGAGTTGTACGAATGATACTTCCGCGATCAAGATACTGATCCGTTAGTGTTGCAGCTAGCGACTGCAGTGAAACAGTCGATCGCTTCAAGTAGATTCGACACCAGCAGCCTTATCACACGCATCACCCGCATCATCAAGAGTACGTTTCATACTATAGAAATTCAAATCTCAGATGGTGGTTGTCAAAAGTACTCATATTTCGGTATCTTCATCATTACAATAGTGGATAAGCAATCTTACACTCGGGAAGCATTCAGTAACAGGACATCAATAAGGCACCGCAATTTCCTCTGCACAGCAACAGAGGCCCGAAGCAGTCATGAGCAAAGCTTGCAGATTAACTGTGTTTCTACAAAGTCGATCCAAACAAACCCAGTAGCAGGTGTCGGAAGCCGCATTCCCCAGGTGACCCAAGGGAGTTAAGCAAGGATGCCCCATAACCCCTGGCGCCCAGCACGAGTAGCTTCAGCGCACGGTGCACACGTCATTACTAAACGGATTTTTTGCCAGGCGATGGTATGCGAGGTTTTCCGCAATCTGGAATACTAGTATGAGGTTGGTGCCTATATTATGTGGGCAGGAATGTCATGGTGGAGATCTACGGCTCCATGTCGATCTTCGTTCTCAAGAGCTCTCTTGAAGAATGTGATAGATTGGAGAATGTTGCGCATTGACCCTCCAGACCTGAAGATCTAACTCCGATCTCTTCTACGGTCAAGCTATCTTAAAAGTCAAGCTTTGAGGAAGAAGAGCGGTCTGACTGGGAATAACTGCAGGTCTCAGTTGAACTCCAGGATGTGGTGATTCAGTCGATGTTTGACAATCGAGCGCATGAGGGAGCTACCAAGTTCTTGAGCAAAATTCACCGTACGACAGATGCAATGTAGATCGAATGTCAACTCTGGGGAATAATCCGTAATGGCAAGAATCAAGTTCCCGATTGCTCATATTCCGGTTGGGCACGCCATCCTGCACCTCCAGGCTGCAGCTGTGGCTGCATGAGGCTGTCAGTGGCCTTCCAATTCAAGTCCTGCTAAGTGATTTGTACATTAGTCATGATTCATGTTAACCTCCAAATGTTGGGAAACAACGGATTCCCGCATGGGGATATCCGTACTTGAAAAAAAACATTCTCGGTGTCAAATGCCATGTACTGGATTATGGATGGGCACAAATCCAAAGGTCTTTATTTGGAAAGATACATGAATACAAAAATAGCTAATACGACCGCTCAAAGCTTGCTTGCAGGGGCATCGTTATACAGCGATCGAGTCCGGCTCACAGCCTCCAGGGCCTCCTTCTCAATCCGCTCCAGCAACACAGCGCAAGTGGGAATATCATGAATCAATCCAATAACCTGACCAGCAGTCCAGACCTAAACCAGCTGTTAGTATGAACATACCCTCTACGTTAAGGGTAAAGGTATCACTTACTCCAAAGTCCTTGTCACCGTTAATAAAGACCTCACGACCACGCTTACCACTCACATGAGGCGCCATGACGCTAAAGTCATCAGTCTTGCTCTCACGCTCAACCTTCAGCGCCTCATGGGTAACCTTATTCTTGAATAGACGCGTAGTGTTTGTCCATCGACGCATGACAAGAGCGGTATCCGTCTCTTGCGCATCAACAATAGCCTGTTTGATATTGTTATGAATAGGAGCCTCGACTGTGCTCATGAATCGAGTACCCATGTTAATACCCTCGGCACCGAGCGCCAAAGCAGCAGCTAGACCCTGACCATCAGCGAAACCACCAGAGGCAATGAACGGCACGTTTAGATCTTGGCGAGCACGGCTGAGAAGAATGAAGTTGGTGATATCGTGTTCACCGACATGGCCAGCACATTCGAAACCATCGATGGACAGGAAGTCCACACCCAGCTTTACAGCGGACTTGGCGTGTCGGATGGTGGTACACTTGTGTAGAATGATGATACCGGCTTTCTTCAGTTGCTGGATCACAGGGCCAGGGTTATTACCGGCGGTTTCAACGATCTTAATTCCTTCATCGATGATGACTTGGGCGTAGGCAGCGTAGTCTGGGGGCACCAGAGAAGGGAGGAGGGTCAAGTTGACGCCGAATGGGTACTTGGTCATGGTGCGGCATCGTCGAATTTCCTTGCGCAGGTCTTCGGGGGTGGGTTGAGTGAGGGCAGTAAGCTGAATTTTGATGTTAGATATCAGATAATGGACAGAGAGATCATGTGGTATAGTGAAAGAAAGTCACGATATAGGGATATGACGTACGAGTCCTAGTCCACCGGCGTTGCTGACTGCTGAAGCCAGCTCGGCGTATCCTACCCACTGCATGCCTCCTTGCACGACGGGCACTGTATGGCATGAGTTTTTCGTGTAGATCAATTTGGTCCGATCGAATCTAACATACCGCGAATGCCCAGCTTGCGCGTGAGGGCTGTGTTGAAAGGCATCTCGTCGAAGAGGAGAAGGTTGTGGGGTATCTAATGATAGCGATCCCTGAAGGAAGTCTATGTCTCAAAGGGTACTAAGAAAAAAAAATCCGATATGAAAAATAAATCCCAGAACTATGGAGGAGTGGAAGGAGTGATGTGGCTTGGAAGAAACGTTGTATTAAGAGGTCCCTAAATCCGGGGGTAAGCCGCGGACCTGGGCTGTGGGGGAGGAGAAGTTGCCGAGGTTCGGATGCACCATGACATTAAATGGATTAGTCGGCCTAACCCTCAGGCCGAAGCATTATAGTTATGAACATCAGAGTAAATCAAAGAATTCATAACAGAATAATCATTATAGATCATTATGTCATTGAGCATGATACCCTTTCAATATGACTGTAAATAATTCTCCACATGCTAAAGCAGTACATGCCAGAATCGCATGTGACCATATGAGCTTAAGCTCAGGATATTTTAGCACTAAACAGCATTAACCCACATGGAACTAAAGCAGCATCAAGCAAGTCCTGAGTCTAGCTTGAAATATCATGCTCCACTGTTTCAGAGATTGAAACTTGAAGAACATCAACCTGGGAGCGAATACCTGGTCCAGGTGTCTGGAGTTTATAGGACACAGCTTGGAAGGCTGGCACATCCACAAAAGGGTACCCCTTTCCCAGACACTTATTATAGTCAGCGCCTTCTAGAGGACACGAAACCATGGATTCAATATTGAATCTTACTCGAGTGATTAACATTCAAGTATTTACTACATTTAACATTGATAATTGATATGTAACCCTGATATGAAACCCATCGGACTCATGGGAAGAGACAAATGGGCGATTAACGACGGGAGTCCTTCTCCGAGCCTCGAAAGTCCCTCGATGTCGCGACAGAATGCCGAAACTAGAGGGTGCTAAGCACATCGACTTCATTCCACAAGTGGTACATCAACGTGAGCGGAGACTCGTGATGAAGGAAAAGAGAAGAGGAAGCGGAAGCGAAGAAGACACTAATAAAAATTAACAAGCGAGAATAGATCACATGACCTGGTATATATAGTCACATGACCTCCCGAAATGACATTGGAAGAAGGATCTTCCGGGTGTAATTGTCTGCAATTCCATTGGTTCCCGGTCCTCAATCCCGTGACGGGCGAAACCCGAGGTTACCGTTCCGATCATTCGCGATAGCCGTATTCTTCACTTCACAACGTGAGAGTTATCGTCAATAACCAGCATCATGTTCTCTCAGAAGGTTGCTCAACAATCGCTGCGACGGCGTAGGTCCCACTCAATCCCTCTAGACCCTCTGGAATTGACCCTTTGACTAACAATTCTTCACCCGGTTTTACAGTCGCCGTCCAGCAGCCGAACCTCATGCAGTCCATGGTGATGCGCGCTTCGCCCGCCACCATGGCGCTCGGCAATGTTCAGAAGAGGTCAGTTCCCTCGAATCCAGAGACTATACAACACTCCTCGATATCTCTTTCATCCCCGGAAATGTCACCCCGCGACAACTTCATACGTCATCCAATCGATTCGATCCTTAAAAACTAACCCGCGATATCTTCCCCATATAGACACACTTCCTCCAACTCTGAGGACCCCACCCAGATTCTGGCCAAGCAGCGTCTGAACCGTCCCGTCGCTCCCCATCTCACTATCTACAAGCCCCAGATCGGCTGGATCGGTTCCTCCCTGCACCGTATCAGCGGTGTCGCCCTCTCCGGTACCCTCTACCTGTGGGCTACCGCTTACCTCGCCTCCCCTGCTCTCGGCTTGCACCTCGAGTCTGCCTCCATGGTCGCTGCCATGGGTGCCCTTCCCCTCGCCGCTAAGGTCTTCCTCAAGACCACCCTGGCCCTCCCTTTCACCTACCACGCCATGAACGGTATCCGTCACTTGACCTGGGATCTGGGTCGCGGTCTCACCAACTCTGCCATCATCAAGTCCGGCTGGACCGTTGTTGGCCTGAGCGTTACCAGCGCTATTGCTCTTGCTTTCCTGTGATTTCATATCTCTCATACCTCTGAGTTTCCTTGTGTTATTAAAGTGATTTTGTCGAATTCTATACATGAAATCCGGTCCATGGCGCGGCTCTTAAAAGGCGCTATTTCTTTTTTCTAACAATTACTTTCTGCTACTGAAATCTTACCCTTCTAAGTTTCTTTAGTACCCCGGTTACTGGGTTTTCTGTTCACATATCTATTTTCTATTAAAAGGCGATTGATGTCTGTCATGAACCAAATACACATTCTGGTCCTCGGTACACCAGTACTCCTAAGTTGCCTTCAATGGCTTACATTTTAATCATCATAGCAAGGAATTGAAGTCAATAACTTGAACGCAGTTATGAATTCGGTTCCTCAAACAGCACTCGAACTCTCAGCCCTCCATTATTCCTTCCCCCGAGAATCTCCAACCCATAAGGACCGTTCCAACATTGATATCATTAGATTTCGTTTCAATATCCAAAACAAATTGCGGACAGGCAAGGAAAATCCTTCAAATAGTCTAATTCGAGTTAGCGTAAGCTTCTCCAGCTGCACATATGTACTTCGTATTTAAAGTTTGAAGGAAAACTGACCTATCAGCCTGATTTTAACACAACGCCCCAAAACTGGAAACCCATTCATTCAAGCCGGACTTGGGGGAGGGTTGGGAGGGAATGGTCGTGGCGATGGTGGATCTTGCACGGAATGGTTGCAGGCTAGTGTGGATATAGAAGTATAGAAGACTTGAGTCGAGAAAGAGTGGGCAGACACAGTGTTGGCAGACATTATGGTTGATTCAAGCTTTAGAGGAAGCACAAGTTGAGCAGATAGGTAACTCGTTCTGGACAAGATCACAGTGAAATACTGTATCTTAAACAAAGAATAATAAATATGTGGATATTGATAGAAGACCGGTGTGGAAGACACTTTAGTAAGGATTTGAACTTGATGGTTGAGAAAGTAGCAACAGAATTGAATTTGCACTTTTTTTGAAAAATAAGAATCATTTCAGCAGGTCAATCCTCTCTATTTAACGGTTCACAGACCTCTAGAGCAATCGGGGCCTTCGGAGACGCCATGCCTCACACCAAGTCGTACACCGCCATCCGATCATCCCAATCAAGATCCTAGGAAACTGTTTGAAAATAGATGAATACTTTCCTTACTGCACTGCGTACCGGGGCTTGGGCGTGGCTTCTAGCTGCTAAGATCTGGAAATTTCTCGGTAGACTCTGCAAGGGCCCGACGGAACTTGCTGTATAAACGTTAGAAGCCGTGACACCCGTCTCGACCTTGGTAGTGCGGCTGGTGCCTTGGTATTGTTTCGGAATCAGTCTACACAGTACAAGATACATTCTACTAGGATTTTGTTAAAATGAATTTATCAAGTTCTTTCTGATTCAAGTTGTGTAGGTAAAAGATACATCTGGTACTTGACTGCCAAGTACCGTAGCCACTCCATGTCTCCATTGCATGGACCCATTGAAGCAATCAATGTCATGTATCATGTATGTAACTAGGAAATTTTTTAGCCAGCGGCGAAATAGAGTATCCACTCTAGCTAATCAACAAATCAGCTTAAAAGAAAAATTCTCTGTATCTTTGCTGGCTGAAGATCCTTTCCCCAGAGCTTCCCGGGGCCTGCAGTCTCCAGTGGAGTGACACCAGCGGTCTGAGCCGTCGATCCTCGGCATTGTGCAGGCATCTTGATCGATGAGAATTACTTTTTAAGGGTGAAGTGCGGCTACTGACCTAAATTGTTATTCTCGGATAGTCAAGCTAGGCAATGGGATTAATTGGATGTTATGCTAGTTGTTGATATTTGTAGAGAATCCTAGAAAAACATTGATTGCTGAATCATGCAATGATTACCCCATCGATTTTTCTTTGGGCGTGGCAATCGTGATGGATTAGTATTGATTCAAGTGGCAGGCATAGAATGTATGCAAAGCCCATTGATTTCATGTCAACGAGGTAGCCTTTTCATCACAATGGCATTATACACCTTCTACCAGACTATCCTTGAGTAGGAAAACCTCATGGGTTGTTTTCTTCTCGACGGCTTCCCTAATAGGTAACATGAGGATGTAGCAAGCAGTCCTGCACACACAACAGAAGTACAAGCACACGTGGATCAAGCGGTGCATCCCGCCGTAGCACAGAAAGTCTCCTGCCTTATTCAGGGGGGCACCCAAAAGAGCCGTTGACATGATGACACAGCAGGAAGATTTCCGCATTCTGTCCAGCACGGAAAAACAGGGTTTCTTCGAGCCAACCACCGTGTCTCGGCCGGCTTCACGGCTGTACAAACCCGTGGGAGACATCAAGCAATCTCGAAATCGGCCGTGCGTTGATCTTTGTTTAACCTTACCTTTTGCTCGGCCGAAGCAGATCATTGACTTGAAACCTTCTGGTGCATCCATAGAAGGTCACCGAATGTTCTTCCTGAGATTCATGCTGGGCTTGTCTGGACCATCTAGAACTCTACTTGTTCGAGATCGGTGTTACCTCTCGGCAGCGGATACGGACCTGTGCCCGGGTTGTTGGGCCGCGCTTAGATCGTTTTGCGGCACTTGCTTGTATTTCAGCATCCAGTAATAGATCTGGATGTGGTTACCTAGCAGTTCTGTTTCGCCGGAGCTCTTCGGGATTGACGATGTGGGATAACAAATAACCAGGTGTCTAGAACATCATGTCATGGCCATTTTATCCAGAGAAGGACATTGCTGAAATAGAGGGGTTCCAGTGGGCTGTTCATATAAATAACCTGCCTCCGAGGCCAAGTTTGTTCCAAAGGGAACATGCAGAGACAATGAACGGGGTCGAGTTAATAAAATCGCACAGGACTAATGCAGGTAATGAAGTGGGAAGCCTGCAACAAGCATCAAAGTGCGGCAAGACTGAGTGGTGTTTCAAGTAGCGGTATAATCAGAATCCTGGTTCAGATAGAACAGTACTTGACCGCTAGAATCCACCTTGCAAACTGCATTAGTTTTCCTGTGAGTCATGACACTAACACGATCAGAGCGGCGTTGAGCATGGCAGCGCCGGATGTGCGGCGGGTGAGCCCCGATACCAATCGCACCCTGGTTTCTGGGCTATGAGCAAGTGGTAGGCCCATGCAATGCATTCCTGATCCAGGTATGATACTACCTTAGCCAGAGCTTTGAGAGTAGCAAGCTCTCACGCATCAGCGGTGAAGAACCTCCGTGCCTCGGACCCCCTCAAGTATGTTTAGTTTGACATACAAATCGAGCAATCAGATCAACTCGGAACATGATCTCATGTGTCAATGACATCGGAGTATTTTGCAAGTCTCGAACTTAGATTTCCTGTTTTCTTCTTCATATTTTCTTTTTCTCCTCTTTTGCTATTGCCAGGTGCCTAGTGAGGCTGTACATAGCTGTAGAGTAACAAGTCGGGGGATCAACAAAGCGGCAGTATCCACACCGCCGAGGCTGAATTCTTTCCATCTTCACGACCAAAAGGTCCAAAACCAACATCCGCAGTCCAACCGTCCACCATGGCTTCGAATCTCTCCACACGAGCGGTCAGGTCCGCCTGTATCGCGTCAAAGGCCGCTCCTCGCTCCCTGGTCACATTAATCCCTCGTCGCTCCTTCGCCACCAACCCCGAGACCGCGGAGCCCCCAACTACCCAGGCTGAACAACCCCGATGGTCGTACACTCCTCCGCAGGCCAAGGCGCCATTCAGTTTGCACATGCACTCTGGACGTCCTGAATTCCACAACAACTCGGACCCCGAAGTCCTTGACAAGTTCTACATCCGTATGCTGGGCAATGGCGGCGAGAATTATCTCTCGGAGGAAACCAAGTGGTTGGCCGTGACCCACAAGAGTTTCGATCAAGGACGCCGCGGATTCAATGATCGATTGGCTTTTCTCGGTATGCAATTGGATAATGGACATATGTTGTGATAGACTTATGGGAATGGTCGCTTACGATTGTTTAGGAAAACGCATCGTTCAATTGCAGGCATCGCTTGCTCTTGCGCAGAACCCTACACCTGCTAGCAGCTCCGCAAAGGTGGACGAGTTTGGCCGTGAGCCTTTCTCCCACGCTGCGCTGGATGGCCTGCGCAACCTTTCTCCCAGCACTAAGAGCTTCTTGACCGACCGGTCCAAGCTGGCCGAGCTGGCACAAAAATACGAGATGCAGAAGGTTGTCCGATGGGAGCCTCGCAAGGTGAGAACCCTCAGTCATTGGGTGAAATGTGAATCTTCATGCTAACGATTTGTTCTTAACAGCCTAACAACCTGATGGCATCTGGACTGGAGCTGGTCCTGGCACACACCATGTATGCCATTATTGGAGCGATTTCTTTGGAGAAGGGAGGACATATTGCCAACAAGGTGGCTCAGGAGCGGATACTCGAGCCTTTGGGCATTCGGTCGGTTTCATAAAGGTGTAACCGCAGCATATTCCCAGCGTTTTGATTTTGATGTTGGAGACTGGCAGGGAGGATCAAGTCTCTCTGCAAAATTGTATATGTACTATTAGAACTTTCCATTTACCTTTACTGCAAATACCATTGGTCTACCATAGATCATTCATTACTTTACTTGATTTAAGATTTCAAAGAAGAAATTGTTCAACATGAAAATATTTCAATTCATCATCTAGATAGCTATTGATATGGATGTCCGGCTCCTCTGACACCGCCCGCGCAACAGTACAAAATACACGGCCAGCTCTTATGGATCCCTCGTAAAACGATCGTAGTCTCCGCTCCTCTGTATCGCAAGTGTAGCAATAGTAACGAAAGATCGAACAGAATGCCCAATCCCCCGATTACTGCCTTGAACTGTCTATTGGGAGCGTTAAGAGAAGAAAAGAAAAGAAAAAAATTTCGAAAACGAAGAGATTTATAAAGAGCCACGCTAAACTACTTTAGGACAAGGATCCACTTTAGTCTTGCGGGCATCGGGCTCGACCTGGTGTGTTTCCACCTCTCCTCAGCTCCTATCTTACCTTGGAATTCATCCTTATTCCTTTTGAATATGTCGCAGTAGAGCGCAGAATGCGGCTTATTTGTTCTTTCACCTTCCATTAATTCCCAAACTTCTCGATTCGTCCCTCCTTCCAATTCCCACATTGAACCCGCCGAAAACCAAATCCACCCCCCATTGACACGTCATGGCGTCGGCGCTCTTCTTTCTCGACCTAAAGGGCAAGGTGGGTAGTTCAATATCTGGGGAGGATCTGAAGCCTATTTTTTTGGGTGGTCTAACCAATTCGTTCGCGCTCATACTGATATGGAAATATGAAATCACTAGACCCTTCTGGCCCGCAACTATCGCGGGGATATCCCCATGTCTGCAGTCGAGAAATTCCCCATCCTGCTCAGCGAAGCCGAAGAAGAAAGCTCTGCTGTTCCCCCCCTGCTTCTCACACGAGGGCATCAACGTACGTTCCAAACAACCTTAATCTTGCATGAGCGACACTCCTCCTTTACTCCTTTTGTGCGCGTGCCGCCACCACAACATTCTCTAACGTCGAAATTTCGATCATATAGTACCTTTATATCCGTCATAGCAACCTTTACATCTTGGCATTGACTAAGAGGAACACCAATGCCACCGAGATCCTTCTCTTCCTCCACAAGCTTGTGGAGGTCTTTACCGAATACTTCAAAGTGTTGGAGGAGGAGAGTATCCGGGATAACTTTGTCATCATCTATGAATTACTCGACGAAATGATGGATTTCGGATACCCACAGACAACAGAGAGCAAGATCTTGCAAGAGTAAGACGCCACTACACGACGAATTTCGAAAAACTAGGAACCCGTCTAACTGACGGAAAAACAGATATATCACTCAGGAATCACACAAGTTGGAGGTGCAAGCACGACCACCGATCGCCGTCACAAATGCCGTGTCCTGGCGTAGTGAAGGTATCCGTTACCGCAAGAACGAGGTCTTCTTAGATGTGGTTGAATCCCTCAACCTCCTTGTATCGGCAAATGGCAACGTCCTGCGATCTGAGATTCTGGGCGCTATCAAGATGAAGTGTTATCTGAGTGGAATGCCCGAGCTGCGTCTTGGATTAAACGACAAGGTGATGTTCGAGACAACAGGTCGTGCTACTCGAGGCAAGTCTGTGGAGATGGAAGATGTCAAGTTCCACCAGTGTGTACGGTTATCACGATTTGAGAACGATCGCACAATTAGCTTCATTCCTCCAGATGGCGAGTTTGAGTTGATGAGCTACCGATTGAATACTCAGGTCAAGCCTTTGATCTGGGTTGAGTGTTTGGTTGAATCGCACTCTGGTTCACGAATCGAGTACATGCTCAAGGTATGATTCCTCCAACCTCCTGGAATATTTACATGTTATACTCATAATATATACAGGCCAAAGCACAGTTCAAGCGTCGCAGCACAGCTAATAATGTTGAGATCCTTGTCCCTGTCCCCGAAGACGCAGATTCTCCCCGATTCCGCACAAACATTGGAACTGTGCACTATGCGCCCGAGAAGTCAGCGATTATCTGGAAGATCAAGCAGTTTGGTGGTGGCAAGGAGTTTCTCATGCGGGCGGAGCTGGGTCTGCCATCCGTAAAGGGAGACGACGAGCATGGTGGTGGTATGACTGGAGGCTTTGGAGGTAGTATGGGTGGTGCTGGAGTCGGCAAAGCAAAGCGACCTATCAACGTGAAGTTTGAGATCCCCTATTTCACTACTAGTGGTATCCAAGTGCGCTACTTGAAGATCACCGAACCAAAGGTATGTTCTCAGTTCCATACCTAACACGAAGAACATAATAACTAATCTAACTCATCACAGCTGCAATACCCCTCTCTCCCTTGGGTGCGCTATATCACACAATCCGGCGATATTGCCGTCCGTATGCCAGACGTGCAATAAACAGTTTTGGATCGAATTTGTGATTATCTACATGCCTGAAATCCTACCGGTTCTGGCTCCTGCATGAGTGATTTGTACAGCCGTTCTTCATGTCCTTATTCCTCCCTTCTTCGCTTTACCCACTTATCTTATCCTCTTTTCTTTCATCTACGCTCTCGTTGAGGCCGGCCGGTCCGATAGATAATTCAATGATCTTATCATTTATCTTTTGCATCCCAGCGAATCATTTACTGATAGTAAGGCTTAAACGTAGTGCTACAAATAGATCATGGATTAAGTTAGTCATAGCTTCAAATGGTTGGGTACGCTATTGGTTCTAATGTTAGCAGCATCACCTGAATGTTGACTACGTATTACTGACTTCTATGGTGCTGGTTCGAAGCATTTTACGATTGCCTACTAAAGCAATGCTGAATCCATCATGATTAGATAGATTGATTGTAAGTTCACTCGATTCTTCAATAAATACTAGAGTCAGGTCAAGTAGCCCAGACAACGGGGTAAATAGAGCACGCGTCATAGATCAAAAAACAATCAAGACAGGGTATCTCGATTCAGAGACAAGAACAAAGCAGAGAAACGATGGAAAAAGAGAGACAAAGATGAGAAAAACATAATCTTCATACCGCAACGCCCATGAAATGTGTCAGCGCCCGTTAAAAATTTGAAAAACTTTTGCAGCCAACGCGTATAAACCCTCAAAATGCCAGCTATACATGTACCACGCTAGGAACGAAACGGAGTACCTGGAAAGAAAGAAAGATAAGATGAAGATGACACAGAGGTCAAGTCAAGTCAGGTCAGGTCAAGAACAGGGAATCGCTCAGAAAGCAGAGTCATCAGCATCAAGACCTCATGTAGCGAGACCATTAGCGTCCTCGGGTGTTTCTGGTGGAGGAAGTGGGAATCCATCTGAACGGCCTGCAGCAGCCAACTTAGAGAATCCTTCACGGGCGAGCATGGTATTCAAGACAGCACAGTTATAAGCAGCTTCGCCTGGAGGCACAACAAGGAAAATATAAGTATTATCCGTGAAGCGACCAAGGAAGATATTGAACTGCGGAGTCTTTGTATGCATAACAACGAAACCAGCAGAAGCAGGCGTGGTAAGTGTATTACGAGCAGCGCAGTGCTTAAAAGCCTTCATGATATTCGAGAGACGTTCATGGCGATCATAGATAGGGTTTAATTCACCGACTTCAGAAGTAACAGATGTAACTGTTAAGAAGGTCGAGCGCTCAAAAAGGATGACTTCTTCCGCATCGATCTTCTTAGCAAAGGCAGTTAAGAAACGTTCGATAACTGTAAGATTTGGAATGAGTTTGTGCACGATTCCAGCCCAGGCTTTATACAGCGATTGATCCCAGATACTACTGCCAAAAGTATCAACGCGGAAGTGTTCTGAGCGACTGCGGATTAGAGCCGAGCGTTCCTCGTAGATACGTTGGCGATGCTCGGCTTGGATGAGATCCATCTTGTGTACAAGACAGAAGACGTAGGCGTTTGGACTGAATTCGCGGAGAGCTTCAATTACAGCATTGTATGTATCCATATCGCGGTCGACTTCACGCGATTCGATATCAAAGACGTAAATTAGGACTGCGACGTCGGAGAAGATGTTGCTGCGTTGAGATGCAAGGTAGGTTTCCATAAAGGCGTCTTGTCTGATAAAGGATAAGAATTTAGATTAGTCAATGTGGTCTTTAAATCGTACGAAAAATATCTCGGTCTGTGCATTGGAGCTAGGACTCACCCTCCACAATCCCAGAGGTTCAGGGTAAGGTTGCCCATGAACTTGACATGACTATGCTCCACATCAATGGTAGCTCCGAGGCGGCGCACATCTTTCGCAACATAGTTACTAAAGATGATAGAGCGCATGGATGACTTTCCCGATCCACTCTTGCCCATAAGGAGGACCTTTCTCTTCTTCTTGCGGGCATCCATATCGGCGGAGTATTGGTGTAGTTGCTGTTAAGCTTGCCCCGCAAGAGCGGGGGCGTATCGGATGGTGCTTGAGGTGACCGAATTCACCTCACAAGGACATAAGGGAGGTTAGAAGGATATGTTCTGGTGGTGGAGGTACAAAATGAGCCTGTTCAGGATGTATTGGAGGAATTGGGGAAGATGGAGATAAGAGAATAGAGGAGGTGCAGCTCCAAGTTAATGCGGAGTGACGGATCAACCTCACATCCGGTGAGTCGGTCACGTGACATATACGACACTGCTTCGGTGGTGGATTTCTAGTCCGATTATTTTGGATGAGGTTTATATTAATAGGATGGGAGATTTAGTAGAGAATAATTCAGGTTGCCTTTCATATGATCCGCTTTCACACTATGTATTGGCATATCATATTCCAAGTCCTTTAATGGAACAGGAGCGGAGCAGCGGGATGACGACATTGAGAAACATTGGAGCACTTGAGCACCTGAGCATATGCAGTCATTTGTCATATCTTACATTTGTGACAATTTCCATAGCTATCATTACTCAACTGCTAACATAAATTACAGAATAATCAGAAGAAAGAAAGAAAGAAAAAAAAGAATCCAGATCGTATCATGAAAATTTCCCATAGTCGCTCGTCAGTTGCTCAACAATGCAGCTTTATGAGGATAAATAGAACATGGCTGCTCAAAGATGTTAAAGTGGTATCCGAAAAAGAAACGCAGACCTGTGCCAGTACAAAATGACTGAGAAGACATGCAAAAGGCCTCAATCGGAGGAACTTGAAGAGAAGGCAAAACCGAGAAGAGAAGATTAGGACCAAGTAAACGGTAACAGAGAGGCCAATCATGAGAATCAATAGGGGTCGTCGCAGTTCATAAAGACCAGCACCAAAATAATAACAATAATCAAGAACGGAGAATGAGAATGAGAATGGAGAGTGAAGAATGAAGGTGTTGGCGCAAGGTATCCCGTTCATCCATTAAACTCATGCGTATATCAGGGCATTAGAAGACCGTGCCATCGGAACGGATCATGATAGGAGGCTCTTTGGTGTTGGGCCTAGAGACTTCGGCGATTTCACGGCCACCCTAGGGAAGTTAGCAAAAGGAATAAGAAATATAAGGATACGACCATTGCATACCTTCCAAGAACCAGCCTCCAGCATCTGGGCTAGTGATAATTGGTCTTCTGAACCACTAAGTCCCAGTTGCGTATTGACCTCGTCTAACAGCTCATCCAAAAATCCCACTGTGGCTGCTCGCCACTCCACAATAACGTCGTCGTCTGTAGAGAAAAGTGGTACAACCTCCATATTCGGTTGTCCCTTGATCTGGCCGTTCTCCTTGAATGCCCGGATGCCGCGCTCCATATCGGGGCCCTTCAGTATGAGGAGTCCCATGTCAATCAGAAGACCACCGTTCCGATACTCTGGTAGTCCTGTCAAAAGATCACTGCCGGCAAAGTGAATATGCATCAGTTTGGACATGGGGACCATAATTGAGTAGCAGAGCCACTGGGTCAATTTGTGGAATGGAATGATGCTCTCCCATTGTTGTGCGGGTGGTGAATTTGGCAGATCAGAACACTCCCAGGCATCTCCAATAGAGACACCATCAATCTGTGTTCGCGATGGTGGCCAAATAGAGGAGAATCCGTCCATCAGAACTGACCAAAGCGTAGTGATGGGAACTATAGGTACAGAAGAAGCGAGAGTAGAGGGATGACCCAAAAGGAAGTCTATAGTCGAATGTATTAGCAAGAGATCGATGGACTCGCCACCATTGCAATCTGCAGAACAAGAAAAAATAGATAACGTACCGAGCATGTTACCAGGGCGAGCATCCACACCAAAGAAGTCCTGGTTATTCAAAGCCTCCGAAAGCCGTACCAGTAAACCCGCACGTCCTTCAACACCAGCAAGAGGGTTCTGTTCGGAATGTTGCATGCCCTTCGCCAACTTCTCAACAGTAACATTCTTCAATCCAGCACCATCCACCTGACACGGCTCTGTGGGATCACTGCTGAATAAACCGGACTTGAACATCTCCAAACTGGCGACGGCAAGACCCTCACTGCGCGAGTAGACCTTGCCGGATTCTTTTGAGCGGTAGGACCATTTGGTGCCCGCGCCTGCATCTAGAAGGACTGAAACGACGAATAAGTCAATTAAACGACGTGTGCGCTCTTGCGCATCGATGCGACTGGGCCACGATTGTAAGAGCTGGTTGATCCGAGGACGACCGCCCACATCGAAATGTTGCCAACGACCATGCGGCGGGATAGTTTCATAGTCTGGCGCATAGTCTCTCTTTTTAATTCAGTTAGTTTGATATTTCATATTTCATGTTTATCATATCATTCAAATGTTGATTCATTGATTTTTTTGGTGTAATGTTACCTTGATTATGGATACGATATAAGAAGCAGTAGCTTGAAATTTGGTCATGTCGACATCGAAATGATTGAGTTGATTTCGCTTTGCCCGATTCAAAACAATGTTGGCGCGTTCACGAACTGCATGAATACTCCGAAGATAGGCCGCAGGGTCCAAAGCTGGATCTGGGGGACTCGCAATTGGCATCTCGGGGATAGAAGCCGGGAGGCCGCTACCCTTGTAACCCGGTGATCTGAGGGATGTATTGGAGGTGCGAGCACTATTGACGGTGACGAAGGAATCCTCATCTCGATCACTTTGAACCGAATTTCTCGAGTCCTTACGCTTGAATAGGCCCATCATTCCTTAAATTCCTTTTATTCCTTGGGTGTCTATTGACCCCCAAGGAATTTCAAAGTGGAGAAGTCGAAAGGTGATAAGGAGAAGAGGGGGATGAGTCGATCCGACTTCCTTAACTTTTTTGGAGAATCGGAAATCGGTGATTGCTTGGCCTGACTTTTTGATCTTCCAGTGTTTTTGTTTTTTTTTTCTGTCTTTTTTTTATTTCTTATTTTTTTTTTCTCCTTAAAAAAAAAGCTCCGTAATAAAATCAAGGCGGGGCGGTCGGTGGCCGGGACTCTTCACAATCTCCACGCTTTAGGGATAATCTAAGTCGTTAGCTCCTTAAAGTGTGTTCAAGTGGGGATGGACGGCCGGTATTCAATGGGTAAGAGTCTCTGTTTTCATGAACAACAGACTTTTAAGAGAGTTCAAGAATAGGGAAAGGGTTAAAAAAAGAGTTAAAGTAAAGAAAAGATTCAAGGGGGGAAAATCAGTTTGAAAAAGAATTACACGGGGGGGAATAGTGGGGGAAATAGAAGAGAAAAATGAAAATACTAGTGGACATAGTGGAAATACATCCAGTTTCTAGGTACTGGTCCAAGCGAACTGCAGATGAGGGGGCTCCATGTTACTATATAACATAGTGTTACCAGTTATTGATTGGCATTGGAGTCAATTGGTTATTACCAGCCCTGGAGGGTTATTATTAGTCTTAAATGTTTAGATGAGTTTACTCTTTATATGGAATGATCCCAACTTCAAAATGTTCTATCATCCCTTCCATAAGGAACAGTTCGATGATCATCTGGAAGGTCAATCTCACATACATAACTACAGTAGTACATACGTGTATAGATCACTAGTGCGGGAAATCGATCAGACCGTTCCCCGAAAAGGGGATCCTTTCATAGCCTGGACCAAAATCCATTTTTGCCGGAGAACTGACCATGCACGGGCTTGCCCTGTGCGTAAAAGAGCTATGAAAATCGAATAAACGGGAATAGAAATAGAAAAAAAAATAAAAATCAATTGATTTATTATAATTGATTTATAAATCCACTCAAATGCTGGTCCCCTGCCAAGGGTGGCCAGTCATGGTCCGTGTAAAAGGGATGTTCAAATCGATGGGAGCTTTTTGCTGGCACCCTAACCCTGCATTAGGTACTAGGCAGATCTAGGGCCCCTGGTGAACCAGGGAACCTCGCTGGATAGGTTTCTGATTACGATGGCACTACTGAAAACATGGCAAAATCATATGGTGATCTGATGGATTTTCTCCCATGTTTGGATCTTGGTAGAATCGGTAGAATCGGTGTCGGTGATGAAATCTCTAAAATAGAGCAGGGGTTTCATATTACATTTCACATGTTTATAAATTCATATGACGCAGTGAAGATGAATTAAGCAACAATTATAAAAACCGGATTACCCTAGACTATACTATCTGGGTCTTATACATGGGGTACCACGAGGAACCACAAAAATTGAAGTAATGCATGAATGATGTCTTTTGACGGAGGTATAACCTAAGCAGTACTAAACTTGAGAATATCAAGGCACTCTAAATTTTTGATAATGCATTATAAACCTTGAACCTTGAAAATAAGAGAACATTGAAGTAAAAAAGATAAGGAATTTAATGTGACATAGGTGGTCAAATTCCGATCTGGACTGGCTAGAAAGCATCCCACCTTTGCAGCTGCACTCCTGCGATCCTCCCAATTTTCCGGGCCCTCACTATAATTACTATTACTAGTACGAGTAGTAATCAATTTTGAATACTGAAAAGGTTAAAAATCTCATATCATTTCAATCAGGTCTAGATCAAGTTAATCTTCAAATCCTGAAATTTGCATAGTCAAATTAACTGGAAATCCCCCAAAATCACTGTACATTATGTACACATATGAGGAGGGTCTAATCTCCGCCGTTGCGGCCCCGAATCCAACTAACGCAACATTGGACCCAATTGGACCCAGCTAATGCGGGAAGCACGGGCCCGGCCACGCTGCTGGGCGGTTTCAGTTAAACTTGAACTTATATGCACATGTTAATATCATTTCATCTCAATTCTAGGCAACATATTAACTCTCCTGAATTCTAGGTATTATACCTTGAAACTTGAACCTTGGAATGGTACTTCGTACAGCTACATGTACTCATTCTCAGGGGCAAGATTCGGATTCGGGAAAGCCTGAATTGAGGCCCACTACATTGACATTACATCGTTGCCATTCGTTACCGCGCGGCTCCTCTACCCGAGAACTCCGCTGTCGTTGATTCAAAGCGGAGAACTGAGTTTTTTTTTTTTTCTGTTTTATTTTTTTTCTGTTTTATTTTTTTCCCGGCAAGGAACTCGGAATTCAATGCCATTGTGGTTCAAGTTTTTGTGGCCCCCTTTGCAGATCAGAATATCAACGCCTCACGGCACAAAACTATGTTTTTTAATGTTTTTAGACTCACATGTGCATATTAATACTTCTGAGATCGAATCCAGACTCGTCTACTCGGATGTCTCCGTTTCTTCCGATCCCTGTCAATCTGCCCTTTAACTTACTGGGGTTAAACCCCTGCGTCGCTACAATTACGTCGCACTGACTGCCCATATCGTCTATTTTACTATCGTGGCTTCCAGCCACAGACCCATCGGCCCACGTTCAAGCCTCTGGCTATGTGATCATGCGAGGCTAGTGAGTCCGAGTCGTGACAGTATGCAAGTTGAACACATTATATCCACAGAGTACGTGGTACTATCATTGTACACCTGGGCAATATTGCCACCCCGAGTCCATTTTAGGATGACAGCTTGAACTCTGAATCAGAGTACTTCAGGCTAGAAGGGTATTGAAATCACCAAATTCAATTCTCAATTCAATCAGGGATTATCCCCATATCACCGGAGAATACCGACGTAGTCTCCACAGAAAACTCGCAGTATTGTGTTTTAACTATTTCTCGGTGTGATACCGTATCAAATTCCGACGTCAACCTTCTTTTCATGGAATTGGACCACTTAAACGAGGCTCTCGATGCTGTGTTAAGGCCTCCTGCTAACTCTATTATTTACTTTCTTCTCGGAACTTGTGCGAGGTAAATTCCAATTGGTACTTTTGACAATCGTGGAGCTTTTTTGATCTGTGATTTTTTTTTTCTCAACTATTTTTCTCGCTTTCTCGCTTATTCCGAGAGCCTCGAGTAGATTAAGGTTCAACTCTGATGCGGCTGTGTTGATTCAAACTTCCATGGTAATGTCTACTTCTACTAAGAATAACCTTGAATACGATAAGGCTTTGGATTGAGAAACTTTGTTCGGAATTATTTGGCTTTTCATCTTAAATCTAAACGAGTTCGGTAGTTATGTCCTTGTATGCGCCCTCGCCGGAGCAACTAACATTTAGCTTGAAAACAAGCTAACTGTTTTTTGCCGAACTATCCAATCGCGTATATTTTGTCAACATTGATAAGCCACAGGATTTATGAGCTCAATTTCATGGTAGATCTTCAAAATGTTGAGATGGAAAGAACAGGTTGAACTTGAAATTCTATTGTTTAATTCTACTCCGCCACGATACTTTTAAGTTGCATTTCAAATGTTCAAGTTTGTTTCCGAACTCAAACTTCAAGTTCCAAGGATGAATGACTCAGAGAATTGGCATACATTACGGTTCAACTTCCAACCTTGGAACACTTGAAGGTTGACCACTTCAACATTAACCCATCTTAAGCTTCAAGTTATCGTGTGACTTGGACAAAACATGCCCTATATAGAATTAAAACTTGAATCAATTGGTCGCTTATTTAATCCAGGTCCGAGTCTCTATTTATGTATACTACATGAATTCAAATGTTGTCTAATCCGAAGTCTTCCAAGGTTGTCATCGGTACCTAGGTACAATAGTACTAGTCAATTTCAACAGCCTCTAGATGTCTCGATTTCAGCATCATTGGCAAATAACTCGAAAAGCCTCCGTCCATTTCCTTCCTATCAGGCAGTTAAATTACCTCCGATCAATAGTACTAAAGTGGAGTAATGAACTGCCAGTGGTCCGTGACTCCGTACGCCAGCTGTCCCCGCGAAATCGCCACATTTACACCGTTCCTGTGGCAAGGTGAAACAGCTTACGCAGTCCACGGGTCTCATCGCTTAACGCAGCTGAATCTATTCGAATGTTTCAACCTGTAGATGTCTGGTGACCTAGTCTCTACACGACTCGGAGTATTCATTGATAATGAATTATCATACCTGTGACTCGGAGTGAATATGTATGTGCTGGCTTCTAATGGTGGATCTGTATGGAGTAGCTGTATAGTACCAACAAAAGAGCAGTACTACTCACGCTGTATGCACATACCAGCCCTAATCTCGACAGCCAAACTTGAACTTGACCATGCATGATCAGTAAAACCGGTTTAGTACGATACAGTTGGTTTGGTCAATATGTATCGTTATAACTAGGTATCGCACGTAATGTAGATATATATTTCTGTTATACATACAAATTTCTATAGGAAATAGCTCCTTATATCCTTCTGCTTTTATGCTTTTGATCTCCTATCCTGTATCAACCTCTTATGTCTATACAGGCTAGCTATCAACTGCGTTTTTGCCCCGGTCCTGCTGCTCTTCATACAAACAAAGCGTTTCTAATGCACGAATAGCATCATTTATCGGAACTAGGGGGGGTTTCAGGTATGGTTTCTGCATCATCATCATCATCATCATCATCATCAACCTCTCTGGGAAACTGGCTTAGCACAATATTATCTATAGTCTCAATACCATCTTGAATTACCTCATCCAGAGGATCAAGGAAGTTCTCGATACTTATTGGATCTAGTAATAAAGGCCTCAGCGTAGTTAAACCAGCATTGAGTTCATCAATCAGTTGCTGCTGTATTTGATAGTCTTCGCCTTTATCGATCAATGCTTTATTAAAGCAATTGGTGATAGTTTGAGCGGAAATATCAAATTCCCATGCCTGAATCCCCCATCTTAATGCATGAAGCACATCCATAGATTGTATTGGATCACGGCCTGCATCAAATTCAGATACCATAAACCTTACCCACTGGCGTTTCCAGTAGGCTTTCCAGGTTCTAATAATACCCTGATCTAATGGTTGAAACCGGCTTGTTGAATTAGCTGGTAGCCAAATGATCAGGGTGTTTTGAAGTGGTAAAGAACTACTATTGATAGTCTTTACTGCGGATTCATGTGCAGAAAAATTATCCATAAGAAGCACTACCTTCCGATGAACCATCTGGTTATCAAACCATCGAAGCCACTCTTCAAAGATCTTGCTAACCATCCATGCTTTTGTATTAGATCTCCATTGAAGATTGAAATTATTGATATCGATATGAGCAGCAGTAAAAGCACGGGGCTTTCGAGCTGTTCCAATAAACCAAGGGGTCAATTTCTCAGAACCATCGGAGTTACAGCAGAATAGTGCTGTAATTCTTGATTTTTGTTGCTTTTTACCCGGTAGATTCTTGGTAGCAAGGCTTCGATCAGGGATTCGTCTCCAATAAAGTCCAGTTTCATCACAATTAAAGATATCCCTTGGGTGGTATACTTCAAGTGCTTGCCGGATAGGAATCATAGATTCATTTGCGGACTCTGGTGTGCTTCTATCTTCACCAGCATATAGGCGATTTCGAATTGATTCCCGGCTTTGGAAGGCTTCTAGCCAACCATTACTGAATGTAGGCATCGATTGACCTTCGTATGTTGGAATTTGGGTCCAGAAAAACCGAGCTTTCTCCCGAATAACGTCTTGTGTTATTGTGATCTTCTCTTGCGCGAGAATAATCCAATGTATAAGTGCGGCTTCAAGGTCTGGCCACTTAGCAGTGCGGCACCGCTTCGCTTTTATCGTATGCTCGGTCGGATTGGTATCGAGATGTTGATATTTAGGGGAGAGGATAGCAGATAAGGTAGATTGGGTAGGACGATGGTTATAGGTCTGATTAAACCAGTGAGCAAGCTGGCTTTGGGTAGCCGAAGGGTGCTTGCGGTGCTGCTCTCTGAGAGCGATCTTTTGCTGGTTCGTGATGGCTTGACGAGGCATTTTGATTGACTGAATGTTAAGTAATCAGGGAAATGATGACCTGGATAGAACGATAAATGTAAGGGGGGCCTCGGAGAAATGCGATATATTGCTGTAACGGAAAAGTTGCGATATTTATATGGGAAACTGAATTTTCGGGTAAAAATTTATCGCACAACTAGGTTATCGCACTAAGCCAGTATCGTACTAAACCGGTTTACTGTAGTAATATACTAATATCCACGTGTATATCGGAGAGTAACCTGAAAGGGACTAGTAAATATCCCTGAAGACTTTCATGTAGGGTGTACGGAGTTCCGCAGCGTACCAATAGCATTACACCTCAAGTGCAGGCACGCATACATTTGATTCGAAAGAAAATCCTCATTTTGCCGATCTTCTGCATGAAGACCTCGGTTCAAACCCGTGGAAGTTCCTTGTGTATCTTTTAGTGGCGCGGGGTGTTGGTCTTCAACCCCTCCATCCCCTCAATTGCCCCTCATGCTGCCCAGGTGCATGCACTAGTCCATGACTGCAGAGATAGCGTGTTACAGGATACATCGGTCACAGCATTGTAAGCAGTCTAGCTCTCAAGATTCATTCCTGCGGAGGTCTGTGGGTAAGTAGGTTGCATACTTGTATAGTTAATGCCAACTGGTTACTTAACCTCCACTGGCAAATGACACCATGGGGGCGGAGTATTGTCAACCTCAATTTCAGTCATCAGAGGAATGACGCCTCGGATAAGATGCTAGAGATAAAACGAGCCAATTTTCAGAGCGAAAAGTAAAGTTCAGATGACTTTCCAACCTTGGAAGCACCTTTTCGTCCTGTGTCATTCAGTTCAAGTCGGGATGAACAACCAAATCGACTCCGAAGGTCCCCAATTAAACCTGGGCACTCCATTATTGATCTATTGCAGCATGGGATTCAAAGATTATCAGTTGTCGAAAAGAAAAAAAATCTTATGTATCCTAAAATCCAGACAAAAAACCCAATTCTTAAATCCAAAGTTGTTCGCATAGGCCTATTGAAGCTTTACTACCATAAATGAGTACCAGTTGACTGCATACTATGCATTATCTCGAAACAAAGTTGGTCCTCCATCAAATGTCACTAAATACCGTTCAAAACTTGAAATTCATGACATGAAGCTTGTATATCAAAATCGTGCAGTACTCCGTAGTCATCCAATGATCCAAACATACCTATCCAATCTCCGCAAAAGGCAATCACATGACCTACGCGGATCGCGTCGACGTCAACCGCAAGCTCACCCCTATCAACCAACCAACCATCACAATCTCGCATTCCTTCATCAAATCCAAAATGTCTCTCTTTGCCTCTCTCCGTCCCACCACCCGCCTGGCGACCGCCGCCCGCTCCTTCAGCACCACCAGCGCTCGCCCTGCCGCTCGCATCACCATCACCGGTCGTTTAGCCGCCGATCCCGAGCTGGTAGCCACATCCACCGGACAGGATGTTATCAAGTACGCTGTTGGCACATCAAGCGGACCTCGCGATAACAAGCAGACTAGCTGGTTCCGCGTTGCGAGCTTTGCGGAGGGTGGACAGCGGGATTACCTGATGTCCTTGCAGAAGGGGTAAGTTGGAATTGAAGTTCTAGCTCGAGCTTATACAGCTGAGCTGGACGGGTTCAATTGATTTCGATGGTGTCATTTGTGCATTGCTAATACGTATTAGAACCCTTGTTCATGTCGAAGGTGATGCTAAGCTGAAGACTTATGAGGATTCCGAGGGCCGTAGACAGACTACCTTGAACATTACACAGCGTATGTGATTATGAATTATTCCGAGCTCCCAATTCCTTATTGTTTATTCTTGGTTGCGCGCGGATTTGACTAACTTTTCCCAGGATTCATTGAGGTCCTCAGCCGTCCCCAGAACAACAACTCCGAGCATCACGAATCCCACTAAACGATAGATCCATATAAGAATCTGCGATTGACTTGAATAATGGACGCATATCGATGTTGATTATATGTGGGCGTTCATTGGGAACACTGGATCCCAGATGGAGTTTACTCTCATGGCTGGGCTGGGCTGAACTGGTTTGATTCTGCTAGAAGGGATGCTTTGACTTCGTTTTGGCTAGAATCTGAATCAGCGATGATTGGCTCGGCTGGGTGACTTGTATTGATCTCTATCTAATGTACTTTGCTTTGTTATTATTGTATTTCATACCCTGAATCCACTCCGTTGTATTGTGTTTCCTAGTTACTTTGCATGGTATCTGCTGGGTCTGATCGGTCTGTACATAAGAAATGTATGACTGGATTTTAAGAATACTGATATCGAGCTAGCTAACACGGTATGACCGCCAGATAGGCATTTTACCTTGTAGAATGAAGAAGAAGATAAAAGGGGAAAGACAAAAGCTATCATCTGAGCCAAGTCAATGACAGATGATTCAAATGTGGACCTCACTCTGCTGAGAAATCACCTGCTTAACATGAATAGATTGGTTGCGCACAGGAGAAGCCATATCCGAAAAATCACCACTAGAGCGAGTCTGGCTCGTTCCGGCCCAAGCACTCGTACAAACCGTCTGATCCGGAACATGCAGAGCAGCCAACATAGTATCCGGATTATTGCGTCGAGCAGAACGACGGGTGAACAGTGACAAGAGAACCTTGTACCACGGAATGGGAGGACTATCATGGCCAAGATGAGAAGAAGATCGAATACCCATTTCAACATCCGGAATCTTTTTACGCCAGTGGAACATGGATGTCTCCTTTCGAGAGCCTGAATCAACCAGGGGAGTAGAATTCGAATTTTGAGCAGGCTGAGTCGAAGACTGTGAGTCGAGGGGACGGGCCATGCCGAAGAAACAGTAGCCAAAACCAAGATGCCAGAGAATCAATTTGTAAACGCGAACAGCATCACGGCCGAGACCACAGAAGACAAAGGTTATGAAGCCCATAGCGATGGGTGTCCAGCGATCAAAGAAGACTGATCCATATGTTGGAACCATTGCAATACGGTACCAGTTGGGATTGTGGATGCGGCTCCAAGAGTAGGTGTGCCATGGGAGTGAGAGAGACAGGTCATAATACATGACATAGCCCTCTACCGGCAGGATGATGATAAGCATAGTGAAAGCGACCAGGAAGAGACGCAGGAATCGCGATTTGCTCAAATGGCTATTCGAGCTGCGCAAAATTGCCTCAAAGTCAGTGCGGTATCGATGGAGACGGATGAGCACGAGACCTGTATCAAGTTAGTATCGGCGATACATAAAGGATATTGATGGTGAGTTATATGACCAAGAGACTTACAACAGTAGTATGCAGCAATCATACAAATGATGGGAGGCCAAATCCATGCCAGCATGAAGCTCATCCAGCTTTCATCATAGTTGTTGACACAGCCCGAGATGGAGAAGAGAAGATAGCGGGATTTTTGATAGAAATAATGAGTGATCATGGCCATGGCCGGAACAATCACACAGAACAGTATTTCCATAAGACGACTGCGCCAGCGCTGAGCCTTGCTGGGAACCAGGATTGCTCGGCTGGTGTCTAGTGCCATTGCGAGTGTTCGGAAAATGCAAGTTAGGGCACCGGGTACAGCCACGTAGCTTGCAACCATAAACCTGACCTCGATTTCGCAGGGTCCGGCTCCATTCCACCAAGTTGAGGTGTCATCAGTGGGCCATACGAGAGCATTGATGATGTTGAAGATGCTCAGAAGAATGGACCAACAGATTAGGATTGCGGCAGGGTAATTGCGATTCTTTGAATGAAGGACCAGTGGTGGAATGGAAAGAAAGATAAAAATCACAGAGAGCACTGGAATTACTACCGCCAGTGGATAGAGCTTCGTGTTGCTCTCCATGTTGCTCTCCATGTTGAGATGATGATGCTGGATAGCTGGGAATGTCGAGACTGTGGAAGGATAGTCTGTAGTTCGAGCAATCTTTCTATCCACCACTTGATAAAATGATCAAAGGAAAGGACTGAAAGAAAAAGATAAAAAAATAATGAGGAGTTGGAAGACATTCTTCTATTCTGTAACAGTTTCCAGGGGGTGAGTTAATGAAGCGAGACGATATCTCGAGCCCGGAACAAGAATCCAAGACCGATTCACCAAGACGAAAAGGAGGCGGGTCTGGAGCAAGACATGTATTCATGCGTCTTTTCTATTGATGGTATCTTTCAACCTTGTGGTAGGTTGAATAGCCGGTTTGCCTGTATTGGACCAAAATGACTCTCTATAGAACCACGGATAGAGCGACGAGATGTTGCGTCTGAAGATAGAACATGCCCATTCAATGTGATGAGAATAGCGTAAAACATCGCGAAAATGAATTGAAAGAATTGAATAAAGAGTCAGGTGTATGGGGATAGCTTGGAGCGTTACCCTATTTGGATGTCAATAGAGAAAGACATCATCACGCAGAATTTAGTCTCGTATTAGACTGATACCCCCTATTTAATGGTAAATGTCAGTGTCAATAGATCAGCCTTTTATCGGGATTTAATAACTTGATTCAAATATTTCTGATGTGGTTGATGGTGGTGAGTTGATGTTGATGTGGTAAAGATGAAAAGATGGAGGTGGTTCCCATGGTTCTATACAGTCACGACTCACGATAGCCACGTTCTAACATCAGACCAATTTACCCTCGACCCTTTAACTCGATCATGAACACGAGTCTGTTTCAAATCTGCATGATTAAATTTCCTGCATCAGAGATCTTGAATTTCTGGAGTGATCTGGACGAGGCTGTTGATCCCTGCCTTGGTGGATCTCAGTGACGAAATCGCCCTCATGGCTCAAGTGCTGGATTCGGCGCCGCGAATCTATTTAACATTTGAACATTTAGCATGCCCAGATGCGACTCGGATTCAAATATTTTTTACATATGTATGCAATGAGTTTCTATATCCAATGTTATAGGATGTGACCTGGCATGTGAAACAGGTCGAGGCTTATTAAAGTTATGCTCAAGGGAGAGAGATGGAGAAAAGAAACCTTGGAATGATTCTGGCTATATCAGTCCAAGTTCGTACAGTAAGACATTCATCGCGAGTATCTTTCCAACCGTGAAATCAGTGGGCCCTTTGAGAATGACTTCGGCCTTCGGCTTGACTTTATGAAACTGACTTCACAAAGTATGTAGACAAGCTCGTCAGAAAGCTCGATGAACAGCACAGCAGAGGGCGCAAATTCACCCTTAGATGTTAGTATCTCGGGTATAGCCAACTGATGACCTGAATTGTTTAATGGTTTTTAAGTGCCAGTGGGTGATGCTGGGTTGATGCTGATGAAGATGAAGAGATAAAAGTGGGTTATATTCTACGAGTATACAGTCACGAATCACGATAGTCACATTCTCTACCAAAATCAGATTGATCTCCTCTTTTCAACCGCTTAAGAATAGGACTTAATCATAAAAATCAGTCTGTCTCAAGTTCTCATTACTACATCAATTTTCTCAAAATGCTTTGACAGGTTTTAAATGACGAGGCTGTTCATCCCTGTTCTGGTGGATCCCAGTGACGAAATCGCCTTGGGAACCTGCACTTACTCCAACCTCGGTACTCTGCTTTTCACGAACTCCTCCCGCGGACGGGGTGAACTCGATGATTATCTGCAGCTTTGGCTTTCCTTCCACGATTCTCTATCAAAAATTTCTTTAACCCTCGAGGGAGAAGTGTCCCTATCATGGCCGATCCCCCGTCGCCCTCATCATCCCCGGGTATCCCCCGCAATTTACCCACTGCTACGCTCCGCCGCCGCGGTCTCCCCGCGCGAACCACACTCGAGTCCATTCCGGACTGGCCTGAGCGCCGCAACTCCACGCTCTCGGACTCTTTATCTGAGGCTCGAAACTCCATCCGCTCCTCGACAGATGGTATATTCTTACCACGGGTAGATAGGAATGATGATGACCCCATCGCAACAGAAGAGTCTCATTGGCATTCTGCACCACTAGCCTTGGCATTACTTCCAGCCATTGCAGGGATCTTGGTTAAGGATGGAAGTGCAGTCGTGACAGATGTCACTCTTTTGGCTTTAGCAGCGATTTTTCTCAATTGGTCAGTTCGACTACCATGGTATGTAATATAATCCGATCATTATCCAGAGAAAACCAGACCAAATGCATCAGTATACTCACATTCTGGTAAAGGGATTGGTATCGTTCAGCGCAGGCAACTCACCCGGAGCAACTTTCGGGATATGAGACTACCAATGGTCCGGCCGACCCAGATGGTGAAGCCGATGCAGCAGTAGAGTCGGGCGACGAAACTCGCCAACGTCCACAACCTTCACGTACGCCCCACGATGCTGCCATCAAAGAATTACAGATGCACGAGGTAGCAGCCCTCGCTTCATGTTTTCTATTTCCTCTCATTGGAACCTGGATCCTCCACGTCATCAGACATAGTCTCTCACGGCCATCAGAAGGCCTAGTCTCTAACTATAACCTCACCATCTTCCTCCTTGCATCCGAGATCCGACCCTTCGCGCATCTCCTCAAACTAGTCCAAGCCCGAACCCTCCACCTTCAACGCGTGGTCGTATCAAATCCTGATGAAGACCGCCTCAACACAAGCAAGATCGAAGACCTTTCAAAGCGTCTAGAAGAACTAGAGACTCACATCGCCGAAGCGGCAGCTGCCCGCTTGGCAAAATCCCAATCCAAATCGGACCCAAGTTCACCTCATGAACAAAATGATACCTCAGCACTCATTGCACAATCGGTCGCCGAAGCTCGCAAAGCCCTTCAGCCCGAAATCGAAGCTTTGAACCGTGCCGTCCGCCACTATGAGAAACGTACCGCCCTAACAACCCTCCAATCTGACACTCGTTTCCAACAACTAGAATCACAGTCTCGCGATGCGATAGCTCTTGCAGCTGCGGCTCAACGCTCAAGTCTTGCTCGGCGCTCAAGTTATGCCTTCATACTAACAGACTGGCTCTGCGCTTGCATCGTTATACCCACTCAATTAGCACTCTCAATCCTGACTTTACCCAACCGAGTTGCAACCCGCTGTTTGAATTCCGCAAGAAGGATGCTGGGATTCAGTGTTCAGAACAACCGAGCCCGCTCTACGGCTCAGTCTCGCTCCAAATCGAGTAAAGGGAAGATGGTGCAGAGATCGGGCTCTAAGTTTCGGGCACAGTCACCGTCAGACTCCAAGGCTTCGTTCTCACAGCAACAGCAGCAGTCTTTGACGGCTGCTAGGGGTGTTGCAACTCGGTAGGTAATTTCATGACATACACATTTTTAGTTTTCTTATATATTTTTCGGGTTTCTTTTCATATCAGCATTGGCCTTGGGATTGGAATGGATTATGGGTATGGATTACGGATATGGATGGACTGGAGGACTTGGTTGGATTATGGTGTAGATAATATTTATCTTTACTATCACTGTTATTAAATACCCTTGGAGCATAGGTACCTGGGGCCTGAAGTCGGTTATCAAAATAGTTAATCTGATATTATTCCAATATTTGGCCCATCGCAATAATCACCAGCGCTCTGAGGTTCTCTTAAAAAATAATCTTAGCTCTAGTTTTATAGCACCTGGGCAATAATCACCAGCGTTCCAAAGTTGTTTGGAAAATAACCCCAGCCCCAGAGCCAGAGCAATAACCACCAGCGTCCCTAGGTTCTTTCAAAAACATAATCTCAGCCCCACAGCCATAGCATCTGGGTAATAATCACCAATGTTCAAAGGTTCCAAGGTTGTTGATACTAGTACTAGGTAGTAGCGCATTCCTTAATCATATGCTTCCATGATCTGACCCATTCCGAGTCCATACTCAACTGTTGCTTTAACTTGAAGTACTCACGATACTAGAAGTCTCATTCAACCCGGAATATGTCTATTAGAATTTCAAGTTCTAAACAACTGGCAACTATTGACACAACGACAGAAGAGAACGAAACCACCCGCATAAGCACTTGGAACAGAGCATTTGAACTAGAATAGAAGCCCCCATGCCTCATAAACATTGAACTCATTATTCCATCCCGAAAAACAAGAACGAAGATAACCACCAATTCATATACAGACAGACTCAAGCTCTCCCTCCAGAAGGTCCCCTCTCATCAACTCCAATCATCTTCAAAAAGGGTTCAATAATTCCTCTCTTCCGCTCATCAGAGGCCTTACGTTCCTTTTCTTTCGCCGGTGTTGGCACGTCCGCTGAAATAAGTACCCGTGAAAAGATAGATGCAAGCGCTATTTCAACAGCCTGGCGTCGCGCTGCAGCAGATTGATTTGTGGGCTGGTTACCCGAGGAGTCAGAATTCGGAGTCGAATTCTTGCGCCGGAAGCTACCAGCTGAGATAAATGCTGCAGCAGAAGCCGGGGTGGGTGGTTGGGAGAGACTTGATTTGCGATTTTCAGAATCAGGTTCCTTGTCGGCTGAGTTCTGATCAGCATCTTTGCTGTCTTCCTTTTTATCCTTACTATCCTTAGAGGATTTGGTAAGGTCGACTAATTGCTTCTTGTATTTTGATGGGGTTGTAGGTGGTGTGGAATGTTGCTGGATTGATGGAACGGGAGCAACTTCGTTGGCGATGCGGGCAAGCATGAAAGTGACGAAGGTAAATGACACACTGTGAGCTGGCGAGTATGCTAGACTTTCCAATACCCATGCTTGGATCTCTTCCCAGGATCTTAAAGGAGCTTTGGATTTTTCTCGTGCGATTATTTGCTGTTCCATATTTTGCCAAACAGATGCGGTGACGATTCCATCGCTGAGAGAATTCAGGAAGGTAAGAAGAGTACCGGAGAGAATCTCTAATCGATGAAGAGACGGAACTTCCGGAGCAAATATAGATGTTAAGGACTGATTGGTGTCGAGAGAATCACGAACAGAGACGGAAAGAAGGGCACGCTCGTATTGATCTTGCAAAGTCCAGGTATCAGGCTGGAAAGGCCATCCAGTTCCCGATGGATCGATATTCCAAGGTGCTACGTCCCCGGATTCACCCTTCATCATGCTCCATTCTGCCACAGCACGCTCAACTAATTCGGAGATTGCCTCTGTCAGTCGGAACAGCTCGCGAGGTGCGGAGAGTCGCACTTCCGAGTCTGATTGAGATGGGCGTTGTCCTCTCTCTGTTTCAAGACTCCGAGCACCGTCCTCGGGCATGCGGGTTAACTCGTCAACACTGCAGCCGAAGCATGTCGGGAGCCAACGACCAGCGACAGAGATGAAGTGATCTTGTCCACTATCAACATGGAGCACCAAAATCTCTTCTAATTTGACCTTCCTCAGGTTGAGGAGGCGCACATGCTCAATATTCCGAACGTGTGCCGTGATTTCCACGTTGGCCACTTCACCTGGCAGCAGACTATAAGACCTCCCATAAGTTGCGATGGCGGGCTGATTTGCATGGTCGTCAGAAGATCGCTCCACTAGTACATCGAGCCATGAAGGTGTTTCCGTTTTATGCTCATCGCTAAGACTAGGTCGTTCTGCAAAGTGAAAAGTAGCCGGCGCACCACCCGTATTTGCGATCGTTATGCCTCGGCGGACCGCGACGTCGAAGGGAACATCCCCAAAGTCGACAGTATTTGGATCTCGCTCTTTGTCTTTTTCACCATGAGGAACATCCACAACAACTGTGAGGCCAGGACGAGCTTCATTCTCAGCCTTGTCGAGCTCACGAACTACCTCCTGGTGAATTTTAGCCTTCAGACCGGGATGGACAGCATCAAATGTCAACGTAAATACTGCATCCAAGGGCTTATGGTCTGAAGAGAGGATCCCTTGATGCGATACATAATGGTTTAGTCGAATCGGATCATCCGGTGATGAATCTTCGGATGCAACTGAAGATACATCAGCCCGATCTTCATCTGAGATGTATTCTTCTACGCTGCCACCTGCATCCGCTCCATCAACTTCTGGATCATAGTCAAAAAGAACGTTATCATCGGCGACGGCCTTGTCAAGACCCTGCGCCTCCATTTCTTTGTCTCTTATCCGAGCAGCCTCGGCCTCCCGATCAAGTTGCTCGTGCTTGAGCTTGTCGCGCCGGGTACGATAGAGAATCCGATCACACCAGCTAGGGCCACGATGCTTCTCACTTGTGTCGAACATGGCCACACTGCCAATATCATATTTGTATGTGGGCAAGAAGGTAATTTGACCCTCACGCCATCCTTTATGGAACGCAGTTCCCAATTGCTGTTGTACTCGCAATTGATCATGCACAACCAGCGAGGAGATAGTTGTCTGCAGAGATGCGGGGTCATTACGAGGATCAATCTCCTCATCTGTCACCGGCTCTGGCAGTTCGTCATCTTCTGGTAGTGAGGTCGGTTGCTGATTCTCAACATCGGCAGTAGTGGAGCCTCGTCGATTTCCCGACTGTTGTTTTATCTCTTGCAATGCAGTATCATATGCATTAATTGTGTGACGCGCCAGGACTTGCCGCACATCATTTCCAGGAATGTCATCCACGCGATAGTTTAGATCGCCAAACCAGAAGGTAAAGTCCTCGTCACCAATGCTATCAAAGGAGTCATCTCCAGTACCCTTCTCCCCATCTACGGGTTCGAATTTCGCGCGCGAGGCAATTTGAGATGCATCCCAGTTGCGTCGCTCCAGACTGCTTTTATCGGAGCCGGCTGCGAGATGACTATTCACAAATACCAGACGGGTTGTTTCGCCGAGGACCAAGCGAGTTGCAACAGCACCTTTATTGCCCATATATCCCATCAGTCCAGTACCAACATATGTACTGCTAATTGAAGAGACGCTATCTCCAATTGAAGGTGACGTATAGATTAGCAAAAGAAGCCCCATCAGCTGGACTTCAGAAACAAGCTTGTACCCAGGAGGGAGTGCTTTGTGAACCGACTCCTTCCATCTAGTTGATGGGCCGGAATCAGTATATGGGCGTAGAGCCTCGGCGGGGACGAAACATCGACAACTTCCTGCAGCCCCAAGACGTAAAGATCGATCTCCTCTGGACTAGTTTGGAATGGCTTCTTCTTCTGATCTCCCTCATTTTCACTAGGTAGAGAACCTTCTGACGCTCCTGCATGCTCGAACTGCTCCCCCTTGGCACCGGAGAAATTCTCACAGACTCCTTGGCCCTGAACGAACCACTTGCCGACGTCCTTCTCCGTTCCGGAAATAGCTGCCACATTCCACGTCCCGATTTTTACCCGGATTGTCCGCCGGCGAGTAAACTCTGCCTTTCTCGCCTTGACAGCACGAGTCAAAGATAGAATATCCATCGCGGGGTTTTGGATGTTTTCCACGTCTTCCGGCGCTTGGTCCCTCGAGTCTGATGCGGGAGGTGGCCCCGCGCGCTGGTCTTTAGAGGCCATAATGGATCAGGTGTGGTCAGGCTACTCTATGCCAATAGGGAATTCGCATGAGCTGGCCAGGACTACTGCTGGCTAATAAGTCCCACGCTTTCAGGCCACTAACGGTATGGAGAGAGCACCTTGGAGAGGTGGAGGCCGAGGCGGTTCTCAATTCCGGCGGGGAAACGATGATATATTGAAGGTCCTGGAAGCACCACAATGCAAGGGCAAGAGGTGTTACCTCCCAGAATAAGGTCAATGGTGTAATGCGATTAATGCGCAGGTATTGGATCGAAGAATCGAGCTTATTGAAGTTCAGAGCGCAAGCGCCGGCATTATGCAGAGATTGGGGTCTAAGGAAGGACAAATAATCACAGATGCAAATAAAGCAATAGGAATTGAGTTGATTGAAGGGGTTCTCAAAATAGTAAACCCCAAGCACAACTAAGCGCTTGGAGGGAGTAGAAATGCAGATTGATTGTAAAGGTGGGAGAGTTGGCTGTAGGCGGAGAGCCACAATAGCTCTGACTTGATGACGCTATGCACCAAAACCCGCAATCAGTTTATCGAACTTCCATCTTCTCTTACCACAACCAAAACGACCATATTATTGCCTAGGCGACAACTAAACGACCTCCACTGCACCTTCCTTTCCATCCTCGCCTTCCTTTTCATCATGAATAACCGAAGAACACGTCGGAATAATCAATACCACAACAATGGCACCTTAGGCTCTTCTTACAACTACAATTACAACAACACCAACACTGACTACGAGTCCGACACCGCGTACCTCTCCGACATGCCGACTAAACCCCCTCCACCACTCCGCTCTAACGAGGAGCTGAATCTCGCTGTCTGCCGTCGTCACAATCCCGAGGTCACGAACATCCTGTCACTTGCAAACTACGCTGTCATCTACACCTTCAGCCCCGCTACAACCACATGGGAAAAGATCAACATCGAAGGCACCCTGTTCGTCTGCCAGCTGTCACCCGGTAGCCTGGGCGAAGAGCGCTACACAGCCCTCTTACTGAATCGCCGTGGTCTCAACAACTTCGATTGCCCATTGACCGGCTCCGAAAACGTGGAACTGACCGATGAATTCGTGATCTTGAAGCAAGACAAGGAAAGCAACCCGACTTCTGCCCAACAGACCAACTACACTGTTTACGGAATTTGGATCTACTCTGAGCCCAACACCTCTACCGACGAAACGCGCACCATAAATGCCAAGATTATCAGCGATTGCGCTGTGCGCGCTGGCGGAAGTCTGAAGGAGGCGAAGGCCCGCGTGCAGGCTATGCGCCAGGATGGTCTGCACGTTGCTGCCGCCGCGGCTGAAAGTCAGGCTGCGCCTACGGAAGAGCTCCAGGGTGGCATTCCTATGGGTCGTACCATGTCACTGAAGGATATGTTTGGGCAACAACGTGCTCAGGATGATGGGTTTAGTGTTCGCGCGCACCATGAACAACCCCAGCCTCAACACCAATACCCGCCTCAGTATCAGCCTCCTCAGCCTCCTCAGCCGCATGTTCAGGCCTACCCTCAGCATCAATACCCCTCAGCTCCAGGATACCCTCCGATGTATCCCAACATGCCTATGCACCAACAACCCGGCGTCCCTCAGCCTCATGTCCAATCCCACGTTCAGACTCAGGCCCCGCCTCAGGTCCAGCCTAGGCAAGACGTTTTGGGTGATCTTTTTCGACGTGCAGGACTAGAACCGCAGCAGTAAACGGCGTTTTATCGGTGCATCAATTTGTGTTTACCTTTGTCTAATTTCTATGCCTCTTTCCTTAATCGAGGATTATTGATGTGTTCCACGAAACGGCGCATGTGTTTCATTCCGGGGTCTGCGTCCATCATATACTGCATTTGATATTCAACTCATCGGAAGTTGTGGGAGAATGGGGTGGCATCGCGTCGCTTGAGATACCCGTTGCAAGTATGCATTGCAGCATGACGAATTTTTGTTTTGTATTTTTTTTTGAATCAGTCTAGTTCCAATGATGATCTGTCCCGGCTCTGCTGGGCTCTAGTCTTATCAGATGTGCTACCACTTCTAACCAGACATGATATCTCGTATCATATTCGCAACCTTCCCAGCCATGATTCCACTGTGCACTACAGCCCAATAATTAGCATAATTAACAGGGGTAGAATAGAAGAATTGAAACTCACATAAACAGAAAGCATGCGGCAATCCCTCCTCGCACACTGTCATCTTAGGACCAAGCCATTCCCCAGTACCCTTATCCCCTTCCTGTCCTCTAAGCGCAATAATTTCATCTCTCGTCTTCTCCGCAACCCAATGGTCATTACGCCCAAAGTAAAAGAATAATCGAGTCATAGGCTCGGATGTATGACCAACACCCCAAACATCATCAGCCCATTTATCCGAGGTAATTGTACGCATCTCATCAGCAGCCATGTGTCTATAACAAAAAATTTAGCCACTTCAACAAAGAAGTATACCTCACGCAATGCAAGAAATTGGAACATACAAAGCTTGTCGAACACCACCAGAACTTTTCAAAAATGTACATGTGGTCTCAAGGCCATGAGGTGGCGGATTCTTCATCACAGATCGAATAACAAATTTGAGAAATGTAGATGGGAGCAGGGCGGTTAATATAGTAGCGAAGTATCCAACCAGGAGAGCGAGTTGCGGAATGAAATAAAGTAGAGTCTAATCCATGTTAGTATCAAGAAACCCCACATATAAGAACTAGCATAGCAAATTCCACGTGCGGGGAGGTAGTTAACGAACCGTCAATTTCTGTCCAGATGGTGAATGCGCAATATCCTTTACTGTTGGGAAAAGCATAACACCACCAACAATATCAAATACCCTCGAAGCCTCCAACTCAGACTTCGATTCCGCTTCAGGGATTCCCTCAAGACTGGGAATTCCATCTCGATGTCTTCGTAAAACTTCTATTGCGATATATGCGCCAACAGAGTGTCCAATTAGAATGACTTTATGCCTGCGTGCACGGGATGAGGATTCATTTTCATCAGATTCCGATTCCTGGGAACTTGAAACAGATTTCGTTTTGTGCATAAGAGCCTCGAGTTTCTGATGAACGAATCTGATCTGGTCCTCTAGAGAATATAAACGCTTTTCTGCCTTGGCACTTCCCGATGGGATCTCGAATCCACCGAGACTGCAGCCATTGATTTGGAAAGAGGTCTTGTTTGGACTTTGAGACTGGTTCTTATCAGATTCAGGCTCCTTCTCTGCTAGGTTCTGTGCGAGTAGCGAGAGGAATGGATGGTAGTATCCAATTAGACCCGGATTGCCGGAAATGAAGAATATGGTTGTGTCGACTTCATCTTGCGGGCCTGCATAGGTGCAGAAGATGTTTTGAGTGATTTGAGGTTCCATGAGGAAGCTATGAGTCCTGGGCTATAGCGTTGCTGGCCACTCACACGAATCCTGAAAGCTATGCACTGATTATCAAAGTTTGACAATCGTGATGTATAAGAGCTGGGTACAGGATGTAAGAGCCACCAGTACCTGAAAACCTCGAGCTGATGTGTCTTTTCGATGGGTAAGGTTGAAATCAAGCTTGAGTGCAAGGAGGTTGCGGAGCCGAGTGGATCCCATGTGAGCCGAGCTCCTGCAGAGCTCGGATCATGATAAAGCTTACACGATCTACACATGTGCAGTATACTTCGAATCTACAATCTACTAGGTATGACTGATGAGAATGGCCATAAATGCAATTTATTGCAAATGTATTGCCACAGATCCTGACTCCATATCCTTAACCCAGAGCTCCTCCCCGAAACCCCACCGGTTTCTAAACCCCGGGCCCCCAAATAGACAAAAAAAGTAACATGGGTGAAATAAAAAACAAGAATAGATCCGAGTCGGACTCAGTGCAATGCCCAAGACGCCGGCAAAGCGCAATGTACATCATATCGTCCCATGTCTGTCGTTCAGAGAGAATACAACACCGCAGGTCCCCAAGTGAAGGACCGCTGCGAAGCACCATGCTCAACCCATATGGAAGACTAGGGAGGAGAAGCGCAAAGAGAAATAGATCAAAGATCATCAGAGAGAAGTCAAATAAAGACAAGAGAAGGCAACGTGGAAGAACTCGTAAACAGATTCCACGCAGCATGCAATCTAGCTCGGCTAAAGAAGTAAACGAGATGGCGAACACAGAAAATAGATGCGGAGTTGGGAGATTCAATTTGACATGGTCAGGTAATGTGAAGAGATCAACCACCTCCGTCGCCTTGACTATCATCGGGTTTCTCATTTTCATTGGTCTCTCCTGGAGCATCTGTTGTGGATGACTTGTCAGCCTCTGAAACGGGAGACCTTGTCGTCGGGCTTAAGTTGATAGCAATTCTTTTCGGCGCTGTACCTCCCAAAATTCCTGTTCCTTTCTCGCCTGTGCCTATCGGGCCAATCGACAAGGATTTCTTCCGATTCAAGAATCCCGCACCAGAATTGCTACTTGTTGAGCTTCGGCGTTTGGGTCCTGTGGTAAGCTTCAATAACTCGTCCTCGTCTTCTTCCTCGCGCCGACGCTTCTCAGCCAATCGCTCAGGTGGCGGTGTCTGAGCAGGTGAGCTTGGTGTTGAGCCAGTCTCTGAGCCTGTTTCAACTGGAGCATCATCCGCGGTTGTCGACTCCGCCTGTGGTGGTTGCGTTGAGAGAGCTTCGGGTTTGGTATCCATCGCATCTTCATCCTCGTCATCGTCATCGGGATAATCAACCAGCGGCTTGTCCGCGGGGTAGAGCCGTTGGATGTGCTAGCAGCGAGTGGAGCACGATTATCCTGGTGCCACTAATTAGTCAAATTGTCAGCGAGGATTTCTCACGAAATATATGGACGAGATCTCTTACATCATCTTCGTCGTCGGACGTGCCAAAGTAGTCCTCTTCCGCAGCATCCATCTCCTTGACTCCTTGCCAACGTTGACCATTGAGTGGCATTCTGCGCGGCGCGCTGTCATCTTCGTTACTAAACAATGGTTCCGCCTCGGCTCCATATCCTTGCATTTGCTCGTAGCGCAGAATCAAGTTCTGGAATGTATCGACATAAGTGATATTCTCGAGCTTCTCTCGGTACTTTTCCACAACATGGAGAATGAATGGCTTCACATTCTCTCTCTTGATAAACTCAAACAGCTCAAGACAGGCTGAATTGAGCAGATTGTCGCGAGGCATTGTCTCGTAGACGATATCGAGAATGAGGCCGAAAGTATTGTTATGTGTCATTAAAGCTTGGTAGAAGGTGTCTTGGAGACTGATCAAGGTGCGGAAGAATTTTAGAGCAACTATACGAATCAAGATTAGTATCAGATATGGCCTTTGAAGATTCAAGATTGATATCCATACCGAGCTTCAAGGGTTTTTGATGGGCAGTCAGAAGTTGAGCAACGCGAGGCGCAAGTGATTCGCTGTGGATCGCATTGCGCGTGCGGAAAAGATGTTGGCGGACGAAGAAGGTTAGAATATCAACAAGATGTGAATAGAGCGTGACTTCTTGGAACGTCAAGTCATTAACTAGGACAGTATTAGCTATGATGAACAAGAGGGGGTGAGATTTTCGAAGTAACGTACGAGAAGCGCGATTAGCAAGATGCCTAAGCGGCTGGAAGAGTCGCTTAGAAGAATCATCGAAATGCTGCTGAACAAATGCATCATTGAGAATGTTGGCAGAACGGACTTTAAAGTAATCGGGTCCAGCCCGGGCAAGCGGGTCCTGCAGGGGTATCTGGGGGTCAAGCAGGATCTTAATAGCATCAGCTAGTTGGTTTTTAACTCCGAGGTCAGTCTCGGTATGAAGCAGGTCGATCAGGGTATCTGTGAGGGGTGTTTTCTTTTCATTGACAGCCTTGAGCATGTATCCACGCATCATCACTGGATCATGATCCAATAATGCGACAAGGATATCAATGCCGGTTGTGCGCATAGCAGGATTTGGGTGCTTAACTGCAAAAGCAATCACTGCAAATAGGCCATGGCCAATGAAGTTGGCGAACAGTTGGGCTCGCGATGGTGCCTGGAGATTCTTCGCAATGGCTGCACATTGGTGCAAAAATTGCACCGCATCATCCTTGCGCCTGATATCGGTGTTTCTTCCATCAAAGAGATGAAAGAGCTCCCGGAGGAAAGGCGCATTGGTTTGGATGTGATTCACAATTTCCATCTGGTTGAAGAAGATCAGGGAGTTAAGTACGGAGAATGTTGGGTCATCCAGAATCCGGGCGAGAACCACATCCTTCAGATATTGCAGACGCCAGGTGCTCCGGATCTTCCTGCGGATAATCGGGTCCTTGATGGGGACCACTTCTTTGTAGCGAGACTGATCTGCGAGGTATTGCCGGTGGTTCGCCTTGTGGGTGGGAAATTCAGGGTCATATTCCAAAGCTCCAACCACACCCAGGATGACCTGATCTGCCACGACAGTTTCGATGATTGTGTTGTCATTCAACAAGATGAGGGATTTCATGATATTGCACAGTCGGTGCAGATCTGCCAAGCTTTCCAGATCCTCTGCTGTTTCCACGAGAGGAACCAGCTTGCTGATGTATTCATCTCGAATGATGAACTTGGACAGGGCATCGCGACCTGCCTGTGTCATACTAGCCGCGCGTACCATCTGTTCGATGTCGGGGAGATTCCTCAGTTCAGGCGGGGGTAGTGCGATTGTTTGATAGCTTTCGAGATCGTCGGAAAGAGCGTCATCTGCAATGGCGGGAAAAAGAAAACATCCAAAGTTAGACACGTAGACACAGGGGAGCCAGTTGAGGCCTTCAGACGGAAAGGGAAGATAGCCAAAGGCATTCTAGATCGTCTGACATACCGGCTGCATTCAAATTCAGATGTTGCTGAACAGAATTCACAAATTCCCTGATATATAATGGTCAACACTAGAACATGGTGATACATATGTGTTCTTCCGGTGAGCCTCACCAAATCACTGCACATCCCTCAGCCTCTTGAAAACTAAGCGCCATATCTGTTCCATTCTGTTCCGTCCAGACAATCAAAGTTTCTGATCTCAAGAGTCAGTTAAGAGTAATCTTTTATATATAAGGATTTCTGGTGAAACGGCAAAAGCCGCTAATGGTGGGACAGAAACCTTGCTGTTTTTGATAGCCATCATCCTTCGTGATGCGCGTCTCTAATAAAACGCGATTGGGTTGATCTTCTGATTCGACGAATATTCGATGCTCCTCCTAGATAAATAGAACACAGATAACACGAGTTAGTCACGCGATTCATTCGGGGAACGGCGGAGCGGGTGCGGATGCAGGATTGTCGTAATGCGACCGGGCGGAACATCAAAGCCCAGGCACACGCGCGCGCGCAGTGAGAGCATATGATATAAAGCGCGCACCGCTTTAAGTAAGAGCTTAATAGGGAAGAAATGAAGCTTACCCCAACCATTTGACCCGTACAGAAGCCAGTACCACGATCGAACCAGTCATTATCCCTCAGTTCGTAGACCTTGACCCGTTTGCGACCGTCGGGCGGCTGTAGGTCCAGCGCCATGATCCGGCGAGAAAAGGGAGGGCACGTCACTCCAGGGCCTCCAGGATGAGCGTGCGCCGGTTGCGAGGCCCGAGGAGATGCCGAAAATAAGGATGGGGGTAGGTGTCGGGGGGTGGAGATGATGAAAGAGTCTGCGGAGGGGATGACGATCGAAGGAAAAGGTTGGGTTGTGAAGGGGGAGGGATCCACCTGACGGGGCCTCGGCCAGTTTTTGATATCTATGTTTAGACTAGGACAAAGTATTGGTATGAAGATAAATTGGTATTCTACTAAGTTATTTGAGGTAGATATCAGAAGAATTAGATATATATTAAAATTACAATTATTTTCATATTATCTGAATAAATAATTTCAATGCTAGAAACAATGAATAAGCTCATGTAAGAATGGGGAAGCTCTAAGGTACCAGAGGCTTTGAACACGCGGGAAGGGCTTCGGATCTTCCAGAATTACCTGGGAACATGAAATTGCCAAATAGACTGGAATGTGTATGATATCATGATCATACAATAACCAACATTCCTAGGTGGAATATTTCGATATAGAATGTTTGGAAATTTTTTGAGATTTTTCTTATCGCAAATCAGATCTCCCTGCAGACAAATTAACCTCCGGCATCGAAGCTTCTATCCGGCTTGATTATTCCGGCGCGTGGTACTATTTAGTACCTAGTTAGTATGGCAACTGGTCAACTTATTATTGCACATGTGCTCTTTATTCCATCTAATGTTCGAACTGTATACAAATAGAATACTAAACAAATAAATAATAATAAAATTTTAGTTTTGTCGGAATTACGATTTGAAGGCTTCAGTTCTAGAATTTTTCCACTTGAAATTCTACTAGTAATCAAACATCTACTACCCATCATCCATCTCATATATATACATATGTAATCCGGAAATCCCAGACCAGTTGACAGTCAACTGGTCAATATCTTCCGTGTAACTATAGGGCTTCAAGTGCACTACGTACTAGTGCAGTAATCAAATCAAGTTATTGCTGAATTAGCATTATCTTATAACTCAAAGCATCCTAGTTGCCTCTATATCACTCTAGCCCTGATAATACTCAATGAGCCTAGAATAATATATGGCTTTAATATAAAACACCAAATACTCACGCCAATTGAGGTTAAAGAATGGCACCCGTGTGGACACTCTGGGTTAAAGCACTGACCCACCGCCCCCACTATACCAACTCTAATTGGTCAATTATCGCATGGCAATTCTTATCGACGGCTTTTCCGATGTCCCAAAGAGGAAAGGTTCCAGACCTTCTCTTGGTTAGTTTTTTTTTTCTTTTCTTTTTTCTTCTCCTACTCTCATATTCCTTTCAATTCAAGCCATAAACGAGCGACTTCTGGGAGTTTTGCGCTCGTATTTGGCTATAAAGCTCCCCATCGGATCTCTCCGTCCTTCAACTTGTGCTCAGACGCAAGCGGACTGGATCAGCGCATCTCTATTTTCTTCGAGAAACCCCGCTTTCACGCTTTACGTCGGCTTTACGTTTACACCTTTTGTGTGATTTCTTGTTCAAGTTCACATAATGTCGGACTCGAAGGATCAGGTTACCGTCCAGGCGACGGCCTCGGATCCCAATTCTACCCAGTCGCTCGCTAAAGATGCGACTGTGGTTACGGATACTACTCACGCCGATGAAGAGGCGCAGGCGCCGGCTGATGAAGTTGATCCGCGCAAGAAGAGCTTTTTCGCGTACTTCAAAACGAAGGAATTCTATATTGTCGTGCTCCTAGGGTAAGTTCTAACTCTCAGAGAGATTGTGTTACTTTTCAGAAAAATAAAAAAATAAAACAAATAAACATTGGAATTTAAGCTAATATGAAAATAGTCAAGCTCTTGCGATTATGAACACTTCTACCAGTACCTTCACGACTCTACTCACGGAACAGGACTGGTCAATCCCTACTTTCCAAACCATCCTCAACTATATCGTCCTGACCTGTATTTTCACCCCGTACACCATCTACAAATACGGATTCAAGGGCTGGCTCCGCATGATGTGGCGTGATGGCTGGAAATGTATGTCCAATTCTAACCAGAATCTCAACTAAGCTCCATCTAACATGAAAATTAGACATTATTCTTGCATTCTGCGACGTGGAAGGAAACTACTTCATCGTGCTAGCATACGACTATACCACCATGCTAAGCGCACAACTAATCAACTTCTGGGCCATCGTCGTTGTCGTCGTTATCTCCTTCCTTTTCCTGAAGGTTCGCTACCACATTACTCAAATCGCCGGAATCGTAATCTGCATCGGTGGAATGGGTATCCTCATCGCATCAGACCATATCACCGGATCCAATGGTGGAGATTTCTCCAACGGCAGTCAATTAAAGGGAGATCTATTCGCATTACTCGGAGCCTCTTTCTACGGGTTAACCAACACTGCCGAGGAATTCCTCGTTAGTACGAAACCCGTGTACGAAGTTCTGGGACAACTTTCTATGTGGGGAATTATCATTGACGGAGTTCAATCTGCTATCTTTGAGCGCTCCAAGTACCATACTTCCAACTGGGATGGTAAGGTTGGAGGGTACCTTGTTGGATTTACGATTTGTCTCAGCATGTTCTACTGTCTTGCACCTGTTATGTTCCGATTGTCATCTGCGGCATTCTTTAATGTCTCGATGCTGACTATGAACTTCTGGGGTGTTTGTATCGGAATCAAGGTCTTCCATTATCATATTCACTGGATGTACCCCATTGCCTTTGTCTTGATTATTGTCGGCCAGTTGATTTATTACCTGGGTCGTCGCGCTTTGGCTGAGGCGAAGAAGCCTTGGTTGGGTGAGAATCAGGAACGTGGTGTTTCTGGTTGGTTTACTGCAAAGAAGATGATTCAGCATGATGCTCCTGGTGCTGTCCGTGAGGAGGACCATGTCCAGGAACAGAATGTGGAGCGTGTCTCTGAGACTGAGGTAAACACTACCACCACTACTGTCACTGCGGCCTAAGCTATTGTGCTTGGTGAATTGTGAGATATCCGATGTGATGATTGGATGAGGGTGTGACCTTGGGAGGAATATGGAAGACGAAACGATATCATTATGTACGATTTGATATGATACACTTAGATCATAGATTTCCAGTCCCATCTAGGCCTAGATATGGATCTGGATCTGTGATAGTAACCCAACTCGGGTTTGCTACGGCGAAATGTTTAATTGCTTGATTATATTCATAATTCCGATTTACATGCATCTCAGTCTGTAGTACTAGTAGAACTTCTCCTTATAAGACATCGGGACCAACGTATGTTTCCCAAAATTTGTACCTGATTGTACATACGGTGTCTACACAGGTACTGCTTTTGGACGAGATCAAATGATAGGCGGTAAATATAACTTCAAATGTTGAAAAAAAGAGATCGAGAGATTGATACAGGCATCCCATCCAATGTGCAACCCGAACCGAACCCCCCCAGAGAATGATAACAAATAAAAAACATCCATGAGACCTTCGCAACCGAAGCCCCCAATAAAAACGAGAGAACACCGAGAAATGAAAAGAGTTCGTAAGCACTTTCACAGATGAGCGCCAATTCCAACCATTTCACACGGGCACCAAGAAACAAAAAGAAGCAAAACAGAAGCAAAACAGAAGAAAACAACCTTAAACCCTTGAAACTGACTCGTGTTTCTTTTTTCGTATCGCCAAACAGAACCGTTTCGAATGATCCAGTCCGTAGACACCAATATTTTCGACTCCAGGAACCAACCCAGTACCCAGTAGTAGAGAAAGTAGCAGAAGTGACACCTTGATATCTCGCCCAAGCCAGCGCGGTTGAAAAGAATAAAAGAAAAATCAAAATTGCGAAAAAGAAAAAAAAAATCAAACCATAAAACAAAGAAAGAAAAAAAAACCCCAGATCCAGTGAGAATGACACCAAAAATCAAAAGGATATCCTGCTCCAATCCCGCTGTCATGTATATACCGTGTGTTTCAGAAGATTCGTTGAGTCACCCACGCAATATAAGCCATTTTTCTCGCACAACGCCGCAGGAAGAATAATAAAGAGTCAGAGAGAACCCCGAAGTCGAATGCATGCCACATGTTTACCGCGCCGCCGTGAATAAAGAATATATATACCACCCCTTCAATGCGGAATCAAAAATATTTCGTGCATAGCGTTTCAAGGTTAACCCCAAACAGAGGCCTGAACACCAAGTCCACTCTTCGAGCCCCAAACACCACTGCCGTTAGCCCAGCCGAGACCAACTCCTCCAGCTGCTGAATCCTTAGATCCAGAAACATTGGAAGCAGCAGTTACGGCAGGGTTAGAAGCCGCAGAAGTAGAGCGCTCGTTCGCAGCATTAGCAGCGGCCTCACTAGGAGTGAAACCGAAGCCTAGCGGGGAAGGCAAGGGAGTAGTGGAACGCTTGTTCAGAGCCGGGTTAGAGGATGGAGCGGAAGTCTGTGGTGGAACAGGACGAGATCCGATGGGACCGACGGAACCGATGGGGACGGCGGTCTGTTTAGCGGGGGCCTGACGCGAGGAAGGAGAGTCGGCACCTCCGGGGAAGAGGTTGAAGTAACGGGCTGCTCGGGGAAACCAGCATTGATAGCCGAGTTAGGCGAAGAGGTGCTATTGGCACGGTTTGGAGACTGAAGACCAGATGTACCCTCGGCCGTAGCGGCGCCAGTACCCTGAGTCAAACCGAAAAGATCCACTCCGCGTGGAGAGGAACCGCGAACACCGGCAGATGAGGGTGTTCTGGTAGCCTGACTGTCCGGGCGAGAGTTGTCATCGGGTAGAGGACCCGGGGGGAAGAAGGCTGGGCTCTCGTTGCCGTACAGGGCTCGGTGCTGGCGAGCCAGAAGGTCTCGGCGGCTTTCTTCGTTCACGGCGTTCACGGCCGCAGGACTGGTGGAGCGATCGGATTTGTTTGCAGACATCTCGGCGAGGAGGCCTTTGGAGAAAGAGAATCACATTAAAAACCGCGCATTCAAAAAGAACATGCCAAACCAATATATTATACAAGGCCGACGGATACATAGATGCAATGAAAAAGGAATATGACGGGGGAATATAAACGTCAAGAAGAGAAATAGAGAAGAAAAAAAAGCAGACACGCTACCACGTACTTCGGTTGTACTGCTGCTCCTGGTGATAGTTGCGGAGTTCCCGTTCACGCTGAGCTGCCATCCGCCGCTTCGCCTGCATCATTTGTTCTACTTCATTGGGGCGACCCTGGTACCGCTGCGAGGCATAGAAACCCTGCGCATTGCCGGCGGGGTGCATCCGGGGGCCTTCGAACTCGCTAATCGAATGGTGTCGCTGGGGGCCGCCACCCGCCATGCGAGGGTCTGAGAATCATGTCAGATCAACGCCGCATCGATCGAGGGTACGTCCACATACCGTAATCGGGATAGGGACGACCCATCATCATGGGCATCGAGTCCCGGCGAGGAGCATTCCACAGCTTCCCGCTCTTGACGAGATTGTCGATCGCACGATCGACCTCTTAAAATATACCATTAGCTTATATTCTACGAGACGAATTGTCTCTCCAGGAACCCTGGGGTAAAGAAAACCACATGGGGGAATGTATCCCTAGTTCACTGTTTCGCTTCTCGGAGATATTGTTGTCCCAACATCAACATCCATTCCTCGAGCATTGTTCTCGAAGGAACCAATTCTCACGCAAATTTTTCTTTCTTTCTCGAGACGAAGTGGAACAAGAAATTTCCCCCCCTATGAATTCGAAATCAAAACCAGGATTGTGCATACCGTCAAATTGGGAAGAAAAGGCCGGGCTATCCTCGCGCTGAGAGACCGAGCTCGAGCCTAAGAAAAAAAAAAGTTAGTGTGAATTCAAGAACATAAAGTTCATTGAACTGCATACCTGAACGAGATGGCGGCACGGGCTGCTCCCAAGAAACCGATCGCGCGGCGGGAGCCTGCCAACCCTGCGGTTCGTAGTACGAAGACATGGTCGTTGAAGGAGGAATTATTGTCTTCGTGGGCCGAACAAGCGGTTCAGGGGGTGGAAGCGGCGAAGGAGATGATCCGGGTGAGATCTGTGTTTGCCCCCAAAAAATCAGTCCAGTTCTTGTCAAATACCTATAGGTATCAATCCCCTGATATGATCTGGTTGATTTTCACTCAAGTCAAGTATAGAATATAATATAATATTCTATTTCCTCAAGTTCTTGAAATTCAACCAAAGAAGAGAAAAAAAAAGACCGTGGGGTTCCCGGAAATCGGGGGGGTTTATTGATTGAATTTTTTTTTTCTTCTTCTTATTGGGATACACAAAACGAGTACCTAGAGAAATCAAGGAGTATATACATACCGGACTTTTAATGAAAGGACAAGGGAAGAAAAAGAAAGGAGGGGAAAAGAAAAGGGAGGATTAGAGGGTCTTTGGGGGTGGATAAGTGTGTACAATATTAGAAATCGGCCACACATTAACTTACTTAAGTTAACTCAAGTTAACTCCAACTATACCCGGAAGTACAGACTGTACAGAATGTACAGTCTGTACAGTAGTAGTACAAAAAGTCTTTTGCTTTTTTAGCCCAATTATTGGAATTGAATATATGTGCGGCATTACTTCTATTGGTTATTTTGTACATACTACATTAAGTACTTTTTGAACTTTATGTGACTGTATGTATATAAGGGCTCTTTTTACAAAGAGAAATCGGAGATTATGGGTACACTACGTACCTTTTTTCCCACCTTTCCCACCTTTTCCCACGGAGCCGGTCACCGGAGATTGGACTGGGGCACAAGCGTCTAAGCGTTTTTTTGTTCTTTTAAAATCTTTAATACATTAATGGAGTCTTCCCGAGGTTCTATTATCGGATTTTCCCCCGCTGTTACTTTGTTACTTTTCATGTTCAAAGCTTTTTATCGGGTACACTTTACTTGATGTACTCAATCCATGTACTCAATGTATTCCTATTTACCGGATCTCTTACGTACCACAATATCCCTAGATGACGAGTTATCTATATATCTTCCATTTCCTTTAATTCTAAGTTCATTCAAAATTCTCTTTTCGACAGAGCACTTGAACTTGATCTTCGAATGTTGATCTTGAATGTAGGCGGCAGCCTTGGAACTGCAATGTATGCATTGTACACTGTATACTGCAACCTGCAGCCAAGTCCCTGTGACTCTAACTCTGACGCTTCTCACTGCACTTGGAAACTCTGATGAACACGAGACTTCCAAGGTTCTCGAACATTGAATACTTCTAAGAGAATCCCGAGTCTAGATCTTCAAGTTCTTACACCCTTTTGAAATACACCGTGACATGTGCATACTAGTTCAAGTTCAAGTTCTCCATTTCTCGAACATCTGATCAGACCCCGCATCATGCATACAATGCACCAAGATCTAGGATCCTCCATGAAAAACCGTGCCAACCGGTTAAGTACGGTTCAGTGGAAAACCCGCAGAGCCCCTCATCCCACCAAGAAAAAAGAAAGAAAAAAAGGAAAAAGAGGGGCGCGGGATCATGCTGTGTATGTACATCCATACCCGGACCAGACAACGGATGTACAAACTACCAGTGTACAATACTCCGTAGTAACCGAAGAAAAAAAAGGACCCATCCCACAGGACCATAGTTGCAGTAGTCGCATTTCGCATTTCGCGTTCCCGCCTACACATCCTTGGCCCGTGTTGACCAACGCATCGTCTCGGTCAATTCAGGAGGGCTAAGTGGGGCCCGGCCACCAACATGGTAGATTCTTCCGTAAGGTCCGCCGCCTTTCATCGGATTGGAGGATTGAAAGCCTGTTGCTGTACAATGATGTACTGTTGCCCCTCATCGGGTTGGACGGCTCGGAATTTGACGTTCAATCTGTGTTTGGGAAGTAAGACACACAAATTGACTATAACAGCTCAGGATATAGTAATGAACGGGAGTTGTCCGGTGAAATATAGTAATCTATGGACTCCGAGTCGGATGAATGCATTCTTCAGTCTGATATATACTATAAAGTATTCATTTCAGCTTAAAGACTGAAGTTTCCACTGGCAGCTGAGCTTACAACCTCAGGCTTGGAATCCTCAGTACTACTTACTAGTATTGGGTCTACTGGTAGTTCCTGCTGGGTAGACTACCCTCTGAGCATCCATGGGTGCATAGGTACACCCCCAACGTAAAGTGCTACTAACTGCATGTTAGGAACTACAACCTTGGAAGTCAATACTATTATTTGTCAGTGCACTGTGGTCGGGCTCCAGTGCTTCAAAGCCATGATATTATAGGTGCTGACACAACTTCTCATTGTCGTCCACGGGTGTAGCTATGGTATAAGCCACCTGGGCAGGCCTTGAACTAAACTTCAAGTTGAACCTCCAGCTTCCCCAGACACACAAACTCTAACTCCCCATGGATCTGCATGTGGATGAACCTGTGAATCTGGAGATGGACAGGTAGGAACGGCAAGTCCACCATTCAAACCCTCCGTGTATCACCAGAATGGTCATTCCCGGCGCACTGTCATGCTTCGCGTTACCTTGGAGGCCTCGATCTGGACCAGGTCCGTTTGTCATACACACATATGGAGTACATAACATGTTGGCCTACTTAAAGGTACATGGATAAAAGGGCCAGATTGGCGTTATTCCTCACAATCTGAGTGAAATACGATCTCAAGTGCTTCAAGGTCAAGGCGACCAGCTAAACCTGAGGATAGGAGGCCTTTTTTTTAATGCAAGAATTTCTATTTTTGATCTAACTGTCTTAAGTGCGAGTTCAAGTATCAGTGGCTTTTCCCCTTTTCATCTGAATGCTCGAGGACAATATCCAACTACCAATCATAAGCCGAATCCACCGAGACTATCTATTTGGCACGGGCGTCATATGTCCAATCTGGAATGAAAACAAAGACCACGAGATGCAGGGCTGTAGCCGAAGGACCAGGTTCATTCATTCTATGGGTATGGGTATAGTGTAGAGGTAGTAAACCTTGACAATTTCAAGATTGGAAACATGTTGAGGAGTATCCATACTAGTACATACTAGTAGATAGAAGTCAAGTTATGATTTTCCGCACGTGCGACGCGCAGGATCGCGGGGAGTGCAGAAGCCGATCAATAGGGGAAAGGAAAAGATTATGAACTGTAATGGGTATAAATGTACCTGCATGATTATAATCATTGGATAGAAATGGAATTGAACAAAGAAAGTAGTAATCTTTCACCTTTCAAAATGTTTCAGTTTCTCATAAGCGGGTTGGATCCTATAATATAACGGAGTAGTATAATTCCCCCCCTCATACGCGACGTGTTAAGAGTACAGGGGAGATAAAGAATAGAGGGGGAAACCTGGGAAGAGCCTTGGTAAGGGAATATATAAATAATATAAGAGAATAATTCTCCATAGATGTATCCATTTTAGGCAATTCCCGTGATTCATTCTTCCCCCTTTAAAATAATAATAATCTAAATAAAATCTGGGAAATAAAATCCAAACTCTTGAGATGTGGAGTTGAAGAGGTGCGGTCGGCAGTGTCTCTTTACCGCCGACAGGGGCTGACCTCGATCATCTTCACATCTCTCAAGAAACTTGTACCCTCAACTTTCTCCTTTTTTCCCTTTATTTCACTTCAATCGGAGCCCCGGTTGGTTCCTACGAATTCCTGTCCTGGTAAAGTGCCTATTCTTGGGCCCCCGCCACCACGAATCCCCTTTAACAATCCATCACCCAGATTGGGGAATCCCCGAATCTCCAACCGTCATCTCACTTTCTACTTGTATTAAATTTTGTTTTTTTGACTCTTGTTGCTCCTGGTTGAGGCAATTTGGGGGGGGTTATTTCTCTTCTTATCACTCTTTTTTTCCTCCTCTACTCTTATCTCACTTTCAACGGGGATACACAGAAACGAATCAATCCGGGAATCCACAATTTCAAGATCCGTACCGTGAGGACCATTGAATCCTCTCTCTCCCGCACCACATCGCAGAACAAATACCAACTCCGCCACCCACAAACCTCCCCCGCAAAAAGATTACTTCCTTCCTTTCGAAAATAAAACTTCTCAATAAACTACCGGGGAAATATTGGAGCATACAAGAGAGTAAAAAAAAAACGAAACTCCACGAACGTCAAGTGTACGGGTGGACCACACTCTCCATTGGAGTGACTTACACAACCAGAAAGTGGACCCGGAGGGGCTGTCTTGAGTGTGGAAATCTAAATCTCAACCGAGTCGCCGAGTCAGACCAAAAACTCCCCTCCTCCCAACCACGACTGGTGTCTGGAAAATTGCTATATGGTCTCAAACATCGATGGGAATGCAAAGTGTTCCCACCAGCCTGGTGACATCTCACCAATAGCGTCGGATCATCCTCCCACTATGGCATGGATGCCGCAGTCCGACGCGTCCGACCTCCCTTCTCGGCCCCCATTGAACTCCCAGCAGTCCAGTTCTCTCCCCTCGACTCCGTATCAACATGCGCGCAACCTCTCCTTTCACTCCCGGTCGCCGTCCCCCGTCCGCGGAAGCACCTCGCCTCGTTCTACCCACTCCGAGACCACTCATCTTCCTCCTTCCGCTCGAAAACCTCTCGGAGGCTGCAAATATGAAACCGCTATGGCCTACTTTCGAAGACGAATACCATACAGTCTCGGGGCGGATATATTGCCTGAGGAGAAAGAGGAACTGAAAGAAAAGTTGGACCCGGAGGAAGAGCAGAAACTGACGGCCGATATCATGGATCTGTACGACCGATTATTACCCTCGGCCGAGAGTGACGATCGACGGCGACAACTTGTTCGGAAATTGGAAAAGCTATTCAATGACCAATGGCCTGGCCACGACATCAAGGCTCATGTGTTTGGTTCGTCGGGGAATAAGCTTTGCTCTAGTGACTCGGATGGTATGTGTGGAGACTTCTAGATCCTGGGGGAGAGACATGAATTGTGAGAGAGAGCAAGAAAAAAAAAGGTTCTCTCGAGCAAAGGATAAAAAAAAATTGAAGAAGGAAAAATTGGACTGGGTGAGAGACATTGAAGCTGACTTTTGCCTTAGTCGATATTTGTATCACCACCAATTACAAAGAACTGGAACATGTGTGTCTCTTGGCGGAGGTTTTGGCAAAGCGTAAGATTGCACTTAGCAGCATTCGCAATTTTGGCGGTGGTGAATTTTTTTTTGGTAGTGCGGATGGGACTAATTTTTTTTTTCTTGACCAAACAGATGGGATGCAAAGAGTTGTGTGTGTTTCTCATGCGAAGGTTCCGATTGTTAAGATTTGGGATCCGGAGCTGAAGTTGGCGTGCGACATGAATGTCAATAATACCCTCGCATTGGAGAATACTCGCATGATTCGGACTTATGTGGATGTGGATGAACGAGTACGGCCGCTAGCAATGGGCGTTAAACACTGGACAAAACGACGAATCCTCAACGATGCTGCTCTGGGAGGTACATTGAGCTCTTATACTTGGATATGCTTGATTATCAGCTTTTTGCAGACCAGGCAACCACCGATCCTACCTAGTCTTCAAGCACGTCCCCATAAGAAACGAGTAACGCCGGAGGGGTTAGTCTGTTCATTTGATGACGATATGAAGTCCTTGAGCGGGTTTGGACAGAAGAATAAGCAATCAGTCGGAGAGTTGTTCTTTGAGTTCTTTCGGTACTACGGTCATGTCCTCGACTACGAGCAAAACATTATTTCTGTGCGCGAAGGTAATTTGATCAACAAAGAGGGCAAGGGCTGGCACTTGCTCATGAACAATCGTCTTTGTGTCGAAGAGCCATTCAATACGTCAAGGAATCTGGGCAACACTGCTGATGATACGTCATTTCGGGGTCTACATTTGGAGTTGCGGAGGGCATTCAAGTATGCCGCGAAGGCAGATTTGGCTGGATGCTGCGAGCAATTTGAGTTTCCACAAGAAGAAGAGCGAACCTGGGAGCGTCCGCCACCTCAGCCACGCCCGATCATTACCCCTTCCTTGCCCACTCGGGGTGGACGAGGAGGTGCGCGCGGTGGCCGGTACGCCAATCAGTTTTCCAGAGGAGGGTATTCTGGCAGTCGGCGGACGTCGAACACGGCGAACAAGGGAAACAATAATTTTCGGCAACCGAGTACGACGAATACTGGTGATCTATCTCTGCAAGCACAACAGCAAGCTCAATACCTGTTACATGATCAGCTTTATCAACAGATTCAGCTTCTCCAAGCTCAAGAGCAAGAGCTGAGAATGCAGCTGCATAACCAATCCCTCGTCACTGGGCGTCCTCCTCCAGTGACATTCCTTCGTCAGCCATTTATCCAATTTCCTGTACCTCAGCAGCAGGAGTACTCTTCCACAGATGAGAACTTACGGTCAAGGTCAGGCACGGTCAACCAACCGCCGCTTACGCCTTCATCACGACAGAATCAGCAATCTTTCTTCGCCCCTACCTATGCTTCTGTTAGTGCCTCTGGCACACAAGGAAGCACAACGAATCCTCCTTCGCCCTCCACCTCCACTGCTATTCCTGATCTTCGCCGAAATCCCCGTAGGTCGTCCGCTGCGAGTTCATCACCAAAGGGTCCTCTTCGAGCACAGTCACAACCTGCTCGCCCGCAGATGTCGCCGAATCTCCAAAGTTTCCCACCTCTATATGCAATTCCACAACCACTGGACACCTCGTTTGGCTCTAAACAACGTCGTGCCCCGGAGGAGGAGTCAGAAGGTGGAGATGCGAGCAGTGATGAGAATGCGATGCCGCCGAACAGCCTCCCAAGTAATGGGTCTCGCTCAGGCTCGGTGGATGAGAACCGGTCACAGGATCTGATGGGCTATGTCCTCACTCCGCAACAGTTGCAGATCTATCAGCAGAACTCAATGTTATCACCTTTGACCACATCCATGAGCCTGGCTTTGCAGAATGGTTATACGTCTTTTGTCCCGGCTCAACAGGACTATAGATCTGGCTCTCTTGCCTCCGATGGACTGTCTCAAAATCCTACGACGCCTTCGAGAACTTCGGTTTCGCAGCCACCGCCGCGCTCGACCTCGCGTCCCGCGGCTCCTTCTGATCGGGGTCCCCTGATCGTGGATGGCTCGGTGCCTCCTAGCGAGATTCGCGCATCATCGTATCCATCTGAGCTGATCGATCCGTACGCTGCGGTGACTCACTATACGTCCACCTCTGACGACCAAACCATGAATACGCCGGCTAGTATATCTGATTCTCTGTCTCAAGATTTTCAAGATCCTGGCCCATTTGACCTAGAGCAGTCATCTAACTTCTCTCGGCCGCCACCATCATCATTTGAAGGGTCAAAAATGACCAACGGAAATGTTAATGGTAATGTTAATGGCAATCATGAATCCCATCCAGAAAAGACCAACAGCCAGCCGGAACTGCTTGCCAGTCGATTGCAGAACTACCATCTGTCGAATGCAGAGAAACTTGCTCAGTCGCACGCATCTAACAAGACAAGTTCTGCCAAGTCGAACTCCACGCCCCAGGCTGCGAGCAAGGAGAATGTCTCTCAGTCAAAGAACTCCGCATCCTCGAATGACAAGAACTCGAATAGTTCACATGGGAATGAATCACGGCAGCAAGGCTTGAACTCCAAACGGCGAACCAACGGCACAGATACTTCTGAGAAGGTTAATGGGGTGAATCATCACAATAACCATAATCACAAGTCCAAGTCCAAGGGCCGACACGATGGATCGCACAATAATTCGTCAAATGCGCAAAATGAGTCTAAAGACCGACATACGGAGCACACACCTCGCAAATCCGGATCCACGACAAATGGCACAGCAGAAAATAATCACAGCGGGTGGCAGACGACGAAGAAGAGACATCGCAGGAATCCCAAATCGACTGCCGAATCTCGAAATGGAGTTCATAATGGCCCGGAGCCTCTCCCTGCCGATGAATCTCTGCGGAAAGGAGGTTAGAAAGGTTCTCATCAGACCATAAACCGATGTCTATCTCTCAATCTGTGCCTGAGAACCCAAAAAAATTTCAAATTAAAATCAAAACCACACTTCTGCAAAAGTCCCCGGGGTCATAGGAAGTATTATATCAAACAAGCTGACAAGTATCTTGTTTATATTTACTCCTCTTTTCCTGTTTTTCTTCATCGTCCCTTTTCCATTCAAGAACCCCAACTTTTTCCCAAATACCAAAACCCAGCTTTGAAAGCTGTTGATCTGTTATCCTCGAGCATTTGAATCTTTTTCAACGATTATCTTGTTCTGACCGAAGCCCATGTGTCATGTTCAATTTCACGTCTTTTTTTTGCCCTCCTGATAAACATTTCCCATCTGTTTCAAGTTTTTTTTTTTTCATCCATTTCCCGGTGTCTGGGGGTCCGAACGGCAAGGGCTGGGGGAGGCATATGCAAATCGCATCATATCATCATTATCATCATACTCACACATCATTTTTGTCATTGCGCCTGCGAGACTTGCCATTGAGAAATATCAACCTTGTTTGTGTTTCTTCGATATCTCTGTTTTCTCACATGTCATCATCGCTTTCTAGGAATTCAACACGCACGGCACGAATCTGTTTCTTTACCTAGCTGTTTGGAGTTTATTTCGCGTTGTTTGGCTAGACCCGGGGTTCTTTTCTTGTTCTTTTTTCTCTCTGATTCTTAGGGTGCCATTTCTTTTTCGGTTCTGTATAAAAGGGATAACTTGTTGTCAATGAAGAATAAATATATTCAAAAAGGCCAAATTGGTTTCAGTGTAGCCTAAGGCTTCAACTGATATGGTAAAATTTAACGTCCGAATTTGAACGTTCAAGTTGGGATCATGGATATGGGCATGATTTGGATGTTTTGAAAGTTCAAGTTGGGGCCGAATGTGCTATTTATGCCTGCTTGAACTGAAATAACCACCCCTTGCTAGCACTTGAGTATTGCGCCATCCATATCTTCGGTGCCGCCATCCACTGACATGGATGTTGTTCAAGTTTAATGTTGCCTGCCTACTAGGTCGCACATGCTGCCTTGGAGTACATGCCCAGGTTTATGGGTGCTTACTACTGAATTATAAGCACAGCTTGAGCTTATGATCAGATCACTAAGCCTTCAAAGGTTCTTCAATATTTGAAGGTTCCATGTCGGTCCAGGTGATAGTACTGATGCTTGGTCTCTATTAGAGTCTTGGAAGTATCGACCTAAACCCTTGGATTGATATGAATTTAAGAAGGACTCGGACTGACTCGAGACCAAATGATCAATCGGATAATTTCTGGAACTTGAATTCAGAATGCTATTCAAACTCAGAGTATAAATTCTTAGATCTATTATGCTACTACCTGTATGTTAATGCACATTCGCCAATGCCTAAATTGGGTTCGGATGACTAGAGAGATGATATTGGGCATCTCGGCACAGATGCTGCTCAAGAAGACTGGGCTCCGCTACTTGAGCTAACAACTGGAGGATACCTAGTACGAGAGAATTTCCAAGTTGAAATTTTTAAATGTTGGGAGTTTTCCTGTTCAGTCAGCAGTAACCCCGGAACAAGTGGTGGTATTATAGCAGCTTCGAGTCGTTGGAGTCCTTGCTGCCCGTGTTTGTTTCATGACTTATTTTTAACAAGGAAATGCGGGACAGCCGAGTCAAGAAGGTGGATTATGTAGTCTTGTAATGTGACCTTCAAAGATTAGCCAACACATATGCACATCTGTGCAGCAGAACAAAGCCGAGCAGTGTCAAATCATCGCCATTCTTATTGTTAACTATGTACCTAGGTACAAGCACATCCTCACGCCGTACTTCGTGCGGCCGTAGCAGCGAAATTGGGAAAACTTGGAAAATTCACGGATATGTCCCCAGCACTCAAGCCCTTGAGTGCTTGGCCAGGTGTGTTCACATCCTCTCAGACAGGGATGTTCACATACTTCCAAGGTTAAGTACTTAGTCAGTAGTATCTACAGGTGACTGATAATATACACCTCTTTGTATCTAAGTACCTATGGACTTACCTGGGGGTTACCTGGAAGGAAAGGAACCTTGGAAGGCTAGCTGCTGCATGTATAGAGTTCGATATAGACAGCTGGTAGCCTTAGGTATAAGCTACTAGTAGGTATAGGCTGATTCTGCCCATATTTTCTGTTATTATATCCACGGGTGTAAGTAAAAGTGCAGGAACCCAATTAGTAACTTTTAAATTTTGTAATCTTGGAAAGAGGACTGGAATATTCATAAGTCCGAAGTCAAAGACTATATTTAATGAGATGTCATTCTCAAGCACTTGAGTGCTCCAAGCGGCTTCAAGTTATAGTCAACCCTTTTAGTAACCCGTGAACTTGATTCTTACTAGTAGTACACCACCTGGGCAGTCTATTGACAGTATTTTGCCTAAAGCCCGGTATAATATACGATCATGATAACCTTGGAAAACTTGCAAACCATATCCCTCCTTAATATTATGTCCATTTATTTGCTAGTAGGTATTTTTTTCAACTCGGAGCAGAAAGGCGCTCTGGCATACATAGATGGCACTGTGCTGGCACATATGCGTAGGTATGTGCATAATTCAACTTCAAGTTGAAGTTATTCATGAGATGGCAACTTGAAACTTGAAATCACTTGAGCACCAACATTTGAAGACATCCATTTGAAATAGCGGCCCCGGGTTTCCTTCGTACTAATCGTGTCTGCAGCTCTCCGTTATTCCAAAACCACTAAGCAAGCATCAAAATCAACGGGGCTTCCTATCTGATATATTACAGCCAAATACTATGAACTATTCCCTAGCAAGATACAATTGGGATTGATGACACGAGGCGCATGCATAACTGACGGGGCAAGCTAAGAACCTTGAATTCAAGTGTTGCTAGTGGCTGCCAGCACTTGAGTGCACATGACTAGCTGTCTAGAACATGTTTGAAGAGATGATGTACTCATCCGAGTCACATCAAAACCTGGCCATAGAAAAACATTCAGCGGTCATGTACCAAAAGTTCCCCCGTGTCCACGGCCCCGGAGTCCCTGTGGAGTAATTTGAAAAGTCCCCAGGCACTCTGAAACATTTACATGGCCTCCGCCCATGAACTGATGCAGTGTGATGTACCATGACGTTGCAAAAGTCCTGCTTCTGTAGCTGCAGGTGTGCCCAACTTGAAGTGCGGGACCAATATAGATAGATACCTTATAGAATAATCTAGATTTATAGTGATATTCTGAATAAAGTTGTAATTTCAAGTTATTTTATTAGATATAATACGATAGAAATTTCAAATCTATATTATTCTTTAGATATTAAAATAATCTATATTCCTGTAATATATAATTCTAAAATAACTTCCAAGGTTAGATTATTCTATAAAGTACTAGTACTATCTGTATGTGACGAGTTATAAATCTTCAAATGTTTTAGTTCCCAAGGTTCAAGGGGTTTAAATATCTAGATCAAAGGTAAGTATGTAGACTATTCTAAGTGAGAACTAGATGATATCAATCTAGATTCGTCTAAATATAACTGTTTCTATCAATATATCACTGATGCGCCATCGATACCCCCCCTCCACCTGGGCAGGACCTGGTAGAATCTTCGTAGCTACTAGTGGCAGAATGAAAATGGCCAGAACAAGTAGATCAGTCTACTAGATATCCACTATAACTGTGCACTTAAGACCATAATAAAACACACCTCTTCTAGTTCAAAATGTTTCACCACTTGATCCAGAAGATCCAGGAGTAACTCACAACCAATCCAGATTAGCCCAATCCGCCACCAGTAACCTCGCGGAATGGCCCTTAACCCCCAATCTAGTATAATGCAGATCCATCTAGTAAACTCCGGGTTTGAGCATTCCGTGAGGTACATTCCGCCATTCTGCGAGCCGCCTGCCCGCATATATGCGAAGCAGCCTGCTTTTCCAACCTGAAGGTCGTGAATTTTCTTCCCATTGCCCGAAAATAAGACTTTCAGAACTGTTCTATTTGAAATTTTGTCATCAATTATTGTCATAGTCACAATCTTTCAAGTTCTTCCATAGTTTCAAGCCAAACCTAACAGCCAAAAAGAAAATGGGACCAAAAGGGGAACATTCTGGTCGCCACAGGTGGAAATTGTACAGTCCAAGTTATTTTAAATCTTCCGAGAAGCAGGAAAAGAACGAAAAAACTAAACACGAACCCGACCAATCTGACCGATCCGAGCCTCCAAAAGATCCATCGCCTCCAAAGCAGCACGATGGGACAATTTCGCCCTTAGCATCGCTCAAAGCCAAAGATGTCAACACCGTGGAAACATTTCTTCTTACCACGAGCGATGATCTCTGGACTAACGCCTTGAAGAAACTCCCTCCGAAACTCCAAGAAAAGCTCCGAGCAAGAGGCATGGACGAAAAACGAACGATTTCCATGAGAGACCAGGTCGAGGAGTTCAAACAGGAGGCTGGGAGACTGCAGGAATCGAGCAAGGGAAAAGATTGGAAGTTCTCCTTGAAAGGGCAAGATATTCTAGTCAGAGATTTGACTACTCGGATCGCTGGATGGGCAGTTAAGATCGGCGATATAGCCATTCCATTCGCATCAGCAACGTCTGTCGCAGCTGCAGTGTGGGGGTGTGCTACTCTTTTCCTCAAGGTAAGTTCGCCCCTAAAGTTGAAAATTTCGAGGCAATACTGATCACTTAAGTCGAGGAAACAGGGGATTCAGAATTTTGATACCGAGAAGAAGGCTCTACTATCTATCGCTGAGAAAGTCGCACAGGCGATGTTTTTTGGTCAGCTTTACTCCAACACCTACACCCACGAGCGCACAGGGAATTTCGACGTCATCGCCAATCTTCGCAAGGCCACCGTGGATTTATACATCTGTGTGTTGACACTGTTGGTCAAGTCTCTTGATCTTACATCCAATACCGTCACCCAATTCTGTCGATCGATGTTCGAAAACCATAAGCCATCTGGCATATTATTGGATTTGGCAAGCCAAAAGAGTACTTTGAACGAAGCAGCTGGTTTGTGTGAAGTAACGGCTAAAGCACTTCAGGATGAAAATTTCAAGAATTGCCTTCGAGACACCGAACTTTTCCAGAGGCAATACTTCCAAAAAATCAACGAAAATGAGCAACGGGAAATTCGGGACTGGGTCTCCAATGTGCCATATGCTTCGCATCGTCGGGAGATTGAGGAGAACCGAGTCAAAGAGACGGGTAACTGGCTCATTCAACATCAAAGGTTTCTTGATTGGATACAGTCATCTTCATCCGAGGTGTTATGGCTTCAAGGATCCCGTAAGCCTGCTCTGCTACCTAGTGCTCCTTGTGATGATATCTTAACTAACATAAAGAAGCTGGGACCGGTAAGACTTTTTTGACTGCAAATGTTGTGACTTATCTCGAAGACCATATCGCTTGTACGGGAGGCGGTTTTGCTTACTTCTTTTGCAACCGAGATGAAAATGACAGGCGTAGGTCATCACCGGTTCTTCGAAGCCTGGTTCGCCAGCTTGCGACGACAACTTCTATTGACAAATCGATACGAGGAAGTCTGCAAAAGCTATGGAAGAAGAGCAAAAAGGAGAATTTAGACTTTGGCCGCTCAGATTGTCAAAATCAGCTTCTCGAATCCTTCGATACATACCCCACAACTTTTGTTGTTCTTGATGCGCTGGATGAAGTCAATACGGAGGACATCCGAGTTCTTTTGAAAGATATTCGCAATAACATGTCAAAAACTGAGAATGTAGTCAAGCTCTTTGTTGCTAGCCGACCCGAGGTTGGAGTTCCTCATCGCCTGTGGCCCACAATTACGATCCAATCTCGAGATAATTTTGAGGACATCAAAAAGTACGTGGAGGGAGAGGTCGAGCAATTCATTGATGACTATCACCGTGACAGGTTGGATGAAGGATCTGAGTGCGTACCGGCGGTGGAGGAAAAGAAAGACCAGATAATTCAGGACGTTCTGGATAAGTGTGACAACATGTGAGCACATCATGACCTCAAAAAAAGAGCTTTTTACTTACAAAAAATCACTAGGTTCTTGTGGGCTGCTCTCCAGGTTAAGCGGATTCTGGTAGATTGCCACACTGTTGAGGCTATTGAAAACGTCCTCGGAGTTCTTCCAATGGGATTGGATGAAGCGTATGATAGAATCTTCGAGGATATCAAATGGTTTCCCGACCCCGATCAAGAGCTAGTTGAGCACACCTTGAAGTGGATTTATGCTGCCCCTGGACTTCTTCAAACCGAAGAAATTCTGTCCGCCATTCGTGTCCGAGTCAAATATGGCACTCTAACATCCATCCATTCTGTCAACAAAGAAACTTTGCTATATATGTGCAGGAACTTGTTGATTGTTGATTCAAACAATCATTGGAGGTTTTGCCATCTTTCAGCCCGAGAATACCTGGACAATAAGGTCGAGTCTACTGGGAATTTCTCAGGAGCCCGTTCCTTTTGCGCAGAAATCTGTTTCCGCACTTTGCTGTTGTCGTTTGATCCGCAACTTGACGACACTGTTTTCGCTCAAGTCGATTGGGACGAGGAAGACAATCATGATCGCTTCGAGAGTCCATTTCATCCTGAGAATCGTTTCTCTCGACACTGCCAGACTTACTGGCCTTTCTACGCAAAAACAAAAGGTTTAAAGGCTTCACATCGCCTCCCTTTAGAGCAATTCCTTGGATTTCTCCGATGAAGCTAGTTTCTTCTACCTTAAGTGGTTCGGTTATGTGCTTGAGTCGAATTTCCAGGGGTTCGATTATGAGGAGGTCGCTTTTCTCGAGCAACGCTTTGTGTCCGACTATGAAACAGAATCCTATTCCGGGGATCATCGAGATGGAGATCCAATAAAAGCACCAATCTTCATGGTTGCGTATTTTTCACTCTACGAACAGTTGCGGGAGTGGTATGAGAACAGTGCGATAAACCCATTTCAATCGACCGACCATGGGGATTATCTGTTGACCTTCGCCGTAAGATCCAGCTGTATGCCATTGTGTACAGCCCTTATTGAAAAGGGACATTCTTTTGATGAAAAAGAGCTCCAACTCTGTCTTAGTCAAGCACTTCTCGCTGCCGCCGATCAGGGTGACATTGATATGGTGAAATATCTTATTGGGGAGGGTGCAAATGTGAACCTTCCAGTCTTATTCCGGTCCAGTTGATGTCGCTGCTGGAAGAGGTGATTTTAATTAAGGGAGATACTTTATGGAAGAAGCGAATGCAGTTGTAGGAGATGCACTTTTTTGGGCTGCCGAGCCGGAATCTAAGGAAACAGGACTTGATGTTATCAAGTATCTGATTGAAAACCACAAAGCAGACCCGAATTTACCGCCCAACCGCCACAGCTATGCAGGTGCATTTGTCGTTGCCGCAGCATATCGTCGGCGTGATATGATCAGATATTATTTGGAGGAAACAAACGTTGATGTGAATGCTGTATATAGCACTGGCTCGTACGGTAGTCCGCTTTGCACCATGATCTCCCATGGCTCGCTTGAAGATGTGAGCTACTTTATCGAAACAGGGAAAGCGAATGTCAATCTTCTGCATGAGGTTGGAGGGTGTGGGAGTGCACTTGCTCAGGCCGCTTTTTTGGGAAAGCTCGAAAAAGTCAAGTACCTCGTGGAAGAGGCTGGAGCAAAACCTGATCTTCAACTAAAAGTTGGAGACTACGGCAATGCACTGATTGCGGCTCTATTTAAAGTGTCTGGCAAGAACAACTATAGAATTTTCGAATATCTTGCGCCTCACACCCAAGTCAATCTCCCCCTTTTGTGTGGAAGATACGGCAGTGCCCTTGCTGCTGCTTTTGCGCTCCATCGCCCTGATAGTAAAGTCAATATGGATATTGTGCGTCTTTTCATCGAGACTGGAGCTGATGTGAATATGCAGCATCGGGTCGGAGAATATGGCAGTCCATTTTTGACCGCTGCTTTCTTCGTGACTGATCTGGACATAATACACTACCTGGTTGACGAGTGCGAGGCAGATTTACATGCTCTCCATTCGACTGGAAATTATGGGAGTGCTCTTGCTGCTGCTGCCAATGGTGGGAATATGGAAGTTGTCAAATACCTCGTGGATTTAGGAGTAGATGCTGATTGTGAGCTTCAAGTTGGAGCCTATGGCAGTGCTCTTGCTGCTGCTGCTGCTGGTCGATACTCGGACCCAGCAGCTTTCAAATACCTCGTGGATTTAAGAGTGGATACCAATCGTGAGCTCCAAGTCGGAGCCTATGGCAGTGCGCTAGTCGCTGCCGCTGCTACAAAAAAGCTGGAGCGAGTGCAGTATCTTGTTGAGAAAGGGAATGCGAATGTGGATCTTTGTCTCAGCTCTGGATCTTTCGGAAGTGCACTGGCCGCCGCCGCCGCGAATCGCAACTTCCAAGAAGTCGAATATCTCGTGGAAGAAGGCAAAGCGAATGTGAACCTTCTTCTTGCGTTTGGATCTTTTGGAAGTGCATTTCTCGCTGCTATCATCTCGCCTTTCGACGTTCCAATTGACCAAGAGATCATTGAAATTTCCCGACAACGAGGACTCGGATTGTATGTAGATCTCGCAATCCAAATTTTAGGCGACGACGTTACCCGAGTGGCTCTTGCCGCAAGTTTCGCACCTCCTTGGTTGCGAAAAGATGCTTTTGGTATTGTGAAATATCTGGTGGATGCAGGAGCAAATGTTGATCTCGAGCTCCAAGTTGGCGCTTACGGCAATGCTCTAGCCGCTGCCGTTACGATTGGAAATCTTGACCAAGTGAAATATCTTGTGAGGAAGGGGAAGGCGAATGCGAATTTTCAACATAACACCGGGTCTTTCGGGAGTGCCCTTGTGGTATCCATCATTAAATATTCCAAAATCCGGAAGCTTCCTGATGATGTCCATGGTATCCAGGGGATCATTTTGAGCCAAATTGATCGCATGAATTTCTACGGTCGCTCCATAGCAAGTATGAACGATGCAGAGGCTCGATCTAGAGTTGAATCTATGATGCGTTCTCTGGTTGATATTATGATCTATCTCCTGGAATCAGGAGCCAATGCAAATCTGCAGCTCAATGTCGGTCCGTTTGGCAGTGCACTGGCTGCTGCTGCTGCGACGGGGAGCTTGTGGCATGTCAAATTTCTCGTGGAGAATGCCCAGGCAGATGTGGACCTTCAACTCAATAATGGGTCCTATGCCAATGCTTACGAGGCGGCAGTTGCCCATGAACATCTTGACATCGCAGAATATCTCGCGCAGACAGGAAGAGACTCCAAGCCCACGAATTTGGATACTTGCTTGAAATAGTCACCTCGATCTCTTTCATGATCTCAGTCACCCTTACTTTATCTCTCACTTCAGCTATCTCTTACTTCAGCCTTATATATGACACTTAGGATTAACCAGGGGCAAGCTAGACGGCCAAAATTCATATAGAGATATGGATTTTGGTCGTTTGGCCATTGTAGGCTTCCGTACCCTCTAGACATGTTGGCTTAGAGTGACTTCAAGTTCAATCTTGGAAGTTCAAGTTTATACTCCTTATCCTGCTAAGCTATGTAACGTGTGTTGCAGGTCATAACTTGCCGGCAGTGCCCAGGTGTTAGATCACGTGGTCTGTATAGTTCAGACCAAGGTGGCTAGGTAGATAGCTCTCGACGTGTCGGGGCAGACTTCCCCTCCGCGCGCTTCCCCCCATACGTGTTCTTTCCTGTAGCTGTTCCAAAGACACACCTCCTAACACCAGGTGGTCAAATATTGTCTAGTCAGAGTCCCTAATGCCTAATAGGTGGCTCCAGTTGTTTCTATATTTCCTTTTCGCTTTTCATTTATATTCAGATCTTTGTTTTCTTCCTCTCTTCCTCGTACTAAGTAATACATGCAATATGCAAGTGCCTAATTGGGGAGCGGAATATAGATAAGTCCGACTCGGAATCCTAGTAGCCGTATATATTCTAATAAGCCTTGAGGCAACCTGCTTAGTATTACCCACAAACCACTTCTATTTCCACTGATTGTGAGCTACCTGAAGCCTAATCCAAATAAGGAAAACTAAAATTTTCAACCAAAGATAGAAATCTCCATGGCAGAATACCCTCAAAAGCCCTATCGTGTCCTCGTGATAATCTCAAGCAAGAGTGCCCATTGGGAGCAGGCATAGCCAGCATCAGAGGAAATAAAGCTCCCAGCTGTTAAACTCCCCCCGAGACAATAATCTACTTCCACCAGCAGTAGAGAACAGTCAACCCCCTCCCCCTCCCGAACTGAGACCCCTAGCCAAAACAAGGCAAATACGCGTATTCCTTGTATTCGATATCGCAAATACCTCTTATGATTTCGCCGAGGCACATTTACCAGAGGAAAACAAACTCTCCCTGCTCTGATTGTTCAGATGAGTTCGAAACATAAGGCTTATCCAGCGGATCTTGGGGCACAGAATCGGATCAATAAGGATATTGCGGAAATGCATAACAAGGAGGGTTGGGATAGTGTTCCACCATTTTTTGTGGATTATACTGTTGGTGCTCCGGTTTATATGAACCCACGGAACGTATCATTACTCGAGCTTTTTTGACGTCTTTACCTTTGAGATTTGTGTCAGCAGGCATATGTATCTACCTGGTCCAGGTTAGACTATCAGTGGTCACTGGTAATTCTCATTGTGATTCAAATATTGTGGCATTGTATCATTGAACCGTAGAGTTGTATAGTACATCTGCGACTGAGTCCCAGGATTCTCGGATGACATCGTTTTGTAGAATAAGCAAAATGGAGAGAAGAAGAAAAAGGCAGGACAAAATTAAATCACATAGATGGTTATACAGGCCAAGAAGAACAGGAAAAATAGCAAGCCATATTAAGATAGTACAGCCCGCTATAAAAGAATAGAGAAACCCTCTCAAAAGGCAATATGTTCATAAGGGTATGAGATAGACGCTGAAATATTGTCGTGTATGCAAATGCGAGGTCAAGATCTTAATCTAGGCCAACCCTCAATTAAGACCAAAGTTCGGCAAGAATGTATGGGACAATGACGATGCAGGCTGTCCAGAAGACCATGATAGATCGGAAGGGGAACATGAGTAGCTGAGTCACTGGGGTTTCGCGGAAAAGGACCCAGATAGCGAGGAAAGCAACAGTGAAGAAGTGTCTGACGAGGACTAGAGGTTGTTTGAGGAGACCAGCGAGCATCAGGACAGGCTGATCAACAGCACCGATTTGGAAATAACGGAAACAGCCGCGCTGCAGAGCTCGAAGATTCACATCATCAGCGGCGAACAGCATGTATAAAGCCTGTGCGAGAATATTGATAACGGTAGAAGACTTCTTTCTTAGCCAGTGGAAACGAGCAAGTTGCTTCAAGACCAGTTCGGTGTCTTCAAACGACGGCACAGTTTCCGGACTGAGCAGCTCGCGGATCACGCAGACATCATTCAATGCCACAGTCATTCCACCACCCGTTAATGGATGCCGCATGTTAAGCGCATCACCCAGAATCATCAGACCAGCTGTCTTATTGGTGGATGCGGGCAAGAACGAGTTTGGCATAGACCGCAATTGTCCCTTTTCCAAGGCATCCAGGAATGGACCCTGGCACTCCTTTGGAAGGGAAGGCAGAACGGAATTCCGCATGTAGCCCTTCACACCACCATTCTTCACCGATGCAGCGGGGAGGTTATCCGGGATATCGATCAGGATTCGGGTCTCGTGGGTGCCAATCTGGTACATCAATACCGGCGGGATATCGCTGAGAAGTACGTGACCATAGCAAGGGGAGGGGAGGGGTGCATCGATCATTTCCAAGCCCCAGAACTTGGAACGGCGGCTGGGTTTGTGGGGGTGGTGACCATCGCGGAATTTCGTATCGTAGCCGTTAGCGACGACAGTAAGTTGACCGAAATAGCAGTCCTTCATGTCATCCGTAACACATTCAACGCCGAGGACCTGCTGCGTATGTGTCGAAGTAACCAATCCTGTGGCCTTTGTCTCAACAACCGTAACATTGGGACAAGCCAGCGCAGCCTGGCGCAATTTCATAACGAAGCGACCATGGTGGAAGGCACGGCCGCGGGGTTCCGGCGAGGAGGGCGTCTCGCGAGGGTAATCGAGGTTGACAGGATCTTCGAAATATGAGATATAGTATCCTTTCACGGAAATTGCATCAATTCCTTCCAGACACTCCAACAGGCCCAATTTTTCCAGCGCTTGCACGCCACCGGGTTGAAGTAGTTCACCGACAATGCGATCGGGTTCCTTCATGGATGATTCGAGTAGGATCACACTTCGGCCTTGTCTTCCCAATGCGACTGCGAGGGCACATCCCAGAATACCGGCGCCAATGATCACGACATCGGCCTCGTGGTATTCGATGCGACGGCGGGTAGCTTGTGCTTGTGCTTTTTCTTGAGAGTCAACGGCATGGCCGTTGGAGAGGGAGGTCATATCGGAGTAGAGGTACTAGTAAAGTTAGAATTAGAAAATAGGCGGCCGTGGCCGCAAGGACATAATCGAAGGAATTTGTAGTAGTTGTAGTATGGGCTGATCATGAAATTCCAAAAGAGAAAGGGGGTGTGGCATGACATGTGAAAGTCTCTCTCCGCCTTTGTTATCAGTGATAAACTATACGAAGTAGATCTGATCATATTATACCTACAGTCCACTATATCTACAAGTTTAATTCAAGATTTTATGTCTTAAATGATTAAATAAGATCAATTATTGTATGGAGTAAAGCAAAATGGATTTGGAAGTGTAACTGGTTTTGCTCTCACATTAGGTGTCAACTGGTCAATATTCATCTCTAGATCTAGACACCGGAAGCTTATAGACTAAGTCTACAACAAACATAGCTCTATGCTGAGATGTCATAATATTACTTTTTTATAAGTTAAATACAGTCATAATAGTCTATTCCAGTTGCAATAAGAGGAAGCAACTGGAATACCTCTGAGGCATAAACTCAAAAAGGACAAAGCAGTTTCGACCGTGAAGCAAAACCACATGTGCCAAGCCAAGATTGTTTCAATGTTAGTTAAGGAACCGTTCAAGGCACTTCTCTATTTCCTTGTGTTGGAACTTGCGCGTTCCCTGTAGATATCACCTTCCCCCTCTCCTACACATGACACACAGATGCACATTCTTCCATCATGTCCTCCATCCCTCCTGATAAGATAGTGAGGTCCGCAGATCGGCATCCCAGTCATCAAATGTAGCCTTGCCGTTCTTTTGTAGTGTGTTCTTCATCCGTGTGTATGTGGTTGTGGTTGTGGGTAGGAAGTCAGCTTGTGATCTCTCAGGATCCGTTCTAAGGAGTTCTTCTCCCCAGCCGTCGGAGGCATCTACATTCACATTCGTCACCTTGTGTTCTTCTTGGCTGATATTGATAGTATCAAGGAAGCGGTGTCGTTCGATAAGACGAGCGAGAACTTGAGGTTTACTTTTTCCCACTCAGATAAAGCGAAATTTCGATGTTCAACTAGCAGGAGATGTTCAGCTAGTAGGGGATGTTCAGCATGCAACGAATCAGCGAAAGAGATCACTGATGAAGGGATCATTGATATCGCGGGATATAATCCAGATATCTACATATCTGCCAGGACTTTCATATCCACTTCACATACCACCTAAACTTGATGAACCATGTAATTGTAGGAGATGGATAGATGAACATTGGCAGTTCACTCTACCTGAACTAAGTACCGTAGCTATAAATGAGGCTGCCATGATTATGCCGCCCGAATTATATGCCTTCTTGAGGCGTTCTCATACACATAAAATGGAGAACATGTTCGGTGCAGGTGCCCAGGTGGCTTTGCTTAAAATTTGCTCAACCCATACGATAGTCGATGAAGATGACCACAAGATATCTTTCAACGGGGCAAGTGAATAGCGGGTGAATCTACTATACGACTTCTCAGTTTTTATCACAAGGGCTGATCATGAATTCCCAACTCGGATGGCTCCGCGTTTCGCCTTCCCTCCTTGGAAGGAAGCTCATTTCAATTTTATCTGGCTTTTCAACCCTGTCATCAGGCATGTAATTGTCCATGGCAGAGATTTTTTTACCCTTAATCATGCACTCAACAGGTTGTATCTCATACCTGGTGCTTACATAACTGCAGCGATCACGTCCAAAAAACTGTTGTCTTCTTGGATTAGGTTGATTCTCACTTTGCCATAGCCAATTGCAACTCCTTTTGTCCCTGGACTTGAAGTGTCCCATTGGTATTCGAGACCTGGCTTGAATGCGATGTAGTCAAATATCCACTCTCTCTTTGTGCAGAGATGGTTGCCTGCGCCGGTGTCTAGTAGTCATTGGCGATAACCTGTAATATCAGGCTTATTCGGATTGGGGTTAGGCAGAGTAGGTATAAGGTACCGGAAGTAGCAGACGCCATCACTCTTTTTCCACTCTTCATATCTTGAGTATTGAAATGCCCTGGGATAACGTCGTAAAGCTGCTGTCTCGTAGCTCCGAGTCTTCTCTAAGGAGAGACATGGTTTATAGTCCAGATATTCAAACAGGTAAATAAATACATATGGATCCTGAAATTCCGGTATTTGAGACGCCATTTGGGTCAGGTGTTCTGTCATGAGGAGAGGAGGTTCAAATCCTACGTCCACATAACGCCTTCTTTTCAATGCACCATAGAAACCCCTCATGGCAAGGCGAGCATGTTTCTAAAAGGCGGAGAAATTGTCTCAACTCGCTTGTAAAAGAGTGGAAATGGCAAGATGCCTCCAGACGTGATGGGCAAATTACTCTGATTCGCACTCTGATTCGCAACAATGAACACAGCCTGAGCGATATGAACATGAGGCTTCTACGGCAATTCATAGAGGATATTGACAAGGTGCTTGATATTTTGTCCCAGGGAAATGTGATCGTCTTCACAAAAGAATGATGCTTGGATGCTTACTGTGATATCGGTGATGTGGAACTTTCGGCAGGGAATAGCGCGAAGACATCTGGACTGTCTTGGGCGATAAATTTGTCTTGTATGGTGCTAAATCCAGTCCACCCTAGGCTGGTCTGGAAATATTGATGAATGTCACTGAGTGACAACCTTGGAAGCGATGGTATTTTTCAAGTACCACGAGGCGAGAAGGAATGGAAGAATAGATAGTGCCAATATAACTGAATTTAGCCGTGGTCACATCTGGCGACAATGTTCTCACTGGCAGTATCCAGGCGATTTTTCAAGTCCTTTTGGCACTTGCTTATCCGACGCTCATTATTCTGGCTCTTTCTGACTTTTTCTGACTATGTTTCTGCAAGTTGGTACTTCCAACCTTTGGGTTCTCATCAATCGAACCGAGATGGTTAACCTTCATAGATTCAACAGACTGATGAACACAGCTCTTGCACGGGAGAGAGACACTCCTTAATGGTGTCAAGAGTAACTGCATGCACAGGTAGGTAACAGGCTCATCAACCTCAGCGGGTTCGTCAACCTCATCAGGCTTGTCAACCTCAGAAGAACCTCAACCCAAATTACCTAAGGCCTCGCTCGGTCTGATAGCTCTTCATCCAGGAACAGTTTCACAGTAGCCCAATTCAACTTCGACACAATTTCTTGAAAGACTGCATGTCTCCCAGTCTGAATCCTGGCCACTGTAGAGTAGCGGTGTTTAGGCAGTCATGAATTCTCGTCACAGTCTGCCCATCACGAATAGCAAGAGGTTTGAGCCGGAATGCTCAGTCTATCTCTGCAGTCGTGCTTGCCGCCTATGCGTAGTTTTTGAGGTTTTACAGGTCTTTCCTGGACTTGGGCTGCACAGAACTGCGTAGGAGCGCTCTCTAACAGGGTCCATCTACCCGATGACCCGGTAACCAAACAGAATATCATGGAACTCACACTCTTCAAAATGGTCACATCGCAAGACTTCACGAAAGGCAATCAGGGTCGCCAATACATCATCCGCGATCTAGTTCCCGTTATTTGGGTCGTTTGGTCAGATTGCGCCATGAAGTCGTCCAAGAAGCTCCTCGAAAACTGAAATATAAATGTCCCGCTTGGAGGAAGTCAAAACTTTCAAATACTAGTAAAGATGATGAATCATGGAAGATAATGGTCTGGTTCACAATTTTTGATATAAGCCAGGTTTCTGCGGCGATTGTTGGTATACATAACTTCGAAGATGATCTGACTTGCATGTTCATCGCTGTCTATGAGTTCTGCCATCAGCAGACAGGCCGGTGCTCTAGCCTGTGAGTGATATCTGCTTCCTCTTTAAAGCCTCCTACTTCGCACGTCAAGTCGATTGGAGCGCCCACAGTGCCCTCGCGGGTCTTACGAGACGTGGGTATCTGGGCACGTTTGGCGCGACCATTAAGACTGCTCTGGACTGCATTTGCATCTGGCGGATGACAGCGGTAATTAAGTCCTCTTATACTGATCACCTTCAGATAAAGTCTGGCAATTTCCAATTTGCGTTCGGATTATTGCCTTGCAGACGCAATTATGGAGAGTGAATGTGTCGTCGTTGTAGGCAAGATTCATGTCTCGGAGCTTGCAAGCGTCAAGAAAATTGTACTGTATACTTGGAGAGCAGGGACGCTGACAATGCACAGGTGATATCGTGACTGACATTTTCGAGTTCATCGTTATTTTCCTCGTCCTCCAGCAAAACGGTTAAATGTTGTAACTCGCAGCACTCGATTCAACCCATGCCGCCAGATCCAGGCAATTCTTGTTCTCCGAGTCAAACCGTGCCAAGCTCATTCTGAGATTCTATGAGACTGGAAAGTGCACATGTGTCAAAACTCATCAAATGCAACTTGAAGATGGGTTCTGTGGGCAGATCTTAGAGAATTTTCAGACCATCACACTTCCCCACTTTTCAGGTTTTTGCATGTATATTTTATCCTTCCATAGAATATTGGGTATTCTTTCTGATCACTCCTGCAAGGCAAGATACTCGATGTGTTGAATAGCTCACATACGAGGAAGCGGAATAAACCAAAGAAAGCATATTCCACAGCAGATGAAGCACTCGAACTTCAACCGTAGCATCCAAGTGTTCATTAATGAACTTAAATTCCTCAATTAAACCAAGAACATCAATCAGGACCTAAGTAGAGTGGTCATATGTTCTCTATTGCATGCCCTGAAATTGTTCAGCACTTGAGTGCTTTGAGCAGTGTGATTCGTTATCAAGTAACATGGCTACCCCAAGGGCCTGTTGTTGGGCCATTTTGATAACAAATCATCTGCCAGTGAGTCGCAAAATGATATGTTTTCCGGGCCCGGGAGAGCCGCTTTTTCTCCTCAGATCTTCCAGTTGACACAGGTATCCAGACCTTTACACTCTAGATATGTCAGCTTGTAGCGTTCCTGTGGATTTCTGTGTGCACACAGCATTGGACTTCGGGTCCACGTCGCCTTTCCGACAAAGTATTCAAGTTGTCTTGCATTATGTTGACTCCGGGCTATTTCCTGTCTGAAAATAACGGCCTATACAATTCCCAGTGCTCATTCCAGGATCAATTCATTGAAATTTGAGAATGAGAGTCAACCTCGGCGGCTAATTTGGAGACTCTTTTTCCAACCCTCTTATGAGGGGCAAGGAGTATCGACGGAGCCTGTGCGCTCCCGGGCTTGAAAAAGTAGATGAGTTATTCGATTTGTCCAAATCTCAGCTGCGTCTCTCTCGACATCGGCGACTAGGTTATCTGCCCGAAGTTTCTTAATTTCGGCGCCCGGGGTCACTTGAATAGCTGCTGTCCTCTTGAACATAGTTGAAAGAAGATGAGTTCAATCCCAGGGTTATTGACAACGCTGGTAGACGAGGGCTCTCAGTCTGAAGTCAAGGTCGAGGCTCCATTCGCAACTGCTGATGCTGCAGGATTTCCAGAATTTTTTTTTGACGGTTCCTTCAAAGTGATACATTTTGCAGCCTATTTTCCCTGTCCTAGATGAGAACAAGGATGGACAAAAGTTTGAGTCTTTGAGCACTCTCAAAATGCCCTTGATGGAGCTACCGCTACTAAATTTCAGTAGCACTGGCAGACATGACGGTCTTTGACTTTTTCCATGTCGAAGAACTTGAACGTATCCACTGCGTAGGTTGCAAGAATTTGCCGATATAGCAAGCAATCTTCTCCTTTTGTGGATGTCAAATCTTGTTCAAAGTTCCAGGGGAATAAAGCGACATCCCAGAAAATGGCAGCAAGTAGTCAGTGCTAGTGTGGCTTAAGAGACATCCACCAAAAAAGTCTAGGTCGAAGCAAAGAGGCCACCGGTATGGTTTGTTGTTGCATGTGTTCCCCCAACGAAATTTGTATGTCGATGAATAGGATTAGCCTTGGAAATACCATCTTTGGTATCCGAGTCTTTGTAAGATTCTGGTGTGCTCCACATAATATCCATACGATGAGCTTCCAAGATTATGTCTAGACTGGGTTCGCATAGCCCGATGGAAAACCTCATCAACTTCGTCTTCGGTTGTGGCAGTCTCTGAATAAAAAAAAATGAGCGCAAAGAACTAGATATCTCATTCTCTGGTTTAATGGGATGCGCGGTCTGACTTGTGCCAGTGTGAGTGCAGTTTGAGATATTCTGCTGGAGAGCCACCACATAGTTGACGGAGGGCAATTTCACAAACAGTTTCTTCTTTATTGGCGGCTTTCTCATCAAAGCTGTTTAATCATGTCAACTAGACAGCCTCATAAGCGCTCGGGTGCCAGTGCATCATGGAGATGGTGGTGGTGGTACCTACCGGACGTCAAGCTACCCTTGGCTTCTTCCATCTTCTCCATGCTGTCATTCTCGCCTTCACTCCAAGATTAGTCGGCATCTTCAGTGTTGCTGTGGTGAGTTTCTCCACAGTCGCATCCTGCTTAATTTCAGTATCAAGATCGTCACTAGAGGCTTGAACCAGAATGTGAACCTATTAGCTTGATGGTTATATGACAAGGTTGGTTAGTCCATAACAGCATACATTTTTAAGGGCTTGTATTCCTGCTCTTCAAGTTTGAAGTGTCCTTGTTAGATATGCATTGAATAATGCATCACCACACTAGGCTGCAACTTCAAGAAGGACATATCATCGATCTGCACCTGGGCACTGGGCAGAATGCTTCTCCACTCCTCATGTCTCCGGGTTTCGTGGATTCAAACTCTTAAATGTTTCCTTACAGCCTGTTTTTTAGGCCATCTGAATAGCCTCAAAACAGTCCTTGCCAAGCAGGCCATGCCGTAGTATATGATCTCTGAATAGTACATAAAATATCAAATAAATCAAGGATGAAAAGGGTGATATAACCTCAGGACAGTGTTAGAACTAACACTGTTCTGAGGGTGAGGAAGGGAACAAGAAATCTTCCAGGTGAGAGAATTGCCCGTGAATTCGCTTTCAAGATTCTGAAGGAAATTGCCTATTATTCATACATCCGACGCAAACAAGGCACAGTATGCAGACAAGATACTGTGCATTTGCTGGTGAGTCAATACTAGCAACAAATGACAGCAGCCTCGGCTACCTTCCAAGGCTAGGATGTTGAAATTTGCAGAGTTCTGCCATTGAAACCTGTACATTTTCACCGTCATGGGGTTTGGGGTTGCAACATTTGAAGTTGTTGTGAGAAGAATGGGGTTGGTCACTAACTTGAAGTAGTTGAAGCCTTGTCCGATCGAAGCCAACTTGAACTTCTCTACAGCCTTCAGTGCTTGAATGATTGATCACAGTTGCTCTTTGTTCAATGGTATAATACAGTGTTGAGACAATTATATGTACATAAGAATATTTACACCGCCTTGTAGTCGGTGCTTTGGCGCTTGTTTAAGCTTGTACTTCAGTCCATTCTTCACTCCTTGAGGAAGTCTTCTTGACTGCAGGCTTCTCATGCCGTCGTTTAGACCTTTGCGTATGACTGTGTACTTGCTCCCCCTCGGAAGCTTCTTCAGGGTTTGTTTTCCTGGCACCTCCCTTCGACTGCCCTTCAGATGATCCCATGGGCTGGGGGTATTGAGGATGCTCCGGCACCTTAGAGGCGTCGCGGATGACAGATCGTTCATTCCATGCCTCCACCAACTGCGGCCGAGAGAGCTGCTGGCGACAAGACAGGAAATCAAATTGCATCTCCTCGTCAAACTCTATAATCTCTGCTTCAAGTGGGCCTGTAGGCAGCTCCTGTTTGTACACACCAGGACCATCAGCGCTAATAGGTGACATAGAAGATCGGTTCCGGGATGCCTTCTTCAGCTCTGGGTCAGCCGCGAATTGGGACCAGTACTTGGATCCACCATGCTTCTCTTGCAGTGCGGTGAGGATCGCCTGCAGAGTCTCCACACTAGACGCAGAGTATCCCTGCTCCATATAAGGTACTAGTCGTTCGGCCTCAACGACAAAGTCACGACTGACTGGCTCGTCGCGAGAGAGGACAGTCATCATACACCACCAGATACCGCGGGCATTACCAACATGTGTGAAAGCACGCAGGAGCATCTTGAGTTGAACTTGGTTGAAACCATAGATCTTGCGCCATTTTGACATGTAAATAGCTGAAAGAAGGCTGATGGCGACAAAAGGACGACGCATGGAGATCATACGACGGGCAACAGCGGCAGAAGCATGGTGCTTGAAGTTGAGTCGCTCGTTTTCGACACAGATCTCGTAGAATCTGAAGAGAGCCAACTTCACAACTGTACTATCACTCACTCGATTATGTTCCAATTGCATGACTTGCTGGAAGAAGATGGGTGCAAAACGATGATTGCGGTGGACGGAGTTGGCGTCGGTATACAAATCGTTGTTCCAAGAAAGCCAATGCTTCTTGATCAAAAGCTTGGATGGGCGAACAGCACTTGCACCGCGACGGAGAAGTGAAGCGATGACGCCGAGTTCGATTTGAAGGGGCTTGACGGGGTAACCCTTGCCGACTGCCTGTTCAAGAAGCTCCTCCACCTCGAGGTATTTGCCGACATGAATATAGTGTTCCATTCTTTGGATGATGGGAATGTATAGATTGATGGAGCTTTTCTGCTGCAGATCACTCATGCTCTGATGGAAGGACTTTTTGGCTTCGTACTGGATTGGTGACGTGCTGTTTTTCTCGATGCGGTAGTATTCAGCACCAACACCCATGATACGCCTGGACATGGCGACCATTCTGTATTGTTTCTTCGCCGCTTGCATCATATTCCAGAGTCCTGTAGGGCTGTCCTGCATAGCCGCCCGACGTTCTGCTAGAATTCTCATCATTGTGTCTTGATTGATGCCAGATTTCCACTTGTAGTTGTCGGCAAGGGTATTAAACTGCTGGATGACATCGCTGTCACATCGCTCCACCAAACCTTCAAGCATGTGTCGGTGGAGGACTTCATCAGGTCGAATCTTGAACTCTCTAATGCAAACCTCCAGAAACTTCCACACCTCAGTACCCGAGTGAACAGGCCAGTACTCTAGCCAAACCCGATCAAAGGCCCGATTGAAGTTGGGCTTGTCGTTGGTGAATCCCAGGTCATGCATTTCTCGCATTCCATCAAGGACACCGGTCCAATCGCATTGCAGGGCTCTGCAATGTACCAGAAGACCAAGGGTACGGCATCCAGGCTGGACGTCAAATTTTTGGTGCATATCACCGACCACAGCTTCCGCATCCTCGTACTGTCCTGCTTCAATATATGCCTTGACCAGCGCATTGAATACCTTCGACGTTGGCTTTCGCCCAAGCTGGTTGAGCTCTGCCAGAACCTTCCGGAATTCAACATTGACCAAATCAACATTCCGAGTCCTTTTCCATAACCCATCCAAGTATATCCCGCAAAGTCCGCCATTTCGGTCATTTGATATGCGAGTGTAGAAGAGCCACTTGGCCTGCGATAACCGGTTGGACTCCATCAATAAGCGAATGACAACTTCAAGCAGGTGTTCGGGGAGTGTAAATGTATCACGGTATTTTTCGTAGATGGTAGCTGCAGATTCGATATGACCCTCCTTGGCAAGAACAGTAATCATGGAAGACCACAGCTGTGTGTCTACAACTGATACTAGTTCAATGCGACGGTAAATGGACCTTGCAATGAAAACATTACCCGCCTTGCAGTTTGCAGTGAATATTTGGTAACCAAGCGCTCGCCTGCTCCATGAAATAGCCTCGTCTTTATTATGAGTGGTGACCTTCAGAAACAGGTTCGCGGCATCAATGACTCGTTCCTGTTTGAGAAGCCGTTGTATTGACTCTTCAGTTGAAGGCATACCCTCCACACGCCGAGCCTCGTCCTCTTCGTACTCCCGATCCATGGCGACTCGATTTTGGTGGTTGCTTCTCGGGTCAACGTAGGTGAATGGAATGTTGGATTGAGGTCGGTTGTTCATATTCAGAGGAGGATGATTATGTATTGAGTACTGCTGAGGATGTGACATTCCACTTTCATGTTCATGTTCGGGAATGCTCTGATCCAAGTTAAACCCGGGCACCTCACCCTGACTCTGTGGCATAGGTCTGTGTTTAAGAGATTCCAGTCCCATGAACTCACCAGCCTCTGCTGCCTCCATCATCACTGCAAGGCGTTTGGCAGAAGCTGTTGCATCGTAGTTCGGTGCCGAAGTTCGGAGCGTACGTTTGTTCTCGATGATTTGCTCAGCCACACGGATTCGTCGATGGACATCGTAGGTTATAGCGGCCACGGTGCAAAATGTGCCGACAGACCCTGCGAAGGCCAATTGGCGAAGTACACGAAGGGCATTGCGTGAAGGGACGGCCGGTGTTGATGTCGTGGCATTGGAGAACATGGTGTGCGCTGGCCGCGGAGACGCGCTGGAATTACCAGCTTTTCATAAGGGCTGCAGCAATCGAGGACGAACAGGAAATTACTGTTCAAAACGTCCTCTACGCAAAACAAAGAGCCAGTGAACACAGAGTGGTGCCACTCGGCAATTGCAGATGGTAGAGATGAAGGGTAAACTCGGGCAACTTTTTTTGGAAATCGAGAAAAGCCGCGCGAATGGTCCGTGTCGCCCACCGTACAAGATTATCGGCCCGATCGACTGATGAAGGATAAGCTCAACACTAGCATGCAGTATAGTACGAGAGCTCGATAGATGTTTAAGTAGCAAAAGTCCCATCGTGTATTTTGTCTAATAGTTGCTAGGTATCTACATAGGAGCAAAATAGATGAACAAGATAATTTTCATCTACGATTACTTCACCTTAAAAGCAATTGATCTTCCTCACCCTCGCCATCCTCGTTAGCCTCAACGCCAATGTCAAGTTCTGGCTCATCATCGAGGGTAACTGTAAAATTATTAGTACTAGATGAGTGATAATTCGAAGTAAGTTCAGTCTTACCGTGGGATCGAACGAAAAAGGATAAAATGAGCACAGCTCCAAAGCATCCAGTCAGAATCACAAAGACCGCTTGAGGGAATGTCCCAACAGTCAAGCTATAAATCAAATTCAATGAAGTCGGCGCAACAATTCGAGCAAGAGCATGCAAAAGACCTGTTACACCAAGCAACTGTCCAACTTGATCGGGGTATACATGTTTGGTCATTGCGGACTGCAGAGTAGGAGGTCCCATCCCACCAAAACAGGCGCCCATGGCCGAAAGAAGCCACTGAGGGCCCGTCGTTGATAGCGAATAGCCAACGAAGCCGATAGTATCCAGTAAAACAGATACCCGGATAACTATCACATCAAGCCTGTCGCACCCGACAATCTTGCCCTCGCTCTCGATGGGAGTGCGGAAGAACCGGTTGATAATAGGGTAGAGCACGAAGAGATTGATCGCGCGGATGCCATTGATGATTCCAGCAAAAAGACTCATCTGTACATCACCCCATCCAAGGATAAGTCTTGCATAGATGACGATAACTTGTACAACTCCCATCGCGACGCCAAAGACAACCATATCTATCGCCGCCAGCATGAGGATATTCCGGCGCAGAGCAGACGTTGCACCTTTACGATTCGGAAACAATGCACTTGGGCGTCCAACTGGCGGGAAGAGGATCGCAAGTGGTGTGATCAAATTCATAGGGTTAATAGTCTGCCATGACAACCAGGCTGGTTCGTCCGCGTCAGTTGTCTTCAGGCGGTCCCGGGCTCTAGCCGCGAGTTGGGATTCTTTGGATAGGGACTCGGGAACAACAAAAAGAACGGCGAGGGAGAAAAGAAGATGTAGTGTAGCACCCACGTAGAACACAATAAGCGAGGTCCCCATCTTGTAGATGATGTATGCTGCTCCGCTGGGACCGGCCGCAACGCCAAAGAACAGCACACCGTGGAAGTAACCAAATGCTACACTTCGCCGGTCGGGACTTGTACAATCAGTGGCATATGAGTGAAGCAGCACTTGAGCACCAGTGATAGAGCCTGCTAACCCATCCATCAGAGATCCAAGGAACAATAAGTTCACAGAGACACGATCCGGCCAGGTGCCCACAATACAACTAATCAATTCATTGCATGCAGCACCAAATCCACACAGAGCGAGAATCTTAGTACGGCCATATTGATCAGATAACCGGCCGAGCCGAGGACTGATCAGCGCTGCGACAGTGCCCGTAATAAGATTCATGAACAGCTGGAAGCGAGCGACTTTGGCTTGAACCTCGGGAATTTGACATTGGGGATTATCATCGCTGAGGATAACTGGAGGATATGAGAAGTTCGGGTCTTGGGCGCTCTTTTCGTAGAAGTAATTGCGACAGATTAGATCTACCACCAGGTTTACCTTGGGCACCGCGAGAGCTCCGAAACCGATGGTGTAGATGAGCGCGAAGGGGAGAAGCCAGTAAATCTAAAATGAAGAGCAATGATCAATCAGATGAAGTTCATGCACTGGTTTAATTGGTTCATTGATTCATTGAAACTACTCACACTAGGTCGCCTCCATTGCGACCAGGGATCCGTGCTTTGGGATTCCTGTACATCCTCGGGCCATTCGTTATCAGGGTCATTGCTGGCCAGCAGCGGCTCATGGTGTACCTCTAATAAGGTCCCATCTTCTGTGCGACGATTTTCTGAAATTCTTGCAGTGCTCTGTTGGATATCCAGAGCGGCATCACCGGCAAACAGTTCTTCGTTCTCCATAGTTGGACAGCTTTCCAGACATGCAAGATGCGCAGACTAGCGGTACATGCTCAGAGAAGAACTGGGAGGGGGAGATCAATATATTGGGTACGCAATCGCGTCAGTGCAAGGATATCAGGGTTGGTCAGCAAATAACGGCGAAAATGAGCTAATGAGGGGGTCTAAGGTATTCGGCCCCCGAACAATCCAGCAGAATGTTTGGTTTCACACCCGAGGTCTTATCAGGATTTGGATACTTGGTCTCCACATCGGCGATAAGATTCATGTCCGAGATTGGAGACTTGATGAGAAGATAGTGATTTCACTTCTATTTCATTTCAAGATTCTTGGCCCAAATGGAAATTGAAACATCGAAGGTCTGATTAAGACATGGCCTTCAGTAAATATTTGAATGGCGTCATTGGTATAGTAGATATGGAGGCTATACTGCTGCTCACGTGCACCGAGCTCTACAAATTCTACATAGCTCCGGCCTCAACGAACTATGCATACACCGAGTCATGTAACACATTAGATCCATGCTGATCTGTTCAATTAGAAATTCACCGTACATAGATAGCAAATTTTAATTTTGTACAAAGACCCCGAAACGTGGCCTATTCAACTCCACAAACCCATAATCCCAAAATAATATTTACATACATTCATCCTGTGTTAATGAGACAAAACAAATAAGACAAACAAACTTACAAATCAAACGATATTGAAAGACTTGTAGGCTGGTTTACAAAACAAGGGAAGAGAGCTTCTCGCCAGCGAAGAATTTCTTCTGTTCGAGGCATCTCTCACTACGACATCCCTGGCAACGCAGGGTCATTTGGGGGGGAGCAGGGCTCTCCCTTCTGCAAATGCGCATGTGCCACGTCAGCCAGAGCCTGAATGAAGGTTGGGTTGCCATTCAGACTTTCGGCGCGCTTGACACCTGGGCTGTTGGCCTCTTCCATGACCTCGAGATCCAGCTCGTACAGGGTCTCAATGTGGTCACTGGTAAAAGCAATGGGGACCAGGATCAGATCAGACTGGCCCCGCTTCACGTACTCCATCACAGTATCTTGTGTCTGTGCACCCAACCAGGCAGATGGGCCGACCTGGGATTGCCAGCACAGACGGTAAGGGTTCTTGAACTTGAGTCGCTGCATCACGGCGTGAACAGTAGCAGCTACCTCTGCAGGGTATGGATCACCTATTGAAATAAGAGTATGTAATTAGAAAAGCTCTCACTTGTGTTTTCTTCGAGGATGGCTTACCTCGGTTGACGACGCTCATGGGCAAACTGTGCGCAGAGAATAGTAGAACGACCTGATCCCGCTTCTCCTCGGGGTATGTCTTCAACTGAGCCTCGATATTTTGCGCAAATGCCTCAACCAATCCAGAGTGAGTCGGCCATCGGTCAATTACACTCCATTGGATTGCACCAGTCGGGTCCACTTCACCATTAGCGCGCTTCCCCTCCAATCGAGTCCGCCATTTCCAAAGCTCATTCAACGAGCTACCAGTGGTGGAGCAGGAGTATTGTGGGTACTGAGTGAAAGCGACAGCACGGCCTCCCTTGCCATTGCCAAATCCATCCTCAAGCAACTGGTTGTACATGGTCTCCGTCAAGGGAGCGGCATAGCGGAATGCGACGTAGGGCTTGTGGGGAGCAGTTTCCGGTGAAATCTTGTCCAAAAGCTTACACATCTCCTCGCATTGATATTCTGACCATTTGCGAATGGGCGAGCCGCCACCGATATCCGCGTACTGCTTTTGGATCTTGGGGGTTCGTCGACGTGCGAGAAGGGGCCCAATGTATGATTGGAGTCGGCCAAGGGGGATAAGATCACCATCTGACTACAGAATCAAGGGATTTATGTTAGAACAGACGCAATTGCTTGATTCATGGTCACAAGGGGAGAGTCTCTGCAGAGTCATCGGTCATAACGTACGAATAGTCTGCTCAAAAAGTCCTCCACTTGATCTGTTGTTGACGGTCCACCCATGTTCATAAACACCATTGCAGTAGGACCCTTAGATCCGGTCGCATCTTGAGTCACTGGGGGGGACGGCCGTTGCAAGGCCGCATCGTTGCTCTCTGCTGTATCCCATGTAACCGCGGCTGGCCGAGCGGAGTGCCGGGGTAGCAGCGTTGCTCCATAGCCAGCGAGGAGCTACTAACTGACTGCGAAATGCCATAATATTAAGCACAACTCCAATTGGATATAGAAATTAGATGGCTGAATCGAGTAAAAAAGATTAGATGAGGTAACTGAGGAGAAAAATCCAATGTGCAAGAAATTCCCTGTGTATTTGCGATCACAAGATTCCAGATCGCCGGAAAGCTTGCGGGCCGCGGATTTGTTTGATCAGACCCAATCATCTCACTTGTAGAGTCAGCGTCAGAGGTCACATGACTTTCGTGTCCCTCTCGCGTCAAACAGAGCAAACACGCTCTCTCGGCGCGTCCAAGGCAGCAATGACGCCACTAGTATTTTGAAAGAGCTAGTTGATCTAATTCTTTCCTTCCTTCTTACACTCACTCACACCTTCTACTAATAATCAACTGAGCAATATGGCTGACGATAGCAATACTCATGAGGAAGAACTCTTTGAGGAAGAGGAGGTTGACGAAACTGTGAGCATTGATCAGCTAGATCTATGAGCTATGTATATACCAGTCAAATGATGAAGCTGACAATTTTCTTTTTTGTTCTTGGATATAGAGCTTTCGAGCTGTTAAGGATGCCGTTCTCTTTGCCATTGATATCAGCAGTTCAATGCTGACCCCTCGTCCCTCTACCAACCCTAAGAAACCGGGTGAGGAGTCGCCAGCGTCTGCAGCTCTCAAATGCGCCTATCACTTGATGCAGCAGCGTATCATATCGAACCCTAAAGACATGATAGGTGTGCTTCTCTATGGAACTCGCTTATCCAAGTCCCATGATGGAGATGAAGAAAGCGGTGCTGACCTCTCATACCCTCACTGCTACCTCTTTACCGACCTGAACATTCCATTGGCCCAAGATGTGAAAGATCTTCGAGCTCTTGCAGAGAACGACGAAGAATTTCGCGAAATTCTCCAGCCATCAGACGAGCCAGGATCTATGGCTAATGTTTTGTTCTGTGCCAATCAAATCTTCTCATCCAGAGCCTCTAACTTTCTCTCGCGCCGACTGTTCATTGTGACCGATGACGATAACCCGCATGCAAACAACGAGCAACTTCGAAAGGCCTCGGCAGTCCGTGCAAGAGATTTGTATGACTTGGGAGTTACGATCGAACTTTTTCCCATTTCTCGGCCAGATCAGGAGTTTGACACCTCGAAATACTACTATGTAAGTGGCCTGGTCAAGTATCCAACGGGCAAAACTGACAAACTTACCATCTCAGGACATAATCTACAAAGCTGAACCCAGTGATGGCGAAGCACCAGTCTATCTTCAGCGAGAGACTAAATCGTCTGCCCAAGGAGACGGTATCGCATTACTCAACTCTCTGCTATCAAGTATTAACTCGAGATCCGTCGCTAAGCGGTCATTATTCTCCAAGATACCATTGGAGATTGGACCAAATCTCAAAATCTCCGTGAATGGATACCTTTTGCTGAAACGACAGCAGCCTGCTCGAAGTTGCTATGTGTGGCTGGGAGGAGAAACCCCCCGAGATTGCCCAGGGTACTACTACTCTTTTAGCTGACGATACAGCACACACTGTTGAGAAATCAGAAACCAGAAAGGCATACAAGTTTGGCGGTGGACAGATCTATTTCACACCTGATGAACTTACAGTATTGAAAGACTTTGGAGAGCCAGTCATTCGAATCATTGGCTTCAAGTCACTCGATTCATTGCCCATCTGGGCTAATGTCAAGCATCCCACGTTCATCTACCCTACTGAAGAAGACTACATCGGCTCTACCCGTGTCTTCTCTGCGCTGCAGCAGAAACTTCTCAAGGACAAGAAGTTGGCTCTTGTTTGGTTCATTCCCCGCAAGAATTCCGTCCCCGTATTGGGCGCCATGATTGCTGGCGATGAGCAGATTGACGAGAACAGCATTCAAAAGCTTCCCCCTGGGATGTGGATTATTCCTCTTCCTTTCGCAGACGATGTGCGGAAAAATCCACCCGGCGCCGATTTTACCCCGGCACCAGAGCCTCTGATCGATACAATGAAGGAGGTACTAGGACAGCTCCAGCTCCCCAAGGGCGTTTACGACCCCGTGAAGTATCCGAATCCATGTAAGTTTCTATCACTTGGTGCTGCATGACCTCCAGGAAACTAACATTTTAACAGCACTCCAATGGCATTATCGCATTCTTCAGGCGATAGCTCTGGATGAAGAACTTCCCGAACAGCCGGATGATAAGACTCTTCCCAAGTATCGGCAAATTGATAAGGTAAGCTTCGGTGATCACCGCCGTGAGCAGATGAATCTAATTTACTTCCAGCGCGCCGGCGAGTACGTTCTCCAATGGTCCGCAGAACTCGACGCACATAGTGAAAAGATGTTTGGGGGAAGTTCTGCCGCAAGGTCAACTCTTGTGAAGCGAGGCCCGAGAGGCAGCACCGAGAGTGATAACCCAGCGAAACGGGTCAAGGTTGAGGATGGTCCCTCCGATGTGGATGCCGAGATCAAGAGAAATATGGAGAAGGGGACTTTGTCGAAGGTAAGTCTTTGCATATCTGGGGCATTCATTCTGCAATTTGATAGCAGTTTCTCACAAGTAGCCTTCTAGCTTACGGTGGCAATCCTGAAGGATTTTCTTACTTCCCATGGCCGTACTGCTGCAGGGAAGAAGGCTGATCTCATCGAACGCGTGGAGCAGTTTTTTGAGGAGAAGTCCTGAGGCGTTGACTTCAGCTTTAGCTGTGCGTAATGAATAACGACTGCCGACTTGTTTCTTTTCTTTCGGTTTGCTTCAAAAAAATGCGTCCATTCCAGTCGAGTTTTTTTGGAATTTCTCATCTGCTATGATTTTCGAATTGGTTGCAATATCTTTCCCCAATTTTCAAGTACTAGCACTTGAGGGCTTCATTTGAGATGGCCCACGTACCTGCCCAGGTAATAGAGTGTAGAAGAAAATTACGGAGTAGAACAGAGCAGAGTAAGGAGAGCACTCAAGTGCTCTATCCAAGTTTAGTAGTATATGTACTCGTAAGATTCAGATGAGATCTACTGAAAGAAAGGATGCTCTATGTACAATTCAAAACAAACTGCCTCATTCCAATGATGTATATAACGCCAGAAATATTGACAACTCCAGACTCTGCTGACTCGGAATCATCACAGTAAATGAAAAGGCGCAGGAATGTGGGTATCGAAAACATCAGCAAGCATGCACGACGCGCAAAACAAAGCACAATATGAGATCGAAACTGATCAAAGACAGGACTCATGCACTTGAAGCTCAAAGTTGAGAGCCCAAGTAGAGACAATATAACATTTGCCTCTGAGCATAGTTCCAGGTTATGGATACTAGTATGAAAAGTCCGGCTCGCCACACTGTCCATAAACCTGACAATAACAAAGCTGTTCATCAGGACAATAAACCGAATTCGCCCCAAAGATAACATGCCACAGATACTCCATCACTCGACCAGATTTCGCATCCGTCAAGTCAGTATCAATAAGCCACTGCCGAATCTTGAGGTAGTCCTCTTTTCGGCCGCATGCGCACTTGCTCCTTCGAAACAGCAAACTGCGCACAACAAGCCGCGGCAATCTGCGTCGGTTTTCGCGCATACCGCTTTCCAGGTTCCTCGATTTCAACCGATGAGGACATATTCAATGGTGGTGTGCTAGTTCCTTCGAACAAATCGTACCAGATTTCCTCGGTGACATGGCTGTTAACACGACTATCGGTCTTGCACCCGGGGTTCCAATTGCAGCGTAGGTTGACGTAGCCGTTTTGTTTGACGAATGGTACCTGGAGGTTACGCATGGCGATAACGTTATCGTGTAACGGGGCGTCGACGTGCCAGGCCATAAAGAATCCTGAGCGGTGGGCGTGTAAGAAAGCAATTGTTGATGGAAGAATGTCATAGTGATCTATCACGTATGTGAGATATGCCATTGCTTCATGACCTTTGTTCATTGGTGTTGTCAGAATTGATTCGTTCATGCGACTTTCTGCAGTTGGGTTGACGATGTAGATAGCTCGTTGCCAGCTAAGATAGTTGTTAGTATGGTTTGTGAGAAGTTGGTCTGATTCATTGAAACGAATATCACATAGATTGGATAATTGTTTCATGATCAAGACTCAAATGTTGGGGCAAGGGTCATTTACTCGGGAAGTTCTTCTTCTACCCAGTTGGTGTACTCCTCTTCTAACTTCGCCATGACGATCACTTTATCACCAGGTATACCAATATATGGTGGTGGCGGTGGGCGTGACCCTGGGATGTGGCGATCTATCCATGTCCACACGAATGAGCCAGCACGATACTGGTTACAGATATCCTGTATATGGGCCTCCAACAAATAGAGGGCGAAGAATAGGACGCATCCGATGCATAGTAAAACCCGAAGTCCACTTTTCATGGTGAAATTAGAAGTTCACAAGCATCAATCGACAGATCCAATTTCCAAATGTTAGAGATGGTCAAGGGTAAGTATAGTAAAACCCTTGATCGAAACTCTGTACATGTAGATACCAATTTCACCTGTAAAGAAGGAAGAACCAGCTATCCATTGGTAGGATGATTATAGTCAGAAGTATAGAAAAGAAATGCAGATCGGACTGGAACGAGAAAACAGGGAATGAACCCAGAAAGAAAGGTCGTTAAGTAGTTTCCACAAGTCGGCTATTTTCCACACATGCAAGTCAAGTTCCACACGTCGAAAGAGTCGATCCCGTTTCAGAAACTGGGCACCTGGGGACTCGGAGCAGATAACCTAAATTACCAGAGGGAAAGTCCCAATGCGTAAGATAGTGGAGCAGTCCCAGGTTCAACGTCAACGGGGACCGCAGCAGGGATTTGGGGCACACGGCAGAGGATCACTTCTGGACCCTGCACTAGGAATAGGTTCACCAGCCAAAAAAAAAAGTCAAAATGGGGAAACAGGCAGCAAGATATAAAAAAAAGTATATTGAAGAGAAGAAATGGGTATAAAAGTTTGGATTACAGCCACCTAAAGACTAAGTACGAAGCCGCGTGGGTAGGAAAGGCATGCCATTCTGCGTACACGTCATTGGCCACTATAGAGGCAATGGTTCAGGGGAGTTAAGACTTCTGCCACTCTAAAATGGAAGAAAGAAGGTCCCGAAGCGGGGCTAACTTTAGCAGGGGACTTGGACCTTTGGCACCCAAAAAGCTTGGCTCAAATTCCTCAAACCCAGAGTCCAGAGTCCCTTAAGTATGGTTACGAAGCAATGTGGAACAGATGTGCTCCGTGTGGAGTATCCGTACTTCGATCACTGCAGAAAAGGGCCGTAAGATCTACAGGAGAACGATAGTCCTATGCACTTGACTCCATCCACAAGAAAGGGGGCTGATACGTATTTTTTTTTTCTTTCTTTTTTTTTTGTCTTATCTGCCTGGGTCGCTTCAATTCTCATAATGATGGAGCCTTGCCTTCTCAGGTTTAGAATGCCACTAATAAGAATGGGATGGACACCATGGGTGCGCACGTGGCGATGGAAAGTCTCTCGCCAAATCAATCCATGTATGTGAGTGGGAAGATGTGGAATCTCGAATAAAGGAACAAAAAACGCGATTGGTGTGGTTGAATAAATGACCGTCGGAGGTACGTAGTTCCCCTCCAGGGCTCCATGAGTGTAAAATGGTATTGGTCAGTTGTTATGAATGTGGAGTGAAACTAGATTAAACCCTCTTGGCAAACCCCATGTTAATGTAGGATTCTCGGTTTAAAGAGCGGTTAGAAAGGTAAAAAAGCGAACAATGCTATCAATGCATCATATCTTCTTCCTTGAGTGGAGGGGACTGTACACACCATGGAGAAGTTTAGGTGCTGACTCTGCCACTAACTGGTGGCAATGCAAAATGGACGATCCCCCCTCGGACCCGATTAAGTGGATATTGTGCACCGACGGGTCTTTACTGCCAAGCGGCCCAAGCCTGTCGAGGGGATTAGCTAGTCTCAGCAGTTTCGAATGAGTTCCGTTGAAAATAGCAGTACTAGTGAAGTGGTGCGTTCATTGGGTGGGCTGAGCTGAGCGCCACTCAGCGATGCTAGCGAGGGATTCGTCTGATTGTGGAATGCACGGTAAGATGGTTGGGGGTGCTTCTTCTGATTTCCGATACATGTCACAAGAAGGCATGTACGGAAGCTCTATAGATCGCTGAGAATCTGCACTGCCTCTTTTGTCATATTTCTTCTAATCTTTAGACCTGCACATGTGGTTTATCTCGTGTAGAGTAACTCTCTAACCAGTTGACGACTGCCCCTCTACAGTACTACTCTCTACCACCACTCTGATATGTAGTAGCACACCCTGCTCTGTACGATATGACAACCCCTGGATAACCCCTGCGGAGCATATACCCATTTAGAGTATTCTATCTCAAGTATGGAGTATATGATATACCGATTGGCCAAGACCAGCAGCCGGGCAGCCGCGTGGCTTTCATCCGAACTTCATCCACGATCAGATTACACCAGTGAGTTCATCTATGTCATACCGGTTTTCATCCCGAACAACTTATTAAGTGGACTCCTGAACAGCGGGGAATAGAACCACAGTAAGCATTGGCAGTCCGGCGGATAACGATTCTTGCGGCTATCATTTGCTCTATGTATCACTCTCTCCACATCGATACCATACAACGCAAGGAGGACTGACGTACGCTCCATGCACATGCATCTGTATGATATTGACGCTCAGTCTTCGCTTTGGCCGCCGGTGAATAAGTAGACCTTGTGGATACCATGTAGTATTTGTGGCAGACCTTATCTCCGAGGTGGATCGTACTATCTCGACTGAGGTGCTCGGAAAGTGCTCGGTGGAGGCAGGGATATAAACTTACTACGCGGCATTGCATCCAGGTAGATACGCATGGATCCGTGCGGCTGGCAACTTCCAGTGGTATACTACTAATAGATCGCACGCGAGAACCTGGAGTTTCTCCGAGTCCATGGGTCCGAGTCCCAAAATTTGAACTTGAATCATGTATCATGATCCATTCCAAATGCTGATAACTGCATGTCACGGTATTTGCTTTGAACTGGATCGATTCCAAGATCACATGTGCATCCACCTATGTGACAGATTTTTCCTGGCAATTTTTGGTTTTCACTTCAGTATTAGTGCTCACCTTCCATTTAGACAAATTTCATCCCATCCCAGTGGTACAAATCCATCCAGCACACCCGTTGCGACCCAATACCCTTGATCGCCCTCACGCTTCATCTCTGTAGCGTCCAGGTTGTGTACAGCCCGCCAAACAGCAATCTCTGACCTCTCCGCAGTCTCTTCTCATATAATCTCGTTTCTCCTTCTTGCTTTTGCCTCAAATGGCGTCCATGCACATGAAGACGGCAGGAAGAACAGACCTTGGTACTTGTTTTCCACCTTCAACGGCCCAGGCTGTTGCTGTACCATTGAGCGATACAACTCATCGATGTGTGGTAATAATATGTCTTCGAGGAACTAGACCACCCTACTAGTAGTTGAAGCCTCATCGTCATCCACAGGAAGTGAAGATATGGAAATCATGCAGATATTTTGTCTGAACTCATTTCACTTCAACTTGAAGTTCAAGTCTTACCAGGTATTAACATTGAATAGTTCGTCCGCGTATATACTAGAACTCCGACCTCTGGAGTCACTAGTATACTCCAGGGGACCTCGGAGCCGCAAGACGATCAATACTATCTAGGTACTACATACTAGTACATGTAGTAAGTATTATCGTAATAATAATGTAAGTTGACGTCTTAAGCTGCCTACTGGCAGGTGGCACAAACTTGAACTTGAAAATAGTACACTTGTATCACATGTGCATATTTAAAATAATGTACATGGACTAGGTAATCAATAATAAGTGAACCATTCAAATGTTCCAAGTCCTTTTGGGGTAAATTCTAGACGACATTTGAATATCATTGATATTCTGTGATGTGCAGTCCGGCTGCCAGTTTTGGTACTCGTAATATGAATCTCACTTTTGATCTTCTTCCTCCTCACCAACCTCCTCGCCTTCTTCAATCGCCTTCTCCCGTAACTTGCGTGCCCTCTCACGCTTTTTCTCGAGCAAGGTATTGAGCTTCTTAGCAACATTAAATACACCCCCAGTGCCCGTCCCGCATGCTGCACAAGAAGGATTCTTCCGGTACCGTTGCAGCGCACAGGACTCACAGAAGTAATGTCCACACTTTGTAATGATCGGGTTCGTGTATGACTTCTCGCAGATAATGCATGCAAATGGAATCTTCTGTAACAGCTCATCTTCCGCCTCGTCCTCGACGGTTTTTTCGGTTCCTCCTCGTTGCGAGACCACCTGACCCTTGAGCTTCTTGCCCTTGGTTCCGATCTCCCACTCTCGATCCAATTCCCATCCTTGCGCATACACCTCACGACTATGAAGGAACACACATGAATCTCCAAATCCACAGTATCCTGTTTGTTTCCAGTCTTTGCACACATCTGGGGCGTAATCCATTGTAGTGACAGTACGGACGTTCGAAGGGGGTGCTTTCACAGGACCGAATTTCTTAGAGGGCGCATCCGGGTTCTTCTGGATGAATGATGTATAGTTTGATGTGCCTTTATATGTGCCGTCAGGGCCAGACTCGGTATCCTGTGGCCGTGCGCGGGTTGATCCTAGCAGGTTGCTCGCACTGAGATCTTCGTCGTACCAGTTTGAGGATTTGGTCGCGTCGTTGCTTGATGTCAATGAGGCGGGTGCTGCAGCAGACGGTTGATCCGCAGCTGGATCTCTCTTAGGGTTGTTGGTAGAGGAAGCTGTAACTGCAACATTCTTGCGTCGTCTCTTAATGCGGCGTCCTTCTTCGTCATCGTCGGAGGTAAAGTCGGAGCCGGAGTCAGAAGCTGGAGGTGGTGTGGCGGCCTTCTTGCGGAAGTTGGCCTTGCCCTTCGCGCGTTTCTTGAAGCCAAATTGGGGAACTGGCTCGGCCTCTGTGTTGTCCGCCATAGCTGATTTTGAAAAAAAGTATAGGTGTGGCGCAAGATGCTAGTGGTCGATTTCGAGTTACAGCGATCGTGGATTTGAGAATAGGAAATAGTTTATTTGCTGTCCCAGTCTCTTCAACTGAGAAATAGCTCGTAAGTAGGTTGTAGTCGTAAAGAAACTAGCTGTAGGTGGGCTTGAAGTATTGAGGAAGAGTCTCGAACATTCAAAAGTTAGGATGACTCAGCGGAAGCAAAATGCAAACAGTGCAAACACCCTCATTGGGAAGAACACAACATTCCAAGTTGAAACACATGTGCACCCGTGGATTTGGACTATAAATATCGATAAGGTACCAGGTACCCTAAATACCCTAGATAAAGATAGGAAAATCAAATCGCGAATATCATAGAGTTTATATGTATTTCAGATATTTTTGAACTGTCACTTTTGCTGCGCTAAATGAAACCTTGCATAGACCCGCAGACAATAGACTGTTTAAATGTCATGATCAATCTGCGAGGTCCACGATCTCAAACACCGGTGTCAATCGGCAATAATACTTACGATCTTCCTTTTCCCTCTTCTCCTCATCTCCTGTTCTCTATTCCCCCATCCCACACGCTCCCTATCTTTCTTTTTCTTGTTCACGTTTTTGATCTCAATTTCCTTCTCTCATAACTTTAATTTTCTACATTGTTTTCCTTTTGTTGAAATTCGGGACCCCGCCGAAGAACGACGTGATATCCCGGCAGATCGTGTGTTGTGGTTGGTTGTACCCTCCACACGCGCCTACTTGTTCTCCCCCCAGCAAGTCTGCACACTGATTCGCCCGGGTCCTCGGTGTTTTTGTTGTCTCCCCCTCTTCTTTCCCACCCTCGCTCCTTCGCGAAGGTTCACGTGTTTCACTTTCTTTTTTTTTTAGATTTTCTTTTTCTTTTTTTTCAAAACCTTACCACGTCGCTTTCTCTTATTTACGTCGGGTTCAATTGATATCTCGTGGTCGCTGGTCGGCTAGGTCATTGACTCAGTGCCGCCCAACGCCCAATCTTCCATTCGAAACGCGCGGCGATCCCCTACGATGCACGTGAACCTCAACATCTAATCATCCGATCAACGCGCGAATCCCGACTTAGTCTCAGCGGCGGCTGTATCCTCCTATACACCTGAGGATTCAGAAGCTGCGTGAGATCTACCTTGAAGTCTTGGGAGAATGACCGCACCAGACACGGGTGCAAATAGCTCACTTACCGCAATGATGGAGGATCCTTTTGTGTCTAGTAATTCCGACGACCTTCCTGCCTCTCGCGACTCTCATCGTTTGCCATCATTTGATACTCAATTATTCAACCTTAATGCCTCCTCGCCTGCACAAGCCAAGCGTGCCCTCGAGACTCGACTAGCCGAAACTGAACGTCAACTTGAACAAGCATCCAAAGTTGGAACCGCCCTCGTCGAACAACAACGGCAGCTCGAGGATCATATCAAGATTCTTGAAAACCAAAAGGATGAAAGCGAGATATCATCGGAATTGCGCCAAAAACTGGCAGACTTGGAGCGCGAGTATGCAGAGACAGAACGGGATACTGCGCGCGCCATTTTGGCACCGAAGCGACTGGCAGGTAGCTCGGATGATCATCTAGGCACCCCCGGCATTGACCCAAAGGTATGTTGAGCGCATACCGATCGTCATTGATCTTCGATATTTTCGATACGAATCTAATGCCTCTTGGAAACAGTCCCCTCTTAACTCCGCTCTCTTCGCCGGACAGGCTACAAATTCCCCAAGCAAAGTCAGCGTCCCATCTCGCAGACAACGAAACCAACCATCCGGCCGCGTACATGATATCGAGTTTGCGACTGAGATCTCCACTTCCTTGCTCAGCCAAGTACGGCAGTTACAGAGTGTTGTGGCAGAACGAGATGAGACCATCAAATCCGACAAGTTGGAGAAAAGTCGAATGGAACTAGAGATTGAAGGTCTTCAACAGCGAGTTCGAGTTCTTGATGACAGTGAACAGCGTTACAAGGACGAGAATTGGTCTCTGGAGACGCAGACTCATGAATTGATGAACTCTGTAAAGGAAGCGAACGAACGGGAAAAGAAGCTCAACGGCACCCTGAGCGCGGCCAATACGGAAAAGAGCTCAGTCCAGCGCGAAGTCGAAGAATTACGGCAGGCAAACTCAAAGCTTTTGGAAGAGCAGGCGTACATCCAGAAAGTCAATGACTCCGAAATCCATCTCCTGCGACGCAACCTGAATGCTGGCGATCTAGAAAAGGCCGCACTTCAGAAGAAACTCGAAGAGTTGAACTCGCAGAACCAAGAGCTCGCTAAGGTGGTTGCAATGCGCATCCGAGAACATGAATCACAAGGCAACCGAGACCTGGCCGATGACAATGACAGCGACGAGTCAGAGCAGAATACTCCGGACAACTCTCCACCACCTTCTCCCAACAAGTTTACTCCCCGACACGGCCACCTGGAATCGGAAACTTTGAAGAGTTCCCTGGGCCATGCCCATCGTATGATTCAGAATCTCAAGAGTACAATTCACCGAGAGAAGACCGAGAAGATCGAACTCAAGCGTATGTTGCAAGAGTCCCGGGATGAGATTGAGCAGCGTCGCCGTGAGACCGCAGCTCCTAACGGAACCTCGACCAAACGCTTGAAGAAGAAGGATGAATCTTTCCGGAAGCCTGCTCGCCCCGACTTGCTGGGTGCTGGCCGCAAAGAGAAGTCGCAGGTTGAGGTTCAAGAAGACACCGACTGGGAGGACAATGCCAGTCAAATCAGCCCGACTCGCTCTACCTCAAATGTCTTTGTTAAGGGTCGACCCGGACGCGCTTCTCCAGACGAGCCCAGTGATGTCTACCAGACCGCCACTGAAGCCGAAGATGGCTTTGAGACCGCTAACGAGCGAGCAACTGCAACTGAGAGCGAGGCCTTCCAGACTGGCGTCGAGAGCATGGCCGATGATAGCAGTGACTCTGCCGATCTTACCGAGACGGAGAACAATGTCCAGACCACCCCTCGCCAGCGTGTTTCTCCTTCTTTGGTGATGTCGAAGGCTCGCGATCGTAATTCCTGGCACAGCTCTGCGTCTACCTCGGATGACGATGACGACCAGGATAGTGGTCATCCTTCCCCCAGCCAAGTTTACATCTCCCGTCCCCGGGTCAAGTCCAAGCGAAGCGTTCTCAGACGCATTCGGCCGTCCGGAGAGGCACCCATGGCCTCCAGCAGCCGACCATCAAGTGCACGTGAGTCTATTGCCTCTCTTGCCGGCAGCTTTGAGCAGGAAGCTCCATCTCAAGAAGGTGGTCAGAGTCTCTTCGCCGAGCTTGCAGAGCTTGAAGGTGGTGAGGAGGAGTACGATGATGAGGAAGCGGGTACTTCTCAGGCCTCAACACCACGCATGCTGGCCACATCTGATTCTCGCCGTCCCTCTGATGCTGTGGCTCTGGACTTTGTGCCTAGACCCGTTATGGTTGATTCTGGTATGATGACGGAGCCTTGGGAGCCCACGGCTCTTGCTAGCGCCACTGTCATTGGCGAGGCTGCCCTTGTTGGTGGTGCAGCTGCCGCTGCCGCCAGCACTGTGTTTGCGAATGCTCCATCGACTCCTAAGAAGGATTCCATTGAGGAGAGTCGTGGAGTCCCTGCCGCTGAGGAACAGCAGACTCCAAAATTGGTCAGCTCAGGAACTCAGTGGACACCATTGAAACACTCTGCTGCTGCTGAAGATGATCATTTGTCAAATGTCCCCACCCCGCCAAAGATGGCCTGGGATGAACGTGTTGTGGAGATTCAGCAAGTTGAAGCGGGAACTCAGGCCGAACCTGAACTACTAGAGCTGGCTATGGCAACGATCACATCTCAGGAAACCCTGCCCACTTTGCCCAAATGGCCAGAAATGGGTATCTCATATATCTCCGGAAATGTGACCGTGCCTGTTAAGCATGAGCCTCCAGTGCCAGAGTTCCCAGAGTTGAATGTATCCTCAATTTCCTCTCAAACGACCGAACCTGTTCGACAAGTGGTTCCTGTGCCAGAGTTCCCAAAGTTGAATGTATCTTCAATTTCTTCTCAAACAACCGAGCCTGTTCGACAAGTCGTTCCCGTGCCAGAGCTTCCGGAGGTGAATGTGTCCTCGATCTCGTCGCAGTTCACTGAACCTCTTGCGGCAATCATCCCTGAGCCGGAGCCCGTCATTCCCATCGAGCCCGTGCGAGAAATACCAGAACTCTCCTTATCGTCAGTGTTCACCTCCTACTCCACTGAACCTGTTCAGGCGCGTCTTCCCGAACCTGAACCAACACCTGTACCCGTTGTCGAGGAGGTACCCATCCCTGAAGTCGGAGTCTCGTCTATCTCTTCCCAACACACACTGCCTATCATACCAGAGCTTCCTGAGCCTAAGGTGATAGAGGTACCAGTACCTGTTGTCGAAGAAAGACCTATCCCCGAAGTTGGAATCTCTTCGGTCTCTTCACAGAATACCGAGCCTATTGTGCCCGAGCTTCCCGAGCCTACGGTGATAGAAATACCGGTTCCAGTGCCTGTTGTTGAAGAGAAGCCCATCCCTGAAGTTGGAATGTCCTATGTGTCTTCGCAACACACCCAACCTATTGTGCCCGAGCTGCCCAAGCCTCAAGTGATAGAGGTGCCAGTGCCTGTTGTTGAAGAGAAGCCCATCCCTGAAGTTGGAATGTCCTATGTGTCTTCGCAACACACCCAACCTATTGTGCCCGAGCTGCCCAAGCCTCAAGTGATAGAGGTGCCAGTACCTGTTGTTGAAGAAAAGCCAATTCCTGAAGTTGGAATGTCGTCTCTGTCTTCGCAACACACCGAGCCCATTGTTCCACAGCTGCCAGAGCCAGTACCTGAACCTACACCAGCTATTCCACAGCTAAACATCTCTTGGCTGGATCTCTCTGTCACGGAGCCTATTACACCCAAGCCAGTGGAAATTGCTCCGCAGCCCCTACCCACTATTACGACCTTGCGCTCGGTGGAAACTCATCCCATCAACTGGGTCCCTCGAGCTATTCCTTCCATGTCCGAGTTTGGCATTCAGACAGACCCGATGGATGAGCCGAAGGCTGCTGCTGGTGTGGCCGTGGCTGTGTTCGAAGATTCCGATTCTAGTGAAGCAGATCGTAGCCGTGCTAGCACTAGTACCAACGAGCAACGGATAAGCACTGGCTTGGCTCTCAGTGATATCTCTGGCAATGCTCTAGACAGACAACTGACCAGCTCTGTCAGCACTGATCAGGGCTGTCAGACCATGTTATCGTCGGCGCAGATTGATCAAATCCTGATCGATCGAGAATCTGCCCGGCCAGTATCGTCCGCTGATAGCAGACAATCAAGGGAAGTGGCTGCTGTTGCAGTTACAGCCGCATCGCCATTCGCAACCCCCAAACTTCGCCCTCGCCCCCAACATCAATCATCTGCCAAATCATCCGCATCCACCACCCCCCGCCGACCAGACACTGCCACTAGCCAGCTCTCTTCTTCTAGCATCCACCCACCATTGCCCTCTGATCACCGCGAGGCGATCTTGGCTGCTGAAAAGAAGTCAGTTGACCTGGCTCCGCCTGTGTCACCCAGTGTCATGGGGCCTCCCCTGGCGCCTGCCTCTGCCTATCGTATGAACTCGCAGACGGCCCCTCGAACCCCCAACGAGCAAGGTACGACGCGTGCTGGATCGTCACGGACCGTGTCTACCCAGCCGCGCATGCGAAGAGGAAGCCAGAGCCAGATGTCCAGACGATCATCGGTATCATCATTTGCATCCGAAATTGAAGAAAGATTTAACTCGAACCCTCACAATGGACTTATGCCCAATGGTCCTAACTCTGATCCCCGCATGATTCAAGCTATCACTCAAACTATGATTGGTGAATACCTTTGGAAATATACTCGCAAGACTGGTTCCGAAGGTATGTCGACGACACGGCATCGCCGGTACTTCTGGATCCACCCCTATACTCGCATGCTGTACTGGAGTGATCGAGACCCCCAGTCCAATGGAAAGAATGAGACTCGCGCAAAGAGTGTTCCTATCGAGGCTGTGCGAGTTGTCGCAGATGACAACCCGTACCCTCCAGGCCTCCACTGCCGAAGCTTAGAAGTTGTCAGTCCTGGTCGCCGAGTACGATTCACTGCCAGTACGAGCCAAAGACATGATACTTGGTACAATGCACTATCTTACCTCCTCGCGAGGGTGGAGAATAACTCCGAAGATAATGACAACAATGTGACTTTGGATGACATTGACGAATTCAATCCTGGGTTCCGATCTGGATCACGCCAAACAGCGCGCATGTCTCTCTCCTCTTATAATAGCCGCACACTCCGTCAACCACCAAAGCCACAGCGAGCTGCTTCGGCCATGTCTATGCGGTCAACAGGGACCCCGGGACGTGCCTCACCTGCTCTCAGCTCCCCGGGTCCCAACTCGGGCCCTCATTCCTCCTTGCAAGTCCCAGAAGAGCGCCAGCGTTCGTCATCTCGGCTCAGCAATATCTTCAACGGTTCCATTCGTAGCATGAAGGGTCGCAGTGGCCAGTCCTCAAGTGTCCATGATGGAAGTGTTCGTGGTCAGGAAAGCATTGAGGATTTTGGACACACACATACAGCCGACGAGCATGACCGACTTGAGAATGTCCGTGCCTGCTGTGATGGCAAGCATGACGTTGGTTCTCTCTCTCGTACGAGTCGATACAGCCCTCGGGTTGACCGCATTCATTCGCATCACTAAAGCGCTCTTTTTTTGTTGTTTTGCATCTTTTTGGGTAATGGTTTGATTGAGTTTGTGGGCAGGTCCTCAAACATAGCACGGCCTGCGGCATCCATATATGGCCACGAGTCTCTTTTTCTTCTCTCTCTTGTTCGATCAACCACTTGTTTGAGTCTTGTCTCCAACTGCATGTCCCCCTTGTGTGGATTATTATGTCGAAATCGATAGATGGCATACAGTTGGACCTCTTGATGCTTCCCCTATTTGAGGGGAATGTTCAAGTCAAGACATGCATCCACCTTATTGGTACTGGTACATTTTTTAACTTGCATTTGGTGTTTTGTTTTGTTTTATCATTTTTTATTCAGACCATCATCTCCTGTCTCTCATTACTCTGTCTCTCTGGCTTTGGATCCCTTCCTGTCAGAATTACCGTCTAACCAGACTCATCTACATTTTCCTTCCTCTCTGTTGATAATCATTGTGTGACCATGTGTCTGATTCCATGGTCCACTCTTACACTCTTTGTGATCACTGTTCTCTTCTTTGCTGTGCGAAAGCACCCAGAACGACCATACTAAAATTTATTAAATTTTATTCCTGTACCAATCAACTTGAAGTTCCGAGTTGTACATTGAAATCATCCTGGTCTATAAACCATTCTACTGAGTATGTAAAGAGTATGCCAGGTGCTTAAATGTAGTAAAGGCCTCTTTTGTTTCTTCCAAGGTTCGATGTCTGGGCTTTTTTTTCCTTCTGTAACCGCGCATAAACCCGTGACGGCACTTGAGAGGGTAGATCACCATCTGGGTAGTCACTATAGGCAAGAAAAGAAAGAAAAGAAAAGAAATCCGGCATGGTCAGAGATCGAACCCAGGACCTTCGAAATCAGAAATGCGTGGGCAGCCCCGGTGCTCTCACTTGATACATCCATCTCCATCACAGAATCCCTTCTAGTTCGCTCAATTATCTTTATTTTGAGGATCTGAAAGATGGAATAGAAAGGGAAAAGCTAGAAGTATCATGGGTAAAAAGGAAAAAAATCCCAAAAAAAAATCATTATCCCAGCCGAAGCTGATTCCCTCCCGCCCGCAGGGATCATCTCTCCCACCAAAATCAGGCCCTGCATACCTAATTTTCGTATCAATGTCCCCCAAACGGGTCATTAGACCGCCAGACTATAGCCGGGTAGAGAGGTTACCTGGGGAGCTTTTTACTCGAATATAAGGGAGAATTTGTTACCATTTCGTGTTAGCGTCCCCTCCCCATGTACTACACTGCAATAGTTAGAAAATAATTAAACATTGTCCCAGAACATTTGAATTAACCCTGAGATTCCAAAACACGCACAGGTATCTAGTATGGATCCGATATTAGAATGATGATACTACCTATACTTCCAAGGTTCCTAGCATTTGAAGTCAAACTTGAATAGTTTAGCGTCACGCTCCGATTCCATGTGTCGCATTACCTAATTAAGTCAAAAAGCTTTATGTTACCCACTAACAGGTGTTAAAATACTAGTACTAAATGCCACTGCATATCTCCATTTTGCTTGATTGGGTGATTAGGTTTGGTCTACTCCGTAGATGCTACACTTTTGTATCATCTCCGATTGCGCGAAACCACATGGGCACCACATCCATGTGTCTACCATAGACGACATAGATCAATCTTTAGCAAAACGACCCTAACCATGCCGAGTCCTATTCAAGTTGGGACGATATAGTATGTCTATTTCTTATCCTATCATGAGTCACTAGTCATGTGACTTATCCACAGTCGGCCCTAATTGGCATTAAATTGGATCGAATTGTGGGTCTTTCTCCCTTCTACTCTGGATTCCTACTCTTACTCTTCAATTATTCTTCTTGTTACGATTTGGATCATTCTAAATGGCTTCCAATAAGGCTCCCCCTCCATTCATGGAGCAACTGAAAAGTTTATTCGACCCTCCTTCAATCATGTTAATGGCTTTACCCCGTAAGTCTGACTCTCAATGCTATCTCGGCGTTTGATAATCCCTTCACTTCAAATGTTCTTATATTCCTCTTCTTTTCCACGATACTATTATATTGCATGTCCATTCGTCTTTCTCTTTCTCCTTGAGTAGGATTATATTGTCTTATTTGACTCTTTTGTCATGTTTTCTCTCTTCGCAATTCTATATCATGCCTTGTGGTATTATTTCCTCCGCAAGTTCGGCGTTTGATTTTATACCTGGATATTGTGGATCAGACTTCATACCCCGTCTTCACTTCCACATCAGCTTGAATCCATTACATTCAAATCTCACAATACTGAATATTTCCAGATTATATTCGCGTTTGGAAGGAAGCCATTCTCACCGGAAATTTCCTTGCCCCGATATTACAATTCAACCGGTTGAGAGATGAAGCATTTGGAAAATTCTGGGTTGAGTTTAGCGGTGAGTTTCTTCTTATACGATACCTATCACATCATATCATATCACAACTCAGCGCCAATTCCCTCAGAATTCCATGGATAAGGAACAACTTGAGATCTTCCTCTACCTTACCTATCCATCCCTCATGTTAAACATCCAATCAAACATGAACATCCCCACATCAAATACCCAAATACCCCTCCCAATTCAACCAAAACTTGAAATTCACATCCAAGTATACTACCTACTAGTAGTAGGTGTGAAAAGACTAGTACACACATACTAAAACCAGAAATCAGGACCCCGCGACGACGCCAACGCCGAACCAGTGGGCAGCTCAGCTCTAATCCCACCACTTCTCAAAAGCTCTGAAGGGATAGTCCTAGACATAGGACCAGGAACAGGAACTCAGATGCCACTCCTAACCTCCAAATCCATAAAAGCTCTCTACGGACCCGAGCCCTGTGTAGTATTACACGCAGAGCTCCGTAAGCGAGCTACCGCCGCGGGGATCGCAGAGAAATACCACATTCTCCCCTGTGGCGTGCTAGTCACTGATCTTCTCCCTGCACTGCGTGCCACAGGAACAGGTGTTACAGATGCGTATGACTCTGATAAGAAGCTCGGAATCTTCGATACAATTCTCTGTGTGCGTGTTCTTTGTTCTGTTCCCGAAATGGAAAATACTGTGAAGGAACTTTATGGTTTGTTGAAACCTGGTGGGAGGTTGTTGATTACTGAACATGTGGTTAATAAGCCCTTTTCGGCTAAGGGGTCTGTTCTTGCGAGAGTTGCGCAGGCTGTTTGGATGTGGCTGGGTTGGAGGTTGTTGATTGGGGATTGTTGTTTGGATAGAAATACTGAGGAGGTGCTCAGAAAGGCAGCTGGGGATGAGGGATGGGAATCTGTCGAGTTGGAGAGATCTTTTGAGTGGTCGGCTATGCCTTATTTGTCTGGTGTTTTGACTAAGAAGGATTTGTGATTCTATCATAGGTGGTCGGTGGGGATGGGTGGTCCTGAGGTGGTTCAAATTGGAGATAAACTAGTGCTGAATGGTGTAGAGCGATCAAATATCATGTGTGTTCGTCATTGGGTATCATCGTAAAGTGTATGCAATGGAATGCAGAAAATATGTACATCATGATGCATAAGCATGGGCATGTGCTGGGGTGGGTATAAGAGTAAATCATACAAAATAATCAGACCAGTAGGAACATGACAACTCCGAATCAAACAGGCTTGGGTCGTCCGGGAGGCCAGAATTCAAATAGGTCCAGCGCCTCGGGTGTCCAAGGCCCTTCTTCATGTACCTCTTCCTCGGGGACTGCACTCATGGCACTTCGCATGGCAGTTGGCCTTGTCTGTAGACTAGGCTTGTTTGCCAGAGCGCTAGTATCAGAGACTGACTTGCGGAGAGGTGCAGCGGGGGCTCGTTTTACAGGGAGGGTCTGCGAGGATGTTGAAGTTTTGGAGCCTTGCCCGCTTTCAAAACCCGGAGCATCGGCTATCTCATCAAGTATAAATTGAGTGGAGTCCGATGGCAGGAATTCCGAGTTAGTCGATTGAACAACCTGAGTTGGTCGTTGGGGTCTGATTAGGAAATACTATTAGCATAAGGTTCTCGTTGATCTGCGTGCAGGTATACTCACTGTGACTCGGCGGGCTTGGAAGCGGATTGACTTGGTTTCTCCGTGGTCTTCGTTGATGATGCAGATGATTGTTGTAATATGGTACTATACATGAATTTGTTGCGGGGTCTCTGCATCGGTATTCGTGGGAGAGTCGCTGGTTTCCCCTGGTCATTCCTTGATCCAGCTGCGGTGGTATTTTGTTGGGCCCGATCTTCACGTCGTTCCGAGACATTGTGTTCTTGAACAGGTACACTAGCTGTTTGAAGTGGACGAGTGACTGGAGGTGCCATAGAAGGCGGTTGCACTGGCTTTGCTATTGGTGGATCCGGCCTGGTTGGTCTTGTCACAGTTGTCGGCCTCGGTCTCTCTTTTGGGGGTGGCATACTCGGAGTCGAGGGCCGGAGCGCTTCCCGTGGTGGTGGTATAGATGGCTCATTTTCAGTTTCCGTCAAATCAACTACCTCAGACCGAACATTGGTACTTGTATTGATACTGCCCGACGATACCCTTTGTCGCTTTGGCGCTCGTTCTGGTCGTGGCGGCTCCGAGATCGTCGGCCGGGTTGCGGGTCTATGTCGCTCCTCATATGGAGATACAGGAGGTCCAATGGGTTTCTTTCTGATTCCAAGCAAGTCGTTCAAGGAGCGAAAAGGTTGTGACGAGGACCGCACGGGCGCCGGGGTGGGAATAGGCACGGATGTGGACATCGAGGCCGAGGTTGGACGGGGCGCCTGGGCGTCCAAGCCCGCGGGCGGCTGATTATTCCTGGCCTGAGGAGATGCTTGACTGGATCGTCTCTTCTCAAACATATTGGACAGGTCCGTCTGAGTGGTACTCATACGCTCCCCAACCTCAATGAGGACGCCCTTATCCAACTTGAGTTCATCACCATCCTGCACCTCTTCTCCCGATCGCCAATGGTGATCACCCACGTAGTTGCCGGTTTCGTCGTATACCATGACTCGTTTATTGAATTCGTGATATTTGAGGTACCCATCTTGCCACCGTTTCGATTTGCGCCGCAGATCATACGTGAATAGACACCGAAACTTGACCACAGACGCGGTGATTTGGGAGCCCGGGCCTGGGCCCGGGCCACGGGAGGAAGATGGCGTGGACATCAATTGATGACATGTAGGTATTCGAAGGTAAACGCGGCAATAGCTATGAAACAGAAACGTCAGGGAGTACGAAGTCCGGGGCGTAGCAGCCTGGCAGTGCAAAGAGGTTGGTGACGCGTGGAATATCAGTTGCTCCTTTCGAATGGTGGGGCTGTGGGCCTAAGGCTCGATTCAACGGAGTAATAGAAGTTAAAGTACGAAGTACAATTGAATTAAAATATGGTATACAATTGATAGATAGATATTTGATCTTATATTTTCAAATTGAGATTGAATTCAGTAGAATAAATCAGTATAATAGAGCAATCTATCAATACAAACATTGACCAAAATGGGAGTTTGTTTGTATATGTAAGCAGGTACATCTGCCCACATGTGGCCCCTCACTGCACGAAGTAACTCAATATCTCGGATTTGTACTAAATCGGCAAGTTAGACTGAAATCCCGGAGTATCTCTGATCAGAATCAATCCCTTCAATCCAAATACCCGTTTCTTGACCCTGTTTATCCCTCATTCGTGCACGAATTTCTCGCTTCATTCGTCGGGATGGAACCCTGCGCCCCCCCCACACGGTACAACCTCCTATAGCCATGAGTCAAGCATCTCGGTTTGATTTGCCTATATTCTCCATAGTGGAGTTTTGGCTTCTCGGCACCCACATCGCACGGATCAACTGAGCTTGCCAACAAAAATAGATGCTCTCAATGGAATGATGGAGAGGGGGCCGTGGACCCTGGAGCCGCAGAGAGGCTGAAACATGATGGGCAACCGATAGAGGGGGGACCATTGACTATCCCCTAACCGCAATCTAGTGCCTTAATTACTTTTCCTTAGTGCTGACATTTATCTTTTCTTCCCCTCCCCTTATTTAGGCTGTTTTCTTGCTTTCTGATTTCGTGTTTCTTTGTGCAACAATACATTGCTGCTACATTGCAACGGTTTAACCCCTTGAACCGGGCTAGGCAACTGTCAACCTATCACCAACTTCACCATGTTGGGCATACAGAGAAAGTTTGGTCGATTGACCACTAAGAGAACAGCAGATGACAGCCAGGTGGCGGTTCTTATGAAAGATTTTGAAGATGCGGATATGCTTTTGACCAAGGTAGGCAACATCATTAACGTGCTGACGCGGGGCGCAACATCCACTTTCAAGGGTTAACTAACATTCTCTCTTTTGGGATAGATCATCGAGCATACCAAATCATGGCTTGATGCCTGGACATCTATTGCGACTTTTCAGAGTCGCATGGCCGATGATTTCGATGGCCTCTATGCACCTATTGCTGGCTCGTCGGAGACTCCCACTCAAAGACAAAACTACGAGACTCCACGCGCCATTCTCGCGCGCACGAATAGATTGCGCCGCGACTATGATGATTTGCGTACCGATATGATCCAAGAGCTAGGTGAAGTTCAAGCACGTATGATTCAACCTGCTCAAGCGGCGAAGGACTTTCTCGCTCCAGTGAAGAAAACGATCAAGAAACGTAATGATAAAAAGGTAAATTAAGATAATCAACATATCAACCATCCTGTGACTCAGAACTAACATACAATTCTGAAACAGACCGACTTCGAACGCTACCAGAGCAAAGTTGATGGTCTCATCCATAAACAGAAACGTTCCGACCGTGATAATGCCAATCTAGCCAAAGCAGAAGCCGAACTGGCATCTGCCAAAGATGTGAGTCTAAAATATTTCCCAAAGGAAGGCACCCTATACTAATACAGCATCCAGTACTATCGCGCTGCAGATCACGATCTTTGCCAGCGTCTTCCAACGCTAATTTCCCTCCTCTTCTCTCTGGGACCATACATTCTGCGCGCCCAGATTGAGATCCAGAATCGCCTGCTAGCGCATTACTACACCGTGCTACATGCTTACTGTGAGGATGTGGGCTTTCCATCTCCACCTCCACCAATGGACCAAGTGATCCGCGACTGTGAACTTGCCAGCCAGCCCGCAGAGACAGAAGTTGAGGCTCTCAGCATGCTAGCCCACGGCAAAGCGCTACGTCAATACAACGAAGCCCAGGAGAAGCAACAAGGAAGCAAGCGACCATCCATGGGTCGCCCAAGTATGTCCAACCTTTCGATCGCCTCCCGGGCTAGCGGCAGCACAAATCGCGGCAGGTCACCAGCACCACCGCCATCAATGTTCAACAAACCCAAGCCCTGTGGCTTCGAGGCTTCCCGCTCAGTTTCCCCTTCATCATCAATCATGACACCTACACCCAGTATATCCGTGCTATCATCCAGCTCAGTAAGCACCGCTCCAACTGGGAGCGATTACTTTACTCCACCGGTTCCCTCTGAGCCATACCCGATTTCATCCTACAAGCGATCTCCCAGTCCAATGCCTATGAAGCCACCAAAGCCATCGGGTATCCAGTTCGCTCCAGCTGGTCCTAAGATAGATCATCACCAGGCATTTGTCTCTGGAAATCCCGCAGCGCTGGATCCACTAGCCAGTCTGGCTGGGAAGAAGAAGCGACCTCCACCCCCACCACCTGCTAAACCCGCTAAGCCTCCTCGTCCCGTCACTACATTCGTGACGGCGATGTATGATTTTGGTGGACATGGACCTGATGATCTTTCTTTCCGAGAGGGAGATCGTATTAAGCTGGTGAGGAAGACGGGGAGTACGGATGACTGGTGGGAGGGTGAATTAGCTGGTGTGCAGGGATTTTTCCCTGCAAATTATGTGGAGCTGTGATCTATTCCATCTCCTATTTTGGCTATGGGATACTTGATCTGGAGAGTATGGATTGTCTTCTTGGACAAGTCTAGGTGGAAGGGTTTTCTAATGCCGTCTATCTTTCATCGGTTATGCCTTATTTTCGTTTAGTTTGATTTTTTTGTGCTTTTGATGCATACATATTCCCCTTTTGTTTACATTCCTCATCTGTTTTGAAGTTTCAAGTTACAATTGATTTTAAAGAAATACAAAAGCCCATTGCGAACTCTAGCAAACCTTCCTGGGTTTCTAACCCCGTCATTTCAATGTTCAAATGTTCATACTGCTGGTATCTCAGACTATCTAGTACTATCAGATAGTCATTTTTTAAGAGTACAAAAAAGCCAAGTACATTTTGTTTGGATTTTACTGTGCAGTCGTGGCGATAGTACTCTGTGGCAGCTTCAATAGAACCTTGGAACGCTCTTTGGTCTGATCTGTGGTAAGATTAGATCAAAGAGCCTCATAAAGTCAAAAGTTGCAAAACAGACATCAACCACCCCAAGTGGTCGAGTTGAACTCGACTATCTCATCTTCCTTGGTCTAGTGGTCATGATTTCCGCTTGTCATTAACACCGATAAGCGCGGGAGACCGGGGTTCGATTCCCCAAGGGAGAGTTTCTTTTTGCATCTTTTATTTTTGCTCACTTCACTTCTACGACCTGAAGCAAGTTCAAGTTCATTTTATTTTTCTTGGAAGCACTGATATAATAAAAATGTCATTGTTTCTGTCATATAACTATGAGCTAGTACGAATTCATCCAGAGTCGCGCTGTGAATAAAACTGACACATCTCACTCCGAATCACGGAGATGAGGGAATGATCGGGGAAGAATATATATCAAACAATTTGAACACAACTCTCAATGCAAGCACTCAAATAAATGCCGGAACAATGGCATTGTTCCCGTTTCGACTTGGACTCTCCACCGGCTCCATTCCCATTTGACGGCGACGACTATCCAAAAACATATCAACCATACGCTTGCTGGACATCGTGGCTGGCATCTCCTGCAATTTGTGGTACTCGTTCATCATGTCATCATGCTCTTGTTCTTGTCGAGTGTTCTCGTTGTTTAATCCCTGAAAGTCTCGATGCGACCGTATGGACCGCAATGAATTCGCCGTTCCATTCAAGGGTCGACGAGCAGAATAGCGCCGATACTGCTCCTGCGTCCATGTTCGTTTCAAGAGCCCCAGACCGTTTCTCTGAGGTGGCGTTGGCGACTCTGGAATCCGAATCACGTTGCTGGTTCGAACGCGCATCGGCGACAAGGGTGGATCAGGAATCTGAGCAGTGGCCCAGGACGGGATGGGTTGAGGACAGTTGGTCGTCGCTTCACTCTCCAGGTCGCTTGCTGGAATCTTGGTCGCCTCCTCGGGCTCAATCCTCCGAGCAGACAGAATTGTCCGAACACTAGAAGACCGACTGAAGGGACGCGAGAAATTGTTCGGAGGCAATGCCTGAGCATCGGCAGGTGGTCTTACAACGTCATCTGGTATATCTGACTTGAATGCAGGATTGGTCAAGACTGGATCAGGAACTGGAGGTGGAGCATGTCGAATCATATCCGTGAATACCTCATCATCATCCTGATACTGAGCGTCCTCGCGCATATGTTGTCTCGGAGGGCTTGTCTGCTCGATCCTTTCAATCTGCGAGCTCATCCATTGCTGCCAATCGGCACTCGGCTGCACCGAATATCTCGCTTGGGACTCACCCCGATGACTGGGCGAGCTCCAGGCCGTTCGCTCAGATGCGAAGATAGTTGCTGTTCCTGGCTCTCCAGCGTCCAAAACAGACAACATACAGCGACCGCCTTTGGTCGGCGTATCGCCGCTGATTGTTCGTGAGTAAATACTGGTCGGTGAGTCTGGCTCAGCTTTGGAACTTGGGCGCGCGATTATTACACTGCCAGTCTCCTCATCAGAGTCTGAACCAATGATGAATGTCGAACAAGGTGATTTCGCTTGAGAATACTCCGTCGACAGTCGGGTGCTGGCCGGCCCACGCGAGAATTGAGATACTCTGAGTGGTCGCACAACACCAGCTGGTCTTTGGTGTTTCTGGGGCGAAGTTGAGTCACACCGCGCGGTTGCAAAGGAGCCGGGAGAAGTTGAAGACTCAACGCTAGGCACACGTCGAACGGTCCGTTTACTGCGATGCGAGCGGATGGAGGATGCACGCTCCGGGATGACTCGATGCTCTGGTACACTGCCCAATGAAACTTCCTCCTCCGGGTTCTGAGCTGAGTTGCGACTAATCTGCTGCATCAAGGCTGTATATAAATCCTGAGTGTTGAACCATGGATTGAAATTGCGAGCGCCGGATCGTTTGCGCGATGGTGACTGGCGGCTTTCGATATCCTGAGCAGGGATCTGAGGCAGCCCCGGATTCGAACCTCCCTGCTCTTCGATCAAGGAAAGAGATTGACGATGCCCGGTGCGCCGAGTTGTAACAGTGTTTGCCGCTGTGGAAGTAGTCCAACTGGTCGTGCGGGAATCAGAGGTGCAAATGCTCGCACGACTGGGAGAAGCCTGAATTACACGCAATGGGCTTGATGCAGCACTGTCAGAAAGGTCTTCAATGATGTTTTTCACAGCGTTGATGTCGATGCTGTCTCGCATAGGTGCACTCTCGTTCAGACAGTCAGGGCTAGACTCCACCCGGGGCTCAGAAGGCCGATCAGAAGCCTTCGACCGACCAAACACACGCCTGAGACCTTGCTTTATAGAAGCTGAGAATGTACGGGACCTTTTATGAGCCAGCCTAGAACTGAAATGACCCGATGAAGGGCTTGTGCCAATGCCACCGTCACTTGTCATCCGGAACGTCTTTCGGAATGGCTTGTGCTCTCTCTTGCGGCGCGAAAGAAGAAATGACGGGCGCCTGCTTTGTCCCTCACAGACACCATTTTCTTCCAAAAACTGACTGCGAGCCAGTTGGATGGCTGTATCCTGGCTTTCGGAATGTCGAACTGCTCGTGGGCCATGGGCGAAAGATTTCGAATTTCGTAAAGTCCGCGGCAAGACAAATTCGGGGCTAAAGTCAGGGCCAGGAGAGTTGGGATGGGGCATGTTTGGCGTTCCATTTCCCAACTGTGACAAGCGTTGTCTGGTAGAAAACATGGACCGGGCTTTGCGCAGGCGACGATAGGACGAGGGAACTGAAGAGTCTCGCCCATCCAGTCCTTTGAATTCTGTAATCGGCGGCAAGGCAGCGGAGTTCTCGCGAAAGTGAGACTGACTTATACCATTCGATTCTGGTGTCTGTAGAGGCGTTGCTGGCGGTGCAACTGGCATAGTTACCCCCGAGTAGCTATCATCTGTAGTCTGTAGGCTGGAGTTTGGTCGTCTTCTTGGGATAGCGACGTTCGCTGGTCCACCTAATCGATCATACGAGTTCCTTGAATCTGTAGATGATCTTCCACTCGATCGCATGGCTCGGGATGCAGCAGCAGCGGCATGGATCTTGGCGAGTTCTGGATCAACGGAATCTGGTTCTCCCACAGCGCGACTTCTTCGCATGGAGCGAGTAGACCTGGATCGTCGAAGTCGATCTCGAGTGCTGAAAGAGGAAAACATATTAAAGAAATCTGCAAAGTATTTATGTGTAGAAACGCAAGAAGCAAGAAGATTATACAACTTTGTATTGAGCTTGATGTCCAGGGGCGGGATTTGAGTACATCAGTAGTATTAACATTGAGGAAGTCACAGTGTCTGATCTACATGGCAAGAGCGATGGTTCACAACCACATGATGATAACAAGTAGACACAATAGGTATGTACAATCTAAACTACACAGATAAATGATCTTGGATGAACACCAACTCAATATTCCACTGAAATTCTTGATTGATTAATATTTTAAGCGTAAGCATACATGTACCTAACATGCAGCTACCCATGCAGCTAAGGTAGGCTGCATGCTCTGAGTCACCGCCAAGAAAGTCCAGATCACTGACTCAACTTAGACTCAACCTTGACTCCTGCAGCTCCAGCCATTTCGAGTTATCTGTGGAGAAACAGCTCTCCAAGGGAATCCGTATAAATATTTCAAAATGCCCATGAAAACCGAAGTACCTTCTTATCATGGTCAAATCACCTATCTCTGGCCCTAAACAAATCGTTCGGAACATGGTGAACTCAAGCTCCCGTGGGGAATCCCCGCTCAGATCGCCTCGCCATATCAGTCTCGATGGGCGAACTCTCGAAGGTGGCGGCCAGTTGGTGCGCAATGCGCTGGCTCTGTCTGCTCTTACAAGCAAACCTGTGACGATCGACCAGATCCGCGGGAATCGAGGTCGTGGAGGAGGACTGAAAGGCTCACATGCTGCCGCAGTCAAATTACTGGCTGAGATAGGTCGAAGCAAAGTTACGGGAGGAGAGGTGGGCTCGCAAAAAATTACTTTCGAGCCTGAAGCTCCTGCCAGCGAAGTGGCATCATCAAGTACACCTCGAAAGTCATCCTTGGTTTCATTGGAAAACCTATCTGTACAACCTGAATATAAAATCCAGCTATCGACTCCCGGATCTGTGTTTCTCATCTTCCAAGCCCTGTACCCTTATCTGTTGCACGCAGGATCACGAGCTGCCACCGATTACATCAAAGTGACTATCACAGGTGGAACCAACGGGACGAGTGCACCATCCTACGACTATGCGTCGCAAGTCATGGCGCCTAACTTTGCACGGCTTGGTCTACCTCCTCTTTCCATCTCACTTCATAAACGCGGTTGGACCGTGGGTCCTATTGAGATGGGCTCTGTCAATTTCCTCATCCACCCTCTGAGTTCATCGAAGAATGAACGAGGTATTCTTGATACCTGTTTCCCACAGATAAATATTATGGACTACGAGCGAAGGAAGATTATACGCATCGACGTCACTGTTCTTGCACCAGACACTGTTATTCTAAATGAAAAGAGGACCGTCCGAGCCTACATCGAAGAGGAAACACATCGGTCTCTGCGAAAGGCATTTCAAGCCCTGGATTCATCAATTTTTGAAATCCCGGCCGACGACAATCTCAACCGAGAGAAGCTTCCAATCAAAATTCATACATCAGAACGCACAAACCATGCAAGTCAGATCTACGTTCTCCTGGTAGCACATACTTCTACTGGACTCAGGATTGGGAAGGATACTCTGATTTCAAGCGGCAAGTCGCAAGGTCCGCCCAAGAAAAAGCAGAGACAGACCAAGAATGGACCAAAGCAAAATGACAAGGGTGGGAATCGCGCACAGGATGAGGCCGACAGGTTGACACATTCCATCGATGGATTGGTTGAAGGATTCCTCAAAGAGATTTCCGACCCAGGCCATGATAAACTAGACCAATCTAAATCGGGATTCAAGAAGCGGTCCGTCCTTGATACGCACATGAGAGATCAAATCGTAGTTTTCGAGGCTCTAGGTGAGGTTCATGGCAAAGGCGACAGATCTCAAAAGATTCCGGCGGAGGAAAATGAAAAATATTGGTCATTACATACCCGAACGGCGCAGTGGGTTTGCCAGAGGATGCTTTTTGAGATACCAGAAGAACAGAGCTAGAAATCAAAGCCTTCCAAGGATATTATATGGACACTCTCATTGTTACAAATGGACACCTCGTGCTCTGAAGTGCTCATTTCAAGCATGAAAGGCTTAAATTGTAAGCCTCTATACGTGTATCAAAGCTGCCTGGAAGTCCATAATATGGGGACATTATTATCTAGGCGGAAAAGAGACCCTGACATTGCTACCTCACCCCACTCTATTGCATGATCCATATTACTTATTTTCGAGGCTGATAACGATTCAAGGCACCAATTCAAGACATCTGGGCCCGCTAGTCCAAAACCCGGTCAAAACACCGGCTGAACTCTCGGCATTCAAACCGAAACTTGACAGATTACGATCTAATTCCCAGGTTAGATGAAGTGAACCAGGGGCTGTTTCATGTCGACACTAGGTCACCGGGGCCATGGGAACGGACAACCAGTCAGAAGAGATCGGAATCAAGATATTTCCGATCTCCAACTGACATCCATATGTCTGACACGCTCCACAGTGTCTTGATCCACATATGCAGGCCGAACGAGCGACCCTTCGGAATGGCCGTCGCCTATCCCACAAGCCGAAATCGTTCAAACCTGGCATTGTGCCGTGTACTCCATATTTTGTATGGAATATGCGAAGAGCCCCATCGACAGGGATCAGGGATCAGGGATCCTACTCCTGAATTCTGTGGACCACTGCACGACACCAGATCATTGCCGAGAACTGAACTAAATATAGGCGACATGGAGACTCATGGAGACTCGAGTCACTAATTATAATTCTGGGCCGCTGAGATCACTGTGCATGGTCTGTGGTCCTGTCAGGAAATAATAACCGGGTCCAATTCGCTTATGCCGACGAGATTCGGGCTCGTAACCTGTGTAGGTTAAGGCCTGATGTTGGTCTTCGTATACTGATATTGCGCACAACAATCTCATGCGGCATATCAGAGACACATACCCACACGTGTGAATGCACAAGATTTAAGAGTTCAAGTTTAAGTTCAAGTTCATTGTGCTCTCAAGACTCGAAAAAACTTCTGACAATGTCTCACACAGGTGTACAGTGTACTGAGAAGGCTAATCTCAGACAGGAAAACGTCTCGAAAATTCCGCACGTCGAATCCGCACGTCTCAACACTAATAAACCCGAGGATTCAATTTCGAGCTAGAATCAGAATGGAAGAAAATGGGATAAAATACGACCATCTGCCCCTCCCGTAAAATCCTTGAATCACTTCCAACGGTAAATACAAAACAAGGACAAGTTTCCTCCCAAAATGGAACTAGCATCACTTTCAAGCCCCCTTCAAGCCCCTCCAAAGTCCCTCTCAAGCCACACCGACAAACCACAATACTGGTGATCAGCCCCCCTAACCTACCGGACACGGTCCCCTGAAGACAGAGTGGATCCACCTAAGTTCCCCACAGCACACTCTGAAACAGCGAACAAAGTGATCTGTGGCTTCGCCGTCCCGAGAATAAAAAAAAAAGGGGGTAAGGAAGCGACGAAGGATTCGTTAGAACCACAAAGAAGACGCATGGAAGGTTCCAAAGATTCAAGCTTGTTACATATACAGAGTTCTTTCCATCCAGCACATATCCACCTTCATCCACCTTCCCTATTTCATACAACAAGCTAAACTGAAAGTAGATTCTCCCCACTCACTACTTAAGGACATGGAGTTTGTTCCTGACTAGCCAGTTCTTGTGGCTAATCAGGGGAAGGTCAGACATATGTTTTACATCAGACGGGATCAACCTGAACTCAATACTTCGACATGAACTCCAGGAACTCCAGGAGGGCTTGAACTTGAACTTGAACCTGTGGGGTTGTCCCAGATATGTGTGGGATTTGATGTTCATGTACGGAGTACTCCTAGTCGATGGAAGCGAACCTAGTGAAATCCCAAACAACTAGTTTCTATCCCGACGTTGGATCTGAGATAGATTAACATAGATTAATATGATATAGTAGATCACGCGCCTATACGGAATATCCGATGCGATCAATCTGTATTCCCAGGTGCCGTATTCGGATGAGTGAAACAGCCGAGAAGTACAATTACCTTAAAGGTACATTCTACTATATCACTTCGGTAGATTGCGCATATTGCGCATAATAACTCGAGACCAATAAAAGAGATAATCAAAGACTCGAGGGATATGAACTGAAACGCGGAATTCAATTCCTTAATGTTCGATCAAACTTAATCATCCTAAAACAACTGGAATGCGCAAACTCCCCCACTTCTTCTGTTCCATAAGGCAATAGTCACATACCTAGGAGAGGGACTCGAATATGGAAAACGAAATTACGATTTACCCAGGACATATGCATATCCCAATCGCATGCAAGATTAACTCTTCATGGGTCTTATTCCTGAAGATCTTCCAGATGTCGGGAAAGATATCCATCAATCCGACACAGTCTACCACCTACTGCTACATACACACGGAATCAATTAGAGTAATGTTCAAAAATGAACTCCTACTACTAGGACTTGAGTAGCAGGATCTCGATATGACTCACATGCATAGGTACTATGTACGGCATCATGGTACTCAGTGCTGTCAGTGGTACTACGTTCCCTAATATTCAAATGTTCTCCCCACCCTCAAATCACGATCAACACCCAAATCAATAATGCGCCCGGTCCTCTCCCAGTCCCAGTTCCCAGTTCCCAGATGCCCGTGCCAGCAAGTGGAGACCGCTCGTTTCTTCGCGAGGCGATCGGGGATCCGCGTGTGTTCTGGTTGGGTGGTTTTGTTCCGGGTCCCCGGGGCTCCATTGGTTCATGAAGCTAGGGGTGGGGTTGTATTTTTCGTTAAGGTATTATTGAGAGAATAAGAGAAGAGTTGGATTGAATGGGATATGCCCTAGGTGCTGACTTTGAGTAAAGGATATTTTTATCCAGAAGCTTAACAGGTGCCAGTGTTAGATATGAGTATCATGTATGGGTGTACTCCGTAAGGGGTCATGGTTGGGCAAGGACCGTTGACGGGATTAGGTGGAACCCGGGATAAAGGATTTACGTTGGGCTTTGTTTGGGCTGTCAGATCAGGGCTAGTATTACAGAGTAATCTTAATGACCTTGTTTTGGATTTTATTTTTTTTATTTTCTGTATTTTATATATATATATTTTTTATTCAATGGATCAGTGGTAAACTATTAGAGGTTATTGTTTGGGGATTATGTTAATCGTTCGGATGATTGGCGCTATTTGTTCTGCCGCACACAAGTTAGGTTTAGTCTCATAATAGACCATGGGGCTTTCTTATAGATTGATCCATGGACTTTCTAGAAGGATCAATGATGACTCTAGGGCTGAAACTCATTTGTTTACTCCGTAGAGATCGAGATTTCAGATTTCATCGTACCTAGGATAATTGTCATACATTCAATTGGAAGTTGTCATGTAAGGCAGCATTTCAGAACTTGAATACTAGTAATTCACATGTGCAGGCTCAGCCTACTTGATTTCCTAATCTAGATATGCATCTATCCATCTCACCTGGGTAAATCCAGGCAGATAACAGATAAAAACATTGAATGACGTAAAATAAAAACCAACACCGAATCTAGGCAAACAAATAACCTTTCATGGCCCTGTTGGCCTGATGGCGGTGTAGTCAGCCCCAGGTACATATTACTCCAAGGTGCAAGGATCATCACCACTACTAGTAAAACTTGAACCCGGGCGTAAGGTGCCAGGTACACGTGGATATGGCATGACCCATATGCATGGCGACCAAATGGGCAGGAAGTTAGTTGGGCATAGCCCCGGGGACCATGTTAGGTCATCTGATATCGTTACTACAGGTACATAACTCCGTTGCGGCTGAGAATATAGTTCCGATGAATGATCCACGGGGCCGGGCACCCGCGGCAGCCCCAGTACAGGTGATAGACAGGTCTAGATGCGGGCTGTGAAACGAGTCGAGTTTGAGTCTTACCCTGGGTCTGACTTTGCGCATGGTCTAGAACGTGATTCCCACAAGGTTAAAGGTGGTTTACAAGGATTTGTAAGTTTTTATTTTATTTTTTTATCTTTTTTTATATTACAGTGGTATGGATGAAACGTTCAATGTTGGAAATTCCCAAGGGTTGTAAAAATGATCCGATGAAATGCAATGAGGTATCTAAACGGAGGACAGGTATCCTATGGATATGAAAATGATAATAAAAAAAACCATGAGAGCATTAACAAGGGGGGGTATGGCATCATGTCACGAAGGACGAAAAGGCAATAATAAAAATGACAAATAAGAATAAAGAACCATGAAAGGGCAACAAAAAGTCCGCAGATAGCCGGATTAGCTAAACACAGACCACATGCATAAAGAGAAAAAAAAACAAAGAAACGAAAGTTCGATCGCCGATCGATAGATGAAAAGAATCCATCTTACGCCACTGCCGACCAGTAGCAGATCCCATATGCCCTAATCCATGCAAGGTGTTCCATGCGCCACGCTTGCGCCAACAGCGAAAGTGTGAAGGGCAAGAGAAGTAACATCAACAAAGAAAGCGAGAGAGATGGCCGCCATCGTGAGAAGAGAGAAACGCCTGGCGATGCATATGAAAACGAGAGACCGAAACAGCAAAAATCAGAAAAGGAAATCGTCCTCGAACCACATCCAAGGAAATCAGTCCCAGCCTGTAACCGAAGATGTTATGTTGTTCCCCCAGTTTATTCATGTCGTGACCTTATTAAAAAACAGAAGGCAGGATATTTTTTGAGGGTTCATAGCGTAGATGGGGGTTTGGACGGGTTTCCGTGGATAACATGAGGAGGGGGACATTAGATGTCCAGCTCGGACAGGTTGAAGGTTGAGTCACTGAGCATCTCTGAGGGAAGTTGGCGCTTGAAATTGCGAGGTTGCGCAAAAGGTGAGGCAGAAGCTGGGCGTCGAAGGTTGAGTTGCTATTTAACAGTGTTAGCTTTGAAATCCAAGAAATCTCCAAAATCCCCGCGGGGTTGAAGCTGAAGCTTATATGTTCCAAAAGTTCCTTTGAGAGAAGCTTTGGAAGCTTCGCGGAAGGTGTGGAAGCTCGAAGCTTAAGAGTCGCGACACATACCCTGCAGTCTGAGCACTTCGTTCCTTCCTTATTCACGCGTCCTCGGCAACCACGAGGGTAGTTGGCGCAAGAGTACATATTGTCAAATTGGTAAATCGGATATGAAGATCGCGGGGGGGGAGAGATAAAACCTAAGCGGATAGGTTCCGGTAGATTGGACAGGGTGGTTGAAGATGGAGAAGTTTCCCAAGTGAGAGGTGAGAGGTGAGAGTTGCACGAAGGAAATCAAAATGTTGGAAAAAGTTGTAATCTCCGTTAAGAAGTTCAGATCCACCCTTAAAGGGGAGAGAAATTTCGAGCTAGGCACTTTTGAACTTTAAAACCAGCGGAGATAAACTGGTAAAAAAAAAGAAAGAAAAAAAAGAAGCGATGACGTCGGTGTTGGAGGGATAGGCACTAGCGAAGAATGACTTCAAAGTTTTTTGGGAAGAAGAAGGGAGGAAGGGGGTTTATATCCAGAGGCTCAAACGAAGTTCATGATACAATACGTGAAATAGGAGAACCAACAAGAAATTTTGGTTGATTTTTTTTATAAATAAAAAAATATGAAAAATTTAGTATGAAAAAATTTAGAGGAATTTTAGGGTTCCATCGTTACGGGTAATGGAACGGCGCCGTTTGTTATTATAGACTGGGGTTGTTCTGTTTTATTTTATTTTATTTTATTTTATTTTATTTTATTTTATTTTTTTTTTGTATTTTATATTATGTATTTTTATTTTCTGTTTTTTATTTTATTTTTTATAAAAAAATACATTTATTATTTCATAATTTATGATCTCAATTTATTATTTTTCTACTCCATACAGAATACTCCAGATCCTCTCCTTTAATCTCTTTGTCAACTACTTTAAATCCAACAGTAAATCTCAAATCATTTCTTTTTATTGAATAGGGATTTTATTTAATTATAATAATAATTTTTTCTTTCTTTCTAGATCAGAATTTTCAAAGCTAGGTTACAATGCCCAGTACAAATCACAAAGAAATCTGATCTACCACCTAGGCACCTAGGCAGTGGCCGCTACTTATAGAGATCTAGGCTAGAACATGTCCCTATCCATAGAACCCCTAGGCAACACAAATAATAATTCATATAATAAAACCCCATCGCTAGGCCCCGATCTCGCCATGTTTGACTCTACACCTGAATTATTCTTGGCGGACACCCGGGCATTTCATTTGAGAAAAAAAAAATCTCTTTCTCTCCTATAGTGGGCTAACAAAGAAATAAACCCACTGGGAACAATAAGGGTGCCCCGTACTTCTACCCCTCCAAGGCTGTCAGGAGACATCATAAAAGCTCCGTCCAAGGCAGATCGGTCGATCCCACCCCTTTCAAGTTCCATGCGGGTGTCTGATCGGCTTAGATGCTGAACTTCGATGCATGCCCTGTCGGTTGGTAAGGGGTGGACCAATTAGCATTCACTTCAGGGAAAAAAAAGAGCCTTGGAATGCGCGGTACGATGCATGGCCCGGATCGTGCTGGAATTAATGACTCGCAGTCTCAACCTTGTATTGCAGGGCCCCCCTGGTGGAGTAGCTGTGGTGGAAGCTTGCGGATTTCTCCAAAACATCAGCCTAATGGTGGTTACCTTAAGCCTCAGATTGAGTACTTTTGTTTTTTTCCCACCCCTTGCACTGTCACAAATGCCGATTTGTCGGAACCCTGGACCTGGAGGAGATTAAGAGATTACATGTAAAGAGAAGGTCCGTTCTTTGGCTTTTTTTCTCTCTCTTCCCCTTGATCCCCCTTTTTTACATCCTATAATTTAAACCTGGGCATCACCCCTTGGTCATTCTCTTGTTTCGTGTTGATGGTGCCTGAGTTGGGCATAGAACTTAGATTTCGGCATCTAGCAGCTGAAAAATAAATTATTAATTTTCATCCTATCAAATTAAATTAATTCAGAAATGTAATAAGTAATTGGTGAATTTAGAACTGTGGAAATCAAGTTCCAGACCAGAAAATCCTTCTGGTAATGTTCTGGAATTCTCCACTGTATGGATTTGCTGGGTTAACCCGTTTGAGCCTGTTCGTTCGATCTACCAGATCATATATGCACACTATTATTTGCTGACATTGAAAATCTTGTGAAACTTCAACATTTGAATAGAATACTAGTATTATACTAGTAGCTCAAAAATAATCCCAGAATCAATTGATAACTGATTTCAAGGCCAAGCCCAGGCCTTGCACTGGGCAATTATGTGGATCTATTTCATTGTGCGTTGATCAGGACATCTTACCCGGTGAGACCAGACTCTTTCTCCCTGAAAGTTCATTCAAAATATCGCTTTCACATGGAACATGGAAACTCGCTCATGGTGGAGGGAGTGGATCCATTCTATCCGATGGTCCGCTTAGAAAGAAAAAAAATATGATCTCGGCTTTGATGGCGTAGACCGAGACTCGGATGTTAGATCTAGACGTACCTTTCTTCTCTCCGAGACTCAACAAAAGCTTATTCATATAAAATGTAAGAAATAATTCATTGTTTTTTATTCAAATATGATCTCTTCAATTTGAAGATTTCACCTATACCCGTGGACTTGTATCAACTCATTATCTTAAGTGTTTATATCCGCCTTAGACAGCGACTGCTCAGATGAGCCAAGTGCATTGGCAAATTGCGGTTTCGTCAGCACTGCGTGTCGCACAGAATACCACAACCAGAACAAAAAAGTCTAGAGGATCAATCAGCACTTGAGAGTGGTTAACCTCAATTAAATCATCTGACTGGTTCACCTGGTTAATAGGTAATTTTACTGACCCGGATGTTACGGCACACAGTGTAAGCAGTTCCCCAGTCGTGCATCCCGCTTGACAGTCCAAGCCCCCAAGTCCCGGGCATATCTACTCCACTATACTGCATGATGACGACAAAATAGAAGCAAAAAAAGGCAAAAGGACCAGTTGATATTAAGGAGACGTACTTTAGATCGTACCGACCCAAAGTTTAGTAAACTCATAGATTATACCCCAGGAGCTTCAATGTTTGGCTATCTCACCTGGGCATGCTGTACACGTATGCCAGGTGTTGGTACTGGGATGTATAGTCATCTCCCGAGGACAACTGCTTCTGTGGTATCCCGTCAAAGAACATGTGGATCACAGGGACCACGGCAGGGACCGATTTTTCTTCTTCTTTTGTTTCTTCTCCTTCTTTCTTTGGTATTCTATTGTAGTTACCCGTCAATACTGAAAAAAAAGATGTGTGCGAAAGGTCTAGAAGGGGAATCGAAGGCGTAGAAGCTAAGTTGTGGAACACGAACTTTAGGATCTGGCCCACCACATCCAGACAAAAGAGCTCTCCGTGTTACTATTCATACCGCGTGACCGAGATAACTAGAGCGGGGGTAAAAAGACCTTGAAAGAGGGGCATAAACCTTACTATGACAGCAAAAACCTGGGTTGCATATTGCATGACATGCAGGGTTTCTTTACCCTCGGACACCGCCAGATTTACTAACAATATCACCCAGGTACAGTATCAAAGAGCGAGAATCGGAGGTGAGCTTTGCCCTAGTCTGGATAAAAACAAAAACGCCCGGTGACCTCAGTGGTACCTGTTAGGGTGTAAGCCACTGAAAGTTTCGGGTGGAATGTCTGCATCCAGACCGTTTTAGAGCGACGCCTCAAGGTACCTCAGGTGACCTCAGGGTTTTTTTTTTCATCGGCACAGATGTATCAAGCTCTTCAGAAGCTTGGAAATCGAAATTAGTGGGAACTTGGAAATTTTTAGCTTGACTGAACCCTGTTTTTTTGAATTTTGAATTTTATTTTTATTTCTAATTTTAATTTAAAATTTATCCATTGATGTTATCTGACTTATCTGATGGCGTGAAGTGTGGCGGTGGCTGATGCAGCTATATCATATTTGGAGAGAGCGCCGATTGTGAGTTCAACTTAAAAATTTTGGACTCGGAGATGCGAATACGAAATATTGCAGAGGTAACCTTGAGGATGTACTAGTACTTCTGAAACGCACACTGGTTTACACCTAAGCTCTAGGTACTAGCTGGTAGTAAGAGTGGTCTGATACCTGTCTGTATGACTTCATTCATTGAGGACCGAAAGAATGAAAAATAGCAATCGCACATTTCATAAACATAATTCATGAGATCATAGCAGGATAAATCCCTGATGAGACGATAAGCGAAAATCCCAGCCACATAGACCCATCCACGCAGATACCCGGGCTTCAAACAGCCCATAGAGACTGAAGCACAAACCATGCACCAAGAAGCCCCACCGTCGAAGCAAGAAGCAGCCCATTTCCTTCCCAAGTTAGACTCAAATATGCCAGGAGTCCCACCAATATCTCCTTTCGTCGTGCAGCATCCCTACGAGCCTGCCAGGCAGGGTCAATTGCAAATGGAGCCACCGTTTTTTTGGCCTTAGGCACCGCGTGATCTGTCTCAGAGGGGGTATCCAAGGGCTCCAGAGGAACCGACACCGCCAGCGCAACAGGTCGGTGGTCTGAGTGTGGGAAAAGAGGAAGTGCATTGTATGCAAGTGGTTTGACATGCTCGATATCTCCAGCCCAGTAAAGGATTCGGTCACACCAGCTGGGCCAGCGGTGAGTTGACCATTTCCACTCTGCCTCGGTCTTCCCCTCCATCAGGGTAAGACGTGCAGCTTTCTGTGCTGCACTGGAGTATTTGTAAGTGGGAGGAAAATCAATCGCGGCCTCTGATAACCCGTGGAAGCAGCGGCCTTGGCCCATTTCGCGCATCAGCTGATCCTCTTTCAGTAGGTGAGAATAATGCGCGGGATCATCACGAGGAACTCCCTGACGGGGAAATCGGACAAGATCTCCTTGGAGAGGACTGATGTTTGAAGTTCGGTAGTTCAGGTCTCCTGCGAGAAATAGGTAGGAGTTCGGAGAGAATAGATCCTTGGAACTACCTGCAGAATGATGGGAGGACTCGTGATCGGCTAATAGAGCAGCGTTCTCATCTGAACCACTTCGCTCAAGAGACTTTGGTGTGGTGATTTCATGAGAGAAAACGAGTCGCTCAACTATACTTCTCCAGTCCAGATTTCTCTGTTCCAAAGCATTCTCCATTGGCGCCAAGTGCGCTGCCACGAATGTCAAGTCAACTGTCTTGGATGGATGACCCTCGGCCACGTATCCCAGACGAGCTCCAACAGCACCTTTGTTACCCATTTCCTGGACACCAAACCCGACATGAGCCGTATCAACCCAAGTGATCTTGTTCATGATATCCGCCCGGGCGAAGACCATTAACCCAGTCATACCAGTATGGTCCTTGACTAGATTGACATACGACTCATTCCATAGTTTTGCAGTAGCTTTCTTGACTGTTTTCACAAATGCATCGAAATAGGGTGTGAGGTATGTGCCACCCAAAAATGAGTACGCAATTGGCGCAATCTCCTGCAAGGAGAGCACGATCAGTTCGGGGGCTCCCAGCTCTTCTCGAGCTTCTGTAGAGAGCGTATCGAAGAAGTGATCTGCGAATAAATCCACATCGATGAGAGTGCGCGCACAGTTGGAGGTTAATATGTAAAGGTTGAGGTCCTCCATTTTGGTTGGGTATGAAGAAGTTGAGGAAGAGAGAGTAGCGGTGACGTCGTTTAGCCCACGTGAACCACGCGCATATCAGTGGAGTTCATAAACTTTCTTGGTTTGAAGCGATAAGTGATAAGAAATAGATCAAAATTTATGGAGCTGCGATAAAAAATAAAAAGAAAATCAAAAAGAAATGTGCATCATCCGTGAATCGAACACGGGCCTCGTCGATGGCAACGACGAATTCTACCACTAGACCAATGATGCTAGTTGATATAAGAGACTGAATTTGTGGCACTATGATCGCTCCAAAGTTGTATGTACAAGTCCTCATGCCCGCGGCACTGTATGTAGCAGTGGAAAGGGCAAGGTATCTACTCAGCACTCAACATTTGAAGTGTTTGGCTAGGAATCTCGGTCAAGTAGACACAGTGACACTACAGCCATGCTCACATACTTAAGTACCCAGTCAGTAGTATGTACAGGTATCTGGTGACATACCCCTCTTTGCATGTAAGTACCTACACGGTTACCTACAGGTCTATTATGTCCATGAATAGAATGGCTTTGATCAAGCTTTAATCTTGCCCAGGTTATAACTTGCCCCGGATCTGTCCCTCTGTCCCTGGCGCCTCTAATTCCACTAACAGCATACCCTCTGCAACATCCTCCTCTTCATCCTCCATTTCGTGCACCCATACCACTCGCCCAGCCCGAGGACTTCGTACTTCTAGTTCCATCTTCATTTGCTTGACAAACGCCAGAACTTGGTTCTCAACAACATCCTCACCTTCTGCAACTAACATCTCAATGAGCCTCCCAGAGAGAGGAAGGATGATATGACGAGGATTGGAGGGATCCCCACGGCGGTGGGAAGATGACACAAGGGCTGAGGCAGCAGTTGAAGTGGTTTCAATCTGCATTCGATATGGGACTGCTGTTTTCGAAGATGGAGTTGTATAATCAATATCAGCTGTAAGAGAGGTGGGGAATTCATTTCGAAGGACTCGTGATAACCTTAGGTGATGTGCTGTTTTATCTGATGCTTGTGATGCACTCTCTCGAAGAGGTTCCAGGCGAATTGACCATGCATCGCCTTTGCGGAAAAGCAGATTGGAAGATGGTAATCCACCTTGTGTCAAGGACTGCTGGGAGATTCCAGTAGGCCCTGACTGGTCCCGAAGTGATCTGGAAATTTGATCGCCCAGCTGAATTGTCCCTTCAAGGTGATCTCCCAGCCACTGGGTGTCGATATTACCAGCCATGAACTCATTATGAGCCAAGATACCACGGAGAAGGTTGATGTTGGTCTTGATCCCGGATATTTTGGAGTCAGCTAAAACCCGCCGAGCTTTTCTCACGGTCGCTTCCCAACTGGATGCTATCACAATGATCTTGGCAAGTAGATTATCAAAATTCGACCCGACCACTAGTGGAGAGGCGCTGGAAACATGGCTATCAACCCGTATCCCATGTCCACTTGGGATATTGTATTCCGTGATTTTGCCAATACTAAGCGCGAAGTTGTGGGTTGGATCTTCAGCACAGAGTCGGAGCTGAATCGAAAATGTGTTGGGTGGGGGAGCCATCGGATTCACATCGGATCCAAGACCAATATCCTGGAATGTCCGTCCCTGTGCTAGTAAAAGCTGTGCCTGCACCAGGTCTATGCCACTGATAGACTCTGTGATGGTGTGCTCAACTTGAAGTCGTGGATTGACCTCTAGAAAATAGAACTCTTTCCTTTTCTCACTAACCAGGAACTCAAATGTACCCAATGATTGATAGTGGATATGGCTAGCCATTCTCAACGCCGAATCAATCACTTTAGAGATCAATTCTCGGTCTCGCATAAGTGAAGGCGCACACTCAACAACCTTCTGGAATCGGCGTTGCACACTGCAATCTCGCTCCCAAAGATGGCGCACGCCGCCCACACCATCACCAATAACCTGAATCTCGATATGATGGAATCCATCCACCGCAGCCTTTTCAACGAATACCGTGCGAGAGGGTGATTCGCCAATAGCACGTTGAATACTGTTATTCAACTCGGATTCCTCTCTAACAAGACGAATGCCGCGCCCGCCACCTCCATCGACTGCCTTGATCATGACTGGGAAGCCGACTTTTCTAGCAAAGGTCCGTGCCTCGTTAACACTTGTGGTTGAATGGTCCATAGCCTGCAAGATAGGAACAGAGCATTGCTGGGCTAGCTTCTTCGCCTGTAGCTTATCTCCTGTTCGAGCGAGATTCTCCGGACCGGGTCCTATGACCATGGCACCAGCATCACTCCACATACGTGATGCGAACTCCGCGCTCTCGCTGAGGAACCCGTAGCCTGGATGCACGGAATTGATTTCATGTTTGCGTACTAAATCGACTAACGCTGATATATCGAGGTACGTGCCTGGTGACGGAATTTCAATAGCATGGTCTGGACGACCTAAATCACAATGCGAACGGTCGTCCGCTGTGTATATGGCAAAAGTCTCTACGGGATCAGGAAGCTCCCGTGCGGCATTTAAAATACGGACAGCAATTTCACCTCTAAATGTTATCAGTTATTTATCAATTTGAGAAGATTGAAGATGGTGTTACCTATTTGCGACCAGCAGTCGCTTGATCAGCCGTGAATGCGGGGAAGTTGACATAGCTGCAAGCCAGGGAATTGGCGCAAAAGAACAATGATTCGGAATTATTCGAATATTCAGAGACGAAGTTGCTTTGAGATATTAAGGAGGCTGAAAACAGGACCTGAAAGAATCTTTGAGTGATCTTTGAAATTGCTTTTTATAGCATATTATAACTCCCTCGGTCCTCGGATCAAATTACCCCCTCACTAGCAGTGATCGCCCAGACAACAAAACCGGGGAACCTCCCTAAACTCGAACAACATCTACATAAACCACCACATTGAACGGACTTGAAGGGAAGCAATGGCTAAAGACAATGATAGCACGCCTTCGACAAAATATGGCAAAGGTCAGGCAGCGCAAAGACTAAATCAAGTCTCCTCACACATCACCCCAGATAAACAAGTGTCCCTGAAAACAAAGACCAAGAGCACTGGATCCCGTCTACCTGCAGATCACTCCGATGTGCTGGGCCAATTATCTACGCTACGCAAGATAGCCGCAACACCCAATCTCGAGTCCAGGGGCTATATCCGCCAAAAACAAGCCGGCAAACTATGGGTCCGCGAACGAATCGAGCAACTCCTAGACCCAGGCTCATTCCAAGAGATCGGTTCTGTATCTGGAACAGTAACTTGGAAGAAAACATCCCCCATGCGAGAGAAGCCTGTTTCATTTACTCCAAGTAATAACGTCCAAGGCGCGGGGACGCTCCGTGGTAGAAAAGTCTTGCTTACAGCAGACGACTTTAGCATTCGATCTGGACATGCGGATGGATCCACGGCTGGGAAGACGGTTTACGTGGAAAAGCTAGCTTTCGCGCTGAAAATACCTGTCGTGAAACTTGTTGACGGCAGTTCTGGGGGCGGGAGTGTAACTACGATTCGGAAGGAAGGGTGGAGTTATCTTCCATATGTGACGCCTTTCAGTCATGCGATCAAGCAGTTGAATCAGGGGATTCCGAATCTCGGAGCAGTTGTTGGACCTGCAGTAAGTCACTTCAGTAATGGATGGTATGGATTTTTGCTGAAAGTTGTAGATTGGACTCGGTGCGGCGAGGGTAGTCTCCTGCCACTTTTCAGTCATGGCAGCAGATATCGGTGCGCTCTTTAACGCAGGTCCGAAAGTTGTTGAGGGGGCTACATTCGAAGAAGGGCTTGGTTTTCAAGACCTTGGAGGTCCAGTCGTGCATTGCACAAATGGAACAATTGATAACCTCGCTGCTAATGAAGCTGAATGCTTTGAGCAACTTCGCACTATACTGAGCTATCTGCCCAATTCTGGAAGTGATGCTCCGCCCGTGATCCATAGTGATGATCCTGAATCGAGAGAGGACCTGACATTACGCAGCATTATTCCCCGGCGACAGGCACGTATGTATAATCCTCGAACGATCATTACCTCAGTTGTGGATCGAGATTCGTGGTTTGAGATTGGTGCACTCTGGGGTCGATCAGCAATCGGTGGATTAGCTCGTCTTGCCGGACGTCCTGTTGGGATCATCTCGCTGAACTGTGAGGTGAATGGTGGTGCGTTAGATGCAGCGGGGAGTCAGAAACTTACCCGGCTGTTGAAGATGTGCGATGTGATGAATATTCCTATTTTGCAGTTTATCGACGTCCGTAAGTACTCCTCCATCTCCGTGATGTTTTTGATGTTAGTTTTGTTAACCAACTTATATCAGCTGGCTATGCAATCGGCACTGTGGCAGAACGCACCGCAACTATGCGCTGGGGAGTCGAGCTAGCCAAAACCTATTTCACAACAACAACGCCTATATTCAATGTTATCACTCGGCGCGCCTTCGGTGTAGCTGGAGGGGTTATGATCGGCTCTCGGGATCCAGTCATGCAAGTTGCCTGGCCATCTGGACAATGGGGCTCTCTGCCTCTAGACGGCGGGATTGAAGTAGGACACCGACATGAACTGCGTGAAGCAGAGAAGAAGGGCAAGAAAGAGGAGCGATATAATGAGCTGGAAGAAGAATATATGCGATTGATGAATCCAGTCAGAACGGCAAATGCGTTTGGAGTGGAGGAAATCATTGATCCTAAGGATACGAGGCAGGTTTGCTGTGAGTGGGTGACTCATGTGTATGATGTCCTTATGAAGGATAGGTTGGCGGATCGAGCTTGTGGAAAGATTCATCCTTCCTTTGCTTGAGATGCATTTAATAGTATTTATGCATTCTATTATGCAAATTCCACGGATACCCACTGGCGATAGTACAGCCCTAGAGCCTCAGCTATTGCACCGACTCGGAGTTGAACACGTAGTTATTGAACAAGTGTTTGCGGCGCTATAGCAACTTGGGTTGGAAGGAAATTTGGAAGGGTATGTCTTCCAAGGTTGGCTAGGAATCTGTATTAAAGGGACACACTGAGATTTAACAAAGCACTCCTCATAGTATCCAAATGTTATTATTGTTACTTACAGACTCCAGATGTCAGTACAGTGGACGGGTAGTTGTATCTGTAGGTGAATGGTTACCGAGTCCTCTATGTACGGAAGTACCTACAGGGAGTACCTAAAGGGGCAGGATATCTGCTGTATAAGTTGAGTATGTGAATACTAAGGAAGAAAAATAGAAGAGCTCTAAACATTTGAACCTGAAGAGGTCAAGTGGAATAATCATGGGCGACCAAAAGACCTCTCTTACCGATTACCGAAGTAGTAGTAAAAAGAGGCTATTTACATCCATGGATGCACGGTGGTAGTGGTCGATAAGTGTTTGGTATCCAGTGGTGTGTTGAGATCAACTGGGCCTCGGGGTGTAGATATACTATTCATTATGACATGATATCACCATGCCAGTGGGAAGTAGCATATTTCATCATTCATCAGGTCCTCTTACAAAGGTACAAGTCAATTTTCCATCTTCTTAAGCTTCAAATAATCCAGTTGACTATAGAATACTGAGATCGCTCATCATAGCCCCGTTGAAAACAAGAAGGTTCTCTTGCAAGCTTATGAGGACAAGATGGCGAAGGAGACGCCCTCACTTCCTCATTCTGATACCGCTGGGCAGAACCTAGCCACTCATGAAGCCGGTCCTAGCTTCATGGCAGAAATGCTTATTATAAGAGAACTGTTGGATGACACACATGACAGGCTTGGGCGGCTTGAATCCTATCAACAGAAGAGAAATCCCATGGACGAGGGTGATATCCGAGCTGATACAATAATGCTGAATGAGTGCAAGTTTGGGAGAACTAGCATAGAATGGCAATCCCTCGAGAAACTCTTATGGCCTAACCCCAAATGGAATGGAGCGTCTTGGTATGTCTATAAATCCCCTTGATGCTCTTTTTTCTCATCAATAAATTCTAGATCAGATGAAATGCCTCCAATGTTTGCAGAAATTCAATAGGGACGCGGATATCCTCTTCAGGCATGCCGAGGAAACATTCAAAGTCGAGCAGATTACGAAGAGAGGTGAAAGTATTATTGGTTTACTACGGGAAGAAAGATATGAAGAAGCTGAGGAGCCGCGTCAAAGCTTTTGGCTATGAGGACGAGTCATCTGTGTGTGAAGCAGTGAAGACTCATAGTAGTTTAGCTATTAAAATTCCTTAGGTCAGGCCCCTATCAAAGTTTGTAAGGACTATAGAAGAGAAAATAAAAACAGGGCGAAGTGAGAGAAACAGGTAATAAAATAAGAGAACACAGAAGATGTAGAAGTAAAGGATATAAGAGAAGGTTGGTACTATGATAAAGGAGTCAAGTAAGAGATAATCCTTCATTAGGGTAAGATAAAAATAACGAATGGTATAAGAGATAGCTAAAGTAAGGAATGCCTAAAGTGAGAGATACCTGAGGTGAGAGATAGATGATATGAATATCTCTACTATACTAAGTTGTTGATTGAGCCTGACTGAGATTGCCCCTGAACGTGCTATTGTTATGTTACTTAAATGATGAACTTGACTGCTTTTATTTGTCGCTGCATTATTTCCCTCCCCAAAAGTTACAATTCACTTTTGAATTTTGCCTTTATACCTACCAAGCCAGGCTTAATGAATAGCACACCACCATTTCATCATTTATCAAGTCCTCTAACAGTGGTACGAGTCAATTCCCGTATGCCTTCAAATGCAAGCGGTTCTAACTTCATTGCATAAAGCCTTGCACTGAGAGAACAGACATATAAAATGCACGAGGAGATTGAGAGGCTTCAATCCTATCGACAGAGTGATCAGGCTGCGTCTCGCTCGATCTTAGAAAAAGAGCAGTTTGTACCTGGGTTCGAGATGCGCTGGAAAAGAATACGTCTGGATCACATCCGGTACCTGAACCAATATGTCGTGCATGCAGGTGATGCGCGAGGTGACAGCATGATGATGAGAGAAAGATACAGGAAGACTAGCACGGAATGGCGAGCTTTTGAGATCTTGTATGGTCTCACAGCCGATGAGATTGAGAATCTTGGTATGTCTATGAATCCCCTTGATGCTCTTTATCGTGCTAATAACTTCCAGAATTGGCGAAATGCAACGAAGCCATCCAAGCACTGAATCGGGGGGCAACAAGCCTCCTCCAGCTTTTTAAAGAAGCCTTTAAGAAGGAGACCGCGGCCCAACGGGCACATCTTCTCGTCCTGTTGCGAGAAAAAAAATTACGAAGAAGCCGAGAAGTTTGCAAAGGGATTTTGTCCCAAGAGCTGGGAGTTTGGGGAGGAAGACACTGAAGAGTAGTTTAGCTACCATAATTCCTTGGGCCCGGATGGTCTTTTGGAAGGCATTTGTTCTTAGTGACTTGATGACAAAAAACACATGTACGATGTACCCACTTGAAGCAAATAATGTAGGGCCCTAGACCTCCACTACTGCAGTGTACCGTGTTTAATCACCTACTCTATAAACTTGAACCTTGGAAACTAAATCCACTTCTGATTAATCCGAACACACTTCTAATCCAGAATTATCTACAATAACCAAAAACTTGACCCTACCAGCTCAAGAATGCCCTCTATCGCGGGCGATGTCCCGGCTCGAGTGGATTATGTAACCGCACACGCACGCAATAGCCCTGGAAGGTATCAATCCCCCACCAAGTAGAGACTTCACCTGAAACAATTGATTCAAAACGCCTGCAAAATGACAATCCAAATCCTAGACGGAGGTCTTGGAACCTCACTCCAAGATAAATACGGAGTGAAATTCGACAGCAAGACAACCCCACTCTGGTCTTCGGACCTGTTAGTCACAGACCCAGTGACGTTAGAAGCATGCCAAAAAGACTTCATCGACTCAGGTGCCGACGTACTGTTAACAGCGACGTACCAAGTCTCACCTGAAGGATTCCAGCGCACAAAGACAGCTGCGCACCCGGATGGAATCCCAGTTTCCGCTATCAGCAACTATATCCAAACAGCTGTGGATGTAGCTGAGCGGGCTACTGCGGAACGCAATGCGAAAATCGCTCTGAGTCTTGGACCCTACGGTGCTTGTATGGTCCCGGGTCAAGAGTACAGCGGTGCGTATGATGATGCGCATGATACTGAAGAGACGCTGTACCAGTGGCATCTTGAGCGTTTGCGACTTGTTCTTAGTGCGGAGGGGGATTTGATTTCTCGACTTAAGTATATTGCGTTTGAGACTTTGCCTCGACTGGATGAGGTGCGCGCTGTGAGGAGAGCGATTAAGGATGCTGGGATTGAGTCTGTGCCGTTTTGGATTGCTTGTGTTTTCCCCAGAGAGGATGAGTGCTTACCGGATGGCAGCTCTGTTGAGCAGGTTGTTGATGCTGCTATTTTGCCTATGGAGGGTGGACTCTCACCTTGGGGCATTGGGATGAATTGTACTAAGGTTCATAAGCTATCTGGTCTTGTGGATAGTTTTGGGGCCTGTGTTGAGAAAGTAATGGCTTCTGGGAAGGTTCAGACTGTGCCGAGTCTGATTTTGTACCCTGATGGTACTAATGGAGAGGTTTACAACACAACTACTCAGACCTGGGAAAAGCCCGCTGGTACTGCTGATCAAAGCGATACTGTAAGTTCAGGTTTCAAAATATTTCTATTTTACAAATTTCTGTCAAATATGCTATTCGCTCAGATAATGCTAACTTTCACAGCGCCCGTGGGAAACCCAACTTGCGCAGGTGGTCAAAGATGCCCGTTCAAAGGGGCCTTTCAACTCCTTTCTCGTGGGTGGCTGTTGTAAGGCCACCCATAATGATATCGGAAAGCTCCGAGATCAGTTTTAGAGCCTTCCAAGGCTGGACCTCGGGAATATTATGCAACGTTCAAGGTTGAATCTGAACGGCGGATTAGGCACGGGACCGATGGGACTTGCCCAATGGGTTTTTGTACCGTATTAAAATATATTTGTGACCCGGGCCTCCAGGGCTAGGCATGCATGATGCTTGTGTAAAAAATTCAATGTTGAATGAATATAACGTGGAATGTCGAATTAAACAAACCAGTCAACGAACTTCCCCCAGAAGGTGGTGGGGGGTTCTTTGCGAGGTGTGATTTCTCCTTCTTGGAGACGCCCTGACCATAGGTCAATCTCGTGGGCACGTTGGAACTAGAGTATGTTAGAGGATGATACCAAGTAAGCGAATATGTAAGTACTGACCTTAGTCTTGTGCCATAACTTCCAGATGATAATCGGCACAATGAAAATGGGAATTCCAACATAGTTTGCCACGAATGAAGATGCGCTCCATTCGCCCTTCAAGAAGACGTCGAAGCCAGCGACCAGGGTAATAATGGTGGAGCCGATGAATCCGAACCAAGCGGCATAAGGCTGCAGAGGTGCTGTCCATGGCAAAGTCGAGCGGGAAACACCCTGCTTCTTCATAGCAGCGTAGAATCGAATGTAACAGACGCAAAGGGTAGCCCAGGCAATCAGACCAGCGATGGTGCTCAGATCCAGAAGCCAAGTGAAGGCTTGAGAGGGACCGCCGCTTCCGAGACCTACAGCTTGTTAACATATTGAACGCATCATTCCAGATATTTTCAAGGGAACTTACTCAGATAAGCCAATGGACCAAACAGCCACGCAACAATGACTGCAACATATGGCACACCCTTCTTGTCCACGCGACCAAAGAACTGAGGCAGTTGGTGATCAGTGGTCATGGCGACAATCATACGCGATCCAACCCAGCAGTATGAGTTTCCAGCAGACCAAGCGGCAACCAGAATACAAGCATTCACGATAGAGGGCAAGATTGTGATACCAGATTCCTTAATCGCAATGACGAATGGCGAGGCGTTCGCATTATCATCGCCAGATGTGAGGCCTCCGTTTTGGGGGCTAACAATGATGCCGATGAGGAACGCGCCGAGGATATAGAAAAATGCGATTCGGTAGGTGACGCGGCGAGCGGCCTTGGGAATGGCGCGGTGGGGATCCATAGACTCAGCAGCGGTAATGACAACGGTTTCCACACCAATGAAACTGAACGAAGCATTGACGAAGGATGAGAGGAAACCCAGGAAATGCCCTGTGGAACCGGTGATACCATTATAGTCCACCCACGCACCAGGGTTGTGCCAGAAACGGAAGCCGATGGTTTCATGGTTGGGACCACCACCAGCAGTGATGACAATAGAGACAATCACCAAGCCCAAGAAGCAAATCACCTTGATAGCACCTCCGATGACTTCGGTCTCTCCATAAAATCGCACACTCATCAAATTGATCGCCAAGATCAACACCAAGCTAATTGTGATAACCAGAGCCGGCGATATATCCGTCCAATATGATACGATGACAGCGGCAGCCGAAGTTTCCGAGGCGATAGCGATAGTATAACAGTAACCGTAGGAGATGGCGAGGGAGAATCCGACGGCAGGGTCAATGAAGCGAGTAGCCCAGTGAGGGAAGGAACCAGCGGTAGGGAAAACAGTAGCCAACTCAGCGATACTCTGCATAACACACCAGAGCACAGCTCCGACGATGATATATGCGAGAAGCAAACCAGCTGGACCAGCCTTGGCGTATGCCGATCCAGTTCCGATAAACAGACCAGTTCCAATACCACTGCAGAAACCGATCATAGTAACCTGGTAATTGCGCAGACGGCGCTGGGTAGCACCGCGTCCACCGACATTGAGCTCGAGCTCACCCTTGGCGTGAGCATCAAACTCATCAAGCTGAGCAGGATCCGGTTGGATCGTGTCAGAGACCTTCTTCTCCGACGACATCTTGCAAGTTGGTATACAAGAAACTGATTAGATCCAGATCCAACTTTGAAGATTTCCCCCCATATATTAGTTTGACAGGTTGAAAGATTTAAAAATGGAAATCCCGGGGAACCTTTCAATTTTTATTATTTTTTTCTTAAACGAAATCTGCACAAAATGTTTAAGCGCGTGAATCACGACATTGGATTTCCGTTCTCGCACCACGGAACCATCTCCACTGTGATTAGTGTGATTGGGTTAACGGACTCCATTCCCCCACTTTTTTGAGGCGGCGACTCGTAAGGAAATTTTCTGGATGGCGAAAAAGAAGCAAATATTCGCCGGATTGGAGTAAGATGGCGTAGAAGTTTTAACTTGAGACTAGTGCTAGTGCTTATTGAAGATGGAGATGGCGTGCATAAGACTACAGGAAAGTATCGGGTATAATGTTCCTTCAATATAAGGGTCTAGAACATTGAACTCCAATGTCCCGCTTCAATTTGGAAAAAAAATTGAAACATTTCGTGACCTTGCACAGATTCCGAGCTCGGATGTGCAAATTAAATAGAGTTATCGCCACTATTCCGAGTACCATAAACTCCTAGAAAGGAAAAGTGTCATGCTCGTGAAGGTGGTTCTCAAAGGATCCAGTCCCATCGGGGATTTCTCTGAAATAAACTTAGAGGAATCTTAGCCTATGATGATCATCCCAAAAGATCAATTGATCCGATAAACCCACTTTAAAAATCACTGGGGCTTACTCTGATCACCTCCAAGGTTCCAAGTCCCAAGGTTGCCAACATTAGCCATGAACTCTCATTATGAGGAAGAACATTTGAAGTTATTTGCATTTTCAGATGTCGGATATTCACTTGAACTCCATGACCCCTTCCAAGATTAAACCATCTGGAATATCTGAAGCAACAATGGAAGAGCTTCGAGTGTATCAAGGAGCCCTGGAGCTGATCATCCACGTGTACGGAAATACTCGAAGCTCCGCTTTGGAGCCTGAGGCAACCAAGTCTTGGCACGATTCATACTCACCAGTTCGCTCTTCTACATTACACCACATGTTCACTCCATAGGTATCATGTGCAATGAGGCTGAGGAGAACAACACTAAAGCCCCTTTATACAACTTCTACCGAAACACCGGTTACATATTCAATGTTTGAGTTCAACGGCCGCGTCCTTGAGTGCAGACTGCGGAGTACCTGTGGATCTCCGGACTCTCCGAGTCATGTACTGCCAGCTGCATGCGGAGTCTAATTGGGCATAAATCCCCCTCAAACCCGCACAAGCAAGCATTTGAGCACAAATGCCATGTCGATCATGTACATAAACGCACAAATTCGGGTGGAGGCACAAATCATACCAGATTCTCGTGGCAATAAATTGATCAATAGCGCCGATCCGCGGGAGTCAACCGAAGGGAGAGCCAAAAAACTCGTGGACTTGAACCGTTCAATATTACCTCAGCCCCTTGGACCCCCTCCCAAGGTTCTAATATAAGAAATGCAAGGAACTTGAACCACAGCTTGCCCTTTCAAGAGTTACCCAACACTGGGACAGAATTCCTCGGACGTCCAATCTTCATGTTCATTTAGTCCAATGTCAGACCCCGCCCAACACAATACCGGGGCTGCCGGGGCTAATGGATCCTCTCCGACCACAAGCGCCGAAACGCCTAAGGAGGCACCGGTCATCAAACCCCGTCGAAAGCTCCCCGCATGGCTGGATCACTTCAATGCGCGCGATCTAAAAGTACTCTTTCGCTGCGCCGTGGCAGTATGGGTCGCCTCACTGTTAATCTTTATCGGTCCATCGCTACAGAAGCTGAGCACTGCGACCTTCTTTGCAACGTGAGTATCATCCTCACTATGGTCCAATGGCTATTATTAACCTGTGAATCATTAGATTGGTTCTGTTCATGGTACCTCCTAATGGAATCGTCTTCATCTTCGTTCTGGGTTCCTTCACCCTCATCATTGGTATGGCCACAGGATGGGCCTGGGGGGGTTATCACTATGAAGGCCGCTTTGGCGGCGCGTCCCGCAGCTGAGACCGAGAGTAGATTAATGGGTCTGGCGCAATTGGCATCCAGCCAAGCCAACTCAACTGGGCAAACTGTCGCCTATGAAGAAGAGGTTCTTCTTTATAGTGGATATATGCTTGATGCGCGCGTCTCGGCAGTATACTTTTGCATGATTTGCTTCTTGGTTTATCTCCTGGTGCGTCCGAGTCCTATATTGCAACGAAATAATCCCAATTCGTGAAATTGAATACTAACAAGTTGCAGGCCCGCATTCGAGCTAAGAACCCCAAGTTTGTTCTATTCCAGATCTTCGGTACCATCATTATGGACATTTTCTTGACTATTGGACCTTTACTTCCTTCCTTTGAAGGAACGATAGCAAAAGTACTGATTGAGCCTGCAGCCATTGGAGTCGGCCTGGGACTAGCTTGTCAGATCCTCTTGTTCCCCAAATCGACTTCTTGTACCGTTCTGGAAGGCATGGAGGGGCTGACCCGGCTATTGAAGGGTCCACTAAATGTGACTTCGGTTGGCTTGCTATCGGACGAGCTAGTAACATTGGCAGACTTGACAGCGATTAAGATGAAGATCATTGGTACATACAAGGCGATTCAGCCCGCGCTTGGATTCCTCCAATTGGATTTTTCGGTCGGTCGCTGGAATGCCGATGATATCAAGAGTCTGAAGAAACCTTTGCGACGAGTTACACTCGCTTCCTTGGCATTAATGCAATTCCACCTTCAACGTGCTGGTGGTCACGAAAAATTGGAAAACCTCCGTGCAATTCTCGTGGACTCGGAGAACCCTCAAACAGACATACTAGATGAGAAGAAACCACCATCCCGATCCCGTGAAGCTGGACGGCGTCAGCTCATGGAAAGTGTTCGCCTCGTGAAGGCTTTCCACACCCCAGAACATGAAACCCGTCGATCTGAAATCGTCGCATCGATCAAGGAGCCCAGCAAGAAGATCTTACCTGTATGCGAAGAGGCGAATAACGTTTTCGCCGACTGTATTCATGCGATAAATGCTGCGCGCTGGTTCAATCGACCAACTCAACAGCACATGGATGAGCTCCTCGCACGCACTGAGACTGCCCTGGAACAGCTGAAAATCGAGCGCGAAGCCTTTACCTCCAGTTTTACAGACAGTCTCATTCAGACAAATGCAGATATATTTGACCAGGATGGGAACCTGAAAGATCTCGAAGAAGCTACCGTGCATAAGGTACGCGTGATCTCGGTCTGTATGATCTTCGAGGAACAACTCATTGGAGTGGCCGTGGCCTGGGAAAGCGCTCTGGAACAATTGGTTGCTCTGATGAAGGAGCGTCAGAAGATTCGCTTGTGGCTTCCTAAAGGATTGCGATATGCTGTTAACTGGGCTCTTCGAAGGAATGCCGTTGCCCCTGTCATCGCGGCGCAGACTCCCAATGATCCTGAAGTCGTGGAGGAACACTCCAAGGCGGCTCAGCAGAGTCTTCGGATCAGTCGAGGATATCGCGTGAAGCAACGTAGTGGTCTGGGACGTGCGATTCTTAGTTCCTACCACTGGTTTATCAATGCTGATGGCATGTATGCCATGCGCATGGTGATTGTTACCATCGCCCTTGGAATCCCTGCTGTTATCCCAGCCAGTGCTGGGTTCTTCTATCGTGAAAAGGGTCTCTGGGCTTTGATTATGGGACAAACCTCACTGGTGATCTATATGTCAGATTTTACACTCTCATTGGTCTCTCGTACCACGGGTACCATCATTGGGGGTGTCACTGGTTTGGTGGCCTGGTACATTGGCTCCGGCGATGGCGGTGGTAACTCATACGGCCTTGCAGCAGTGATGGCCGTTGTGCTCACCTTGCTGATGTGGCTGCGTCTTTTCCTCCCCTTAGCTTTATTACAAGGCACAATGATGTGTGGAGCCACCCTCATCCTTGTCGTTGGATACAGCTTTGACGATACGTAAGAACCCAACCTTTCATCTAGCAGCTTTCAATGAGTTTGACTTACAATTATTTAGGCACATTCCCTCGTACGGAAACCCCGGGCATGGATACACCGTCTTCTGGCGACGATTAGTACTTGTCCTCATCGGATCAGCCGCCGCGTTGATCATCCAACTCTTCCCTAGACCCCCATCTGCTACACGCCACGTCTGCAAATCTCTTTCAAATATTATCCGCTCATTATCTGATCACTACGCACTACTCCTTTCATGCTGGGGCCAACCCGACCGTGAGGAAGGTCTAGTCGCCGAAGAACTAGCCTTCAATGTCGCCGATGCACTCAGTGCCCTCGATGGACCAGTCGCTCTTCTCCGACTAGAATTTTCCAGCTCACCCTTCGACAGTGAACGTCTTACTCAAGTGAAAGCTCTTTGTCAAGATCTGAATCAAAATCTTGCCCGTCTCCTATTCCTGTCTGCATCCTTGCCAGAACATTTCCAAACCAGAATAGCAACCCGAGCTGGTCTTCTCGACCATCGCAACATCGGTGATGCTATGGCTGTTCTGGGACTCATTGAGCAAGCTCTTAAAACCGGGGATCCGTTGCCTGAAGTACTCCCGACACCCTTGCTAAACCGTTGTCTTGATTACTGGGAGAAACATAAGGGAGAAATGATATTGACTACGGAGCTTATGCAGGATGAAAATTACCGTCGCTTCTGTGTCGCTGTTAATGCTCACCTTAACTTCCTGGGTGCTGTCGATGACTTGGTTCTTGTGATGAAGGGCACATTGGGTGAGTCGCATATTGTGAGTCGGGAGTTGATGCATGATTTGCAAGTGGGTATGCATGTGTAGTGGATTTCACTCTTTCGATTTTTCTTTCATTTAGAATTTCCTTTCAACCTTATTCTTCTATTCTAATTTAGAGCTGTATATATTTTATATATTTTTTATTGACTTTGATTTGAAATGATGTACCTAGTACCAAGCAGTCGGAGTGCATAGGAACGTAACTCATGCACGATGTTAAGTTGCCGAAAACATTAATTCTACGCGCCGCCCTCTCTTCTTCCAACTTGAACATTCCCGATAAAGGAACGACTGGTAAAACATGAAATTGTGACATCTCTCCTCATTTCATTCTGCATATTCTCATTGATCAAGCTCCACTCCGCTGTATCAACGTGCTGCAACCTCGGAGAAGTTTTCGGGCCCCGCACCTCTGCCGCGTCAGCAGAATCACAACCCCGAGCTCTAAACCCGGGCCCCGAAGCGGCAATAATTACGATTAAGAAAACGTGCTTCTTGATTGAATGTCGCGAATTCCCAATTCCCAAGACTCACCTTGGCAGGAATCATGACCTGGCCGTGGCTTTTTGTCTACCTAGACTCTAGTCAAAAGCAGAGCAGGCGCGAAGTCCTCGCTCAATTTGCGTTTATCTCGCAGGTATCTATATTAATCCCGATCGCGATTTATCAATTGTATCGAATTGCCGCATGGATCTTAAGCAAGAGGATAAATTGCGACGTGGCATATACTGCCCTTGAGGGATCTTCAGCTACGAAATCAGTCGTCCGTTCAAGTGGCATTGCCAGGCGGTGGAGATCAGTTCAATGGTGGTTAAATGGTGAAATCGCGTCAGGCTGGGGGTTGAGAAAGCGCTGGATTGCTGCAATTCTCTGGTTCTCGTGGCTATTATTTCTCTCCATTTTCAAAACTGGCAATGGTAGGCACTCCCAATTTGATTTTCGAGTCCCGCATGAAGAGCCAAATGTTAATTTGGTCTAGACTACTTTCATCTCACCAAGCGCTTTGGCAGTGTTGCTGCGGCTCAGTTGCCCTTTCATTACTTGCTTTCTTTGCGTACTCGATTTTCGCCTTTGATCATACTTTTCGGAACATCGCATGAAGAGTTAATCAAGTGGCATCGGGTTTCAGGGAACATCATCATGATCTTACTCCTAATTCACGGGTCGTTGTATCTCAACTACTATATTCTATCAAGCAGTTTGATCGAGCATTTACAACGTCTTTCAACCATTACGGGATTGATCGCTGTCACACTCGGTGCCATCCTCACAGGAACAAGTCTCGATAGAATCCGGGAACTGAGTTATCGAGTTTTCTTCCTCTGCCATCTCGCCATCGGGATGGGCCTCCTGCCCATACTATTCCTTCATGCAAGACCACTCCAATGGTTTACAACCGAGTCGCTGGCTTTATTCATTCTGGATCGTGTTCTCCGACGATTCGACAGGGTCACCGGACCTGTGACCGTTTCTCAAATCTCGCATACGGATATACTAAAGATCGAAATCCCCATTAAACCATCCAAGATGAAGCGGTTCCAAAACAAGCCCGCTCAACACGTCTATGTGTCTCTTCCCTCGAATAAAAAATCTAATTTCAGCAAACGACTTCTCTCGAACCCATTTACCGTCGCTAGCGTCTCATCAAATCATATCACGCTAGTCCTTCGAGCTAGAGAGGGCCCAACAACACAAAGTCTATGGGCGCATGCTCGCCATTTCCACAGTAAACCTGTTATCAGCGTTGAAGGTCCATACGGAAGACCAGTTAATATCCGAGATCTGTCAAGATTTGATCATATCCTCCTTGTCGCGGGTGGTATTGGCGCTACATTTACTTGGCCTATATACTGGGCTCTGCAGGAACAGATAGAAGCCGAAGGACAAGACCTCGAGAAACTCAAGTTCATATGGGCAGTGAGGTCCACGGCGGAAGCGAGTTGGGTCACTGATTCGGAAGAAGAGGTCTTTGCAGAGGAGTCGAATATCCATATCTATGTGACGAGACACCAAAATATGGAACAGTCCTTTGAGCAGGACCTTGAACTTTCCGATGAGGGTATTGAGATGGATGATAGACTAGCAAGTCCGAGATCGATTGGTGGTATTACGCCACTTATTGGGAGGCCTTATTTGAAGGATATTGTCAATCAGACTTTTGATATCCACGCTGACGAACGGGTTGCGGTGTTGTTTTGTGGACCTAAGGGTATGGGTCAGGAATTGAGGGGTCATGTCGATAGGTGGGCTGTTGGAGGACGTGATATCTTTTGGCATGAAGAGCGCTTTGGAATGTAATATTTTATGCTTTGATTATGGCTTATACAAGGCTGCCCTGGGGTTATGCTCATGTTCTGTGAATATTATCATCCCATCTCGAATTACTGTCAGTGGGTAGTAGCACTGTGATAATTACTATTAAGAGCCTGAGATCGATTGATCTAGATGCATCCAACATCCTAGGCATAGAACTCAAAATTAACTTGAATATATCCATTGTGTCGTTCATACATGGATATTCACTCCAAGTTATCCATCAATGTGCACCACTGGCATCCATCCGAGTCCATAACTGAATCATCCCAAAACCGAAGCTCTATATGCAAACCCATATCTCCTCTAATCTCCGAGTCACATTCGCTCCCAAGTTAAATACTGGTTAACCAAGACACCCTATTCAGCGTCAGAATATTAACCACCACTGGCAATCTCAACCTCATCCACCCCAGTACCACTTACACTAATTTCCCACGGCCGATCCGGCGACAAAACAAGTTTGTCCCCATCAAGCTCAACCCGTCTAAGCTGATGTCCACCAGCCCAATTCGGCACAAGCGATAAATCCGTAGAATGTTTAACAAACGACTGACCATCCTGGAAGAAGACTTCAAAGGGACCCGAATACGCCAAGAAATGTCTCGCCGCCTCTCCTGCCTCATCATCTGACGCCGTGAACGGATCTGACTTGGCGTAGGGTTTTGATCCCGGTTCCATCACCTGCGCGGACATGTAGCCCTCTTGTGTGTAGATCAGATATCCTGCTGCGTTTGGTCCAAAGGGGTATCCGATTGGACCATCTGAGTCGACTGGCTTGCTCACTAAGGAGATGAGCTTCCAGGTTCCGATTAGGCCTTTTCGGATCTCTTCTTCTGTTTGGGGCATTTTGATGGGTTAAGATGGAGTGAGGTTGGGATTGGATGATGCTCAAATTAGTACATTCAAGTAGAGGATACCCGTACTTATATGGGCGTGACAAGTGGGTTGTCCTCAATATTTAGAATGGGGTGACCCGACCATGGATTCAAATGGAATTGCAGATTTGGGAATGTGGGTCGTTACTGGAACTTGAATGATATCGGCTAAGTGATATGCAAGGGAGGTGAACTTGAAGTTAATCTCTGTCCTCAAGTTCAAGGGATTACAGTACACTGTCATTCTGTAGTATCAGTCTAATCACCAAATCCAAGGCGTACTACTATGAATCCATTAAAATTATAATTAGTATCCAAGAATTGAACATGTGCGGTATTTCCGTATAGTATCAGTAGATGTGGGGTACGAAGAAAGTTACCTAGAATTAACTTTTCACTAAACTTGAAGTGCTACAGCGTGTTTCGTATCTGGTTCAATTTGGTTAATTTGATGGATCATATGCCCACATGTCAGTGGCTGGGAGCATCGATGCGGTGACAAATTTATGAAGATCCGGATTCTGCATGATGCTTTACGGTGTACGGAGGACTTGGCTACTTCGAGATTTTCCCAGGTAAAGTCTGCCCATATGAGTAGCCTGTTGAATTTGGATCTCGAGATTCTTATAGTCTCATTTTAGCAGTGACTTATTGGTTTTTTGCTGTGTGACTCAAGATCTTCTAGCCTGTATGTACACAGGACGGGGCAGGGAGTACGGTCTGGTGAATTGGTAGTTCAAGTATGCACAAATGAAATACTGGCAATTCAGAAAGAGAAGGTAAGAGCATGAATTTTGATAATTCTTGCATGCTGAGAAATTTTGTTCAATCCTCTTCTGAAGTTGTAACAAATTTCTCCTCCAATTCCGCATAATAACGATACCCCGATTCTCATACGAAAAGCTTTAAGCTTGAAAAAGCCACTAAGGTATTTACCAATAAAAGAATAGCTTTAGAGGCCCACTTGCCTCTTCACGTTAGTGCCCGTCCAGGCTAGTCTAGATCGGGTTATCTACGGAAATCATATCCTGTCGTAAGTCCTCAATATAGAGTATGGGAGAATTCAATGTTAGCTATCAGTTAGCATCTCAAAAGTTTGAGTGGGGAAAAGAAATGATATGAGCAGGGATCGAACCACGGACTTCTAGATTTCGCGATGCTTGCACCAAGTGAGGCGTCAAATGAGCAAGACGATGAAAGCTTCAACTTTCAAAAATTCATAACAAACCCAATAAAATAGATAAAAATATAAAACTGGTATAGGAAGAAAAAGCAAAAAAAAGCCCATCCACAAAAGCCTTTCACATAGTCCGCTGCAAGCTTTCTCACGGTGGTGTTCCACTTAAGGCAAGTCTCACGCTCGCTGATGCTACTGAGCAACCCTCAGTCCCAGCATTCTAGTCTTATGGTATCATAGTGTCAAATCACATCGGGACAGACACGATAGCCCGCTGAGCTACTACGTTGTGGATGGTTATCTGGACTCCCAAATTTACCCCCATAACTGGGAAAAATTTAAGGCCAGAATTTACAGGCAGCCATCACTCTCTTGACTAACTACCACAGCGGACACCCTTAACTCAAGGACAGTCTATTTTTTTGTAACATATTTGGTGTGTAAAGTAAATTTCTTAGATTATATAGTCTTTAAGAAATATTGCGGTCAAGCACTTCTATATACATTACCTCGCAAGTTTTATTCCAAGCTGCAGCCCTCTATATCCATTTCAAGCACCTTGCGACATAACTTCCACCTCCCACAACCCCCGTCACTCCCGTAAAGACAATCAAACTCCCATAGCCACTTCCATATCCAAAGCCGGCCTGTCCCTCCCACGGCAACCCTTTGATAAGTGCCTCACTTAGTGGACCGGAGATAATATTCCCAATACCTCGACCCGCAGCAAGACAAGCAAAGACCATACTCGATTCCGCGGATGCCTTCTTGCGAACGACATCGCGCATAATACCAGGCCAGGTACTCGTATACGATCCCGCAAAGAGACCATACACAATGGAGAAGATGAAGAGAGGAGCTAGGGACATGGAGAAACCCCAAATCAAAAAGACGCCAAGGGTAGACCCGATAGTAGAAACAACGATACAAACCGTCACATCAAGTTTATCAATAATCGCACCCATAAGCACACAGCCCACGACAGATGCAACGTTAAAAAGGATAACAGTTAGCGCTTGGAGACTGCTCGAAGCCCCGAGCATACCCGCGTATGTGGGGAGATAGAGCGATGGCAAGAAGAATCCAAGTGCTTCAATGGTATTGCAGAGTTCGAAGAGCGCAAAGGTACAAGTCATGATAAAGCGGAGATCAGGTGGTGGAGGACTCTTGTGGTTCTTAGCAACTGGAACACGCGGCTTAACGAAGTAAACCAGCGGTGCGGTAAGCAAGAAGAGAGCGACGGCAAAGGCGCGCAATGTAGTTCGGAATCCGTATTTGTCTAACAGGCGTTCCATCACAATAGGAAGGATGACACCACCGAGTCCAGTACCAGCCCACATAACACCAAATGCGAGACCTTTGCGCTTGTTGAACCAATCTTCCATTAGGAGGATACAAGGTGAGTAAGCGATGCTACCGCCGATTGCGTAGAAGATTCCCTGGGTTATGATAAGGTGGGTGACGTTTGTGGAGAAGGAGCTTAGTCCGAGAGCGAGGCACATTAGAATAACACCGACACCGCAGCCGAGGCGCTGGTATTTGGGCCATTGTCTGTAAGCAGCGAAGACAATAGGGAGGTCGAGGTACATGATTCCCTATATGGAGAAATTGTGTTAGCTCATTGATTTTGCGTGGGAGATCAATCAGTGCTACCATAGCGCAGGTTCCGACGACAGCGATGCTTCCAGAATTCTCGAACTCGGGGAGAGCACTATAATATTCTTGAAAGACACCATAGGTAAATGCGAATCCCCAGACAAGAGCTTCCATCACAAAGCATGCCGCGAGGAACAGCCAGGCGTCCAGACCGCCGTCCATAGGTGGGAGTTGTTGCGAATCATTGTGAACATCCGACAAGTCCGTAGTGTCTGTTGACCCCGCTGGGGGTGTACGAAGCCCCTTTTCAGTGTGGTCTGAGCAGTTGGCGAGTTCTACCTCCTCCATTGTGTGCTAGAGATGGTATTGACAGAGGGAATGATTATCTCAGGAGAAAGATTGAGATCGATGAAGGTGGAAAGACGGACATTTAAAGACATTAAACGGGTTGTACTCCCCACAGGAGTCATCCACAGGGCGTGTCGAGAATATCACCTCATTGATTGAGCCAATCATCATGGCTAAATGGATAAAGCAATTGCGAATCCGCCACTAACGTGCTGACTAGTGACTAGTGCACTTCAGGATTCGTGGGAGATGAACATCATCCATCCACGTTCGCCATATGGCTGTGGATCAGTAAGAGAGAAGCGCGCTTTGGTAATTTTTCGAGAGATGCGAGATACTGTGCATCGTTGCATTTCTTTCACCGTATGAAGTATGCACACCCGGAGGGGCCTTTAATCCATGGATGTAGACAAATCAGCCCCCAGACCCACATTGATGTACAAGTCAGCCCCCGGGGCTAGACTGCATTTAATACCACGCTCTGATAAGGATGCTTGGTAGCTATAGCTAGCATTTCAAGGCCACTAGCGCCAAAAGCTATGGGAGCTATTGTTCTACAGATAACAAAAAGATACCGCAATCTCCTATGATGAAGTAACAAAAGTACGGAGTACTTGGCGCAACGAGAGATGAGGGTCCGCTAAAGCCCGGGCCGCTGCCACTCGGGCCCACCCTTTACTATGGGTAGTTCGAGGAATGTAGTAGGGCATCTTTACATGAACACCTGGGCAGTATGCACATGCAAGCTGCACATGGTAAAGCTCTCCTGGGTTGCACAACAGAGAGCACAGACCCAACACCGCCAGCAAATATGTGATAGCCTCGAAACGCAAGGCCGGGTATATTCCAGAGATTTCATGTTTTTGGACAATTCTAGTACTCCATGTGAAAGGAGCAACGGTGATATATACATGTATAAGAGAATCAGGTCAAAGCCCATGGTACAAGACCTCGGAATCCAATGCCGTGAGTCCGTCGATCATAAGTGATCCCATCCTTGGGGGTGTAAGACCTGCATCTCATTAATGATACAGAAATCCCCGGGTTCTCGGTTCTCAGGACTCAGAGAAGTCCAGCGATTCATGCGATATTGGACCATCTTGTCCTTCAGCCAGGTTGTTGTAGTCCATCGGCTTAATCTGTTTATCCATAATCCTTGCAAAATGGACCGGGCGGATAGCCAATTCGTGATCGGGTTGACAGCCACATATGCCGGACCATTGTATCCAACCCGGACGAGGGGGTTCATATAGACACCATCTTGGATGGATAATGGGTTATCTGCATGAATGAGGCAACACTCGGAGCCTTCGAGGTGTGAGGTAGCGAGGGAATCTGGGATCCCACGGAATCGTAGTGGCGGATTGGCTGTAAAGGGAGCGGCAGGCATTGCGACTAGTGACATGATTAGATTCATTAGCATGGGAAATGAAGACTCATAGAAGTAAATGCTTACCCATTCCGTTCCAGCAACTCTGTACGGGAACAGGGTGCAAGTTCTTCATCGCATGGCGCGATACAGAGTTGCGGAAGAAGGGCCATGTTGACATGAGGGCCTCGTGGCCACTGGCATCACGGAGAGCGAATGTGTCATAGTAGTTTGGAGCTTTGGCAAAATCCATAGAACATGCCGCAGCATAGCTCCCTTCGTTGGTATCTAATAACTGGAAGACATCATTTGGCTATGATAAGATGGCAAGTTAATATAGGTATAGCTGTTAAGCACAGATTTAGAGGATCCTACCGTGAACACAACATCGTTGAGAAACAGAATTTTATCAAATGTGAATCCATGTTTTGCTAGCTCTTCCAATGGCCGTAAACTGAGATTTCGAGTACGCGATAAATATGGAATCCGTCGCAACGCCATATCCCCTCGTGGTGTTTCGACCCAACCTTCTCCAGGTGTAGCAGCCAATTCATCCTCGTGCGTGATCGGCGACAACACTATTGTTCGTGGAATTTGCAGACGCTCCAATTCTGCATCCAGTTCCAGCAATGCCTCCTTGGTATTATCATAACTCCCACTCTCATAGATGCTAATATATACGTTCTCCGGGCCAAGCTTCCAGGCGAGTTCCAAAAGCGTCTGGCTCCAGTGACTCCGCAAGATGATCTCACTATTCCAATTCACACTTGCAATGTATATCCGTTCCTTTCGGCGCGGCTGATCACGGTCAACGGTTTCTAGGTCTGCTTCCGATATTCTGCGGAGAATGAGATGTACCTCAATAAGATTCCAGGCTATAAAAATGAGAAGGAGTGTTCGGAGGATGCGACTCCGGGCTAATGCCCGGCGAATAGTACGGTAACGGTATGGGAGGCACATAAGGAGTGGACGCCGGAAATCGCGGCAGGAGATCGAGAAGAAAAATCAGGAGTGGTGGTACATCGCTTGGTAGAGGTTGTAGGAGAGGAAGTCGTACTCCGTATTTGGTCGGATACGGCCGGAGAGAAGCCAAGATTTGCCTAGAAATAGAACATTGCACAAGAGTTGCAAATCAAGGGGTCAAGTATATACAGTGACGCCTAGACTGAGGCCCTTCATACTTCCGAACCCAGAAAGACGCGCGGCGATCAGTACGGAGTGCTCCAGTCTGGTCAGTGTGATATTTGGGGACTATTTACACTGAGGATGGACACACGCGGCAATGTGCGTATTTGTAATATATATAGAAAAAAAAACCTCGAGCTGAATCGCTTATGAAGGAGGTACTGGAAGTGCTGAGAAAAGGTGAAAAAGAAAAAGGGGTTGAAAGCGTTCAAGTTGCCGTTACCCCATCAATTGCCAAAACATACATAAGGCGGTTCCGACAGCCGCCATGACCACTTTTCTGAGAACAGCCACTGGCACCCCCGCACTAGTAGAGGTAGAGGTTGGAGATACACTCTGAGTGCTGGTATAATTCCCATATAACCAAGGTTGTCCTGGAAGGGAGTTAGAACTTTCCTGATCTTCCGTCATCATATTGTTTTCGAGCGAGGAACAGTCCACTCTGTCTGAGCTTTCGGAAATGCTGTTGGTGACTGAGATAGGCAAGTCGAACACAGTGTAGTAGTCGGTACTATTCCACCGAAAGTATTGATGGATCGAGATGTTATATTCTCCTCGAGAATTGTCATCGGTGCCAGTCCCCACAAAGCATTCAGGCCAGATCCAGTTGACATGCTTGACGGTAGAGGAGGGTTCAAGATGAAGGACAGGGCCAACGTAGCCCGATGAATTAGTAGGTGGGATAGTGCCGTTAGAAATGGTGAAATTGTGCGATTGCGACTCGGATGTCAAGAATACTGTGATACTGTGGAAGAGAGTAGGCGAGTCTGCGGATTGGGTGGATGGTGGCCAAGAAAGACGACCATCTCCTGATACATCGATCGCAACCTGAAGGGTGTCTGGATGCTTGGTTAGTCACTGGTTCCTAGATGATGAGTGTTGTTGACATACCTCCTCCTAACGGGGTGTAAGGCTGTGGAGAGTCCACAATAGCCAAACCCGGAGTGTAGACTTGACCATTCACGATTGTGAAGTTTCCCATTGTGATACAGACGATATGTCAGATTTGAATCACACAAGAAATCTTACTCACTGGATATGGAACTTTCTTCATATAATAATCCGGATAAGTCAATTGTGGCTCAGCAAGGGTCTTTCATCTCCGGCGTCTCCGTGATATCCTTATTATTTTGGGCTAATCTATGTGGCTCATTTCGCCTACTCACTAGCGCAGGGTCCAATATCGCTTCCAGGGTCCGCAGATTATGAAATGTGGAGATGCAATTAAGTAAATTGATTGAAGATTTTTGCATCTCTCGTATTATTGGACTACTTTAATATTAATTTCTGCCTTGAAGGAATCTGAACTTGGAGAACTTTTGATATCACTCCCCCTTACTACTTGAATGTCATTTTTAGCTATGGGTCCTAATAAGCATGGCATGATCCTGTCGGGCTCGGTATTGTCTAATGCGTCCTAGATTTTTCTGGATTCTCCTGTCCCTGTTTGTGCTCCCATCTAACTATTTGTGTTGGGAAACTGCAGTTCTGCATTTTCCTAATATTGACAAATATCTTCAGTTAACTCCTTTCAAGACCACAAGCATGGCGGGTTCTCCTGAGGTCTTTTGATTATCTCTCCGGTCCTACCTAATATAGGGCTTCAGTATGACCTCGGCTAATTAAGATAGTATGTTTATTATCTTGACGGCTGAGCTACTGCTGGGAAGTACGACAGATCTGTCGAAAGACTACGGATTCATAGACCTGGACTCATGAGAGATAAAGCTCGGATATAGTTCAAGGGCGCATCAATTGACGGCTCTGAATAACTTTTGCTATGTCATCCGTCATCCAAGCTCTGAGAATCTCTATACGATTCACTTCGGTTTTCAAGATTCTAGAGAAAAAAAAATTGTGGCGTTTCAGAAGACTGTTTTCAATAGGTGCGACAGCAACCCGTGTGAGTGAAATTAGAGAAAGGGAGAAAATTGAAAAGCCCACCAACACAAAGCTTCCAAGCACTATTTGGATTAGTGTCGGTGCCCACTGAGCTCCCGAATAGGAAAGTCAAGACTGTATTCAGTAAGAAAGTAAAGCAGCATAGAGCTACTTGGGTTGGACAAAGTCAGAATCCTCTGTTCTGAGATATCCTCCACATCGACAGAATGGCCTTCTCAGATGTGTCTGTGACACTCAGTATAGACCTCATCAACACATATGAAAGACTGAATTGACAACCTACTCACAAGTGTTAGCACCTAGAGCCACAGGGGGAAAGAGTCCCGCTTGGTTGGGAGTGCCAAGCTTGAAGATTATCAGTTGAGCGTATAAACTGACCAGTTAAGCTTGAGGCGATAGTAGTACTTACTAATAGCAAGGAATGATAAAGAGAATGAGCCATGGCGCATATGATATCCGAGGTCTGCGAAGTGATGGAAGTGATGGCAGAGTGGAAAATCAAGGATGAGTCCAGATGAAAGTATTTGTCACCTTTTGAATCAAGTACAAATCATGATTCACAGGATCTGTCAGTGTAAATAAGGATGACTCTTATAGGTCATCTTGATATTTGCCGGAGTCCGAATTATCGGGATCTGGCATAAGTTCAATGTCGTGAACCGTGACTTTTTGCTTCCCAGGAAGTCGACAACAAGCGGCATATCCGGAGTATCATTAAGATCGTATCGATTGCAGAGAATTCAGTACTGATTAGTACCAAACTCAATATTTGAAGGTTGAATATTCTGACGTTCTACAGACAACCACGGGCATTATATCTTGCTTAAAACCACGTTCAATCTCACATTTTTCAGTGGTCTGGAGTGTCTGTTTCAAACCATTCCAAGTTATATAGGCCATTAGCTCGCGATGGACACACCATCATCAATCTCTACCAGTACGGACATAGAGAGAGATCTGAGGCACCGGTTAATTTTCTTTGGAAATGATTTCCCAAGTGATAATCTTGCCGATCTTTTTCGTCGTCTTCATCGATGGTCCAAGGATGCGAAGTTCAGGGTTCTTGCGTTGTTTCTAGATGAGAGCATCGCTGTTCTGAATACCGAGATAAGTCAACTATCACAGAATACTCCCGACAAAATATCCTGTCTTCAGAATGTTGTTGGATTGGTCAGCGCATATGAAGCCGTTCGTACCACACCAATTGGGGGTGCTCTCGAGAGTTCTCTTCTCTGCATTCTCCAAATTGGAGCTCTTATCGGGTAATTTCCCCTAGTAAATAAAATTAGCGCGTCCAAATATCTGATATGAAGTTTTCTTATTAGGTCGTACGAAGCAGCAGGCACGAAGTTTGATCTCGTGGGGTCTGGTACGACAGTATGTGGACTCAGTATTGGTCTGTTGACAGCCGCAGCACTTGCTTCATCTTCTTCCATCTCATGTCTTGCCTATTATGGCGTGGAAAGCATGAGAGTGGCTTTTCGAATGGCCATTTATGTCGACCATGTGTCTCACTCTCTTGAAGCTCGGGAACCAGATACGCCACCCAAGACCTGGGCCTATGTAATAACCGGAATTAAGGCGGATGTCGTGCAACAAGAGCTTGATCGATACAACGTGGAGACGGTAAGAATTATAATAACCTGGAAGAGTCTTTATACTTACCCGAGACAGTCAACTCCAAATCTTCTCAAGGTTTTTATCAGTGCCGCGGATTCATCATCAGTCAGTGTGACTGGTCCTCCATCTCGTCTCCTCAATGCCCTTCATCATTCGGCAGTGCTCCGATACTCCAAACATCTACCTCTTCCCGTATATAATGGACTCTGTCATGCCGATCATCTTTATTGCCCTCGTGACGCTACTGAGATTGTATGTTTTCCCCAAGAAAAGGCCGATGGACCCGTACTCCTTCCGGTGTTGTCAGCCGAGACGGGAAAGCCATATTGTGCGACACAGGCGAGACAGTTGTGGGAAGAAGTAGTGTACGAAATCTTGACAAGAGGCATCTTCCTGGACCGCTTGACAGGTGGTATAGTGGAAGATCTGGGCATCGTTCCACTGCCCCAAGTTGAGATTAGCCTCTTGAGAGCTTCCATAGTATCCAAAGGAATTATTGCAGGTATCAAATCTCACCATTCACAGACCACGATAAAGGAAATCAGTCTTATTGAGTGGTGTCACCGTGAAGAGCCTGACTTCTTCCCTGCAAATCCCCAGTCCCCGCATCACTCCAAACTTGCTGTTGTGGGGATGTCATGTCGACTCCCTGGGGGTGCGAATGACTTGGAGCTATTTTGGAAGTTGATGGAAGATGGCAGGGACGTTCATACTCGTGTGCCGCCAGATCGATTTGACGTTGATGCTCACTATGATCCAACTGGAAACATACCAAACAGCACTCAGACTCCGTATGGCAATTTTATTGATTGTCCCGGCATGTTCGATGCGAATTTCTTCAATATGTCTCCCAAGGAGGTGCGCAATAACATGTCCCCAATAACAATTCTACCAATTACTGGAAGATCTTATTAACTCAATTCATCACAGGCAGAGCAGACCGATCCCATGCATCGATTAGCTTTGGTGACTGCCTATGAGGCTCTTGAAATGGCAGGTTATGCTCCCAATCGCACACCATCAACGAATCTTAGCCGAATTGGAACATATTACGGACAAGCCAGCGATGATTGGAGAGAGCTCAACGCGGGACAGAATATCGGGACATATGCCGTTCCAGGTGGTGAGCGAGCATTTGCCAATGGCCGAATCCATTACTTCTTCAAGTTTGGTGGTCCTACGTTCAACATCGATACAGCGTGCTCAAGTGGCTTGGCTGCCGTGAATGCAGCATGTAGTGCTCTATGGGCGGGTGAAGTTGACACAGCCATAGCCGGTGGCCTAAGCGTCATTACCAATCCTGATAACTATGCCATGCTATGTCGAGGCCACTTTTTATCGCACACTGGACAGTGTAAAGTTTGGGACAAGGATGCAGATGGATATTGCAGAGCCGATGGAATTGGCTCAGTAGTCATCAAGCGCCTGGAAGATGCCGTGGCCGATAACGACAACATTATTGCAGTGATAGATTCAGCTGCTACAAACCAGTCGGCGGAGGCAATTTCTATCACACATCCCCATGCAGGCGCTCAGAAGGAAAACTACCAGCAGGTAATGAATGCAGCTGGCATTAATCCCACAGCGGTCAGTTACGTTGAGTTACATGGCACTGGAACACAAGCTGGTGATGCGGTTGAATCCGAGTCTGTGCTGGACGTATTTGCCAACCCCAAGATCCGTCGGCAAGTCCCGCTCCTAATAGGCGCTGTCAAGTCGAATTTGGGACATGGCGAGGCGGCGGCAGGTGTTACCTCCTTGCTCAAAGTTTTACTCATGTATGAAAAAGGCATAATTCCACCACATGTTGGGATCAAATCAGAAATGAATCCCGTAGTGGCACAAAGGTTGGAAAGATGCCAGGCCTCCTTGGCGCTTGAAAATATACCATGGCCACGAAAAATTGACAAAAAGAGATTCGCACTGGTCAATAGCTTTGGAGCACATGGTGGCAATACAACTTTATTGCTGGAGGATGCACCTCAACGGGTTTCTAAAGGGACAGATCCTCGTCTTACTCATGTGATTACTCTTTCCGCCAAGAGTAAGACATCACTCAAGGCCAATATAGAGAACTTACGAGACTATATCTTGAGATACCCACGGACAAAACTAGGGGATCTGGCCTATACCACATGTGTGCGGCGGATTCATCACCACACTCGCGTTACAATGACAGTATCTACGCTCAACGAATTGGAAGCCTCTATGGAAGACATTATATCATCGCAAATGATAAATACTATTCGGCCCGTGTCGATATCTTCATCTGCTGTCCCATTCACGTTTACAGGCCAGGGAGCCTCTTACCCTGGGATGGGTAGCCAGCTCTATGAGAACTTACCCTTATACCGCAATGAGGTTTCAGAACTTGATCGTCTTGTACAGAGTTTCAATTTCTCATCCGTTTTGCCTTATATCCTTGACACTAATGATAAAAATGACATTTTTTCTCCAATGACTACTCAGCTGGCTATTCTCGTCACAGAGATCGCCTTAACCAGACTTTGGGCATACCTTGGGATATCGCCCAGTGTCGTAATTGGGCACAGCCTTGGAGAATATGCAGCTTTTGTTGCAGCCGATATTTTGTCTGCTGCAGATGCAATATTTCTGGTCGGAAAAAGAGCTGAACTACTTCTCGATAAATGCCAGAGAGGGAGTCATGGCATGTTAGCCATTCGAGCGGGTGCGATTGAGATTACAAAGTTGGCACCAACTGACTTGAATTTTGAGATCAGTTGTATGAACACTCCTAAAAGCACTGTTCTCGGTGGGCCGACTGAAGATATTCGGAAACTTCGAGATGTCCTCGATGCAGCAGGATATAGTAAATGCACTCTTCTAGACGTGTCTTTTGCTTTTCACACAGAACAAATGGATTCGATCCTTGATGTATTTGAGAACCTAGCGCAGCAAGTGAGCTTTCGTGCTCCAAGTGTTCCAGTTCTCTCCCCACTACTTGGAGATTGCATTTTTGATGGAAAAACAATAAACAGCAGTTACCTTCGCCGTGCTTCACGAGAGCCAGTTCGTTTCTTCGATGCTATAGAAGCTGGCCGAGATCTGAGTGTTATTGATGAAAGCTCTCTATTTATTGAGATTGGTCCCCATACAGTGAACGGCTCGTTCATTCGATCTGTGCTCCCCAAGACTAAGACACTTGCTTCCCTGATCAAAAACGAGAATGACCTTTCAGCGTTAGCAGGCTCCTTGGCAGTTCTACATAACGATGGGCTTTCTGTTAACTGGAATGCTTATTTTAAACCATATGAACAATCGCATCGCCTTCTACGCCTTCCAACCTATAGCTGGAACATGAAGAACTATTGGATTCAGTATGTTGGCACTTGGACTTTGGAAAAAGCCTATCCACAAAAGACTCGTACACAAAGTACCGCTCCGACAGATTCATCATTCAAGTCTTCTTCTATTCATTGCATCCTTTCTGAAGAGATCGATGATAAAGTCGCAAGAATGACGGCGATTTCTGATATTATGCATCCTGAGCTTCGTGCAGCAGTCGACGGTCATACAATGAATGGATTCGGTGTTGCCTCATCCGTATGTCATATATGCATCTCTTGCTGATGCTAAAAATTGAGCCTAACTTGTTATCTAGTCCATATGGGGAGATATGGCCTTCACAGCAGGTGAATATCTTTATAAACGCGCCCGCTCCAAACTCAATAGTATCGAAATGGATATCACGGAGTTAGCCGTCTACCACGCACAGATCGCACATACCGATAAAAGTCGCTCCCAAGCCTTGCAGATCGAAGCTTCCCTGGATCTTACAACAGACAGAATGTCAATTTACTGGTACAATATACTCAGCGACAAACTTGAAAATCGCGCAACTGAGCCTTATGCCACCGCCACTGTGATACTATTTACTGACGCGGCTCCTTGGCGCAAAGAATGGAGCAAAGTAACTCACCTTGTTAACAGCAGAATAGAGTCCCTTGACAGCATGGTCCACCAAGGTGTTGCAAGTCGTTTATCCCATAACATGACCTACGACCTATTCAAGAATGTAGTTGACTACAGCGAGCACTACCGCGGCATGCAGTCCGTAGTATTGAACGGTCTCGAGGCATACGCAGACATTACCCTGAACCCAGATCGACACGGTATCTGGCATACACCTCCACATTGGATTGACAGTATCTTCCACCTCGGAGGATTTGTACTAAACGGAAGCGACGCGTCCAACACTCAAGATTATTTCTACGTCACACCAGGATGGGGAAGCTGCCGTATTTCCCAAGCTCTTGAAGCCGGGGGAAAATACCGCAGCTACGTACGCATGGCACCGAGTGAAGAGAAGAACATGTATTCTGGCGACGTATACGTTCTCCAAGGAGGGACGATCATTGGTATGATGAGCGATATGAGATTTCGTCGTGTGCCGCGCGTCTTGATGAATCAATTCTTTTCTCCTCCAGATGACGCCTCGGAGAAGCCAATTATACCCACTCCCGTTCCCGCTAAACCTGTCCAGCATAAGGCAGCAGCTCAACCTGTTGTCTCGGCACCTGCTTGTGGTCCTGCCCCCACTAAGGACCCAGTATCTAATCCCTCGGCAGGTGAAAACGTCTCCACACCGGAAAATAACGAGGTGGCCTTGTCGGTCAGCCCTATTGTTGGAGATTGTCTGAAGATCATTGCTCGGGAGACAGGGTTGGATATCTCCGAGCTGACGGATGGTGCATCCTTTGTCGAACTTGGCGTCGACTCGCTGATGTCACTAGTGTTGTCGGAGAAATTCCGTCAAGAGTTGAATTTGGAGGTCAAGAGCTCGATATTCATTGAATGTCCTAATATTGGAGAGCTCAAGGCGTGGTTGGATCAGTGATTGATACTCAAGTTGGATATTTTGATATTTTCTGGATCATTATTTGTTCTTTCAAGTTCCAAAATTGTTTTCGCAGTCGAATCTAAACTGACAGGTCTATTCTTAGTATTCTAATACTCGCTATGCAAATTCAAGTTCTTTGTTTTTTTTATTGAAACTAATCAGAAACAAGTTGACTAATCGATACTGAATATGTGAAGCAACCTGTGTATCAGACTTATAATAGCAACTTGAACCTCAGACTACTGACTATGAAATTATACTAGCGGGATTGTACCTGTTAATAATTGAAACAACCTGAAAGACTGGATATATCAATTGTTAGAACAATGACTACAGTGAAATGTCTTCAAAGAAATTTCTATTCATAGTCGATCAATCAAACAAAGACATGGCATCGAGGTCAATGTTGAAAGAAGCCGCGGGGTTCTTTATCATGGTGAGTGTTTCAATTGACATATAAGACAGCACATCCTACAACTCTTCTGCATCCTCGCCTTTGACTGCTACGACCTGCTGAGACAATATTGAAGGCAGTTTCATACCTACACGATCGTTGACGGAATCTTGCGTCCGAGATGGCGTCCCCAGAGCAGCATTATTTTCGTGACGACCACACAGACACGGATGATCCGGGCATGGACAGCAAGGAAGCCAGACTTCTACGACAGGCGGAGAAAGAAATCGCAGCGAAGACAGAAGCCCTCAAAAAGACATATGACCAACTAGCTGAATTTGAGCAGAGGATCGAAGATTGGCAGCAGAAAGCGCGGCAGCTTGAAGTTGAAGCGCGCTCCCTCCGACAAAAATTGAGGAAAGAGGAACAAAGAGCGGAGGGCGGCGAGTTGGCGTATCAAGAGGCCGAAAAGAAAATCTCCGAATTAGAGAACGCGTCAAAGATACAGCGCAGACGAGCACAAGATGCGATGAAGGAACTAAAGGCGAGATTTGAGGACGAAGAGAGCAAATCGGCACGATTGGAGGAATTCATCGGCGGTGTTGTCACGCAGGTCAACAGCTATAAGAATCAGATGGTGCAGGATAACAAGGATCGGGCCCTATTTGAGAAAAGTATCCTCAAAATTACTGGGGTGTATAAAGAGAGAAGCAAGAAAATATCGGACGACATGCAGAAGATGAAAACAATATTAGCTTCATCACAAAGAACTCTAACAAGCAAGGCCCAGCGATTGTACTTTCCAGGATTAGGTCACGGTATGGGTTATCAGGGCCCTGGTGTGGTTACAGGAGGCAGCGGGTTAATGAGGGGGAGTGAATGGAGGAATTGGCCGAACATTCAAGGAATTCCAGTGAATGATAATCTAGAGCAGCACTTGAACCGGCTGGAGTTACCCAAGTATCTCAGACCTCATATTGACCCAGACAGCACACTTCCCTCTCCTTCCAACGACTCAGTTGCAGAATATTCCGATCGCTGGAGCCATTCGTCTACAATGTCTATTCATCACGGCCAATTTATGAACACTTTGGACACAGAGCTTGGTCTAGACAGCATGGAAACCTCGCGAACTAGTTCAAGACTTGATAGTGTGTCCGACCATACCTACCTCGCACCTGATTCATCGAGAGTGCCCCAGAAGCCTTTACAACTATCCGACAGCGAATCGGATGTGCTCACCGTGGATAGTGAGGATGAGACAAATCCGTGGACGTGGTATGTCCACAGCCCGCCAATGCGACCGTCACCAAGAAAGCGGATGCGGTTTTCATCCCCAGAGAATTCCCAGGATCAGGCCGATGGCATGAGAAGTACAGAGCCTGGCGCCGACTCTGGTCTTCCGCTCGATGACGAGGACCTGACAGAGGACCGTCCTGCAACGCCGCCGAAGAAGGCGAAAATCACACATCCCAAGTCGATTCTTGTGCCGCGACGACCGATCATTCGAAAGCTCCCTTCCCGCGCCGAGCAAGAGTTCCGCATCCAGAGAGCTAAGGCAGCAGAGGTTTGGTTGAAAGCCCGCAAGGATCCACCTCCAACAAGCCCACCAATTTCGCCAGAAGCAACCTCGTCGGCATCACCGACGCCGGCAAAGCAGGAAGAAGAAGACCCGTGGATTATCCACAAGCATCTGGAAGACTTGCCGTTCCGTTCTGTTGATATACAGACTGATATTGAGTGGACTGCTGATGCACAAACTGGGACTGAGTGGCCCGAGAGAAGTTTTACGAGGGCAGTTCCTCAGGCTGTCTTTGCATACCATGAGCCTCCGATCAGCGTGCGACCTATCAGACCCGTCTTGAATACCCGCCGGGCCAGCAAGAAAAAGCAGGATGCCAGCAAGAAAAAGCAGGATGCCAACAAGAAAAAGAAGGATGCCAACAAGGAATCGCAGGATAAGCCCGAGTGGCCGACGGCGCTAATGCCGGGAAGATGGCCGATAGAAGATACGTCCGAGGAAGACGCAGGCTCCGTTACCAATCCCGAGGCGCACGTGTGGGTGTGGGAGCACGTTGGGGAATCAATTGAAGAATTCAAACGATGGATCAGACATCTCATGGACGAGCGACCGAACGAACTGGCTTGGGGAATACTTTTCATGGGATCATTACTTTGGGTGGTTGTTAGTCACCGAACACATCGACAATGGATGGACGCAAATGAAGTTCCGCTTGATATTCTGGCCAAACTTCGGAATTCGCGCATGTCAGAAATTCGTTGGACGGAATCATTTGACTTTGGAGTGATGAGGCTGTTCCATCACGATCGCACGATACTAGGTTAAGAATTTCCTGACTTTCAAGGTTTCCCAGGTTGAGAGGTTCGGGGATGAATTCCGTATGTAGTTAGTGTGGCGAGTCTATTATCATTATGGGCGGTGAAGAATATCGTTATTTTTTTTTGTTTTGCCAATACGTAAATTACAGCAAGATACGTCAACTGGTCTAAATATGTCACCTTGAACGCGCATTTATCACCAGTAGTTGCGCATTTTACTATGCAAAAATCTACCAGTTAAATCTCAAGTTCTATTAATATCTATGCGAAAATCCATCTTGATCCAGTAATTTATCGTAATGCCTTGTTCCAAGGTTACAATACAAAGCGCTTTTACACTTCAAACATTTGCTCAAGTGTAATGAGTTGATCATTCCCACCAATAAACTCCCGCGCCACGCCATCCAGCTGGCGTCACCCAACTCCACTCACTCGCCCCATGGCGGACTAGGACGGGTCAGCTCCACTACTCTTTCCCCCCTCTAAAGATCTCCTCCTTCCCATCGGACGTCCCTTCAACACCTCTCCCTATTGTCTTCGACGTCCGCTCTTTTTGAACCATGTTTGTTCGTTCCGTCCTTTTGGGTGGTACGGCCGCCCTGGGCGCCAGTGCGATGCTGGTCGTCCCCGAGGCGGATACTCCAGTCGACAAAGTCGAAACTATTGAAGATGGTATCGTGAACATCCTCGGTCCCATCTCCCTCGAACCCGTCTCCCCGAGTTCTCCTACCTGGTGATGATGGAGTGCAATGAGTGCCCTATCCGCGAGGTCAATGAAGAGGGTGTTGTCAGCTGGACTGACGGCAAGCCATCAACTCTGGTATGGTCCAAAATATTTCGGCGCTAAATGAAATAAAAAGTGAGCGCTAACTAATGATTGATATTTAGTTCGTCGATTTCCACGTCGAGGACAACCGCTTGATGGCCAACGATCACCAAATCTTCCCACCCGTCCCCGCGATTCCCATCACTGTCACCCAATATGTCGATGGAAGTAACGAGGAGTCTGGCCCCATGACTGCCGGCTACGCTTTGGAGATTGCGGCCAACCGCCACGCGCACTCTCACGACATATCCGATGCCGACGTTCTGGATCTTCGCTTCACCATTCTCGACCTCGAGAACCACCCCGTTCCCGTCGACACCATCGACCTCACTCTGGTCCTCGCCTCTAACGGAGACCTGCACCTTGCAGATGGCGAGATCAAGGAAACCGCTCCTCCCGCCGAGGAGATGTCCTGGAAGAACTGCCACGGCAGCGCCAAGTGCCTGCAGCGTCTGGTCTTCGACCGTGTTCACGGTCTTCTTTCCGCTGCCAAGGACCGTGTCTTTGGCATGGGCGGCAAGAAGGGCTGCAAGGGCATGAAGGGCATGGGCGGTACCCACAAGAGCCATGATAAGGCTGGCAAGAAGGGTGGCAAGGGCGATCACCACAAGCACCATGACGACGATGATGAGAAGATTGACGATCTCTTCGACGATCGCGTTGAGCAGATGGAACACGATGCTAAGCACCCCCCACGGACCCCACGGCCACCACGGTGACGAGGGCTTCGTTAGCTTCGAGGATTTGAAGGAAGAGCACGAGAAGCACCACGGAGACCATGGATTCGGCCCCGAGGGCATGCCTCCTTTCCCCCCACCTCCTTTCGGCGAGTTCGAGGAAGGCTTCAAGCACCACGGCCACCACCCTCATGGTGATTTCAACCCTGAGGATGCTGATGGTATCATGCCTCCTCCTCCTCCTCCCCACCACCACATGCACGGCCCCCCCTCACGGTGCCTTCTCTCACACCTTCTCCCGCGTTGTGCGCTTCATTGTTGTGCCCGCTATCCTCGGTGTTCTCGCTGGTCTGACCGCCAGCGCTATTGGTATGCTTGTCGGCCAGGCTGTCATCTTCTTGTGGCAGCGCTACCGCGGCACCAAGAAGCAGGAACACAAGGCTGCTTGGGAGGAGGGTGCCGCCTGTGAAAAGCAGGGCCTGATGACCGAGACTATCGAGTACCTCCCCGAGTACACTGAGGAGGTCACTGAGACCTGTGAGTCTATGGCCAAGAACTAGATGTTGTTTTCATTACAAATACAGCCTAGTTCTGAAATTACCAGGCCAAACTGTATGAAATGATTCTTTTACTGGAGTCAGGATCAAGAATGCGTTGATTGCCCGTCTCGAAGGACCAGACTGTTTATGATTTTTTACAATGGTTGGAGAGTGCTTCTCTTTCTTCGTACATGATCGCACGTTGTTTATTCAACTCCCATTTCATTTCCTTATTTATTTCATCTATTGATGACCAGCTTGTACAGCGAGATTTCCTACAATATACTATTTTCTCCAGAATAACATTCGAATCATGTCACCCCTGCGTAGAGTTGTACCTGCTTTCCCGGCACTTTCAGTACCGATTATAGGGTCTCATAGAAAGTAATGCCATACATATGTACATCATATCTCAATTTCTCCATTCTGTTCATAATTTCATGCATATTGTCTGCGGCTATATAAGGCTGATCTTCACGTGACGGGGTCCCCCAACCCGCGCCCCCCTCTTACCAGTATCAAGCCGGCAACAACCTCTTTATCCCCACGTTTCCCTGAATAGCAGGTCCAGTGCTCGTCTGAAGAATGACTTGAAGCTGTACAATGACCTTGACTTTTCAATCTCATCTTCATATGGGCTGTTCTGCTTACACCTAGCCCGAATCGGCTTCCTTCCTCCAAGTCGCAGCTATAGCTCCGCCCCCAGACATCATCGGAACTGCCGTAGTACTCTCCAGCCCACCAATTCAATCCACTAATCAGTTGCCCAGTATGATGCCCTGGTCATCGTTTGTGCAAAAGGCACAATCACTGATTGATCCGGCCAACTTTAACATTCCTTCTCTCTCCTCAAATGACGACAACCCCTCGAAAGCCTCCCTCTTCCGTCAGCAATTCCGTCTCCCCGATTCTCAGAACCCCTTACAAGAAATCACTGCAGATCTTGTTCTCCCACTTCCAACTTCGTCCTCAGGGTCCGGGGAAGCCTCTCGTCGAGCTGAAAAGGCCGGAAATCGGTACACAGGACGCCTTCACTTGAGCGAACGATTCATCTGTTTCTCGACGCAACCTACCAGCTTTCTGCCTTCATCTACACTCAGTTCTTCTACTACCTGGACAGGCCAGACCCATGGGACTGGGCCCTCTGGAAATGGCTTCACATTGCCACTTTCATGTATCCGCCGGGTCGAACGACTTCACAGCGCCACCCATGTCTTTTCTCTGGCATTGACGACATGGAATGGTCTTTTGCACAAGCAACAAGAGCCCAACCTTGTACCCCAACGTCTTATTCTGCAACTGGTCGGCAGCAGGCAGGCCTGCGAACGTTTTTGCGACTGCTTGAAGAAGGGTCTACGGGAAGCTATGAAGGAGGTCGACAACTTGCGGGCGGTGGTAACGGATTGCTATTCGGAATACCTGCTATCAGGCGCAAAGCCAAGCTCAAAGGAGGAAACCGATCCTAATGCTCGACAACCTCCTGATGCCGGACTGGGTATGCTTTTCCGTTATCCTGGTGATGCACGCAAGCTTCGAGACCGCAGCAAGATGAGACTCTGGGGCGAATATTTCAGAGGTATGGCCAACATCGACAACACGCCACCTGGCAACATATTGATTAACCATCGTACTAGAGAATGGACGCAACACCACACTTGTTCGCCAACCAACCTTCCACAAGTTGATTCGCGTCGGTCTGCCTAATCGGTTACGCGGAGAAATCTGGGAGCTCTCCTCGGGTTCTTTATTCCTCCGTGTTCGTTCTCCAAAGCTTTACGAGGAGACATTGGTCAAGTTCGAAGGACAGGAATCTCTTGCGATTGATGAAATCGAAAAGGATCTGAACCGAAGTTTGCCCGAGTATCCTGGATTCCAGAGTGACGAAGGTATTAGCCGTCTACGACGAGTCCTTACAGCGTATAGTTGGACCAACGCCGAGATCGGTTATTGTCAAGCAATGAACATTGTAGTGGCAGCTCTGTTAATGTTCGTCTCCATATTCCCTTTCTTCTTTGGCGATCGCGACTCACAAATACTAGATACATGTCTGAAGCACAGGCGTTCTTCCTACTTTCGGTACTTTGCGATCGCCTCTTACCTGGCTATTACTCCACCACCATGTACGGCACTTTACTCGACCAGAAAGTGTTCGAGTCTTTAGTAGAGAAGACCATGCCTGTTCTCTGGGACCATCTCGCCAAACACGATGTACAGCTTTCCGTGGTTTCCCTCCCATGGTTTCTTTCACTCTATATCAACTCGATGCCACTCGTCTTCGCATTCCGAGTACTAGATGTGTTCTTTCTAGAGGGTCCTAAAGTTCTTTTTCAAATTGGTCTTGCAATTCTGCGAATTAACGGCGAGGAACTTCTTGATATTCAAGACGACGGCTCTTTTATCTCTGTGCTCAAGTCCTACTTTTCGAAGTTGGATGAATCCGCCCATCCCAGATCGGAAAACCCGAAACTGCGGGCCATTACCAGATTCCAAGAATTGATGGTCGTGGCATTCAAGGAGTTCTCTGGTATCACACATAGCACCATCACGGAGCAGCGGGATAAACATAAGGGTGCTGTCCTGGAAAATATCGAGAATTTTGCGAAGCGCACCTCGATTCGCAATCTCGGCCCTGAAAGCAAGCGTCTAAGTGTGGATGATCTCGGTACTATCTACGATCGGTTTTACGAGATTCTCTATCAATGGCAGCAGCAACAGAAGCTGCTTGAAGATGAGCGCAGACGGCAGGAAAAGAAGAAATCCGAAAGATTCTCCATTCTTGGACCCCCTGTGGACCAGGAGATGGGTCGTGTTGGCCTCGGGCCCAGCCCGACTCATATGGACTACGATGCATTCCGTGATTTCTTAGCTGCTACTGCCAAGTGGGCTGCATCAGATACCCCTGCATCTTCGAGAAAGGACTCTCAAGGATACAGTAGTCTCAAGGGGAACAAGTCGTTGCTTTGGGCCAACCGACACCAGCCCGCCGATCATGAATTCATGCAACGCCTTTATCGCAAGTGGTCTACTGACCCTGAGGAGGGGCTGAATCTTCAGATGGTTGTGAACGGTCTGGCTCGTCTCAAGGGATCGCCGGATATCATGAACAATATCAACTACTTCTTCAACTTATATGATGATAGTGGTAACGGCCAAGTCGATCGAGAGGGAATTCTCAAGATCTCCGAAGCCCTCTTGTTCCTTTCTCGTCGTGGTTTCGAAGGTACAATAACTGCTACTCCGTCGACGGAAGATCTGCACGGCCGCGATGACAGGAACAGCCTTACCACGGATGAAAAGTTCCTTGGAAGTGTGAGCGCGTTTATTCGTCGCTGTTTTGAATATGCGGATCCTAGCCATCCTGAGAATCAGAAAGCTGCTGCCCAGGACGATGCTACCGCTGAGGCTACCGAGAAGCTTGATTCTTTCACCATCGGTGACGAAGAGGAAGATCTCATTGATGTCGACGGTGATTCTACTTCCAAGGAGGCTGAAAGTACCACCGCGAAATCCGAGAGTAGTGAGAAGACTCGACCTCGATCTGAATCTGCCAACCCAGCTTTGGACCCTAATAACCCTCTTCATATCACCCTTCCAACCTTCCGCATGGTCGTCCTTGCCGATGAACTTCTCGAGCAATTCTTTGAGTCTTACTTCCCCCAGTCCTTCCACCTTTCCGACCACCCTCACCCAGCTGCCTTGGCCGCATCATCATCTCTTTCATCCAACCTCACAACATTCTCCAACATTGGAAATGCCCGTCCTTCCCAGCTCTCTGCTGCATCCGGTGCCTCCGTGGCAGGTGCATCAGGTGGAATCGTACCTCCAGGCAAAGGTCTCCGCGGTGTCCTCGACAATATCGTCACCGACGGTATTCGCATGGCTGCTGAAGTTAAGAAGCGAATGGATGACGCCCAGCGTGATCTCGAGCGTAGTGCTCTCGGTCGAGATGAAGAAGATGACGAGGAAGACGACGACGAATACCCGCACCGCGGAAGCGTATCTACTACCGCAATGGCAGGTGGGATTTCCAGCTGGGGTGCTGGTGCTTATGGGGCTGATCCTGAGCGCCGTAGCGTCCGCGAAGCAGACCGTGACCTTCTTGAAGGAGCTGAAGTCGAAGCCTCTTCCCTGTTGGATGGAAAGGCCGACTCCGAACCTGGAAGCAGCAAGCAGAGTCCTACTGGTAGGACGACCGGGGCAGCTGATCATGATCCCGAGGTCGTTAGCAAGGTTGTCGAGTTCGAGTCATGATACCCTAGTGCTATCTTTTGTTCTATCTGGGATGAAGTGTCTCTTGTTCTATTCCCTTTGCCTTGTTTGATTGGTTCAAGCTATGCCGCGTGCCGGTTATACACCTTTGTTAGATGCTGCACCTTGTCATGTAAATACCTGTCTTCAATTAAATTACATCATCTTGTAACTTGAACATTGAGATCATCCCATGTAGATCTAACCCCAATGCGATGTGCTGCTTTATGTAGGGCCACCCGGGGGCTTACGCGCCACCCCCACAGCCCTGGAGCCAAGAGCCGCAAATTATTCCATTTGGGGGCTAATTCTCACTAATTTTAGTTTTCCTCTTAAATCTCAAACTTTTCATAAAACTCGAGTTTCCCAATTCTTTCATCTGATATTCGATATTCTGTCTAATCTATGTCTGATACCCATCTTTATTGTCTTTCTCGTCGTCGGATATAAACCCCAGAGGCTCAAGATCTGCCCGCAATGACCGATAAAATCCTCTCCTACGTCATGGAAGTCATCTATCTTCATTTCCCAAGAGAATTCGGAGAAAAGTACCACAAACAAACCCTTTTCATACGAGCACTTGCTCTAGTCGCAAATATAATAGCTTGTATTCAGCTCTATGATTGGCATCATTATATTGTTTACGAGGTATGTACCGTGCATGATATGTTTCCCCTTTCCGCTATACTACTAGCAATTGAACCCGAGGCTCAAACATTTTTTTGAACTTGAACTTGAACTCGGAGATGCATGAATGAAGATGAGTACTAACACATGCTAGTTTTATTTCCCATTACCATGGTCTGCACTTGCTATCCTTTTGGTCTTTTTGGGTCGCATGTTGTACCCTGTGATCAATATTATATTCGATGTCTTTTGTGCAGTGACTCTCTTTAGGGGTCCAGGGTGGGCACTTAATCCTAGGATTTATGGGAGATGGAGTGGGAGTTGGGTTACACTCTCTATGAGTATATTATTTTCGTTTACTGCGTGAGTATTAACATACCTCGATATGGATATCGTGTGCTAGGAGCTGACTTGAATTAGGTATTTGCATTGTGTGTTGACTGTTCGGGAGATTTTTCGGATGATTCGATTTACTCGAAAAAGGAATGTTAGTATTGAGGATGGTGTTTCTCTTGAGTGATCTATTTCTTGAAATCATAGCGCAATATTGAACAAGTTGAACTTTGAACATTTGAATATAGACCTCTTTTTCTACTTGGGTTACAGTGGTTTTTCGAGTTTCTTCACCGTCTGGCAGAATACCCAGATTTACCAAGAGACTAGTATATTTTGCTTTTGTTTATTACATCTAAACATGAATATATCAAACCCCCCTCCAAGGTTTATTTAGCTATCTCTTAATTCTACTTTAGATATCTGTGGGGTTACCAGTTGCCTATATCTAACTATATAGTAGCTAGCTTTCCCCTCTAGGTATTCATATAGGTAACCCAGTAGGTAACCATGTAGGTACTTATATAAAAAGAGGTGTCAGTCATTACTAGTATGTAGGACATCCCGAGGTCCCTGTCTGAGAGGATGTGGACACATCTAGCCAAGCACTCGCGTGCTGAGGACATACCTCTCCAAATCCATTTCAAATGCTCGCTGATTCGCTGGCAGTGCCGCGCGAAGCGCGGCGTGAAGATCTGTACGAATGACCTTGGGAACGGCGTACTCTAATTTATACCGTAACTGTAGTATTTGCCAATCGTCGGAATAGGAAGGCAGCCCTGGAGAGACATCATTTGAATGACATGTAGATTCTTCAACATTGAACTTGCATATCGTTAGATTCGTGAGATGGCACTGACATTTCTATGTACATTCATGTCATGAAAAGGAAACAGCGCTCCGTCGACACATGAGGAACAATGAAGTTGGATAAAAAGGGTAATGAATAAAAAGAAGAGAAAAGGGTGAAGGACAAGAAGGAAAACAGGGTATAAATTAACAACTCAAACACAAACACTCCAAGCAGTGTCAATGAAAGAAATAGCGCAAGACGCCAAATGCCAAATACTTGGGTCATGCAAAATAGAAGAGGGAAGATAAGAGAAGAGATCAATAAGAAACAATCAATCCTTTTGTCCTTCGTTCTCAACCAGTTCCAACACAATCTGGCTACGTTCATAATCAGGGTGCTGCATGCAGATCTTGACCGTATGACTGTTCGACGTAATACCATTCGCACCATTGAATCCTGCCTGTGCACTGATACCACTGGCATTTGCCTGACCAAAGGAGCCAGGTAATTTGCTGCCATCATCAAGACAGACAACATTATGGCCTGGGATGACCTGTCTCAAACGTCCATTCATTGCATTGCGAACCTCGACAAAGTCGACGTTGAAGAGGATTAGGAATTTCCCATGTAGACAGGCGGTGTGAGCACTGCCCACGAATTCCATGACCACACTGCGTGAGACGTCACCATGCTTGTTGACATATACTGCACATTCCTGGTACGCAACGAGGAACTCGCTTTCACTCAATCGGAACATACCGAGAGGTCGGAGGTCTTTAATGCGGTGGGCAATGCTATGAAGAGTATCATGTGCGTCGGGGGTTGTTTCAGAGCGGAAATCAGGCACGGACCAGGACTGCTTCTTGTCAAGGGTGAGCACCTCAATTCCACGCTGAGTTGAGATGGCGAGGGAGGAGTGGAACATGTTGATGCCATAACTTTCAGCAGGGATATAGAACTCATCGTATTCACGGAAGAACTCAGTCTGCGAACGGCGGGATTGGAAGAGGGCGCGTTTGCTTGATGCTGATTTCTGAAGAATGGGCTCGAGAACCTTGAATGTGGATGAGAGTCCGTCACGCTTTTTGTAAAGAACCAAGTATCGGTCCTTCATGCGGCCTGCAGCGAAGAAGCCCACTTCACGGTTGCCAGAAAGTTTCTGCGGAGCTCGGCGGGCAGAATCTTGTGATTGAGAGGAAACGCCACTTGGAGGGCAAACCACGTCAAGATGGTAAGCGATTAGCGAGCGGTCGGAGATGAGAAGAAACAGGTTAAATTCCTCAAAAACGGCGAGTTGAGTAACTCGCATAATGGGAATTGCCTGTAACAGTCATAATTAGTAAAGAAAAACAACTAGAAACCATGAACAGGTCAACTTACCCGATACCAACCACGAGGGTTGTTGACATCAGACATATACACTCCATAGTCGGTTCCAATCGCACACATCATTCGCCCAGGAGGTTGCTGGAAAACCGTAGCACAGTTGACTGACGTTCTGCAGATCGGAGGAGGACGTGTCCCAGAATCCTTATACTGCTTCTCAACTCCCTTGATTGCCCGATGAAGAGGGGTGCCCTTGATAGTAACGGTCTTCGATCCAGAGCCTTGATCTCCATAAGCGAAGGCAGTGTCTGCAAGGACACGAAGTCGGAATGGCTCAGCATTCTGTGAGAACAAAGCCGCAGCATGTTTGGTCTTCGCCTCAATGATCCTCTCACACCAATCACGACGATTTTGCGCGGAGAAAGCATACAACGTGTAGGTGCCCATTTTTCCGAGATGTTTGATCTTGAATGGGAAGAGAATGTTATCATCTTTGGAATCAAGAGTTCCGGCGGCGCCATTCGCACCAGCCCCGGCTCCACCATGAGCGGGACCATTGATGGCTTGACCCGGCGCAACATTTGTAACACCCCGCATCGCAGATCTCATCACAGGATCATCATCAGTACTCTCCAATGCCAGCAGGTCCATCGGTATAGGCAACTTTGATACATCGTATCTTTCATATTTAATTGTCCGCGATGGGTCTCGAGTCGTGAATGACTTTGCGAGAACAAGATAGTGATCAAAGAGGATAGCGTGCGTATCAACAAGGAATCGAGTTCGAGTACCAGGACGCTGGAGATCACCACGGAAGATGACTTCGCGACCCAAATGTTCAAGGTTGAGTTCAACCTCTTTCTTCATTTCTGGTCGCAACTGAAGCTTGGCTGACAACTCCATGAGATCGGCCTTCTTGTTCATCTCACCAACCTTGTTATCGCACTCCAAGGCCACCACCTTGATCTCCTCAATGGCTTGAGCGACATTGGTCTTCTCCTCTGAATCCTTGACCATATTCTTGTGTACAGTAGCGAGTAGCAAAGTGTATCGCTGGATTCGGGTGATAGGAGCCTTGAGGAAGGTATCCCAACTCAGTCGATTGGACAGTTTGTGCTCGCGAACCTGATTCAAGAACTGCCTGAAGTGTGGATTGCGCTCGGCTTCCTTACGCACATGGTAATTTGCAGTCGGAAATGTCGCAGCGTAATCAATGTAGACGTTCTTGGCTTTGCGGATCCATTCACGGAAGATATCACTGAATCCAACGATAAACGGACCCTGTTCTTTTTGGCGGTACTTCAGCTGCGCAAGCAAGAAATCCTCGTTGACCTTCTTCACCGCATCGACCTTACCGAACACATCGGACAAGAACTTGGGCAGGCGCTTGGGAGCAATGATAGCGGGATTCATCTTCGCCAATTGGTCGCGGTAGAGCTCTCGAAGGACATCAAGCTGGGAAATGTATGCATCTTCAGTCGTTACGATCTCATGCAAGTTATTTTGACGATCGATTTCCTTCCTGGGGTATCCCTCCCATGTCTCTTTGGGAACCTTATAGAAAGTCACCCAGTCCTCGACCTTCTTCTGCGGTGCCATCATCTGGGCCTTTAGGTTGACCTTTTTCAATGTTCTCATACAGTGATGAGAATAGCATCGCCCGAAAGAGTCAGTATCTTGGATGTGCATCTCATTTAAGTGGAGTTTAGCCGAATAGCATCCTGTTCCAGTGATCTGAAATAGTACACCGGAAAGGCAGCCACTGCTGAACTTGACCCATTCCTCCTCTTTAACAAGTGCTTCTTCCTGAAGCATATTGCTAACCACACGAGCAGCCAGCGTTTCGGCATCCGCAATATTCATTGTCGGAACCTTGTGAGTGAACAGAGCCACAATTGCATCAACAATAGCCTGTTCACGAAGATCGGTTTCATCTTCGCTAAGATCTCGAATCCAGGTCAGAATCGAACTAAGAGCCCATGGTTCAGTACACTTCTTAAACTGTTCAGAAGACAGCTTGGCAGGGTTGAACTTCTTGCGACGCCCAGTGGGGATATCGGGCAAATCAAGTGCCATGGTAGCAGCTGCTTCCGCAGGATCAACATTTGGCAGGTTTTTATTGTGCAGATGCCACAGGAAGTCCTGCTGCTGCTTGAATTTATCGCGGTCTGCATCGGTCTTCGACCTGATAGGCGCATCAGTACGAGGTCCAATCGGCGTCGACAAGGATGACGACCGCGGAACTTGAGATGGACTGAGCAACGGCTCCACATACGAGTCCGCAGACGCCGGTAAGGAGGGGTTTCTATACAGAGAAGGAGCTTCATCCTGTTCTGGTGGTCGATACGTGCCTGCAGGCATTAGATGGGTCGAGAGATCGTTACTCCATGCGGGCTCCACAGGGGCTGGAGGAAGTGGGCGCATTCCGGGGTGGAAGAACAGATCCTCAGGCGCTGCCCGGTGAGGACTATCCTCGCCAGAATGACCTTGATCTTCGTGCTGCTCATATGTCTCTGTTTCCTCGCCATAATCCCAGCTCATCCGACGGCCATACTCTCCAGGGGTAGCAAGACCACCTGTCCCGCCGGCATCAACTCGTGCATCAGCCGGAAGATGATGCATTCGTGTAGCGTATTGATACGCGATTGGTGGATGCTCGTAATCATCATACTCTGCTGGTTCTTCCGTGGACATGTTGGAGCTTCGAAAGGAACTGGAGCGACCAGTAAACTGACCAGTCGTCGGATCCAAATGATCCTCGGAACCATATGTGTCGCCATAAGCGATACTGCCCTGATAGCCTCCCTCGTACGCTGCCAAATCGTAACCATTGAATGCGCTCTCTTCTCGCAAGTCAGAATGAGGAGAATGATTGGGCGAACGACCTGGAGAGGGTCCTCTGGTCGATGCGTAAGAACCTCGAGAACGAGAGCTCATGACAGATGCATTTGTTTCACGCCGATTACGACCCTCGAGGCGTTCTCGTTGGCGTTCTGCTAACGCCCTCTCTTCTTCCTCCGCCATTTGCATCATCGCAAGCCCAGCTTCCGCCTCCGCGTCACTATCATAATTCACATTCGTTTCTGCTGCAACGCTGCCATTGGTGTGAGTGTGCTGCTCATCCGGTGATAGTCGCACGTTGGTAGCCGATCCGCTATATGAATTCCGCGAACTGTGGCGCCCGCTAAAACTGGCCTGAGTATCCATCACTGCCGTTTCAAGCTCTTTTAACACATCCTCACTGGTATGCGTATCGGACTCAGAATCCACTGGCGGACCTGGGAGGGGGCGTGACTGCGGGTGTCGTGTCAAGGTGTCCGTCCGTCTCGGGGAGATTATTGGCAAGTCCTGCTGGACTGGCGGCATGGGAAGGGCACGCCCACCGTGCGATAGACTGGGACGCTTGTTGTAGATTCCATTGGTCTGTGATTGATGTACAGGAGGTTCCGGAGGTCGCTCATCAAAATTACTGCTGATAGGCGGAATAGTGTGAGAAGGGTATGGAGAATCAGTTCCGAAGCCGTGAGACGCAGGGAAGTAGGCTTGAGTCGCTGATTGAGGCTGATAAGTGGTCGCAGGTGAGTTCGAGGTTGCATATGAGGTTGCTATGGGCGAACCAACAGTTTGGTAGATAGGTGATGTGGTTGTTGTAGATTGATAGCTTGATGTGCCAGGAGAAGATCCGTATGGAGAGCGGGCCCCATAAGGATGGTCAGATGCACGCGGCGGAGGAGGTGGTGGCTGCTGAGGAGGGAAGCCATATGATTGAGGGGTCGGAGGAGCATGTCCATATGGTGAAGCTTCACTTGGTCGTCGTAGGATTGTTGGAGAGGCTAAGTTGGTCACATTAGTAGGCTGGTAGGCAGCGGGGTTGTATGGTTGATGCCCGGGGACTGAATTTGTGTAGGTGGTGTTGTTGTTAGAAGTTGTGTATGATGAGGGAATATAGCTCAGGTTGGGCTGTGTCTGGGATTGTGGAAGGGCATATTGTTGTGGATTATAGGCAGGCTGGGTCGCAGACTGGTATTGATACTGATAACCCGACATAGCCGCAGACTGCGACGACGAGCGGGTTGGTGACATCCTTGACGACAGATCAGGCGACGTTTGTGAATATCCCATGTTCGCAGTATCTTCATAACCCCCGTATGCCGGGTTATAGCCTCCTTGTGCACCACCGGCCACATGCCCACTATTCACCGAGTACTGCGCGTTGCTATCGGTCGCTCTTGCAATGTGGGTCCAAGCGGCATTGAACATCTGAGAGTCGTCGCCGGCGTTGAAGCTGGGCATTCGCCGGGGTGCCTGCTGGCTCTGAGTGGGATTGTGCTGAGGCGCGTAATTATCGTAACGACCGGGCGCTGGCTGAGGGGGGGTTGGTTGATTGGCCATAGTAGGTATGTTGACCGTTGGGATGCGCCATGATGGCAACACTGTAAAGGGAAGAAGCGACCAAATGGTCAAGAAAACAAATTCACAATGTTCCTTTCCAGCCCTTCTGCAGGGGCAAGCGATGGTGTTGGCCCCAAACAGGAACTCCTGAGGTGAATCGATGAAGCTAAGCTAGTTGATGATCTCGTCCCAAAGAGGAGAGGGAAGCGGGCAGAGGAAGAACTGCCAAATAACTGAGTATGGGCATTCCCCAAGAATATTTAGGACAGAAAAATAAACGAAGAAGTTAGAATAAAGAATCCAAGATTGGGTAGACCTCCGAGTCTCGGGAGTTAACCTTGGAAGATGGGAATCTCGCGTGGAGCCAAGCGGAGAGACCAGACTGGGGGAGTTTGGATTCCCCCCCACCGCCAAACATATTGTGGCGCAATTTTGCGAACATAGCACAATGAAATACACGATGAAAGAAATTGTATTCTGTTCGGGGGATTGAATGATTAATTTACTTACATGGGTTAATCAAATTTTTGAATTATTTTATTGATCTTAGGACAATTCTATAACTTTACTAATTCAAAAGATAGCCTTAGAGCCTCCAGGGCTAGAGCCTAGAGGTATCCCACACTATACTCCTGGAGACGCGGCATGCGCCGGGAGCTTTAGCTACAACTTGAACATTATAACCTTTAAATGTTACCAGTTGTGCTATTACAATAACCTGGTCATTGGCTATGGTAACCTTGGAATGTGCATTTTGTTCCTTAGATATGAATGCTTTGAGTTTGTGATACGAATGAAGTCTAGGAATTCTGCAGCCTAAGAATTGTGAAGTGATCAAGTCGCTAGCTGTGAGGTATAAGTTGTGTTGTTTACCTAGGTATAGTGTGACTGAAAAACTTACAAAATAATATTTCTACACTGAACTTCATAGTATAATTCTAGCATCATTAGCATACTACATATGTAGCCTTCAATACTTAAAACTTGAAGCTCTACTAATCATTTAACATGAGAATACATATGTTTTAAGGACCACATTATTGTTCTGAAAGCCCTACCTTGAAAATAAGACCAAGAAGTAAATCAGTGCGATATCGCTGTGAGCTACCACTACTAGTATAAGATAAGTATTGTTGCGCCCTTAAGACAAGGATTCCAATCACGATCCATGGATAGTTTATTTTTTTATCTTAGAAATCTAATCTTTCTATAATGAGGTGAAAGTAAGCTAACACGTTGTACTTTTAAGGTTATATTAGAGCCATATCATTATTCCGATGCTCTCAAGTGCTTGGTATGAGCATGATTCTAAAATTCAAACAGCACTGGAGTGTATAATTTATCAGGGTAATCCAATGATTCGTACGTGGGGGCCTTCGCTCGATTTTTCTTAGAATTCTAGACTAGCGGGACCTATGCACGCTAGCTATAGAATCCTAGTACAACTGCAATGCTCTTAACATTTTTGAAGATACCCAGGGGCGTATTTTAATGGTATAAAAGCTGTCTTCTAGAGTATTCTATATTCATGAAATGATAGTCAAATATCACTACTCAACTACATATACGGAGTACTCCGTATTATCGTACAATATCCATGAAAAGATAAAAATAGGCAAGGCTGATCCTTCTCTGATATACGATGATTGACAGCCTCAATTACTACATCAAGGTATTCTTTGACCCCTGTTTCATGTTTTCAGCCGCTTGCATCTTTGCTGCATATGCATGCGCCCAACTGGGCCCCGGGGTTTGAGGCGAAATGACTCTGAGCCCTCTGATGCCCAATATTATCAATAATAACTAACATTTGAATCTACAATAAGCGCTGTAGCCTTATGTATACACCTGGGCATAGAGCATTTGAGTCAATCACCTGGGCAATCTCTACTCCGTACTCCGTACAGTATGCCAAATTCAGAATATGGATTCTCGCTCTTCCTTGGGGGCCATAAACATGGCCCCTCCTTAGTCGCTTACCATCCTATCAAGAGTCTTGACACCCCTGCGCCTACAGGATTTAAGTGGAGATAATATAAATCTTGAGCCCGAAGGCTAGCCACGTGTACTTCGTACAAACATTTGAACTCCGATATGCACGACCCGCTTTTCCCTAAGAATGGAGCTGTTCGGACTTAGATCTGACTGGTCAACTACACATGTGGTGTATATGTTTGCTAGCGTTTGAGTTATCAGTTTCTCATCACTATACTCCCAGCAATTGAGCCTTCAAGTTGGAATGCATATTATGATTTTCCTTGAGATGACCGGGCTACTGGTTCCAAGATTAAGCTACATACCCTTGATGATGATACTGTTATCTTACTTTTGCACATGTGCAAGGCTACGGATCGAGATAGAAAGGAGAAAGGTAAAAAAAGCCTTGTTAATTGTTCAGCGGAGTTACCGATGATGTTTTAAGCGAACTCTGTCATGCCCTCTGCGTTCAGATAATGTCAACATCGCCAAGTTCCAGACTCCGAAGAGCTTAAACTAAAAGCAAATGAAGCCAAATTAGATATAGATGGAAGCGCAAAATAGAAAGAGCAACGAAAATCAAGATGCATCGTGAAATAACGCACAACGCAAATTGAGGAACAAGAAAGAATGGTCAGAAAGCTTTGTATGGTCAGAAAGCTTTGTATAACTTTCCAGCGGAGGTGCCAATGATGTTTTGAGCAACCTCTGTAATGCCCCATGCGCTCAGATAATGTCAACATCGCCAAGTTCCAGACTCCGAAGAGCTTAAACTCAAAGCAGATGAAGTCAAATCTAGATGGCAGCGCAAAATAAAAAGAGCAAAGCGAATCAAGATGCATTGTGAAACAACGCAAATCGAGACCGGACGCTGAAATGCTGAAAAGAACCAAAAAGAGAAAAAAAGAAACTATATACAAGGACTGGCGCCCTCCCCTCTTCTTCTCGGAAATCTGGTGGCAAAAGAACAGGACAACTAGTCCAGACGTACTAATCGCCGTGATAAGTCTCGGCAGGAGACAAGGTAAACTGGCCCTTGCGGCGCTCAGCTTCCGTGAAACCATTGTCCTTGACGAACCGGGCTGTTAAGGCAAACCGCAGCCTATCTTGAGGAATAACAGAATGCTAGTCATGGTTAGTAAAGGCGGAAAAAAGGAAAAGAACATGGGGAAAAGGACTATGCTCACCTCGTAGTACTTCTGAAGGGCTGATCTGTCCATTACCACCAGATCCCCATGGCAAAGTGTCATGATGATGGCAGGCGCAGCTTCTCCTCCGCCAACTTTGAAAGCCTGCTTCCGCAAGTTATCATATTGGACCTGGTCGATTTTCCCGGCATTCAGCTGCTGCTTCCATCTGCGCCGTTGTTCTTCATTGAAACAACCTGGAAGCACGGGGTCATCATCAAGGAGAGAGTTTTCCGTTCGGCCGCCTTTGTAGTACTGGTCTTTCATGCGGATCTTCATCACCGACCCGGCACCCAGAGACAAAGTAGCAATAGTTGGCCCAAGTGTTGATTCGCCATCATCATGATACCCTATTTTCATGCCCTGAAAATAGGCCAGAAGAAGCAGCTCATTCGGAGCGTGGTATGACTCGCCTACGCTTGTGATCGCGTCCTGGGTTGCCCAAGTAAGGCGCCCAAGAGAGCGGCGGACAGCATCTGAGGCCTCATTGAAGCCCTTCGACGCCACCTTCACAACGTATTTATATGGCATACCCTGGGAGAGAAGTGAAAGTCAGTAAGGGTCAAATGTGAAAGAACATTGTATATATCCACATACATAATTCACTGCGAAGTGAGCTGTCAGAGTTCCTGCCACTGTTGGATTCGTTAGCTCAGTTTGAACTTGATTAGCTGTATTCATATTCTTTCAAATACGTACCAACGGAACTCTGAAGGGGGTATCGTCTCAGGTCTATATCATCTGTTTGCAACGCCCCAAACAGATCATTAGGACCGCCAGGTCGCGCATTGATAGCGGGCCTGGAGCCGTAATGGAAGACCGAGCCGACACCCGGGATACTGTATGTGACCTTACAGTATGGCGTTGAAGTCGGATCCACCGACCTTGAAACCATGTCGCCGTAGCTGCCACCTACGACGGCATGGTGCTCCTGGGAATTTGGCATCTCCGGTCCGACAACTGAACCCAGTGAGACCGGGTCCAGGTCGGCCAGATACTGCCAAGTGCAGCCCTCTCCATCGCACTTCCAGCCCTTCCAGTAAGTGCGAGAGAGGCATTTTCTGCACACCGGACACACGACACCCTTCCAGTTATCGCGGTAGGTACTCCCAGTAGCCTGCCCATTGTTCAAGGTTTTGATTAGATCCGGGACCAGCGGGAAAGGGCATTTCACACTGGCCGCTTTTGTGCGCTTCTTCAGGAACTTTGGGTGATAAGTGACATTCCCGTTTGCTCGCTCATTGCCAAGGAACCAAAACCGCTTGCAGTCTGCATTCAGGCAGATTTTACCATCTGTGAAGATGATATCTGACTGTTTCCGACAGCTTGGACATACAAAGTGGTCGGGTTTGATCTCCCAGTCCCGTTCAGCGTCTGTGGGCGGCGGCGGCGTTCCCTTAGGTGCCCACCAGCTTTTCAACGAAAGATCGACCTTTTCAAATCTCACTTTCAACCCCGGATTGTTATCAATCATCTCATACCAAACATCAGTTATGCGAAAGAAGGCCATGATGTTAAAGTTATGATTCGCAGGAAGCTCAACCTGGAGTTGGTCATTGTCGCGACTGATAATAAGTCCAACGGCTTTGTCTTGCTCCATGTTTTTTATTAGGTCCTTGGCGGGCGATTTGTGTTTTGGCTGTTTTCCGTTCAAGACTAGCCTGCCTGATGATGATGGTTTGTAGCCTCCTCCGCTGAATATCAGTTAGTAATTGGTGTCTCTAATTTCAAAATCAACTACTCACGTTCGAGTGATGACAATCTCATCATCCATGTATGGTCTGATGCCACCATGCTTTCCCAAGAACACACCATGGCAATTGCCATTGTTATGCTGAGTGCTGCCTTGCACCACCCGGAACCATCGAGTCGCATCCGCCAAGTTTGTTCGAGACGTAGCCCACGCCGGTGGCTGGCCTGGTCTTAGCTCGGAAATTTCTGACTCGCTTTCACCTGACAAAATGCAATTGCCCTGATACTGCGCCAGTGTGCAATGCTCTGGTAGGTCACAGAAATTGGTCTCATGCGAATCTGTTGTAGGTGGAGGTGGACCAACGGGGCTCTGAGCTGGGGTAGATTTATGCTGAGCTGGCGAAGTGCTGGAAGGCGGAGTAGAGATTCTCTCGGCTTGGTCAATTGTGGGCTGAGCTGGAGTAGAGATTCTCTCGGCTTGGTCAATTGTGGGCTGAGCTGGAGCATCGATGTATTGCGCTGAGCTAGTTCCAAATACCGAGATACTCGCAGATGGGGCTTGGAATAGGGCAGTACTGGAAGCTGAGAAAGATATAGCTGACTGGGAGAAAGTAGCTATGTCTTGAGATAGCAAAGTGCTAGAAGCTAGGATCGAAATGCCCTGGGCTGGATTAACTGGGGGCTTATTTCGACCATCAATGTATTGAGCTGGGGGAGGTCCATATTCTAGGGTCACTTTGGACTGCACTGAAGTATCACCGCACAGGACTGAAGCATCACCGCACAGGACTGAAGCATCACCGCACAGGACTGAAGCATCACCACATGGGACTGAAGTATCACCGCACGGGACTAAAGCATCACCGCACGGGACTAAAGCATCACCGCACGGGACTAAAGCATCACCGCACAGGACTAAAGCATCACCGCACGGGACTAAAGTATCATCGCACTGTACTGTGCTAGTCTCAAATGCTGAGGTACTAGAAAAGAGGGTTCCACGGCTCTGAAAAGAATTAGGAAGGCTTTGGGCTGGGGGATTGGACAGCGATTGAACTGTGGCTGTGGCTGTGGCTGAGGCGGATAAGATATTGTTCTGAGCCTCTTGCGCACCAACGAGTTGAGTTACCGTATTTTGAAAAGAGTCCCCACTTTGAATTTGGGTCTGATGATGAACTTGAACATCCCGGGTCAGAGTTCTGGTGACAACGAGTTTCTTTTTGAGAAAGAACTTGATGGTGAATGTTTGTGACGGAAGTGATGTTGTTGTTACCTGATTGTGATTGGCCGGTGTATCTATATAAATATGTCAGTGAACCTTGCTCACTTAAGAGATTTAGCAAACGCCGGCGGTACTATCATACCATGACCGTTGATCCATTCAAGCTCAAGTTTGGTTTGTGATCGGGTAATGGCCTCAGTTCGTCCAATGGCTCTCTGCTTTTGCGGCTGGGACTTGAGCTTTGATACTCTACCAGTCTCCGCAACCCGCGAGATATTTCTGGATTCGGTGGTCGTCGAGACTCGCCTGGATGCCTTTTTTGTGCTACCCCGCATTCGCATCACCTGCTGTGAAGTTGCATCCGCCATCCTTTTTGGTAAGTTGCAAATATGATATAACTTGGGAGCGAAGGTGCCCTAATGATCAGAGCGAAGAGGCTTTATGAAGATGTGAAATGGTGAACGGAAGATTCACAGATATTAGGAACCCTTCGAAGTTGTCAATTTGGAAGTTCAAGAATGGTGAAAAGAAGAAAAGAATCTTCAATTTTTAAAGCCTTGAGGCAAGATATGCGGATGATCTCAAAGATAAAACCGAAGAGCTGGGATGAGGATGCGGGTGGAAGAAAACTTACGCGTTTCAGATTCCCTCAAGTTTTCACGCGTTTCGACTTCCTTTGGGTCTTCGCGTGTTTGAGATGACCCTTTGAAGAAGAAGCAATACCTTTCAATTTCTAAGAAACCTTGAGAAGGGATGTCGGAGTGATCTTGAAGATATGGCCGAAGAAGTGGGATGAAGATGGTGAATGGAAGGAGATTCACCGATTCCCGAGCCACTTGAAGTCTTCAAGTTGGGAGTTCAAGAGTGTTGAAGAAGGCAAAAGAATCTTGAAGCTTCAGGTCACCTTGAGAAGGGTGGTGGGGATTCTTTCGAAGATATCGGTGAAGACGTGGGCTGAGGATGTTGGGTGGAGGAAGATTCAATCAGCCTCAGAACCACTTCAAATCTTCAAGACTTCGAAATGGACTCAAGGATACTGAGGAAGAAGAAAGATGTTTGGAGCTTCAAATAAACTTGAGAGACTTGAAGATAGTCCCGAAGATTCAAGCGAAGAGATTGACGAAGCCTGAACCTGAAGACTGCGAAGGTTGAGAAGTTGTAAAGGAGAAGTTGGAAGAGGGAAAGTGGGGAAGTATGGGAAGTTCAAAAGAGGAAAGAGCGACGATGAGGGGGAAAAGGAGAAGAAGAAGAAGAAAAGAGGAAGAAAATTCACTCTTATACTCGACCCCCCCCCCCTCCGCTCCCAATTAGGCAGGCAGTGGCAGAACCCCCAATTCTTATTGGAGCTGGAATCTTCTACTTAAAACGCGTGGACTTAACTCAGCTGTGGCCTTTTCTACGTTGAATAGAGATCTGGAAAGATCTGGAGGGATTTGGGCATGTATAGTAAGATTGCTTTAGATTGGCTATACCTATACCTGGGCGGAGTAGGTAGTAACGCACTGGAATTCGTATTTGTATACTCTTTGAGTCTCGACAACAAACCCGACTCCGCATACAAATCGTTCAAAAAGTAGACATCTGGACCACGAGGGCGGTCGGCCAGCAGTATTCAGCAGGTCTGGTAGCCAACGCCGAAGCACTCTTACTAGTGACGACTCGGAGCCTGACGATCTTATGAGACTCAAAGTTCTATTCCACCAAGGGATATGAAAATACGCACTCCCAAGGTTGCTATGTGGTATCTTGATTTCATCAATGAATGCACCCGTGGACACATGCATGAGCGACCTCGGGAGCATGCCTAGCCCTGGAGGTGCCCAGGTGCACATCTGTGAATACAGCGTGTTACTTGCACAATTATTTGAATCCTTTCCTTTCGGTGCCCCAGGCTTCTCTCTGAACTCTTTCCTTGGATACTCAAAGGATTAACAACGTACTATGTATGGTAGTAGGTACCTAGGTGGTATTTTATGTTTCTTTATTTCTTTTCTATCACCTGGAGATGACCTGTAAATAGGCAGCAATGGATAGAAATCAGATAGCACTCTCTAGTTCATCATATGTGTATTCACTATGCATATGTGTGTAGTTCCCTGTGGTACATGTACATACATAGTATCCCAGATCAGCAAGAAGCTACTCTTTTATCTCTGGCCAGAGCCCTGTTTAAAAATCCATCCTAGATCTTGCACGTGCGGTGTTGCTGTATGTGACCTGGTCATATCTGCTATAACCTTAGAAAGGGAGAGATGCTAGTACTATATATACTCCGGACTAGGGTGTCTATATCCATTATATCATGAGGAGCCTTACCTAGGTAGTTCTTGACTACTAGGTAGATATCTATACTAATGTCTAGAAAAGATTGGAATGAATAGAGGATATTCCAGACAAATTATACACTGTTGGAATGCTCACGCCAAGGGCATTGTAATGATACTAGGATTGTATAGCTATAATATATAGAGCGCACTATTCTACTTCTCCTCTGAGAGAAAAGTGAAAAATTTAAGTAGTGTGTAATCCTTGGATTATCTTAATAAATTATACATTATTGGAATCCTTAGACCGGGGGCATCGTAATGATACTAGAATTGTATAGCTAGGATGTATAAAACGCGCTAGGCCACTTCCGATCTAAGAGAAAAGTGAAAAACTAAACTAGCGCGTAAATCTGGATTATGCTAATAAATTATATACCGCTAGAATGCTCTCGGAAGGGGCATCGCAATGATAGTAAAATTGTAGAGCTATGATGTATAAGATATGTTAGCTAATTATGTCCATTCTTAGAGAAGAGTGAATATTTTGAAAGATGAAAAATGAACTAATGCACCACTGGCAATCAATGTAGAATCCTTCGATTATTTTGATAAATTATACACAATTCAAATACTCACACACACTGTGACACACGCATATATATAAAAACATACATATCTCTTTCATTATAGGTCATGAGCCCCTCTGAGTCTTTTCTTCCTGACTAGCAGACCAACCTTGATTTATTATCACTGGCCCCTAGGTAGGTATCTCGCCATCACTAGCGGGGTAGACCTCATCTAGGGGGACCAACCCAATAATGACGCGAAAAAGCGATATATTTCAAGACAAGACCTGATGCTAAGCCCGATGCCTAGTGAGAAGCGCGAAACACTTATCAATCCATAGAAGGTGAAGAACCAGGTGAAATCTACAGAGGACACCTGGGCACTAGCAGTATCTTCCGACATATCCCCATCCACAGGTATCGCCGGCCAGGTCGATGCCCTATCATCTCGATCCATTCCTGTCGTTATGCTGAAATCGCCTAAAGTAAAGGTCTAAATTCATCTCACACATGTGCATGATTTATATCCCAGTAAATCACACAAAGAGATCACGGGTGTACATCTTATCCATGTAATATTTAGGGTCGTGGGGAGATCAGTGGTTTTACACGTTGGTAGATTCGGTTATTGTAGGGGGCTTAGTAGTGGACAAATCGTGTTTGATGGATATAATCAGTCTGAATAGCCCGACTTGGAATATTCGCTCAGTATAACATGTTGAAAGAGATAAACAAGCATCGAAAAAAGAATGTCGATCCAAGCAAAGGTGAATCTGGAAAGGGAAGCTCTGGGAAAATCTCAAATCAAGAAAAAAGTCTTCTCATAAAAAGGTTCTGAAAAAATTCTAAAAATTGAGCTTCGGACACAGATAAACCATTGTATGTCGTAGGCTAGAAAGGTTCACGAAAAGATTCACGAAAGTCGAGCTTGATACACCGGTTGAACCACCAATATCCTAGGCTGACAAGGTCGAGCATTGGACACTGATAAGTCATCGTACGCGCCCTAGGCTGAAAGTATGTGGCCTCATGGCTACCCCGAAGCACTGGGGAGAGAGGCCTAAATCACAGCGACAGCGAGGTCTCACGAGTTCTAACGTACGGAAAGGTCGATGACACGTATAGAGAACAGCGAGGTTCACGGGTGTCTAGAACACACGCAGCAGGGGAAAAGAGGAGGTCATAACCTGTCAACGGAAAGTGCTTGAGAAGAGAGAGAAAGTGGAGGACCAGGTGATATCTTCAGAGGACGGAATCTAAGATCCGACAAGACTAGACGCCAGAGCGAAGAAGCCAGAAGCCAGAGCATAAGAAAACAGATGCCGAGAGTGAAGAAACACCAGTTGACAGATGTCAGAGCCATAAGTCGCCAGATGCGGAAGTGATATAATACACCAGTGCCCGATGCAGCACCTATTCCAAAAGAATTTGCAGCCACAGACAAAGCGTACCACTCTACCTAATGAAGAATCACCACCTATTTTAGCCAAATGCTTCGGATTTTAAAGTCAAGGGGTGAGGGGGAGGGAGGTGTACGGGGGTAAATGTGGTATCCATGAATAAGATGGACCGTGGCAGCTTGTAAATAGAGAGTTAGTCATTGAATTGAAGTGCAGTAGTCGTGGAGATGACCTCGGGAGGTTTCGGTGATTCGGGGGACATCAACCTTGGAATCCATCCATGTGTGTTAGACTTCAATGTTGGGGCCTGTTGGAACTTGGGACCACGCCAAGGTGGTCCACACGATCCCTGTAGATATCAACTTCCTCTTACACACACATATGACACACAGATGCCCATATTCCATCCATCATGTCCTCCATCCCCTGTGACAGAGCCAATTCAGGTCCACGTCCCCTGTAGATGCACCTTCCCTCTCTCCGACATAGAACACACATAAACACCAGTTGACCGTGACACACACATGCATATCTCTTCCATCACCACATCTCCCTGATAAACGTGTGGACCTGAAGTGGTCCCAAGTTGCAACCTTTGGACATAAGATTATCTCTAGACGACTCGGATGTACGAACTATATGTCGTGGAGAATATACTACCTAGTAGTATGCTTCGAAGCATTGACCGCTATGATCCTCAGCGGCCCGATTCCAAGGTTATACAGAACAAGTCTGTAAGAAGGAGAATACACTGTCCGTCATGCATCCTGATCTAAACGGCTAGGCGATTATTCCAGGTCCTGGAGGTACCGAAAAGTTCACAGTCATAAGAATAAAGGACTTTCCTGGATTCCAAATCACACTGGCAGCAGCTGATGCCGATTTTATCTCGCAGGACACAGGTTGCGATAAGGCCTCTCTAACATCATTTACCCCACAGGAATATGGGCTATTAGAGGATGGCCCAAGGCTCTAGAGCGATTGCTATAAGATTAGATAGTATCATTGCAACACTCTTGAGATGGGGAGCATAATGGTATATGGATTTTTTGCGGGGATGAAAGTGCTACTGTGTGCAGAGCGAAGGACCTACAGTCTCATAGAATTATTTTAAAGCTCTATCTGATGAAGTAAGCACTAAGTAAATCACCATGGGCAGCGTGGTACCATTTCTTGTTCAGCTAGGTATGCACATAAAACTGATATTGTTGCGATGCCCTTGAGATGGGGATCATAATGGTGTATAGATTATTTTAATTGACCTACCTTCCAAGGTTGTAAATTAAGCGCTAGGTGAATCAATGCGATACCTCTACTGACCTATACCCATAAAACTAGTATCGTTGCGATGCCCTTGCGATGGGGATAGCAATAGTAGATTGTTTCAAACCCCATACCTTGAAAACATTTGAAGTGCCAGTGACCACTAAGCCATATAAGTTACACCTATAACATTTGAAGACTAGCATTGTTCCACATGCGATGCCCCTAAAATGATAATTCCACCTTGGCAACGGTGTATATTGTAGTCCATTTAGAGACATAAGTTGGTTCATTTTCTCCCTCAGAATAGCCTTGGAGTAGTAGACTAACGCGTCTCATATTCATGAGATCAATATCATTATAGGGCTAGGAACATTTATGTATAGATCCGGGTAAAGGTGCCAATAAAGAGGCCAATACTCAGCCTCTAGACACATGCATACAGCGGTTCAGCCAACTTGAAGTGGATTCTTGGTTCCGGTGGAACAAAGGAGCCATGCTAGTTGGACACCCGACGAATACTAAAAGGACACCCTTCGACTGTTAGGTTTAGTCTATACACCCCCTTACACATCTCCCTGTCACCAAGGTAATTTACTCGCCACACTTTTGTACCATTCAGGGATAAAGGACTTGGGTAGCTGAGGATGAATTAATTTGGGATGATATTATAGCTTTGATGAATAGAAATAGAGTAGCAAGATGAGGTGTTACTCTTATCTTAAAATAGTTGAAAATCATCATGTAGGTTCTAAAATGGATTGGCTATGGTTATGCAGCTGCTACTAGGATTATCAGAAAGATAAGTAAGTTATAGGAGATAGGCTAATCAGGAGATGCTATCTTCCGTATAATGTAGTAAATAGGGACTGTTCTTAGGATTAGGCTTATTCATAAGATCTTAGAAGGTGGGAGAACTATTACTATTACCAACAGCAAGGTAGTAGATGAGGAGAAGTGATCAGATATAGTACATTCCAAGGTTGGTGTGGCTGATTAAATTACCTTGGCGCCAGTGAGACGGGTACGGAGGCGTGTAAACTAAGCCCAATTAGACGACGGGTGTCCTTTTAGTATTCTTTGGGTGTCCAACTAGCATGGCTCGAACAAAGACGGGATTTGATCAAAGAAGATTGAGATCTGATCATTCTATTCAGGAATTCAGAATCTATAAGGAAACAAGCACGGAGTAATGTACACTAGGACTATAATTCATATCAAACTTAATTTAGGAGCAAATCGGCCCCAACAGATTTACCCTCCCATTTTTAGCCACAACCACGTTCGGGACAAAAAAATTAAATCTCGCCGACCGAGTCAAATTCAATCTAGTATCTCCGGCGATAAAACTTTTTGAAGAAATTGACCGTGGTGTGCTGTTGCATCGGTTTGGTTCAGGCTTGTCCGACAGACACGTCTAGTTTGGATCGGAGATTCTTTTCTGATAAAAAAATAATTTTCCTAGATACATAATTGTCTCGAGAGAGTAAAAGTGAGATGGGAGGTAAGATCTGAAGTTGTGGTGAGGGGAGAAGTGGATTAAGGTTGGGCTTGGGGCCGCATGCAGGGGTCAAAAAAGACCTCGGTCGCTGTCAGTCCGAGGCTATTGGTGCGGTCTGTTAATGCGTCATTGACCAGTTGAGTCCTGGAGACTTGGCAGGAACAACTTTTCACATCGCTGGATTCCCTCTTAACAGGACATATCCATATACTGAGAGCAAGCATACAAATCTACATGCCAAAATCATGCATATAGAGTCTCAGTATCCTAGCACGCCTGAACACGAACACGAGGCCTACGGGCACAACACCGATACGGGCTGATCCAAGCGTCTTGCAGTTACCGATTTCCCCGCAACGTTTTCCCCATACTTGTACCTCGGCGCATTTAAACCCAATATTCTACGTGCTGCATGCATTTGTCATTCTCCATTAACACTGATTCAATCGTATGTGATCATTATCCCAGATTTCATTGTCTCTAATAGATCAAACAAGCTAATCATTGTTCATTCTCTGATCTTTCAAGGCTCCAACCCTCCTTTCCGACCGGTACTATTCGTGCTCCAATAGCCAGAATCCGATTCTGCCGTACAAAGATTGAATCGCACATCGAAGGGACCGGAAATCATGGTATTCTTACCACACTCTCATTTTGGCGAGCTTGGACATGTGCCAGACGATCTCCCTATCTGCGAGTTTATGCTCAATGAGAAGTACGGTCGCCTCCCGCACGACCAATCTCTAGATCCATTTACCTGTGGAATCACCGGACAGACATACACCTCACAACAAGTAGCCAACCGAACTGACCAGATTGCTCGGGGACTGGCAAAGGAATTTGGATGGGCTCCTAACAAGGGTACAGAATGGGATAAGTCTCTAGCTGTCTTCAGTGTCAACACGGTATGTCAACAAGAGCAGATTTCACCTCGGTCGGCCAAAAGTGCAATAGAATGCGACTAACATTCCGGGTACTTTAGCTCGATTCCCTGCCATTCTTCTGGGGTGTTCACAGACTAGGCGGTCTTGTTTCACCTGCTAATGCCGCATATTCTGCCGATGAGCTTAAGCACCAGATCCTGGATTCGGGTGCAAAGGCTCTATTTACATGTGTGCCCCTTTTACCAGTTGCCCTGGAGGGTGCTGCCCTGGCTGGACTTTCTAGGAACAAGATCTACCTGATTGATGTGCCCCAGCCACTTCTCGGTGGTGTCAAGCCCCCGACCGAGTTTAAGTCGGTATCACAACTAGCCGAGGAGGGGAAGGCCCTTCCTGCATTGGAGCCTCTGAAATGGGGACCAGGAGAAGGAGCTCGTCGAACCGCTTTCTTGTGCTACTCTAGTGGTACTTCGGGGCTACCGGTATGTTCATTTCGAATCATTACTTCGAAGCATCTCGCTAAGATAATAAATGTCTATAGAAAGGAGTCATGATTTCGCATCGCAATGTCATCGCCAACACTCTACAACTCAAGAAATTTGAGCAGGGCTACCGCGACCGCATGGCCAAAGCTGAAGGCAGATCAAGCCATTCGATAGTTAGTTTGGGTCTCCTCCCACAAAGCCACATTTACTCCTTGGTTGTGATTTGCCACGCCGGACCATACCGTGGAGACCAAGTCATCACTCTCCCCAAGTTCGATATGGCGTCTTATTTGTCTTCTATCCAAAACTTCAAGATCTCAGGGCTTTACCTAGTTTGTTACCCCATCATAGTCTTTCTATTCCGGATAGCTAACTTGACGATAGGTTCCTCCTATCATCATCAACATGCTTCGGAACCACAGCGAATGCTCCAAGTATGACCTGAGTTCAGTCAACGGGATCTTCACCGGAGCAGCACCTTTGGGCCCAGAGACAGCAAGTGATTTCCAAAAGCTGTATCCGAAGGTTATGATCCGACAGGGATATGGTAAGATGGACTAGATTCTGTTCAGCTAGTATTACTTACTGACAATATATACAGGCTTAACGGAAACAAGCACCGTCGTCTCCTCCTCCCATCCCGACGATATTTTCCCTGGCTCTTCTGGCTGTCTGATCCCCGGTTTTGAAGCCCGTATCGTGTCGCCTGAAGGCAAGGATATTACTGACTACGACACACCCGGCGAGCTTCTTGTTAGAGGGCCCAGTGTGGTTATCGGCTACCTCAACAATGACAAGGCTAACAAAGAAACATTTGAAGACGGATGGATGCGTACTGGTGATGAGGCAGTTGTCCGAGTTGGGCCAAAGGGTACTGAGCATATCGTCATTGTCGATCGCATCAAAGAATTGATCAAGGTCAAGGTTTGTCTCCACTCAAAATCTACATCATTTCAAATTCATAAAACCTCTATGGTCAGACAACTAATAATCTTCTTTGACACAGGGCTTACAAGTTGCACCCGCTGAACTCGAAGCACACATCCTCGCTCACCCTGACGTAGCCGATTGCGCAGTTATTGCCATTTCTGATGAGTCTGCCGGTGAAGTTCCTAAGGCCATTGTGGTCAAGTCACCATCTGCGGGCCCGGATGACGCAGTTATCGCTTCAATCAAGAAACATGTGGAGGAGCACAAGGCCCGTCATAAATGGCTGAAGGGTGGTGTCCGATTTGTGGATGCTATTCCTAAGAGTCCAAGTGGAAAGATCTTACGGCGAGTGATGCGGGATCAGGAGAAGAGAGGCACGAAGGAAGGCTGGTCCGAAGCTGTAAGGAGAAGGATAGCCATGGCATCCATGGAGTTGTGCGCTTTTGGAGTTGCGGAGTCGTGCCAGTCATAATCGTATCTGTTTGCTAGTCGTGTTGGTTGTGTCGGTCATGCTGCTCCTGACTTCGAGAGTCGTGGAGATTATGAAATTTGTCCTCCTAGTTCTTGTGGTATGTAATTCACTTTTTGAATATAGATGTAGAGTCTTCAGTATTTCGATCTCTTCCTTTGAATATAGACTTCGTAAATTTGATGTCCTTGAAATGTTTTATCGAACTTGAAGGATTGGAAAAATTTCATAATATTATTGCTCGATCACTCTTCTACTTCAATCATCTGTATATGCAGACACTACTCCGAAAAAGAATCACGCCAAAATGCCAACCCCTCGACCCAATCGCCTCGAGAATATCAGCATACTCATGCGGCGCATCTGGCACCTGACGTATTTCATTTGTGATTCCCCGTTCCGCGAGGATTTGACATATAAGCTCCATATTTGCCTTCGCAGTTGGTGTCTCAGAACCAGCCAACAAACGTACTCGCGTCTTGCCTACCAGGCGAGCAGCATGTTCACGGGCAAGGGACCAAGGCGCTTGAGCAAGATAATAATCAACAGAAGAGCCAAATGTCTCCCGAATACGCTCCAGACGCTCATTACTCAGCTCCATATGCAGGGTTGGTGCAATTGACGAAACAGCTCCAGATATCCGAGTACTTAAGTCCGAGGTGAAGGGAGCCATAACGTCCCATCGAGAAAACCTCAACGCCCCAGAATCATGACTCGGACTCCACACGGAAGGTAGACTTAGGATGAGCGATCAAGTCTTGTGTCACAATATCCTCCACGCGACGTACCCTGCCCATAGAGTTGCCCCACCGTCCTTGTGGAAGATCTCGAGAAGCTACGATGAATGCTGCTGGCATCTTGCCTTGACTTGCAGCCCAATGATAGTAGACCATAGCCCGAGCAGCCTGTGACTGGAAACCTATACCACCATGAAGCCGGATCATCACTAGATAGCGCTTATCCGAGTGATCATTGTCCTCTTATCCTGGAGGCAATGTATAGAGGTATGCTTCCTTACGATCACCACCTCCCGAGGTCGTGTTCGCAAATCATATATACGAGGCCAGCTGCGTAACATTGGAAATCCTCTTCCAGCAGTTCAATCTTGGGAATAAATACAATGACCACTCTGATTGCCTCATTTCCTCACTCCATTGGTCCTCAGATTCCGCATTCACGATTTCAGCCACGTTGACACTGGAGCCAGTAAGATATGATCTTGTGCAATCAATCTACGCAAGAATTTTGATTCGCCATTGATCCAAGTTAGTAGAGACTGGAAGGTAAAACAACTTGAAGGAATGTACCAGTATGCTTATCTTCAATTATAATGAGACACCGTGACTTCAGTTATGAGCTTTCAAGTCGAGCATCTTGATAAGCAATCTACTACAAATCATATATGTCTCTCTGATGTGCAAGATGCCTTCTCAGAAACGGTAGAACTTTCCCCGCGGATTTTGGGATGCTAGTTTCCGTATAAGTACAAGTTCAGCCGGAAGTAGCCTCGGTCCATGCAATCAAGCAGCACTCGTCGAATCAACATTGGAGATCAGACCACAGCTACTGGATTCAAATCGGGCGTCAGAACCTGAAGAAAAAAAAATAAATTCAGCAACAGCTGGAGTCGAACTCTAGGCCTTCAAAATCAGAAACCACATGGCTAACTGACTGACCCCGTCACAGAATCCCTTCCATTTCGCTCAATTCTTTTTATTTTGAAGATCTGAAAGTTCTGGAGGATAAAGAAGCATTAGAGGTATCATCGTTAAAAATATAAAAAAATTAAAAAAAAATATTGACCCAGCGAAGCTGATCCCACCCACCCTTTGGTACTGAATCTGCCACCGTAAAGAGTAAAGGGACCCAACAATCCCAGTCGATACTTTTGTCTCCCGGAGGATCGCAAGCCGCTTGCCATCTAAGCTAGCAGGGCAGATTCGATGCTTAGAATTCTCGGTTTAAAAATATAAGGGAGCATTCGTACTCATTTTGTGGTTCGCAGGATAGTACTTAACCCGAAATGGATATGTCGTCCAGAGTCCGCGTTTCCTCGCAGATATAGCAGAGTGCACATACTAGTACAAGCATATCCCATTCCTCAGCATGAGGCTCTAACCTCAATGACCAAGTAGTCATAAATGAGGCCGTCTTGAGTCTTGACTAGAGCTCGATGTATGAAAGCCCCAAGTTATAGTCTAATGAGATGTTTGCACTGTTTGTTTCTGCGGGGGATGTGGATAAGATTTCGATTTCTAAGCGGGGGCAAGTTAAAAAAATATCTACAGCTATCAGCAGTGATTCCCTGACATTCTCGTTCTCTTGATATAATTATTCCTGGGAATCATCTGATATTATCATAATATCAAGACTCATTCGGCATAAAAGCTGTTTGAACAAACTGAATAATAATCCCTCATACATCAGCACCTTCCTAATTTCACATCCTATACAATGTCCGCCGAGGAATTTCGAGACGAGGACGCCTATGTCGGTGCCGACGAGGTTGATGAGGTCTTCCAGCGCGATGAGGACCACCCTATGGAGTCTGAGGGCGAGGACGAAGACGAGAAAATGACCTACGAAGAACATATGAGCTTCCAGAACGACTCATCTGCTCACTTCGACTCACACACCGACTCCGTCTTCTGTGTCGCTCAGCACCCTGTGCACAACAATATCGTGATCACCGGCGCAGGTGATGATACCGCCTACATCTTCGACTCCACTCCCGCCGAGCGTCCCGTTCTCCCTCAGAGCTACGAATCAAACCCCCAGCCCCGTGAGCGCGAGTCCTTGAAGCCTCTTGTCAAGCTTGACGGACACTCCGACACAGTCAATGCCGTTGCTTTCACCGAGCCCGCTGGTGAATATGTCATCACTTCCGGCCTAGACGGCAAACTGCGCGCATGGCGCGATTCCACCCCCGACAAGACCGGATTCGCCTGGGACTTTGTCGCGGAAGCACAGGAAGTCGAGGAAATCAACTGGATCTCTGTCTGTCCTTACCAGGCCGGCAGTGAAGAAAAGCGCAATGTCGTCGCCTTGGGCGCAAATGATGGTTCCGCGTGGGTGCTCCGCATCGATCATACCGATTCTCAGCCTATCTCCATTATCCAGACTTTCTTCCAGCACACTGCCTCTTGTACAGCCGGTGCTTGGACACCTGATGGAAACATGCTTGCGACAGTATCGGAGGATGGAAGCTTCTACGTTTACGATGTGTTTGGTGCTGCGGCTGCAGCTGGAATTGCTGGGTCTCCTGGTACTAATGCGGTTGTTGGTTTGACTGCGGAAGACCAGCGTTTCGCAGTTGAGGGTGGTCTGTACTCCGTGACCGTTTCGCCTGGTGGTGGTATTGCGGCTGTTGGTGGTGCCGAGGGTCACATTCGGATCGTCGGTCTTCCTCGACTGGCTACTGCGGGCCCAGCTGGAAAGGGCAAGGGTGCAGGCGCTCAAGCAGCCACTGCTTCTGCTGCCGGAACTATTCTCGCAGCTCTGCAAGCTCAATCAGATGGTATTGAGACTCTGTCTTTCTCCCAGCCCCCACTCACCCTTCTGGCTGCCGGCTCAGTCGATGGTTCTATTGCGCTCTACGATGCCGCTCATCGATTTGCTGTTCGTCGCCATATCAAGGAGGCGCATGAAGGTAATGCTGTGGTCAAGGTGGAGTTCCTGCAGACCCGGGCTCCCGCAGCTGCGCCCCGTGCGGGCTCGCTTGCATCCGCTTCTACCCAGGGACAATCATGGATGTTGACATCTGTTGGCTTGGATGGTGTTGTTCGTCGGTGGGATGCACGTGGTGGTACCGCCGCAGCTGGTCACGGCTTGCTGAAGGAGTGGAAGGGACATCTGGCTGCCACTGAGAACGAGGATGGTGAACAAGCTGGTGGTATTATGGCCTTCGTTCAAGGATTCGACGGCAAGCGTATCGTCACAGCTGGTGATGATGGTGTTTCCTTGGTCTTTGAGGATCAGGAGTAAGCTTCTGGGCTGGTTGATTTATAGTAGAAGTGTACCGTCCATGTGGGATGTTATTTACGATTTCATGTTACACAAATAGAACCTGGGGGCATATAGTTTTTCATCCCCGAAAATAAAAACGTAACCATTTCAAACACTCTGTCTCAAGACTCTCAAAACTCTTTTCAAGTTCCAGAGCTATCCGGGCATGTAAATCGGGGCAACCGTTTGAACCAATAAGAAGAAATCTTTAGTAATTGAACATAGGCTATGTACATTCGAAAATCAACCCAAAAGCGCCGACTGCAAGCTCATCCCAAATTGGGAGACCTGCAGATCCATAAAACACCACAATTGCTTCTCGAAGTGCTCAGGTCACAGCGGCTTTGTCGAAACTCCCGATTTTATGTCTTTAGCTGAACTGAGAGGAGATGGGCATCTCTCGTCCGCTGGGGTATCCGTCATCCTTCGCTCGACTGCTTTCCGGGCAAGAAAAGCATCAGTCTCGGTAATCGAAGTGCCCTCGTTTAGTGGTGGCCCTCGCCGTGGTGGGCATCACCGTGGTGGTGGTCATCTTGAAGGAAGAAGTGCTCGTAGGCGCAGTAGGCAGTGAAAGCGACGGTAGCGATACCAAGACCGGGGAAAAGACCCTTGAAGCGGTTCCAGCGGGTGAAGGGACCGGTGTAGCGCCAGGTCTCGCTATATATGGTCAGTATATGGAGCGCAATGCGTTGCAAAGCAAGAGGATGGAGACGTACTTGCGCGCCCAGGGATCCCGCTTAGCGTAGATAGAGGAAGGCGACGCAGCGGCCTTGAACTGCTTAAGATCAAATCCAGTGGGGTTTCGTGAAGCCATTGCGATTGAACTGGAGTGGACAAGGTAGGGGAGGAGGGGAGCGGAATTCGAAGGCTGTAGTCTTAGCACCAAGAGTGAGTTGAGAGATGAGCGGGAGCGGTGGGCTTGGCAGAACGGACACCCGCACTAAACCCAATAAGGTAGCGCAGTAGCTCCTCCCTCCTTCGAACAAACTGATAACCTTGGAACTCTCTCCACACACACCTCGACACAAATAAGCTATCAACAATGCCTCCTCCCGTTGGCAGATATGGGCCTTCGGGTCTCGGTGGTCCGTACAATTTACAGCAAGCTCATCTTCAATCCCAACATCCTCACGCTCAATCTGCGAACTCTGCCCTCCCGCCCCCTTCACTTGGCGGCCACCCTGGATTTGCCGGAAACCCAAATACGAATATCAATCCGTTTACACTTTCCGGTGCTGGCGTTGCAAATGGTATGTCGGTGGCTGGATTTGCGGGGGCTGATGCTGGTGGCACCGGGCTCGCAAGCCATGCGGCACAGATGGGATTCGCGCGGGGTGCACAAATGCAACAACAGCAACTACACCAAGGTCATGATGGACGGTTAGCGCTAGAATCAAAAGCTGGTCTGGCAAAATCACGTATCCGCGATGTGTGGAGGCACAATCTCGCTCAGGAAATGGCTGTGTTAAGGTCACTGGTGGACAAGTATCCATACATCAGCATGGTAAGGATGGCTTTGATATTCCGCCGGGACAATGGCACTCGAGGTATCATCAAGGTACTGACTCATCTTCTAGGACACCGAATTTCCCGGAATTGTCGCTCGACCGATCGGATCGTTTTCCAACAAAGCAGACTATCACTACCAGACCCTCCGATGTAACATTGACTTGTTAAAGATGATCCAGTTGGGCATTACACTTTTTGATGAAGATGGAGAGGTTGTGCCTGCTACAGCTACAGATGCGAATGGTCAACCACTCGGAAATACGATGTCCCCTGTCCCGTGCACCTGGCAGTTCAACTTCTGTTTCTCCCTTGAGGACGACATGTATGCGCAAGACTCCACAGCCATGCTCGCAAAGTCTGGCATTGATTTCAGCATGCATAACAAAAACGGCATTGATCCCTTTGAGTTCGGATCTTTGCTGATCAGTTCCGGTCTTGTTTTATTGGATGACGTTCACTGGGTCTCGTTTCACTCTGGTTATGATTTCGGCTATCTGATGAAGCTTATGCTCTGTTCTCCGCTGCCTGAGAACGAAGAAGACTTTCACAAGCTCATGCACATTTTCTTCCCGTCTCTCTACGACATCAAGTACCTGATGAAACATGCGGGCCGCAATCAAGCTGTTAACGACTCACCTCTTACCCCTACTGCTGTTCAGATCCTGGCAAATTTGGGTCAAAAGTCGGGGCTTCAGGATATTGCCGATGAACTGGGAATCAAGCGTGTCGGAATTGCTCACCAAGCAGGCTCTGATTCTTTGGTCACTGGTGAGGTGTACTGGAAAATGCGGCAAGTGGTGTTCAACGGGAGCATTGACCCAAGCAAATACTCAGGCCAGATCTGGGGTTTGAATGGAAAAATGCCCGCTTTGACGTATCAGATGGCTCAACAAACCCCCAATCTCAATGGAGCCACCATCTACTCCAATTCCGGCACCCCGAGCACCCCGAATACAGGACATATTGCAATGGGGGCTCACACTCCTCACGGCTCTGGGTATCATACCCCTGGGCCGATGGCAGGTAAGGCCTAATGTGGTGAATCAGGAATGGCTATCAATGACACGATGTGATGCATGTACATAACTTCTATCTTCAGCATTGCGCCTGTCGCGTTGCATGGGCTCCGTTTAAAATCGGTTTCTATGTCCGTGGTGACGGTGTTCCGGGTCTGGCTGGAGGGTGGCGTTTATCTTTTAATCCTTCAATTTTTATTTCCTTTTTTTGATGTGGCTGGTATCTGAATCCATATGTAAGGCGTTCGGGCTCGCATGGGTCTTTGCCATTTCTTTCATCCTTGCTTTGTGTATTTGATCTGGAGGATGTTAGACTTGTCGCCCCGGGCGGGTTTCTGTAGATTATGTCTAGATAGCGTTCATATGTACAGCGTGCTTTATCTGGCTTCTACTGCCCTTGTTAGACGGGTAAAAATATTCTCATTTGTATCATTATTAAACATTTGAAACCGTGCTCCAAGTCAAATTTGACCTTGAAGCTCTCATATCTAGCCCTATGCTTGGTGAATACATCTAGACCAGTACCAACGCCATAGAAGTTTAGCAACCCTCCAATTTGTCCTGCTGGCTGCCGTCTCGACAATAGATTTCATTTGATCAAAGGGTATGTCTTTCTCTTGAAGAAATTGGAGAATGACTTTGATCATAGGTAAATTATCGCAGTGCACAGCCTTGTACAGCGCAAATTGGTCAAACTTGAGTTTAGCACCCATCCCAAATTGAAATGGATTGGCACCTTTTTCAATTAGCAATCGTATAACTTTTTCATCATCCTTGCTGTGTTCCTCCTTCTTTCTAATTGCCGACATCAATGGAGTAATCGAGTCCCAACCGAAGTTCCGGTCAATTTCTTCTCCGTTTTCAAGAAGAAAATTGATTGTCTTCTGCTTGACCTTGAATTTTATCGAAGTCGACATAGCCACAGCACCGAGACAGGAATTATGGACGCCCAACTTGTTTGGATGGAAGCCAGCTTCAAGAAACTGTACAAGGAGGGGAATGTGTCCATGTTCAGCTGCTATCACCATCGCCCTTTGATGAACCGAGTTATCTGGCTGTAGTGGTACACCGGGCTCTACATAATCCCGTACCATATTGAAAGTTTCCTTGCCTTTAGTTGCCGCTGCAGCTACCACTCCATGTACGCGATAGATAGTGGGATTTTTCTTAATAAGAAACAGTGCGGTTGTAAGATTCGTCCCAACTGAAGATGCTGCCATTTCAAGTAAAGATACTAGTGCCCTTGGCCATCGGACCCTTGGGTTATCAACATTGAAATAAACGCCGGGCTCGATTCCGCCCTGGAATGGATCAGCTCCGTAGTCGAGAAGGAGATCTGCGATACCTAATAGCCCTCTTTTGATAGCCTTTCTATAAGGTGAAAGGCGCTCGTGGAGTCCATCGCGTCTATTACTCCGCATGTTGGTCCCATCCGCATCTGCGCCATGCATAAGGAGCAGCTCAATTATATCGATATGACCATAACGAATACACTTCTCCATAATCCGAGTCAAGATCATCCCCCAATCACCATCTTTAATGAATGGCCTTTTTCGCGTCCAATCCACCTGGAATAGTTTGGATAATAAAGGTTTATCACCCATACGTGCAGCACCATGCATGAGACCAATTATAGGTCTTATGTACTGACATCCCAATATGCCATCAATATCAATCTGATCCAGCAAGAACTGAGCTACCTCAGGCTGCGAGCCTGATGTGTAGGCAAATTGAGAGAAGATATCGTAGTCAAAGTCAGGATGGGGCCACAAGCGCCCTGAGGCCGGTATATAAGTAATTTGTTCCTCGGGAGGCTTTGCAAAGTTGAACAGAAATTTGACAAGTAGTAGATCTAGCTTTTCTCTTGCAAGATTTGGAAGAAGGCCATCAGGTTGTGTAAAGTCTACCAATTCCGGAAGCTCGACTTTATCAAGTAAAAGTTGGAGCATTTCAAAACTGTTACTTGATAACAGCGCGTTGGATTTCAAGCCTGAGATCTCTTCTTTCTCTTTGTAATTCGGGGTTAATGGGCTCACCCCTTGATCAAGGAGTAGCTTTGCCACCCCGATTTGCCCATTGATCACTGCCAAATACAAAGGTTGCCAGACAATACCACTACTCTCTGGACCAAATTCCAGCGGGACGCCATAGTCGATTAGCAGTTTGACCACTGACTCCTGCCCAGAGGATGCAGCCTCAGTCAAAGGGTTGTTAGTCAAATATCTCGGCATATCGAACCCGGTCTGTGGAGTTGGGTCAACTCCATACTCCAGAAACGTCCGAACTGTTTCTGCATGACCATGATACGCGGCTAGCATAATCGGGTGCAGAGTTTCCTGGGTGGGATCAGCTGGAATACCAGCCTGAAGTAAACGACGAACAGCGTCGTGGTTCCCATTTCTTGCAGCCCAGTGAAGAACAGTGATTCTTTCATTTATAACGTTGTCCTTCATCAGATGCGATTCAACGGGGTCTAGGGTATTTCGAGCGATTCGTCGGTAAAGAGAATTATTGAGTTGGAAGTAGAAGAAACGACATGTTTGTATCAGGACATTGACATCTTCCAGGTATTCCAGGGAATCTGAGATCATGAAATGAATCTCCGTGGGGAGGGAAGTGAAATTAATCGTAGCCATATTTTCAACAAGTAGATCGTAGTATTTACCAAGTGCACGATTAGTGTTGGCTGTAGTTACTCTGTAATTGAGATCAATAAGTGAAAAAAAAACTCGAGCCGAACCTAAATAGTCAGAAATATGATGATAATGGGCCCGCGCTGGAAATGTCCATATTATGGATCTCTACCATGGATGAAGGATCGAATTAATTAGTCGGGACTTCGTGCTAGACTATAACTGGATAAATTCAATCAAATTCGGGCTCGGAATAACAGCTTAGTACTAACAGCTAACTTGAATAAGCCCGAGAAGGAACAGCCTTGCAGGCTTCAGTGTGCTTGGCGTCTTTGTCCTTCCCTTCTAGTAACAAGGCAACAAGATGTGCACGTTGCTCTGACCTCGGGAAGTCTCCTTGTTCTTGAAAGCTTGTGTGAACGCCGAAGGAGAATTGAGACGCCTCTACCGAGTGCCGGTCAAGACTCGATGCATTGTCCTGAATCTGGAATTTATTAGCGAGATGCGAGATAAACAGCATCAAGGAGATTCATAGACATGCCAAGCGGCAAGAAGCCCCATCCTATCTAGGGTAAGACGAGAAAGCTTCTCAAAGATTTCCATTCTGTGCTACTTTCCTTATACCGTTCATTGACCATCATTGCATCTCCACGGTCATGTTCATCGGCTGCTTGATAACCCGCATCCACCTCATCATAGCTGTCTTCTGACGACGAAGAGGAGCCTTCGTATAGTCGGAGTGGTCGATATGGTAGGACTTGGATGTCCAAGGTTATCACGATGTGTCCTGTCTCAGACCCAGATGGGATTTTCGGTGCATTTCGTATTTTTGAAGTTTCTCTCGGTTAGTCTGCGGATTGGACCTGAGGTCATTGACCTCATATCTCAGTGCGAGTAGTGTTACCATTAAGTCAAACATCTTGAGTTGACTTGCTTTGAGAGGATTCTCCAGGGCTCCTTCCAAGGTTATCTTCAACGTGACTGTGGTATGCGATTTCGGTACTTCAAAGTAAAACTGGATTCGATGAAGCTTGCATTTGAGGTAAGATGGGAAATTGGTTAACACCAGCATCCGTTGCTTATATGCCTGTCGCTGGTGAGAACCCAGTTGAGGAAAAAGAGCAGAGAGGAAGGCATAAAAAGGTGGGAGATTTCCTTAAATATTCCTCTTCGTGGCTAGGCTACCGCCGTCATAGTATTTGAAATAAGAAATGATGAAGTGCAAACACTAACAGAATTCTACACTTGAAAGGTGGGATGAGAGCTAGTGGTGTGGAGATACAGTGTGTTTGCCTAATTAAGGCTGAATTCTAGCTCTCACTGAGGAGAGCTGTCTTCAAGTTCTCTTGCTTCCTTCTTTCCATTTCATTATAATGGCCCAGCTCGGAATATCAGACAAGGGAAAACTGAGCGTCATTGAAAGGTCCAGATGTTATCTCAAAAATGATAAATGGACAGATTTAGCCCAATGAAGCTTCGCCTGCATCGCCTCCAGGGCCTCAAGGTTACTATGCATATAAAAGGAATTTTTATGGCCACTTATTGGGAGGAGAAGTGGAGTATTAGGTATTAATGTAGTAGCTACCCATATATATTGGCACTAGATAGTAGAGTACTAGTAAGGCAAACTTGAACTTGAAGATATTACGTTGCTAGTCCAACAACAGAGGTATATCCGAGTTAGGATGCGCAAGGGTATATGCCCAAAAGATTAACCAAAAACCTAGCTCACAAGTACATCTGGACGCTGTTGGGTGGCTGCAAAGGGCCTACTGATATAAGGGAACGGGCAAGATATGGCGGAGGTGGTATGAGGATATTCTGTGAATTCAGGAGGTTGGAAGCAAGGATGCTATGCGGGGATCCTTTGACCTGTATGTGTGTAAGGGTATTGTGTCAGATGAACCAGTTATAATACCTTCTTCATCACCTCATGAATGCAATACTGGTAAATATCTCTGCTTTTTTTGAGCATCAGGCCCTGGAGTATGTCTTGCTGAAAGGAGGAGAAGATCCCGAGTCCAAAACTAGGTACCGTGGAGACCGAGGGGCCGGTAGCATCAGGAGGCTAGAAGCTGTGATTGAGGTGAAGAGAGCTACCTGGTATCTTTTTCAACTGAAGCCTGCAGGCAAACGCAAAACACAAGCTTGAGTCATCTGCAACTCCATTTCTTCAACTCCTCACGTACCTGCCACCTCCAACCGTATTTCCAAACCTTGCTCTCGAGTGCTCATCTTTCGACTATTCGAATATTGAACAATGGAATCGTTTGTCAACTTCCACCCTTTCCCCAGGTACGTGTATTAACTGCATCATGATTCCGTTTCTCGATCCAACGTAACACCTGACCTTTGCATAGCATCTTCAAAGACAGCCCACTCCAGGCCCTCGTTGGCTCTGAGAAAAAAAGTCTACTACATCCATCCCGGAGTCTTCTCATGCAGCGGTTCCCCTGTACTTCGAGCCCGTGTCCATGAACGATGGATGATTACCGATGCGAATAAGGTCATTGACTGGACTGATTTCGATGAAGATACCATTTTATGCGTCTTGAATTACCTCTACACCCGGACTTATGACGTGCTTCACCGGAGTCCAGCTACCAAAGAAAATCAAGAATGCAGAAAGGAAGATAGAGCTCAAGTTGGTAAGGAAGACGACTCTTTTTGTACCTATGCATTCTTTGTTACCTAACCTGGTTCATATCACAGCGATGTCAAAATCCTCAAGTTGGTCTCAATTCCTATCCTCCTCCGACTCAAACACTGAGGCCCACAATGAAGCATTACTGGAACGACCGGCAAATCAATTAAGACGATCTTTACAAACTAGCTCGCAGTCGAAGACCAAGAAGGCGGAAGAGAACGTTGATGGGCCGTCGAGTAAGCGAGGAACCATTTTTGATGAGCACCTTGGCAATATCGCTCTCCTGCATGCTAAGGTTTACTGCTTCGCGCATCAATTTATGTTTTCCGAGCTTGAAGAATTATCCTGCCAGCGGTTGAAGCAGGTTCTTCACGAATCCGATGTCCCCTCTGATTTATTTTTCCGACCCCTCGCTGAAGCCATACGTCTCGTCTATGGTTCAACTCTAGCACAAGACAGCACCAATCCAGCTCGAACATTACTCTATCAATATGTGGCCTTCAATTACCCCAGACTGTCGGACGCGATTCTAGGCCCCCTTGTTGCGGAAGGGGGCGACTTTGCTGTTGATCTCTCTCGCAAATTAGCTGAAAAAGCACAGTCCTATCACTCTTGCATTGAAAAGCTGGAAGCAAAATTGAAGACCCTGGAGCTTCGGGACATAGAGCGCACTTTAAAACTGTCCGAATCGATGGGTCTTTGGAGTATGATGCACCAATCTTGATGGTGATCAATCGCTGTGGCTATGAGAAGGGCCCTTTGAAATTGAGAAGATTATCTGCAATTTACGAATGCGGTTGATATTGATATTTGCTTCAGCACTAGCAACCATTTCCGGTGGATCAATGTGGTTTCCTACTCTGACCGAAATCATGATGGTTCTAACCTTCTACCTTATCATGTATTTTTATTATCTTCCAAGCTTATGTCGCTTTTTTTCTTTATCAATGGAAATCAACTATTTTTAATGATGTGAAAGTTTTCGCGATACATGCTAAGTCTATCTTTTAGGAAATTCATTCCGAGTCTTTAACTACTTCTGCTTTAAGCTGTTACTTGATCAAACCTAAGTGCTTGAGGGGCATATACTTCCGACAAGGAGAAGGGACATGATCTGCCTATCATAATATGCACACTTGCATAACATTCGAAATTTGAAATGTTCCTTGTTCATAAAAAACGTTGGAAGATCTTATGATGCACTGGCAGGCTTGACCCCGCAACATTTCCCCACATTGTCGGTGCTTTTCCATATCAGCCCCGTGGAAACAAATGGCAGGATTTTCCTCTTGTCGGTTAGTTGCGCTCATGATGGTCAAATCTAGATGTTGATCTGCAGATATTTCGGTCTCTCGGAACCCAATGAAGGAATTTCCACCGGCTCATGATTTTTTTAGTCGGGATAGCTTATTGATGCTGGTGGAGGCGAAGATGGGAAATTCGGAAACATCCGAGATTCCTGCCTAGATGCTGCTTAAATAGGGCTCCAATGCCCCTTGTCCCTGGAGTTTTACAGGACCAACTTGACTGGAAACTATTATGGTACATCAACTGCCCACCATGAGGTCCGTTCTACTCTCTGTTGCTTCGCTATTTGCCAGTCTTGCTTCAGGTGCTGTGACTGTGACAAGGACAGACCAAGGCCCAACTGGATACGAGGTCACCATCACCTATCAGAATACAAGCGTCGATAGTGTCATCATTTCAAGTTTACCACATTTGACTGATCAGTATTCAACCTCCTTCTGGTCCTGGTCAGACTTTGATCTGAGTAAGTACAAGCCCGGGGACTTTCCACGAGACCCTCAAGACGGATCATACTATGAAATGATTAAGACGGGACCCGGCGAATTCACCTGGACAAGACCATTCCTCAGTGGTACATTCCAATATTCCTTCTTGCTGGATTGTGTCAATGCCAGCCTGTGCAACACCACAACCGGTCAAGAGATCACGGATCCGACAAATCCACCCTACGAGACTGTGCCAGGTTCCGAGCTAGTCTCCACGTTTCAGGTCCCATATCATCATGATTTTCAATATTACCCGGATCAGAACATCAATCAAGACTACGCACTGCCATATGGAAACAATGCTAGCAAGGGGACCCTCAAGATTGAGAAATACAAATCACCAGGCTCAATAAGCCCGTCTCCGGGCATTCATGACTATGTCGTATATCTCCCCGTGGGGTACAACGCCAACGACACTTCCAAGAAGTACCCACTACTCTACCTCTCCCACGGTGGAAACGGAGCAGCAGGCGATTGGCAGAATCAAGCCTATGTCTCGAACATATTGGATCGCCTCATTGGTGACGGCCACATGGAGCCCACGGTAGTAGTAATGCCAACTTGGTACGGCATTATTGCCAACACGACCAATCCAGCAGCTCTTTACGTTCGAAACTATCCAGACTCTGCGACAATTGCATCACTCTACAGCAAATACCTTTTCCCTCACGTTGAATCAACCTATCGCGTAAGCAATGATTCCAGTGGACGCGCGTTTGCCGGTCTCTCACAAGGTTCTTTCTTGACTTACGAATTCTATGTCAACTACACCTCTTACTTTGGCTACTATGGCATTATGTCTGGAGGACCGGCTACAAATTCCGAAAACGAACCTCCAGCATTGAGTGGTTATGTGAATGCTTCTATGGCTGCTTCGAATCCAGATCTCCTGACCCGTGGACTCTTCCTATCTTATGGACAGTATGATGTTCTGTTCACAGATGCTAGAAGACTCCAGGAAGCACTTGACGATATTGGCGCTGTTTATGTGACTCGGTTCTTACCTTGGGGATTCCACTTTTGGAATACCTGGCAAGATGCATTTTGGCACATGGGACGCACAGCTCTATGGAAGCCAATTCCATTTACCAAGTCCACTGGACATGAGCAATGATTTGTTAGCCTAGTGGGGTGTGAAATGATTGACTCATTTGCAAATTTTCTTTGAATCAGTTATAATTAACTTCTCATGATTTCGGTTTTATGAGTCAGTTTAAGCACTACCAAGACTTCGTGTGGCGTCATGGTGAAGGTTACAACGCCTGAAACTTCACATGGGAACAATGATCTATCTAATCCTGCTAGAAATGGATGCTATCATTTTACAGGGACTAGTCAAGGACATACGAGTGAGATTATGAATAATGCACTGGTTTCAAATATTCCATTCGTGTTCCTGACTTGATAACCTCATGCTGTTCAACACTTGCCTACTATTCAGTTGGTTAGGATCTATCTGCAGAGGCGGTCGCATCCCTGCATGTGTGAAGCGGGTTAGAAAGTCTATTATACCAGGATGTGGAGTTCCCAATACTTACCTGTTGGCATATTTCTCTGACCGTGGGAGTCAGCAGCCTACAAGCCTACAAGTTCATATTAGTAGACATTTTAACATATATGCGAGAAGATGACCATTTTTGGGGGCATGCGCGGTTACTCGAGAGTCGAGACACCGATAATCAAATAAGGCGATGTAAAGACTTACGAGAATGCAAGGATAATAGGCTGGCCTGCAATTCTTATTGTCGATGTTCATATCGTCAAAAACACTGGACCATTCTTTATCAATGGTTTCATCGGCCGACTGAATGGCTTCAGATGAAGCTTGAGTCGGAGCCGGAGCAGCAACAGCAACAGCTGCAAAAATGAAGGGAAGAATGACAGCAGGTCGCATTATGATTGATTTCTTGCTCGGTTTGCTTTGCGTTGTCAGGTACTCTGGTTCGATGTGGAGGAAATTGAGATATCGCATTTGGCGTGATTGAGGGCATATTTATAGAGTCAGTACTCGTGCGGCTTAATTTAAGTCCTATCCCAAGCCATGGCGCCGAGGCGGATTGGGATTAGGAAATGTCCCACAAGAAAGGCGTTTTCTCTCCGATGCCCTCCCAGTTCCGCGTGTAAGTTGACCTCCATGACTGTTTTAATAACCCGAAGGAGAACCCGGGGTATTAAAGATGAAGTCTGAATGTCTCGGAATATGGTCTGATGCTTATTGGGAGGAATAGGCTTGATGTGCATAATTCAGGGATATGGATGGCGTTTTAGGAGAATAGTTTGACTCTTCTGCAATTCTTCAATCTATGACCTAGTCTCAACATGGTCTCAAAGAATTCAGGCTCGGTAACAGTAACCTGGGGCTTGTATGAGAGCATGAGTTGCCGGTACTGCTTCGATATTGACTAAACATCGTCTCTGTCTGAGTGGGTTCAAATGCTCGGCCAATATTCTGCGAGAAGCTGTAAGATCGACGTAGCATTCAAGACAATTATCATCAAATAAAATGGTCTGATGGGGATGATAATGGATTGTAGGTTTCTCTCCCGGGGATGGCATCAAGAGGAGTATTTGAAGAAAAGTGACAGAAAGCTATCTTAGCTTTGCTCCGAAGTATGACCAACGTCATATTATGATACCAAATTCAAGATAAGCATCGAAAGGGGCATATGAAGAGCTCTGCACTATTTTTGTAATTCCATGCAGATTTCACAGTCCTCTGGAGTGTTCGAATAGTAGATATTTTATTGAGTTAGATTTGGAAATATTGATCCCTCTGCTACATGGTGCGAAACCACTGAGGCACTGGCTAATGAATTGAATGACCAAATCTTTGTACTGCATATCTTAACACCTAGTCATCTCAAACAATACTATTCCCTCAAATCCTTTATCCAATTCTGCTGAGAATAAACATTTGAACCTTATAACTTACAATGGACGGGACGTTGACGCAGGGTATCGGCACATAACCTTGAACCTTTGTGAAACATCACAACCATGCTCTCTGGAGAGATCCGTCCCGGTGTCATGGCATTGCTTCTATTTTTTGCTTATGAGCTAGGATACGTCCGTTACATTACCCCTGATGACGATTTTTCTTGGGGGCTCTTAGTACGCGTTCCTCTCGCTGCTTTTGCCCCATAGATGAACACTGAATCACAGGTTGAAGACATCATAAGAGCAGTGATTGATTGATCAAGATGACTGGTTCAGAAGCACGAGGAATTCTACTACAGCATACAAACTTGAAAGTCAGTCTTGTGAGCCAAGTGAAGCTAGACTCGAGACAGATCCAATTCGAATAATAAGACAAGATCTATGTAGCGACTTTGAATGTCGGATATGATAGAGTTCATTTCTCATTTCTCATCTCTTCCACAACTCACAGCTGCTGACGCACCGCGGACTTGAACTATATCCGGAAGTGTTAGCAAGGGCATGAATCTAGTTGGTCATTAGGATTTTGTTTAAGATACCGGAATAATCTGGGAGTTCTCAAGATCCCAGACACCAGAGCGAGCGTAAATGTCGTTCTCCAGAAGGGCACGAACCTCAGCCTCATTCTCAGCCACGGCGAGCATCATGCTACCCTTGAAAGAAAGAGACTCGCCCTCAGCGGGGTGAGAGTTGAGCATGGCACCTGTACAAGATCAGTATGAATAACTTCAAGAACCTCGGTAGAGGTATGGCCAGGCAACATGGCGTAGAATCATCTAATATCGATAACCAAGTCCAATTGACTAATGTAACTTACCACCAGCGACAATCTGACCAGAAGCAACAAGGGGCTTCACACCCTCAAGGTGAGCTCTGGGAAGCATTAGTTCCGGTTGTCCGGATAAGCGGCAATATGGGGTAAACTTACGGCCGGACCTCAATGCGCTTTGCCTGCGCACCAGGCTTATCCGGGAGGATGCAGAGGAACTCGTACTTGGCGGGGGCAGAAGACATTGTGCGTTTTGAGTAGTGAAGACTGGAGAGAGAATTGAGAGAGGAGCGTGAGGATACAGACGGAAATAATGTAGACGGAGAGCGGAGGAATAGCTGCCGAATGTGGGGGGAAGCGGGGGTTTGCTGGAGAGCGTGGGTGATACGAGCATACATTTTGTTACAGTACTCGATAAAGAACCCTGGGAGAGACTAATGGACTAAATATTATGGAAACAGGGGAAAGCGGTCAATATCACCGGGAATGAGGTACATATTCAACTAATTTGATTGGTTGAATTGGAACAGTGACATGGAGACACCTTATCACTCAGGCATGAATTGACAAGAAAGTGCTGCCATATTATTGAAGCCACGGCTTTCTATTGAACCATGGAAGTCAATTATATGCTCTTTGCTACATTTTACACATTGAGTACGGGAAAAAAAAACAGAGCCGTGCCAAGTAGAAAGAGCATGAAGCTCAAGCTTGCTCCATTGGAATGTCTCGACCAATTGGAGTATGAAAGATATCAATTCGCCCATAACGCCACAACAATAACTAGGGAATCATAACCCGACAGAGAAACTCTCCACCAGTATGCAAAGAATAGAACTGAAACAGAACATAACCATTCTAATCCTCCTCAACTCAATCCATCAACACAACATCACCAACACAGGCGCAGGCGCAGCTAAGCCTTACGCTGCAAAGCCGCCTCAACATCCCCCAACAAGCCCACCAACTCCTTCCCACCATCAGAGACCCTTCCTTCGATCTCTAATCCCTTACTCAAAAAGGTCTTCGCCTCATCATAGCGTCCCATCTCCGCTAAACACTTTCCAATCCTCCACCAAGCCTTAACATTGCCCACGGGTTTCGAATCAACACTAGCCTTCGCATCGACCAATCCCTCCGGCCAAGCCTGGATACCCATATAAGCCTGCGCACGGTTTCCAAATAACCCAGCCAATTCCTCTCGTGCCAGTGCGACGGGTTCCCAACCCGGTCGTGAGAGCGACATGTCAATCGCGAAGGTGTATAGTCTGATTGCATCCTCGTAGTTGTTTTTCCGGTATGCGGCGTTACCAGTATCGCGGAGCTTTGCGACTTGGGCTGCACGCTTGGGGTTCACTGGAAGAGGTGGTGGGGGGATTCCTGGGCCATCGAGGGATAGAAGAGTACGGTGAAGGTTGTTCAATTCGTTTAGTTCGTTGGTAATGGTTGTTGTTTGGGATTGAGAGGGCAGCGAGCCTGGGTGAGAGATTGCTTTTGAGGCAGGGTCCATGTAGAGACTGTATTGTGTGAAAAGGTCGATTTCGCTGGCCATTTTGGTGGTGCTTGGACTATGGTCCGTGGTATCCTGGGTGTGTTGTTAGTTTGATTTGAAGGTTGTGGAATGGGTGTTTGGTGGTCTATTTGAATAATAGATTGCATTTGAGAACAAGATGTGTTTTTACATACGTAGTATTTTCAAAAGTCGAATAGTATCACAGGTAGTAGGGATTGAAGGTAGAATGTATCCAAAGGTTCGGAGTTGGCCCTTTGTGATCACTTCCAAGGTTACCTGTCCACAGTTACATATCAGCACGTGGTGATAAGCTGCCAAAAGGAAGGCGGTGGCAGAATTAAACTCGCACATTTGACACGTGACATTCATGGGTATGATTTGAGAGTCTCGAGTAACTGGTCTAATCGGTATAAACAATAAATAGGATGAGTGTCAATCATAGCTACTGATACACAGTATCCACGCTAGGGTATTCATGATTCGAATATGCAATCTATCTGCCCACATCCAATCCAGAACATACAATCATACACAAAAGTAACAAAAACATAGGCAAAAGCCCATCCATGTAGAAAACAACAGGAGAAATGAATCCAAAAAAGCATTCAACTATGCGCCCTTCAACACCGGTTTCGTAATCATGTCAAGGACACAATGAAAGCAGTTGCCCAGTGGTTTTGTGGGGTATTCGTTAGCGGCATCCACGCCTCTACAATCCTCGTCCAATCGCTCCAATCAAGACACCATCTAGCGGTTACCATAACCCACCGTTGAATACTCCGACGGTGTGTACGCTTCCGACGGCGGCTGATAATGTTGCCCGTGGGCACCGCCATAAGGTGTGCTGTTGAAATCGCCGATAGTGCTTCCGGCAGTTGAGGCAGTGGGATCGTAGGCTCCGTGCATTGCGGACCGGCCGTTCGGGTTGCCTAGGTCATCGATCTCACTTTGGTTCAAGAGGGCATAATCCTCGTCGCGGTCGCTGCGGGTTGAGCCCATACCACCAACGCGGCTGGATCGGAAATCATCTTCTTCCTCCTCGAAGTCGTGGGCTGGATTTGAGGAGAAGGCAGCCTTGGATTGAGCGGCGAATGTGGGGTCGGAAACGGCATCGGGGAGAGTGCCTGTGCGACGGAAGTGCATAACATTGCGGACGGACATCCAAGCTGTGACAGCGAAAAGGATGCTGTGATTTCATCCAAATTAGTATTAGTGCTTTGAGAGGCTTGGTGACGAATAGTACACGTACAAGATGACGACACCGATAATAGTAACGGCCTCGCTTAGGTTGCACTTTGTCGCATTACCATACGCCCAGTTGTGGCATCCAGATCCGCTAGCGGTGCTAGTAGCTGCGGTGGTGGTCGTGGAAGCTGCGCGGATAGTCTTGTCGGCTCGGCGGCTTTTGGAACTCGAAGACGAAGAGGAGCTGGAACTGGAGCTGTCGCTTGATGTCTTTCCAATGCTCTTACCCTGAGCCACATAAGAGGCCAAACACACCCATGCGCTAAACCAGAAGATCGTGTAGAGAAGGTCGACCGTGGCGAAAGCGTAAACGTTACCGAAGCGACGGGCTCGCGGCCACATGGGGACTGCTGCTAGGTAGATCAAAGCGGGCATACTGATCCAACACTAATTACATACTCGTTAGCGGCAAGGTTGAGCGGGGCGGTTTCATGTCAGGCTCAGTCTCACGACATCGAGAGAGAGCCTGACGACTCGATATCGAGGAGGGTACGTACCAGGACCCAGTACCAAACCGTTCGCCCATCGATACTGCTACCACCTTTGGTCCAGATACCGATGGTTAAAGCCCAGGCAAGAAATATAATGAACGCTTGCGCAAAGTGGAGGGCATTCTTCGTCCTCCCCATGCTACCGCCGGACGGTCGAGCGAATTTCATGTTGTGTGGTGGAGAGAGAACAAGGCTGCAAGGGCGGGGATCAACCCTTTCAAAGATTCCACCGACAAGGGAGAGTCAGAGCGTTCGTAGCCCTTCAGGGATAATTCGCGATTGACAAGGGAGTCAACAGGGTGCAGTCGGACGAAAGGTGGCTGCAGCGGAAGAATGGGGGCCTTGAAGGACAGATTCGGATGTTGGGGGGGGGGACGCGCAGCGGATTTCTTGGCTTTGTGTCTCAGCCTCAGGTAATGGTCCACGGAAGGAAAACTGACTGGAATTATATTCCGAAGATAGGATGAGAGATAGATGAGATAAAATGAGATCAGTATATTCGAGAGAAGAAGAGAGGACAAAAACGATGTGATGATTATGATCGCCCAGGCGACAGGCCGTGTGGTTCTATTTTGGTGCCTTCAGCCACGGTGGAGCCAAAACCAAAGATCAAATGCCAATCGGTAAAAGGAGAATCTGGCGCCTAGAATTCGGGCTCCACGTAATCATTTGAACTATCAATTTGCCTGTGATCGACATTAAATGGAATATGCGCTCGCACTCTCACGGGTTTTACTTAGTAGGTAGAGACTTGAACTCGGAGTATAAAGTGATCGGATGATCGCCTGGGCAGTGAGCCTTATATACTAGTAAGCCTTACAATGTTCCAAGCCCTCCAGGGCTGGAGATTATACTACATAGTACTGGTAATAGTGAGCTGACTGATTCAACCTTGGAAGTTCAAGTAATACATAGTATTATGCACATCATGATTGATGTAATATGTATTAGTAACTAACGTGAAGTCCGGTTGCGCGGGCGACCCGGTTGCGCGAGCGACCCCACCAAAAATACACTTCAATAACAACACCTCTTTTTTAACCATCACAATAATGCCCCCCCCAGCGCTCTGATAAAAAAAAAAGTTGACGGAGCAGGAGGGTCGCCTTTTGATAGCTATAAAAGCTATAAAAGATGGCAAGTATCCCTCTGCTGCCGCTGCTGCACGATCTTTTGAGATACCTGTCTCAACTTTGAAGGCCCGGATCAATGGGCGCGAATCTGCTACTGAAAAGCGACACAATCGCTTTATTTTTACCGAAGCTGAGGAGGGATCGATTGAAAAATGGCTACTGGATATGGATTCTAGAGGGGCAGCTCTTACTTTGCCTATGTTGCGAGATATGGCTAATCTTCTACTTGATGCCCGAAAAACTACACCCTCTACTGTGGGTAAACATTGGCCTGCTGAATTTATCAAACGACGCCCAAATCTCTCTACTCGCCTCTCTCGTAGATACGATTATCAGAGAGCTCTTTCAGAAGACCCTCGAATCATTAAACCATGGTTTGATTTGGTTCAAAGGACGATAGAAAAGTGGGGTATCGCTTCAGACGATATCTTCAACTTTAATGAGTCTGGTTTTGCGATAGGTATTGGCGCAACACAAAAGATTATCACTTTAGCGGAATATCATGGGAAAAGAGCTCTTTTACAAGCTGGAAATCGTGACTGGGTGACTTCGATTGAGTATATTAGAGCTTCTGGAAGTGTTCTCCCGCCGCTTTTTATTTTTAAGGGAAAAAAGTTTCTAGAGCATCTACGCCCTTATCTCCTTTTAAATCAAAAAGGAGCTCGTTTGACTATAAGCGAAAATGGCTGGACTACCAATATAATTGGTTTATGGTGGTTAAAATATCATTTTATCCCAAACATTAGGATAAGAGTGGGAAAATATTGCTTATTAGTCCTTGATGGTCATGGGAGTCATTTAACCCCTGAATTTGACCAAATTTGTGAAGAAAACCAAATCATCGCAATCTGTATGCCTCCTCATGCTTCTCATCTTTTACAACCTTTGGATGTGGGTTGTTTTTCGGTTTTGAAGAGGCTTTATAGAGGAGCGGTCTCGACTTTGATACGAAACGGAGTTAACTCTATTGACAAGGAAGATTTCCTTGAACTGATCGCAGATGCGAGAATGGGTACTTTTAAGTCTTCTACTATACAGAATAGCTTTTCAGCTACTGGATTAGCATCATTCGATGCTAATAGGGTCTTGGAACAGCTAAATTTACACCTGGATTCCCTTCCTTCTTTGGAGATCCTTTCTCAGCGACCAGTCTCTTCTGGTAGCGATAGCGATCCAAATACTCTCTGGACCCTTTCAAAGTTTATAAAATCGCAATCTCGGGTCAAAAAAGGTCTACAATCTTCTTCTTCAATCCTTTCTTCGCCTACAAAAAAGGAGATTGAGAAGACCTACGAGATGACTATAAAAGTGGTCCACCACCATATTTTTCTCCAGAATCGCTGCACTCAATTAGAGGCTGCCAATAAGAGACAGACCAAAAAGCAAGAGACCAAACATAAGTTTACTACCCAGAAAGGCATCTTTGGGGGTCTAGAAGGTGGTCAGGACGATGTGGTGGTCGAGGATAAGGATGAAAGCAAAGATATATCTTTACCACAGGTGCAGGCAGAACCAACAATTGAGCCAACTTTACCCTCTGTGCCCTTGGTTCGACGACAAATAACCTGTTCTGCGTGTGGGATTAAAGGTCATGCTTATACTAAGTGCCCTGGACGTGTTTAATAGTCAATATTTTATTATTTTTGTGGTTTTAATAGTTTTTAAAAAATGGTAGTTTTTGAAAATTTGGTGGGGTCGCTCGCGCAACCGGGTCGCCCGCGCAACCGGACTTCACGTTAGCTGAGTATAATTCACATCTTACATAACCTTGGAAGTATACATAGGTACCTAGGTACTACGTACTCAAGCACTTGAGTGCTCTATTACAGGCTAATTACGGGGATCTATAACTTGAAGCTATCAATTATATTCCACTGCCAGTGGCAGTTTATTATATAATGTCTTGTTATCTCTGAAAATAAAAATTTTTCCATCTAAAACTTGAAGTACACCTGGGCATAAATTGGTTCATTTAACAGCACCTGCCATTGGGCAGAAATGGTGAAGTTGTGACCTCGAACTTCTTTCATACTTAACTAGCAATCAATATCTCAACTTGAATCTATGACTTCCAACTTCACGTTGAAGGTTCCCTATACATAGAAGATCATGATCTCACCAGGGCATCATCTTATCCAATGTTTTGTTTTCGAGCACATACGACCGCAAGGTCCACAACATTTGAACTTACAAGCTCAGCCGCAACATTTGAATTTGACATTCATCGGATTCTATGCGCCAAGGACCGTCATGACTCATAACTCATAAGCGACCTTGACTTCGAGTTCCGAGGTCATTTGGGTACATTCAAAATGTTTCGTTCCTTGCAGCATGTGAATTTCAATTGGATGAAAGCTACGTGAAAATACCTTAAGTTATTTAGGAAGATCAGGGGAAACGGTATATTCAACGATTGAGAAAGAAAAGACTAGACACTGGAGAGGATTTCACAAATTGTGAGGTTCATGCAATATTCTGGGTTACCAAGCCCAAGGTCAGTAGATAGGACGTCTCCATCATTGCATATGGAGAAATAGAACCTTGGAACCTTTACTGTTCGTTCAGTTCGGCACCTCGATCCCGCAATAGTTGCACTATCTCTTCATATCCGTTGGAAGATGCCTCTTGAATTGCGCTTTCAAGATTTCCACCTTGCACATTGACATCAGCACCTCGATCCAACAGTAGCTTCACGGTATCTTCATGTCCTTGACTTGCCGCTAATTGAAGCGCACTGCCCATTGACCCTTTGCAATCAATCTGAGCACCTCCGTCTAGCAGCATCTGCACGATGCTTTCAGAACCCTGGTCCGATGCACACTGGAGTGCACTATCTCCTTCATTATTGCATAGGTTGACATCGGCGCCTCGTTTCAGTAGCATCTCTACTATCTCTTCACTGCCGTCCATTGATGCAGCTGAGAGGGCGCTGTGCCCGTCTCCATCAACCTGATTGATATCAGCGCCCCTTAACAGTAGCAGATGCACGATCTTTCCATGCCCTTGTTGTGATGCCTGTACAAGTGTTTTCTCTGACCCCTCAGAATTGACGTCGGCGCCTGGTTTTAAGAGCATCCGTACTATCTCTTCATGTCCTTGGCCTGATGCAAGTTGGAGTGCGCTGAGCCCGTTTTCATCAACATGATTCACATTAGCGCCCCTTTCCAGTAGCAGCTGTACTATCTTCTCATCTCCTTGTTGTGATACAGCTGAGAGGGCGCTGTTTCCTTCTCCATCAACCTGATTGACATCAGCGCCCCTCTCCAATAACAGCCGGGCTATCCTTTAATGCCCTTCTATTGATGCCTGAACAAGCGAGTTATTCAGCCCTTCCAAATCAACCTCTCCCCCTTGATCCAGTAGTAGTTGAACTATCCTTTCATGGCCTCGGTTTGATGCCAGTGCAAGCGGGCTCTGCAGGTCTGTCCAGTCGATTTTGGCCCCTCGCTTCAATAGCATCGCCAAAGCCTCTTCGGATCCCTCGTATGACGCATATGCAATTGCAGTTATGTCACCACTTCCTCGGGCATTTATATCCACGCCTCTATCCAGTAGTAGCTGCATTACTTCCAAATGTCCATAGCGAGCAGCCTCCGCAAAGGAAAAAGCGCCGGAAGATCCGCCATCCGCATTGACGTCTGCGCCGTGATCTAGTAGCAGTTGCACAATACTTTAAACTCCTCGCGCTGATGCCAACTGGAGTGGATTGAGAGAAGATTCGGATGCAGAGGCATTCACATCCGCACCTGCCTTCAGCAGGATCTCACATAGTCTTTCATTGTCGTGAGATATTGCCATTCTAAGTGGACTGTCCCTGTTCAGACTGTCTTCCACTAGGGCATTGGGATCGGCTCCATGATCCAGAAGAAATTTCACCAGGCTTTCGTCCCCATGGTCCGTCACATTTTGAAGCATGGTTTCTCCTTGAAAGGACTCGACGTTCACATCCGCACCTCGATCCACGAGAATTCGCACGATTTTCTCATGGCCTCTGCTCGCCGCAGAAGCAATTGGAGGAATCCCCGGATATTCACCACATACATTGGGGCCATTGAGATCGGTGGCTCGATCCAAGAGCGTGTTGACAATTCCCTCATAGCCATAACCGGCAGCGGTTGTAAGCGATGTGCAAAATTGCGTTCCGAAGGCTTCGATATCCGTGATGTGATCTAGGATAATCCCCACGATGCTCTCATATCCTGCAGCAGACGCAACTGTAAGTGGACCGCTATCGGGTGTTGGTGAAGATATACTAGCACCAGCACCTAAGAGCAGTTTCACAACGCCTTCATGCCCCATGGGCGACGCGGCTGTGAGAGCGGATCCGAAGCCTGCCTGATCCTTCAGCGTTGACATCAGCACCGCGATCCAGTAACTCTTGCACAGTTTGCGCAATTCCCATTCCCGATGCTAACTGAATTGGTTGGTTTGTTGGATTGCCAAATTCGGCCTGGTCATACTGAGACAGTTCCTCCGAGAAGTCATCCCATACACGTTCCCAATTGAAGTAAACCTCTGGCTCAGTAAATAATCTATTAACGTTAGGCTGCAAGTCGGAGCGCAAGGGATCACTTTCCCCCAAAGCATCCACATAGGTATACCAGTTTTTCGCTGCGTGTAAGAAGCAGGGCTTTCCCAATGCCTCTTCCCGTGTCAGACCAGTGGTTTGCTCAAGGAGGCAATCCACCATCTTTGTCGCGAGGAATCTACATCCATCCACCATATGAAATTGGCATTCATGATGTTGCATGTGAGAATGCGCTTCCGGAATGACCAAGAACTCTTGCACGCAGAAATGCGCTACTCGGATCATTCCATCAAACAAACTGACGAAATTAGTGGTACAAATCTCAATAACGGAATCGGGAGAATCGAGGCCAGCCACAGCGGCAACGGTCTCCAGACTGAGAGTCATTGGCGATGCGCAGATGGTCACGAAAATTTTACGCGCTCTAGGACCATCCGTAGGCTCAAACCCATTGATACACAATTGTTAGTCACGTCCTCAAGTTCAGAAGGCGGTTATGTCGCTCTCAGTTCGAGTTACATTATTTGGCCTGAGACATTCCTATTGACAGAGTGTTGAAAGGGGGATTCTTATAATGTACGGAGTACTCCTGAGGGGAACGTGGTAGAGCTCCATTCAGCCTGCAGTAGGCTGGAAATGGTACCAAGTACCCACAGCCCAGGTGCAAATCAACATCCTCGCTTTTTGCACATCGTATCACGGTCGTATTCCACTCATACAGTCAATATCACCATTCAATGTTCAGGCTACAAGTTGAATTGAACGTAGTTTGAATCAAATTCTTCAAATGTTAGAAGCCTCAAAGTACACAGTAAGATAACCCGAAAAATATATCGCTCAGTCAATCGTGATTTTTCGTTCATCATAAGTCATATCAAAGCAACAATCACTCTGCAAGTGAAATTTCCCCCAGTCCAGCCTCTCGTGTCTGTTTCACGAGTTGCCATACCTCACGTAAAGGCTGGTATACATGCACATGCCACCACCATGGAATTGGATCATCCCGAGAGAATTGAGCATCTTTCCAGAATATGAACGGCACAATCTCTGATTGGAAGAGAGCGATCATTCGCTTGGCAAACTGAAGGGAGATGAATTTGGAGATAAATCGGGCGACAAATTCATGGTCCACGATGGTTGGTTGGGAGTGCGGATTGGGCGACAGCGTTGTAGGGACGCTCCACGTCGCAGGCTCAATGGGATCATGGGATAAAACTGCCAAATATCCCTGGATGGGGCATCGTGCATCACGGAGGAGATTCTCCAAAGCTACAGCCCCAGGGACACATTCTGCGATGTGGATAGTGTGGCGCACTGATGAAGTATCGAACTCCTCATCAACTAGAAGGCGCACCGAGATATGACCCGTCATGCGAGCACCACCTTTCTCCGCAAATGTTTGCATAAGCCGATGAACAGCTTTGGCTAGAGCTTCATCCAGTCGCGAGGCGCCCCAGTGTGGAGAACGAGCCTCTACAAGTCGAACTTTGATGGCATGAACATAGCCTCGAACGACCAGCAAGTCAGCGAAGAACTCTCCGAGGCGCGTTTGCTGCTGCAAGACCCAAGGACAGTCCGGAGAAATTTGTATTTCACTGACATCCGAATACGTCTTGCTCAGAGTGCGTTTCGGTAGAACCACTGCGGTTTCCTTAGGACTTGCAGTCAAGCGTCGCATCTGGTAGGATTTCCTTGGTGATCGGTTCAGAACTCTGTGGATAGAGTCGCGCGACTGCACTTGATGGCACTCAACCAGCGGAAGTTTCTTATCGGTCAGGTAATGGCGAAATAGATCTGAATCCCGGAAACACATCGTCATTTCTGTATCGAAGGCGATGCACTTGCAATTAGTGCGACGCTCCACCACTTGCCGAGCAGTAGCATCTTCAAAGGCAGATGCTTTCGGAGAGCATGGGATCCAGATATCCACCTTTTCTCGCTGGATTATGTCGAGAATTTTCGAAAGATAGTGATCTTTCGGAACTCGGTAAAACGCGATCAGAGTCTTTGACATGCCCCCACCAGACCGAACGGGAAGATCAAGATCCGCCACGTCCACACCGACAACTCGGTGGCCGGCTGCCTCCCAAGCCCGTGCAAGGGCAAGACTCGAGGTAGTACCGATTCCAGTGATCAGGACAGTTTTGGGGTAAAATTGAACATCCTGTAAAACTTCTCGACGTCGGTCTGATGTTGAGCGAAAGCGGGCAAGCACCAGACTAGCTAGTAAAATGGAATTGTCGATAAATAGAAAGGCGAAGGCTAGCGAGATCCGGAATAGGTGCCAGAATACCCGTGAGATACCAGCCACCGTAGTCGATCGCAAAGTTTTCATGGGAAGTGAACTTCTCACTGCTGGAGCCATCATTGAAGAGGACCAGATGTGAGAGTCTCCAAATGAGCACTTTCAGCTCTTAAGCTAGGCTGGATAAGATGACGTGGAATGCAGCAAGGAGAAAGCATTTGGAGGGGAGAATAGGCGCTGCCCAATTGAGGGGCTGATCGGCGGGGGTCACATCTGCAGATCAAGATCGTACAACATTGACGTTCAAGTTACTCAATACCCGCGACTCAATTCCTCACTGCGTAGAAGAGGGTATAACGGCGATGAAGTCCCATTTTGATTCGGACTCGCTGCTTGAATCAAGTACTAAATGCCGTTCGGCCGATCCCTTACATCCCAGGAATCGGGTTTCCGGGTTGAATGTTCTTTATCAGATTGAGCTCGGGGTTATCGGAGCTGATTACTCGACTCCTTAGCTCCGAAACATGTTCAAATACTCCATTAGTAGGCTTCATCGTGAAAATATGAGTAGCCCGACTTCGGCTTAAGCGGATTAAGCTCGAAGCGTTCATATTTACCGAAGTTCGGCTTTTATCGTAGCTTGTATCGGCTCCATTGAGACTGACGCATGCTCGCCCCCTCCAAGGCTAGTATTTATACATTATGCGGGGCATTCGCCGTTTACTTTCATTCAACTTGAAGTTAAACACGCTCTACACTACTCCAAAGGATTATCGGCCTTTGTTTCATTCCTGTCTCTCTATAACGAAAGTAACTTACCGTGGTTTTGCGAGTACTTCCCTGTTAAGAATGTCTTTTCGAAACACTTCGCCACCCGCTCACGCCCGCCCCGGGCAGCATTCCGTAAGTTGATTCCTGAACCGCTAGCATGCTAGAAGCCATAAGTACTGATCAACTCTCCAGGACGAGGATGACCGCACAAGAAGACTTCTCCGATGGGTCTTCGCCCGGAAGGATCTCGACGAGATTCGCGGAAACCCGGACAAAGTCCTTGCTCTCATTGATGAATTCAGCGAGACAGAGCGCATGATGACCGTTGGTCAGGACAAGGGCAAGTATGTGCTTGATCTCATTAACGAGGTTAAGCCCGGCACTATGATTGAGCTTGGTTGTTTCGTCGGATACTCCGCCATTATGTTTGGCGATGCGTGTCGTCGAAACGGTGGCCAGCGTTACCTCAGTCTGGAGCTGAACCCAGAGTGGGCTGCTGTGGCTAACATGCTGGTTGAACTTGCCGGTCTTCGCAGCTTCGTCACCATCCTGGTGGGGCGCAGTGACGTGACCTTGGATAAACTCTATCAAACTGGCGATGTGAAGGAGATTGAGCTTCTTTTCATTGATCATTATAAGCCTGCCTACCTGACTGATTTAAAACTGTTGGAACATCATGGTCTGATTCAGCAGGGCTCCGTTCTGGCGGCGGATAATGTCCTCCACCCGGGCAACCCGCCTTATTTGGAGTATGTCCGAAGCACGGTCGAGGAGAAACGGGAGGTAGCGAAGAAGGGACCCAACAAGGGTTACAACGTGGAAGGCATGCGCGACCGCGCTGTGAATTCTTTTATGCCTGAGGGTGATGTTCCTTTCCTCGAGACTGTTGGAAACCCCAATCTCGTGTATCAGAGTGAGCTTCGGCAACCAGAGGGTCACCGGGTGAGTCAATTCGGAATCAAATATTATAATCAGTTCAAATCTCACTAACCCAATTTTGGCAGGATGCAATTGAGGTGACTCGTTGTGTTGGAGTACAGGAAGCATAGACGAAACTACTTAGAACAGTAAATCATGCGTGATGAGAGAATATAGAGCGGTTCTAGCCGTCTACAACCAATACTAAATAAGAAAAAAAAAAAATCAAATGGATTAGCAATCAATCAATCGCACGACAGTACTCCGTAGAATAGACAAATAAAGATACCATATCGGGAGGCCGAAGAGTCGAAGACACGGCTTTTGTTCGGGTGCCCCGCCCGAGCCAAAGGTTGCCGTCGCCAGGACCTTCCCCCGCATCGGTGGTCAAATTCCGTGGGGGGAGGGGGAGGGGGGCGGACTTATAAAACCTGCTTTTTCTCCCACTTCTTTACAGGTATATCACCCTCAATTCTATATCCACCATGGCTTCCAAGACCTATAACGTCGGCATTATTGGCTACGGCTTCAGTGCTAAGATCTTCCACATTCCTTTCGTGGCGCAGATCCCTGAGCTTAAGCTGCACGCGATCGTGCAGCGTACTCCCAAGCCTGAAGATGACGCCGAGAAGGATCACCCAGGCGTCAAGGGCTACCGCACTACTGATGAGTTGCTGCAGGACTCCGCTGTGGATGTTGTGATTGTCACCACTGCTCCGGACTCTCATTTTGCTCTCTGCAAGTCCGCGCTCGAGGCTGGCAAGCACGGTTAGTATCGGGATGACTCAATGCGATTGAGATGTTGGAAATTGGCTAATAAAACGAATTCACTCTAGTCATCTGCGAGAAACCTTTCACTCCCACATATAAGGAGGCCGCCGACCTGGTCACCATTGCGAACAAGCAGAACAAACTGCTGGCCGTCTACCAGAGTACATCACCGTCCTCCTATGCCCCGCGAACCACCTCAATTCCGAATTCCTTGAACTAGATTGCCCTCAACAAGGATACATAGCTAACATGTTCACAATTAGACCGCCGCTGGGATGCCGACTTCGTTACCCTCTCCAAGCTCATCAAGAACGGTTCCCTTGGCCGCATCTCCGAATTCGAAACCCACTTCGACCGCCACCGTCCCGAGGAGCCCGCCGCCGATGTCTCAAAGTGGAAGAACAAGGTTATTCCCGGTGGTTCAGCCGTTTTTGACCTCGGAACCCACCTTCTGGACCAGGCTGTGCACCTGCTCGGTCTGCCCAAGCGCGTAACCGGATTCATTGGTTCCGCGCGCGAGGTGAACCAGTCCGGGTTCGAGGACTCTTTCACTGTGCTGCTGCACTATGCCAATGGAACTCTGGTTACCGCCAAGGCGACCGTTGTTAGTCCCGAGGAAGAGCAGCTGCGATTCTGGGTCCGTGGCGATAAGGGAAGTTTCAAGAAGGTGAGCATATATCCACAAGAACATAAACATGAATTAGATACTAACTGTGAGTCACTTATTAGTTCCACATCGATATCCAGGAGGATCAGCTCAAGGCTGGTATCATGCCTGAGGATCACGGCTATGGCCGCGAGCCTCAAGAGCGCTACGGTACCTTGACTACCATTAAGGATGGTAAGCCTGTCAGGGAGGTTGTCCCTACTGTTGAGCCTCCTACCTACACCGAATACTACCGCAAGTTCACTCGTGCTCTTGGTGGTGAGGGCCAGCTTCCTGCTAGTGGCGAGGAGGCTGCCCAGGTTATTCGACTGATCGAGTTGGCTCGTGAGAGCTCTGAGACTGGTCGCACTGTTGATGTCTAGATTGGATGTATGTATGAAAAGCAACGAGGTCATGATTAGCGGTAGATAGAAAACATATGGTTGTTTCTTACTAATTATTTGTGGTAAACAACCTGTGCCCTTATACTGGAATGCCTTCTAGTACAACCACCACATGTGCATTCTGATAGCTTATCTATAGGGTAAAGGCAAGCTTATGAAAAAACTGCGGTACTAGGTAGTACATGCATCTGAAGCTGCCAGTGAGCATAGAACTTAAATGTACTCTATTATGATTTTCGTACTACTCAAGTGCTAACAATCGTCCGGGCCAGGCCCAACAGTCTATCCGCGATGGATGTCATGATGAATGTCATCAATTGATTGTGCGCAACGAGTATAAGCTTTATAACTTTTCCTTGCTGCCATACCTATCGCAAACCTTCGAACCATGGAAAAATCCAAAGTACAAAAAGCATTCAAGTTTGTACCTATACAGCCACTACAATGACGCGGCAGCCCCCAGCTCATAAGTGGCTGCCTACATGCGATGGCTGCCACGCGGCCCTCGGTGAGGTAGTTGCTGCATATGTGCGAGCGAATCATGCTCAGCGATATCTAGAATCTCGATAAATCGGACGCTATACTCATCATAGAGTTCGTTTGGCTTCGAGGGAATGCATAAGGACTCAGCCTCGAGAACTGGTCATCCGGCATATTTTTACTAAATTAAGATCAATCAAACTTACTCATTTGTCACTTTGACTTGGCATCCAATGGAAATGCCATGCGATAATGTGGCTTTGATGGCTGGGTACACCCGCATCAATGGTTATGATCAGTCGTTTTCGTGCAGCACGGCTCTGTTGTACAGCTTTTGGACAGGTACCTTGTTTCAAATGCATGCAGCCACCCTATTCTGATGATTCCTAGATAGGCAATGTTTCAGTGTAAGAACATTCGAAGCTATCCAGATGAAATAAAACTGCCGTTTGGATCAATCTAGTTTGACATGGGCGCATTTGATTAAATGATTCGACATGTGGGCGGAGTTTGGCTCTGTATAGCTAATAGTATTAGGACTCGGGGTTATTATTATTTTATTTGACGACTCAAGGAACATTTTTGAAGCTTAACCCAAGTGCTAATTATCAACTAGTGGGGTTGATCGGGCCGTATATCGTAATAGTAAACAATGACATTCTCCCACAACCTTGAGCATTTCAACGGTCTTAAATACGAGACCCGCTTCGGTTCATCGGAGTATCTTACAGTGGCTTATCTGCACAACTAGTGTTTCAGACTAACCAGGTGTGAAGCTCATTGGCGAGATTTCCGCATCTGTGCTCACAGCTTTGATCAACTTAAATTTATTTGGGTATTCGAGGCTCTCTAATACCCTGTTCTCAGTCCCGCAGGCGAAACCAGCAGAACGTGGCTTGCCACGTTGTGCGTCCCTTGAAGCATATCAAACACGCCTGACCACATGGTCGCATGCGGGAGAAAGGTCCGAGCATCTAATCTTCGGATATTCTATCCTTCTTCCGCTCGCTTACTTGCTCCTTAAGGGGTGACAGACCGCTATATTAATCCCACTGACACTCTGCACAATTGAGTCAGGTTATAATATCTCGGCGATCTTAATCATATCAAGCAAAATTATCATATCGATATATGAGTTAAGGTCCAATGGATGCCAATCAACTCCCCGACTTCAAGATCTTCCCCTGTGAATATGAAGGCTACGAATCCAGCTACGACGAGAAGACAATAATCCCCAGTACCTCAATCAGTCTCAAGGCATCCTCCTCATGGACCTATTGTGGTCCCCTCCTAAGCCTTGACCCCAGAAGCCTCCCCTCATCCTTTGAGACATGGACCAACAACACAATCAAGGGATCACCACTCGGTCCATTTCTCTCCTTCTTAGAATTCGTCCATGATTTCCTAGAAAAAAACAACATATCCCACTACTGGATTACCCTTCGAGCCGATCAAGGCTCGGATAAGTTTGACATCCCACGTTGGCACACAGACGACCTCTTCTTCTCACCTCCAAAGTCTCAATCTCACCATCGCCGCTCATCCCTGACCACATTAATAAACTCCATAACAAACAGACAACACAACGACACGAAGAATATAAGCCCGGAACCCCTCCCCTCCAGCGCCCAAATAACAGCCTCATCACTCAATCCCCCAAACTGGAAACTTACAACCACGCTTCTCGGCCCAGGAACTCTCTTCATAGCACAAGAGAGCAGTCAAAAGGCCCGGGATCTTCAACGCAGTGCGCGAAGATCAGTCCGTGTCGATAACAAAGAACACACATGCGCCTCGGTACGATGTATTGCCTGTGCATCAGCCGCAGAGTCTGTCCGAACTAAACTCGCTGCTGAGTTATCGGGGTATAAGGTTATACAGGCACAGATGGGGGAATGTGTGTTTTTGCGTGTTGGACAGGATGAGGGTGCTGTGCATTCAGAACCTCCGTCGCACGGCGATCGTATCTTTGTCAATGTTGTACCTGGGACTGAGGCTGATTTGAAGAGTCTAATGGCAAGATGGGGGATGGAGTATCCGCGGGCTTGGTGTGTGGGTTTACCGGTTCAAGTACCTAATGAGAGTTAGAAAATTCGATGCAAGTTGGGCTAAGCTCAACAAGTCAAGAGTTTAATTTTGACATCATGATGTTTGAGTTGTTGATACCCCGGACCGGGTTACTGTTTGTTTGGGGTGGATGGTTTGTAGTAAAAGGTTGATGTTGAGAGCTTATGAAAAGGCCAATCTATGACAAATCAAATTTTGCAATTGATTTTTTGTTTATATTATTCATGTCGTACATCTAAAGAGAATCTAAGGAACTCCTTACCAGTTGAAATTTAATGTTAAATGCTCACTAGCAGTTCCAAGGTTCAAATGTTGTATTGATTGATTTGATTGATATACCCGAAGCTAAACCGAATCGGGTGCCACTGAGAAATTTGTGAGCCAGTGATGTGCATGGTAAACTGCTCAGATGAGCAAGTTCAATCCATCCTTAAGTATCAGTAGTAATTAGTATATCAATTCCATTCCTTCATTGTACTCCCTGATGAATAGATCGCCGAATGATCTCGGCAAAGTGGGGATGACATCATCTCTTGGCAATCCACTATTCCGGAATGGGAATTTCTGTTACTCAACACAAACTCGCTGAGTGGTAGAACTCGTCAACTACAATGGAACCAGCTGGAGCCAGTTGACAATCACAAAGAGAGCCAGCTGAGGCCTAAGCCGACGTAGGAAAGTCCGCGGAGAAATGCACCAAGTGGAGCGGCAAAGGGTTCAGTGGGGAGTACCCAAGTACATACCCATGGGCAGCAAAGGGGATCATGTCGTTATATTCAGATTCTGCTCTTATATAGCCGACATTGCCCTGGGTTTGTCGATGTACCTGAATCCTGGTACGCCCTAAGATATCAATATCAGACCCCGGTTCTTCAACTAGTACTCTGTTCGACCATTAGCCCTAGCCCTGATGGCATCATCGGCACAAGCACCAGGGGTACTCTCTCAGGTGAATTCGTGGCATTTTGACATCGATCGATATTTGAACCCATTCATTCCAGCCCCTCGATGGCATTTGGTTCCTAAACCAGTCGTCCATTTTCTGGGATATAGGAAAGAACCACCCAAGCAGTTGGGAAATATCGTCATTGCCTTTTGGTCGTTGGTGGGTGCATTTTGCGGTGTGGCTCTGGTAGCCTTGGTCTCCGAACATGTTCCCTCCTTTAAGGCTCGAGATGCACCGGCTATCATTGGCAGCTTCGTAAGTTTGAAGCTCCAGGGTGAAGTATAAAAACCTGGCTCATACTGATTATCTGTCTTCTTGCTAGGGTGCCGCCGCCGTCATCGAATTCTGTGCTATCGAATCCCCATTTGCAGCGCCGCGAAATGCTTTCTTCAGTCAGATGATTGCCTGTCTGGTTGGTGTCAGTATCTCGAAGCTCTTCGCCTTGAATCCCAACGCAGAGAACTATACATCACTTGGAGGTGCTTTGTCCTGTGGATTGACCACTGTCATCATGGTTCTCACGAATACGGTGCACCCACCGGCTGGTGCAACTGCGTTACTTGCTGTGACAAATTCCCAGACAGCCGGCCTGGGCTGGTTCCTTTTTCCAGTCATGATTTTGGGGGTCACATTGATGCAAGCGACAGCTCTGATCATCAACAACATCCAACGTCGATTTCCTCTATACTGGTGGACTCCACGACCCCTCTCACAACAACACCGAGTTGATCTCGAGAAATATGAGAAGGCAGGATCGGATGTTCCCAGCCAATATGAAGACAGCTTAAATGAGCCTCGACGGTTGGTAGTTGAACGCGACGATATGCAAGTCCCGAATGGGATATACCTGACTGAATTTGAGCGAGATGTGCTGGACAAGATCCAGGAACGTATATAGCCTCGAATGTGACATTAAGTTAGAGCAAGAATTGATATCTCAACATGAAAAGCTTTCCTGGGTATCATGATATCCGGTTGCCTTGACTCCAGAGCTCTTGTTTGGCAGTATACCTAATAATTTGTTAGGGTTATACTTGAAGGTTGAGAGTAAAATGCGGAATTCTTCCAGTGTGAGGTATCACGTATATTATCTCCCAAGCTTGATACATGTTTGTAACTGAGAGAGGAGGCAAGATGATAAGAAACATTACTTAACCCTTTCTCTGATAAGCTGTGATCAATGGACCAGTTGACTTTCACCGACTAAAAGTGGCAGAAAATACGGCAGAACTACCCGAAAGCGGTCAAATTATGACTGGCCAATGGGAACCCATATATCGGTTAGCGGTCACGACGTCATGATCTTTTCAACTGTGATAAAACTCGATAATTGTGTCTTTTACTAAGGTGAAAATTCCCATAAATTATAGATTTCAGCTTAATAATATTTCACCGTGCATAAACCACAAAAGTTTATTATTCTATTTTTTTCTTAGAAAAAAAAACTCTTCTTTTTCCTTCTCATCCTCCCCCCTCACTTCGACTGTGACGTCGAGGATTAGAGATCTCAGAGTTTTCTATCGATAAGGGCTTTCAGGCACTCCCCACCCAACTTTCGCCCCTCTACTCGCCCGCCGCCCCGCCAACTGACGCTCCACTCAAGTCTTTTTGCATTTCTTTTGCCTTCAATCTTTTCATTTACGTCTTTTTTTTTATTCTCCCCTCCCCCCCCCCCTCTCCCACCCCCCTTTTTACCTATTTCTCCAAATCACACTCGTCACAATGGTTTCCGCCTCGAAGGCCGCCCGTATGGCCAAGCGCGCTGAGACCAGCGACAAGAAGACCAAGAAGGCTGCCAAGGAGGATGCCACTGAGGCCACTGAGCAGCCCGCTACCTCCGATGAGAAGATGAAGGAAGTTGAGAAGCTCACCCAACAGATGGACAAGCACGGTCTGTCCGATCGTGTCACCACCGGTGTGCTTTCCTCCCTGCCCTCCTCTCGCGATGTCAAGATTACTTCCGCTTCCCTTGTGTTCCACGGCAAGGTCCTCGTCACCGACTCCACCCTCGAGCTCAACTTTGGTCGTCGTTACGGTCTGCTCGGTGAGAACGGTTGTGGAAAGTCCACCATTCTCAAGTCTATCGCCCAGCGCGAGTACCCTATCCCAGAGCACATCGATATCTACCTCCTTAACGAGGGTGCTCCTCCCAGTGAGCTCGGTGCCCTCGAATGGGTCGTCCGTGAGGCTGAGAACCAGCTGGCTTCTATGGAGAAGAAGGCTGAGGAGATCTTGGAAGAGGAGGGTCCTGAGAGCCCTATCCTCGACGATCTGTATGATGTAAGTGTTATCATTTTTTTTTGTCAAAAAAAAGGCAGGACAAGAAGAAAAATTCAAAAAATCGAAGGAGAAATAAGAATCATTACATGCTCATAACTAATACCTCGATAGCGTATGGACAAGCTGGATCCTTCTACCTTCCACACCCGTGCCTCTCTGATCCTGACTGGTCTCGGTTTCAACAAGACTACCATCCACAAGAAGACCAAGGACATGTCTGGTGGTTGGCGTATGCGTGTGGCCCTTGCCAAGGCCCTTTTCGTCAAGCCCTCTTTGCTGCTGCTGGACGACCCCACTGCTCACTTGGATCTCGAGGCCTGTGTGTGGCTTGAGGAGTACTTGAAGAAGTGGGACCGTACCCTGGTCCTCGTTTCCCACTCCATGGATTTCCTGAACGGTGTCTGCACCACAATGCTGGACATGCGTATGAAGCAGCTCCTGTACTACGGTGGTAACTACGACTCTTACCACAAGACTCGCAGTGAGCAGGAGACCAACCAGGCCAAGGCCTACACCAAGCAGCAGGAAGAAATTCAACACATCAAGAAGTTCATTGCTTCCGCCGGTACTTACGCCAACTTGGTCCGTCAGGCCAAGTCTCGCCAGAAGATTCTCGACAAGATGGAGGCCGATGGTTTCATCCAGCCCGTCATCCCCGACCGTGTCTTCACTTTCCGCTTCGCCGATGTCGAGAAGCTGCCCCCTCCCGTTCTGTCCTTCGACGATGTCAGCTTCTCCTACTCTGGTAACTGGGATGACACCCTCTACGAGCACCTGGACCTCGGTGTTGACATGGACTCCCGTACCGCCCTGGTCGGCCCCAACGGTGTTGGCAAGTCTACTCTGCTGCGTCTGATGACCGGCAAGCTGAGCCCCATCGGTGGTCGTGTCAGCCGTCACACTCACTTGAAGCTCGGTGTCTACAGCCAGCACTCCGCTGAGCAGCTTGATCTGACCAAGTCCTCCCTTGAGTTCGTCCGTGACAAGTTCCCCGAGAAGTCCCAGGACTACCAGTACTGGCGCCAGCAGCTGGGCAAGTACGGTCTCAGCGGTGAGTCCCAGACTGCCATCATGGGTACCCTGTCTGAGGGACAGAAGAGTCGTATTGTCTTCGCTCTGCTTGCCATCGAGTCCCCCAACATGATTCTGCTGGACGAGCCTACCAACGGTCTGGATATTCCTACCATTGACTCTTTGGCCGATGCTATCAACGCCTACCAGGGTGGTGTCGTCGTCGTGTCTCACGATTTCCGTCTTCTGGACAAGATTGCCAAGGACATCATGGTCTGTGAGAACAAGACTATTCGTCGCTGGGACGGCTCCATTGGTGCTTACAAGAAGCACCTGCGTGAGAAGATGATCCAGGCCGGTGCTGTCTAAGACAGTACTCTTGTCGCTTCCGGTTATCCCTCTTACGGTTTTTCCTATATCTTGATGACGACGAAACGCTAGACGAGAATCGAAGGATAAAAATGCTTCGTGCTCTTTTAAAAAGTTCAGAATCCCCCCCGACCTGCAACATTAGGTTCCGGTCCTATACTTCCCTCCAAGTGCAGGATCACGCCGCTGCATGCAGGCCAAGCAGATTCTCGATTCCCTTTTTATTTTACTTTTTTTTCCTTTTGGTCTCTTCTCATTTAGATCGGTTGGTCCCTGTTCTCCCTCGTTCTTTGCACTAGAAGTGGATATCAGAGGGGTTGGTTGATCGTTCGGTCTTTTTCATTTGTTCTATTTGCCCTTTTTCGTTTGAGACGTTTGATGTGATGAAATTCATTCCTAGCCACCATTTCCATCCACGGTGGACTCGGAGGAATGTATACCTGTGCTTCGAGTATATTTTCCCCCTTTTGCATGTTGTTCTATAGAGTAACCGGTCGATTCTATCTGGACGAATTCCGGGTAGGGCTGGTTCTTGTTTCTGCTGTTCTGGATCGATGTATCTATGGATCTTCTGATTTGAATAAAGAATGGCTTGCTATTAGATTTGCATTGTATGATTCAAAGTCTATATAGACTCGCACCTAAGCTCCAATATTCTCAGGGCTAACCTTCGAAGTGCACTATGTACTGATTGCTACTAGTAACATGGAATTAAGTGTTTATATCCCGTCGTCATGTGTATACTGTGCATGTGCCTGACCTGCGGCTGTACCAGTCACAGAATATCTCTGAACTTGAGGCTGTACCCATATCCATATACTCTGCCAGTGGCAATTTCCCGTACCCTTTATGACAGGTTGAACTTGACTCCTCTTATTCACACCAGTCTGAATCTGCCTAGTAATACATATTTAATGAAAAGAAAATCATTTAGTTTCCTGATACCACATCATATACTTTACCCCACCGCTCCTCAAGCGGGGTAGACTTTCAATGTTATTTCCTCTGAAGTAGGTGATTTCAATTATCCATACTTCGATACCGACTTCGATCTGATTTCTTCACAAGAATGACTCAACCAATCAAGAATGTCATGATCATGGGTGTGAGTAGTTAATCATACCACCTAGTATTCTGCTGAGAACGTGCACACTAATTAAAGAATCCAACAGGCCGGAGGTCTATTTGGCACCGAGGTATTAGTCGCGCTACAAAGAGAAGATGTATTCAATCTGTCAATTCTTTCACGAAAATCATCAAAATCCCTCCTTCCACCTGGGATCAAGGTTGAAAAGGTGGATAATGACTATCCTCTCGACCAACTTCTCAATGCCTTCCAGGGCCAAGACGCCCTTATCTCGACACTGCCCTGTAGCTCTTATACAGTTCATCTACGCATGATCGACGCTGCAATTCGGGCAGGTGTCAAGCACTTCATTCCCACAGAATATGGTAACAATACTTGCACTACAGCAGCTGAACTCGTTACGCTCTACGAGGCCAAAGCCAAAATTGCCGCTTACCTGAGAAGCAAAGAAATTACAGGTTTGACCTGGACGGCTATTCACACCGGTCAATTTTTCGATTGGGGAATTGGAAGTGGATGGCTCGACTACCATCTTGAGGAAAAACGCGTTATGATCTACGATTCTGGGGATAAAATGTGGTCAACCACGAACATCGGGACTGCGGCTACAGCTGTGGCCAAGGTGCTATTGGATACTGAAAAGACCAAGAATAAGGCACTCACTATTCGTGGCTTCGTTCACAGTATCGCAGCAAAAGGTTCTTGAGGCACTGGAGAAGGAAACTGGAACCACATGGAAGGTCGAGACTATGTCTTCGGCGGATGCACTGAAAAGGGCTGCAGAGCTTGACGATAAGGACTATTCAGATGGGTTGAAGCTGCTTATTCCGAGGTCTCATGCTCCTATATACAGATGATGCACACAGAGGAGCAAACTTTGAGAAGTTTGGCTTGTCTAATGAACTTCAATGTTCTTGGACTACCCGGACGAGAGCCTGATGGAAGTCATCAAGCGCATCAATTGTGAAGAAAACTTGAGTTTGTTCGTCGTACGTAGTGACAAACTTGAAGCTCCACCTGGGCAGTTTGAGTGTCTGCTTTGGCTATGTTATTCCCGGGCCCGTTGTCAAGTTCCTAGAGAACCTTGGAAACAAAGCCGTCAAAATATTGAACCTTCAAGTTCCAACATTTGAAGGTTGGAAGATTGTCGTGGCACAGGTGGAAGCAAATTACACATGTGCATCCACTTGAATATATCTTCAACCAGATTCAAAATGTTGTGGAATTTACTAGTAGTAGTAGTAGTAGTGTCACGATGAACATTTCTCCGAGTCGCATCTTCAACAAGGCCGTTCAAGTTGAAAAGCCCTTTATTCAAATGTTAGATGTGCCCTTTCTATGTTTTTTCTATTTCTAATAGTTAGCAAAATGGATGGGCTATGGGGAGCTGATTGGTGCCTTGGAAATCAGATTGAAGCCAAACGTGCAAACCCTAGTATAACTTTGCTCCATTTTTCCCGCCATAGTATGCATTAGTTGAAGATCTAGGAGCCAGAGGAGAAGACCTGTGTATGAACATGTGTGGTGTATGTGCCTTGGAAGAAGTAGTGGAAGGTAACATTTGAATATCCATACGAGAAGTGGGATCAGGTGATATGCACCTGGTCCTAATATTAGTTACTACTTCAGGGGTTACTGTCACTGGCATATGCAAGGGACCATCTTTACACTCTTAATTTCTCCACGGATGAGAAAAGGGAAAACGCCTGTTTTCACTGCTTCCAAACCTTGGAACCCTCAGTTAAACCCTCCCAACAATGTTACTGTCCAGAGCGACTCGAACGCGACTACGAATGACCTTGTCATCATGCCTACGGACAAGAGCCAAGAATTCATATTCAACCAAGGGCTCCAGCTCAGGCTTAGATTCATTCTCAAGCTTGATGAGATACATGACGATTGCTGGTGTATTCAGTACACCAGCCCTTTGGTGGTTAGTAACTACTCGCGATGATACGATTCGTGACAATGCACCAGAAATTGAAACCCCTCCAGCTGAGCACTGGACCGTTGAGCCCGGTCCTTCTAGGGACCAAGTGACACGCATTCTCTCCCAAGGAGAATATTCATTCCGGGTCAGAAACATTGCCGGCGTCAACAGATATGATGGTGCTCAATTAGCTTCCAATAGCCCGTGCGAGGATCAGTTCACCCACGGCAAACTTCCTTCGCCTTGGAAAGGAGTTAACAAATGGATGGCATGGGGTGTTTTTGACGGTCATTCAGGCGTGCAAACATCAGAACTGCTTAAAAGTCACCTTCTACCCTTTGTCCAATATAGCTTGAGTCAAATTAAACCAACCTCGCCTGAAGACCTTGTACCGGATCATTTGGTACAGCACGCTATTATGAAGGATTTTATGAAACTCGATGATTCAATTATCAAAACAGCTCAGGCTATATCTGAGAGTGAAGAATCGTTGCAAGAGAAAATAAAGAAACTGGCCCCTGCTTATTCCAGCTCATGCGCTTTGCTCTCTATGTACGATTCTGCTACCAGCACATTACATGTGGCGTGTACCGGTGATTCAAGGGCAGTTTTGGGACAACAGAGGCCAGATGGCAGGCGGGAAGCAATACCATTGTCAGTAGATCAAACTGGCAAAAACAAAGAAGAAATTGCTAGGCTTCACAAAGAGCACCCTGATGAAGAACTCGAAGACATGATCAAAAAAGGACGAGTTCTTGGGATGGCAGTGTCACGAGCCTTTGGCGATCGCCAGTGGAAGTGGCCTATTGAATTCCAGAAGGATATACAACGGAGATTCTATGGTCCACCACCTCTAGTACCCACATACAATGTTCGAACGCCACCCTATCTCACAGCTGAACCGGTTGTGACAAGCACCAAAATTGATCACTCGAAGCCTTGTTTCCTAATCATGGCACCGGATGGCTTGTGGGATGTGATCTCCAGTCAGCAGGCAGTCAATCTAGTGGGGAAATGGCTGAAATTGAAAGAATCTCATAAGATGGACAATGACAGCGAATTGGAGCCAACATATGAACCGTTTGATTTCGGCCACTTCTGGAAGGAGTAAGCTGGAAATTCAGGGAGGGAAGAACAACAGTCCAAGATGAAATTGCCGCTGTGCATCTGGTGCGTAATTCACTAGGTGGAAATCATCACGAGCTGATACCAGGCCGACTTGCCTTCAGCTTTCCATCTTCCCGGCGTCTAAGAGACGATACAACTGTGCAGGTAGTTTTCTTCAATATCCCAGATCTCGAAAAATAGAATCAGTGCTAGTTCGAACATAGCATTCTGAGCTTCTAAGCATGTGCATACACTGGCAAGGGTGCAGTACTATATGTAGATTCAAGTCATTCCAAAGTTTCTTATTTGAGTTTGAATACTAGTCTCATCAGGATATCTGAATCGTTCTCATACTATGTAAGGAAATTTTTTGATACTTCAAGTGCTCAGGTTTTTAGAATGGTCGCTTAGAACAACATTAGAAATCACTGCTTAGTTCGATCAGCAACCAACTCAGGACCAAAAATATCCGAACCATTAGTTTTTAACTTTTGCTCCTGCTCCAGCTTCCGCTTCTTCGCTAATCGCTCTGATTCACTCTCCGACGTAACCTGTCCCGAGTCGGTAGCTGCTGCTGCTGCAACGGCCTGCGACTGAGCAGAATCCCGCTTCGTACTCTTCCCCTCGGGGTTCTGGCAATAGAACAACTTCTTCGCAATGCGTTTCAAATCCTTCATCTGATCTGGATCTTCGGAAAGCGGAGTATATGAGTGGAGGAGTGCAGAACATTCAGTCAGAACATTGAGTAGTTTTACGCGCAGTTCGTAGAGCGGGTTCTGCAGATCAGATTGGTCTGTATTGGTAGTTTGCGTAAGTGGACCACCAAGTTTAGTGTCAAGGTAGAATTCAGCGAGTGGTCGATCAGCGAGAAGGAAAGCAGAGAGCCATATCTGGGAAGGTGTGTAGAGGAAGTAAGCGTCCGTCATCTGGGCGGCGCATTTGAGTGTTTCGCGAGTTGTGCCGTGGGCACGGGCGATACGGTCTGCGATCGAGGAACAAGCAACTGGGGGAGGCGCAATGGATTGAAGTTGTTGTAGGAGTTGCTGGGGTGATTTATTTGGGATATGTGGTGCTGGAGGAGCTTGTCCTTGGGCGATCGCTGAGAGTTCCATGATGCCGCCTTCTAGGCCGCGGAATGGGTGTCTAACGTCAAAGGTGAAGCGCAGGCCTTGCATGATGAGGAATTCGGGTGAAATGACCTCCTCTGCCGATGTGTTTCCTGGGATGCCCTCGGCGAATTGTTGAAGAGACATGTAGTAGTTGTCTGTCTTTGTAGCGAGAAAGAGTGCGCAGGCCATGATGGATTTTGGATGATGGGTCATAGGGGAATTGGTAAGATAAAATCGGCGGAGATATTGAATTGCAGTCGCCTGTTCCGAAAATTGAGCTTGTTAGATCTAGAGCCAATGCTTCTATGCGTCACTTGGGTCCTGGACTTACTCGGACCATCGTTGGTAGTGGTGGTTTGTATGTCTCGCCCAGCTCCAGTGTTTTCTCGCAATAGTATCGAACAAAGACAAGCTCTTCTTCCGGTGTCAAACAGTCAATTGCCTTTGCCTTTTCCTCTGTTTTCTTGGTCTCCCCGTCACTCCCTGGCTGCGGTGTCCCCGCCGCGGAGGACGTGGTGGATGGCTGGGCTGAAGGCGCCCGCCGTATCGCAGCTCGAGCACGCTCGCTGGCAATCGCATTGGTCTTGGCGCGAAGCTCTTTGAGGGAAGCTTCGGTATAGGACCATAGTCGGAATTGTGATGAGGTCCGGTAAATGTCATCTTCAATCATTTTGCCCGTAGTTCACACTTCGTCTGTTTGGGCTGTAGCAAGTGAGAAAGGGCGTAGTAGGCACGAAATGGGTACCAGATGACTGTGTCTATAGTTATAGAGATTGACAAGAACTCAAGCGCGATGAAAGTCGAAATTCTGTGGCCGCCGGCGGTTCCAAAAAAAAAAAGAAGTTCAAGTTGGAGAGTCGTAAGGTGGAGAAAGTGATTAAGTGCTAGGGGAAGCTTTCTTATCAGCAATGATAACCACCTGAGCACAGGGCAGTGAATGTATGAGAGTGAATAGATAGTCAAAATATCAATGATGAGAAAAATGGAGTAGACTAACAAAGATATGACAAAGGGAATCGAAACAAAAAAAAATATGAACCAAGGAGGTTAAATCACGATTCATTCAATGTTAACTGGGGATACTATTTTCCACTTATACATCCATCCCGGCATCGTACTACTCGGTATTTAAGAGCTGCATCTCTGCTTCAAGTTCAAGTTTATTTTGATAATTTGATGCCCTGAAAATTACTACATATGTAGTACCAGATACTTGATATACAATAGCACGTTCTATGAGGAAAAATTGAAGATCATTGTTCAAACTTCAAGTTCAACTTGAATTACTAGTATTACTAGTGTTCAAGTTACTAGTACTAGTAGCGCTAGTGCATATATACTTAAGTTCAAATGTTCAAATGTTCAAGTTGAAATGCAATTGACTCCGATTCCTAGAGATGCCCAAAATGTTGAAGTACTACCACCATCTCTAGCTGAACAAGGATGTCGTTCAAAATCCATGGATGTTTCGAATGAAATGCAGGATCAATCATTGATTGATCGAATGGGATCGATTTCGATGACGCGGGCCAGAGTTTGTCTTCTAAGTGTATCATTCATTTGCACGTAAGTATAAACAAACATGGTATGCTGAATCAGCGGTCCAGATATGTAAAACTATTCTCCAAGTAAACGAGTTGTAACGTCACCCATTTGACCTTCCGAGAGTTCATGATCCATGCCACCGTTTCGTTCAATTCCAACGTCTCGGAAAGCTGCCACAACGCGTGCTATATCAAAGCCCATACCGCCGAAGCGATCGACCAAGTCTCGATTGTATCCGTCATACCTGATTATGTTAGTAAATAGCACCCAAGCAAGTATGTGACGAACTACTTACTGAGCCAGGTCGTCATAGGCAGTCTTCGCTGCATCTTGATGATCTACACTGCCAGCTCCAGCACCGCCCTCAGGAGCACCTGCATATGCCACGGCCCATTGTCGTGCAACACGCTCAAACTCCTTAGGTGCCCTCAGGAGCATGTTGGCCACTTCCGCATCTTGTGGATCTTTTGGTTCGGGTGTGCTGAGCAAGGATTGCAGGGAAAGAAGCGCAGATTTGATGGTCAGAACTGGCGACCACGCGCTTGAAAGAGTGTCAAGACATATAGCACCCTACAGATACATGGTGAGTTTCACTTTTGAGGAAGAATGGCGTCATTCGTGTTTGTCTTACTGTCTGGCTGCTGACATTCGGGTGCCAAACCTTGGTCTCGAATTTCATGACTGGGGGCCTAAAAGGGTAATCGGTTGGGATCTTGATATCGACATTATAGGTGCCTCCCTCATATGGAGTACCCGGGGGACCTGGAAATGACCCCCGCAGATGTGTGATATCTTCTTGGTCGTTCACAGGGACCGCCGTGATCTGGGACTTGGTGTCGGCATGAATGTCGGCCATCTCCTTGCCAATTCGGCGCATTCGATTACCAGCCATGGCGAGATGTATTCCTTTAACCAAAGTTATTTTGGTAATGGAGGAGCGAAAATATCAGGTCGAAGCAGCGGATTGTGTTGTTGACGAGGGATAGATGAGCTTATGCTAAGCTACTGTAGGAAAGTCCAAGGGATCGAGGATCGGGTTCAGACCGAAGGGTTTAGAACCTGCATAATATAGAGTCAATACAAATTCGCTTAAAATTTCCAAAAACAAGTCCCCATTTAGCTTTATACAGCTTAATCCATTTGTTTCCTAGCTAAGACTGCGAAGATACGGCGGGAAATCCGAACAGCCTTACCAATGGAGGGGAACTATGAAGGGAGATCAGTTCTACTTACAGCTTCCAGAAAACTCCGCTTGAATTCAGTAAATCCCAGGTACTCGATTGGAATGATAGAAAATCTGCAGGAACTTGTAAACGGTATATATTTTAGTCCGAATTCGAATAATTGACCTGTTTCCTCCCGATGTTGAACATTTAGCGCCGGGGATTGCGGGCAAGGTTAATAAGGCGCCAAGGCATCAATGACGCAGGGCAATCTGATGCCTAAGGCATCACAGATCACGTGAATATGGCAACAGCTTCCAGCTCTCTCGGACCCCCGAAGCTGTGACACGCAACTGCATTGACAGCCCATCTTTCCCAATCCTCTACATTCATCTCGATCTCGCTTTACAGAGCTTGGATCATCGTCAAATACCATAGTATCTGCAGATTTCCATTCAAATCCTTAACAGCGTTCTTCTTGCTGGATTACAAACATGGTTGGTCACCCTGTCTACCCGCCGGTTCTGTTCGCCCCAGCTGACAAGTCATCAAACAGGGTAACCAGCAGTCGAACATGGGCGGTGGCCCAGGTGGTGATGGACGCGATGATAAGGATAAGAAGGTACGCTTTTCTGGTTGGTATCAGTCCCTTCACCCGACCCTCTCTAACGACTTGACATAGCAGAAGGACAAGCCCAGATACGAGCCTCCTCCACCCCGACCACTCGCATTGGAAAGAAGAAGCGCAAGGCTGCCGGTCCTAGCACAGCCGCCAAGCTACCAGACATTTACCCGACTTCACGATGCAAGCTCCGATATCTTCGAATGCAGCGAGTTCATGACCACTTGTTGTTAGAGGAGGAATACGTCGAGAACATGGAGCGAATGCGCAAGTCTAAGGCCCAAGCAAGTCAGGGTCCTGCTAGCCAAGGTGACTTGGATGTGACGGATCGGAATGCGGATGAGCGAAGTCGAGTCGATGACATGCGAGGTAGCCCAATGGGAGTGGGTAACCTTGAGGAGTTGATTGACGACGACCATGCCATCGTTTCTAGCGCCACTGGCCCCGAGTACTACGTTTCTATCATGTCATTTGTTGACAAGGATCTTCTCGAGCCTGGCGCTAGCATTCTTTTGCATCACAAGTCAGTATCAGTCGTTGGTGTTTTGACTGAGGAATCGGACCCGCTTGTGTCAGTGATGAAGTTAGATAAAGCCCCCACTGAGTCATATGCCGATATTGGTGGTCTGGAGTCCCAGATTCAGGAAGTGCGTGAGTCCGTGGAGTTGCCATTACTACACCCCGAGTTGTACGAGGAGATGGGTATCAAACCACCTAAGGGTGTCATTCTGTATGGTGCCCCTGGTACCGGAAAGACCCTTTTGGCCAAGGCCGTCGCCAATCAGACCAGTGCCACTTTCCTCCGTATCGTTGGAAGTGAGCTGATTCAGAAGTACCTTGGTGATGGACCACGGTTGGTCCGTCAAATTTTCCAAGTTGCTGCTGAGCATGCTCCATCTATTGTCTTCATTGATGAGATTGACGCTATCGGTACAAAGCGATATGACTCAACTTCTGGTGGTGAGCGAGAAATTCAGCGGACTATGCTTGAATTGCTTAACCAGCTGGATGGTTTCGACGATCGTGGCGACGTTAAGGTTATTATGGCGACCAACAAGATTGAGACTCTGGATCCTGCTCTGATTCGACCGGGTCGTATCGATCGTAAGATTCTCTTTGAGAACCCTGACCGTAAGTTGCTCCCCGATTATGATGTTGGTAATATCTATGGAATACCTGTTCTAACCGAATATTAGAAAACACCAAGAAGAAGATTTTCACCCTGCACACCTCCAAGATGTCTCTGGGTGACGATGTGGATCTGGATGAGTTCATCAACCAGAAGGATGATTTGTCTGGTGCCGACATCCGTGCTATTTGCACTGAGGCTGGTCTCATGGCTTTGAGAGAGCGCCGTATGAGGGTGCAGATGGAAGACTTCCGTGCTGCTCGTGAGCGCATCATGAAGACGAAGCAAGATGGTGGCCCAGTGGAAGGATTGTACTTGTAAGCGCTGACCCATGCTCCAGTAAGGGCTATAATCTGCCGACATGCGTGGTGGAATGCTTTTAGAGCATCGAGCTGTGTATTTTAATGGACCGCATTCGAATTTATGGAGGAATGGTATCAATCATCGAAACCATCTTTTACTCGTAGTATCTTTTTATCATGAACGACTTAACTTCAGCAAATTAGTATTTTGATTTATTGAAGTCAACGTAGTACAATATCCAGGGCTGACTGTGGTGGACACTATCCACATCTCAGTGATCAGCCGGCTGCAAACATTGCAAACAAGCTCGTTCTTATCGGATTAGAATCAAGAATCAGAACTTGCGTCAAGTCAATTCCTCAAACCTCAACAAAATGGACGAATTTGACGAAGAAGCATTCAAAAAGTTCTTCCCTTCCGGGTTTGGAAAGCAGGAGGCGGCGGTTGATGTTGAGTCTCAGATCAACCGGTCCAAAAGAGCAAAGGTTGTTGCCCAGAAGCCACCTACAGATAGTGAGGCGCAACAAGTGACCGCGCTCCCCGAAACCAAACCAGAGCAAAGAGCCCAAGAACCCAATGATAGCGATCACTACTCTGACGATGACGATGACTCGGAGGATTCTGACGACGAGGATGAGTTTCCTGTCTCGCATGAAATGGTCCTCAAGACCCATGAGCGCGCAGTGACGACTATGACACTGGATCCTTCCGGAGCCCGACTAATAACAGGCTCTACCGACTGCACATTGAAACTTCACGACTTTGCTTCTATGACACCATCTACAATTCGCGCTTTCAAATCAGTCGATCCGTCAGTGAAGAAGGGCTCTGCCTCCCAAGATACACATGCTATCCACTATGCTGCATTCAACCCATTGTCGCCCAGCCACGTCCTCGTTATTCCCGCGACTGCACAACCCCGAATCCTGAGTCGAGATGGCGAGACATTGACGGAATTCGTTAAGGGTGATATGTATTTGCGCGACCTCAACAATACCAAGGGACACATTGCAGAGGTGACTAGTGGAGTTTGGTGTCCCTCAGACTACAATCTCTGTGCTACTGCTGGATCAGATAGCACTGTGCGTATCTGGGATGCTAACGTGGGCCGCTCGCAAAAAGAAGTGATAATGCACAAATCGAAAGTCGCTGGGTCTGCTGGCCGGACGAAGATGACAGCCGTTGCCTGGGGCTCACCAAAGCAAGGTGGATCCAATGTCTTGGTTACTGCCGCTCTTGATGGTAGCTTGACAATGTGGAGTGGCAATGGGCCATTCCATCGTCCTAGCGCCGAAGTCCGTGAGGCTCATACTCGAGACACATGGACTAGTGGACTGGATATCAGTGCCGACGGACGACTTGTTATCAGCAGAGGCGGAGACGATACTATTAAGCTCTGGGATACCAGAAAGTTCAAGACACCGATTACAACCGTGTCGCATACCTCTACATCTGCTCGATTCCCGACATCAAATATTCAGTTCTCCCCAACATCTGCGAATATCATTGTGGGCTCGGAAACTGGCCATTTGCATATCCTCAACCCGGCCACTCTGAAACCTGAGCTTGTCACTCCCGTCACACCTGGCTCGGCCCTCATCACGGTTCTGTGGCACGAAAAGCTCAATCAGATTATCACTGGGTCTGCTAATGCGGAAACGCATGTGCTCTACAACCCCACGATGTCCACTAAGGGTGCGGCTTTGGTCATGTCCAAGGCACCCAAACGTCGACACGTGGATGATAATGCTACACTTACTACGGATCTAACCAGTGGACTTTCTGGTGACTCTGTGGTTGTTGGATCTAATGGCGTTCCCCAATATACATCGGCGACCTGGTCTGCTCGTCATCCTACTGTGGGCCTCACGGCGTCTGGTCGTTCGCGCGATCCTCGTCGACCTCACATGCCTGCTGTGACGCCATTTGGGAAGAATCAGCCTGATGAGAAACATATCCGAGAAAGCATTCCGCTCAGTTCCATGCGAGACGAAGATCCTCGCGAGGCTCTATTGAAGTATGCAGAGAAGGCCGAGAAAGACCCGATCTTCACCAGGGCATATAAGGAGACCCAGCCCAACGCAATTTACGCAGAGTTGAGTGATGAAGAGGAGGATAAGGGCCCACAGAAGAAGAAATTCCGAAGATAAGATGTTAAGACCCAAAATTGGTCCCCTGTAATATAGTTCGTCTGCATCTGTCGATTGGATACAATCAATATTAAAGTCCATTTCATGACATCCTGTTATCTTCTGTTCATTTAAAAATCTATTACCCTTTAAATTATTATCAGGAAATGTGTGCATGGCTCTTCTCCTTGCATTTCAAGAATGTTGGCCCCCTCTTTCGATATGCTGTATGACGTCCTCCCAAGACTTCAGTAGCCGCTCGATCACCGCTAGACGACTTGGGCCCGTCCGAACCACCAATAGAATGAACAACTCCACATGAGTTTTGGCCTTGACCTCGCATAGATTCGTCAACACCCATTTGAGAGTTGTTTTACTAGGGACATTTAGTTCCCGGATTTTGTTCTAGTCTCGAAGTCTAGAGTAAGGAGTAAGCCCGTTGCTGACATGAGCATATCTCTCCGCTTCCAAGGTTTAGACTTATCTCTCCTAACCTCTAACAAAGCTCCCAGCAACATACAGGAGATACTGTCAGCGCTGGCAGTCGTGGGAAATTCCCATTTGCGTCAACCGAAATGCTGTCATTTGCGACTTGATATGCGTTTTCGTTATTGACGGGCTGATTTGAATCAATAATCCATTTGGAGCGGCTTCAACTGTGACTTCGGACTTTCGGTCGGTACCCCGATATTCACCATATCGGTAGAGGAATTCAGATTCGAGTATCTCGCCTCCTTACGGTTTTTGGTTTTTGGTTTTGGTCACCCCACACGCCTAGATGGACTATTCACAGCGGCCCTTAGGAGTGGGCTCTTACGGGTCTGCCACTATCGCGCCGTCCACAGTTACCCCGTATCTCCACGCCTCCACGCCGCATCCCACTTTTGCGCCCTCCCTCTTTACATCATTATTATTTCTTTTCGATGGCGAAAATGAAGGGGAAATGCATCAGTGGTCTTCACTGATCGGTATTGTGACTGCTTTGATTGGCAATGTCCTGATATCTTTGGCCCTCAATATCCAGCGATACGCGCACATTCGGATCGCCCGCGAATATGAGCTCGATAAGCTACATAAAGAAGACGGATGGAGACGGTCAGATTCTAGTGCTGAGGCTTCTGGTCAATACGGTTCAGTGGGAGAAGATGGTGCTCGGGGGCGACTACCGCCACAGGGCAGGCAGAACGGCAATCATCAACACTTCGAGGCTTATCGTGACGAGGAAAATGAGGACCAAGCACCTATTCCTAGCCGAGATGAAGGTCAATCATCAGAGAGTATGCACGCTTCCTTTACATCTGACCGGACTGCTCGTCCGGAAAGTGTGGACGAACTAAGTGATCGCAAGTCGTATCTTCGGTCACCATACTGGTGGGTTGGAATTATCCTCATGTGCCTCGGTGAAACAGGAAACTTCATGGCGTATGGATTCGCTCCCGCATCGATTGTTTCGCCTCTTGGTGTTGTGGCCTTGATCTCGAATTGCATTATTGCGCCTTGCTTGCTCAAGGAGAAGTTCCGGGGTCGGGATTTATGGGGTGTACTTATCTCCGTCGCTGGTGCTGTGGTGGTTGTTCTGAGCGCTAAGTCATCCGAAGAGAAGCTGGGCCCTGATGAAATTTGGGCCATGATCACTACGTGGGAGTTCGAGCTTTATCTGGGGTTGACGTCTGCTCTGATCCTCGGTCTCATGTGGGGAAGCTATGTGTATGGTCCACGGTCGATCCTGATTGATGTCGGTCTCGTGGCGCTGTTCGGTAAGTCTACAACCCTGTCACTATTCAAAAATTGCAATGATCTACTACTAACATGATAAAATAGGTGGATATACCGCGTTGTCTACTAAAGGTGTTTCTTCGCTGCTGTCATTCACTCTTTGGCACGTTATCACATTTCCCATTACATACCTGCTTGTTTTCGTTCTTGTTTTCAGCGCGGTGATGCAAATCCGTTATATCAATCGTGCTTTGCAACGCTTCGATTCCACACAGGTGATTCCAACTCAATTTGTACTATTCACCCTCTCTGTGATCATTGGAAGTGCAGTGCTGTATCGGGATTTCAACTCCATGTCAGCTGCTCGCGCAGGGAAATTTGTGGGAGGTTGCTTCATGACCTTCCTCGGAGTTTACTTCATTACGAGTGGTAGAGTTCGATCAGATGATGAGTCTACATTTTCCACAGAGGACGAGGAAGAAGCCATTGGCTTGTTGGATGGTGAAAGATATCAAGACCGGGTTGATTTATCTCCCCCGAACCAGTCTCTAAGAGCAGCGAAGAATGTGCAGGTCCCTGAGATTGGCCACGAAGAAACAACATCGCCTCCAGGCTCTCTTCTGAGTCATGGTATTGATGGGGTCGACGATGATGAGGTCACCCCTCGCGGTGCTCTTTCTGTAGCACCATCCTCACTAAATGGCTCCTTGGCGGCCGATTCGGCTATATCAGGACCATTATTCGATCACAGTTCACCATTGCGGCCTGCTTCTCGTATGTCAAATCCATGGGCAGAGTTCTGTGACGAGACTGTTGCTTCTACTAAATCAGATCCTGAAACGCTTCGACCCATCACCCCGCCGACTCAGGGTAACCTTACAGAGTCAACAGTACTCTTGCGATTTCCTTCAGCTCCAGGCATCGAAGAGGGCTCACCAGCTACCAATTCCCCCAATGCTCGAAGGGCTTCTACACCTGTCGTGGGTGGTGCGCCGTTACTTGGTGGAAGAGCTCACACGAGTGCCGAAACACCTACCCGGCGCGTTCTGCGTAACTCCATATCACATCGATTCTCACCTGGCCCCATCCTTCCTACACTCTCAGGTGGATTCAGTGCTGTTGTGGCAGACTCTCTCCTGCGTGGAGAGGGAAGCCCTTTCAAAGACCGCTCTCGACGAAGAGCAGCCCGTCGGAGACCACTGGAAGGTGCTTTCGGTGACAGTCCATATCGCGACCAGGAAGGAGATGTCGGTCCGCTTGGTGAATCCCATGATAATGATACTTCACTCACGCTCGCTACGGCACGACTCCAGTCTGCCACAGATCTGGCTACCCCTCCAGCAGAGGGAGGCCGTTCAACTCCTGCGCTCGCTACCGAAATCTACAATCCGCCTACCCAAAAATCAAACGAGGAGACTACACGTCTCCGCAGCTTCAGCGACTCATGGAGTGGTGGCCTCGCGTGGCTAGGCGGCGCATTAAGGAATACAACCCAGACTGAGACCATTGATAGTGGTGCGGCGACTCAAGGAACTGCCACGCCGCAGAATGCCGCGACAACGTCTGCCGATGCGTCTAAGACAGATAGCTCCACTGCTGCCGAATCGTGATCATAATCGCATCAAGGGGCTTATCGTACCTCAATTATCTCCAAATCGTACATTTAGAGTGGCTGGGTCACTCACAGTATACATACACCATGCAGCCTCATCCTTGGCTTTCCCTTTTCTCTTCATTCGATCTTTCTTCTATCTTTTCGTGGCATAATACCTGGGTTGTAATCAGCATTGCATTTTGCGGGGTATATCCTTCAAGCTCTTTCTTTTCATGGCTCAGCATTTAATATCTTTCTCTGTCTATTCTCTCACTTTTTTTCTGTTTCATACCAGGCGGGTTTGCATCGTGGGTTTTATGCGGCCTCATCCCTCATCTTTTGTACAATCCTACATCTCCTTTAACCGAATTAATCTTCAATCTACAAGAAAATACCATTTTCCATTGAGTCCTTGGCAGTATTGAGGGGATAAATTTTTATTCTCTTGCATGTTTCAGCCATCAGCCAGAAGTACAATGCACCTTGGCAGCATGGAGAATGAATTAATTGGTGGAAAAAGATATCAACTATTGACTACGCCCACAATATGCATGTCGCAGTATGTGCACATGTGTAGTCAGGCTGCACAGTGTCGAATGTACTCAAGCTACCCTCGAGCTTACACTGGCACATGCAGTGCATGGCCTACGGAACAACTTCGGTTCTCCTCATTAGCCACTTCCCCTCACAATATAATCTATTTACCCGATATCAGGATATCATAAGAGAAATAATCTACACATAGGACAATCCGCCGGGCCCCGAGGCTTGTGAAGTATACTAACCCCACAAAACCTTGCATGATGCCCCACGCGGGGACCGTCCTCCGTCTCGTTATAGTCCTAGCGTGGTCTGTATACTCTGATTTATCCATTCAGCCATCATTAACCTGCAGCACGCAGATAGCCCCGTGATAATTTGATCTCCAATACCTACAGATTCCACGCCAATGCTCGATCTAGTACTCTCGGTTCCACAATGACGGGGTACGCACGGCCTGATTTTGCTTTATCGGGTGGTCAATTTGTTATTTATCCCGCAGGTGAAATGAGGAGATAGATATTAACGGTATATCTCCGGCGTGGATTTTTTAATCAAAAAGCGAGCTGCCCCCTTGATGTGCGTCAATTGATCTGCTAGGGGGAAAAGAATTCCAATTCTTGCTTGGATACACGGTTCGGAATTGGTGCATTCAACATTGGATCTCTACTCTGAACTGTTTGCGAAATGTTGATCAAAAATTTCTCCAAGAGCCTTGGGCTCTTGCAGCTGCTTGGGACATTAGTTTCTGGTACATCGGCTTCTTCATCGAGCAAACCACTCTACAAGGATGCCAGTGCACCAGTGGAAGAAAGAGTCAAGGATTTACTGGGAAGGATGACAATTGAGGAGAAAATGGCCCAACTGATGCAAGGTAATACCTGACAGCAGCTCCCAAGCATCGCAGCTTTCTAATTCCCTCTGTCTCTAGGTGATGTCACGAATTGGTTGAACGATACCTCCGGCGCATTCAATTACAGTGGGTTGGTAGCAAATATGGAGGAGAAGGCCGGCATGTTCTATGGTATGCAATTCTTCAATGGAGCTATGAATATGTGTGTTGGTGGATGCTAAGTGATCCTGATTATAGTGGGCTACCCAATTTCGTGGGAATGGCTCGCGGAGAATATAAAGAGAGGCCAGGATTATCTGATGCAGAATACTACTCTTGGTATTCCGGCATTGGTTCAAAGTGAAGGTGAGAAAATAGATTATACGACGAAGAGAAGAACTTGAAGCTAACCAGTTTGATTACAGGTCTTCATGGCTTTTTGATTGGCAATGCTACTATTTTTAATTCTCCCATTGGCATTGGGTCCTCCTGGAATCCTGATGTAAGTATATTCTGTCCTGCCTCTTGCGTAATTGATTTATGTCTATTCATACAGCTAACATACCACAGCTTGTACGGAAAATGGGTGAAGTTATTGGAACAGAAGCTGCTGCTCTGGGAGCAAACCAGCTGTTCGCCCCAGAGGCTGATCTAGCTCGTGAGCTTCGATATGGTCGTGTAAGCAAGCTCATGTCTTCGAAACCTTTTATGAAAGGTGCAATGCTAACCCATATCCTTCCGATAGGTCGAAGAAACATTCGCCGAAGATCCCTTCCTAGCTGGAGAAATCGCTTATAGTTACGTCACGGGTATTCAGAGCAAGAATGTGTCAGCCATGGTCAAGCATTATGCGGCCTACAGTAACCCCGAACAAGGCTTGAACACTGGTCCCGTTCATGGCGGAGAAAGAGAATTGCGTACAACGTATGTTTGAACACTCTATGAAGATGGCCATTTGCTAATATTCTCAGATGGCTCCCTTCATACAAGCGGGCGATTATCGATGCTGGAGTATGGGGTGTGATGGCTGCGTACTCTTGGTTTGTTTCTTTCCCACCCATTCAAAATATTGGTTGCTGCAGAAGACTGACTCTGGTAGTTATGATGGAGTCCCAATGGTTGCAAACTATTTGACTCTTACCCAGATCCTAAAGGAGGAGTGGGGATACGAGGGTTTTGTCATGACCGACGCCGGTGGTAGTGACAGACTGTGCAGTTACTTCATGATGTGCGAGGCAGATCCAATTGACATGGACTCCGTGACCACACAAATGTTAGACGCTGGTATTGACGTTGAGATGGGAGGTGGTTCCTTGTAAGAGAAGAATTTTAACTCCCCGGTCGAAGATATTTCTCAAACTAACAACGAAATAGCAATTTCCAAAAGATTCCATCCCTGGTTGAGTCTGGCAAGCTTGATGTGTCCCTCGTCAATGCCGCTGTGACGAGACTTCTCCGTGTGAAATTTGAGATGGGTTTATTCGAGAGCCCATATTCGGCTGCTCCAGAGAGCGAATGGTCTTCGCTCATCAATACGGCAGAGCACAAGCAGGTTGCTCGAGATCTGGATAAAGAGTCAATCGTTCTTCTCGAGAATCACAATGAGACACTCCCTCTCAAGAAGTCCGGAAGCATTGCTGTCATTGGACCTATGGCTTATGGATTCATGAATGTTCGTTGACTCATTGATCGAACCATTATATCGTTTATGTGTCTTACTGACTATCTATAGTACGGTGATTACGTCGTTTACCAAAGCCAGTACCGAGGTGTCACTCCACTGGATGGTATCAAAGCTGCAGTTGGTGACGATGCCACAATCAACTACGCTCAAGGATGCGAACGCTGGAGTAACGATGAGTCTGGCTTTGATGAAGCCATCGAAGCAGCAAAGAAGTCCGATGTTGCTGTCGTTGTTGTAGGAACCTGGTCGCGCGACCAAGTTCAACTATGGGAAGGATTGAATGCTACGTGAGTATCGTCTCATGGCCCATAAAGTACGAATAAAAGAAAACTAATATAAACGACTACCAGTACCGGCGAAGATGTCGATGAAGACAACCTTGCCCTCGTGGGTGCCCAAGGGCCTTTGATTAAGGCCATTGTCGACACTGGAGTTCCTACCGTTGTGGTTCTATCCAGCGGCAAGCCTATCACAGACGCTTGGCTCTCTAATAGTACCTCAGCACTCGTGCAACAATTCTATCCATCCGAAGAAGGAGGAAATGCCCTTGCCGATGTGCTCTTCGGAGACTACAACCCATCGGGTAAATTATCCGTTGGTTTCCCGCATTTCGTCGGAGATCTGCCCATCTACTACGACTATCTGAACTCAGGTCGTTCGATCTGGAACTCCGGTTACCAGGAGGGTAACGGAAGCCTTGTTTTTGGGCATCAATATGTCCTCGGTAACCCCCTTCCGTGGTATCCCTTCGGCTACGGCAAGAGTTACTCTACCTTTGAATACGGTACTGTTACCGTTGATAAAAGCACTGTCAAGGCTACCGACACTATCACTGTTAGTGTTGATGTCACAAACACCGATACCACTCGCAATGCGACCGAGGTTGTTCAGGTCTACATCTCCGATGTCATTGCGACGGTTGTTGTGCCGAATCGGCAGCTCAAGGGATTTGATAAGGTTGTCATCCCCGCCGGCCAGACTGTTAAAGTACAGATTCCTATCAATGTTGAGGATCTCGGACTTTGGAACAGTAAGATGAAGTATGTTGTCGAGCCGGGTGCATTCAATGTGCTCGTTGGAAGCAGCTCTTTGGATATCAGAGGAAACACCACCTTTACTGTGGAATAATGGATGTTAGAGATCACTGACAGTCAATAACGAAAAGATAGTCAGACTATATTCTACATTTATTTCTAATAAGAAGGCTTAACACTTGTCCAGGTGCTTCTATTGTGTATCATTAAATTGTAAATTATATACGGTCATGCCCATGACCTCAGATCCATGAACTGGAATCGAGTTGCTGGCTACCAATCCGAGTCAACGGTGGAGCCTCAACCTTGGTCAATGTCAACCTTTTATATGCACGACTAGCATCTGGATTCTGGGCACCGAAAGCAATCTCAACATCCTCTTCAAGTGTCGGTGTCTCAACATCACGCTCAAGGCTCAGAACGACACCAATAGCTAGCTCATCCTCGATAACCTTCGGGTGACGCTTGGCGAAGTATCGCGCGTACTTGTATAGTGACCAGTAGCAGCTGACCACATTGACGACCGTCAAGGCGATTTTGTAGAATGTATAGTAAATTATAAGCACCTTCCAGTCGATGCGCTCATTCTTCAGTCGGAGATGGATCTCGTTGAAGAGAATGACGTTGACAAGGTACATGCCGATAGTTGCACCCAAGAGAATACCGCAGAAACTTGGGCGCACGTAGAATGAAATCGGGAGAACGAATGGAGCGAGAAGATAAATGAGAGTTTCGTACACCTGTTACAAGATATCAGTTACTGAGCTCCTATACTCGAGTTTAGGGAGAGCCATACCTCTTGGAAAACGCAGAGCTTTGCTCCGAACTCCCACCAGCCGAGCTTCCAGCTCGTAAAGATGTATTTCAGATCGTAGTACATTCCGATGACGAAGAAAAAGTTCCATCGCTTGAATCGTTGCTTGAAGACGGTCATTTCTCCGAACCCACCTCGACTACCACCACTAGCGAAAAAGACCGATGATGGTGTCTCGGTTTCAACAAACACAGATGTACACATCGTAACACGACCTCCCAGTCGACGGCATGCATCACCAAAGAACCAGTCTTCAGAAACTGAGAATCCAGGATGCTCACTAAATGTTTGCTTCAGGAACTCGGTATTCCACAAAGAAATAGCTCCATGAGGAAATGTTGCACTTCCCAACATACCAAAAAAGGCTCGTTGGATACCAGACATTTTATACTCGAGATCCTGTGCTTGTTGACAGTATGTACCCTTGGACGAATTCGGACCAACACTTTTGATCGTATATCCAACACACTTAACCATTCCATTCAACCGATCACTGACAACTGGGAAATTTGGCGGAAGTGCACAATCGTCGTCAATGAGAAGGACGTTCTCAAATCCCTTTGCAGCGTAACAGCCAGCGAACTGTGCAACAATTTTAGAACCAATAGGCACCCAGAGGTGATTCACTCCGTAAGGACGACAGACATCCTCTGTATCATCGAGGGGTGTCTGAGAATTTCCATTGGCGATGACGAAGATGTTCTCGGCGGGGAAGATTTCTACAGCTGCTCTGAGTGTTGGTCCGATAATCTGTGCGGATTTATAGCAAGGAATGAGTAAAGCTGTGTTGTTCGCGCTGTCGAATTGCTTTTCAGGATCGGTCACAGTTGCAGGCTCGGATGGGGGGGTCTTTTTCGAACAGAATGAGAAGGGGACAGAAGGCGTATCTGGAAGAAAGAAATGAATGTTAGCACTTGGTCCCATGTGGTATAGTAGGTATAATGGGACTAATCTCACAGGAAAGCCAATCCAAGTAGAATTGCCCAACCTCCTTGGATGACGAATTTGTTGCTGATAACCCAATAGAGCCACCAAACGGCACCCCGCCATAAGGGCATGCCGATGAGGACAAAATATATGAATAAAATAAAGAGTGTATAGAGACTGCCTTCGAACAATAGTCGGACCCAATACTTCCTTTGAAGTGCCACACCTCTCACTTTGGCTTTTTCATAGACATCGTGCATGCTACTCTTCCGAATATGACCAAGGGTCGAGCCGTTCGAGCTCAATGGTGGACTGGGATGAAATGCCTCTTTGATTGGTGTTATAGGCTTTTTAGGAGACTCAAGAGGAGGCGTCAACAGGCCAGTATTAGGTCGTCGACGATCATTATCCCAAACTAACCATTGAGTTAGATATACCCAAGGATTCTGAAAAGGGTTGATACATACATTGCATCTCTGGAGGGTTACTGCGTGGCCGAATGGCAGGAGGCTGTCTAGGGTTTCTTGGAGCTCTCACAGCCGAGAGACTGGCTGAACGACCAAGACGTCCATTTATCTTCTGATTCCCTGCCAGAAGATCGGGATAGCGAACCCGATCATTCTCGGGGAGAGTTTTCTCCCACTTTTTCAACTCCCATGGCGAATTGAACTTCGCTGTGGAGAGCAAGTGCTTGGGGACACTAATATCCTCCACCATTGTATGTCTGCGCACATCGTACCTTTCAGACATGAGGGCTTCCCTCAAGTATATAAACGAATGACTGGATAAAAGAATGGATGGCAATGAACTTTTACCGGGAAAAAGAATGACTTAACATGCAGTAGTGGAAAGAAAGTAGGAAGTAAAGCTATAAAAACTTGCATGGACCCGAGGTCCCTTCTATGCCAGTGCCCACTGGCAATTGCCGAAAGACCTGTGCTTCATTGTGGGCCTCTATAGAAAATGTTGCCTTGAAATAGGTGTACTCCGTAATGCAAATCTGGACTCATGAAGCAAGAACTAGATCTTGATGGGGCTAAACGTGCCTGATGTCTTATGGGCATCCTTGGAAACATTAAGACCTAATTTACGGAACCAAGATTTGCACAAATATCTTAGTCAAATTCAAGAATAGAATGGTATATAGCTTTTGATTAATTGAGACATCTCCTCTCTGCTGGACCCTTGAAAGAGACAAAAAATTGTGTGCCCATGGAAAGACTTTTCTCAAATCGAAATATTCGACCATGAGAAGTAATGGTCTTGCCTTATGGTGGATCCAATAGCGGGTCCTTGGTGAAAACAACCTCTAAATTAGCACTTGACATTGAACGAAGAGACTCCCGAGGTCATCTATGGCCCACAAATAGATTTTTGATTTAGTTCCATCGTTATTCGTGCAATTTGGATCCGATCTAGTATAGCTCTATATAGACTCGCAAGAGTATACATACTACAAAAAATCACCCAGGGGTATGATTCTCCTTTAGAGCGTCTAGTCTCTTAATCTGCATTGCTTTGTGGCATTGTGGGTAACAGCAAGAATTTCCAACTTAATTCAACTTAATTTCCGTCCGAGTCATATTCAGTCTCAGAATCTGCAATGCGAATATCCGTATTTCGTTGCTCCGTTGCTCCCGGACCAAGTGAAGAAATTTTACTAGGAGCATCGATCTGCCAAGCTATAGCCTTACGAACCATTCTTTGGTTCTAGCCAGGGGAAAAAGAGAATTACTCAATTGATCGTCATGTTTATATCCTGTTTCAATCTTGCCAATTCTTGCTTGACTCGCTATTTGGTGGGTTTTTCTATTCTCTTGGAGACCGCGTCATCTCCGGGCCACGCGAAGCCGCGCATACAATGTATGGGCTTTTCAAGCTTCCAAGTTGGTTCTAGCGAGACCCACAAGAACTATGCAGATTTGTCTTCCAAGGTTGGTACCGGCGCATCCAAGATTATTAAAAGTCAACAAGTTACCGAATCAGTGCCAATTCCAGGTACAGGTTTTGAGGCTTGAAAGTACCATGGATCAATTTTCTATGACATTGGAGCTTCTTCAACCTCTTTCAATGGGAGTATCAGAATACTTGGAGCAACATTTGAATATTTCAACTGGAAGCCAAGCAATTACTAGTAAAATAAAGTTCTAGGCACGGAATGTTGTGGGTTTCGACGTGTGTTCAAGTTCTTTTTTTTTCGGTTTATTATTAGATCTCCTTATTTTCCTTATTTGGTAATAACTGGACCATCTAAGGTTTATTCAGGTACACAAGTCGGGCACTAAAAATTTTAACTCTGCTGATGTATAAGTTATACTAAAAGGTAGTGCTTAATATCTTAACTTGAAACTCCTTGCCTGGGTCATAAGCGGGCATAGGGGTACTCCGTACGGATCCGGTACAGACATAAAAAGCCGATGCATCCGGGATAAAAGCGAGAAGCCCTAGTGACGCACGCTCAAGTGCATGAATTTCTCCACGTTACGTATCCATGTGCAAGAGCTATGACGAATCCATCTGACGTATTACAACATACGGGGTAAGCTCTTTGGGGGATCTCTCCTTTGTCATAGTCTTGCCCCAGCTTCAAATGTTGCTCTCTCGGTTGATATTTCCATTCTGATGAAGTATTCAAATGTTCAGTATGTATTTGAAGACCTTGAGGACTTGTCACGATGCATACCCATCAGTGGACCACGTCCATGGGCGGCCCGGTCACATCCGAAGGCGAGACTCTTATCATTCATATTTCCATATCCACGTTGGCACATCTTGGATCGACAGGAGTTCCAAGGCTGATGTGGAGAAAAAGATCTCTGGCAGATTGAGCCGAGAAGCCTCAAGTTGATACTGATTGACATCTATTACTCCGTAGAGAATAGAACTCCGAAAAACATGACTACATGTGGAATCCCTCGTACCAACATCCATGGGTGCGTGATCAAAGCCTGACTCGGCACCTGGGCATTGTGATACATCCCTTGAAATGTTCAAATGTTGATCATGATCGTCTGGTGGTCCACCTTGTTCTTTGTTGTCCCGAATTAGCTTGAATGGCCCCGTGAAGCGGCCCGCGGTACTTTGTCCAAGATGGACGCTCCAAATAGGTGAGCTTTGAGTCTCGTAACTTTTAAAGAGGGGGCCCACAAAAAGGGAGGGTGTTGCTTCTAAATGAAGCACAGCCATCATCATTGTAATTGGGCACTGCTCAAGTGGCTCTTAGTCCCAAAATTGAAGTCACAAGAATAGCAATCGCCGGTGATATCAAGAGGCCCGGGCTTCTGTGACGATCTTTGTTGCCCCAAGGGCTGAGTTTCAAGTTTTTATAATCACGAATCAATTTCAAATATTCTCATTACTTTCAAATGTTGGAATGCACCATTGTGTGAAAGTAATCAGATCAATGGGGCACCATGACACGCCCCTTAACCAAAAATAGCCCTATTGAAAGACCCCAGGGACGCTCAAGTTGAAAGAAAAGCTGAGACTCGATTCTCGAGAGTCAAATTCAAATGATGTTTGAACAAAGCGCGCACATAGCGCAGAAATAGGATTATTTAGTATATATATCCCGCCGCGCTCGGCTGGTGGCGACTTTCAATATTTGAACTCACCACCCGTTGACGCATTTACCAGTGTCTTTCTAACAGAAGCACAAAATTTGAACAACATCCTGTCATGGAATCCATTTTCAAGGACATCACTTCTCTCAAGGCAGCACTGGGAGAAACGCGAAGTGTAATTGTCTTTGATATAGGCCAGGGAATACCCTCGAGATGTTTGGTGTACACAAGTGACGGTTCAAAGACAAACAAGATCATTCGCGTGCCCCCACGTGAAGGCCCGGTGCGAGACAAGACAAAGATTACTGATTTCCTGTACAAGGAAGAGTTTACTCGGGTCTCTGAGTACAGTGACGCGGACTCGGAGTTGTTCAAGAAGACAACACCTAAATTTGAATGCGAAATTCAAATTGTACATGATGAAGCACTTGAATCATGGCTTCAAAGTGCGTACTTTGACGAGTGGAAAGACGAGCGATACTTTACCAAGTCAGGTACAGTTAAAGGTCAATTCAGCGAGTTAGATAGATCTAATGGCACCATATCACACATGGGACAGAGGCAGTCAACATTCATTGATGATATATTAAAGTCGATCTGAAAGGGCGTCAAGGATTGGGCTTTAGTCAACAAAACTCACTGTTGATACATGCACATGTGTGTAATCCTGGGAAAGCGCGCCGAAGATGTAAAAGCTCAAGTGCTACCAGGCACTTGCAGGAGCACAAGATCTATGAAAGTATTGCATCTCTGCATATGTGCTTTGTGAATGAGAGATTGAGTGTGTCTTGTGGAGAGGGGAATCATAGGGATGGACTTGGTTTAGTTAATTTCAACTTTTTTGATATTGATGAATCCGACCTCGGGACTCGGAGTCCTTCCAAGGTTCGAATTTCTCTTGCAATGTTGATAGAAAGTAAACACGAACATTGAAAATATATCATTACCTCTAGGATTTAAGGGGCTATCTCAGCCCCAAGAGCTCGAACCGTGGGAACAAAATTCTCAATATTCCCCTCCTACGCCGGGATACTTCCGGAGCCCTTATACTACCCGGTCCAACTATAGTCCCCCCCACCTTCCTCGACGATCAACCCAATCCCGCAGGTCGACCTCTACCAAATGCTGTACCACTGCTCCGGGAATCTGAATGGGAGGAGGACAATATCTACGATCAGGATCCTCCTAGCTGTATCCACTACTTCATAGAATGGCGGGTCACCGTCAACAACAAGGCCGTGGTGAAGGACACGGAAGAAGACCTAGTTTTGGCCCCCAGCGCTTACTGGCAGCATTTTCTGGAAAAGAAGCTACTGACTGTCCTTGGACAGAAAGTCTCTCGCAACAGAAGGGTCAGGGCTGATGACACTGCGATTGTTGTGTCAGTCAATGACCGCTCTCAGCGTGATCTGACCAAGCGTTTCAACAAGACCGACATTGTTTGGACTGCCATCGAGAAACAGCTCCGGATGTGGTCGAGTCACTTCTGTCGGGGCAAGAGACTCACGCTGAGGATCTCTTTCAACTACGTAGAGGATGACACTTCTCCATCCGCTGGACGGAACGGGGAGAAGAGAGGTAAATCTTCTGTCACACAAAGGATGCTTGATGATCGCGATGGCCAGCTAGATGCTGAAGAAAATGCATGCGGTGAGCACCCAATTTGGCGACGTGTTTATGCCATGATGAAATGTGATTCGAGTGCGTGCCATTTGGGCCCTTATTGTTGGCTGGATCCAGTGGGTAAAAAGCATTATCGACTACGTACTCAAACCCTGAGAAGGTTGGTTACCTTCGCCGAGAAAGGTGGTGTCCTGGACTCGCACAAAGATGTTCCTGATGAAATCCAAGAAGAGCTATACATGGAGGAGCAGCAGAGACTGGAAAAAGAAAAGCGCAAAGGGGTTAACATTGCCGGACCCGGAGCTCCGTATCCACCTATTAACATCAATGTTCTCCCATCCCACTCTGCTGGGGTTGACGTAACGACTTCCACTGTTAACTCAGCTGGGCCGAAGGAGATGGGTCCATTGAAAATCCCCGGGTTCAGAGACGTTGCTGTCAAAGAATACGGTGAGTGGCTTGCTTCGAATGTTTCTGATGCAAACCTCAAAGCTGCATTTCGACAAGCGTCCGAAGTTACGCTGTCAGATGGCTTTGACCTTGAGCACGTCTACAAGGACCAAAACCCGGAATTCTTGGTTGGCAAGGGGATTAAACCCGGAATTGCCCGAAGTTTTGTAGAAAATATCCGTGACTGGGTTGAGAACGTGATGAAGGCGATCCCTGTTCTTGAAGTGGTGTAGAAATAGGTTGGCGTTGATTGCAGCTCGCTGGCGTTTATTTGACTCCACTTAATTTGACTCGGATGCATTTGTTAAGAAAGATAACAAAGCAGGATGTTGCTCTATAATAATTTCAGTATTCACTATGCTTTGGGATTTGAATTGGAGTTCGGACACCGCAACCCGCGGTCTATTTGCTGTTCCCACGTTTTACTGTAGTATCCCAGACGCTCGTAAGTCAGCTCGTGTGTTTGGCCCAACGGGTCTGTCTTTCGAAGATGTCCCTTTCATCGCCTTTTAGATGCCCGAGGCCCCGTCTTCTCAGTTCGGAGAAGAACCCAAAGGCAGCGTCAAACGTTTCAAGACTCGTCCAGCCATCCCTTTTAACAAGACCTTCAATACTGTCAAAAAAATCCTGAACCTCATTCCATCCACCGGCATCGACTGAGTGGTTATGTAGTTCAGCCTGCGTGAAGCGATAGGGACAATCGCCTTGGATGCCAAGTTCATGCCAATACCTGAAATAGAAGTTGAGTGCCGGACAGAGAACGGAGAAGCGTCAAGCAACATACCTTTCAACATTAATGAGTGCCTCACGAAAGGAGACTATGTCGTCATCCCACGTATTTCCGGCCAGTTCAACCGGAAGGCGCCTGGTCTTCCCATGATCTAGATGGAATGTTCTAGTAAGCAGCGGGGTCCGTTTCTTGGTTTCCAACAAATAGAGCTGGAATAGGGTTGATTTGAAAATTTTTTGCTTGATCTGAGCTTGATGCTCAGAATCGAGATCATCAAAGTTTTCCGGGCGTCGAAGTAGAATACTGCCTTGGTAGTCCACAAGCGGGGATGGCTGAGCTTGAAGGAAAAGTGGGCCCGCCCATGACCCTTGCCAATCAATGACGGAGGTTATATGACCCTGATCCACGAATAAGTTGGAGGAATGAAGGTCTCCATGCCACAATGTGGCGCGAGTAAGGATGGGTTCAATGTCCATGAGAGAAGGAGCCACTCTGAGATACTTTTCTAGCAGCTGCAGATGCGCCTCTGGACTGTTTTGGGCCATTGAAACCAACGTAGCGTCGCTCGGTGGTTTTGGAACGGCGTAATTTCTGATCCATTCCATTTCGCGCTGGGCAACACATATTGCATAATCCTTGGGAGTTGACCCTAGCCACAATTAGCCAGTTGAATCATTACATAGCTGTAGGGCGATGCTTACAGGGACCCCTTGAGATGTCCATTGAAGCACGCTCCCTCTTCCAAAAATCCCTGTCGACAGTAGGTCCAACACTAAACGTCTCGTATACATGCTTTTTGAGTTCTGCTGGAGCCTCATTGGTGATCTTGGCGGGGACTGCACCTTCAACTGCATCTCTCGCAAAATATATGCTGCCAAAGCTGACGAGACACGGATCAGATTTTGTACATCAGAGTGAATGTGAAAGGAAACATACTGTGAAAATGACACTGAAAGCATCTTTGACTCGATATCCACCACTTCTCTCATGATGGAGAGTTTTGAATCCGGACTCAGCTCATCCCAAATCGTTCCAAGCTGCGTGCCAGTCGCCTCTTCCATAAAGATATATTCCGAGCCAGCCGGGTTATCAGTTCTGGCGTTCCAACCTAACACTCGGGGTACGGGAATTTGGAGAAAATTTCGAGCCTTGTAAGTAGATCAGCAAGCCGCCTCTTGCGCTTGGCCGTGGGATTATTAACTCACGAATTCCATTGTCGCAACTTCAGACGCAGTCGTGTAAAACGAAGGGCCGGCATTTGGGTTTGGAATTCGGGCAAGCACTGATTTTCCGTCATTCATAACCAAGCGGAAGACCTTGTTATATCCTCCCTCTGCCAACTTCGTCATCGAGACGCAGCCGCCTGAGCCAATGGCTCTGGCTGCTAAGCCTTGGAGCCCAGCAACATTGAAGGCCCGATACCTATCCTGAAGCTGCTGTTCTTCATCCCAGAGCCATCGCCCACTTGTATAACGAAAGAATTCTTCAAATTCGGAGTTGGCTGCTGTCATTTGGTTGGAGGAAGTCTTTATCGTGCGAACGGCGAGGCTTTTGCGACAGGGAGGAAGCGTAGTAGTCGCTAAGAATGATCGTGACGATGTTTGAGAAAGGGCAGGTGGTCGTAACTGATTATTAGAAGCAGAATCAGATCTCAGCCCGCAGAAACTCGGAAGAAAACGACGTCCGACACTGACTTTCATCGCTGGTCGTTACCTGTGAGTGATCGGTCCAGTTGCGGTCGGTCGTCCACTGGAGTTACTGTCTGATTCTTAGCGCTTAATAAGACAAATCATCACGCGCCCGACAAGTTCGCGCGCGAGTAACACAACTGGTCCCAAGATTCCCCCAAAGAAAACGGCTATACATGTAATCATATGAATACCTGATTATAGAGCTGAAGACTCAGTGGTGATGAAAGGGTTCTTTATCCTTGGATATCGCATGTGACGCTTTTATCAGCGGGTATCAACTATTTGCCAGTTGTCATCAAAAGAGGGGCTGCGCTGAACTTTGCGATCTCAGAAAGTAGAACTCCCGACGACTTCGTGGAAAATTCCACCAATCCAGTGATTGCAGTATCCCCTGACCATTCATATGGCTCATTATTGAGGCTTGTTCATTAACCACCTACGAGTCATGTCTACTGAAAGGCTAAAATCCCCCACCTGGTAAAGGGCCCAGTGTGACTAATTTGCGCAACATGGTTCTTTCCGGGCCGGTATTCTTTGCATCTGAATCATGAGCGGTAAACTCAGTGTGTTTATTGGCTCCTTAAAGTGTGATCGCAGTTCTCTCAAGCGCTCGAGCTAGAAATACGTAACACCAATCTTACAAATCATTATTTACCTGTTTCATCACATTTTAAGCGCCTATCTTGTCCTTGGCGCCTTTTAATAGATATATCAAGGGTCTTGGAGACCTATGTGCAGTAGGAGACATCTAGGACAACATGATTCTTTCAAAATCTTCTATTTTCAGTGCCTAATTACAATGTAAGGTATACCGGGGCAACATCAGGTCGACATGAAAACTGATATTGAATAGATGCCTATATCCATCAAAACCGTTCGTGCATTCACTGATGGTATTCCTTGGGCGAAGATATTTAAGAAAGCCGAGAACACGACTAAAGGACAGCGGATCTATCCGTCCCAAAGCCATGATAAGAAGAAAAACTTTCGACTGGATAAAGGCGCAACTATCAGCGACAATTGACAGGAGATCATTCTTCAAGCAAACAAGGACGCCGAAAACGCGGAGGTGAAGAAAGAGGCCCAAAAGGATAGTCATAGGATCCTTGCAAAATGCGTCATCGATCCGAATAACGTGGACGCAGACAAGGCAAAGTTGGACCTGGAAGCCTTTCCCAATATAGACTAGTGTATACTCGGGTACGGGCCGAGAAACAAAGTCAGTATGTCCATGGGGTAATCTGTTTTCGAAATCGACTGTACAGGCGCGCTCGAAATCAGTTTCAATTTTTTACTCTCTTCTCCTTCTTTCTCGAACTTTATTCTGAAACACACTAGCCCAACGGGTCGATTCCTAAAATACAGAATCTTAGGGACATTCAGGCTCTGTTTTTCATCTACTGTCAGACAGCTTGCTGCTTCTGAAACATACTCCTGCTTAGCCGTGATTATCTGGCTTTTGTCATTCAGGTTGGGTTCTCTGTAAAATACAATGTTTGAACCCTTCCAATATATTCTCGGCAGAACAATAGGGCCCGAGCCGAGAAGACCTGGATCTGACTTAAACGCCCTCTTTGTCTTCCTACCTAGTTATATATTATTGCCTTCCAACTTGAAGTCTTCCTAGTTCCCACTGAGCTTGACTGTTCAAATTTTATGCTTATCGATATATTACAGTACATCTGTGTTCCAAGGTTGGGGCTCAAATTTGCCCAACTGCTGGGTATGCAGTGATGCCTGATGACGAGCCTGAGACACTCCGAGTGCCAAAGTAGCAATATTTTCGACAAGTCAGCTACTTGACTGGTCATAACTGTTAACTCTGCCTTCGACATGGGAGATTCATCATCACCATCATCATCCGCGTCCCAATAACAATCCTCCATAATTACGTATTTTTATCCTCTCTCACTACGCAGACAGCCAAATTAAATATTCTGCCACTGTAGAATATTTCAAGGTTACTAGAGTGAGGATGGAATGCCTTGGAATTCCTATTGACCATCGACTGCGGCGACTCATTCGGGAAGTTCGGCCAATCCATACGAATGTAGGAGACTCTGATCACATTCGCATACTTCAAGAATTCAGAACTTCGCTCAAAGTTAAAGGGAGTGACAGTGATTACCTTACGGCATTTGATCTTAACTTCGGAATCGAGATGGCGCGACCTGAAACCAAAGGTGGTGTGGTGGTTGTCTTGTTACAACCCCATTCTTCACAGGACAACTCTGACGGCTTCTTAGCGGGTAAAGAGAATTGGCTGACTATTCGCGCAATATCTGAGTTGATTTCTGCGGCAAGCAATGCAAGATTTGGCTTTGATGATATCAGCGTTTTTTGATGCAATACCATTTCTGGACGAGGAGGCCACTGAGGCCATCGAAGAGAATCTTCTTAAAGAAGCACACCACATGTTTGCCACCATGGTGGAAGCAAAACAGCCAGAAGTCGTGATATCCTGCTTCAAGACAAAATCAAGTAACATGATTGTTAAGAATCTATGCTCTCGCAGGATTGGTTATTGCTTCGACTTTGACCCCCAGGGGTCAAGACAGCTCGCTGAATTGGGGTTAAACCTCACTCGCGTAAATGCATTCCATCCCAGCTATGCAATCAACTACAACCCCGAGTTTAGCTGCTTTAAGCGCCTCCTGTTGTTGGAATTTGTGAAGGCTTTTGCCCTGTGGCAGGGGAATTGGATTTCCGACGAGGGATGGATGGCTCACTGGAGAGATGAATGTCGTAAGCAGGCAATAAAGCTGTATGAAGGTATTTAAATCACTCCGATATACCAACAGACTACTGAAAAAAAAATTATTCTTAGTGGAAGACATCCACATTCGTTGGAAAACACATTATTACAAAGGGCAATGGGAGGAACCTCTTCAAGCTTTGGAAGTGAGTTTCAATGAATGCGTTTTTGGTGACAACGGCTTGAGCTTGGCTGGAAATGCCGAAAATCATTCATATCGGCTGGTGGAATCCAAGATTACCTGGAAATGTTTTGACATCGCATGGATTTTGGAGATGGAGAAGATTCTTGCCCCAGATATAGATCAACAGCTACTCTTGCAGTTCAAAAGGTGGTGTAAAAAAGCATGACCGGGAATAAAACTCCAACACAGCTTTGATGGTTGCGACGGGTTCTATGATTATTCAACACTGTTGCTCATGAACTCAAAGCAACACACACCACATGCAAAGAAACTCGAGTCCATATTTTTCACGTTTCTTCGTGACTTGAATCTGTCTTACACCTTGTCCGGGGCCAAATATCTTACAAGAGAAAGGCTCAGGGAAATGTGTTTCGAAGGTTTGCTGCGGCTTTTGAAAACATGCTGGAGGGAGCCCATGAGGAGAAAAAATCAAGGAGGCATGATCTATCCGATGAATTAAAGTCTTTAAGCTTGAACTAGTGAGGTCTATGACTTTAAGGAGTACAAAATTGAGCAGTTCAATGTTAGCCAAGTTTAGAGCCTCCACCATGCTCTAGACTCTTTTCCCGCTAGCTACGCTGCCCTCCACTCGTTGTCATGAACGCGGTTGGCTGCCGAAGGAAAGAAGACAGGAGAGAAACTGTCAGGTAACCGACCGAGCTGCCTAGTAACAATTCTGTTTGGGTTGTGTGCAGGTGAACAGTTTTTAGATAGCTCATAGCCCATAATATCGTAATACGATAACTATTTTTGTCATTGTTCATTACCTGTACTGAAATCCTGCAAGAATGTGGAACGGGGATAAGGAGAAGTTGATACCAAAGGAGGAATTGGGCTTTATGCTATTTGGACCTTGCTTGAGGCCTCTCATGTGCTAGAATTCGTTGCATTCAAGTTGTACTCTATTACTACGCAATCATATACTGGGCAGTTGACAGGGATTCGCATTTACATACTATGAATGTCATTCAAGTTATGGCATGAGCTTGAATTTATTTTAATACTGACATGTATGTATGGACGTTAATATAAATGCATCCATGGTTAATACAATGACATCCATCTACTCCGTAGTCACAGCCACTCAGGGTGCCGCCGATTCCTTCTTGCTTTCACCGTCCCTCTTGGTAGCCTTTTGAGTAGCTGATTTCCCCGATGAGTCTGTATCTGGCTGGGACGAAGGGGGAATTTCAGGAGTCATAAAGGTTGGGATAGGAGTAGAAGGAGTGCTCGGATTATCATTGGACCGACCTTCCGCGCGCCGTGTCTTAGCGTCCTCTTTAAGCCTCTCCCACCGATCTCGATATCGGCCCAAAACATTCTTCAGTTTGTCGTTTTCCCGTCCAACGCGGTCTAATTCCTGCTCGCCACGACGTACTACCTCTTCGAGCTCTTTGACTCTGTCCGCTGATTCCGACATTGCATGAGCACTAGACATCTGCGCTGTTGGAGAGGTATTTGTGGATGCAGTATGTGTATAAGCTTCCGGGGATTGATGATGAATTGCTCGTAATGACTGCTGTAGAGCCATGGATGAGGATTGTGCGTTGACTTCCCACATGTGAAGTCGCTTTGATAATGTATCCGAGAGATGTTTCAAAGCTTGATTCTCCATCTGCAGTTCTTCCAGGGTCTTCGAGTTTTGTATACTGATGAGCTTTTCAGTGGCATTCCGACGAATGCTGCCAGTTTTGGCGTTGCCGGTGCTTTGACGCATCTCAGGTGAGGCTGGGGTTTCTCGCGCATCTACAAAGTCATCCTCCCCATCGTCCAAGCTATTTCGGCGGGCTTCTTTTTCAGCTCGAGTGAGAATACCTGCATATGACATTGTTCCTCCAGTTGTTGGAACCACATAGAACGACTCAGTTCCGTTTGCAGGAATGGTTCCTGGTGTATCACGAATCGATCGTAAGGCAGCCCGAGAAAAAAGACGGCTAACATCCGGCTCCGGGTAGGCGTGTCCCTTGTCGGAAGTCGCATGATGACGATCTACCTTCGTCTCAGCAGGAGATTTCCGGCTTGGTGAGTTAGTTTTGCTAGAGTCATCCGGGCCGAGAGGTAAGCCGGCGAAGCTCAAAGGAGCAGAAATCCTGGAAATCAGACCCTCGAATGTAGAGTAAAAGCGCTGGAATGTCTCGTCTGTAGCCCCTGCAGGCTTGGCTTTGGATTGAAAGGATTCTGAAGGCTCTGTCGGAGCTACTTGACGTGAAGGGAAGTCGGCAGGACTGGGCATGGGAGGTGACCAGGGCTGCCTCGGGGCTGATACTCGACTTGACCGATGCTTATTTGGAACCTCCCGTAATCTAGATTCGCCAGTCTTAGTTCGTGATGACCCCTCAGTCATCTTAGCTCCGGCTTGGTGCGCGGAAAGCGTTGGTGACACAGGTGATCCACGCCGAGGTTGAGCTGGGATTCCTCTCGCTGAAGCCAAATCGCTGGCAATAGAAGATGACTCCCGGCTGGGCATACGAGGGTGCCCTGGCAGTCTTGGAGGTTGACCTTGGGCATCCTGCCCGCCCTGTGCGCCCGTCCTGGCATTTCCGGTATCTGCGGAGAACTGGGCATTCGGGTTCGATAAGGTTGTACCGGCAGTTTGTATTTCAGGTGTGTTGGTAGGGTGTTCGTGCTGGAATCTGAGTATTTCTGCTAGTTTTTTGTGGTGCTGCTCGAGGAGTTGCAGGGCGCGTAGGGCCTAGTTGCACGCGACACGGTTAGCATTCCGATATCATTCCACCAATGTCGAGATAAAGACCCACCTCCTGATCAGTACTGCTATGAGCCGCGGCCGCAAACTCACCGGCGGCTAAATCATGTTCTTCACTGGCAGCGACGGGGTTTGACTTGCGGGTCTCGAGCACCGCATTTCTGGCATGGGTGTGGGCCTGATATCATAGTTAGCACCGGCTCTTGTGTTTGTGAGGGGAAGTCGCTCGGGGCAGCTCACCAGCGTAAGCGGAGCAGCCTCCATATTTAAGGGATCAACTCATGGACTATAAAGCGAACTCTTCTGTTGGGTTTGAACCTTGAGAGCGATAGCGGTAGGTGATCTTAAGGTACCGATTAGAGCAAGTACCAGTTGACTGAAAGAACTGCCCAACCATTGAAAATGGAAGGTGCGGTCTTGGTCAGCATGAATTTGCTTACTGTACACTCAAGGGGCGTGGGAATTCGCCCACGACAAAGAGCAACTTGAACCTTGAAACTTGACTCACGATGGTGTCTAGGTGTCTAAATACTATTTAATTTTACTCATAGCGCCTGGCTCTTTCACGGAAGAACGAATCTAATTGCCAGTATCTGTGTTGCACTAAAAACATGAATTACAACGCTCCCCAACAGGAATGTCCCCAATATACTACTCTGCATTGGAGAGTCAGTTGAAGATCGTAACTGAAAGGGAAATCAATCAACATTACCAAATAGCTCCAGCTTCAAGCTTGCCCTCTATGAAGATGAAATTATGCCCGCTGAATGCCTCAAGTTTGGGGTATATATCCACCACGCAGCCCACTCCGAGTCTCTCCCAAGTACTTCAAGTTGAATCAGAGCAGGAACATTAACGGTCCACTCTCCTTGCACATAGACCCCGTCCGATCATAGATACGACTTGTTTCCAAGAAAGGCATCGCAATGTCAATTTCTGTTGGAGGCATAGAAAGGAGAAATTTGGCGACGAGGTCAGGCATGCCCTGTTCCTGTGCGGATGCGACCCATTCGTGCAACTCAAGTTCCTGGAAGGACTGATCTTCGCGTCGTTCGGTTTCAAGATACTCTTTCAGTCCACTGGCTTTGACTTGAATCTCGCCAGACTCATTGATGATTTTGACTGGTGCGGTCTCACTAGCTCCTGAAAGTGCATCCGCCAGGACATTCGTAGCAGTGGTTTGGACGGAAACCAAATCGACGTACCCCTTGCAACCGCGCAGATTTGGAACGGCGCGCAATTTACATGCATATTTCAGAAAATTGTTGGTAATATCCAGTTCAGGAGCACCGGGACCAACAACACTTGATAGACGGTGGATGGTGACTGGGAGACCATGAATTTTGTTGCAGTTTTCCAGGTAAGTTTCACTGACCCATTTGGATGTCAAATACCCCTCGCTACCATCCAAAGGTGGCGGGTAGTTTCTCATTGAAATCTCCCCAAACTTGTCGAGCTCAGCCCAGTGGGACATGGCTGCACTGGAGACAAAGTGGAATGGGACGGAGTGTTCAAGGGCAAGACGGGCAAGCACTTTTGTGGCACCAACGTTTGTTGTTTTGAGGAGCTCGTAAGTCTTGACAAATGAAATATCTGCGGCACAATGAATAATTACAGTGCACTCCTGTATGACAGAAGAGAGAGACTCAGCAGTCATACCAAGATTGGGTAGACTCAGGTCCCCAGTGTGGTAAATGATCTTGTCTGACTTGAGTAATGAGGACTTTCTTGCGATACCCGCACCTTGAGCTCTCACTGCAAGGCAGTGGATTGCCTGGATATCGGGGTTGTTGTTTGCGACGCGCAGGAGTTCCTGACCAAGGAATCCGGTTGATCCCGTGAGACAAATTCTGTTCTTCCTGGAGTAGGAGACAACGTCAGATTCGATGGTAGATTCCTTTAACCAATCCCATATGGCAGTCGCGGTTGTCCCTGCTGCTTGCTCCACGACCGACTCCAAGCTACTTGTTCTTTGGAAAAGATCTGACATGGAGAAGACCAATCCCTGTGACTTAGCCTTACCAGCGACTTTCATAGCTGTGATAGAGTCACCTCCAAGATTGAAGAACCCATCGTCTAACCCGATTCTGTCTAGAGGGATCTGCAACACATCGGCCCAAATTCTTTGCATTTTGATAGTTGTCTCCGACTGAGGTGGACGCTTTGTGGCATTGCTAGGAGGAAGACAATAGCTCGCCACTTGATCTTTGGCTAAAGTCATGGCACTTTCTCTCAACCGTCGACGGTCAGTTTTATCGGACATCGTTTTCATGATATGGGTGACGGAAACGTAGAGAGATGGAATCATGAAACTGGGCACAAGTTTGAACAAACTCTCATTCGCTGTGCTGACGGAGCTATGGAAGGATGTGGTGGCTGGGAGGAATGGCGCTGTTAATGAACCATCACCGACCATTTCTTTCAGTGCAACGAAGGCCACCAGCTCTTTTGGACGACCGTCAAGAGATAGGACATCTGCGACAACCTCCTCTGCATTTGGGAAAGAATTGCGGGTGTGATACTCAACCTCTTCGAGTTCCACACGTTGTCCGCGCAGCTTCACTTGCACATCTCGCCGACCAACAAATCGCAGAGAGCCTTGGTTGGTATACTGAACCAGATCACCAGTGCGATAGAAGCGAGAGGAAGTACCAGTGGGTCGAAACCTCTTGATCCAAGAGGGATCACCGATAAAAGAAGCTGCAGTCTTCTCTTCATCTTGCAGATAGCCGCGCCCGACAATTGCACCTTCAAGTATAAGCTCACCAACTGCCCCGATAGGCATAAGCTGATTGGGATCTTCATGATCTACAACCCAACAGACACATCCAGCTGCAAATCCAATGTCACGTGGATCAGTTGTACGAGTGACATTTGTCTGGATGGTAGACAGGACACAGCACTCCGCAGGGCCGTAGATGTTCAGCAATCTCACATGCGTGCCCCAAGTATTAATTTCAATCTGAGATAACGGTTCTCCACCGAGGACAATAGATCGAAGAGAAGGCATCTGGTCAGGAGGGAGGTGACGAAGCAAGGATGGGGTGAAATCAGCCCAGTTCACATCATACTTTCTCACCACTGAGGCAATGTCGGATTTTCGCTCCTCCTCCGAAGGTACGCAAATACATCCTCCCGCAACCAAAGTGACAAGAGTGTCTGATATACTAACATCAAATGCATAGGAAGCGAATTGCAAAGCGCGAGTATCGTTGCGAATGTCACATCTTTGCAAATATGCCTTAGTGCTTGTTGCAAAGGACCCGTTCTCGATAACCACGCCCTTGGGTGTTCCAGTTGATCCAGAGGTAAAAACCGCATATAGAGCATTGGAAGAAGAAAAGCCAGCCGGATCAATATCACCGTGCATAGAATCAGAAGGATTTTTCAAAGGATTTTCTGCAAAGATGCCCTCTTCTGGACCCACAGGAATGATGTTATCTGCGAGGGACGCCGCCGCTGAAACAAGGGAGACAGAGGACAAGACACAACGGGCACCGACCCTTTCGCAGATACTCTTATTGCGAGCTAGCGGCGTAGCCGGATCCAACAGCACAAATGCAGCCCCGGTTCTCATGACCGCCAAAATTGCAACGGTTGTCCATTTGGACTTTTCAAAATACACAGGTACAAAATTCTCAGGTCGCACGCATAGTGAGTGAAACATATGAGCGGCCAGCTTTCGTGACATATCTTCAATGTCCCTGTATGTGAAGTTTCCATCCCATGCACAGACAGCCGGCTGGCCAGGCTGCTTTTCACAGTGCTCGAGAATCAACTCGTGCAGACAGCAGTCTACCTTAGGAGGCAATTGGCCATTCCAATGCTCTAGCTGCTGCATATCATCCTCGCTGATAGTTTTAACATCCTTCAAAGCGATAGAGCTATACTCAGCGGATTCCGTCATTTGTTGCAATATCGTGCTCAATTGACTCAATATTCGCTGCATCTGCGTCGGAGGAACAAGAGTATCGTCGTATACTGCTTGGACACGTACAGATCCCTTCGCTAAATCACAGACCAAAGTCACTGGATAAGTCCCAAATGTTGCATGGTTGAGAAGGTTGTGGTCATGAGTGGTTTCGGAAAGGTAATCATATTGATATTGGGGAGGTGATTGGATCACAACAAGAGTCTGAAATTGACACGCGGCAGAAGCTTCTGCACCAAGACGACCGATTTGATACAGTCCAAGCTGCTCAAATGGGAGCATATCATCGGCAGTAGACCTGAGAGACTTCAAAATTGATCCAACGGAGTGATCAAGAGGAAGCTGAACATGGAAGGGAATGGTCGCAATTGTTGGGCCTGACATATCCTTAATTCCCGGAAGATGCTCCAGTCGGCCTGTAAGTGTCACGCCAAATGTGACCTCTTGCGAGTTGATGCACTTAGAGAGTAACAATGCCCACGCCAGCTCAATGGCAGCGGACTGCTCATTCTCAGTCATTGAGTGAAGAAATGGAACAGTTTGAATCAAACTGGCCTTGGCGGCAGGCGTGTATGAGTCGGAAGGAAGACGGGGAAATCGAGAAACAACCGAACCCTCCAATTGCGACCGCCAATACGTAGCAGATGACTCAGATTGAGCCTCAAGCGCATGGACTGTGAAGTCCGCGAAAAGCCTCTTCGGCAACAGGTTCCCATCATATACTTTTTCAATGTCTTTGAGAACAACATTCAAAGACCAGTCATCATAGAGAGCATGATGCAAAGTCAACACCAGCGTCGGTTTACTTTGAAGTTGACCATCCAGAAGGGCCACTCGGAGCAATGGTACTCCTGGAGGCATTGGCCGTTGAGTATCTGCGGCCAGATACGTATCAAGGTTGTTATAGCTCTGGTCAACGTCAAGTTGTCGAACCACTACCTGAAAGGTGCCATCGTTTCCTTGAATAAGTCTTGTTCGAAGAACGGTGTGGGCCTCCAGAGTTGCATCCAGAGCACGCCGGAATCTCACCAGGTCGATATCACCAGGCAATTCATACACGTAACGAGCGACATATGAACTTGGGCTCTTTACAGAAAGAGCAAATAATCCTTCCTGAGCAGGAGTGCATGGATAGATGTCTTCAACATCGTCAGTCTGTATCTGGCACTGATTCGCAGCCAATTTGAGAAGTGTGGCTCGGTATTCGGCATCATCACCGATTTGGGAGAAGTTGGAATGCATCATGTGGCACATGTAGGAATAAAGGGATGACAAGCAAGATCTTAGGAGGCAAGAAGGTATGATTTATGGAGAATTCTCTCTGAATTACGATGTGATGCTAACTACCTTGTCCCCGGAGTAGCTGATGCACACTGCATGCTTTGTCCTCAGCAGACCGGCTCTTTCTTGCTTATTGCTCCACATCTCTGTACCAATACGCACCCGAGTGCGGATCAGCTGAACACGACGTGATGTTACTAGCTCCATGCAGCATGCCCTCATCAATACAAAGTGGTCCGCGTATGATGTGCCAATTCGCTCACTGGGATACTATGGCACATGCAGGTATATGAATTTGTAACAACACACAGGTTCCGCGCAAGGAAGGCATCCCAGCCAACCCTAATAAATGCTATGAGATATCCAACGACTTGCCAGTACCTTATCAATTGAAGTTCTTTTCTCTGATAAGACTTGGACCGTCATGGCTGCTCCTTTCACAATTTATACTGCGTTCGACCGGCCTGACCTTCTCAATGCATTGGACCAATCTGACCATCCACTCAATCAGTTATGGCCAGAGTTCCTCGACCAAGATCTGACCTTCCAGTTCTTCAGTCGCTTCCTAACTCGTCTTAAACCACTCGCTCGATTTCAATTTCTTGCTGTTGAGACCGACTCAGCAACAGGCAATGAGTCTGTTATTGGTTTAGCCCGGTCTATTCCATTCTTCTGGCCTGATATTGCAACAATCTCATCTGTCGACTCGCTATCACTTTCGCAAAATCCCAAGATTCTCCAATCTCTTCCAGATGGTGGCTACGATACTATTCTAGCTCGGGGCGTACAGCAATGCCTAGCTCGCGAAGGCCAACTCAAAGAGCCCTTGGCCCTCACACTTGATCAGCTCCAAGACTCAGCCATCTGTCGACGCCAAGACCCGCCCAATGCCATGTCTGCCTTGTCTATCACAGTTCACCCAGATCGACGCAAGACGGGGCTAGCTGAGGTGTTCATTCGTAAAATGAAGGAAACAGCTGTTTCCGAGCAACTACAAGCCCTAGTGGTTCCGTTACGCCCCACACTCAAATGCGAATATCCACACATGGACATGTCTTCCTATATCAATTGGCCAGTCACTGATGGTTGCCCCGTGACCAATAGGGTGATGAGACCCGTGAAAACCATGTGCATGCAAGGCGCCAATCTACCATTCGACCCGTGGCTACGAAAACACCTCCGCTTGGGTGGCAAAGTGATCAAGGTTGCCAAAAATAGCATGACTGTGCGCGGAACAGATGCTGAATGGCGACAGTGGACGGACGTGAACTTTGAGGACCTTGCCCAATTGAGCCCTGACTGCCTGGAGGAGAATGATTACATCGATGTGATTATACCGTCAGGGTTAGTACCGGTGCAATACTCTCGACAGGAGAAGATCGGCATCTATAAGGAGCCCAATGTGTGGATCTTGCATGAACTGGGGAAGTTTGAATAATCTTGTCAGGTAGATGATGTCCCGCGATCCAGTTTCTGGATGTCAAAGTCTGGATCGTCCACAGACGAAAATGCCTCATAGTTGTTATTTGCACGCACTCAGTCATAGTCTCAGAATTGCTCTAATACATGTTCATCAGAAGCTGAATTTGAATTTGAAGCTATCATATTGTTCCTGGATTATAGTCCAAAGCTTAACATTAGGTTACTCCCAGAGGCCCTGATTCTCATGACAGGGGTACCGAGTATTCTGTACTACCTGCGAAGTAGATCTCAGGTGCTACTAGGTACTCTGAAGACAAAGTTGTCATATCTGGACACACTAAAACATTTGATGAGTCTTGACTACCTTCACTTCACGCATTCCTGGTGATCAAGTGACGCCATTTCAAACTTTCCTAAGTCATCATGCATTTTACACACAGTACAAAGCACGAAATCCTGCGAAATACTTGACATTATTTCGCAATTGATGTTTTTGATTTTTTCGAAACCTATACAGACTAGCCAAAGTACATATGTCGTGTTTTGGGTTACAGAGGAACCTGAGGATGAGGATTGCAGATCTACTCCATACTTCATCTAGTGCATTTCAGCTCTTGGAGGCAATAGGAGTACGCAACGCCACACTGCCAACTTCGATCTCTGCCTAGAGCTACTACAAATGACCAGATCTGAATCTAACTTTGATCTCCGTTTGCTCACATGTATTTTTTTGTATCACTATCAACACTTCCAAGGTTGACTGTCTGGGTTGAGTATGCACGATTAACTTTCATCTACGGGAATTAAACTTGAATCTTGATATCCATAAGCCCCACAGTCGGAGATGATGTATCACATTATAAGCACTAACTCTACGCTAACTCTTGATCTGGATTGGTAGAGGAATTAAATGAACTATGTTTCACCGCCGCGGCAAGAAATATGCTATGTAGTACAAAAACATGGGGATTTCGCCCTGCATTTGCCTCATCTTCACTCTATACATCCCGTGTAGCCTGACGAGAAAGCGGAGAAACCTTAGAACATTTGAAGCTCCATATACGTGCCTCGGTATATGAAGTCTCCGATGTGCAAAAGAATGACGTGATTTTATGTGAGCGATATTTCTATATTACGTACAGAATAGCCCGTGCCCAGATGGTTCGTAGCGCGTACATTGTGCATTAGTTTTTATTGATCGACAGAATTCGTATTCAATCGGATCAGCCAGCCACCGGGCATCACAACACTGAATCACAAACTCAGTCCCAATTGGTCCACGATTTTTGACCTCGTAACTCATTCTAAGGGCGTGCCTGGATGAAAGGTTGGTAGAGCCACACGGAACACTGATCTCCATTGAGTTCGACACCAAACTTAGGTTACGACCCGCTAGCCGCTCTATACAGAACTCAGAGTCTATTTCAAATCAACCCTCACATATTCAGAGAATTTAAAGCTATTGACGTGCTACATTGCATGCTTCCTACAGGCGGCTCGTGCGATGACTTCAATATACTCCGCCTTTTCGTCGCATACATTTCCCTCAATCTAATTCCACAGTGGGGTCCCATAATGTAGGTGAATACTCCTCAGTATGCAGCAGTTTCATATCATGCTCATCCAGCTCAAAGTCAAAAACCTCCGTATTATGTATGATCCGATCGGCGGTGCAACTCTTGACTAACGGAATGAACCCCTATAAAGTCGATATGTTAGTTCAATGTAGCCAAGAAAGGGGTTTGGGTTCGGGGCTTAGGTTCATCTCACCCTCTGAAGACTCCACCGGATCAAGATCTGGGCCTGCGTTTTTCGGTGCTTCTCACTTAGAGACAGCAAAGCAGATTCCTCCATGCGAGTACCTCGAGCGAGTGGGGAATACGCCTCAATAACTACCCCTCTCTTACGCAACCAGTCTACCAGACTAGCACGAGCTAGCCAAGGGTGCAGCTCGTACTGAGCAACATCAATCTGGCCCCCGCCACCACTCTGAATGTACTCCTCCAGTTCTTCCAGGTGGGGGATTCCGTAATTTGATACACCAATCGATCGGGCTTGTCCAGCTTCTTGTGCCTCCACAAGGGCGCGCCACGTACCGAGCCGAGCTCCCTTTCCACCGTACGGCGCGTGGATCAAAATCCTGTCCCGTGTGAGCATCACTGATATCCACTTTTAAGCAAGGATATGACTTACAAGTCGAAGTAAGAGGTTTGAGCGTTCTCCAGGCTCTGCTGTATCGATCGCTTGGCAGCATCGTAGCCGACGCCATGCCCGGCCGGCTCGGGGAAGACCTTGGTGGCGAGGAAAACGTCGGATCGTTTGAGGCCTGCTTTTCCAATAGCGGAAGCACATTCCTTCTCGTTCTCATACCATGCAGCTGAGTCGATCTGCGGGAATCCCCATTAGTTCATCATACAACGTGAGGGGAACCTGAGACCTACGTGACGGTATCCAGCCTTCAACGCCATAGTGGCCACCTCCTCGGTCACGATGTTAGGCCTAAAATGTTAGATTTTTACCAAGCATGGCGGATGCTGTATAGCTTACACATCATAAACCTGTCTCTCATTGTTAGAAGAGCTTCATGAATTCAGACACACTTGCAGGACAGCGACTCACACCATATCCCAAGATGGGTATCTCAAGCCCCGAGGCAGTGCTGCGGGTTGATACAGGGCTACTTAGGTTAGACATTTTGAATTGCTTCAGTCTATGCAAATTTGAAATGAATGGTAGGCAATGGAGAGTTGAAAGTCTGAGGAAGATATTTGCGAACTAACGGTTTATATACTGATATTCTAGCAGTTGCACCTGACTACATCATGATCGGCTTGCGGATATCTTTGCAGAGAAGAAATCTATCTATCGATTCCGATAAAAAATCGAGCATCTCAGGTTGATCATTCACACATAACAATGACTATCTACTCAACCACTTAATTCTATCAAAAAACACCATGAGTGAAATCAACAACTTGAGCCTTTTCCACAATCCTGTCTAGGCTCCCAACAATGTCTTGGTGCACAGTGTCGGCATTGACACAGTAGTCTCGGTCTTCAGTACTTTGGAATTGGATCACAAATGCGTGTGTGAAACCATTCTTTTGATGTTCAACACCATTAGTATTCCGTCCATCAATTGGTACATAGGTTGTCCATGGGCGAGTTCTTACCTGCATTCCCTCAATCGAGTTATCCACACCTCCATTGTAGGACTGAATGTAAGGCTTCTGGGTATCAGGATGAAGACATCTGTCTTTTAGGGACAGCATACGACTGCAAACCTGTGAATTCATTGTCAGATTCTAAAAGCCGACAATAGAACATTTGCAATCGAGTTCTTCTTACTTCTTTTATATCCTCAGAACTCGCCTCGGGCTTGAACTGCAAAAGAACAATGCTGGTGGTGGTCATGCTGGCGAGACTTGTAATGAATAGGCAGCAGTAATATCTCTATCAAAATATGAAATAAGCACTTGAGCCGAGAGTCAACAAGGTCCAAGGTCACTTTTGAAATACACAAAACCTCCTGAATGACTCGGATTCCGTCATTTATAGTCTAAAAATACTTCGATCTATGAAAACAACATTGATGATCAATTGAAGAGGTAATTGATTATCATTTACTCTGATATCAAGCCATGGCTGATTAAAATGGAGCCCGAATACACTTCCAAGCGATCGCCCAGCTGTTGACCATCCATGTTCAAGTCATTGCCCAGCATGTCCCGTTACAGGAACCTGCATATGCATCTACTCGTGAAGCTGAAAAAAAACTTGAATTACATCAACTTGCATCTGCATCATGACTCGGGTCTATGCAAGATCCACTCACGAACTCAAACTCAATCCCCACACACGTCGTAATTTATAACACAGTATTTCAGTATATGATACGGATCGTATTTTATACCACCTGAAATGGACCAAAGCGGATATCCATGGATACTTTCCATGCTGTAATGTAACGATCCTGTTCGAACTTTGGAAGATTCATGCATACTTCCACGCACAGCTACATCAGCTTTAGTAGGCATGCGCGAATTAAATAGTATCAAACTTTGGAAACTTGAGCCAAGGTCAGCTAGCTGATGCATCCTACTACATACTAGCCACTTGGAGCTGCTATACGATGACTCTCCACCTGGGCAACACTTGCATTATGAAGTACTGATGCCGATCATCGTGACTTGCATCCAATTTCGAACTGGCTCTTTATCTGACGTGTACTAGTATCCAGATCCTCTAAGAGTTTGGGTAACTAGCCACTTGCAACAGCACTAGAGCTTGTCAAAATTGAAGCTCTCAAGGTCTCATTCCTGAAAGATGGGAATTTTGGAATGCTGGATCGAGCATATCCGATCCGGATTCTCACCAAAGGCAATTTCCGCTCTTGTCCTTGTCGCTATTCTTGCTGCATGGTCTGGCAAAATTTTATTCCTTCGTTTCTTTCACCCAGTCGCTAGATTTCCTGGTCCTTTGGCAGCTTCAAGGTCTCCGCAATGGTTATATGATGTGTTGTGTACAGGACACTCGGAGGAGATATTCGAAGAATTACACAAAGAGTACAGTGAGTCCCTTCTCATTTGTCATTTAGAACATAGAAACCCCTCCTTGAGCTAAGTATCATCGTCTTTTGAACGCGTTTATGTGATTCAGGTGGCGACTAAGACTGACTTTTTCTGTCTCTAGATACAAAGGCCCTCCGCATCGCTCCCAACGAACTACATATCTCAGATGTCGACCTATATAAAACAATCTACATGAAGCCAGCAACATTCCTGAAGGACCAAGTCTTCTTTGATGGCTTCCAGACACCTCACTCTTTTGGTGCCGAATGTGACTGGGAAATACACAAAGCTCACCGTCGAATGGCAAACACCTTCTGGTCACGGCGCACTTTGCTGAATATCGAGCCGTTATTACACGAGAAGACAAATACTCTAATCAAAAAAATGCGAGAGATGACTGAAAAGAATCCTTCGATCAATATTGTCAAGGCGATCAGGTACCTACATCATAATTCCTTTGAGCACTTAAATAAGATTATTGACTTACAACCTACTACAGATGTCTCTTCCTTGATACTACAATGGTCTACCTGCTCTCATTGCCATGGAATACATTGGAAGAAAAGCCTGACTCCTTCAATGCACACACCATTGAGTGTGCTGATGGGATGGATGGAAATATTTGGGCTAGAATGTATACCCCTACTTCCAAACACATAAAAGAGTTGATTTTTGGCAAACCCGCGGATGAGAGCTTTGAGGAATTTGATCGTGTAAGTCATTGCCCATTGAACTTTCAAAAATCGTTTCAACCCTGCTAATTCCGGGAACTTTGCGAGAATTGCAGGTTGTCAAGGAGGCACTGGACAAATTTCAAGAAACAGGCAATGTTTCATCTCACCCTGTGCTTTTTGAAAATCTGACATCGACATCTGTGCACCAACAACACATGGATTTGATTGATGGGATTTTCGGTGGCTATCATCCGTTCACCACCTCTGTGGTAAGTGGTTTACGCTACATAATCCAAAATCCATATATCGAACAGAAACTACGAAGTGAGTTGGATACTGTTCCAATGCAGTATGACGGGACTCTTAGTTTGATTGATTTGGAGAAAATGAATATTTGGTGAGTTCAGACTACATAACCCAAGAATGATATTTTAACTAATCACTATGGATTTTGGAAGACGGCCTGTGTCAAAGAAGTGTTCAGACTTTCAACCCCTATTGCGGGTCGACTACCTCGAGTTGTACCTGATACACCTTCCGACCCCTTGATTGTCGATGGAAAAATTGTACCACCAGGGGTATGTAACTCTCATTTTCAGCTTGGTTTTATATCATGAAAACTGGCTAAACAAGTTGAATTTCTAGACCATTGTGTCCGTGACCGCGTACTCTGTGAATCTGAACGAAGAGATTTGGGGACCAGATGCAAAAGCCTTCAATCCCGATCGCTGGCTGAAGGATGCGGAGCAGATATTGGATCTTGATCAGTATCTTGTCACCTTTGGGAAAGGGCCTCGGATGTGTCCTGCTCAAGGGTAAGTAACTCCACTACCAATTAAAATTGATGGCATCCATTTGGCTAACGTTTTACTAGTATGGTCTACGCACACCTAACCATTGCGCTGGCATATCTTGTCAAAAGCTTCAAAATCTCTTTTCCTCTGGAGTTCAAGGCTCCAGATCTACAAAGTTTCTTCATGACGATGTATCCGCAGGAGGGCATGTCTCTTCATTTTGAAGCGATTAAACCTTGATTATCTCCAATGCTTAGAAGTGATTGATTGAAGGTAATTCAAGGGGAAACTCGGGCGGAAATATTGGGAGAAATTCATAAAGAGCTTATTAAAATTCATTTTCATGAGAGACAAATGACTCCGTACTCCTATTATAATGACTGCACCTGTGTTGAAAGATCACCTATCTTTACTTATCTGAATCTTTACATCTCATGTCTAGCCCTGGAGCTAGCTAGCCTGTTAATACGTGCTCCAGGTTGACATCAATATTTGAATCGAGAAGCTCGTAAAATACACACATTAGACAGCTTTCACATTCCTCATTTCAAATCAGCTTCAATCTTCCTTTCCTCCAACCACGAAGTTGCAATTTCTTTATGGGTACAAAATTCAACAGCGCTCCCAAATGATTGCAGCCACTGCACAAATCGATCTATCATACCGATTATGTGCGCCATACCACTACAGTCTGGATGTAAAAGAACCGGAAAAACAAAGTCAGGCAATCCATCAGAACCCTTGCTGTTTTCTAATAGCCACAAAAACTTGTCCTTCCACATTTGTTCCACAAGACGAGTTGAAACCCACCCCTTGCTGTTCGGAAAGGTAGGAAAGAATGTCATGGGCATCATATCCTCGTTATAAAATCCAGTAGGGATCTCAACAAGCTTTGGTTGGTCATGGGAATATTCGCGAGGAGAGAAGGTCGTGGGCTGCATCCATGATGCAGCTGGCTGAGACAGGTCAATTGGTTTGAGTGGTGGGTCAGTAGGAGCAAAGGATACTTGAGAGTCATGTTGAGACAGTGATGAATCGTAAAGAAATCCATTTTCACGGAGAATTTGCAAAGTGCTCTCTCTGAGCGTATAAACTGGAGAGCGGTACCCGACCGGCCTTTTACCCGTAAGTGTTGTGGCAAGTTCAACACTTGGATCAAAATTTAAGTTAGCAGATGGTTATAATAGATCATGGATGAGCATATGTGTTTTCTTACCATTTCAGAAGAACATCTCTTTCTTGTTCCTCTGATAGTGAGTATATGTCTTCATGCGTATATCCATGGAGTCCTATTTCGGCTCCAGACTCAATGATTGCACGGGTGGCATCAGGAAAAGTCTCCATCGTATGACCGGGAATAAACCATGTCACTTTGTCTTCCAAGTTGTTCTTTTTCAACAAATCAAGTACACGGAATGCACCAATTTGTCCAGAGAAAATACCATAGGCATAGTCAGACATCTTATTATCAGGGTGTGCACTGCTCCCAAGCCAGTGTGACAGGGCATCAAAGTCGATTGAAAGTGCGATCTTAACCCGAGAAGGTCGATGTCCTTGAGATTGAGATGAAGGTGATATTGTCGAAGACAGGCACAACTGAGAGTTACTCAACCAGTATTTACAGTCTGAAGTTTCAGTACCAATCTCTTGGGCCTTCTGTTGATAGGATCCAAGCACCATGATCAAGTCTTGCTCGGCGGCGAAAGTAACATGTTCACCCCTTTCTCCGGTCGATTTCAAGATGTTCAAATTTCCACGATGATCGATGATAACATTCATGAAGAGATTGAGTGGGTCAGGAGTCCAGCCCTTAGGTATCTTGAAATCTGGAAAATTATCTTTCAGGGCCTAGTTCGACAGTGTAAGTAATCACTTCTTCCTTGCACCCGAACGGAATAGTAAACAGATCAAGTCACTTGCCTGGTGAATTGCAATTGTATAGTTGCTACCATCATCGCTCATATCTCTAGAGACACAGAGAGAACATATCATATCATGAACTCCTTTAGCTGAGTCCTCAGTCAGGGTCAAGACTGGTTTTCCCTGTGTACTTTGCAGTGTATCACCCTGCACCAGCACTATCTTCATGAGGGTAGACCGTGTCTGTCCCATTGACAAACAGTGATGCGCATCATGAGGATCAAAGGCCCAGACGCAGATAATTTGGTTTCCGTCAGTGTTTATCACAGTGATCTCCTGGCCTTTCTTTGCAAAGAAGGCAACAGCCTTTTGCACCGGGATAACGCCCATTCTGTATCAGACAAAGAAGACGCGAATGATATGGAAAGCTCCGTAATGATGAGGTACAAGGCAGCAAAAATTGAGTGCCTTATAATAGGCAGAGAGATTTTGTTCACGCCAAGGTCTAGGATACTCGAGTGAAAGCTAAATGAGACTTAGATGCGTATCGGGCCTCACTTCCAACTTTTGAACAATAGGTTCATTAAGCCCGTGTGACAAATGGTGATACATAGTTGCATATTGTTGATTCAGCTAGTGAATATCACATCCAGGACTGGGCATGAACTAAAACTTTGAAGTCTCCGCGTGGGATGTGTACTTTCAAAGGTACGTGCGTGGAGCTATGTAACGGGATGCCCCCACATGGAACTCTGGAGGTGCATAAAAGTGCATAAGTAGTGGTCCGAGATTGGATATAGATCAACAAAATATTTCAACACTGATCGCATCATCGGGAAAAAGTGGGAAAAGGAAATATTAGTCTGAGTTTCAAGTTTATATAATTACGAATCAGATTTCAAATATTCTCTTAACCTTGGAATGCATTGCGTCAACTGGTGAAAGGTCCAGGTTGACTGCCCGATTCACCGCCTAAATAACAACATACAATTTCTTGTAATACCAAAACCTCCAACACAGCCCTGGAGAGGCATCTCCCCAGCTGCCGACAACTTCATCATTTTCCCGGGCGCGTAGGACATCCGATCACATAACCTGGACTGATTCACTACAATTCCCAACACAATACTCACGACAAACTGCAGTTTTATCTAATGGCTATCCCATGCATAACATTGAGCCGTATTATCCCCTTGAGGAGCATCTCACCCCTTTGCATTACCTCCAGGACCATGTCTACCGATCTAAACAGGAGTCAGATGGACCAGCACCTCTACAGTTCTACCATGAACGCTGAGCCACTTTATCGCTATCGGCAAGGCGGATACCATCCACTCACTTTGGGGGAATGCTTGAAAGCTGGAAGGTATAAGGTTTTACATAAACTAGGGTGGGGAGGCTACTCGACAGTTTGGGCAGCGAGAGATCAAAGGTTATACAGGCTGGTGTGTTTTGCGGTAGCTCTAGCTAACTGAAAAGCTGCTTGTTTACAGGGAACAAACGTATGTTGCTGTCAAAATTTCTGTTGCAGAAACTGAACATAATGAGGACATGCGAGAGCTCCAAACATTGAAATTGCTTGCATCTTATCACCCTCGTCCGAAACATACGGTGCACATGCTTGATGAATTTGATCTTAAGGGCCCAAATGGATCTCATAAATGCCTAGTCTATGAGCTTCTAGGTCACAACGTTCCAGACATGATTGATGCAAACTTTGCAGATGGGAGACTTCCTGGCAAGCTCGCCAGAACCATTGCAAAGCAATGCTTGATCGGACTTGATGCTTTACACCAACGAAAGATTGGGCATGGAGGTAAATCTTTTTCTTAGAAATACTTTGGATAGTACTCACCTGGTATAGATCTGCATACCCGCAATTTGGCCTTCGCTATGCCTTATATAGACGATTTAACAGAAGAAAGATTTATTGAGATGCTAGGGAAACCAGAAGTTGGCTATGTCCAAAAACGCGATGGAAAATCCCTGGAAGGTAGCGTGCCCAAATATGTTGTGAAACCAGCCTCATACGGGAATCACTCTTGGAATCTGGCTCAGGATGTCAAAATAATCGACTTCGGAGAGTCATTCTTGCACACCGCTCCCCCTGAAACACTACATACACCTTTGGCTCTTCGGGCACCGGAAGTTATATTTCAAGATCACATTGATTATGGTGTTGATTTGTGGAGTATGGGCTGTATGGTGGGTGAAATCATACTCGGGTAATACTACATAAAACCCCAAGCTAATAGGTTAGCAGCTCTTTGAACTATTCGCGGGCCAGCCACCTTTCGACACATTCTTAACAACGCCCACAATACTTGTTGGCCAAATGCGAGAGATGGCAATTGATGAACTACCTGAAAGATGGCAAGATAAATGGAATATCATGAACACAGGGGACGTCATGGCCACAGAAAGCACCGGGCCCAACTTGCAGGAATGGCTGGAAGAAGTATATTTTGATGATTTGCTGAGTCCCGATCTCACACGAGAAGACATAATGAGGCTGGGACAAATCGTTGGAAGATTATTGCATTTTGAGCCGTCTGCAAGAGCGTCGGCGAGACAAGTTCTTGATGACCCTTGGTTTAATGAGTGGCCCCATGACAAATAGTCATTACACCATGAAGGCGCGTGTGAAATTTGCCTTCATTCAATTGTACTGTACCTAGCATCAATACAGGTATTCTTGGAAGTCATGAATCGAACACTATTCTAAATTTGAGCTAGCGTTCTTAGTAGCAAGAGCGTGGAGTTAAAACTGTTTTCTAATTCTACCGTAGGAATGGGAATTTGAGCGTGTCCTCTGCCCAGGTGGTTTATCCACATTTTGAGAGTGTGCATGAATAGGCTGCTTCCATAGGGTAGACTATTTCTACTAATACGCGTGCTATGCAAGTCGCCTAAAAAGGATATTCGAAGGATTCGGGATTTATCTGATTGGGCTCAAGTTTTTTATTACACACGAAGCCTTGGAATCAATCTAGCACTTGAGTATCTTGGAGGAAGTCCACAACATTGAATTTCCTCCCCTGCAAAGTGAGCAAGCCGTAAACCATAGTTCGGCGTATTTCATACCTGGGAAAAGAAACACTTAAATGGTGGAACATCCATTTCGATTTCATTCAGATTCACACAGGCTGTTCTGATCATTAATCCGAAAATTTGAATATTTTGTCTTCATATAACTCTCATCTAATCTCATTAGAGTGCCAGTATTGACAAACTTTGTGTCTTGCTACAGTGGCTTGACGGCTCTTATGCAAGAGAATCTCTATTTTTGTGGCACCGGTGCTCTCTCTTTGGATTTGGACGCCTTTCCACTCCATAGAATAAAAGGCATCGATGCCAGTCCACAAATGAGTCCCATAGCCATGGACATAGCACCCCATCCCGCATGTATCTTAATCAAGCCCGCCAAGAGTGGTCCCAGGAGCTGTCCAGCAGCCATAGCCATATTGAAGAGCGCATAGCCTTGTGCAATTGGACTTTTCTCGCCAAAAGCTCCTGGAAATTCGGCTTCGTAGGCTTCGATGACATGGAAAACTTCGGTCATAGCAACGAGCTGAATTGTACAGACTGCCAGGCCTTTGAAGAGTAAAAGGACGACGAGAAATGTCGCATCATATGTATTGTTGTGCTTGATCAGCGGCATGAGCATCCAAGTGACTGCTGCCAAGAGGAATGCAGCTGCACCTGGGATTTGAGGCCCAATTCTGCTGTGGAGTCTGCCAACATATACACCTGCAAAGCTGGGTATGGACGGAACCACAAATATTAAGCCAGCTCCTGCTGAAGTCCACTGGAATGTGTCCATGACGAATAATGGCAGAACCTGGAGTAAAACTAGTTAGTTTCTGGGAAGTCCTATCCAAGTTTCTGGATCACTTACCGTTTCTAAGGCGTGAAAGATGATTGAAATGACAATGGTTGATACCAGCGCAATAGGAAGTCGGGGAGAAAAGAGAAGGTCGAAGATGGTGGCCTTCTTTTGAAGAGTCGGGCGCATGTTTTCTACATCGGAGGCGGGTAAGCCTAGTAGAGGAGCGTCGGTATCGGAAGATTCAATAAACATGGAGCTCTCTGTGATCGACTCCGTCTGTGACGAGAATGTGTTGTATCCGGTCCCGTAACTCACTGTTGATGAGTTTGAATGCACAACGTAGGTTTCGTCAGAGTCTTCCGTGAGTTCTATTGCTTGTGAGTAACGCGGTCAATGTTACAGATGTGAGGTTGACTGACCAGACTTCTCAATCATTGCTAGTCGCAAGATCACATCCACAGCGAGCAGGGCAATGGGGATTGCAAAGGTTCCATAGAAACCCAAACTATCATACATGATGCCGCCAACGGAGGGACCCAGAAGAAATCCCCATGTCAATGCAATGCCAGTGTATCCCATGGCCTCCCCAACTCGCTCGGTTGGTACATTATCGGCTATGAGGGCCAGTCCAACAACCCATACTGCGCTTGCCGAGAGCCCCTGTAAAGCGCGTGCAATAATCAATACGGGAAGCGATCGGGCAAGTACAAACATGCTGATAGAACCAGCAAATGCGACCATTCCGAGCACGAAGGGGGTTCTTCGCACAGTACAATGATCGGCAAAATATCCGAATAGTGCTAACATAGTTCAGCTTCATGATTTCAGCGAGTCTGGAGATCGAACAACATACGAGATCCCAGTAGCAAAGTGCACCCATGGACGGCTAAAAGTACTGAGACCCAGAATTGGGCTAAAGTGATTGTTAGATGGAAGTGGGGGATGATGAGTAAATTTGGAGAAGCGAATACCGTCTTCCTCACGAGCTCTGACTCGATCAACCAGAGCCACTGGCATAATTGGAACAATCTAATCAGATGTCAGCTTCAGTTGATAGTAGATGCACTGAAGCGCCAAAATGGGGGACTTACCATCCCATAGTTGAACAAGTCCTATTTCAAGGAAAATTAGTTTTATGGAATATCTCTATGCACGAAATACTTACCGTAAATATTGCAATGGACACCACCAGAATGATGAATGATTCGGAGGAGCGAACGCTGCGAAGCCATGATGTTTTGCCTGAGATGTCCGTCATCATTGAACTGATAGAAAAACACCTCGAAGATGGAAAAATTCGACTCGACACTGAGCCTGAGATTCACTATCTTTATTAAATCTGCATGAACTGTGATCGACTGGATGATCTGCCTCATCCTACCTTGCGTCCCGAATCCTAGCCATGGTGGGTCCTGCCAATGAACCCGTGGAGACTAAGTGATGGCGTGCGTGGTACGAGCTGAATGCGAGTTCCAGCTGTACTTGCTTTTCTTGATTTTCTCGATTCGGTTTCCTCACAAATCCATACGGAGTGAAGATTGAAGCTATGACTCAGGGTATGCATGAGACGACTAAGCAAAAATAATCAACAAGATCGTGTAGCTGGTTCGCCACTTTGCCGTCCCTACATGGATTGACTGTATGAACTTAATCTTTTGACTTCATCTTAGGTCGATCGTACTTGGTATTCTATTTTCTGGACTAGTAATTTGACTAGGAGTTCACTGTTCAGCCTTCAAGCCATGTTTACATTCAATATTTACCACTACTTACAGCTGCCAGTGTAATAACCAATCTAAAGAGCCCTGGTGTACCAACATAATACATTAATTGATCCATACTTTACCATTACCAACTAAGTACGATAAGCAGGACAAGTAGAACAAATACATACCCCCACGAGCCCCAGTGATTTGTGGTCGGGAGTTTTATCTGCGGTGGAGACATTTGGAGCACTCGAGTGCTGTCCAAGGGGATACTATGCATGTCCCTTTTGGGATCAGTACATGTCCGAGGCAAGACCTGAAAAGCAATTATAATGAGACATTGAATTCCGGGCGATGATCCTTCTATGCAGAGTACTCCGTCACTAGCTCAGCTTTGGCAGGTGTTCTGTAGATCACTCTGGTCTGTGCTCCGTAAGCTCGTTTAGATCGATCGATCTGCCTAGATGCATAGACAACTTTCAGCTGACAAGCCTTAGCCGTATTTTTGGGATCTCGGGCGTGAACTGCTTGGTATAAGGTACATACTTCCAAGGTTCGTACTAGTAGCCTAGAAAGTGCTAGGAGGTGATGTAACTTTCCCAAGCACTTACGTTTTTGATGCATTCCCTGCACATGGACAAAGTATGTATGGAGTACGATGTCAAATGGTCACGTTCAAAATGATCATGCACCTCAAGTGCTACTTCAAACCCTAAACATTGGCAGCAAGATGGTCGAAATGATACTACCCTTGATTTTCCGCGATGGGGTTTGACGAAGGAAATCACATTGGAAAATTTTAATCCTAAAATTTGTGACTTGGAATTCTATGAATACTACTTCCAGTGTTAGACAAGCTCTAGCTCCTTTTGGAGTCTTCGTCTTCAAATACTAGTAGTATTTACTACCTAGTCGTAGTGTAGAACGGGTCTTATTGATGTGAAGCAAAATACTATGATCTAACCACAGTCCTGCCACTTGTGACTTGATAGCTGTACCAATACGGACTTGATAACGGTTTTTCTTGATCTAAAAGTGATATATGCTCTCAAATTCTGGTTAAATTAGAACAAGAAATGAGATTATTTTGGTCTAAAAGTGGCGCTGATTGAAGTTTCAGGCATCAATCAAGCCAGGTGGAAAGTCAAATCGCACTGAACATTTGAACTTACTCCATCAATCCTCGGCTGATATTCCCCTACGAGGTGCCTATGCACAATCGGATATGATACCCCTAATCCCCACATCTTCAAACGAAATATATGGAGCTTTCTAAGATTGCAATACACCCGGTGAGCAGTACATCTGGCTAAACTACTCACTCTCCTATTAAATACAATGTATTGTACTCTGCTCATGTGTGGATGAGGATCCATAGTGGCCAGCATCATGCAAGGTCAAATCAGCGGACCATTCTGCTAAATTTTCCGACAAATGATATCTAAATCATCAATTGATTCATGGATTTATACTCTTCCAAGGTTCCACTACTTTCCAAGGTTCTTTTCTAGGTAGTAGCACGGGGGACAACACGGGAATTGCAGGTGGATTCGCTCACCTAGCATAAGCCTCAAATGTTAAATGTTTGGAGTGTATTTGATCTGCCCCATATATGTGAAATAATGTATGCAAAGCAGTAGCGTAGCTCCCCTCACGGGAGACTGAGGTTTTAGTAGTTTTGCCGGAGTACTAATAGCGTGCATGTGGACTCAATCAACCTCGAGGGATATCTTCAATTCTTAGTTACCCTCAATTTTCAAAATGGGACGCACGCTATGGCTCGATGGACTTCGAGGTATTGCTTCCGCCATTGTCGCCCTGTTCCATACAACTGAATTTGAGCCCAAGAGTATCCTCGGGTTTCTGGATAACTCGTATTGGGATGATCCACCAGGAGAAAATCGTCACTTTATCCAACTGCCACCCATTCGACTTCTCTTCGCTGGATCTTCGATGGTATCTCTATTCATGGTCATCTCCGGCTATGCAGTATCAATTCCCATCATCGCCTCGCGAGACAATCACTCGCTGAATCTCGACTTCTTTCATCGGATATGCTCTGCATCAACTCGCAGAGTTCTTCGAATCTACCTTCCTACCATGACAATACTCTCAATCTCTTACTTGCTGTACTTTTTGAATGTCTATAACTGGGATCCTCCGGGCAAGGAATGGCTCTCGGGACTCGAACCATGGAAAGCACCACTGTCCCATATCATGCATGTGTTGCGACGAATTCTGCATCTACTGGATGTGACCAATAAATGTATCAACAACAATTCCGGAAATTGTCGATGGGAAGGCAACAATATAACTTTGCAGCTTTGGACTATGCCCGTCGAATTCCGGGGTTCATGTGCCGTTTATCTGTTGGTCCTAACACTGGCTCACTGGATGCGGCGGCCTCGACTCTGCGCATTGGCAGTGGTGGCAATATACTGGTTTTATATTGGACAGTGGGATCTATTCTGCTTTGTTGCGGGTTTATTCCTTGCAGAGAGGGATATCGGACTGGGAGCTATTTACGAAGGAAATGGGGAAATCGAGTTACCTTGTCACAATGGCAACGCAGCCCAGACCACTTTCACGAAATTGCAAATGAAATGGAGAAAGATGTCTGAAACCAAAACTTTTCACCGAGTTTGCACTTTTTTCTGTTTCATCATGGGTATCTTTTTCCTCTGCATGACCCATAACGATTTTGGGGAACAGACTTTGTCGCCGGAGTATCAGTTTCTTTATTTCATTCGTTCCCCCAACTGGATTGACTCTGAGACCCTATCCAGGTCCTGGAAATCTGTTGGCGCAGTCTTCACTGTCTTTGCAATCAGTCGATCTTCTCTTCTTCAACGCCCATTGAGCTCGCAACCACTGCAATACTTGGGTAAAATATCATTCCCCCTATACCTCATTCATCCGGTTATCTATCTTATCTTTAAACGGCCAATTCGGAACATGCTGTGGTTTATAGTCACTGGAGCAGCTTTTTCCAGTGAGGCTGATGCAAAATCTCAACCTCAAATGTTCATTGCAGCTTGGGCAGGTTCAAGTATGATATGTGGGTTGATTCTTGTTGTGGCCTCAGAGATATGGTATCGATTCGTTGATTTAAAATGCTTGGAAATCGGGAGACGGTTTGAAAAATGGGTCACTCAATGATGATCGGGGATACATAAGTGAACTATGTATTAGAATTCATATATTCCTCTGGGGTTGTCACTGTGACTGGATGACTTGACAAGTTGAAAAATTGGAGCTGTGAAATGTTTCGAATAAATTCGAAGCTTAAGTTATTCAAAATGTTAGAACTTGGGACCACTGGTCCATACTTTCCCTTTAGATATTACCTTCTTTCTCTCCACATATCACACATATTCTCACTTCCATCATCACGTCCTCCATCCCTTCTGACGCAAGGGCTGCGTTCAAGCTACCCATTGCACTCTCAGTGTAAACCCAGTTTGGATCTCAACCACATTGAAAGATCTTCACTATTGCACCCATCATGGATGGTAAAATCCACCTACTATCCTCTTTGAAGCGAGGACTCCAGGCATTATCAGCCCACCGATGTCTACCATATGCGCAGCAATCCGCTCTCCCGGTCCGCTGGGAAACTGACAATACCAACGCTAAAGATAACATGACAACTATTCATGGCCAGTTGACTTACTCAGTACCAATTTTGGTATTCAGTCAGACAAAAAAATTGCCCAAACCTTACGTGAGAGCTTGCATCGAAAAATTTGGAGATTCTGAAGACCACTTGGCCATTTTAGCCGGCTATAGTTTAACCACCATTTCAAATGTTACGTCACTCAAACATCATGATGAAAACCTTGGAATGTTTCTTGCAGGATCAACTTGAATTATATGACTCCGGGGATATGATCTACTAGGGATCCAGATCAATTCTACTCATACTATTGTCAACTTGAACTGATCTATATATATATCACAGACTAAAGACAATTCGGAGACTATACCCAATTAGGCAATCTGGGGGTACTAGTAGAACCATATGGGGTTATAACGTGCGAACTCAGGCTGTTGAAAGAGCTATAATCCAATGACGACATTCGACTCAATATGAATTGAAAAGGATGCTATTTTGATTCAGAAGTACTATGTGCCGTGCTACCCTACCTGAAAGCAGCATATGAACCAACTTGAACAACTGTCACATCCGCATTCTCAGAGTGGAGTTTCCCGCAACAGCACCAACTTGAAGCGAAGGAAACAACTACCAAAGATGAAAAGCAAAAAGCAAAAAAGTAATTCAAATGTTGTCCATAGATGTATAAATTAAATCTGATGCGTTGCCTAACGCTATTAACAACCGGATAAATCATGTAGAACATTTGAAAGAATTGATAAAGCCATCTAAGTGTTCCCTCGGCTTCCCGGTTCATTACATAGCTCAATGCGCGGCACCTGACTAAGGTAACTTGCTTCCCCTCGAATGTACATTATCAGGGGACAATTCCGGTTTCCAGCTATCCCGCCCCCACCACTTAAACTCTGGGGCGACACCACGAAAGCCGTTGATGCTGTGCGACTTCCTGCGATTTGACATTCAGCTTACTATTCTCTGGGTGTAATCTGTCACCATGGCCGACTCCTCGTCCTCCAGCCTCAAAAGCGGAGCTAGGAGTAGGTCGCGCCGTGCCTGGACCGTATCTGCCGAATCAGATCCGATGGAGTCATCGAGCAGGAGCAATGGGCGGTCTTCGATTGAATCTTCAGAGAGGCCTAAAACACAAGCCGGAGAGACGCCGGATTCCGCAAAGGCTGGTTCCAGCGGATTCTCCAAGCTGCTCACTTCCCGACGCCGGCGAAAGAAGAGAAACCAGAAAAACGGAAGCGACGCCGACATGATCACAGAGCAGGAGCAGGAGCTACGAGAAATCCCTTCGAACGGTTCTCGCGATGGTATTTCGGTAGCAACTTCGTCCAACAACGGCTCTGCTCAGCAGGAAGGTGAGGTCATCAATCTGTTGACCGATGATTCCGAACCTGACAAGTAAGCCAACCTACCATTCGCCATTATCTCCATGTCTTTTAGCCATTTCTATTCATTTATTTGTCTACGTCTGGCGGAAACTAATTTGTATTCTTTGTTGCAGGACCCCGCCGCTCACCTCGCATAACTCCCACACCGGCTTCTATACCTCCTCTTCCCCGTTAATCAAGACCACATCAGTGGACTCTGCGGCAGACAATGATGAGACAATGGCAGATGTGGAATCGGCAGTTAGCGGCCCAAGCGCAACCGGATCGGAATCGAACCCAGGCGAAAACCCGCCGAGCCAAGGCATACAGTCGAGTATGACACTGGACATTCCGCCGGATCCCACTATCAAGCGACGCAGCACTTCGCCTGGACGACGTCTAAAGGATGCCTTCAGCCCATCGGATAAGAAGTCTACAGCTGACGACACCGAGTCTTCATCACCCAAGTCAGGAAATAGTAAAGCTAGCAGAGGCATCTTTGGAAGCCGACGGAGCAGTTTGTCCTCCAGGCGTGCGCAGGCGCAAGCATCTAAGGACGCTCCTCCGCCTCTCCCCAGTCCTATTCAAACGAGTATAGTGGTTACAGAGCCCAAGGAGGAGAATATACGCTCTCTGCAAGCTAGCCCACTACCAAATACCCCTCCTCATACTGCGATCCCTGTTTCAGCCCCCGCCACGACTGTGACTCCTCCAACTCCAACCGAACACCGCCCTCAGATTATTTCCGATGAGATCACGGATTCACCTGAATCTATACCATCACGGAACTCGATGTCCTCAGCAGGCATTACTGTGAGCCCATCTGGAAATATGATATCACACCGCCGCGTTCGGTCGGCCTCGGCGGCTCATGGCCCAAGCAAATTGTCCACTTCGATGACCGCATTGGCCCCTCTGGAGGAGACAAAGACTCCGAAGAGCTCGACAAGTCAACAAGGTGGCTTCTTTTCATCAATGTTCTCTGCCGCACAGAATGCAGCATCATCCATTACCAATACTCTCAATGCTCCACAGAAAAATCGCACCAATTCTCAGGCAGAGCCTGTTGGTGTCGATGAAACTCTGGTTGAAAGCAATCGGGAATTGCCCCAGGGAGCATCGGAGAGAACAACCAATAGTGAGGACGGAAAGCCAACCGCTGTAGAGACTCTTGGAAGTGGTGATTTGAATTTCAGTCATTTGGATATCGATGCGCCCAGTGGCGAGGTGATTTCTACCGCAGATGGTGTGGTTGTCACAAAGCCCGGCTCTCCCGATAAACGCAGGAACACGACCGCATATCAGCGAGATGAAGAAGCTGCAAAACTTGAGGATAAGCGTGCAGCACGTGCCGTGCACATGGCATATGAAAAGACGCTCGATTCTGCGCTTCTGGGATCTCCTGGCGATGATGTTCTTGAATCTCAGTCTGCAACCGATGGTTTTTTAAGCGGAGACCATACTCCTCCGACTGGAAGCGTTATTGATGGAGATATCGGTAGTGGTGGCATCAGACGTACTGGCAGTGTTCGCAGTCGCCTCGCACGTCGGCATCGAGGCTCATCCGGTGCCACTGCCTCGACCATTGGAGCAATCGGTGCTAGTGCACTCAATCTCGGTGTCGCTGGTGTCAATTCTAGTGTACCTCGCTTGACTGGCTTTGCAGTTGCCAGTAAGAAGCGGAACAGGGACTTCCATCAATTATTCCGAAGTGTTCCAGAGGATGACTATCTGATTGAAGACTACAGCTGTGCGTTGCAGCGTGAGATCATTCTGGCCGGTCGCATTTACATTTCCGAGGGTCATATCTGCTTCTCGAGTAACATTCTGGGTTGGGTGACTACCCTGGTTATCAGTTTCGATGAAGTGGTAGCGATCGAAAAAGAAAGTACTGCTATGGTCTTCCCCAATGCTATCGCTATCCAAACTCTTCATGCTCGCCATACTTTCCGAAGTCTGCTTAGTCGCGAATCTACATATGATTTGATGGTCAACATCTGGAAAATCAATCATCCTTCTTTGAAGAGTTCTGTGAACGGAACCAGAGTCACAAATGGCACTGGTGATAAAACAGAGAAGGTCGGTGATGGCGAACCAGAGAGCGATTCGGAGAGCGATGTCTCGGATGAGGATGAGATTTACGACGAGGACGAAGAGGGAAACAATGCCGAGAGCTTTTTCGATGCTGGGGCCAGTGCCAACGTCAGTGACAGGTCATTGCCAGGAAGAACCGGCTTGAGTCGCCAGCCATCCGGCATATCTGCCAACGGAGCATCTCCCATCAGACAAAATTCCAATGGAGACGCAAAGAACGGTGACAAGGCGGGCTCCAAAGAAAATGACTTTCCTGGTCCTGCTACCCATGCTCCCACAGAATACTCCAATTCTGATGGACAGTATGAAAAGCTTATCAAGGATGAACTCATTCCTGCGCCCCTTGGCAAAGTTTATTCGCTTGTCTTTGGTCCAGCATCAGGAGATTTCATGACAAAATTCCTCGTGGAAAATCAGAAATCCGGTGAACTGCAGTTCGAAGGAACAGCCAAGGGACTCACTAACGAAAGTCGAATCCGCAAGTATTCTTATATTAAGCCGCTCAATGCCCCCATTGGCCCCAAGCAAACCAAATGTATCAGTACGGAGAACTTGGACTTTTTGGATTTGGAGAAAGCTGTGCTTGTGACGCTGAGCACTCAGACCCCTGATGTCCCTAGCGGTAATGTCTTTATTGTCAGGACTAAATATCTTTTGACATGGGCCCCCAACAATCAGACCCGTTTCTTGATGACCTGTACCATCGAGTGGACTGGCAAGAGTTGGCTTAAGGGTAAGTCCGAACAGTTTTATTTTTCCATATGAGAGTGGCGTAAGATTCTAATTATTTCCAGGTCCTATTGAAAAAGGTGCCACTGATGGACAGACCTCTTTCGGTAACGAATTGGTCAAAACTCTGCAGGCTGGTGTTATCTCCCGTGGACAACCTGCTGCCGGTGGTCGATCTAAAGGTCGCCGGAAGAAGGGCGACGCTGGAGCTCGCGAGTCATCCGAAGAGACGTCAGTCAAGGCAGTTAGCGAGACCACACCAAACCAGACTGAGTTTTGGGGTCTGTTTGAACCCATTCGCCCTATTTTGGAACCATTTACAAGCATGCTCAAGCCTTTCTTGAGTAGTGGTCGCATCGTTCTGCTCCTTGTGGGCCTGTTGCTCTACATGGCTTTCTTCCGTACACCATCAAGCCAAGCCGCACTTGGACAACATTTAGGCTGCCCGGGGCTTAGTCTCCCTCAACGACTGGCTGCATACGATGAGATGTGGCGGCGTGAGGAAAGCGAGCTCTGGAACTGGCTAGAGGACCGAGTTGGCATGGATGGAATGGTCTTCCCTGCTCTGCACCATCGAATGCCCGAGCCCGGTCACAAGGCCCCTCGAGTGAGCGTCGCAGACGAGCGTGACCTGGTGGCTCGACTTCGTGAGGAGAAGGTTTCGGACCGAGAGATGGACCATGCTATTCGCACAACACGCCAGCGCCTTGACATCCTCGAAGAGATAATGAACAATCGTAGAGTCGACCGTGGCCCTCAAGAGCCAATTCAGTCTGAATTATGAGCTTGGTTGTCATCATCTTCCTAGCTTTACTCCCTTCCTATCCTTGTCATCATTATCCCAGAATCTATTAACCTCCTCCTTCCCCGCCCCCATACGCAGTCTCCATGCTGCCTATACCCTTCTCGATACTACCCTCTGGTATCCCACTCCTTGATACCAAGCTTCTTTTCTACTCCCATGGGCTTCCCTTGCATTGGCATATGGGAGGTCACAAACTCACTCTTTTAACACCCCCGGAAAGGGTTTTTTCTTTTCTCTTATCTTATTTTGTTCCTCTTTCTTTGATCCAGCCATTCCCTACGCTTCTCTCTTCCTGGCATCTTTTGTGTGCAGCAAGGTGAAGTCTGTTTCTTTATCTGTACATGAGCGATTGCATTGTCTATAGAGGTGCCAAGTGCATTCTCCAGCTCTCGTTTCTTTCTCTGCTTGTTTGAGCGAATTCCTTTACCCATTTACATGGACTTGTATACTTCCGAGGTTTTGTCTTGAAAATTCTTTTACTTCCGCCGTGCAGCATGGCGACGTCGATAGAAGCAAACATTCTCCTGATATCCAATCCTTTTCTTACCCTGGTCTCTCTTGGCTTAAACGGATACTTTCATAGCCACCAATATGACTCGCCAAAAAAAGTCCAGATGACCCGTCACTGCGCATTATTCCTGTCGAGAAAATTCATGCACATGAAGCTACTTCATTCAGTATTGATGGATTAGATTCAAGTATTCGTCTTTCATCAATTATGTACAATACCAAAGGTCATCAATACAATCGACTCTTCTGTTCATTAACATTCAATATCCATTATCCACATGCGTGAGATCAAGCAGAGTCTTCACCCATCTGCATCTCTTGACTTCAAAGCCGTGCAAACTCCTTATTCCGTGCCACGGAGGTTTTCCAAGCGGGAATCCCAGAGTTGAAAGATTCATCGATCTGCTCCAACGTGAGGATCGCTGTCTCCGGTACGAGCAAAAAGACCAATATGAGGATCGCGACCGTGACACCAGCATAGAAGTAACCCACACTAGGACCCATATTGCCATACTGAGCATCCAGCATGTAAGGCGTCCAAAACGTAGCAGCAAATGAGAATATCCCATAGAGAATTGTGGTATTCGCTTGCCCATATGTCCGCAATGAGACACTGTGCATTTCCACAGATGATAATCCAGCAGTCGGGGCGATAGTTCCACCAAAGACGAATGACCAGAAGCATAAGAGGATGACAACAACCATCTTCGAAACATCATTGTGGCCGAGTGCTGTGCTCACAGATGATAAAATCAACATACACACTGCCATCACGGTGTACCCGGCCATGATTGCCAGTCGACGTCCACCATATTCAACAATAAATGGACCCAGACCTGCGCCTCCCAGAATACATAGACCAATAATAACGTTGATGAGGTATGGGTTGCTGATTCCAACACTGCGAAGAAAGGTCGTTGCATATGGCTGCACAAACTGAATCCCGGTGATCGAAAGTCCAATCATAACGAGTCCAGATGCTGCTGTCCGGCGAATATGCTTCTTCTGATAAATGTGGTACCAACATGTTGATTCGGAAGCGGCTCTCTGGGCCTTGATATGTGCCTTGACATCCTCAATCTGTTTCGTAATCTCCGGTGCAAAAGGATCCATCTGATAAAGCATCGCGAACGCCCTCCTTGCGTCGTCGTCATTCTCAGTGTTGTTATTCAGAATCCACCGCGGCGACTCGGGAAACATCAAGATGCTCACTGCCAGAGCAAAACCCAATGGAATCTGGCATAGGATAGGTGTCTTCCATTGCCAATTATTTCCTGGCTCCAGCTTCGCTGATCCGGCACATACAGCAGACGAAGCGACATTCCCCATCGCCAAACCAACATTGTACAGCGCCAACGCGAATCCACGCTTCGACGCAACGATACATTCCGAACCATATGTCACGGCTCCAGAAATCATATGTCCAATTCCAATAGCACTGATGCATCGACAGACCATGTAGTGTAGGAAACTCCCTTCACCTCGTCCACCCGTACCCAGCATCCCCGCCGCGCCGATGATAGCAAGCGCGCAACCGATCTGAATCGTCCCACGGCGACCAAAGAGTCTCCCCGATAATCCAGATATTCCACCACCGATACCGATAAACATGTAGTTGAGGCTGATGAGGGACTGTTGCAAAGCTGTGATGGAGCATTGTTCGACAATCTTTCCAGTTTCCGGATCCAGTAACTCGCTGCAAGTACCGAAGGCCTCTTTGTACGAAGGCATGATGAGGACAGTACCGGTGTACCCATTATCGAAGTCGACAATCCAAGCTGCGAACGCAACTAACAAGGAGATACGAAGCATGGCGTTCGTGGAATCGGGTCTTCCGTTCAATGAGGTGTTGCTGCGCATGACAGAGAGCGAGTCCTCCTTTTCGGACTCATCGTCGTACATTTGCCGCATAATCACGTAGTTTCAATGGGCTCGTGTAGAACTGGTTTTGAGTGTGTTGATTTAGTGAGATTTTGCATTATGCGCTTGCGCTGCAGTTTGAGCTCTTGGATGCTCTTGCTGTTTTATGCCCCTTCTACCTTGACCCCATACCCTGCATACCAGGGACACGCTATCCATATCTTGCTTGATCACCAAGAATGCCAGCCTTCCTTGATAGCCAATGGGGATGCCTCTTCAGCTCTGGTGAGTTTTGATATCCTTACATGAATCAGGTCTTGAGATTGCTTATTGCTTTTCATTGGTGCTTGTTGAGTTGATGAAATCACCGGGATTTAAGTTAAGTAAAGCAAATGCAGCACTGCTTCAGAGTTTTTTGTCATTCAGAGCTAAAAATCTCCGAAGAATGTTAGTTATCATAACCATTTACTTGGAGGGATCACTCTGAATCGCTGGACTTGTACCTCCTGACCCCAGACTCCTAGCTCGGAAAAGTGTCAACATGAGGTCAGTATATCGAAATCTCCTTTCCAAAGTTATTCTAATCAGATGGATACAGTTCAAAGCCTAATAATAGTTCCCACCTATGAATCATATCTGTGTTTCGGCTTTATGGATATAAACCGTGGGTCCTATGCTGTACAGGAACCCGCCCCGATCCGGTTAGGTCCCACTGCAAGCACTATAAAGCGCGTCATATAGGTCACGAAATTACATGAATTCAACCTAGTTGTGACTTTCGTTTGAATGAGTTTCAAAATATGGTCCAAAACACTGAAGAATACCTGGCACAGTTGCAAATTCAGTCCTTGCTTGTTCAAGAACGTTACTACAGAGACACGGCACAATGGGAAAATCTACGCAATTCGTATCACCCAGATGCCTCGAAAACAGCGATCAACATTTCTTGGTAAGCCTCTTCTTCATTCCACCTGGGCAATAAGTTGAGTTGCTTATATCCCATAGGTTTGAAGGAACGGCAGAGGATTTCGTGCTTGGATCTAAGAAGATGGCGGAATCGGGAGCGACTTCCTCACATAAGATCTGCCCTGTAACCATCCATTTCAATGAGAATGTCAATAAAGCGCTATCAGAGTCAACTGGAAGCATCAATCTCCGCTTCGAGTACGAGGGCCATGAATATGACTGCGTGTCTTATGCGCGATTCATTTCGAGATTGCAAAAGGTCAATGGGGAATGGAAGATGTTGACTCTGGAGGCGATATATGATGGAGACTCTATCACACCAGCATATCCTCTTCGGGTACCTGCAAACTTTGACCTGCAAGGTCATCGGGCCAGTTATAGGTGTCTTGGATGGGTTCTTTCACGTAAAGAATTCCAGGTTAATCAGGATCTACCAGGCACGGATCGTCCAGAGACAGTCACCAAATTTATGGATGAATCTCATCGCTGGCTGAAATTACAATGACCCAGCTATCATGAAGTATCTACCATAAACACAAAATTGAAAATCATTTATAAAACCTATGCTATAGATCAACATCCAGATATTTGTATAGTTCTATTGTATGGTGATCACGTGGGCCGCTCCATTATGAGGCTCCACCATCACCCGCATTCTCACACCAGCAACCCACAATGGAGCTCCGAACAATCCTCTTCATAGTTGTTGCCTGGATACGTAAGTGATCAGCGAATCTATCTCTCCATGCTACATATCGAAGCAACCGCGCTTCGAAACATGGAAATACGAAAGTGCGTCCCTGAAGAGTGATCGTTGCTGACACATAACAGTCTACAACATCTATCAACGCCGCAAAGCAGCCGCCACACCAATGGAGTCCCACGGAAAAGTCACCAACATTGACAAGTAAGACGCTTGAACTCCCATCTATCACTATATGCACCAGAGACCTATATGCTAACGTTTCTCTACTCACAGTGAGGTCATCTTCAAGGCCCTTATCTCCTCCGGTCCAACGGTCATCGATTTCTACGCTACATGGTGCGGACCCTGCAGAGCCGTCGGTCCCCAGGTTGGAAAACTGAGCGAGAAGTACGACAAGGTGCGCTTTATCCAGGTCGATGTTGATAAGATGGGAAGTGCGGCTCGTCAGTTCAGCGTTACTGCTATGCCCACCTTTGTTGTACTGAATGGTGGTGCTGAGGTGGAGCGCGTTGTTGGTGGTGATATCCGCAAGCTGGATGCTGCTATTCAGAAGGTCTCGCCATAAGTTAGTGGCTCGTGGCCGCAAGGCTATGATAGTTAGCGGACTGTATATTTTGAGGACTATACAGCATATCACGAATGAATCATTGAACCAAGTGCTTTTTTTTTCTCGTTGTTATGGGAGGGTTGATGACATAAGTCATGCTTGTTGGAAGTGGCTGGATTGGTATGATACTTTCATAAACATGGCGGTCGTCCTGCTAGAAAGTGATACAACCTGCTATTGGTACCAGCGATGTTCGAGCTGTCCAGCTGGGAGACGGGGGCACTGGCAGTTCTGATATTATCCTAACTTAGTGTTCAAAGGGTTGAGCTGGTATGAACAAATCGTTGTTCATTTCTTTAAAACTTGGACTTTGCGGGGTGTCTGCTATGTGTTTAAGTTCTACGGGTTGGAAGAGGCTGAAGTTTACCAGAGAAGAGATGGGTAGAAAAGAAAATTATGTATTAGGTAGAGATATTATTACCTCCATGACACATATCAAGAGTAATTGATCTCAAACAGACAAAAAGAAATAACAGATGAAGGTATACCGACGGACTCCTCCAACGATTGACCCCAATCGAACCAGAAGCTGAAAGCGAGTCGCTTACAGGATGGAGCCAAGGGCAACGCAAGGAAGACCAGCGCCAATGAGGTCGTTGCCCTAAATTATCGTTAGCTGGATTCTCTGAACATATGTAGACGTAGATACTTACAGCATCGGATGGGGAGTTGGCACAGCAGGCAATGTTCTGCTTGCAGCGCTGGTCGAGGATGTCCTGAGCATCGACGGCGATGAGGATGGGGACTGTGAAGTGTTAGTAAATGAATACGTGATGGCAGTGGAAGGTACATACTCTGAGCATCCAGCTTGGAGCACTGGTCGAAGATACCGGCACCAGCGGCACCGGATCCAGTACCGATCAGGTTGGAGAGAAGACCACCACCAAGGCCGGAGTTGACATCAGTGGTGTCACCAGCGTAGGTGGCCTTGTTGCAGCAAGACAGCTGAGCCTGGTCACCACACTTAGACTGGGCCTCCTTGACGGTCATGCCACCAGGAACGGGCCACTTGATACCACCGTGACCACCCTGGCTCAGAAGACCAGTAGACTCGGTGGGAAGAGCAGTAGCCAGAGAGGCGAAAGCGATGACAACGGCGCTGAGAGAGAACTGCATTTTGAATAGAATGAAGAATTAAAGATTATACTTTAAAAAGTAGATAGGGTTTTTGGGATGTTTTGAAGTAGAAGGTAGAGAGAATGGAATAGAAGTGTGTGATGAAGAAAGGATTGGGACGATTCCAAGCAAGCCTTTTATCTTGAAAGGTTTGAGCCATTGAGTGTTGTTGGTGATCCTTTTTCCCCTGTTGATATCAAAAACAATCGACCCATTTTTGTCGTAGGAATGCACTATTCAACGATGTGGAGCACGAGGACCCTGAATCGATGGAGCTCCTGGCACCTTGATTGGTGTACCTTTTTCTTTGGAATTTAGCAATCATTAATTCCTGAATGGAGCTCTCCCTTTGGTGCTCAATCATCCGAGCCCTACATTCCATGCTGCGGCGGCATCCATGAAGGCGACCCTACAAGCCTAGTATTCAGTGACCTGCTCCATGTGAAGCATCTCTCCTGCTAGACATGTTTTCTCGACTCATAATTAGTCATAGTGACTCCGGGATGATGTTTTATGTTCGTTCAAGGTTATCTAGGCTCAGAGTCAAAATTGAGGACTGTTCCCTTGAATCTTTACTATGAACGGAACGAGGAATGCACTATATTAGCCAATTTTACTTTCAGGGTCCAGGGCGATTTACGTAGTCTATGTAACCTTCTTTCAAAATTTGACTATTGACTCTCCGCGAGCAGATCTGCCTTGGGAGTACTCATGCATGATAGTAACTTCTAAGGCCAAGTACGACATTGATACTGGTTACAGTGGTCATGGGAATCCTCATTGAACCCAAGACAAATTCAATTACCCATCTATTCATACTGAAATCATTCTTCAACAATTTAATTAATGTATCCTAGATCACATTCACCATAGTGGATCAGACCAAATCTAATCTCCATCAAATTTGGCAGTAGTTCGTCCCTATAGTCCCTAGTAGAGACGCCAGGAACCTCACCCTATCAATCTCCACTCACCAATATTCGCCCCATGTTCGACTCAACCCTCTTTGCTCATTCTACGTTACGATGGGCGACCGATAGGATCTACATTTGACTTGCTAAGGGAGTCTTCCTGGATCACAGGGAAGGAATGGATTAGCGGTACCCTTGATTCGCAGATCGATCCTCACATTAGACTCCAGGGCTGAAATGGCGATGACTTGAATGATTTCAAGATTGCTGGTATCCATTCAATCATACTGCATTATTTGATTGAAGTGCAAAATATTCATTAAGCTTGAAAATTCATGTTTTCAGAGTTGTTGGAAATGGTGTCTTCAAATGTTATCCAGGGGAAGCCCCTTATTAGGACCACGGCTCTCAAGGGCTGGACAGCGATGATTCATGATTCACATCAATTGATCTGCATACCTATGTAGGTAATACTAGTAATATTTAAATATGATTTTTGAGAGCACTTGAGTAAATTAGTTCAGTACCCAAGTGTAAATTGATTCCAAGGTTGAATAGGACAGTTAGAGACTTCGTTGCCAGATCTAGTAATTTCTCTATATGCGTTGTCTGAGATGCGGCTCAAAAGGATCAGTTTGGCGGGCGAAGGTAGGTATCAATCCGACCGGGTTCTACATAAATAATCTTTGAAATTGATTGAAAGAATTAAGTATTGTAGCTGAAGCCATAGAATTGTGGTTTTGTGGTGGCTTGAGATGGCGCTTTCAACCTTCAAGTTGGAAGGTTCAAAGAATGAGTTGGTAATCACGGGATAACCTTCCAATGTTGGAACATGGGCGCCTCTTGGAGGGAAAAGATTCATCCAGAACCTTGGAAGTCGTCGTCTTTAAGTTTGAGCTTTGCTGCCCGTGGTTCATATGTACATACTAGTAACATCCTTGAAAGTCAACAGTTCTTAGGCCCCGGTAGAATCAACATTCGAACATTTGCACACCTGGGCATAACCTTGGAAATACTACATAGTATATATGTATGTACTAGCACTTGAGTAGTATTCACCGTGACCTTTGAGGTGCTATCCATCAACTTGAATGGATGCAGAGTCGGGAGCCGCCGGCAACTTGAAGAGCATCATGATGGTGATGCATACCATAAATTCTTCTCCGTTCAATGTTGTGTTCAAACTTCCAAGGTTGAACATTTGAACCCAACAGCCTGCCAGGTGAGTGAGGACTGCCACCTGGCACCATGTGGGCAGTAGTACTAGGTACTTAGTATGTAGGTACTGCCTAGGTATCGATGGATGGATCTAGAACCTTCAAATGTTGGAAACATCAATTGATATATGTATAGTATGGGTGATATTTGCAATTGTGAGACCTCAAATGGATGCCAGCTCAGAGTCCAAGGCTTCAAGTTCAAGTTGAGGCTTCGAAGTAACAGAACTTGAAATTGACTGGTTGCGCTCATATGCACATGTGCACATGTGTGGTACAAGTCAGATCATGACATATCGTACCGAACTGACCTATGGACATACATAATAGGTATTAGTAGGATCATCAACATTGAATATCTTAACCTTGGAATATTAATATTGAATATTGATCATGATGCACATGTGTCTCAAGTGCTATACGTATGTGTCCCCGCTTCAAAGGGGCTTTCCCCACCTGGCAGTGATGTCGAGCAGAACCAATCTCTATTCATTCTGATACGCAAATCTACGTAATTCTGTGGCTGACTCTTCTAATCATGAGCTACCAATGTAATTGACCTGCCCCTTCAACTGATGTGATATTGATCTTTCAAGGAGTTCCGATTGTGAATAATGCATATTTCCAACCCCAACCCCAGCTCTAAGCTTGATGTAATGGTCGTGGTATTTTGTGAGAGTGGCTCACGTAGGTCGGAGTCAATGTGAATGGCGGGTAACTATGGTAAGTCGATTTCTTCCTGGTCGGCAGATGACTATGGGCCCAGCTTCATTTCGTCCCAATCCGAGGGGTCGAGGGCGTCTATCGTGTATTTGGGGGCCAGAAGCTGGCGCATCCCTTGATCGAGGTGCCCTAAGGGATGAACGAGGTGTGCTCACACGGAGCAAGTCTAAAAAATGTTATTAAAAAGAATTCTGTGGCTTTGGGAGCATAGTCGGCTGCAAACCTGGATATGTTCGTGTTGATAAATCATGACTGTCTGTTGAGATTGGCTTGAGCTGCCTGATCCAATCATTGAAACAAAGGTCGGTCACATCTGCATTAAAAGTGGCAGTGTATGTCGGTTCGACTAATTCATCAGGCCCTTGAATCATCACCTTGTTTCTCCCATGGCCAATGTTTCCCATGTAAAAAGTCTGTAGTGACAACTCTGCTCCAAGGAATTCCCAAACATGCCTCCAAGAAGTCCGCTCGTAATTAATGGACGGGGAAATGGTGGAGCTCAAAGTTACCAACTCGAGTGAGAGAGAATCCAGGGTTCCCTTGGTGGTGTTAAGAAATGATTTGAAAGACTCAAGTTGAATTTGAATCCAGTGGAGATGAAGCTCTTTTAGTCGGGTGAATCTGATGCTCTGAGAGAGGTCTGAAAAGTAACTTTCTCCTATATCGCGTGGACTTTGATACCATTGTGAGAAAAAAAGCCTTTTCAGTCTAGGTGCAACGGAAATCAAAAGATTAATGTAGTTGTTTGAGGTTGCAGCACGATCCATATCGTCCTCATCATAGCAAATGCACATATGAAGATGTTCCAGGTCTCCAAGCTTGAGAAGAAGATAATTGTATTGCTCTTGCGTGAGAGGAAGATTAGGAGAATTTGAGCCACAGAAGTTGGCACCGCATGTGTTCAAGGCTCTGATCTTTTGATTGGATTCATTGAGACCTAGTCAAACCCTTGATAAGGCCAGAGAGTTGACCTTGGCTACCTGTTGCCATTGAAGAAAATTCATGCCTGTGTGGTGATGCACATATTCAACTTGATCTCTCAACTCCTGTAGTCCAAGATATCGAAAATCGGCTTGCCGTTGATCAAGTAAAAAGTCCGTCGCATAATGCTTTAATCCGACGGACTCGAGGTTTCTGAATAAAGGAAGCATGTATGAAGCCTGGAGCTAAATGTGTCCGATTCAAGCAGAGCCAGATTATCGGCTTCTATAGCTTGATAGAGTGTATAATTAGTAAGTATCACATCATCACTCTCCATAGGGTGACTTGGTGTTCTTGAATACTGAGACCTCCTGAACTTGATAAGGCTCTTTCTCTGCCTATGGTCACTTGGTAATCTTGAATATTGAGACCTCCTGAACTCAGTAAGGCTCCGTCCATGGCGACCTTCAAAGACGGTCGGAATCATCCATAACTGTCGGACTCGTACTCGGACGGTTTCACTTTTTGCCAACTCTTCTAGTTTTCGAACGCCTTCGCTAGTGGCAATGAAGCAAATGCTTTTGAAATACCGATCTCCGAATGCATCCAAAGATTTTGCGTAAAGGGAGGGACAAGATAATCTGAGTGCGGCCCACTCCGGTTGCTCCAGATAGCTGCAAGTTCTATTCAAAAGTTCGATTGGCAGACTTGGGAGGGAAATTTCTGTAAGACTTGACATTTTGGTAAGCCCTTTCGAGCGATCGCATGGTCAATTCGTCGCGATGATTCGCGATCGGTTATAATTTATAAAGACCTTCGGAGCTACGAGAGGCTAGCGGTTTCTTCCCGACCCACCGAACGGGAACGCGTCTGGTTCAGGGAATTGAATACGTGTTTTTAGAGAATGCATTCGAACGCCAGCATTATTTATAGCTCATCCTTCACCTACACCTCAGTATTAAACCAAAATACCATTTCTGTCCTCTCACTTAAACGCAACTTTTCCCTTACTTTCACCCAATTATTGATAACACAACGCCTCACTTACCATCACACATGATTATCACTCTCTCCATTCTTTATACTACGATTAAATATTGAACCTTGAGTTGGTTCTGGATCGTAGGACGTTCAAGTTGATCATGAACTGCGAGGTATTACCTCGTCGTCACCTGAGCACCTCCCCGTGGGAGCTCGGTGAGAGCCCGGTGAGAGGTTGAAGTCTCTAATGCAGAAAGACAGCCTTGAAGAGGATCCAAAGAAAGCGAAACACAACCGAATCATTACAAATGAGGACTACCCCCTGCGTGTTTCTCGAGGGCACTGAAATTCCCACTGGAAAAATTTCAGCCAACACACACAAGTCGACAACTTGCCCGTCTGCACCTCTATGACCCTGGACAAGTTCCAAAGTTGATCAACCTTTTATTTCATCGCACAAGTCTCAGAGACTTCGGAAAAGGTCCCAACTGAATTCTCAATACGACAACTGAAGAGATTCTACCATTGAAAGGGCTCAAATCCCCTTTGAGAGCTGGTTCGAGGACAATAAGGTCATTGGCACAGAAATGACATTCCATGGAGGTTCAACTTGGAGACTCCGAGCCAAACCCTTTGAAAGCTCAACCCAGGAAACCGAATGGTCCCTTTCAGATCGTCAGCTGACGACTGCTGGAGCAAATCCGCACGCAGCCATGCCAAAAAGGGCGAGGAGATGAATTCCATCGTCGATGGAGACCAAAAATGTCCGGCGAACAGAGAGCAGCGATGAATGCAAAAAGGCGCGCAAATCGGCCCACTAGAAAAACCGACGAAGGTTAAGAACACAGGTGCGAAGCCGCAGGCGGCTCAGCTTGCACTCAAAGAAGAGATTGTACAGCCTCAATATAATCGGCAATCTGAAATAGAGGAGCATGGTCGATGAGCAAAATGGATGTTGAATTTCTTCGAGAGTGGCTGGAGGTAGAAGGGAGAGGGAAATATTAAATTCTCAGAATGTAGAGTCTTTGTCTTCTCCTCTCTTGGAATTCAACCGGCAATTGAAGGACGTCAAGCTTCCAGACACAGTCCCGGGAAGGGGAAAGTCCGGTGGTTTCCTTGCAGCCCTGGAAATACTTTTCCCAGTGGTGTATGGGTACAGTCATCATGTGGTCGAGAAGAACCATGAAGCAAGGGTGAATACCGTTCAAATGTTTCTAATGATGCAGCGTTCTATCAGATCATGGTTGTGCGCTGACGATCGACTTCGACAGCGCCGACTAAACAATGCATATTATGCACAAGACGAGCCGGAGCCGGAGCAAACTTGAATATTGCAATAGCGTTGATGATATCCTTAGGATTCAGGGTATGCTATTTCTCTCCAAGTCATCCGACTCTTTTGCTCTTTCCTCCTTTTCCCTAACCTCTCTTAGGTAGTGTTCAATGGCTAGATGATTGCTCTGTGTGATGTCTTTGGTGCGAATCGTACGATCACGATGGACTGTTGTACGAGTGTCAGCCCTACTGTTAACTCAGAGTGTGCTCAGAATTACGAATTGGAAAACATTTATGCACCACAAGAAATTGAACATAAGGGCGAAAGAAAGGTCGACATACACCGTCGGGTCATCATTATAGCCGGATGACTACTAGGCAGATCAATTGTTGTTGGAGGAATAGTCACAGGAACAAAGTTTGTGGCGTGGGCAGCCAACCAGAGACGTGGAATTTGTGTGAAGATGGTTTGAGATGAAAAGCTATTAATAACTTGAATTGATATGCAACGTTAAATATCCTTAATTCCAATGTCATCAACCTTAGAAGATGTGAAAGATGTGGAGCGAAAGTTCCTCCGTATCGGACATTGTGTCCTCCCGACACTAAACCAGATTAGGTCTAGCATTACCCCGGCGGGCTGATTATGGTGCCTGGTTATGCATGCATCTACCGCTACTAAATTGTTATGCCGAAGGATCAATTCGGCCCCCATTATATTTCCATTTTGAGCCGGTTCCGCGCCCTCGGGACTTACCTGAAGATATTATGGGAATGATACTATGAGCTTCATCCAAGTTCAACTTAGTCGAAAACGACTATATAAACCGATAGGGGTCCGTCATTATGGTGGACCTCAACTTCAACTTCCGACTTGAAGTCATCCACTTGAATAAACATTCAGTACCTTCAACCTCAACTTCAAGTTGACCCAATTGATACTTTGATCCAAGCATCATCCGAACATTGATTTCTACTCGAAATTTCTAAATCCTCGTCTTCAATCACAATGTCAAAGACATTCGCCTTCTTCGGAGCAACAGGTGGTTGCACCAACGCCTGTCTCGCCTACACCCTTCTAAACGGCTACAACGTTATCGCCCTAGCCCGAACTCCAAGCAAACTAACAACGCAACTCCTCGAACAACCGGGCCTAACAACCTCAACACTGGATAAACACCTCCGCATAATCCAAGGCGACGCCACCGATATCGAAGCCGTGATTCAAACACTTATCGTGGGAGAAAACGAAAACAAGCCACCAACTCTCGTATCTAGCATCATTTCCGGAATCGGAGGCACAGGAATAATAACCTATACCAAGCCATCACCATGCGAGAAAATGAAGATGCGAATTCCCACAATGCCTCATATCGAACTTGCGAATCCACATATTACTGAGGAATTTGCCCAAACCCTCGTTGGCGCTTTACGACGCATCGCAGATGAGCGATTTGTGAATTTTGATGCATATGCGACCGTTGCACCAAGGGTTACTGTGATATCCAGTACGGGTATCAAGAAAGAGTTGAATGATGTGCCGTTTTGGTTTAAGAAGATGTATGATACGCTCTTACCGATTCCTCATGAGGATAAGTTGAAGATGGAGGAGGTTTTTGAGGCGGAGAAGTCGAAGGAGCAGAGTTTACTTGTTGGGGGATTGATTCTTGTTCGTCCCAGTTTCTTATCTGGTGATCACCTTATCCCTGCTCCTGGGAAGGAGGATCCGTATAGGAAGTTGAGGGTTGGGAATGAGAAGAAGCCTGCGGTTGGGTATACGGTTCATCGCACTTCTATTGGGAGGTGGATTTATGAGGAGGTTGTGAAGAATGGTGGGGATTTGTGGGTTGGGGAGGGGGCTATTCTTACCGAATAGGTGGTTTGTGGTGCTACAGATTGTAACTAGTATAAAGGGTGGGGGTTTCAAGGTTTACATATAGATGAGGCTCATGTCAGTGTTTTATAGCGATGATCTAATTGTGATATTTGTTACATTGACAAAAATTCAGTTCAAAGGTGTAGTAGTATTCAATCATCCATTGGTATGGATTCACAGGCGCTGGGGAATCATAAATGTGGGGGAACAAGCTATTAAAAAGCAATATATCGGGGTAGAAAAAGCAAATCTTAGATCCTTTTAAGCAAAAATGAGAACAGATAGCGCCAACTTGAAGCTTCAGTATATAGCTTTTTCAAGCCAAAAGGGGCGTGCAACAATTATGTAGACTGTACAATGAGAGAGAAGATAATGAGCTCACATTTACCAAGAGACATATCTTCCGAGTATCATGATGATCGTGAAGGATGCGATGGAAAGGGAGAATACAGGCAAGGAAGCAATTCAGGTGCCATTGAAAGGCCGAGGGCGTTCGGCTTGCATGCTGCGACGTTCTTCCTTGATTTTTCGTTTCTCCATCTTCCTCATGGCTTCTTCCGTCAGCTGTTGTCGGAAGAGACGCTCCACAATATCTTTCTTGCGCGTCATCCGATCTCCGATCATGATGAGCACACCACCGGTAATGTTACAGGTGATTGAACAACACAGGATGACGGTAGTAAGGGCGAATGGACGGTGTTTTGGGGGCTCCATACTCCAGGTGCAGGCTCCAAGCGCCATCTGGAGCAAAGAGTGGCAGTCGAGAATAACCACGATAGCGACAAGCATGCGCATCGGGAAGGCGTGGTGAGTCATTGTTTCATGGGGTTTATAGAAAGTGTGAGACTTGGCAAACTTGGTCTGATGATGCATCAATTTGAGCTGCTGTGCAGGGTCAAGGACTGTGAACTCCTTTTCTTCCTCCTTGGGTGAGTCGCCAAGCTCGATATCGACATCCTTCTCGGGCCGAGCTGGAAGATCATTCTTGTCCTTGAGACCCGGGAGACCCTTCTTATCACGGATCTTCCACGTCTTGTGGGTATAGTGAGCGATGAAAACCATGTGGTATGTGTCGACGGCTCGGAAGGGAGCAAGGCCATCACCCATAATAGCGAATAGACCCACAAGAACGTTGTCGATAATGTTGATGAGATAACTCTGCCGACCCTTAACATTAATCCAACCGATCAAGAAAAGTACCCAGGCGAGACCGAATAGAGTGATTAAGGTTGCATAAAGCGTCACGAGGAAGCCAAGAGCTACAATTTGTCAGTAGAGCTCCTAGAAAAGTAACATTACGAGGTAGGACAACTCACGTTTTCGAACATACTGCCCGAATCCCTTCATGGCCCGTTTGAACTTTGACCGACGGGAATGAAGCATATGTCGAACATGATCATTCAATTCAGCAAAATCTTCCTTGGTCCATCCTTCCAATTCGTGTCCCTCCGGCAAGACAGCGTAACGTGGCCCCGCCAATACCGATGACATGCTCGAGAAGGGACGCAACTGTTCCAAAGTCGGTCTTTCTGCCTTGGAATCGTCCGATCCCTCGCCCTCATCTGTTGTGGTGCCTTGTTCTTCATCGGAGGGGGGTGCCCGCGTAATAGTGTAGGTCGGCATACGATTGATCCAACCACCGAGATTAGGTACGAAGAGTGAATTTTGAACATTGGTAAGAGTTGAAAGCGCAGAAACCTCAGGATCTGTACAGTCTTGTCAGCTAGGAATCTCCAACATTGAAAGGACAGCGTAAGTGAGCCAATCGTATGACATACCAATAACATCCAGCACATCAACAACATGAGGTCCATATTCGTTGATCCGCGGCTCTTGTTGCTCGTCTGCAGTACGCTGTGGAGCACCCGTCACGGTAGATGCGCGATTTCGTGTAAACGGTTTCAGCGCAGCTTGGCTCGTCCGTCGTAGCATACTACGAGGGGGTTGTAAAGTCGGAGCAGGCGCCTCGAGTTCGGTCGGAGCATTTAAGTCAGACCCCTGAGCACCAGAGGCCTGAGGGGTCGGTAAAGGGCTATGATGAGAGGATTCCTCGCTCAAAGGCATCATGCGCATGGGTGTTGCCACCTGCGGCGGGATATTCGAAGGAGGCGATGACCACCGACCACGTCGGGGCTCGGAACTGCTCCGCCGTCTCCCTGCATGCACCGATTCATCTTCTTCTGCGACTGGTGAACGCACAGAGACCTGGCGTTGCAGTGATGATCCAATTCCGGGGTCTGCTTGCGATTGTTTGTTGTCGGGCCCCAAAGACGAAGCCGAGGGTAATCGCGATAGACGGATGCTCGGTCGGCGGGAACGAGTGGATGGAGCGCGAGGTCGACCGGGGGTTTGCAAAGTCGACAGCACAGGTCTTTCAGGAGTTGTTTGGTCAGACTGGAACTCTGGGGTGTTCTCCCGAGGAGTCCTCTCCTCCGCAGGCTCAATGCGATCCATGGGGTATGGGTCTTCTAGATCGTAGGGGTTGAAAGGTGGGGAGAATGGAGTCGGGTAGTCAGACCGCGCAACAAGCCACACGAGATACGTCAAATAGATCTAGTAAGCCCCCCCTAGACCATTGACAGATAAGAAGACCAAATCACGAGGATGAAGAATTTCGATTGCCAGTTCTGGAACGGAGACCCGACTTCCAGCCGATAGTTAAAAGATGAGTAAGCCAACCAAATCCGAATCTTGTTTTCGCATAGTGACGAGGATGTGGAGTAAGGGAGTCTGTGCAAGGATATTAAAGTGTCGATCCCCGCTGGCACAAGATTGTCAATCCTTGTCAATCCGGTTAAGCTCACAGTGTTATGATGTGACCCAATGGCGATCTGTGTCGTCGAAGTTGTCGTCAGAATCAGTTGGTGATAAAACGATACTCTTGGCAATGGGAATTGGGTACACATGTGGCAACTTACTCCAAGAAGAAAATAAAGTACAACCTTGGAAAGGGTCAAAAGGTGGATCAACACTCCATACCCTGTGTTATCCGTCCTGTACTCCGTAGTGGGGATGAGCTACATTGACCAGTTGGTGTTTATCTAATATGTGCCATTAGGATAATCTTGATATTTCAGATACAAAAAAAATCACTTCGAACTTATACTAATATATACTAATATATTGGCCTTTGTACTTGAGGGATTGACATTGAGATTGGGTAGATTAAGGTCACGGTCAACTTCAAGTTGAACTTGAAAGACCTAACATTTGAAGGGACTTCAAATATGTGGTAGAGACTCGGATTTACTATTTAGATTGGTGTATGGTAGGAGCCTCTATTAAATGTCATATGAGAATAGTACCAACATTTGAACTTGAAGGTGAGTATAAAAGTTAGTCTACATAAAGTCAGTATACTATTCCTAACCATAAACAGTGGCAGTTGGCCTGGTCAACTGGTAGTGGTTAGTCTAGTTTTTAGGGGAGTTTCAACTTGAAGTTCTATGTAATGGTAGAGAGATCCCTTGGAGACAGGGATATACTGTGTACTTTTCTTTCCATTCGCGTGCATACAACTTTGTACTATTGATGCGTATCAATACCATTTCTTGTCTCTTTTAAGTTTGTCCCCTTTTCACTAGTATCTCGTGCGCACTGGCAGGTCTTGGATTCAATTCATTCAATTTCCACAGCGAGCACTTGAAGATAGGTATAATTTTTTAATCATTGATTTCACTGTAGAATGAGCTGGATGATACTGGACCCCCATTTTTAAGGCTCATTAACTTGATTTACTGGTACTAGTAGGAGTGGCGGGACTTTATCATGATGTGTTCAGGTGATCTTTCAATGTTATACTAGTAGATCTGGGTTGATGTGCCTCTAGAGGTCTGGTCCCATACGGCATATTGTATCTTTCAACTTCTTTCATTCAATCTTCTATCAGATTTGAGATGCTGATTAAATATTCAATGGTGGATTTGACCATGACAGGGATATCTACTAGTAATATCTCTGAAAACTTTAAGTCAACAAGGGAACACTTCAAGTTAAAGTGGTGATTAGTGTTGCTGCACCTCGAATAAGCTCGGTCTGAGGCTCTCACTACTAATTTGCCCAGGTGAACACCACATGCAGCATTGGACAAAACAACTTTCAAGTTCAATGTTGGAAATCCTATCGTTTTATTTCTTTTTTTGTATTTCTTTGCTATTCATGAGATATTAAGCTTTGAATTTTCTATCTTTAGACTTAATGATGAAGTTTGAACAATGCATGTGGTTCTATTAGTGCCTGCCCCCGGGGTCATATGCGCCGTGATGGATCTCGCTAATGATCAAAAGTTATAAGCTCGCACATGTGATCATTCCAAGGTTGACATACACATGTGTGTGCTCATCTCTCTGATCTGATCACCCTCGATAGGCTCGTTTTTCGCCATTGGAATCAATCGCTTCTCAGTCACGCATAAGACCCACCAGGCATTTGGGGGCCAAATGTTCGGATTTAGTACAGATTTTAGGCGAGATGTCTTGACTAGTGTTGAGTAATGGAGCCATTTCTTCATTGGATTAGCTGGCTGCTCAAATGGTTTCATATTTTGTCCAAATATAAGAGAACTTGAAAGAGAGAAGCAAATTCCAAATCAATGTTGAATACTCCGGAGTACGGGAGGAACAGCCGAACAGCAAATTAGAATCTGACGCCACAGTGGACCCTTTAAGCCCTCCAGGGCTGGAGTCGTTCCCGAAGTCTTACCTTTACAAGCTGTACTGACCACTCATGGTATGGCTGTTTCAAGTTAACGACGTTTCAAGCTCAACATCATGAGAGCGAACTGCGAACTGCGAATTGTGAACTTGAAAAGGAACTCGATCTGCATGTCAGTGTACACTTTTGTGGAGTAATTCTATTATTACAAGTGGAGTTTAACCATATGTACATGTACTAAGGGTGATTGTTGTTCCATCTTGAAGTTTTCCCTCCTAATTGGCGGTTATGCACATGTGGAGTAACCTCTCCCTCAAATATATGCAGATCTGCCAGTCTGCCTCTCTTGGCCTAGTCTCAACGCTTATGTCCACGGGTTCCTCTCCAACATTTGATTTACTTATTTTCCCCCTAATGTTCCTTTCATCCCCAGTGTCTACGCACTCAACAAGCATCCTGGGCCTAAGTTCCTGAAGATGGGTGGAAAACCATGGCAATCAAAAGGCTGCCCAGACTGCAGAAGGCGGAAAATCAAGGTAAACATCTGTTCCCGACTCCATGTGGGGTGATTTTTAATCATCTAACCGCTGGCAGTGCGATGAGCAAAGACCCGAATGTGGAAACTGTCTCAAACGCGGTCTCAAATGTCAAGGATGGGACAGATACCGTCATTTTATTGGGGCACCCTCCGCATATGAAGCCAAAGTGCAACAGACACCTTTACCTTTCTCCGCATCTACGGTAAACTCCGCGACTCTGGCCCGCTCTCAATATCCTATACTACCCGTCACCGTCCACTCAGCACAAACAATCCGTCTGCAAATTTTCGCATCCTTTTATCAACGTTACTTTTTCAGTGAATCTTCCCATTCCACCACTTCATCCGATAGTTTTGTGATTTCCAGAATCGCAGGCCTGGCCCAGAAGAGCCAGATGGTTGACAGAGCCGTGTCCGCAATGTCCTGCCTTTTTCTAGGCAAAATGAACCGTGATGCTACGATCTTGAATCATGGCATATACTTATACAACAGTGCGATGCGACAAATATCCAGTATGATACAGCGAGGCATTTACTCGGATGAGCTTTTATACATTACTGTTATCTGTGTAGAGATCAATGTATGGACCCTTGAAGTCGATCCATATTTCTAGAGATTTCTGCTAATATGTTATCATTTAATTTCTAGGCACTCTATGCACCTAATGGTCTCAATCCCTTAGGTATCCATATAGTTGGGTTAAATACCCTCTTAAAATTGTATAAGGAAAAATCAAAGAGTGATCCGATCGTTGATACCATTTACAACTCTAACCAAAAGATATACCTCGTATGTATACAACTACGAGTTCTCCAATTTTCAATGCGCTGACTATTTTACCAGGCTCTCACATCTACCGGGATGCATCTCTCAAAAGCGGAGCATGATTATCTTATGGAGCCTACTAATGGAGATCCATTACTCGAGATGGTCCAAGCAATAGCATCTACTGGGTCGTTGAAAACCGCAATTGAAACCAAGCATAACGACCCGGTGGCTTGTCGAAATATCCTGCAGAAATGTTACGAGACACAAGAAAAACTGATGAGGCTACAAAAAGATGGACACCTTGGCAAAGAACCGTCTTTGTGGCAGTGCAAAAACTTCGAAGTGCCTTCTCCAGAAGGGACATTCGGCGCCCCATATGAATTCACATCATTACGCAATGCGCTGCTATATAACCTGTTCTGGGCTAATATGGTTATCCTCCTGCCAGTCCTTCACCATGCACGCTCCCTCGTCCGATTACACTCAAACCTCTCCTCGGTCGAGGATACTGGCACGAAATTCGAAGACATGGAGTATGTTCTTCGAGGAGCATATGCAGACAAAATCCCTCGTACCCTGCCCTATTGTTTCCAAAAGGGTATGAAAGCGTCGTTTTCCAAAATTATATTCTTCCCTATCAATATGGCTTCAATCCACTTCATCGACATAAAGAATCGCGACAAACTGAATTACTGCCACGATATTCTCAGACATATAGAAACCATTGGGCTTCAGATGGCCTCTTCTATCCGTGAAGTTACATCTTATCGATGGGAACGCCGATGGGGCGAGGCGGCTGATCAATTCGATTGTATCTCGTTGCGACAGACAGATCGTATTGGCTGCAATATGCACCCAGGTTCTTTGTCGAAGGACTTATCAAAAGCTTTGTCAGAAGAACCACAGTATCAGTCTGATGTATAAAGGACTCAATCTGCTGAACAGCTTGTCCAAAATATGCAAAATGATTATTTGGGAATGAATGGGTCTTCTCCATCTCCTGTGGTCTCGAGGGTGGGCGTCTTGTATGTAGATTATAGAATTCCCCAATATCCTGAAATCAGAAACAAAAACTTATTGTGTTTTATCATATGAGGAAATCAACTATAAACTTGAACAGACTCATATTAGGGTTGGTCACATGTGCAGCCTTGATACCACTTGTGGTCTAAATTAGGGCAACAACTGATAAGTCGACATTCTCAATACTGGCACTAAATCAAGACCTCACGGTTTCTGAGCGCTTGCCAGTGACTTCTACTAGATGATTCCCATGTAGATTTGGAGATTGCTCTTTCTCGGGGTATGGAGATGCTCCAAATTCAAGTTGAATGTTAGTGATCGAGTTGGGGAAGATATCTCCATTGAATGCAAGTGAGGTGAGGTGAGATGTGAAGTGAATGAAGGCCAATGGTCTCATACCCACCAACTGCCACGAAAGTGAGGCGTCTTTTAGAACTAATGTTAGCCAAATTAAAGATATCAGTGAATAGAAATCTAAATCGCAGTATATAAACTCGTAGAAATCTTCTTATACTCAGATTTTCTCCTCTCTCTCACAGCCATTTTGCGCTTGAACTTGAAGATCTGGTATCTCTAGTACAATCAAAATGTCTGACGGTCTCTCTTCACCCATCATCCACCGGGCTGGTCCCTGTGAGATGTCCCTCCTGTTGGAGCCCTTCGACCCCAATCGACGATCTACCATCCCCTCAACGCCGGTAGGCCCATGTACCGTCGAGTTCTTCGAGAACATGACGGTGAAGATCACTGAGACGTTCCCGATTGAGGCTTTCGCACTCGAGCAAGGGTGCAGCAAAGAAAAAGTCGTCAACGCGCTGTACTCCGTGTTCTTGGCAACTTGCCCAATGAATAAGGCACAGGCCGACGGTGCCATCAATGCGATCGAAGAGTGGAGAAAGAGCGCCGCCACCGCCGTACGGGGTGGCTCCCAGTCAGTTCCCAAAACTAGTCCGTCGACTGGCAGCAGCGACGACTCGGGCATGGCAGCCACCACGCCAGCTGGCACTGACGAGGGCAAGTCGCCAATAGGCTCTGGCCGCACTGCTGAGGACCCGATCATCATCGAGTAGTCCCAGCCACAATGACCACGATGACCATGACTACCATGACTACCACGAACACCACATCGCGACAGACATCCACGACGCCAGCAAGACCGCTGCGAACCAACTTGAAGAAGACCCCGTTGCCTCATGGAAGACGAAAAACAGCAACAGCGCAATGCGAGATTCACCTACACTGCACATAATAAATTTACAGTTCCTGCATCCCCGCTACCAGATGGATCAAAGAGGTATATAGGCCTGCGAACATCGAAGAGGCTTTACCATCTACTGCAGTCACTAGCGACGGCCACGTTAGGTGATGGCGGTGTGCACATGTGGGAAGAGGGGAAGAGGGATGAGGGGTGAGGGGATTGACTGCAGAATGCAGTCTGCATGAAATTTCTAATTTCTAATTTTTAATTTTTTTTCGTCATGTATGTTCGGAGCCAGGTTGCTTTTTTCGGGGGACAGTACCTTGTCGCTGCAGGCAGTGACAGTATTAAGAACCATTGCGACCGAATGAATACTTCCGACATTTTTCATGGAGCCATTGTCATTTTTCCCACACCGTATTTCACTGTTGACGTTTAGCTGGAAACGTGGAGACCCATTAGAGGCAAAGTGGAGCCGGCTGAGGTGGAAGATCGATCCTCATGGTGATCCGCCTTTAAGACGAAGGGACTTGACTAGGCGTAAATTGGGCAGCATAACCATAAACACGATACGAGGAGCTGTAAGATAGGTGTTTGAACCTTGAGTGAATCGATTGACTCATAAATTTTCACCTTTGGGATGAATTATGTAGAATAATAGATCCAAGTGAATAGCTTCATTAGGATCGAATATGATAGCAACTCACCGAATCAAGTTGAGAGGTGTCTCCAGCATGACATCAACTCTTTCTGGGTTTCCACGGAAGCTGCAGGGGCAGAATTCAGAGGTTCGGGGCAGAATATAATGAGGGTTCACCTTTAGTGTCCACCGCCCCCTAACTCCAGCCTACGTTTTCCCACTAAGCCCCTAAGCAAACCCCATGTAAAGCCGAAATTTAGGGACCAACACTTTTAGTTCAGTCTAGACTTCTCCATAATAGAGCGGCTAGCGCACACCGCCTCCTCCTTTCCCTTGCCAAAGCAACCACATCTCTCTCCCTCTCTCTCTTCCTTCCTTTCAAGAGTTCAACTTTCTATCTATTTGACCCATCTCTTCTTACCCCCCCCCTTCTTTCTAACCGGTATCTAGGGCACCAAGCTACCCTGCTCCTTCCCTCCTCGTCAAGTTCTCAATCCAACACAGACAAACAAACCTACACCCCTCTTTGTTTGTTTGACACATCACAGCTTTTTCGTTTTACCAAACTTCTAGAAACTTCTTGTGTCAAATCCCGTCAATATGTCTGCGGTCGATGCTCTTTCTGACAGCGTGGCTGCTACCACCCTGAATGACACCCCCACCACAAATGGTGCGGCCCCTGTAGCTTCCCAGGATGCCGCGACTGCCAGCGCCGATGAGGGCCGTCGTCTGTACATTGGAAATCTCGCTTATGCGACCACCGAGGAGGAGCTCAGGGAGTTCTTCAAGGAATACACCATGTAAGTAAAGTGCTAGTTTGAAGATGCGGTTTTTAGCGCCTCCAGGTCCATTATGGGGCCATGTTGTGAACCTCATGTGACAGCTGTCATCTGAACAAGCATACTAACTTTCGAATGTTAGCGAGAGCACTTCGATCCCTGTGAACCCCCGCACCAACCGTCCTGTCGGTTACGCATTTGTCGACCTTGCTACCGCACAGGAGGCCACTGCTGCTATTGAGAGCCTTTCAGGCAAGGAGATCTTGGCGCGTAAGGTTTCCGTTCAGCTCGCTCGCAAGCCCGAGCCTGCTGAGGCCAAAGAAGGTGCTGTCAGCGGTGGTGAGGGTGCTAGTGGTAACGAGGGTCGCAAGCGCACTGGTGGTCGGGGCCGCGGTCGTGGTCGTGCTCGTGGACGCGGTGGTCGTTCTGCTCGTGGACGCGGTGTATGTTTATCCAACTCCGATTTTCCCGCTCGTAACATTGAAACCGATTCGGAATACTGACTCATGGAACTATAGGCTCAGGAGGGACAGGAGGCCACTGAGGCTGCTACTACTGAGCAGGCTCCTTTGGCTGAGACCACCAACGAGACCGAAGCTGCCCCTGCTACTGAGATTAAGAAGGAACAGGTTAAGCCTCGCTCACGTCCTCAGAAGCAGCGCGGTCCCCCCTGAAGATGGCATTCCTTCCAAGACTAAGGTTATGGTCGCCAACTTGCCTTACGATCTCACTGAGGACAAGGTATGTTCACATATTCAATGAGGTTTCTGTTTTGCGCCATCACGATTGATACTGACTTTACCTTTTTTTTTCTCACAGCTCAAGGAGATCTTCGTCGAATTTAACCCTGTCTCGGCTAAGGTTGCTCTGCGCCCCATCCCCCGTTTCATGATCAAGAAGCTCCAGGCTCGCAACGAGCGTCGCAAGACCCGCGGCTTTGGTTTCGTCACCATGGCCACCGAGGAGCTTCAGGCTAAGGCCGTTAGTGAGATGAACGGCAAGGAGATTGATGGCCGCACCATCGCTGTGAAGGTCGCCATTGACAGCCCCGGCAAGGAGGATGATGTCAACGAGGCGGCCGATAAGTTTGAGGAGAGCACTCCAATCAAGGATGAGGTCGAGATCAAGCAGGAGATCAAGGAGGAGAACACCGCCCCCGCTGAGGCTTAAATGCAAACACACGAATTGTTTTTTTGTTATTCCAACCGCTAATAACTTGCTGAGTAGCCTGGAAGGTACACGCCAGAGAGATACGAAGACCATCTAGGGATATGATCATTGCGTCTTCCCTGAGTGTTTTTCTCTCTTTTCTCTGTCTTGTTTCCATACAGCCAGGTCTACCATGGATTTTATCTTCGCTTTTCATTTTAAGCGGTCTTGGAAGATGGAAATTTGGAGAACGAGGGTGTGATGATGACTTTTTTATGGATGAATACGTCCATGCTGGAGAGCAATCCTTGCTGATGCCTCCATTCTTTACGACTTTTTGCCTTCTGTACTGTATCTTAGCACCCATTTAACTACTGATGATGATCTGACTGGTGTTTGTTTTTTTTTTGCTTTTAAAATTAATCAATTGTAGATTTCAGTAGTACTATATGTATAACAAAGTTGTTGATAACCGTTTGTAGTGCCACCCTTGGCAATGACGCTTGGGGCGACCCTTGCCGATCCAACATTCGAATACCAAAAACACACTTTCAGCAACTTTCCCCTCAATTCATGATTGTTTTGCGGTCGGGGGTCTTCTGATTGTCAACTATTTGTTATAGCGCCATCTTAGTGGAGTTCAGAAATACGAAATAGGGGGCACGTCAGGCACCCAAAAAGAGGAAACGCCCCGAAAACCACCTGGCGGTACCGAGTCCACCTTTCGTCCTCCTTCACCCTCCAATTGTCGAGTCTCTCTGTATAAAGCATCATACTTAACATGTCTCGCATGTGGGAGGTCGATCCAGAAACAAGGACAAAGGTGAGTTTATTCCTAACCTGTCTGGTGACCTTGTCTGCGGCGCGGAGAGAAACCAATATGAGGATGTGGTAAACTAACCGCGGATTCGGGGTCAACAGCTCCTTCAGATCTCCAAGACAAATGGCAACGACAGATGCTGCGATTGCGGTGCCCCATCGCCTCAATGGGTACGTCCACCTCTCTTATTCACCCTTGTCATATACGACAATGCCATTATTGCTACTTCTTTCTCCTCTACGCTGCTTCACTCCTTGCCCCCGACACCCCCAACCCACCCGGACCCTGAATGAACAAGCACTCTCGCACCTGCAGAGACCAGCCAGGATGACCAGTATCATCATAGCTAACCAGCGCCTTGCGCATCTACTGTTCAGGCCTCCCCCAAATTCGGCACATTCATCTGTCTCAACTGCGCAGGTACACACCGCGGTCTCGGCGTACACATCTCCTTCGTCCGTTCAATTACCATGGACGCCTTCAAGCATGCCGAGATCCAGCGCATGGAACTAGGCGGTAACGAGCCCTGGAAAGCCTTCTACGATGCACACGATGTTACGCTATCGGAGGGTCGCACATTCGAGGACTCAACGATAAAGGAGCGGTACGAGGGCGATGCAGGCGAGGAGTGGAAGGAGCGCTTATCGTGTAAGGTCGAAGGGAAGGAATACGTTCTCGGACAAGAGAAGAAGAATAATACCAGTAGTGTGTCACGATCCAGCACACCGATGAGTGTGGGGACCGGTGGTGTTGGACCTGGCAGGACGGCGTCACCAGCTGGTGGAATGTCGAGGACGAGTTCTTTGAGAGCTGCGGCTGGAGCTGGAGCTGGGGCACCAGGGAAGAAAGAGCAGAACGAGGCGTACTTTGCAAAGCTGGGCTCGGAGAACGCCTCTCGTGCGGACAATTTGCCGCCGTCACAGGGTGGGAAGTTCACTGGCTTTGGGGGTGGATTGCCGCCTTCTGCTCCTGCTGCAGACCGACGTTCTTCGCCGTTTGGCTTTGGTGGTGCAGGAGGGAACCAGGCATTTGATGATTTCCAGAAAGATCCCATGGCGTCAATTACTAAGGGATTCGGATGGTTTGCGTCAGCGGTTGGAAAGAGTGCGAAGACTGTGAACGACTCATATCTTCAACCCACTGCAAAGCAGGTATGTGACGAATTGCGTATTTTACCTGTATAGATCAGGACTGACAGTTATAATCTAGCTCGCCGAGTCCGACTTTGCGGCTCAAGCCCGTGTCCAGGCTGCTAACTGGGGCCAGAACTTGCAGGCCGGTGCCCGTGGCGCAGCCGATCAATTTAACCGTTTCGTAGAAGGCGACGAGAGCCGACCTGCCGGTCAACGCTCTCGCGTGGAACCTGAGCGACGAGACTTCTGGGACGACTTCTCGTCGTTGGGCGCACAAGATCAAGCCGGTGGTCACCGTCGAAGCGGCTCGCGATCTGGTGTCGTCGGAACAGCAGCTATGCGAAAGACTCCTGCGACGAATTCTTCTCTGGCTAATTCGTCTACGCCTGCTTCTGCTGAGACTACTACCGCTCCGTCTGGATTAGAGAGTACAGAGAGTACTACTACGTCGAATCCTAAAGCGAAAGATGACTGGGATGATAACTGGTAGATGTATATAGTGTTTGTTGGCGTCAGTTCTTTCTCATTTTATTCGTTATTTTTTCATGTCACTTTGGCCTTTTTACATGTGTTGGCGGGTTCAAGTTACAGATGCCTTGATGATGTATGCATGGTGGTATTCAGGCTTGTCTCTTCAAGTTCTAGTTGATTTCCACTTTTCTCTATATACCTCGCTCGTCGAATGACATCACTATACAATTTTCAACATCAAACTTGAACTTCACTTGTTTGAATGATGCCTCGGCAGCATTTGATGCTCAAGTTTCTGTGTGTGCCGCCCGGGCACTGATACTGGCAGTGATTTCAATCACCAGTATCGTCCACGGGGGAGGCAGTAGTGATTTCTACCAATTTGGGAGACTTTGAACTCGAACTTGCATCGTTCAATGGACATCTGAGGATGGGCCCTATGCAGTAGGAATAATCATCGTCATCATGCGTAGGTACTATCAATTGATGCTGTATGAACAAAACAATGGCCAGGAATTGACCGTCCTCCAAATATCGTACTCATGATGTGCGTTAACTTTGCAGGGCCGAAAAAACAAAACGCGAGTGAACCAATCCATATCCACAATAACACATGAAGATCCATGGAAGATCTGAAGGAACTTTGGGTATCATCGAAGACACGGGCAACATCCAGTAGGCTCAAAATCCTCTTCATCTTCGTAGGACCACCGTTCCCTCATGCCCGGCTTGATAGTAGCAACTGTATAAGCGAACTCAGCATCAAGCCAAGAATCCCAGTCCCAATCAACCCATTTCAAAAACGAAGTAATATGTCCAGACTTTTCTCTCCACCGAAGCAAAGGCGAGATGTATTCACCGAGAAAAAGGTTCACGTCTAACGCAACGGGGTCGTCCGTCCTGCGCCCAAAAAGAGCATGAGCGAAATCAAGAAAAATGATTCGAGGATGGTCGCTGTCTGATGACACCAGCAGAATATTCTGTGGCGCGGTCTCCATTAAGAATACATCGTTCTCGTAGATCCTGCTTTCCAGATCCACGATCGATCTCATGATGCTTTGTCGAGATTGCTGTGGAATACTGCCTGGGGTTGCCTCTGCCATCGTGATTCCTTGTATATGTTCCCCGAGAATCATCCTGACTGCTCGTTCCTTTTTCGATTTTGAGTCGACAGGCAAATTGAAAGTAAAGGAGCCATAGTACATTGGAATCTCTCGACCTTGAAACTTGTCAAGAGCCATGTATGCATTCACCTCATGGGAATAGAATTGATCCATTGTAACGAATGGATTGAGGTATCCCTCCTCATCATCAAAGTACAGCGGATCATAAATCTTCGCGACGAGAACAGTATCTTTTTTTAGATCGTAAATATGGCGAGAGTTTGAAGATTTCGATTGTAAATCTGATTTTACATCCCCAAGTCGAACTCTCAGAATCTGGCAGTGTTGTCCATCTCCTCCTTTAATAAGCTCGATGACTTCCAATTCGACTAAATAATTCCCCAATGATCCAGGTAAAGGGGGATGCTTTAAGCACCGATCGACTGGATCCAATTCACTCCGTTCAATTCGGTCTCCTTTAACATTGAGACAACAATTGCGCAAAACAGGCGTCGCAGTTGGCGCAATGTGAGATTTGGCAACGAATTTCCAACCAGAGGTATATGGAAATGTCGGTTTTGGGAGATCAATGGAAGGCGGTTCTGGGATCTCAGGTTCATAGAAACTCATGATGGCTGTGCTGGAGTCAAGCTTTGAGATTGAGGTGAGATGGATGAAATGGTTGTATTGAGAACTTGTACGGAGTAGGTTGAAGTGATCTGCAAGGGGTTAGATTTTGATGTGAAGAGAAATACAAATCATCGAGGCCCACTCACTAGTAGCTTCTTGGAGCTTCCAATCATGTCTAAGAACTTGCAATAGTTCTCTGCCTGATGAACTCAAAAGATCCTTGAGATGCACTTGGTTTTAAATTAGTCCAATCAGGGTCTTATTCTTGTTTCTGGGTCTTGTTAGTGGAGTTAACAGTGGGGTGATATACCGAGCTGAGATCGCGGATAACGCGACAAAATGAGGTTATAGGTATGGCGTATGTTTACCATAGTTTTCAGGTTTCTCTATTTTCATGAAGGACCTTAGGAATGTTGAGTTCTGATTTGGAATATCATCATCACACCAAAGCTAGATTTTCACCGCTTCTTGATGTTTCACTTGCACCGCTATTTTGTCCGAATAATGGATTATTCCAAGGTTTCCTGATTATCAGTGGGGTTGCTTGAAGAACAAGCTCAAGGATGGGGTGACACATGAAGAACTTGAAAATGATAATAGTACATTGTGAAACTGTAGTAAATACATCCGAATGATCCGATCACATACAGCCCCAGAAAATGATACAAGCGAGGTTCCGCTATTCATGATTAAAAGCCACCTCGTAGCTCGGCCAAAACAGCCTTTTGTCGTTGTGCAGACATGTTCTCAAATCGATCAACGCTCATAACAAAAGTACCCCGGCCAGCAGTCAAACTGCGGAGATGCTTCAAGTATCCAACCATCTCCTTGAGAGGTACCTTCGCAGTAATAGTACGCTGTCGCGAAGCTGTCACTGAGACTTCCGTGCCAACGGAAGATGTCTCGAATGGATCAGCTGGGGCATATACACGCTTTGGATCAATAGAGGGCAGAGGTTCAGCATCAATGGCGGAGAATGATACATCTTCGTCCAGCGAAAGAATGTGTCCACCACGTGAAGAGGATATGTCATGCACAACGGAACCAAGGCTCGCCTCATCAACACTGATGATGACATTCATAACAGGTTCCATCATAACTGTACCAGGTCCAGTGATGAGATCCCGGAGTGCGGCCGATGTGGCCTGGCGCGCAGCAGAAGAGAGGGCAGAGGTGGTACTATCACCACCAAACAGATGCTCTGCAGGGTTGATTGTGAGGGTGACCTGGGTATTATGCATTGGGAATGTAAATTGAGGGCCTCGAGCCAGTGCAGCCAATGCACCATTTTGCACTGCTGTTCGAAGAGTGTTCAGGTCCATGCCTGGTGGAAGGAAGGGACTGGTTTCTTCTTCATCTCTGACGCGTTCCACTTGTAAGCCTGGAGCACGGATGATAATGTGGTTGCCCTCGATTGTCTCAGACATGAGTACATCTTCATCTGCCATGTCTGCAGGAGTTTCTCCGTCAAATGGTTCGACCGTAGCTGTGCAACCTGCCTTTCCTCGGCGACCGGCCACATCCTTGTCGAAGATCTTGGTAACTGGACCCGAGACTCCCATGCCGGATTCTCGGTACCCGATCTCAATACGACCCATGGACGCCTTGGTTTTCATGTCATTGATTAAACGATCACGGGCAATCTCAAGGTGCAGTTCTCCCATTCCACTAAGCAGGGTTTGACCTGACTCCTCATCTACACTAACATGCAGACTAGGGTCTTCTCTCAAGAGAAGGTCAAGAGATTCTTGCATCCGCTTCTCTTCACTCAAGCTATGGGGTTCCACGCTAGTGAAGAAAACTGGAGGAGGGACATCAATTGGACGCAATTGGAGAGTAGTCAGAGGCTCAGGAGGAGTAGGCTTGTTTCCTGCATAGGAAAGCAACGTGTCACCAGTTCGGGCATGTTTAAGACCAACTACAACACCAATATGACCTGCAGGGATGGAGTCCACTTCCACAGCATCATTGGCATACATCTTCAACAGGCGAGGTGCACGCTCGGATAGATGAAGATTGGTGTTGAAGAGCAGACTGTTACGGTCAAGCGATCCGGAATAGACACGGACATAGACCAACACGCCTCGTTTAGCATCATTGACCACTTTGAATGCCAACGCGCAGCTCTGAAGTTTGGCGACTGCATCTTTGGGATTGGTCCGTACAGCGCTCTTCTTCTTTTTCTTGCCCTTGGAAGATGCGAAAACTTGCTCCGTCTGCTCCAAGATTAGATCACCTGAGAGTAGACGACGCAACCCTCCTTTGACATCACCAATGCTCACTTCGGGATCTGGTGCCTCCGGTGGGCTGGGCAGAAGGTTCACTACGGCATCTAGTAGTGGTTGAACGCCCATGTTCCGAAAACTGGCACCCGCGAAAAGAGGCACGATTCGACTCGTGGGGTCCAGCACGCATCGCCGCAAACTGTCCACAATATCCATGGGAGAAACTGCTAGATGATCCTCATCGCATTCGAAGAATTTCTCCACAATGTTCTCATCTTGCTCACTTAGAAGCTCAACTAATGCGATACGTGCTTTCCGGAGCTCTTCCGCCAAGGATGGCTCTTCCGCATCCAGTTGCTCGAGAGTCAACATTTTGACTGAACGGCCATCTTCACCTTCCTTCCATCGTAGACCTTGAAGGTTCACAGCATCTGCCAAGCCAATAAATGACCCATTACCACCTTGAAACCAGGGGATGTGACAAACGGCTGGGTACACTGACAACCGAGAGCTAACTTCTCGCACTGTTCGGCCAAAAGCAGCACCATCACGATCCAGCTTGTTGACGTAGATGACTCGAGGGATGTTATAAGTGCTGGCCTGCTTCCAGACTTGCTCCGTTTGTGCCTCAACACCAGCGACACCGTCTCAGGATACAAACAGCTCCATCTAGAATACGCAAAGACCGCATCACCTCAAAGGTAAAATCCGCGTGTCCAGGGGTATCAATGAGATTAATTGTATGAGAATTAGCCGACCGAGGCAGGGCAGGGTCTTTTGGAGCAGCTTGGCCCTCAGCGCCATCACCAGGAGGCCAGTGGAAAGTAATAGCAGCGGACTGAATCGTGATACCACGCGCCCTTTCAGCAGGTAAGAAATCAGTGACAGTTGATCCCTCGTCCACATCACCAATGCGACGAGTAAATCCACTGTAAAATAACATGCGCTCCGTTGTTGTAGTCTTGCCCGCATCAATATGGGCAATAATGCCGATATTGCGGGTCCGGCCCAGAGCATCGCTTTGACATTGAGAGAGAGTTGTAGAGAAATATTTGGCTCGATCAATGTTTAGTTGTAAGCTTTGAACGCGAAGTTCGCGTTTTGCCGGGTTGAAATGCGGCTTATAATGGGCCATACGACGCAGTCCCGCTTGGGGGAGGCGTAGTAGTGGACCGACCAGCATTGCGCAATAGCACAGTCTGCCTTAAAGAACTATGTGCAATCTAAAATGTGGAAGACATGGATGACCTGTTAATAGGTCCTAGAAATAGTATCAAGTTGAGTGTAAGGAAAATCGGTGGTTGAAGGCGGGCTTGGCGTTGATCCGGTCCGACTGGACACTCCAGTGCATATACTCATAGAGCATTATGTAGAGCAGTATGTATAGGATCATGATATTTCTGTGTGGTAATTATTCAATTATATGAGAGCAATGGCTTGCTGTCAATCCACCCTTGTATGAGACCAAAATCTCGCTTTCAAATACCGAATTTATGCCCATAATGAGACCTATGTACTACTATTCTTCATGTCTGTTATGTTTAACGTGCTCATCAAACTTGAACAATTTACTCATAGTTAATTGTCACTTTGAATTATCAGGAAATTAAAAAAAAATTGGAACTACTTTCATCACACATTGGACCTTTCTAGTAATAATCCCAGGTGGACAAGCTCAATAGAGGCAGATTGATCTAACTGGCCAGACCGCCTGGAAACCCCCCCTCCATTGTACAAGCTCCCAGCAACTCAACACTTAACAACCGCACCCATTTCCTACTTGCTTTCCACTTAAAATGAACTTTTGAAAAGTCGACCTCATACTTAATCAAGTTGGGCAAAATATTCTCACATTGCATTGGAGATAGCTATTATTGTGGGGACGATCCTCATTAATTCTGACGCCTACACCCGAGGTCCGTACTCCGTACACCGTACACTGTCCACTAGCAGCTTCCGCCCCCTTCGATCTCCCTTCGATCCCGGTCACTCCTTACGTTTCATTTGAATCGACATGGACTATTCGACCATCTCCCACGATCCCGAACACCCCGTAGAGGCTTCGCCCTGGGGCTCGCCGCGCGCAGACCGCACTACATTCTCCGCCACCAACAATGACATCCCGTCATCCCCTTTACCAGCCCATGACCGTTCTGCGGAGGAGGAGGGCAGAGGCGACGTAGCTCCCCAGTCCCCTGATCTTTCTGCGCAGCTTCAAAGCGCTCAATTGGGGGACCCCGATTACACCGAAGGACAACCGTCTTTTGCGGCGCAGTCGCCCAGCGCCGATCACCAACGATCACAGCTCCCCGCGCGGTATCAGACGAGCATGCGTCAGCCTTCTCGCCCTGCAGCGCCCGCATATAAGATTCAAGCTAAAATTACTGGCCTGGAGAGGACCGGCAAGAAAGATCCCATTCTCCGCTTCGATGTCCATGTGGGTCACCCAAGATAAGACCGATGCGCTCAGCGGAGCTAATAGACTGACCATTCTCCGTTGCTATTTAGACCAACATTCCAAAGTTCCGTACTACTCAGTATCGTGATGTCCGCCGTACACATGCCGAATTTACTAAACTCGCCGATCATCTACTCTCAGCGAACCCGGAAGCTCTGGTCCCGGCCGTGCCTCCGCCAGTCACCCCAGCTGGAGCGGGTACCGATGAGGATGAGGCTCGCGTGAAAGCATCAATGCAACGTTGGATTAATGCTGTTCTGAGCAATGAAATACTTATTCAGGATGAGGAGATGGTTTTATTTGTAGAGAGTGACTTCGGTTACAGCCCGGTGGTCCGGATGAAGCAGCCAGCTACTGGTGTCCGTCGCAAGATGTTGAAGCAGTTCGCACCCCCTCCAGATGATACCCCTGAACTTCAATCTGCTCGCCCGACTGTTAAGATGTTTTATCTGGGTTCAATGGACACAAGCCATAAGGTGGATCGAGTCGTCAAGGGCCGTCGAGGTATGTTTTCTGAAGCATTGACCCCTCTCTTTCACAGCTTCTTCGATCCTTTACTAATATTATTTAGGTCTTGGACTCGCCGAGACGGATTTCGGTGTGAAACTTGGCCAAATGAGTGTGCAGGAGACACACCCCGGCTTAGCTACGGCGTACCGCAAGTTGGGCAAGGTGATTCAGACTGTAGGTGACTACCATGCTGTGCAAGCTACCGCAGAAGCCACCACCCTTGGAGAGCCACTGAGCTACCACTCTGGGGATGCCTTCATTGTAAAGGAAACCTTGACCAATCGACACATCCTGCTCCGTGATCTTCTCCAGGCTCAGCAAAGCACCCGCAGTAAACGCGCCGCAGCAGACCGCTTGAAAGTCAGCTCATCAGTGCGCTCGGATAAGGTTGACGAAGCAATAAATGCCCTTCAGGATGCTGAGAACCACGAGGAATACTTGACTAAACGTACTCAGCGTGTCACTGCCAATTTGTTGCAGGAGAAACGCCGCTGGTTCGACCGCACCACCAATGATCTACTTTTCAGCCTGCGCGAGTATACTTTGCGCCAAATTGATGCTGAAAGACGGACTTTGGCAACATTGGAGAGTGTTCGGCCTGACATTCGAGCAATCGACGCTTCTGGAGGATTGAGCCGTTTGGGTCGCGAATCTCACCCTGCTCAGCGCCGGCCCAACGTCACATCTAGCCAAGGTCCCAAAGGAGACTCTTGGAGTGGTGTTCCCCGCCGCACTGACAGTATGGGTCGTAGCATTAGTGGCAGCTTTACAGCTCCCCTTCTGAATGAGGAAGAGGGCGAGGAGGGTGGCAAGGGCCGTCTGCGCTCTACCAGCAAGGTTGATTCTATTGCGGAGGATGACGATGATCGCCTGGATGCTCGCAATGCGGCTAGTCGGCTAGCCACAAGTACCTTCTAACGAGGGGGGTTTATTTCAAATATGTTTTCATGTTTCGTTGATTCTGTACATATAGCCTGGACACAACTTTGTGACCCCCCTCCCCATCTCTTATAACTCATGTCTCCTATCACGCATTGACTCTGTAGTTCTTTCAGCCTGAATACTATCCTTCCTTGATACTCCATACATTCTCAACAGCTCATTTACCTCAACTCCAATGTATCGCTCAACATTCCACAAACTTGGCCACTCAAACTCACTCCGCTCAACTCCACTTGCCAGCCAATGCTACTAAACCTTCAACACCGCAGATGCCACACTACTGGCCCCAAGTCTGCCACCTCGATGTTCCATCTGCCGGAAGCTCGTACCATGATGCTTTGTCTTCTAGGAAAATGTGTGCCGAAGCCGGTGGTACAACCGTATCATCGTCGATCGTTCCAGCCACGATCCCTATGAAATCTGGGAATGCATCTAGACTCATACTGATGGTTGAGCCGCACCGAGGACAAAAGGTCCGGGAAGCAGTTTCACTCGATCTCCAGACGGTTGGCTCGACTTCCCATTTGATGGACTCAACCGGAAAATGACAAAATGCTTGGTATGGAGCACCAGACTGCTTCCGACATGTGGTACAGTGGCAGTTAACCAGCTTTGATGGAGGAGTTGAGCTGGTGTACCGGATATAATGACAAGCACAGCTTCCAGAGGCCATAGTTCAAGAGTGGGTTATTCAAGTTTTATAATATGAGAACTCAAGAGTGGATTGTATAGTTGCCAGTGTATAGCTATAGTATGAAAATGGGGTTGACAAGGGGTTCATATACTGGAGTATGCGCGGGGTCAACAAGTACTCGGACCATTGACATCATGCGGGGTTCAAGTCGGATCTATATCGTATGTAGTATCAAATAGAACTATGTAGTAGTTGTCTATTCAAGTCACACGAGACGAACTTTGGACTCAATGATTTAGTAGAAAAGATACTATTAAATTGAGTATTCCAACTACTTCTATACTATAAAACCAACCTGCACCAGTTGAGCGTCACCTTGTGGGCAAATTGCAAATCCTGGCATTCGGTGCTTCGCACTGTCCCACGTCCCCCCACTTTTGCCCACTTCTCGGATCCATCTCGGTCCAAGTTCCTCCATTAAGTTGATTTGAAAGCAAAAGTCGGCCTTGAAAGTGTTCTGACTTCACTGTTTTGCTTTCTTCCTTCTTTCACTTCTTTATTGAATACCAGCTTCACTATATCACACATCCATCCTGCAATAGCTCACAACATGGCTCCTCAGGTCTTCATGTTCGTCACCCCCACTCTGAAGTTAAATCTTTTTATCTGATCGTTTTATATAGTCTTGGTGCTACTGGTTACATCGGTGGCGATGGTCTCTACGCCATTGCCAATGCACACCCCGATTGGGAGCTTTCAGCTTTGGTTCGCAACAAGGACAAGGCTGCTGTGCTCTCTAGCAAATATCCCAAGATCCGCGTCGTACACGGCGACCTAGACTCATCCTATATTATTGAAGAAGAGGTGAAGAAGGCCGATATCGTCTTCCGTGAGTCTATAACCTCGGCCAGGCAATGTCTATAATATCTGATGAATCTATTCTAGACTTCGCCGACTGCGACCACGTCGCCGCAGCTGAAGCCATTGCCAAGGGCGCCAAACACCACACAGCTGAGCGTCCTCTCTGGTTGATTCACACCTCAGGAACTGGTATCCTGACCGTGGAGGACCAGCGCGCTAAAACATACGGTATTGAGCGTCCTAAGGAGTATAATGACTGGGAAGGTGTCAGTGAGCTCGTCAACCTTCCTGAGGATGCATTCCACCGCAACGTAGACGAAATCATTATCAACGCTGGCAAGCACAACCCTACCAGTGTTCGCACTGCTATTGTCTGCCCTCCAACTATCTACGGCCCGGGTCGTGGACCTGTCAACCAGAAGAGCATACAGGCCTATCTCCTCAGCGCGGCTGTCATCAAGCGTGGTAAGGGTTTCCTTGTTGGAAAGGGCGAGAATGTCTGGCACCAGGTTCACGTTCAAGATCTGAGCAATGTCTACCTTGCCCTGGGCGTTGCAGCTGCTGAGGGTGGTGGTAAGGCTACTTGGAATGATGAGGGCTACTACCTCGCTGAAAACGGTTCTTTTGTTTGGGGAGATATCCAGCGTGCTGTTGCACAGGCTGCTTTTGATCAGAAGTATATCGAGTCCCCCGAGGTTGAGTCTTTGGATGAGAAGCAGACTACTGAAATCCTTTCCGTCGGATTGTATGCCTGGGGGTCGAACTCTCGTGGTCATGCTCACCGTGCACGGAAACTGTTAGGCTGGGAACCTAAGCAGCCCAAGCTGATTGAGTTGATCCCGGATATTGTTACTCTTGAGGCTAAAGGCCTTGGGCTGTAAGGTCTATTTTGTGTATGATATGAGCTCCATGAGTCGACGATAGTTAAAATCAAAATTGAGATGGGTTGACTATTGTTATCGATATCTACACCACTTCATTGATACAATTTAATGATCATTTAGATGATTGTGGTGATGGTACTTAGTCCATGTATGTATGCCTAAGTTGATACTCGATGAGGCTGAGAATCCAACACGTGCATAACAGTGGCCTGACAGGGTACTCGACAAGTGAATAAACCACGTAGCATAGACTGAACGAGAATCAGAGACTGAAACGGGTGAATAAAGATTAATAAATAGTGCTCACTCATTTCATCCTGTAAATTCCGTGATATCGAAACATTGAGCATTGAATACCCGATCAACTTGAAGTGAATACTCCAAGTGAATGAAGTTGACACCTCAGGCGCAAACTTCACCGGCTCCATATCTGCTCCGAACAAGCTTCCTGCCGATACCTTCCATCTCCATCGCTGCTCTCCGCGTCGCAAGGCTTTTCTATCAGTTTTTTGATCAAGTTTTCTGCTGGTGTGTAATCCGAAGACTTAATATTCCTACTCTTTGCTACTTTTATCCCGCCTTTCAATTGCTGACACTCGGCCCGCGCTCCTCTTTCAGATTCAACCCTATGAGCTGCAACCTTCCGATCTTCCAAACCACCATCTCTGCCCTTAGCCTCTAAATCGGCTAGACTCCCCCGCGATGGCGCCCGGGCAGGGAGGCAAGAGAAAACGTACTGATCGCACATGGCCCCACGACTCGCCAACTAACGACGGTCTTCGACCCTCACCTCATCGCCCCGGTACCCTCAACATGGCAGGGCACGGTGGACATCAATCGCCTCCTCCGCGGGACCACAATGACGGGCGCGACCGATCCCGCCGACACTCACAGCGTGGCCCTGGCCGAAACAATTCCCGCCGTCCGTCTTTTGAGAATCAGAATTTTTCGAATTCGCAGCAGCGAGACCCGAGCGCAATGTCTCCTCCGCCGCCCACTCAACCTAAAGAACCAACAGAGCCTTCGCAGGCCAATGGAGAGCCTGCAGTCATACAGCCTATCCTATCTCCCACGCCTAGTACCCCTGCTACGAATGCGCAACCTCGACCCCACTCCCGAGCCGGTTCCGACGCTGTGATCAGTCGCCCCGCCGGCCCTCCTCCCCCGTACGACTACGAATATGTCACGGATTCTCTTGTTGAAGCATGGTTCTCAGCTGGAAAAGGAAAGGTTATCGAGTCTGGAAGCGAGGCCTGCTCGCAGCAGGATATCTTCCGCTTGGCATCGATTTACCAAGAACTCATTCGATCTGCGATTTACGGCCGTCTCTCTGCGACTGAAGCCGGCTCTGCAGTTAAGGACATCCTCGGTGAAGAACAGGATGTAGACATGGAGGCTGCAGGTCAGAGATCTTCAAGCACAGAACTTGACCCTCGATCTCTCTTCCTCGACACGTTATCTATTGTGACTGACACAGACACCTCTAACCCCGTCCTCAAACCACTCGTCTTCGCAACCGCAATTTCACCTTCACTCATGCGCCTTCAGCTCGAGACACCCCTGCTTCAGTCCTTGGGATTGGTTCGCGACACATTTGCACGCATGGGCATTCGCAAGCAAACAAACCTACTTTACCGACAGTCTAACTACAATTTGTTGCGTGAGGAGTCTGAAGGCTACTCGAAACTTCTTACCGAACTCTTCACTACCAGTAACAATGAACCTCCGACGAGTGATGTGGTCGAGGAGACATTTGAAAGAGTGAAGGCTATGATCGGAGCTTTCGATATGGATGTGGGCCGAGTGCTGGATGTGACATTGGATGTTTTCGCCGCAGTCTTGGTGAAGCAGTATCGATTCTTTGTGAAAATGCTTCGAGCTAGCTCTTGGTGGCCTAAGGAAGACCCACTGTACACCGTGGAGGGTGCTCGACGCTCTTCCGGACTGCCTAATTGGGCTCTTCCTGGATGTCAGGGATGGAGTACAACGGAGGAAGACCGGGCTAACATCATGAAAGCCAATGAGCAACGAGATCGCGATTTCTGGGATCGTGTCCGACAAGTCGGAGTTCAAGCTTTCTTCGAGCTCGGCCGCAAGCCACTCTCCGAAGAAGACCTGCAACAGGTTCTGCCGGAAGCCAACAGTCTCCCCGAAGAGGAAGATGCCACAAAGGCTTGGATCGAAAAGACGGGGACGCTACCTCCCAAAGGTAATCGAGTCGCCGCGCAACTACTCGGTTTCAAATTACGATTTTATTCTTCCAACGCCCGCACTAAGTCTGATGTATTGCCTGATAATCTGATCTATCTCGCGGCTCTCCTCATCAAGATCGGATTTATCTCACTTCGGGACCTCTACGCTCATCTCTGGAGACCCGATGATTCCATGGATGTCTTGAAGACCGAGAAGATGGCAGAGAAGGCGGAACGAGAGAAGGCTGCTCGACCTGGAGGCGGTGTCAATGCTCTCATGATGGCCGGTGCTCTATCAGACGACACACTCCCACCATCTCGCCTTCGAGAATCCGAAACAAGAATTCAGACGCCTTCCAAGGATCAAGACACCGACAAGCAGTCCACAAAACCGGAGAATGAACTCCCAGATCCGTCAGATCAAAAGGTCTTGCTTCTGAAGAGTCTTCTCGCTATCGGTGCCATACCAGAGGCTCTCTTTGTCATGAGTAAATTCCCATGGTTGATGGATGGATACCCTGAACTCCCCGAGTTCATCCATCGCATCCTTCATCATTGTCTGAGCAAGGTCTACACGTCTATTCGCCCCTTGGGCTCGGCTGGAAACTCCCCCAACGACCGACAAATCCTGAATTCAGACCAAGCTGGCGCAGCCAAGGGCACGGTTCGACTTGTCAGCCCACCAACTCGACGAGTTCTCCGATGGGCTCAGCTGGACAAAGAGGACGACACAAGCGATGGCATTGATTATCGATTCTACTGGGACGATTGGGCTGATAATATTCCGATCTGTCAATCCGTGGATGATGTGTTTGCTTTGTGCTCCTCCTTCCTTAATCTGTCCGGTCACAAGATTGGACAAGATGCGTCTTTACTCTTGAAACTCGCGCGCATCGGTAAGGACAGTCTATCCAAGGATGATTCCGAGGAGAACAGAACTCGCTGGCGAGACATGTGCAAGCGCCTCATTTTGCCATCCATCAGCTTGACAAAGTCCAATCCAGGCGTTGTGAACGAAGTCTTTGATCTTCTCAGTTTCTTTTCTCGGGATGTTCGATACAACATGTACGCAGAATGGTACAGTGGCCAAACTAGCCGATTACCTGACATCAAGAGTGCCTTTGATCAAGCAAAGGCCGAGACCAAGGACACGCTGAAGAGGTTGAGCAAAACCAATGTCAAGCCTATGGCTCGTGCCCTAGCCAAGATCGCGTACGCCAATCCTGGAATTGTCATCAATGTGTCTATTGGTCAGATTGAGTCGTACGAGAACCTCATTGAAGTCGTTGTCGAATGTGCTCGTTACTTCACAAACCTGGGCTACGATATTCTGACTTGGTCACTCATCAATTCCCTTGGCCAGAAAGGAAGAAGCCGTGTTCAGGAGGGCGGTCTACTCACCAGTCGCTGGCTCAATGCCTTGTCTACCTTCGCTGGTCGCGCCTTCAAACGATACCCTGTCATGGACCCAGGTCCCCTTCTGCAGTACGTTGTGGAGCAGTTGCGCCGAAACAACTCAACCGACCTGATTGTCTTAGAGCAACTCATCAGCTCCATGGCTGGTATTATTACGGACAATAATTTCAACGACAACCAAATTCAGGCTATGGCTGGTGGCGAGATTCTCCAAGCTCAGACCATTCTGCAACTTCTTGACAGACGTCACGAGTCCAAGATCACTTCCAAGCGCTTGATCAAATCGCTCACGCATACTCGACTTGCTGGCCAGCTGTTGGTTGCAATTGCTCAGGAACGCTTGACGTGCGTCTACAATGAATCCTCGACCGAACTCAAGTTGCTTGGCAATATCTTTGATGAGATTCACCGTACTCTGACTCAGTATCTTGATCTATTGCGCAGCAACCTTACAATTGACGAGTTCGATTCATTTGTCCCTGACTTCTTCTCACTCATCAAGGAGTTTGGAGTTCAGCCAGAAATCGCTTTCTGGATTCGACGACCCAGTGTTTCCCGGAAGATTGCCGACGTGGAACAGTTAAAGCAAGAGACTGAATCCTCGACCAAGCCAAACCAAGGTCCTGATGATGTCAAGATGGAGAATTCCGACGATGGGGAAATCTCAGACAAACCTGAAGAAGCTGCAGTTGAATCTGGAATGGATGTTGACAAGGACGAGAAAAAACACTCCTCCTACCGCTGCTACTCCTGAACCGTTGTCTTCTAATCCTGTTATGCAAGAATTGATCGAAAATGTCAAGTTCGCCTTAGCGGCTGAAGTTTGGGAGGTTGTTGGTGCTCATTTTTATGCCACTTTCTGGCAGCTGTCTCTCCACGATGTGTACATCCCAGGAAAATCATATGAAGATGAGATTGACCGCCTGAAGCGTCGGGTCATCACAATTAATCATGATCGCTCCGATCTCAGCCTAGCAGGCACAAAGCGAAAGGAGCAGGAAAAGAAACAGATCAGTCAACTTCAAGAGCGGATCCTGGACGAGAATAAGAACCACCTGAAGGCTTATGATCAAACCAGGAGACGACTCCAGAAGGAGAAAGACCGCTGGTTCCCTGAGATGCGCTCAAGATATGAGGAATTGAATATTGCCCTGTTGGAGCAATGCTTCATCCCTCGCTTGCTCCTGTCCCCTCTTGACGCCTTCTTCTCCTTCAAGATGTTTAAATTCCTCCACAGTTCTGGAACCCCCAATGTTCGCACTGTTGGCTTGATTGACCAGCTGTTCCGCGAGCAGAGACTTACCGCGTTGATTTTCCTTTGCACTTCGAAGGAGGCCGATAACTTGGGACGATTCTTGAATGAGATTCTCCGTGACCTAAGCCGCTGGCATGCTGACAAGACTGTCTATGAAAAGGAGGCTTTCGGTACTAAACGAGACCTTCCTGGCTTTGCCAAGAGCGTTGATCCTGATGGCATGCCAACGAAGTTCCTCGAGTTTGAAGATTTCCGCCGCCTGCTGTACAAGTGGCACCGTGTCTTCTCCAACGCTCTTAAAGCCTGCTTCACTGGTGGTGAATACATGCATATTCGCAATGCTATCAGTGTTCTTAAGGCTGTGGTACAACACTTCCCAGCGGTCAACTGGATTGGTCGTGACATGTTGAACTGCGTGAACACTCTTAGTAAGACTGATGAACGTGACGATGTCAAAATTCCCGCCGCCTCTCTTATTGGTGACTTGAACCGCAGAGAGAAGACCTGGTTGCTTCCTCAAGCTTTCAACCTGGTTATGGCCCAACCAGGCGACCTTGCTCAACAAAAATCTGGATCTCAATCCGGCCAACTCCGTCCTTCTACCCCTAACAACCTGAATGCATCGGCACCTGAATTCAAGCCATCCGCCCAAGAGTAAGTCCTGCACACATTCCGACTACCGACTTTTGCTCATCGATCCACAACTAATAATCAACTACCAGCTCTACCTATTCGAAGCAAGATTCCTCTGGCAAGATTGATGTGGAGGACGGCGAAATTGAAGATGCGAAGATGATGGATGCTAGCTCCGTTAGCAGGGCAGGTGATGGGGCAGGTTCCCAGACTGAACCTACAAAAGACGCATCAAACATTACTTCTATGGATACCAGCGCCGACGCCATCTCTATGGAACGCTCATCATCAGACCACCGTGGCCAGGCTGGCTTACAAGTGAGATCGCAGTCAGGCTCTCGAGCTTCAGATTCGGGCCGTCCCGGCGACATTCCCAAGCGCCCTGAGCCTGAGCGTATCGACCCACGCCAGCAAGCACATCGACCACGCATCATGGAAAACAGATTGCCTCCGCGTCCTGAAGTTAATGATGGACGAGGTAGACACACTGATTTCAATCCACGGACTCGTCATGGAGTACCAGATCGCTCATTTGAAGCACCTCCCGTTGATATCAGAGTTCATGGACGTCCATCTGATCGCGATCGTGATTATCCTATGAGACCGATGCCAGACGATCCCATGCGTGGCCCACCTTATCGTGATGCTCGCCTACCACGTGAACAGGATTGGCCGATGGATCGATCAGGACGTATGCGTCCACCTGATTCATTCCATGGCCGTGAGCCTCCTGCTCGCCCCGAGCTGATGCCAGAATACCCCGATCGCCCTGCGGATGGCGCCCGTCGTGGAGATCTGCCTGTCCGATCAGAGAAGGATGACCGACGTCCATATCCGCCTCGAGCTGCCTCTCCTCCACGAGCTGAGTTGCCAAATCGTCCGGAGCGGATGCCCAATGACCGTCGCTCTGGTAACTTCGGACAACAGCCTCCTCGTCACGATGATCTCCCCAGGGGTCCTCGCAGTGATCGCCCTAGCGGTCCTGACCCAAGAGAACCCGCTGCAGGCCCAGATATGGATCATGGTCGACTACAACCTCCGAATGATATTCCATCAGGACCTCGCAACAGACGGGGTGGTCGAAATGCGCCGGGCCCACAGTCTGCTCCCAATCAGAGCAATGGTAAAGTACCTACACCAGAACGCCAAATGCAATCTGGTTCCAGGCGACAGAGTGGGCGTGGAGTCGTTCCTGACCAGCCTGCGGCTGCGGCTGCGGCTGCTGCTGCTGCTCAGCTGCCATCTTCTGATCGAGCCGAGCCACTAGGAATTCACCCGGATCGACTCAGACAATTCCAAGATACTCCTCAGCCTCCAACAGCGCCAGCGGCCGTCATTCCTCCGGCGCCTATCATCACAAACATGACTCCGCCCTCTGGTCCTCGTGCTGGCAACAATCCCCCTTCGGGCTCTCGTGGACCCGGCAATGACCGTGGACGCAGCGATAAACGATTTGCTGGCATTAACAACATGCTCCAACAAACTAATGGCCCTGCTGAGCGCGGTAATGCCACACCGCCATCATCTCGTGGAAGAGGGTCCAATCGTCAATCGAACACTGCAAACTCATCTCCACAAGTTTCCAATCGTCCCGGTACTGCTCCAACTGGACCCGAAGATGATAGCCATTCCATCCGTGGCCGTGCTGGGGGTCGAGGCGGTGACCTAATTGATGACGCTCCAGCTCCTCCAGCTGCTCCTGCTGCTGAAGGCCGCAGCTCTGGGCGTAACAATGACCGTGACCGTGATCGTGATGGTGGCCACCGCGACCGCCGTGGTGATGAATCTGCAAGCAGTGGCAACAACCGTCGCGGAGACCGTCGTGATCGTGACCGAGGCCGACGAAGCGATGTGGGCGGTGGTGGTGCCGGTGGTGGTCGAGACGACAAGGATCGCGATCGCCCCACTGAATCTCGAGAGTCTCAGCGCCGCAATCCCAGCTCCCGTGAAGAAGCAAGACGTCGGGACCGCCGTGACCGTGATGATGGACCGGCTGATACGGGTTCTGCCTCTAATCCCAACGCAGCCTCCACCGAAGGCGAGGGTCGTATTCGCCCATCTTCGTCAATGGGGGCACCGCCACCTCCGCCACCTCCACCTCCACCGCCGCCAAGTGACGATAACTCACGTCGCTGGGGCTCTGGTGGAGACCGTGGCAACCGCAATGACAATCGCGGAGATCGCGAACGAGAGCGCCGAGGTGATCGCCGTGATCGCGACCACCGAGAGAGTGGTGGAGGCTCAACCCACCGCAAGCGTGGACGTCCAAACCAGGACGATAACTCGGGCGGTGGTGAAGGAGGTCAACGTGGCCAACGAATGGGAAATGATAACAAGCGTCCCCGTCGTGGACAGTGAGTGATGTGACTCTGTGCGGTTGATGAAAATATGGGATGTGATACACCGATCATGTTACGGTTTTCTTAGATGATTCCCCTGTTTTCCTTTTTTTTCCTCTTTCTTTTTCTTCATTTCCACCTTCTCTTCTCATTCTGTTTCTTTTTTCTCTTAATGTCTACAATTTGCATCCTGATCGGTGTTTGGGAATGACCTCCACTTTCTACGTTTTCTCTATGTTGCTCGATATCAAGAGAAATGAAAATATGCTTCGATTTAACAACTCGAGTAGATACCAGGTGGTCACGTCGTATACATTGCTTTAAATTATAAAGTTGACAAGATCAAGATCGAGTTTGGTCTCCATATTGAACCCTTCGCATAAACGGCGAATACATCTATAAAGCCGCCGAAATCAACTTCTTATATCCATCCACAGCTTGTTCCAACTCCCCAACAGTGATCGCCTCGTTATCACCATGAGCCACATGAATACTACCAGGTCCATACAAATACCTCTTCACTCGCTGTGTTCCCTGATCATGAATCTTCAACGAAGGGACATCAGTCCCGTAGTTCACAGTAATAACATCAAACCCATCAGCATCAGCATCAAGATACTGAGGCGATGCCCCACCGTTCAAATCCCCAAAATCAAGACTCACACTCCCAGTTCCAGAAGTAATCCGATCAACAGCCTTCCGAATAATCTCCCTCGTATCATCTGGTGTCCCATCCGCAAGTCGAACCGCAACAGTAGCTTCCGCATAATCAGGAACCACATTCGCAGCTTGACCACCACTGATAACACCGATATTCAGTGTGGAGGCACCGAATTTCTCACTTCGAAGTAATCCACCCTGCTCAGGTGAGAGATATTGTAAAGATTCAAGGTATTGTAGAACAGGTAGGATGGCCGAGATAGCACTCTGTCCTAACCAAGGATATCCCGAATGCGCCGCCTTGCCTCGAGCAACGACCTTGAATCCGAGGGACCCTTTATGTCCCGCCACAAGACTCAGTTCTGTCGGTTCACCGAAGACAAGGGTATTGTATGTTGGTGGTGAGAGATTTAGATCCGAGTTGGAGAAATGTTTCATTCCGATACCGGAATTCTCTTCGCCGATATCGAAAAGAAGTCCTAGAGATGCACTTGGTGATTCTTTCAGTGTTTCCAATACTGCGAATGTTATCGCTGCGACGCTAGCTTTAGCGTCTACGGAACCTCGTCCGCTGATTATTACATCCTCTCTGTTGATAAATTGCGTATATGAGGTTGGTGTTTGTAAAGTATAGGGAATAAATGGTGGGACAGTGTCAATGTGACTGGTTAGGAGGATATCCGGATACCGGTTCTCTCCTACATAAGCGTAGACATTGAATCTCTCGCTTTCTGTCTCAGATCCCGGGGTGACAATTTGTTTTTCGACGGTTAAGTTTTGCGAGGAGAGGAAGTCGATAATGTATTCTCCGACATTCTTTTCATCTCCACTGATGGAGGGGATCTTGATAATATCCCTGTGAAAAGAGAGGAGAGGAGAATCCTCTATGATTTGATCAAGATTGACATTCGGGTACTGTTTTCGTGGCGTTTCGGCTGTTTCTTGGAGTATGTTTCCGCTAAATGGCTGTTGGTACTCTAAAGCAGCGGTAGCACCTATTAAGGTGAAAAAAGTGGACCATGAGCTCTTCATGGCGGAGAGATCTGTTGAAATTGCCGATATTTGTCGATTTCTTTCTCTTCGCGAGATCACTTTCAGGGGTGAATAGCAGAGATGAGGTGATGCAGGGGGAATATGATGTGCGAATGTTTGATGAGGTTATCTTCCCCCACTATTGCGTTTCAAGGTACTTTGTGAACAATCCTCTATGTTAAGAAAAAGAGAATCTTCAGGTGAAAAATTGTACAATTTATCGTGTTTCAGGTGTATTGATGCTTAATATGGATCTTGCTCACACTCTCAGCCATAGTTTTATTCGCAGACGCTTGAGTATACTCCGCTTGAATAGTCTGTCGCAGACTGCTTGGTGGTTGGGTCATGATTCAGGTTCATCAATACCAACATTTTTGAAAATATCACTTATATGATAGGTCGATAGATCGACAGAGATGGGTTAGGCGACTCCAGTAGTCACGAAACCACCACCTCATTCGTCAAGAATTGCTTCAAGGGTATTGGAATTTGCGTCACTTTGTCGGTGATCATATTATGGGTCCGTGATATCAACAATAGCCTGTCTCTCACGCTGACGACGAAGCATTGTCGCTGTCAAGTCGTATGCGACAGGGACCAGACCCCCACTGGCAATAACGGCTTAAGCGATTTCAACGTTGCCTAATAGTATTTCAACTTGAAGTGATAGTATCCGAGTCCGCAGGCTTACTACCAGCACCAGTCCCACTAGATAGCTGTGGTCTTATATCTAACATCTAGGCAGGATCTATTTAACTAAATCGCAGGAACGGCCTCCCTTCATACCCTTTTCCTGGGTAAGTTCTTCACCAGGAATTTGTTTGAGGCTTATTTCCATACCTCTAGCTATATCACTATGTCTGTGTATAGGGGCCTATAATGGCTATGCGGCTGAACCCCATTTTCCTATAATGAATTTTGACCACCTAGCTGAGGACTAGTTGCTTTATTATTACTATTATATATATATACATATATTAAAGTAAGAGATAGGTAAAAGATATCTAACTTAAAAATGAGAGATACTACAACCTGGGTCATATGTCTAGCAACACTTAAATTTTTCCCCTACCTAAAAAAACCCACAACTTTGAAAAATTCCACCACCACTAAAATGCGTCAACTTAGTTCAATTTTGACGGCAAATCGAGGGAAAAATGATTAATTATCCCAAAATACCAGAACCGCTATCCTTACAGCCCTTGAGTTGGGACAAAAACCTGCGCACATTGCCCGTATCTTTAAGATCAACCGCACTACAGTTTACCGCACAAAGAAGCGCTTTGAAGAACAGCTTGAGTTTAAATCAAGACCTCGAAAAGGCCGCCCGCAAAAGCTCAGCGCACAAGCTCATCGTTATATATATCGATTGATCCGCAAGTATCTATGAATGAGTTAGGGAGTACTTATTGCTGAAACCCCTGATCAATGCTCTATCTTTACAATCAAACACATTCTTCGATGTTATAAAATATATAGTTGGAAATCCCAGAAGCGTATTCTATTAACTAAAGACGATACAAAACACCTTATTAAGTTCTATAATAAGTGGCGAGGATTCGATAATCTTTAGTGCTTATAATTTTCTAATAAGTGCTCTGTACAACACTGCTTAAATTTAACTACACAATAGGTTTTCCGCCTTTCCTCTGAGGTAGATTAACAAGATCTTATAAACCTCACAAATAATAGGAAGGATATTATCTAAATGGTCTAGATATCTATTTGGATTGGTGGTTATACCGATCTTATTATCATAGAGTATGATCCGGAAGCTCCACATGGAGGTTATAGCTTAAAGTTATACCAAGATGCCCTTGAATCTGGTTTTTTACATCACTATACACTAGATATGATATTCCAACAAGAAAATACAAAAATCCATAAATCTAAGTCAACAAAGGAGTTTCTTATGGTATATGGTATCTATACCATAGAGTGGCCTCCCCGCTCACCTGACCTAAGCCCAATTGAGCCATGCTGGGGCTTCTTAAAACGTGAAGTTTTTAAATTGCGACCTGATATCCGATATACTGGTCGGTCACTTGTGGCCTGGGATGAATTTCATGATATTTTACAGCGTGTGTGGTGGAATATTCCTCAACATTCTATTGATGCTCTGATTCTCTCGTTCCCGCGGCGTGTTCAAGCTGTACGCCATGCTAATGGCTGGTATACGAATATTAGCTATAGGTGATCATTATCTAGAGATAAATATAATATATTATGAATATTTAATAAAAATCTTATAATCCTGGGTTTTAATCTATTTGTATAGAGTACGGCAAAAAGAAATCGAAGGGAGAAAAAATAGGTTTGTGGCTAGACTTTTGACCTGGTAGTGTAGTATCTAAAGTGAGAGATAACTGAAGTAAAAGTGATATATATATATAGTTATAGTTTTCTTTTTTCTAGTCATACCTTAGGCTTTGGCCAGATAGCTGTTATAGGCCCCTATAGTCTATTTGAAATAGCTTAAGTAGAGACTTATTTTCAAATCCAGGATGATGAACAACAGCTCTTGTCATCCATTTCCTTGATTAATAAGACGGTCAATAATAAAACAAATGATACTTGCCTCCCATTAATGGATAGGACGGTCTCACCTCCGCACAGACATCAAATTCTGGGACTCCGGCATCTCCATATGAGGGTTGACCATCATCCAGATATCTAGTAGACTTCATTCCATGGCAGGCTCTTTAGTCAATTTCAAGTCGAAGCTGGTTGAGTCCTGCTGCATCTGCATTTTTCAAGGTTTTTACCGCCGAGAAATTCTTCACTTTGGGCAAGAAAACATTTGGAGCATCGTCGTCATGGCAGGGTAATAAATGCTCATTTACAGCTTCCTCTGTCTCAAACATCCTATTGCAGGGATTTTGAAATGAGCATTTGATAGCCACTATGACGATACTCGAATGAAACAGAGCTTTGATGCCTGGAGGAACTGTGACGGAAGATCATTCTTAGTTTTAAAGCCAGGGCCATACGGTGTCACTTTGGAGGGGGAGAGGAGGCAGACTCACTTCTTGTATCAACTTGCTCAGCCATATTCAGCCTCGCAGCCAGGGCTTCCAAACGCTGTGGTACAGGTTTAGAAAGCGAGCTCCAATGATAGCCCATTCCTCGGTCTCATCATAAGACTCCTTATTCTCCGTGCTTTCGATTCGAACTCGATTATTCTTGTTTCAAGCGCCTTTTCGTCAATAATCAAGACGGTCCTTCTAGCACCACAGCTTCTGATAGGAATTCCTATGGCCTTTTTTGTTCACGGGGCTAGCTTTGTATCAAGGGAGGATGGAGGGCGTGATGAAATATGTGTGCATCTGTGTGTCATATGCATGTTGGAGAGAAGAAGGTGATATCTCCACAGGGAACGTGTGGACCACCTAGGCATTGGTCCCAAGCTCCAACACTTGGAAACCTTGGATATGTCCTGGATGTGGTATTAGGGATATCTTCTGGAAATGGTAGAAAGAGCGATCAGAATTCTCCGTAACCCTGGCGTAGTTGATAAAAATTAATGAAACGCATACCACGAACAGCCTACTCACCTTGCGAGGGGTTATTTTGCGAGTTGGATATCCCGGGTTTGTAGACTCCATATTTTTTCTGGCGGACATTTCCAATCCTTTTGACACAGTAGTAGCCACATGTACCACCAGGTCGGTAACCCTTCTTCTTCATCATTGATGGAATGAGCGTTACCGGGAAGTTGAATCACCCTAGTTCCAAGACTCCCTTGGCATCATCCATAATAGTTATATCCTCTGCGAGTTAGGCTATATTCCCTGAACAGAGACAAGTAGGCTCTAATCCATCAATGCGAGAAGTGTACTCTATAGGCAAATTCCTCAAACTGCCGGGATTGCAACTTGAAGCCAGCTTCATCGATGCGTACAAGCTCCTGGTTTTCAAAGTTGTTGAGAATATAACCCCAATATTCAGGACACTTGCTCCATGGCTAGAGGGTTAATGTAGTATATAATCCTGCACATGTGATAATGTGGTGGCACGGGGGTTCTTGATAAAGAAGTGTTATAAGTATGATGGGAAAAGGCAACTTGACAGGGAGGATGCTCTACTTATAGGAGCTTAGCAATCCACTGGCGAGGAATTTGCCGTTGAAATGAGTCATATTATCAAACATGGATCATGATTCATCAAAGCGCTGCGTTTGCCAGTAGGTCTTGAGCTGGCTTATTCAAGTTCTTCTATATCTCTATACCACCTGGGCACGTCTTCCCTCAGGTCTCCAGAATTCCGAGTCCGTATACACCTATTGTCAACTCCAAATTCCATCTACTCTCTATTTGCACCCCAGATGAATATCAACATCATCCAAAACCGCCTGGTTCTCTTTCGCAGCCGCCATTCTTACCCGCTTCATCCTGCGCGTATCAACATCGACCCTCCAAGTGAACCCCCAGGTCACCACATTCATCACAATAGCCATTCCAATAAAACCCATCGCAATACCAAATGAGGTCGTATAACGTGGCGCATACCGAGAGTTAAATAGTTGCGAGCCAACCGCCCCACCAATTTGACCGTAGCTGTTCGCGAAGGCGATGGCAAATGCGGAACCTGTGGCTCCTTCTGTGGTTTGAACCCGCCAGGGCCACATCATTGTGTACCTATAAGGATCGTTAGTATCATATAAGGAGGTCTGATAAAGGGAGGTAAGGAGCCACTTACCATGCAGTCGAAAAACCACCCGCGATGATCGTTGCCGCATATTCTCCACCATTATTGGGGAAAGCATAGAGAACACCATAGCAGGCCTCTATCACGATCATGAAGCCAAGTGGAATGGCAGGCTGTGGGATTCGGCCTGTATCAGCGAATATACCGAATGCCACTGTGAGGATAACGGCAAAGACGGCGGATGGGATATTTAATAACAAGGACTCGCCCAGAGAGCTATTTGTCGTTAGTTTTCATATATTTAAAAATCGACATCTTACTTACGTGAATCCTAGATTGGATATGACTGTTGGTTGATAGAAGGTGAGCCCTGTAGTGCCGATGGTGAAGAATGCCCAACAGAAGAGGAACAGCCAGACTCGCTTGTCTTTCAGCGTTGTAATTAGTTCTTGCAGATTGAAGTTTGCTTCTGTGGCTCGGGGAGCATTGCGTGGTAGTCGAGCTTGAATGAAAGCTTTTTCTGTTTCTGATAACCATTTCGCCGTAGATGGGACTAAAAGGACTTAGAAAAAGCCTCACATGGGACACTTATAAGGAGTAAGTACTCACAATCCGGCAGAAAGAACCACGTTAGAACTCCTAAGACAAGCGTAAGAAGTCCCTCAGTCAACATAAGCCTATATCAAACAATAGTTAGTAGAATTTACTTGGCAACTCAAAATAGCAACATACCATTTCCATCCTGAGATTCCACCAGTCGTAATACCATTAAACGCAAAAGCAAGGACACCACTAATAACCGTACTAAAGTTCCCCAGAAGCGTAACAAGCACTACCCGTGGTGCAATCTCGTCGGGCCTATACCAGTAACACATGTGCACGAGCATTCCCGGCCATAGACCCGCTTCAAAAAGGCCAAGAAAAAACCGAACAGTGTAAAGACCTGCTCTGTTAACTACTGCAGCATGACAGCAGAGCACGATGGCCCAGGAGATCTGAATCCGAGCCTGCCAGACTGAGGGACGGATGCCTTTTAGTAAGAGGTTTGATGGTGCTTCTGCGAGGATGTATGGGATCTGGAAAAGTGTGAGCGATAGAATTCTGGCTACTCGTATGCCTTCTACTATTGGTAATGGATTTTAACCCACGTAGTACATCGCTGTAACCAGGTTATACTGATTTGATGTCATCCCTAGCTCCGTCAAAATATAATTTGGTGTACCTTTATCCATGGATAGTGTATAAGATAACTAGGAGTGCCGGCTGTTAGTTCTAGCTCTTCCAAGGTTCATCAGTCCGTTTACAGTGATACTTACATTTGAGAAATCAACACTTTTGAGCATGTACATCACTGCTAGCAGTGGAAGAAGACGCCAGTCAACTCGTCGAAGAAGTTTCTTTTCTTCCTCTGCACTAAGCGCTGCACGCGCTTGCATGAGTGTGGCATCATATCCAGGAATAAGGTCTCCTAACTCAGGGAGTGGATTGTCTGTATGGCGGTTCACGCGAAATATTTGCGTTTTCCCTGGTTGGGGCGGCTCATCTATGCTAGTGCTAGAGGTGACGGGATCGGACTTTTCATTCGGAGACAAATCATGAGATTGATCCGCTCCTAGGGATGGACTCGGCGTTTTGGAGATCTCAGTACTCATTGTCGATGCCGCCGGTGTGGGATGATCCTGGAATTCGAGGACAGGGAGCAACATTACTTATCTATGGAATGAGCAAAACATGAAAATTCCAATTTCAGCAGGGATCGTCACAATTGTGCTTTATAGTGGCTTTTTCCTTACTAGATGCGGGGAGAATTGCATTTGTTATCTTTGGCGTTGATGGCGCGAGCGATTCGGATAGGCTGGGCATCTGGGAAGGGTTAGTGTACGGAGTACAGGATGCGATACCCCTCATCTCAAGTGCTGTCAAATGAGTATAGAAATCTTGGCCTGCTGCTCTATCAATAGCGCTTATCATAAATTTAAATGTGCATGATAGGAGCATTTTAGTCGGATCTTGATTGGTCTCAGAACGTCTTGAATCCGGGACGACATAATGACTTGAACTAAAGATGTAACGCATTCCTATTAATCTGCAGTCAAATCGGCAATTGTGTTTCTGGAAAAGGAAATATTCGAAGGGATGCACCGTTGAGCTCGGCAATAGATGCGCCACATGGGACTTTTGATGTGATGGTGACAGAGCACGCGATTTTTAGATCATCGCAGCCGCAGCCCTGGAGGGATACGGAAGCGCTAACACCATAACTTGAAGTCACTAGTCTTTAGCAAACTGTATAATGTCTTCCTGAGGAATGAAAATGTCATTTTTGGATCCTGCTCCGATCAGCCGTAGAAGGAAGTTGCAAAATGGTATACTCAGCAGAGCTCTTCTGCCCAAGTGCCATTTAGACGGTCGTCCTCTCTTTTCATAATGACTTGTCGCACTCGTTGGACCTTTGTTCAACTATTAATTCCAAGGCATCAGGATTGAGCGTGGAACAGTGATCGATCCTAATAGCCAGTGTCATATTCCCTCTCTGGTACTGTCAAACCACGCCCTGCTCAGGGTTAGCCTGGGACTCGGATTGCAACTTTGACTTGGAGTGTGATACTCCTCGGTCTTCGGGTGTATCTGAGCTGGTATTTTGTAGGTTCTCAACCTTGACCAGCTTCTTCTCCGATGATGTTGCTTCTAAGTGTCTGTCCTGGTGTAGGCCCTATCGACCAAGGCAAAAGGACCCGATCGTGGAATTTGGACTGTATCTCAGATTGGATAACTGTCATAGTTTTTATATGAGGAGAGGAACTTAAATTTTCAGATCAAAAAGAGGCGTAAAGAAAGGTCGGTGGCTCTTGAATTTGCTTCAGGCTATCAGTGAAGGATTGAGTTAGATGATCCCTGTCACAACATTCTATAACGAACTTGAACGAAAGAAACATCCGCACTATTATAGCACCGCACATTGGGTAGCATTAAAAGGACTAATATTGACTCGGATGTCTACTAACGAGCCCAAATACTCGGAATCATAATCTTTTTCAAAATATTTCAAGTTTCCAACATTCTCTCACTTACGACTTCTATCACGATATGAGTCTTCCAAAAGAAAGCATCTCCTGGTTCAATCCTGCCATCGCTCTTGCTGCTTCGCTCATACTACCGACCACATACTGCATCTTCCGACCACGACTCAATATGTTGGGCCTTTTTAGCATCAAAAAGGTCACGCCCGCTGCAGCTGTCGACTCACTGGACTTACAAGAAATCAGCAGAGCTCTTCAGGAGGGTATCTTCACAAGCGAGGATCTGGTAAATGTATGAATATCCACTGATGTGACTATTTGAGCCTCACTAAAATTCTCGGTCTAGCTCTATCTATCCAGGATTTCGCAGGTGAACGATCACGTCCGAGCGGTAGGTTGTATCAATCCAGATGCCAAGTCGATTGCACTCCAGCGAGATCAAGAGAGACGGAATAGCCATGTGTACAGGTATGACTATCCCCCATATATTCTAGTAAGCACTGACATATGCTTACCTTAATCGATAGACCTCTTCACGGCATTCCATTCCTTGTCAAGGACACATTCATCACTCTGGATCAAATGGATACCACGGGTGGATCATATGCACTAGTCGGAGCAAAGTATAAACTTGAGTCAACTCTCACCACAAAGCTACGAGACGCCGGTGCAATTCTTCTGGGGAAAACAAACCTCAGTGAGTGGGGAATGTCGCGATCCTCGAATTGCAAGAGTGGCTGGTCGCCTCTATATGGACAAGCTGTTGGAGGGTTCTATGAAGATCAGGATCCACAAGGGTCATCCTCAGGTAGTGCAATTGCAGTAAGCTTGAAACTGGCGAGCTTTGCTATTGGCGGGGAAGTAAGTTTACCACAAATTTAATAGACCGAATTTCTGAATGCTGATATCGATGCAGACTTGTGGAAGTATCCTCTATCCAGCTCAGAAAAACGGGGTGATCGGTCTCAAACCAACACCTGGCTTAACCTCTCGGGCTGGAACTATTCCTATCAATCCAGAGCAGGACTCAGTCGGTCCTTTGACTCAGTACGTTAAGGATAGTGCGATTATTTTAAATGCCATCACCGGTATGTTTAGCTGGATCTATCCGATTGTGAGCCTATGTTAACTCCCTTCCAGGACAGGACAGTCATGACTCTGCGACCAACAACATACCATTTAAGGAGATCCCAGATTATCAATTCGGTTGCCAAAAAGACGCGCTGAGGGGAGTTCGTGTCGCTGTATGTTGAAATTTCCTCTTTCATTCCCTTTGTATCTGGCTGATGTGAGATTAGGTTCCCAAGTCGGTTTATGGAATAGCAGACTCAGACTCAGATCCAGAGGTTGGAATTGCTTTCCGAAATGCCGTCTCCCAGTTCCGAGGTCTTGGTGCTATTATCATCGACGAGGTTGATTTTGAACATTGGAAACCTCGCACCGGTCAACAAGAGGATCTTTTTGGTGATGTCTTGCTGCGAGAAGGTACGTTAAGCACTCCATCTATCCAAAACACACATGCTGATGAAGTCCTAGCCTTGAATGAATTCTTTGAGGAAGTCGTGAAAAGTCCTCCTGGAGTAGAAAAACTTGAATCTCTCGGAACTGATCAGATTCACCGAGTGTACCCCTGCGGAGGAATATTCGAAATATGGAGCGAACTGGTTTGAGAGTGCCCGCGATACACCAGGAACCTCTAGATCTGAAGAGTTCCTAGCGTCGAAAGCCCGAATGGAGTTTCTAGGTGATGATGTCGCACGTCTCTTGGATCAGTATCAGTGTGATACTGTTCTTGCGACATCTTCCACAGACCTTCCACTGGACCTTGGAAGACTACCGGGTATTCAGATACCGCTTGGTTTCTACTCTGCTGAGTGTGAAGTTGTCCGAAATTTGAAGGGGATGGTGACCAAAGCTCCAAATATCCCGTGAGTGTTTTTCAAGTTTCCATTATATTTTCATTGCTAATTATGAATAGGTATGGGATTACTCTTACTGGACGTCGATTCAGCGAGGAAAAATTGATTGCTTGTGCGTATGCATTTGAGCAGGCTACACTTACTGTGAGACAGAATGAGGAAAGACTATTCTTCAAGCAGCATCTGGGTTGAACATTGTTGAATTTACAAGGTATATTGGTCTTTATAAGAGATTTTTTGGAGTGGGTCGTGAAGGTGATGCTAGACGGCACGCTGCCACGAATGATGCTTTGCAAAGATTGAATACAGATTGAATAGGCATCTTGACCTTCGGATGAAATCTTTACTATTTGCGCGTAAAATGGCATAAGTTTCAGTAACAGGCTTGGATAGATTGAATTGATGGCTTGGAATCAGGGTATTTTTGAACGGTGGATCCAACACCGATCTATATGCAACATAAAATGGGAATCAAAAGAAAGTAGAAAACGCCAATGAAAATGTGTAAAAGATAGAAAAATCCAGATCTCCACGAAATCAAAGATTAAAATCACGCCATCGCTTCAACAGTCCTCCCAGGTCTCCGACTCTCCACATCAGTATCTTTCCTCCTCATCCCCAACCCCGTCAACTTCTTCAACAACTCCGACGCGCGTTTGCGTCGCTGTCGACCTCCATCCTGTACTTCGGAATAAAAACTTTGCTTTCCACGCAGTAAATCTCCATTCGGTGAATCAGATCCTCGATCCATCCAAACAGGATAAGAAAAATCATTCGCACGTTTCCTCTCCTCCTCCATCGAGAGGTTCCTCATCGATAAACCACGATAAATCCCGGATTCCCGACTCCCATGAACCTCAAACGCATCCCAATCTTTTGTCGGGACATCTTTCGATTTATTTGATTGACGCATACTGTAGAAGCGGCGTGGGGCCGGGCCGGAAGCTGTATTAGGGGCTGAAGTCATGCAGCCTCTCTTGATCTGTGCGCTAGATGCCCAATCGCTTTCCCGGTCGCTGTTATTCTGATCCAAACTTGCGCGAAGCCAGTTCATACCCTCTGCGCCGAGAAAGCCATCTTCAGTAGGGAATAGTTGGTCATCTGATTCGAATATCTGTGTTGTATCGCGTCCCCAGGCAGTATCTAGTACTTGTGGTGGACTGTATGGGAAATCACCTGGACTAGAGGAACGAGAGCGAGATCGAGATCGAGATCGGGGACATGTAGTATCGGTAGCGAAGCTTCGTCCTCTAGCTCGACCGCGCTCTTCATCTAATTCCGGTTCTTCGAGTGGTGAGGTCGATAATCGTCGACCGTAGAAACGACCCGCCCCCGATAAGACATTGAAACTATTTTGACAAGGACCATAATTTCCGGAAGATTGTAGAGTCGCGTTCACATCCGAATCCCAGTGTCCTGTTTGCGCAGGGATCAATGTATCCAATGCGACAGGTGAAAGTGATAATTGAGTCATTTGATCCTGCAAATTTGACCGTGTTTCATATACTGGAGCTTGGGCCAGGCCATTTTGCTGGGTATGGAATGATGGCCAGATAGGTAAACCACGCTCAATACACTCAACCAGCAAAGCGCATGCGTGTTTCACATTGTCCTCTAGGTCTTCCTCCACTTCTTGGCGGTCTAGTAATGGTGATGCAGGCCGGAAGTACCCTGGCTCGTCTGTGAAATGGTAGTATCGGGTTGCATCTGTGTTGTCCCACGCAAGCTGGACTGGGACGGAGAAATCGGGTGTTGTTGCTGAACGGGATCGACTGTTTGGTGTGCTGATTGCTGGGGCAGACGAATTCATGGTTGCTGCACGGCTTCGACCGTGAGTATTTCGGGTGAATAGGCGCTGGCGCATCTGCGCTGCTTTCTGGGAGAGTTTGCGTTCCATGGTTTCGTCAATATGACGCTGTTAGGATGTATTGAACCTTGAAAGAGGATGGATCCAAGGTTTGATTGATCACAAGTCGTAGTCAATTCTGTTCTTTTTTGTAGGTATCGAGAGAGGCGATCAGGTAGAGGTTGGAGAAGTGGCGGCGCAAAACAATAAATGCCCAACGCTATGTTCGCGATCTACCAATATTTCCAGTAGAATCGATTCCGAGCGTCACGATATGTCTGTTCTTCCTTGTACAAGTTCGTTCCGAAGTAATTTCGATTGTTTAATCGCCAGAATTTAGGTGGGAGGTGGGAACCGTTGTCTGTACAACACTTGGTATGCGGGGGATACCAACGAGGGATGTAGGGATGAAGATAAAAAAAAGTGAGACAAATAAGGCGGGAAGATGACAGTATACTTTAAAGTATTTGAATAAGAGAAAGTCCCCTTTGTCCTGATAATTTAGGCGAAAGGAGTTGGATCTGCGATAAAGAATTACGCAGCCAAAATCGGAGAGAACGTTTAGGGCTACAAGGATTTAGGTGGAAGATCCAATGACAGGCACGAGAAAGATCTGGATCAGCGACAAAGCCGTTCAAGTTTAGTCTAGACCAGACACTAGTATCTCTTCATATGATTATGGCCACGCAACCTCTATAATATGCAGATGAGGTACGTAGTCCTAGGTACTTGTACAAAGTAGTACATTAGTCGAAGGATCAGACCTCAATTCTTCAAGGAAAAAAGCTTCAAACATTCCCATTATTCTGCGACAATTGAACCCAAATTTATCTAAAAATCTATGATTATTGGAATCCCAGGGTCCAAGTGCCCCACAAGTACCACTTGGACCACTTGGAGGCTTCAAATGTTACAGGGTGTTTCGGCTTGAAGTGGATTCGCTCCTTGCACGGAATTGATTAACCGTAATCAAATAATAATAAAAATTTTAAAAAAAGATATTGAATTGAACTTCGAGTGAAAACACCAGGGATCTATCACAATTCAATCTTAGAAGTTTTTTTTTTTCAACAATAATTCAATATTGAATCATCGAACATGGAAGATCCTGCACACTCACACTAAAACCGGTTCCAGCCACACGCTAGGACTCATCTTCCGTCTTCAGTGTACCTGATGCCCCCATATGGGCTCCGTAACTGTCTTCAATTTCCAAGATTAATATCCCAGACCCACACTCCGTTCTCGTGGTCCACGTTCTGGAAAGTCACGCAAAAAAAATCCTGTCAAATGTACTCCGTAATGAAAAGCATTTCCATTTGGCTCAGACAAGATTTGACGGGGGTCTCTTGGCTCAGCTCGAGCGTCATCGGCCCCCCGGGCTAGCAATTAGCTTGACTTGGCACTGGAGCCGAGCGATAGGTATTGGATTGGCGTTCTTTCACAAGAACGGGGAGGTCGACCGTAATTCATGAATGCAACCGAGCACATCAAACTGATGTGGTATTCCTCCGCATGACCAATAAATATTTGAGTTGAGGCGAATGGCGCAGATGATTTAGATGGCGTCGGGGATTAGCAGGGTATTGGTTGGGTTTTGGACTGTGGCTTATCGCATGGAAGCTCGGATCTGAAGGGTTCAGCTGATCATTCAAATGGATGTTGATCCCTGATTCCGGACCAAAGTTGAGAAGATAACATATCCGTGCTGAATAGAGTCAAGAATAGAATAACCTTTCTTGGGTTCTTATCTCACGTACTAGTACTAGTACTGCAGGTGGTTGGGCGCCTCGGTTATTTGCATCAGGGTCTCAGTGTCAACGGGAATGGAAAGGCGGTAGATATAACCCCGGTGGCTGGATAACATACCTCAACTTGAACTTGAAACATTTTGAACTCAGGCCGCTAGTTTAGTAATAGTATTAGATTGATGAAAGTCACCGTATGATCCAGGAATTGTTCGGCTTACCCAGTGAAATTCTCTTCCATTTTCAAGTTGTTAATGGAAATCAGAGGCTGGCGGCCTGGATGGCCTAGGATATGGAGATCCAGACTGATATTGGACCCTGTTCCATGCCCAGGCGATAAGAGAATTTCAATCATGATTAGGTGCTGAGTAGATCGCTGCCCCTTTCATATTCATATATGTGTGATTGATCGTGTTCATGATAGACAACATTGCTCTACCATGTCGATCGCGCCGAGTGCCTTATCTACAGAGCCGCAGCTTCTAACTGGAGGGACCGAGGGTATCCACAAATTGAGGCGCCAGAATCTTCCCTATCACGATTCACGAGTAAAAGGAGTTTCAGTATAGGAACGTGAGACAGAACTAAATTGATTCATAACTTCAATCATGTTCAACGTTCTGACTCTCATTGAGAATGGTATGTTGGTTCGACCTAGATGGAGAACGTGGTTGTATAGTATAGTAACCTCGGACTCGGAAGCGATCAAAAAAGGCGTTCATGATCTTGGGAGAATATAAGTAGAGTCTTCGTGATGGCAAATGGAAAAGAAATGAAGGAAGGAATAAAATGAGAAGGGACTCAGATCGATCTCAGAACCTCTAGATTTCGCGATCCTTCAAGTTGTGTCGAGTGCCAGTGAGGGACGAAGATTAGTATCACTCCCGAGGTAATAAATAGTACTACGAGTAATAGCTTTACAAGAACCAGAATTTGAATGCCGCAGAATAGTATCCATAAAATATGGATTACCTTCTATTGATATCTATCTAAAAGGCGACTGTTGTCGCTCGACAACCAGGATAACCCGGGCATCGAAGAATGTAAAATTGACCCATCAACCCCTGAAGTAAACCTGGAGAAATGGACCCAGAGGGTGGGTCTGATGGAGAGCAGTTGGATGCTTCTTGTGCAGTCTTCTCGACATTGGATCAGGCCAAGTGAGATTCGAGAGAGGCAGTTGGATGCTCATCTCCCTGACTAGCGAAACGGATAAAAGAACGGCAACCTCTACTTCCCCCGGTGCGCCATGACAGCTGCCCGCCTGCGGAGCTCACACCAGCTGGTGACACCAAACAAGCAAAATGCTTGTCAAGCAACATCCAGCGACGGGAGTCCGTGTCTGGGACAGGAGCATGGGGTGGCTGCAGAATGGGACTGCGCCGGCACGTATTTCAATGTGCAGTAGAAGGTTTACCATGCGGTAATATCCTCCACTTCAGCCTCGCCGAAAGTGCTGCTCTTGGTGAGCTTGTTCACACTAGCAACGGCAGCAGCGCCATCAGCACTGGAAGCAGCCATCAAGTCGGGCAGAACCTCGTGGAAGAACTCGACGACGTGACGGTTGACCTGCTCAAACTGTAACAGGAAGGCGTCGTGACCCTCGGGACTGTCAATGCGCTTCAGTCGAGAGTCAGGGATTCCATCGGCGATCTCCTGCTGCTCGGCAAAAGTGAACAGACCATCAGACTCGATGCCGATGACCAGAGCGGGCTGCTCAACACGGGACAGTGCTTCAAGAACACGGTCTTCGGTGTTTCCAGTAGCACGATGGCGAGAGACATCGTGTGTATCCAGCTTACGGGTCATAGCGATGTAGCAGTTGGCATCAAATCGCTGTACAAACTTGTCTCCCTGGTAGCGAAGGTAGGATTGGGCGGAGAAGTATGTTGGTGGACGCGGGCGACCGGCAGAGTCGGTCTTCATTGGAGTCGAAGCAGAGTAGGTCTTGGTTCCAGAGAACTGGGGATCCATGTATTGAAGCTCAGTCTGGGGCACAGGAGAGTTCTGTCGGCTCTCAGAGCGAGATGACAAGCCACCCTTGTGTCCATCATTGTGAATGGCCCAATGCTCATTGGGAGGCGTGGGCAGCTTATCTGTGCCTTTGATGTTTTGCCGCTTTGACGGATCGGGCACATTACGTCCGAAGCGAGACTCGAAAGAGTCCCGACTACGGTAGGTAAGCAGCGCCGACATACGGGCGGCTCCAAGACCAGTAGCAGGAGGGTCGTCAAATGGGTAGTATCCATCATCATACTTAGGATCGGAGTAAATACTTTGGCGTTGGGCCTCACCCCAGCTGATGCACCACGCAGAGTGGCGTGCGGATGTCGCAATCGGGACAATGCAACGGACATAATCCTTGCCGAAGAATGAATATTCCAGGGTAAGCATTCCACCCATGGAACCACCAACAACGGCGGCGATCTGCTTGACACCCAAGTCATCCAAGACGAGCTTGTGGATACTAAACAAAGAATTATTAGTATTCGAGGAAAAAAGACTTGATATAAGGCATAAACTTACTTGACATCATCGCGCACAGTAGTCAAAGGGAATTCAGGACCATAGTAGCCATTCTCAGGCTTACCATCCTTGTAGGTGACGGCACTCGCACTTCCGTAGGGGCTACCCAAACTATTCAGACAAACCACGAAGAATCGCGACACATCGAATGCTTGACCAGGGCCACCGAGGAGCGGACCCCACCAATCTGCGACATCGGCACTACCACTCAAAGCGTGGCAGATGACCAGAACATTGTCGCCATTGGGGGAGAGGACACCACGAGTAGTATACGCCACAGGAACATTGTAAAGGGTGACTCCGGACTCAAGAGTGAATGAAGGAATCACTGCAATGGATTGGTCCTCAATCAAACTGGCGTAAGGGTTCTCCGGCTGGGAATCGACTCTCTCTACGGGATTTAGTAGCCGTCTAAAAAAGGGGGAAATGGTGGATTGACTGACGGAGTCGCTCAACAGGAGCAGTAGATGGTTCAGGGGCCATAATTGCTAAACAATTGGGACCAACAAACACAGAAGTATATGGAGAAAGGAAAGAAAGAAGGGGGAGAAAGGCGCAGAAAAGTTCCCATGGGCCCCGCAGAATTAATGAGTCAACTTAGTCAACTTAGTCAGTCTCCAGGGCTTTAACTAAATGTTCTGCGGGCAAGAAATAACCCCGCGGGATTTTGGGGCTTTGTGGGGCTGATTTACCCAATGATAGATTAGGCGGTGAGAAGTTCATTTGTGCGGAAAAGAAAATTCAAAATTTGTTCGATTTTCTTCTTTCTTCAACCACTCTCTCAACAACCAACTCAATCATCAACCCCCCCCTCTCTTCAAAATGGTTAAGAACAAGAAGGCCGGCGAGACTATCTCGTCCCGTCTCGCCCTCGTCATGAAGTCCGGAAAGGGTGAGTTTCAATGTCTCTGTGTGGTCATTCTCGGTTACTGATTTTTTTCCAGTCACCATGGGCTCCAAGTCTACCATGAAGACTCTCCGCTCCGGTAAGGCCAAGCTGATCCTGATCGCTGGTAACTGCCCTCCTCTCCGCAAGTCCGAGCTTGAGTACTACGCTATGCTCGCCAAGGTCCCCGTTCACCACTTCAACGGTAACAACGTACGTGCACACCCCTATCCAAGTCGGCTACCAGAAATGGAGCCGCAGCTGCATCGCAGCTTTACTACTCTGAGAAGAAGTTGGCAACGCAACTTCGGAGAGTGAAGTTGCTCAGCGATGGGATCTCATGATCGAGTCCCGGAGAGCGTAATCAAAAACTAACCCTTAAAATAGATTGAACTCGGAACTGCTTGCGGTAAGCTCTTCCGCTGCTCCACCATGGCTGTCCTTGACGCCGGTGACTCCGACATTCTCAGCCGTGAGGTTTAAATCAACCATCACCTCTTGAAGATAGAAAAAAAATACAATGGGGAATTGATGATTGACGACATCCGGCTTGCTGTTGCCCGAAAAAAGCACTTCAGCCTATAAAATCATGTTGCATGAGCCCCTACCAGGGTTAAAATGGGAATAGGCGTTGTATACCACTGTCACACCCTCAATCTATTAAGATTTACATTGTAAACTGTGAACCTACAAACTTCGCTTTCTCTTGAGTTTTGCCTTCTAGCTCTAAAGCCTGTAGTCATTGAAGCCGGAGGTAAGCTCTCGTAAGCTTCGCATTCGGTTTCTCTCCGGCGTAGGAGTTCGCCACGCTAGTCAAGGCTAGTCAAGTCACGGTGCTGGGTCTCTCTTCTCCTCGCGTTCTGTATGGGAGGACTACCAAGGCTGCTTCAACACAATCCGTTGAATTGTGACGTGCAAGCTCCGAGCTAGTGTCCTAATGCATGCAAAATTGGCATCCGACTCCCGTCTTTGCATGCAGGTCCTCTGAGCCTGGGCCCCAGTGAATACATAGCGCTCCTTGCTCTTGGCAGCAGAGCCATCCAATATTGTCTCTGACCGGAGTGCCAATCTAGCCTGGCTCCAAGGCTCGGCCGAGTCTGGCCGAAGCCAGAGACACATACAGCAATGTATTAATGTGCGAAGGCTGAAAAAAGGGTTTCCATACGGAGTAGATGACTCGGAGCTGCAGGGATTATTGATCCAGTAATCCGTACGGAGAGAGTGCGAGCTAAGATCTGCCAGGTGGAAGCTTTAACATTTCAAAGTGGCATGGACTTAAATGACCATGGACTTGAAGTCTATATTGGTTCTTCAAATGTTGATACGTGTATCAGCCTCATGCTAGAGCTGAGTGTTCCTTCTTGAACGAATATTTTTCATGCTTCTACGGGAAAATATTCAAGGCCACGATGAATTCATCTCTATTTTCATGCTTCTCACAAAAGAGATTTTAGGAGTGGCTAGTAATCCTAACATTTGAAGGTTATACTTCAGCCTTCTTCTTCACGGAGCATAACCATGTTGCTCCGCCAGATACAGCACATATTCGCCCGGGACTGCATCGCCAAATACCCATTCCGAGGTACTTCCCATTGACTGCATGATAGGTCCCAACCATATGACAGCGCTCGGTCTCCGCCTTGGAACCCAGGGGAACATCATAGTATGGTTGGTCTATGTTGCGCTGAATAACGTAAAGCGTCTTTCCAAGTTGGAAATTTGGATCTCGCATTGACTCCAGGATGGCTATCCAGTCAGAATGACTGATTTGATCACCAAACAAGATTCCAGTCCCCTTTCCACTCCGAATCGGCTTTAAAAGATATTTCGTTTGCAATCCTTCAGATAGCTTGCAGTTCTGGAGTAATTGGTCAAGTGCCGTAGAGCCTGGGAGAATCGTAGGCACTATGCCTCGATCAAGGCATCTGGCTTGCTCAGGGGAAATGATATTTTGTGAGACCAGAGAGCCAAGCTCCTCACGCACAATTCCCAGCATTCTTTTGTCGTGGACTAGCAAACAGCTTCGCATATCATTGAAGCACCGCATGCTGATGTGACGTCTCATTTCCGGATCAAGTTCATTTAATTCGCTCTGATGAAGCTCGAGACAAAGTTGATAAACTTCTTCTATCTTTTCGCCGGACTCGGTAGTAATAGTGTCAATAGCACCCGACTCTGTGAGACAGCACAGCTTGTGACCCATTTTCTCAGAAGGATCTGGAATAAGTCGAAGTGCTTCTGGTGCTATGAGTCGTGGAGTGATACCAAGCTGCCTTTTGGCAAGCTCGATAAACATGAAGATATCAATTCCATGCTCTTGTCCTTTCACAAGGTACAGAGGAAATTTAGGGTCAAAAATATTCATTACTCCATCGATGATCTACCCAGTTAGAAGTTTTTTCTTATTAGCCATCAGCTGAAACAAAAATTGAGTAGTGAGGGTTAAGATGAAACATACCAATTCAGATTCCGTGGCATGCACTAATCCACGGGACTCAAGATTGAAGATTGAAAGCGACTCTTGACCAAATCCACAAAACATGTATCCATTCCAGCAAAACCTTGCGTTGATTTCACAAATGCGGAATCCTTCCATCCCCGTTTCGTCAATCTCAATCAGAAAATCCGGTCTCCATGATCCTTGATGCTCGTTCCATGGCCTAACGAGCTCTGGGTTGGAGTCGATCCACTATGGCAACAGAAGAATTTGACTATACATCAGCTCTCGGTGGTGAAGTTATAAAGGCGTGCAACTCACCTGCAGTAGCTCTTCCTCCTCTGGCATTAAAGGCATTCTTCGAGGAAACTGGGCTTCTTCATCTGTCCACCATCGCTCGATGATAGACTCTAGAGCGAGCTTCAAGGCAACATGTAAGTTGCTCAGCTCGTCGTGGTGCCGCTGAGTGGTCATTACAGGATGGGGACATGATGCATTCACAGAGCCTGCTGGCCATGAAGAAGACAAGTTGTTCAACCTTGAGACATACCTCTGACGGATCTCTTCCTCACCACTGGCCTCTAGACCACTCTGTGGCAGAGAGAGGTAACCTCCAGTTTCTGGTAAATATACCAGATGAAGACGATCTAAGACATTATTTCTCATTGTGAATGCTAGTGCTTTATGGTGAAAATTGGTGCAATCAATGTCAAATTCTTGGAAGGAAGATATACACCTGTACTTGTATCAGGAAGATGAATTGAATATGTCCTGGTATAGTACTATCCATGAAACCTTAGAATAAGCACCCTCGGTCCAGATGTCATCAATTTAGCATATGTGACCGGCAGTAGGTCATCATCGTTTTAAACCTCAAGTGCTCTCCCTGCCTTTGCTTAGCCTTCCATGTTTGCTCCACTATGTAAGAAGTATACCGCAAGTATACACGAATGGATCACAAAAGTGATAACTTCTCTAATAATAGAGATCCACTCATTTGCTCCGAGACCATTCAAAAACAATATTCGGATTAGTTGATGTATGAGAACAAAGCTTCCAAGTGCTCTTTAGGTTCATCATCGGAGAGAATACCACCCCGTGGTGGACAAAAAATGATCAATATTGAAAGAGGAATCAATAGTATGCCCGAAGAATCTAATTGTTCTCCAGAGGATTATACAATCTCCGAAACTCACTATCTCTTGCTAACAAAATCTCCGGCTTGTCACACTCCACCAACACCCCATCCTTCATGAAAGCAACGCGATCAAAAAGATGGATAAACTGAAACCGATGCACAACAGCCAAAATCGTCTGCCCTGCAAACCTGTTTCCCCATCCAGACTACTCGTTGCTTCATCAAGAATCAAGATGGGCTTTGGCACTGCGAGAGGGCGTGCTAACGCAAGAAGTTGCTTTTCACCCACGGACCAATTCATTGACGCCGTGGATAGATCTGTGTCTAATACACTTTCAGTGTCAGTCTTGTCCTGGCCGTTATCATCTCTCCCCTGGCGTTGATTCGATTCCAGAGGCCGACTTTCTGTAAAGCAGATTTGACGTCTTTATCCGAGGCCAAATTGAGAGGGTCGATATTGAATCGGACTGTACCAGGGGATATAATCAAGGGATCTTGAGGAATGACGCTCATGAGGGCGTGGATTTCTTGGTGCGTAAATTCCACAAGATCTCGGCCGTTGATGCGTAGACTTCCCGAATGTATTTGATTCATACGCAGAATTGACATGATGAGGGATGATTTCCCACTACCAGAGGCACCACATATAGCAATCTTCTCTCCTGGTGCAAATGTGAGAGAAATGCTTTTCAAGACTGGCGGGCCGCTTAGGCTGTGTGATAGGACTATTAGTATAACAAAGTTATGTCCGGAAGGAAACTTGGCAACGTACTCATATCCTGCAGTCAAATCCTGAAAACTGATTGTATATTGGTTATCAGAGTAGACCGAAGATCCGATTAAATGGGAGTCATCCAAATTATTTTCCTTGTCACAAGGAGTAGTCTTAGTAAATTGCTGCACTCGTGAGACAGCACCAATACACGTCTCAAGACTAGTCCAGCATTGAAGAGTGTTGGAAAGACTATCATTCAAAGACAGAACAAGATTGAGAGCAACACCAATAGCAGCACCAGTGTACTGAGATCTTAATGAGGTGGCCATTGATACAATGATGACAGCAATAGCACCAACGGTGAGATTCATGACAAGAGTCAGCCACTGTTGAATGCAGTATAGCATGTAGAAAGGACGTTGAGACCGATTCAGGAAATGTTGCATTTTTTGCTGAAAATGTGACTCGAAATTGAAAGTGCGAATGGTGCTGATGCCTTGCACGGACTCGGCAAAATGACTGTACAAAGGAGCCTTGGCTTTGATATCCAGAAGCCGCATCTGGCGTGATGTACGAAGGTAATATCTTTGGAGTATCACCATACCGACAAGAAGTGCGGGAACCGATGCCGCTAGGTACTTGCCAAGGACACATAAGATGGTCACTTGAACAGCACAATTGGCGATCCCTATGATGAGAAATGTCCAGTGAGTAGTTATAACACAGCCCGAAAAGAATAAACGAACCAGCGGAAAACATTGATGCGTAAAGGGGAAGTGCCATATCCATAAAATCCATATCCTGACTGAATCTGTTTGTCAAGCTTCCATGGTCTGTGGTCTGAAGGAACGCGAATGGAGCTCTAGGAAAAGATGAGTAGGAGTACCCCAGGAGCTAACGAACGGGGAGTAATGATCACCTTGATGTTTTTTGTAGAAGATATGTGTGAAGATTCAGTCCGGTATTGTTGATGATTGGAATGATCAATGCCCTGAGATCCAGGTCAGTCATTCAGTTGCAAGCCCGAGACGTCAATCAGAAAAACTTACCACAAACTACCAATCAAGGTTGTAAAGGACAAAACCCAGAGCAAAGCGTAGACTCCAAGGTGCATCGCCAGGTCCTTGTTTGGTTGCTGTTCATTCGCCGCTACCCACCACTCAAGCCACAATGCTATAGAGAAGTTTTTTAATATGGAATGTCGTGTGACTTGAATGAAGACAGAGGATCAAAAGTACTTACTAATAAAATTGCTGCAGAATGCCTCTATCAACGTGAAGAACAAGAAAAAAGCGAACGGAGTAAATCCAGCGCTATCATAATAGTATTTGTATACAGACCAGGCGCCGTTTCGTTTAGTGTGATCTGTAGTTTTAGGAGTTGAGGGCGAAGCAGGTGGCGCTGTGTTTGGAGCTCTCTTTTGATTCTCATTTTCTCGCTCTGCGACTTGGAAAACACCATCCTCTCTGACTTGGTTCGTGTTTGTCAAGGCCTTGGTAGATATATCCGGCTTTCGGCGAATTATCGCCTCATATGATCCAGTGTCGACAATCCTTCCATCTTCAAGGACAATGATTTCATCCGCGTGCTGCAGCAAAGGCTCTGGTACTATATTAGTCATTGCTACGTGGGAATTTCCCAGAAATGAGAACTCACCAGTATGAGTTACCAGAAGAACAGTTATCCCCGCCGACCGGAAGTAACCGTGTTGACTGAAAAGACCATTCGATATCAGGTTGATATTATGTGCATCAACTCCACAAAACACGTCATCGAGAATAACTAGTTTTGCTCTTGAGTAAATCGCTCGACAGAGAGAGATTCGTTTTTTCTGCCCGCCACTGAGGCAGACTCCATTACTCCCTGCCTGGAATGAATCTCCGCTGGGCATCTTTTGCAAATCGGCTTTCAACCCACATACCGATGTCGAAAATCCATACCATTCGGAGTTGAGCTCAGATCCGAGAATGATGTTTTCGCGGACACTGGAGTTTAGAATCCAAGGCACCTACGCGCAATAGGCAATTTGAGATTCAGATGTCATGACTTTGGCCTCGCCAGCTTGTATTACAGTCTCCTGAAGGATGGGTTTGCAGAATAGTGGACTTTCCTGACGCAACTGGCCCGATGATCATAGTGATTTCACTTTGCCTTACTGACAGGCTGATGCCATGAAGATGATGGTCACCGTCCTTGGACCATGAGATTGTGGCGTTGTTGAAGGCAATTGCGACTCCATTATTTGATTTCGGAGGGGGGGGGGGGTTAAAAACCAACTCAATAGCGTCTTTATTGCTTTCTTTCGAAAGGCTGCTGGTTTGTATTGAATGGACAATAGGCTTTGAACAGTACCCTTCAATTCGATCAAAACAAGCCATTGCTTCCTTTAGTGAAGGTATTGATTGGATGAATTTGAGAAGTGGGTTGGTCACTAATGTGATTAGCGAAAGCGAAGTAAAGCCTGACTTGACAGCAGAGTCTTGTCTTTGCTCATGGCTGTTATAATTCCATAAACGGTCAAAGTAGCGGAAGGGGCGAAAGTGCTCGGTACATTTGCTATGTCAAGAGAAGATCAGGTTAGTACAGACTACCATTGGCCAGACGCAGTGACTGCACTGAAAAGATCCATTCTTTCTTACCCAACGCAATTTCAACTATCAAGAGCTTTTGGAACCTCTTTGAAGTTTCCAACTCTGCCTTTCGTAGCGTGGTGATATAGTTGTACATCACACCAGAGAGTCCAAGCATGTTAACAGATTTGATATCTCGTAGCAAGTTGGAAGTCATAGAGACTCGGCTTTGAACCCGCTCAACCCACTGACCTTGAGCCTTTCCCATTCTGCTAGAGAGGGGAGCTGCTGCCAACACGGAGCCTGTTCAAAAAAGGGTTGGTGAGAACAATGTAACAGCCCGGGAGAGGATTTTACTAGCTACCTATGGCAATGACCCGAGGAACTACACAGGATATATTGATCTGCCGCTCTAGAAGCCAAACAGCAACTCCCACCTCTAGGACATTTGCCCAGGTTTCGTGGATACTATTTCTGAGATTCGACACAATCCTCTCGGTATCTGTCCCCATGAGGGTGAGAGCCGCTGAATCAGTAACATCACTAGCCTTGAGCCGAGTGGTTTGCGTAAAGATTATAGAAATCAATCCAGATTGGGCCATAGTGCTGAATCGGTTCATCTGTTGCTTGTAAACCGAGTTAGAGACCTTTTGAGCGGACTATTAGTTTCCTTATTCGAACACTTTTCAAGATTCACAACTGCATACTACTAGACCCAAGTAAACTAAAACATAAGCTCCAATAAGTCCCTGGCCGCGCTGTTTAGTCTCGGCCGTTATTTCATTATTCATGTAGTTCACAGTAGCGTTGATGAGGAAAGGTTGGCAAAAGGTGAACACGGCCAAGCATAGACGGGACACGACCCCGAATATAAGGGTCCAACGGTACGCAGAGAAGACCGATTTCATTAATCGATGACGGCCTTTTGTTGCTGTCCACGCTATTTGCAATTCTTCTTCTGTCTGCTGTGCCTGTTGATCCACATCTACTTCAGGGATATCCTCGATGGTCAAGGTCTTGGAATAGCCTGTCTGGAACAATGTCAATGTCCAAAGAAGCATGCTTTTGCCCCAAAACCCATAGGTGGCTTCCTTGGTTGATTTGCTTTGGTCATTGGGACTGAGGAAGTTTTGTTTGTGAATTGATTCTGCCACCAGTATTCCAAAGTTGAGAATGAGGATCATAATGGACAGGATGCGAGAGGCTTGGGTTGCATTGGGAATTTGCCAAAGAGAGCGGATCTGTGGAAGATTCAGGAGAGTGATAGCCGAGTAATAGAGAACCAGCAGATCTGATGGTTTTACTGATCGCTGATCTTCAAGAAAAGAAAGGAATATAGCGGTTAGTGTGGCGACAACGTTAATGATTCTCGAGGGCGTTCCTAGGTCAGTGCGAAGAGCTGGGTCCCCAACCAGAAGGGCCGTATCCAAAACATGGAGAATCATCAGGCCAAGTAATATACTCTGGAAAAGAAACAGAGTTAGCCATTGCTCGTCTACCCGGTGGACGTGTGATGAGGAAGCACCAATTTCACGATTGCCAATCGATAAGAGTGTAATTTGGTAGGCGTTCTCCAAAGAACACAAAGTCGCGAGGGAATAAGCACGAGAAAAAGTGTCGCAGGAAGCAATGAAAAGAACGCATCCTCAAACAGCAGAGTGAAGTCAAATGAGCGACAATTGGGGTCAATCCGAGGACCAAATTTATTGTCACTATTTTTTGAGCATGCCATCATGATGGCAAGGATTGTTGGAGGGAGCCTTAGGAAGCACATATCAATGATGAGAAGGTCACGGAGGCACCGTCTGGTCTTAAATAGATATTAAAGACGTCAAATGATGTCTTTAGCTCATTTCTGATCCGTACAGGGATGTTATTCGCCGCCCAATAGCATCAAAATGCGATATCTAGGCCAAACAGTAATATGAGAACTTTCTCTCTCTCTCTCTCTCTCATCAGTTCTCTACCACTTATTATTACTAACAGGTCATTTCTCACCTGGGAAGGTGATGTGAAATTGAACAGGGTTTTCATGGTTTTATTTTGACTCAATATAGGACATAGCTTGTTGATTGTTCCATATTCCACCTGGACACGATGCCCCTCTTTACGCTAGCCAAATCAAGGTGATATTCCCAATAACGCCGATACTATGAAAATGGCATATCATCTACATCTGATAGGTATCATCATCAATTCCAAGGTTGTCATAAACCCCTTTGTTTGGCCTTTGCTCCATTAGTATTTACTTTGTAAACCGCAACCTTTGAAGTATACACCAATGATCCAAAAATTGGTGACTTCCCTACTGAGTTATAGAATTATGCCTCCAGCAGCTTGGACTCAGGAGAATAATGAGTATCCAGTAGATGCTTGTGGCAGTACCTGTGTGCGAAATAGCATCAGTACTCACATCAATGTGCATGTGCAACCGTGATTGACAATTCTTCTAAGTGGTTAGGTGCTGTAGTATGTGTCTGCTCGGTTTTCTGTCTGCGTGTCATTAAAATCAAATGATTCACATTACCTGAGCTGGATATTTCAGCAGTTTGATCAATAATAAATATCTGGCTGCTTACAGCTTCCTCTCAACACATAACTCATCTACTTGAAGATAAATCGAAAATTGTTGACTTGATAGTAAAGTGAGTCCAGTTCAAGTTCTTCATACTTCTGCAGCTCCGCGCTAGACCATATCCGGCTAGCTCGGTTAGCACCGACATCATCGGCGCGCATCCGCGTCCCCAGACCCAATCCCTGCGTGCAAATCAAAAACTTCACTTACACGCCACTCGCTCGAATTCGTCCTATGTCCAGCCAAGATGGTTGATTATTCCTCATGGAAGGTCGCTGACCTCAAGGCAGAGCTTAAAACCCGCGGAATCCCTCAAACTGGCCTGCGTCTTAAGCAACATTTCATTGACAGGCTAGTTGAAGAAGATGCTAAAACGCAACCTGAGAAAGCTTCCACCCCAGTTGAGACCCCAGTTGAGGAACCCGAACCTGAGTCTGTTGCTGAACCTGAGCCCGAGTCCGAAATTGAGCAGCCTGAACCCGAGACTACACCTGCCCCAGTACAAGAATCACAACCTGAACAGTCACCCGAAGAGCCTCAACAAGAAGCACCGGTAGCACCTGAAGAACCCTCAGAACCCACTCCCCCACGAGACGAAGAAAGCCCTAAGGAAGAAGACAAGTCGCCACATGAGGAGAGTGCAGAGGAGCAACCAAATGGAAAGCAAGGACGAGATGAAGATGTGGAAATGACACAAGCCGAGCCAGTTATCCCTGAGGACAACGTGGAAGACCAGCCGGTCGAACAAGTGCGGGAGGAAACCAATGAGCCTGCAAAACCAGCCGAGACTTCACTACCTCCGACTATTCAAACTTCGGAAGCCAACACCGAGCTTTCCACACCTTTGCCTATTGAAGAAGCTTTGGAGGACAAACGCAAGCGCAAGCGTCGCAGTCAGAGTCCTGTGCCCACCCCTGAAGCGATTGCAAACAAAAAAGCTCGAGCCCTGGAAGGAAGTCCACGAGTTATTCTACAAGACGATCAAGAATCTCGTACACAAGAGAATGAAATCAAGGATTCCGCCACAGAGGACCAGAATCCGCCCGTGGTGCAGAAAGAAGCACCGACGGCACCAAAACATGATGCCCGTTTCAGAGGTCTATTCGCCTCCGCTGGACCATCGCCTGCCCAACCTACTCAGCCCGTCCGGCCGTCTCCACCCAGCCAGGATGTCACAATGGAGGATGCGGTGGTGGAACCTGCCTTGCATCCTGCGACCGCTGCCCTCTACATTGATGGATTGATGCGCCCACTGCAACCGAATGCACTACGCAACCATTTAGTGACTTTGGCAACCGCCCCTGGATCTGACCCCAAGCCGGAGATTATCCAGGACTTCTTTCTTGATGCGATCAAAACACACTGCTTTGCTGGATTCGCCGACGTCGCGGCTGCATCGCGGGTCCGGGCTGCTCTTCATGGTACAGTTTGGCCCAATGAGCGCAACCGCAAAACTCTTCGAGCCGATTTCATTCCTGAAGCCCAAATTAAGGAATGGATCCAAACTGAAGAGTCTTCACGGGATCGGGCCGGCCCACCCGTTCGCTGGGAAGTCCGGTATGAGCCTGGCGAGGATGAGGTGATTCAGGCAGTGCTTTCTGAGTCGGGACCAAATTCACGCGCTGCGCCGCCATCTCGCCCTCGTGAGTCTGGTTTCAATCGCACGCCGCCATTGGGACCGCGTGGCAGTGTTACGCAGGCTGATCGCCGGCCGTCCATCACCGCCCCACCCGCACCCCCGTCACGACCCGGTCAAGGCTTCAAACCTCTTGATGATCTGTTCGAGTCTACCACCACCAAACCCAAGCTCTATTACTTGCGTGTCCCTCGCCAGGTTGCTGATAAACGCTTGGACCAGTTTGACGACCTACTCAAAAAGGGAACGTTTCCCCGACGTGGGGGTGATGACATGCGCCGGATCTCCTTTGAAGATGAAGATTATTTTGTAGATGGAGGTGCCGAATATGGTGTTAAAAATATGCCGCGTCGGCCCCGTGGTGGTCGTGGGGGTCGTGGGCGAGATCATTAAAGATTGGGGAGGTTACCAAGAAACACAAAAAAAATTAATGAACTGTCTTGTACGATAGGTATTATGTATGAACAATGCGAATAAAATTATGAAACTATAAAGAATGTTTCAATATAGAACTATCGAGGTGTTGACGGGTACACAGGGTATATAGCAAGCCTAAGCCAAAAATAGGTCACACCAGGCACCACTATGATGTACCAGCCACGATCTTTCATCTCTCGGAAGCCACTAAACTCTGTTCTTCTTTCTGTTTTCTGTCTTCTTTAATTTTTCTAGAATTTCTTTTTTTGACGATTTTTCTTTTCTTCTGTGTCTCACTTCCCTATTCTCGACACTGCTTTCCCTTGGTCTTTCTGTGCTTGGCCGTTTGGCCGCCACCCGCGCCCCCCTGTTGATCCCCCGGATGAGATAATATTGGGGAGCCTAAGGAAGAAAAAAAAAACACCCCGAAACTTCAACTTCCCCTTTCATACTCTGTCGCAAACTATCGTACACCAGCCAGGATGGGCTGGAGTCACTGCAATGCCACGGTGGAGCACGAGAAGAGTATGTTGGACATGGAGCTACGTGGTTAAACACGGATCGAGCGGAACACCCAACTGACTTGACTGACAGTCAACGAGACGGAACTTTGGAGTGGCGGCCTCACATTCCACCAGTTGAGTCTGGTGATAGGCGGAGTGTGTGCCCTGCTAGCCTGTATCGTCTCAATCTTCCTTGTTATGAGCCATGCCATGCACTACAGCAAAGCGATCCACCAGCGCCAGTAAGCAAAAGACCCCCGGAAACACCATGGAGCCAACACAAAGAAAAGATGCACTAGACTCCGCTCCTTGTGGATGCAGATAACGATATGAGTTGGTACAGTTCCACTGACGTTCTGAACTTTCTTTCACAGTATTATTCGAATCCTTTTCATGGTCCCTATATACTCGATCGTCGCATGGCTCAGTATCCTCTTCTACAACGATTCCGTCTACTTCGAGGTCCTCGGTGACTGTTACGAGGCGTTCGCCATTTCCTCCTTCTTCTCCCTTCTATGCGCCTACATTGCACCCGACTTACATAGCCAGAAAGACTACTTTCGTGGGATTCAACCGAAGCCTTGGGTTTGGCCGTTGAACTGGTTTCAGAAGTGGGCATGCTGTGGCTCAAAGCGCGGGGCGTGGCGCAACCCACGTAGTGGGTTGACTTGGTTCAATGTAAGAGGAATTTGCGGGCGATATTGGGGAAATACTGCTCGTATGGAAGTTGTTAACTGATGTGTGGAATGCTTTAGGTGATTTGGGCCGGAATCTTCCAATACTGCATCATTCGGGTGCTGATGACCATCGTTGCGGTCTCGACTCAAGCTACTGGACGATATTGCGAAGAGTCCTTGAGTCCGGCCTTTGCGTATATCTGGGTAATTTAATGTCCTATCTGGTTGGTTTGTGGTTTTTTACTAATTACTGATTTGTAGGTCGTCGTCATCGAATCCGTCAGTGTCAGTATTGCGATGTATTGCCTGATTCAATTCTACATTCAGATCAAGGATGATATCAAGGAGCACAGTCCTTTCTTGAAGATTCTCTCCATCAAGCTGGTCATCTTCTTGTCTTTCTGGCAATCGGTACGCTTATTCACTCGACAGCCTCTTTAAGCCCTTCAAGTTCCGCTCTAACATTCTTCGTTCTACAGGAAGTCATCAGCTTGTTAATGTCCAGTGGCATCGTCTCTGGATCCAAGAAGGTCAATACTATCGATTTGAAGTATAGCTTACCAGAGCTCTTGATCAACATTGAAATGTTTATCTTTGCAGTCTTGCACTTGTGGGCCTTCCCCACAAAGCCCTACATCATCTCCATCCAGGGGCAAGAAGTAACCGACTACTACGGCAATGGCAAGGGAAGCTATGTGGGTGGACGTTGGGGTATCAAGGCCTTAGCCGAAGCAATGAACCCACTTGATTTGGTGAAAGCCGTTGGACGTGGCGGACGCTGGTTGTTCGTTGGCCGCAAGAACCGCATGCTGGACCCTAGTTATCGCCAAACATCGACCGACTCAATTGGCCTTCAAACCCCTCAGAATGGAGCTACTACACCAGGAGCTACTTATGAGAGTGGAGCTGATATGTCAGGTGGTCGACGTTACGGTACCCCACCATACGAAGAGGGCGCAGTGCTTCTTGCGCACGCTCAATCAAACCCCGAAGCAGGTCCCTTGGGCAATTCTTACGCATCCGATGCTGAGGAGTATCTTGCTGGACAGTCCGGGTCTCGCTATTACGGCCAGGCTCCGTCACATTACATGCCACCCGAACAGCCAGGTGCCGTTTACCATCAAGATACTGCTTACCACAGCACTGCATACGACTTTCATGCCCCCGATACAAATACAAACCACCCTTACCCATCGTACGATGGTCCTCTCCGTGAACAAGTTCCTATGCCTATGCCTGATCCATACCGACCTCCACCACCGTACCCTGAAAGTCATCATGAGTTGTAACCGACAGTTTTTTATGATTCCTGAATAGACTTCCAGCCGCGATTCGTTCCTGGTTCTCCATGCAGCATATACTATGACCCGGAGCAGAAAAGAGAGAAAAAGACATCATCATGTTTTATTCTTCATCCCATATCTCTACGCTACCCATGAGCAGCTTCTCTGATACTTTTCTGATTCCAGCTTGTTTTTCTTCTCTTCTTTTTTCTTCTTTTTCTTTTTCTTGATTTTGATTCTTTTTTTGGATATGAATACCCGCCACTTTTTCTGGCATGTCCTACTTTACTTCTTTCTGCCTTCTCTTCCCATGCATCACCGTTGTCAATTTGATAATACTTTGCATTTCTACTTGATTTAGCTTTTGCTATGGTTGATGATACTTATACTGTACAGAAATTATGAATTCAAAGAACTTTCATGTCTATTCCATTCTTTACATCATCATCATCATCTAGCTATCTGTAAGGGTACCCACTTACCAAGAAAGGTCTGAGTAACTACTATAGGATCAGGTGTGTTTTCATTATCTCATCTAAAGAACATCATGACATAAAAGTGGGAAACTGGCCGTGCCGAATGCACGAAAGCAAAGATTGAGAAGAAAAAAAGTATCGCCAAGGGAAATCAGAATCCGGGGTCTCAATAGCTTCGTTTAACTTGGGTACCCAATTATTCCTCGCCATTCAAATCATCATAGCTAACCAAGAACCAAGATTGAGCTAACTCTTAAGCTCGAGGTCCATTGCCTGCTCCCGGTCCGAACGGCTGCGGCAAATTGAGCCCTCCTCTCATGCGCTCGGCTGCGGCAGTTTTCTTCTGGATCGAGTTTGACTGGCGTTGACTCCGCACAATTGTATTCTTGTAGCCAACCTCGCGCAAATTCTTGACGCCCTCGCCCATTCTTCCAAGCAAAGACGCCATGAGGACATCATTTTTCTGGGCGATAACCTCTGTAGAAAAGGCGCTTTGTTCGGATGGGGAGAGGAGCTCAAGGTGCGATATAAGGGAGGTGATATCACGGAGGAGCGGATATGACCATTCTGGCGATGAAGACGCATTTTCAGGGTCTGAGCAAATACTCGAGACATATGATTTCATGAGACCGATGCGAGACTCGAGGGTGCGGATTGCATTGCAACGGGTGGTGAGGTTTCCGATTACTATATAATTAAGACGTGTTAGATGCATGTTGAGGTATAGGAGACTGTAGATGAATGTGGGGTCCGTACGCTCTTCCTCTTCCTGAGTGAGTCCGCTGGTGCTTTTCTCAGCACTCTTTTTCTCACTCGTGGTCTGTTGATTATTAGATGTCGAGCTTGTAGCAGTATACGTTGATGTCAGGTGTGTTTCTGTCGCGGCAGTTCCAGAGTTCTGCACAATAGTGTTCACACCAATCATCTCGGATTCCTCGGTCTCAACGGAGTATCGCAGCTCACGGAAACGAAGACCAGGTCCTGACTCCTCACCATCAATTTGCATATCTTTAGATGCATCATTGGCGTTCCCTCCCTCGAGCACACTCTCATAAACGGTCAATGGGAGCTTGGCGCTGTGCGATTCGGAAGCTTGGAGCTGTGAGGGGTGGAAAGCGAGGAAGATAGCGGATTCATTGTAGTCTTCTAGAAGCTGGCGATGGATAGGTAGGTGAGAGGCATCAGGACCGGTCGCAGGGGAGGTGGACCACCAGCCAACGAGTTCCAAAGGCGGAGCTTTGTGTACATCCTTAACTGTTGATCTGGTTAGTAAGAGGTCAGTGAAGACTATGCGGGGAAGGGTATACTAACACTGCTTCACTCGCTCTTCGAACCATTCCCATGGGAGCAAAACTTCTCCATTTGGCCCTGCAGTGGTAGGGCATTCAAATGCATGCTCTAATGTGATCACCTGCCCATTCTGCTGGCCTAGTAAGGCGCCGAGGACTCGGCCTTGTTGTTGACGGGCGGCATGACGGGTGATATGGTCGGAGATAGTGAGGAGGACAAGCGGGTGCAACTGGATATGTAAATCTGAGTCCGACGTCTTTTGCGAGACTAGCGATCTAGTGGAATCCATTTTCGCCTTCAAAGTCTTTAAGAAAGGTGAGAAGGTTGTATGAAGGTGATTGCAGCTCAGTGATGCGGTCAGTCTGGCAGAATATCAGGGTGCCTGAGGCGTGATTTCCCCGCTGATCTAGCTACAAATGGTTCCAAGTTTCTAGATCTTACACTTGGACACTTGACCTATCAACATTTTCCAACATGACGATTCCTTCAACATTTAATGCACTCAAGGAGCATCTGGACAGAATTAAAGCCGCTCCTTCGATTGCCCTTGATACTTCCCTAATCGAACGTCTTAAGCTTCAGCTTGTCGGAAACACCGATCCCGTTGTCCCCGCGACACTGTTATCGCAAATATCAGCTCTACTACCTGTTCTGCAGGAAGACCCAACACCTCTCACTACCCTTGCGATTAAGGCGACTAGCTACTTCAGCTTCACTGACCTCCGCTCTATTGATCCTCCGATTGACCTTGTCGCTGGGTTTAAAGCCCCATCCTCACCTGTCAACCTACTCGCAATCTCTTTGCTGGCTAAGGCAGGGCAGACATCTGGCGATGCTGCCATTGTTGCAGGAGACTCTGAATTGATTTCCTCGTTGGTGGAGCTATGGCTATCGACCTCCTCTACGGCAGTTGCACAGGCTGCTTTCGATGCGCTGTGGGCTTTGCTGGAAGCTGATCTGGCCAGTCCGCTGGAAAATGGAGAACGCGACGTTGTCGGTAACGAAGAACATACTGGACAGGGTCTTGTATGGAGAAGACTTTTCACAGACAAATACGTTTATGGATTGTTTTTTGGACTATGCAGCTTGAAGAACGGTGCGACTGGGGAGTTGTCAACCCGCGAGCGCACTGTCGCTCAGGGCAGATTAATGGGATTCCTGGTCCAGGCTGGCCGTTTGCGCTGGGATATCATCTCAAATTCCCAGGTACCGGAGATAGAGGCACAATACAACAGCAAGAGCATCCTTCAATTTGCTGCATGCCAGATGGTGGACCTCGGTGATGTACTGATGCATATGACACTTCTGAACTTTTACCGTGAGCTTCTGGAGATTGATTCCCCTGGTCTAGCCGCTCGAAGTAATGTGCAGTCGACCTCAACCTTTTCATCACCTGCACTTGACTTCTTGGTGGCTGAGAAGCTCCACTCTAAGGTTCTGGAATATTATCTCGACGACTCCAAGCTAGATAGTGTGGATCTGATCTACCTTTCTGGCCCGATCATGGCATATGTTGCGAGGTATGCTGAGTTCTATCCCAACCATCTCTTACAAAGCCCATCAACCCTCTTAGATGGCATTGTCTCCCGAATTGGTCGGGCCTTAGCTATTCCTTCCGTCCAGTGGGCCCATGGTGAAGTCCCCACAGGGCACCTGGCTATTCTTGCCTCACTTCCTCGCGTGTTGCTCATTGAGGCTGGCAAGCATGGTGCCAATCCCTTACTGAAAATTCCTACATCTCCCGCCAACGGAGAGGCTTTCGATGTTCTCGGAAAGATTCTTCGTGGGCCAGTGCATACTGCAGCTTTTGATTCAATGGATTTGAATACAGATGGCCAGACCCCGACAGATTGGCATCACGAAGCCGCAGCAGCGCGCATCCTTTATTTTATGTATTTGAACGAGCATCCTGGTTTCTGGGCTGATGTTGTCACTGCGGCTGATACTCTTGCAATGAAAGACGTCGCCCTGTCTGCCATTACCTTTATGAGAGCTATTGTTGGCGCTAACTGGCAACCATTGCCTCCGGCATCTCATGTTTCTCCTGTTCCTTCTCGATTCCAGCTACCATCGGAGGAGGGATTAGGACAGCTATCCCCGGCTAGTACTGGCTTGCTTCCTTTGTCCGGCCCATGGGCCATTCTTACTCCACCAGCCCTTACAACTCTTCTGCCATATCTTTTCAAGCCACCACGCTCCTATGGTGAGTTTGTAGGCGGTGGTGCGGGAGACTCTCAGAATGTCGTGTGGAAAGTGGCAACCGCGAAGCACGATGTTCTCGTCGCTCTGTACAATAAGCTTCAACAAAGTGGCGGGCAGATGGAAGGATTTGAGGACATTCTGCGAACCCTGCGACAGCGAGTGAACGAGGGTCCCGCAGGACCGGTACAGCAGGGAGCTCCTCAAGTAGAAACTGCTGGTCTATGATGAGATGATTGTGATGATAAAAAATATCCAATTTGATTTAAGCGAATAGCAACTTTTCCTAGTATTTACTCTAGCCATACTCTATCTACTCCGTACCATCTTGGAAGTATCAATGATCGACTATGTATGTAGTGTTATCTCATAAAGCGGGGAACAGCTTAGACCAATCAAGCCCTAATTCCCATTTCGGGCCGTTGAGTTAATGTTCCGAGGTAGGCGGTGAAAACCAGCAGAATGTTATTTTTCTACTCCGAGTCACTTCCTGACAGTGAATGAATCTCGACCTCAAAACATTATGGCGCTATAAAAGAAGTCTGAACTATTTATTTAATCAAGAAGAAAGAAAATAGAAACATCCATCTCTACTGATAACATTGGAAGCTATGTCTCGATTTTCAAAAGGCAAGCGCCAGCCTGGTGCTGAATTTACATGGGACGGAGAACCTGGTGGTGCACCTGATACAGCTCCTACTCCCCTCTATCCAGTAAGTTTGCCTCTGTGTTGCAACATCACTTGAGCTACCTTTTTCCTTCTCCTTGCATCCTCCGCATTGCCATTTATCATGGATTTCGCAACCTCATACCCGCGCCAGGCATATGTCGTCCCTTGGGCCCGCAAACTCTCCCCGAAAGAACAAAATGAAGTCGACTACTACCGTCACTTGCGCGAGATGTATCAGGAGGGCCCCTTCTACTCTGTCCTTAACTCCGCCTCCTCATCGGCCAAGAAAGGCTCCGCCGCACGCGTTAACTTCGACCCTTTCACCGGGATGCCATCTTACTCCGGGCGTTATCAGAAGAAGAGGCGAACGATCCCTCGCATTGATCCTAGTGGTCGCCAACACGAGTACGGTAGGTGCCTTATGCATCCAAGCGGCTGAACACAACAATTATTGTGGAATATGTGTCTAATCCTGTGCTTTGGTTACAGAGATGAAATTCTTCCCTCGTGAACTCTGGCAGACCATTCAACCCAGCTTCCGCCCCGATGCATCCCTGGAGGGCTTCTTGCCCATGAGCGCTACCAGTGGTTTGAAGCGGGGATTCGAGGACGATGAAGATGATGATGGCGAGGAGTCATCCAAGAAGCGTGAGGCTGGAGATGAGGATGAGGGAGAGGGTGATGCGGATGAAGGAGACGCTCTCGATGACGAGGAAGGTCGCGAAGAATGGGAAGAGGAAAACGACTTCGAAGACGATGAGGATGAGATGGGTGGCGATTACAACGCCGAGCAGTACTTCGATGGTGGTGACGATGAATATGGCGATGATGGATTCGGAGATGGTGGTGGTGGCGGTGGTGAGGATGAGCTGTGAGGCGCTGACACGAGATACCCTTTGCTTCTTTAATGTGTATGTGAACGTTTTGGACTCTTCTGGGGTCATGATAAATGCATTTGAGCGTTGATACAGTGTTTATGGTTCAAGATGATGATATTAACAGCTTGCTCGTCCTCGATCTTGCTACAGGTACTAGTAGTCAGGTCCTGAGGTTTTCTATGCAGTCCTTCAAATATGCCCGTCATAAAACTGCTTTGTCTGCATATGCACAAGTAGATGGATAATTTCGGCATCTACATACGCTGACACCTGGAAGCACTCACCATACATTCCGTACTTCCAAACGGCTTCCAAGGTTCTTCCTAATGCATCTCAAATCGTAAACCTACCCCTTGAAAAGTACTTCCTCGGCTATTTGAAAGGATGGTGCAAGTACAACTTGAAGTATATTATATTATCAGATCTTTATAGATCGCGCTAACTATAGTTAACCGATTTCAGCCTGGATGACGTCAGCGACATTGGAGCCCCGCGCCGAGATAAAGAATTTCGAGGTTGAAGATTGATATATGTAGAACTACCCCTCCAGGCACCAAACATGGACGCGCAGAAGCCAGATCAAACGCGGTCAGTTCTGATTCTTTATGGGTCAGAGACTGGAAACGCACAAGAAGTGGCCGAAGAATTAGGCGCAGTGACTGAGCGACTCCGTTTTGCAACGCATGTTTCGGAGTTAAACCAGGTGAAACCAGTAAGTGCGATTGAACATTGCTGTGAAAGAGAACCCCTGAGATTCGAGTTTCTAATGCTTGTGTTATTTCAGGAAACTCTTTTCAACTACAGCCTCACGATTTTTGTTGTATCAACAACCGGACAAGGTGATTTGCCTGCCAATGCACGGACCTTCTGGAAGTCGTTATTGCTCAAGAGACTTCCACCTACATTTCTAAATGGCGTGAATTTTGCAAGTTTTGGTCTGGGTGACAGCTCTTATCCCAAGTATGTACCATTGCTGGATATCTTTGGTTATGATGGCCGGGTTCTAATGTTATACAGGTTCAATTGGGCGGTGCGCAAGCTTTACAAACGACTGCTTCAGCTGGGTGCAAATGACATCTATCCGACTGGAGAAGCAGATCAACAGCATCCAGAGGGGTATGCCCTATATGAAACTATCTCAAGACAAGTCAACCAAAGCTAATATATTACCTCTTGGCAGACTCGAAGGAACATTTCTCCCATGGATCGCAGATTTTCGAAAGCATTTGTTGGATCGCCATCCCCTCCCGGCTGGACAACATCCTATCCCAGAAAATATCCAGCTGCCTCCAAAGTGGATTCTGCAGCTGAAAGAAGGAGAGTCACCGGTCACCGTACCAGAAGGCACATTAACGACATCCTCGGTCGATACAAACGAATACCCGGGGTTATCGAATTTGGACCACGATATTCGACCCCTTCCAGATACCCTCACTGCAACCCTCGACGAGAATCGACGCGTAACTCCCCAAAATCACTGGCAGGATGTTCGCCGCATCACCTTGACCGTTTCAGAGTCTGTTCAATATGCTCCTGGCGATATGATCGCCATAACCCCGAAAACATCTCCTACCGATGTGCAATCATTTCTTTATATCATGGGCTGGAATGATGCCGCAGATCTTCCAATTTCTCTTGTTCCTACAGGAAATACACCATCACCGTCACCAATACCTGGCCTCGATTCATATCCTCAGTTAACGCTCCGCTCACTCCTCATAGATTATCTAGATCTCAAAGCCATACCTCGCAGATCATTCTTTTCGACTATTGCGCATTACACGAACGATGAATTGCAAAAAGAGCGCCTTCAAGAATTTACCAACCCGGAATACCTGGACGAACTTTGGGATTATACATCGCGACCGCGACGTAGCATTCTCGAAGTGATGCACGAATTCGACACCGTGAAAATTCCCTGGCAACACGCGGTGTCTGTACTCCCAGTGATGCGAGCCCGCCAATTCAGCATCGCCAGCGGTGGCGCCCGTAAGCGAACGGTGGATGGAAGAACCCAGTTTGAACTCCTGGTCGCTATCGTGAAGTACCAGACTATCATCAAGCGGGTGCGTGAGGGAGTATGCACGAAATACCTCTCAACCCTCCGACCAGGCAGTACCCTTCGCGTCCAACTCCAGCCAGGCGGCCTTAACTCATCTATCCAGCAGTTGACTGCATCGAACATTCTTATTGGACCAGGCACAGGCATTGCCCCTCTTCGATCGATGTTGTGGGAAAAAGCAGCGCTAGTCCAAGCCTATCGTGAACAGAATCCTGGCGTTGAACCCCCGATCGGGCCAACAGTCCTGCTCTACGGAGGTCGCAATCGCGAAGCAGATTTCTTCTTCTCTGAAGAATGGGACGAGTTAGCAAAACTTATCCCTCTGCAGGTCCTGACTGCATTTTCGCGTGATCAACAGATGAAGGTCTACGTGCAGGATACTATTCGTCAGAATTTCCAGCTATTTTTTAGACTCTTGCATGAACTACAGGGATCTGTATATATCTGTGGTTCATCGGGGCGTATGCCCCAGGCTGTGCGAGAAGCATTGATAGAAGCATTTCAGAATGGCGGTGCACCGCTTGCTGGGCAACCGTACAGTCGGTCACAGGCGGAGGAATACTTGGTTAGCATGGAAAAAAGCGGACGATACAAGCAGGAGACTTGGTGATATCGGCAAGCCTTACCATTACCACTATACTATTTGAGCCCAATTGATGATTACCGAAATCCTTCCGTCGTTTTTATCGTAAAGAAGTTGGAATGATGCATCATTTGATCAGTCGTTTCATCAGAAAGGCGCCGCCACGAGTGGTGGTGGCAAGATGGAGCATCTGAGGGGTATGTTTCAAGAGGTTGGGGGCTGTTCCTTGGGTGTAACTTGAAGTGGCCATTTCAAGTTGCTAGCAACACGAATCTGCTTGCCGTCATCGTTTGGCAGTGCATACTCAGTCACAGTACTATGTATGCTCCGTACTCTGAGGTCTATTGCCATTGCCACAATTGGACCAGAGACCGGATATAGAACTTGAAGGCTCCTACTAGGCGCCCGGTAAGGAATGACAAGTGTTTCAGCTCGTCCTTCATATAGCAACAAAGCACTGACAAATATTTGAAAATCTATAGACTGGGATCCACTGATCAGATGCATGATAAAACCCCGGGGCTGGGATGATCTAATTATGCATATGTCCTCTGAGCGGAGTTTGCAGATCATCATGATCTGCAACAAAATACTGAAAGCAAGCCCTGGAGATATTCTTCAGTTTCTATCAATCAGGAACTATAATGCTGAAAAGATAATCAATTTATGTACATGTTTCTCGAGCACATGGATTGGCAAGCAGGGATTGGCTAGTCCGAGTCTCTTTAAGTTCTATAGCCCTGAAGGTATACGATACTATACGGAGTATACCTACGATACATGATATGGAAATGGTAAGTGCAATGCATATATCATCTGCATGGGGTCGGGAGTGAAGTTTATTCGCTAATCCTTGTCTAATCCTTGTGGCCATGGGATCAGCTGCAGGATTCAATGGTGTTGAGTGGTTGATCAAATGATTCCATAACAAAAGCAATAATCCATGAATGTGATGATACAAACTTGAATAGGTATTCAATCAATGCTAAACATTAATTTGCGTAAAGAGTATTAAATATCATAATATTCAAATAAAAATATCAATTTGTCTGATATTCATGTACCTGTACCTTGAGCCTCAGATTGGTCTGGAACATTACGATCTTTGGAACTGAATAAATTTATTAAATTTTTAATAAATTTCCAATAAATTTCGATGAATTTTTGATTACAAAAGGGTTTTTAAGTGGGGCTTATGATCTATCGCCGACATTTATACGAAGCAGAACCGAGTTCAGCTCATGAAGAGATTATCTGAAATCAAGTACTCCGTATAGACTATGTATTGAAACTATAGACAGATAAAAACTAGATATCACAAAGAACATTCAATGTTATACTAGTAAATGATTTGAAATCCAACTACGTAATTCCATGTGCATGGGCATATATGCATATAACTTAAGTCGATGACGTCTCTCCGCGCGTTCCCTGTGACTTTTTCACTCAATGATTCTGGCCATAGCCACGGCGCCACTCGGCCATGCTTGCCATGCCTTTCCGTCTGACCCGATGGATCCCTGCTTTGGTTAGCTAGACCCGGAAAAAAAGAGATACGTATGTGCTGCAGGATTGATTTAACTATTTAAATATATCCGGGACCCTGGTGCCTGCGCGACCCCGCGATTCTTTCTCATTCTCATTCTGTACATACCACACTTAAACTTGAACACGACCAGCTCTGCTGAACTTCCTTTATTCTCAGAGAGGTATAGTAGATTCCCCGATCCTCCAAGTCTGCGCTCAAGCGGTATTGCCTTTTGATTGTTTTGGGTATACATTCCAGTCGGTTCGTGGGATCGCCACTAGGATCATCCTAGGTTATTGAGCAACCTTCTGCTTAACTGTGGAACAGTCTTGATTTGAAGCAATTATTTTGTTCTAAAAATTCACACAAGCAAATATTAACGGATCTTATCAAGTATTTCTAGACTCGGTCTGTCTGGTGGTCAAACATCTCTGACATTTCATCCGCCTGACATTCCTCCCCGCACGCATTCTTAAGTGGCGAGCCTGCAGATCATACCGGATCCCTCCATATATCTCCCTATCCGATCGCACTGCATTCCGGATTACTTGAAGAAGCATTCCCAAGTTCTATGGGTACTGTTTTCAGCGCAACTTCCGCGTTTCAGATAGCGTCTCGCCTATAGATTCCGCGCCTGCTACATAGTGGGAGTTTCCCCTCTTTCACAAAACAATAACGAAAAAAAAATTCACTGATCGAAGTCACGGTTCGATTGCACATAGTGCTCAGCAATCATGTCGGAATCAACTTGGGAAAAGACCAAGCGCTTTTCTAAGAAAGGCTTTGATAAAACATGGGCCCAAGTCGATAAACTCGGCGCTCCCGTCAATCGCCTTTCTAACAAACTAGGCGCGGAAGCATTTTGGCCCATGACCCTTGATAAGGAAAGCGACAAAGCTGCACGAATTTTGCGCAGTTTTTGCAAAGATGGGTTCTATGCGCCTGAAACCGAAGAAGGTGTCGATGAGAATGGCAAGATTAATCGCCCCAAGGGAAAGCAGAGAGTCATTAAGAAGATTCCCGCGCAAGTTTTGAAGAATGCCAAGGGTATCGCTATTTTCACCACCATGCGTACTGGTCTTTGGATCAGTGGTTCCGGAGGTAGCGGAGTCTTGCTGGGCCGAGTACCCGAGACTGGCGAATGGAGTCCACCATCTGGTATTATGCTCCACACTGCTGGTATTGGATTCCTTGCTGGTGTGGATATCTACGATTGTGTCGTTATTATCAATACACTTGAGGCACTTGAGGCATTCAAGAAACTGCGCTGTACCCTCGGTGGAGAGGTCAGTGTTGCCGCCGGCCCCGTTGGTATGGGTGGTGTGCTTGACTCCGAAGTGCATAAGCGACAAGCCCCGATCTGGACCTACATGAAGAGCAAAGGACTATATGCTGGCGTTGCAGTCGACGGCACCATTATCATCGAGCGATCTGACGAGAATGAGCGTTTCTACGGTGAGCGAATCTCCGTCACCGATATCTTGAACGGCAAAGCGCGGCATCCCCGGAATCTATCAGCACACTTCTGCAAACCATCAAAGCAGCCCAAGGAGACAGGGATGCAGACGAGACCTTAGTTCCACCTCCCGGTGAGACCCCCCGGTGATATCGATCTCAGCCAAGAAGACCATGGCTTTGGCGTCCCTGCGGCTGAGGACCCGGACCCATACGGAGTGAAAGCGTTAGAAGCCGAGGGCATGTTCATCCGGGAGGCCGGCACTAAGGTGAGGCCAAGTCCTGAAGTCTTTGAGTTCCGGCCAAACCCTGGTAGCCCGGTATATTCCACATTCCTCTCGGCGCAGCTTTGAGAGCTCGCCGCGGAATAGCTGGCGGGCCAGTGTGCAAAGTTATACCAGCGTGAATCGTGGTACTCAAACTGATGATCCCCCGCTAACCGCCGCAACATCAGTAAGCCGAGCATCCTCGCGGAGCGCGAAGGAATCGCCAGATGTGCCTAGCTCGAACCCGTGGAACGAGTCTCAATGGGATACAGTGCCTGTGAATGGTGTCGAGGAGAAAGAGGAGGATAAGGATTTGGAAGATGCCAAGAGAGTGATTGAACGTGCCGAGATTCAGAATGAGAATGATGAAAACCACCCTATTGATTATGAGGATTTTGAGGTCCATGAAGTGAGCAATGCGAAGATGGCTAAGCAGGAGCGTGCCGTCGAGTCCCCGGTAGAGGAGCGTCCTACTACTGCAGACTCTTCGTCTCGCTCTTCTCCTACCTTTACTCGCGCTCGCCTGGTGACTATCAATAAGCGACCTACACCACCATCCTTGCCCCCTCGTCATCCTAACCACACCTGGGGCTCGGGCTCTAGCCGCGAATCTACTTCTCCTACTGCGCTTTCGCACTCCAGCCGCAGCACCGAGCCAACAGAAGCTGCGGGTGACTCTGTTGATCTCACAGAGGGAACTAGCGAGGCTGCAGCTCTGCCTTCGAATATCAAGAAGTTCCAGGCGAACACTGTTTTGCCTGCTGTCGTTGATGAAGATGATTTCGATGAGGAGGATCTTGTGGAGTCAGAGACCGAGATACGTACTGAGAAGGACGATGAGTTCCACTCTGTCAACAGTGACGCCGAGGAAAATTCAGAGGAAAAGTCAGAGGAGGACAATACCTTCCAGGATTTGAACTTGACAGGCGACGTTCATGCAATGGACATCGAGAACCTCGAGAAACAAGACCTGGAGCCCATCTCCCCTAAGTCCATTGACGAACCCCAGGCGGAAGCGGAACCCGAAGCTGAGGCCGAGACTGAACCCAAGCTCACCAGTGACACCGAAAAACTTCATATTGAGGATCTGGAAGCCGCAGCTGAGAAGCCTATCGAACCCAAGTCCGAGGAGTTTGATAACAACAGGACCATGACGGAAGATCAGAGCCACGATATTGTGAACCTGCATGCTCTGAACGCCCAAGCTGCTTAGGCTGAGAGTAACACTGGTTCTGAACTTCCGTTTTTGTCTGCGTTTGGCTACGATTTGCATTTCTTCTGTACACATGATACCTCGTCTAACGACTGGCTAGGAGTTGGATACGATTGATACCCTGGCTTTCTTCACATCATTCATTCTCGGGATTTTTTATTGCTGTTTTTTGTGTTTTCGGTCCTTCTTCTTCTCTTCTCCTTGATATCAGCGCACTCGCGTGTCAAGGACAAAATTTCACGATCAACTTCATCTTGCATTTCTAGCGTCTGCATTTACCAGATATTTTGGTTGGTTTTTGCGTTCTTGTTTTATAGTTTGACCGAGAGTCTTTGGCAGGACACTCTCTTGCCTTCCTTTGTCTATAGATTATCCTTTTGAGCTATCATTCGTTTGACCAATGGTATTCACATTTATTTCTAAACCGTCAGCCGAGTTAAGGTTCTACATCATGTTACCCTGGAGTATCCGCTAACCTGTAGGCTGACCACGCAAAACACCTCGGGCTTGGCATATGGCTAGACTGTCTCCACGGAGCCTTCGATAAGGGACCGATGGTCTATACTGGGTCATCGCCAGTGGGTGCCTGCACAGTTGTCTCGCAAGAGGTTAAGAGAAGCTCCCCCTCGCCAGACATTCAAGGCGGATTCCCTGATCTCCACAATTGAAAATATGACTCCATATGGAGTAAAATCATCAGAGCTACGAAAATCAACAGGATTAACCGGTCTGGATCCTTTCTCATGGCCCAAGATTAATGATCCACCCAAAGACTCGTGGATGGGACGCATGTGCTGAGGACGCCTGATAATCCTTCTCTATCCGATCTTGGTCTAGTACTCACTTCACCATGCATGCCCCTCCCGTCCGAACCCATTCAGTCATCCATGCACAACGTGGCCCTTTTTTAAACCGGCGCGATGGTGGCTATTAGTTTCCGCAGTTCCACAAAAATCCCTTAAATACTTGGTTCCCCACTTTTAGCTCCTTAGCGAAGACTCACAAGAGTGATTCTCTGCCGCTCTTGCATATAGGTGGATCTTGGTTGGCTCTAAATGCCATTGATTATCACTGATCACTCTGTTTACAGTCATAGTCTAGCGGGGAAATCTAGAGATCCAATAACATGAGGCCCTTAAATTTAGCCGTGGCAGGCGTCCATTATGCATTGACAAAAGTACTACAGGTGGATATCGCATGGCCGTTAGATTGGTGGCAAATGAAGCGATACGACAGGCTGGATTAGAAGTTCAAGCTAGTATGGCGGGATTTTGCGACAGACTAGGATTGAAGAATAAGAGGGGATTTCCCCAATTTCTTGGAATTTGTGTCTTGAGAGGAACTTTCGCTCCGTCATTCAATTTTGAAGAAACGTCGCGAAAATGCCTTTCGTCTCTGCACTTGGTGGAATTCTGGTCCTTTTAATGACCAGAGTGATCTACCGAGTCTATTTTCATCCTCTCAGGAACATTCCGGGACCCAAATTAGCGGCAGCTACCGGTCTTTATGAATTTTATTTCAATGTTATCAAGCGAGGGAAGTTTATCTGGGAGATTGAACGATTGCATGAGATCTATGGTCAGTAGCATACCTCAATTGCTGTTGAAACTGTTACTGAATTCCAGTCAACGAATACAGGACCAATCATTCGAATCTCACCGCGAGAAGTTCATATTAAAGACCCCGAGTTCTTCGAGGAGATCTATGCACCACCTTCTCGACCAAGAGAAAAATATTCAGTCTTTGTGAAACAATTCGATATCGACCATACTGCATTCACTAGTGTCTCTGCCGAAGCCCATCGAGAATGCCGTACACCTTTGAATAAATTCTTTTCAAAGTCAGCAATCACAAAGATCGAGCCTACCATCCAGAGACATCTTGATATTCTCTGTGGTCATATAAAAAGCGCTTTTCCGTCTGGGAGAGTTGTCAACCTAGATTCTGGATTTGCTGGCTTAATGTCGGATGTCATTCACGAATATATGCTTGGCTATCACAGTGGAAACCTTGACACCGAGGATTTCAACGAGCATGTCCGAGATGGACTCAACGGTATCCTCAGGTTGTCTCATTTGAATTTCTTCTTGCCCCTGATGAAACTTATGAAGATTATTCCAATGCCGGTTTTGAAGGTGCTGAATCCCTTTGCATATGCTGCCCAGGAGATGAAGTGCCGTATCCGTGAGTGCGTGTTGGGCTTCCTATCTGGGAAAACAGATATTACAAAGGGTGCTCCAGTCATCAAATCCGTGATCGATCAATTGCCTGCGCACTTACAGGGTTCTCAACGACTTACCGATGAGACGTTCTCGTTGTTGAATGCCGCTACTGAGACAACCAGCAGAGCGCTTTCTGTGGCCTTTTTTCATATCATTTCTAATGAGAGCATCAAGATAAAACTGCGAGAGGAGTTACAATCTGTTATGCCAACACCCGATTCCCATCCAACCTGGGATCAGCTGAAACAACTTCCCTTCTTGGTTTGTTTTTGACTTATCCGATTCAGTAAAATTTGACACAGATCTCACTAACTAGAGATTAGTCAGGAGTTGTGAATGAATGTATCCGTATGTCCACAGGTGTCGCTGCTAGGTCGCCTAGAATCGCCCCTAATGAAGCGTTGGTGTATGGCGAGTACATCATTCCTCCGGGGGTGAGTAACCAGGCTTTTGTCTATATCACCAGAGTTGAAAATACTAATCTAAGCTTTCAGACACCCGTTAGCGAGATAGTTCACTTCATTGTCCACGACCCTGTGATCTTCCCAGAACCTCATTCGTTCGACCCAGAAAGATGGATTCGAGCTGCTGAAAAGGGCGAAAGATTGGATCGCTATCTAGTCAACTTTTCAAAGGGAACCCGAAACTGCTTGGGAATAAAGTATGATTGGACTAATAACTTTTTTCTCTTCATGATTGCACAGATTGCTAATTCATTTTCAGTCTGGCTTATGCTGAGCTCTATATCACTATCGCAAGACTCGTCCGGGAATTCGATTTTACGTTATACAAGACAACTTGGAAGAACCTAGCGTGTGCCCGCGATTTTATGGCACCATATCCTGAAGAAGGAAATATGAGATTCAAGGTTCAGGTAGAGAGTGTGGTCTCGGAATGAAATTGATAGTCGGCCTGGTGCCAATTTGGGAGCTTGTAGAATCGATCCATGTTCGGGTACGATCTCTAGGTGATTCTATAGCTTGGCAGAGCCTGAATAAAGCAAGCCTTACAACAAAATGTGTGATCAAGAGCTCACCAAGTACTAGACTAAAAATGTTTCAATCTCTTCTGGATTGTCGGCCTTAAAAATTCACCAGTCAAATATGAGGAGATACGTCTTTAAAGTCCGGTTATCTCCGAAAAGCTTGTTAATACTAATTGACAGCACCATTCCAACCTTGGAATGCTAAATTAACCTCGAGAAATCAGATTAATCTTTTCACTTCTCTTCTGTTACGCCACCAGCCCTACGAGCCACCACCATGCCCTCCGAGAAAAGCATCCAGGCGGGCCTGTCACTCATTGAGAGTGACAAGTCCAAAATTCTGGGCCTAACAATGGGAACCCATGAAAATGTTCAGCCAGGACTTTACATTCCCCGTGCAGGTGAGACCCCCTGGGATTAGTACAGATGACAAGATACTTATGCGCCATAAAGATGCTCAATCCCCTCCAAAGCTGTCCTTCAGTGGCCTCTCCACCTCCAAGACTTATCTAGTGGTCTCCCTTGATATTGATGCACCATTCCCTTCTTTTGGTGTCCTTGGACCTATTCTTCACTGGATCCAGCCTGGTGTCAAGGCTTCAGAGTCTGGAGAGCTTGATCTCACTGCACCTTTTGTTGCCAACTATATCGGTCCTGCTCCCCCGCCAGGCAGTGGACCTCACCGCTACACCTTCTATCTCTATGAAGAGCCAGCTGGTTTTGAGACGAAGAAATATGCTCCTGCCGATGGCAAGAAGCTAGGAAACATGTCACGAATTCGATATAACCTTGATACCTGGGCAAAGGAGATCAACTTGGGTCCTTTGCTGGCTTACAACTACTTCACGAGTAACTAGAGCCCATGATTTGAATTTGTCTCGTCGATCATTTTGTATTGGCGTTCGCTTTCATAATGATACCTGCGTTCCGCTTCCATGTTAATTTTTTTCTGGAGTTATGAATGTCAACTCCCTTCAGGGATAATTCGTTACCTTGGTCAGCATGAATCTAGATTTGTGAGATGATTTCGTTTTTCTCTTCTTATCGAAATCGTCTTCAAATAATTAAATATCTTTTACTGCGTTATCAATCTGAACCTTGGAATTCTAAGATAGCATTTATCCAAAATTTATCCCAACTTGAACCTTCAAGAACTTGAGACTGAGATATCAATACTAAAAAATCGTGACTCCATTCGCATCTATCAAAGTTATATGCACAAATTGGGATGTACGTTCAACTAAACATTTGATAATGTCACATTGGCGCTCATCTTCCTTTGGATTCTATTTCGTTTGGTGGTCAACTACTACAATCACTGGCAATAATCGTTTGACGGTATGTTCCATGTTATACCAAGCATAAAGAAGCCCCTCCAGGGCTCCAAAGCTGTTTACTTTTCTACCTACACCTTCCATCAACCTTCAACCGGTTGACCAGATTCCAAAACGCATCTTTTCTCATTTACATTCGGGTGCTGTACCCTCCTTCCTTACTGTTCTTTTTCCTGCGAATGGGGAACAAATTAGACACCATGGCGAAACCTAGACCAGCCTGCTCGGCGTCAGCTAAACAGAGCTGTAATGGCTCCTCATGTCCTGAAAAACCCAAGAGTGTTCCAGCTCTCAAGAACTCAGATTATGTCATTGCACTCCATGGGAGATTCACTCCACATACTCACTGTCTGTATAGAACTCAATGACCTCCATTACCATTCTAGTATCGTGGAGTGTGGGTAGTACTAATTGAAGTATCCATGTGTAGCTAAAATCTTCGCAATGGTTGATGAGTTGGGAGCTCGACATGAAAACTTTTCGCAGCACATCGCCGAATGCACGCATCTCATAACCACGGAGTCGGAGGTGAATGCTAGATGTTTGTCATTCAAGGGTATGTGCCACTTTTCAGTATTGGTGTTCAGATACAGCGAGATTGACGGAGAAACATCTTGAATAGTGAAAATTGCTGCTCTGAAGAATTGCAAGATCGTCAACATCAATTGGCTTTTTAAATCTTTGACCCAGGGCTACCCGATCTCGGTTGCTGGGTTTGAGCTGCAAAGCAAAGAATTGGACAGGCTGAAAAGACAGGGACTTGAATCTTTGAAACGAATTTGGGAAGATGACAAGGAGGAAATCCCGTTAGCCAAGCTCACCAAAATCAAGCCAGCTGTCTATGGATTTTTTGCAGACCTGGTGGATGAGCAATTTCCGGGTCCTAAGAAAGGCCAGCATATTCTACATAGCGCCCCTTCTGTTTGATCAATGAACTAACTTAGATCCCTCAAGCAGGTCTCCTTGTCTGGAAATATCCCGAGAATGTGTACGATGCCACCATGGTCAAGGTTGTACCGAAGGAATCAAGTGCAAAGCCCGCAGATCAGACTCGCTCGGTAATCCTCCGCCGTCAACAACTTTTGCACGATTCCCACATGAATGAATATCATACCTGGAGCTATGAAAGAGTGGCTGGGGTTATTTCAGAGGCGAATCGTGCAGGATTGGGCGATCTTGAAAGTGCCAAGAGAGCATTTGAGAAGTTGTTCAATGATAGCACCGGGAATACTTGGGATGACCGGCACAAGAAGTCAAACCCATCCAAGTTCACTTTTGTTGAATGCCACTTCATGGATGAGGAGCTCAGTCTTCAGAGACCGAACCAAGATAAGGCAACATCCAAGGTGAATGAGGTGATTGACTTGATTACTGGGCAAATTGGTGGCAGCAAGAGTTTTGTGAAGAAGTTAGTGCCATTGAAGGGCACTCAACAGACTGAAGTCCCTGTCACGCCCAGTAAACACCAACTGCGGGTCTGTCTTGCAATCTTGAAGCAGCTGCTGGCTCATTCGGACTTCACGAAAGAGAAAGCCACGAGAGGAAAGACCGTGACTACTCTCATTGAGTGCTATCAAGCTTTGGTAACCTCTCCTGAGCTGAGCACCTCCGTTGATCTTGAATGGCTCAAGGATGAATATGACCATCTGTCGTACCAAAGAATCATCTCCTGGGCCCCTCAACAAGAGGTGAGCTGTCCTGGCTGGACTTCAACGCACCTTGCGCAGCATGCATATCGAGCCCTCGGTCTTCGCACCATGCGTCTAGGCGAGTCTTTACTTTCCGACTGCAATTGCTTCTCCTTGGGAGTCGTTCTGCTCTTCGCAAAACTAATCTGTGCAAACAGTGGATCCATCTACTATCGAGCACAAGCTGCTCTCGAATTATTTTCGTTTCTCAGCGGGGGGCTCGCCATACTATCCCGTTCCAGCAAGAGTAAGTTAAACATGTCATTAATGCTGAAAGTTTCTCAGATATCAAGTTCGTTCAGTATTAATAGGACCGACAGAGTTCTATTACCCTTATCAATATATTCCGCATCGAACGCCTACAGGAAGCCAAGCGATATCAAAAGTGGATCCAAAACCATGATGGTCGACGGCGACTCCTATGGCATGGCTCACCTAACAAAAGTTTTACGGGCATATTGAGTCAAGGCCTGCGTGGAAATATAGGCGAACCCGGAGTTTTTGCCGCTGAGCTTGCCGGTGTCTCTACTGCATATTCCCAGAAGAACTGGAACCAGCTCCGTGGCGGGGGAGAACGTTCCTGATGCTTCTCTGTGAAGTCAGCATCGAAAAGGCAGCTGATACTAGTAAGGCTAGATATCGCGATGCCAAGTGTATCCACCCTGATCTTGAAGGTGTTCAGATGCTTGATATTGCCATTGGCGAGATTCATAACTTTGATGCCCCTAAAATGGCCATACCGCCTGAGCACCGCATGCCTGTGGCGGATCAGGTACGGATGCGATACTTGTTCCAGTGGACCATTTGAAGTGTTAGCATTTGAAGTTTGCGGCCTCCGAGTATTGAATTAAAGAAAAATTGAATTTGATGTTGCAAGATTGTGGGTTTTTGTTTTGTTCATGTTGGAGTGATCGAAAAAAGTCTGATATGATTGTGTACCAGATTGTGTTCAGAAATGTGACATTTTTGAAAAATTATATACTAGAGTTCACTTAAAATGAAATGAAATTGATTTTCTTTAGCGTCATCTATCGTCGAGCCTGTTCTAGAGATATTCAAGTCCTACTTGATGAAGCGGTGTACTAACTGTGCTAATAAGCCGAGCTGAGTCTAATAGTAAGATCTCGGCAGATATTTAAAGTTGAACTGCAGGAAATGAAATTATAGTATATTCCCTTTTGAAGAAACTTGAAAGAATTGTTTTTTACTTATTGGCAAGAGTTAGAACAGGTCGTAATTTGAAACCAAGAGATCATGCTCAATGTTATCTCACTACTATGCCGGCTTCTTATCTGGTTACATCCGGACTCCGGTCATAGCTTCACTCCGGGTCTCCACCTGGGCACCTAGTATTGCCGAGATATGATTTATAAACCATCCACTTTCCCCAGGCTCTTGAACTCCGAAATCCACCCCACCTTTCCAAGGTTCAATCATGATCCTATCTACCAAATGGCTACTGGCCAGCTCCTTGGCGGGACTTGCAGCAGCCCAATACTTCCCACCTACTCCAGAGGGTCTGAAAGTCGTCAAATCCAAGCATGAAGAAGGGGTCAAAATATCATACAAAGAGGTAGATTGGGTCTTCTTGTATCAGTAGAAGTAAGTGGTTCATATACTGATCTTTCACAGCCAGGAATCTGTGAAACAACTCCAGGGGTCAAATCTTACTCCGGCTACGTTCATTTACCTCCCGGCACGCTGGAAGATGTACAAGTTGATCAGCCATACCCTATCAACACTTTCTTCTGGTTCTTCGAGGCTCGCCATAATCCCAAAAATGCGCCGCTGTCCATTTGGATGAATGGAGGTCCTGGTAGCTCATCCCTGATCGGTCTCCTGCAGGAGAATGGTCCCTGTATCGTCAAGGCTGATTCTAATTCGACCGAACTCAACCCCTGGTCCTGGAACAACTATGTCAACATGCTGTACATCGATCAGCCCAATCAGGTTGGCTTCAGCTATGACACTCCCACAAATGGTACTTTCGACCAAATCAAATCGGGCTGGAATGTATCGGAATGGACACATGGCGTTCCGACGCAGAACAATACTTTTTACGTCGGCACAACGACAAGTCAAAATAAGAGCTCATCAGCAAACAGCACAGAGAATGCGGCTCGATCACTCTGGCACTTTGCTCAGACTTGGTTCTCCGAGTTTCCAGAGTACAAGCCACATGACGATCGTGTTAGCATCTGGACAGAGTCATACGGCGGGCGTTATGGTCCAGCTTTTACTGCGTTCTTCCAGGAGCAAAACGAGAAGATCCAGAACGGTACTCTCTCGGCAGCTGCAGAATCGCATTACATCCACTTGGATACATTGGGGATTATCAACGGGTGCATCGATCTTTTGATCCAAGAGCCGACCTATCCGATGATGGCGTATAATAACACCTATGGGTTAGAAGCCATCAACAAAACGCTGTACGACCAGGCCATGCATGCATGGAGCCGCCCCGGCGGATGTAAGGACCTTATGGTTCAATGCCGTGCCCTTGCAGCAGAAGGCGACCCACAGATGCACGGCAATAACGAGACGGTCAACAAGGCATGCTCCGAAGCAGGTTCTTTCTGCAGCAGAAATGTGGAGGGAGTCTATCCTAATTTCGCTGGCCGAGGATACTATGATATTACTCACAAAGATCCCGATCCATTCCCACCTCCATTTTATTTGGGATTCCTGAGTCAAAATTGGGTCCAGGGTGCCCTGGGGGTCCCCATCAACTTCACTGAATCGATTGACAGTGTATACAAGGGATTTTCGTCTACAGGTGACTACCCCCGCGCTGATACTCATGGTTATCTCAATGATATCGCCTACGTTCTAGACTCTGGGATCAAAGTCGCGCTTGTCTACGGTGACCGGGACTATGCCTGTAATTGGATCGGTGGTGAAGATGTGAGCCTGGATATTGAATACTCCAAGTCTTCTTCGTTCCGTGCAGCTGGATATTCACCTCTTCGTACCAACTCGTCGTATATCGGAGGTCAAGTTCGTCAACATGGCAACTTCTCCTTTACCCGAGTATATCAGGCTGGTCATGAAGTGCCAGCCTATCAGCCACAAACAGCCTATGAAATCTTCTACCGTTCTTTGTTCAACCGAGATCTAGCAACCGGCAAGATCGATACTGCTCGCAATGAGTCCTACTCGACAACTGGCCCTCAATCGACTTGGCATATTAAGAATAAAGTGCCTGAGGACCCTGATCCAGTGTGTTACATTCTCTCACTAGAGTCTACCTGCACCGAAGACCAAATCGCCAGCGTGCTTAATAACACAGCAGTGATTCATGACTACATTGTTATAGATGGAGCTACTAAGAAGGTTTAAGATATCCGAATTTTTCAAAGAATACCTTAGCCCTACCACTATATAGTACTTCAGCACCAATTTATTCAAGTTCTATTCAAGTTTCAAGTTGTGAAAGACCCTGCAGGAGGATCTGACGTCATTACTCACTTGATAGAGATGTGACATTTTATAGTGATCTCTCATGTATGAGACTTTGGCTTTAATTCCAACATAACTCATGATCATCATACCATATTGTAACCCAAACACAAACGCATTTCTAATTAGAAGCCATGTCAACTCAAGTGCTGTAGGGAGCACACTATGACACTAGATAATGTGGGGCGGCACTGGGGCCGAGCCGCTGATGAAGCTATCACCGATTCACCATCCTGGGGCAGGTTTGACAGTCCCAGGTCAATTAGACAAAGAACCTGGCAGGAGTATAATTTGAAAGAATGCAAGTTATTTTTGAATGTTCAAAGGATTCACTGAACCAAATCCATGTATAAAGATCATGACCTTAAAGCATAGAAAGTTCTCGAAGCTTCGATCCCACTAGGCGTCACACGTCACTTCCTTATACAGTCATACTCCAACCGAGTTGTAACAGTCCCGGTTTCTCATATCTCCTGATCCTCGCCTAATTACATCCAGTCATCCTTGTTTCCTACCTTACGCGCGGATCGCGTCGTCTCTCCTTTTTATCTCTCCTTTCTGTGAATTCCTCCTTGTCACGCGTAGACCGCCTCGTTATTCCCCGAACCTTCTACGTCATTCGAGAACACCCCTCTCTCTTCCTACTCCGACACAAACAGTGTTTCTTAAAGAAACAAAACGCCAGCTGGCGCTCCGGTTTACAACCTGTTAACTCAACCTCAAACTCAATTCCACCATGGTTGCAGAGACCAAGCTCTATGATGCCTTGAGCACCAGCCCAAATTCTACTCAAGATGAAATCAAGAAGGCATATCGAAAGGCCGCTCTGAAGTATCATCCTGACAAAAACAAAGACAATCCTCAGGCCTCGGAAAAGTTCAAAGGTTAGTGTGTGGCTCTATCAGAATATCAGTCTATTCCCCGCTTTCCGACCGTGAAAACTAACATTCAATTCACAGAGGTTTCGCAGGCATATGAAGTCCTTTCCGACCCCGAAAAACGCAAGATCTACGATCAGTATGGCCTTGAATATCTTCTCCGTGGAGGCCCGCCACCATCGACCGGTGGAGGAGGCAGTGGTACAAGCGGGGGTATGCCCGGCGGCTTCGACTTTGGTGGCATGCCAAGCAGCGGCGGAGCACGAACATTCCACTTCTCCAGTGGCCCAAGTGGCGGCAGCGGTTTCAGATTCAGTAATGCGGACGATATTTTCCGAGAATTTGCAAAGGGTGCGGGCGGCGGTGGTAGCGGTGGTGGAATGCGCGATTTTGATGATGATATCTTCTCCATGCTTGGTGGCATGCCCGGAGGTATGCCTGGAGCATTCGGACGAGGCCGACCCAGCCGAGGACCAACTTCATCGCAAAAGCCACGCCGTGCCCCGACACCAGAACCGACCGTTGTTGAAAAGGATCTTCCTCTGACGCTGGAAGAGATCTTCAAGGGCACAACCAAGAAGATTAAGACTAAGAGCAAGACTTTCGATCTTCATGGCAAACGCTCTGTTGAAGAAGTGACCCTGGAAGCGACGATCAAGCCTGGTTTGCGAGCTGGATCTAAGATCAAGTACAAGAATGTTGGAGATCAAGAAGAAGGTGGTCGCCAGGATGTGCACCTGATCGTGAAAGAGGTATGTACCGACGCTCCGTTCTGTCAGTCATGAATGAACACCCGCTAACTGGAACTATAGCAAGCGCACCCTGATTTCAAGCGTGTCGGCGATGATCTTGTAACCAATATTGATCTCACACTGAAGGAGGCCTTGACTGGATGGGAACGCATTGTTCGGACAATTGACGGCAGATCGATCCGTGTCTCTAAGTCCGTTCCAACGCAGCCTGGACACGAAGAACGCTTTCCCAGCTTGGGTATGGTTCTCTCCAAGAAACCCAGTGATCGCGGTGACCTGGTCGTCAAGATCAATGTCAAGTTTCCGACTAGTCTGACACCCGACCAGAAAGCGGCTCTCGCTCAGATTCTTTGAGCAGTCTTTAAATATCTATGAACCTATCTAGCATAATTCGGCGTTAGTGTGAGCGGTACTATTTTATCCATGGGTGGCCTTAATGACAGCAATGACAGAAATGAAATGTGATTATTATTCTTGAATTTATATTTGATTCAAAAAATAAAGACCTTGTACTTTTAAGGATGGAAGTTATTTGCAGCATGAATGTTGACTCTGTGTAGTATGGATGTGTCAGTGTAGATAGTAGATATGGCCCTAAGCCTAAACAGGGAATGCGAATGCGGAGAAGCTCCAAGCTCCGTCACTGCAGTTGTCCTCCCGCTTTATTTACACCCTTTACACCCACCTTGCCCCTTTACAAAGTCACCATGAAACGACGCATTACCTATATTCAGCACCCTGATGCGCCCTTTGATGCCCAACAAGCTGCTTTAACCTCGAACTCTCTCACAATCCACAATCTTGAGGCCGCCCGTGAGGATCGCCTTAGCTTTGATCTCGACGACCTCCCCAATGAGGTAGGAGCTCGATAGTGATTGCAGATACATAGATTGATAGCTGACGCTAACAATACAATAGCTTCGGAATGTTCTCCAACAATCACAAGATCTTCGTCTGCGCTGGGCTACCGAACGACCATTCGATGCTATCGAGCCCTTTGCTAGCAGGGTTTCGCCCGGCTTGCATGTCCAATATACCCCTCTAGATCCGACCCAATCATCGTGAGTCTATCCCTGAACTGGATTATATTTCTTTTTCAAGGTTGCCTAGCATGAGCTGACCGAGCTGCCTGGCAGGGAGGCATTATGCTCTTTACTCCGCACGGCATTTGAGGCGGACGAGAGTGGGCTTAATGGGGTGAATTGCACAACCCCTGAAGTATGTACCCCTCTTCTAGCTTTCCTGTCGCTATATAATACCCTATCTACATGTCAAGTCGTTGTGCCCTATCTAATACAGCAAATTTTCACAGGAGACCTTTATCACACCCCCACCACAGGCCGCCCACGCTGGTGCAGCAGCATCTCTCCAATACCATACCGAGCTACCCTCTTTGAAATCCTTCGTCGACTATATTGAGCAAGTTTTCTGCGATTGGCTTAAAGATAGGAGTAATGAATGCTCCGGCACTGCCAAATCGCTCCTCGCCGCAGATACAGTTGACCTCGACTATGATAGCAGCTCAAACACTCTAGTCTTGTCAGGGCTTTGGAGCACCGCACCCGAGGGTGGGTGGTCACAGGAGATAAAAACCCCTTCATCCAAAAGCGATAAAGTCGAGTTTGGCTTGCTCGGTGCGGACAGAGGAATCAGTGCCGATGAAATCAAGATTGGCGGATTATTAGCTGTCGTGGGAGAAGATAAGAAACTAAGTATGACCCTAAAAGTTTCGATACTATCATTGTGCAGCGAAGCTAATTAGCTACAGAGCCTACTATGTTCTCATTCCCATCAAGGCACCACGCTCTTCCCCAGTCCGCCAAATATTCGGTCTCATTTGCACAGCCCACTGGCCTTCATCCAACAATGTCTATAACCATCCCCCATTCTTCTCTCCACAGACCATCGGCGCCGGATGATACCACCTGCTCTCTACACACTTATCTGATCCTCCCATCATCGGTGTTTGGAGACCAGTATCAGCTTGGGACAACTGACGCCATATTCTTACAGTCTCACAACTTAGCAGGCCTCCGCGCTCATTCGGGTGAAACAGACCTCGAGGCACCAGACTGGGCTGTGAATCGCTGGGGATCAACATGGCTGTTCGAATTAGCTACACCTGCCGAAAATGAATTCACAACTGAACGATCCGACTGGACCGCTACTGTCCCTCTTCATCTGCGATACCTTAAACCTTCGGAGTCAGGATACCGTCCTGCGCATGTCCCGTGGCCAGTCGTTTTTTGGGCATGCAGTGCTGAAGATCGTGAAGTTGGCATGGGAATGAATCCCTTTGATCGCACGAATCTCGGATATGATAAACTCTTCGGGCCTCGTACGTTCTTTTATCAACTGCATCCCGAGACGGATCGCTTAGTCGAGACGGTGGATATTCCGGTATTTCATTTGAAAGAAGGCGAAGGATATTTTCAGACCCGCAATATTGAGCTGGGAACAACTATTGTTATCTCACTTGGCTTCTTTTGGATTCTCTGGCGACTTTTGCGAGTGGCTTGGTCGTCTGGTGTAGGAGTAAATACCACCCACAAGACCGATGCACGCCACAAGAAGGAATGAAAGAAGCCTTATATCTATTCCAGCCTTTCATTCGGGCTCCTCTGTTGTTTGCATTTCTGACGCATCCAGGACATTCCATCAAGCATTGATGTGGGCGTTCATGACTTATGTTTTCTATTATTACCCTTGCTTTTCTCAATAGACCCACAACTCATATCATACGATTCAACATGTTCATACAAATTACTCCATTTTCAAAGTAAAGTACATATATTAAACTTCCAAGGTTCTCTCGGAAGCGAATTAAAAAATTCCATTAAATCCCCATCTCAGGCAACGGCCATGGCACATCCGTCATAAGAAACTGATCAATATCAAAGTTCTGTAAACTCGGTATATCAATCACCAGATCCCCCAACCAAGAAAACTCCTCATCTACCGGCATCGACTCCTGCTGCACCTGCAAATCACGACCCTGACTCTTCCTCTGAAACTGAGCCTGAGGCAAAGCAGTATCCTCCCTCTTTGACACATCCCCCTCAACCACTGGCAGCTGTTGCTGTTGCTGTTGCTGCTGCTGCTGGTTATGTTGTTGTGCAGCCGCAGCATTAGCCCTCAAAACATCCGCTAAAGCCCTCGTATCATCCTCTTTTCTGCGTTGATGTAACGCAACAAGTAGATAAGCCGTCGAATACGCCTCCCGCATAATAACCGTATCATAAACACCCAACACCTCTCTTAAGGTCTCCATAGCCTCAGGTAAAAGTGTCAATGCCTGTCGACTATCAATTGCTAGTAGAGTGCAAACAACTTGAAATGGTACATTAGCAACTTGGTGCCATGGACAAGTCGCAGCTGCCATGCTTCGCGCTGCGCGGAGACCTCGTCCTGCTAGACCTAGTACACGGTCTAGATGAGCTGGAGCCAAAGCGTGAGCGTTTAAAGCGCGGATGCGTCGGTAGATGCATAATGCCAGATTGCTTTGGACTAGAATTAGGGAGGGTTCGGTGTAGTGTAGGTCTAGCACGCAGGTCAGGGATGATTCGAGGTCTTGGAGGGATTGGTGGGATGATGTTGTTGGGTCGAGACTTTCAGAGAGGGGGAGGAGGTGAAATAGGGAAGCGCGAGTGGTTTCTTGATTGGAGGTTGTGTGAGTATTGGTGACAGGAATTGTTGTTGTGCTTGGGAATGTCGATGTGGGTGTTTGTGTCGTTGTGCCAGGTAGAACCACCCGTGAACGACATAGATCGAATGAAATCCAGGTGTTTAAGTGGCGAGCCATGCCGAAAAGACGTTGGCGAGTATCTGGACTGTAGGATGTTTCAATGCTGGTTCTGGCGTTCTGCTGAGGGTTGTTTGGTTGTGGTGATGAGCCCCGGAGAGGATGTGACGTTTCAGAGCTAGGTGGCTCTAGGTGTAAGCCTGCAGCCTCGATAAGATGCATCAAGGTACAGCTGGCCATCCAGGCGGCGTGTGGTGAAGCAGTCATGCGTAAATAAGCAGTGCGGAGAACCCATCCTGTTATGGCATCGATCGAAGGGGCTTCCGATCCCAGTAAGCTTTTTTGTAGAATTTTATGAGCTGCAAGGATGGACATATGCTCTACATATATGATCTTTTGGCGGGAGAACAGGTACCCAACTGCTGCGATGCCATAAAAAATAGCATCATCGGGTTTTTCTGATCCAAATATATCAGATCGCGCCCAGCGTTCACCAATGCGGGAGAATATATTCTCACGATCTAGAAATGGGTAGCAAGGATCGACTTTTTTGAAATAGATAGTTGCCAATTCATGCATTTCTCCATGTGAAAGTAGCATCGTGATGGACGCCGGCATGGGAGTCGAGTCTGTTGGCATATCCAATGAATCCGATACGACCCGGTCGCCGACATTCCAGGCAAAAAGATGTAATCTCGGTGCGCGAGCAGGATCAATTCGTAGTCCAAGCTTGCGGACAAAGGCAGCGCCAGAATTTGCTTCGAGAGAGTGACTCACTCCTCGTGAATCATCCGCGCGATTGAATGCATTTGGAGAGATTGAGTTGGCAACGTTTCCACTCGGGGGCACAGAGTCAGACAATCTATCTGGGAGCCTTTGCGGCTCAACTAGTGAGGGCAGGCTCGCCCCGTATGCGCTACTGGGCCTGACGCGCCTTTTGCGTGGGGCCGTGTTGTAGTGACAATCCGCGCCTATTTGGGCGCATGTTGCACATGGCCGATCGCCTGAGCATTTGCGCTTGCGAGATTGGCAAGATAAACATGCAGCGCGAGAGCGTTTCCGAGACGTGGCGTCGCTCATTGTAGATGTGTGGAGGTGTATGGGAAGCATTGCGGAGGCAGATGGATGGGTTCAAGTTGATTGGACCGCGGCACGGAAAATGCCAAGGTCAACATCGTGATGTACCCTGAATAGGGTAACTTGAAATATATATGCCAGTCTGTAGTACTAGGTATATGATAGTATTTGAATAATGGAAGTCCTCAGGCCTGAAGGAAAAGAAAAAAAGGAAATAGAAAGGGCCGCGTCCCCGCCCCAGACCTGTACTAGATTCTTCAATATGGGAGAAGCTTCAATCTCGAACTTGAAAAGTACAGAAAATGATAAAAACTCAAATAAAATAGACAAAATATATAGTCGGCATCAAAAGAATGGTAGGGAGTTAAGCTATCGATTGATGTAGTTTTTATGTGAGCTTCAAGAAGAAAAAGTGATGAAAAATGGACATCCTCAGTGCCATCCATTCACATATTGCTATGTCCTGCGGAGTAGTACTAGTGAGACACCCCTCAATTAAGAGCTCTCAAATGCGTTGTGACTTAACAAAATAGCGAGAGGCGGATGCCACTAGCACTTGGAGACCTCATCAGTCTACGTTGCTGAGGGAGAAAAGGACCGAGACCAGGATTTCCAGGCAGTCTTCACCAGTTCACTTCTCCGAGTCTGGGAGAGATCCAAGTAGATAGAGTACATACCAATGCCCACTATTAACTCCTATTTCTCATGGTCCACCATGCGGTAGCAGTCACTTTATCTTGTAGCTATCCTAGCCATTGATCAATCCATAATAGAAGTCCTGATATTGATCATTCAAGCTCTACTGCACGTGGCTAGTAGTACGCGCCATATCACGACATACGAGGTAGTACTGTGACACAGGCATATGCTAAATTTTGTTTTGAGTGATTTATACCAAAACTTGAAGCGAAAAGTCCAAAGTTCAAGTTTAACCCCCCCATGTGTGTACTGATATGCCAGTGGGCATGTGTGAAAGGTTTCATCAGAAGAAACCAGTTTTATTGTACTCATGTCTCTCCGATGTCCGAGTCCGCACTATCAGTACCAAGTGACCTCTGCCAACGCATGTCTTCTCACCGACTTCAAGTGAGTGGTCCATCGTATCAATTCCTCAAACTTGGAAGGATTTCAGAGGATTTCAAACCGCGAAACTCCGTAGATCAGCGACTCCAGAATTAAGGCATTATGCATGATCGGACCGCTTGCACCCTAAGCATATGGACCTTGCAGAATCGGCACATTCTTACTGGACCATCAAGTTGTAAATTTTTCTCGCTTTGTCTGCAGCTGAATCTGAATCTGCAGTTGAATTGTCTTGGTGGCTGAGAGGTGGAGTCCGATTGAGTTACGGTTGGGTAATCAATTGATAGAGGACGATCATGACGGTGAGTCGATTTCGACTCACTTCCATCTGAGGCAGGGATTGACCCTTTGTTTCAAAGAGTTTGGTAATTATGAGCTTGAGCCTGAGTACTGGTACCTCCAGGTAGAATTCGATGTTCTAGACCTACTATATTAATCCTACCTGATAATAATCTATCTCATCTGTATACATGTCAAATGCATTAGATGCGATTTGCTGTATAATTAGCGGTGTGTATATTGTGTATCTGTTACGAAGTAAGAGTGAGAATTCATCGTGGATCCCTCATAGATAAGGGTAAAAATGAACCAGTTAAATACGATTTTACCATACTCTGTATCCGATGTCGGCATAATTGGCCACCGCTTACTATACCGAGTCGGTGTGGCACGTGCCCTTTGAGTCAACCGAAAAACCTCTTTCGTCCGCTTTCTTCCCTTTCCTCTCTTTCCCCAGTTTCCATTTCTATCCACTTTTATATCTTGAACGCCTCATGTCTTGCTAAGGAATTTTATTTCCCCCTTTTCATCTGACTGCTAGAATCTCAGTCGCGCTTATGTGTTTGGCACCATCAACTTTTACCTCCCAGGACTACATCTCGGGTATGTTCCATCTTCAATTTTTCGATCCTCCTCCCTGACTCTTGACTCCTCACTCCTCGAATCTTTCTTGATTTACTAACCTTTCTGCCCTTTCAGACCACCTTTGGAAGGCCTCCATCAACTGAATTGACCCGCCCGTTTCATCTTCAGTATCTTTCTCGTATCATATCTCTCAAAAATGTTCATGAACATCTTCAAGGCCATGCCCACCCGGGCTCAGGCCTTCACTAGCATGAAGACTCCTGCTCAGGCTCGCTTCATGGCTACCGTCCGTCAGCGTGCTGCTCTCGAGCCTGCGACCTTCACTATCCGTGACGGTCCCATGTTCACCGGCAAGTCTTTCGGTGCTCGCTCCAACATCTCCGGCGAGGCCGTTTTCACCACTTCTCTGGTTGGGTATCCCGAGTCCCTGACCGATCCCTCTTACCGCGGTCAGATCTTGGTTTTCACCCAGCCTTTGATTGGTAACTACGGTGTCCCCTCCGCTGAGAAGGACAGCAATGGCCTTCTGAAGTACTTCGAGTCCCCCAACCTGCAGGCCGCCGGTGTCGTCGTCGCCGACGTCGCTGAGCAGTACAGCCACTGGACTGCTGTTGAGAGTCTGGGAGAGTGGTGTGCTCGTGAGGGTGTTCCCGCCATCTCCGGCGTTGACACTCGTGCCATTGTGACCTACCTGCGTGAGCAGGGTTCTTCCCTGGCCCGTATCACTGTTGGTGAGGAGTACGATGCCAACGAGGACGAGGCTTTCACCGACCCCGAGCAGATCCACTTGGTCCGCCAGGTCAGCACCAAGCAGCCCTTCCACATCAGCGCTGCTGACCCCACCTCTCACGTCGCTGTCATTGACTGTGGTGTGAAGGAGAACATCCTGCGCAGCCTGGTTGGCCGTGGTTCCAGTGTCACTGTCTTCCCCTTCGACTTCCCCATTCACAAGGTGGCCCACCACTTCGATGGTGTCTTCATTTCCAACGGCCCTGGTGACCCTACTCACTGCCAGGACACTGTTCACCACCTGAAGCGTCTGATGGAGACCTCCCAGGTTCCCATCTTCGGTATCTGTCTAGGTCACCAGCTGTTGGCTCTCGCTGCTGGAGCGCGCACTATTAAGCTCAAGTACGGAAACCGTGCCCACAACATCCCTGCTCTGGACCTGAGCACTGGCCGCTGCCACATCACCAGCCAGAACCACGGTTACGCTGTCGATGCCTCCACTCTGTCCCCCGAGTGGAAGCCCTACTTCGTCAACTTGAACGACCAGAGCAACGAGGGTATGATCCACAAGTCTCGCCCCATCTTCAGCACCCAGTTCCACCCCGAGGCCAAGGGCGGTCCTCTCGACTCCTCCTACCTGTTCGACATCTACCTCGACAGCGTCCTGAAGTACAAGAACAGCCAGGCTGGTCTGTACCCTCAGCGTGACAGCCGCCCCAGCCCCTTGCTGGTTGACCTTCTAGCTAAGGAGCGTGTGGGTGTTCAGCCTACCATTGGCATGCAGAACATTGCTGCCGCCGCCGCCGCCGCTGCTGCCTAAATGTTCTCATGCTAGGGTTGGGGTTGGAGTCTGGTATTTTGCATATTTTCATATTTTTGGTCGGTAAACATCGGGATCTATATCAATCTTCGTCGTTGTTGTGCATAGTTCATTATATATTCTGAATATCACTTTTTTTGAAAAGTGTAAGTTAAGGCTTGTCTTCATTTTTTATCGCTTCGTATCAATAGTATGCTTGAAATCTACTTAGCCACGATGGAAATCACATCCTCATCTGCCACCGCATGCCCCAATCCCACACGCTGAGGCACATGCCTGGCACTGGCACCCCATACCATGGCATATTTGAACGTATCCTTGAGTGTGCGGTGGATCTGGTCGCATGCATCCTCAATTGTCGAATCCCGACGCACGATAAGCGCCTCGCTGAAATCAGGCTCCTCTCCTTTTCTGTAAATCATCCATGTTGTTAGCCGAGTGCCTTGCCCTACAGCTGAGACCAATTCATACCGTTTCGTGTAAAGACGCATTAATCGCAATTCCTTCCAGATGCGCTCTACAACCTCCTGCACACCCAAGTCCAGCTCACAACTCATGACGGCCGTGTAAGGTTCACGGGCCAACTGGTCCAAGAACTCCAGACTAACGCTATCGATCTTGTTGTAGACATACAAGCTGTTCCAAATGTTAGCGGGGACTGGATCATGCTTAACCTTTGTTCTCAATTCTTCCGACTTACCAGCGAATGTACTTGCGGTGGTCTTTCATAATGACATCAATGAAGTCGTCAATCGTAGCTATCATCGCAAATTAGCCCTTTCATTGCTTGATTGAGATGTGGAAAAAGCCAAGGTATCGTACCATATTCATCTCGAACCAGTACCTCGCAGTTGAGCATCTTATAGTCACGCAGGACGTTGTAGATCATCTTCTCATCCAGGTACTTTGGTGGTGTCTGGAAAGTGATCTTCATACCACCAGCCTTCTTGGCCTTGAGGTAGATATTGCTGTATAATCATCATTAGTCCCAGTCATTCTCTATCTTGCCGGAAGTAGGTTATACATACGGAGGCTCCTTATTCAACCGAATACCAACAGCATCCAGTTCGGCCTCTAGCAAAGCTCGCTGCTCAGCCTTCTTAGTGGCATCCAGAACCATAAGAATCAAATCACTGGTCTTGGCTGCCGAGATGACCTGGCGACCACGACCCTTGCCCTCAGAGGCTCCTTCAATGATACCGGGCAAATCCAGAATTTGGATTTCAGCACCTCCATACTCCAAGACACCGGGAATGGCAGTGAGGGTTGTGAATGAGTACGCCGCAGCCTCACTCTTAGTCTTGGTGATCTTTGACAGGAAAGTAGACTTTCCGACTGAAGGAAATCCAACCAAGGCAACACGAGCATCACCACTCTTACTGACGTCGAATCCGGCACCACCACCAGATCCAGCACCGCCAACTGGTTCAAGCAACTGGGCTCGTAAACGAGCAAGCTTTCTGTAGTCAAGTTAGTGGAAAAGCACATTTTATATAGTGAAGAGACGATCATCAGTTGCGGGTAACATACCCTTTCAATAGACCCAAATGATATTCTGAATTTCAGAAATCAGATTTAAGCCCCTCTTCATGCATTTAATCCTGTGATAAGTGATCTTACCTGTTGCCTTGTTCTCTGTAGAGGGGCCGATATTAGCAAAGTGGCGGCGGGACTTGCAGATCGGAATTTTTCACATACTCTGAGTCCTCTTCATCTCATCCTCAATCTCCTTGATCTTTTCTGTAATGTTAACCATGATGCCGGTTTGTTCAGGATTTTTGCCTGCACAATAATCTCCTGTATCATCAATCTCCGTGCCAAAGTTGAATCTCGCGAAATCCACATGTGCCCTCTTTGCCAAGTCGCTGACTCATCACCTGACTCCACCGGTATTCCCAAGCTTCGAGATTCTTTGGCTTCAACGTCGCTGAAAACCACCTTACTTCTAACGGTTTAGGCCTTCCACGATAAGAATACACCGGTGACGACTTTGCGCGTTGACAACTATCACCGGCCTCTCGCTTCCCGTCAATTCGTCGCATACTACGTACGATTCTCGTCATTTAAACGCCGCGTCTCGAATTTGACCGTTCATCTTCATTCACATCAAACAAGCTATGGCGGACTCCCCTGTGGAAGAATCGGCGCTCCAGGTGGCTGAGGTTGCGACCGAGGGAACAGAGCAACAGACTCAGCTTGAACCAGTCAAGAAGACCAAGAAGATTATTCGGAAGAAGAAGCGTCCCGCTCGAGTTCAGGTTGATCGCGGTTCTATTTCAACTGAACCTCCTGCCCAGACCGGTGACTTGTTCAACATTTGGTATAGCAAATGGTAAGCATTTACCCGTCGGTGCATCGCTGCCTCTCGCGCTTCCTTCTTCCAGGCATGCGCTGCCCGGTAGCGTACTATTTTGTTGTTGCGCCATCGCGATTGCGCTTGGTCTTTAAATGTCTGCAAGCTCCAACAGATGCTAACGTGTGTCTTGTTGAATAATAGGTCAGGAGGCGACCGTGACGATCGCCATGGATTGAATACCGCTGCGAAGACGAGATGCGACCCCGTTAAGGACAGCGGCTTTACGAAGGCGGATAATGTCACTGGTTCTTACTTCTGTGTACGTTGTGGTATATGCTGGGGTGTGTATTGTGTGAAACTATTACTGAACACGATTTCTATCAGCTCTATTTCGCGAAAGGAACCTGCTGGCGAGGCGCTGATTGCGAATATCTCCACCGAATCCCTACCCTCCATGACCTTTTCCCCGTCAATGTTGATTGTTTCGGTACGCATTATCTTCCCAGGCAATCTTGTTGAAATACTAATATGGAACCCAAATCTAGGCAGAGACAAGCATTCCGATTATAGAGATGTGAGTTATTATCTTTTCAGATTATGTGATGTTCAGAACTAACAAATCTATAGGACATGTCTGGCATAGGAAGCTGTATGTCATATTCGATTCATTTCCCATATCACCAACTAACCTCCCTCTAGTTGCTCGCCAGAACAGGACAATTTACGTGGGCCGGATCCACGTCGATGTCAGTAACATTACCTCCTACTTCAGGAAGCCGATAACTGACAAAGTCTACAGGACTCGATAGAAGAAACTGTGGCTCGCCACTTTTGCCAGTGGGGTGTCATTGCCCGCACAAGAGTCTTAACGGGGCGCGGTGTCGCTTTCGTCACTTGTGAGTTACCTTGCAAAATAAGAAGCCCAGCGGATGAACAAATTATGCTAACTATTCACTAGATCAAAACGAGGCCAACGCGCAGTTTGTAAGCAGGATTCAAACGACTTACAGGAAAACAACTCAACTAACTTTATATCCAGGCCAAGGAAGCAATGAGTAACCAGGCCCTCGATCACGAGGAAATTGTGAGTTATTCTTCTTCATTACGATCAAGGACATGATGATATTAACATAAAATTACAGCTTAATGTCAGATGGGCAACCGTCGACCCCAACCCGTTAGCACAGAAGCGTGAGGCTCGCCAATTGGAAGAACAGGCCGCCGAAGCCGTCCGTCGCGCTCTCCCCGCCGCATTCGTTGCAGAGATCGAGGGCAAAGACCCCGAAGCGAAGAAGCGCAAGAAGATCGAGGGTAGTTTCGGCTTGGATGGTTACGATGTTCCAGATGATGTATGGCATTCTCGCACACGACAGCTGGAATCAGCACCACAAATGCAACAGCTAGAGGCGCCAGAGCAATCTCACATGATTGAGCCCGTTCATGCGGAACCCGCACCGGAACTTGAGGTCCAGAGTGGGATTTTCTCCAGCTCGACTGTTGCTGCTTTGCGTGGACTTGCTGGTGGTAATGTGATCACTCAGTCTGTAGCTAAGCCCTCTGGTGGGCCGTTGGTTGCCTACGGGAGCGACGATGAAAGCGATTAGGAATACTCGCTTTGGCTTTCCCTACGCCAGTGAAGGCAATACAAAAATTGCGGATTAGATTGTCTTTATCTATCATGTACTATAGCGATACCTTTTTGAAAATTTGGAAATTAGAAGGAAAAGATCATTGTTACCATCTCATGCGTGGTCCTCGTTAAGATTGGCGTTATTCATAAGGGTATAGTACCCAGCTCTCGCTTAACCATGAAAATGAGAGGAGATAATGCTATGTTAAAGATAAAACTCCACAGTGAAAATCAAGAAATGCATCTAGAATGATGCCCACGCCTGTCTGATGCAACCTTAAAATATGCTGATAAAATGCCTCCATTCCGCGGACAAAGCCGCAAAAGAAAAAAAAACCACTATTATTCCCACTCAAATTCTGCAGTATTCTGTCTCTGTCATAATCATATGTCGTTAAGACCGACCAAGATCGTAGTAGACGCAAGATCCAGTCCGGTAGTTGTAGATAAAGGCATTGGTGTAGCCCTCGGAAGGCTCATTCTCCGTATGAGCTTCAGCAGCTAAATCGCGAAGCAACTCATGAACCTGACCCAGATACTTACGCTCCGTCAAGGGCGCATTCTGAATAACTGAGCGCCAACTCTCAGGATCCGAAAGTCTGGTACCACGGATGGCATCAAGAACATCATCACGAGTATCGATAGCAGCAACGGGGCCATTTCGCGCATTCTCAACAATCTCACGGGATCGAAGTAAAGCAGACTCAATGATATTTCTGCGGTTTGTCTTCTTGCTCCGGTGCTGCGGGACCAGAATACGCACGTCGTTCGCTTTCTCGTTGGATTGGAGTGCGTCCTGTGGACCTGGTTGTCGAGATTGGCGGATCTCCACTGTTCCCTCCCGATGATGACGAGCTTGGACTTCAGCTCGAAGCCATGGAACTAGATCTGCACTGCGGATATCGATTTCTTCGCGACGAACGAGATTACGCACTTTGAATCCTCGTTCTTTGCTGTCGTGTTTTGCGATAACGATCCAGCGGTGGTTATGTTCTTTGTACTTCGCAAGAAGTTCTTCAAGAGATGAAGCGTCGACGGCGAGTTCAGCACTGATATCATTTGACCAGAGGTCTTCGATGATCTTGACACCTGTGGTACGAAGCACCGTTGCATCAAAGCTGGCGACAAGGACATCACACTAGATTTTGGTTAACATGTCATACACCTTGGTTTACTTCGGGCACAAAACTACTTACGCGGCTAGTTGTCCAATAGAGCTCCGCGCCCGTCTCTGGTTCCTTTGACTGAGCCTTGGTTTTAAGGTACTCTTTCATGGATGATCCAAGTCGGTCGGAGCTCAGATTGAAGCCGACGGCGTGTGCCTGCGGTCTGCTTGATAGGACCTTGGGCGAGAACTCTTGGATCAATCGGTCATATCGACCACCGGCAGCGAAGACATCACGACGTTTTCTATCAAAGACGCATTGGAACAGAATGCTACCGCGGTAGAACTTGTCATGCAAACTGCTTAGTGGGTTGATGTAAACCTTGCGTTTGACTCCGAAGCATTGGAGATAGGTCATGAGTACGTTCAGACGGGCCATAATGGCGGGCACTCGCTCAGCATACTCTGTGCCTTCCATGATGGTTTGCAATCTGCGCTGCGTTTCTTTCGGAGTGTCTCTGAAATCGAAACGAGCGAGATCATCCAACGATGTTGAGGCGACACCAATTGCAGGAGATCGAAGCTCACTTCGAATCTTTTGCATCGTGAATTTCCCAACATTCAGCTTGCTGACGACCTCCTTCACGAGGGGAATCTGGGAAGGAGTAATGCGACAGAATTCCATGATAAGCTGCAGAAGGTCAGAGTGGTTGACCAGGAAACACATCGAGGTAGATCGCAGAGGCGGAAATTCTTCAATGATTTCATCCAGTACTTTGATCACTTCTGCTTCCTTAAGGGCTAGATCCAAAGTGTTGTAGGAGACGATGTCGAAGTCAACTTCACTATGAGTCCGGGGCTCACCACCATGAGAAGAATCTCTGTAGACGGTACCGAACGCAAAAGTTTTCTCCAGCGAAGGATCCTGTCGTGGAATTGCCCGGGCGTTTGGCACTGTGAGATCGAAGGGTAGTTGCAGGAGGTTACCCGAGACGTCTAATAAGCGTACAGATCCGTTGGCATAGTGATGAGAACGTGGGATTAGCATCTGTCTTTCTGATTCCACAGCCCCATGTCGTCGGAAAATAGACGTGAGCTTCTTCTTAACGAGACCTTGCAAAAGAAGCTCGTTCGCTGCGGGCGAACCACGGGAATCCATATCCCACGCTATGTCCTCGAATTTCTTCGGCGACTGGGAGAAGATTGCAGAAAGAATCTTCTTGTAGTCAGGAGAGTTGGGATCGGATAGCAGATGCACAATGGCTCGTCGGAATGTCTCCTCTTCTACTTGGAGAGGGATGCGGCCACTGGAAAGAAGCTCGGCTGCTGTAGGCCGTTCACTAGGCGATTGGCTGAGAAGGGCCTCAATTATTTGACCTTGAACAACCTTTTCTGATTGCTGGAAAGTAGCCGGGAGTTCATGAACCGGTTCTCTGATCGCTCGCAGTGTTTGGTCGCGTTCCATGCCAGTTGGGAGTGGGTGGCACATCTCAAAGAATATGACGCCGAGGGAAAACATCTGTGAAATATTAGTATATCATGCCGCAGAATTTGTCGTTTGAAGATAACTCACATCAACTTTCTCGTTGTAATGACCCGAGAATCCTGACTTCATTTCAGGTGCAACGTAGTAGGTGGTTCCCAGACTACGTGTGAAGTTACCCTCGAAATCATTGGCTGCAGATGAGCGTACTGCTGTCATGAACTGTCCACTGGTAGCCAAGCCGAAATCACCAATGCGGGGGTTGTTGGCGACGTCAATGAAAATATTATCCGGTTTCAAGTCCCGATGGATAATACCGTGACTATGAATATGGCTTAGTCCGTCGAGAACCTGTCGGAAGAGACGCCAAGATCGATCGACATCGTCGAAAAGACCATTCTTGATCAAATCCCGCAGAGTATGCTTCTCACAATACTCCATTTGGATGTACAGAGTGGTCGACATGGGGCGACTGTATGAGCCTGATCTCGATGGGCTGAATTCGAGACTATCATCCCTGTCTTCTGATCCGAAAAATCCAGGCGAATCCTGATGACGGTTATCAGATATGGTGCCCTCGTTCTCCTCGTCGCTATCCGATGCGGCGAATTCAATCTTAGGGTATCCGCTAGAACTGATGAAATCAAGACCTCCAGTGCTGAACCCCTGGTGTTCCTGACTGAAGGGGTCACCGTCAGTAGACGAGATGGCGTCTTCTTCAATCTGACTGAAATCCTCCTCCAGCCACGCCGTATAGTAGCGGACAACATATGGGTGATTCAGGCGAGAAAGAAGCATGATCTCGGATAAGGTATCCTTCAACGCTGCAGCTGATGATTGACAGATTTTCTTGACAGCGTAGAATCGACCATCTAATTTGTTTCTGGCTTTGACAACTTGACCGAATCCACCTCTGCCCAGATGGCCTGCTTCATCAAAATCATTGTGATAGCGAGAGAATATCGGCAAGGTGCCAAAGGATTCCAATCGGGGTCTCCTTTGCATTGAGACAGAGTTGGACGCTCGGGTACGCATGGTTAAGGGTGCATCCACGCGGAAGAATTCTGATGGTTGGAGTTGGAAGGCTGTTGGGCGCTTCTTAGGATCAGGTCGAAAGAACTCCCGAAGTAGATCTTGCAGTGGTGGAGAGACACCAAGGGAAACCATGAGCTGATTAGCCGAAGTGTACCTCAGCAAGACATCCTTTCCAAATGCCATTTGTAGTAGCACAATACCCAGATCCCAGACGTCCGTCTTCATAGTTGGGTGCGTACCTTCCTGGGTTAGCTCAGGAGGCATCCATAAAGGCGACTTGGACGAGGTCAAAGAACGCTTTGCACCTGGGGAGTCGGGGAGAGCGTCTTCAATGCTAGATTGGAGCTTGACAATAGTGCTTTCAGACACGCGTCTGCATATCATAATTTGCCCGCAGTGAATATTTCCATGGACGAACCCATTGCGGTGATAAAACTCCAATGCTTCAAGAATTTGTATCATCCAACCGCGAAGTGTCTCAACCGCAACGGTACCAACCATATCTAGAAGCTCTAGTAGAGAACCCTTGTTGGCGAACTCGAAAAGAGTCAACACAGTCCATGAATTTTCATTCAAGTTGAGATCTGCGATAGGGCGAATGATTTTGAATCCTACAAAATCAATCAAATTGGGATGGCGAAGTCGTTTCAGGCTCTCAAGCTTATCCTCAGTGGTGCGCATCTTTTCACGGAATGCTAGGGCATCTGATGATTTCTCATTCAGGAAAATCTCCTTTAGCACCAACAATGGAACGTGACACCGCCCTTCAGGCACAACAGGTCTCACAGTGAACGTCTTCTTATTCTGGTGAGACCGCAGAAGCGTTTTTCCATGCACAGCAGGGAACACCATTGGTTTCTCATCGGTGTCATTGACTGCCAGCGGTGGGTCAAAGGAGATGGCACCTGGGGTGTTATCTACCAGGTCATCCACGCTCTGCAAATCCATCCCATCGGTGCGGCTCTTGCGTCGTCGGGCTTTGGTTCGCTGTCGCATGGTGTCCTGCAGCTTTTCTTGCAGATCACGCTCCTCTGCAGCCGTTTCAGCTTCTCTCTTGCGCATCTCTTCTTGCTTTTCAAGCTCTGCGCGCTGAATGGCTGCTGCTTTCTGTTCCTTGCGCTCTTCTTCGAGACTTGGAAGGTCTTTGTTCTGCGCAAGGGCTTGGGCGACATCCTCGAGAACATCTTGGATTGACACGCAAAGCTCATAAATCATTTCACTGCCCAGTAAGGTGGGTGGTTTTGAGCGCACGATTTCTTGAATGCGGGCCCGGGCACCCTCACGAAAATCGGTAAGGTTTTTGAGAAAGATATTTGGGATTGTTTTTGGGTACGTGGCCGGCAACTCAACAAGGATTAGGAGACAGACATCACGATTTGAAGAGGCGCGAAGACGAAGCTTGAAGGTCACGTCGGAGGATTGCTAGAATTGCGACAATTAGTTCGACCACTTTTTTCTAGATGCATTCGGAGGTTAGAATATCCCGATATACGCACATGCCATGCCGACCGACGGTTTTCCACATCTTCAAAGTCCTCGCTATAGATTGAACGTAGAGCTTCCACCTCATTGAGGTGGATTTCGCGGTAATTGGTGGTTTGTATGGTGGGAGATGTTAGAGTAGATGAGTCCGAGGAGGTTTGCTTTTTCTCGCGGGGAGCTTTTTTTTCTCTGTTTGGGAGACATCGCGGGCCGTGACACGCGAAGTCGCCCTACATCAGGGTTTGTTCGAAAAGCATGAAGGGAAAACAAAGGGAGTACAATGGGTTGAAGGGGAAGATTCAAGAGGATCGTTTTTCTTTGAGGGGAACTAGAACAATAGGCGGTCAGATAGGAACAACTTATCGATAAGTGGAGTCACCGACTTAGTATGAAATGACGTTTCGTCGGGTATAACATGGACCCATTGAAGTTATTCAAGAAGTCGGTGTGTATCATTTTCATAGTGGAAGTAGTACTATTATAATGTATACTCAAAAATCTGACTATCAACATGGCAAGCTTGTATCTAGAGGGCCATAAAGGGCAAGCAAATTGATGTATACAAAGGCTTCATTGTCGGGCGTCGAGATTGTCCACTTGCCACGCTGTTTTTGACGCCCAATTGAGTAGAATCCTGATGATACTATTTCCAGAAATCAAGACCCACCTCATAGGTGTCAAGTGCCAGCAAGAAGTACCTGTTTTACCTCATGCTTGGTGTGAATATTTGAATCAGAGAACACGTACCCAGGGGTAAAGGGAAGACCATGGTGTATTCAACTCTGTTCATTGTCTCTCGCATGAGATTCCTAGATCAGCTGGATATCTGTATCAAAAAGAGCTTTGGAATTATAAAGCTCTCGTCCTGGAAGGATTGCCACAGGATTTGAGGGTACGGGACCTTGATATCAGCCAACACAATGCTTCAATGGTCTTCTAACTTGAATACCTTCAAAGATACGCATGGAGATAGAGTATCAGGTTTGGAGTCGATTAAACCTGAAGCATGAATCAACCCCGAATGGTGCTGCTGTACCTGCGCCGGAAGAGGTGTACATTTGTGTGTATTGATTTGGGGTCCACGACGCTTTATGCTGTCACACAAGATGACATCCTAACTCTCGTCGTCAGTTAGGCAAAATGAAACTTGAGCTTGTGGCTAGATATAAGCAAAATAAGATGACAAGTAGCTTGAGTACTGCCACGAGATTGATTATCGTCTGATCAATGTGGACCGTTGGCGGATATTCAGTGAGCTTGAGTGTTCCAAACTGTCCTGTTAAAGATAGGTTCCGAGTGTAAGAGGACAAACGTGCCAGTGTAGGCAGTAGATGCGGACGAGATTTGGCTAAAAGCCTCCTATGTTGATATTAGACTCAACATGCCTCAACGTTTGAAACTATGTACTTTCAAGTTGTTACCTAGTATATGCGCCGATAACTGAGTCCAGCTATACTAGACAAATCCATTAAGATCAAAAGGAAATGAACTTGAATGGTCTTCATTCAGTGAGAAGTTGTGGAGCAAGTCGCGGCACTATAGCAGCGAAATTAAGAAAGGTATGTATGTCCATATCCTCAGGCTGTCAGACAGGGATGTTCCGAGTCACATACTTAAGTACAGTACAGGGCTCAGTCAGGAGTATCTACAGGTGACTGATGACCTACACCTCTTTGTATGCCAGTGCCTAAAGGGTTACCTACGGGGTTACCTACATGATTACCTGGAGGGGAAGGCTAGCTGCTATATAGTTGGATATAGGCAACTGGCAACTCTATGAATAATTCAAGTAGTAAGAGATAGCTCAAGAGGGATATACTCATGTTTAGATGGAATAAATAAAAGAAAAATCTAGTCTTTTGGTAAATCTGGGGTCGAAGCTATAGGCTAATCCTGCCAGACAGTGAGGAAACTCAAAACCTTGAAACCACTACAACTCAAGTAGGAAAAGAGGTCTATGGATATGATCGTAGGCCACAATATTGAGGATCCGCTAAACTCTGAGTCCCACTGGTACCTAGGCGGCAAAGGTCCACTTCAACTTGAAGTGTGGAACTTCCAGTGGAACCGGAATTATCAATCCAATATTTTACTATTACATTAATTGTAGTACATAGGGGCAGTTAAATGAAAGGAGAATCCATTTCCTGATTCAAGTTCACGGTAATAACTCATCTGCATATAACGTTTGAGATAAGGCAATAATTAGCCCGGATGGTCTAGTGGGTATGTCATCACTTCTCAGTGATAAACACACCGAAGCAGCTCTAACAAATTACATAGTATGATTCGCGCTTTGGGCATATGCTAGAAATAGTATTGTGAAACGAATGTGCGAGGTCCTCGGTTCAATCCCGGGTTCGGGCCAATCTTTTTTTTTTCTGATTTCTTTTTCTTTGTCTTTAAAAAAAAAGAATCATTTGAATGAACACTGTTTATAACCTTGATAGTATGTACCCAGTACCTACTAGTAGTCGATGCTTAACTTGTTCCTCTGGGCAGTAGCCTTGGGAATCCCTTTGCTATTTGCAGTGACCTTAAATTAAAAATCCATAGGTAGCATGTACCTGGTATGTATGTAGCTGATTGATTACCCTCCAAGGTTAGAGTATCCATTGATTTAACAATGCCCTAGAAAGAGCCTACAGTTCCCTACCTGTCTCTACGCTTTATGTACTGGCAGATGGATATAAAGAAAACACAAAAACTTCCAATTCAAATTGTGGAAAAAAGAAGGAAAAGAGAAAAAAAAAGAACCAATACCCCCTCAGGACTAGTGTCTTTCCTGCTCCCCGGCCTGTTCGTTCAGTCTCCCAGCCTCATTCTGGGCATCATTGAGCTGCTCGATAGCCTGACAGCGGGAGGCGTTCTAATTGGTTCTAATGGGCTCGACTTCTGTCTCTTGAAAAGGAATTCGCCTTAAGGCCTGTATCTCTGCCTGTCGCATGACTTCAAACATGCTGGCATACTTGCGCTGGGCGCTGGCCCTCTGGGTGCGCACATATTGTATCACAGCCTCCTCGTCTGGCCCAAGCAGGACATCCAGTTCCCTTGTTGTCACTGGGCCGTGCCATTTGGCTCGACCGACCAGGCAGTCCGAAATCGCCGAGACTGTGTAAAAAGTGGACGGCTGCTGGGAATGAGTGTGGGACGTGGGCGTACTGTTTACTGGTAAGCCCAGAAGGCGTCTTTGCAGTATTCATTAGGTCTATGTGTGCCGCAGAGAACTTCTCCCAGGTACCAGACTCAGGGGTGTCCAGTGTACTATGGTCTTCTCTAATTCGGACATACCAAGGAAGCACTGTCCGACGACGCCGAGTTGCTGGGCCAGTAGAGCCCATTGGCAGTGTTGGAACCCTGGAGGGAGGGTCGAACGTCACCAGCGTGACAAACCTGGGCCATCCAGGCTGTCCCGTAGCGGGCAGCATCCTCATATGTCCACACCCCAGTCTGAATTCTTTGCACAAATCCATCAGTGGCCAGTCCACGCTGCTCAGTATCCGGCCACCAGGTATTTAGAGGTGACCTGAGCTAGCTCTGCCTGGGTGTCCATCACCAACTGGAGGTACTCCAACCCCCGCTGGTGCTCTCGATCGATCTCCTCGGCCAGTTCTGCTCATTCATCTCTCGGTATAGGGCAGCAGCTTCGTCATTCAAAAGCTGGAGTATACAGCTCTTAGAGCCTTCGGGATGATCATCGCGCACGCAATCCTTACAACGCCCGGTCTAGTTCAAACCCCTGCTAGCTAAGTCTATTTCATCACCTGGGCATTTTAGGAGGCAAGTAAACTCACTCAGAGGTCTTCCTTATCTCCTCCCGATCCTTGTTCGGTAGGACCTGTCGACACCATGATGGATGGTGTATTGATCAATAGTGATGGATATGAGTATCGATGATGATGATAACATATGTTGATAGGCTGTTCAGATGTGAGAAGATGAGCTATGATGGAAGCAAGAATTGGAAGTGCCAATGAGAAGAAAAGCTAAGAAGGACAACCGGAAATATGGGAGGAACATAAGCTTCCAGAGCTACCTTCTACCTTTCTGAGTTTATTTGGTTATGTAGCTAGGAATGGTAAGATATAATGGTCAAAAGAAGTAGAAGCAAGATAATTTAAGTAGATAATAAAGGAGTATAAAATTCCCTTTTCGATTATAAGCTCTAGGAAATTGATTTTATCATTAATGATGAATAAGATTATAGCAGTAATAACTACCTTAGCTAAAACCCCCTATATCTATCACTTCTACTCTAAAAGATAAGCCTATAATCCTTTATTATCTCCTATTTCTTACTATTACTTCTCCTTTAGTTAACTTTTACTTCTTACTCATTACTCCTTACTATTCCTAGCTATATACCATTACCTTTACTCTAAGAGGTAAGTTTATATTCCCCTGTTTTCCTCTTCTCAGCTTCCCTACTTACTTCTTCTTCTTGATCACCATATCTTTATTTCCAGACACATTACTACTTCTGCTCAGGAAGGTAAGGTTCTGTTTCTCCTCTCTTCTTATCCTTTCCTTCTGAACTTCTCTTCTCAATTCAACTTCTTACTCATTACTCCCGTCCCATTTCATCTTCTCACATCCGAACAGTTATCAACCCACCTTGCTCGTCACGATTCACAAAATCTCATCTCTCTTACCGCCAGGCCTAGACAATCTAGCATCCAGGGTTACAAGGGCCAACCGGCTGATTATTGGGTGGGTATACCTGTCTATCAAAATGATACAATGGATTTGCTAACATGGATTCTAACTAGGTCGATCGATGCCACGATTGTGGGAAATCGGATCACCGAAAGCACTCAAGAGATTGCATTGTGGAGCAACAAAGGCAGCAAGTTGCTGCTCAGGAGCGTCAGATCGCCGCTCTCCAACAAGAAATCGAAGAGAAGGACCGCCAGTTAGTGGCTGCCATTGAAATGTGCAACCGAGAGAGCGCTCGGGGATGCGAGTACTTGAAAATGGCCACTGATGCCCAAGGGGAACTGGCTCGAACTTTTGGGCGGCTCTTTGATGCCGAGAAAAAGCTTGAGAAGCAGGATGAAGGAGGAGAGTAGTCTAGGGAGATTATGATTTCTTTTGATTTTTTTGATATTTCTTTGATTTTTTGATATTTATGATGTATGTATGTATGTATGTATGTATGTATGTATGTATATTTGTATGTTTTGAATTCTATTCTTTTTACAATTTCAATAGGAAACTTCTGTTTTCTTCACATCTATCCATCCGTATAGTAAAAAGTAGGTAGAGATAGACCGACTCGTGTACCTACAGTGTCATATTACATAACCTAGGTAGTTAGTATCCATAGTTAATGATAGGTAAGGGGGTTCACGTTTTAAAAAAAAAAAAGTTCACATTAATGAAGGTCAGCAATTGTGAGGGGTTCTATATACCAAGTTTGCGCAGACCTCTTTAATTTTAACTCACAACACTCCATGACTCGGATACCCTCGGTACCGATCATGACCCGGGGCCAAACTTATTTTGGGGGCCGCGAATGCCAATCGTGCCCCTCATCTCAGTGCGTCATTGGGAATAGAATCATACAGATCAATAAATTTCTGTATGTATTTGATATTCCTGCCCAGAAAGATGAAAGAGAAGATCTATGCAGGTGGATGTGTATGAAAATGATATCAATCAATATGTTGGGTGGTTGAGTAAACTATCAGGATAAAAATATCTTGGAGGATCTGCAGCCGAGTGGGGGGAAAGCCCTAGAGGTACTCCATGATGACACAGGCAGACCTCTGGACGCGATCTGCAATGTGCATTAGCCTCTTTCACTTAGCCCGGTATATAAATTCAGAGCAAAGACCCATGGAAATTTGCTTTTCTCCCATCTACTACCCAGTCAACTGGTACTAGTAAATACTGAGTACCATGTCTACCACTACCAATGACTATATCATTATTGGTGGTGGCCTTGCCGGCTCAGCCCTCGCAGGCCGTTTAGCCGAGTTACAACCTGAACGCTCAATTCTTCTGCTTGAAGCTGGTGCTGATGTAACCGGTCATCCCCTCACCGGCTCGCCGCTGGCTTGCTTTGCTGCTCACGGCTCCCCTTTGGACTGGGCATATACAACTGTGCCCCAAAAACATCTAGACAGTCGTTCATGCTATAATGCTGCTGGGAAGGCCTTGAGTGGGAGCACGGCTACCAACTATGGTACTTGGACACGGGGCAATGCTATAGATTATGATCTATGGGCTCAAATTGTCAATGACGATGCATGGAGCTACAAGGGTCTGTTACCATATTTCAAGCGAACGAAAGCACACTGGGATCAAAATGCAGACTCCACTGAGCACGGTACTTCTGGTCCTATCCACCTTGCGACAGTAGAATCTAGCAGTGATGAACGGATATACCCGCTAGGTGAACCATTGCGTGCGGCCTGGTCCAGCCTTGGTATCGAGACAATCAAAGATGGCAATGCGGGCAGTCCCCAGGGTCTTGCTCCCTTGGCAGAGAATTTCCGTGATGGTTAGCGTCAGATTGCAAGTGAAGCCTATGGAATCAAAACCAAACCAAAAGTTACAATCAAGACTGAAACACTCGTCAAGAGAGTGATCATCAGCGAAAAGAACGGAAAAAAGACAGTCACAGGTGCCGAGCTTCCCGATGGAATTACCTTCAATGCGTCCCACGAGGTGATTGTATCCTCTGGAGCTTATAGAACACCCCAGATCCTCATGCTGTCAGGAATCGGACCTACCGAGGAACTTTCAAAGCACGGTATCCCAGTGGAAGTCGACTCTCCCGAAGTCGGCAAGAACTTCCATGACCACTTTTCTCTGAACCAGTGGTGGAAGCTCCGACACCCAGAGAGAGGACTCTCTATCGGGACACCACTCTGGAACAGCCCAGCGTACGGAATGGGACTGCTCTGCAATTGGCTTGCGACAGTGCCAGCGCCGCGCGATGAGCTAGCCCGTGCATTGCAAATCGATGGCGTCAGTGAGGCCGAGATCGAGACTCACCCGTATCTGAAGCCTGAGACTTGCCATATTGAGACACTTATCGCGTATGCACCCGCGGGCGCCCAGGTAGCAGGCGTTGAGGTTCCTATGGACGGCACCTATATTGCCTCGGCTGTGTTAGGAATCTCCCCCACTTCTCGTGGAAGCATCACCATCTCATCAGCAGACCCCACTGCCGCGCCACTGATCGATCCCAACTACTATGCGACCGAGTTTGATCGTGCGACTCTGCGAGCTGGTATTCGCCAGGTTACCAAGCTGCTTCGAGATGCCTCCGAGGGACAGGAGATGATTTTGAAGGAGCTGGCGCGCCCGGGCATGCCTGCCCTGAGCTCCACATCCAGCGATGAGGAGCTGGACAAGGTGATCAAGGCGTGTGGTGCGACCTTCTACCACCCGGCTGGATCAGCTGCCATGGGTAAGGTGGTTGATACTCAGCTTCGTGTGAATGGTGTCGAGGGGCTCCGCGTTGTGGACGCTAGTGTGTTGCCGTTGTCTATCGAGGGCCATTACCAGGCGGTGTTGTATGCAGTTGCTGAGAAAGCGGCAGAGTTGATCGCCATCTCCCTGAGGCCGTGAATAGTTATTCTGACATGACTGATCTGCGATTCTTTTCAAGTTTCTGTTTCCATGTTCAAGTTCTCCTGTATCTGCTGTTGGATGATACCTAATACTAATTAGAGGCCCGGGGTATTTACATACTGTGCACATGAATTGACTAAGATTTTTCTGATGGATGATATGAAACTCTTTAAGTTCTCTTATTTTCAAAATTTGGCTTACTAGGCTTGGTAATAATAAGACATAGCTGAACTATATGGCTTTGTCGTGCATCTTTCTATCTCCCTGGGAACAACTAATGGTGAAAGATGTCTCATCTACCTATGGATGTAGATGGATGTTTACACCAGCCTGCCGATCCTTCAATACTGAATCATCATAGGGAATGCAAGGCGAGTCAATATCGAGAACCGGAGACTGATGACTGATGTGGCACCGCAAGGTGCGTCAAAGTGAGCTAGGATGAAAGCAGGCCAATAGGAAAAAATAGACAATGTGTGGAGAACACACGTGTACGGTGTACCTACGTTGCTTGCAGAGAGACATCGGTTCGTTCCTGTTCAGAATGTCGCCCAGAGTCCACCTGGCATGAGATGCATATTTTTCAACTGCCAGCCTTGCAATCATCTTGAAACAAGCCTGAGGCTGTCCCGTCGAGTTAGCCATGTGTGCATATTGCCAAACATCAGTGACTGCCCTTTTCTAGGTCCCACTCCCCTGGTCCGACTCCACATACACTCCACTTTTGCATCATGATCTGCAAGCCCAGCGGGGACCTGAACAAGACCAGGTCCGCCACAAAAATGGACGCAGCGAACTCACATGGCCGAGTTTCCCAGACCTGCCCGACTAGAACGTACATTTCGAGCTGAGCACTGACGAGCATGGAGAACTAATGTGAGTTACGGGCGTTCAAGATACGTACTACTCGAGAAGGGACAGTATTGCTTTCGCTGCGAGGGGCGGCCTCAGAGCAGGCTGTTGAAACAGACCAAAAAGGATATTAAGTGAGAGAACATGCCAAAATTTGCCCTTGATCTAAACCTGCAGCGATAAGAATCACCATCCTCATGGCTTAAACATAGATTGATTCCATACTTTCGGAAAGAAAAAAAGAAAAAAAAAAGATTGGCCCGAACCCGGGATTGAACCGAGGACCTCGCACATTCGTTTCACAATACTATTTCTAGCATATGCCCAAAGCGCGAATCATACTATGTAATTTGTTAGAGCTGCTTCGGTGTGTTTATCACTGAGAAGTGATGACATACCCACTAGACCATCCGGGCTAATTATTGCCTTATCTCAAACGTTATATGCAGATGAGTTATTACCGTGAACTTGAATTAGGAAATGGATTCTCCTTTCATTTAACTGCCCCTATGTACCACATATACTACAATTAATGTAATAGTCAAATATTGGATTGATAATTCCGGTTCCACTGGAAGTTCCACACTTCAAGTTGAAGTAGACCGTTGCCCAGGACTAAGAGGTTAGTGGATATCGGAGTTCGGAGCTGGAAGCCTCGGTATCTCCGGACGAAGTGATTTGACCAGTTGACGATACAGCACTTGACCCAAGCCCAACTAATTTACCAGAATCAGCCAAATTATCATACTCAAATGTTGCTACTACAGTTCAAAAAGTTAGAGCTGACCTTCCAGGTAGTTTGTCTCGTGCATTCTCGGTGGCAATGCGATGTGGAGAAGACTTAACATGCAAGAAAGACTCTTGACGATGGCGAGCTGAATGTGTGCATAAGAATGATTGATCGGTCCAATCATGTCTTCGGTTTCGTTCCCAAGAGATTCATCATATGCCGAATGTGATGACAGTGCATCATTATGCATTAACTTTGTCTGCTGTGCTCCGTCCTCCTGACCGCTCAGCCCATGTTTTCTTTTTGCCCCCTTCATTCAAAATAATAACATAAGTAGAGAATGACCAGCGTGTCTTCTACAAAACCTGGTAAGTTCGATGATTCGATGCCATGGAGAGTACGAAGAAATTCGATGACAGCCTGAAACAGTTTGCTGAGCACTTCCATTGCAAAGCCGAAGCAGTCAAAAACTATACAAAAAAAGCCGAAGAAGTATGCTCCAATGCATTAGCTCCCTCGAATATTCGCCATCTTCCAATCACATCGAGAATAAAGTCCTGGGAGTCAGCTAAGGCAAGCCTATACAGAAGACGCCAGGAGCACTTGGTATATAAAAGGTTACGGGACTTGGTGGAAGCAAAGAATCAAACCTGGTCGCAGTACTGTTTTGAAACAGGCTTCCACTCTTGCAATGACAGGGTGTTGTCGTTGCAAAATTCAATGGAGATGTTTGCCGCATTGCACGACTTCGGTGGAATGAGGATACTACTCTATTTTCCAGGCGATCTTGAAAAAGTTGCGGAGATTCTAAACAAGCACTTTTTCATCGTTCGGCGAGTGGAGAAGGGAGATGGATCTCGGATCAATCTGCAAGCTTTGAAGGATAGGCTTGAATTTCTCAAAGATCCAAGACGAAAGGGGCAAGTCACGACTACCCAAAGAGATCTCAACCGGGCGTCACGGACACTCAAAGGCTATAGATCCACCCATTTCGTTGTCAAGCTACGGGATCATGACATTGAAAGGGGATCAGAGTGTACCTGGAAGGATCTTGTTGTGGAAATCCAGGTTGAGACACTGATGATGCACGCTTGGTCTGAGGTTGAACATGGCATGGTCTATAAGCCAGTCATTTCGGGAGGCGAAGGAGTGTCCAGCGATGAAAAACGCATTCTGGACTCGATAAATGGCATAGTTTTGGCGGGCGAGGCTGCATTACGACAACTGGAAGTCAGCACCATAAAACGCTCAGCCAAAACGCCGAAGTTATAGAGGTGATGGCATGCAGTCTGTTGTCTGACCAGTTAGACTGTAGATCCATAAGAATACCATGAGTTTGATACAATCTTTCCATCGAGATATGCTAGTATGTATCCTGGCACATCCATACAGCTGGGCATGCATCAAGGCCATCTGGTAATCAATCCGAGTCTTTTGCCAGTGGGCAGCTATTTACGTACCTGCAAAATGTACGTTTCATTCAAGCCTGCGGTCATTGTAAATATAAAAAGGATTTTGACTCGGAAGGCTACTGCAGTGCCTAGAACGTCAAGTGGAGTAGTAAGTACTCAGAGTAGGTACCGGGCTAGGTACCCATACATGTAATTATTAACATAAGGGGGTACTAGACAACTCGGCCAGACTCTGATAGAGGAAGGTAGTGGTATAACGTTACCGGTCTAGCTGCTACATACATATGTGTAGAAATAACTTGAACATCCATAGAGAAGGCTGTCCTTCTAGTACCATTTTTCTGGTGTCCTCTTAATCAATATCGCTCGTTTTTCTGTCAGCTATATAGACCGTTAAAGTCTCCCGTACTTAGGACTAGTGTCCTTCCTGCTCTCCCAATTGCTCCTTTAGTCTCTCGATCTCTTCCCGGGCGTCTATAAATCTCCCGCTTGATCTGTTTCCGGCTGTCCTTGGTCTCTTTCTGTGAGTCAAGGAGCCGACCGGTGGTCTGGCAGAGCTCTCTTTGTGCAATCCTTGCCACCTGAATGTACTCTGAGGATCGTCCTTTTCCCGGTTTAGCTTTTGGCTGGCTTCCTCCTCTTGCGAGTCAATTAGCCGCCCGGTGGTCCGGGCTAGCTCGCTCTGTGCAATCCTTGCCATCTGCAGGTATTCCGAAGCTCTTTGCCTCTCTCGACCGAGTTTTTTTTTCTTGTCCTTTTCCTGGCTCATTTGTGACCTGGTGGTCTAGGGAGATAATCTCTTGCTTTAGCCACCCGAACGGACAGCTCACTGATCTCGCGATATGGTCATTTTGACCGCAATCCGGGCATCAGTTGGCTTAGTTTAAACCCGTGTTAGCTAGGTCCATCGTATCATTTTGAGAGAAGGGTAAGCTCACCCAAAAATCTTGCTCCCTGCGTCTGCTTGGTATGATGAATGTTGACGAGGATAGACTGATAATGATAATAGTGATGGCGACAATGAAGATGGCTTGTAAACTGCTAAAGGTGAGAAGATGAGCTAGGTTAGAAGTGATAAACAGGAAGTGAAAACGAGAAGGACAAGATAGGAGAAACAGAAGCCTGCGTTTCTGGGCGGATCTGGTGATCATGATATAGCTTAGAATGATGAGAAGAAATAATCAAGAACTTTGAAGAAGTAAGAAGGGAAGCTGAAAATTGGAAGACGGAGGAGCAGAAGCTTGCCTTTCTAAGCTAAAGTAGTGATGTAGTAGCTTGAAATAGTAAGATCAATGTTGGGATCGAGAAGTAAGAAGTGGTGAGGTGAGAGGGAAAGGATAGGAAGAGGTGAGAAACAGAAGCTTACCTTTACTAGTATGAGTAGAAGTAGTGATGTAGCTGGAAACAGTAGAATTTGATGATCAAGAAGTACTACTACTACTACTACTACTACTACTACTACTACTACTACTACTACTACTACTACTACTACTACTACTACTAACAGCAAGATAAAATTGAAGGAGAAGATGGAGAAAGAGGAGGAGGAAGAGGAACTTAAACATAAGCTTACCTTCTTGATGATTACTATTTACTACTCCTAGCTACGCACTAGTATCAAGCCTCATTCATATATAATTCAAATGAGACACAAATTGTCCGGTAATCGAGGCCTATACCGCCTCAGGTATGGACAATTCCATCGTCGGAACGATCGACTCAAGCCATAGATCTCCTTGCAGGCCCACTGAGTTAAGCCACGACATCCACTCAGCATCTTGGACAACTCCATTGGTAGCACCGGCACCCAACGAACTTTCTTGTCGGTGAATCTCTTGTTCATTCAGCTCATGGGAGCAACCTGTAGTCTGTGCATGATTGTTTCGCTGCGCAGGCTCGCTCTGGTTCAGAATTGAATCAAGACTTCGGGAAAAGATAGATTGAGCTTGTTTGCAGATCTGGTAGTTTCTTTGCCCAGATTCTGTCAGCGAGTCACAGCATGAGATCAGCACACTGATGTTTTGAATAACGCCGCTTCTCCTGATAACGAGTTTTTCCTCGGGGTGCTGGGTTTGTCGCATAAGCTCCAAAATCAAAACACTTGCACAGGGCATGGCATAGAAGACTAGCTGTAGCACGGGTAAGCTTCCAGAGATTGAATTTGGTATGATCCGAGGGTTGAATACTTACAGCCCATTCCATATCGGCTCTATGACTGCGCAGTAGATCCCTCCTCCGCGTTGGCAAGAGGACTAGATTGACAATCTCGTGTGCAGTTGTTATCAGGTTCTCGCGGTTAAGACTATTGAATGGAGCAAGGAGGGTATGTAGAAGGAACTCCGTATAAAGGTATTCCAGTTTCAGAGCATAAAGAGCCAACCCAGTTCCGTCTGCTAGCTCCAAGTGCTGTGCTTTCAAGTTGTTGAATTTTAAATGCGATGGAATGGACCCCCATACGTACTTTAATTTTTGTAGGGCGCACCTGAGACTGACGTTAACTTGGCTGATTGCCATAGTGAAAGCATGACTTTTGCTGCCTTGACCTCCATATCTGGAACTGCAGGGCCAATTTTAAGCTCTAGAGCTTCTTCCCGAATCATACATGTCATAAGTTGCACTCGTTGGCGGGATACTGGAAGCAGAAATTTGTCTTTATGCCACCCATTCTCATCCAAGTTCTTCCGAGCCTTCAGGAATCCTTCAATTGTACCCATCACGACAGCGTCGGATAGATCAAGAGGCAGGCCAACTACGCAGAAATGGCGACTAAGACGAGGAGGTCTTAAATAGCTGCGGTATTAGCAAGCATAATTAAATGGAGCTGTAAATGGACATCAGTCTTACCTTGACATAAAACTAGCAAACACCTTGTCGTGGTCATGCGCCCACGCAATTGACCGTTTTCGAAGCTCGGCCAAATAAAATGGCATTGAAGGGTCGGTCTGAATGCCTTTATGGAATCCCAAAGCCAGAAAGACGGATTTCATACTACCCTCGAGCCGTAAAGCATGGTATGAGTCGCCACCAAAACACCATGTTGCAAAGAGTATGGTTAACAAAAGGAACCATAAGGTAAAACCATTGACTGCGCCAAGGTAGTCGCAGAACGATTCACATTGGATGCAAGCCCGAAAGGCCCTTTGCATCAAAGTTTGCGATCTGATCTCCATGTCTGATTTGCAGTGAGACCGAATAGTTTGTCTTTCTCTCCATTTAAAATTACTCCGATTTGTGCACAAATTGTGCCAATTATCTCCCAGCGCAAAACCTGTGCAAATACTGCAGATTTAAATTCACCAGCATCGGGAGGGAGAAAGGGAGGCGAAGAGGTTCGCACGAAGACTGCTGCTGATATTGATTTCATGTTGGTGGTAGAGCGATTCTTTTGTAACTCTTTTATGCTCTTATAAGCTCCTTTCCATGCCGCTTCGAGAACGGGTCCATGAAAGTACAGGTTCTCGTCTAGGACCGATAAACTGTCAAGAGTTTCACCAATTTCGATGACGAGGTCCAAAATATCATTCAACAATCTTGCTCCATCAAATATAATATTTTGATCAGGCATGGGAGCCCGATGCGGAGTCACGCCCGTTCTCGTTAGTGACGTGTATGTACGTTGCACTTGAGGGGTATTTGGGTCAACGAAGCACATCAAGTTCTTGTTCATATTGATGGGTTCATAAGCTTGAGATCCTTCTGGAGAAGCAATTGGAAGTCTTGCGGTGATGTCTTGTTGGTAAGGGGTGTTTGAATCGCTTTGAGGTGTGGACTGCTTTGGTGTTGCTTGTTTGGCCATCGGAGCTGGATGATATTGGCATTGCTGTGTTGATAAGCGGCGGCGCGCACATCTCCCACAAATTGGTCTATTGTGATCGCATCGAAGTTTTGATTTGCGACATGGTTCACATGAGGAAAGTTGACCATTGCGTCGAACCCTGTCGGTCATTTTCAATCGTGCCTTGCATGAACATGCGAGGAATAGAGGTCGGAGTCCGAGTTACGGAGACAAATATCGGAGCTCGGAGCTCGGACCTAGCTCCGAGTATTCGGACTAACCACGCTATTTACAAGTTCTTGGCACCATAAAAGACGGGGAGACAAGTGGGGGCTCAGCGGGGAGTGGGGCTTGTTATAGATGCATCATATCTGTTATTTCGACCTCACAAGGGGGATAAGGACTGGGATAGAACTTTCACATGGACAAAGGTAGAAGATTGAAGAGGAAGGGAAAGGGTGTCAGAATATCAAGTGACGCATGGGCTGTTATTTTTCATCATATCACCCAAAAGATCCCCTAGAGTAACAAAGTAAAATCCATACATCTACCTTGCTTGATCACCTTGATCCCCTCCACATTTGTAAACCCCACCAAGTGCGACCCACGAAACAGTTGCCGAAGCTAGTCTCATAACTGACAGTATGGCAGGAGTTGTGGAGTGGACGTCCAGCTCACAAGTTCGACTTCAGTAGGATAATTCATGAAAAGGGTGTCAGAATAGTAGTTTCATCATATCACCCAAAAAGCGCAACAGTAACAAAAAAAAGTACATGCTTCCATCTCGCATACTCACCTAGGTTCCCGCTTCCACATTTTGGTAAACCCCAAACAAGTGACCTTCATGAGAAACAGTCGCCGCAGCTAGCCTCATGACTGACAACAAGCTCAGGAGTTGTGGAGTGAACTTCGGCTCATAAGCTCAACTTCTGTAGCACTTTCAAGGTTTCCATCTCCCTAGATAAATCTAGCCCATTCATAACACATGTTTCAATCAAGTCGAATCGATGATGTTATGGCAGCCATTGAATCCAAGGGGGACTTCCACAAACTGTCAAATAAAAGGGTGTCAGAAATAAATGCCACGTAGGCTGCTTCATCATTTTACCCAAAAGATCCCCCAGAGTAACAAGTAAGAACCCCCAGAGTAACAAGAGAACTAGGCTTCCATCTCACCCGCTCGCCTTTGGCCCCCGCATTTACATTTTGGTAAACCCCAAACAAGTGACCTTCATGAGAAACAGTCGCCGCAGCTAGCCTCATGCCTGACAACAAGCCCAGGAGTTGTAAAGTGGACTTCCAGCTCACAAGATTGACTTCCGCAAAGTTGGGTTGCATCAGATCCTAGGATCATCCTATGCGTTGTGATTTCATCAGCCTCGCCTGATCACCTTTGGCCCCCGCTTCCACATTTTGGTAAACCCCAAACAAGTGACCTTCATGAGAAACAATCGCCGCAGCTAGCCTCACGACTGACAGCAAGCCCAGGAGTTGTGGAGTGGACTTCCAGCTCACAAGGTCAGCTTCAAAAAACACAGGAACAAGAAGTTGGAGAGAGGAAGAAGAAGAGAAGAGGAAAGGGGGGAGAGATGGGCTTTAAATAATAAACACGCGGTGTGGGACGCGTTGTTTACCTTAAGCGACGTTTGCCTGTTCACATTCACTCGGTTTGCTTCTCTTCGCTTCGCCCGAGTCATCGCCTGACAGGCCTAGCCCTATTCTTCTCATTAGGGCACTTGATTATAAACAGGACAAACATCCTGAACACATACACAACTGATAGCCAGCGACTACTCAATATCAGAGCTCCAAGTACACACATCACATGCATATATGCGTCTGACTAGAAACAAACATAGTAGCCTTCCCTTGGCCCTTGGACACGCTGACTAGAAGTCCTCGGGATTCTCTAGACTAGTTCATAGATCATTTGGGGCTTTAAGTTAGCAGGTCTCGACAAATTATGATTGTTATATCTATAATTATGAATACTACTCCTATTTACTTTTTGTTTTGATATCAGGGAGACTTTTTAAGGGAAGGGAGAGTGTTGAAAGGACTTGGAGATTTACACGATTTATTACTGTATTCTTACCTTGATAGAACTCTTATCACCAAGAGAAATTGGAAACAACCCGAGTATTGCAAATTGAAATGGTTCAACAGTATCATTTCCCTATCTTTCCTCGAGGCTCCCTGAGCTCCGAAAGCTATATCTGGGTATCGGTCGCCATGGTCAGGCACTCCAAAGATTACTGTTTCTCCCGATTGATTTTTCCAGGCATATCTTCGATTTGTTGTTGGGCTTTCTCCCGTGCTCTGTGAAGAACGGCGGTCCGACTCTTCAGCACCTGGAAGGCACAGACTTTGGCCTTTCGTTACGAGCAGACTTTCCACAGTCACTGCATCTGTTGGCTTTGTCAGTTCCAAGGTTAAGCGTATTTTATCATTTGAGAGGCAGGTAAACTCACCCAAAAATCTCCTGGTCTTTGTCGGCTTTGACCAGGCCCTAGGCATGGTGGATGTTGTGGATGTGAGTGTAGGTAGATATCTAGATCATCCGACAGGGTGTAGTTGATGGTATGTGGTTTTCTGCGGTTATGAATAGAAGGGTACTGGTCTTGGGTAAGTAAGTGATTTACCCATGTGATAGGCTGCTCAATGCGAGAAGGCGAACTGGTGTAAAAGTAGCGATCAAGAAGTAGAACAAGGAGATAGTCCGGGCTAGCTCGCTCTGTGCATCCGTAGCCATTTTGAGGTACTCCGAGGCCCGTTTCTTCTCTCCTTCCATCTTCCCCTCTGTATTCTCCAGTTTCTTCACCATCTCGCCCAGATTGTTCTTTGTTTTGTCCAGCTGCCAGTGTCGCCAGTAGCGCGATCTCGAAGGTCCTGAGAGTAACAATCTTTTCGGCATCCTTTGTTGTCGGATTGACCACAATCCTGCCATCTTATGACTGAGTTCAAATATATGTTAGTTAAGTGTATTGTATCATTTTGAGAGGCATGTAAACTCACCCAAAATCGGAGTCTCCCTCTTCCGTTGCAAATTTTTTGGTAGTATGTTGGGTAGGCATCTAGATCATCTGGTGGTATTGAGTTGAGGGCACTATGTACGGTCAGCAATTGAGAATGGTACTGGCTTTGAGTAAGCAAGTAAGCTACCCGGGTGATAACCTCGGAAGCTGTTCAATTGTTGAGGTTTGAGAAGACGAACTGCTGTAGAAGTAATGATCAAGAAGTAGAAGAGCGATAGGAGAAGCTATGAAGAAGATTGCAGGAGGTATAGATGTGATGATGGAGAAACGTGAGCCTACCTGCCATGTGTAATTGATAGTGCATAGTCATGGTAAAACGAGGAGATGAAGAAGAGAAGAGAGGCAGAGAAAATTTGAGAGGGGCACGAGCTTACCTTCCGTATGTAAGTGATGGGGTAGTTGAGAATGGTAAGAAGGGAAGGGTGTCAATTGAAGTTGGACGAACGTGAGTTTACCTGTTAAGTGTAACTCGAGCTTGAAGTAATGTTGCGGCTGGGGTTCAAAAAAAAGGAAAAAGAGAAACCTTGGAAGTTTCTAAGGTTGGGTGTGAACAGAACTGGAATGAGTACTAACAAACGAGGTCTCATATAGCATATTAATTTAAACATCCATAGTCTCTTAATGAAGAACTCCTTATAGGTGATCAATAAATATAGGTATGCTGTACTAGGTAGTAGAATTATCACTAGCCAAGAGATCAGAATAAAGGCTAAAATACACATGTGCAGTCTTCGGTACAGTTTAAGTAAAAGACCTTAGGAGTCTATAGACTAACCTTCCCTCCCAGGTAATCATGCAGGTAACCCTGTAGGTAGTTACATGCAAAGAGGGGCATGTCACCATTTACCTTACCATACTACTGACTGAGTACTTAAGTATGTGAGCATGGCTGTAGTGTCACTGTGTCTACTTGACCGAGATCCCTAGCCAAACACTTCAAATTTTGAGTGCTGAGTAGATACCTTGCCCAATTTCACTGCTATATACACCTTGGCAGTGCCATGCGAAGCGCAGCATGGGGACTTGTATATGGCTACTATTAATATGCAGTAGAGTCAAAGCCACCAACTTGAAAAAGTCTTCCAAAGAAGTTACAATGCCATCTTAGTTTTAGTAGTAAGGCCTTCATCAACAACTTGAAGCTCATTGAGAGAGGTTCAAATTCTATTCCGCTATGGTACGATTACAAATATAGTATGCGAGTCATGAGTTGCGAATCAGTAGACCCTAGACCTTAGACCTCTTCCAAATGTCCAAGTCCAAGACCTATACTAATACTGAGTGGAGAGGAGAAAAAAGACTCCAGATACTATCGGATCCCAGGTAGGACTTATCTATCCAGCCCATTTGCCTGACACTGTGACATTAAGAATCGTTAGCAAAATTATGCCCGAATACTCAAAGAATTTATGGATAGAGACACAAACCATTTGCCAGTATGTCTCTCTATTGCGGAGTAACTCCTGGTGGGTTCCTTTCTCCACAAGACGCGAGCCCTTTCCACTCTCACTCTCCCCGAAAACAAATATCACATCCGCCTTCTGGATAGTCGCTAGTCTGTGTGCGACTGCAACGATCGTCATACTCCTTCTCTCGGCTAGTCGTTCAAGAGCAGCTTGGACTAGCTTCTCAGAGTTTGAGTCAAGACTGGACGTCGCCTCATCTAAAAGGAGAAGAGAGGGTCTTCGCAAAAGTGCACGGGCAATGCAAATGCGTTGTCGCTGTCCACCACTGAGAGCAGCTTGGGCTTTGATTCCCAGATGTGTGGAGTATCCCTCTGGAAGAGACATCACAAATTCATGAATCTCCGCGTCCGAGCATGCTTTTATCAGTTGTTCTTCGCTATATTCGGAATCTTCAAGTCCGATGGTGATATTATCGCGAATCGTGCCTTCAAACAGCCGGGGCTCTTGAGCTACCAGTGATAAAGATCGCCGGTATAAAGCCGGGTCGAGGCTGGCAATATCTTGACCGTTAATTGTAATGGTGCCTCGGAACGGATTATAGAACCGCTCAAGTAACGATATCATGCTTGTTTTGCCGCATCCCGAAGCTCCCACAAACGCAACAAACTGGCCACTTCCAATGGTGACATTGAGGCCAGTGAAAAGGGGAACGTTTTGGGAGGCATACTTGAATGCGACATTTTTAAAATGGATCTCAGCACCAGTATATCCAGATTCTTTCACCGCAACTGTTCCGGCAGAAGCTGGAGTTTCGGTAGAAGTGGGTCGGAAGTTCAGGATGCGGTTTGCAGAAGCAGTAGCCTGAGCAATATTGGGTCCGAAGCTCAGGAATTGCCCTGCTTGCTGCCCACCAATGATGATTGACATATACACAACGAAGAATGCGGTGGGCTGATACTCTCTAGACGCAAGAAGTTGACCACCATACCAAAATGTCAGCGCCATGGCGCAAAACTCCACGCTGTCGGAGAAAGCAAAAATGAAGGTTGCTGGTAGAGCTTTTCGGAAAGCATTGCGCTGCTGCTCCATTAAAAGCTCTGAATATCGATCCAGAATCTGGTTTTCCATGGTTAACGCAGAAACCGTACGGAACGCTTCGATAGCTTCTGCTGCAAATTGAGAACTACCTGAATATACCTTCGCATTCATGGCTTCGAACTGCATTTCATATCGGATACGCATGAATGATGCAAGAAATACGCAGGGAAGAGCGGCAAAGACCGTGACTGAGACTTAACTTCCAGCCAAATGAAAAGGCGATGGATATGCACCCTACCATGCTGCAGAGTGAGATGACCGGGAAGACGCCATTCAGACCAAGTAGCTCTTGAATCTGCTTGGGATCTGTGGCGAGACGCGAAACCAGGGAGCCGGATGCGTTGTCTTTCAAATCATAGAATGGAACAGACTGGCGGAGAATGTTTTCGAAATATTCTCTTCGGCACAAGGCAGCAATTTCCTAGATAATAATTCAGTATGGGTTTTTGAAAGCATTGATTGAACAGAATAAGGGAGAATGCACTAACATTAGACAATGTGAGGGCCGCGTATCCAATCATGCCATAACAGGCGGCAATGCCAAGTGCCAGAATGAAGAACCACAAGGCCCAAAAATTGGCAGCATGGCTGAGTTCCTTTCCCGTAAGACGGAATGCATCAATTAGGTTGGCAAAAAGCCAGCTCTGTAGTGGAAAAGCAGCTAATATGCGAGTCAGTCAGGCATTAGTGTTTTAGAATGATAGAGCATACCTCCGGCACCAAGTACTCCCAGTAAAGTGAGTAGGCAAAGTACCCAATGAGAGCGTATCTCGTAAAGAAAGACCCAAGTACTTGTAAAGAAGCCACGGTTTTTGACCTTGCCGGTTTTCTCGCTTTCAGGTTCGCAAGGATTATCAGCTGTGAAAGAATCAGGGCCTTTCTCTAAGGCCGCTTCTACCTCCTCGAGGTCATGTTCTTCGTCTGCCGCAATATCCAGTTTCTGCGCATGGACAAGACTACGATACAGTCCATTTTCCATATCAAGAAGTTCCTCGTGCATTCCAGTTTCAAAGTTAACACCTCCCCTCAACACAATGATACGATCGGCCCGTCGAACGGTAGACAGTCTATGCGCGATTACGATCGTGGTGCGATTTTTGGAAACTCGATCGAGGGCTGCTTGAACGATCTTCTCTCCACGGACATCAATTGCGCTGGTAGCCTCATCCAGAATCAAAATAGTCGGCTCTTTCACAATGCTCCGCGCTATGGCTAAACGCTGTTTCTGGCCACCACTCAACTTGGTGCCATTCTCTCCGACAATGGTCGCGTAGCCCTGTACCAGGTTAGATAAATGAAGTACCCCATTCAGGACTTGGACTTACATCAGGAAGCCGATCAATAAATTCGTCCGCGAATGCTTCCTTGCATGCATTCTCCACCAGCTCAGCTTTGACTGAATCGGGCTCGTGCTCCCACTTGGTACCAACAAGACCATACGAGACGTTTTTGAAAATGGTGTCATTGAAAAGGAACGGCTCTTGCTGCACAAGACCGATCTGGGATCTCCACCATTTGAGGTCCAATTCTTCGATGTTTCGTTCGCCCAAAAAGATACCTCCTTCTTCAGGGGCGTACCATCTTTCTAGCAGAGCCACTATCGTACTTTTCCCAGATCCCGAAGGACCCACCAACGCAGTAGTCTTGCCCCTTTCGAACCGAACCTCCATTTTGTGGAGAATTTTGCTCTCTGGTCGCGATGGATATGTAAAATCCACCCACTGAAAGGTAATATCACCTTGTTCTAAGGCTTCTTGGTCATGAACTCCACTTGCGACAAGTCTGGGTGAATCAATTATTTCGAAAAACGAGACCGATGCCCCAGCCGCTTTGAATACCATCACCAAAGGTGTTGCAATATTTCCGAGAACTGTCACTGCAACCATAATTGAGAAAAACACGCTAAAGACGACGGTTAGCAGGGAAAGTTATGATGGTGTGTGTTGACATACATAATGACCGTGTTGATGTCTGCAATGTGACCCTCTCGGTAAAGCTTCAAGCCTAGCCAGAATGCCAATGAGTAGCTGATGTACATGGCAAAGAAAATAAGACTGAACTGAATGCCCAATACGATGGCCAGGCTACGGCCTCTTTTCCGAGATTCTTCAACCCATTCTCCGTACTTCTTGGCGAGAGAGGTCTCAGCTCCGAGAGAAATAACAGTCCGGATTGAAGTAAAAACTTCAGCTGCAACTCCCGAGTGCATCTCATCTGCCTTATCCACCTTCGCTTGGATCTTGGTAATCGCCGGCAACGTCACACTGCAGACGATGAGAATGAACAGAATACATGAGCTAATGGCCAGTGTGAGGGCCCAGGAATATGTGAAGGCAATCACATATGCGGCGATCAAAAGAGAAATAGACTGGAAGAGAACGGCTAGCTTGTCAGAGATGCTCTGCTGGATCGAATTAGAGAGACTGGTGATTGCATTGACAACTGTGCCAACTGAGACTTGATCCAGTTTGCTGATGGGTTGAGAAAATAGCGAAGTCATGTACGCCAATCGCAGAGATGCCGAGACTCGCAGACTAATAACCCGGAAACAGTACTATTAACAATGCTGTCAGTTTTGACGATGGAAATCGTGGTGCCAGGCGATCATTACCATAGAGAAGTATGTCAAGACGAATTTTGCGATGAAAAGGTAAACTATGTAAAGACTTTTAACTGTTAGCAAGTCTGACTCTTATTTTAAAAACAAAATGACACTCACCTCTGCCGACTCACAGCTGCTTTGAATTCGGCTTCAGTGGTCGATGTCCCGGCAGTGAAATATGTCGTAAATTTTCCTACCAGTCCACCGAATACGATGTTCATGATTGGCAGAGGCTAATGGAAATTAGTTTCTCAATCATGTAGCTTACACGGTGGCATAAGCAGAGTCACTTACCGCACCAGAAGCTATGGAAGATGCAACAGCAACCGCGAGAACCATACGGTCCTTTGTGGTGGTATATGAGAGAATCCTCTGTAGTAGTCAGTCAACTGACACAAATTATGGTGGAAATAGACTAACAAAATAATCTTTGAGGGATCCAGAGTTCTTTTTCTCATCTTTCTCTTCGCTCTCCTGCCGGATATCTTCCATCTTGATCGTGTCTGGTTGTTGCTCAGGTGTTATCGGAGAGGAGTCGGCGGGTAAACCAGACTGTTCCATCTTTATATCTTCTGCAGAGACCCCCAGCGGGGGTGCTATAGAATTATGTTCATTCTTTTTCATCACGATCAAGTAAAAGATGATTTATAGATGAAGAAAAATAAAAAAAAGTGAGAGTGAGAATATCAGATCTAGTTGTGGATTTCGGCGCCTCAGGCAGACTTATGGGTCAGGGTCTCACGAGTCAGTCCATGTACACCCTCACAACTCCAACTTTGAAATGGACCGAAATGTTTAATATGCGTCAGTTCAGCCTGCTAATAATAATTTCAATGCAGGGCAGCTTATATACGAAAAGAACAGATCCTAACAAGTGTCCCGAGGCAGCTTTTTAAGGATTTTAGAGCCGAAATTATGAATACGAGTCTACCAAACTTATACTAGTGCACACGCGGATCTCCTACTTGGCTTGACTACGATAGGTCAAAGCTCGAGGTTATTCTACAACATTAAACGGGAGAAAACCACTCGGGGACTGGCTTGTCTGCCTACAGCGCTTCATGCCGCCAAAAACGGACAGTGACTCACGTTGATTCCCCACCGGAGGTCCGGGATCCTCAAGCCCCGACTCCGCTTGATATCTCCATTCGGATTTATCATGATCCGACCTGCGAATGCTTACATTCTTCATGTTCTCAAGATAAGGTGGACGCGTAACCTCTGAAGGATCCATTCCAGACTTTTGTGGAATATTCTTTCGGGTTCCGTGTTAATCGTGACAGATTCTCAACTCAAGTATTCGACATGTGCAGGAAAAGGGGTATTCATATATTCCTAGGTAGGAACTTGAATGCAATCTGAGAGCTTGTATCGAAAGACTACGCGTACATAATAACAGCGTGATTGGTTTGGTTCCAGATGCTGTTTATATGAGTTGCTTCTAGATATAAAATTCAACATTTTAATGTTGCAACCTCAAGTGCTTGGAAGGTCGCTCATGTCCGCGGTACTACTGCTACCCAGTAGTAGGTCAACTGATTACACATAGAATATGGGGACCTGTGAAATCGACGCCGAAAATGACAGCTTTCGACGCCAGAAACGGCCTTCTTTCCACCCGTAACATTTGGAGGGGAGCCGGCGCTTCACCGCCCCCTGTCCAGCACCATCACTATTTTGCACCCACCTAGCGCCTTTAGTCATCATCAACCGGCTCTGATGTTTGGCGCTCGTTCGACAGTCATTCCCTTAGATTCCACTTGCGACTAAAACGACGCCGAAAATGGCTCCCCTCTGCAGTCCCATCCAGGGTCCCTCGCTCCTCGCCCTGCCTGGCTGGGCGCTTATAAGATGCTCGTTCTCCCTCTTTCAATGTCCTCACAGCTCCCCAGTTCTCTTCTCATCTGTTACTCCCGGCTCCCAAATCGACCTCGCGAACCTTGCTGCTCGTGTTTCCAGATTCCACTCCTGGTCATTCATCTTTGCTTTCCCAAATGGCAGGTACACTCGTTCGGTCGGCTCAGAGTGAGGAGCACCAATACTGGACTGATCCCATCCTTTGCGAGGAAACTCGAGCCAGACTGGAACATTTCCGTCGTTCTGGATGGCTTCCTCCAAACTTCAAACCAAGGACCTTACTAGGTATTGCTGTTGTCGAACGCTACTGGCGAAAGTGAGTGTGGATATCTCCAGGATCAGGCACCGTGGATAGGTTTAACTCACGAGAATAGATTTTCCATTCAGTCGGAGGCGGACTATGTGGACCATCTTCTGCGGGAGGATCAAGCAATCTACATGAACTTTTTCGACTGGATGTCCAGAACATCACGAGAGAAGACTCTACAGTCTTACGATGAGTATTGGCGCCGCCTTTGCCAGTATTTTGAACTGTTTGCTCGTCGCCGTGTCAATGAAGACGTCCGTAAGCAGATGCGACGAGTACGAGCATTTCTTCCCTGGTGCAGAGACGAGGCTGATGGTGGCATAGTTTCTAGATGGTCCCTTCCCGGCCGAGCGCAAGATTCCCCGACGAACGAAGAAAAAGAATACCCTGGATGTAGATGTCTTCTGTGCGATCTATCGTCATCACTGGGTCCATTCAAGGTTTTTTCGTCATGGAAACATGATTGTTCAGTTTGCTACAGTGCAGCTATGGTCTGCCATTACCGGGACTCGCCCCGGTGTCTTGCTTCCACAAAACACCTCTTTACCCGGCAACCCCTCCCTTGGCAAACGCAAACGAGCCCACGCGTTTGAAAGTGATCTTCCGAAGTATATCTCATCGAAGGACCTTCCGGACTCTGTCTGCTATCGTGATATTGAGCTTTTCTATTTAAAAGATCCTCAAAGCAAACGTGACGTTCTCTGTGCCATCATAGAGTTTCGCAATCTCAAAGGTCGGCCAGAAGGCGCCGATGGGTAAGGGTGCCACTATACCTCAAATTCATATTTAATTGATCTGACGCCTATGTTTCTTTTCAGGACCAAGTTTTTCATGCACGGTGACTATCAATTGGCGTATTGCCCGATCGCTCAGATAGTCTCCTTCGCTTTCCGTGATGGGGCTTTTGTCAATACGGAACTCACACCAGAGCTAATTTGGAGGCTGCGAGTTCCCAAGCACACTTCGTCCCTTCCTCTTCGGTGGAAACCAGAAGTCCTGAACACTCCCATTCTCCGACGCTTTGAGCGCACTCCCTACGGCTACGAACTCCATGAGTCTTTATCGATGACCTATGAATCAAGTCGGCAAGCCCTCAAAGAGTTGGGCCGAGACGCAAAATTTGAAGACGATATTGGGCATTACAACTTTCGCCGTTGGACGGCAAATGAAGTAAATCGTAAGTTATTGTTGCGCCAAAATGAACATGCTATCATCATGAAGGCCAAGAAAACTTTGTGTTACCGATCGATGTTGACGAGTAGCTTCTAGGGAATTTCACGAGCCAGGAGCGGCAAAGGGTGCTTGGTCAATCTGGCGACGCCGTCTTTGAAAAACATTATCAATCACAATTCATTGGACGCGATCTCCAGCATGTCGTTCTTCTTCGACCATCTCAGGAGGGCCTCATACGTTTCGCCGGAAGTATGCTCAGGAAAAGGGATGTTCACGCTCCGTATGAGCTTTCGAATACGCACAAGCGTGCAATTTGCCAAAACCCGGATCTTCTGCAGTTAAGACGAGAGAAGAGAGAGCTCGGGGCGGAGATGCGATCTCTGGCTGGCTCAATCAAAAAAGCTCGAATTCCCTTTCCACACCTCCATCGAAAGCACGAAAATGTCAATAAAGAAATAGCGAAACTTCGAAAGAGGCTAGCAACCGATACGCGAGAGGCAGCTAGGAAAAACCATTTCCAGAATGCGCCCGTACTTGAAATCGACAGACAGATAAAGCAACTCCTCGGCGATACTGATGAAGCTTCTAGTGAAGTTCCGGAAAATGAAGACTCTGGTGATGAAACCTGGGAACTGCCTACTCCAGATTATGTCTTTGCCGAGCGGGCACGCCTGGTAGAAAACTTTTACGGACCCGACGCAGAGAACTTCGACGAGGACAAGCTACTCGCTCGACGCACCCAGGTTACTAAGGATATGGTTGCGCTATTGCGGCTTTCCGAACCGAGTAGGCGGGGTAATCGAGTCAATTGGAACATTGGCGATGAAGATGATGATTTGCTTGATCCGCCAGAGGAATCGCCTCCAATCGAGGAAGACACTATGAATTGTCCAACCAATATATGTATCATCTGCTGTGGTCTATCTCGCCAATCGTCATTGAACCCTCCGCATGAATTTCCTCCCCTATCGACAGGATTCTCTTCGCCGCCACTTGATTGATACGCACCTGCAACATGCGCGCAACGGAATTAGCTGCAATTGGGAAACCTGTCGCGATGTCCCGCTGTTCAGCGACATCACCAAATTCCTGGCTCATGCTTCCACTGAACATTCGTATGATATCAAAATCAAATTGTGTCATCTCCCGCAGGCATCACAAACTAGCTGCAGCGACGTTTCATCCAGAGAAGCGTCTCCAGTGTCGGAGAATCGACAAAGGACTGAGACTCCCGCCTCCTCCGTCGACCTCGAGATGAAAAATATTGACCCACGCTTGTTGGAGGCACATCCTGTCCCCGTTGCGATGGCTTTGCAGACTCAGCCAGTTACTGAAGTTTTATCTACCTCTGGTGGATCATCTCATCCCAACTCAGCCGAAACTCCGATAAAACGATCGACGAGAAGCACGGCAAAGGTGACAGAATTCGCTCCGACGCCAGAGACAGAATCCCGACCTCAATATGTGAGGCGCTCATCTCGGAAAAAAAGTCATACAGAGCAGCTAGTATGTGGAGTAAAGGAGAACAAGCGACTAAGCCACGTGAAAGCTCCCAAAGGGCCTCCGTTGCGTCGATCAAAACGACTGCAATCTTAATCAAATTTCTGTTTTGATCTTTCGGGATAATTGGGCTTAATAATTTTAAAATCTGTCTTTTCGGTATAGGTCATATCGCAAATATTTTCAAGCAGCAATGCTCGTGAATCAGTAGTTGATACGGAATCTTGCATAACTAGTAAGTTAATGGCCTGCATGACTAAGCATCTTGAGAAGACAGATGATCGCTGCGAGGACGACTGGCGAAGTCTTACATTACTCAAGATTTTTTTTTATCACAGATTCGGGGTTCAAACTGGATTTTATTCAAGGAAAGGCAATTACAGGAAGGCAATCTGAGAGATCTTGTGGCTACAGTATCGAAGTCATCGATAACGTTATTAACTAGCCCCGAAGGATATGGCCACAGGCCATGCATGACTTTGTCTGAAGGCCACTGGAGATTGTGGACCGGCACCTCATTCATACCTTAGGGAGCTCTCTAAGGATAGTGTACAAGAAAAGGTATTATTTAATCAGAAGCAACGACTAAAAGGTCAAATAGGACTAAGTACCTGGGCCCAGCGACACTGAAAACGAGGCAAGGGACCACCAACACATCCGCCAATTTTGGTACCATAGCTCTAGCGGAGTAGGACCATTATTCGTCCGAGATTTTCCCGAAGCAACTTATTTGAGAAGAATCGACATGGCCCCATTGCCCATCTCCGCTCTGAAGCTCCAACTCTTCCCATGTTCCCACTTAGAAGCGCCGAGACTTATCCTGGGGTTAAAAAGCACAACCCTTCAAGATCTGTACCAAGATCGCATAGTCGTTACTCCCCATGTGTAACAGCCCTTCGTAGTGTAGGCGCTTCAAAGCACTGCGAGGTCTCGATCCGTCACTAGTTTCGGCGTTGGATAGTGCGAAGTCTGGAGAGGTCAGTTGTCTTTCCCATCAGACGGTATGGATAACTTACTATTTGAGAGCGAAGGAAGGCCCAAAATCCCGAAGTGTCCGCCGAGAAAACGAACACTTGGCCCGTTTCACGGAGACGTATGCCCAGACAGACATCAGCGTCACACATCTTGCTATATTCGCATGCTTTCTTCATGAGACTTAATTTACGGCGACATCGTTTCTGACGCTTTGCTTTCCTGCTCGAACCAGATCGATTTGGTCGGTTGTTTGGAGTGGTAGTCATTGTGGAGTTGCCTATACAGCGAATAAAAAAGTTTCTCAAGTGTCTCTTTCGACAAGTGAAAGAGAAAAATGAAGTGAACAGAGCCAGCCATTCAAAGTTAAGTAGTCTCGATTTGCTGTTTTGTGTTTTTCAACGGTCCTGGGTAATCAGCAGTTTTCATGGGCCGTGTTAAAATATTTAGACCGTCAACAGTTCACCGTCCCCAGCATTCCTCTTCCGCTGACTTTATGTTTGATTCATGGCCCATGGGTGGGCAACAGTCATTTATATCCGCAGCTTGAGACGTGCAATTTGACACAGGCCAGGCAGATGAACAGTGATTAATCAATACTATATGAGCGATAGTCTACTGTGAGTACTGGAATTTGATTAGACCACTTTTTAAGAATTGAAGTGGGCAGTTTATCGATGGTAGAAAGGCACGAACATCAAAGTATGTGAAGGCAAATAAATCAATAGGATATACTAAACACTTTCCTCACTTCGCGTTTAAGGCGGCGATAAAGTACCCTGCGGTAGCACAATAATTTCTCTTAGCTTCATTCAGCGCAGGTAACATGTACCTGTAAGAACAAGTCGACTTTCACCAAGATCTCGTTTCCTCGTAAAAACTAAGGGTCATGGCCAACAGCCTATTCGTTTAAAGTCAATCGAGTACATGCCACAATTCAAGCACGTCTAGAACAAACTAGCTCACTATATTTTTTCCTATGTATCATTTGTTTCCTTACCTTCTTTAACACCAACATGTACACAGGCTCGGTGAACCCTCCAACATAAGCTGCCCCTCGATAATTTAAGGCCGTCGTACTTATTTGCGTTTACCTGTCTAATGGTGGTCTCAGCTCAGCTAAATTTCGGTCAACAGGCAATTTGATGATCGAGAGAATGTCTTCTAGAGTGGTACTCGAAAGATATCATTGTTTCTGGAGCTCAACCCTCGCATCTAGGCTCTATCATCAGAAAACCGTATACATGAAGAAACAGGATAACCGAAGCTATGATCTGCGCAAGACTCATATGGTGCATATGGGTTTTTCTTGAACCCAAGAAAGCTACATTCAGTGTTCGTATACACCTCAGGAATCATTTCCGTGGGTGTTGGTGGGTCTGTTCCTGATCTACGCCAGCCTCATATCACAACATTTCATTTCTCCCGCAATTTCTTTCAAAATGCCACAACTTCAAGTAAAAGAAACTAGAGCAAGAACAATCATATACTGGGGGAGGGGAGGAAGCTATTTCTTTGCCTCATTCTTTCTAGATAATGTTCTTGGTCTTTGAGCTGGGCACGGGCAGCGAAGTACATGTAACCACACTAGTAAACCCATTTGCAAATACAGATTCATTTCTCGAACGCTGACAGTTTCAGTGCGGACTAAAAACACTCCAAACAAGCCTAAACAACAGGCCAATCTTGGTCGTGTCCCCTATCAACTTGGCCCTTCCGTTGTCATAGATGTATTTGCATTTTGACGGGGTCGGATGCTGGGAAAACACGAAGAGGTTATTTTCTTTGTAGGTGAAGGAAATTCTTCAATTTACCACCATGGTAACGAAATGAAGTCATCGCCACCGTAGCCGCAAGCCCTGGCAACAAATTCAAACTCATGATCGTTCCTGCAAGGTGGGAGGTCTGACCAATCCTCCTTCAATGTGTATTGACACTCTCCATCACCTGCTTTCTCATCTTCTTCTTTAGTAGCGTCGAACAGATACCGAAGTACAGCCCGGCAACCTTTTTGAGTCCCAGCATGTCGCAGGTAATTCTGGGTATCCTGTGACGACTTGGTTTGATTGTTACAGCACCACTCGAGATTCTCTGTAGTGGGAACTCTTTTTGCCTTGAGACATTCCACGGCAACCCGGAAAATATTCACGAAGCCCTTTCGAAGCGACTTGTCGGTTCCAAGGCTCTCTCGCACGTTACGATCGAGATGCACGAGGATGTAGTCGTTATCGCTTATCCAAAAGTCACCATCATCAATTCCGTCCTGAATAAGGTCGTACTTAGTCTCTCCCTGAAATATCAAAGAGCTCCTCATTCGGGCGGATAGATATCCTTCCAGACACTCTCCACATTTACACCCGTATCGGAGGCATGCTTCATTAAGCACCAAAGTATCGTGTCTGGACAGCAAAGAGAGGCATGATACTGCGGTGTCAGGGTACCCTCTAAACTGGTCTGATAGGCTGAAGACCCTTAATCTGACTTCTCCTTGGGTTCGCATTATCTCTAGCTTCTCCTGCAACGCTTCAAGCGGGGTGTATCCGTCAATGTCACGAGCCGTTTTCCAGGAGTCGGCAAGTTGGACATTCTCAAGTAGCCATCGAGTGCTCATGGGCTTAAGCTCGCAAGCTGTCAGATGCAGAAGTGTGGCTTCAGAGTTGGTCACTTGATTCCAGCCAATCTTGACGTCAATGTGGGCCACGAAAAAAGATTGGAGGTCTTCGTCTGGCAGAGTGAGAGCTGCATGATGCAGCGGCAATACGTCACGAAGTCGCTCTAGCTTCAATCTCTTTGGCTCAATGAAAGAAACTGCCTCGGAGAGTTTTTCGTCCTCGAGATCATCGGCACAATCTCTTCGCGGGTCAAAATCGGAAGCTGCAGAAAGGGCGCGAGACTGATGCTGCAAATCGAATGAAAATGCAAAAGAGCGAGATGCTCCGATGCGGCGAAAACCGCACGCTCGCCAAAAGTGAATAGCGCCGAATTGAGCTTGGCCCCGAATCATCAAGCGTTCTTCTGCGGACTGGCCCACTAAACGCGGTTCGATATCCGCTGTGAGTATTCCAGGGCTTACTAGAGCATGAAGAGTCCACGTTTGTTCAAAGGTCCCATCAGAATCGCTGAAAAGATCTTCGTTCTCGCGTCTCCCCTTTCGTCCAGGCAGAACTTTTTGGCCTTTTTCAGAAGTAAGGACACCACTTCTTTCCCCAGCCCTTTCCGGCGTAGTTCAAGTGCTGTAACATGAAGTTTTTCGATCAGGAAAAGAGGGCCATGATCAAGCTCGTTTCCCCAAACACCAGAGCCTCTTTGTACCGGATGGTCTTTGTACTTGGCTTTGACATCTCCGTATCGATCGAAGACCTGAAAGGCCACATGACACGTCTCTTCGCTGGGCCTTTCCATCCTTTCCCAGAATTCAGAGCGCATGCCCTCTCGATGAATATACCGGGCTAGGGCGTTGGCAGCAGTGACGCCATCGCAAGTGCATTCGACGATGAAGTTAATCATCCACCTGGAGCAGTTCGTTCCCTTGTCAGAAGAAGTCAAGGAAAGCCGAATTTTCACGGTGCGTGCCATGTCACCGAAGGTGCTATACTCGTGTTCTTCCAGATCCATCTCACAATCGAAATTGGTCTCATCTTCCCTCCACCACTCTTCTTCCTCGGAGTCACTAAATTCACTATATTCAAAGCCATCATCTGTCAGATCATGGCCTTCGGATTCCGTTGCTGGTCGTGAGAAAATCGTCAGTATGGTTCACACCTCTTTGTAGTTGCCCGGTCCATTTGTATAAGTGAGTGGTAGGTGAACATACCGCTTCTTGTGAAGGATAAAAAATCCAAATCCGTTTTCTCCGCGTCGTTGGTCATTTATGTGAACAGCCTTGCTTCGTGGTCAGGTTGGAGTAAGGCCTTTATGAGGCAGTAGAAGAGAGGCAGTAGAAGAGAGGCAGGCGAAAGAGCGGAGAGATAAGAGAAAAGGAGTCGGTCACCTGGTGAGAACTGGAATGTACCATCACCGTGCTGCTGTTTACGACCGCCTGCGTACACGGTTTTTGCTATCGTGTTTTTCGAATTCAGCTTGAATCCAGAATTCTTGCGACCTGTACGCTTGTATTAAAATCTTTTCTAAAATAACTACGTTCGCGGTATTCCCTGTGTCCTTCCCCTTGTGAAATGACATTCAGTAGCCTACCACTGAGAAGAAGAAAGCAAAATTTGCTGTATGCGTCAGGTAAGGAAACCTGTATCGGGAAATGCTAGCTCAGACCCCTCTTCTAGGAGAGGTTAATGAGCAAACAGTGTCAAAGAACATGTAACAAAAACCACTTCACCTTTATTGCTAATGTGTTGATCACCAGCCCAGCTCTAGTATGATAGTTCAACTTATATCAATGACTTCCTTCAACATTTAAAACTTCAACAAGAGTTGAGTTTAAATTTGCCAGATGCACGATATTCAAGTCGATAATTACTGATACTACTCGTCGAAAATTGTTGATTTTTCATTTCTCATCGATTTTGTCGTTGTCATCGGTCAACATATTGACGATACACCAATCCGCCCAGTTTCCACGATAACCCTACTTGAAAGACTTTGAATTTCCCACTTAGCTGCATGGATGGCCTGACTCCCTGCGAATTGAACGCAAAACACTAAGCAACAATGCGAATCAGCACTCAATTTAGAGGTTTGCGGCAGATAACCAACTTTTCAAGCCGTACGCAGGCTCCGTCAAACATAGTAGCTATAAATCTACAGGTAGAACGTATCACTTCCTAGACGGACTGGCCTATATGCCATTCACGGTTTCTACCCTCATCGTGCGCGACTTCGGAATCATTGGGACGTGACGGCAAGTTTCTCGACGCAACACAACATCTTGATGCGTGAGGCTAAATCGAGCTTATTTTTTGATCTTTCATCGGGCCCACTTAGGAGGGCAGAAACGCGACTGAATGCGTCACCCGGAGCCTCCATCGTAAAATGGCAGTCGATTGCTATTCCCCTGTCTCAAAATCATATGAAAGTACTTGCACTTAATTGACTTTGTGGCAACTAGTATACCTACATACATATGGTGAATGAATGCTGGGTCGTGGTGGACTGGTGCTACTGTACTAAAAGATCGTTCAGCAAAAGTGTCAGAATTGGAGCCCCACAGGCCTGTCAGAATTAGCTAATATCAATGCCTCAGGCTTCAAGTCAGACCGCTGCGGAAATGGCTTAGTATGCAGCGAAACTCGGGATTCAAGGTGCTTGCACGATGCCTTTTGTACAGATTTTTAGCAGATATTTGGCGAGCGTCTGACGGTTATATAAATTGTTTGCAAAATTTCTTGCGCTGCGTTGGCTATATTTCCGAGGGCAATTGGGGATTTTCTAGGCGCTCTTTTTAAATAGAAAAAGAACCAGGTTGTTATGAAATCTCATTATTTTCGCCGTGGACTGAGCATGCTGATGATCGGTCATGTACGTCATTTTGTAATGCCGGCAGAACCGTCATCGCTTCATGGCAGAACTATCCTTATTCTATCTATAATGCTGGCAGAATTCTGCCCAGTCATTATTCTGCCAGAACTATAATCCCCATAAGGGCAGAATTTTACTCAGCGTTTGTTTCTGCCCGGACTATCTGTTCTTCCTTGTAGTGCCGGCAGAAACATTATTGTATCGATTCGACACTAATGACGATGAAACGTTATGATACTGTAATACTACCAAAAGCAGCCCCAAAACAGCATAGTTAGTGCGATAAATTACAACTTCATATCTCAACAACCATAGCTTGTCCTGAGATTTCCTTATAATTGTATGCTGTCCATGGTTAGTCTAATGTTTTTCGAAGGTCTCAAAGGGTTTTAGGAAGCGATGATCAGATAATATATCCTCAAAGCTCAACAACTAAAATTACAGTGTATTTTTGATAAAACTTGTCAAATTAGGATTAAATAAAAGTAGATTTTCTTTACCAGCCTTTCAATTCTCTTATTTAGTAGGATTATGTATATTGAGAAGAATGAACTTATGCTTATTGAGATACATTGTTGTATTTACTGTGGTATTTTGGGGTGCGTCATTCGCTTACACGCGTCACTCGCTTACCGACCATGTTATACCTCCCTGTGAGGTAGATCATTAAGAACAATTTAATTCCAAGCCTTATTGAAAATGTCGATTTACTCTACCTTTGGAGCCATTCTGTATGTTACATTTTAGGAATCTGGTAGTTCCTAGGTGGAGCGGCTCACTTGGCCGATTTCAGAGCGGTAGAACCCAGTGAATACTTGATGAGGGAAGATACTTCACTCCTGGGACGATGACTACAGCTTTCATACCGGATATAGCCGTCTTTCATGGACAAGTTGGATTCGCGTTGCCTAAGGCCGGGGTTGAGGATCGAGTTGTACGGTCCTGGTACTTATGGCAACCCTTTCTGATTTGTGGAAAAGTTATCAAAAGTATCATCATTCCAAGCAAACTGAAGGAGAATATATTTTAATGCATGAGATACATAATAAGTTATAAATTCGTGCGGAAAGTATTTGCCGGTTCATTTCACTCAGCCATTCCAGGCAGCCTTCTCTTACCACCACAATAACTGTTTTTTTTTGTTTATCATTGAAATCAGAACAAGTAATTGATTTTATTGAAGATGGTGAAGATGGTGAAGATGGTGAAGATGGTGAAGATGGTAAAAAGAAGGAGGATTTTTGGCTTCACATTCGATGACTCCTCAAATTTCAGCATGTTGAGAGATTGTGATACTGCTTAACGACGATGCAACATAATCTGGGACCGGAATTTATTGCCAAATCTAGGTCTCTTGAAACTTTTACTCCAGACTTCGGGCTGCATAAAGCTCTGCGAAGATCCGTCAATTCTAGCCATCCCTTCAGCATTGACAGCCCAGCCCTACCCTACGAGATTACTCTTTCGCCAGTCATCATGACCAGTCCAGAAAATAGGCTTTTGACTTGGGAGTCAGAGGACACGGACACCTGTTCAGTCCCTTCCGAGAAATCCTCTACGGTACCTTCGGAGACAAGTGACGACCGAGACTTCATCGCTTCAGACACAGAAAGACTCTCATATGCCTCACATCATTCATCGGGTGACTCGTATCCCTTCACTGGTTTCTCGCGTTCTCATGAAGAATTTGGTGTTCAAGTAAGCGTTCGGCGACACATTCCTGATCACACTGCTAATCTAGTCAATATCTCATGATAGGGCGGCAAAATTCCAATCAAAACACTTGCGCGACAGTCAGTCACCCAGGATGGTCAATCGGTCACCAAGTATCTTGTTCTGTGGTACTCGTGGGAGGATGAAGAGGTGTAAAAATTGCATGATACATTGGGAGTCAGAGGCAAAATATTGATTACAGAGCTCATGAGGGAGCACAAACGACATACAAAATTCAATCTTCCGAGCATCCTTTCCCCCGTCAGATGTGTTAAATTAGTTTACGCTATATTTCAGCTACTGATCTCTCAGTGTGTCGGGGATACAAAGTTTATAGATTGCACTATCGAGATCGGAGTGAGTCTCGAACTTGCGGATGATTTCTGATCACTTCGAGCCTCATATCACATTGAGCCCTGTACTGTATAGCGCATCTTCATTTCTCTGAATTCAAGGGAGCACCTGTCTATGCATTTCTGCGTTTTTTAATTCATCGATAGAATGCGTATTTGACTGATATTCAATTGACGAAAAGCCTGATTTTCCAAGGGACTGTGCATTTTGCCAAAATGACATCAACATTGGTTTTGTTGCTTTGTAGTCTTTTTATTGTTCTCTCTTTCTGCCGCTATATCATTTGGACTTCTCACTATTTAAGCATACTCAGAATCATCATTTGAACTGTCACATGGCTCATATCAGACCGCAAGCTATCACTGACTGCAGAGAAAGATGTGATTGATGAGAACAAAAATCAAGCAGAGTCTCCACAGTCGTGACGCTTCGGGGAACACCCTATCAGCTGATCCCTCCATTGTTACACTGGGTGCAATATGCGTGGATGCAGGGGCACCCAGTACACTGACATAGGACGTAGTGGTAACAGCAGCTATGCTCAGGGTTGGCAGGTCAAACGTGGGGATGATCAATGACAAAGGGAGAGCTGCAGTATTCCAAAGCAGCTCTGCAGTTGCGTTAGAATTTCTAGGCGCAGCAATGTCATTCTCGGTACATGCGATGGAAGCCCCACTGGTCATCTCGTTGCTGCATGGAAAAATTCTGATGATAGATAATTTAGACATCGGTGTAATAAAAATGTTGGGGCATTTTGAAGGACACTAACTTAGACTCGACTGTAGACCGGATGGGCATGGTATGACTCTAGGATGTATCAGACGTGTCCGAATCAAGAGAGAAGCTCAATGCAGTTTATGAGCCAATAGGAAAAAATGATTGCTGTATCCAAAGCGTATATTATATGAGTGACCGGACACAATTAATCGAGAATGGGTAGGTGTGTCTTCTCAAGTTTCAGGACAAGGCTCGCTTTTATAATTCCAAACATTTAGTTGGTCTCCGGACTTGAACCCTCAAGTAATTCATCAGTTGAAAGTTTTTCTGAGCTATAAGTGCTAAAATGTTCGAATGAACACAGGAAACTGCGCGATTTTCAGCTACAGTATTTGGTTTCCTAGGATCAATATCTTTCAATTTTGGTAGAAACTACAATTCTATACATCTTGACTGTGACATGAAATTGAGGATGGAGAGTTTTTTTGGTCGTTTTTCGAATTTGGTGAGTTGTCATCGTTGGGCTCGCCAGCTCTTGCGTGAGACAGTTTTTGTTGTCTAATTATTTCAAACTTTTCACCGTTTGCTTTTTGAAGGCCTCTGAAGAGCTGACTTGTGTTATTCACAGCTCCGTCAGTACTAAACCTATGCTCTCTCTGAGGCAGGGCTCATAACACGATAGAAAACCAGCTAAAACCTTTCATTGCTCAGTCTACACTTCGAACAATCAGACCTGACATTGAGGGACGAAACGAGGTGTTTATAGAAAATAACATAGCAAGAACATCATATTGCATTAATACTGAATCTTCAGCATCCACACAGTCTGCTATGTCTTCATGCATCAATTATTGTTTCTCCGATCTTCAAATGACAATACGAAAAACGTTCAGAGAAAAACCATACTCATACCTTTCAATCTCCTTCATCGGCCATGCTCAGATCGATACCAGCCCCTCGACTCATTATTGTGGTCTCGACGAAGGCAAAACAAGAGTGAAGACCGCGTCATCTCGTTTGACCTTCTCCAAAAGGTGAAACTTATAGAAACACAACAGTGCCAGAGAAATAGTAAGAGTTGCCCCAGTAGCGACAGTGGTAACAATGGCCATTACAGACCAATCTCCCCCTTGAGATGCGCAGACGTTGATGATTGTAGTCAATAGCCCAGCAGCGGCGTTCAGCGAAATCGGCCTATTGATTAATCAGTTTCAAATACCTTGGTTGTCGTGCGAGTGGTGCAGTAACTTACGTGAAAAGCCTATTGATCAACCATATGTAATTGCTTCTGAGCTTCGCAAAATGCAAAAGCCATGCGAAAGCTGCAAGACCTCCGAGAAGGAGACAACAGGCAATGGACAGCAATGGAGGATTCTGGATCGTGTGCAACACTGTTCGACCGGCTTTGTTGCCTTGCAAAGCATGTTCTACCTGATCGGAGCTTTGAAGAGAGGTAAAAGTGCCTGGGACGACCAGATAGCCAGCAAGCAGAGCCCAATTGGCCGCACTGACAGTGATGTTGAAGACAAAATCCATTTCCTCCTCTTCTCTAAGCATTCTTGCGTAGGGGGTCTCATTGATGCAGCGAGTGGGAAAGGGGGTGCTTGTGCTGGGGGAGGTACATTCCTCATTTGGGAAGCTGTGTACATGCGCAGGCTTTGCCCATGGGACATGCACCCTTGATTTCGCAGGAATATGCATGACAGGCTTTTTTTCCAAGACGTCTATGACGCCAATGAATTCCCAAATTTCGAAGCGCGGAGAACAACGCAAGCCAGCGAGGCTTTCCAGCATTTATAATAAGTCTAAAGTTTCCTACGATGCGATAAGCCCGCATTATTTTGATGGAAGGGATATTTAAATCGCGCAAATCATTTTTGTGATCTCATGGTAACATATCGATGCAAGATAAATTCACACAGAGGGTCGGATATTTTGAATCATCGTCCATAGAGAGTGATCATACGTACGTTTCAATAGCTACCTGGAGTCATCTTTAGTATCGGTTAAATTTGTCACTCAATCAGGCGGTCCAGTCTCACAAACAGAATAACTGAGGAGATTCTCTTACGATTATTTGTCGCTTGAGTCAACATAAATTCAACCAAGCAAGATTCCACTGCGAAGACACATTCATGCCTGCTCAAAAAGCCTCATAGCAGCTCGACGATCATATTTCACTATACGAAAGCTATAATGCGATATTCTGCAATGGGGCGAACAACTGTGTAAGTCATTTTCCCTTGCTCAGCCTTTTCGAAAGCCCCACCTGCCGCCTTCTCATAGCAACAATTGGTCCTACGAAGAAATAACTGGTATGTTCCAAGCACAGTCCAATAAATGTAGTAGATTCAAAAGATAGATATTTATCGTGTCTTTCAGACTTTTTTCTATCCAAGAATTGTAAAGGGTACTTCCTGGGCGGTCGACACTTGTGGTACAGCATTCCAAATGATGGGATCCGCGGTACACTTACAGATTGACTTTGGCTCAGCTTCGCTAGCCCCCCCCAAATTGATGGTAACCAGTACTAGGGCCGAGCGATGAGGTATGATGTGGCCGAGCGTGCAGCAGACCATAAATGCAACCGAAACTGCCAAGACTTCACATGCTGACAAGTTTAAAAGAAGCAGACAGCACTTTATCTTCTTTCTTTTTCAGACAACCCTCTTTTTGACAACCATCATATTCGACTCCACCAAAATTGCTGTCAACAATGGTGCAACTTGACAAAAAAGATTCTGATGATCGTTCCAATGAAATCATAAGCGATGACAAAACCCGGTGTGATAGTTTGAAAAGCGATATCAGCTCCCCAGAACCTGTAGGCTCCTCGGAGCCTTTGAAAACTCCTCGTACGGAGATGGGGTTTACACGTACAGAGTGTAATCACACAATGTCTCCAGCTGCCTCGAATGAAAGAGAAAAGTCACCGGGACTGTCTCATTTCGGTCAGAATGAACAGGCTTGGTCCGCAAGCCCTCGGTGAGTGCACTTTTGCTCTTTGCGTTGTAGAACCAAAAGTTTCGCAGACCAAGTGTGTCTAACATGACTTTAAGGGCAATGGGACGGGTGCAGAAGCAAAATAACCGGTCGACAAGACGAAAAAAGTCAGTTCGCAAAGCCTTTGTCATTGTTTGGGGGCTTCACCCAATCATAATCATGTGACTGACCCAAGATCTAGATCGATGTCGAGAAAGCGAAAGGAAAGCCGCCAGCACGCTGGTGACAAATAGTTACACCATCGCCAAACAAACCAAAGGCTGGGTGATTTTTGAAGGAAATGCGGGGGAAAGGGGGAGATTGGGGGAGGGGAAGGGGGTCGTCCGGCAAAAAGTCGGGGTTGAAGTTATAACTGCGCACACGAAATATACTTATCTGGATGCAAAAACAGGGCAGTCGAAGAATCATGCAATGCCCCACCAGCATCGGTGCCAAACTGTCGGGGGATACCCTTCTGTCAGAAGAAGCTTGCATTTGATAGATCACATTTCTGTGTACGTAACCTTCCGCCAACCTGCGGCTTCGGTGTATGGGATTGAGGGGTATTCTGAACCTGACTTGGAAGACATCTATCTACATGAATCAATCGACTTTTGCTTTCCAAGCATACGCGCTGTCCACTTAATTGTGTACACAGTACCTAGCTGGTGATACCAACACAAATATTTATGTTGAATATACTGTGCATATCTGCCTGATTCTATTGAAGAGCATGTGAGCTGAACATATTGTCAAGCTGGCTGTATGTGAAATGGCTGCATACACGAAGGTCATTTTGTATTTAGGGCGAAGATATTGTTCAAACCAATCAATCAAGCACTATATCTAGAACTCAATCAGTACATGAGAACAATAGTCAAACGGAGGAATGACCCGCGAAAGGTAGTGCCTAGCTTCCAGGCCTCTAGTCTTAGATCCTAGATGATGATCTAAATGGTACCCGGAGCACAAGGCCAGCTCCTGGGACCAGACTGACGCCTTCTTTCCATTGACATCTTATTTCCAGTACCGTGCCTTGTCATAATTTTTTTTTTAGGTAGCATTGGTGAAATGATACGACTGGCATGCTCTAGAAACGAATGCTGTGAAGCAATGTTCACGATCGGCATTTATTGAAGCGGCATATGGGCTCAAGAATGCTGGCAAATGTATATTAATTCATGAACTATTCTCTATTGAGCTGGTAGATAGTTTTGCAAGCATAGATAAACCAATATTCAGGTCTTTGTACCACGTTCGTCAACCTACAATACACCTCATCAGCCATATCTCGTCCAATACCTCCATTTTTGCCACCGCCATGTCACCCGGTTTATCCTACCATAGCCCTGCATGGAGACAACAATTCTCCAAGCCTGATGCGCTCCAAAAGTACCTCTGCACGTGCACAACGGATATCAACAAGATACATGGAAGACACACGCCCTTGATGCTTGTCGTGAAAGCGTGTGATCACGCAGCTGTCGATCTCCTGTTGAAGTATGATGATCTTCGTGCTTCTCGATGCAATGCTTACGGTCAGACTGCGTTGTCGAGGGCCACCACGCAGGGCAGTGTGTCAATCGTACGACAGCTGCTCCGCCGCAAAGATATTGAGTTCTACAGTCAAGATCAAAAAGTCCAGCAGCCACTCCTGGTGGCTTTGGAATACCAACAGTATGAGATTTTGGAAATCCTCTTGCGGGATCATCGGGCCAAGATCAATCAGAAGAATCACCGCGGCCAAACCCTCCTGCATCTCGCCGTGATCTACGGAGACCTTCGCGATGTTGCAAGACTTGCAAAAGAGAAGCTGATTGATGTCGATTGTCCCGATCATCTGGGGGAGACGCCCCTCATGTTGGCTGCGAAGCTCCATGCCTGCGATCAGCCCAACAATGTCAAGATGCACAAGTGTCTGCTCTCGAGGTCCAAATTTAGGGTCGATCGAGATGAAGGGGTTCATCTGTCCTTTCGCATGCCACGAAGACTTTCAATACAGAGCTGATCCAGTTACTCGGCTTCCTCGGTCGGATTCAAGACATGGGGCAGCGATGAAATTACTTTACTGGCCGAAGCAGGGGCCAGCAGGCTAATGCGACCGTCAAAACTCGGTTCCCTTCAACCCGCGTGCCACGATGCAAGTCACATCCCTGCTCCAAACATGTGCGAAGGGCAATCATGCGATAGAGGTTCAGGTCAGGCAGGCCATGACGCATTAGAAATCGAGAATGTTCATGAGATGTAACTTTCATCCCAACTATCAGGTCTCTAATCTAAGCGCATTCAAAGAACATGTTATGAGCAGTATATGTACACGAGCTCGCTATGGATCTCAATGGTAGAGAGAGACAAGTTTCTAGAGCTAGTTTGTAAGTCCGGTCAAGGATGAAGTTCCGTGGCTCCTGGTCCAGGATGTTACATCGACAGTGGGTCTTGCGCCACATGGAATTCTAGAAAGTGATCGACAAGTTCCAGAGCCACATACTGGCATCTGATTGGCCAGACATGGTGGGGTACTGTGATTCATAATGGGCGCCACGGATTCTCCGCAACAAAAGCAATGCCTTGGCAGCTGCCTTAGCAATCAAGATTGCTCTAAAAAACCTAGACGGGTCCGTGGTAACATGGCCGGTAAGTTTGATTTGCAGGAGCAGGGCCCGCAGATCAGCCAAAGTCTTGCCGGGGTACTTACCAGGGTACTTGCAAAGGTACTCGTGAACCCTCGGTTTTTACCCTGCCACGTGCGTCGATTGCACAAAGATGAGCAAGAGAATATTTTGCTATGTTCGTATTCATTGATTGACCTCTGATCGAGAATTGTCAATGGCCAAGGCAATCGTCCTGAGTGGGGTAAATTTCTACGATGAGTTGGAGAGTGGGACGGCGAGATCGAAATGATCGGCCGGCACCTTAAACCTTATTTGGCACGTGGGTTGCGTCGATCGAAACCAGCTGGTCCAAGAGCGGCTCCGTTCCACACCGGAGACCAATTGGGCAATGGCCACGATACCGTGAAATTTTGAGAGGCAGGATGTAGTCAGCGATAGAGAGCAGTACTGTAATACGTGGGAAAGTACCGACTAAATACCGACTAAGATGTCAGATTTCTTTACAATGTTGGGATCCGGACGGGTATCATTGATGCGTTCGCCCGCTCCTTCCCCCTCGACATAGCGATCTTCTGATCAGGCCGCATTCACAGCTCTTAGTCGGTCGTGAATTTTTTTCTTTTAGCCACGAAGTTCTTGACTCTGGCTAAGTTCGTAGCCTGGGATGCATAGGCAACGCTAGATACCCGCACTGCGCCTAGGGGAGGATGCCTGAAATTCTAACGTTTCTCTAATAAAGTCGGCTGGCCCTATCACTGCCATTCAGAATCTTAAAACTCTTTTGCAACGGATCGCAGCAAGCATGTCGCGCACAGATCGTTCTTGCGCAGCCGCTCTCCTTCACTCCCGGTCTCAAGGTCCAGTCATTTCGAGCATCCTGCTCGATACTACCCATTGAGATCTCACTTTCTGATGAAAACAAGGAAAACGTGCGCTGCTAAGGCTCTATGAGCAATTCGCGACTATAACTGCAATGGTACTCAATATTGATGCAGATGGCCAATGCGTTTCGCCCTCTTTGAATGCTGTATTGTAATACATCTGTCGCAAGTTGCAATGCAACGCAATTTCATTGCCACGGCGATCGTATCCATGGAATCCATTTTATCAATACTGGTACTCAGTCGCCGATGTAACCCATCGCAAGCAATGAACAGTCTACATGATCGGTTTGATGGAACCAAGGGGCGGTTCCCCCTGGCAACATGAGGCCGACCATAGATCCATGGGAGGTGCGTCTACTGGCCGAAGAGTCTCAAGAAACTTTTCCAATGCCCCCCAAAATCGGTGGCCGTCCCCATGAATCTGCGCAGGGGGTTTCTATGAAGAGACGTAACCGACTTGACATAAAAGGAGCGAGATTTCCGGCCCAGAAAAAATCAGGACTTTCCTCCTCACACTCCCGTGTGTCATGGTTTCCATCTCTTGTCTGCAGGCTTGAGGGTCTCCATGGCCACGGTTCCGCAGTACAAGCTCTGCGTCATCAAACATGCTTCGCAGGACGGGCTCTGCGTTACCAACTGTTCCTCGCAGGACGGGCTCTGCGATACCAACTGTTCCCCGCAGGACGGGCTCAACGTTACCAAACATGCTTCGCAGGATAGGTCTGCGTTATCAATACGCCTCGCAGGAGGGCGCTGCGAGAACAAGTCCACCCCGCAGGATAGGTCTGCGTCATCAATATGCCTCGCAGGAGGGCGCTGCGAGAACAAGTCCACCCCGCAGGATAGGTCTGCGTCATCAATACGCCTCGCAGGAGGGCGCTGCGAGAACAAATCTACCCCGCAGGATAGGTCTGCGTTATCAATACGCCTCGCAGGAGGGCGCTGCGAGAACAAGTCCACCCCGCAGGATAGGTCTGCGTTATCAATAAGCCTCGCAGGGGGGTGCTGCGAGAACAAGCAACTCTAGCCAAGTGCAGGCACCTCTACGTGGTGCTAGGGACCAGTATTCAATTCTCGCTCTGCAATTGAAGAAGCCAAGACCTGCACCTCCATCAATATTTCACTTTTGTAGGCCCGGGCCACGGGCGAAGAGACTGACAGCAGGGCCATGAGAGCGCATTCCGGGGCGTGTTTTCACTCCAAGATAGCATTGTATAGAGAATGTATAAACCAGAATTTTGCTGTTCCAGATTTCGCCGTGCATAGTAGTACCATGTCCAGAATCTGATCTCATCAGATGTACACACACGTAGAGGATGTATACACACACGTGCAGGCTGGTTGGCTCGGTCAAAGACCATCAGACTTGGGCAAGAACGCATGATACACGTCTGTCTCAGAGGTCAGGAAACCCAAGATGACTGTTGAGGTTGGCTTTAGTGGTGACGGGAAGATGCGGTGATCAATAGTCCAAGGTGGCAACCAGCCTGCTTTGGTGAACAGTTGCCCAGCTCTGGTAAACATTTCAGCTTATTTTCGTAAACAGTCGAGCCTGTCATGGTGATATTTGACAGAGCATTCGTGAAATGTTGAATGAGCGTGCTTAAACAGTTGATCCAGTGTTGGTAAACAGTTGAGCCTGTTTTCATCAACAGTTGACTGAGCGTGCGTAAACAGTTGATTGACCATTCGTAAACAGTTGAGCCTGGTCTGGTAAACAGTTGAGCCTGTTTTCATCAACAGTTGACTGAGTGTGCGTAAACAGTTGATTGACCATTCGTAAACAGTTGAGCCTGGTCTGGTAAACAGTTGAATCTGAAATGAGCGCGCGTAAACAGTTGAGCCTTTTTTCATCAAAAGTTGACTGAGCGTCCATGATCAGTTGAATGATCATTCGTAAACAGTTGAGCCTACTCTGATAAACAGTTGAATCTGTTTTCATCAGCAGTTGACTGAGCGTGCGTAAACAGTCGACCGGCATTCTTAAACAGTTGATCGGCTTTCTCAACAGTTGAGCATACTCGAAAACCAGTGACCACCTTGGAACGGTGACCAGCTTGGAAGGACAGTGGCCAGCCTAGAAAACAGTGACCAGCACTGAAAACAATTTGTCGATGGTGACAGGGTCAACGCGTCGATGAGTAGACTGTCAATGCTGAGTCTGGACGCGTTGTTGTCAAACGGAGTGAGTCGCTCAGGCGGTGTGTCACCCCTCGCGCACACTTCGTCCAACTTGGGAAAGACCCCACCCACATCACTGTATTTTTCTCAGGCCAACACCCGTTGTCAAGTCCTTCTAGACAGGAATTAGAGTCGCAGCATAGGGCCGGCAGTTGTGTACCAAAAAGAAAGCTATGTTATTTCATTAAATTGGGAGGCCCTACACCAAGAATCCCGTTGGCTAAAGCTTCTCGATATATATATATATAGAGCCGCACGTCTCCCAAAGAATAAACAACATGTTCCACCTGTGGACTATACACGCTATGACATCGAACTCGCATGCGTGACTTGAATCTCTCTAATGGCCACATAAAAATATGACCAATAAAGTCTACACCGGTCTCTTCTAAGTACGACTGTGATACATCATGAAACAAATCGGATTTAAGTTAATTCAAAGTCAACCACGTATGATACAAACATGCAGCTAATGCTCAGCAACTCCGCCGGCCACAATGGTAGGTTCCATATTAAATGAGATGTCGCGCGTGAGCCCTAAATCCGATAAAATGACACCGTACACGTACGTTGTATATATCTACATTGTGAGCTTCCCCTTGCCCCACCCCGAGACAAGGCTATCGTATTACGAACATAGAAAAGCATGATCTACTGCACGTGTCTCATTAATGGCAGTCATCGGTCCACGGGAAGATTCTGGAGTCGGATCAGGGCAACGATGCAGGCGGTTGAAAAAGCATCGAGCAGGAAGCAAATTGAGTCCTGCATCCAACATCCTCCAGTCTGTCCCGTTTGACGGGCAGCCTGGTCCCGGGTCTGAGTTTGCGCTCTTCTTGATAAGGTGAGAGCACCTGGAAAACTACGAAAGAGCCTCACAGTCACTTTTCGTCAGTCAGCAGCTCACGCGGAACATAAGATGCGCCTAAGTAGGCAAGTCAAGGCCTTGTGGAGATCATGCGTTGCAATCAGCTACACAGCTACGCAAAACTGCTCGTCTGATGAGACACATGACTGTGCGTTAGCTGAGATATGTGATTAATGAGGTGGCCGGAGAAGCGTCCTGTCATGACGCATCACCCGCGATCAGCACGATGGCATTCTTTAGATCAAAGTCAGCAGAGCCTGCTGTGTTTGGAAAGAGAGCAAACAAGCGCGCTGGGGAGAGCCTGGAGTCGCAAACATGACTTTCATGCAGCCATGCAGGAATGTACGCGACGGCGCAGATGTCACAGGGACTCGACAGGACGATGCAACGTAGGGAGACACCGAGCTTGCATCTCACACCACACCACCGTGGCGCAACTCCCACTGTTGTACTTGGATGACAAGCAACCGAGCTAGATGTCCAGCGCCAGTACGCAAGACCCCTTCTTTGTTCTGCCATGGCAGTTCGACGGGTAGCCCTACATGTCATGACTGTCTCTTCATAGATTCCCACTCCCATCAGACTGAATTTCTGGGTGAAATTGATATCACCAAGTACAGAATTCTCTGAATTTTTCGATTCGCCAATAAAATGGGCATAGATTTTTGGAAGCTCAAATCGACTTCTCTTCAGCAGTATCGGGGCGTAGCCATATGTCACGTGATGGGATGACAGGGGGTGTTGGGAAGGAGACCCTGGTGGCATTCGGGCCAGCAACCAACAAGAATCACGAGAGATCCATTCCATTTGGACGGCTCGAGCACGACCGTAATTTGAGGTATACTGCGAGAGACGGCGCAAATTTACAACAACTTGCATGAGATCTCCCAGACCTCGGAACAATGGATATGATCAAGAGAAGGCTTTCTGCAGTGCTTGAAATTGAAAGACTGTATGCAAGCTTGTCGGCTGAGGTCACCGGCGGTCGCGCTTCGTAATTGGCTCGGTCATTTGAGCCAGAGTTGCCGAGCTTGTAGACTGCACTGCATGGCTGGGCAGATGTGGCTTCATGTCACCCACATTTGGACACAATCGCTCCACCGACAGAACATCAAGTACCAGCGGGCGCGATATCATATGTGCCGTTTGGTAGTTAAGTCCAATCAACCCGTGAAAAGAGCCAGTCCATCGACATTCTCATCGAATGAGGTGATTCCCTTTGTTGAACCTCTACTCAATTTTCGAATTTCGTCTTGTCCCGATCGCGTGCCTGTGTTCAAGCATGAGCGAAGTGTCCGCTAGCATACCATTGCTGACACCGAGTAGATGACAGGCTGGAATGCACATATGCTCTATTACTGCTGAGTGTCCAAGGAGATCGGTCGCGCAGCCGATGGACAGGTTGGCAAGAATAATATATTCGCCGGCTGAGCTACTTGTCAAGCAAGGATGCAGCGCGGTGTCGGCGCTCGCACGTTCATGGCTGAAAACCAGCCCGGTGTCTCCAAAGCCAGGAATGGTTGGCAACGGCGTGCCTTTCCACCAGTGCTTGACAAGGGAGGCTATCGATCCAACGCGACGGCAAAGGCGGTGAGGTCGTCCCAGACGCGGGGTGCAGTATTGTTTACGCGACGTCCTGCGGAGTCGCTCCGCACATGACAGTGGTCTTTGAAATAAGTCAGAGGATATCGGATATCCTTACATACATACTGTACAAAACATAGGACGAGTAGATGACAGGCAGGGATCCACATTGACTCAACTCTAGCAGACGGTCTGTGGAGATCGGTGGAATTCGGTTGCGCAAGTGGACAGGTTGGCAAAAATAATAACATTCACCGGCTGAGCTGCTCGTCGAGCAAGAACGTCGAACGGTGTCAGCGCTCGCCCGTCATGGATGGAAACACAGCGTCGCATCTCCAAAGCGAGAACGGTTGGCATTGGCGTGCCCGTCCACCGGTGCTTGGCGAAGGGAGGCTGCTGTTGATCCCTCCCACGCGACGGCAAAGGCGGTGAGATCATCCCAGACACGGGGGCCGCATTGTTTACGCGACGTTCCGCGGAGTTGGTCCGCACATGACACTGGCCTTTGCAATAAGTCAGTCGATATCAGATCGAGAGGATCTCCTCACAGCTCTTCATACTCGACTTGAATTGATACTCGGCTCGTTCTGGTGGCTTCCAGCTGACAATACAGCCCATGTATTGGTGGCTCTGCCGGTCTCAAGTTTGAGTCAGTCAATGCTCGCTCTAGTCGACTCTTGAAGATCGGTTCCGATCTCTCTCTCTCATAAGTGATATCACAGCTGTAGCCGACTGAAACGACCATGGAGCATACCTCGAGCAGACGTATCTGATTTCCTCTCGGCTCCCGGCCGACTTCCACGAACCCCTCCCACGAGCCCATCCCCACATGTCAATGCCCACGAGCTCACTCCCACAAGCCGATTTCCACATATCAGTACCCACGAGCCCTCTCCCACAAGACCAATGCCCACATATCAGCCCACATATCAATGCTCACAAGCCAACTCCCACAAGCCCACTCCCACAAGCCCACTCCCACGAGCCCACTCCCAAGCCCACTCCCAAGCTCACTCCCACAAGCTCACTCCCACAAGGCCGACCGAGTCCAGCCATTCCACTGACCTAAGCCAGACTTCCGTGGCGGTCAATCCTTCGTGAACATGTTGCTCAGCATGCCCTTTCGTTTGAGAAACCGGCAACGCGTACTTCCACATGAACTGCATATCGGAACAAGGTAGTCGAACGCCTGCGGCGGTGATGGCGTGCTTTGGGTTTCGCACGGAGGCACATTCTGCTGGGCACAACTTAGCAAATACATCCGAAAAGGAAATCTTGACTCACGTTTTCCGATGATTGATCAGTGTCTTGACGGGCGATCGAAAATTGGATGACGGTGCAGTATTCAAATTGAATAAACTCATTTTGGCACTGCCCAATCACCAGGTGACCTTTTGGAAAGTCTGGCAAAAGCGCCAATGCTCAACATTTGGGCTTAAAGGCAGACGATGTTTGTATCCTCGCCCCAGATCCCCGCCTCAATCTGCACGATGAGGGCTGCTCATTTTGGGGAGCGGGAATACCAAAGGCTCCAGGAGCGTATGGGATATGATTTGGTCGCCCTTAATCATCCGGTCACCCGTCTGTACTGTACTGTGAGGGTGGTCTTATAATTGGCGTCTCGGCTGAAAGGATCAAGTTGTCGGGATTGGCGAGGGACACTCGGTGTCGGAATTTGACGTTGAGGCGCCAGGTGAATTGCCATTCCTCCGCGGTCGATCTTATGCTTTCAAGCGCGCGTGCCAATGTCGAGACGACATACCCGTCACACGGTATGCTCAACTGAGGGGCCCACCTTCTCGCCATAATGGGTTGGCCGCACTACCGGGATCATCTGGGAGATTGCCGGAACGAGCGTCCTGTAGTCACGCCCATCTCCGAGTTGTCCACCATACCTCTTTGTCCATAGCGGAGTGTGTTTGTAGACTTGTCTGGCACACTGATTCATTGTCACCCCTCGCGAAATATTGGCGGCGTGTGCCTTGATACAAGATGTGCTGGAAGGTGGTAGTCTATCGCAACCTGTAGCCTTGATCATTCACCCAAGGTGTGCCTGGAGGCATGTCCTACTGGGTACGGGATTAGTGACTGGACCAGGAAACGACTTCTGACTCACCTTTCTAGGCACCGGGCTGACAGCTGAACCATCTTGGTCGTATTGACCTGAGGTAGTTGAGGATGAATTGGGCTGGTCGCAAGTCTGGTGTCCAGCGCAGTCTTCAATGGCATTAGGCTGGCCGGGACAGCTGCACAAGACAAATTGCTCGTGCTGTCATAATGGAAGAATCTCAGAGAGTCGAAGTTCAGTTGGGCTTGGTGGCCAGGCTCATAGGTGTCATACATGCGAGATGTGGAGATGCGGTTGAGACTTGTGACCCTGGTCCTAGCTGATGTACACGAGTGATGGCGAAACATCAATGGGCAACGGAGCTGGATGACTTCGTCCATCGGGAGGTGTATGGTCTGTATCAGTCAGTAACGAGCACCGGCACCAAAGACCAAAGGCGAGGAAATTATCTTGGGCAGGGGCCTGTTAAAACAGAGGACGCCCTTCCGCAAATGATGCAATGCTCAAGCTGCGGGCTCGCAGACACAAGTCGTCCATCCCTTTCGCGGCGGTGACGAGCGCTGTATCAACGAATTTGCCCACAACCGACTCTGGTACGCCACGGAAAATGGTTCGAATGATGTTTTTGCTCAATGGTAGCACCCGGTCGTGAATGGCAACATGTGCACGGTGGATAAAGATGTTCGATGCGCTGTGGAGGCAGAAAATGGCAAGCTACCAATGGAGACGTCTGGCGCAGTTGTCAGAGGCAGGATGGACGCAATGCTCGGGTAATTGTGACGCAAAGCATTTCGTCTCAGGAGTTGACCAAGGGTCGCTTCTCACTTGTCGTATGACTGTAGGGGGTTGGCGCTGTCGCTGGTCCTGCAGAAACAGGATGAACGATATGTCTGCGATCCGCTGTTGCAAGACAGTCGCATGTCTCTCCGAAAGGTCACTTTCGTCGAAAGCGATGACTCTATCCTCTGGTGACAATGGCTTCCATCAGATTCGACAGGGGTAGAGGAAAGTGTAGAAAGCGACCGCAGAAAGCGACAAGCCCTGTAGCAGATCTCAATGTTCCATGGCCATCTTGTTGGACTGGTCCATGGCGATCGACGTCTGTCCCCAAAAAGCCAAATCTGTGCATCACCGGATAGCCCTCCGGTATCCTTCTTCATCATACCCTCCATAGGCGCGGAAGCGGGACTCATCTTGGAAGGGTCCCTCGATACCCAAGCTGATCAGACTGAGGTTTGATCACCTCAGTAGGTACAGTATCGCGTGTTGTCGATCGGTATGTTAGTTGCATGGCTGATTCAGCTTTCCAACGATGTGAAGTAGAAGCTGGTGTTCTCAGTCGGCATCAGTGGATAAGGCGAAAGACTGGAGTGATCAGGCAATTGAGATCACATTGACCGTCGAGACAGTCTCCAAAGGAATACACATCGCTTCATGTTTAGGGTGGCACGATGCAAGACACGCGCGAGGCTCGTTGAACGTCATGCTTCCAGCGTCTTGACTAGTGGCCCTGCAAGGTGGTTAGCATGTGTCTGATAATGAGGGCTCACTCACGGTCTTGTTATCTAGTCTCACCCTGCACCTACGACGGACTACACTACCAAGCAAGACGTGAAAGAGTCGTCTTGCAGAGACAAGTCCCAACTCCAAACCGACCCAACGCATCTTCCGTCTTGTAGTACATGAGGTCGGTTGGGTCCGTCTGTCCTCCAGCCAAGATCATGGCAGACGATGAATGGGTGGTGATGGGGCAGAAGCACTGAGCAGGCGTACTTATTTCAACAAACGTTCAGCCGCACCAGACCGGTGGCCGCGATGGCGTGCACAAGTAGCCATGCTTGACACACTATCAGAACATCGACCCATTCAAGATAACGGCGACATGTGCATGGGAAGGGGTCTACGTGGCGGTGCTCAGAACTCACCGGCCTGGCTGATGATCGCCGAAGGCACTGTTTGACAAGCACATGTCAGCAGTAGAACCAAAGTCCGGGCTCATGACTCACATCAAGAGCTTGAGGCTCAGGCGCGACTCGGTCATCAATGTTGTTGGCAGGTAGATGTACAACCTTTGGAGTGCTGACCTGGATCCGTCCTATTGACTTAATCTGGCTGGTCATCATATTGGTTGTTTCAGCACCGTCCGATGGTATGGGCTGACAGGGAACTTACCTGCAGAATGCCTCACTTGCACTCTTGTGGTCAACAAGCTAGTCAGAAGTCACATTGTTAGCTCAACTCGACAAGGCACATGGATACAGCACTCACCGAAGATTTGTCGCCAGTCAAGATCCATGGTCTGACCGGCACGAAGACGGATTCAGTGGATTGAACCACCCAGTGGGTAGAGAGAGGCAAGTGACTTGGTATGTAGCTTGAGTGGCCACCGTGGGTATCAGTAACAGCAGAGGCTTGGGGTCAAAGAGAAGACTTATAATCTGCTGCAGGAAGGCATGTTCATTTCAGCTCGAAGGAATCCTTCAGATGCATTAAGGAAGATAATTGTTTCGACAGAGAACCGACGGGGGAGGCCATATTTATAGGTCTGTTGTCTGGTCTTGTTACCGCTTGCTTTGTACTGCCACGGTAAAGTCTTTTCTGTCTATCAATTTCTGGGGGCCATTGTTTTCGGGGGCATCGAAGTTGCCTGTGCAAAATCAGGCCTGTTGAACTTCGACTTACTTGAGGTGACGGGCTATGCAAAAGTCAACAGGCAGATGAAAAGTGAATGGTCATGGTCAGGGTGAATCATGCCTTCAAGTCAATTTCTGGAATTTCGAAATAATAATAAATTATTAAATTTTTTTTTTTTCATGTTGTCTGTCTGAAGCGCGTTGATCAACGCTCAACCTTGTCTCAACGACCGTACTTTCAACACTTGAAAACGGTGGGCAGCGATCATCGCTCGACTGCGACAGCATGCACCTTTATCACCATCATCTGAAGTTCAGCATTGGCTGTTGATTCAAAACAGAGGCCGACGATCATGCTCTGTTCTGAGTAAGTCGCCTCACTTGTTGATGATCGAATTTTCAGGGTCTAAGCCATCGCCCACTCAAAAGATTTCCACTGTGTGTACTGCAGCCATGCTGCATTGATTGTAGTGCTACGGCTCTTATTTTGACCCGCCCGGGACAACACACATCGATGATTGAGACCATAAGTCGGACTTCGGCCAATGCTAGCCAGAAAGCCTTTGGTGTTGGAATTCCAGATCTACTGAGCTGAACGGTCAAGGCGCGCTCAATGGCCGCAATTATAAATCTGGTATTGGCTATGCTGTGTCTCTAGCGTGGAAATTATATCAATTTTTAGACTTTGGCTATCACACGATTTACTGGTACAGGCATGGCCGATTGAAAACCAGAGTCTTTTCGAATCAAGGCAAGATAGAATAGACACAGCCAATCTGAATCCAAAAAAAAGCTACGGACGCACATATCTCCTAGGTGCATTCACAAGCTTTCAGAAGTACATGGTCTCTCCCACGTAGAGAATCGAGCTATTCGAATCCCCAGCAAACCTAAGCCACTGTGGATTCTCGTATTTCATGTCCGTGTTGGCCCAAAGAGGTGAGTGCAGGTATATTGGAGGCTGCGACAAAACCTCGCCAGTACAAGCAATTTCAAAATTGGGACAAATCAAGGAGTGCGGTCCACAGAGCCTCACGGCCACTTGCTGGGTGAGGGAAATTTGATAGTGTATGGTCACCCCTATTTTCAGCAGCCATCGAAGGGATTGGTCAGGCAGAGTGGCAAATGCCATAGAAAGTGACGAGACAGAGTTAGGTCTAGCTTGCAAAGGAGGATGATTTGTCAATCGTTCGGAATCACGCGCAGACCCCAGAGACCTATCCCAGTTACAATTCGATAGGCGCGAGGATTATCCTGACCGGTCCTGGGAGCTATAGCGCTCCTAGAACGCTCGCTCACGATCCCAGGATCGAATTTGTCTGTTTGGGGATCCATGTGCGGTATCTTGGGACGGGTACTTTGCATTCGTCTAAGCCCTGGCCACTGCGCATTCTTGTTGCGGGTCTATATAGCGGCTTTAAGAGCCCCTGGGACACTCCCAGTGCCATTGGTGGGGCCCTGAGCTACCCAGACAATACGGCTCGATGTATTATCTGCTCGGCGTTTCTAAATAAAGGTGACCAAGTTGCCTACGGGATATTTAATTGCTTTGAGACCCCTTGGAGAGGTTTACAGTCTCTACATCATTTTCCTTCAAACATTTCAGCCCAGCGGACATCAGCTCAGAGCCATGACTTCACAGAGCGCGGAGACCGATTATTCTTTCGCTGCCTTTCCCCCTCCAGACAAGTATCGATTCACGCACAGCCACTGGGTACCGCAGACAATGAGGCCTTCCGGCCCCAGTCACCGTGAGAATATTCTTGGGGAGATCAAGCAAGAATATGAACATTTGAGTCAAACAAATAAGACCTTGACGGACACCCTACAACAGCTGCGCCAGGAAAACAACCAACTTTTTCAAATAATGCAGCTGCAGGACAAATACCTTCAAGCAGCTCAGCAACGCATAGAGGAGCTCAAGCAAGAGGCCGATCAATCGAAGAACATTGCGGTCTGGATGCAGAACTGGGAAGGTCGTTTGACAGCATGCGAACAACATATCCCCATGTTTCCACAACCATTCAGCGAAAACATCCAACCCACGCTAGGATCTAGCGCCGGTGTTCACGCAGAACAGCAAAGGCATGTCCCCCGTCTTAGGCGATCGGGTCGGTCAACGAGCTGGAAGGTGGAACATCCGCAAAGTCAGCAACCGCCAAAACAAGTCCAGCAACTATCAATGGAGAAAATGCCACAGACGGCGCCCTATCAACATGGCCGACGGGATTGAGTTGTTGTTTTGCATAAAATGGATCGCTCAATGTTGCGTTTTCTGGCTCATATACGGTAGGCCCTGGCGATATGATGGAAGTTGTTGATTTTGTTGTGTATTCAAAGGAAGATTGATTCAATTAATTATTTGTTCAGAGGGAAACATGAGGCTATATATACAACGAGAAGATCAAGTTGATTTCCAATCAACTTGATTCTCCGTATAGATACTTCGGTATTAATTCCGATGGTTTCGGCTTGGTTCCTGATCTGCACCAGCCTCATATCACAACATTCCCCCTCAGGATCGCTTTTGCTGGCAGGGCGATACTGGAATTGCGCAGAGCAGTCAGGCCTCGGTAAAACCACTCTAAAAACCCCGTCTGGGAAAATAAAGTGGAAAGAGCGCCTGTGCTGTCTCATTCATGTTGCTTTGGAGTCTGAGGCGTCGATTCCTAAGAGACTACAAAACTTGACAAAGGACGTAGGCCCTAATGGCTTGGTGAGACCATCTGCGGCCTGTTCCTCAGTTGGAACATATTGAAGCCCAATCTCGCCTGCATCCAGCACGGCTCGCTGATAGTGAAATTTCACGTTGAAATGCTTCGTCCGTTTGTGGAATTCCGGGTTGCGAGAAAGAGCAATGGCGGACTGGTTGTCAGCCATGATTTGGGTGACCGGAGACCGATACAGTTGTGTTTCAGCCAGAAAGGTGCGGAGCCACTGCAGATGCAGAATGGCATTGTATTGTCCGATGTATTCCGCGTGTGTCGTAGATGTGGCTACTTCCCCTGTCTCTTGGACGACCAGGAAACTGGCGCACCTGCAAGCTGGAATACATAGCCAGATGTCGAGTATGCACCGTCAGTGACGACGGAGCCACCAAAGTCGGCATCCGTATACCCGATCAGCTGCCCACTGCGGTAGGTAATGCGATGAGATTGCGTGGCTTTGATGTAACGAAGCAATCGCTGCAGAGCGACTTGGTGGTGTGATTGCGGCTGAGACGTGAAGCGACTCAATATGCCCAGCGCAAATGCAATGTCCGGTCGCGTGCCAACCATGAGATACATTAACGAACCGATGGCGGTCGCATAACGAGCTTTGGCTTCCTCGTCCGGAGGTTCCTCGTCTGGACGATGATTCAGGATTTGCTTGGGATTCATCGGCGTAGACTTCGGCTGACAATTCTCCATGCCAAAGTCGGAGAGCACCTTCTGGATGTACTGATGTTGGTGAATGGACACGGACCCGTCGACATGATAGTCGAACTGGATCCCAAGAAACGATTGCGGGGTGCCCAGATCATTCAATCGGAACTGTGTTTGCAATGCTTTTTGCACTTGTTTCATTTCGTGCGTGTTTGCCGCACCAACGAGAAAGTCATCGACATAAACGCAAACGACGCAATCCGGTTTGTAAAACACACAGTTATCCGATTGGGCCATGGTGAAGCCATGGGAAGCCAGGACGCGGTGGACGCATTGGTACCAAATCCGCGGAGCCTGCTTCAGTCCGTATAGTGAGCGGCGCAGTCGGCATACGTATCCTGGCTCTTCAAAGCCTTCAGGCAACTCCATATAGATAGACGAATCGACGTCTCCATGAAGAAATGCGGTGACCGCATCGAATTGATGGAGTTTCCATCCGCGCAACACGGCGCTGGCGACGATGCAGCGGACGGAGTCCATTCGCGACACAGCGGCAAACGTTTCGTGATAGTCGATGCCATGTTTCTGCCGGTAGCCTTTGATGACCAATCGCGCTTTGCGCGTTCCATTGGCTTTGGTCTTGAAGACCCATTTGCAGCCAATCACATGATCTTTGGCTGGGACGTCCTCTCGCCGAACTTTTTCCCATGTTCCGTGTTCGAGAAGCGACGCATATTCTTTCTGGATGGCGGCCCACCAGTCCAGCTGGTCTGGACCTGATACAGCTCGGCGAAAGGTCGCCGGGTCGACTTGTTTGTCCGGTGCGGCTTGCAATGTGCCTGCCGAGTACACCTTGCCGAGTGATTCCAGAAGACGCCGTGACGGTCTTCGTCTGCGACCATAGATTGAATACCCAAGATCCGATGTCAAGTCGGTTCCTTGTTGGCTTGGATTGACCACTGGAGGTGTCTCCTCGTCACGCTCAGATGGCGTTTTCTCTTGCTCATTCGGCGGAGGTAATGGCGATGCAGGTGGTGTTGGCAGCCCGCTGGCTGAACTTGGCTTGGATGGAAAGACAGGTGATGGAGGAGCGTTGTCCGGGAGGTCGTTGCCTGTTTCCCCCTCGATGAGTGGCGCCACCGGGGTCCTCTCATCGAACTCGACATCACGGGAAAAGACTGTCTTTCCAGAATGGATTTCATAGAGCTTGTACTGATTTGGTTCACAATAGCCTAGCAGTCGGCACTCGGATGATCTCGGTCCGAGTTTGGCTCGATGCTCTTTTGGGATCAAGACCCATGCACGGGAGCCGATCCGTCGCAGATGCAAGAGCGAGGGCGACTTCCCATATAGTATTTCAAACGGTGTCTTTTTCTTTAAGATTGATGCCGGCGCGCGCAGCTTCAGATAGACTACCGTGTCTACAAGATCGATCCACCAGGAAGGAGAAAGGTTCGCATCGGACAGGAGCGTGTTGATCCGCTCCCGGATAGTACGATTGGTGCGTTCGGCCAGCCCATTCTGCCCTTTGCAGTATGGCGGCGAGGTATCGAACTCAACTCCCTGGGATTCGAGATGGGTTCCAATTGGCAGATATTCTCGCCCGTTATCGGTGAGGAATCTTCGGATCTGGGCGCCGAACTGTCGGTGCACCCAGGCCTCAAAATGTTGGAACTTCTGGAGCGCTTCATGCTTCCATCTCATGGCATAGGCCCACGAGCCTCGAGAATAATCGTCAGTAAAGGTGATCACGTACCTGGAGCCATCTTTGGCCATCGGCATCGCCATGATGTCCGAATGGATCAATTCGAAAATTCTCGTTGAATGCAGACGTGGCCGTCTTGCGCGGGAGTTCCTCTTCTGATGCTGCTTACCCGACATGCACGCCGGGCACTGCGGCGTTGCCAGCAGCTGCGCCTGCGTCAGCGGTCGGTACGGAGTGCCGGTCTGCCGGAGGACCACCCTCAGGTCGCCCCGGTTCAGATGTCCCATCCGAGCGTGCCACAACGCTTCGGAGGCCTGGTCCACTCCTGTGCACACATCTGCTTCGAGTATCACAGCTTCACCACCGAGTTCAGAGGTTGACGCTGCGCATTCTGCGTCACTTGACTCCCGAGGCTCGTCGACGTCCATGGCCACCGCCTGCGGTTCCAGGGAATCTGCATGGTCATGGGTCGTCGGCGCCCTCGCCAGTTGGACTCGCTCTCGCGATCTCTTGCTCACATGGCACCGCAGGATCAACAGATCCTCCTCCGCATGGTAGGCGGTCCCCACGGTCCGTCCTCGGCGTTGCACAAAGACGTTCTGCGGGTGCGCCACCACCGAGTAGCGGTCACGCAGTAGCTTCGGCACACTGATCAGGTTCATTCCGACGCGTGGCGCGAAGTACACGTTCTTCAACACCAGGGGCTGGTTGAACTTCCCCCGGAGCGTGAGCTTCACCGTACCAATCCCTTCGGCTTGCACTGGATCGCCCGCCGTGTCCAACAGCTGGTGGTGGGGCCGCAGACTGCTGAAGCAGCTCCGGTCCCAGCAGATGTGGCTGGTGGCGGCCGAGTCCAGGATCCACCGGGGTTGCGGCGCGTGGGTATAGAGAGTCGTCACTCTGGCCCTCACGATATTGATCCTCGGTCTCTTGGAAGTCGGCGGGCCCTGCCGATCTTCCATCTGGCTTGATGGTATCTTTTGTAAATGACTTCTTGGTGAGCCGGAAACACTCCTCTCAGCCTTCAGGGCATGGTCCCTGGACGGCTGGGCTTCTCGCTGTTTCTTCCAGCACTGCGCGACCACATGGCCGCGCTTCTTGCAATAGTTGCATTTCTTGGCAGTCTGCTGCACCGTATTGACGGACGGGCCAGATGCTGCCTGCAAGGGTGTTGGAGCTTCTTTTCTCCGAACCGTCTGCTCAGCATTCGACAGACGGTTTCCGATCGTGGTCGGATTCACCGGATCCTTGTCATTCTGGATGGCATCCACAACTAGAATGTATTCCGGTCCGATCTGCGTCAGTAAGATCGCAATGTGCGTTCGATCGCCAATGGATCCTGGCACGATAGCATTCAATCGATGTACGAGCAACCGTACTCGATCGACGAATTCGCGGGCACTGCCGCAGCGCTCGCCAGTGGTTTCACGAAGCTGCGCAAACAACTCGCAGAACGTGGCAAGTTCCATTCGCCGGTACCGTTCTTCAAGTTCATTCCAGAGATCGCGAGATGTCTCAAGTCCCGCGACATGAATGCTAATATGGGGTGACAGATACCGGAAAATGATGTGGTAGGCCTCGGCTTCGCGGCGCGACCATTCACGGTGGCGCTCGAACGCCTGGACCTCCACTTCGAGGCGCGCCTCAATAGCGCGCTGTCTCACCGCCCCAGCGAGGTGCGGTTCCACCAAGGGGTGGATGTCTGCCGTAATAGGCTTGGCGTACTTGAGTAAGCAGTCAGGACGCTGGAGGTCGCCCGACACGACATCCCAGACCTGCCTGGCTTTCAGGTAGGAGGTCATGAGACGTTTTCAGGTTGCGTAGTTATCGCTTCCTGTCAGAGGCTCGATGGCCGTGACAGCTCGGTCCGGAGAGTCATGGACCAGAGCAGACATAGTGATGATTGCGAAAGCGGGGTAGATATATAATCAAGATGGTTAAGATAAGTCTCAGATGAGTAGAGATGGCACCCGAGATTTTGCTTCCGGGCTCATAACCTGTTTTAGTTCAAAGGAAGATTGATTGTTGTTTATTCAGAGGGAAACATGAGGCTATATATACAACGAGAAGATCAAGTTGATTGGAAATCAACTTGACTCTTCGTATACATACTTCGGGATTAATTCCGATGGTTCGGCTTGGTTCCTGATCTGCACCAGCCTCATATTACAACACACATAATCCTAGCGTTTATTACAACCCTACCTTGCTTCCTCGGCTCTGTGCGCTCCATCCTGTAGGTCCATCTACCGAACGTGGTTCATTTTGTGAAGAATTCCATTCGAAAACGTCCAGCCTGTCGTCTGAGGCATGACGCCCCCTCGACACAAATTTGCAGAAGCGGAATGTGGTGTATAAAGACCAAATGAAAGAGCTCTCCTTTTCCTCATGATAGTGCAATCCAAGCAGCGACTGAATTGCCCGAGTTGCTTCCTCCGCACGATAAAACGGAATCTTTGGGAAAAGATGGTGGACAACATGAAAGTCGATAATGTCGTGAAATAAATGGCGACCAAGAAAGCCCATTGTGCGATCAATGGTGGACAAAGACCCCTTCATAAAGGTCCATCCTTTATCTCCATAATGCGGTAGAGAGGGATGAGTATGGTGAAGGTATGTAATAGCAACTAAGGAGGCTGGTAAGTCCCGCTTGATTTGACAGGAGTAGAGAGCCCCAAGAACTGGCTGGAACGTATTTCGATTGGAGTTGCTTACCGATCCAATGATTGACCCAGAGGTACGGAAGAAAGTACCAGAAGAAAATCTTCTGTGCGCCAAATTTCATACAAAAGCTTACCAGGATATACCCGGACCCCATCAAGCATATATCAGAAAGCAGGACATAGAACATCTGATATGGAGTAAACAAGGCCCCAAATGGGTCGAAATGGCTCTTGCTACTTGAGGATCTGGCATTTTGGGCAGGAAGACTGTCCACTCCGGCACTGACATTGAAAAGAAGATACATCGGCCAACCAAATAGCTGGTGTATGAATAATTCAGCTAGTACCATGGCAGGTGCATCCTCCAAAGACTCGGTTATTGTGCGAAACCGGCCAGGGTACGAATACTCAAACTCTTCTTTCGTGAAGGGTACAAAAGCAGTATCCTTTCCCATGTGCCCTGTGTAACGATGGTGGCGAGCATGCGTAATTTTCCAGGAGAAGTACGGCACGAGAAGGGCCGAGTGGAGAATATAGCCTATAACATCATTGACCCATGGATATAGAGAGAATGCACCGTGGCCACATTCATGGGCCAGAATCCACAAGCCGACGCCCACGCAGCCCTGGCAAAATGCATAGCACATCCAGGCTAAATATTGAACCCACAACCAAGGGAGGTTGTCGATTTGAGAAGCACAGTATATCAGAATAGTGCAATACGCTATGTCGCGTAAAAGGTACAACATCGATATAAAAAGTGAAGGTTGGAAACAGGCCAAGGGTATTGCGTCCTTGAGAACGTTCAGCGTTGGTTCTGAAGTGCCCACTTTTTCCTATAAAGTGGTTCAGTTTAGATCTCATCTGCGTCTTGTCTCTATGTAACTGGGCTCATACTTTTGCTTGGCCTTGCACCATCGTGAAAGTCATTCATATATAACAACTAAAATACCAAAAGAAACTTCAAGGTAACTGCGCTGGAAATGCTCTGATTATATGCTATCCTGATGCTCCTTTATGAATCCTACTTTTCTTGCCTTTGGTAAGTAATGTTGCACAGACTCGTTATCAGTCCCACCGAAGATCTCACGAATTGTTCTGCCACCAAAGTTTCCCACCATCCACTTCCTCCAATCAAGAGTAAGCGCCCGTTGACATCATCTGAGGCCATTGCGCAGCTTCCGAGCTAGTCCGACTCAAGAAGCCGATCTCATTGGAGCGTTCTGTCTCGTAATCGGAATGTTGTTAAAGGCCGAGCCGGAATTATTTCAACATCATGCAGGATAGGCGCCCAAATCCCAGGAAACACATCCGGCATCATGGGAATGGGGCTAAATTTCCTTTTTTGGAAAATAAATAAGGAGGCTTATAAAAGCATAAGGTTTGGTTCTGGCGAGCTCTGGAATACAGATTGGACTGATGCATCTACTTCGACTGCTTTTCTCACGCTCCATAATCACATGAGATCCGCACTTTCTGTACGGCGCATGAGTGCCCAATTAAGCGGCACATGAGATGGCGATATCTTTACCACAAATAATGGCGGTTCTCAGTGATTACATCTAATATCTCCACTTCGAGTTAGACAAGGATCTTCGTCAATACACGGAGCAAGGTTTTATCAAGATTTAGGTTTGAATCAAGACGCAGTTGTTAAGCTAGCAACACGTTACACAAACCATCCTGCTTCTGACCGCCACATGCACCATTCTTGCAAACCACTTCCAAAATTAATTGGATAGAAGTTCGTACTGCAAATCGCGATGCTCCTGGCAACCTCATTAAAATCATCAACTTTTGAACCATGTTTGAATGGTGGCTGTAAGACCCCAAGACTGTTAAAGCTCACCTTTAATGGACCTTGATCTACAAAAGACAATGTCTTGGGATGGGCAATCGTTACGAAATAAGACTCACAGAACTAGGATCATGGGATCTATGACTCAAGTTTCCGAAATCCTAGCCAACTGGATCTCGTTAAATGAGCTGCTCGGCTGGGTCTGATTATCGCTATTGTGAAACACTAACGTGCAGAGACCACACTCGCTGGACCTAAATCGGGCATATTTACGCAGCCACTATTCCCAGACAAGGACGTGTGATCACATCGGTCACGCCTCAACATGCGACCTGGACAACCCTCAGACGCCCTCGAAGAGTTTCGCCAGCACTACCTGCCCATCTTCGCCCTCGGCATCTGCCGGAGAGAGCATTGCCACCTGAAACAATGCACCTAGCTACATAAAATATGTGGATCGTGTCGCTTTCATTTTGCGATAAATCCAGCATAGCTCTGACTTGCCCACTAATAGCTGCAAAATCCTTTCTGGGTTGTTACCACTCTACTCGGTGAGTAAAGAACGACGAGAGGTAAGCACTTAGTCGGAAGGAGACAGCTATGAACTGGGACGGGAATTTCTCTACGTCAGCATGCAAGTAAATAAGAACCCCCATTTGATAATAAAAAGTACAGCGATGGCTTTCAATCGGATATAAAAATTTACATAACGTCAAATATTGGAATTTTCATATCGGGCGTTCAGGCGTTAAAGAAACTCTCAGCCCTCAATCATTTCCTATTTTTTCGTGTGACATGGTCAGAACTATGACTCCATTGAATTTCCCCTTCCAGTCATCTGCAGAGAGAACATGACTAGATTGCGTGGCTTGCTTGACTTCGTTCCTCGATCTGGATGATCAATCTCGATCAACATGGCGTTGCTAATGATTGTCGGTGATTGGATAAAATCAAGGAAATCGGTATAAGAGTCGCTTTCTCTCCGTTATTGCTAATTTCATATGTTCTTCAAACATAAAGTCTTATTCTTCATTCTTTGAGGCATGAAATTCCCATCATGAATATCGCGATTCAATTCTACAGTTCCGTGTTAAACGTGCCTAGGCCCCCAGGGGCAGAGGGCCTTTTACATCTTAGTCTGTTGCTACTTGGTTTTATGTCCATTTTTATATATCACACTTGACATCATGTTCCAGTTTATCATCGGAAATTTCACAAAAAGAGCATCTACCTCTATGTTCATATCTTTACTGGTCTGACAGAGGCACTTCGTTACCGAATCTCTGAAACATTACAAGGCCATTCTGACATTCTGCCTGATTATATCAGTGTATTGTCTTGTTTCATTTGGTCTTGGACGAGCTTTGAGCTTGTGAAGACACTCCGTCGAGGAGACCCTCTCACCACCCGCCCTCCTTATCAGGCCGCTGCTCTTCTGCGTCTATTTATCACGCTCCTTTCTTACCTCTTCTGTTTACCCAGCCTGCACAGAGTCTCTATAACCTCTCTGGATAGCTTTATCTATGCCCGGTTCGCGATCTTCTTTTTCACCTACGCTCCATATATCCGAAATCTCTTCTATGGTGCTATATACAGGATCTCCATTCCACTTGCCGCAACACTAAGTGTCCATGAAAGCCGAGTCCCTGGAGCGTCATTGGTATTTGTTCTCGCAGCTGCCTATGTCGCGAGACTCAATGAGTGGGTGACGCAAAAATCACGATCCTTGAGAAAGTGAGTAGACCGAATCATCTAGGCTTTCTCATAAGCATTTTGTGACTTGATGAAATAGTCCGGAGTCATCGGTCAACATCTCAATACGCACGAAAGCTTTAGTATCGATAATTCTGAGGATTGGATTTGCCGAGTTGGAGGAATTAATGGCAACTTCAAAGGCCAGTGGGCTAGAGAAGCCTGTACAGGTACAGGATGAATATGTCCCGGAAAAATATAGCTCCTTCATAGACTAAGATTTTAGTGAGAGGGGCCAGCCACAAATTCGAATCAAAGTTAGGATAGAATGGATCTCTCATACTTTAAAACGGCAATGATAATATGGATATACATATAAAGATGAACTATTACAAGTTCGTACGGGCTACCTGCCTTTCAAGTCAAGGTGGTGATCGAAGAAAGGATAAGCGCTCGACTCATAATGAAGAAGCCCACCAATGCCTTCTTGGGAGCAGTTTACACAGTATCAAATATCTCAAAGTCACGGCGGAGATGGCTTACTGGCCATCCAATTCACTAATTTATCTGGCCTTGGAATAGTTTAAACATATTTGCAGACAAACTCGTCCTGCATGTGTAACTTGGGCGCATATATTGTCTTTCATCATCATCATCATCCCTACCTTAATGATTAAATGGTGATGAGACTGATAACACGATAAGCAAGCGCTAGATAATGGTCCCACCCCTCAGTTGACCGTCATCAACGGTTGCGGTTTCTTTTGTGCAGTTTGTAGACCAACATCGCCTGTTTGTTTATCATGAGTAAATCCACGTTCCCGCCAAGGTCTATACCATGATCTATTTCACTGCTCATTCCATCACTGGTGAATTGATCCCTCTGGTCATTTCTCCACACCCTTTTCGTAACAAACAAATTTTGGTATTGAGCGAAGCGAAAGTATGCTTCGAAGCCCCCAGGTGAGTATGTTAAAATTTGGTGACCACTTTCACTTCGGCGGAATTTACAAGCTTGTCTTGGATCTTGGCGGCCATTGATGGATTCATTCTATCTGAGTAAATTAGGAAACCGTCAATGGTTGCATCTCACCGGGACTAGCAATGTCGTACTTTATATCACATTGACAGTCTTGATATTGATGTTCTGCAGGAGCTTAAGAACCTCGGCGACACGTAGTTCTACTTAGTTATCTGAGTGTCTGGGTAAAAGAAGAGTGGGCCAAGATACACAGATTTTGGCGGTGTGAGCCTTGATAAGGAAATGAAGTCCGAGCTGACTAAGGTTCCATGTTGTATCACCCCAGATGCCTGAGATTTATCGTATTGATAAGACCCCGAATTGGAAGCTCAGGTACCTATAAAAATGTCTTATCTGTAGCTCGCTGCAAGCAAACATAATTCGAACCTCGGAAGTGCATAAATGTAACGCTCACACTGGCCCTTCTCAAGGGTCCGTGACCTGAAACCCTCCAAAGATTCTGGTGTTACACAGTGACAACACATCGGTGAGCAGAAACAAGGCTGAGATTTTGTCTGGGTAGTAAACATAACTTTCGCCACCGATTAGGTTGGATTACATGTTGCATGTCTGACCATCCACAGAAATTGCGGTGGTGACAAACTAGAGAGAACCAGAAGAGTACAATACGTGACCCACCCCATTGGTACGTGCTTTTCGACCTGAATTATGTTTCAGAGACCTGGTGTCGGTGATCTTATGCGCCAATCAATGGTAGTAAACATTCACTATAGTGTTTGGGGGTGCGCCACTCGCCCGCGTGCGCCATTCCGTAGTGAAACATGTTAACGTAATCGGTAAGCGAGCCGATCACCCCAAATCACATATTAAACTGATATGTTATCAACGTTGTGTCTCAACCACAACCTATCAGATTTGTTAAAAGCTTATAGGAGCGAGCTATCAATCATATTTTTAACCAAACTTGAACTTTGAGGCTCTTTAAATGAGCATTCATCAGGATTACCAAGAATACTGCATATTTTTCATTGATTTCCTTCAAATATGTATATCTATATCTTTGGATTATTATTCTCTTAAAGTTCTGGAGTTCATTCGAAAATATATTTCAAATACCATACTCTCACGAGAATCTATTCTAACTTGTGGTTGTTGAGAATTGAGTTATGATTGACCACATTTAGTATGTATTTTGGGGTGATCGGTTCGTTTGAATGATCAGCTCGCTTACCGAGTACGTGAGTAAACGTATTTCACAAACGAGTAGATTAGACAAGCGAGTGGGTCACCTAAAATAACTGTTAATTTTCGAATCTCAAAAAGGCCAGTATATTAATAAATGAATCTATTTAGGCCTATCTGGACACGTCTCTGTCCTGTGCCCTGGAGCCCTACATATTCCACATCCTCGCAGGGCCCGCGTACGCTGCTGCAAAGGCGCTTCGGGTGCTCCCCCTGGGGGGTAGTATAGCGGGCTTTACCACCTCTGGGGGGGGCCTATGAGGCCTTTAAGGCTTCTTCGACACTTATTTCACCTGTTTAGATATCCATCTATCCGTCCGGGACGTTTTCTGCTTCTTTTTCTCAATTTCTGCCCGGAGAGTACTATTTTCATGCGCTAAAAATATATCTGAGTTCATAGCTAATTCTCAGCACTTAATAAGCTGGTTTGGCGCACGATTTGTAGCCGTAGGTGGACTTTATCAGCGTCTTTCAATAAGCGCTTTTATTGATGAAGCTTGTTTTTGTAGTTGTATGAGGTTCTGGGGCGTCCTGGGCGAAAGAATGCTACCTGCGCTACCTGGGGGAGTAGGGGTCTTTAGGTGGATATTAAGCGTTGAAAGCACTTCAGTAGGGCTATATGGGGATAGTCCAGTTGATCGGAAGCTATTTTGGATAGTATTAGGCTTGAATGTGTCCACGCGTGCACTTGGATAGGCCATAAGAAAGTCAAACTTATCAATACGGCTAATTCCAAAGCAGGTCTTCGATTCTACATACCGTCCATATGCCCGCTTCAGCACCGAAAAATAACCCACATTAAGTGGCTATAAAACATTCGATTAGTGTGGTGGCATGTAGATTATCATAGTGTTATTGGCAGCACAAATTTCGTCGAATCGGGGTGTCAAATGGCTACCATGTCCATCAAGAACAAGAAGCCGATATCCACCCTGTGAGCGTGATATGTCCGGAATCAGCAACTTGAAGCCAGCGAAGGCTAATTTCGTCAGAAGTCCCTCCATTTGGACTATTATCCAATATTTAGTTCGGTGGAAGACCTTTATGCTAAATTCAAGGATTTATGCTTGAAGATAATATAGGCTGGAAGCGCATATCCAGCTGCACAAATACATTCAATCACAGTCACCCTTTCACGATTTCCAGGCTGTAAAACTGCACGTTTTCCATAGTGCTCTGCACGTGTAATCACTTTCGCAGTTGCAGTAAGGCCCATTGCAAAGCCTGTCTCATCGAAGTTATATATATCGGCTGGGGGTAATACCATATTGGAGTATGGTATTTTGAACTAACTTAAACCATGCCTGGATGATCTTTGGATCCTCGTTTTTCGCACGTTCGTAATTGTAGCGCCTCGAATAACGAGATGATAGGTTTGGATGTCGTTTAAAGAAGGTTGTAGTCCAATTAACCCCAACCTTTTGGATAGTGGTCTCCCCACGCCTTGATAGTAAAAGATTAGCCATATCGGCTACCATACTAGGCCGTGGTGCTGCTCCGCAGGTGTCCATATCTAATATCAATTCTTTCAGCGAGATACCTTCGTTTTCAGTCAATTTATGGGAATTTGCGCGTGAATCTCCACGAAATATAACCCCGCTAAGGCCTCTCGTGAGCGTGGTATAGGGTATATTGTATATGCGTGTGGCTTCGCGGATAGAGGATATCTCGCTATTTTTAATAGCCTAATTGGCTAATAGGACTCTGCCTTCTTGTTCGTTTGAATTTTGAGCAGATTGGGGGCGTTTGGGTGGCATGGTGGGTAGTTGAAGAAGTTAGGTTGCGCGGGAGACGCGTTTTTTGATGGGGTGATCCGTTCGCCCGTGAATTACGTTAGTGTTTGAAACCAGTTATACGTCAACACTCTTGCTACCGCTCCGCACGAATTCGAAGCTCGCAAATTTTGACGAATTGAATCCCTGAATCCCCCCACAGACTCGCAACTAATTGCCTGATATTCGAGTACTGGCTCCTGTTGTGGCACAAAGCAACGCCGCAATTACTGCCGGGATGTCTATAAAAAGAACTAAGCTCATTGAAAGTCAACTTGGTATCATCTTTGTATATATAGCTTCAGCTTTGAACGGTAGTAGGATACGAATTTTTTTTTCCCGAATAGGAAGCGCTGGAGTCACCGAAGGGAGTCACCCGATTCCTGAACCCGTACTCTAACATCATCACTGTTGAAGGTGCTCTTGCAGGAATAGATACGCTTCCTCGCACGCACGCCATTTGGCTCCTGTGGGATCATATTCCAAGTCAAATAAGTGTGCTGCACCCTCTGGTAGCGAGATCCCTGTTGGGACTCCTTGTTCACACAACAGATCATACGCCCTTTTAGACTGCTGCCACGGAATAAATCTATCCGAGGTTCCATGCACAAAAAAAGTTGGTACCGTGTACTGACCATCTTTCATGTGCGCATAAGGGCTGAACTTCCGCACGTCCTCGGAACGAGGCTGTTCCATATTCTCCAAACTCTCTATCTTGTCCAATGATGTTGATGACGAAGTCGGCAATCCTTTCCAAAGAATTGGCAGTGTCTGCCCGTTCCGGACCATGTGCCAATAGATCCAGGCTCGCGGATTAGATGGATGTATCCAGGCCAATGGAGAATTCTCCCTAGATTTTGCAACATAAGATGTGATCTAAACATTCATCATCGTCAATAGATGTTTCTCTTTAAGAGATGGAGTTGTTGTTACCGGGTTTTCTTCAACCGCATTTAGCAACCTGTATTTCGAATGCATTTCCGTTTCATTGGCCAGGATTGCAGCGGCTTGGGGGCTTTTCCAAACTAGGAATAGAGCACATAGTCAGTTTGACTTTCTGAAAACATTGTTAGCTAAATCAGGTGCTCATCATACACTCATCTTCATAATCGCATGGACAGTAGAAGGCCAAAACTGCGTCAGGTGGTCTCACACCTATTGCCCTAGCAGTCCAGCCTAGAGTGAGAGCAAGAGCGCCACCGGATGACCAACCCACAATTCCAATTCGTTCAGCATCAATCTGGATGTTGCAGTGTTTCAAGCTCAAGGTCGCTAGCTCTTTTCGTGCCCATACGAACGCTTTGCAGACGTCTGAGAGAGCACCGTCAACGATAGGCAATTCTGGGCATAGCGTATAATCGATGCTGATGGGAAGAATACCATGTTCCAGTAACCAAACAATCTGCCTAGCAGGAACGTCTTTCCGCGACAACATAACATGCCCTCCACCATGAATAACCAAAGCTACAAGGAGTTAGGTTAGTACAAGCAAGACCTCCACTAGGGGAGAAAGGGGGTATTGCACACACCCACTGGCCATCTCCTTGAGGGGATTACTGAGATATCCGATGGATAATATATATCAGCCCGAAGATGTATGCTTGCCCGATCGAAACAAATCGTCTCGTTGTCAAGATCAGTGAGCTTCGGTGAAAACCTAGGTGCGGTTCTCAATACATGCTCAGACTTGAATCCTAGAACAATTCTGCTAGTTTGCGATTCAAGGCTGCGGTCACCAGTTGCTATAGCCTGCCGGAATCCCGCTGCTAGCATGGATTTCTGCCACAATGGAGCAGGGGCCAACGCATGACGCCGGCCGTCTTCAAAGAGCCACCAGCCATCTAGCAGCCCGAAAACGCAATCAAGCCAGGGTATTCGTTTGGTGAATTCTGCGAGAGCAACAAATCCATGAGGCTGAAGAACTTGGTTGATATGGGTGAGAGACCTGGTAAGATCTCTTGTGGCGTGGATGCAAAGTGTGGAGATGACGATATCAAACGAGCTAGTCATTTCAGGCGAAGGTGGTCGTTCGACATCAAAGACGGAAAACTCCATGCAACTTGAGTACTCTGCGAACTTGCGCCGGCCTAAACTCACCAATGAAGGCGACAAATCCGTGAAACTGTAATGAAACGGTACGTCCTTCTGACTTAGACTCTTGATGATGTGACTCGTCGTCCCGCCGGTCCCTGCCCCTATTTCTAGAATTCGAATTGGACGACCAGCCTCAAAAGCTGAGCCCGCGCGTTCAATATAGTATGCCAATATTTTGCTCATGACCAAGAACAAAGGACTGCTCGTGTAAACTTCTTCCAGCAGGGTTTTTGTCTTTGCGTTACCGAAAAGGTATTGAAGCGGCTCTTCTTGCCCCAACAAAAAGGAAGATAGGCGAGGACCAGTCACCTGCAGAAGCTTGATTTCCAGGGCAAATTTGGGATGTTGCTGAGCTAGTTGCATAGCGAGTTCGCCTGACGTCGGGATGTCGATTATTCTATCAGAGCGAATGTAGCGTGCACCATCGTAGTCAATCAGCTCCCCTTCCCTCAGAATGTCTAACAAGACTTGTTTCAATCTACCGTATTTAGATATAACGGAGATATCTGGCAATCGTTCTCCAGTCGTGAGGGAGCGAACATCTGCACTCATTCTCTCAAATGCCTCGAGTACGTAAGCCTGAAGTAATCGAGCTTGAGCAGGATAAACTTCGTGCCAAAACCCATGACAGCCAGTCTCAGCTGTGAATGTTTGGAAAAGGCGTTGGCTCTGATCTAACAGTTCCTGTGGTGGAGTCTTCCAACGGACTGTGTGATCTTTGGCAGGTACCGTGTTGCTTAAGTATTTGTCATTTGATTCGAATTTGTCATTTGATTTGATTTTTTCATTCTCTCGTCCTTGTGCTTGCTGAGCACGCTGCGTTCTCCCAAATACGAGCTCACACAATTCGTGAAGTGTGGTTTGAGGCGTTATTTCCTCGGCTTCGAAAGCCATGCTGGGCCCATAGATGTCGTGGAATAGTTCTATGCAGAGCAAGGAGTCTAGACCGAGATTCTTGAGTTGGCTTGAGGGATCAAGAACAGAAGGGACATCGATATACTGTTTGAGTAGTTGCTTCACTTGGACAAGACTGTCCATCTTCGGGGTCTCCGGAAAGCTTGTTGCCTCACTTTCAATCTCATATTGCGGTTCAGCGTGGTACTTTCGAGTCTGAAATTTATTCTGGTGAATGATACTTCTTGACTTCAAAAGATCAGATAAATCTCCAAACGATCTGATGGATTGTACCTCCACAAGGCCGATCGGCGTGGAAAAAGCTTCCTGAACGCTGGCGCAAATTTCGGACAATCCCAAAGAATCGACCCCCAACTCCAAAAGCTGTGTTGAGTCCATAATGGACTTGGCGGGAACATCTGTCACTGAGCTCAAGAGCTCTCGTAGCTCATGGTCTAAAACATCATTCGACTGCAGCAAGCGTGATTGGCTCGCCTCAAAATTCTCCCCCGTCTGGTTCTGGGAATTCTTACAGTCTAACCTGGACACGACTTGTTGAGTCTGGGGGTTTTTTGTCTGGCTGGAATTGAGAGATGCGTTCGATGATATCAAACTGGAAGGCACCCTGGAAAGGCGCACTTCGTTTATGATAAGAGCCACTACTCCTGATTTCGGATCAAGAGCAAAGGTGTCATAGTGTGAATCGTTTTTCTCACTAGTACTGAGATGAGAAAATAGAGACCAGGTTTGGTCTGCGTTCCCAGATATAAACGGCGTGGAAAATTGAACACTATCAATTGAAACACACACAAAGGTATGGTTGGGCTTGTTCAAAACCTGAAACGAACTTAAATGAAGTGGCGCAGCCTGCAAACATGCATCAAGGGCCGTGTTGAAAGTTTCTCCGGGTGGGATGACGTCGTCTTTCTTTTGAGGCAGGACATCAGCACGCACGGTTCTTTCATCCAAAGAAACATTGTCCAAGCGATGGTAGACAGGATCCAATTGTACAACTCGGGACAGTAAATTGTAGACGAGTGGCCCGTGGAGTGTGTTGTGATCTTTACGTTCAGCTTGTTTGACTCTTCGATGTACGTCCAACAGCCGCGCTGCGCGTGAAAACTCGCTTATTAGACCTTCCTCTGGCACGAGTGTCACTATCCCTTCCGCCGTGGTGATATTTTTGTTAAAATCATCATTTTGCTGGAATAGAAATTCCCATGCGAGAGATTTCTCATTTCTGATCAGCTTAAGGGTTACTTGTCTCCTTTGACATACTCCCATGGCCGTACGCATCCGAAATTTGTCAACTCGAGGAATCAGGCTCTGTTTTGGTGGTCTAGGAAATCTTCCAATTGCTCGAATGACCAAGTTAAGGTAGAGTGATGCAGGACATATTGGAATGTCCTGAACGCGGTGACCTTTCACGAGAGAACACCATTCCGGACATTTTGTGTTCACAAGATATACTGTCTCTTTTGTACTTCCAATCTGCCCTTGTAACTCGACCAGAATATTGACAGCTTCTGTTTCGATTGCTTTGCAGCGTGAGGATGTGCGATTGTCGGAGCTGATCATTCTATGGTTCCATTCAATCCAATGCCGGGGATGGTCAAATTGGTAGGGGGGAATTTGAAGTATTCGAAAACTTGGCGTTCGTGACGGACTAAACGGCCAGAAGGAAACTCCATAACCCTCCATCCATAGTTTCGTAATGGTATTCGCCAATGAATATTCGGATTCCTCATCAAATTTGACAGGATGAAAATCATGGGCATGCTCTTTTCTCTGATTTGATGCGGATTGGAGCATGTGGATGACACTCGACCCAGCACCCGCTTCCATCCAAGTGCAAGATCCGAGTCTGTTCTCTATTCTTTGAACAGCATGCCTGAAGTATACAGGCTGCCTTGTATGTTCGACCAAAGATGCCGCGGTAGGGATGTCTTGCGTTGGAGTCTCCGAGCACATTTCAACCGGAATTGATTGATTGTTGAACGTGAGACTCATAGTGAGCATGCGCAAATCTTTCAAAATTGGTTCCGTCAACTTCGAGTGAAAGCCATGTGTCACATCAAGTCTTTTGTAATTAATCTGTCGGAATTCCTCGTTTAGTATTTTCTCCAGCGCTTGCGTTTCCTCGGCACTTCCGACAAGCACGTGACTATTTGGACCATTGTGACAGGCAATCTCAAGCTGATGACGTGGTTTCAGCTCATTCACACGAGATATTACTGACTGCACTATATCGACGTTGCCACTGATAGTTGTCATGAGTCCCTTTTCTTTCCCCCATTTATTATCGATCAAGGATGCACGGCCGCAGACATACCGCAGTCCATCTGCTAAAGACAAACACCCCGATACCACCAAGGCAACCAGCTGCCCCAAAGAGTGTCCTAGTAGGCAATCCACTTTAAGACCACAATCGATCCATGTCCGCGCGCACGAGTACTGAGTTACAAATTGGATCGTCTGTAGAGTCGTTGCATCTTTGCACTCGTGATCTTGGAAGATTTGAGGGGCAACACTTGGGATCCCTAGACCGACGAGCGTTTCATTACACTCATCCAGGTGAGAGGCAAACACAGAGGAGGACCGGTAAATATCGACTGGGATACGAATCCGACGAAATGCCTGGCCACTGAAAATAAGAACAACTGGCTTGGGGGACATGTCGCTCAGTTTTCCGTTGGACGTTCTGGCAACGGAGGGAACCAGTCGTAGTTGGGATGAAAGCTCTTGTATGTTGGAGACCGAGAATGAGCTCCTGATGGCCAAAGCCGAATTTGCTCTGCGGGAAATAGTGAAGCACAAGTCTGCTAGTAGCGATTGTGGGGTAGGAGTTATAGTTTTGTCAATATAGCTCTGAAGCCGACGACAATAATTCTCAAGGCTTTGTTGAGTGTTTGCGGCTAGACAAACCGGAAACCTCACACATTGAGAAGATGAAAATGACGTTTCTAGAGGCGGGGGCTCCTGAACGATCATCGCAGCTATGCTACCAGCCGCACCAAAGTTGTTTACCAATGCAACACGGGGTTCCGATTTCCACGACTGAAGGGTTAAGGGAATCGCTATCCTCTCTCCGATCAGGTTTATTCTGGGATTCAGGGTGTCGAAATTAGCCTGTGGTGGAATTTCGGAATGTTGGATCATTAGAAGTGTTTTGATCAAAGATGCAACACCAGATGCCCCTTCCGCATGACCGATGTTGCCTTTCAGAGATGAAAAGTACAGCATATCTTGGCGGGCTTTGCCACCAAAGACGTCTTTGATCCCTTCATATTCGGGGGTGTCCCCGATGCGTGTCCCCGTTCCATGCGCCTCGATATAGGTCACTCTGTCAGGATTTATTTGAGCACGATCTAATACCTGGCGGTACAGGATGGCTTGCGATTCGGAGTGGGGGACGGTAATATGGGGAGACCTGCTTTGGCGTACTATCGAAGAACGAATAATCCCAAGCATTGGATCTCCCGCCCGGATGGCAGCGGAAAGAGGCTTCAACACAACAATCCCCACCCCCTCACCACGTGAGTAGCCATCGGCCTTGATATCGAAAGGCTTGATCTTGCCATCAGGACTTAAGAATGACGCACCCGCCAAGTTCTGAAATAAGAACGGACTGGTGAAGACAGAGACGCCGCCGGCAATGGCGCTAGAGCAGTCCCCTGCTATAATGGCCTTGCACGCCGCATCAATGGCTACGCCAGAGGATGAGCAAACCGTGTCATACATGATAGAGGGGCCAGTCCATTGAAAGTAATGGCTGACTCTACCACTCTGAAACCCCTTCAAGGATCCCAGTGCAGAGTAGGCATTGACTGATTGGCTCGCGATGTTGTCGTTATAATCAGACGAAAAGCCCCCAATATAGCAGCCAACGTGCGGGTCCCAGTCCGAGTGGCCAAAATACCCAGACGACTCCAGCGCTTGGTAGGCAACCTCTAACAGTAGCCGCTGCTGAGGATCCATTGAAGCGGCTTCGCGGCTGGTGATCTTGAAGAATTTATGATCGAAGGCATCAACATTGTCTATGAAATTGCCTCTGAGCGTCATACCAGCAGGATTTCGCCAGTGACCTGCCAGGGGAATTCTTTCGTCTGGCAAGACCTGATCGAGTGACTTGCCAGTTTTCAAGATATCCCAAAATTCATCCACCGAGTTGGCTCCTGGAAAGCGGCAGGCCATTCCAACAACTGCGATTGTGTTTTCGGGGTAGACTTCCATGGCTGAATTGACTTTCTTACGCCAAAGATGACAAGTGTGCCCAAGTGACTGTAATTGACTCCAGGGGAAATCATATGACCCAAATTGAAAAGGCGGGCTCTGTGAATTTATACACGAAAATTTCGATTTGCTACACTTGTCTGCAGAAGCTCCCAAGGTAAGCTCATTGATTACAATGCTACCTAATAGTTCAGCCATGATTTTCAGAGTATATGACAAGTAAGTGGCCGATTTTCGGTCCTGGCGTCATCAAGTTACCTGTTTCTGCGAGAGGCATGATGCGCCAGGCCCTATCGCCACTCGCTTGTTCAATGCGTATCCATTTTCGGTTCATAGTGGTGCCTGGCGTCACGAGTTACCTGTTTCAGCGAGATGCATGACGCACCAGGACCGATGCTATGGCGCGTGCATTTATTTAGCGGCGAGGTTGAAGTATAGTATAAAAAAGGAGTATTAGTGACGTGATTTGAAGATGCAAAACGCGCACTAGGTCCTGATAAGTCCTCCTGCGGCGCCGTCTCCGGAGAGAGTTAGAATTGCCTTGAATATAAAATATAAAAACCGTTCGGACCAAGAAAACGCTAGATCTTACTTTTTCTGACCTGCTCCCTTAAATCCTCTCCAAATTCTGTTTTTTGGGATCCGTTGAGATTTTTTGAGTGAAAATGAACGGATTGAAATGCCACGCCGACAGCTTAGTCGGAGCTTGGTCGCTCATTGACTACAGAGCAGTGAACGATGATGAAAGCACCGTATTTTTCCCTCTTGGTGAGAATGCCCAGGGTATTCTGTTATATTTGGAGACAGGCATGATGTCTGCGCATATTATGCGGCCGGGTCTGAACTATATCCTTTTTGGTGCTACTTTTTGTTTACGGATATATTTAGAATCCCCACAACGCTTACAATGGAAATTCATAAGTTTAGTACCTCCTTTGGACTGCCCATCCTTTGGACTGCCCACTAAATTTCTATTCCCTAGATTCCATACATCATGAAACAGCTAATAACGCGCGCCACCGCGGAAACTCTTCAAGGGGACAACCTCCTATCAATACACCTCAAGATAAGCAAGCATACATATTTGGTGGCTTTGGTTGTTTTGCAACACGCCATATAAATACTAAAAGAGATTAGGTGAACGATGAACAAGCCTAGCCCAAAAAATTGTAAACCAGGTGCGAAGCAAAATAATCTCTGTCGGGTTCTAACAAAGCTATTTCAAAATCGCTTCCAGATCGACTGAAATTTTCATCAAAAGATTTGACTAATCTTTCGTGGTCTCCTAAAATTCGGGCGGTTATAACTGAGTTCTAGACAATGACAATGAAACAGTCAAAACCAACCTTTTTGTAGTTGGAAGAACATCTTGGAGTATATCTTCGTAGTCATCGAAATATGAGCCCTTTTGAACGAAGAAATACGAGGTCACGAAAGTGGTAAAAAGAGAAATGATAAAAATAATCATGTTGTTCGAGATTTTAGTTTATACCCAATTAGTAGTATGTCTTATTTGTAGCTCGGGCGATCAAGCAATTAGGAGAGGGTAGAATCATATATTTGAGCAATGGCGAAAGGGGATCTGCATCAAATGGCTATATGCAAAACCTGAAGTTTGAGGAATTAAATGGTGTCTTGGCCTACCACATCAATGATGTCGTCACCCCGTGGCCAGTGCAGGCAGGATCTACGCGACCGGTGAACAACTTCAAATCATACCTTAGCATATACCGATCGGCAGAATTCTCCTTGGACTTTCTGCGGTGAGCTTTCTTGTGCAACATGGAAATGTAAAGGTGACTACTACCGGAAACACTCGAACCGATGCAGCCACGTGCATTAGTGGCGTCGTTGGTACGGGGTCATTGAGCTTTGTTTCGCTTTAAGGGACTAAGGTTTCCTAGGTAACAAGTCAGTAATTATAACAAGTAGAGGTAAGGATTGAGTACTATAGACCTAGCTTTAGACCGGAGTTTCTTTCACATCCTAACCTGTAAGGGTAATCATAATCTATATTATTATATTTAGGGTGAGCTTCAATCCTACTGGGGTGCTTATAGTCTAGTCGACCGCAAAAGTCTTGGCACGTTTTTGTATAGGAAAAAACCTTTAATCCTTTGGTGCCCTATATAGTATTTAGCAACCACCGGTCGCTAGAGCACTAAGGCACATGGCCTACAAGGTGAAGCTCACAGAGCTGAGTAACCCAGGTAAGGTCAATATTCTCAGGGGGATCAATCTTCACACAATATCTTGAGACGGGCCCCTTGCTATTGGTCAGATACTCAATACCAGTCAATACCTCAAAATCCTATAACCAACATTTTATCCTATCTTGACTCACTTTTTCACCCTTAAAGACTTTACCCGAATTCCACTGTAATACGATGGAATTACCCCTGTGAAGAGAAGGCAAACTATAATGTCCAAATTGGTCAACTGCATATGCTCAAACCTTCTTATATTGCTATTGAGATGCAATAAGGCATAAAGAGAATAATGTCTTCAAAGATATGAAAGCTAAAAGTCGATCACGTTCATTAGCTTTGTCGCGTGCCTTAAAAAGGAGCGGAGCCCCCTCTGTAGTCCCGTCAATTTGCAACAAGATCATTATCGAAAGAGATACCAAGAACTGCTTTGAAGAGCGAGAGTTTGAAAACTTTTTACCTCGCTAAAATGACTTTTTACCATAATTCCGTCACTGGGCAGTTACTGGAGAAACTATCACTACCTGAGCCTTCACAGAGGGATCCAAGCCTATCTATGAGCCTGAAAGCCGGGCGTTGTGATTCCAATGCAAAAGAATATTCAATCACTTTGCCGGATTTGTTCTGCTCTATTATGGCTACCATACCAGCCATCAACCCATTTTATCTTGGAGCGAAATATAAATGTACTTCTCTCATTGTTGAGTAGGTACACAATTCATGAGAAAGAGAAAACCAAAGTTGATATTATCCAAAGTGCTCTCCAGGCAGATGTTGACAATCCCAGAATTGGTGGCGGGCCTGCATGAGATGGACCTTGCTCGCGATGTCATTGATCAGGAAGGCGATACGTTTGAGTATTATGCCACCCGCCTGGTCTCCGCCGTGGTCACTCAGATCTTCTCATACATGATTGACAGTGGACTTCAAGACGGCTACATCTGCACAGGAGAGGCTTTTGTTTTTCTCCATATTCCAGAGGATCCTACTGTTATTCAATATTACTTATGTGTGCCGAATCAAGACGTGCAGGGGAACGATCAGTGCCGTCTCCACCGGACGGCTATCCGCCAGGTACTTGCCTTCACTCTTCAGGTGTTGACCACCGAGCCTCCATCTCAAGAGTGGCACGATACAGCGCGTGAACAGCTTACTACTTGGGAAGTCGAATATTTGGACGTCTTGCGGGAGATCCCCGAAACCGTGCGAAGCCGAGGCCCGCCGACCTCAATTTATCGGCCCTCGCACTGGAAATTAGAACCAAAAAAAACACAATACACGGTCCCGCGCTCGCTGTCAAACAGATATTACGACTCCGAAGCACTCGTCTGCGGAAGGGAGTGGCAGTGAGGAAGAACCTCACTCCCCATCTACTACAGCGGCAGCGCGCAGCCAGGCGAGATACCAAAAATTGAGCCGCAGGAGTAACAAAAAGCAGAGCGGCCGTAGACATAGTGGGACGGAGGCAGGACAGGATTCTCCAAAAAACAACCGGGTTATACGAGCGTACTGCACCATGAACTGCATACGCGGCATAGCCAATCGAGATCTTCTGGATAAAGAATGCCCAAATTTACAAAGGCATTTGCAACATTCTAGCAGTCACAGGCATTCGATAGACTCGGCAGAGTTCACCCGCAGGATTCATCGTCAGCTCGTGCAGAATCGAAATGAGGGATTTGAACAACTACACGTGCGCGGCCGAACGGGTTACCTTGTGAAGGCAACCCTTCTAACACATGGATACACGGTGGTTATCAAAGCCACCACGGCAGAGAAGCAGCGTCGCCTCCAAGCAGAGGTGGAAAACTATGTCCACCTCCGAAGCCTACAAGGCCAACAGATTCCCGTCTGCCTGGGTGCTTTCAAACCACGCATCGCATATTGGTACCACGGTGAGATAATGGCGCACATGATGATCTTAGGTTGGTCTGGAATACGACTTCAGCATGTCATCAACGATGAAAATTCCACCTTTTCGACCTGGAGCGCAAGAAAGTTCTTGCTGTGCTACAGTCGCACGGAATCATTCACGGTGATAGTGAGTGGTGCAATATGTTATGGGATAATGCGGGCCGCCATTTGGTTGTCATTGATTTAGAGGACATGAAGTGGCTGAAACGTCCTCGTGCCCTTGAGCCAGCCTTAAGCAACACACGTCAAGTCTATCGGGTTCGGAATGAGAAGAGCAAGCAAAATCACATATCTAGCTCGGCTGGCATCTGCACATGACGTTCCTCAACCCATGGCTAAGCCTTACTCAAGCCACTTCATGTTTGTGCCTTCTGATCACGAGGCGGTAGGAAGTCTGAATTCGTGACCACGTAACAGATTGCCTATATGTGAATAGGAGCTGTTTCGTATATTCACATCCAGGGTGGACCTGTCACCTTGGCTTCGCAAAGCGAACTGCAAAATTTGTTTGGAGTAACGAGCTAGAACGAGCGTTGATCGACTTTTATCGCTGTCCAGAAAGCAGGATCATTTTGAGAGTTTGAAAAGCTTCTTTAGGAAAGTCCGCAAGCTGAGAGTCGTCCACGTATTGTTTCTTGTCAGAGTTCATGTCGGCGAAAGGATGTTTGGCGCTTTGAAAATCCACAGATGCAAGGGAGACTAAATGCAGGTTTATAGATTTTCCTGATAAACCCGGGCAACACTATTCACCTCATTTCTCAACCGCAACCTCCCATTTCCCATCGTTGGGTGTAGAAGATAGAGTACCAGGGAAGCCAATTGAATTCAGCTTATCAAATTACGAGTCTCGGTGGCGCGGTGAATTGATCTTATTCCACGTATCAGAATTCGTTTCCGTTCTCTGCATAAATACACTGCACCTGACACTCCATATAAATTTACTTGGTTATTAATGGAACAGATAATCTTTTACGGATAGAGCTAATATATGTTTCATGTAATTGACACAGGCCGCCGCTTGCAACGATATACACGTAATTATAGGAACGGTTTCTAGTGGCCCCAGGTCGCGCCAGTCCCGACCGGCACTGGTTGTAAGAAGGGCCGCGGTACTGTAGCTGTGGTGGATGAACAATGATGTACTGTCGTAAATCATGAAGACTGGTCAGGGTTAAACGAGTGCTGTGGTAGAGATATACTTACGAATTGTTCTTCTTGAATTGATCTCATAGTGCGCTCATATTCGCAGTCCTCATGATATCGATTACTAAGGGTACTGTATGCCGTCTGATTTTCGAAAGCCAGACTTTGCGCTCAGTCAGCCAAGCGAGACGTTCCTGGAAATTGGAAATTTCATCATCTACTGGTCGACTAAAAATGGAGCGTGGATCATGTTCACAAAATGGACGGGCTTTGTGGCTATAGATCGAACATAAGGTGCTAGTGACTCTGTCCAGGAGAAACTTCAGCTCTTCACAATCCTACATGAAGTACATGTCAGTAGTAGTATGTGATCACAGTGTCTAACAAATTATTGTATCCGTTCTCAGCCATAGAAAGTAATGATCAAACCCAGATTGCACAATTTTGGTCCACAACTCAAAAAATACAGGCTATTCATTCTTCCACGAACTGACTCCGCGTCTGGTGTGGTAGCCAGCCCCCAGTTGAACTGACAAGCTTATACAGCAACTAAATTAACGGCTTGACGGTGAATTTGATGAAAACAGAGCTAACAAGCGGCTGGAAGTTTTAATGATGATATGGATGAAGAGAAATTCGTGAATCGTTGATATTTGTTGACCAACTAACGATCGGTATCGTGATGGATGAGGAGTTTCGCACATCGACTATGATGTTGACTTTTTCCAAATATTGATAGAACGAGTAGATTGAAGGTCGCTGCCGCTGGTGAAGTAACTGCTACAGAAGCCTTTAAAAACCGAAAGGCTTTTTTGTCATCAAGTATGAAGATAAATTGACTCCTTCATCAATCTTATATCGCGATTTCAATCAATTCTCACATCTTCCAGTAGCCCGCACACTTTTCTAGGGTTTTTTATCTTCTCAAATACCTGCTCACACCCATTCCTCTATATCCACCGGAAAAGTCCACCTCATATTGGAGATGGATCTAGTGCGATTTCTTCAGCGCATCTCTGGAAGCAAAGTACTCGAAGCCGACCTACCGCTGTTGTGCACGATCATGGCTCTCGGCTTCTTGCTATATTGCCTATTCAAAAGCCGACGTAGGCTTGCCGTGAGTCGAATTTTCAACTTTCCGTGCTTCCACGTCGCTGACATTATCAGCACGACAAGGATCTTGGTATCAAGCATGGCTGTCTGCCAATGGAGACCTGGATACCATACAACTGGCCATGGGCCCTCGACATTCTTAAACGACAATACGACGTGCTACCAGACCAGCGTATACTCATGTTTCAATCGCAGTACTTTGACAAAATTGGACCTAACATGACGTTCAAACTATTCGGGAAACAAGGCTATCTCACTGCCGACCCAAAAAATGTGGAGTCGATACTATCAACAAACTTTGAAGGTAAGTTACCGCCGAATCCTCCCCTTGCCTGATCACAATTGTTATCTTTTTAGACTGGTGTCTTGGCTCTAGGCGACCTGGACTGATGCCATTACTGGGCGAAGGTATTTTTTACTCAAGATGGAAGGCCATGGAGGCACTCAAGAGAATTGCTTCGTCGTCAATTTTCTCGAATTGCTCGCCAAGATTGCAAGGTATTTGACGCACATGTGGAGGATCTTATCTCCAGACTGCGCGTCACTGGAGGTTTGATAGACCTGCAGCCTTTCTTTTTCCGATTTACTCTAGCCACAACAACGGCACTCCTATTCGGAGGGCCTGTATCTGCCTTGCCCGTAGAAGAGACAGATTTGTTTGAGAATGCATTTGACTATGCCAGCTCGGTCAGCGCACTTAGAATTCGTCTGGCAGATTTGCAATGGATATGGAAGCCGACTAAGTTCCGCGCAGCTTGTGCTGTTGTTAAGAAATATGCGACTCGTTTTGTACAGCTTGCCCTGGATGAAATGGCAGAAAATGGCGAAGAAGCGGCATCAAGAAAGTAACCATTTATTATCGAGCTGTACAAGGACTTGCAAGATTTCTTAGTGAGGGATCAACTGGTCAATGTTCTAATCGCAGGAAGGGATACGACAGCATGTCTCATATCATGGGCTTTCTTCCTTCTCGTGCGACACCCCAAATCCCTGGCTGAACTTCGTTCTGAGATCGACTAGGTCACAGAAGGCTCACCAGAATTGACTCGGGCAAAAGTCATGAGGATGAAGTATCTCCGATGTGTGCTGAACGAAAGTAAGTCTATGAGCCACTCAGCTTTTGAATTGGGACTCCTGCTCATTTTCGTACTCCATGAAGCTCAAAGACTATACCCGCAACTTCCAATGAACGTTCGAGTGGCCGCTAAAACGACCGTGATCCCCAGTGGTGGAGGTCCAGATGGCAGATCCCCCCTCCTTATCCCCAAAGGTACCGGGGTTGGTTACTCAGTCTATCACATGCACCGGCTCCGAAGCCTGTATGGTAAAGACGCAAATGAATTTCGTCCTGAAAGATGGTTGGATCAAGAGTTAGAAGACATTGGCTGGGGATTTATGCCTTTTCATGGTGGGTCGCGGATATGTCTAGGCAGTAAGTCTTCTCCCTTGAAGCGCAATGATAGAGGCGCTTACTTAAGCTGCAGAGGAATTGGCTCTGGAAGAAGCTTCGTGTGCAATAATACGAATCCTTCAGGCATTTCCGGGGCTCAAGCTACCACCTGGAACATCTACTGTGCCACCCGGAGAGGAGAAGCAAACGTTGACAATTGTGGTGATGAGTGCAGATGGGTGCAAGGTGCGTTTAGAATGAGAAGATCGTATAACTCAAATCCGAGAACACACCATCCTCGACGAGTCGAGTCGTTTGGGAATGCCAGATCTTCGCCTTGACGAGATGCAACTCAAGCTGTACCGAAAGCTTTCCTTCCAACTGGTATTCGAGAACGACCAAATGGTATACAAGCACGCGACAGACCCTCCGCTTGATTGTATCACATGCCCGGTTGCTTTGGAAAATGCCAAACCGTATTGCGTGGGGGATTACCGGTAGTCTGCTGCTATAAAACGAGACCAGATTACTCACCCAAAGTCGATATCTTGCGTAACAATGATGCCGCTATGAGCGCGGGCAGCAGGGAAGGGAGGTTCAATCTGCGTGACTTGAATTTGGAAGATGTCTCGTGATTGACTGACTCTGATTATCGTGAGATTTCCCTTGAACAGACAGTCACACCTTTACGCAATAATACTGCCGACACCAATAGGACTCATGAATATTTAAGTCAGATTTCAGTGATAAATTCAAGATCACAACTGTATTTGCTAAAATATAGATCAAAGAGTCACCAAATTTTGCATACTGTCTGCCACGCGGCAGGGTGTACATCCGCGGTCGATGCCATCCTTAAAGCCACTGCATGTTAGAGTGTAGCTCCAGCCTGAAGCGCCAACCTTTAGCAGTTTAGCCTGGGGAAGGATCCAACCGGCTGCGAGTATGCCACAGCCATCTTGAATCCCAACTGCTCTCAAGGAGCACAAATTTGAGAAGCGCCATGCGAACTACGGATGGCAGTTAGTGGAACGGTCTTGGGATAATAAGTGGCCCAAATAGAGACCATATCCCAAGATATACTGTCAAAAGATGCACATTATTGTAATCCTGGAATAGAAGGACACATTCTATTCTGTCAAAGTTCCTCGACTAATCGCTTTATCTGGTATCTTCATGGAACGAGACTCGCTTTCTCTTGCGTCGCTCAGATAGGGATGCCTGCTGAGCGACCATTTGTTGAAGATCTTCCACCTCTCTCTTCAAGGCTTCGATGTCCCTGGTCAATCGTCTCTTGATCAGTCGTTCAGTAGTCTTCCTTTCTGCCTTTCTACATCGTCCCGTCTCCTCCTCTCTCTTGGATAGACTTCTGAAAGGTTCTTTCCTCACTTGCTCCACGGGTCTAAATATCGTTGATTAGAATAGGGCAGAGCGGAGATATGTTTTGAAAAACATTCACTAACCGTTTTTTCGTAAGATTTTCAGGACGGCGTAATCTGCATGGTGACGAATCAACCACTTTCATCGGTCGGTCGGGTTCGTTCAAAGGCTTTTTGCCACGGCGGCTTCCATGTCGCTCATCCCTATCATGCAGAACACCCACACGCTCAGTCTGGATGGACTTCGAAGTTTCAGGTTGGCCTGCTATCGAACGTTTTCTTCTGCACCATAGTCATCTTCATCTTCAAGAGCTTTGGCGAGCCTGGCAGAATATTTGCCTGGCCAAAAAGTAGAAGCCTTGGCCATGGAGCTTGGCATTCTATAAGCGGTATTGATTGAAAGAAATCTAGAGGAAATATAGTATCTTGTCTTCGGAGAATAGGCTGACAAGGGATGAATGTGAAAGAGAAGGAGTAGTGAAGTAAAAAAGATTGGGAGCTAGCTTGTAGATCCGGTCAAGGTCGTCTGCCTCAGCCCGAAACGAACCCCATGGCTCGTGGTCCAGGATGTTACATTGACAGTGGGTCTTGCGCCACATGGGAATTCTAGAAAGTGATCGACGCCTTTCTAGGGTACAGGCTGGCAGCTGATTTGCCAGGCACGGCGGGATGCTTTTGAGTCACAATGGGCTGTCCGCATCAGGCCAGGCCCCTTGGTTCCTCAGTAGACCAGCCAATCAAGATTGCTCAAAATAGTTAGAGAAGGGCCCGTAGCCTGGTCGGTCAGAATAGATGATTGGCCGAGCCAGTCAATCGACCAAAGTCTCGCAAAGGTACTCGTGAATCCTCAGGGTTTGCCCTGCCACGCGCGTCGATTGCAGAGAGATGAGCAAGAGAATATTTTATAGATTCCGTAGTAATTGATTGATCTTCTGACCGAGAATTGTCAATGGCCAAGGCAATCGTCCTGAGTGGGGTAAATTTCTGCGATGAGTTGGAAAGTGGGACGGCGAGATCGAAATGATCGGCCGGCACCTCAAAACTTATTTGGGACGTGGGCTGCGGCGCGAGTCCAAGAACGGCTCCGTTTCACACCGGAGACCAATTGGGTAAAAGCCACGGTACCGTGAGTTCGTAAGAGGCTGCATATAGTCAGCGATAGAAAGCAGTGCTGTAATACGTGGGAGATTATCAACTGAGAACCGACTAAGACGTCAGATCTCCTTACAATGTGATGATCCGGACGTCCTCAATGAGGCGCTTATCCGGTCCTTATTTCTCTTCCATGACCAGTTCCTTGACAGCTATGATCACAGCTCGCAGTCGGTCACAGATGCCATCCACATAGCCACTAAGGTTTTGATTTCGGTCAACCCCTCAATTTGGAATGCATACGCAACGCTAAGTACCCGCAGTGCGCCTCACCAGGGAAGATGCCTGAAATTTCGAATGGCCTCTCGAATCAAGTCAGCAGGCCAAACATTTTGCTATCAAGAATCTTGACACTCTTTTGCAACGCATTGCAGCAAGCATGTCGCACACAGATCACTCTCGCGGAGCAGCACCCGCTCTCCTTCAACCATGGTCTCAAGGTCCAGTCGTTCCGAGCATCTTGCTTGGTAATGCCCATTGGGTTCTCAGAAGAACGGAAACAAGGACAACATCCGCTGCAGAGGCTTTTCATCGTTGCGCGACAATAACTTCAATGGTACCTATGATTGCACGTGCATGGCAAATGCGTTTAGCCCTCTTTGAATATGTGTCGCAACTTGCAATGCAACGCAGTCTCATTGCCACAGCGATCATATCCATGGATTCCATTTCATCAATTCTGGTACCCAGTCGCCAATGTAACCCACCGCAGAAAATGGACAGTCTAGATTATCGGTTTGATGGAACCAAGGGCTGGTTTCCCCTGGCAACATGAGGCCAACCACGGATCCTGGAAGGAGCGTCTTTTGGCCAAAGATTCCCAAGAAACCTTTCCAATGCCCTCCAAAACCGGTGACCATCCCTATGAACCTGCGCAGGTGGTTTCTATGAAGAGACGTAACCGACTTGACTAAAAGACGCCAGATTTCCGGCTCAGAAAAAATCAGGACTTTCCTCCTCACACTCGCGTGTGCCATGGTTTCCATCTCTTGTCTGCAGGCTTGAGGGTCTCCGTGGCCACGAATCCGCAGTACAAGCTCTGTGTCAACAAACATGCTTCGCAGGATAGGTCTGCGTTATCAACTGTTCCTCGCAGGATAGGCTCTGCGTTATCAACTGTTCCTCGCAGGATGGGCTCTGCGTTATCAACTGTTCCTCGCAGGAGACCGCTGCGTCACCAAGTTCTCTGCAGGAGACCGCTGCATCACCAAGTTCTCTGCAGGAGACCGCTGCATCACCAAGTTCTCTGCAGGAGACCGCTGCATAACCAAGTTCTCCGCAGGGGACAGCTGCGAAACCAAGGAACTCTAGCAAAGTTTAGGCACCTCTACGTGGTGCTAGGGACCAGTATTCAATTCTCGATCTACAATTGAAGAAGCCAAGACCTGCACCTCCATCGATATTTCACTTTTGTAGGCCCGGGCCACGGGCGAAGAGACTGACAGCAGGGCCATGAGAGCGCATTCCGGGGCGTGTTTACACTCCAAGATAGCATTGTATAGAGAATGAATAAACCCAGAATTTTGCTGTTCCAGATTTCGCCGTGCATAGTAGTATCATGTCCAGAATCTGATCTCATCAGATGTACACACACGTAGAGGATGTATACACACACGTCCAGGCTAGTCGGCTCGGTCAAAGACCATCACACTTGGGCAAGAACGCATTATACACGTCTGTCTCAGAGGTCAGGAAACCCAAGATGACCGTTGAGGTTGGCTTCAGTGGTGACGGGAAGATGCGGTGATCATGGTGGCAACCAGTCTGTAATGGCGATAGTTGACTGAGCGTCGTGAACCGTTAAATGAGCGTGCTTCAACGGTTGACCCAGTGATGGTGAGCATTGAAGCCTTCGTTGATAAACAATGGAGCATGTTTTCATCAACAGTTGACTGAGCGTCCATGATCAGTTGAATGATCATTCGTAAACAGTTGAGCTTGCTCTGATAAACAGTTGAACCTGTTTTCATCAGCAGTTGAGTGAGCGTGCGTAAACAGTCGACCGGCATTCTTAAACTGTTGATCAGCTTTCTAAACAGTTGAGCCAGCGCTGGCAAACAGTTGAATGAGCGTTGGTAAACAGTTGAGCCTGCTCTGGTAAACAGTTGAATCTATTTTCATCAACAGTTGACGGAGCGTCCATGATCAGTTGATTGACCACTCGTAAACAGTTGAGCCTGTTTTGTTGTAAATTCAAAGGAAGATTGATTCTCTTAATTATTTGTTCAGAGGGAAACATGAGGCTATATATACAACGAGAAGATCAAGTTGATTTCCAATCAACTTGATTCTCCGTTTAGACACTTCGGTATTAATTCCGATGGTTTCGGCTTGGTTCCTGATCTGCACCAGCCTCATATCACAACAGATACATCTGCTCGAGGTATGCTCCATGGCCATCTTAGTCGGATATGGCTGTGACGGAACTGAAGAGAGATAGAGAGAGATTCGGAGCGATCTTCAAGAGTTGACTATAGCGAGCATTGGTTGACTCAAACTTGAGACCGGGAGAGCCACCAATACATGGACTGTATTGTCAGCCGGAAGCCACCGGAATGAGCCGAGTATTGAGCAAGTCGAGTACATATGAAGAGCTGCGAGCAGATCTTCTCGATCTGATATCGACTGACTTATTGCAGAGGTGTCAGGTATGTAAGCTAATTAGATCACATGGTCCTTTGTAAGCATGCAGAATAACTGCACGCACAGAGATATAAGAATGGGACAGACAGGCATATGTTCGACCGGAGATCTATTGGTCCAGCTTCCACCGCCCTGATTACGTGTTCCGACAAGAGGCTAGTGACATGTGCATTTGCTTATAGTTCGCCACCCCCGGGTCAACACGAGAAATATTCCCCTCATCCTTGATGCCTGACTTTTTAGGCCTTACGGCATGGAATGCGATGGCGGTCGGCGCTGTACACACACGTGCAGGTTGGTTGGCTCGGTCAAAGACATCAGACTTGGGCAAGAAAGCATTATTCACGTCTGTCTCACAGGTCAGGAAATCCGAGATGACTGTTGAGGTTGGCGTTGGTAGGGTTCCGAAAGGAATAAAGGAATGCGAATATGAATATATGAATATATGAATTTTTTATTCGCGCGAATAGGTGCCCTATTCATATTAGCATCTATACTATTCATATTGTGAGTTTTCTTCGCATTAATACTTTGTCCGGTACAGCGGTTATCGTATTACCGAAAAATGCTCGGTGGTTGATTTCACAACGCCATCACTTCATCAGCCACGCTGGACAGCGGAATTTCGCTTATGGATATATGCAAGGAAGAAAACTCCCTTTTTCAGGCTTTGGCTAGCTTAATATCCCGTAGTGGGTTGGTTTCGATATGTAATCCCCATTCACAGGTGTTTGTCCACCGAAACGTAATACCAATGAGAAAGGCCAACGAAGAATATATATATCTATCAACACAACTGCGAGTCATCTTGATCAAATAACTTAATGAATCCGCTCAGTCCTCTGATACTATTTCAATCCGTTCCAAACTCCGTTCATAAGATAACCCTAAAAAATGGCACGTAAAAATGCGTTTGCCTCACAACCGAAAGCTTCCAGTGACCCTGGCGACATTTTGTTTACGTTCAAAATCATTCATATCGCGTTGCAGAAAACAGAGAAGAGACCTATCAACTTTCCACGTTACAGTAAAGGGCATATAAGGCGCGAACATGACTGAGTCTGTCAACAGTCATCCTATTCTCATTTCCCCTGTAAGTGTTCATCCCCAGGTAGCTCAAGGTATAGTATGCATACCACTGATTCCATCTCGCTGTACTGACCTTAAGAAACAGTAGTATGGCATTTACACCTAATCTGTTCTTGCGAGAACGCGCGGCCTTCCACGTCGGGATTATAATGCTCTCCACAATGGCCTGGTTTCCTCACCTTCGGAACAGTGTGAGGAACCGATCTGTGAGATAGAGCGCCCTTACTCTCCTGAGCCCTCCCCACCGAGAGACACCGATGAAACGCCAGAGTCAAAGCGGTCCTACTCTTTAGCTAGCTCCTCGCCCTCCCCACTTGATCCCGCATTTTTGGAGAGCAGGAGCAATACGAGTAGTCCACTCCAGTATAAAAGACGAAAGACCAAGTCATATTTTAGTTGGACTACCGAGCACTCTTGGACCACAGATCTCGATAACACTTGGTGTCGGCAGGGTGGCTCGCCAAAGAAAGACTGACTGCTGGTATGCAAGCATTGTAGCTTGACCTCCAGGGATTCGGCGCGCTATGGTTTCACGTCGAATTTGTTGGTGCACCTCCAGACCAAACAGCATATCAAGTCTGGGGGTTTTTCCATTTTCTTGCCCGCGGCCGAAGGAAACATCGACCGATTCTTGGAAGCGCCGAAAAGGAACGCTGGTATTGAAAGAATGCTGGTTCGATGGGTCATACAAACAAGACAGCCTTTCACAGTAGTGGAGCATCCGGCTTTCAGGGCACTTATTGAAGCAACAGGGGCTACTTTGCCTATCAAGACCGCTGATACTCTGAGCAACCGAATCAAGGAGGAATTCCACTCAAGAAGAGCTTACAAGAAAGAGGAACTGGCTAGAAGCAGCCAGACACTCGCATTATCTCTTGACGTGTGGACGTCGGAAAATCAGATTGCGATAATGGGTATTATCGGTCATTGGATATCCCCCGAGTTTGACAGGCGAGAAAAGCTCCTCGAATCTACCGAAATTTATGGACCGCACTCTGGAGAGAATTTAGCGGAAGTTGTGCTGAGGATGCTCGACGAATTAGACATTGCGCCCAAGCTCCTGACCATCACAGGGCATAACGCAGCAACAACGGGACGCTCTGCGATAGCCTACACGACCAACTCCTCAAGAGGTACGATAACGAGAATGACCGCTTTCGCATCAGGCCTCTGATGCGGTTCCGTGGACGACAGAGCTTTATTCCTTGCCTTGCCCATGTGCTCAATCTGATCTGTAAAGATGTGTTAGCTTCCTTGAGGGCTGGTTCGGCTCGGGAGGCGAGGGCGATACTGGAAGATATGGCCATTCATATAAGCCCAGCATTCAACTCCCTTTACAGCACGAAAGGAGCAATCATGGAAATCCGACTTCTGATACTGTAGATCGCCCGTAGCCCACAGCGCCGCCACGATTGGAAAGAAGTATCACCGAGCAAACAAGACAGTTATGACGTTGACACCCGATGGAACTCAACATATATCATGATTCAAGATGCTATTCGGCTACATACTGAGCTGGCGCAGTTTGGGCGGATACATCCAGAAGTTCAGGCCCTCCAGCTGACCGATGACGAATAGTCGATACTTAAGCAATTAGCCAAGATTCTCAAGCCGTTCTGGGACCATACAAACTCCGTTTCAAAGGCATGCCCAACAATTGTGGAAGATCTATCGATTTACTGGAGCTTGGATGATTTGTTAAATGACGTTCGAAATGCGGAGGGAGATTTTGAAGACGTGAACATTGAAATTCGCGATGCGATGGAAAGAGGCATTCAGAAGATGAACAAGTTCGCTAGAATAATGGACGACAACCTTCTGTACTATGTGGCTCCTGTGTTGAATCAGCGCATCAAATCGTCCTTGATTGTGTCTCAGATGAGCGAGCAAAGTTCGGGGGTTATCGTCTCGCAAGTGCGGGAATTTCTTAAAAAAGATTACACTCCAGAGCCGTTTGTGTCGTGTGAAGTTGACCATCCACGTCCAGCGGGGATGTCGGAAACAATGTAGAGAACTCTGCGCAAAGTCCAGCCATCCAAAGAGGCCTCTTTGTCGGATATTGATAAGTAATTGGATTCTCCGCCGGTCAACTGGTCCCACCACATGATCGACGATACGGACGCAGAATGGGTTCTAAAGTCGTAGAAAGCTAACGCGTTTAATTTTCCACTCATGGCAAAAGCCGCTCACGATTACCTACCCATCCCTGCGGCAGAGGTCGGGATTGAACGCGAGTTCAGCAATTCTCGAGATGTCTTGGGTCTCCAAAGGCACCGTCTGAACGCGGAGACTATGCGATGGCTGATGCTATTGAGAGGAAAGCCCCAGACAGAACTTTCCAGTGGCGCCTGCATGTAATTTTCAGTGCTTCGAAATTAAAGACAGGCACATAATTTGCAATGGAACAAAGTGTCTGAGCATGATTGATGTATTCGGATGTAATGAAACGAATAGTAATGTATGGTATCTTATTATATGAATAAATATGAAATAGTCCTATATTCATGAATATTGCGAATATGAATAAAGGGCTTATTCATATTCATATTATTCAATCCATATTATTCATACTCACAAATATTCATGAATAATCATATTCCTTTCGGATTCCTACATACAACTCTAGCATTCCAATGGACCTCTAGGAATTGTTGTCCAAAATAGGGGGTATGCAATGGATGAAACTATTGATATATTGCTTTTTCCTATTAAACATATCATTTCGTTACAATCACTGAAGAAATATTAGTGAGTTCGGTGTGTTCTCATGCCGCATATACAAAGCGTCCGTTACTATTGCGAAATACAAGCTCGTTCATCCACAATGAGAACAATTGTCAGCTGCCAGCCATGCCGGAGAAGAAAACTGTGGTGCACCCGTGAAAAGCCTGCTTACAAAATTTGTGTTGAACATGGGAAGCAGGGGTGTGAATATGAGAATAGTGTAGTCATTTCTCCACCGAGGCCGACGGGGCCGACGGCGCGCTCGACAAAGTCTTACGGATGCAGATCATTTCTATAAACGCACTCCGGCAATTTTACTCGTGTCGCGTGTCGAGAAATGATTCAAGCACTAGGTTCAAAAATTCGTTTCACATTCCACTTGGCTTCTTGCACTAGATTTGTAACTGTACAAACTTATTCATTCTGACTGCATAAAAAGCATAGGGGCTGTACCCTAGCGACGGTCCTTGTAGTGGAAAATAATGATAAAGAATCTCAAATCACCAATTCTGGCATCAATTCCTTCCACTGTCGTAACCACACCGTCATAATCTCCTTATCAACTGGGCCAATTTCGCGCGAAGTTAGCGAGGCCTCTTGGGTATTTGCGACTTCCATGGCTGGCATTGTATAACTTTGCTGATTGACGAGCATTCGGAAGAAATCCAATAGTCCTGCAGCAGGAAGCTTACGGAGATCGGCATCTCCACTTGTAACCAAGAGCTCCAGGGTTTGAACCCATTCGTCGAGGGAAACGATATTAGCATCGCATGCTCCGGCCACTAGTCCGCTAAGTGATTTCCACTCTGTTATCCTCGGGTTTGTGATATGGTAGACTTTGAATTCGGGATCAGTTCGGTCACGGTGTTTCCGGACAATCTCCGTCATTATGCGAGCAGCAGAATCCTAGAGCTTGTCAGTGATTTATCAGATCTAAATTTTCAATTTTCATTGGGTGTTACATACGATCGGAAGCCAGTCCACTTGAAATGGCCCCAAGCTATCAGGCAGCTTTGTCATGGTTTGCGACGACCGCACCAGAGATGGAAGCCAATCACGGGTGTTCCACATGCCCGCGTCGGGGTTAGATGGCCCACCAAGCTGACCGACGCGATGGATTGCAATGCGCAACCCGCTACGACCAGATGCTATTTGGCAGAGACTTTCGCCAACAAACTTTGACTCTCCATACCCCTGCTGAAGTGGGCCTTGTATTCCCGACAGGGCCTCTGGAATAGTTGAGCCAGGAGCCATAGGCTGGCCCATGACGGCTGAGATAGAAGAGACAAAATGGAAATCTGCATTGTTAGAGGAGTGTTCAATCAGTTTCAATAGTCGTCGGACTCCAACGATCTGAGTCTCAAAGTTGGCAATTGGCTGGTTAAAGTTGACAAGCCAGGCATTGTGTATAACGATATCCACGCTATTCTCCAGAAAACTGTACTTTTCTGGTGTCAGACCCAAGTATTCGTCCCCTAGGCTGCTCAGCCAGAACTGCACCCGAGACGTCTCTGTTAACCAGGTAGAAGACAGATTCTTCTTCTCGAAGCTCGCGACTTGTCGCTCTGCTGCATCGGCAGATCGATTTAGACAATATATGTTTGTGATTGATGGATCCTGCAATAGCATGTTGAGGATGTAGCTACCCAGCTCGCCAGTTGAACCAGTCAAGACTACTGTCAATCCACCAGAACCAAGGAACTGTGCTTGCTGCCAGATTGATTTTATCAAATTATCCTCCCGTGTCCAGACATGTGCTGGATTTGAATCTCTTACAAGGGGGGACCCATGGATGCGCTTGTATAGAGCCTGGGCTAGTAGTGGGATACTTTCCAGATCGTAAATCATGGCACTGGTCCAATCGTCCCTTTCTGGACGCAAATGCAATTTATCTTCAGCATGTTGCAAGATTTGGCCAAGGCGGACGACCTGAAGCGAATCCATCCCCAGAGCGGCTAGATCGCTCTCTGGGCTGATGGTGTCCTGAGCGAGGACGTGCGCCACTTGATATTGAATCCATTGCTGAATCTCCGGGAGTTTAGTTCCTGGAGCCTCTTCGACATGCCTAGAAGTTTGCACCTCGATCTTCTTGGATGTGTAAAGCTCGCTTAAGATTATCTCGTATGTGTTGGCAATCTCGCGGCGCCGGAGTGTTCCTTTAGGTGACAACGCAAAAGGTTTATTTTGAGAGCTGAAAGCAATGTGACTTTCAAAGACTTTCCCGTGGGCTGGTAAAAGTCCATTTCCTTGTTCGACCAAAGGCCAGAGCGTCCGCTTCAGATCGTTAGGTGTCCAAGAAGAAGGCAATTCTTCCCAGACTGGCTCTACCAGCAACGCCGCTTGAAATCGATCCCGACCAAATATAGCGGCGTGTTTAACAAAAGAGTGAGACTCAATCACCTTCTCTGCCTCAATGGGGTTGAATTTCTCCCCATTACTCAAGACAATGATATCGTCTCCCCGGCCATCATACCGCCAGAGTCCAGGCTTAGAGGGATGAGGACGGAAGAGATCACCAGTTCGATATTCTTCCAGATGTGGATACGTGTGAAAGATACCATGAAAGCTTCGTAGCTTCGGCCTTGGCAAGACCAGCTCCCATAGACCTTCCCCCACATCTTCCATGCGTAGCTGGAATGCTGGGTTCCACTCGTGATAGCACCAGTCCGAGGGATCCCTGCAGAGCAGTCCAGGTGTATAAGAAGTTTCACTGCTTCCAATTATGGTTTGCAACTGAAGAATTGACGATAACTTCTTCCCTGTAGCCTGTGCCATAGGGGCCCCGCCATAATTGACGGCAGAAAGCTTCCTAAGTGCTTGAAGCCCTTCCTCGGATGCCGCAAGCTCCTCAAGGTTATATGGACTGAAGAGTCCCCAGGTGGGACTATAATCCATGTCCATGATCCGAGCAAATAATTTCGTGGTTAATGGACGATCGGGTGCAAGCAAGAAAGGCGTTTGAAAGAACAGGCTCTCGGAAATACAAACAATTCCCATGAAATGAAAAAGTGGATTGGAGAAAAAGCGTAGGTTTCCCTGTTGGAGTAGGCACATCTGACTGGATTGGCGTCCTGGAGGCACATGAAGGGACCTCATGTTATCTAGAGTAGCCAAGTATCCATGGGTTACTGTGATAGGCTTAGGATTTCCAGTAGTGCCAGAACTATGGATGATGAGAGCAGGAAGGTCCTCAACATTGGAAAATTGCAGACTGTAGGGGTACGGCAGAACTGATTCTGATGAGAAGACATCCCACATTGAGTCAATTTTCCATCGGTCAAGTGGGACATCAGCATAGTTGGACTCAAGGTCATCGAGTAGGTGTTTCAACTGTGCCTTTTCGCTTCCGTCTACGAGGATGCAACACCTAGTAGACTGTAGAAGATGTCGCTGGGCTTCTTGAGAGTTTCGAGTCGAAAGGAGCAGAGCCTAATATTTGAGCTCAGATGATGTACACACGACTGTTATTGAAGGATAGTCTCACGGCATGTCCCACTTTCATACACGCTAGCATGAATGCTCCATATCTCAAATCATTGGCACCAATGTAGGCCAGGACTTGTTGCTCTTTTTGCTCGCCCAGTTTCCGGTCGATCCACCAAGCCAATCGGTCAACAGCTTGAGAAAATTGGTAAACGGAGATACGACACCAATCATTCTCACTGACTTGAGAGGATGGATGAATGCAATATAATGAAGTAGGGGAATCTTTAGCTAAATCATCTAGCACCTGCATAAGAAGCCGGCCCTGATTGTCTGATGATTTCATATTGAAAGATATGTGGCTTTGTTGGAAGATAAAAGTGAAGAAGAAGAAATGAGTTTGAGATAAATAGGAAAGATCTACTTAGTTCTCCCTGCCGAAAAAACTAAACAAGGGATTAGGCGTTCACCTGGAAGAGTCATATAGCTTCAGAAGTGGATTAAAATGTGGATACATCACAATGTGGCGTGTACAAAATCGCTGATCATGTTAATATTCGCTCTCTATTGCATTAGCGTGACTATGGAAAAGGAAAGAACCAGATTTGGCGTACGGAGATAAGAGGTGGGCCCGCTGCATCATATGCTGTACACCCTTGTAGATGTTGTACTACCCTTTCTAGTATCGGAAATTGATCAGACCCCCTCCAACTCCTGGTAAGTAGGTCTCCCAAGTTCCATTTTAGGCATTAATCATCGCTCACGTCATCTAGTGATCTCATGCCGAAGCGAGCTTCCTATATGCCTGTATTATTACGCATTTAATGAGATACATCTGTCTGAATAACTCATTTTTGCCTAGATTCGAGACACTTAATGACTTCCATCGTGTGGGTTATTATTGCAAGGGTCAAGTCACAGGTTGTAAGATGAATTGCAAACAGTCAATATTCAATGGATTCTATCTCATATAGCTACTCAAAGTAATCTGTCTTCTGCGAGTTCCAGAACGTAGACTATAGTCATCTAATGTATGAGAGCGAACCAGAATACTTCGCTTAATAACTGGGTAGTTGACTCTGTGCGATAACCCACTCCATGGCAGACAACATCTGGCGTGCCTCTGGTCCTGATCGCGGGACATCATGTCCCGAGGTATGCTCAAACACTCGTTGCTTGCCAGTCTCAAAGAACTTCTGAACCAACATCCCAGATTCCCGTATCGCAGAAAGCTCGGTCTTTCCGCGCACGTGGAGCGCGGGAAGTGCAAGGCGGACTTCGCATACATCCGGATGTAACACGGATGGGATTTCCCGCAACGGCCGATCCAAGTAATAGCTGCGTGGCTTAAGGGTGATTGGTTCCACGGCGTCTATTATAGATATAAGGGATGCTGTAGCAGTGCGTGTTACTCCAGGAAGCCGAGCGATTTCTTCGTCTCGGCAGGATCGAATGTGCAACTCGTCTTGAGAAGTGAGAGACCCAAGTAAACGTTGGTTGTATTCCGGATTCGTAGCTAAAGGCACTGTTGTGGAGCACAGAATGACGAATTGAAAAGGAAGGTTATTGTTTGGATGCGCCATCTTCTGCTCGATCAAATAGGAGACGAGAATAGATGCACCTTGACTGAAGCCAAATGCACCATCAAAAGGGCCCTTTTCAGCAATTGTCTCCTCCAAGAGAGCATGTGCTGCATCTTCGCTCTCAGGACCAAAATTGCGAGAGTAGCAGAAGTACGGTTCGGGAAAATTAATTTCAATCCCTTGTAGACACCTCTAATATTAATCCTCTTGGCCGAGAACAGTTCAGAGCATGGTTCGATTACCTACCTGGAGCTGGTGGGCATATCTCTTCTCCACATAAGTAGTGAAATTCCCAGCTAGCGTCTGCCGCTTTTGCTAAAGCAGACATTTGGTATTTCATCACTTCAGAGCCTGTGCCATGGCCGTGAAGACAAAGAATGCGCATCGTGTTGGCAAAATGCGGAGACTGTGGTAAGGATTCAACAAGAAAGTATAGTGGTAAAAATAAAAGCTGGCTCGAAGTGAACTTTCAAATTTACATTAAGAGCAAATGACCTTTTTCAAAATGGATGACTATCAAGCTTGGGAAAGATTCTATGGACCATAATAATGCAAGGCACGTACTACCGGGATCTAGATCTTTGTAGTCGACAAACGGAAGTCTTGGCGTAACTCTAAGTCGTGTAACAGAGCCTTTGGGCGACCTGCATACGCTGTGAAACCAATAATCTGGTTATCAAGATACGTCAGAGCACCCACATATACCAGAACGTGCACGGCAGCGCACATCACTACTAAAAGTAGGTCTTGGCGTAACTCTAAGTCGTGTAAAAGAGCCTTTGGGCGACCTGCATACGCTGTGAAACCAATAATCTGGTTATCAAGATACGTCAGAGCACCCACATATACCAGAACGTGCACGGCAGCGCACATCACTACAAAAGTAGGTCTTGGCGTAACTCTAAGTCGTGTAAAAGAGCCTTTGGGCGACCTGCATACGCTGTGAAACCAATAATCTGGTTATCAAGATACGTCAGAGCACCCACATATACCAGAACGTGCACGGCAGCGCACATCACTACCAAACATGGCTTACATCTTTGATACGAACGATAAGAATCTTCACGCATTAAACTCCGTTTATGCACTGCCAGTTACACACTACGTGAGTTGACTTGTTCGTTTTGGGTTAGACCCAAATAGCTGCATGAAAAACGCAAGATTAGATTCAAGCTTAAGAAATAATGAGTGTGATGAGGACTCCGACAGGAATAAGCAGTGTAGTTGGAATCCAACCCCGAACGTTACTGTCCACTCAAAGGTGAAGGTGTCTAAAAAGTCCTTCCTTGGATCATTTAATAGAAAATGAGATAGGGGGCAATAGATACAATAAAACGTAAGATCTACTGAGTTTCATCCACAGGGTAGACGAGCTTGCAGGCTCGGACCTTCCCTTCGCGCAGAAGCTGCAGCCCTTCAAGCACACCCTCGAGACCACCAGGCTTGATCTGATAACGGTGCGGGTGGATTTGACGAGCTTGAAGCAGAAATTCGACTTCCTCTGCCCAACGCGTCGCAAACTCGAGATCGGCGGATTTTCCATCGATCTCGAATTTGCCCAGATGGTATTTCTCCCCAATCATCGCATAAGCCATCGACACTTGGGTGTCCACGTCTACACGTGGGCACCGTACATCGAGTAGCGCAGCATAACTTCCTCCTGCAGATGAGATGGCAGTGGCGCAGATTGCGGCAGATTGCGGAGTTGAGATAGTATCAAAAGCCAACTCTAGCGCGTCATCTGTCTCATCGCGAATTCGATCGCCCACTTGGGGATCATGATAGTCGAAGGCGATATCTGCGCCTAGGTCGTACATGTATGACTGGTTAACCTGCGAGCAGGTGGTCAAAACACGGAGACCTGACTGCTTAGCGAATTGAATAGCCAGGCATCCGGTGGCTGTGGCACCACCGTAGATCAAAATAGTCTCGGGTGGATCATCGACAGCGCATCCATCCGTCAATGCTTCACGTCTTGGACTGGGTAGCTGAAGGTATTGGTAGAGATTCTGGCCCACAGTTGTCAGACCCACGCCCAAGGTCGATGCAGCTTCAAAGCTCATGAAATCAGGGATGCGAAACTGGATATCGCCTTTGGCAAGAACATATCCGGCAAAGGCCCCGCTCTTGGGCTGCACCAGATTGCAGCCATGCACGAAACCTGCCACTCGGTCTCCCTTCTTCCAATCCTTGCTGACCATAGGGCCGATAGCTTCCACGACTCCGGCATAGTCACAACCAGCGATGGTATCAGCACAATCCTCCAGGTGTATGTGTTTCCAGTCGGTAGGATTCAAAGCAACTGGACAAATTTGATGAGCGAACTGAAAAAGCCAAATTTGTTGCCACGAAACCTACCAGCTTTGGTCTTCACCAATATGTAATCATCGGGAATTTTAGGAAGAGTGACGGAGCGTAATACCGCATGGCCACGGGATTCAACAAAGATAGCACGTATGCTGGACATTGTAATTGCGTTCCAGATACGGTACAAGTCTATGATTGGGATCTTGGGTTTGTAGAACGCAGTATCTCGCAGCTCTCCTAAATCAACAGACTGAAGAGGTATGAGGTCTTAAAATACCAAATTATCTAACTTGATGGGCAAACACCGATGTCCAATTCCCGCGCAGGGTCGATCGATCGATAGTGGATAGGAGGTCTCTGTCATCATTGTCTGCTGCGGGGGAGTGAGCAATGTGGCGTATGATGCTGATCCCTTCTTGTTGGGGTTCTCGTCGCAGAGGAGGTGTGGATCAGATGGAAGCGAAATCCAGATTCAGTCCCTGATTTCGTATCGCTCTCTTTCTTTCGTTCGCGATGTAGAATCGCGACGTTAGAGATGATGTGACTCATACCAGATAAGGTAGGGCTTTCATGCACTTGGTCGAATCAGGCTTTCTGCACATTTCCCTCGGGAAATCGTTCTGTTACCTGACTGTAGACATCTTTCTGGATTTGGGAACAAATTACAGGCCTTTGATCAAGTTCGTACAGCACCAGAAATGATATATAAGAATGTAGACGAGGGGGTCTCAGACGCCGGAAAGCAGCAGCTATTTTATTTCACTACGAACATAAAGGTTTACCAATAGTTTTCTTTTAGAGCAAATATGTCCAAGGAACAGCAAGAGGAAATTGTAGGCCCTGAGCCAATCGCGGTTATTGGTATGGGCTGTCGCTTCTCAGGGGAAGCCTCGTCTCTGGAAGGCTTCTGGAACATGATACGGGAAGGTCGAACAGGCCATTGCAAGGTGCCACCGAATCGATATGAAGCATCCGGGTGGCACCACCCTAGTCACGATCGGAAGGGATCTGTAAGTTACGACCCCGACCGTCAATTTATCCATGGATTGTGGATTGAAACTGAACAGTATAAAATCAGATCAACCATGATAGTGGATTTTTCTTGGAAGAAGATCCTTCCCGCTTTGATGCCCCATTCTTTTCCATCACTGCGAAAGAAGCAGCTGGCATGGACCCAGTACAGCGGCTACTGCTCGAAGTGGCATATGAAGCATTTGAGAATGGTATGTTTAAATCAGGATCTCCTCATGAGGGAAAGAATATCTAAGACTAACATCGTACAGGTGGTGTACCCATGGAAAGTCTTCCTGGTAGCCGAACTGCAGTATTTTCTGGGTGTATGACAAATGACTATGAACTCTTGTCAACCTGTGATATGCATGATATGCCACACAACTCAGCAACTGGCAACGGAAGGACTATGCTAGCAAACCGATTGTCCTGGTTTTATGACCTGCGGGGCCCCAGTGTTATGCTCGATACAGCCTGTTCCTCTAGTCTGACGGCTTTGCATCTAGCCACACAGGCTTTGCGGGCAAATGAGTGTGATACGGTACGTCCCCTCCACGGTATGGCCCGGCGCATTTGGAAACGTACGACTAATAAGGCCGCTGGCAAACAAATAGGCTCTTATAACGGGTGCTAGTCTCATCCTTCATCCAAATTTCACACAGCGACTGTCCTATATGCACATGTTAAGTGCGGATGGTATTAGCCATTCTTTTGATAAGAAAGCAAATGGCTATGGACGGGGTGAGGGCTTTGGTGCATTGCTGTTAAAACCCCTCAGTAAAGCCCTGAAGGACAAAGATGCCATCCGCGCCGTCATCCGCGCCACTGGTGTAAACCAAGATGGACGTACTCCTGGTATCACCATGCCAAGCCGTACCTCACAGGCTGATTTGATCCGGACTGTTTATGGGCCAGGCCTTCCGACTATGCGAGATACCGCGTACTTTGAAGCCCATGGGACTGGTACTGAGATTGGTGTGAGTACATACCAGAACAAAATCATCCTTCATAACGCTGTCTGCTAGTCAGGAACGATACTAACTTGCATTGACCCCAGGACCCAACTGAACTGTCGGCCATTGGGGAGACTTTCGGCGCGGCCCGGTCTGCTGATGATCCACCCCTCTATGTTGGGTCCGTGAAAAGCAATATGGGACACACGGAAGGTGCAGCTGGTGTAGCGAGTCTGATCAAGGTTGTACTTTGTCTGGAAAAGGGTGTTCTTGTTCCCAATGCCGGATTTTCTGAAGTGAACCCAAAGATTCTTCTCGACGATTGGAAGCTTCGACTAAGTAATGAGTATATACCCTGGCCCTCTCACCTTCCCCAGAGGGCCAGCATCAACTCATTTGGTTTTGGTGGCTCTAATGCCCATGCACTCATTGAGAGTGCCTCCGAGTATTTGGGGTCCGTTGAGGAGCCTCTTTCGGAATCAGCAGGAAAGGTCCCACAGGTTGTTGTGTTTTCCACATATGACAAGGCCGGTATTAATCGGATGGCCACCAAATGGACGTCATTTCTTCAAACACGGCTTGATGCTGGCCAAGATGAATCTTTGCAGAGTATTGCCCATACTATGGGTATCCGCCGCTCCAAACTGCCCTTCCGCAGCTTTGCAGTGGCTGATTCTCAGTCACAGCTTTGTGAGGTGTTGAGGAAGGGATTACCGGAATTCCCCCCGAGCGAGTCGGAGCACGAATTCCAACCTGGTATTTGTCTTTACTGGTCAAGGAGCACAATGGGCGGGCATGGGCCAAAGTCTCTTGAAACTTCAAGTCTTTGCAGAGAGCATGGCACGTAGTCAGGAAATTCTGTCCAATATTGGATGCACCTGGGATCTGATCGAAGAAATCAAGGCAGACGCCGCCTCCTCAAGGATGAGTCAGCCAGACCGGAGTCAGTCAATCTGTTGTGCGTTACAAATCGCCCTGGTCGATCTCTTGGCCAGCTGGCAGGTGCACCCCCGAGCGGTCATAGGCCACTCCAGTGGTGAGATAGGTAAGGAATCTCTCTGCTCATTGTCCCCAAACCTTGGAAAGTCACGTGCTAATTTGTTAACAAATGAAATAGGAGCGGCATATGCAGCCGGATTCCTCACTCACCAGGATGCCATCCGCGTTGCATATTTCCGGGGCGTGCTGTCTCTACGAATTGCCCAGAATGGAAGACGAGGCGGCATGCTTGCTGCCGGAATCTCACCTACGGATGCTGAGAAGTATCTTGCCGACGTTCCATCTGGATCCGTTGTTATAGCATGCGTCAACAGTCCAGCAAGCATCACACTGTCAGGTGATGTCGATCAGATTGATCTGCTGGAGAAGAAAATTCAAGACGATAAATGCTTTGCACGCAAACTGCGGGTCGAGACGGCCTATCATTCTCCACACATGTACGACCTCGCTGATGATTACGAAGCAGCTCTAAAGGATATTGAACCCAAAGAGGGTCGCCAAGGTACAGTTGCTATGTTCTCATCTGTCACCAAAGAGCCAGTACACGCGAAAGACCTGGGTGCTGCCTACTGGGTACGCAACATGGTCAGTACAGTGGAATTTGCGTCTGCTGTGTCGCAGTTGGCTACAATGACCGAGTCTCGCAAAGGACGTCGCCGCGCAGCAGCTGTCAAATGGAGTGGCTTCCTCGAGCTTGGCCCACACGAAGCACTTAAGGGGCCGTTCACTCAGACTCTGCAGTCTATTGATGGGACTCTGATCACACTTCCATATCAAGCCTTGGTAAAGCGGAACACAAACGCCCTTCAGACTGGTCTCCAGGTGGCGGGCCTCCTCTGGAGCATCGGCACAGCCATCGACATAGCGTCTGTTAATTTGAGCGTCAATGCCACAGACCCAAAGATAGTGCATAACCTGCCATCATACCCCTGGAATCACCAATCCTCATTTTGGCATGAGCCTTTGGTTTCGACTCGACTCCGTCAGCGCAAAGAACCCCGTCATGATCTATTGGGTATTCCGTGGGATTATCAAAATGATCTCGAGCCACAGTGGCGCAACTTCCTGCGGGTTTCTGAGATGCCTTGGCTAGCAGATCACGTGGTCGCCGGCTCCATCATCCTTCCAGCTGCCGGCATGGTTTCAATGGTTGCCGAGGCTGCACGTCAGCTTGCGGAGACCTCTAGGTCCCTTCAAGCAATTGAGTTCAACGATCTTGGATTCTTACAAGGTGTTGTCGTTCCGGATGATGATCGCGGCCTTGAAACAGTCCTGCACGTGGCACCGCATCCTACTGTTCCCGGTTGGTTTGCATTTGGGATTTTCTCCCTGCCCAAAGATGCGGCCTGGATCAAGCATGCGACCGGTGCGTTTAATCTACACTATGACGATAGTGGTAAGCCGATAGGTCCTCAAGACTGGAGTCGGATTATCGAGGAGGGTAGAGATAGACAAGCTGCTGCTCCCTGCACAAAAGCCGACGACGTCTACGAGTGGCTCTCCAACACGGGAGGTGTTACACTAGGCCCAACATTCAGGTCTATCTCTAACATATCCTTCTGCGAGAGTGGGTGTCAACTGTGGATTGACGGAATTGTACCAGACACGCAGCGAACGGCGCCCTATGAACGGGAATCCGCATACTTTATGCATCCCACCTCTCTCGATGCCCTGTTACAAGCAGCAGTTCTCTCTTGCTCGGATGGGCTTAGCAACCAGAATGCCAATATTCCGATCGGCGTTGATAGGCTCTACCTTCCAACTAGCTTGGATCTCCGATCAGGCGATCGGTTCACCATCCACACGACCACCAGATCCCAAGAAGGAGGTTCATCCCGATCCGACTCCATAGCCTCCGATCCTTCATGGGGCCATCCCAGTGTAGTTTTGCAAGGTATCCAGCTTGGTCGCGTGCCGATGGCCAAAAAGGCCGCTGCAGGCACGGGTGAGACTAGTATGAGCCGCTATTCATCTATTTCTTGGGCAGCGCATCCGATCTTATCTGGCGGCGCGGGAGCAAGCCAAACCCAACCTGGCCAACTTTCAGACTGGGTTCAGGGTGTCTGCCACGTATACGGTGATGCTCGAGCGCTTCTCATAACTCCCTCAAGTGAGAGCAGCGAGGTGATGAAAAGTTTGCATTCATTTCTGCCAGGTGTTGGGCAGCGCCCGTCCTTGCAGGAGCTCATGGTCATTATTGTGGTACCCGATGCGCCGACGGAGTCTCAAATTATCGAGCTTCGAGAGTTCCTGCCCGGTGCACAGGTGCAGCATATCGAAACAATGCAAGACCTCACTCCAGCTGCGCTTGATGACAAGCAGTTTGACGTCGTCTTTGTAGACCACCCGAGTATTTGGAACTCCTCAGATATGGAAGCCAGTCTTTCGTCAATCTCCTTGGTCGCGCAACCAGACGGATGCATGGCACTCCGCACCTCTTCCATCGATAAGGATGCTTCGAAAAACATCAAAAACACACTTGGCTGGAGATTTACGGGTGAGACTCAAGACGGTGACTTCGTCCTGGCATCTCGTGATATGGGCCCTGTATCTCTTGATTCGACCATATTCTTGCTCACAACAGACTCGACGCCTTTGCAAGAGAATCTCAAGTCCAGCTTGGAGCAAACATTTGCCACGTTGGATGTTGAAATACGACATGTTGAATTGCAAGAGATTGGCAATCTCGCCGGCAAGATGGTCATATCCTTGCTAGAGTTCGAGCGACCCTGGGTGTCCTCCTGGACTGCCAGCTCCATGTCACAATTTCAGGCCCTGCTAAATGCCACTTATATCCTATGGGTCTCGCCATGTTCAACTCCGATGATGGATGCCAGTGCTGCCGGATTTGGTGCAACCACTGGTCTGCTGCGCACTTTGCGAAACGAGAAACGCGGTACACTTTTGCCCCAGCTACAGTTCAACCAAATCGATGCAGTCAGGGATAATTTCTTGGCTAAAGGGATACTTCAAGTAATGGAAATGACACTAGCACCTCTTACTCGGTCGAGTCACGACCTCGAGTACCGGTTGCAGGACGGCCGAATCATGGTGCCAAGAGTGGTTGCTGCTGATCAGGTGGATAGGGCTATTAATACCTTGTTACATGGCCCGCGCCCAGCTATGAGTTGCCTGGTTGATGATACTCGACCTTTGCAATTCAAGATGGATCCTCAAGACACCAAGCACGCTTATTGGGCGGAAGATTCAGCTCTGGCCGCTGCCCTCCCCGAAGATCACGTGGAGGTTCAATTGAAAATACAGACGATTAGCCCGGCCGGAAGCTCTGTGAATTCTAGTCCTGAGGCACTACTGCGTGCCGTCGAAGCTGTCGGTACCATCAGGGAGCTTGGAAGTATGGTCAAAGGGAATCTTCTGGTGGGAGATACTGTTGTACTATTGTCCCTTAGTGCTGAGTCAGGGCTCAGCTTGTCAAACCGCCTGCGAGTCCCTGCTTCAGCGGTTATGAGGCTGCCAGTGGGAATCACTCCTGAGCAAGCAGTGTCAGTACCTTTAGCATACACGCTGGCCTATATCAGTCTGTTTGACACAACTCGCCTCGGTCCTAACGATTCGATTCTCGTTGTCGGATCCATTAGCCAGACATTGCGGGCCATCTTGAACTGTGCGCTAATGATCCCGGGGGTCCAAATTTTTGTAGCAACAACAAGTACTGCAGAGCGCGACGAACTTGCCTCCCAGTATCACATTCCACCCAATCACATCATGAGCATCCACGGTGGTCTTGATACCAAAGTTATGCGTATGACCAATGACAAGGGTATTACTGCCGTTGTTTCGTGTGTCAGTGGCGGACCTGCTCGTCTTGCTGCTAGCACTTTGGCCTACGGGGGCCACTTTCTTGACATCAGTGGCCAAATGAAAGCAGCACCTTTGCCTAACTCTTTCATTGAGAAGTCTTGTACATTCTCCGTTCTCAACTTGAACGTCATATTGCAAAAGCAGCCTGAGAAAGCTTACGACTATTTCCGTCAAGCTTCGACGGCCCTCTGCTCGCACCGCTACCTTCAAGCTGGGGCTGTCTTTTCTGTTGCTGATTGGAGTGATGCAAAAGACCACGCTCTAAAGACGGGATCGCGAGTGGCAATCAACCTCGATGGACCTGGTGAGGTACTGATTGAGCCTTTGCAAGCGGCTCCTGTTCCTCTACCCCGAGAGCATACTTTCATTTTAGCCGGAGGTCTCGGCACTCTGGGCTTGGCACTGGCTACCACACTTGTTGAAAATGGAGCCGGTCATCTTGTATTCCTTTCTCGCTCCGGAACCGTTCAAGATGCATTAAAACCCGCCATTAATGAGCTCAGCAGCAAAGGTTGCTGTGTTGATATCGTGCCCTGTGACATTTCTATAGAGGGGGATATTCAGCAACTGCTTTCAGAAGCCCGCGAGCACCAGTGGCACATCAAGGGTGTTTTACAGTGCGCAACAGTGCTTCAGGTAAGCAAAATTATTTCTCCTAAAGGCCCACGGGCAAGCTGACGTTTTGAAGGACTCAATGTTCGAGAAGATGTCTTTCGAGGAATGGAAAAATTCTACTCAGCCCAAGATTTTGGGAACATTCAATTTGCACCACCTCCTGCTGAACGAAGGACTAGACTTCTTCGTCACACTTTCATCTGTTGCTAGTGTGATTGGCAATATGGGTCAATCAAACTACTCCGCCGGCAACTCATACATGGATGATCTGATGAGCTGGCGACAAGCCCATGGGCTCCCTGGAAATAGTATCAACATCGGTCTTGTTCCCGACGCCAGCGGAGTTGGCGATGTTTCCGAGTCACCCGAGGAACGTCGTCGGCGATATAGCCATTTGGAAGGGACAGAAATTCTCACAGACGAATTGCAAGCACTTCTTCAGCTAATTTTGCAGCGGCAGGTGTCTATTCCTGCGCAAGTCCTTGCGGGGATGACTGACACTCTGCCTCGTGATGGAGGTGCGTCGTGGCTTTACGACCGCAAGTTCGATCATCGGGTTCGCCTGCTCCCCTCCGAGACAGACGAAGGCGTTTTGCGGACCAGTGGCTTGCTCAAGAGGTCGGCATCTATTGATGAGGCCACCCAGATCGTTATTCAAGGAATGCAGGAGTATCTCGCCAATGCGATGACTGCTTCAGCTGACTCCATTGACACAGAATTGGCTCTCCCAGCATTAGGCGGTAAGCACTGATCTTTTTCCATTTCAAGTTCCCTTAGTGGTAATAACATCGCTGATCTTTTTAGTGGACTCTCTCAAAGCAACAGAAGTACAAAATTGGGTATCACGGGAGATGGGGGCTGAGTTGTCATCGTTCGAGTTCTTAGGATCGCAGTCAGTCAGGGCTTTGTCGGAAAAGATTGCCCAGCAAAGCTCGTTTGTTACTGTTCCATAAATACGGTATAGAACGTGAGGGACTATGGTCTACGGTCTCGCTACGGGTTGGAAAAAGTAAAATAAATATTTGGATAGCAGTCGTATATCTATATGCCATATTCCTTCTGCCACTCCTTCCTGCGTTGAGGACTGTTACGTAATGGAGCACCGCGCACTAGTTAACTAACGTACTTCACTACCGAGTGACGCACACTACCGAGTGGCGCACCCCCAAACACCATAGTAAATGCAATATTTACTTCCCTAATATCTCAACAATAACATTCCTCACATGTTCCAGCATTAGCCGATAAACATGGATAAAGATTTTGAAAAGCATATGTGAATTTCGTATAAATCGAACATTTATTTTATCACGATACCGAAAATTACATCGCTAAACCAGTAAGATATATATATCCAAGCCATCAAGTCATGAAAATTCTCGAAACTCCCTAAAATATCTAGATATCATATTGGAAGAACTCAGCTACAAGGGAAAGCTCCCACAGATTGCTGTTGTTGAGATAATGAGTTGTAATTTATCGCATTTACTATGGTGTTTGGGGGTGCGCCACTCGGTAGTGTGCGTCACTCGGTAGTGAAGTACGTTAACTAACGTATTTCACAAGCGGGTCGCGCACAAGCGGATCGCGCACCCCGAAACACCATAGTAAATGCGATATTTACTACCATGATATCTCAACAACTGTATTTATAATCAGTTCCAGTACTTACCGATAAACATCGATAAGAATTCTGAGACTTTTATACCAATTTCAAAAAATCAAATACTTATATTATCATATTAATAAAAATTACACCATTGAACTGGAAAATATACATATATTGCGGTCATGAGTTCATTAAAATTCTCGAAACTCCCTAAAGTGTCTAAATATCATATAAAAAGAACTACACTGAAAGGAAAAGTTCCTATAGACCACTGTCGTTGAGATACTAAGTTGTAATTTATCGCATTTACTATGGTGTTTAGGGGTGCGCGATCCGCTTGTATGCGCGACCTGCTTGTGAAATACGATAGTTATTAAACTATACCCAATATCACGGTATTAGATAAAGCGCAGCATTAAATTTCGCACTGAGAAAATTACCCATTACATTCTCCGGTACCTACTGTAATGACTATCTCCCTTCCGCTACTTGTCGGAATAATGGATCATGTAATCAAGTTTATTAGTCAGCATACCACATGTTAAACTGCTGTGGTGAAGACTAGAGAATACCAGACAAGTGCACATACGTGACCCATACCATTGGTACATGCTTTTCGACCCTGATTACGTGTTCAGAGATGACCAATCGGTCACGTGTCGATAAACGTCATACTTATTGCTTATGAGCTAAATACATTAATGAATAGATATGCCCGTCCTTGATACTGTAAGTTTCGCTTAAGAGCAGTTCTCATCTCATTTCAGAATGCAGGCAGAGCCAGGACGCAGAGAGTCGCGTCCCGAAGTAAGAACAACCCCCCCCCCCTCTCTACCTTAAGGCGAAGCCACTAACGACATTTATAAGCCATTGTCTGAAAGTGAAAAACGTCACTTCAGCAAATATGGGAAAATCCCGCACGAAGGATCAATTGGCTCTGGGGTAATTATCCATAGGGTATTTTGATTCGGTGTTTATGCGCTGACTGTTGAAAGGGTCGGGCCACCCTTTCCTACCGCGATTATGCTCATTCAGCCACTGCAAACGACGCTATCCAGCCTCGGGGATCACATTGGCATCCTGACAGAACCTCTCGATCCGGTACTCCTGTCTTTAATGCTGTTGATTTCCACAATGTGGCTGTCGGGGATCCGTACAGAAAACTTTCCACCACCGAAAAACGTCTTTCACAACCAACAAAGTCTAAAGTACAACAAGATGCCGCAATCAAGGAGCAGCGTGTCAAATCTGTCTCCGAGGAAGACAACTCTGCCCTATTTCCCTTTGATTAATTCTTTCTCATGAAATTCATTGAAAATTATATGATCCCGAAAATATGTATGGCCACAGGGCATTCCCGGCATGAAGGGTCTGTCCAATGCCGGAAACCGTATGTACGGTAATCTAGGTGATCTACCAGAAATAAGAAATATATCAAGGAAATATAGTGGAGACTTTCTCTGACCCAATTCAGCTTAGCGCAGCCCGAGTGGGGTGCTGGGAAAGAAAGCCTGTGTGTCCGAGGGGTAATCTGTTTTCGAATTCTACTGTAACGCGAAGAATACCTCCGCGGTAACGGTCTGGGATCAGCTGTTGATATAATTTCACGAGAGGGTACCGTAGAGTCGAAAACTACTGTATCTGAATAGGAGGTCGAGGTAGAACGACTCACCGAGATTCGACCGACGCGCGACATGAAAATGACGGGACGGGCCGAGACACGAACCCCTGAACCGCCCGACCGCAACGAACACGAAAATTCACCTCCGCGATTACTGAGACCGAGACGTTCCACCAGACCGCCTAACAATTATGCCCAGGAGCAAGAACTCGACATCGAACAAAGCAACGCGCGTTCTCAGCGGGAGAAGAAGACTCAGGGCAAGCGGGTGGCCCAACGTGAACCGGTAGCCTCGGAATCATCAACAGAGAGCGAGGACCCGAACGCGTCAGAGCTGTTAAAGGAACTTGTCAAACTCAGGAAAGAGATCAGACTGCGAGATGAATCACACAAGGTAGAGCTTCAAGAGGTCAAAGAAGAGTTTGCCGCCCTCAAAGAACAGTTTAATGCCGCCCTTGCAGAAGTTCGACACGAGTTACAGACCCTGGCAGATAGACCCGCGATCCCGCAACCCTACCTCGAGCCATGCTCTCAGAATAACCACGATGAGATCCTGCGCGAGATTCAGTCCTTACGCGAGGTGATCAGCGCCCCCGCTTCGTTGAGCTCCCCCTCTTATGCAGATGTCGCGCGCACTCCTCCGACCAGTTACCCAAGCAACATACGGACCTTGTCAACGCTGAACACGAGACCGACCACCTACACCGAAACTTTATACTGTACGATAGACACCTCGAAGATGGCCGAAAGTGAAAATGAGAAGATATCCGCAGGCTCAATCAGGGCCGCAATTGAGAAAGAGATCCGAACGATGGATGATCACACCTACTGGCGCTGTCGCGCGGTCACCGTGAGTCCAAGAGACCCCAATCGGATCAGGATTGCGTGTTGCGATGAAGCCGAGCACTAGCTGGTTAAGAAAGTGGCAGAAAAAAAGACCGGGAGAGGAGTCCGGGTGCTACGGGATGAGCTCTACCCGGTCAAGGTTAATAGTGTCAAGAGGGCTACGGTTTTGGATGAGAACCATGACGTCCTGGTAGGAGCAGCTGAAGCCATGAGTGAGGGAAATAATACGACTGTTACTAAGATTAAGTGGCTTAGTAGTAGGGAGGCCGCGAAGCCGTATGGGTTAATGGTTGTTTACCTCACCAGAGGCACTGACGCGCGGAGGCTCTTGGCCGACGGATACTTCTATGTTAGAGGGGAATCCGGGATAACCAGAGCCTTTAAACATCGACCACGTCCGGTGCAATGTTATAACTGCCAGGAGATTGGTCATAAAGTATTCCAATGCAAGAAGACCCAGAAGTATGCAAAATATGCCATAGAGGGTCATCAACATAGTTGCTGCGATCAAGAGGTTCTAAAGTGTATTCTATACGGTAGGCCACATGAATCGTTTAGTAAGAATTACTTAAAACTCTACCTACCACGTTATGAATAAAACACTTCGAATAATCTAATTGAATATAAGAAAGTAAGGTGTAGTATATGAAAGCTTAATGAATGACGAATAAACCAAGGACATAGTGGTGCTAGCGATTCAGGAACCCTAGGTAAGGAGAATTTAGGGACAACTCTTGACCACCCCGATGGGGCACCATAAATGGATAAAGATGGTTCCCCTCTATCTAGAGGGAAGGGAGATGGGCGATCTGGAGTATGCTTTGGGTTAATAAAGATATAAAAACAGAGTAGGTCCTGGTGGAGTCCCCAGATCTTATAGTAGTGGTAATTAGGCTCCCCGAGCGACTAATCTTTATGGTGTTAGTCTACGTAGAAGGAGGGAATATGTTAGCTTTAGACGATATATATAGTTAATTATACAATACGATCGCTAAGGTACGACAGGATATAGGTGCAGTTATGGAGATTTTGATTATGGGGGACTTTAACCGATATGACTAACTTTAGGGTAGAGATAAGGTATCGCTAGGAAGATAAGGGGAAGTGGATCCGATCATTAACCTTATAAATGAGTTTATGCTCTGTAACCTACTTAAATAAGGTACTAAGATATAGCATAGGGGAGGATAGAGTAGGGACTACAAGTCTACTATCGACCTTATTCTAGCTTTAGAAAACCTAATAGACTATATAACTAGGTGTGTAATACTTAAAACTGACCACAGCTTAGATTACTATGCTATTAAAACCATCTTCGATACCCTATGGTCAGGCCTAAAGCCCTAAGAACAACTCTTACTAAAAAATATACTATAGAAGGAGATTAATACTAGGATTTAGAATATTCTAGCTATCTTTCTGTTAGAGGGTATAGTATAGTAGAAAACCAATCGACTTATATTGGTAGTGTTAGAAGTAGTGTATGCTCTAACGCTAAGGGTAAAACCATTACTGTACATAAAGCGATGGTGGATAGCTAACCTTACTTAACTCTATCATATATATATATACTAGAGAAACCACGCTTACGCTAAGTGGTAGGTAGGGCGAAAAGTACCTTAGCTGGAAAATATAGCCTAGGATACAGCGAAGTAGTACTATGATACTATCTATAAATAAAAGAAGAAGTACTAGAATAAGTTTCTTGTAGATAACAATAATATCTAGAAAGCTACTTTCAGCGTGGGGAAGACAGGACCAAAGGTGATGACGTCACGCAGAGGATGTCAGCTGAACAGGGGCACCAAGCTACAGGGAACCCTTCGGAGGAAAGGGTAAAGATAAGACCAAAAGATCAGACAACACGGATCAGATGGAATGACATACGACCAAGCTGGATCCGAACTTAGGATGGAATGGAAGGAAAGAATCAAACAAAGATACAACTGATCCAAAAACGATTGAATTCGATGCTAAACTAGCTAAGGGGTAAGATCAGGGTTTATAGAACTTTAGACTAAACAAACATGAGACCAAAGGTCTCAGGATATGGGACGAAAGGGCTACGGAATCCGAAATAATCGAGTCCTTTCATCTCATCTTGCAACCATTGATCCTAACAACGGGGCTCGGGTTGCGGATCTTCTCGGACGAGAGAAGATCATCTTTGATCTGATAGATCAGATCAAAACCATATCATTCATTTCGCAACGGAAATGTTTGATCGCGGGATGAATTAGTCAGCATAACCTTTGGATCAAAAAGGGCCACTTTTCATCCCAGGAATCCAGGCACACAATCTGCCTGAATTGCTGACACACCCTCCCATCTTTCACACCGTGATAGATGTCAGAGAACTAGGCGGAACCTCCATGTTCAACCTTTGGACGAAATCTCTGTGTTTCTGTGGGAGGAATTGTTTCGTCAGACCATCAGCTAGCATTTCAGATGAAGGGATCCAATTGATCCGAAGTGCTTTGGTCTGAACTTCTTGTCGTAACCAGTGCCGATGAATGTCAACATGACGCAATTTTGTTGTGTAAACAGACTTTGATCTGATCATCAAGTCAACTGTAGGCTTGTTGTCGCAAAAGATTTCCATCTGAACCATCGGATCAAAGGTGATTGATCGGAAGAAACGTTTGATCCAAAGAAGTTGTTTCCCTGCTGCAGCTAGGGCTAAAAGCTCAGCTTCGGTAGTTGATGTTGAGACCGTTCGTTGCTTCCGGGCCGACCAATCAAACGGGCCACCGTACAGGGTGAAAAGATATCCTGATGTGCTCTTTCGGTCCGAATTATCGGCAAAGCTGGCATCAGAGAAAACCTTGAAAAGTTGGGATGGATCGGTTCGTCCGTCGTAGCAAATTGCAAGATCTTTGGTCGCAACAAGATATGAGATCAAATGGTCAACAGCGGTCATGTGACGTTCGGTTGGTTTCGTCAGAACACGGGCAAGGGCTTGGTTAGACCAAGAAATATCTGGTCTCGTCCAAACACCCGGAAAAAGGGTTGATCCATTCTTCCCCTGATATTGTCTAATATATGAGATATCAGACCGAACAACATCAGATGGAAGAATATCAAGTTTGAAGTTTGTCGGAAGCGGAGCCGACGCGGGTCGTTTTGGTTGCGGGATATCATATCGGGCAGCCATTCGTTCGATGTAAGATGTTTGATCGATCCAAAGTCGTCTGGTAGGTCGATCACGTGTCACACGAATTCCGATGAATTGGGTGAGTTCTCCACAGTCTTTCATCTCAAAAGCCTCTTTAAGCTTTCGTCTCATCTTTTCTGCATGTGGAGCAGCAGACTTGGGATAAATGCCAAGAAAGTCGTCAACAAACACAAGAATAACCATCTTTTCATCCGAATATAGTGCAGGATCCTCTGGAGATGGGATGAAGCCAAGTGCGGAAAGCATCTTCTTGACATCATCTTCCCACTTCTTCCCTGCAATTCTCAGACCATAGACAGCTCTTTTCAGACGTAAACAGTAACCTTTTCGTCCGAACATCGGTGGGTATTGGACAAAAACCTTTTCGTCCAATTTGCTGTTTAGGAATGCATTGACAGCATCCATCTGAAAAGTTTCCAGGTCAAACGCAGCAGTGATTGCCATCAAACATCGGAAAGAACGGGATGTAAGGGTTGATGTGCTTGAGTCTTGATCATCCAATCGTTGCATGTCGCCTCGGACGCATAATCGGGCTTTAAATCGGATAATAAAGCCTTTTTCATCCAATTTATAGTCAAAGACCCATCGCAAAGGTATCATCTGATGTCGTGCACAGCGTTTTGGTCCATCAGATTCAGCACATTCATCTGAACATTGGGCTGTAATCATCTCAATTTTGACTGGTTCCCAGGCTTCCATCTGATTCATTTTGGCAAATTCAACTTTCATCGCATCTTCGAAGTCACGTTTATGAGGGTGACTTGCGACCAAATGCCAAAATTCAGGCGGCGGGGGGGACACTTGTCACGTGGACTTTCTTTGGCTGGCTTTTCATCGCAACATTGTAGGCATGTAAAAAGTTTGCTATTCGAGCACGCTTTTCATCCGGTGTATCATCAGGGCTTTCATCCAAAGATCTCTTCAAAGCACCAGGGTCAATCATCTCAATATCATAGTCTCGGTCATGATAAGGTGGTTCGTACAATGGATATTCATCTTGATTTATCCCATTGTTATTGATCTGAACCTCGATTCGTCCCATAGGTCTAAGATCAGATGAATTGTTATCTGCCTGATGTAAGTTCGGGTAAGAAGGATCCTTAGGGTCAGGTGATCCTTCTTTATCAGATTGCGGGGGAGTATCCGGTTGATCTCCAATAATCTGATCTTCTTCTTTTTCGTCGCAAGTCTCTTCTTCGGATGAACTGTTTTCATCCAATACTTGCTCATTTTCGTCCAGATCTCCCATAACGTCATGGTTCTCTGGAAATGTGTCAAACACATTTTCATCTGATGTTTCGCTTTGGTCCAATTGATCCCGGAATGTTGTGTATTCGGAGATATCCAGGTAATCGACCACTTTCATCGAATCATCATACAAGGGCGCACCCTTTTCATCCCATCTTTCATGATGTTTGTAGAAAGAGGTTTCGTCGAATTCCACATCACGGGCTTTAATCACTTTTCCTCGAGGTAACCAGATCAACCAAATATTGGATGAAACATATCCAACCAAATAGCCAATTTGAGCTCGTACTTTCATCTTATCCAGGCGCGGAATATTGATGATCCGTACATAGCACTTGCACCCAAACACTCGGATATTGGATAAATCCGGTAATTCAGTCATATGACCAGGCTTTTGGTCCAATCGGTCCCACAAAGTTTGATGAGGGGTCTTCCATCCCAAAGTGCGGCGCGGGGTTCTGTTCATCACATATACTGCGCAGGCGGCAGCATAGGGCCAAAGAGATATTGGTAACCCAGAACATTGGATGAAACGGCGTGATAATTGGACGATAAGGCCTCCATAGCGTTCTGCATATGGGTTCTGTTCGGGCTGATCTATTGGGGTAGATTCAACCACCCTCCCATCACGTGACATGTGTTTGATGAAATTAGGTAACGTCGTATCATTGTCGATGTGGATTCGTCTGATTTTCGTCCCATATTGCAACTCAATGTGTGCAATCATCTCATGTAAAGTGTCAGGTGATGCAACCTTTCGTCTGATTGCCTTCGCAAATTGGTATTTCGTCACAGGGCAAACACAGTGTGACAAATATTTCATCCCATCAATTCCTTGTTTGACAAACACTAAGTCCCAGTGTATAGCTTCGAATGGATAGCCATGGCGTTCGATCGGAACACGTGACAACTGTCGGTAAGAATCAGATAACTTACATGTTTCACATGTTTCATCTGATGTCAAGTTCTGATCGATCCGGACTCCAGTGGTTGATCCGATAAGCTTGTCAAGGGTCTCTTGTCCGATGTGGCCAAGTCTTTGGTGCCAAACATCACGTGACGTAGGTTTTTCAGGTCGAGAATAGGATGAAAGTGCATGGATCGTTGCACCCTCCGATTTTTGATGTGAAATTTTAAGACCAATGGGGTCTTTCTTGCCTTCCATCGGATGAAAGGGCTTTTCAGAGGATATAGGGCATGTCAGCTGTTTGACAGCAACTCGTGTGCTGGCAGAAAGGTCAGACGGTAGACCATCAGCTGTTCCATCCCATCTTATCAGGTAGACACCGGATCTTCGGTTCAAACGGCAAACAGGCGTTCCATCCGATGTCTCAAGGGTTCGCTTTCGTCCATTCAGGAACAATTTCGAACGTTCTGCAATCGATGCAGATATCAGGTTCAGATGAAAACCAGGGGAATAACCCACTTTCAGAAGGGTTAGTGGCTTTCCATCCAAAGATTCAGTAGGTCGGACCAAAACAGTTCCGATCCCAACTATCGGTGTCGTCGTATCTCCAACGCAAACATCAGCTGCATAAGGCTGAATGTCGGAGAAAAGATCAATATTATTGCAGATATGCAATGTTGATCCAGTATCGTACGCCCAGACCTCATTTGGTCTAATCACATGATTCGTGGCGTTCGAAATCGGCAGACTCGCTGCAAGGGTTTTCATCTCATCAAGTGGTGACTTTTTAGATGAAAGAGTCATCCCAACCATATGTCCCTTTTCGTCCGATGTTTCAGCTGATCCAACAGGGTCAGCTGACTTTTGGTCCGAAGAAATTCGTTCTTTGGCTCTTTTCATCGCAGCTCTCAGGGTCGAGCTCTTCTCCATCGCTGTGTCAAACTTAGTCTTAGTTTCATCTGATAGCTTCCATCCATCTGGTCTCTTGGCAGGATTTAGGACAGGACAATTAACAAATGAATGTTTGCCTTCTCCACATGGGCAGGAACCAGAAAACCTCTGTTTGGTCCCTTTTTTCTTCTCCTTTTCGTCCGATGTCTGGGATGAGTCATCTTCGCCCTTGAATGTAGCATTAGACAAGAACTTGTTCAGACGAATAGTCGAAGATGAGATATGATCTCGGTAGATCCTCAATAATCGGAGAAAAGAGATTTGATCGGATGAATCAGGGAGATTCATCAGAGAAAACTTCCAATGTGTAGCAAAAGAATCAGATAAAACAGTAATAGTTCGGAGAAAATCAAGACAAACTTTCTTTTCAGTTCCCATTTCAACAATTTGTAGGGTTTTCGCCTCAACATAGGTCGATTCCCATTGGTCCAACCATTTCATGATGTTTGATCTTGGGATGGTACGAAGACCAATCCATCTATCAGCCATCCGCTGACTTCGGAGGATAGAGTCGGGATTAAAACGCTCATATAGTGATCTCATAATCACATGACTGTTTGACTCTGATCCAAAGAGCTTCCGGATATCAGATGAAACGGTGTTCAGAATTGTGATGAAAATATTATCGAGGGCAAGTTTGGTCTCTTTCCAATCATCGATAGTACGTTTGCTTCGACCTTCCAGGCCAAAGAAGGTTCGGGCTTGCTCGGGATTCGCCGCAAGGTATGCATCTTCAGACAGAAAGGATTTCGTCTGATCACTGGCGCTTTTCGTCCCAAGTTTTTGGTCTGAAGGTTTGTCGTAGTTCGGGTAAACATCTCGTACGGAAAGAAGTTGTGGCTTTGGTCCCAATTGAGGGGGATAAGCAACTTCCGGATCAATATATTTCCAGACATCAGACAAATTGGCAATTGCCTGAATGTTTGATAACCACGTGATCCATTGGTCTGATGTAGTGAGAATGGTCTGAACTCGAAGCTGTACGGTCGCAGGTTTGGAAGACATTATGAAAAGACAAGATTAAGGAACAACAAATAAGGGGTAACAAGATGGTGTAAAACAGGATAAAACAAGATGATCTTTCAGATCAAACGGGGGATATCAGACGGAAAAAAAAAACGTTTCGTCTTAATTCTAGCTTGGTAGCGTAACCGGGCTCATAACTTTCAGCGTGGGGAAGACAGGACCAAAGGTGATGACGTCACGCAGAGGATGTCAGCTGAACAGGGGCACCAAGCTACAGGGAACCCTTCGGAGGAAAGGGTAAAGATAAGACCAAAAGATCAGACAACACGGATCAGATGGAATGACATACGACCAAGCTGGATCCGAACTTAGGATGGAATGGAAGGAAAGAATCAAACAAAGATACAACTGATCCAAAAACGATTGAATTCGATGCTAAACTAGCTAAGGGGTAAGATCAGGTTTTATAGAACTTTAGACTAAACAAACATGAGACCAAAGGTCTCAGGATATGGGACGAAAGGGCTACGGAATCCGAAATAATCGAGTCCTTTCATCTCATCTTGCAACCATTGATCCTAACAACGGGGCTCGGGTTGCGGATCTTCTCGGACGAGAGAAGATCATCTTTGATCTGATAGATCAGATCAAAACCATATCATTCATTTCGCAACGGAAATGTTTGATCGCGGGATGAATTAGTCAGCATAACCTTTGGATCAAAAAGGGCCACTTTTCATCCCAGGAATCCAGGCACACAATCTGCCTGAATTGCTGACAGCTACTAAGTACCTAAAGTTAGGAGACGATATGGTATTCAAGAAGATTCTGTAGCTACTAAGAGTAAATGGAACTACTACTTATAATCATAAGGAGTAAGCGGAGGAGTTACTATCTAAGTTCTTCCCCCCCTTACTAGATAATATCGATGAGGAAGGAGCTAGACTATAAAGAGTACCTATAGAAATGCTAGCTATTATGATGGAGATAGAGTAGTAACTGGCGGTGGCTAAGTTATAGAAGGTACCTAGTAAAGATGGCCTACCAGTAATTATTTAGAAGATAACGTGGCCTACAGTCAGGTATAGAGTCCTTAATCTATTCTAAGCCTTACTAGAGGAGGGTATATTACTAAGATAGTAGAGATATATAAAGATTATACCACTTAAGAAGCTAAATAAAGAAGATTATATTATTGCTAAAGTATAGAGACTGATCTTACTCCTTACGACATTAGGAAAGATACTTAAGTTAGTAGTTACAGAATGGATCTTATACGTGGTAGAGATATATGGGCTACTCCCGATGAGCTATTTTAGGGCCTGAAAGTAGTGTGTTACGAACCGGCTGTCAAGCAACGTGAGTATGCACTTCCAAAGTGTTACTTACCGCAAGCCGTTATCCTGCAACTGTACCGTCGCCGTCGCTGGGCCTTACACGGGCTCGAGTCTATAGGGATCCTTGCACGGTAATGCTTGATTAGGGTGTCCGCTAGCAAGTCAGTCACGAGTGATGGAATCACGAGTGAGCTCCCAAGCTAGTTTGAGGTTGGTCTTCAAAGGTTCGACTGTGATCAAAGTATCTGAATTGCTGTACTGTAGGTCTCAATAACAATAGAGTAATAATCGCGAAGAACTAAATACATGATGGTAATGAACGTCCCTTATATATCCAGTCCTTCCTATCATCCTGTCCTCTGTCAGGACAGGTCCGTTCCTGTATCAGGTCAGGTCCGTTCCGCTGAACGGACAGGACCTATTGTTGGAATAGATCCTTGGTCACGTGTCATGGGGCCGGGAGTGGCCTCTCATACACCGTCCTTCCCGTATAGCCAGTATATGTTGCAATGGTAAGCCACAGGCCATATCCGGCTTCCTGTTGGTGCCTCAGGCACCACTGTAGCCCTGCGCCCCCTTGGGCCGTGTGTCCGTTATGGCTGGTCGTCCGTACTTGGCCCGACCGCCAACTGATTGGGTCATAGTAGCTCCTGGGAGATCCCTCCGTAGTGGGTCCGTAACATAGTGGTCTATAGAGTAAGTACTAGTGTTTCTATAGGAATAAATCTATGCGGTGTGGCACAGCTAATAAGTACTAAGCTTGATCAGCTTTGATATTAAAGGGGCCTATAATGGCTTATATAAAGAATGACTAATCTAGAGGATGTAAGCCTAAGGCATACTAGAGGTCTTACTTCGGTGGGTTAAGGCCTTTTACTCAGAACGAATGGTGAATATTATAATTAATAGGTAATTATCTAAGACTTAAAGCCTACTATAAGCTAGACTACTATAGGGCTTGCCCCTATCTCCGATTCTATTTCTCTTCTTTAACATAGACCTTATATAAAGATAGATTGATAGCTAGACTTCTCCAAAACCCAATGGACCCAAGACCCAACCCAACCCAACCCAACATTGGGTTGGGTTTGGCTCCAAAACTTAGACCCAAGCCTGGGTTTTGGGTTTTTTCCTTGGACCCAACCCAACCCATAGGTACCCAATTGGGTCCCAAACATAGCAAACATGCCAAGATTTTGCTGTAGCATAAATTATGCATCTTGGCGTTGTATTTTTGGGTATTCCCCTTACAGACCTTTGGGTACTGCGGCTACAGCTTTTTAGAAACTAGCAAAGAAAAGCGTTTTTTAACTAGCTCAATCAATTCTTAACTCAATCTCCTTAATCTACCATTCTATCCATTTTCTCGTCCTGCCTGGTCTGTCCTTTCTCTTCTACCTCCTACAAAGTAAGGTAGGATTCGTCTGAAGCATAGGGTTTTGTGCACAAAAAATAGTTTGTGGGCTGCCAATACTAGCTGTCTCCTAGGCTCCTATTAAAAACTAACAGGCTTTTGTGCACAAAATTTACCTCTGTAGCATCTGACCCTCATCCTCATTCCTCACTCTTCATGCTCACCCTCATTCTTCATGCTCATGCTCGTGCTCGTGCTCGTGCTCATCCTGAAACCTAGACCAGTAAAAACCACCCTTAATAAACACAGGGGTAACATCAAGGCCAAGCTGGGTACGCTCGAAGAAGGAGTTAGCCCCAAACGCAGCACGTTCTGTTAGAACTAGCTTCTCAAAGGCAGCAATGTATAGCTGCTGAGCGTGTTTCCGCCACCTCTGTATAAAACCCCAAGCAGCCACATCGTCATCTCCAAATAAAATGTCAAGCTCTTCTCGTACATCCACCTCGTCCCAGCGCACCTGCCCAACTAGTGCATCTGAAATTGCACCCAGCCGCCCAAGGCGTACAGTTGCTGGGAAAATCTGGTCCATACGCCCTCCAAAAGTGCTATTGGGCAAGCCTGAAGGGGTCTTAGTGCCAGAGTAAAAACTGCGGTGGCAGTGAGATAGGTCACCCCAAGTTCCTGACTCAGCCACATCTAATGTCTGGTGGTCTTCTCCAATACCCACAAACCAAGGTAGGATATTGAGGCGACGTGAAGTAGCAGGGCCAGTAGAGCCGTGTGGCAGGCCAGGTAGGCTAAGGCGCACATCTCCAATAGTACACTTCTGTTTAGACCACGTGTAGCCAAAGTGGTCCTCATCATCTTTAGTCCACATTGTAGGCTGAATCTGTTGTACATAGCCATCTTTTGTATAGCCTCGGAGACGAAGGCGGTCATTCCATTCTCTGATATCCCGATGCATACCAAGGAGCATCTCTGTACAGTTGTTGTCATCCTCCACAGATAGTGCAAGACTACCTTGTAAAGCATTCTGACCACGTCCAGTACGTACGAAATCAGCGATATTCACATCAATATGACGAAAAAACGTAGATTCCCCAGGATAGGTGCTCTTGGTGTAATAAGGAAAGGAGATTAGTCGCCAAGCATGGTCTGGCCGAAAGAACACATAGAATGCATAATAAGCAGGGTCTTGCCGGACAAGCTGCTGGACCAAGCTAAACCACATGTTCCGGGCCCAGCCAATTCGAGGTTTTCCAGGACGGGCACGGTAATGCCAGTCATACATATCAAACTCCTGTAAGATCATAGGCAGGATACCACCAGGATGCTGGCCGTCAAGGTCTTCTGTTAGCCAACTAAAGAGCCCAGTGACTACCACACTACCATCCTTCTTCATTTGCTGGTCCATATGCATAGCTTCAGGGGGCGGGGCCTTGCCAAAGCATCGTTTATATAGCTTCATAAAGGTAAAGGATGACATCTGGGTTGGTTTGGAAACCTTTGGCCTTAGTGGTAGGGCAGTGGCCTCAAAGCGCCAGCCAGACTGAAGATTTCCAATGCTGCCTTTGAACCAAGAAGGGTGCTGCTGCCTCACGGAGTCCCATGAATCTAGCTTCTTGTAAAGGTAGAGAAGCCGTCTATGAGCCTGAGTAATAGCAAAACGATGGTAGATACCTAGCTGCCTGCAGAGAGCATGTGTATGTTCGGGGCATAAGCGTAAGGTGTGGGATTCGTTAGGGCTGCTAGTTTCTCGGCCAATTTTTCTGAGAGCCTGTTTCTTCAATGTATCTGTGGGAAGTACAACATTTTTCTTAGCTGGTATTAAACGCTGGAGAGCAGCCTTTGTGAGAGGACAGCCACATGTAGACATAGGTGGTGTTGTGTGCTTAGCTCGTTTCCGTGGGTGAGGTTGAAAATCATCATCGGCATCACCACTACCTTCACTATCACCATCGCTGTTGCTATCACTATTGCTATTGCTGTCGCTGTCGCCATTTTCATCATTGCTGTTGCCACTGCTGCTGTTGTTGTGATCTTCCTTATCCTTAGCCTGGCTGCTAGAATGGCCTTCTTCTTCTTCATCATCATCATCTTCTTCTTGGCAGCTATTCTTTTGTTGTTTCTTAGGAGTAGGTGGCTGGGTAGTAGGCGCCTCAGAGACCAAGCCTAGTAAAGATTAAAGGTTAAAGGTTAAAACCACATCTTTTAGACTAGGCTCATAGGTAAGAATACATACCTATACTTGGACACACAAACCCATCTATGTCAATTCCTAGCTCCAAGCCTTGTAAGACACTATGGTCTAAGGGCGTAGTGTCTTGGCTTAAGAAGGCATTGGTTAG